CATTTCATTTTATCCCACCACTATTGAGTGAAGGTTACTTGAGTAAGGCTATTTCATGTTTGAATTGAATTGTATAAGAGTTTGCTTACTTGTGTAGGAACTAAAATGGTTATATCATACCATAATGAATCTACGTTAGTTAAATTTTTCCTAACTATAATTCTCCAAGCCAGAATTTTCTTTAAAGTTCCTCGATGATTAAAAAACATAGTATAATTACACTTGCAGAGCAATATGGTAGACTATACCGGCCTAAGAATTGAACCAATTAATAGTTTTTGCAATCTACAAGAATGATCATTACTTTCTGAAAGGTTGTTATCTTTCGCCGCATCGGGAAAAACCTTTCGGGAGAATAAGTGGTTAATATAAAGCAGTAGAACTTTCAATATCTGGAAGAACCATGACAAAAAATATGGCAGATTATGGTGGATATTTAATGTTTTCTTCAATTGTAGAAAACAGATGAATAATTTAAGAAACTTATAAGCAATTTGAACAACGTTTTAGAAACATTATTTTTCTTGTATGTTAAATGGAAATACGCTGTGAAAAATTCAAATTACGTTTCAAAATATTGTTGTTGGGAATAGCTTTGTCTTTTCCAAACTCAGAGAAATAAGTGATTTTAGATCTTTAATTCAGGTTTCACAAGCGACATTTATTTGAGAAAAACTGTTCTTTGTGAAAGGAACATTCTAGTTTATATTTGCTACAACATAAGCCGAATAGCCATTAACTATTGTCTATTATAGAGAACTTGATTTTTGAAAATATCCAGAATAGAAGCTACACAATGCTCAGTCAAGCTTAAAGCTATTATTCTAACGGTTTTCTTTCTCCGTTCCGCTAGTCCCTCTCAGGGTAATGAAATCATTTAAATTTACTCATAATAAGTAAAATAAAAAGTTTAGCATCTTCCTCACAAATTTTTGGCAGATTGATCAATTTGTGCTTAAATAGGCAACATTCAACTAAACTGCATTGAGGATATAACAACCTATATAGATTACTATCTGGTCAAGAAAGAATACAATAACAAAGAAAAAAAGAGACCCAACTCATATGTATTGAAATAATATTCTTACTTTCCAATAATCTTTAAAAAATGAGTCATATCTCTTGAATATATACTAAATGGTAGGTCTACCTATTTTCCTATTATTGAAGTTTTCTTTTAATAAGTTATTGAATATCAAATCATTACAATAATTGTGTGTGTGATGTGATGCATTCAAACACAATTGAAGTTTGATCCTAGAAATAAGAGCATTCAGCTAGTTATTATTCTTTAATTCCCTCTCCAACATTTTTAAGTCTTGTGCACTAAAATTCCTACCTACTGAATGATAATTGATCCTTCTACTTTTAGGCACTTCAAAAATATCTATTCAGTTAGTAACAGATTCTTGTTCAGAATTGAATTATATATCCTTTGCATGTTCATATATAAAATTTTATAACATCGATATAATATATATCTCATATAAACTACTATATGATTTATATATATATGTATATATATATATATATATATATATATATATATATATATATATCTTTATATCCGATGTTTTTGATCATTTATTCAGTAGCATAATCTATTCGGTTCATTGACAAGATCGAATTATGATGTATTGTTCCTCCTACCGAAGTTCGGTATATGTAAAAGGTATTGCATTACCTACCTTAAAATTACAAGGAAATATATTTAATATCAAAGAAATTTAATATAGTTTTTCCAAATTGATTTGTTTACTTTATGATTTATTCTTTGTATAGGAGTCTGCTGCATGTCAGTTTTTATTGACTATTAATAATTGTCCTTGGAATGGCAGATCTCGGTTCGATAGAAAATCGATGTCTTGATATATCAATTGTTAAAACGCTTTTTCTCTAAGCATTTACAAGCAATTTTGGAAGTTTTTAACAAAAGCTAAATGGTTAATTTCGTTTTGTATTAATGTAAATAAAAATCTTGCATGTTTCGAGCTACTTGACCACATCTCAGCAGTAATTCTTTGAAGATCTGTGGATACTTTCAATCACCACTACATGATGGAAATGGGAAATATCTCATAATTTAAAGCTCCTCGATCTTTTCCTACACATAATCAAATTATTTGTATTGATACAGTATTACATTAACATTTGAAGTTTGTTTTTTCTAACATCTTTCACATATGTTTCTCATCTGACCAGCTTACCTATACATTCTTTAGACTAGCATCATGTTATTAACGTGCCTTCTTCTGTGCTGTAAAGCCGATCAATCAGGGCATCCGAGTCATATAACTAATCAAATGTGTTACGTACAGTACCATGCATTCATAAGTGCTTAGATATATGAGTTGAGAAAATTTCAAAGGAAGTAATGGAAATTGTTGAAAAGTTCTTTAGGCCAGTTCTGGAAAATAGCTTCCAATATATATTTAAAACAACAAAATTTTAACATTCGTAGATCGTCTAATCTCAGTGATATCTAAAATTAATGATTAAAGTATCAAATTCAATTCCAATACACATATTTCTAACTTTATCTCATTAAAAGTTTAATTGGCATCCTTACTGAACAAGAATTAAATATTAGAGATAAATGGAAGGTAAACAGACTGACCTTGTTGAAATAGTACAGAATGTTCATTGATTGTCTGACAATGATTAATAAACTTTCAAATACAGGGAAAGTGTATACTACTGAATCTATTCAAGTTGAATAAACAGAGATGATTTGATAGCAGGTTATTTTTAGAGTTTAAGAGAAATGTTTTTAATGAAAGCATGGAAAGGGGCAATGAGGTCTCATTATTGCATGCCAATTTTTTATTACACGAAATGACTCAAGTATGGAAAACCTGAGAAATAAAAAACTACGTCTATTATAACTTAATTTTGAGTCAAGTGTAAACAGTTTGCTTCCTCAATTGAACTTTGTTTGTCACAATTACTGCCATTTTAGAGATTGCCATGAGTTATATATCAACAACTACCTCTATTGGAAGGTCTAACCATAAGTTCCCTAATCACAGGGATCACAACTAAAGGCGAACTTTATTTTCCAGCAAACAGCCTCAGTAACAAATTTAGCTGCAAACTTAAGAGCCAATACAAGTATGCAAATATCATAATAATTTGTATCCGCTATCAATGTAATGAAGACATGCTTATCTTCGCATTTCCATGCCTCCAAATCTGAGTATGCACAATCTTGCTCCAAAGTGTTAAAATACCAGTAACCACAATCTAAGGATACACAGTGTGCCTGAGTCAAATGCAGCTAGGACGTATCAAAATTCCAACATCTTTGAGATTGTATAGCTTAGAGATCTAATTCTGATTTTTATAGACAATTAACATCTCATGCAATTCGGATAATATAAAGCCCTTTGATTTTTATTTCTAAGTGCAAGGATTTTATAGGCCTATGTAACGGCGCATCATCTATGCTGTGTTTTAGAATGTTCACCTAATGAAAAAATATAGAGCAACAGACTCTACAATACTTTCTCGGGAAGTACCTATAAGCGAAAGGTTCCCTATCCTTTTAATATTATGGGTGTGAAGGACGTTGGTAGTTGGTACCGAAGCAAATGTTTTAAATACTCGACACGACCAAATTTTCCTATAATTGATACTAATTCAGGTGAGGGACAACTACTTTCCTTCAAAATTCAGTGTTGTCCACATGTATATTTTCTCAATGGCAAATAGATACTATGATATTTGTATTCATAGTACAAACAAGTCGCTTAATGCCATGGTTTCATGGCTGTACAAGAAGGTCTATCATATAACTAGATTATTCAGTTATTTTAGAGGTACTGCAAAAACACAAAATACACAAAATTAGGATGTCAACATAGGAAAGGGACAAAAAATAAAACAAAATGCTAAACAAAGTTCCAAGTTGGGTATTTACATCGCAACAGTAATCATAGGACGATTTTCTATAATCTTTGATAGTAACTTGGTTAACGTACTACTTAGATCACAGAACTTTTGATTTTATCCTATTTCTAGTTGTGTCTTATTCATGCACTTAAAAGAGTATAATCAGTTAGTTGCACGAGTTCACCTCCAACAAGCGATTAGAGAAAATATCACAACGAGCAGTATAAGGTACATAAATAGTACTGTCGCAGTATACATGATGATATTACCCAATTATCCCGATTAATATTACAATAGCTTTAAATATCAAGGACAAGCATTTATTGTTGAGTGGTTAATGTCTCAGGACTCGGGGCTATTACAGGGATGAAGAGGAAGTTATAAATATATTGCACTGATTTCACATAGAGTAAAGTCTTGAAGGAGTCAGGTTCTCATATATTAGTAGCTGTATCATTTCATAAACTGGAAGACGATGGAGGTGATGAATAGATGGCAGTACCAGAATCACTGTCTATAATAGCAAAAAAACGAGCTTTCGTTTTTTGATTTTAAATATTGATGGATATTGCTGAAGAAGCTTTATTTTGTTTTCTCCTTATAGTTGATGCTTGGTTGTATTGGTTGACTAGATAAAATGTAAGCATTTGAATGTAATGTAAGTGAATGGTGACATTAGTCTTTATCTCTTATAAAGGTCTCTCACATGTGTTGCGAACCACATATTACCATATATTTCATATGTATGGTTCTAGCATACTCAGACAATGACACGATGACACTGCAACCAATGGTTATGAAACCACATTTTCATTGTGTTGTACTTGTTACTGATCGTTAATTTGAGTTCACTATGAAAATGATATTGGATTGAAAATATTCCTTAACTCGTGGTTGAGGATCTCATCGCGGCAGTAATCTGCTGAAAATTTTTTTCGAAATTTTGATTATTGAAGCTCATCGCCCAGCAATTTGGAAAATAAGCCATATAGCTCAAAAGCACTCTTCCATTCAGTATTCTGTTTTGAAATAATATATATCATCACTTGTTGTGCAACAATAACTAAACAATAACAAGTGGTAAACCTCATTGTATAGACCTAGCAAAAATGTTTACGTTACCAGCTTTAACCAGGGACATAACCGTTGAAGTCAATACGTCAGCACAAAAGTCCAGTGCTGTTCGTCGCCCAATCGAACCAGTGGGCAAGTACTTTATGCACCATGCTCAAAGAACATTGAGAAATCACACATGGTCTGAATTTGAAAAACTGCAAGCTGAACAAAACGTCAAGAAAGTTGATGAATCTAATGTGGACCCGGACGAAGCTCTATTTGATCAAGAGATTGCTGATGTGAGCTTGCTGACACATGATCCAAGAGATTGGAAAACAGCTGATTTATATGCAGCTATGGGTCTTTCAAAACTACGTTTTAGAGCCACAGAAAATCAAATTATCAAGTCCCACAGAAAACAAGTTGTGAAGTACCACCCTGATAAGCAATCTGCTCACGGTGCTGGGCTAGATCAAGATGGTTTCTTTAAAATCATTCAGAAATCCTTTGAGACATTAACTGATGTTACTAAGAGACGTCAATATGACTCATGTGACTTTAACGCGGATGTGTTACCACCAAAGAAAGGTACTGACTATGATTTCTATGAAGCATGGGGTCCTGTCTTCGAAGCCGAGGCCCGTTTTTCTAAGAAAACACCAGTTCCAAGTTTAGGTGATGCTAAGTCTACCAAGAAAGAAGTTGAAGCATTTTACTCATTTTGGCATAGATTTGATTCTTGGAGAACATTCGAATTTTTGGATGAGGATGTCCCAGATGACTCTTCTAACAGAGATCACAAGCGTTACATTGAGAGAAAGAACAAAGCTGCCAGGGATAAGAAGAAGACCGCCGATAATGCTAGATTGGTTAAATTGGTTGAAAGAGCATTGAGTGAGGATCCACGTATCAAGCAATTCAAGGAAGAGGAGAAGAAAGAAAAGGAAAGAAAGAAATGGGAAAAGGAAGCAGGTAGCAGGGCCGAAGCTGAGGCTAAGGCTAAGGCTGAAGCTGAGGCTAAGGCTAAGGCTGAAGCTGAAGCTCAGGAAGCGGCTCTTGCTAAAGCTGATAAGAAGAAAGCAAAAGAAGCTGCAAAAGCTGCAAAGAAGAAGAACAAGAGAGCTATCCGTAATTTGCCAAAGGAAAGCGATTACTTCGGTGACTCTGATAAGGCTTCTGCCATTGACGAGCAAGTTGGTTTGATTGTTGACTCTATTGTTGACGAAGAATTAGTTGAAATTGCTGGCAAGATCAAGGCCAGTCCTGCCGACGGCAAAGTAGTGCTACAAGAAGCTGCTAAGAAGTTGTCTGATTCTGGCAAGCTTCCTGCCTCTTTGCTCTCTTACTTTATTTAGACGCATCTGTTCTATAGACTCTATGATAATGGCCTTAGAATAGCAAATAATTTTTTTGATCTCTCACTTCTACCCTCAAATTATATCAAAATTGGGAAATAGGAATTCTATTTTCAAATTTGAATTTAAATAGATGTAAGTAATGTAGATATAGGAAACTATGCAGTAAAAGCAATATCTGAACTAATGTTGCTGGAAATATACCTTCTATTTAGACACTATGCATTTTAAGTTTAAAGTATGAGTTTCAACAATGCCCACCCCAGCCATTTATTTTTTTTTGTCGTTCTGGAAAAATTCAATACTCTCTTGGGATCAAAGGGGAAAATGCCAACAAAGGTAATTTCTTTGAAAAGCAAAATTCTGGCATAGAGGACAGGATTTTGGAAATTGACAAATCTTCTTGATCTTGTAGACCCTAAGATCTAGATATAGGTCTGTTTCCGTCTACCGGTGGTATTGTGTTGCGGAAGGAACATTCTGGTCTAGTGTTATAATATATTTCGTCGACTCAATAGTTAAGGAATACTAAACTTTGTGTTCGATTCATTGCAAGTGTTACCATATATTGGGGCCATTTATCGAATAGGGTACAATTCCACTCATAGTAAGCAGACACTTAAAAAGGTGAAACTACAAGCTAATTAAAACGTTATATTTATTTGACACCATTTTCATTCAATAGCCAATGTCGTCTTATATGTCTCATAGAAGAGCTGGTGATGCCGGTATCCCAACTAGCAGGAACCCGCAAGCTAGCAATTTCACTCCAATGAATACAACTCCAAGCTATCCAAATATTCGCAAATTTCCTGGTCAAAGTTCTAACGGATTTGAAGACCTAAAGCAGAAAGCTGAGAAGTTTGCTGAAAAGGTGGAGGATTTGACTACACATCCTATAGTGCACCAGATCAGTCCTTATGTTCCTAGCATTTCTCGGTTCTTTATTGTGGCCACTTTTTATGAGGATTCATTCCGTATTCTTACACAATGGTCTGACCAAGTATTTTATCTACACAAATGGAAGCACTATCCATATATACTTGTTGTTTTGTTTTTGTTAATTGTTACTATCTGTATGTTGGGTGGTGCTACTTTGTTGGTTTTGAGAAAGCATACCAACTATGCAACTGGTGTTTTATGTGGATGTATTATCATGCAAGCTCTTGTCTATGGTTTATTCTCTGGTTCGGCCTTTGTGTTGAGAAACATCAGTGTCATTGGTGGCTTGCTAATCGCCTTCAGTGACTCTATTGTCAGAAATAAGACCACATTTGCGATGTTACCTGAATTGAACAGCAAAGATGATCAAACTAAGGGCTACCTATTACTGGCTGGTCGTATGTTAATTGTTATTATGTTTATTGCCTTCACTTTCAGCAAGTCTATAATCACTATTCTGATTACCGTTGTCTGCACGGTGTGCTTTGCTATCGGTTACAAGACCAAGTTTGCCTCCATAATGCTGGGTTTCATTTTGACTTTCTACAACGTTACTTTGAACAACTACTGGTTCTACGACAACAGCAAGAGGGATTTCTTGAAGTACGAGTTTTATCAGAATTTGAGCATCATTGGCGGTCTGCTACTAGTCACCAACACCGGTGCTGGCGAACTATCTGTTGATTCGAAGAAGCGTATTTACTGAACGCACGCATGCACGCACAGCACGCCATATATTGAGTTAGAAGCCCTATGGCTAAAAATACGCATACTTACTTCTTGTAAGAGCTAAAGAAGATAAACGTCACAAATCGCACTATGTACCTTCCTGCTCTTTGCGAGCTATACATATATACATATGTTAGTTACCAGCATCAAAAAACCATCCTAAATACATAGTCACAGCAACAATAGTGAGTGGTCTGCAGTATACAGTAGTCGGGGCTCCACGGCATCAGCCATACGTGCGCCGATTGCCAGCATGACTAAAAGATATCATCACTTCTCACCACAAATCACACCACCTGCATTCTGTTCGTCAAGAGACTAGATGGCCCCTCACACCGGTGGGGGGGGAAGGAGTGAGATGCGAACCGAAGAACAAGGAGGCACAGAGAAACACGCGTACAAGTGTGTTTTAATAGCTACGTATCACACGATACTAATAGGCACGTATTATATGATGTGTGTATAGAGTGACAAGAAAAAAATTTTTTTTCTCGTTTTTGACTTCTAAATATATCATACTCTGGCTTCCAACCGCTCCCCCCGTCCCACCGTAGTCTTCTGCGGAGGGCTCAGTGGCAGACGACAGAGGGCTCCTGTTTGTTTTGCTTTTCTTCTACGCGCACAACGGGAACACCTTTGCAGAAGAAGCCGTAGGAGTAGGAGGTACGCAGGGATGTGAGAGGAGGGGGGGAAGGGTTAGTGCTACTGAGCTACTGAGCAACTGAGCTACTGAGAGCTGGTGCTGACATTCGGTGCAGTCCCTTCTGGGGCTACTGGGGCTACTGGGGCTGGAATGTTCGCTGCGCTGTGGATTACCTCCCCCCCCCCCCCCGAAACTCGTCTGCGTTGGTCGAGAAGTTCGATGCTTTGGAATCGAAGCTGTTCGGCACTGAGAAATGGTCGCACACGGCATTTTGTCAGTAGCTTGGATTGTGGGAGAGCGACGGGAAGCACGGGGAGGCCGCAGCTCTGAAGTTTTTCCAAGCTTCATCTTTCCCTCTCAGCAAACCAAACAATAAACAAATCGAGTTCTCGAGGAAATAGAACTTTGCCCATAATACAGTGGAAAAATATCACTTCTAAAACAAAACAATTGCAAACGGGCCTTCGGTGGGAACATATATAAAACAAATAGCACACTAACCTTGGTACTCTTAGAAGGTGTATAGAACAGAATAGAGTACATACTAAAGGTAATACACATATCAATAAAAAAAATAATAAGATAAGAAATATGCGTTTCAGTACTGTTGCAGCTTTAGCATTTGGTGCCTCCCAGGTTGCTGCCATCGGTGAGTTGGCTTTCAACCTTGGTGTCAAGAACAATGACGGTACCTGTAAGACTACTAACGACTACGAAAACGATCTGAAGGTCTTGAAGAGCTACACTTCCACTGTCAAGGTGTATGCTGCTTCAGACTGTAACACTTTGGAAAACTTGGGTCCTGCTGCCGAGGCTGAAGGTTTCAACATCTTCTTGGGTATCTGGCCAAACGATGAGGCTCACTTCCAAGCTGAGAAGAACGCTCTGTCCAGTTTCTTGCCTAACTTGAAGTCCTCCACCATCGCCGGTTTCTTGGTCGGTTCCGAAGCTCTATACCGTGACGACTTGACCGCCTCCCAACTGGCTGACAAGATCAACGACATCAGAAACTATGTCTCCAACATCAAAGACTCTCAAGGTAACTCCTACTCCGGTAAGCAAGTCGGTACCGTCGACTCCTGGAATGTCTTGGTCGCTGGTTACAACGCCCCAGTCATCACTGCCAGTGACTTCGTCATGGCTAACGCTTTCTCCTACTGGCAAGGTCAAACTATGCAAAACGCTTCTTACTCTTTCTTCGACGACATTATGCAAGCTTTGCAAACCATCCAAGGTGTTAAGGGCTCTACTGACATCACTTTCTGGGTCGGTGAAACTGGCTGGCCAACCGATGGTACTAACTTCGAAGCCTCTTACCCATCTGTCGACAACGCTAAGCAATTCTGGAAGGAAGGTATCTGTGCTATGAGAGCCTGGGGTGTTAACGTCATCGTTTTTGAAGCATTCGATGAAGACTGGAAGCCAAACACCTCTGGTACTTCTGATGTTGAAAAGCACTGGGGTGTCTGGACCTCTGGTGACAACTTGAAGTACTCTTTGGACTGTAGCTTCAACTAAGTTGCTAGATCTATAAAATAAAATACAATGAGGACGTGCTCTACGGATTACTGTCGAATTCGGTTATGACTTTGTACTCTTCTTTTATATTGACTAGGAGAGTGATATTTGCTTTGTTAATTACCAATTCAGTTATCAAAATGGCCTCATTTTCTATTTCTCAATTTTCGTTTTTATAATTTTATTTTTTGGCGGTAAAATTGGTTCTAGGAGTTCAATTAATTTTCGTTCTATGTTTGAAATTTGTTCTAATAGAGGATCAGAAAATTGATACTCCAGTTAGAGTTATTTGTTTATTATTCTTTTAGAAAACCGGTGATATATTTATGTAAGTTATTTCATCAAGATATATTAAGTTTCAGAAAAAATCTCTGTGCACACTGCAAAGAGTCGAGCCATGGGAGAACTTACACGTTTGTGATAATAGTCCAGGTTATTACTGCAGTTCATAAAGTCTATCTTTATTTTAAGGCGGCCTATCTGACATTATTAGGATATACTAATGAATAATAAAATGCAATACTGAGTGGTATTAATAAATAATAATTATATAAGTAAGTTAACTTGTAATCAATCAATCGTAAAATCAATCATAAAATATCCAGGTGTTCAAGTAGTCACACGTCCTCTATAAAAAAATCCAATAAACATCCGATTTCTATCTATTGTCAAATGCAAATGCTAATTAAAAGTTAGATTGTCACTATTTTTTTGGAAAGTCATCTACAGTTATGCCAGATCTGTCACACATACTTCTGAAAATACTTTTTTCATTATTGAATAAAATTTCAGGTTTATCGAATTCTGCTACCTCACCCTTCTCCAAAACTAGAATACGATCATAATTTAAAATGGTTTTCAACCTGTGCGCAATACATAGGATTGTACAGTCCTGGAATTCTGTAGCAATACGAGTTTGGATTTTTCCATCAGTCTCGTAATCAACAGAAGATGTAGCCTCATCTAAAATTAGAATCTTAGATTGTCTAACTAATGCCCTTGTTAATGCTAGTACTTGTCTTTCACCTAGAGAAAAGTTTGCACCATCTTCTTCGACAATTTGATCAAGATGAAATTTGTGCATATTATTGTAAGAACCATTCTTATCAGGTTTTTGATGTTTAATATCCTCCAAATCATCCTTTTCAATTGCACCACCTCTAATCAATGAGTTCCACAAGGAATCATCGGAAAATTCATTGAAGGGATCCAAATTCTTTCTAATAGTACCTCTAAATAAAACGGGGTCTTGGGGTATAATAGACAGCTTTCTACGCAAGTCATACAAACCTAACTTAAAAGTGTCAATTCCGTCAATGAATATCCTACCACTTGTAAGCTCATTCAGCCTGTACAAAGCTGTCATAATAGTAGATTTACCAGCACCTGTTCTACCACAAATACCAATTTTTTCCCCACCTGCAATTGATAAGTTCACATTTTTCAGAACAGTTGGTAGACCTGGCCTATAAGCGAAGCTTACATCTTCAAATATCACTTCACCATTAGTAGGCCAATTATCTGGTGGGGAGTAATCCGATTTTCTATAGGCAGCTTCTTGGGGTAATTCAGTTGCATATGTTACTAATCTTTCTGCACTATTCATATCATTTTCAGTTTGAGTAAGAGCACGTAAGACAGTGTTTAATAGACCAGGTAATTGTAATACATAGGTCAGCAAAACACCCACAGCTGATGGAGATATGTGGAATTGTCTAGTAACACATAGCAAAGAGATAATTAAAGCAAATGCAACAGCAATCATGTCAAGAAAAATGGCAACCCATCTCTGTACTGATACAACCATATAACTTACTTCGTTCATTTTATTGATCAAGAAGTCCATCTTGGTCATATATCTGTCCTGACTTTTATAGGCTTTAATCGTATCCATACCACCCAAAACCTCAATAAGGTTGTTATACACAAAAGATCTTTGAATAGCTTCCAGTCTTTTGATTTCTCTTCCAGCACTCTGATAATGATCAGCTATTAATACAAAAACGAGCAATAAGAATGGTATTGCGATGGCAAACCAAGGTAGGTAAACTATGCATAAAACACAAACACCTATGATGTTAGCGAATTGTGACATCATTAAACGAATATTTTCAGTTAATTCATTATCCAAACTGTCGGTATCCTTGGTGAATCTGTTTAAGATTCTACCCAACGGAGTGGTATCGAGATATGACATTGGAGCATGTAAAATTCTTTTAACAGCCTTTAAATTTAACCATTTTGAAGCCATAATACCCATCATGCATAGCATAGTAAACTGTATATTCATAAATAAATAACCACCAAAAACAAAGAACGAATAGAGACCCATGTAAAAGCTTGTTGATCTATTCTTAAACTTATTTTCTGTCCAGTAAGATAACCAAACGGATGAGAATAAATTACAGAATGTAGTAAACATAATCATTACACCATATAGTGGTATTATGATTATGCCCCATTTACCAACAGCTGAGTCAATGTACTCCTTGTATACTTTCCAGCCAATACTGTTTACAGCACGTTCTTCTTTTGTCATAGTTAGACCTTCTTTTGCCATTGACTTTCTGGTGATTTCTTTTTCAAGCTCAGACATCTCAAGTTTTAAAGGATCCTCAGTAACCTCATATTCGTCGCCCTCCACTTCTTCTTCATCATCCTTCTTTTCAGAGGAAAATTGTAGTAGATTTATAAGTGTTTGATTTCTCGTTTTTAGTTCTTCAACGGTACCTATGTCAACAGAACCATTAGTGCTTAAAACAATCACTCTATCAGCTTTTTCAATTAACGATAGTTGATGTGTCGCTAGGATTCTGGTTTTGCTTTGTAAGGTTTGTAGGAAGCATTCATCCATAATATGCTTCCCCACTCTAGAGTCAACAGCACTGAGAACATCGTCGAATAAATAAATATCTTTGTTTTTGTAGACACTTCTAGCAAGATTGATACGCGCCTTTTGACCACCAGAAAGAGTAATACCACGCTCACCAATTTCTGTCATATCACCTGCTGGTAAAATATCTATATCGGCCTGCAAAGAGCACACCCTTATAACTTCCTTATACTTCTCTCTGTCATAAGGAGAACCAAATATAATATTGTCCCTAACAGTGGCATTTTGAATCCATGGGTATCCACAAAGTAACATATGACCATTAATATCCAACTCGCCTGTTGTTTGTGGCATAAACCCGGCCATTGCATTCAACAATGACGATTTACCTGTACCTATTGGACCTGTTATCATTATAAACTCTCCCTTTTTGATTTCAAAATTCAAGTTTGAGAACTTAGTAAAAGTTTTAGTTCCTTCACCGTTGCTAGTGGATCTTTCATTATCTTCCTCTCCAATAGCATCAACAATAACTTGATTTTTATTATCCTTATTGGTATCCTTTTTATTCTTGTTGCCTAGTTGTTCTTTCTTTTTCTCTTCATCTGCATCGTTTAATTCATAGTCTTCCCATTCAAAAGAAGCATCTTTCATTGCTAGTGCAATCTCACTCTCTGCATCTAGCTGCTTTTCATTTTTATGGATTTGATTAATCAAACTATCAGGGTTAAATGGGTCCGAACTTTCTGGTGCTTCTAATAATTCTTGGAATCTGTTTAAACCTAAAACCATATCAATACCTGTTGCAATAGCAATTGGTAAGAAAAACATTTGTAGGGATAGGACTTGAAATAATGACAAGGAGGAGAAAACCTTTGCTGGATTTTCTCTTGCCTCATTGTTGACTTTGTACATGGATAGGAAAGTAATTAGTGATGCAATATTTGGTAACGACATTGCCATTGCAATCAGAAAGTTTCTTAACATCTGCATCCTTCTGACTCGCGAGATCTCCTTAGTTCTAATATCTTGTATATTCTTCTCGTAAGCATCTTCCCATGCATAAAATTTAACCATCTTCATATTTGATAAGACTTCTCTCATCATTGTAACTCTTTGGTCTGTGAAAATATTGGCTGCGATTCTTAGCCCCAAAATCCATTTGAATGCAAATAAGGAAATACAGAAACCACCAACAAATACACCTACACCTGCAAGAGAGATAGTCCCCAAGTTAACTATCAACTGGACAATACAAATTGCCAAGATGGCTGGGAAACCAGCCAAGAACGGTTGGAATGACAAGGCAAATTCTAGTCTCGATAAATCTGTAGTAACAAAAGAGGTAACTTTACCATTTGGGAATTTATGTTTAGCGTACCCACTAGCTTTGAACATTTTTTTCATAGCAGCTTTGATCAGCACTGATCTCGCCTGGATACCAGTAACTTGAGAGGCGTGGAAAAAATGATTGAATAGGATCCCATTGAATAGTAACATTACACAAGCACCGATGGCGTAACCGACACCTTTATTCACATGTAATGGAGGGTAGAAGGCTTTTTCTTCCACGAACCTGATCAGTCTCTTTGTCAGCATGGGGTTGAAACCAGATGCACAGTTGGCCAGTATTGCCAATAGCACAGCCCAAGAGTATTGTTTCTTAAACGTGAAAAATAAGGCTCTAAGCACAGTGAATTTCTTTAAAGTGGCATTCTCTAGCACTTCTTCAGGGGTGGTGTCAGGGTTTTTTTCCTTGTATTGTTTTCTTGCTTTCTCGAAGTAGTAATCCATGTTATCTTCGAAGTCCTTGAACATGACCTCTATGGACATCCGTTTATCCATTTTAAACAAGTCATTCGGTTGGATGGTTCTCTTGTAACCTATCTTCACAATTGGTATCACCCACCACAGGAAAATGTTTGACAGTATGTTTGCGTGGAATAGAGGGTATATTTTCCGCTCTTCGTCGCGCTGGGGCACTTCCGGTATCTTTTTGGAGTGTAAGAAAGAGAACAAACGCTTCTGAGGGTATATATCGGACTGCGTCACCTTCTCTATGTCGTTGGAGTTCAGATACGTCTGTGGCTTGTTCCGGCACACTCTGTACTCCCCGGACGTCAGAATAGAAATCTCGTCCGAGTCGGCGTCTAGATCGTAATCCTGCACCGGCGAGGCCGTCTTGGCCTTCCCAGCGGTGCTCCCCTGAGGAGACTCGCTGGACGTGGACACACGCTTGTGCTCCTGGTCATAGCTGTCCGAGTCGCCACCTGATCCCGCAGCGGCTGAGTCTTTCCTGAGCATCTTTTTTTCTTACCTTGGTGTTGTCGAGGTGGGAAAGAGAGGTTAACACACAAGTAACCCTTCCCTTTTTATACATTAATTTTATAATATTTGGAAAATTATGTGTCAATATGAGCTCATCGATTTTTCTGCTTAGATTCTGCTTGTTTTTCATTTTTTTCAGTTGGATTATTACTAAGTGAAAGAAACTTACCAACGCAGCGCAGTGTAAGTGCAGCGCAGAGGGAAGCATGAGCTCCAAATTACCAATTAACTGCTCCCTACCTTACTTCCCCCCTACACAGCCCACAGCCCACAGCCTACTTCCAACAGCCCACACTACTTACAGCCTACTACCAACAGCCTGAGACCACAGATCCTTCGATTGTTTGTATTCCGGGCTGTGCGGTGGATGGGGGGAGGGGAAACCCACTCCACTGAGGAACACCCGCACGTCGGGGATTCTGTAGCTTCGTCGAAGGCAGATCCCAACTTCCCAAAGCATCAGTGCATTTGCTGCGGGTTCTACGTTGCTTTCATAGGCAGAAAGGGCTGATCCCAGTTTCGCGCGATTCCAGTTCCGCGCGACTCCACTGATTCCAGTGATTTCCGTGTTTATTTTTCCACATTCCGTGTTTCCGTGTTTCCGTGTTTCCGTGTTTCCACGGAACTGGTCCCCTCCTCCCAAAAGTTGTGGAAAGCCAGAGAAACCCGGGGAAGAACCGTAGTCCCAAGACAAATATCCCGGTAGACGACAGCACCGGGGTGAAATCAGGCACTCTCTCCTCTTGTCTCACGTGTAAAAGGAGTCCTGTTGAACGTCTTATCACTTAGTTAACAATCTTGTCACGTGAACTGTTACTGTTCTTCCTTGTCAGCGTGGTTAGTAACCAGCTATCGCAGTCATGCGTAAGCGATTCTCGGTTGCGTGTTTGCTATGTGGTAGTAGTTACCTGTTAAGTGGATGCAATCTGTTGGTATCCTTTGTTATACCTCTTCTACGGGTGGTTCTGGGGACACCAAGAATATATTTCATGAAAAAAAAAATTCTGAAAAAAAAAAAAAAAAATTTGCGATGAGCTGCCCGCGATGAGCAAAATAGTGTTTCTACATATAAGTGATTAGTTATAGCACAGGGGAAGTGTTTGGCCAGTATCACTAATTAAGCATATACAAAAATATCAAGAAGATAATATAATAACAGTATGGGTTTGGCAGCTGTGAAGACAAGGCAGAAGTTTGGGCTGGATCCCAGGAACACTGCGTGGAGTAATGACCAGTCCAGGTTTGGACACAAGCACTTGATGCGCTTTGGATGGCAACCGGGCCAGGGTCTGGGCACCCAGCCCGTGCAGTCCATGAAGACACATATCAAGGTCTCTATAAAGGATGACAACCTCGGTCTGGGCGCAAAGCTGAAGAAAAACAAAGGTGATAAGATCGATGAGTTTGATAACGGTGAGTGTGCAGGCCTCGATGTGTTTCAACGTATTCTTGGTAGATTGAACGGTAAAGAGACTGAGGTTAACAAAGAGCTTGAAATACAGCGCAAGGACAAGATTTTAAATGGTAAATGGGGTGTGCACTTTGTTAAAGGTGATACCTTGGCTAGTACTTGGGATCCGAAGACAAAGAAACTTCTGAGTTACTCGCAGATGGAAAAGGATTCATCGTCTGATGAGGAAAGCGACGATGATGAAGATGAGAAGAAGAAACATAAAATAGAGAAGAAGGAGGCAAAGAAATCTAAGAAACGTAAGCGTGATTCAGAATCGGATTCAGAATCGAAGAAGAAGAAGAAGAGTAAGAAGGACAAAAAGGAAAAAAAGAGTAAGAAGGATAAGAAGAATAAGAAAGAGAAAGAAAGCAAGAAAGATAAGAAAAGCAAACACAAGAAAGACAAAAAACAAGAGATACGGACTGCTTCGATTGAATCCAGTACGTCAGCTACATCTATACCTGAATCAGTGTCTACAAGATTGTCAGTCCGTTCGAAATGGATCAAACAAAAGCGTGCTGCTGTTATGGACTCTAAGGCTTTGAATGAAATTTTTATGGTTACAGGTAATTAGATCTGTTTGTAGCTTATTTATAGAAACTAATATTACCTCAACACAGAACTGTATACCCCTGCATCGCTTTTATAGAAAATATATGTCAGCAAATTAGAATACTTTAGGCGACAATAAATCGCGTCCAAAAAAAAACACAATTCCATTAAAGATCATAGCTAAAATTACAAATAAATATTTTGGTTAATTGGATATGAATGAAATTAGTTGAGAAAAAATGAAACAAATGTCTTTAGTATACATGCATTAAAATGAATATTTTTCTATATTCTTCCCGTTGATCATATGAACATTAGGATTCATCAAATATTTAAATCATTCTGAAATTAAATAAGAGCGAAACCAGCACCGGCGACTGCACCTAATGTGATGAAAGCTGAGAAAAGAAGTTGGTATAGACCAACTTGGACGGAGCTAGAGCTGTTAGACTTCTTGTTACTCTTACCAGAGGAAGAGCTCTTAGCAGAAGAACTTGTAGAAGAGCCGGATTTGCTTGAGCCGGACTTGGAAGAGTTAGAGCCGGTAGCAGATGCCTTGGAAGTACCAGTAGAGCCACCAGAGAAAGTAACAGAATCGGTAGCAGAGTTAGTACCGACGCTACCAATTTCCTTCAAGGCAGAGGCACAACCAGCTTGGGTAGTTCCACTTCTCAATGTAGCAGAACCACTGAAGTCACAGTTAGACTTGGAACCACCTTGGGCGTTGTAGTATAGGTTTAGAACGAAGTTTAGCTTTTCCTTTGGAGAGCAGAAAGAGTAAGAACCGTACTTACCGGTGGTACCGTTACCAGTAATACCACCACAGTCAATCTTACCACACAAGTAGGAGAACAAATCTTGGTAGTCGTCTTCATCGACATCATCTTGAACAATACAAGAGTTAGCAGCATCCATACATTCACATAGATCTAGTTGTGGGGTTGGTGGCAAGTTAGTGGCAGCCTTCCAGTATTGGTTAGTAGATGGGCAAGCCAAAGAGGTTGCGGTTGGAGTGTAAGTCTTGGAGTTTACTGAGGATGGGGAGATGGAGTGGATTTCTTTAGAGTAGTAGTTGAAATCTTCCAAAGTCTTAACACTAGAGCCATCGATGCTAACCAAACCGTAGTTGTTTGCTTCTTGGAAATACATGTAGACAATACCACCGGACCAGACATCAGTCATATCAGGGCCGTATAGTGCTTGAACTTCAGTGAACTCTCTTGGTTGAACTTCGTTACAACCGTATTCGGAGAAGAACAATGGGATGGACAAGTTGGCGAATTCCTTGGTTCTGTCAGCGTAACCAGACTTTTGGAAAGTAGAGTTACCACACCATTCGTACATGTTAATACCGTAGAAGTCAGCTCTTTCAGCGTCGTCACCACAAGCGAAGTAATCAGCGATGTCAACTCTGGTGTCGGCGTCATCGTTAGAAGAGTAACCAACTGGGATACCTCTGTAACCCTTTTCCTTGATGTAGGACTTGGTGTCTCTAATGGCGGCCTTAACGAAAGCGGAAGCGTCAGTGTTGGTGGCATCGTTGGTAACCTCGTTACCTGCGAAGAAACCTAGAACGTTGGAGTAGTTAGCGAACATGTCAACAACGGACTTGTAACGGTCGAAGATTTCCAAGTCCCAGGAAGGAGACTTTCTGTTGACGGAAACCTTTGGAGAGGACAAATCGGCAATGACGTAGATACCGGCATCGTTCAGAGCGTTCATACATCTGGAGTGGTCCAAGGAAGTGTTGACGGCGTAGACACGGATGACGTTAGTAGCTAGTTGTTGCAAGTATGGAATATCTCTGGAACAGGTGTCCCAGTCGGCCAATGGGTCGTTGATGGTGGCACCGCCTGTGACGTTAGCGGTATCAGCTTGGTAAGCGATACCCTTCATGTAGAATTGGGAACCGTTATTGGAGAAAAAGAACTTGTTACCCTTGATCTCAATAGCCGGCAGGTCATCAGCCATAACTGACGACAACAGCAATGTAGCAGCTATTATGAAAGAAACCAGACTGTATTGCATTATTGATCTAGTTATAGTAAAATAGTGATTGATACAGTGAGTTGTTTGATACAGCTAAGTGAAGAAAAAAAACTATTAGAACACAGCACTAGAAGTAAACATAGAGTTTAAGATTACGTTTCAAGAAAGGATCAAATGTGGTCCTTATATATCCTCATCCTGTTGTTGTCAAGATAAATTCAATCTTTTCCTTTTCCTGCCTTAATTAGTTCTGTTCAAAAAGCAAGGTTACGCATTGCGTCCTGTGAATTTTAAAGTAGGCTGTGTTATTGTTTGATTGTTTAATTCATTTTTTTCACTGGATAGAATATTTCGCTGCAAGGGCAATGCTAACCAACACGAAAACACCAAAATATGTGAGCTGAGTTTTTGGTGGATTTGCTGGATTATCGGTGGGGGGAGAACGAAGGTAGTGCACGTAACACAAAGGCTTGAGATGGGGGGGAGAGGAACAAAGCGGTTTTCTTTCGAAGCTACTTTTGAAGCCCTTTCAAGCCCTTTCAAGCCCTTTCTAGATATGCTGCCCAGACACTTCTGCAGGACCCGCACTCTCTGATTTTCTTCTATTTTTCGAAGGTTTTATACTTTCTATTGCGCAGTTGTGCGTTGCTTGCAGTGGGGGGAGGATACAGAAGCTTTTCTCTGAAGATTGTTTCTTTTTGGGGGCGGATTGTGCTCTCTGGTACTGCCTTCTCTGGGTTTGCACAGGTATGGCAGTGTGTCTGTGTTTGTCTGTGTATTTCAGATCAGCATGCCAGGTTTTTTAGTGGTTATTGCGGCCATTTCTGAGCTACCACTGGTCGCGGGACCGCTCAGTAGGATAATTTGTGCCGGATGGGGAAACATTTTTGCAGTTTCTGTTGTTTTATCGCTCGAAGAGGTATAATGTGCTGGCTATGAAAAAGCGGGGGAAGGATTAATGGCAGAGGGTGTACGCTACATTCTCTGCACTTAGTGCTCCAACTACCCTCCGGTCATCATCTTTGTTCAGAGTATGAGTTTCCTAAAGCGGTAAGAGCAGCACATTTCTCATATTTCTCATCTTCTCTGTGTCATGATAGAGAATGCTACGCAAAAAAAATTCAGCTGGCTGGCCTACTTCCTACTTCCGTTTCCCATTATGGAGGCCTAACAGGGCTGTTGGTGGAGAAAGGAGAAATCGTCACCAATGCGACGGCAAAACTGCAGCGGGGGTGTCTTTTGCACCAGAGTTTCTGAGGTTGACCAGAGACCAGCCAGTGGCTTAGCGGCCCAAAGGTCGATCCCCCTCTCCCATCACCTTTGACAGAGTAACCCAGGGGGGGGGGGAGAACGTAGAATCCAGTTTTGATTCTGATCTCTCATCTCTGCTCTCTGAACTCTCATCTCTGATCTCTGCTCCCGGTTCCTTGTGTGTCTCTCTCATTCAAAGTTCTGATTGGACGCGAAATGCTAAAATTGGCGGTCCGACAGAGTTTGACACTGTGTATGATCTAGAACTATTTTGCAAAGTTAAGCTGCTCAAACTATCTTGCGTGAACTTAGCAATTCAAGTTCCCTTCTCGTCTAGACGAGGGTGCGCAAACCAATACACTCCTCTATTCACTAAGCTGAAGGAAGGGAAAGTAATCCGCCCTACTACAACCATGCCGGGTAAACTTCTTCCCACCACCAGAGAGGCCTGCAATATATACAGAATGACATGGGAAAAGCAATTTCACTTCTTGTCATTTTATCCAGCATCCCAATGCACGTGCCTTTACATGAAGTCCTCGCCGCCGGGTAACTTGTATTATGTGATACATCACGTTTGTCGTATCTAGTGTTGCAGTTGTGATAACAATTTACGTATTCCATATGATATTTCGTACAGCGCTGTTTTGAGTTGAGGTCACTATCTGGCATTTAGTCAGCTGATTGATAGCTCGTCTATAAATAGTTGACACGTGATCTGATTTTCCCATATCCCATCTCCCCAGTCTGTGCTGCCCTTTTGGGTTTTGGCCTTACTTCTTCGCAAGAAGATCTTTGGTTGTGGTCCAACGGATCAGCATTGTTAGTGCAACATGGTTTGTTTGTGTGTTAGGTAGAACCTGGATCTATATATGGGCTGTAGTGTCAGAAAGGTGGGAACTTTTCTGAAAGGGTATCGAGGGAGGGCCAAAAAGAAACCTTCAGTAGCTAGATACACAAAGACTATTATTAGACTACTCCATGTGAGTTGTAAGGCGGTACGCAAGATATAAATAGCTTATGTAGTAAATATAGATCAGATCATGTGGATAACGTATCACTCTATACAATCTGTTGTCTCTCAGGTCTGTTAACGTTTAGGTGTCAGTACCCACCACTTGGAACCACACAAATCTGTTGTCACACAAGAAAAAAATATCGCCGTTTTTCCCTTCACTAAAAATTAAAATCCAAAGTCCACAATGTTTAATTCTCAATTGAGAATCATCGACCAATTGAGTAAAGGCTATAGAGAGAGAGAGGGGGTAGGGGGAAAAGATTGGCAAGCCCGCTCCCCTCCCTCCCAACAAAACACTATTTCTCTCCCTGGAACTTGTGTAGACCTTCGTTACCCCTTTAGGAAAAGTGAGTGGGTTCTAGCATATTAACACCGTGGTATCATATCAGTCAAGTCGTGCGCTCTGTGTCTGGGCCCTCTATATTCCTGTTCGACCTCTTGTACGTCCCAGTCCAACGTCTCTGCCTGACACAATAGCTGATTCCACTGGAGCACTCGCAGTGAGCCCACCACAACTACTAAGGTAGTCACATATACGAATTACGAATGCCAATGTGTGTAAGTTCATTTCGATTCAAGATAAACAAAAAAAGGAGGGGTCTGCGGCCATTAACTCTGGGACTTGCAAAATGCCTTTATTGAAAAAAGAAAGAAAAGAATATCCCCTCTGGCTGCAGAATTTGAATCATCCTCACCAACGGCATGCCGTCCGGCTCTTTCCTGGGGGGGCAGAAAAAGAAAGAAGGAAACGAAACACACCCAGATCTCAGCTGCACCCGTACAGCTGCATCTGTGAGGAAAGCCCAAAACAAACGGCCCCTCCTTCCCTAAACCAAAACAGGAACACCGAGAAGAGAAGTCGATAAATAAAAGAGACACCTGCAACTGTACGACAAACTCTGAGCAGGCCCCCTCGCAGTTTGGCCCGTGCAAACAGTGCAATCAGTGCAATCAGTGCAATCAGTGCAAGAAACTTGTAAATATAAGTGTAAGTGTAAATGCAAGTGTGTATTGTCTTGTTTTTACCGGATCAGGTAATAAGATTTTGCAACACTCCCTCCCCCCCCTCACACTGTGTTGTCACTAACGCCCGTTTAGGAAACCAAAATGGCCACAGGCCATATACGGGTGATCATTGTGGTTCTAGAACGGCAAGTCCCTCAGAACAGCACAGAGATAATCAGAAGAGAGACTTACCCCCCCACCCAATACTCAAATCCCAAAGACCAAAACCCAGAACACCCAGAAAGACCCCCAGAAGGGCAGATCACAAGAGGCACTCAGAGATCCGATCCCGGCTGCAGCTATATAAACAACTTCGAAAGTCCTTGTGGACAGATCACAGTCTTTTTACTTTACTATGTCGTGCTGCGTTACTTCTTCCTTCTGTCTTCTCGAATAAACAAATTTTTTTCTTTTCCTTCCTTATCCTGTCTTATTTGTATAGTATAAAACTAAGTTACATATTTTGTTCTCTCTCTCCTTAATTCTTGCTTCCATTGGAAAGACACCATCCCGCTGAATTAAGAAGATAAATCCAACTACAAGTCATTCTTTAAATTAACTAAAAAATAATCTTTCTCTAATTCAAGTCCGTTCATTATGAAATTTTCCACTTTGATTACTTCTGCTTTGCTAGGTACTGCAATTGCCGCTCCACACGCCGCCCACACCCACAAGGAGAAGCGTGATGTTGTCACCAAGACTATGCACGCCGTCCAAACCGTCGTCGTCGGTCCAGATGGAACCCCAGTCCAAAAGGCTGAGGCCATCAACGAACAAGTTGTTGAAAACGCTCCTCAACCAACTACCCAGCAACAACAACAACAACAACAACAAGCTTCCCCAGCTCCAGCTAAGTCTACTACTGAACTAGCTCCAGCTTCTTCCCCAGCTTCCTCTTCCTCTTCCTCCTCCTCTTCCAACACCAAGAAGCCAGACACCCAAGTTGGTGGTGCCGGTGTCAAGGGTATCACTTACACTCCATACAATGCCGACGGTACTTGTAAGGACGCCTCCGCTGTCGCTTCCGACTTGGCTGCTTTGTCCCAATACCCAACCATCAGACTATACGGTACCGACTGTAACCAAGTCGAAAACGTCTTCAAGGCTAAGGCCTCCGGTCAAAAGCTTTTCTTGGGTGTCTTCGATGTCTCTAACATCCAAGGTTCCGTTGACGCCATCAAGAGCGCCGTTAACACTTACGGTTCTTGGGACGATGTCACTACCGTCTCCATCGGTAACGAATTGGTTAACGGTGGTCAAGCCTCTCCAGCTCAAGTTGGCCAATACGTTGCTGCTGGTAGAGCCGCTTTGCAAGCTGCTGGTTTCAACGGCCCAGTTGTCTCTGTCGACACTTTCATCGCCGTTATCAACAACCCAGAATTGTGCCAATACTCTGAGTACATGGCTGTTAACGCTCACGCTTACTTCGACCAATACACCAAGGCTCAAGACGCTGGTTCCTGGTTGTTGCAACAAATCCAAAGAGTCTGGACTGCTTGTGACGGTAAGAAGGAGGTTGTCATCACTGAATCCGGCTGGCCATCCAAGGGTCAAACCCTAGGTGTTGCTGTCCCATCCAAGCAAAACCAAAAGGATGCTGTCAACTCTATCACTGCTGCTTGTGGTGCTGACACTTTCTTGTACAACGCCTTCAACGACTACTGGAAGGCTGACGGTCCATACGGCTGTGAAAAGTACTGGGGTGTCTTGTCCGATGAATAAACGCATTTCCTCAAAAGGTTCTAAAAGCTTTTTAAACTTCTTGTTTAATGAAAAAGCGTTTTTTATCTATCTCTAAGCAATACTTGTTTTGTGGCAGCTCTTTGGCTTGACAGAAGATTATCATTTTGGTTTCGCCCAAACTCTTTTTTGATATTATTCTGTTATCCTCTAAACAATTACTATTTTATTCCCCCAAATGACTGATACCCGCAAGATCATCGATATGATGTATCTTTGCTATATTATTTTCCCGAATTGTAACTCTTTTTTTTAACTCTTTTTCAGAAAATGGGTTCAAATTGTTGTGATAGTTTCCCTTAGACTATCATTGATCGGATTCTATTAATTCAATTGAACTTCATTTTTATCACGTCCACTGATTATAATTTTATATTTTGATCAATTGAGCAGGGTTGGTAACAGTCTTTAGCTAGACCATTACCAAATTTACTTTTTCTTTTTGAAAAATTTGGAAGTTACTCGTCTCGACGGTTAGCTTTTCATTGTCGTTCTTCTTTCCCTGACTCCTTTTATTATTTTTTTTAACTATTTTTTATATAATTAAAAAGTATTGTATTTTTTACAATTGCTATTTTTCTCCGCTATCAAGAACCCAATCTCTTATATCATGTCAAGCTTTTTCAAATTGATATGATGTTGATTTTCATCTTCGCCGAAAAACGTAACCAGCGAAATGACGATTATTACAACCAGCACTTTTTACTACGCTGCTTAGATTATGCTAAATATATATATGCATATATGCATTCAAAGCCTCGAATTTTACTATCGCCTTGGACTACGAGATCTATTCCTTCTCCTTGGCGGTGTCCTAGATCGAGGCTTTCTATCTGATTTGGTATTTGAGTTGTACCTACTGCGAGGTGGTGTTCTTGACCTTTTTCCAACACTCTTTCTCGAATTACCACCATCTCTGCGTGAAAACCTCCTATCTTTAGCTGACGTTTTTGAATACTTGTTCTCTTGACTAGGTAAGGGTTTCCTTGACCTCCATGTGTCTGATGGCCCCTCAGGTCTCGATTCTTCTTCTTTCAACCTCTCTGCCTCTCGTACCTTCTTTTCTTGTTCTTCAATGGAACTAACATCATCTCGCATTCTCTTGGTTAAAACACCAAGACCTATGGATGTAAAATAGTTGATAGAATATCTCATGTCATCCAGGTCTTCTTCTGGAAATAGATTCTTCAAGAACGGCTTGATGTAGTCCTCATTCAAACGGGCTTGTAGCTCATTGATACCCAATTCAGCTACCAGTTCCTGAAACAAAAACTTCAAAAATATCCTTGTAGCGGGAGAGCTATCTTCCTCATTCATTCTGAAGTTTTCAAATAACTCAAAGCCAAGATAATCTGCAGCAAATATATGCCCCCATAGTTTACCAATAATACGCAACTGGGCGGGCTCAAATGTGTTCATGTTTGTATAATTGTCCAAAAGAACGTGCTTATAGCCTTCAACCCATGAGCTATGTGTCGCACAAAGTCTTTCCGAAAGCAGACCGTAGAATTTTGAGTATGTCGGCTCCTGTATGCTTGATCGCACTATTATATCTACCACTTTACTCTTGGCATCATCTGAAACGCGCTCGGCCAGCACCTTGTGTGCCGCTTCATCTCCCGAGAGAGAACTCTTGAGTATCAAATAGAATTTCTTCTTAAACTCTATATCATCACTAGCCGTTAAATCCTCTACTTTAGTCTCTGTATTCATCTCTGATTTATTATTGCAATATCTTTAGCACTTTGATATATACCTTTAGGATATCTTTCCTACCTAAATTTGATGAATTAGCAATACACTATTAACTCCAGCCTCTAATATCTCAATAGGTTTCTTTTATATCTTTATTCGACCACATCAATGAGTTATCTGAGCGAATCAGTACCCTCGTATTATTGCGATGAGCTCTCAAATTTTTCAAATTGTGGAAAGGCCGATGACTTCAAGGGAAACGTCAAACAATGGCAACATAACACAAATCGAAATTAATGAAGAAATGTACGAATTGACTAGGGCAACCCTAACACATAGTTATTTCCATCATTGAAGTGGATACCACTCTATTATTGGCGTATAACGTTCAGCAGTATCGAAGATATGACGAAGATAGCATTAGTTTTAAAGGACTTAGAGGAAATTGATTATTCAGAACTACAGGAACAAGTGCTTCGAAAAGTGATCTTACCAATTGTAAATAAGAGCTCAGTGCTTGATATAATTCTATTGGATGCTTTTGAAGATTCTGTTCATCTAGATGACGTTTTGGGTAGACTTTACAGTGCCAGCAGAGATGTGCTGGTGTCCAAAGGTTTGGAGCTGCAGCCAATAAATGTGCTCTTTGGAAGCGAATGGAGTGAGAGTGAACACAGAAAGGATTATATATGGAGTTATTTAGTTACAGAGGAAGGTGCTGAAATAACTGGATATAAATATGAAAACCATATTCAATATCAAAAATTGAAGATCTCACATAACACTATCCCTCACGGATCGCAACCTGATGGGAATCGTTACAAAGTTAGTGCACTAGGTGGCACATTCGATCATCTGCATGATGGTCACAAAATATTACTCAGTGTTGCTTCATACTTAACTTCTCAAAGACTAATTGTCGGTGTTACAGATGAGGAACTACTGGTGAATAAAAAATACCAAGAATTTCTAGAGGATTTCGAAGAAAGATGCAATGGAGTTAATAAGTTTCTGCAGTTATTGAAACCCTCTTTGAAAATGGAAGTAGTCGCCATTAGAGATGTCTGTGGTCCTACTGGCACAGTACCTGAGATTGAATGTCTTATCGTAAGTCGAGAGACTATTGGCGGGGGTGAAGTAGTTAACAAAACTAGGGCTAGTAAAGGTATGAGCCAATTAGATATCTACGTCGTAAATGTATTAGGTGGTCAAGAAGATGATGGCTGGAAGGAAAAGATCAGCAGTACTGATATCAGAAAACGGTTGGCTTCATCGACCTAATATGCCAATACATCTACAGGTATTCAAATCTTTACACACCTTGTAGAAAACTGTTTATACCATTTTCCCTTTACTTGCACAGTTTTCGGTAATAACAAATCAACTGGTCTCTTCAATGGTCTGTTGAGACACAAAATTTAAGGTTAGTTTTAGGCAACTGTATCTGCAAAACGGGACATCATTAGAGATACTCACCATATTAAAGACTGAGGCGCTAAGACCATTAGGACATGTATATTTCTTTAATTAGACCTATTTCCAGTAAATGACATACATATCTTCATCTTCAAAATAAAGTTTATGATTCATCCATATGCTTCTAGTTGTGTAACACGATAAACAATTTTTCATCGATTAAGCAGATGCCAAAAGGTTAAAATGGTGGTATTACCATGGAACTAATAGACAGCAATGCTTATTTGTAGCGAGTTACCGACGCTAACACTCTCATTCGAATAATTTATTTCTTTTGAAGAGTGCCAAAACACTAATAGTCCAATCTACCACTTGGCCGCAACTGAGTGCCTATTTTCGATGAGAGATAGCGTAATGGACAAACAGCCCACTGAAAGAGCAATGGAGGCAGACTTGTCACCAACAAAGAGTGCTAACACACCAATTACAAATTGTGAAGATATTCCCATTAAGATGATCAATCCATTTCTCAGCAATGACAGCACAACTAACTATACGGTACCAAAACTTCAAGTAGACGACAACGCTACTGTGAATCGCAGTGTTGCCAGATTAAGTATCAGTGAGGTACCAGTTGTAGAAGTTGAGAATTTCAAAGCCAAGCGAATGACTAATACTGGTAAGAGAAGAAGATCCAGCGCGGCTATCAGCGCTCCAGGAAGTACTTTGAGATTATCATCACACAGCGATGAGCTTATTGCCGATAGAATTAAAAACAAAGGTAAGAAAAAGAAGAAGAGAGCTCAAAAACACGATGGTCCACTCAGCATTAAAGTTGGAACAGAAAAACTGGCATCCATTAATGTAATGACAGGACTAATCAAGTACCTTTATGATATTACCGATGAGCATCGCTGGTGGGAAGAGATTACAGGTAAAAATTCCTTAAAGAAGAATGTTCTCCTGTTTATTCCTGGACTTGAACCCCAGGATTTTGGATTACCACAGGATCAGAGGTTTGCTGATAATGTTGATGAATTAGCGACAAAGGGTCTCACAGGGCTAAACCCTTTTGATAACCAGATTACTTTCCCTATGTCTGCACCTGGATCAAACACTGCTATATTTTCTGCCTATAATGCATTTATAAATCCACCACTACTACCTAAACAAAGGAGGGAATTACTGAGTGATCTATCTAAAAAGACTATAACTATCTATGACCTACTTGCATCAGTTGACCAACTTCTAGAGAGAGATTATCCAATTCATGAAGGCACCAAATCATTGACCGATATATTCAAATCCCAGGTTATTGACATAAACAATGAAGTGAACTCTAAGGCGACATGGAAAAATACCAAGGAATTTGAACATGATGGATCTCACATTTTTGCTCTTGATTGTGAAATGTGTAAATGTGAAACAGGATTTATCGTAGCTAGAGTAAGCCTTGTCAATTTTGAGAACGAGGTCATTTATGATGAGTTAGTCATCCCAGAGGCTCCTATTGTTGATTACGTTACCAAATATAGTGGTATGACTAAAGAAAAGTTGGATGGTGCTACTAAAACTGTGGAACAGGTACAGGATGACTTACTAAATATTATCAGTGCAAATGATATTTTGATAGGACACTCACTTTCTAATGATCTGTCTGTTCTACGAATCAGACATCCCAATATAGTTGACACTGCAATAATATATGATCACCAGGGAGGCCCACCTTTCAAACCATCTTTAAAATATCTTGCTAGCGAATATCTAAATAAGGACATTCAGGCTGAAAATGGTGATGATGGTCATGACTCAATTGAAGATGCCAGAACATGTATGGAATTAACAAAACTAAAAATTCAAAGAGGTATGGCATTTGGATCCCACCTAAGAACGGAAAATATATTTGACTTACTTGATGCTCGCGGAATAAAGTCCTTAGTTTTAAACAACACAGTTCCAAAGAGTCATTTCAAGACAGACAGCAACATAGGCACTATATTTTGTGATAATGACGATGAAGTGTTCAACAGCATTATAAATAACATAGAGCAGTACGATTTTTTTGTTGGTCGACTAAGAGCTCTTGAATTTGCAAGAGGATATGCAATACCTAAGAATGGTGTAGTATTAAACCAAGAAGATGTTCTGAAAAACATCTGTGAACAGATCAATAACATTTATGAAAAGGTACCTTCGGGATCACTTATCACCATACTGTCAGGTAGTGGCAATACGAAGCAATGGATGGCTTTAATGAATAAGATCAACACATGCAATTCTAAAGAGGAGAGGAAACAACTTCGAAAAGATTTGAATGAAGAGCTAAAGGATACCATCAAGATTGCTCGTGACGCTGTGGTTGAAATAATAATAAAATCCTAATGAAATGTATTTTGCTCACCGCGATGAATGGCATAAGTTATTTTTTTTGAATTTGCTTGAAAAAGCATATTATGACGACAACGATAACGATAAACTTTATAATTTGTAATATAGCTATTTTAAAATTGACACGTTATGATAGAACCAATTTATAGAACACAAAATAATATAGTACACATGTAGGAAGTTAATATAATTACATTACTAAACTTTGAATATTAAAGATCAAAGACTTAGTTGGGCATATTCGCACAGTATTCCAAAACACTTAAGCATCTGTCATCTCAATATCATTATCCTCTTTATTGTTCTCCCCTTCTGGTGTGACTGTATTACTTACAGGCTCATTTACAGGCTCACTTACGGGATCACCAACCTCATTACCATCCTCCTCTACTATTTCGGACTTTGTTTCATCCTTGATATCATTCTCTAACAGTTGAGTATCTGATGGTTTTTGACCTTCACTCAAATTCCCAGATTCAGGTGTCTGTACATCACCAAGCTTACTAGCAAGTTCGTCCTTCTCTATGGCATTGGATTCAGGAGTAACTTCAGTGTCATTAGTTTCATTTTTTGATTCTTCCTCCTTGACTGAAGTTGTACTTTGTTCTTGAGTGTTAGAATCTGATTGCTTTTCTGTCTCTGTCTCGTTTCTCTTCATCCCACCGGATGTATCTGGTTTAGCATGAGAACTGGAGAAAACTGTATCAGAGCCACCCACAGCACCACGAATTGCATCCTCTGAAAGGTCATCACCATCTAACTTCTTGCCGAGCTTTTTCTTCTTTTCACTAACTTTAGTTCTATCGAAGTCATCCATGTTCAATAATGTAACTGGGTCTTTCTCTATTGGATGGCCCCCATTGCGTTTTTGCCAGGTCTTAAACTTGAAACCATAAAAGCTACTTTCTTTACTCTCTGATCCGATGCCTATAAGAGGGTCAGAACCATCCCCACCCTGCGAATTCTCAGTGACCTTAACAGGCCTCACCCAGTCATATTCATAATGTATGTTTTCATCTTGTGAGGAACCATAGCCACCTTTGTTGGCCCTATGTATCATCGATTCAGCAGTCATCCTTCACTTGTTTTGTGTATCCAAAATGGTGTCAAAAATTATGGGACTTAGTTGCAATTACAAAGTAAACTGCCGTTATCTAGAAACAAATTGTCGATACCGATCCAAGAATATCCAGTTATTTCAGATTGTAGGTGATCCCAGTTTGAAATTCAGTTAATGTCTGTCATTTGCTGCCATTACTTCTTTTTCCAAAAGTCTGGTGCTCGAAAGCCCTCGATGCCCAGAAGATGAAAAATATAGAAAAAGTGACTATGAAATACAATAGTAATGATTTTAAAATAAGGCAAACTGGTCATTAGAACACTAAAAGAAACCTAATTCAATCATCATTGTCAGCTCTTGTGCCGGCTATATTGGTGTTGTTAAAAAGCTACTACTGCTCAGTTTCTCTTTTAGCCTTTTAGGTAGGCATAGTGACTGAAAACCGTGGAGATAAAAGCAAGTGATGAAAGGCAATAGCAAAGGCAAGAACAAGGATCTATCCAATGAGGACGATGCATACAATGCCATCTTTGCCGGTGACTTTGGTTCTATGGAAATTGGAAGCTATATAGGCAAAGATGATGAAGGCGCAACAGAGCATTTGCCAGATGCTGTAGATTTTGAGGATGAAGATGAACTAGCGGATGAAGAATTACCAGAAGAAGAAGATGTGGTAGGCGAATTTGGTGTTACAAGTCACAATAATAAAGATGACGGTTATATATCGGGTTATGATGGAGGTGAACAGGATCTCTTCGAAGTTGGTCCCAGCGCAAACGGAGATGCAGACGTCAGGAATCACTTCATGAGCACAATACCGAATGAAAATTCTTCCATGGTGGGTAGCGACCTATCTAATGAGGAATATCAAGGACAGAATGCTTTATTTATGGGTATCGAACAGAATAATGACTCAATGTACATGGACAATACCCATGCTTTCCCAGCGCCAGATAGCGGAAATGCAGAAAGAGTACAGCAACGTCAACAACAAAGGCTAGCTGAATTAGTCAAGAAGGAACAGAAGACTATACTGGAAAAGAAGCTCCTAAAGAAATATTTCCCTACATTTAGCAAAGGAAAAATTTTAAAGTGGAATAAACTCATTTATAGGAAGACAATGGACTACAACTGGTACTATAAAATTCTTGCTCAGGAGGATCTTTTGAAACCGTTATTTCCACTAAAACTAAAATTACATGTACAGCCAGATCAGCGGAAGTTATTTGAACTGCCAGAAAACAGGTGGAATATGATGTCCAAGGCAAAATCTAAAGAAGGCCAACGAAAGGGCATAGTTTCTGTAGAAATTGAAGATGCTGACTTGGATAACCTGCGAGAAAAGAATGTACAAGCGAAAGATAATGGTATCTCAGATGAACTAATTATTGCGACCACTGATTGGAATGAAGACCAAATTATTAATGGCCATCTGAATGATGAATCTAAATCAAGAATGAGTTTTGAAACCAAATCATACGATACTCCTTCAGATTGGAATTGGAATGAAGATGATTTAGTCAATGGTAAACTGAAACAAGCAAACATGGCTGAATTGAGCATGAATGATCCAAACCTGTTACTTATTGAAGATAAAAAAAGAATTACTAATATTAACCAGGAGAACAAGGAGAAACAAACTTACGACATCCAGGCCATCATGAAAAGATTTAACATATCCAACGATGATAAGTACAATATACTGAGACAAGCACATCAAACCAAGATTCGTGCCATTATTTCAAATCTTAATATTGAGCACTCCAAACCAGCTGCACGTTTACAATCTCCATTTTACAAAGTTACTGCTCCAAAAAGCCAATTAAGACATTTCCATCGCCCTAATTTCAATAGCACAATTAGAGCTGGTACAAATATAGTATTCAGTAAATTAAAGCTCCGTAAAAGAAAACGTGATAAGGGAAAAGATATAAAGGAATCTTTTGCCACTACTCCTGATTTGACAGTAGGTGATACGGCACCTATATACTTAATGGAGTTCTCAGAAGAAAATCCTTTGGCACTATCCAAATTCGGTATGGGAAACAAGTTAATTAACTACTATAGAAAAATTTCTGAAGAAGATACTTTGAGACCAAAATTACCTGTTGGTGAAACACATGTGCTTGGTGTACAGGACAAATCTCCATTTTGGAACTTTGGCTTGGTAGAGCCCGGTCATATCGTGCCGACCCTGTATAATAACATGTTAAGAGCACCAGTATTCAAACATGAGGTGTCGGGGACTGATTTCCTACTTGTGAGAAGCACGGGTAACGGCATCAGTAATAGATTTTACTTGAGAAATATTAATCATTTATTTACTGTCGGTCAGACATTTCCGGTGGATGAAATTCCTGGTCCGAACTCTAGAAGAGTTACTTCAATGAAAGCTATTAGATTAAGAATGATTGTTTACAGACTGTTGAACAAGGCTTCAACTAGATCTATATCCATTGATCCCATTGCTGTGCACTTCCCGGAAGCTGAGTATGGCCAAAATAGACAAAAAATCAAAGAGTTTATGAAATATCAAAGAGAAGGTCCAGATAAAGGTTTATGGAGGTTAAAAGAAGGTGAACCACTTTTGGATGGTGAAAATATCAAAAAATTACTAACGCCTGAACAAGTTGCTGAAGTTGAAGTTATGGGCCATGGTATTCAGAATCAAGACGACAATGAAGTATTTAATTTTGACAATGACCTAGTGAAGCTAGAAGAGAGCTTAACACCCTGGAATATAAGCAAGAATTTTATCAATGCCACACAAATGAGGGCGATGGTACAAATTCATGGGGCGGGTGACCCAACTGGCTGCGGAGAAGGATTTTCATTCTTAAAAACCTCAATGAAAGGAGGGTTTTTGAAATCTACAACTTCCTTAGCAAACCTAGCAGCGTCTTCGCCAGCTCCTGCAACAAAAAAAGGCTCTTCCTCAAGTGGATACTCATACAACGTTGCTCAACAGCAGAAAGTATACGAGGATGAGATCACAAGAACCTGGTATACACACACAAAAAGCTTAAGTATCTCTAATCCCTTTGAAGAGATTAACGACCCTGATGAAGTTAATGAAACTAACAGATATATCAGAAACAAGAGAAAAGATGGGCGTGTTCTTCGCATTGTACGTAAAAAAAGGGATGAAAACGGGATAATACAAAGGCAAACGGTGATAATAAAGGATCCCAGAATCATTCAGGGATATTTGAAGCGGAAGGAGAAACAACGTAAGGATAATCTAAATGTTGATAAATTACTTGAAGAAACGGATACCGATATCCATAACATTGAGGATATAGAGATGCAAAAGAAGATACTTGAAACTGAACTTGCCAATCTAGAGAAATCGCAGCAACGAAGAGCTCGCCTGAATCTAAAGAAAAGTGAAGGTAAAGTTGGTAAAGGTGCAAAGAACACTTCTAGACGTTGTGCTACTTGTGGCCAAGTAGGCCACATCAGAACAAACAAATCCTGCCCAATGTATTACAGTGATAACGGACCGGGAGGCAGAAATGCACCAGGTGATACTCCTTCGGCAGCAACTCCAGATGTGACAGCTACACCACCAGCAAATATATAGATTAGCAAAGTCTGTATTTATAGAGGACAATCATATAGCATAGTATTCCTACAACACTGATCCCATTGGGGTTTGACCAATACTGCATATAGTCATAAAAAACGATACGCGTTAAACGAATTTTTTTTCTTGTTTCTTGGTGAAAAGTGTCAAAGTCGGCGTAGTGATCACGAACTGCTGAAAAATTTCTCGAGAATCAATCAAATAAGGCACTGGTTTAACTGGAATTGGACGTGTTTCGCATTGGAATATATATTTGGAAAGCCATATTGGTGATTTAATAGGTGTCATCAAGCTCTAAAGTTTCATCTGATATTCACATTGATCTGAAGCCGGTGCTTTTGATTGTATTTGCAGATTAATTTTTTTTATCTCTCTGGAGAAATTATCGAATAGGGTGTCGGGAACTAGAAGGTGAATTGTTCCTTTATAAAAGGTAAAGTAGGACTAATCATTGCAAAAATTATTCACCCTGAAGCAATTTTCTTTCTTCGTGATCTATAAAAGTATTACAGACTTGAGCCAGTTTTCCCAGACATTTCTCAATAAGAAGATATAAAACAATGGATGCTCCAAGAGTCAGCATCTCAAGCGTGCTTCCACAATATGTCCCTGTTCCTGTGTTCCTAAGCACATCATTTGCATACATTTGTTTCTTTGTTAACGATGTGTCTGCGAAGATTCCAGGTGGTGCTTATGTCATATCATATATTAAGAAATCTCATCGTGATGATCCCTATAGAACGGCTATAGAATTGGGTTTGCTGATATATGCACTGGTGTACTATTTTTCGAAACCGCAACATAAAAAAGGATTACAAGCTAGCAAGCCAAACTTATCAGCCCAAGAAGTGGAGGCTATGATTGAAGAATGGGAACCTGAGCCTATGGTTGATGATTCATTGACTGAATTTCAAAATTGGAGACTAGACAAAATCCCAGTCATGAAAGATTCTGGTGTTGAAACTCGTGTCACTTTTACAAGAAGCAATGGCAAAGAAACTTTTGAGAATGTCCTAAATATGAGTACGAATAACTTCTTACAATTGTCGAAAACTGAAAGAGTAGTTAATACCGCCAAGACCACCATTAAAAATTACGGTGTAGGTGCTTGTGGTCCAGCTGGTTTTTACGGTAATCAAGATGTACATTACCACTTGGAATATGAGTTAGCTAAGTTTTTTGGAACCGATAGTGCTGTACTGTATGGTCAAGATTTTTGTGTTGCAGCCTCTGTTATTCCTGCATTCACAAAACGTGGTGATATATTAGTAGCAGATAACGATGTATCATTAGCGGTTCAAAATGCCTTACAATTAAGCAGATCTACTGTTTACTACTATGAACATAACAACATGGAATCATTGGAAAACCTTCTAGCCGAACTCACTGAAGCTGAGAAAAAAGATAAGCCACCTGCTATTCCTAGAAAGTTTATTGTAACTGAAGCAATCTTCACTAATACTGGTGATATTGCACCACTACCAGAACTAACAAAATTAAAGAGAAAGTATAAGTTTAGGTTATTTGTTGACGAAACCCTCTCCCTTGGTGTCTTGGGTGCTTCAGGTCGTGGCTTACCAGAGCATTTTAACATGGACCGTGCTCGCTCTATTGATATAACCGTTGGCTCTCTTGCAAATGCACTTGGTTCTTCAGGAGGCTTTGTGCTAGGTGATCATGTTATGTCTCAGCATCAACATATTGGTTCCAATGCCTACTGTTTCTCTGCCTCTTTACCAGCTTATACCACTACAACCGCGACAGAAACTCTGAAGATGTTAGCTGAAGATAATTCAGCAGTTCAGAAAGTACACGGACTCAGTCGTCAATTGTTTGATTTCTTCAACAACGATAAAGATCTGATGGCTTATGTACAGGTGAAATCCAGTGTCCACTCCCCTATTTTGCATTTGGAGTTGTTGGATGATTTCAGAATGGACAAGTTCGGTTATAACAAAGATCAACTTTTCCAAATTGTAAGCTCATTACAAAAAAAATGTATTACAAATAAGTATATTGAGCCATATGAAAACGAAGAGAAGTTCTTACAAGAAATTGTGGATTTTGTATTGGAGAAGTACAACATTCTCATCACCAGAAACACCATTGTGTTGAAGTCAGAAAGCGTCCCTATTGTGCCCAGCTTAAAAATATCTTGCACAGCCAATATGTCCTCCAGTGAAGTGGAACAAGCATGTCATGCTGTTAAAGAAGCACTGTTGAATTACTGCAACTAAGATGACGGAGACCATGACACATAAATAATTATGTTTGAAATATAACTAGGGGCATACTAATTTGATTGCATAGAGCTAAGCCGATGCAATTGAAGCTTTTTTTATAACGGAGAACTTTGTTATGTCATTACGCATCTTATATACCAATTATTGTATAGTTAATTTATTCATAAAGTAAAATATGCATTGACAAACAATTCGCATTGAGGAATGGATAAACAGATATAATCTACTGGTTAAGAGTCATTCACCGCTAATAAGCCTGCATAAGTATGACTTAATATAGATTGCCTTATTTTGTGTCATTACTGACCTGCGCCTAACAAAAATGATAAGTGCACCATGAAGAAGTTAACACGCAGTTCAAAATAAACTATACCAATCCTATTAAGTTATTTCTTCTAGTATTTAAAGATTGGCACTATCTTATAATATCAATTCCTCCATCCAAGTAAAAAATGAGTAAAGAAGCCACCATATATAAAGGTAATCAGACACAAAAGGATCAATCTAAGAGGGACAAGAAAGGTAAAAAGAAACTCAGATTAAAAGTTAATGATTCCGTTCTTGGAGCTGTACAAGAAGCACAGCCTTTTGAGGAAGCTGCTGACCAATTCAAAAAACCTGGTGCTTACTATGGAATTACCAAAAATGAAGTTATAAATGATGTCTTTGGTTGTCAAATTCAAGATCCTGATCGCTCTAACCCAACTAGAAAAACAGATGAGCGTCCACTCGATACTATCCGCGGGTTTCAATATTCTATAACAGGGGATTCTAGGATACTAACTCAATTAGAAACCCCAATATACGGATTTCAGATGAGGCCAGATTTTAATTTCAATGATATAGCCACTGCACAGAAATATAACCAAGAAGTTCATTCATCTGAGATTAGAAAGCCTGAAATAATAGAATATATATCAGATGAGGAGTCACTGGAGTCACCATCAAAATGGAGCTGGTTGTTCCTCAAGAAACCAGAAAGAATACACAAGTAAATGCATTGATACGTTTGCTAGAAAGCAGAACAATAAAACATACTAATATCGTTTTTTGCCTGTATATTCAGATAAGTGACTACCATTTACAATCGTCTTTATTTGATCAACTATTTATGAATTGATAAAGTTCATTAGGTACTTGCTACAAGCCAACTGGGCCATATACATATCCTTAGAGAATGACCTGAACAAAAAGCAATTTCCTAAAGTGGTTAAATCTCGAAATTTCGTAACCTTACGGCATTTCTCTGTGGTTGAAATTTTATCTGAAAATTTTTTGAATCGCGATGAGCTATGCTCATCGCAAACTGTATATGCATTTCATATTCAAATATAAATCATGAGTGAATAGTTGATTAAACTTTCCATTTCATCAAATGTAAAGTAGATCTAGCATTAAAGTAAGATTTTACTAATTGACTAGATTGACTAGGTTTAGAAAGAAATATGTCAGGAGTTAGGATGCAAAAGAAGAACAGAAGGGCTTTGGGGCAATCCCTGGAAATGGCACAATTTTTGGATTCAGGTTCGAATAAAATAAAGAGAAGGATTAGGGATCTAGAGAGATTACTTAAGAAGAAAAAAGACATTCTACCGTCTAATATCATTGTCGAGAAAGAGCGAACGCTAGAAGCGCTAAGGTTGGAACTACATAATCATGAGGTGAAAGAAAACATTAGAAAGAATGCTAAGAAATATCATATGGTAAGGTTTTTTGAGAGAAAAAAGGCTCTGAGAAGGTATAAGAAGGCATTAAAGACATACAAAGCTGATGAAAATGAGGCTAACAAAGAAGCTTTAGAAAATGCAGAGGTTGACTTGTGCTACGTGGTAAATTTTCCAAAATCAGAAAAGTACATATCAATTTTTACAGAAGATGACACAGAGGCAAGCGCAGAAACTAATCTTAGAAGGAAAGCTTTCAGACAACTTGTCAGAGGCAAAATTGCTGATAAGTCTCTACCTGTATCGTTATCAAATATTCTAGCTGGTAAAAAGCTTTCTGAGGAAGCAATCGGTGTTACATTGGATGATGCATTATCACGTTCTAATCAAACAGATGCCTCTCATCAAGAATCTGATGAAGACAGTGATAGTAACGAAAACGAGAAAGAAGAAGATGACTTCTTTGAGTAATTTCAAGAAAAAACTACCAGTACATAAAATGAGTACTATTCAAGTTTATATGTAAAATAATGGCATATTTAGAAACAGAATTATTGAAGTATGAAAGTAAAGGGAAGTAGTGTAGATATCACAACTCCTCTTGCAATTGAACGTTCACCGTGTATTGTAAATCCATCGCATCATTCACTATAGTAAACGTCAGGTTTTCTCCGTACAATTCCTCTGGTATTAATAAATCACATTCTAGTTCAATGATTTTTCCAGTTTTTCTGGGTTGGCATCTCTTTATTATAAGTAATTCTTCATTCTGATAGCCAATACAAAACCATAATTCTTTCTGCGTCTTAGGAAATCTGTCACAATAAACCTCCATATTTCTACTAGAAACACCTGATACATGTTGTGCCGTAATTTGTAGATGTGATGGGTTTGTTTGCTCTAAGACTCTAATATTTGTCAAAGCTGGTATACGCTTCACAACATTCAAAAACTTAGATTCAAAATCTCGAGATACGTTCAACTCTCTGATGATAGGTTTGTATTCGTTGGATTTGCTAGATGCCAGTTTCTGTAGCGTTAATTTGGTTTTTATTGGCTTTGTGGGATAACCATTATTACGGAACTCAATATCCTTGAATCTTTGTATGTCACAACCGGGTAAAAGTGTTACTGGATTATCTTCATACCAGCATCCCTGCTTAATACACTGCATCACTTTAATCAACGTCATTACCGTCGCCAAGTATCCCATTTCACTGGCTATATCAATAAAAGCTTGCAAAATACGCAAAGACTGGTCTAATACAGAAACAGTATCTTGAATGTAATCTGCAATAGGAAGATCTACCCTGCTTAAGTGTGCCTGCAGCAACAAAAACGCTTTGACATGGGGATCTATCATGCTAACCTCTATATCACCTTCAAATGTATCCTCAACTTTATATCTAGACTGAGCTGACATTTCAATATTCATAATGGCTTCACCACCTCTAACAGGTAACTCATTGTATTCCTCAGCTAATGAGAGCCATTTCAATATATCTTGAAAAGATGCATTTCCGTGGATATTTCTTAACACGGTACGGACAGTTTTATGCGAAATATAATAATACGAGGAAATGCTCAAAAAAGGTGTAGGAATAATGTCTTCACCGTTTAACTCTACACACCCTGATTCTTCAAGATTGTATAGCGTTTCATCAATTTGCTTGCTTAAATACTTGCTCACATTTTCCACAGATAAATCCCCTTCAATACCATAGTACGTTGGGTTATGATGAGCTCTTCTGTATAAAAAGGTCCAGCTTAAAAAGTTCAGGGCTTCTTGTCTATTGGTTATTGTGCCTGACGTGATTTCTGCACCTATATGGTCATCTAGCACTTTGTGCAAAGATGACTCTACGGGGAATCCAATATTCAGGAAATGCTTATAAAACATTTTCTTGGAGTTTTTTGTATAAACAATAGCAGTACCGCTAGTATCAAATGCAGGTCTACCGGCTCTACCCATCATTTGCAATATATCGGTTAAATCCATATCTCTATACCCTTCTATCTTGGCATCAAAAAATTGAGTACCCTTAATGATAACCAAGTGTGCGGGCAGATTGACACCCCACGCTAGTGTTGAAGTTGCGATTAAAATTTGTATTTTGCTTTGCTGAAACAATTGATGAGAAATAGTTCTATCCTTCTCAACCAAACCAGCATGGTGTAACCCTATCCCAAACTGTAAGGATAATTTTAATGTGTCATCAGTAACTTGTGAAATGTAATACTCAAGCTCTTGTTCATCTGATATATTTAGGAACCTCCGAGGATTTGATTCCATACCACATAAATGGATTAAGTCAAGAGCAGTAAGTCGTGTTTGTCTACGTGAAGCAACGAAAATCAAAGTAGGTTTATCAGGAGAATGTTGTTTAATAGCCATAAATGAAGGTTTATTCATTGTTTTCATTAGTGGACAAAATGCAAGGTTATCTGTAAATCCATCAATATACATTTTCAGCGGTACCGGACGCACACTAGATGGAAAGTTAAAGAGACCATTCTCTTTGACTCTCAGCCAACCAGCCATATCGTGAGCATTTGAAACTGCTGTAGACATACCTAATAATCTGACGGGTTGCTTTGTTTGGGTGGAGACGTAATTCATACGACTCACAATCATCTCTAAAATAGGGCCTCTATCACTAGCAAGTAGATGGATCTCATCCATAATAATTAATGAAACCTCTTGAACAAATTTACGAGTTTGCCAATTACGCGAAATACCATCAAACTTCTCAGGTGTGGTAATGACTATAGTGGCGTCTCTGACATCTCGAGGATCTGGTAGAGAATCTCCTGTCAGTTCAACTACCTTATCACCTGTAACAGGTGTAATTTTCTTCTTCCAATCATCGACCCTTTCTCTAACCAGTGCCTTCATTGGAGCTATATAAACGACTTTCTTTCCAGGAAATTCCTTAAATGCATGCCACATAGCTAATTCAGCAACAACAGTTTTACCTGAACCAGTTGGGGAACCAACAAACACATTATCGTTAGTGTTGTATAGTGTATGGAATGTCATAGTTTGCATGGGGTTGAAATACTTAAAAGAGTACATGGATTCCAGCAATGGGTTATGTAGTGCTGAAACTGGCAATGGTCTCAACTTTTGTAGCTTTGTTAATACATTTTCATTATATGGTCGAATCAGGTGTTGGAATGAAATTGCACTTGTACTTTCACAGCCCAGCCATGTGTCTGAAACTACTTTTACCACGACTTGAGGTGGCAATGGATTGGATAGTGGAATCATAAAATCAAGTTCATGATCGTTCTTCATTGATCTTCTATTGAGGATAAACTTTTCAAAATACAAAATTTGAGACTTATTGGATTCTTCCACTGTCACCCAGAAAAACTGAGCCTCCCCATGAATCCTCAGATTCCATATAAACGTGGGCGTTAAGTTTACATGGACCCTCATTACATTTGATGTGATCGGGAATATCTCCGAATCAATCTCAACTTGTGGAAAGTAACTTAAAAGAGAGAAAATTTTGTGACCCATTTTTTTATTATGTACTAATTCGCCTAATTCTTCTGGATCCATGTCAAGAAGTCGATCCATTGTGGGATTTTTGTTTCTTATTTGGCTTAAAATATTTTCTGGTAGATCAAATTGGCAAAGTGCGTGATCAAATGACCATAATCGTTTCTCAATGGATTTGCACACATTAAGCATAATATTTGTAAAAACACCCCATCTCCTGTTTAGACCAATTAAAAATAAAGCACGACAAATTCTCGCAGCATTTTGAGCAACGTAATTTGAGTCCGAAGAAAGCGCAGAGTCAAATATTTTACTTTGAGATATAAATGCCTGTAGTAAAATGTTTGTCTTACCGTGATTGCTTTCTAAATCGCCAGCAATTTGGCACGGTGCAGCAGATTCGGCAAGTCTGGTTAATTCGCTTGCTTCTTCTTCTCTGAACTTTAAACCATCGAATTCACTAGACATACTGATCATTGAAAGGACGTCAGCCTCTGTTGCCCGTGGGTTAGAAACTTGATTGAATATTTCCACAGATTCATTAAGTAGATAAAAATCGGACGCAATTTTACCAAGATCTTTTGAAATGAAATACATAGATACCTCATCAAAAACTATCATTTGTAATGAATGTAATCTTCGTGCAGCAGCTATGATCATGTTTCTTCTCCTATCATATAGTTGGGGATCAGACATAAGCTCATCCCATTCGATAGCATATGTGAATGGATTTTTTTTCATACGTACAAACATGTAAGTATAACCCAGCCACTGTATAGCTTCTTCGACATTTGTTACTGTTCCAAGAGATATTTCGGCATTCAAATTATCAACCAATTTCGCACCAAACCTGGATTCAATTGGATGCTGTTGAGTAATCAATGATACGTAGCTGTCTAGTCTGTCAGCTGACGTACACAGTATACCGGTTCCGTTTGCAGACCCAAAACCTGGTCTACCAGCTCTACCAAAGATTTGGATAACATCTGATATGCCCAAATCTACAAATCCTCCTCGTTTGGCGTCATAAACCTGGGTACCTTTTATAATAACACAATCTGCTGGAAGGTTAACACCCCACGCAAGTGTTGCAGTACAACAAAGGACCTTAATTGCTCCCTCCTTGAACAGTTTTTCTGTAAGATTACGATCGGACCTTGACATACCGGCATGATGAACCCCAAATCCAAACTGAAAAATTTCTTTAAGATCCTTATCTCTATTTTTGGCTAGTTGCCTAGAGTAAATATCTTTTACACTTGGTTCGGGTGCGTACAGTGATATTTCGTTGTTCTTTTGAGCCATACTTATGAATGTTCTAGCACTTTTGACAGTATCTTTTCTGGAGTGTACAAATACCATTACTTGGTGGCCCTTTTCAATCATTTCTGTTAGCTTGTCATAAGCAACTCGATCAATGTTTTCCCTGGCTTGCTTGCTTCCAGCTTTTCCTCTGCATCCAATCAACTGTTGTTCTAGTGGCTTTGGTCTAAACGATTGATCAAAGTAAAACATACCGATCTGTCTATTTACACCCAAAAAATCTGCAACATCCATAAAGTTAGGTAGTGTTGCAGATAAACCAACAATTCTGATCATTGACTGACTGCTTTCTACTTGTCTTAACGTTCTGGCAACTAATGTTTCTATAACAGAGCCTCTTTCTTCATGTAGCAAATGTACTTCATCTATAATTAATAGTCTAACCTTTGATACTAAATCGTTATCACCGTTCGACTTACGAGTTACGACATCCCATTTTTCTGGTGTAGTCACAATTACCTGAGTTGATAGAATTTCAGCCTTTGTAAGTTGCATATCACCAGTTAGCTCACGAACCATAACATCAAAAGGTGCCAATTTACGACTAAATTTATCAACAATTTCAGCGGCTAAAGCCTTCAAAGGCGCCACATAAATAATTTTGAAATCATCATATTGAATATCTATGTCTCCACTAGGCCCCATCTCTGAGTATTGCTTGATTGTATTCAATATAGTTAGAAGTGCGATATCAGTTTTACCGGCACCAGTTGGTGCACAGATCAACATATTTTCATTAGTTTGGTAAGCTACTGGATAAACTAATGATTGAATTTGATTCAATGTTTCATATGAGAATACAGTCCGACAATATTTATCAAGGGAAGAAACTTGAATTAGTTTTGTGTAAAGTGAACTCTTGGCCTTAATTGGATCAGCTGCTGGTATACATATTTCCTCATATGTTTGATAGGATTGCCTGGTTGTTCCTTCCGGTAAAGTAAACTTTTGATTTCCAAAACTTAGACTGCTACTACCAGCTTCGTATTTTCTGAAAACATGGGGATATTTTATGATCTTTCTTAGGGGGTCCAATTTCTCATTTTTGGTTATTTCTTCATTGGCTTTAATCTGTTCTGCAATTAAGCCATCATCCAAATAATCGTTAGGGTTCTCTGTTTGGTCCAGCTCATGTATAACAAATTCTGTAGGTTGTGACGTAATAAAAGAACGGTTCTCCACCAAAAATGAAATCAACTCCATGTTTTCCATGCCTAGAAAATCTAGAAGCTCTTTTTCGAGATCACCGTTGTCATATTCATTAGTTATACCGAGTATTGATCTAGTGAATTCTTCATATGATACAGAAAATGAGGCTGAATTTATTAACCTCCATAGCCTTTTGTAAACTGCCTTTGTACTAGATTTATTCTTATCGCTGATTAGAAAGTTAATGTCAAAGTTTGGATCTATAAACTCATCGAATATATCATCCCATTCATTCCTATCCTGTGAAAGCACTGCCAATTTACATTTTCCTGCGGATTTAATATCTTTGTTTAATTCATTATCTATAGCTGGTACCATTTGGGTAATGTCCTCCATTTTCAATTGAACGCATGCATCATTCATGGTCTGCATGGCATTCATGAAAGAGCCTGACGAATTTACAGAATATGTAGTTGTCATTTTCAATGGTGCCTAGATCCGGTGAATTAGGCTGCATGAAACCGGGCTTTTTATAAGAGCTTGAGCATCAGGATATTCTTGACGCCAGGTCTTCAAATAAGTGCTAACTCTGAGAACTGTGATTTAGTAAAGATCACTCTTATACGTTGGTAATGATACATGCGATATGTGTTATGTAGGGAGCTATGTAATTATAAAAGAGCATACACACTCATAGCATGTTTACAATATGTTCAATCTGGTTGAAGACATCATTCTTTTCAATGTTCTCCCTATGATTCCAAATAATATTTGTTACCCGAGAGCATAAGGCTTCCATTTGGGAAACAGAAAAGCCATCTGTTTTCCCAATTAGTATATCATAAAGATTGTTCAATCTATCTTCATCAATAGATAGTTTCACATGAACGTTTGTTGGTCTGTCTGTCCTGATATTAGTTTCAATGAGTTCCTGAGTAGAGCTTATGCTGTTCGATTGACTCTCAGCATCATTCGAAACAACGTCTTCCTTAAGAGGTTGTGATGGTTTGTCCTCTTTAGTCGAAACTTCGTCAACATTGTCCAAACTGGCGGGATAAAGTGTAGAATATTCGTCGTCCTTTGTAGAAGCCAGTTGGTCAACTTTGAGATCCGAAGGCTGTTGCTCATTTGATGAATTTTCTTGACACTCATTCCCAGCTACTGAAATTTGTTTCATTTCATTATTGGAATTTGTTGCTAAATCAGGACCAGAGCTTGGTAAAAACTCATTTTCGATGATCTCCTTCTTTTCAACTTGAAGCTGACTTCCAGCAGCCACACCTACATCAACAGTATCGCTTGACTTGTCAGTAGAATTTGATACATTTACTAGTTGCTTTCTTTCATCTTCAAGGTAAAGTTCTTGTCTTTCAATATCTCTCTGCCTAGTCGCCTTACATTCAGCGATAAACTCTGGTGTTGAAATATCCTCGATACCCATTTGGGCATTTGCATACATTTCTGATGCTTTTATAATCCTTTCTCTATCTCCTGTGGTGTTGGCATCTCGATAAATACACTCAATATCTTTCAAGAATTGCTTTGGTTCGGAATAAAATCCATTCCAAAGTCTCTCCTCTATGATATCAAGATCCATGTTAAAGAATCTCTTGCCAGTAGCAACCTCTAATATCATGCTTTCATCTTTTACATAGGCCGGTTGCCAGTTAGGGATATTTTGCATTTGAGGTTCAAAAAGGTGCACCAGAAAGGCATCATCTATAGGAGGCTTCCTAAATCTCTTGTACCGGTTCTTGAAAAGATCCATTAACCCAGATAACTTAATTTTAAGAACGTTTTTCAGCTTCATATCTTGGTGTTGGAATTCCTTCAATTTTCTTCTCAGCAACTCTTCCTTTGAGAGAGGTTTACCTTCAGCATCTACATTACTACTGTCTCCAGAAATGGCTAACGGCAGCTTTGCTAATGGTTCAGTTCGCTTTCTCTTTAGCATATAGGCGGAGGGTGGCAATTTAATATTTTCAATTGTCTTCTTCAAGTATGTAGTTCTTTGCTTCACGTTCGGCTTTTCTATCTCAAATATATTGGTAGCAAATTCAAATGATGCTAGTAAATCATTCGTATAACAATCTTGTTCTGAAAGTGACTCCGACAAGCAAAGTAAAAATACCTTATCATCAGAGACAAGAGATTTCATTAGTGAACTCAACGTCATTATAGCATTGGATGGAATTGTTTTCATCCAGATATCAAAATTTGGGATAAATATGATAGATGGTTGTCTTTTACGAGCTTCTATGAACGCCTGGACGATGGCAGCCTCTATTGTTCTTGTACTGTCAGCTACTAAAGAAGGAATATCCAACCGTTGTACATTGAACTTTTCCAGAAAGTTCAGTATTGCACTCCCGATATATGATAAGCCGTTACCTGGAGAACTTGTAACTAGTAACTTAGGTCTAAAAGTACGTAAGTTAGTTATTTGCTTAATCAGTTCCACTTTAGAGAACCCATCAGAGCCAGTATCATCGGTGAAATCTTCGTACTCCATATATTCATCAATGAGAGATTTAGATTGAGATACTTTCATATGTGCGTCAGGCAGGATATCGTTTATTGTTGATTTCAGCCCTTCAAACTGAACATCTAGCAATTGGTCCACAGGTTCAGGTAACGGTTGAGACGACTCGCCAACTGACCTGTTTGAGGAAGGAACAATTTTTTCTAATGCTCTAGTAAAGTCAGAACTATTCACCCTTATTAGGTCTGTATCAATAAGCAGTTTGCCACTACTTCTATAAATTTGTGGATATGTTCGTTGAATGCTTGACAGAGCAGCTTCGGTGCATAAAGCTCGTAGATCTGCACCACCATATCCTTTTGTTAGAGATGCCAATCGATGAATCAACTCATCTGACAAAGGAGGTGACCATTTTTTTGTATGAATCTTTAGGATGGTCTTTCTAGCATTCGTATCAGGCAATGGAAAATAGAACTCTCTGTCAAATCGTCCAGGCCTTCTCAGTGCAGGATCAACAGCATCCGGTCTATTGGTTGCACCAATAACAATAACTTGGCCTCTATTGTCCATACCGTCCATCAAGGCCAACAATGTTGAAACTATACTGGCATGAATTTGCTCCTGTTTTGAGCTCCGGACTGGTGCTAGACCGTCAATTTCATCGAAAAATATTATCGAAGGTTGTTGTTTCTTTGCTTCTTCAAATAAAAGTCTTAATTGTCGTTCGGCCTCACCTACCCATTTTGAAAGTATATCTGCACCTTTTCTCATAAAAAAGGTTATTTTTCGTGATTCACTTGAACAGCTGGCAGCAAGTGCACGCGCCATTAATGTCTTACCGGTACCTGGTGGACCATGGAATAGGACACCACGCGGTGGCGTGATATTAAACTTCTGATATACCTCAGGATATAGTAAAGGCAACGAAACCATTTCTTTTAGCTGTTCGATGTAGTTGTCTAATCCACCAACATCGTCAAACTTAATATTCATATCAACTCCCAAAGGATCTAAATCAGCAATTTCAGGTTTCTTTTTTCTCTTAGGGTCTCTCAAAGGATTTTTTGGTTTTCTTTTAGACTTACCGCCAATAGGAAGAATTTCATCTTCAGAAGAATCAGAGTCCAAAATTAGTTTCGGGTTATTTGCGTTGTTTTGGCCAAAAAAATTAGTGTTTTGTCCAAATATAGTAACAACATCATTTCCTCCAAAAGGTCCACCAGTAGGAAATAACCTTCTATTGGGACCTGCATTCTGAGACGCATTCCATCCACCACGGCCACGTCTAGGTGATGCTGTAGCATACGGTGGAATATTGGACGCAGTAGCAGTAGGGTACTCCTCGACAGGAAAGTTTGTCAAGGGTGGGGGTATTCTGTAATCAACCTGTTTGGTACGTTCTCTTAGAGACCTCTTTTCCCTAATAGGACTATCCTCCTGAAGTTCTCTAATCTCATCAGCTAGTGAGAGAGCTTCTTCGGAATTGTTTTCTGTTAAATTCTCTTTGGAGTTGTATAATGTCGATCTTGTTCGGCTGCGAAGACGTCTCCCGGAGTTTGTAGTCTTGCTAGGTGAATTTGTTGACCTACCTGTAAGGCGTCCTCTAGTTCTTCTCCCCGTTTGTTGACCGTAGTCTTCGTCATTTTCACCGTCTTCAGTAAACGCTTCATCTTCTGGATCAGGCACGACAAATTGATCATCTGCTCTTCTATTCCTCTTTTGTCTAAGTTTTGAGCTATTGTAAACGTTGTCTTCATCATCGTCCAAATCAGAGGCATCGTCATCCAAAAGATCATCCGATAAATCTTCCTCATGGAAACTTTCATCTTCCTCCTCTGGGTCATGGACCTTTCTTCTCCTTGATCTACCCGATCTTCGAGAGGTATGCGGTACATCTTCATCTTCAGGAAAGATATCTTTGGTACCGTTTGGCGCCTCATTGGGTAATTGACTTTCTTTAGCTGTTTCTTCCTGAAGGTCATGATTATCTCCATTTGGTGCTTCACTATTGGTTTCTTCATCTAAGAAGTCAAGTCCACTTTCTACTTCAGCGTAATTGATCTTCTTCAAAGATCTTCCTGTTGTGTGAGTTACACCATTCTCATCTAAAATTTCGTTATTGGCGTCTGAAACTCTAGCACTATGGCGCAAATTACGAGTCATCGTTTTCAGTAGTTCAATGTTATTACAAATTGTGAGAAAATATCAAACTATTTGCGATGGCACAGTTCAAACTGACAGAATTTCAAGTTACTACTATATAGTTGAAATTATTCCCAACGTTCTTCCCACTCACAAATGTTTTACTGAAAAATGGGGAATAACTGTATAATCCCTAAGCAGGCACTTTCCAATTGTATAAGTCCGTTTCCCAATCTTCGTCGTCACTTTGATTACCTCTCAATTTCAATGCTGCTCTAAATCCACAATCCTCTTGATTTAGTACAACGTAGAGTTGACCTCAGAGCACGAATATCACAGTTAAATTGCTTCTGCGGTATTAACACAATCTGGATATCAACAAAGTTTGAGTCGTCCCCATCTTTCAACTCAATAAAACACCTAATAACCGAGGGAAATGAAATTGGCCCACCGCCAAATTTCGATTCCCGCGACGTGAAGTGCCAAGCTCGTGTATTGTGATATCATTGGATAACTGGCATAATGAAGATACCCATCTCTAAGCTAAGAACAAACCATTTGCACTTTCTTGGCATCTTTAAAGGCACCAGGTGCTTTTACTGATAGTGATAGGATTATGAACGGTCTGATATCCCGCTTATAGATGGATCGGCACATTTCATTTTCTTGTTTACTAGTATATACCTTCGCAGAAGAAGCAGTTTTGCGTATTCATTTTAGGATGACTAGCACCGTATTTCATAAGAAGATTTGGTATTTTATCCTGGAGTCGCAGTTATCTTGCCCATGACGGTAACAGATTGTAGGCATGGTGCCACAACGTCATAGCTACAAATCGTTTGGTGTGAGTCTTACTGAGCCTTGCACTTTCGGGCATCGAAACGAATATCTAAGGGTTGGCTGGAAATCTCAAGGCATTGATGGGCATGGCTTTGCATAACTTAAATATGACTGATTGTCTCATCGCCTTTAACTTGCCTTAAATTTAAATGGTCATTGATTCTGTCAAATGCCTATGTACTTCAAGAAAGTTACTTTTCCATCTATTTGAATAGCAACATATAATCAGCATATTGCAGTATCTTGCATAGTTGGTATCTCATTGCGCTACAGAATTAAAAATAAAACATATTCTAGGAAGCATATTTCGTATTAACCGAAATCATCTGAATTGTACTAAGCACTTACAATACAAGTTTTGTATCTACTCCTCATAATATGTCTGGTCCAGGTGAAGACGGATTACCAAGTTACGAAGATGTGTTGAAAGAGGAAGAGAGACTGCAACAGAATCAACGGCCCCAGCATGGACAGGACTTGCCACCAAGTTATAGCAGACCACCACAGAGACCGCCGAGTGATACTAAGCAAAGACCAACCGAACCCCCTAGACCTAGTTCAAAGCCATCTAAATTGCCAAGTAGGCCAGGTGTTAAACCAGCTAATACGAAACCAGCCAAACCAGCCAAACCAGCTTCAAAGCCCACGCCGAGTGTCCAACCTAAACCATCTAATATACCATGGGTCTATCCAAAGGGTTATTATTGTGAGAAGTGTCGGAATACAGGGTACAAAATAAAAAATGGTAAATCATGTAAGCGTTGTTGGAGGCAGTTTGCCACTCGAAACAGTGCTACACCTATGGGAGGTCCAACAGTTGTAACAACACCGAACACTTATTACTCTGGCCTGCCGTTTGGTGACTATTTGCATCCGTTTTCACAGCCAACATATCAGTATGGTGCTCCCCCAATGCAAATAGGAGGACAAGCACCTATATATGTACGACCAGGTGATCCAAGATTAGGCGGAGTAGTATGTGGTGAATGTAGAGGTACCGGTAGAGTTCGGTTCTTTTTAGATGAGGATCTCTGTCCATTATGCAATGGTGTGGGAAGAATAGTTCGCTAACAAACAAGACAAATATGACATCAATGATGAATTACAATGATATAGACACGACACCTTTCACAAACGTACCTAGCACTAATAACCTTGTATAATAATAATATTAGTATCGAACTTTACATATAATTATCATCTAATATATCCAATCTGTCACATACTATGGAGCCTCCCCAAAATGCATTTAAAAAATGCCTTTACTAAGATTAACAGAGTAAAATATGGAAGACGGCAAATAAAATCATAAAAAACTAAATTACCAAGTGTAATACATCACATGATTATTTGTATAAAGGAATGTATTTTTCTTTTTTAAGTTTTTATGTATTCTCCTTTTTATATTATGTTTATACTTGTTTATGTTCATGATTTCCGAACGCTAAGTATTTGTTTCTAAAGCGAGATGTGTATTATTTTTGATCTAAGAATTTTTTGGAAGAGGGTATAGTGGAGTGAGCAATGATTAGATATAGTGCAGTTGTTGCAGCTATAGCGTACCATTCATTTGGATTGTCTATAATTATTTGAATTTAACATTTTCTTACACTTGCCCTATATCGTTTAACAGAAAATTTAGTTGTTCACCTATTTCGTTTAAGACCTTTCATCTCGAAACCCGAAAAAGCCCTCGACAGAAGTTGGTTTACATAACAGACACATGAAATATAAAGGCTTTATGAAAGGAATAATAGAATAAAAGATCCAATAACACTTCAATTAAAATCAATTAACTGTTTGCATAAAGAGGTGATTAACCAGAGGTGATAGATGTCTGAAATCAAGTCTGTTCTTTTAATTGGTGGTGCTGGATTCTTGGGTCTTCATCTGATCCAACAATTTTACGATGTTTCTCCAAGGCCTGATATCCACATTTTTGATATTAGACCTCTTCCAGAAAAGATTTCAAAGCAATTCACATTTGATGTCAATGATATTAAATTCCATAAGGGTGATTTAACTTCTTCTGAGGATATTAAGAAGGCTATTCTGGCAAGTAAGTGTAATGTAGTTGTACACTCCGCTTCACCTGTCCATGGAGGTGCTGCTGAAGTCTATCACAAGGTTAACGTCACTGGTACCAGAAATATTATTGATACCAGTAAGAAATGTGGTGTTAAAGCCCTAGTATATACCTCGTCTGCTGGTGTAATCTTCAATGGTCAAGATATTCACAATGCTGACGAGACATGGCCAATACCAGAAGTCCCAATGGATGCCTATAATGAAACCAAAGCTATTGCTGAAGATATGGTCCTGAAGGCTAATGATCCAGATAACGATTTCTTGACAATTGCGCTAAGACCAGCTGGTATATTTGGACCGGGTGATAGGCAATTAGTTCCAGGTTTGAGAACTGTTGCTAAGCTTGGTCAGTCAAAGTTTCAAATTGGTGACAACAACAACCTGTTTGACTGGACATATGCAGGTAATGTTGCTGACTCGCATGTTCTGGCTGCCAAGAAACTTTTAGATCCATCCACAGCTGCTAAAGTTTCTGGTGAAACTTTCTTTATTACTAATGATACACCAGCATACTTCTGGGCCTTAGCTCGTACTGTCTGGAAGGCTGACGGTCATGTTGATAAACGAGTTATTGTATTGAAAAGACCACTTGCCATTGTCGCTGGTTATCTATCTGAATGGGTTTCTAAACTTGTTGGTAAAGAGCCAGGTTTGACTCCATTTAGAGTCAAGATTGTATGTGCTTATCGTTACCATAATATTGCTAAGGCCAAGGAATTGCTCGGCTACTATCCTAAAGTGGATATTGAAGAAGGTATCAAGAAAACTCTGGCCTGGATGGATGAAGGTTTGTAAGTTATAAAGCCGCTTTATGTAACGATGAATAATTTAATCTCTAATGATATTTAAAATAGATTCCTTATATTATATTTCTATATTTATTTTTCTTCTGGGCACTGATGTTATCTCTGGACTACTATTTATATTTTGGAGACCAACTGTAGAACTCCCACAACATATTAAATAATGTCAGTGTACTAATTATGATTTTATGATTTATTCTATTTTAATAAAGCAAATGGAATGCAGTTCCAAAACTACAAAGTGCTAGATACTACCTTTACATGTATCTCCAAGTTCCTGGACAGTATTTTCTAAAGTGTACATGAACTTCAAAAACAAACCATATGTGTCCTTTTCACTCAGCATAGCAGAATAGCGGATCAAGCGTTCAAATAGTCCTGGTACCGGCCTCAATTCGAATCACAAGGAATAATTTTAATAATTAGATAGTTCAAAGATTTTATTTAATTTGTTTACTTTCAAAGAGATAAGCGGATACTAATACAACTTATGGTTAGTCTTGGTCTTACACGTGATTGTCTATTATACCATATGTACTACTGTCCCCGAAGACAATTCAACCAATTAATTAGGGCGTGTGGTCTAGTGGTATGATTCTCGCTTTGGGCGAACATGGATAAAATCCGTGTGAACAATCACAAGCATGCGAGAGGCCCTGGGTTCAATTCCCAGCTCGCCCCATTTAATTTTTTTTTCCGTTGAAGTTCATCATTGTCGAGTATATCATCTAAATTGTGAAAATGGGTTTCCAAATTTTTTTGCTTGCAGGGTAATAACGTACTGAATTTATGTTGAAATATTTCAAGCGATGAGCAAGTATTGAAAATATTTTTGATTGTTGAGTTAGTAGCTGTTGGTATCTGTTTCAAAGATTCATTCATTTAAGCGACCACAATTAAAGTGCATTGTTGTCATCGTCAATATAGGGTTTAACAGTCTTTTGGTTAATATTCAAGAGCTTATACATAATTGAACAATGGTGTCTCACTATGACAGGATGAAGAGGTCTTCCATTGCTCCTTATAGGAGAAGTAATGATAGTAGTAATAGAATTGATAAGAAGACTGGCAAGAAGGGGCATGGTCTGATGTCCAAGTTGAAGGATTTGGTATCTTTCGGTTGGGCGCAGGAGCATCACAAAGATAATGACTTTAGTGCCAGAGACACTGGAAGAGAAAGAACTAATGTCAGTAAAGGATCCTATGCAGCAGTTCCAGGCGGCTTTTTTAGTTCTGATCAGAGTTCTTTTATATTAAGGGAGAGAAGTCGGATAATGAATGAATCAACGATGCATAGTGAAGCTGACACATCAAATGCCAAACTTGCCGACTTTTTTGCAAAGAAAGGGAATGAACCCTTATCTGAGATCGAAATGGAAGGTGTCTTAGCACTAATGCAAAAATCAAGAGGTGTTGCAGACGAATCCTCCTTTCTAGGTAACTCCTCAAGATTGCTTGGCGATATCTCCAACGCGAATGCGTCTCAAGTTTTAAGAACTGGTAATATCTCAACCTCTTCTGCTCTTAATGTTCCAAATTTTAAGCCAAGTACTGATGAAAGCAGGAACATAAATGCAAAAGAAGTCGAGAATAGTACAATTGTAAGCACACCATTAAAGAGGAAAAACTTCGACTATTCATCAATCAGATCACCATACCGTACTGTCATTTACAGATTTGATGACAGCAATAAGAAGAAAATATCATCAGTTTTTGATAAGCCTGAATCATCTAGTCAAGAAGTTGACGAAACTCCTAAACCTTCTAACTCTAAACCTCTAAGCAACACCGCTTCTGCACTTGTTTCTTTGTTAAGCGACAAGGATGCTGCAAAAGAGTCGATTAAGCCAATGGCTAATCCATATACCTCCCATCTTACTGCTCTGAGGAAGTCTAGAGAAGATCTACCTAGTATCAATGATAAGATAACTGTTCCAAAGAGACGTCAAAGATCTGAAACAGAAGATAAAGAGGAAGCCAAAATCACATCCAGCAACGGAGAGGCCCAAGAAGACACAAATATACCAGAAGGAATAGCATCTAGGAAAAATGAGGAAGCACAGGATTCGTTCACCAAATATAAGCCTATGCGTTCTTCATCATTGCGTGATTCCGTCTCTTTAGCACATACAGAGTCAAATAACGAGAAACAAATGAATTCTCCAAAATTTGTTCCTGCTCCACTTGATAAGAATGAAACTAAGGAGACTGCAAAGTCCGATCTAACACTAACATCATCTGATAAACAATCAGAATCAAAACCATCCTTTTCCTTCCCTGTAAATTCCACAACCAAAAGCACTTTTATGGGTACTAAAAAGGAATCGACATCCCCTGCTGTCAATAGCCAGGCAGTCAAAAATGTTTCAAACAATGAAACCAAAGAAATCAAACCACAGGTTCATGAATGCATTTATGATTTTGGCAATCCAACCTCTTCCGGATTCAAAAAAACCGATATTGACGACACCTTAGTTAGCAAATATAGAGGCCAATTTGTATTCTAAATAATACGACCTCTGATATGCATGTCAAATTTTTTTTAAATTTATATATTAACTAAAACAGTAAATGGATAAAATATATACAGTAATATATTTCGTGTTCGTGAATGTAGCAAATTCAAGTCTTTATAACACCTTTTGCTTTACGAAGAAGCTTCCCAGGTGCTTCATTTGCCAAGCACATGTAGCGCCAAGCACAATCAACGTAATGATTCCCCACCAGGTAGCACGAGAGTTCACAATTTCTGAAAGATCTCTAAACAGAACTTCACGTTCTCTCATTAGCTTTTGTTCTCTCTTAATTGACTCGATTTGAGCAATCAATTGGATAACCTTTTGGTGCAGCAACTTGACTTTAGTGGTTGCCTTAGAATCCAATTCAGAAGCGAAACCGACTTCAAAGTTGACATCAATTTTTACCTTAGGTTTGTAAGACCAACCTTTACTCTGAGATTGTAAACATATGTTGTGTTCACCAGAATCTAGAGCAACAAAGGTAAATTCTGAGGATGGGAGAGCTTTCTGGTGCACAACACGGTGGTTATCATCAAAAATTTCCTCAACATCAATCATGACACTTATGGTATCCTTTTCTGGTACACCATACTTACCAATCTCATCGATATATACTTGTAGTTCGTGTGTACCCTTCAACACAGTCCCTTTGGATAATTCCTTTTGGAAACACTTTCTCTCACCAGCGGTACTATAGTAGTAGAAGCCGTGAGCAACATGCACGCCAAAAACTAGACCAACAATCAATTGAAATAACTTCATTCTATAGCGTTAGTATATCGAGTACCTCTACCCTGAATTGCACTTTAAACTCAATTGAGACCACGAAGTTGGTTGTTTGGCTCTTTTTTTTATTTCGCTGGAAAATCGCCAACTTTTGAGGAAAGTTGAAAGTGATCCGATGCGATGAGACTAAATATTTGGTATAGTTGTCAAATAAATGACGTTGAATAAGAATTGTTTAACTAAACTGAATCAGATTACTGAATAAATTTACAACGGCTTATGAATTTGTTGCTACAGGATCCTTTCTCTGTTTTGAAAGACTATCCTGAAAAGCTAGTGCATACACTAGAAAATCCTTTGAACACAGAATGTCTGGAATTTAGTCCCGGTGGTGATTATTTAGCATTGGGTTGCTCTAATGGTGCTGTCATTATCTATGATATGGATACTCTTAAGCCCATAACAATGCTTGGTAGTAAATTGGGGGGTCATGTGCAAGCCGTGAATTCGGTTTCATGGTCTGGATGTGGAAGATATTTGATTACTACATCACGAGATTGGTTTATTAAATTATGGGATTTAGCTAAACCTGGAGAACCTTTGAAAGAAGTTTTAATGAGTTCCTCCGTATGGAGTTGTTGCTGGGTAGATGAAAGTAAATTCACAGCTGTTGCAACTGTATTTGAAGAAAAGGACGCCTTCTATATTGACTTTCACACTGAGTTGAGTTCACCATCCGTCTTACCTGTTGTTACACAAAATAACGAAGATTCATCAGGAAATAAAGGTTATGTACTAGTCGCATTACCTCATCCCAAACATCGAGATATCATTGTCGTAGGTTCATCAAAAGGATGGCTCACATTCTATCAAGTAAAATGTACATCGGTTGTAGAATTTAACATAATCAAGGAAGAAAGGGTGGCTGCCTCAAATGTGAAGCATATAATAATCTCGAACAATGGTGATAGATTAGCTACAAGTTCAGCAGATAGGACAATACGACAATTTTCTATGAAAATTGGATATAGTGAAGATAACGAGAATCTCTCAATCGAACTAGAACAAGAATGTAAGTACCAAGATGTTATCAATAAACTGCAATGGAATTGTATCTTCTTCAGTAATAATTCAGCAGAATATCTTGTTGCTTCCGCTCACGGTTCTTCTGCTCACGAGCTGTACATTTGGGAAACTGGCGCGGGCACATTAGTTCGCGTTCTAGAGGGAGCAGAAGAGGAACTTATGAATATCAGCTGGAATTTTAATAATATGTGCATTGCTTGTAATGGATTTGAAACTGGTAGTATATATATATGGTCGATTGTAATTCCTCCTAAATGGAGTGCACTGGCACCAGATTTTGAAGAAGTTGAGGAGAATGTCGAATATGATGAAAAAGAGGATGAATTTGATCAAGTTGATCTTGATGAACAAAGACAAGAGATGACAGAAGCAGAAGAAGTACCTATTGATTTGGTCACACCAGAACAATTTGATGTAAGGTGTAATGACTTGTCTAAAAGGTATTTTACGATTCCGATGGATTACCAACATATCTTATTACTTAAATCCTCAAACATGATGACAGATGATATTTAAATCAAACTAAATTGTTAACAAAATGTGCATTTATAGTTTATGAAGTATAAGCTATTGTTTCTTGTATTTAACTGTTATTTTATTGCATTCTAATAGATTTTATCGTATTTGCTTTATCGTTTTAACCAATATTGAATTTTATAATCTGCATATTGATCAATGAAGTTTGATCACCTTCCCATAAACAAAATATAAAATATCATAATGGTGAAGTATATAGTGAATTGGAATATGGAGTAATTATTTCATCATATTAAAAAAAATTCTTTTCTGATTACTATATAGAAGCCTTTATGTAAGGAATACTTTGGTTAATTCGTCGGCCAAGTAGTCTGCCTCAGCCTTGAAGTTCAACTTATGCAAGTTGGCAACTGTATATCTAATTCTAGTTTGATCGTTGTAGTTATCTTCACGAGCACGAATTCTAAAGTCATACTGATTCATTTGAACATTTTGAGTAGTTCTTGTGAATTCATCTGGGTCATTTTCTTTCAGGGACATGAGAGTGTTTGCATCAACTCCTAGTAACTGTTTAGCTTGGTCATCAAATAATGTTAACCATAGGTTACCAGTTTCATCTATTATAGAAATTGTTAAAATGTATCTCCACCTTGGAGATGGGTTATTAATATCACACTTCTCACATCTCCATGTACCATCGGGTTGTTCAATGACTTTTTTGTTACAATTTTCATTAGAACAAGCAGGATAAGCAAAGTTGTCTACCTTCATAAAACTGATAGCTGCCTTAACACTAAAAAAGTCACCACGTTCATTCTTTCCAAGGTTTTCAGCCTCTGCTCTGGCAATCGTTATACGCTGACTAATGAATTTTGCTAAGTTTGCTGCAGAAGTTGTTCCTGCTCCTGCATCTTGTTTCAATGATGTAAAGTCTTGATCTTTACCTTGCTGATCGTACCATCCCTTTAATTTATAAGCTTCTGGAATTTCAGGATTGGCAATTAAGGTGCTATTAAAACCCATAGATAGCGACTTACCCCCAAAATCTGATACCCTAACACCCTTGATAGCTACCACAGAGCCCTCTGGTAAATTGAAATCGAGCGCTTGTTGATTCCATAGACCCACGGAAATAGCAAATCCAGAATCGTCAACAATCTGTATGTCACGACGATCAAATTTTTTACCAGCTCTAGATGTTAGTTCAAAGTGGGGGTTGACAGTTTGAATTATACCTAAAACATCTACGTTAGAGTTGTTTTCTTGAGATTGGATATTGTCTAATTTAATAAAGTTAAAGTGAGTCTTTGGTACGTTATTCTCATCAAACGATTCTTCAATGACAGTTTCTCTATCCAAATTCAGTTCGTAAGGGTGAGACAAGTTGGTAAATTGAGGTTTAGCAGGTTGTAGTCTCGCTTTTGAAACATAATAAACTTTACCCTCTTGCAATATTTCATTAAAAGCAGTAGCATTATCATTGAATGCGGTAGCTCTAATTTCACCAGAGGTATCCAGGAAATTAACGTTAAGAAGCTTACCTTCACCTCTTTGATTATGCCAAGTCTTAATATCACCCTTATAAGAAACTCTAGCTTTAATAGTCCAAACATTTTGGTATGGTGATAGTTGTTCAATGGCAAAGATTGCTCTTGATTTTTGAGAAGCAGAATCATTAAATTTGTTGTTGTGGCTAGTTGTTGCATTACCAATTGCAGTTGTTGATGATGGCATTCCTAGTGTACCATTACCATTAACATTAGAGCTCGAATCTACCTGTTGCTGCTGTTGTGGGAATGGGGAATTTGGATCTTTTCTAGCGGCGATGACTTCATTCAATCTGTTAGCAAGTACACTGTCCAAAAATTGAGTGTTGCTATCAACTACTTCTGCTCCAGATTGGACCATATCAAAATCTTCAATAACTAGAACAAGTTTCTTCTCCTTAATCAACAATGGTTCCACTCTCAGAGTCTTGATAATGTCACCCCTGTCAATATTCATTGAATGAAGCTTTGGAATAGCATCGGCTTTAAATAACGCCTTCATGTGGTACACACCGTCAGATATCATAATAAGAAACTTCTTGTTTGGCTTGCTTGGATCAGCTTTGCGGATATTAATCACTTGATAAACACCATTGGCAGGATCCTGGTACCGCTGCTGGTTAGTGAATATTGCGACAAAATCGCCCTTAGTCAACTCTGCACTCATTTCTTTATCTGCTGTAACTGCTTGACTAGTGAATCCTCCTATATTGAGTTAGCTTTTGATTCTTTATGGCGGTTATGAGTTACATTAATCGATTCAAATAAGAATAATGCCGAAATAATACAAATAGTATGTCAACTTTCCAGGAAAGCAACGCGTCAGAATAGAAAAGTGGCGATGAGACGCGTAAGACACGAAAGGGTCAATCATATGCTCAATCGTGAAACACGAAGGATATTATGATATCCATCTCTTCGGCAACTCTTCGGCCGCTCGTAGGTAGCTCATCGGTAGCTCATCGGTGAGTCCAAACAGTATTACGTTTTATGTATAAATATACAGTATGGCAATAAGAATACAAAATTGGACCTTATCAAAATCCAGATCTGTATCATAGAGCAGGATATGGCAATATGGAGAATGAAGGGACTGTGGATGGGAAAGTGAAGGTTGTTATCAGCGTTGTTCTTGATGAAGATGGGGTACCTGGCAGTGGATTAGTCTTTGACCTAGAGAGTATTCGATATCTGCGTGAACTTGGGATAGCAGGTGTGTTGTCGGGTACTCTACCGAGCGCTACTCAACAGAATCTATTTCTTACTGTACCACTTCGGCTCATGATTGAAGAAGTCTTGTGGCTTCTCATTAACAATCTTTGTGAAGTGAAAATCATCCCAGCCAATTCTGGAGATCATATGGCCAGCATTATCAAACAACGAAAGCTTGAGCTGGCTGATATGAATAAGAAAAACATGGAAAAGATGTTTGCTTTACAAAGAGATTATAAGCGTGCACTGCATAAACAAAAATTGGAGAAGCTAGGAATTAAAGAAAAAAATACCGACGCAAACGAGGAACTCATAAATTCATCTCTCTTTGTCGAGACACCCAACACATCGTTGATTACTCCAGAAGCGATAAAATCCCATCAGAGAGACCATATTTTAGATCTCCTAAAAAGTGCATTCTCGAAATACAACACATACTTGTTATACCAACAATTAAGAAACCAAAATTATGTCCTGGCTCCTGGTGCAAGATTCGGGGGTAAATATATTGCATATCCTGGAGACCCGCTAAGATACCACTCTCATTTAACCATTCAGGATGCTATAGACTACTACGAAGAGCCTATAGATCTCTTGCAACTGCTGAGCGGTGCAAGATTAGGTACCACTGTTAAAAAGCTTTGGGTTTTTGGAGGCGTGAAGGATAAAGAAAAGAATAAGCCAGTTTCATTTTACTCCGTAGAATGGGCTGGGTTTGGTTGAAATAGTATTTATTTTCTATATTGCATAAAACATATAACGAATTGCATTTATTTCATAATTCTAGGCTACCACCTTAAGAGTTATTTATTTCAAATAGTTAATTGCGGTAGCAAATTGCTGAATGTCCCCAAATACTATATCTAATTTATGGATAACACTAACGACGCATATTATGAACCCCAACAATGTTCCAAATAAAGCGTTAATTTGGGCACATGGCGCAGTTGGTAGCGCGCTTCCCTTGCAAGGAAGAGGTCATCGGTTCGATTCCGGTTGCGTCCATATTTTTTTTGAATTGGTACACGAATTTGAGAATATCTGAATGATGAGTAATTAACAGTATACCTTAAATAAAAACCTAGGTGGGATTCACTATTTTATAGAACTACTTTGTATTTTATTCATAATTTTTTGTGATCTTTTTTCACCTTTAAATTATCATAACATGCTAAACAAAAGGCCACTTCAAATGTTACAACATCAAACCCCAATTAATTTATTGTCCTTAGATTCCTTGTTTGTATATTCCATATGAGATCCATTTTATTCTTTCATCCTATAAACTTTATGGATCATCAATCTTTGTTCACGACGTAAGCGCCTAGTGTTTTGTCGATTTGAAAAAAGTATAAATACAAAATATAAAAAAATTGCAGCGCTATTTAGTCTTCCCTTAAACATTAGGTAGAATATTACAATGCTAGAGACTCTTCTGCTTGACCCATTTTACTTGCGTTCAGGTATTGATGATGTTCTAATCTCTTCTTGGCATACAGACATCGTATTGACAAGTCCAGCCGCATTACATTCCAAGATCCCCATTACGATTCCAAACACAAAGAATACAGGTGTTAAGGTATGTAACTTGAGTTTAATATATGATACCAAACTGTTGAGACCACTTTTACTGACAGATAATTGGTTTGCTTGCAAAAGAGCATTTCTCATGAAATAGATATCAATTAAGTTTAACTTTTCAGATGCAAGATATATCTCTAATTTAAAAACGCAGCTACTGAAACAACTCTTAGAAATTAATGGAATATGGACAAATATGTATTACAACGTCGTTGCAAGCCGAACTTCTGATAATTGTGGGGTAGAGTGGGCTCTAAAATGCCAAATATGGACTCCAAATAGGGCCGGAACATTAACAGAGACATCAAGAGAACATTCTATAGGTGCTAATATTTTTCCATCTGTGAGGTGCTTAGAAGAATTAAACATTTCAGTTCAACTGCACACCAATATTAGAAAATTGAGTGACATAAAATCACACTTCTGCTCACATTTTAACGAGTATTTCATATCAATATTGGTGTCTCAACTAGAGTTCAGGTTTCCATTGGTGTTTTCCTATCCTGCAAGAACAAGATTGAGGGTACAAGAACCAAACATCGCTCCAATATCGTATGCTCTCTCTAATTCTTCAGCACTAATGCTAGACTTAGTATCAATCATGGAAAAACAGCCAACTAATACTACAATATATCAACTAATAACATATAGAAAGGATAACGAAGTCTACAAACTGTATCCCTTAGATATTTGAATATTGAGATTGGTGCAATGATAGCTTATTATACTGGCTTATCGCAATCGTCATATATGCTTTTTGGAGGCATCCCCGAAAGGGCTTTTTTTAACAAAAAAATCCGAAGTGAACAAGGTAAGACGAAGTAGTACCTAATTAAGCAAAGCCATTCATGCTTATTGTGTTTACTGATCGACATATCATTTGAAACTGGGTCAATTGATAAATCACCAGAGTGTAGTATATTATAGTTGAACAAAACTTATTTCGGATCTGATAATTCAATTACTTATTCTACTTCGACAATAGAGGATAACGATAAAAGGACATTTTGCAATACTTGAACATGTCCGCTGTCGAGGTCCTACTAACAGTGGGCAAGATGGATGCCTCCCTGGCTCTCCTCACCACTAAGGATCATCATGTTATAGAGCTACCAACAATGCTGTTACCCGAAAATGTTAAAGCAGGTTCAATAGTAAAGATGCAGGTTGTCCAAGATGTTAATGAAGAAGAGAAAGAGAGATCTAATTTTAAGAACGTGCAGGCTGCTATATTGGAGAAATATGGTTCTTCTAGACCCTCAGCTCCTATATTAAAAGTAATCAATGTCACTCAAACTGGCTGTATATTGGCATGGGATCATCTTCAACTTGGTTCAGCAAAACTGAAGTCTTTAGTGCTTTACAGACAGGGTGTTAGATCTATGGTTATTCCAAATCCTTTCAAAGTTACAACAACAAAAATATCTGGGTTATCCATTGATAGTGTATATGAGTTCCAATTGAAACTATCCACAACGTCAGGACAGTTTTGGTCAGAGAAAGTAAAAATTCACACGCACAAGATGACAGATATGTCCGGTATTACTGTGTGTCTCGGACCTCTTGATCCATTACAGAAAGTGACACCTAGACAGATTGCACATAGTTTAAAGACTCTAGGAGCTAGACCATTGCAAGATCATGTTGCTATCGACACAACTCATTTTGTTTGTAACGATATAGAAAATGACGACGACCCTGAGTTATTAAAAGCTAAGAACAACAATATCCCGATTGTCAGACCCGAATGGATTAGGGCTTGTGAAGTTGAAAAGCGTATTGTTGGGGTTCGTGGTTTTTATCTCGATGCCGATCCATCAATTCTAAGTAATTATGGTTTCCCAGAACTTACAGATGAACAATTACAAGAGAAGGAGGTACCTGCTTTGCCAAATGAAGAATCGGAGGCACAATTTGTGAAAGACAAATTAGACCAAGTAGCAGATGAGTCAGTGAAAGATGCTTCAACAGAGGCAGTCTCTGAAAATAACGATGATGAAACCAAGAAAGAACAGGTGAAGGAGTTAGAGACCGATTCCCAGGATAACATAGAGGAACCAATTCAGGAGGAGTCAAAGGATGTACCAGAGGGAGAACCTCATGATGAGTTTAAGAATGAAGGAACCGAAGAGCTCTCAGAAGTTAAGGACTCAATAGAACAGGAAATAATGGCTGATGAGAAGTTAGTTGAAGAGCAACCAAAGCTAGCTGAAGGGGTCCAGGTCACGGAAGATGTTGCACCAGAGGAGGTGTCATACGTAACTGAAGATGTAGCCAAACCAGCTGAAGAGGTTACAGCAGTTGAAGAGGTAAATCAACCAGCCGAGGAAGTTAATGCAGCCACTGAGGAAGTAGCTGAACCAGAAGAAGAAGTAGCTGAACCAGTTGAAGAAGCTGGACCAGGTAGGGAAGTTACAACTGAAGAAGCTGAACTAGCTGAAGAAGCTACAGAACCAGCTGAAGAAACTGAACCAGCTAAGGAGGTTATAACTGAAGAAGCTGAACCAGCTAAGGAAGTTACAGCTGAAGAAGCTGAACCAGCTGAAGAAACTGAACCAGCTGAGGAAGGAAATGCATCCGCTGAGGAGGTTACAGTTAGTGAGACGAAAGCAGATGAAGATGAAGAACCAGAAGAGGTTGGAAGCACAAACGAAGACAAGACACAGGTGCCTGTAATAGAAGTCCAAGACGAAACGCCAAGCCCCAGCCCCAGCCCAGCGCCAGCAGGTAAGAAGAAGAACAAGAAGAAGAAGAAGGGCAAGAGAAAGTAAGGAGTTGTAGCCATGTATGAAGTATAATATTAATATAAATCTAACCCATTCAAAGGCCGCCAGCCGACCCACCCACGTATATCTATATAACACCTATATATATTTATGCTGCGCGATACCATGGATAAGATCATTAAGGAGTAGCACATGTGATCTCATTTCTTACAGGCCAGTGACAAAAGTATCAAACGCGAAAAGAGACTCTGCCAAGGAGAAGCGCGAAAAGCGTTTCCAGTTGTCAGGGCTCAGAATAGAGCTGATCCGTGCAAAACTCCTTAGAAACGAGTGCACAATGGGGGGGGGATCATGGTACCAAAAATCTCAATTCCAATTACGAAAGCCTTCATTTACTTGTTTTGGATACTGGTTTGTAGGTCTGCAAGAGCGTACCTGGCATTCTGTGTGAAATTGTGACACACAGAGAAGGGAGATATAAGTAAATCACTGGGGTTTAGCGCACAAAACTCTTGTTTCCTCTTATGAAATGCAGTTCTCTGCGCCTGTGTCTGTGTTGCGCCTCGTTTTTGTTTTCAAATTGCTTTTTTTTCTTTTGATTCTTCTGAATCCTCTCTACCCCCCGTCTCTGCCCCCCATCTCTGCGCTGGTTTGTTAGTAAAACTCCCGGGAACCTTGATCCCTCCCCCATCTCATGGGAAGAAGACTGTAGAAGCCTGGCTGCGTCCTGCGTGTGTCTCTGTGAAGAGTATGGGAGAGGTTTGAAGGAGATTAGCTAAAGACGCACAGACAGCGAAGCATCACCAAGAAAATGGAAGATCCTGCGTGCAACGGGCGCAGTGACAGAGCGGGAAAATGCTTCTATTTTTATTTATTTCTATCAAGCCTGAGACAGGCCAAAGAATAGCTTGTCAATAATGATACCAGCGGCGATCACTCACATCGGCTTCTCGAGTGGATCAAAAAAAAAAATTCTGATTTCTGAACTTGTAACATATAGTTATAAAGCTCAGCGTTTATAAGTTGCTCCAGTCTACCTAACCGGAAAGGTACATAACAAGGAATGAAGCTGCTACTAGTGCTAATGGCTGTGGCCACAGCGCAGATAGTGCCCAACACTATCCCTACGAACACAAATACGAACACTAATGCGATCAATACCAACGCAATTAATACCAACATCAACAACAATGGGTCTTACTCAATATCGTCGTCGATATCTAGTGTGTCGTCAGTGCAATCGATAAGCTCTTTCAGCTCTTTTAGCTCGCTGTCGAGCTCTTCAAGCTCATCGATAGCCTCTGTCCCTACTTTATCGGTGCTACCAACATCAAGCAACTCATCGACGATATCATCGACGTCGCTATCCTCTTCTTCATCGTCATCTGCATCTTCATCGTTGTCATCGTCGTCATCTTCTATTTCGTCCTCGTCCTCGTCATCGTCTTCATCTACTACATCATCTACTTCGTCATCGTCATCGTCATCGTCATCGTCCTCATCATCGTCCTCCTCCTCCTCATCGTCTTCCTCTACTATTACCACACCTACAACTACAGAGAATCCTACCATCACTAGTATTATTGAAGGTAAGACAATTTTGTCGGATCTATACACTACAATTACTTACACACCAACAGCGACCCATGGAGCCAACAATAAAAAAGTTCACCACGGACTTTCCAAGAAGAACCGTAACATTGTGATAGGTTGCGTTGTAGGTATCGGTGTTCCGCTCATTGTGCTGACACTATTCCTGCTCTATGTATTCTGTATTCGCTCGCCAAAGACAGACTTCATCAACTCTGATGGTAAAGTGATCACAGCTTACCGTCCTAACAAGATAACCAAGTGGTGGAATGCACTGATGGGCAGAGAGATAACAGAGGAGTACCAGTCGAAGTCCCCACTTGGGGGCGAGGCTTCTGACTTCGAGGACTCCGAGCTGGCTTACGCGGACGACGACGACGAGTCCCTCTCTTATGGTGCAAGCAACATGGATAGCCGACAACCGAACAGAAACAACTCTGGAGCTAGCCACCCAACAAGATCTAATAACCTCATCATGGAGGAAGATAGATTCTACGATGAACACGGCAACGAATTGACAACTACCAATTACTGATTGCCCATTATGTGATAAGTGGCTACGTGTCCTTCAGAATTTTCAAAAAGAAACCCATCCAACTATTTTTAATTGCATTTTCTCATACATTTACAATTTGTTGTCCTACCGTTTTTGCTACCAACAAGTTTTCCAACGTATCTCCCCGTTTTCAAAAGTTTTAACAATAAGTACTAATTTATAAATCCTGCATCCTTTTTTAATGATACATATTTCTGTGTTTACAACATACGTTTTTCATCTACATAGTGCAAGACAAGAGTAGTGGCGCATATATAGCTTTTCAATTCAGATTTTTGAGCTTTGGTATATTGGTTATCTTCCTGTGTATTTGGTTCAGAAGCAGAACTGAAAAGTAAAGTTTTTCATCATGAAAAGCTATGCGTTGGTAAGGCATAATAATGTAATCGATGTTACACCATTGATAATACACTTAATGTCCGAGGTCTCGCTTAAAATTTTCGTATTTGGATAAAATAAATCAGATGGTGATGCATGTTTTTATCCGAGGCACATATTCAATGAATCATCGCCGGATAGTTAAAAGACGGAATGTCTATTCATCATTTGACAAGATATAAAAATGTATCCATGTTTTTGTAATTTAATCCAAAACAGACATTAAAATCATCTGAAACATCGGTAATTAAGAGAAATTGCTATCAATGATCAATTGTGTTCTCACAATTATCTCGATTAAACAAGTATCCCCACTTCTTCCACAAATCTTTTGAGAAAACTTTAACCTTCAAAACACTAATTTCAGATCATAAACGAAGAATTCCTAATTAACAATATGTCCTGCATGTACATCCTCAGTAAAAGCAGACCCGAAAGTCCATAAAGTGTTTTATAATCATATAAAAAATTAGTGCAATAAAGCAAAGCCCCCCCAAAAGATCTCTCAATATATAGAAAGGCTTCCTAGCCTTTCATAAATATAAAGAGTTTAAGAGTTCGTTGTTCTCATTTGCATTGCAACTTCTCTTCATTTAACCACACCAGATCAAACATACCAATATCACCGTCACTATTTATACCATTAGCATTGAAAAAATTTTCAGTGAAAATTTTTTTTTTTGGCTCTGCAATTTGCAGTGCAGAAAAACCCATAATGGGCATCGCAAAATCAAATGAATTAGGGCTTGTGAATAATTGAGATGCTTGATTGTACAATACTATGTTGTCTTGTCCTACCTTGTCTCAAAAAGAAAGCTATCACTAAGCTATAAGCCAGTACAGTGACATATATTATACTATTTCAGAGCGGTACTGCTAAGGATAGTAGGGTTTGTTCTTGAGAAAGGTAGAGCTAAATAATTGCCGTTCTTGTAACCTACAATTAATTGAAATACAACCTATAGCAACAGCCAGCAGTAGTTTAAATGAGCGACTAATTTGAAATTTTAAAAATGAGTGATTATAGTCTCTGGTTTTTGCTGTTACTTTAACGAATCCAGTATTCCGATATAGTGTAACGGCTATCACATCACGCTTTCACCGTGGAGACCGGGGTTCGACTCCCCGTATCGGAGTGATTAGCCAAATTTCAAATATATTTTTTGCTTCTCTTTCTGAAGAAAGAAACAACGACAATATGAGAATAATAGGTCTGACGACGTTTAGTAAAACAATTTATTAAAGTTAGGATATTATTTAATATCCTGTAGCTACTTTCTATGATGTCCCTAATGTCTTTCTTTAGTTCATAATTTTTTTAATACCAAACCTGGTAATTGCCTACAAAAACTACCTGAGAGATACTATTAATACAATAGGTAGTTACTATAAAGTATCATTATTTAAAAATTTAATAGGCGGTGCAATTCACATTCTGCTTTTGTACTTCAAATATTTAACATTGTTGAAAGTAATCACATTACCTTTAGTTAACATCAATCACTAGCAACGAACAACAATCTCTGCCAAAATTTGAGAATTCTAGCAGCTTAGAATGGCCCATCACACGCAATGAGCTGGAGGTTACTTTCGTCATTTCATTGACTAAACCAGACTCTAGCCGCCTGAAACAATCGGCAATTATACACCCACAGAACTGAACAGTAATTACTGATTATTATCCTGGGTACTTTGAAGTTTGGCACGAGGTTAATACAAGGATAGATTATCAAGCCAACAATACACTCAGTGAGCTGAAATTATAACAAAAGGAATAAATGTCTAAGAGAGGAGCTGACAACCAATTGACCAGAGAAGAGCTGGATAGGGACGATATCTCGGATGAAGAAACCCCTCACCAAGCTACTATGGCCAGTTCAGACGTGATAAGTCGTCGAAAGATTGCGATGCCCAAGCGTAAGATGGCTTTTCCTTCAACTTTAAGAGGTAATACAGACGAAAGCAAGACCGCAAATGCGTTTTCATTTTTGAAGAAGCCTCAAACTGAAAAGACTGCTGCCAATGCGGATGACAAACCCGCAAAATTGAAAGCCCTCAACTTACAATTCAAAGATAAACTGGAAGAATTTTTAAACAGTGATCCTGCCTGCGATTTGCGTCCTGTATTTATGAAGTATGGAAAGTATATTGATGAAATTAACTCTTCAACTTCAAAAACATCTGTACCCGAACCTAAAGCATTTTCCTTCACTCCACAGAGTATCACTGAAACCGTAGCTCCTGGCTTTGGTAAGGTTTCTGCCCCAAGAGCTACTACTACTCCAGATGTTCATACACCTAAACAAACTACATTCCCATTTGCACCACAGGCCCCAAAACCAGAGGCTGCTTCATCACAGGAACCACCAAAGAGCTCATTTACTTTCACTAAGCCAACTACTACAGTTTCTGACAGTAAAGCTAACGCTGACAGCTCAGAGAGTGACAGCGAAGATGAGAAAGAAATCAAAATTACAGGTCCAACTTTCTCTATTTCAACCAAACCAATAACCTCAGATTCTGTTTTCGCATTTGGTGCTGCCAAGAAAGAACAAAAAAAGGACGATAGCGATAGCGAAAGTGATGTAGAAATTAAAGGTCCAGAATTTAAATTTGCAGGTGAGGTTAAGAGTGACGTCTTCAAACTACATAAGAAAGCAGATGAAAACAAAAATGAAACCAAGACTGACAACTCTAAAGTAACGGAAAATAAGGCCCCTACATTTTCTTTTGGCTCAACACCAAATCCTTTCAATACTTCTGGCAGCAAAGATGAGAATAATTCAGGAAGCAATGAACCAGCAAAACAAGCAAACACAGTTCCAAAGCCAGCCTTTTCATTCACAAATAATCTAATTAGCAAAGAATCCGAAAGTTCACAAGAGAAGAAGCCTTTATCATTCAACTTCACTGCCCCAAAGACTGACAACAATGAAGTCCAAGAAGCATCTGAATCTGAAAAAACAAAGAGTAGTGAATCATCAACTTTTTCATTTGGTAATAATACTACAACTAAAACCAACCCTTTCAGTGGAAATACTTCAGGGTTTTCCTTTGGAAAACCTGCTTCTACATCTAACACCACCGAATCGAAACCTTCCATATCCTTTAGTAAGCCACAGAACAATGATACAGTTCCTAAATCTGCATTTTCCTTTGGGACATCAGCCAATACAGTAACTGAAACAAATGAAGAAAAAGATTCTAATACCAATGGAGGCAACGAAGATTCAAAACCTGCGCTCAACTTCAACTTTTCATCTAATACATCTAGTCAAAAGCCTTCATTCAGTTTTGGATCGACTTCTGAAAAAAAAGAGGAAACTACTGAACATTCAACTACATCAGGTGGTTTTTCATTTGGACAATCTAAAGCCCCTGCTTTTAGCTTTGGTACACCAGCCACAAATACAACAACTAACAATCCACCTTCTTCTGGATTCAAATTTTCTTTACCTTTTAACCAAGAAAATAAATCGAATGAGGCTGATTCCAGTAAAATCAGTGAAAAGAAGGAGGATGGGAATTCTGCAACTGTAGAGACAACTGAAGAGCAATCTACTTCTTCATCCATACAATTACAAAACGGAGAAGAAGATGAAACTCCATTATTCACATGCAGGTCCAAGCTAATGACAATTAACACTAAAACCAATGGTTATGATTCTCGCGGTGTTGGTGAATTGAAGCTTCTACAAAAAAAGGATGACAAGTCGAAAATTAGACTACTGTGCAGATCTGATGGTATGGGTAATATCCTATTAAACACTGCTGTAGTAAAATCATTTAAGTATTCACCTCTAACTCCTGAAAACGAGAATTTAGTTAAGATTCCAACCATAGACAAAGATGGTGCTCTCGTAACGTATGTTGCTCGTTTCAAGCAAAAAGCTGATGGTAGATTGTTTGTCAAATCCATCGAAGATGCCAAGAATGATATGAACTAAACAATTAATGAATAGGAGCATTATTATTTTCATTTAATATCAATTTAAGTAGTGACTATAAAAATGACGAATGTACTGTACTCTATAAACTAATGCAATATCTGACTGAAGATATAACCTGCTCGTCCTATTTTGATTGTCTATTCAAAACGCATTAATAGACAATTCTTCGTTGATAATATGTTTAGTAGCGGAAAGTCCCCAATCGAGCCTTCTCGAGTCTTTTTCATATTTTTTATCTCCTTTTCTGCCACTAATGTAATTATGGAATTTGCGCTTTTTTCCTAAAAACCAATTAAGCCCTTTCAATATAAACGACTTGTTGTCATCCTTTATCCCACGAACGATGATGTCCTTTAATAATGATGTAGTGTATGCCACGCCTTCTTCGGTCTTACTTTTAGACTTTTTTTCTGACTTTTTCGCTACCAATATTAACAATTGATATATCATGACCTCCATGAAAATATAGCCATTTGGTTTTAAACCACCAATGATTGGAGCATGCTTTAAGACATCAAGTTTCAAAATTTGTTCAGCTATCATTGACCCAAAAAATTTACCTTGGCTAATGGTCCTTTTTAAGGCAGTATTTTCGTCAACGTCTTCGGAATCATCAATTAAGTCGTCTTCATCAGAGTCATATGAAGAATTATCTTCGAATCTTTTTAGTATATCCCAGAACAAAAATTGAAATGGTTTCTGCAAATGACCATTCAATTCACAAAGTTTGTTTGCTACCAGATAATAGTAGGGGTTATAACCACTTTTCCCACTTTCAGACAGCAGACAATGCATTATAACCTTAGGAACTTCAACCAACTGTTTATTTTTTAAATTCAGCTTTTCAATTTTTGATGAGGCATCTACGTAATCCTGTGCTGACATTATACTAACAAATATAGCTCTCCTTAATTCAGTATTCATTCTTTGAGAGCGGGCTATTTCAGCCCAATCAGGTATATCGTCCAGGAAGTCATCTTTTATGTCCATTTCTGATACAATGTTTTTTGCAGCACCAGAAGAAATGCCTTCTTCAAAGGCACTATTCATATTACCTTTCCATGATGCTCCGATTAACCACCATTTACCTTTTGTCTCAATATTTTTTATGTCATCTAATGAGACTTGAAGTGGTTCCTCTGTGTTACTTCCACGAATAGCTGATAATACATTCTTCTTGGTAGGATGAAAGTCTGCAGCCATAATTGATGGCTTTAATCGATTGTTTTTTAAGTCTGCCATAGTATCCAATAAAAACTGCATTCTAGGAGAAACTGTTTTCAATACTTTGACATTTGATAATAAATCTGCAATTATATCTTTTAGAGCTGAAGGATCGTCTGATCTAATAAGAGGTCCCGAAATTGATACAATCCTCAATAGCAATTCAATTGTAAACTCATTTGGTTTAGTAATTAACTGTTTTATCATATCAAAGACCAAGCTAGAAGACATCAAACCAAAATTGTAACAATAAGATATCAAACTGATAATATTTGATGATTGTTTACCTATTATTTGCGGAGAGTCTTCGGAAATTTCAGTCATGGATTCATTTTCATCTAGCTGCTTTTCAAGATGCTTTAAAAAGTGCTCAACAATCTGCTGTAAAAATGATGCTCCAACTTCGATACCTCTTAACCTCCATAGAGAGTAAACAATAGCAGCATAGTTCATGATGAAACTGTCAAGTAGCTTATTATTTTGAGCAATAATCTGCATCATTTCTTTTGTAACACTATCAGAAACATATTGCCTTGGATAAGTGTCATATAACTCATTTAAGGTCGAGACCATAATGACCAAATTGGAATCCGAAAGCTTGTTTAAAGAGGATTTTACCTTCTTTCTTATTTCGATAATCATAGAGTTATCGGAGTCCTCATTTAATTTATTTTTCCTCAAAGAGGGAGGAACATAAGCTTCAGTATCCGCTGCAGCTGGTGCCACATATGGATTTTCTCTCTTATTTTTCTTCTTTTTGGAAGACTTAGTATCCTCACCATCACTTTCTTCTTCATCTGACGCTTCGAGCTCCCTAAGTTGCGCCCATTCTTCTTCGTTGAGATCATTCTCATCAAATTCATCAAAATCACCTGAAGATAATTCATCATCAGATGGAAACGGCAGTTCTCCTTTAGAGTTGCCAGCCATTCTTTTGACGTCCTCCCTTTTATCTTCTTCATCATATTCAGAACTATCTTCGACACTAGATACGCTTTCACTCGAATCTGTTTCCTCATCTTCACCATAGTTTTCAAAATAATCTAAACCTTCTAACAGTCCACCAATCGCATCATATTCGTCACGAGCTTTTAATTTCTTGCGTTTTCCTTTTAGACCTAACTTCTTTGCGTAATGTTCCATATCCCATTCATCTCTCTGGATAGCCGCCCTATCCATTGGGGATAGTGGGAACTCAACAACTTCATCAGACTTAGATTTTGACTTAGTTTTCAGCTTTTTTGATGTCGTATCAGCCTTGTCTTTGTGATTAGTAGAATTTTTAGATTCTTTCAGTTTTCTTAAGGCTGCCCAGGTTTCTTCTGGAGTCATTTCAGCTTCCTCCTCCTCTTCTTCTTCATCATCATCATCATCATCATCATCATCATCATTACTTATGACTTCATCACTATCAGATATCAGCTCATCGGACATGAAATCATCGCTTTCTGATATTATCTCATCTGAGATTGAATCATCACTTCTATAGGATTCAAATACTTTTACTTGATTCTCAGAGGAAAATCTCACGCTTTTTTTAGATTGATTCTCTGTTCTTTTGGATTGATCTTTCATTTTCTTAAGTTCTTTCAATTTATTCATTGTTTCCTCAACGGTCATTTCTTGATCATCTTCTTGCTCCTCTTCATCGTCAAACTCAGAATCCGGAAGATCGCTATATTCCTCTTCGGAGTTCTCATCTTCATCACCTTCTATGCCAACTACGGTCTCTAACTTGTGGTTGTTCCATTTTTTTGCTTCTTTCAATGCCTTCAATTTGGCATATGTTTCTTCAACTGACATTCCAGAATCTACTTCTTCACCACTCAAATCGGACCCACTGAAGGTTTCTTCTTCTTCAAGTTTTGATACAGAATCATCACTTTCACTCTCACTGGAAGGCTCCTGCTTTATATTAGCCCTCTTATTGTGCTTCACATTTCCTGATTTCTTATCTTTTAATGCTTTTAGTTGAGCATAGGTTTCATCAACAGTAAGCTCCGATTCTTCACTCTCATCTGAAACCTCTGAGATTATCTCATCTTCGTCTGGGTCCTCAAAATGGTTCTCACTAGCATCCGAAGAGCTCTCTTCAAAGCCACTGTCCTCTTCCTGTTCAGATCCTTCTAATTCCCTTAGTTGCTCCCATTCCTCTTCATTTAGATCACCTTCCTCAAACTCATCAAAATCCCCCGAAGATAGCTCATCATCAGAGGAAAACGGTAATGCATCTTCTTTACTCTTGCGATTATCTTTCTTATTAGCACTTGCCCTCGTAGCAGAATTCTGTTGCTGTGGCTTTTTCTTCAACACCTTATCAAGGTCAACTTCTTTCTTGCCCTTTTGCTTCTTCTGAGCCCTTTGCAGCTTTCTTCTATCCTTACGATTCAACTGACCCTTAGGCTTACGCTTACCTAGCTTAAACCTCTCATCATTACTGTAGTCTCGCTCTTTCAATTCATCCAGTATCACACCAGGGATGTTGATCCCACTCCTTTTACTGCTCATACTCGTTACCACAGTAATGTCTTAAGCACTTTGACCATTAATAGTTCATATTTGTATCCTACAAATTCCTATATATTTTTATGCGATGAGCTCGCTAACCTCATCGCAAAACAATTTTTCCAAAATTTTTCAGAATATAGTAGATATTTTCACGTGTGCTCAGAAACAGCCGTAGAATCTAATTAATGGAAATTTAGTATATTGGTTAATATAGACATCAGGTCAGTATATTTGGCAGTATGTACCAAAAGCATATAAACCAGGTTCACAAAATGAACAATTATACTAGACAGCTCTTCAACTCTCGAGAAAATTGAGCATTGATGGTGTGATTCAATGATTAAGTAACCTCGACGAGCGCAATACCGGTAGTTATTCATTGCAGATGCAATTTCATATCATATGCGATGTTGCAATTGAAAGAGATTTCCATAAAGTATATGGCTTATTATTAACAGTTTCCAGTCGTACTACTTTGTTGTGCATATCATCTTGGTTGATGCTGACTAACGCTCAAGACGTTAAACACGAAAGAATGCGATGAGCTGGATGGCAAATTATAAGAGCAAGTAGTACAGGAGTTTCAAACAGTGTAACTTAATATTGATCAGTCTCATTCCAACCTTTGAGTGTATAGTATATAGGCATGTCTCCAGAAGAAGGACTGACGGGAAGAAAGATTATCTATGACGAGGACGGGAAACCGTATGTATCGAGGTGGCACATTTGCAATGACTAAGCGAACAATAGGCGTTATTACTAACCATTTATTTATAGTTGTCGATCTTGTAATACATTATTAGACTTTAAATTTGCTACTGGAACAATTAGCAAGGCTGGATCAGTGATACCTGCAATGGCTGCTACCGATAACTCTGCTGAGGAGTTGATCCCTGGCTCTAAGACTTACAAGAAGATTGATCCACCTGATGTTCAGCAGCTCGGTGCCAGTTCATGGTCTCTACTACACTCCATTGCTGCAAAATACCCAAAAACTCCTTCAGAGACTCAGCAGAAAGAAATGTCCCAATTCCTGAACATTTTCTCACACATATACCCTTGTAATTGGTGTGCTGCTGACTTTGAGAAGTATATTAGAGAGAATGCTCCAAAAGTTAGTTCTCGAGAAGAACTCGGTAGGTGGATGTGTGATGCCCATAATAAGGTCAACGTGAAACTTGGCAAACCAAAATTCAACTGTGACTTCTGGGAGAAACGCTGGAAAGATGGTTGGGATGAGTAAATCTCGCATCCTTCAAGTTTGAGTAACGATATTACTCTAGGATAAAATATAGAATTGTAAATAGCTTAAAAATTACATCGAAAATCATTAAAAGGTATAGCATAAAAATAAACACAGACAACTAGAAAACCCTATTGCGTTACTATAGAAAATTTATCATTAATAAAATTGGCTCATCGAATGAATTTTAGGCGTAACTGGAAATATCAAGTGGAACACTTGTACCCTTACCACTTGGATATAGCTTAGTCTTGCCTTGAAATGGTCTTGGTTTAGGGAGTTGGTTAGCGTTTGTCCATTTGAATCTTGAGTCATCCACTGTTACCTTTCCTGACTGAATTTTCGTTCCCGTAGTGCTACTGCTACCATTAATAGTTACCAAACCAACATCAATTTCAGGAGCATTAGTATATTGATTAACCTTTCTCTCAGCTGTTCCACTAGAGAATAATCTATGTTTGATATTACCAGCAGAATCTGTTGATTGAGTTTGTTGTGAGCTTGTAGACGCAGGAGGTGGTGGTGGAGCTGAATGTGTTAATGGCGCAGGAGCGGAAGGTGGTGGAGGAGCTGCTGGCATCGAAGGCGCAGAAGGAGGTGGAGGGGCTGCAGGAGTCATAGGAGCGGAAGGTGGTGGTGGCGGAGCTGGAGGAGCGGCAGGAGCTGAGGTCGATGGCGGAGCAGGAGCTGATGGTGGAGCAGGTGCGGAAGGTGCAGGAGGGGCGGATGGTGGTGGTGGTACAGATGGGACATCTGGTGCGTCAGCTCCATGGCTATTTCTTGCAGCTAAGGATGCAGCGATATCAGACATGAAAGAGTTACTTGGAGCAGCGCCATGACTATCACCACTTGCTTTTACACTGGGAACTGGAGGTGCGGTTGACGTAGGTATTTGAGGAGCAGAAGGAGGAAGAGGTGGTGCTGCAGATGAAGGTGCAGGCTCGTGATGTGAATGCTTCAATTTGGACTCTATTTCACTCATGAAAGACATGCCTGCACCACCAGCTGGAGGTGGAGGGGGAGCAGAAGTTGTTGGCGCGCTACCTGCTGCACCTTGTATATCTGTCTGTTCAACCTTTGTGGAATAATTAGAGTCGCCTCCGACCACAAATCTATCGTCACGTTTCTTCTGTATTTCGGCCAGGAATGGTAACGGGCCAGATGAAACAGGTGGCGGCGAAGATGACTTCATGCTTTTTGCCGCCTGTAGAGCTGGCGCTGGAGGTGCTGGAGGTGCCGGGGGAGCAGAAGTCATAGAAGGAGCCGGGGGCGCAGGGGGTGCTGGTGGTGCCGGAGGTGCAGATACCATAGGAGGAGCTGGTGGTGCTGGTGGTGCTGGTGGTGCTGCAGCCACAGGAGGAGCTGGTGGAGCTGGTGGGGCCGGTGGGGCCGGTGGGGCTGGCGCTGATGGTATCGATGGGGCTGAACTAATTGGTGGAGCTGGAGGTGCTGGTGCTGATGGAATTGATGGTGCAGATGCCACTGGTGGTGCAGGAGGGGCGGATGGAGGAGATGGTGCCCTGTTTGTGCTTGTACTGGCATTGTTACTAGCGTGTGAAACTGTTTTATCATCTACAACACCTTTCTCAGATCTTCTGGCGTTTATTTCTGCCAGGAATGGCAGACCACCTGGTATGGATGGTGGTGGATTTGATGCTGGGGAGTTATCGCTTTGGGAATTGAGGGCTGGTATAGATGGTGCTGACGACATTGGTGGCGCGGGTGGTGCAGGTGGTGCAGGTGGTGCAGAAGGCGCCGAGTTCATAGGAGGAGCTGGAGGCGCTGGTGGTGCTGGTGGTGCTGCTGCCATTGGTGGTGCTGGAGGCGCTGCTGCCATTGGTGGTGCTGGAGGCGCTGGTGGTGCAGGTGGAGCTGGAGCTGAAGGTATAGAAGGCGCAGATGTAGGTGGTGCTGGCGGAGCACCAGGCACCGGTGGCGCTGGTGCAGACGGTATACTATTTTGATTTTGAGTCTTTGATTCGTGCTTAGGGGGTCTCATCGAAGGCATAGATGGTGCTGATGGTGGGGCAGGTGCTGATGGGGGAGGTGGAGCTGAAGGAGGAGCAGGGGCAGAAGAAGCAATTGACGATATCGAGCTTTTCTTTTGATGACTTCTGTTTGTTGGTCTACCGGAGGGCATGTTCGGTCTCCCGGATGGCATTTTAGGTGCCTGCTGTGGTGGTGGAGCTCCCGGAATAGGTGGAGCACCGCCAGGAGGAGCATTCGACCCGCTCACTGACCTTAGTTTAGGAATCCCGCCCGCGAGAATGTCACCCAGCTGAGGAGCGCCGCCAGGTATAGAAACCGGCACTGGAGGTGCGGATGATCCGGAGGGCGCGGAGGAGGGAGCAGAAGACACACCGCCTGAGGACAGTATTGGCGCACTTCTATCGTTTGTAACAGCCTTTTTCAGCTTCGCACCTTTCCTAATATCACCTAGCAGAGCGTCCCTGCCTTGCATCGCCGACTTTGGCACACTGGCAGCCGGTGCCATAGGCGGTGGGGGAGGTGGAGGTGGCGCAGACATTGTTCAATCAGTTTTATTTTATCTCTATAAATTAGTATTGTTCTTTAAACTGACTATTACTTGTAGAATTGAGATCATTTCCAAGGTTTATACAATTTAATACTATCCCAGTATAATCCATAGTCAATTTTTAGTTTGTAGGTATGCGATGGCACAGTGCTGGGAAGTGGGGAGGGTAAAAGAGACCCTATTTTCGCAGTGGGGGGGGAGGAAGAGAGGAAGAAGAGGAAGAAGAGGCATGACATGCCGTACACAGTGTTATAACAAATGTTACCATACACGTATCATATCATATGATGTTACGTGTAGTATTATATATACAAGAGAATTATGTGACTGTTTTTTTGGGACTTGTATCACAGATTACGTACATCCGGACACCCAATGTTTCAATTGAAGTTTCCCAGATCATCGAATTTGTTTTTTGATAAATTGAGAAGTTTTGGAGGGGGGAAGGGGGGATAAAACAAAATTGCCTGAATAGGTAGTTGGCATGCTGATTTCGGCTATCGAGACACTTATTCTGCACGTATTAGACTATGTTGCACATGACTTCCGTATGAAGGGTGTGAAAAATTTCAAAAGTTTGAACGAATTCGGGCGAAACAAGAACTGAAATTTTTTTTCTTTCACTTTGACTTGGACTTTCACGCAACAACACACTAACTTACCGGTGCTATGCTTGGTCAATTGTGTATCTCTCTGTTCTTGCTCCTTACCAATAGAATTTGTATTTGAAGAAAAAATGGTTTTTAAACAAATTATTGTAGGTTCTGTTTTGTTGGGCGTTTAATAGAGCTCCTAGATAACCAATCAGGAATACCTTTAAACATCCTAGCACATATATAATAGTTGATCATGGGAGGAATTCGTGAAAAGAAGGCTGAATACTTCGCTAAATTGAGAGAGTACTTGGAAGAGTACAAGTCCATCTTTGTTGTTGGTGTTGACAATGTCTCTTCCCAACAAATGCACCAAGTCAGAAAGGCTTTGAGAGGCAGAGGTGTTGTCTTGATGGGTAAGAACACCATGGTCAGAAGAGCTATCAGAGGTTTCATCTCTGACTTGCCAGACTACGAAAAGTTGTTGCCTTTCATCAAGGGTAACGTTGGTTTCATTTTCACCAACGAATCCCTAAAGGACATCAAGGAAGTCATTGTCGCCAACAAGGTTGCCGCTCCAGCTAGATCTGGTGCTGTCGCTCCAGAAGACATTTGGGTTAAGGCCATGAACACCGGTATGGAACCAGGTAAGACCTCTTTCTTCCAAGCTCTTGGTGTCCCAACCAAGATTGCCAGAGGTACCATTGAAATTGTCTCTGACGTTAAGGTCGTTGAAGCCGGTAACAGAGTCGGTCCATCTGAAGCCTCTTTGTTGAACTTGTTGAACATCTCTCCTTTCACTTACGGTTTGACTGTTGTCCAAGTCTACGACCAAGGTCAAGTCTTCCCATCCACCATCTTGGATATCACCGACGAAGAATTGGTCTCCCACTTCGTCTCTGCCGTCACCACCGTCGCTGCTATCTCTTTGGCTGCCGGTTACCCAACCTTGCCATCTGTTGGTCACACTTTGATCAACAACTACAAGAACTTGTTGGCCGTCGCTATCGCTTCTTCTTACCACTACCCAGAAATTGAAGAATTGATCGACAGAATCGAAAACCCAGAGAACTACGCTTCCGCTGCCCCAGCTGCCGCTGCTGCCTCCGGTGACGCTGCTCCAGCTGAAGAAGCTGCTGCTGAAGAAGAAGACGAATCCGATGACGACATGGGTTTCGGTTTGTTCGACTAAGGAAATTAATCTCAATTTTAAAAATTAACAAATTTACAATTTTTTTTACTATTTAGACCTTAATTTTCTGTAGTTTCTTAGCAACATTTCGGATGTATACTCTCATATGTACAATTTGAGTTATTAATTTAATTCTTATATTCATCATACTTTTTTTAGTGTTCTTTTTGTTGTCGTAGGCATCATTTATTTATATATCATTTATTTAACGTTTTGGTCGTATTCTCTCGATTCAATATGTTATTGTGTCATATATCAATGGCGCGCAATTAGAATTCACCACACACGTATCAACAATAATATACCAAAAATTTAAAAATAGTAGCAGCCTGTCATATACTATTTCATAGTCAGCTCTGCTCCCATGCCACCTATATACCGTAAATATACAATAGATACCGCCCGCAGATATGAATGTCCTATCGGTTCAGCACGAGAACATTCCTAGCATCAAATACCATAAGCGCCCTATCAAAGACGGTCAAAAAAGATGTGCATTCTACTTATCTACTGAGACAGAAAGCGTGGTGAATTATTCATTGCGTTTCGATTCGAAGAGTTTGAGCCGGCGTAAATTTGATGCCCTTCTAAAGGTTCCTACGCATGTATCCAACTCCAAAATTGACACCCATACATTACCACATTTAATAGAGATCATACAAGAACAAATAATTAGTGTTACCGAACAGAGGAAATGCGTCACTCTGCATGACAATCTATATATGATAGCGCTCTGTATCGTGCCGATGACAGTTGAGCTTACTCGCACGCTTGAACAAGTGAATAACGCATCACAAAGCAAGTTTACTGTGAATTCATACTACAGCAACAAATTCCTGTTCCTTATTGAAATACTAATAGAGTTCATATGGGTTGACCACATCAGAGCGCTTTGTAGGGAAGAGATACATAAGGACCACACACATAGTAACTATAAAACTCGATATAACATGACTATGTTAGTAGAGGACCCTGACTCAGTGCTGTCTCGCATATACTACAGATGGAGTAAGCTTAACTATTTTCCCATAACGTTACTTTCCAGCTTGAAGTTTACAGTCATTGGTGAAGGTAAGAATGTCGAAATTGGTTACAGGAATGAGACTCGCAAGATAGTCCTCAGTACGCTACTGTTGGTCAGTAAGAAGTGCTTTGTACAGTTTATGAAAATTGTAATGGCGCAACAGGCGTTATACCAGAACTTAGACGAGGCATGCTTTCTTCTTATGTGTGAGTGGCTTCTCAAAGGTACAGTTCAAAGCAATTCAGGAGAGAGTGTAGTAGGTATAAGGCAAGTGATCCTTGATCTGGTCAATGCCAAGGACGGTTCGCTATTAAGTGAACACCTTGGCTTTAGATGTAGATGTAATACGTGGGCCAAGCAGCTCAGCACTCGACTGATCGAGAACAAAACCAAAGAGGACGTAATACAAGGCACAGAGATAGAGGACACAGATCTGAAGTTTAACAAGTACGAAGTGGCGTTGCTGTTTTTGGATGATCTCATCCGCAGCACTGCCACTGTGCATTCCGTGGGGACATCCCAAGAGGACAGCAATATACAGGACGAACACACACAGGAGCTTACTCATAGGCCCTTGGAGTGGATGAGTGTGTTTAATTCATGTTCATACCACAGTGGAAATGCCATCAAACATCGGAAAAGATCTCAATTGCAAAATTGGTTCAAGAAGCACACTCTTATGCGAAGAATTATAAAGGTCTTTAAGAATCTACGTAGCTCATAGCATAGCCAACACACATAAAACCCTGTATTTCCGTTTTCTTTCCTTATGCAATCGTTACAAATCTGTAGTTGCCGGAAGTTACTGTTAATGGTAGCATATAACTTCAATATCCGATCCTTGACGCGTAATCCATATTGCTTCTCCTATCACCCAATCCCCCCCCTCCATTCCAGGAACACTGAAGCGATTGCAATTCGCGTTTCTAATTCTCACTTGTTCGGTTACGATAGAAAATGCAGTAGCCCTGGACCAAGAAGAAAACGCGAAAATTCAGCTCTCTAACCCGTGGCTCATAAGTACACAAGACACGATCGCAAAACGCGTCTACACATAACTCTCCCCACAAATCGATTTCCACTCACTTCCGGTTCCATTGGTGTCTAATTCATAACTCAAGGGCAAGGATAGTTAACACAACTTGTGAGAGAGCTTGAGAGAAACCCCGTAGCCCACTTCTCAAGTGCTAGTTTCTATACACATATTGACCAGCCATCTCTATTTTATGTAGAAATTGCTTTTTCTGTTCTTTCTACAGGGGTTTAAGAGACTGTACTTTTCGCTAGTAACAATGCCCTACAGAAAACCGCGTCTCTTTCTTTTTTTTACTTCCATCATTTTTTCTACGCACTGCCTGGCTAAAGACTGAGAAAATGCCGTAGTTGTATGTGTGCTCACTAGTGCGTTTAAGATTCAATGCGCGGTCTCCTAGAGATAGAAGGGGTGGGGAGAGATCTGGATCTATTATTATTTCTGCGTCAAATACCTGCAACCAGTCGAGAGACGGATCTATTTGAAAGGGGGAAAGAAAAAAAGAAAGGGATAGTTCCCGTATCCATGAGATAATGGCCGTAGAGGGGGTGGTTTGCGGCAAGAGGTGAGGGAGGGAGAAGGCAAATGATGCAGAGAAGGAGGGGGTAGTAGTTGTGGTAGCTCGGTGGCAAAGAGACGTCTGTAGAGAAAAACATATTTGTTTTTTCTTTTTTTCTGAGATCTAGGAATTCCTTTTTCCTGCTGAGATATATACGCACATACCAAAAAGAAAGAAAGCAGAACAGATCTCCTTTCTTTTTTTTCCAATATGGATCTATAATACTGTGTGCCCCATGCTGCTTTGACTTGCTCGAACTATCTACCACATATTGAAAGCTCCTTTACAGCACGCCATATTGTTGAATGGAGGGACGCGTTATTGTAACTTAAAAAAATTAAAAGAAATTTTTCTATTCTTCGTGTATCAGCTTAGTCCCTCTAATAATAAAAAAAAAATTGTAAATTACAAGAAATAGAGAAGCTTGGGAAACTGCATGAACCGTGCGAGTATTTGTTACTGCATTGTGTGTAAGGGTGGTAATTTTTAGTAGAGAATAGCTTGAAAGTAATCTAAAATTGCAAAAAAAAATTTGATCCGAAAAAACATGTTATTATTCTCATGATTTTTTTTTATTTTAAATAAAGAATTAATAAAATGGGAGCAAACAATTACAATTTGATTTTCTTTGTAAAAAAAAAAGTATTAGAACATTTCGATTTCTGATTTTTCTCTTTCTTGATCCTTTCATTTAAAAGGTAAAGGGTCTTTTCGAATCTTGCTATTAATTCCCTATCGCTTAGGAAAAGTAGCAATATATTTGAAAAGAAAGGACTGAAAAAAAAAGATCAAATACCAAAGGAAGAAAAGATATAACAAATTCACATTCGCTTAGAATTTATTTTAAAAAAAAAGTTTATCTTTGCCTTTTCTTTCATTTCTAGAGTTTTATCTTTTTTTTTTGCTCTTGTTTGATATACATTCGCTATGTCTTACAATAATAACGGACAACAAATGTCCGATCAGGGCTACTATGATAATAACCAAGGTTATTACCAACCAGAAGACCAACAGAATGGTCAAGCCATGTACGGTGACGAAGGTTACTACGACCCAAACATCAGCGGTGGTGACTACTACAACCAACCACCACCACCTCCAAACATGATGGGCCAAGACATGGAGAACTTCTCCGATTTCAGCAGTTACGGCCCTCCTGGTGTGCAAGGTTACGACTATCAGAACATGAACCAATCTGGTCAATACACGCCATCTCAAATGAGTTACAACGGCGATCCAAACTCTGGATCCTCAACTCCTATATACGGTAATGGCATGTCTGCTTACGATCCTAATGCCATCGCTATGGCGTTGCCTAACGATCCATACCCAGCATGGACCGCAGACAGCCAATCACCAGTGCCAATCGAACAGATCGAGGATGTCTTCATTGACCTAACGAACAAATTCGGTTTCCAAAGAGACTCCATGAGAAACATGTTCGACCACTTCATGACTCTTCTAGATTCTAGAACTTCTAGAATGGCTCCAGACCAAGCTTTGCTGTCTTTACACGCCGATTATATCGGCGGTGATACAGCCAACTACAAGAAATGGTACTTCGCCGCCCAACTAGATATGGATGATGAAGTCGGTTTCAGAAACATGAGCTTGGGTAAACTATCCAGAAAGGCCAGAAAGGCCAAGAAGAAGAATAAGAAGGCCATGGAGGAGGCTAATCCAGAGGATGCTGAAGACATTCTAAATAAACTGGAAGGTGACAACTCTTTAGAAGCCGCTGATTTCAGATGGAAGACTAAGATGAATGCCTTAACTCCAATCGAAAGAGTTCGTCAAATCGCTCTATACCTTTTGATCTGGGGTGAAGCTAACCAAGTGAGATTCACCTCGGAGTGTCTGTGTTTCATTTACAAGTGTGCCACTGACTACTTGAACTCTCCTCTATGCCAACAGAGAACCGAGCCAATGCCAGAGGGTGACTACTTGAACAGAGTTATCACTCCACTTTACCGTTTCATCAGAAACCAAGTCTACGAAATTGTCGACGGTCGTTACGTTAAGCGTGAAAAGGACCACCACAAGGTCATTGGTTATGATGATGTTAACCAGCTATTCTGGTATCCAGAAGGTATCGCTAAGATTGTCTTCGAAGACAGCACTAAGTTGATCGAGATTCCAGCTGAAGAACGTTACTTGAGATTAGGTGAGGTTAGCTGGGATGACGTTTTCTTCAAGACTTACAAAGAAACCCGTTCTTGGTTCCACATGATCACAAACTTTAACCGTATTTGGATCATGCACGTTACCATTTTCTGGATGTACGTTGCCTACAACTCTCCAACTTTCTACACACACAACTATCAACAATTGGTCAACAATCAACCACCAGCTGCCTACAAGTGGGCTAGTGCTGCTCTTGGTGGTACTGTTGCCAGTTTCATCCAACTTCTAGCTACAATCTGTGAATGGTCTTTTGTTCCAAGAAAATGGGCAGGTGCTCAACATCTTTCCCGTAGATTTTGGTTCTTATGTTTGATTTTTGCAGTTAACTTGGGTCCAATTATTTTTGTCTTCGCTTATGAAAAGGACACTGTTCAATCAAAGGCAGGCCACGCGGTTGCTGCGGTCATGTTCTTTGTTGCAGTCGCTACATTGCTATTTTTCTCAGTCATGCCATTGGGTGGTCTGTTCACGTCCTACATGCAAAAGTCTACCAGACGTTACGTCGCTTCTCAAACCTTCACTGCCTCCTTTGCACCTTTGCATGGTCTTGACAGATGGTTGTCTTACCTGGTTTGGGTTACTGTTTTTGCTGCTAAGTACGCTGAATCATACTACTTCTTGATTCTATCTCTAAGAGATCCAATCAGAATTTTGTCTACCACTACCATGAGATGTACTGGTGAATACTGGTGGGGTTCAAAGCTATGTAGACATCAATCAAAGATTGTTTTGGGTTTGATGATTGCTACCGATTTTATTCTGTTCTTCTTGGATACCTATCTGTGGTACATTGTTGTCAACACTGTCTTTTCCGTTGGTAAATCTTTCTACTTGGGTATTTCTATTTTGACTCCATGGAGAAACATTTTCACTAGATTGCCAAAGAGAATTTACTCCAAGATTTTGGCTACTACTGATATGGAAATCAAATACAAGCCAAAGGTTTTAATTTCCCAAGTCTGGAACGCTATCATTATCTCAATGTACAGAGAACATTTGCTTGCCATTGACCATGTCCAAAAGTTATTATACCATCAAGTTCCATCTGAAATTGAAGGTAAGAGAACTTTGAGAGCCCCAACTTTCTTTGTTTCTCAGGATGATAACAACTTTGAAACTGAGTTTTTCCCAAGAAACTCTGAAGCTGAACGTCGTATTTCTTTCTTTGCCCAATCCTTGGCCACCCCAATGCCAGAACCATTGCCAGTTGACAACATGCCAACTTTTACCGTTTTGACTCCTCACTATGCTGAAAGAATTTTGTTGTCTTTGAGAGAAATTATCAGAGAGGATGACCAATTCTCCAGAGTTACTCTATTGGAATACTTGAAGCAATTACACCCAGTTGAATGGGAATGTTTTGTTAAGGACACCAAAATCTTGGCCGAAGAGACTGCTGCTTATGAAGGTATGGATGATCAAGATCCTGAGAAGGAAGATGCATTGAAGAACCAAATTGATGATCTTCCATTCTACTGTATTGGTTTCAAGTCTGCTGCTCCTGAATATACTCTACGTACACGTATTTGGGCTTCTTTGAGATCTCAAACTTTGTACCGTACTGTTTCTGGTTTTATGAATTATGCTAGAGCTATCAAATTGCTATACCGTGTCGAAAACCCTGAAATTGTTCAAATGTTTGGTGGTAATGCCGAAGGTCTTGAAAGGGAATTGGAAAAAATGGCTAGAAGAAAGTTTAAGTTCTTGGTTTCTATGCAAAGATTGGCTAAGTTTAAACCACATGAACTGGAAAACGCTGAATTCTTGTTGAGAGCTTACCCTGATCTACAAATTGCTTACTTGGATGAAGAACCTCCACTAAACGAAGGTGAAGAACCAAGAATTTACTCAGCCTTGATTGACGGTCACTGTGAAATCTTGGAGAATGGTCGTAGACGTCCTAAGTTCAGAGTCCAACTGTCTGGTAACCCTATTCTTGGTGATGGTAAATCTGATAACCAGAACCATGCTTTGATTTTCTACAGAGGTGAATATATCCAATTGATCGATGCTAACCAAGACAACTATTTGGAAGAATGTTTGAAGATTAGATCTGTTCTTGCTGAATTTGAAGAATTGAATGCTGAACAAGTGTACCCATACTCTCCAGGTGTAAAATACGAAGATCAAAACACAAATCACCCAGTTGCTATTGTTGGTGCCAGAGAATATATTTTCTCTGAAAACTCTGGTGTTCTTGGTGATGTTGCCGCTGGTAAAGAACAAACATTTGGTACTCTTTTTGCTCGTACATTGGCTCAAATTGGTGGTAAACTGCATTATGGTCACCCGGATTTCATCAACGCTACTTTCATGACTACCAGAGGTGGTATTTCAAAGGCTCAAAAGGGTTTGCATTTGAACGAAGATATTTACGCCGGTATGAATGCCCTATTACGTGGTGGTCGTATTAAGCACTGTGAATACTATCAATGTGGTAAAGGTAGAGATTTAGGTTTTGGTACAATTTTGAATTTCACAACTAAGATTGGTGCTGGTATGGGTGAACAAATGTTGTCCCGTGAATACTACTATCTAGGTACACAACTTCCAATTGACCGTTTCTTGACTTTCTACTATGCGCACCCTGGTTTCCATTTGAATAACTTGTTCATTCAATTGTCTCTTCAAATGTTTATGTTGACTTTGGTTAATTTACACGCTCTTGCACACGAATCTATTATTTGTATTTACGATAAGAACAAGCCAAAGACAGATGTATTGTATCCAATTGGTTGTTACAACTTCTCTCCAGCTATTGACTGGGTCAGACGTTACACATTATCTATTTTCATTGTTTTCTGGATTGCCTTTGTTCCTATTGTTGTGCAAGAATTGATTGAACGTGGTCTGTGGAAGGCTACCCAAAGATTCTTCCGTCACATTCTTTCCCTATCCCCAATGTTTGAAGTGTTTGCTGGTCAAATCTACTCATCTGCTTTGTTGAGCGATTTGACTGTTGGTGGTGCTCGTTATATTTCTACTGGTAGAGGTTTTGCAACCTCACGTATCCCATTCTCCATTTTGTACTCCAGATTTGCAGGCTCTGCCATTTATATGGGTGCTAGATCAATGCTAATGTTGCTTTTCGGTACCGTTGCCCACTGGCAAGCTCCTCTCCTATGGTTCTGGGCCTCACTGTCCGCCCTGCTGTTCTCTCCATTTATTTTCAACCCACATCAATTCTCCTGGGAAGACTTCTTCTTGGATTACAGAGACTACATTAGATGGTTATCTAGAGGTAATAGTAAATACCACAGAAACTCCTGGATTGGTTACGTTAGAATGGCTAGATCTCGTATTACCGGTTTCAAACGTAAGTTGGTTGGTGATGAATCTGAAAAGGCTGCAGGTGATGCAAGCAGAGCTCACAGAACCAACTTGATTCTAGCCGAGATTATTCCAAATGCTATTTACGCTGCAGGTTGTTTTGTTGGTTTCACTTTCATTAACGCCCAAACAGGTGTTAAGACTACTGATGACGATAGAGTGAACTCTGTTCTACGTATTATCATCTGTACTTTGGCTCCAATTGTCATTGATATTGGTGTTCTGTTCTTCGTTTTGGGTATGTCTTGTTGTTCTGGTCCATTGTTCGGTATGTGCTGTAAGAGAACTGGTTCAGTTATGGCTGGTTTTGCTCACGGTATTGCCGTCATTGTTCACATTGGTTTCTTCATCGTCATGTGGGTTCTTGAAGGTTTCAACTTCACTAGAATGTTGCTTGGTGTTGTTACTATGATTCAATGTCAAAGATTGATCTTCCAATGTATGACTGTCTTGATGTTGACTAGAGAATTCAAGAATGACCATGCAAACACTGCCTTCTGGACAGGTAAATGGTACGGTTCCGGTTTTGGTTACATGGCTTGGACTCAACCAACAAGAGAATTAACTGCTAAGGTCATTGAACTTTCTGAATTTGCTGCTGATTTCGTTCTAGGTCATGTTATTCTATTTGCCCAATTCCCAGTTCTATGTATTCCAGCCATTGACAAGTTCCACTCCATCATGTTATTCTGGTTAAAGCCATCGCGTCAAATCCGTCCACCAATTTATTCTTTGAAACAATCTCGTCTAAGAAAGAGAATGGTCAAGAGATACCTAACCCTTTACATTATCGTTTTCCTAGTATTTGCTGGTTGCATCGTAGGCCCAGCAGTTGCTTCTTCCCATGTTGCTAAGGACTTGGGTCACCAATTAACTGGTACTTTCCACAATTTGGTGCAACCAAGAAATGTAAGCAACAACGATACTGGTTTTGGTATTTCCACATACAGTAACCATTACTACACGCATACTCCATCTCTAAAGACCTGGTCTACAATCAAATAATCCATTTCAATAATTTGCGTGATTTTATTGTTTATTCTTATTCCACATTTCATCATTTGATATTAAACGAGTTCAAGATAATAGATTTATTTTTTTCATCATTTACCTCCATACTACATCAAGAATTTTTTTATTTGATTGATGGGTTTATTTGTTATGGTTCGAAGACGGTTTTAAAATATTTATAGAGATACTGGTTATATCCCGCTGTTTTTACGACTGATCGTCCTTCAACTAGCAAATCCGTTTTGGTATTGTATTTTAGTTATTTTATATTTTCAGGAGTTTCTTTACCTTATATATATTAAGAGGAACCATATTATTATTTTTCATGTACTTTTTTTTCATTTTGTCTCTGATCTTTGTTACACTTCATTAGTTTTTGTGAGCGCTAACTTAATAAAAAGCTCCCAATTAAAGTGTCGGGTGCTTTTGGAACCGCAAAAACAATTGATAGAATAGAAAATAAACTAAGATGTAGTACATAATTCAGAGATTATTCATTTATTCATGCGGGTGAATATATAATGAAGAAATTATCCACAATAGGTTTCAATATTTTATAAGTGTCTAGACAACACAAGGGAAATTGGTATACCTCATGAAGAAATTATTATATTTTGCTTTGTCTGTGGTAGCAACATCAGCTCAGCTAGCTGATGAGGTCTTATTACGCAAATGGTCTTTGCAGTTACCTACTATCGAAATCGAAGGCAATAAATTCTTCAATAGTGAAACTGGTGAGCAATTTTTTATGAAAGGCATTGCATACCAACAGCAAGTTGATCAGGATAGTGAATTATATGATGGTACACCATATGTAGATCCTCTTGCTGACCCACATATATGTCTCCGTGATCTACCATATCTGGTGGAGCTTGGAATCAATACAATAAGAGTGTATCATATTGACCCCAGCTCTTCACATGATACATGCATGAAGGCATTTTCTGATGCAGGTATATATGTGCTCATCGATCTCGCAGAACCAGAAATATCCATAGTCCGTAATAACCCTAGTTGGGATGTTAAAGTATGGTCTAGGTATAGAGATGTAGTTGATGCCATGCATTTTTATAACAATGTTTTAGGCTTTTTTGCTGGTAATGAAGTGACCAATGACAAATATAATACTGATGCTTCACCATTTGTGAAGGCGGCAATTAGAGATGTAAAGACTTATATGCAACAAAAGGGATATAGGAATATCCCTGTAGGTTATTCAACGAATGACGATGCTGAAACTAGAATAAATCTTTCCAAATATTTTGTATGTGGAGAAAACTCAGCAGATTTCTATGGCATAAATATGTATGAGTGGTGTGGCTATTCTACATACGGCACCAGCGGCTACAAAGAAAGAACTGAAGAATTTACTGACTTCCCTGTTCCAGTGTTTTTCTCTGAATTTGGGTGTAACTTGGTTAGACCCAGGCCATTTACAGAAGTAGCCGCCCTCTTCAGTAAGAAAATGTCTTCTGTATGGTCTGGCGGTTTAGTTTATATGTATTTTGAGGAGGAAAATCAATATGGTGTTGTTAAAATTAACAAAAATAATGAAGTAGAGAAGCTACCTGATTTTGATAATTTGAAAAAAGCATATAGGAAAGCAACCCCTAAGGGTGTCAATCTTTCAGATCAAGCTGTCTCAAGGAAATCCATTAATGTTCGCAAACTTGATTGCCCGGAGAAAAGCCATAATAATAATTGGTTAGCGTCTGATATTTTACCACCGACACCTAATGACGAGAAATGTTCTTGCTTGGATGAGATTTTACCTTGCCTGGCATTACCTAGTAATGACGATCAAGATCATTACAAGACTTTATTTAACTACGTTTGTGGGGAAGTCGACTGTACAGATATCAAAACAGATGGTACATTAGGGAAGTATGGAAAATTCTCAGACTGTTCAGTAAATCAAAAGCTGTCCTTGCAATTGAGTAAGCTTTACTACAAATTAAAATTAGAGGATCACATATGCCCAACTAACCCGAAATACGTTCGGTTTAACAGCGCGACCATAACTCGGAAGGATACTTGTGAATCTATCCTCAAAGAAATTAGCCAAGGGACTGCAAAAACTAAAAAGGAACCGATAAATGAAATAGTCACATCGGTACCAGCGGAAGACGGAATGATTTCCTCCACCGCTAACACTTTGAGTGGCACAATAATACTAGTTATTATTGTTCTAAATACTTTAGTAGTCCTGCTTATAGCATATTAATAAGAATGATCTAAAAATCTATATCATAGTAAAATTGACTCAAGCTCTAGCAGGAATCTCAATAAAGTCATAATGTTTCATACCTCATAGAGATCCTTCCAGTATACTACCTTAACGACAAATATATAGATAGTACCGACAGGCATTGTAATACCGACTTGAGTACATTTGTGACTGTAGCTAATGGAACACCCATACACAACACCCAAACGTTTCAAATAAGATGACTGGTTTTCAAACTTGTACTTCATGTTTCCGTATACGGAAAAAAAACCTTCGAATCTAGAAATAATTTGTCACGTGATTTCGGTATTGCCAATTGGTACTGATAGTCGTGATGTCCCCTGATGCTCTTCCATCTTGTGAGTTACTCCGTCATCCTCAGCAGAGAGTAGGCAGGATCGTTCCACTTGTTGGTGGGTCTGGAAGTGTGCCTCGCTGAACAGCGGGCCAGTGCTGGGCTGGTGTGGGCAGCAAGAGGCGAGCCCAGGCTAGACCGATCGTCTCGCTTCAGTGGTACTGTTGGCTCTGCCCAGGGTTCCCATCAGTTTCACTTAGTTTCGTTCGCTAGGCAGAGGGTTGCAAAGTGCTAGGCAGAATCTGGTCGTGCTGCGGTGGGAAAGCTGAAACTTTTGGCAAAAATTCCAGGTTGGAGGTAGTCCATCTAGCAATTCTGTACTACCAGTGACAGATTGTAGGCCAGCTCTGATAGTTTGTCAGGACTGGACAGTCAATTAGATATTATAGAAAGCGCCTATTACCTGCGCATATTGCGTATATTAGATAATAGCGTTATTTATTTCAGTTGGCGTCTTTTTGAAATAGCACCGAATCAACACATATAGAAACACACAAGATGGCTAAGCAATCACTAGGTATGTTATAGAATGATGAAGCAAAATGCGACTTACTTGAAGAACGCACTGTCCAATCTATGAAGGCTGTTAAGAAGATATAGGCAATAGATTTAGATTGGTTAAGTGGCGCACTGATGTTGGATATCCCAGAATTGTTTTACTAACATAGATGTTATTACTTGCTAATTTTTTTTGTCTTTTACTTATAATGAATGATTTTTCGTCTGTGGTATTAGTCGGTTTATTATGGTATTTATGGTTGAGATCTATGATATGGAATCAGATATAGCAGAAAGCAACAAGTCTTTTGGTGTATTAGAGGTGTGACTATGGCGAAAATGAAATTTCTGAACATTATAAGTGAAAAAGGATTTTGATTTTGATATTGACGAAAAAAGATGAAAAGATAAGTGAGTTACTACAATTTTTACAGACGTTTCCTCTGACAGAAGAAAGGCCAGAAAGGCTTACTTCACCGCTTCCTCCTCTGAGCGTCGTGTCCTATTGTCTGCTCCATTGTCCAAGGAATTGAGAGCTCAATACGGTGTCAAGGCTTTGCCAATCAGAAGAGACGACGAAGTTTTGGTTACCCGTGGTTCCAAGAAGGGTCAAGAAGGTAAGGTTTCTTCCGTCTACAGATTGAAGTTCTCTATTCTAGTTGACAAGGTCACCAAGGAAAAGTCCAACGGTGCTTCCGTTCCAATTGCTTTGCACCCATCCAAGGTTGTCATCACCAAGTTGCACTTGGACAAGGACAGAAAGAACTTGATCCAAAGAAGAGGTGGTAAGCTAGAATAAATTTCTTAATTTCAACCGATACTAAGGATTTTTCTTTTAAAAAAAAAATAAGAACCACAAAGAGGAAGGAAAATAGATTTTTATGTTATATTTTCTTTTTCTCACCCACACACACATGTCGTTATCAGTATGAAATAGGAAATGATATAATAATAATAAAATAAATTCCCTTTTAACATCATTACAAGTATAGAGACCTGGACGGGTGGGCGTACAGACTATTTTTTTTTTTCCGTTATCATATTTTATTCTATCACCCCCACATTTCTATAACCAAATCAACCCCTCTTTTATGTAAACTACATAGCAAATAGAAGAAGAGCTTAAGCATCTATTCACATATATTTTGTGTAGCCTCCCGAATGTATACGGCAACAACGGCAATTTATCCATTGTTGAAATGGGATGTGTTGCCAACACTCACTAATCACACCAATTTCCCCAGAACAGAAACCCATTAATTGCACTAACCTCCTATAGCCGATACCAGATGTACTGCGTTAAACAAAAATGCTTTGTATGCAGACCATAACCCATCCAGGCAATAGATAACAGTAGCAGCGCATAGTAAAACGAATCAAGACGGGACCATGTGACTTATTATCGGAAAAAATGATAACCGAGGGAGATATAAGTCAAATTATACCTATATACGTAACACGTCACATATATAGTAACAGTAGACGAACCCCTTTTTTGCTGAAAAAGAAACAACCCAACTTCCCCGGCCGGGTAACTTCCATATTGGAATAGATATTATGATTTACGGCTTTCCTGCTTCTTTAACGGTGATGTTTTTTGGATGTTCTTGGCTGCGAGGGTATCTGTGTGAGGCTTGGGCTCTTCACCTACCAATAAAGCTTTAGTCACCCGAGAAAATAGGGAACTGCGAGATTCTGGCGGATTCTCATCGCCGAGGGTTGGAATAGCTATTGGAGAACAATACTTCAGGACATCATAAGGACTTGTTAGCTGTGCTAATCCGATAAGCGTGTATCGCAAAGCTGATAAGTATTGTGTAGGTGGCGAGACGGTTAGATTGGTGTCTCGAAAAGTGTACTAGAACGTTGAAAGGAAGGACAGAATATGGCTGACATACGAAGCGATGACGAGGAGCTAGAGAATGGGCTCGGTAGTGAGATTCTTATCTCTGGGAACCACATGGCGCGTGTGAGCAAGAGGTGGGGTGGTCTTGACCCAGAAAAGCGGCGGTTGCAGGCGTCCCTGGACGCGGAGTTAGAGCGGAAGAAGCCTGCTGGGGATGCTGTGCACCAGAATGTGGATATCGAGGACGATTATCTGTCTCCGGGGCAGCTGTACTCTACGGACTCCGGGAGGTTGTTCCACGCGGGGAAGATCCTGGTAGTACTGGTGGGTTTGCCTGCAACTTCCAAGACCCTGCTGTCCGTGGCCATCACTAGGTATACGAGATGGCTCGGCGTGAGAACCAAGTCTTTCCACTTGTCTCAGTACAGGAAGGCTAGTGGGTTCTTACCGGTTGACTTCCTGTCTGCGGTACCAAGAACAGAGGACGGTAAGGAGTTCAGAAAGCAGCTGTTGGCTGACATTTACGGAGACATCTACAACTTCTTTACTAAAACGAAGGGCCAGCTAGCGGTCTATGACGCTTTGAACATTAGAAAGTACGATAGGAAGTTTATACACGATAAATTTGCCGAAATTGGTGTCAAAGTTTTGTACATCGAATCGATAATGACTGACAAGCGGTTAGTTAACCACAATATTGATGTTGCTCTGCAGTCCTTTGACTACCAAGGCTTCACAAAGGAAGAGGCCACAAAGGACTACATGGAGAGATACATGATAAACGAGAACCTGTACGAAACTATGAGTGCAGATGAGAACCTAAGTTTTGTTAAGTACATTAACCTCGGTGATAGGATCACTGTTCATAACAATGATTACGGTTACTTGGTTCACAAGATTGTGTTCTTCTTAATGAATATGAAAGAAAAATCAGGGTGCCTGTATTTCGCTAGATGTGGGAGAAGTGATAAAGACAGGTATGTGGATGATGAGCAATTGAATGAAGAAGGTATTGAGTACTCTAACAGATTGACGACCTTAATTTTGAACCGTATCGCTGAAATTAGAAAATACAGAGAGCGCGAGGAAGATATAAGTGAGATTCATCACGGTGACTATAGTAAGCAGTTGCCAGAACACCACGTAATCGACAATATAAGGAAGGAGCTACTTGTCTGGACAGCCCCAAGAAAGAGAACTTATGATACCGCTAAACCTTTCCAAGATCTTGGTTTCAATGTAAGACAAAGATCCCAACTGAAACAACTCAACCCAGGTGTAATTGCAGATATGTCTGAAGATGAGATAGCTAAAGAATACCCTGAGGAGTACAAAGAGTACTGCAGAGACAGATACCACTTTAGGTTTCCTAGGGCTGAATCATATCACGATCTTGCAGTTAGAATGGAACCGTTGCTCTTGGAAATGGAACACACCAGCCATGACATCGTTGTCATTGCACATGAGAGCACCTTGAGAATTCTTTACGGTTACTTTATGGCTCTCTCTTGTGTGGACTTACCCAAGCTAGACTTTACTAGAAATGAACTAGTTGAAATATCTTTCAGTCCATTTTGCAACCAGGTTAGAAAGATACCAATTTTATGAAAGTAGCAACCAAAGTCTACTTTCAATACAATATATATTCTGCATATTTTACATACCCCTGTCTTCTACATACAGAAATATAAGCTGTCTACCAAGGATCAAAGAATAAAATCAATTATAAATAAGCTATGCAAAAAATATTATTATATTAAGAGATGTATGCAAAATGTGTATAAAAGTACTCTAAAAATGAAATCGTAAAAATAGTCGTGAATATATGATAGTGTATTAATTTTGTTTTATGATTTTATCCTTCCATGTGTCGGCATGTATAATGTGTTCAATTATCAGACCTGGACTTCCTTCTCCTCCTCCTTTCCAATCTTTCACGCTCTCTACGCTCTGCTGCGTCTATCAGATCATAGCGTGTTATTACAGTATGATTGGATCTTGGCTCAACTGTAGCTGGCATTCCACCCTTTAACTGGTACGAAGAGGATGAGTTGGATGAGCCATTCGAAGCTGTCTCATCAGCACCGTTACCACCTATCATGTAGCACAGTGATTTCACGGGGCTAAGCATCCAGGAGGACACTATGACAACGCTCTTGACGCTGTTGTAACCTGTTATAGATATGGTGTTTAGCGTTCCGTTGTATATATCATTCAAAACCTGCATCTTTTATTATTATGTTCGATGTTCTTGCGGTGACTTTTACTTGCAAGACAATTTTGTGGTTCTGCGTTTCAGTTCCATATATATACATTGCTGACTTGTTTGCAATTTGTAATTGTGTCTGCTTGTGTACAGGCATTTTTTTTGTTATGTGTAAGAACGGAGGGGGTTTGCTCTCCTATTAAACTTTAATCTACTAGGCATATTCTACTGTGTACAATTCTGTCAATTAAACGGATTTGCACTATGTAAGCAGTGCTTTCAACAGTGAATGCGGGTGAAATCCTCTATAATACCGTGGACTTTACGGGTTGCAAGATAAATTTCTTTTTGCCCTAGCAAATTATCAAATGCTAGCTGTACTAGGAAAGACCTCTCGTAAGTACTTTGCTTCGATATTGTGATGTAATATCAATCAAAAAAAAATTGCCTTTGATCCTTAGAAACTCGGACAGGTTTATTAGTTGGGACTCACTGAGGACGTCCGGATTATAAATTCTAATATCACTTCACTGTAAATGCTCACAGCACAACTTATGTAATTGCGATTCCGTGGGATCCTGAAAGCTCAGAGGACGGAGAACTTGATAGAGAGCAAAAGATCGTTCAGACTCCTCTCTGCAAGATGACACCCAATACAGTGTTTATCATCGGACGTATAAGTGTTGATAACGGGGGGGGGGAGAGTGAAGAGGGTTAAAAACATTTTTACCTTAACAGATTGCTAATTCTACGAAACCAGGAAGGTATCAAGGACAGCATAAGAACTTATACGGGTCCGTTTTAACTCCATGGAATTCCATGGAGATTTTTCTCATTTGCATATTAATATTCAATATATTTATTGAGTAATTTACAAAACAAGGAGTGCTGTAGAGTGTCGGTTTTAGCATGGATATTACCACTAGTTTAGAACAATGGTGCTCTTTTACCTATGTTTCCTGGGGGTCAGTTTGTTTTGATTTTGATACACAGTAGAATTTGTTGAACTATGCTAACTATATACTTCATGTAATTTGACTACTTATGTTGCTGTCCTGACAATACCGTTATAATTGGCGTATTACATTATCTCACGTGCATATAAGATTGAAGACTACGCAATATATGAGTATATTTGTAATCCATTAACGTATTTGCAATGATATATTTGTTCTTGACGTTTTCATAAATAATGCAGTCTTTTAAGTAGTATATAATTCTTTGTACATGTCTATCAAATTTGGTAAAAAGAATATTAACATTGTATGAATAAATGAATAATTGCAGAAAACTGCCCACTTCCAGCTGATATGTACCAATGATGTAATATAGTAGTGTCAATCAGAGTTCAGTACTGCACATTGGACTAATGAATGTTGAAAGTGTTAGAAAGATGACAATTTATAAAAAATGAAGTTCAGATGAGAGATAAGGGAGAACGAGAGAAAGAGTGAGAGAGAAAGAAAGAGAAAGAGAAAAAATGCAGAATAATTATTAAAAAGAGATGTAGTAAATGATTAGATAACTATACTCAAACAAATGATCATATTCAACAATATAATGAAATTATCTGATATAGGGAATATTAATCATTACGCCAAGCATAGCATAGAGAAAATTAATAGAAAAACACAGATGGGAAAAATCGATGATAAAGTACAGAGAGGAGAATAGAAGAGAGAAGAGAAGAAAAAAAAAATGAAGTAATAAATGTATTGTATCAAAGCAAATTGATACTAAAAGAAAGAGAATAATTTGACATTTTAACATTTATCGGTTAGTAGGATTCAACTATTATCGAAACATTCAGAGCGACAGTTGATGCTTTTGCTGTTCTCTAGCCCATCTAGCGGTATCCTTTGTAGATTGGCTGAACTCTTGGTTCTTTCTTGTCTTTTTAATGAAATCTGCAATCCATTGCTGTGTGTAAAATTGCTTGATGCTACCATCTGGGTACATGGCCGCGATATCACCAATCAACCCGACTGCCGATCTGGATGTAGAATCTTCACTGTAAAGTTGAGGATCTTCAGCCACAATATTCAAAAACTGGAAGATAGTACCAATGTAATTAAATAACTCAGCAGGATGATTATGTAAACCAGCAACAATCCCAACATAGGCATCCAGAACTGACTCAAGAACCTTTATGTTGTAGTCAAGGGCTTCTAGAGTACCATTTTCTGGTTTAGAGTTTTGAGCTGCCACACATAATCCCATTACTTCATTGACATATGGAATGAAATCTTCCCCAATATTGGAGGCTATATCACCAAAAACACTTAGAACTGCAGGCTTTAACTCTTTCTTGGCTGCTGGGTTTGTAATTAATTGACCCAAAACATTCATGAATGCACCGGCGTATCTCTTGAAATCATCTTCCAATGAGTTTGAGATATCAGCAATAAAACCTACCGCAGTGATAGCAACTGGGGAGTCTACTTGGTTCAAAGCACCAATCAGATATGGAGAAAATGACTCTAAATAGTTTTCAAAACCCTTTCCTAACGAAGATGCAAGGGCTGATACAGCGTAGAATACATCATCTTCGATAAAAGCGGAACTCTTTCTACTTAATAGTTTAACAAAGAGGTCCATTAACATATCTGAGACATTTACCACGGAATTTGGACTCTTTCTGATATATGCTGCAAGAACAGTTAAAATATTTGATTGTAATTCCTGCAAACTTTGTGCATCCTCCATGGATAATTGGGCTTCATCAACAGTCATTGTTTGTCCTAGTTTGTCCATGACAAATGAAGAAATGGATGCTGAAGTATCACTGACAGTATCAATAGCATATTCAATTAAAGTGGTCATAGCCGAAAATGCAGATGCTCTGGCATTAAATTCGTTATCAGGTCTGTTTGCTGATTTGATCAATCCATCTACCAATGCTGGATAGTAGTTATAGATAGGAGATGGTTGCATATCAGAAAGTTGCTCGACTAGATTGATAATAGTCCAAGCTGCGTTTGTGGCGACTTTAGGATGGTCTTGTAAACCTACCAAACAAGATTGAATAACACCTGGTAGATGCTCTTGGGGATCGATAGATTCTGCAACAAGGTCAGCAATTCTACCTATACACCATGCAGCTGTTTCCTTGACTTGCAAGGATGGGTCATTAATTAGGTTTAGAATTGCAGGTAGGGCTTGATGAACAAAATAGGTCCTCTGGGTTTTATCCGGACCATCCATTATAGAGCCGAATGCCATCACAGCAGCTTCTCTATTTCTCCAGTTATCATTAGTGATGTTTTGCTCCACAAACTCCAAAACCGGTTGTAGGACGTAGTTACCACAATTTTGGGCAAATAACTGTAAACATGCACCGGCTGACATAGATACATTCCAGTCATCGTCTTCTGGATCCTCATTCTGTCTCATCAAAAGGTTCAATAAATTTGGTAAGACATCTTTTATAGAAGACAAAGAAAAGTTGTAACTTTGTAATGGTGATTGTGGGAACTGCGAAAGTTCATATGCGATATCAATTTCTTCTTCACAAATAGTGGACCAGAATTCAACTGCCATAGATGCAACTTTATCATCCTCTGACTTCATAGTGGCTATAGTTAGAGCGTATAGGGCTTGCTCCATGTAAGGTTTCATGAAAGCATAGAAGAGAGACATAATCTTACATAAACAACCAAATGCGGCAGCTTGGATATCAGTGTCATTTGCTTGAGTAGCTTCACACACAACTTGCATCAGATAATTTCTTTCACCTTCTCTTTCCATATTGTTCTTAATAAAGACCAAGGAATCTGCAAGAGCATTTAAGGCAGCCAAACGTACCAATTTAGAAGGCTCTGATGATTGAGCACCTTGTACAATTGCAATTAAAATGCTGTTAGATGAGGCCATTAGTACTTGACTTTGGGGATCGGCACTTTCACAAATATATCCCAAGGCCAACAGCGAAGCTCTTTTCACATTTTCCGGTTGGTTGGTGTTTGTATTGTCAACCATTATCTGCATCAAATCAGGCCATTCTCCACGGGGTAACTCTATATCCGCGATCGCAGCAATTAATTGTGCAGAAGCATTGGCAACTCTTGGTTCATTATCCATAAGAACAGCAAGAGCGTTGGATTTAATCTGTTGCTTTGACTCAGGATCTATAGTGGTTGCCCAACGTTGAGCAAATTGCTGATTCTTTATGCTATCCTTTGATACCAACTCATTCTTCAAAGACAAGGCTGCCAATATACGTGCTTCGACTTTTGCTTCTGGCAAAACCAAAACTTGAGCTAGCAACCCGGCATATTGAAGAAAGTTCTCGTTAGAAAGCTTCTTCAATTGCGTTTCACTAGTTAGACGCACATTTTGGTCTGGACTTAAAATAGTGTTTTCTAAAATCTGGGCGAATTCCTGAACAGACATTGTAAATATTATATTCTTGCCCCTAAGTAATACGAAACGTAAACAATAGTCTTATATTCTATCAAAAAAAGATGTACCAAAACACTAGTGTATTTGTTTCGTGCCAATCCAGTATTATTTAATACAGAGGAAGTGTAATCTCCAAATTCTAAAACAGCTATCGCCTGAAATATAACTTATGCTATTTTCACGAGAATTAAAGTTGATAAACCCGTTAAAAAGATAGAAATGAGAACTTTAGCACTCCTATACCGTTGAATTCGCTTGGCAAAAGCTGTTTCGTAATCAACCGCTAGATAACTGGCTTTCTGATCCTACATACGCCACCAAATTATTAGCAAATGCTGACCAGTTCTTAAGCGTTATTCTTTTGCTGAGATTTTGATGCGAAAAGGAAGGGGCAGTCGGGATGGCAAGAAAAATTTTATTATAACGTTAATAGTGATATACAATTTTCAAGGTAATAGCAATTTTTGCTAGAGATACAAATGCATAATGGGAGGCCAAGTTACTATGCAATTGTGTTTCACAATTCTTCGAAGGGTTTTAGATCAGTGTCTCTGTCTTAAAAGTATGTACAATATTGGTATAAAACAACAAGACGAAAATATAAATAAATGAAGGTGTACTGATTTCAAGAAATTTATCTGCTTGTTTATCATTTTACTGTAAATTTTCACAACTTTGTAACTGGCAGTTACAAAATATTTATGCTTCCTCCTTAGGCATCCCTACTCTATATTTCTTGAGCTGCTCCATTGCGAAAAAGATTAGCATAGTGAAAGGCGCCAGTCTGGTGAAACTAGGGACCCAACCTCTAAACATAAACGATGGGCCTTCTTTATTTATAGCTTCCATCAATATCTTAAAGGAGGAGTCATGATTGTGACCGGGCTTCTTGTGAGCATTCATGACAATAGTTTTGATGACATCCGCTGGCGAACACACAGTTGTAGCCACAAACCCAGCTAAGAGTGACGATGTCAAGTGAGTACTATTTTTCTTTGGGTCCATATTGTACTTGGTAACCAGGAAATTCTTGAACATATCATAGGTGACAACCTGCGATGCTGTCATCAACACACCTCTCACCATGTTGGGCTTCCAACCCGTGAGGAAAAGAGACTTTGCACCTTCTGCTTTATATATCTTGACCATGCCATCGATAGCGTTCTTGTAATTACGTCTCTTATCTAATGGTAACGCGGAGTCATTCTGCATACGGATGTTGATCAAGTCTGCGAAATTTCCGGCAAGACCACCCAATGCACCACTAACCATGGAGGCACCCAACAGGTACCACATGTTGGTTAGTTTGTCCCGGGGGATAACATGCTCTTTCAAAGCATCATACATACCAAACCGGGCAGTAGTGTATGTGCATTGACGTAGCAACGACGCAGAAAGACCGGCATAAAGTCCGACAATGCCTTCATTCTTCAAAATACTCCGAAGCATCTGCACAATCGTAGGTTTTGGTATTGGGGCCGCTTGAAGCCGCACTTTCGTCAAGTCCAATGGATGCGTGTTCATCACCGCAAATATACCAGCGGCACCACCATACCACCAAGGGTACTTCACTTGTTTTTCAGACATCTTTACTACTTCTAACTTGTACTGGTTTAGCTGAAAAACATTACAAGGTAGGCATTCACAAATTAGAGTGGCCCAGAAGATACTGCCCGTTATTTATATATCAGGCAGCAATACCAGTCCATTTCCTTGTTTGTGATGGGCATGACCTCGTGCACAGAAACAGCGGTACCGCTTGAATTAAAAAGCCAAGAAATGATCTACGTTTTTCCTCGAGAAATACGTCATCGCGAAATCTTGCATAATCCGCGGGAATGCGATGCGATGAGGTGGTAATTTGAAGAAACAATCTAGCTGTCAAATGTGAAGTAGTCCTGTGTCCACGCTTATGCTGTCAATAGTGCATCAACATATTTGGCTCAATGTTTGTATTTCGCAGTCACGTCGCCGATTGGCGGCTTGCAGGTTAAGCAATCGATGGCACAATCGAATTGGGTTTCTTATGTTTTAGTACCGAGAAAGATGTTGCAACTGTTCAACAATTTGAGGATGCAATTAAGAGGACATCGCAATTGATTATAGTCTGTGAGTGGAGATTATCGTGAGGCACTATTTCTCGTACCTGATGTTTCGGGTAGCTCCTGTGGATTTTTCCAAAAAATTATATATAACATTGATGAAACACTTCAGAGTCGTAAGTGTAAAGTGTCAATAACGAAGAGTCATCTTAAACATTATATTTTATTCTGACAAACATCAACTATTAATACTTAACATGTCCGTACCACCATTGACTAAGACGATATCACAATCGAGCTTTGCGGAGTCACTGAGAGATCTTTCGAGTGATGAGGACCTAATCAACAAGAGGATAGGATCACCTAACCGGGACCACAGAAGAAGACGTTCCTCCAGTATATTATCTCACGTTGAACCAGAAACTTTTGAGGATGAGAATGACCAACATATCCTGACGAATATGAATGCCACTTGGATGGATCAACCAGGAGCATGGATTATACATGTTGTGATTATTCTGCTGCTTGCAGGGATGTACAAAGTTATGCCAGGTATGTCTACCAAGAATGCTTGGTCACTCACAAATACCACATATGTTATAGGTTCCTATGTCATGTTCCACTGGATCAAAGGTACGCCTTTCGAATTTAATGGTGGGGCTTATGATAACCTTACAATGTGGGAACAGATAGATGGTGAGACATTATTCACCCCTACAAGAAAATACTTAATCTCTGTTCCTATTGTACTATTTCTGATAGTAACACATTACTCAAGAGGTAGCCACTTTTTCAGCAAGGATTTCATTTGGAACTGTTGTGTCACATTTTTTGGTGCCATTTTACCAAAGCTACCCATCACACATAGACTTAGATTATCGATTCCTGGATTTACTCCTGCTCAAATCAGTTAAAAAATTGATGTTAACGTTATCAGGTCCTCCCTGAGAAAATTTGTACATTATTTTATTTGTTTCTTGCATTATTCAAACATATTTCTTTCTCGATAACAGCAATTATGCATTTTTTTCTTAAACTGGTCTAAACATTTTTATAGAGTTATAAATGAATACATAACTGGATTTAGTAACACCTATTTTTAGACTCTCATTTACTTGAAACATCTGGATAAACATCAAACCTTCTTTGAGTCGTAATTGGAATACCACCTCTAGTGGTTTCTATAACTTCCGGGTCCAAATCGATGAATAATGTTTCCTCATTGATATCAGCTTCACAAAGAATTTTACCAGATGGATCAGAGCAGAGAGAGTGACCCCAAGCCTGATATGGACTTCCTGGAACTCTAGCTGGTGAACATAGTAATGTATAAATCTGGTTATCCACTGACCTGGCTCTTGCTAATAATTGCCAATGTAGGGGACCAGTCACAGTGTTGAAGGCACCCGGATAAATCATAGCAAATGCCCCCTTTCTAGCAGCAATCATGGCCATTTCTGGGAATCTCAAATCATAACAGATACCAACACCAATTTTACCATACTTTGTATCGACCATAGTAACCTTATCACCTCCTGTTAATGTGATACTTTCCTTAAAGGTAATCTTGTTAGGAATATCAATGTCAAATAAATGCAGCTTCCTGTGCTTAGCAATAATAGACCCCTCTTCATTTATAATTAAACATGTGTTGTATATATTGTCATTTGCTGGATCTCTTTCTGGGATGGAGCCACCAATCAATGTGATGGCATGGGTCTTGGCAATTTCTTTCAAAATATTAACTGAAGGTGCTTCTGGATCCTCAATTACCTCAGAGTATTTAGCAAACTGAGTAACATCATAAGGAGAATTGAAACATTCAGGTAGAACAACTATTTTAGTTTCTGGCTCTCTTTGCATAGCATTATCAATCAATGCCTTGGCATGTTTCAAATTCGCAAGTTTATCTGGAGTTGATCCCACCAGCTGGATCAATGCAACTTTAACTTTTGATTTCAATATATAGGACATGACTATGTGCTTGTCGTAGTTACTATACTTCAATTTTTAATGGCCAGTGCAATCTTGGGCGATGTGCCATCTTCTATATATCATTACTTCATTCTAACTGTGATTTTGTTTCGGAACTTCTCCGAAGATAAGATCATGAGTCACCAAACTGTAATTATTGATATATAAATGTGAAAAAGTAATATTGGGTACACTATTAAATAAGAAGATACTATAGTCTTATACTTCATACCTATGCAAATAAGAGCTACCAATGTAAGCTCGCAATAGTGCTGATGCTGTTCGTAGACGCAATTCCTGTGGCATCAACTAGTGTCTTTCGATATCTTGAAGTTCGATATCCTCCGCAGAGTCATCGTTAGGAACACTAAAGTATTTTCCTTTCTTTTTTGATCCCTTCTTTGACTTTCTTGTTGATTCTGGGACGACTCCTTCCAATTGTTCTTCATCTTCCTCATCGATTGAAAAAACATCTTCTAACTCCATATTATCTTCCATCCCCTCTGTACCAAACTCAGGATCATCATCTTCTATATCAAAAGATCCATTTTCTATGTCGGATGCCCATGTAACAGATTTATTTAACCTGGAACGACCATCCCCATCAACTAAAATTGGGTGCCTGCGACTTTTAATGTAATCCGAAATGTAAAACGCGGCAACAATTATAAATGCGGAAACCAATGAAAGAATCAAGAAAAAAGCTTTGAAATTGGAACCTTCTTCATCTTCATCTTGATAATATTCACCACCTGTCTCTAAGTCATTATCTAAACCCCCATTCATATCTCCATGAGAAGGGTGGGAGTTTTGGTCACCTTTCTTATCTTCATCGTCACCATCGTCGTCATCATCATCATCATCATCATCTTCATCATCTTCATCTTCATCGTCATCTTCCTCATCACTCTCGTCATCACTGTCATCAGGCTTATTCTCTTGCTTATCTCCCTCTTTACCGTCGCTTTCATCATCTGAGTCGTTTTCGTCTTCTGATTCGTCTTCTGACTCGTTATCTTTGTTTTCATCTTGTGATTTATCATCCTCAAGATAACCATCAATATCACCGTCCTTACTGGATATCAATGTATCTTTACCATCCCGATGAACAAGTAAGACATCATCATAGTACATATCTAAAATACCTCTGGAGATTAGTGCCTTGTCATATGATACCATATGAGAGCCATCTTCAATGGTAATAAGAGTTAATTGTCTTTCATATTTAACTGTGCCTGCAACCTTTTCCTTATCAGATTTTAAGTCGTCACGATAAACCCAATCAAAAATCTGAACTTCATCTGTGAAACCGGTTTCTCCTTCCCACTGCAAGTGTTTTAAAACATTATCGATACCTAATGTATTACAGATCAAATCCTTGTTACCATTGAAAAGAATCAATTCTATTCCAGATTCCAACAGAGAAGGAATTAGTTCAATAGCGGGCTTTGCTTTGATATTTTCCAATTTCACATCAGGCCTGCATTCAATCCAAGACCTCTCGTCATTTGCATGTAGAGCAGCCAATACCTTTTTATCCGTCAAAAATTGTTTGGTGAACTTTGTGTCAACCGGCCATTCAAGTCCACATGATGGATAGCTATCGTACTCATCGAATTTATAAACATTGATGCATTGCGTTTTATCTTGTGAAATAATTTTGCCCAAGACAGCTTCACAAGGTGGATATGAGAGTTCGGAGTGTCCAGTATGATCGCTATTAATGTAGTTTTGGCAAGTTTCATGCTGCTTTAAAATATCTTTAAATGCTGGATCCTCCTTCTTTATGATACCTTTCTCCAAAGAGAAAGGAACATAGGAAAGGTATTGTCTTTTTGGATCCAACCAACCATTACCAATGAACATAACTTTGATATTTATTTTTGAGTTTTCATCTCTTTGCTGCTCATTAAATTTGATAATAGCTTTTGTGAAATATGGTATAAATTGGCCAGCATAGCTTTCACCAGCTAAAATAAGCTCTCTATCTTTGTCATCAGGAAAAGTAGCATAATAGTTTTGCAGGAACACCATGAAATTATCTGCGACCTCATCTAGTTCACTGACCTCATTATCTTCTTTAGAATACGAGAATCCTGTACCCACTGGTTGGTCTAAAAATAATACAGATCCTCTCATATGCCATGAGCCATCATTTTTTATTACCTCGGCCTTTTTATTCAATCTAAATGGCCCGATTTCCATCAGGGCACCTGCCATAGAAGAACAACCAGGACCTCCATTTAACCATATAATCAATGGCGTCTCATCATTTTTCTTTGTCTTTTTGTTTTCGAATTTCCAGAAGAAATATTGCGTATCATTATCACGAGTAGCTGGTAAATGCCCCGCATACATTTTTGGTACAGTCCAATGTTTGGTGTTCTTCAATTTTGTGAAACCTGGTAATTCATTGCCGTCAACTAAAAACTCCTTCCTATCAAACCCGTAGGCTAATGTTGCCAACCATAGCAAGATGGGTAAAACAGTAGCATGAAGCATATCGAAAATATGCTCAATGAACAACCAAATAAAAAATCAACGCTACTGCAATAACTGTGAAGTGAACGACTTAATTATAACAATTTAGTGAATCAATCAAACCATTCAAAAAAATAAAATACAATCCCTATTTATCTTGCTAGCCTTCGTGTGTCTTTGATAAGTGTTCGGGAAATTGCTATATTTGGTTAGGGATACTTACTTCGAGAATATGCCCTCTTAGTGCAATGCCAATTGAAATTTAACTAATCTTTCTGGTAAAGTGTGAATATAAAGATCAACATCGTAAGCGAGTTGTACTGCGATAAAATTCAGTGATTTAAGCCGCAATAACGCTTATATTAATGTATCGTGTGGGGGAAAATTCGCAGTTTTCCAAAATTAGCTCTTTCTAAAGAAGCAACTGAAGAAGACCACGAGAAATCTGAGAAAGAGCCGTGGCCGGCACATTTGATAAAATTGGATATCACATGACTATTTTTTCTTAAAGATGGAAAATAGTCATGTGACTGGTAGTCACTATATGTTTAAACGGCGAATAACGTGACCACCATATATACCAATTAAATTACGGTGGTGCCATAACCATTCGCAATTTAGACACATGAATAGCCGCCCATATATATAATTGTTAATACCAACAGAAAACTAGTTTGGCTAAAAGCTGTAGCACAATGAGAGGAAATCCATATTTCCATAGCAGTCAAAAACAATAAAAGACACAGCTAATCCCAAAATAACTGAAATCAGTATATTTTACAGGACAGAGAGAAAGTAATAATAACGGTATTTTCGTCATTTATACAGGGATTATTAGAATCTAGCAGTAACAATTGTTAGTATTATTTGTTCTTGTTTGGTAATATTGGAATGGGCGTATTAGTAGCTGCTAGAATATACCGACAAAACTATGGTGCCTCCAGACTACGTTGTAGTATTGAATACCGCAAGACCTCAGCTTCAGATGCAGTTGCAGAACTTTAGCCGCCGAAAAAAGAAGAGCGATAGACGGATCTGATTGTTCATGTGAGCAATAATAATAAATATACGTCATCGACGATATTACAACACAACAACACGTATAAGAGTACACATACATCATCGTCTACGGTGTAGTCATATGACTGCAAATATCTGGAAATTATAGCAATGGAATACTGTATAGGCAATGCGCAGCTGGGCCTGTATCGGGTTGGGTCCTTATTGTTAGATCACGTAATGATTCTTTCACAGACGAGTAAGAAGATTGCCTGCTCTCCTTGAGACATTCAGATTCATGATAGCTTGGGTTGTTTCAAGTAGAAGGCTTTTATATTTGTACTGATAAGACAACATCTAATCTATGATAACAGGAGTTGAATTTCCATAACGTACGAACTTACGGACCCTGGTAACCATTTCGGTTCCATCTTTTAATTTTCGCGATGGAATTATTGACTATATTTCAAAAACGGCATCTGTTGCTTCTTGCCATTTTTTTAATTCACGTTTTTACAGGAATATGTTAGTCATTCGAAAATAGAACTCTCTCTCTCTCTGTTCAAGACTCTCCGTATCCGTATGTTTGGATGAACGTCAATAGATAATGAGATAAGCTTCATTACGTTGTGCTCAAAACTGGATTGCACAGACAGTGCGCACGGAAGGCTATGACACATTTCCGAGAAACAAGTTTTGATTTCTTTTCTTAACAAATTTTCACCTATTTTTTTTCAACTAGGTCATCTCAAGCTATGTTGAGCAGTCCAAATAATGATGAAAATGACTGAACAGTCAGAAAGGTAGGAAATGCGGCCCATGTCTAACACAATGCGTAGCTAATACTGTAGGCTTGCTTTGTATTTGTGCAAAACAAATTGGAGTTTTCAGGTTTTTCTTTTCGCAGTTCTTAAGGTTTCTATTTAACCGGTCTTGAGCTTCCCCAGTATATATAAGAGGTGTGACTCTCATTTAACAGAACTTGAAACAATTAACCATAAAACAAGGACCTTAGGATAATTCAATTGAAGTCAATTTCAGTATATAAAACAACAATTATCCACACTTATCTATCTTTAAAAAGTGTTACAACAACCCAAGCTACAAGTTAGAGAGCTTTTTATTGAAACATTTGTGACTATAAATTTAATCTTTTAATCAGAAGCATCAAGCACTAGCATAAATCATGACTCTGCCAGAATCTAAAGATTTCACTTACTTCTTCTCTGAAGAAACCAAGGCTCGTAAGCCTTCTCCATTAAAGACATGCATTCAATACTTTTCTGATCCTAACATGATCTTTCTTGGTGGTGGTCTTCCAATGAGTGCTTACTTCCCTTGGGATAACTTGGCTGCTGATACACCATTGCCACCTTTCACCAATGGTATCGGTGCAACTATAACCGGCTCTCAAGAAGACACCTCAAAGTTTTCAGTCAAGAAGGAATCTAAAGTCCATGAAGGTGACATTCCTCTGGCTCGTTCCTTGCAATATGGTAAGAGTATGGGTCAACCAGAATTGACTGATTTCTTGAAGGAGCACACTAAGATGATTCACGATATGAAATACAGCGACTGGGATGTTGTTGCTACTACAGGTAACACCAACGCTTGGGAATCCACCTTAAGAGTCTTCTGTAACAGAGGCGATGTTATTCTTGCTGAAGCTCACTCATTCTCTTCTTCTTTAGCTTCTGCAGAAGCCCAGGGTATCATTACTTTCCCAGTTCCTATCGATGCTCACGGTATTATTCCAGAAAAGCTAGAAGCATTGCTGGACAACTGGACCGAGGGTGCTCCAAAGCCAAAGCTATTGTATACCATTCCAACGGGCCAAAACCCAACAGGGTCTTCTTTGAATGCCGAAAGAAAGAAGGAGATTTACAGAATTGCTCAAAAGCATGACTTCTTGATTATAGAGGACGAACCATACTACTTCTTGCAAGTTGGTGAATATATCAGTGACCTAAGTAAGAGAGCTGAAGTTGCCCAAAAGAACGCAAACATTTCACATGAAGATTTCCTAAAGTCACTAGCTCTTACTTTCTTGTCTGTTGATACCGATGGTAGAGTCATCAGAATGGACTCTTTCTCCAAGGTTTTAGCTCCAGGTACTAGATTGGGTTGGATTACTGGTTCATCTAAACTACTCCAAGCATACTTAAGTCTACATGAAATGACTATTCAATCTCCATCCGGTTTCTCTCAATCTCTTGTGAGTGGTACTTTGAACCGTTGGGGCCAAAAGGGTTACATTGACTGGTTGATCGGTCTACGTCATGAATACACTGCCAAGCGTGACCATTGTATTGACTCCTTGTATAAATTCATTCCAAAGGATAACAACAAAGAAGGTAAACCAATTTTTACTATCAACCCACCAATTGCTGGTATGTTCTTTACTGTTGACATGGACGCTAGCGCCCATCCTGAATTTGCTACCACTTACGAATCAGATCCAACCAAGGTTGAAGAAGCATTATATCAAAAGGTTATCAAGTCTGGTGTCCTAGTCGTTCCAGGTATATGGTTCAAGGCCGATGGTGAAACTACACCAGCTCAACCAGCTTCATCAAAGGAAAACCCTAACCCAAACCAAATTTTCTTCAGAGGTACTTACGCTGCTGTTGAACCTTCTAAGCTGGACGAAGGTTTGAAGAGATTAGGCCAATGTCTACGTGAAGAATTTCAATTGGCATAATCGATGTATTGGTAAGAAGTTTCTTAAGACTCGAATAACTATTTAGGTGACCTTGTATTTAAGACATATAAACTTTAATACTTATTTGACAAGCATGATCAATCAGCATTAACTTTAGGATTTTTTACTGAATGAATAATATAAATAAATATCTGTAATTAGGAATCATTAGTGCTACATACACCTTAGTGAAGCTTTATGGTAGATGTATGGTAATCACGTGATTTTACATTCAAATTGAAAAAATGTAGCGATGCGATGAGCAATATTAAGACGCAATAGTCTTTTTATGGGTACATACTGTATTTTCCTTCTCATTACACCTTAGGTACCAGGGTAATAGTATTGCTTGTCAGAACTATGTCTACTAAAGTGTATGTTTTTTTTTTCTTTGAAAAGAGTTGCTGATGGATGCACATACCATTGATTTATGGTAAGAGAAACATTTCATACTAACAGTATATCAATTAACAATTATGATTTTGGCGTAAAATGTTGATATTTTAATATACAGTGTGTCAAGAGATGAATTATTTAATTCAGAACCATCTGGAGACGAGCTGCCATATGAGGAAGGTGTACATGATGACTTTGATATAGTTCAAGTTGAGCAACAAGAAGAAGCCAATAATAAAGGTGCTGAAGACAATGGTAATGATCCTGAAGAGTATGCGTTCCCATTATTTTCCTTTGGAGCTGGTGAAGAAGCTACAAAGGAAGATAAACCTCTTATGAAGGTTTCATTAAAGGTTGAAGAAGAGGAGCTAGTACAAGAACGGCCCAAAAGCTACTATTACCAACATCTCTCTGAGGAGTGTAAGGATGCCTTATCAAGTAGCGCATTAACCTATGATGACATCTTTACAGAAAAAAATATGCGCCCATATCAAGGATGGAAAAAATTTAGAGGAAAAGTGATCGATGTAGCAGATTACAACCGTATTATTGATGCCAATAAAAAGATGGAAATAAAGAATAAAAAGAGAAGACCAGGGAAGAAACAACGTATAGCAAAGGCTTTAGGCAGTAAAAGGGTGAAAGAGCGTGAAGAAAAGGATAAGGAACTCAAGAAGCAAAGAAAAAAGATGTTTCACAAACGTGGTGGTAAAAAGAATAAGAAGAAAGCTAGCACTTCAGCTATACCGTCTAAGCCAAAATTTAGGACTGAATAGTTGTATTAATGAACTCACGAAGATTACGTTTCTAAACGAATATGTCTTGTTTTTTAATATCCTATCGTTTGCATTTATAAAATTTCATACTGAAGTCTATGTAAGAACTGTACAATAGCGTTATAATACACCTATCATTATTTGTAGATTGTGCTCAAAATCCGGTTCTTCTTCTGACATCCTTTGAAAAACATCCTTTATTGTGTCAAGAATAAATGTTTTGCTATTAACAATCTGTTTACCCACTGGTCCACCTCTTTCTATGGCAGTATTTAAATCAATCTTAAATGCACTTGAGACTTTCCCCCAATATAACTGTCTTGGTGTGCTAGCTTTATTTCTACTCAATCTTGTAAATTGAACCAAAAGGTTCGAGTTTTCAACCTTAACATTCTGTAGTAAAGTTTCGATAACATAAACGTCATGTCCCTTTTTAACTGCCTCTTCAAACAGTGATGGTAGCGTTTTTATTGCGTTTACAGATTTACTCAGTATTCTGCTCGTGTTTGTCGCATTTGTTAATATTATCTTTTGCAGCGTTACGTAAAATTCTTGCTCAGATAATGTGTATAGAGACAGCAGAAGACTTTTTAAATCATTTTCATTGGATCTCAATTTGATTGAATTCAGACACTCCCTTGATATGGTCAATGTTATATGTGAAAGCAAGCTTTTCCTTCTTGGAGCCAGGGTCTGAGATTCCATCTCTTTCACAAATTTCAGCGATTTTAAGTTAGGATGTTGACTTTGATTTAGTTGGATTTGATAGTGTAACGATGCTAGTTTGGAAATCGAAACCGCACTGAGTTTATCTTCACCTTGTAACGGTACAAAGCTTGTAATTTGTTGTGATAGATGTACAAACATGAGGACATCTCGCAGTAAGGTTGACGTCTGATGTACCGAATTTAACGCTGCTTGTAGTTTCTGGGCTCTCTCATAAGGCACTAAGACTTGTTCGAGTAGTCTGTTGTAGGATATGCTCATATATTCTAAACTAGGTTTCAACTCTGCGGATATAGAGCCGTTCAATTTCCTTTCTCTATCAAATTCATCCATTAAACCACTGGCATGTGACTTTAGGAAAGACTCGTATCTCGACTTAAGCTCATCAGCATCGTATTGAGCTTTTTTCTTTGGTGCATCAATATCTAGTTCATTAGAAGTAGTATTCATTGCCTTCAGCATCGAATTTGAGTAACTTTTGGAGTCAAACTCCGGGTCTATCAGCTCTTCAAATTCTGTAAAATTGGAATCCATTATCCCGTTATTTAAAGCGCTGTATAATTGGAAAGACTTTATAATAACTGACCAGCAATAACCTCTTGTAATTAGTATGTCTGTTGTGACAGCAATTGACCTGATCAGTCCTGTATGTCCTTTTCAAGAGCTGGCTCTTGAGTATATGAGTTTATTATGTGTGAGCCGATGTTCAGATGTCGTTAGAATGCATATCAGACCAGGCAACTGAATAGCACTCATTGCAGTCCAAGAATAAAGCTTAATGTATTTCTATAAAACCGTATGGAAATTCATTGAAAGTGTTCATAAATAATAAATGGACTATATATATAGATATATATGTGCCTGAGGTAGACTGCCTTTAGTAAGGTTGATTCGTTAAGATTGAAAATGATTTGCGATATGTGAAATCAGTATCAAGTACTGGGGACAAATTTAAAATATAACAACTCAATCTGTGTATGAAAGATTGATGGGAAAATAAAATTAAAAACAATAGATGAAAAATGCATTATGATGTAATAGTTTTGATGCACGTCTTGGGACATGATGAGTGGCGTATGATCGAAATTAAAATAATAAAACAGGTAAGAATATTTGTTTGATTGGCACCCAGAAAATTTGTGATGATAAAAACGAATGAGAACAATGAAATAAGGGGAAAAGAACAATTTTTTTTTTATTTTGCTGGCCCTTTGATTTAATGCCATAGCTGTGATGAATCCGCTACCACATCGGCTGCATTTTTGTAGCTGCCATTGAGAATATTATTATTAGACAGGTCCGTTAATGTAAGTTCCTTACTATTTAGTACAGGAAACGACTCGTTTTGTAAAGAGATACTGTTAGCGCTTGACGGACTATTTCCGCTGGTGGTGTCACTGATTGTTATCGAGCTACTCATACCATATGATGAATTGTCAAACTTCGAAGTTGAGACGTTTTTTGTGGTTTCAAGTGGAATATTTTGCGACATATCCATACTTTGGACTGTGGTCTTTGATGAAGCCTCATTGTTTCTTAATGATGGAAGCATATCATTCCATTCCATGAGTTGGAATATCAGGCCCATGTTAGGGCTTATATCCTTGGCTATCTCTTTAAGTTTTGCATAGGCGTCGTTCAATGCTAAGTTTTCGTATCTCATCATATAGCCAACTATTAGCGAAGCCGATCTAGAGACACCACATTGGCAGTGCACAAGTATTTTCTTCCCCTTAGTAACAGCAGTGTGCATTACCTCAGTGAGCCATGCAAGATCTTTTGATATTTGTGAAGCATGCGTCCAAGGGACGTGGTAATAGTCAATAGCCATGCCTGCAGGTATATGTTGTTTGAGGTTATCGATTTCCTTCGCGACGTTAATTACCACATCGTAATTCAAAATAACTGATAAATTTGGCTCAGAGTATAAATATATGGAGGGCTCTACAACCAATAGCGGTCCTTCAGTGTAGGCGGTGTTCTGATATATTTCGCTGTACATGGCGTCCATATCGAAGTCTTGCTGTTGCACTCTTGAACCAACTTTGTTCATGAACTCCTTCTTCAAGTTCCTCGACTCTGATTCATCAGTAATAAGAGGTGTAGAAGTCTCTGCCCCTGACATTGTAAATGATCTATTTCTGATGTGTCCAGACTTTAGACTGTTAGAGTTTCGAGTGGGTAAGTTTTTAGTCTTGATCGACAGCGACAAGGAGTGCACCCGCCCTAGTTTCTTCTTGTTGTCTATCTCCATCGAGCTTGCATAGATTGGCGACGCCGACTGCACTCTATCTAATTTGGGAGTCACAGAGTATATAGTGTTCCCGGGTTTCCTTACGGACTTGTCACTATCCAGCGTCGACCTCCTGTATATGGTGCCGGATGAGAAGTTGCTCTGCATCTGTGGTCGTACCTCCGGTATCTCTTGAAGACTCGTCAGCTCAGGCTTCTGGTGCTCGATGGCAATAGATAAATTCTTGGTGTTCCTGTTCTGTAAGGACCTGGGCCCTCCAGAGGATGTGAGTTCAGACATTTGTGTTTCTCCCTCAAATATAAGTTCTTGCTCTCTTATAATGATCTCTTTATGGTACTACAATGGAACATATATTTGATTATGGTGATGCAATCCCAGTAAGTGGCAGTATCCACCACTATTATTCTTTTTGCAATAGTTTTTCTTCCGCTTTCCTAGTTATTTTGCCAAATGTTTCAAAAGCAACGACCTTGTATTACGGTAAATGGGCCTCGCAAAAGTGCTAAAACTGCATATATAAGAACTTTCAAAACGTTGTTATAAATATAGTCGGTACTAAATTTACAATAAGGCCATCCGATTATTTTTTTTTCCTCGATACTTCACTAGACTAAGAGATGCGATCGACTGCGGAGGGATTGCTGGTTCTAAGAGAGAAAATGGCAAGGTTGCTGTTGTTTTGACGTCATTCAACTAACAGTAGTGAATATGGTTCTTCTCCCACTGTAATGGCCCATTTCTTTTCCGAATCGAGAATTCTATAAATAGTTATCTCGTGGAGGAAATCATCGAAAGCCTCTGGCAATCGTACGAAGATGAGCTTTTGATGAGAGAGAGGGTGGGACTCCTATCCTAGGACAATGGCAATACTAAGGCCATGGTGCTCATTTTGCAGTATGGTCTTGGTCCTACTAGTAACACTGCACATGATATTATTAATATTTTTCGAATGGGGGGAGGAGAGGATTGGCCATTATACGATACTTTGTGAGAAATTGAAAACTAACTGATCTCCTCTGTGTATACTAATAGGACTGTGAATACAGAACAATTAAGGTCTTGTGGGAGTTAAAAATAAAACCGTGAAGAGAATGTTGGAGGTAAACACAGTGTAATAATAGATTGATATTAAAGTCTAAAATAAACCTAATAAAAAAAAATTTAAAAGAAAACTAAAAAAGGGACTATCTATTCCTGCGGACTAGGTGGAATGCAGTTCACCGCATTTTTGTTTACTGTTTACTTGGACGTACTTCCGCGGATTTCTGTACTGCAATGGACCTTGCAGTGTTGAAAAACGGTACCTTATACTTAATATTTCCCCGTAGGATTAGTTCATAGTCATGCTTGATTACTAGTTTCCATTTGGTCACGTCGTCAGATTCGTCGCTGTCCCTTTTGTCCAGACCGTAATGCCCAAGTTGTTGTATAGAATCAGAACTCGTGTCGTCGTTATCGTTGGGTTCTTTCGCCTCGTCAGATCCTGGCTTGTGTAACCTTACGCTTGTTTGTGAAATATCAAAATTTCTGTTGAAGAATCCACCTTGGAATTTCAAAGGTGTTTCCAGTGTTTTTACAATTCCCAAGAAAATTGTCTCTACGCTAGTTTTTGCTTCTTTCTCTTCCACTACAACACATCTGTTATCGTATACATTGCATTTCAAAAAGGACGTCTTAGCAAAAATGTCGAACTCAACTTCATCAACATATATTGGGAATATGCCAGGATTAAATGCAGTAGTGGTGAGGTCGAATAGGAGCTCGTCAGTGCTCGATATGACATTATCCATCAAAACAATATCAAATTCTCGAAGTTCTTTGTTTGCAGCGAGTAAAAAACCAAGCACAAAACCAATAGATACAAACACCAATACAGAAATTGTGAAATAGAAACACTGACGGAATTTGCTCCAGTTGGATTTCTTAGTGTAAAAGTTGTGTGGAGAGTATTGATAGTTATTATCGACATAATACGAGTTACGATTCAATGGAGTAAACTCAGTTGAGTCCTTAGTTTTACAATGAACTCCTTTGTTTGGACTGGATGCATTCACATTCACCAAAGGTGATATAGGAGGGTAGTAAGAGCCCACTTCATTGTGTTCCGTTGACCCATAAAATGGGTTCCTATCATACCCACTGTGAATATTGGTATGGTTGGTGAAATAGTCACCCGTCATGGTACCATTAACATACTCTTCGTCAGAGTCCTGGTCACCTGCGTCACCTTCATATTCCGATATTTGAGGTCTTGCTTCTAGATTGCTTCCATGACTATAATAAAACATTGATCTATCATCATCTTCATCATCATCAATATCTACATCTAACTCAGAGTCATGGGCTCTAACTGTTTCGTGTAGATTTGCTTCACCTTCAATGGCACTGTTTCTTTGTGACCTATGTTTATCTTCTATAAATCTATTTTGGCCTTTAGTGTCATTGCCATTGTTGAGCCTTTGCTGTCCTCTGTATCTCTCACCACCATTGGTTACAGAGTCAGAACTGTCACCTGTGTGTCTTGTAATACCCTTCAAGTAATCAGCATCAATAGGGCTCGATCGTTCGGATCCTCTTGTGTGAGCACCTGATATGGAGTGTCTTGAAGGCATATATTTCTGTTGTCTAGACAGTTTTTTCTCTTTACTGTTTAGGCCTTGGTTTGTATACAGATCATTCTGTTCGATAAAATCCTCAAGATTCACATTATCAGGGACACCAGAATATCGCCTCAGCGATGCCCCGTTGGCATCAAAAATCTTGGATACAGTTGTTCGTAATGTATTCTTATTCTCTATACTTGCCTTTGATGCATTTTTTTGAGCGGCACCAGTTTTCGCTCTTTGATTGTGCCCAGATATAGATGGATTACGTCCTAATGCACCGTTACTATTGTTGTTGGATACTGATATGCTTCTTTGATTTATATGTGAGTTTCTAGCCTGGTTTTTCATTGGCATGAAATTCGTTGAGCTTTTGTAGTGCAATGAAGGAGAGTTTGCAACGGAATTTGATTCATCCAATGAAGCCAAGCCACCCACTTTTCTGTCTGGTGATCTTTGCTCGGAAGCCATCGATCGTATGGACTGTTGTTCAACTTTACTTTGGTTTTTATGAGATGATCTTATGCTTGTAATATCAGAATCCACTTGTGACAAATTACTTTGTGGATGAGTGGTGTGACTCGGAAGATTTAAAGACGAATTTGGCATACCACCAGTACTAATATGTCTAGTGGTGTTCTTTAACCTGTTAAAGAGCTTGGTATTGCCATTCAGGACAGGCACACTGGATTTTGTCGTAATTGAATGCATTTTACCTGCCAAAGACGAGTCGATATTATGTGGCACTTGATGTTGGTCGTCATTGATTTTGCTTGTGCTTGGATATATCATGTTTTTTGTAGAGTTTGCTGCAGACTCGTAGACAAAAGTCTCTTCTGAATCGCTAACTTCATTCTCTCCCACCGCAGATGCCAATCTTGCAGCAAAAAAATCAGTCTTTGTGGGCCTGTGTGCGTTACTTGATTCCGTAGTTTGTGTAGTTATTTCATCTGGTGTAGTTACTTTCTTGCTCATTGATGGTTCACTTCCCTTTTGTGCTCCCTCGGTATTCAGCAGTCTTTCGCGGGACATCATTGCTACCATATTAGGTCTATCCTTAGCTCTATTTTGAAACAGAGGAGCTGGAGGAGCTGCGCTAGGTGTCAGTTGCTCGGGTTTCTGTGCCTGTTGGCCCAATTGTGAAGGCTGTTGTTGTTGCCCCGAGTTGTTTGGCGTTGAGCCGATGGCGTTTGACATTATTGATGCGCCCACTGTCGCTATACCGGATGCCTGTCTCTGCAATGGTATCTTGTCCAGTACATGATTTGGGTTCTTATTGAGGTCTGTAACGTTATCGTGCTTAGCACTAGAGTGGGCTGGCAGGTTAAGGGCACTCAAAGATGTGCTTTCTGTATTTATGCTCGGCACAATCTTCATTTTGCTCTTTATCATGTCTCCGCTAGTGGTGCTGAATAGTGTATCTTCTGCAGAGTTTCTTGCATCCGTGGTCTTCGCGTTTGGTTTGTTCAGCTCGGTTTGGGACATCGCCGGCGCAGAATTGCTGGTGTCCATGTCTGGGTTCTTGGCGCTCTCGGATGCGCCGTTACCGTTCGCATGCGGCACATGCGGCGACAGCGGGTTGCTGTCTATCAGCGTCTTGTGCGTCTGCAGAGGTGGCGCAGTCTTAACCGCATTCAAGGGCGACGCGGTGCCCTGCGGCACAAACTCATCGGGCGTCCGCACCGCCAGCGGCGCAAACCCTATCTCGCTCTCCTCCCCACCATGTACCGCCTCCTGCACACCACTGTGCACACCACTGTGCACGCCATCCGCATCCCTCTCCTCGGCACGCGGCAGCTCAGCAGCAGGCACTGCCTCCACGGTCTCCGTCTCCACCGTCAGCTTCTTCTCATCGTCCATCTGCAACTTCTACCTTAGTGTGGTTTACTGGTAGGAATAGCCGTCTACTCCGCTGTGCCACTACTAAATATCTGGTCCTGGCAAAAAAAATAACCGCTGAGCTAGAAAAGGGGAGGCGTATGCGCGGCACACGCTTCAATTAGAGAGAGCCCTTCACCCAAAAAGCCAAAAAAAAGCCAAAAGCAAATTATGTCTCTATATACGCCATCAAACACATGCCTTCCCGTGTTATGGTATATGTAGTATCTATATACGGTACATCAGATGATGTTACGTGTCAACGTATATACCTGTATACGTATTTTGAATAAATGTATCCCGTGATGTATGTACAAAACGATGTGTTTCCATTTTTTTTTCGGAAAAAAATTTTTGAAAAAAAAAATTTGAAAATTCAGAGGCGATTTGCTTCTTTCGACGGTGAGCCCATCTCTTCTCATCGCTGCATTTGCAAGTCGTGAGGGCCAACAGGCCACTCTGGCTAGTATATGCTTGGGATTGATATAATGGTGTGGAGCTCTTGGGATGGGAATCGGCAATACGGTGTGAAGCTGGTTAAAAGAGGCGGTTATATTTATCACGTTGTCGTTACTTAAGTTTTGGAGGTCGTACGCTCAGATTGCTAAGAAGTCTGTTAGGATCAAAAGGATGACAGTTGAGGACGTTAAGCAAGCTAGACAAGCTGTTGAGTTCAGCAGGGAGAAGTTGGAGTCTGTGCTGAGGGGTAGGTTTTTCTATGCTCCGGCATTTGACCTGTATGGTGGTGTGAGTGGTCTGTACGACTACGGTCCACCTGGTTGTTCTTTCCAGGCCAATGTTGTTGACCAATGGAGGAAGCACTTCATCCTGGAAGAAGATATGCTGGAGGTTGACTGTACTATGTTGACTCCCTACGAGGTCTTGAAGACCTCTGGTCACGTTGACAAGTTCTCCGACTGGATGTGCAGGGACTTGAAGACCGGTGAGATCTTCAGAGCAGACCACTTGGTTGAGGAAGTGCTAGAGGCACGTTTGAAAGGTGACCAGGAGGCCAGAGGTCTGGTGAAGGACGCCAATGCTGAAGCTGAGGAAGATGCCGACAAGAAGAAGAGAAAGAAGAAGGTCAAGCAGATCAAGGCCGTTAAGCTGGAGGACGACGTTGTCAAGGAGTACCAACACATCCTGGCACAGATCGACGGTTACTCCGGTCCAGAGTTGGGTGAGATGATGAAGAAGTACAACATCGGTAACCCAGTCACCGGTGAGCCACTAGAGCCACCAATGGCTTTCAACCTGATGTTCGAAACCGCTATCGGTCCTTCTGGTCAATTGAAGGGTTACTTGAGACCAGAAACCGCCCAAGGTCAATTCTTGAACTTCAACAAGCTGTTGGAATTCAACAACGGTAAGACCCCATTTGCATCAGCTTCTATCGGTAAATCTTTCAGAAACGAGATCTCTCCAAGAGCTGGTCTATTGAGAGTTCGTGAATTTTTAATGGCCGAGATTGAGCACTTCGTCGACCCATTGGACAAGTCTCATCCAAAGTTCCACGAAGTCAAGGACATCAAGTTGTCTTTCTTGCCACGTAACATTCAACAATCCGGCTCCACTGAGCCTTTGGTTACCACCATTGGTGAAGCTGTCGCATCCAAGATGGTTGACAACGAAACCTTGGGTTACTTCATTGCTAGAATCTACTTGTTCTTGATCAAGATTGGTGTCGATGACACTAAGTTGAGATTCCGTCAACACATGGCCAACGAAATGGCTCACTATGCTGCTGACTGTTGGGATGCTGAATTGAAGACCTCGTTCGGTTGGATTGAGTGTGTTGGTTGTGCTGATAGATCTGCTTACGATTTGACTGTCCACGCCAACAAGACTAAGGAAAAGCTTGTTGTCAGACAAAAGTTGGAAACCCCAGTTGAAGTTACCAAGTATGAAATCGACTTGACCAAGAAGTTGTTTGGTCCAAAATTCAGAAAGGATGCACCAAAGGTTGAAGCTTACTTGACCGAGCTATCTCAAGAAGAACTAGAAAAGAAGGCTGAAGAATTAAAGACTAACGGTAAGATCGTCTTCACTGTTAAGGGTATCGAAGGTGAGATTGAATTGGATGACAAGTTTGTTGTTATTGAGAAGAGAACCAAGGTTGAACACGTTAGAGAGTTTGTTCCAAACGTTATCGAACCATCCTTCGGTATTGGCCGTATCATCTACTCTATCTTCGAACATTCTTTCTGGAGTAGACCAGAGGATACCGCTAGAGCCGTCCTATCTTTCCCACCACTAGTTGCACCAACCAAGGTTCTTCTAGTTCCACTATCTAACCACAAGGATTTGGCCCCAGTTACTGCTCAAGTTTCCAAGATTCTAAGAAAGGAACAAATTGCATTCAGAGTGGATGACTCCGGTGTGTCCATTGGTAAGAGATATGCTCGTAACGATGAATTAGGTACTCCATTTGGTATCACTATCGATTTCGACTCTGTTAAGGACGGTTCCGTCACTTTGAGAGAAAGAGACTCCACTAAGCAAGTGAGAGGTTCTGTCGAGGCTGTCATCAAGGCTGTCCGTGAGATCACATACAATGGTGCTTCTTGGGAAGAAGGTACAAAGGACTTGGCTCCATTTGTTAGTCAATCTGATGCTGAGTAATCATCTAACAACATACTTAAATAATGTATAATACTTATTGATATTATATCTATGATATTAACGAAATCTAATTAAAATAACTAATCTCGCTATAGAATGTATTTCATACTCGACTGGGAATGTAAGTGCAGTTGCTGAAATTTCATCTGTTAACAATTATATTAAATGTAAGTAGAGTTACAATTTAGAACAATTACATCCATAAGCTATTATATGATCTGAAGTACTATCACTTATTACCAATACTTAGTGTCTTAGTTAAAGTTGTATTTCCATTAGTTTCTGCCGCCGATTGATCTGAGCATGACCTCCTCGTGGAGTCCATTGAATGAATAGCTCTAGATCGAGTGGTGGAACTTCTTGCAGATAACATCGGAGCTAATGTTTCAGATTCTCTCTCTATTTTGGCCTTTAATGTGCTCAAGTATTTCACCTTTTCTTCTTGGTTATTAAAAGTTGTTAGCTCCGAAAGATTTTTGAACCAATAAAGCATCTCTTTACTGGATGTCGTCCTAAAAACCCAATTGTGCCCTCTATGGATTAGGCCATTTGTTTTCGTATGCAGGATAAATTTGTATGATTGAGAATCCTTACCTTCTCCTTTCTTATCACATTCGTTCAAAGGCGTATGCTGAACCACTTTACACTCAGCCAAAGATAGCGAGAATAACGGTACAGAGTCTCTTTTCCGATCTGACGTTTTAAATTCATGCAAATAGTTTGGCGTAAGAACGTAATACCCCTTTGTATAAGACTTTAAGTATTTGGATCTCCTTTCCAGGTAGCCACATTGAACAACCAAAGTGAGAGGATCGTTCTTTCCAGTATATTCTATTTCTTTGAATTTTCTCATCGGTAAATTGAGCGGAATAAAGTTGGTATTGTCTCGCAGTAAAAAATTATCCCATTCATGAGATGGTGATAATGACAAAAATGAACTCAGCAGTCTATTAACCAGTTGATCATCTATTATCTTGGCTTCGGCGCCCAAAATTTGTGCTAATACTCTGAATGCATTTTGTATGCTTGCCACCACTATTTTTTCCAGCTCTTGGCCTGAACTTTGTAGATTCATAAAAGCTTCATGTAAAAAATTCTCCTCTGAGAGCTGTCTTCTTATCTGGTTATCTAAGTTTACCTTTAAAAGGTAAGGATCTCTTGCTGGTACGTTTTTTCTAGCTTGATTTATTGACTGCTGAAATTTTACCATACATTCCCTGGTTGTATCAAGTTCTTTTGAGCAATTATTCTTGAAATCTGAACTTAAGCTCTTGATGCTCTTGATTTTCAATACTAAATCCTTATTTAAACTTTCAAGTCCGGGGATTATGCTGTTTTGAAGTTCTCTCGTACCTTTAGCCGCTTCAGCTGCCATTACATCGTGGTATTGTCGAAGAATAATGGGGACATCCTGAATAGAGCCGTTACCAATAGGCAGAAAGAAATGATTTATGGTGTTTGCAGAATGTGTGTTATCTTCCTCGGAACCAGAAAAGAACCATCCGTTATTGTTCTTACCGTGCTTATCGTGTGCACCACCACTGGCTAGCTTATTTGCAGCAGATGTTAAGTTGAAACTACCGCTGAGTCCCGAACCACTGCTTCCTATGCCAGCGTTGCTTATACCGTGTGATGCAAGTATATTAGAGACTTTGGCGTTCTGTCTTATTATCTCTTCTTGGACAGAAGCCACCTCAGAGAGATACACTATAATAGCCTTGAGCACTTTCCTCCATTCTGTGAACCTCTGAGCAAGCTGCTCAGCTGGATGAGCATCATATGGAACAAGCACTGCTAGCGGGGACCGGGGGTCTGCTTGAGAACTCATTCTTGTGTCTGTCGTATTTATTGTTGCTAGGTTACAACAAGCAAAAAAAAATTCTTAAATGTGTAGTATAGTTTGAAAAGGTCTAGGAAGTCTGATGCTTAAATATCCAAATGATTATTCTGAAAGCATCAGCAAGTTCTTGTTCTGCTCATCTCCGAATAATGTGTCAATTATTTGTTTTGGCCTTCCAGAAGCCCACTGCCAGGTGAAAAAGTAAGGGCTTCCTGCGCTACTTTCTAAGCCAAGTACAAAGAACAAAGGAAAATTTTAAGAATGAAGCGACGGCTAATTTATTAGCTGCACCTTTAAGGGTCCTCGGCAGCAATATTATTGCAGTGGGGATCTCAGATCTGTAAGTGGGGCAATATTTCATATACGATGGTCTATTAGCTATGAGTATTTTAGATAGTTGTTGGTAAACAATTAGCTTAACTGATTGACGACTGGAGTTGAGTCTTACACGAGAGCCAGCCACGTCAATTTATATTGTACAGGCATGGAAATATGGCAACCCCAGCTTTTCCAGATAAATTTCTATTACATATATATGTATAACTGTTTTCTGCATCACTGCTGGTTAAGTCTTGGTGCCAATGCCGAATATTCAAGCTTCTTTTAGTATCAGGGTATCCTTAACACTTCATTATGAAATGGTTCAAGCAAGCAAAGCTCAAGTTTAAAATTAAGAAGAAGTCCAAGAGAGTGTCGAAGGAATTGGTGCAGATACCCGCCAGTTTTAACACCAGGCAGGCCCTGGTTAATGCAGATGACCAGTATTCGCATAAGGTTTTCATGGATTCCAAACAGTATATTCTGTCCAAGTACCTTACCCTATTTACGGTTTTGTTCTGTGCCTTGGCAATATGTGTCACGCTGGTGTGCGCTCCCAGGATTATACGGATATACTACTCAAATAAAGTTACGTATACCAAGTGGGCCTTACTGCTTTCATTGATATCTCCCCAACAGCAGCAGCTTCCCCTACTCTCGGGCACATTCTCACTAGGTACAATATTCAGCCTCTACAAATGGCTAGTTTGGTTCATTTGATTGCAGGAACCACTGAGATTAATATAGCATTGGCATTGATGGTGACTGTGCTTGCTAATACCAGTTGAAGTGGGAAAAAATGTGTCAAATGCTAGTCTACTCATCGCCTGCATTGTACGGAATTTTCTAAGCCTATGAGTGAGTTTGTTTGTGCTTCCACTGAAAAAAAATGCTTTCGACAATTTGAAGGTATTGTTTGAAAAATTGTATAAAGAGCCAACGGAGTTGGGTAGTTGCAATTGTTGATCTACTGGTTTATCTTTGAGTGGATATGATTAATAGGTTAATTCAGAGGATTGTACCTTTTTCAAGACCATTAAGCACCGTGAAGAAGACGATGTTGACACCCTTTTTGGAATCCAAGAGACCTCAGCAGTCTCCTGAGTACGACTACTCCACTTTGTCTAACTACAAGAGTTTTCAGATCAAACATACTACACTAAACTTCTTGTTATCGTTTGAGAAATCTACTGTCTCTGGTGATGTCGTGTTTGATTTGACTACTCTGAAAGAGGCTGTTAAGCACATTGACCTAGATACTTCCTACTTGGATGTCAACGAGGTTCTTGTTGATGATAAGCCTGTAGAGTTCAAGATTGAAGAAAGAAAGCAACCATTGGGTTCAAAGTTAGTTATTGCTGCCGAATTGGAAGCTGAAAGACAATTCAAATTGAGAGTTAAGTTCAGTACTACTAAGGACTGTACAGCCCTGCAATGGTTGACTCCACAACAGACATCGGGCGACAAGCCTTATATGTTTTCTCAGTTAGAAGCCATTCATGCTAGAGCATTGTTCCCATGTTTTGACACACCTTCTTACAAATCTACATTCACCGCCAATATCGAGTCCACTCTTCCAGTTGTTTTCTCTGGTATTGCCACTGGTTCTACACCAAATGGTGAATCCACTGTTTACCACTTCAAGCAAGACATCCCAATTCCCGCTTATTTGGTTGGTATTGCCTCAGGTGATTTGGTCTCTGCATCAATTGGCCCACGTTCAAAGGTGTACACTGAGCCTCACCGTTTGGATGACTGTGTCTGGGAATTTTCTAATGATGTTGAGAAGTTTATCAAGACCGCTGAAAACTTGATTTTCGATTACGAATGGGGTACCTATGATATTTTGGTTAATGTTGACTCTTACCCATACGGAGGTATGGAATCCCCTAATATGACCTTCGCTACCCCTACCCTTATTGCTCATGACAAGACAAACATTGATGTCATTGCTCATGAATTGGCTCACTCATGGTCCGGTAACTTAGTCACTAACTGTTCCTGGAACCATTTCTGGCTAAATGAAGGTTGGACAGTTTATATTGAGAGAAGAATAGTTGGTGCCCTACACGGTGAGCCAACCAGACACTTCAGTGCTCTCATTGGTTGGTCCGATTTGGAGAACTCCATCAATTCGATGAGAAACCCAGAGAAGTTCTCTACATTGGTTCAAAACTTGAATGACGGTACTGACCCAGATGATGCTTTCTCTACTGTGCCTTATGAAAAGGGTTTCAACTTGTTGTTCCATTTGGAAACTGTCCTTGGTGGTCCTCAAGAATTTGATCCTTTTATTAGACATTATTTCAAGAAATTTGCTCGTCAATCTCTTGATACCTTCCAATTTTTAGATACTTTGTTTGAATTCTTTGAGAACAAGAGAGAAATTTTGGAGAATGTTGATTGGGAAACTTGGTTGTTCAAGCCTGGTATGCCACCAAAACCACAATTCATAACTACTATGGCGGATAATGTTTTCTCCTTAGTTAATAAGTGGATTGTCAAGGCCCAAGAATTGAAAACTACTGAGGAATTCTCTAAGGAGTTCAGTGAATCAGATCTTTCAGAGTTCAACTCTAATCAAGTTGTTCTATTTTTGGAAGAGCTTGTAGCTCAGAACTGTGTACCAGTTGAGAGCAAGATTGAATGGTCCAAGTATTCAGTAGCCTCTGAAAGCTTGCTAAGTATTTACAAGAAGCAAGTTACAGAGTCTCAAAACGCAGAGGTTGTATTCAAGAACTACAAGTTCCAAACCACAGCCAGAATCCAGCCATCCTATCAACAACTAGCCAACTGGTTGGGTACTGTCGGTAGAATGAAGTTTGTGCGTCCAGGCTACAGATTGCTAAACGCTGTCGACCGTGATCTTGCCATTGCTACGTTCGAGAAGTTAAAGGATACTTATCATCCAATCTGTAAGCAATTGGTCAAGCAAGACCTTGAATTGTAAGTTTATGCTCTCCTGATAAGAGCGCTAATGACACCACGCATATTTTATAATTAAATAATGAGTATGTACATAATAATACGATTGGTATCCGTTTTATTATACGTTCTGTATTGTTGTGCAATGGCTGATTAGCTGCGAGTTAGTTTGGTGTCTGTTTATTCTTCTAACAGTTCCATGATATCTTCAAATGGAGGCTTTTTGTTTGTGAACAGCCTGGACGCTCTCGTCAATCCTCGTCGGTCGCGAATCCTCGACGACAATCACAAAAAAAACACGAATGAACAACCAAGGCACACCAAATAAGAGTTATTTAAAGGTGATAAAAAAGGTTAGAGGTATAAAGGCACTGTAAAACATTGCATTTAGACAGTTATCTGAACGTCGGTAATCAAGGAAAAGAGCAGCAGAAATGAACCAAATCAATGCTATGAGCGTATGTTTTGAATTTCTCGGAGCTTTGAGTTTTTGAGATGTGCTGTCACTTTACAGCTAGTTTGTTTTCTGAATCTAATACTAACTAATATGACCTTATTGTCTGCAAGCAGCCAGTTTACTACCATCAAAACCTATGGGTTTCTTTGCCCTGGGGACTAGGGTAGAACAGTGAAACTAAGAAAGTGGAAAATGCAGAAGATAAGGACACAAATTTTGAATTAGCAACTTGCGAGTTTTTCCGAAAACTTGTCTATAGACAACATAAAGAGCCAAGCCATGGCTATTAAGTCCAAATTTGGTTCTCTACGTTCCGTTCAAGACTTTTTCAATATTAAGAGACTATCCAAGCCTCAGAACTTCAGCGAAATCCAATCCAGAATCTCATACAATCTAAACTACTTCTCCAGTAACTACGGTATCATTATTGGTTGTCTAAGTATCTACACGTTGTTGACTAACTTACTACTATTGTTCGTCATCTGTTTTGTTTTCCTGGGTCTGCTAGGTATCGGCAAGCTGGATGGCCAGGACTTGAACACACCATTTGGCTCTTTCAAGACCACACAACTGTATACTGGTTTGGTCTGCATTGCTGTGCCATTGGGTTTTCTAGCTTCTCCATTCTCAACTATGATGTGGCTAATCGGTGCCTCATCTGTCACTGTCTTAGGCCACGCTGCTTTGATGGAGAAGCCAATTGAGACTGTTTTCGACGAAGAAACTGTATAGTACCCACTCTATTTAAACTTTCAAAAAAAAAAATTGTACTTTGTAGTAATAGAATGATACTAATGCAAGAAATCTGGATTAGACGTCAATATGATGTTTTAACAACCTTGAGAGCGGGACACCAGTAATGTATATAGAAGCGGGGCAGACGTACAGTACAAATAGTCAACCCCAAAAAGGGAAATCTAATCTATCCTTTCCCGTTAGTCTTAACAATTCCCCGTTAATTGAAAGTAAAGTGTTTCGTACAGCACTGTCTGAGGATTGATAAATGAAGGAAAACCTTATTGACCAAACAGGAAATATACATGGATATTAGATATTTATCATCCCATGTCTCTTTCTGCACCTGTATCTCTGCTGGGACACAGAACCACCGTGAGCTATTTGAGCTATTTTCTCGAGTGCTGCAGAGATCCTTCTATTTTCCTAAAGAGGAAGTTGAAAAGAGGTCAAAAATGGTTAGGGTCTACGAGAGTCTCTGTGCAGAATACTGCAAAAGAAAAAAATAGTGGAAGGAGTTCGAGGAACAGTGAGGGGCAGATTCCAAATTACCTGAGAATACCAAGAATACTGGACTGCTGCGACAGTTTCAGTGGTCGATCCTGCATGGAATATATTATCTAATACTCTTTCTCGAGAAATTCTCTGAATGAGGAAAAAAGAGCACTAAAATGGCAAGATGTGCAGCATTCTCTGTGGGAACACTCAGCAGTACACTTGAAAGAAAAATAAAAAATTGTCTCAATGGGTAAATTAGCTGGTAGAAAGCATCGGACTGTTTGTCAGTGCTCACTTGTTCAATAGTGAATTGAAGTATAATTGCCAAAAGTATTGCAAAAAAAAATAATAGCAAATCTCCGTTGGAAGGATCCTTCACTGCTCTAATACCAGCTAGGCTTTACTGCAGGGTATCTTTCTATATGGTAACTGTGAGAAGGAACAGGGGAGAAGCAACAACAAACAAAAATATCTCACTTCTTTTACCTGAAGGGGAGACCTAATTGATATATAATACATTGACAAGCCGTTTCTCTCGAAATTGATCGACATTGGGGACAAGGATTAGTTTAAGAGCAACATCAAATCGTCCCCACACATAGAAAATCTGGCTAAATGAGTGAGGACAAGGCCAACCATACCCGAAGCAAGTCTGTCTTGGATGTTATATTCGGCAACTCAGTGACGGATTGGAATGTTTCTGAAGGTACATTACTAAAATCTATAGACTTCAAAATTGAGCAAGAGAAGACGAAACAACAATACTACAAACTTGAAGGACTAAATAAGACCATAGAATTACTGAAGCTGGCCACAAATGCTAATATTCCGTCATCACAAATATCGCGTCTGTTTGGTGACTTGAGCCCAGGTAGTGAAGAATCTTCTAGACAATCTCAAAGCACTAATGAAACCAAAACTATACCTGCGACAGAATTTCTAAGTCCCAATAGAAATGGCACAGTACCGAGTTCACCTACAAACGATGGTGTTTCATTGCGTGCACCAGTGTCATATAGGTTTCCAGCCAATAGTAATGGAGGTCCACCTAGACCTGTGAGAACTCATCATAGAACTAATTCGCCAGCACGTATTGGTGCCCATGCTGTAGCGAACCTGAATGAAGTGATATCTGTGAAGGAGGAGCCAGAGCCAAATAATGTCCTACATCCATCGTCACCATTGGGGCGCAAATCACAGTTAGTCTCCAATCATACAAGAAACTACTCGGAACCATCAAGATTTTTCACGAGCAGTACCACATTAAATAACATCACTGGACCTGTCACCACAGTACTTGACTTCGAGCCGCATAACAAAAATGGGAAAGGTCGTCAACCAAGGAATAGTACTGATATGTTAGAAAGCGATGCGCATAAGCTGCGAAATGGATCCAAAAGATTAGGTGGAATAACTAAGAGACATAGACGAACTAGATCTGCGTCTTCATTCGGAGTAATTGATTTAAACATAATAAATGATGCAAATTCAGAATCACTGGAAAAAGCTTCGATAAATAGGATGATGGAAGAAAGGAAGGGAAGAGCTCCTACATTGATAAATGATAATGATGATAGAACATGTAGTGAAAGCAGCTCTAGAACAGAAAGCCCTAATAGGTTTTCTAGACGAAGTTCTGTGACAAAGCTTTTAAACGACCCTTGATGATATTCATGTGTATAATTTCGCTATAAAGCAATAGTTCAGCATTGATGCAATAAAAACTCTCTATATTCTATATTTAGGAATAATTTTGATAAATTAACAGCTAAACCGTCCGATATTTGAAGGATTGTAATAAATGAAAAATAGTCGCTTTAGATTTCTTTTATACACCTGCTAAAGTCTTAAACTCCGATTCTGTAAAGTTGAGAATTGCTTCGACCTTTTCCTTATTATCTGGATATAGATGTTTTAGAATTCTTCTGAAGATACAATAGAAGTCGGTCAATGTTCTGAAGCAAATTTCGCATACATCATCTGCAATCGACGGAGATGTTAACTTAATTAGTAAGTTATCTTGAAAATCAGGTAATGCCTGGGGTAGATAGTCATTCAGTTTTTCATGAATGTTTTTTTCTAGATTTTCTAGACTCATTAAAGGATTGTCTACTAGGGACATATACATGTCATAATCTATTTCATCTTGAATTGAGTCAATTGGGAAAATCATATTCATCAGGTTGTAGTACATATTCAAGCCTGTTCTTTCGAAAAGTAATGAAATTTGAAGCTTCTGCAACTTCTCTACAGTTTCATCCAATGTATGCTGTATATTCTCTAATATATGTTTGCAGGACTCGTCATATGAAAATATGGATAATGAATATGGTTGAAGTCTAAAATTAATCATTTCAAAACAATTAATCTGTAGTGTTAGCATTACAATCCTTATCTCTTCCTTCTTTTTGGCTAATGGATATGAGTCTTTTATTTGTTTGATCAGACTAGTCATAAATGGCTCTTCTATAACAGTCTTTAATGTATCATATGGAAACATGTACTTATCAGAATCGATGTCATCCTTTGAAAATCTTTTACCACCATAAAGTCTTTCAACATGATCAAACAACTCGGTGATAGAATTTAAATAATCTGACAGCCATTGAGGAGGTAATAAATCTGGTGATGATATTTGTGTATTTTCTGTTTCTGCTAATTGTTTAGTTAATGAGTTGATTATCTTTTTTTCTGAGATGTCTCTCAATTGGATTAGATGTAAAACTAAAGGATTATCATCTCTTATTCCTTTATTAACAAACATAGATGAGTATAAATCCAGCAACTGTGTGATCTCAAAATTAATTACCTTATTTTCTTCAAAACGAATGACTTGTTCAATCCTTAGTTTGCACGAATTTGCTAGATATTGTACAATATCATTTACTAACTTAAGATCCAGGCCATCGAAATACTGTGCATTGTTATTTATAATCATGCTAGATGATTTGTCCATGTCTTCAGAGGTGAACTTAAACAAAGATTTGACAAAATCAACTTCATTCGCAATCATAGTGTGTATTGTGGCTAAAACATCACCAATATAGCGCACCGGATCTTCAGAGGAAGAAATTGTTGTAGACAATTCTGAGGTGGTTCCAAATTGCGATAAAAACTCGTCTAGAAGTGTCTTTGATCTCATGGTAGTTACTCTCTTCAAAAAATCGTCATAGTATTGGATGTCATTTGAAAGGTAAACCAACCCCTTTTGAAATAGAGCTAGATTCCTTTCTGTAGGGTCGATTACGTGTTTGGTTCCCATGTTTGAATTTGACTCAAAAGTATACATATAGTCTATCAGATAATTTGAGATTTTCTTATTAATAGTATCCAATGTAATATTGGTCTGTTTAATTAGAACCTCACCAGCTTTTGAATTAGGTAAAGCGAGCAAATAGGTGGCATGTTCTTTCATCTTCGTTAGTTTATCAACAATATCAAATATTTCTTCCTTTAAAGGACCATTTTCTATCAGATCATCTTCTAATTGGTTTAGTGTAAATTTTGATTGCAAAGCCTTCAAGATCTTCTTCTTTATTTCTAATTTGAGTAGGTGGTTCCTGCAGTCGTCAATATCACTAATATATTTTTGAGAGAATGTCTCTTTGTCATTTTTCAAAATTTCCTCCCCAATGTTTTCAATTTGCTGAACTGGAGCTGCTAGTCTCTTAATTCTTCTAACAATTGGTTTAAAATCTTCCAAAACTGTAACATGATCCTTCAAAAGTTGTGTTTCAAGATCAGTTCGTAGCGATTTTCTTGCCAGCGTGCCAATATAGTCAGGACTGATCAATTTCTCCTCACTAATACCTAGTTTATCCCTATTTTTTTCTAGTATCTTCAATGATTTCCTTAACTTTATAGTGTGATGGTAACTGGTGTCATATTCATTTAAAACTTTTGATAGCTTCTTAGCTAGAATTTCATTAGATTTCTCTAAGTCAATTGAGGATGGCTCCACTAGAGTTTTCCTTGTAGTAGCTTCAGGTATAGGTGTTGAATCCTTAATATTTTTAGTGCCAAAATTCTGAATAGAAAGATCAACATAATCTGACATACGATCATATAAGTTAGAGGTATCCTTCTTTAACTTTTGCGCCATAGCAGTATCATCCTGAACATCTGCTTTAGTTTGGAGTAAACTGGTCTCTACATTTGAGAGTATTGACGGCAGCTTGAAGTTATCTTTCAGAGGCTTGTAATCCAGAGAGAATGAGGATATGTTCAGTCTAGACACGGGTTCTGGCAAACTGACCTCACCATTGGTTCCAGACTTGTCATTATTGTCTGGAGCAGTTTCAAATGCCTGATAATCAATGAACTCCATCTATCCAATAAATAGTAGCTTTTCTATCTGATAGTTGTAGATTTCAGTTTCAATTTCACAATCAGGAGCTTTTGTAGTCCTTAGGCAAACTCAATTGTTGAGCAACTAATTATTTAACTTTTGTTACCTTAGGTGTAATACTTTGTGTGTGCAACAGAGTCATCAAGACGGAGAAATGTTGATCAGAGACGCCAATATATTGTCTGAATTGCCAGAATGTGCTTGCAAGAACCTTTAAACTGTCCATTAAGTTTTTGTATTTTCTTACGTTACCATCACATGGCAATATTGCTTGGCTTGCAAAATACTGAATAGCATTAACCAACAAATTAGTATCCGTATTTTTAACACCTAGTTTATTATTCGCATAGGTTATTGTGTTTTTGAGAGACTTACTATCGTAAATTTTGAAACCAAATCCATTCGCTAGATATGCCAATAAATGCAATTCGCAACAGTTAATTCGCTGAATTCAGGGACTTATATCGTATTGCTGGTTGTGCTAATTCGTGATGAGGTGATAAATACAGTAAACCAGGGTAATTGGAGTTAAAATTGATATTTCTACCACTACGAATGAAGTTTTCTGGTGTTATTTGTGTTCAATTAGCGGATTCTCAAAATTTTTCTTTAAAGAAATTTGTATGAACATATTTTTCTGAACAACAACAAACTAAGTAAGCTTCTATGGCCAAGTTGGTAAGGCGCCACACTAGTAATGTGGAGATCATCAGTTCAAATCTGGTTGGAAGCATTTATTTTTTTATTTGTCCCTTGCTTTTACAATTCAGTTTCTACCCATTGTTAACTGATTTTCACAATGTAAGTTGTTGACTACAGTTAAGATGACTCTTTTGAATCTGGTATATTGCATTGTTTTTGTAAAAAGATCAGAATACATTGTATAGAATTAGAAGTGAAGTGAAAAACTATGTAGGGCAAATAAATAGTTGAGTTATGCTAATGAGTTGAGTAGACCGTCACAGACGTGTCCTCCTCTTTATTTCTGTTGATTGCCATAGACCTCTCTTACAACGTCGACAAGGCCCGAGTCCACGTTATATACAAGTCCAAAAATATTGAACTCATGATCCTGGTTGCTGTTCCTTAGTGCATCTTGCACAACTGGGATTTGCAGCAATCTTTGCAATTGTCTTTCAACGTTTCTGTGAGACATTAGTTTTGATTTCGAGCATATGTTATCCAATTGGTTCAGCTCAGATTCATGTGATTCTACCAGATCCTCTATGTCGTCCAAGTGTTCATATAGATGTGGGCAGCTTTCCTTTATGCTCTCTCTGCCCAGCAGACAGGTCTTGATACCACCACAGTCTGTGTGTCCACACAGTATGATTCTGTTTACTTTCAAGTTCAGGATGGCGAACTCCAGCGTCGCGAGCAAAGAGTGATCGTCTGTGTGGCATATGTTAGCAACAGTCTTCAACGTGAAAATCTCACCTGGCAAGACGCCCAGACAATCCTCGTTGTAGCGTGAGTCAGAGCACCCAATGAAAAGAGTGTGTGGGTCCTGCCCTTGTCCGTTGGTAGGAAACAACTGCGGCTGCGAGCGGTGCATAGCTTGTGCCCATTGTCTGTTGGCATCCAGTATGTTGTCTAGAGCGCATTTCCCGGTCAGTGTAAATATAGTGTCTTTAGTCATTTGGTTTTTGTTTTCTTTTATTGTGTAATCCTGTTAGTTGCAGTATTAGACAACTTGCATTATAGACAGTAAGGGCTACATTTTACGGGAAACGTCAGTCTTGATGTTGAGAGTTCGCAGCCTTTTTATAATATGCCAGATAGACCGTCTCTTGGCTATCTTGTAGAGATGACCCCATCGCTCGTAATATTGCGATAATTAGGTTGAGAAATGAACTCATGATCACGTTGACGTCAGACCTGAATCAGCGCCGTTATCTGTGACAACTTAAGGGAAAAAAGTTTCTTTTCTGAAAAACACACTGAGAAGAGGGGCTGCATTGTCTGCGTCCGTCCGTCTGTAGGTCTGTAGGTCTGTAGGTCTGTATGTCTGTAGGTCTGTAGGTCTGTGTGCGTGTGTGTCAATGGTGAACTGCAAGGAGAATAATGGCTAATGTGGATCTAGCAGTAAAGTTGTGCTTTCGTACAGCACCTTCTGTGCAGACCGGTGCCCCTCTTATCTCTTGTCTCTTCTCTTCTCGAGCAAGACAAGATCTTCTTTTCTCCTTTCCAGCCTTTCCGCCCCTCCCCCCCACAAGAAATTCCACCCTGCCTCGCTTCTGTGAGAAATCCCACGGGGTGATTATTCCGAGGCGGATTTCTTCCGAGAAACTTTGTTCCGGTTTTCCCTACTAAAGCAGTTGTTCCGTCTTTTGTCGCGAATCCTCTCTTTCACATGTCAAAGGACAGACACTACACCAGCTTTCTATTTCAGTTTTCATACCATTTCCGATGGATTCAGTGTGTGTCTATTAATAATGTTATACAGGACTGGAGCTACGAGGTTGGGACGAATGATAGGGTGGAAGCAGTGGCACAGAAATAAACGTGTGGAGCCAGTTTTTGCATACAACGAATTGTTGAGCTTTCCTCCCCCCCATCGTCTTCCCCAACTGTGGCATTTCGTGGTCCGCTCTCTGGGACATATGGCGATGCAGCGGATATTTCTACTTGGCATGTAGGGCACGTTGGAGCTTGTTATATAGCGCAATCTGGTCAGGTAAACGCACACGTGCATTCTCGTAAAGAATCCTCAGACATGGTTCCCTTACGCCGTCATGTGCTCTGTTATTGTCTCTCGTCTTGGTCCTGTGGTGATTGCTGGTGTCGCCGTTGTAGAGTATTGACAGGTGACTGCTGACACCGAAACCAGTCTTGCTAAAAGTCTCGTGTATTATTATATCAACAACTCTGTCACGTGGTATGAATGTGGTTTCATTGCTATTGGTGTTGGTCCTTGCCGCCAGGGCAATAGTCTCGAACGCAGCCGTTGATGCTGTACTGTCGCTTGAAGATAGATGGTCGTACCATAGTTGCAATGCTTTCCAGGAGATCGATTGGATATGCCATTTCGATATCTGCACACCAAGTTTTGGAATAACAGTTACGGTTTCGATGGTGATTACCAGCTTCGTATTTAGTATGTGGAAGCATAGTAGTGATAATAGTAGCCGGTGTAGTCTGCAGTCTCCAGGTAAACTGGCTTTACGGAGCAGAGACACCACTTGATCCTGTAAAAAATGATAAAAGAGCAGCTCAACCACTATCACACATATCCCATTGAGCAATTGATCTCTAAGATACGTCTTTTTGTAAATAGTAGCGCTGATCATTCCATTGTGCTCTGTCAATGATATAGCATATCTCTTTTTGTCTTCGTTGATCTTGCTCATGCTAAGCGCACATCCATCTAACTGGTTCTTATCAATTATAATCTATAATGCTGGTTTTTTACAATCATTTTATATACTCCTAAAACTTTAGCACTACTCTCCCTCTGACACTTAATCATGCTGCTTCTTGTATATATTGCGATGAGCTACAGATCCGGCACCTCACAGGCGCACCTCAATTTTAACAACCAAACGTAGCAAATGATGCATACGAAGCCGACTTCTATATAAGCATTACGAGCTATGAGATAGTTATATTAGCTATTAATTATTTTATTTTTATCTTGCAATTTATATCTCTTCTTCATCCTCTTGCTTGCTTACCCTCTTCATCTTCATTTCATCAATTGTACCTAGAACGACTTCTTGCTTTCTGTAAACCTTTAAGTCATCAGTCATGAAACCACCTGAAGACTTCTTGTTCGAGCGCTGGTTCTCCATCTTTTTCCTCTCGATTTCACTATCCTCCAATGCAGCCTTGGCCTTAGCTTGCTCGATCTCTTTGAAGTGTTGCTCATGTTCCTTCTGTAGCTCCTCAACCTTCTTATTGAACTCGTCCACAGTTCCAAGCTCCTTCTTTATATCAGAACAGTACTCATCGAAGTTTGGTGGCAGTTTGGATCGCAGTGCTAATTCTATCATTATTGGATGCTTCTTCTCCTCATTGATAAACTTAGACTTGACTTGTTTCCTCGTTCTATATGGGAACATCTGCGCAATGAGGTTGAAGTCAGTACCCCACATGGATAATGCTTTGTAAAACTTAACTAATTCATCCGCAGTCCAAGGGTCCGTGAAATTATTCTTACCGTACGTAGCCGAATTGTAAAGATTTTCGAATGGATTGCCATATTTCCTCTCTTTGTACATGTTATCCTTCCTGGCTTGGTCATGTCTGTCAATATATGTGGATTCTGAGTCAAGTTCAATCCTACCGTCAACTAGTTTAACTTGCAATGATGAAGGGGCAGCTGGTTGTGAATCGTAGGACTCCTCCTGTGCTTGTAGTTCTTGTTGCTTCTTGGTTCTTGCTTCTCTCTCCTGTTCGATCTGCTCTTTATTTAATGAATATATGGATTTGAATTCCTTCTTAGCCTTTTCTCGCAGCTCTTTCCTTTCCCTACGTCTTTTCATCTTTTCTCTGCTAGCTTCCTGCGCTTTCTCAAAATTCTCTGATATTTCACCTATTGGCAGATGTGGCTTACATAGCTCCGCCATAGTAAAATGTTCTTCATCAATTTGATACTTACTAGAACTCTCATCGTCGACCTTGTTAGGAAGTTGTTTTAACGATTTGATTGTAAATTTCTTGTCTTCGTCGTTCTCATCGTTTTCCGCTTTCTCTTGCTTCTTATATATATCATGGTCTGAAGGAGATGCCGACTTTTCCTTTGGTGGTTCAATTTTAGTAACGATACTAATCCTATGCGTAGATCCACCTTTCTTAGCAATTGAGCCTCGGCTAGATAGTCTTCTTTTCTTTATTGCTTGTAAGGTTGGGTCATTCTCAGCAGTTATGCTATTCATACGCATCCGCCTGTTCAGTGAATCATTGGATATAGTCGATAGTCTCCTTTCAGTTTGTGATTCATTTCCAGTTCCAAACGGCGATTTCAATAGGACTCTATTAGAATTACCGCTCAATGAATCCAAACGACTAGATCGCCTTTGGTTATGATTGCCAATGGACGGCACTTGACCAGCGATTATAGACGGCCTTCTGCTCACATTTTTGGGATGTAATTGTGTCGAAGTGTTAAGCGGATCGTGAGAGTCCTGAACCAATGTGTGGGAAGAGTCACCTAATTCTGGTACTTGTAGATTCTTTGGAACAGCATGTGGATCATCTGCATGTAAAGTCTCTTCTTCGGTAGATTTCTCATTGTCTGATGCGACATTAGAGTTAGTCTTTGAACTTTCACCGCTGGATAATGTCGCCAGTGTTTTCGCGCTGCTTGAGACAGGAGGTGCCGCAGCAGTTCTCCGCTGTCTAGCTTTAGGTGCAAATCTAACACCGCTCTTATTAACGATACTACTCATTTTAAACTGTACTTCCAGACTATCAACTGGCACTATCCTTCCCAGATATGTCCGCGTATTCTACTATAAAACCACAACAAAACACCGATTGCTCTTTGAGCTTTCTAGATTGAAATAACAAATTATAATAACACAAACGCTAACTTGAGCCTAATTATAATATTTTTACAGACTATAGATAATATGTAATACTCCGAATGGCAATCACTAATAATATGTCCATTTTTCACGTCATCGAAGTTTTGTTGCCTGATGGCATCCGGTTTGACAACTTGAGTTTCGGCGATACGTTTTATGTGATAAGAATAGAGCTAGAAATACTAATATGATCAGTAATAGTGGTTTGTTAAGAAGTGCACGTATTCAGGATTATAGTAGGGTCTTTATTTAGGAGTATCTACATTGTAAATGATTTGGTTCTCTCTAGTTTCCTTTTTTGAAAGGATCGACCGGTCTAGACCAAGTCTTTAAGTGCTGGCTGAGATTTTTATAATCATGAGCGGATATATTGCTAAGTTGGTCTATAAATTCTTTTCCTACAATAACACGAGTATCTTTAGTATAATTATTAGATAGTCATCATCAATTGACTGACTTTCACCTTCAGGAAAAAATGTGGTATCTTGAAAAACTCAGGAATATACGTGACTTCCCAACTATAGTAACGTTTCTTGATGGAGGCAAGATTCACCTTTTCACATAAAAGAAGTGGGCTCTCACTAGTTTCAATCAAAGCTGATTTTAGTTGACTGTTTAGTGAACCGATGGATTTGGTGGTCTCAACCATCATTGTCATCTTACTTTGGCTGATTCAACTACGATAATTAATAATAAGGACATTTATTGGTAATGTGATGAGGGTACTTTCATTATTTATATACATCGTTTGGGTGTAGTTTATTCGAAAATATAATTATCGGAAAACAGCGAGCTCAAAATTTATCTTGTTATCTCTTCAATAATTAATAAATATTTTATCGTTATCAAACTTTACATATATAAATAATATTTATTTGCTTTGGTAATGGCCACATTTCGTGCCCTAATGCCGATCTAAAGTCATATATAATAGTATTGTTATATTCGAAGCACCTATAAGTAAAAGAGTACAATCAATGAATATCTCACGCAATCTGCTCGAGGTAATGTTCTAGCACATCATATTCCTGGTCAGTAAAATTCATTATCTTGCCTTGCCATTTACCACCATTTTTACCACCTCCTCCTTTTAGATTTTTGAGAGCAGATTGTAATTCAGATACAGTTTTTTGAATCTTCTCCCCATCTGGAGAGATTATCACGACTGAGCCCATCAGTGACGCCCTCTCTCTGCCACATAAGATGAGCAGTTCACAATTCTTACTATTCTTGTCACATAATTCTTGAAACTCCTTTTGTATTGCAAGAAGCAAGTCTAAAGAGCCAAATTCATCTTTTAAGACGTATAATTGTTTTCCTTCTTCTAATGATTGATATAGTCTTTCTCCTTCAAACTTGGCAATCTGTGAGATGAAATACTGCTCCTTCTTCTTTGCCTTTTGTAAGTTTTCCTTTAAAGCTACAACCTTTGATGATATTTGTGACTCTGAGCAACTTAACTCTACCTTTGCACTACTTATGTAATCAGTAAGCATCTTAGCGTATAAAGATACTCTTTTACCACACATGAAATATAGTCTGGAGTTTGTTCCTCTTACAGTACTCTGATTGTCCAAAATTAAGATAGATTGAACTTGAGAGGTAGCTGTCAAATGAGTACCACAGCAAGGATTCTTATCTAACTCTCCAATATTTATAGTTCTCAAGACACCAAGTGTGTAATCATAATCATCCGGAATCTTTTTTGTACTTACATCTTCTATAGATTCACTTTTTTCAACGGCAATAGTTTCTTTCACAGTAATGGGCATGACATTTGTTGAAACAATTTCATTGAATTTATCAGTTATCTCACTTATTTCATCCTTAGATAGTTTCCGTGGTAGCTCTAAATAATTCAAGTAGTCACTCGGTTCCAAAATTGGCTTTTTAGTACTAGGTATACCACCCATAGACCATGATAATGTGTCAGCGTTGTCGTAATAGTTGTCTAAAATTGCACTAAGTAAGTGCTGACCAGTATGTTGTTGCATGTAATCTAATCTCTTTTCTTTGTCTACATGCAATGAAATTTTGGAACCTGGTTCGATTGCTTGATCGACGTAGTGCTTTGCGTGTAGACCCTCACGGACTACTTTAACAACATTGATACGTTTGGTTTCATCATCACGTAGTGTTACATACCCGGTGTCACTAGGTTGTCCACCGCCTTCAGGGAATAAAATGGTATCTTCAAGTTCCAAAACATGGGTAGCCTCCTTGCCGATCAGGAACTTTTTAGCGGTCTTTGAATCAACTTTTACACAGGAAATAACATTGGTTTCAAAATCTTCCAAAAGAAATGGTTCACGTTGACATTTCAGCGCCCCAACAACAGCAGGTGTAGCAACAGTCATAGTTCAATTATGAATACTGATTTGGATGGAAAGGAGCAAACTCAGCCTTACAGTTTCGAAACACTTTTGCTTGTTATGCACTTATGCAGTCAGCTCATCGCAATTATGTGTAATGTCACCGTTTAGGGTAACATCAAATCCATGATAATATAAATTGATGATATTTAATATTAGTTACTCTTTATTTGTTGGCTGAATGATTTTGTCAATAAGGTTTGAATCTGTTCTTCTTCGAATGTTTCTTCTTTTTCTTATTCTTTCGTTTTTCTGACTTATCAGCTATCACCTCTACAGGTTGTTTCTCCAATTGCACTTCCGGTACTTCATCTGATAGCAGACTCATTTTCGTACTGTAATCCCAAAACGTCTCTGGAATGTCTAATTTAATATCGTTCCTCCATGCCTTTACTTGACCATCTTCTCCACAACTGTATAACATATCTGATTGAGAAGGTAGTATATATGTGTCTCTGACGATTTCATCTCCATGGGCTTGCGAAATTGTTATGGTGTCTTTTGCTTGTACGTGCTCATTTCTGAATGGGATTATTCTTAGAGCACCTTTACCTTCTTCGGAAACACCGGCAGATATGTAACCTGGGTATATATCTACCACATAGTTACAATCCCATGGTTGTCTGATATCTCCGAAATCCAATGGCTGTGGTTCTCGCAACTCTTCCGACTTGTCATTCAATTCATGGATAGCAAAAGTTTCCATGTGTGATAATGTAAATATACGACGTGGAGCCAGCCACCCACATGAATGAATTGACGCATAGTTTATCACCTGATGCAGTGCATCTTCTTCTTCAGGTTCTAACAAGTCATAGACATTAGTGTAGCCATCTGTTGATCCACTTAACAATACATTAGCATCTGCAGGATGAAAAGCAATAGAGGTGATGTCGTCCTGATGAGAATCAACAAATGATCTTACGGGCTTGCTCCAGTTTCTAATATCAAAGAGATGTAAGTGGGCATCTACCCCCTGTTGTTCGCTACCATAGGCAAGCATACCATGCCCAGATCCCAAGGATAGTACATTTGCACCATTTTCTTGTTCCAATGTGGCCACTTCTTTGTTTTCTCGCAAGTCAAATACCTTTACTTTATTTCCATTACTGGCTGCAAACAAGTTCTCCTGGCCATCCACCCTACTCAAAGCATTGATGGATGTCTCACCAACTTTAAAACTATCCTGTTTAGATAAATCCAGACCAAGCAGGTGAACTTCTCCACTACTTACAGAGGTAAGGATACCATTGTGTACCGGCTGCAACTTCAAACACCAATTGTTTGAGCCAAAATTACAAGACCCAGCAAGCGAATACATCAAGGCTATATCTAAGGTAAATAGAAACTAACTGTATTTATAACAATCGAATCTAATAGATATGAGTAGGAAGGAAATGCTAAGCTAAAAATGAATCTATTTAGTTGTTCTTTTTATGAAGCTCATCGCAAAAAAGTAAAATCAGACACAGTCAATCATACTCAGAAAGAGTCGTACAAGTTTATTTTACAGTAGCAAAAATAAAAAATAAAATGGTCTCTAGCGGGATCGAACCGCTGATCCCCGCGTTATTAGCACGGTGCCTTAACCAACTGGGCCAAGAGACCTTTTAATTGTTATTGTTTTTGAAATAATCATACGTACACAGAAATGATTAGGTTAAGTTTTGGTTTTGAAAGATAGATTTCAAACACTGTTCTGTATCTTATGGATTATAAAGGATATATATATTGAAAAAATCAGATTACGAATCATCAATTAGTTTACAAAAATATCTTAGACTATAAACGATCGGAGCCAGTTAATCTAACAGCAGCACCGTATTTCTGCAATTTGGTTAGTAAACCGTCACCTTGCTTGACAAGCAAGCTGTATTGGGCGTTTTTATTGTCCGGCCTGTTTGTCTCCACGATACCATTAACCCTGTCAATGACACAGTTCAATTGCCTGTTTGGGATGAATTTACCCAAGTCATTGTCAAGGAATTCCACTGATACACCAAATGCACTGGCCATTGACTTCAGAGAAAGAGTTTTATAAGACTCAAGAAGTTGGGCGTAAACTTTTCTTCTCATCTCCCTTACAAAATAATCAGCATGTACATTCAAATACTTGGAAGGGATCAGAACATTGTCGTAAGTCTCAAGCAAAAAGGGGAAGTAACTTGCGTAATCTGATGTATACAATGAAATAGTCAAGGATGAGATGGACTGTAATGCAGGTGTTGTGTTAATTAATGATAGTAAATCTGGTGAGTCTACGACCTTGGCCTTTAAATCAGTTCTTTCTAGAGCAAATAAGCCGGCAACAGAGGCATATGTGGCAATATTTTCATATGATGTAAGCTCTATGGAGGTGAAAGTAGCTAGAGAGTCAACCAGCAAGTTTGCAGCCTCTTTGAAATCCCTTATAGCTAGAGAGTGAATACCCTTGTAGGTCTTATATCTGTTTCTTCTCTCCCAGTCACCACCTTTCTCAATCATAGCGTTGGTTTGAGCTAGCCTGTCCTTGACAAATAGCTGGTCATTGTAGAAAAAACCAATTCTTGTAATTGTCAACATAACATCGATCTTTGCACCAGTTGAGATAGCCTTCTCCAATGCTTTCTCCAATGTTTCCTGAGCGTTGATACGATCACCAATCTGAGCGTAATATTCACCCAAATTAATCCATGCTTGTGCTCTCTCCAGTTCACCTTCATCATTCTCCTCAATTTCTTCAATTTTCTTCTTAAAATCAGCAATCTTCTGTTCGTTCTTTTCCACCAATCTATCATATAGTGATTTGTCAAATTTCAGAAGCCCCCCTTGTGGCACATATTCTTCAGCAAGATATTTATAATAAGGAGCCATCTCTTCCTCTTCTATTAGCTTCATCAACTTATCAAGCACTTCGCTGTGCTTGCTACTCAACTTGTCCTGTGTAAGCACAAATGCTAACTCAGATGCTTCATAATTAGGCACCTTGTTAACCGTTGGGTCAACGTACTGGACCTCCCCGTCCTCCTCTTCATTGAACTTCTTATCATCTACCATGGCTATATTAGTGTGTTTGGTACTACAGTAGTTGTTTGAATATCTGTTTTTTGGTTTAATTGAAGACCGTTTACTTTTTAAAGGTTTGCCACTCTTTGCTTCTTTAAGTTCCAACTTTTCGGATTTCGCTTCCAAATTGAAATTTTGAAAATATAAGAGCTGAGACAAAGGCCAGATGACACAGTTAGTAAAGGATATATGGGCCAATTACATTATAGTAAGAGCTAGTTGCATGAGTAGCTATTGTTAGAATCTTACAGGTCATATTGCTTGGTGTTCAGTTGGTAGAAATATGGGCAGTGTGGTACATCCAGATACAGAGAAGTATCCCTTCAAGTTTGAGCCGTTTCTGAGGCAGGAGTATTCATTTGCACTGGATCCTGACAGACCAGTGTGTGAGGATTTTAATTATAAAATAGGGCCAAGTTCCTGTCCTAATGGTGTGTTCTGTCCCAAGAAGCATGTCCTGGGCATTTTCCAGAATAAAATTGTGTGTAAGCATTGGCTCCGAGGGTTATGTAAGAAGAATGACAACTGTGAGTATTTGCATGAGTATAATTTAAGAAAGATGCCTGAGTGTGTTTTCTACGCAAAGAACGGGTTCTGTACGCAATCTCCAGAGTGTCAGTATCTACATATTGATCCACTCAGTAAAGTTCCGCCATGTGAAGATTATGAGATGGGGTTCTGTCCCAAAGGTAGCGCGTGTGAGAAAAGGCATATCAAGAAGGTGCTATGTCAAAGGTATATCAATGGGTTCTGTCCCCTCGGAAGGAGGGAATGTGACATGGAACATCCATTCTTTTACATACCTGATTTAAGTAGTCCACTGAGAATAAAGAAAGATGAAGAGATCAACACGAGAAAGAGAGATGAAGAAAACGAAAGAAGATTAAATGCCATAATTAATGGGGAAATATGAATGTGTTATGTTGTTATCTATAAACTCTATACAAAGTTAAAGAATTGGTGAATCACTGAATGGTTTGTCAGCACTCTCAAATACGTCACTGGCAAAATGATCTCGGTTTGCTTGCTTGGAAAATTAATGTATCTGCCTACCATAAGATAAAATTGAGAAGGCAGTTGGCATAAAACATAAGAGTATTATCGGGTATCAAAATAGGGTGGCAATATTAATTAATGCAACAATTGCATTATTTCTTCTAGGGGTTTTCTCTCTACTAGAATAGCATTTAGAATCTGCAGCTCTTCTCTCCAAATATCATAGATTCTTTGGTCCTGGATATTTAGACTAATAGGATCCATTTTAGAGATGGCGTTGATCAGCCATTGTGATTTCTGTACTGGGGACGCGGATCTACTTCTAGTCTCGTTTGTGGAGGACGAATTGAACAGTTGGTCGTAAGGCTCGTAGCCGGTAATGAATGACAGGAGGCACAGACCAGCTGCGTATAGATCTGTATGCATTGAAGGTGTTCCCACAATATGGCTAGAGTGATTGCTCATTGGCATATCTGAGAAGAAAGATATCAACTCGGGTGCGCAATACTCCAAAGTAGTGTCGACATGGTCATGTGTGGTATTGAACTCCTCGGGGCCTTCTATGTCAGCAGATGTGAAGTCTGCTAAGTAAAATCTCGTTGTGTCTGTGTCATGTCTCGGTAGATTCAGTAAAATGTTAGATGTTTTGATATCTCTGTGGACTATATTTTTAGATTTCATAAACTTTAGCGCACATAGTATATCTCTTAATAGTGAATGCCATACTCCTTTGTCCGGCTGGATATCGCCTCGGTGCAAGTTAATATATGTGTGTAGGTTCAGCTCGAATTTCTGCAACACCAGCGCAGGTACTAGTTCATTCGCACGCAGGTGTCTAAAGTGACTCTTGCCGAGATAAGTTACCCCAATAAGAGGCACGATGTTGTTATCGGGAGCTTGTAGCAGCCGCAGTATCAGCGCCTCCCGCAGAATTATGTCGTACTTCCTCCGAGACATCGGACACTTGATTACGTAGCGGTCCTCCAGGTCGAAGATGAAAGAGACAGAGCCTCTATCCCTGACTTTCCCTATCTTTAGCGATGGGTTCAAGTACAGGTCGACATTTCTGTCGCCATACACTTGGCAAGCAACAGAGGCAAGCGTACCGTGGTACAGCGCCATAACATCCATGACCTTGTTCCCGTTCTTCGAGCACAGCTCAAGGTCGGACTGCAGCAGGTCCAAAGAGGACTGGCTGCATTTGCCTTCCTCCAACTCCGGAGACAGAGGCATATACCGAGAAGTGGTAAAAGCCGGCGACGTCGGCGGTGTATCCATTGTTTTCTATCGTTATTTCTTTGTATCCTCACAACTGTGGTCCGAGAACATGCACTTATGCACCACCCATTGCTCATCGCTTATTTATTTACCCATGTGAGATGCCCACAAGCATCGCATCTTTTCTGTTGTGCCTACACACGTAATCTTCGATTCTGATGCACAAGATTTGTTTTCTTCAACGCAAAAACAAATGACGTCATTTTTTTTATTGAATGCAATGAAGCATATCGGCTTTGTACGCAGCCTTCTGTGTCTCCAATAGATGGGGGGTTTAAAGGGTCCAACCTCCCATCCCGCTCCCATTGTCTTGGAGTGTACGGTGTTCTCTCTGCGGAGTAGGTTCATCCTCTGTGAAAACGCCCGAGGAGCAATACAAGTAGCAAGGGTCCCTCCCCCCATAAATTAATTAATTAATTTAAAATTAAATTAGAATTAATTTAAAATTAAATTATCAATAAATTAGGATTCCAACAAGTTAATGAGTGATGGACTTAGACATTGAGCCTAAAAGTCCTTTGTCCTTTGGGACAATGCCTGACTGAGGGGAGGAAGTTAATATATATATTGGAATGTTCTAATGCTTTGGATTTTCTTATTTCTAGTAGAATGTGTAGTTTTTCATTTGTGGATAAGCACTGTAACAACAAGTAATACTAATTATGCACAAGACATATTCATTGAGAGAGAGTAGGAAGCCTACTGCGCAGGAGATTCAGTCTCCTCCACCACCGGCTGCGTCGACCAAGTCGAAGTTTTTCGGGAAAGGTGGTTTGGCGTACTCGCTGAGGAAGACCACTGCTGGTAATGTTGGGCCTGAGCTTTCACGTAAGTTGTCCAAGCTAGTGAAGATTGAGAAGAATGTGATGCGGTCTATGGAGGTTGCCTCTGTAGAGAAGAAGGATGCTGCCAAGACTTTGTCCTTGTGGGGTCTTGAGAACGACGATGATGTCTCTGACATTACCGATAAGCTAGGTGTGATCATCTTTGAGATGGCCGAGCTGGACGACCAGTTTGTAGACAGGTACGATCAGTACAGATTGACCATGAAGTCCATCAGAGATATTGAGGGGTCAGTGCAACCAGTTAGAGACCGCAAGGACAAGATCACAGACAAGATCGCTTACATGAAGTACAAAGACCCACATTCTCAAAAGATTGAGATCTTGGAACAGGAACTAGTTAGGTGTGAAGCTGAAACTCTGGTTGCTGAGGCACAGCTTTCGAACATTACGAGATCAAAAATGAAGGCCGCTTTCAACTACCAATTCGATGCCATGATTGAGCACTCTGAAAAGATCGCTTTGTTGGCCGGGTACGGTAAGGCATTGTTGGAGTTGTTAGACGATGGTCCAGTTACTCCAGGTGAGACTAGACCTACTTACGACGGATACGAGGCATCTAAGCAGATTATCGTTGATGCAGAGGGTGCTTTGAATGAATGGACCTTGGATAATGCTCAGGTGAGACCAAGCTTGAGCTTCAAGGAACAAGAATACACAGTTGAAGAGGTAGAAGATGAAGAAGATGAGTATGAAAATGAGCCACTAAATGAAACCGTCATTAACCCTGAGGATATGACACCAGTATCTTAATTTCAGATGTGTCTTTACTACTGGACGACGTTTTTCCATTATCTTAACTTCTGAGAATACCCCAGATAACCTCCCATTAGCTCGAATAAACAAATTCGAAGCTCTTAACTAATTTTTAAATTGAATACTAACTTGTCAATCTTTCACATAATTTTTTAATCTATTTTAATATTCTAATTTTAACAACCTCTTATATTTAATATTTCATATCAAAATATCACCGATGTATAAATTTATATTTTGGTTGAACTTTGCTACAAGTCTTCGAACCATGTCATTGGAACAAACTGCGTAACAACAAAAATGATCTTATTGACAGAATCAATTTCAACAAAGACGTACAACGGTAGAGATCGACCTTTTAACATAAGATACATCATACACCGTACACTTTCTATGCTGTCTACCCAGTCCATTGCTTAACTTATACTTCAACGAACCTAGAGACCGACTTTGCTCCCTCATATCAGCATTGCATTCTGATTGACTTTGGTAAACAGACAAAGCACACTGAGAAATAATAGAAACATATACAGTTGAGAGTTCCACTTTTGCATGCTATGAATCAAGACTCTGTGACGATAGATTCGAACCAATTGGCCAAGAACTTAGCTAGATATGACCTTCTTTTAAGGCGTATCTCAACTATCTCTCAAGTTCACCGTCTAAAGGAAATCATAGAAAAGGACCATGCCGTTCACCTGAAGAAGCTCGACCAATATGTGCACGAGAGCCAATTGAGACACAACAAGCAAATAAGAAAGCTAGAGCTACAAAGAACAGACCTAACGGTGTCACTGACACAATTTCATGAAGCATTATCCAATGTAAATAAAACGAATGCTGAAGCTAAACAAATCCATAATGACATTAAGTCTGTTGAACTCGAAAGGGTATTACTGAAGCAAACTCTTGAATTCGTTACAAATATAAGGACTCTCAAAAATAATATATCACTGTGTAATGCTGTGATAGATGAAGAAAATTACCAAGTTGCTGCAAGAGCCATACAAGAAATTAGAAATATGCCGAATAGAGATGGTATAATTAACTCTGAGTTTGCAAAGAGAGTAATCCCATCCAGCAAGATTCCAGAGGAACCATCAGTTATTCTTCAACAATGGTGTGATGAACTAACCGAAAAGTTTAAGGAGAGATTCCAGAAGGCTACAGAAGAACAAAATATTGAAGAACTCACTTTGATCTTTAAGATGTTTCCAATGGTGGGTCAGGACAATCTCGGTCTTGATCTATATTCCAAATATGTTTGTGATATTATTGCAGATGAAAGTCGTAAATTAATGTCCAGTTCGGCTAACGCAGATGTAGACGCTACAATTACGAGGAGATCTGGATTTTTTGCACAAGTTCTACTACATCTGTTCAAAATTGTCTCGACAATTATTAATGACCATTCGAAAATTATCGCTGCTTCTTATGGTGTTTCTCACATGCTGCACGTAATGGGAAAAGTTCAAAAAGAGGCCGATTTGGAAGCGGGCCTAGTCTTTGATATATTCAGCGACACAAGAAAAGTAAAATCGGTAGTAAGAGAAATATCAGAATGGAATATTGCTCAAAAAAACAAGAATAAAACACAAGCCTATAAAGATTCAGGAACTGATCAAAATGCATCTCAAGAAAGGAAAAGCATGGACAATAAACTTCCTTCAATATCTACCGGTGACTTATCGGGACTAATAGGGGAGTTTTCACAAATATTACAAAACTGGTCAATGTATCTGAAGTTCTTTTCTGTGAGATGGAATGAATTTTCTAATGAGAATCCAAGTGTCTTGACCTTACCATCTTCTTTAGAGACAAGTAAGTTTAGCAACAAACTTCGGGAAGAAAGATACTTAGATGATTTCCTTTCCTTGACAATTTACCACTTACAGTCTTCTTTTGCTAGAAGTAGAACCATAGAAGAGCTTCCAGATTTGAATCACTTAGTTATACCAACACCAATAAAAACAAATGACGGTTTAGCCTATCCTGTATCTTCAGTAGTGGAAGACTTAACTCTGCTCCTAAGGAAAGGCTTAGTTTTGACTGTCAATTCCGGAAACTTTGAAGTAGTATCACAGTTTTTAGAGAATTTAGTCAGATTTATTCAAAATGACTTTTTGGTCAGGTTTATGCAAGACAGATTTAAGACTTTGCAACCAAAAATCACATCCTCTTTGACACTGAAGAAGTATGTGCCAAAGGATATCTCTGAGACTGGTAGTCCTGATTCGATCTCCAGAGTGGGTTCACCTTCTGGCTATGGTGAGAAATCCAGTTCCAACAAGTTATCACAGCTTGGTAGATTCAGTTTACGTGGCGCTGCCGCATCCGCTTTTACCAATATACAGTCCAATTTACAGGCTGTTGTCACGGACGAGGACTCTGTATTGTCATTACACCATTATTTGATATACTTAAACACATTAAACTGGTCCAAACTATTATGTAAGAAGTTATTGAGAGAAGAACTATTGGAGGAGAATCCCAAACTACTGCCGGAGAGTTTCCCATTTAACAATGAGTCAGATGTTATCAGGGAGAAAATAAATAAATGCCAAGATATGATCACGTCACAGATATCAAAATTGGAGAAATGGGCAGTTAAGTACTTGTTCCAAAACTTGATACAGAGCAAAATGAGAACTTTACTCACACCTCTTTTTGTAAACGGTAGCGATAACACATATATCGCAAACACAGAAGACTTTGAGGACATGTCTGAGATGGTAAACTTTATTAAGAAGTGGAAACAACTAATAACACCATACCAGAACATCCTCCACCCTGACGTATATACAGAATTACTTGCGTATATCGTTGAGTACTGTGTCCAGTCAGTAGAGCAGAAGTTCAACTTGTTACAGGTGAACGAATTGGGTTCAACCAAGTTAGAGAAAGAATTAAGCTTGTTCATAAGCACACTGTGCTCTCTAAACTTCATGTTGAGGAAGGATTTCACCAAATTGACGCAGATGGTTCTCTTACTAGGCTTCGACGACGACGACTTCGATCTCGAGACCGGGGACATCAAAGAGGAATTCATGGACACAATTGACTGGGTGTTAACACCAGCTGAACGTGTTAACACCAGAAAACTAAAAGTAGATAGAAGACAATAGGTCTAGGATAGACAGTGTTCTTATGAAGACGCCATTTCTATACAACTAACCCCATTTATATAATCACATATAACGATAGCTCATCGCCTATAAAGTGAAAAAGGGCCCAAGAAGAAAAATTGTACGGGAAATGGAATGTAAACAACATGTGAGTGAAAAATTTCTGGGACCTCATCACTTCTTTTGATTTGGGTAGTGTGATGGGTATTTCTGGGCGGTAAATCATATTTAAAACCTCAGACAAGTGCTTTCACTAATTTACAACATACGTTTAAGAAATAAGAATCTGCTACTGCAGTTTACATTAGCCGAGCGGGAAAAAAGAAAGGACATATCAAGACTCACTCACGCGCTATATAGCTGTTGTATATTCGAGGGTTGTTACAATATTACAAAGGATTAATTCACAGAAGACAAGGGGAATTTAGAGAGGAACTGCCCTGAATTGTACGATAAATATGGAGTCTGCGATAACAGGTGCGGTGAATAGTCTGTCGAGACATTCTAGTTCCGATAAAGAGGATGATAAACCTGTACCTGAAAGTGTCGATCATGACACATTCAAGATACCGACATCGCTTCCCACATTATCGACTACAGATGAAGGAGATGAAAAGGTTAACACAAACAGAGATGGTACTAATAATGAACACGGCTCTGAGCAGACAAATATACAACTAGAAGAATCATCGGAAAAGATAGATGGTATGCAGGATTTACCATCCTTAGCAGATGTTCAAGCTGATTCTAATCCTTTTGAGTTTGACTTCAGCCCAAGAGATGATCAGATAAGCGCAGACGTGATGCCTTTAGCTCCCCATAATTCAACCCATTTGGAAAATTCAGTAGAGAATAATAATAACATTCATGAACAATCTGATAGCGTTGGATCTTCCCAAAATTCCGAGCCAGCTCACATTTACGAGAACAATGAACATGTAGCTGAAGATCTACAGATCAACTCTGCTACTAACACTGATAACAAAACGGAAAATACTAGGAATTCAATACAAGAAACAACAGAAGAATCAAATTCCGATAACCACGGAAATAATGAAATAACTTTATCGATTAATATTACTAATAACAAACAGAATTCAGACTCAGCTCAGACTGTAAATGATTCGATATTTCCAAAAGATATAGATCAAAATGAGAAACTGGAGCAGCCAGACAATGATAATACAAAAAATGCAATCGAAGGAGTACCGAGAGTGTTAGAAGATAAAGTAACAGATGCCAGCGGTATGGATAGGTCCAGCGATGACAAAAGAGATGGAAATGACAACTTTAAACCCAATCCTATAGAAAATGAACATGATGCGACTGAGAAGTCCTTTTTTACCGTTAATGCCGAGCACACGAAGGGTTCGTCTCTGCGAAGAGATAGTAACTCCAATAATGATAAAGATAATACAGCTATAACGGGTGACACACTCAAGAAATGGAAAAACACAGATCAGGTTAACGATAACGAGGAAGCTAATAACTCAACTGATTTTGGTTTTCCAGACTTAGATAAAAGCAATGTTTCGTTTGACTCACTACCAAATGAAAAAGAAGATAAACACCAAGAAAATGTTAGTGAAATGCTAACTGGCCAAGACGGTCATAAAGACAATTCTTTAGAAAACATCGGACGTAAAGAACTAACGAATGAGGTCTCATCTCCTTCCAAGTTGAAATCCACTGATCAAATAGCCAGTCCTTCAAGTAATGATGATATTAGTCAATTAGAAATTATGAATAATAAAAATACAGATGATGGCAAAAAATTAGATCATATTCCTGAAATCAGAGCGGAGGATAGCACAAAGAATGAGGATAAAAACAACACAACCAACATAAATGCCAAAACTGAAGATGATGACAAAAAACTGGATCTACCAGATGCCTTAGACCATGACCAACTTGTTACTCTATTAGAGCTAGATGATAAACATTCCAATATTTTTGAGGATTCCGAAATGCTTGATGAAGAAGAGGAACTTGAACAATTAGAAAGTGAAATCCCCAATACGAAGCATAACTCTGCAAGTATGGAAACTGATAAAGTAAAGGCTTTTAACGATATACCAGTTAATACCCAGGATTTACAAGAAAACAATGCCGACAACGAGAATCCACAGCTTAATAAAACAGTCGCTGCTGACAATCATATAAAGGTAGAACCAAGTCAACCTGGCGGTATTATTAAGAGGGAGGAATCTGTGGACTCTACTAAGGACAAAACTCAGCAACCAGTCACCAAGACTCCACCACTATCTCCTATAAATGAAGAGGACATATCACCAAACCAACATGTCCCTGGAATAAAGTCAGATCAACAGAACCTTCAAAAATCTTCATCGGCAAACCAGACCTCAGGAAGTAGCACAACCCAACCTAACAAAGAAAGTGCAACTGACACACCTGCGTCAATTATAAACGAAAAGAATAGTTTGTTGTATCCAAAGAGACAAAATTCTTTAACACCAATGGTTTTCCAGCCTCACCAAATCAAAGAACTAATACAACGACCTCCTAACGCTGATCAGGGTAATGTGGGCTCTAATACAACATCGGATACAACAGCTTCACAACCAACTATTTTTGCATACGCGAGATTAGATTTTGAGAGCTTTACGTTCTATGTACAGACATTACATGCCATCATAGGTAGACGCTCAGAGAATGATTATTCACATAAAGTTGATGTTAACTTAGGCCCCTCAAAATCCATTTCAAGAAGACATGCTCAAATATTCTACAATTTTGGAACGGGAAGGTTTGAACTTTCAATCATTGGAAAAAATGGTGCATTTGTTGACGATACATTTGTTGAAAGAGGAAATACGGTTCCTCTGAAGAATAAAACAAAAATTCAAATTGGACAGATTCCATTTCAGTTTATATTACCAGAACCTGATATCCTACCAACACCAAAGAAAAATGAAACCAAGAAAACGCAAGAAAAAGCCAAGGCTAAGGAACCTATGAAACCTGATCCTAAAAAAGTCATCAAACAAGATGTTACCTCTGCTAATAAGCAAGCTGAAACCAAACCCAAACCCAAACAAGCTGCTGCTCCGAAACCTAAGAAGGTTGTTAAATCACCTAAAAAGGTATATACTCCAGAAGAAATACCACCAGAATACAGAGAGAAGCCTTCTCTTTCATATTCTGCTATGTTGACAGTTTGCATTCGGAAGTTCTCAAAGGAAAAAGGTATGTCTTTATCGGAGATATACGCAGGTATAAGAGAGCTCTATCCGTATTTCAAATATTGTCCAGATGGATGGCAAAGTTCTGTTAGACACAATCTGTCATTAAATAAGTCTTTTCGGAAAATTTCAAAGGAAGGCAAAGGTTGGCTCTGGGGTTTGGATGAAGAATTTATTGCAGAAAGGGATAAATTAAAGCAACAGCAGAATAGTGCTGCTGCTTCACGGGCTAACACCCCGGTCAATAAAGTTGCCAAAACAGAGACAACAGCACCGAAGAAGCCTTCTCCAAAGCCAACTACTTCCACTAACGCAAAAGTAACCAAGAAACAAAACATTTCTCAGACGTTAGCAGCGAATAGGGCAACTTCTCCCAAGAATCAAGCTACTGACGATCATCAAAGAACCATGAAGTATTTACAAGAACAATTAGTCATTTTAACCAAGGATAGAAAAGGACTATCTAAACAAGTTATTGCCAATATACTTACTCAAGCATTGGCGATGACAATTAATCAAGTTACTCAAGCAGCAAAAAATAAAGGTATTTCTGGAAATCCATTAACTGCATTGATGGATAAAAATCCTCAGCATCTAAATCTTATATTAGCAGCTGCCGTGAATGCTGCAACCGCCAAGATAACGAACGGTGAGGTCAAACAATTGGTCAACTTACCATCAATCAACCAAAACAAGCCAGCTACCCAACAAGTACGTCCAACTAAGCAAGAAAATAAAAAGCCTCCAGCTAAACAGACGACAACACAGAAAGCATCGAAGCCACCAACTCCTCAAGCTAAGGCCAAATCTGGCAGCTCGTTTGATCCAACATCTTTGTCTAAGTTTTTCCAACCAAAACAAGCTGCAAGAACCATTAGTGCTGTTCCAACTGCCGATGTAAAATCCATCCCAGCAAAGAGAACCATTGGAGGTAGTGTTGTCAACAAGAAAGTTACTGAGAATGAAAGTAGCAGCAGCTCTGGTTCAAGTTCTAGTGAAGATGACTCCAGTAGTGATGACTCCAGCAGTAGCGGCTCCGATGATAGTGACAGTGACTCAAGTAGTGGTTCAGATGATAGTAGTAGTGGTGAAAGTGACTCTGATGATTCAGACAGCTCCTCAGATGATAGTAACGACGAAAGTTCTTCTGAAGATGAAAACGACGAAGATGATGCCGCTGAAAATGAAAGAAAAAAATTAAAAACCCAGGAGAGCGTCATAGAATCATTGTTACAGCATGATAACGATGGTGCATTCGATCTTGATGAGGCAGTTGCTCAATTAGATGATGATGCCGTTGGAGAGTTGGATGATGTCCATTCACTGGAGTTTTAATTGCCACATAATACCGGGCTGTTTCTATTTCTCTCGACAGATAATACTAATCTCTTTCCTAGTTGTACTATTCTTATTAAATGTTGTACTTGGAAGAATGTCCTTTTTTATTGTCAACAACCGATACGTGGAATTTATACTGCTGTATCGAGATGTCTTCTTGTAAAAAAAATTGGAAGAAGGGAAAGGGATTTGAACTGATCGTAGATTGCATGTATATATAATTTATATTTATATACACTTTAGTCATTAATAATTTTTCTATTTTTTTTTAAAAATTCGTTCATACTTTGGAACAGCATGAGGGGTTCCCCTAGGTATAGATACTATTTATGTTAGGTTATGCGAAAATATGTCAAACTTTATTTATCTCATGAGAAGCACTTACGAAACTTTTCACCCTACTACGTTATTGAAAGATCCTTCCTTTTCCTTGATTTCCCAGAACAATTGACCCACGTCGTGGTTACCGTGGTAAACCCAACCATCTTCTGTGACGTGGTAAAGGTTGATGGAACCACCGGAGTAAGCGTCTCTGTGAGCGGCAGCCAGGATTGATCTCTTACCCAGGTACAGGGCTTCTTCTACCGACAGGTCCCATTTGTAGTTGGAGTCTAGCACACCGTAGGCGAATGTCTGACCGGACCCCACACAGAACAGGTCGCCCTTCAGTCTTGTACCGTCGGAGTCGACGTAGTATATCGTTGGACCTTCTTTCTTGGTGTAACCGCAGATCATGGTACCCATAGACAGGCCTGCGCCTTTGTACTGGTACACCAGGTTACCCAGGATCTTTGATGCTGCAGCGACGGAAATCCGCTCTTTCTCCTTCAGCTCGTGCAGCCTACACTGCGAGCCCAGCCACGTCTCCCAGAACTGACAGTCGGCGGCACCACCGGCCATGGTACCCAGCAGGAACGGGTTGATCTCTATCACCTTCTTGACCGTCTGCGAGGCGACCCACTGGCCCGCAGTAGCCCTCGAGTCTACTGCGACCACGATCCCGCCTTGGAACCGGAAGGCCAGCGTCGTAGTACCGTGCGCGATCTTGATCTTACAGTCGGGGTTCTTGGAGTCGTCCGTGTGCGCACGCAGGAACGCCTGCGGCGACGCAATTGGCGGCATGGCAATCGCAGGTGCCAGCTGCGAGAAGTTGTAGTTCCCGTCTATGAAGTCATCGTGCAAGTTCCCTTCCTCATCGTACTGCAGCTCCTTGACAAGCGCACTTGTCCCAAAACTATCCGCAATCGCCTGCATAGTTGTGAATGTAGTTGTAGTTGTGGTTGTGGTTATGGTTGTGGTTGTAGCTGTAGTTGGTTGCGATTGTAGTTGGTTCCATCAGCACTGCCTTTATAAGTCCTGCGCTTTTGAGGGTCGAAGGGGATTTCTGCTCTTCGAAGAGAGATTTCGCCACCACGTCAAGTGTGACGAAACAGCACGCCAAATATAGTAACGTTGAACGGTGAAAAGATTTGTGACTGCTAGAAACCCAGAAACCCAGACACCCAACGTACACCCATACATCACCAGCAACAATCTGCACTTTGAGTTTGAATTACTCGATTAGGAAATATAGGTAAATTAGGGGTAATGGGTTCAGTACCGTTGAACGGACCAAGCACCATGTGATTGACGTATTTTGGTATACATGTGATAAATCACCAGGGACGTACTGCCATGGTCCTCTTTTTGGAAAAAAAAAATTTTTTTTTTTTTTTTTTCACAAAATTCTCATCGTCGCTGGCAGCTGCATAGTTTCTGGCTTTGAAAATATTTTGTCGATGGGCTGACAATAGTATTATTATATAAAAAGATTGGGTATTTAAAAACTATTCTTCCCTCTCCCAGAAGAAGCGATCCACCGAAAAAATACAATTGCCAAAGATGTCTGCTAAAACTCAAAATGTTATGCGTGAATTGAAGATCGAGAAGTTGGTCTTGAACATCTCCGTTGGTGAGTCTGGTGACAGATTGACCAGAGCTTCCAAGGTTTTGGAACAATTGTCTGGTCAAACTCCAGTCCAATCCAAGGCTAGATACACTGTCAGAACCTTCGGTATCAGAAGAAATGAAAAGATTGCCGTCCACGTCACTGTCAGAGGTCCAAAGGCTGAAGAAATCTTGGAAAGAGGTCTAAAGGTCAAGGAATACCAATTGAGAAACAGAAACTTCTCCACTACCGGTAACTTCGGTTTCGGTATCCAAGAACACATTGACTTGGGTATCAAGTACGACCCATCTATTGGTATTTTCGGTATGGACTTCTACATCGTCATGGGTAGACCAGGTAACAGAATCGCCAGAAGAAAGAGATGCAGAGCTACCGTCGGTAACTCCCACAAGACCTCCAAGGAAGACACCATCGCTTGGTTCAAGCAAAGATACGATGCTGACGTCTTGGACAAATAAACTTGAATCGCTCACATATATAGCTGCTCATTTTTATTAAATACAAAAAGATAATACAACATCATCATTTCCACACGCCCTTTTTAATTTTTTTTATCTGTCAATCAAGGACTATTTCCAAATGTAAAACTAAGTAGTACTATATATACATGTCCCGCAGACGCATGCAGCTCGCATCCACTGTGTCTGGGTGAGTGCGCCTGTACCGCACTTGTACGTCCCGCCTGTACTTCTCCAGCGCGTCGAGCTGCCCTTGCAACTTATCGATGCCTGCCTGCATCACTCCGCTGGCACTCTGCTGGCAGTCATTCGAGATGACCCACTGATTCACAATGGTCTTCGATATCAGCTCGCGCAGCGTAATCTCTGCGTGCCGCAGGTACGAGTCCACAATCTTCAGCAGCCGCACGTCACCAGCATCGTTATATCTCGCGAGGTCTATCCCGCCGCTCTCAGCGTCTCTACCCTTGGCAGCCATTACCCTGGGCACCTCCGGATGGTACCCTTCCGAGGGCATCGCCCCGCACTCTTCCTCCACAAGCTCATCTACCCACGCCTCGAACGCCTGGTCCACAGCAGCATCATCAACAAACGGCAAATACGTCTCCATCAGCTCGGTGCTTTGGGGGCTCCTGTAGCTTGCGATAGCTTTATACTTCTCGAAAGACTACCTTTCTTGTATGACATGAAGTTTTGACATTTATATGGGTCATGTGACACGTAGTTACTAACTCCCAGTGGGATAGTGTTTCAGTGTAAGACTATATTTATATTGCAGGTATATACAGTGGGAATATATCAGAGCCATTAGAGGCCGCTTTACGTAGGTATGTACAGTTAGTTAGGAGTCCCAATGGGCCGCTGTTTTGCCAAATCCGTGCTCACACCTTGTGCTTTCTTGCGGCGTGCATTGGCGACCATATGCCTCTTACGCTCTGGTTGAGGGACTCGACGTTGTGGCCGGCGACACGCTTGTGCAGTATCTCGCCGCTGCAGTCCTTCAACAGCTTGATCTTGTTCTCGACGTTGTCTATATTCTGGTTCCGCACGCAAATGACCTTCTCCCTGCCGTTGGTGTACTGCGCCCGCACCAGCGGGTGGCCCGACTTGTTCACCACTTCGAACTGTATGTGCGGCTCTTTGGCAGCCAGCATGTCCAGCCTGCGCGACCTCAGGAACGCCCTCATCCCGGCAGAGGACCCGCCCCAGTTGCAGTACTGCAGCACCACCTTCTTGCAGGGCTGCACAAACGCACCTACACCGTTCCGCGCAATGGAATTCCTAGCAATAGCCTTGACCACCATTTATATTTATGTGTATGTGTATGTGTACTTGTAGTTGGTTTAGTTGTAATTATAGTTGTAGTTGCGATTATACTTCAACTTGTAGTTCAAGAAGTGATCCTCGGGTCTTCGTTGAAGGACACAAGGACAAGAAGAAGGGATATAAAGAGCAAGGACCTGATATGGTGGGATGGCAAGATAGAAGCGGGAGGACACCAAGCCATGACTGTTAAAGCTACATCTCACCTGCTGTTCTACGCCTTTGCCTTTGGAGGCACCTCGTTCTACTCCTATGTGGCCTCGCCCGTTGCTTTCAAAGTGCTAGAGCGGGACCAGTTCTCGACGCTGCAGAACCACATGTTCCCTATGTTCTTCAAGCTGCAGAGCGTCTCGCCCGTGGTGCTGGGCCTCACTGCTCCGTTTGCGCTGTCCAGCTGGGCGCTGTCGAGTCTTGCCGTGGCCTCGCTGGGCGGGCTCACGAACCTGCTGTGGCTGATGCCCTGGACGCGCCGGATCAAGGAGCAAAGGTGGGAAGTCAAGGAGAAGTACAAGGACGACGCGGAGAAGCTGGAGGAGCTGGACGCTCCGCTACGCAAGGAGTTCGGCAAGAGCCACGGCCTGAGCCTGCTGTTCAATGTGACACACATCACCGGCCTGCTCGCCTACGGGATCATCCTCTCCAGAAACATTGCCAGATACATCCCCAAGTAGGGCTGCTACAACTACTTTCAAGTACCTATGAAGTACCTGTATATCAAGTACCTGTGAAAGGGACCCCTATGAAGTACATACTAGCCACTTCTATCAGTGCGCTGATGGTGGGGGGAGGAGGCCCACTTCTATTAAATATTCTCATGTACGTATAACCATGTGATATATGTACAATATGATAATAAACGTGACTACGTATAACGCTATGAAACGTGACACACGTGACATGATACACGTGACATGACTCACTTTTGGTTTTCTTGGAGCCACAGTAAGAGCGAATCGAAGATCAGAGAGACAGAAAAAGCAGAAAAAGTCACATGTTATGCTTTCCTTTGAATTTACATCTTGTTGTGCGTGTGTTTGTGTGTTTGTGTGCGTGTGCTTGTGTACGGAGGGTGGTTCTCAAGGTTGTTTTTGTCTTTAGAATCCCACCACAGTTGTCGCCCAGGATGAAAAAAAGCTTAGGACTAATTTGCACGTGATTTTTTCCATCTTTATAAACCAAACCCTCATTATTAAGCTATAACACACATCCACATCCCACATCCATACTCATAGCCCAATACACACATCCACAGTGCTAGGATACTGGAATCGCCTATCATGGATCCCAATTGTATATAAATGGCAGCTCATGATCACCAGCAAGGACTACAGAAGACAAGAACAACAACAACAACGGCAACAACAATGATTCCCATGATTACAGCGAGTGTTGCGGGTGGAGAAGTGTCTCTGGTAGTGGGTGGTTCCCGTGCCGGGCTGGTGAAGAGCCGGGTGAAGACTATAGTTGGTGCTGGTGGTGTTGCTGTGGTGCTGAATGTGGGCTCGCAGTGGAAGCAGTTGGTAGCGGAGTTTGGCGATGAGAGCGGTGTGCACCTGCTGGACAGGGACTTCCAGTTGCGGGACTTGACCACGCTTGGCAGGGCTGTTACTGCGAAGGTAGTGGACCGAGTGTTTGTTAACTTGCCCCTGGAAGAAGACCACAAGGTCAAGTACATCTACGAGCAGTGTGTGAGACTCAGGATTCCGATCAACACTTTCCACAGGCCCGAGTACTCCACTTTCAACATGATCCCCACGTATGTGGACCCCAAGGGCAGCGGGCTGCAGATTGCTGTGACCACGAACGGGAACGGGTACTTGCTGGCGAACCGGATCAAGCGCGAGATCGTGAGCCACTTGCCCGCTAACATCTCCGAGGTGGTCACTAACATGGGCGCCCTGAAGGACAGAATCATCAACGAGGACATGAAGGTGCTGCTGAAGGAGAGATACTTGGCCACTGACCTGGCGTCGCCCGCAGTCGGGTACGGTCTCGACGAGGACGGCTGGGAGAGCCACAAGTTCAACAGACTGATCCACGAATTCGATATGACAGAGAGAGAACAACGTGAGAAAAGGGTGAGATGGCTATCGCAGGTGATGGAGTACTATCCATTGACCAAGTTGGCAGACGTCACCATGGAGACGTTGGAAGGCCACTCTCACACTGCAAGGACACAACAGAGCTCCAAACAGCAATCAAGCACAGACTCTTTGCAACAAGCGCAAGACAGCAATAGCACTACCGATTCGAATGTTGGTAACCATGTAGATAAGAAACCCAAAATTTCACCAGATCCAAAGGCATCGGAAACAAAGAAAGGCAGCATCTCATTGGTGGGAAGTGGGCCTGGCTCACTCTCAATGCTTACTTTGGGTGCTCTGAACGAAATAAAAACCGCGGACGTAATCCTGACCGACAAACTGGTGCCACAGACCGTTCTGGATATAATACCAAAGGATACCGAGACGTTCACCGCCAGGAAATTCCCAGGGAATGCTGAAAGAGCTCAGGAAGAACTCTTGGAAAAGGGCCTAGAGTATCTATCACAAGGTAAAAAAGTCGTTAGGTTAAAGCAAGGTGACCCATATATCTTCGGTAGAGGTGGTGAAGAATACAATTTCTTCAATGCACATGGCTACGAACCTTCTGTGCTACCGGGACTAAGTTCTGCCTTGGCTGCTACCGTGGTGTCAAAGATCCCTGCTACACAAAGAGCAGTAGCTGACCAAGTTCTGATTTGCACAGGTACAGGAAGAAAGGGTGCGCTCCCAGAAGTCCCTGAGTATGTCAAGACAAGAACCACTGTGTTCCTGATGGCTCTACACAGAGTAGACGTGCTTGTGAAGGTACTTCTAGAGAAGGAATGGGACCCCGAGGTCCTCGTGGCCGTGGTGGAGAGAGCTTCATGCCCAGACCAAAGAATAACAAGAACTAAATTGAAGTATCTCCCAGCAGTAGTCGAAGAGATAGGCTCGCGTCCCCCAGGACTGTTGGTAATCGGCCAAGCTGCAGGTGTTCTCCTACCTGAAAGCTCAGTATCGTTTAATGACTCAAACAAATACCACATCGACGAGGGCTACAGAGCCTTTGAGTTGGACGTTAACCAGTTGATCCCAGCATAATACTACAAAATAAACTACATTTGATATAGACTTATTTAATAATTCCTGCATAGTTTATACAATTAATATTTATAGATGCTTTCAAGTCTAGTTTGTGTGAATCATAAGTCATCGCACGTCGCATCGAACTGTTTTTTCCACATTGCGCTTTCTACAGCAGTCTCTGTGGCAAAATCATTGTTGCTCCTCGAGAAAAGCTTAAAGCATCGATTCCTCGAGTTAAATATGTAGACCTTATAGCTTGTTCAGTTATGTTCTCGAGAAGGGTTATAAACTTCTGGTTATTCCCAACCATTTTACTCAGAAGGAGCACAATTAATCATGTTGTCCAGAAGATTCATCTCTACTAGCAGGAAACCATTTGCATTTGCGTTTGATATTGATGGTGTGTTGCTCAGAAGTAAGAGCCCTATTCCTGGTGCTTCTGAGGGTCTTAAGCTGCTACACAAACATAAAGTTCCCTTTATCCTGTTGACCAATGGTGGTGGTCACTTGGAGAAGGATAGGACATCGTTTATCTCTGATGCTTTGGATGTCCCTATTTCGCCTGCACAAATAGTGCAAAGTCACACACCTTATAAGTCCTTGACATCCAAATTTAACAAGATCCTTGCTGTGGGGACGCCATCTGTTAGAAAAGTAGCTGAGAGTTATGGTTTCAAAGATGTTGTCCACCAAACAGACATCATAAGATATGACAGAAGTATCACACCCTTTTCGGGCCTAAATGACCAACAATTACAAGAATACTCCAAGGATAAGGCTAATTTGGAGGAAAAACCGTTTGATGCAGTGCTGGTGTTCAATGATCCTCACGACTGGGCAGCAGACTTGCAAATTATCAACGATCTATTAATTACGCAAAATGGTAAACTTGGAACCTTAAGAGACTCACCATCACAAAAGCCATCTATTCCTATCTATTTTTCTAACCAAGATTTACTATGGGCCAATGCCTACAAATTGAATAGATTTGGTCAAGGAGCTTTCAGGTTCTTAGTACGTGAACTATATAGTAAGATGAATGATGGAATGGCATTAGAAGATATGTGTTTAGGTAAACCAACAAAATTAACTTATGATTTTGCACATCATGTTCTAATTGATTGGAACAAAAAACTTGAAGCAGGTCAAACTGATTCTTCTGAAATCAATTTACCCCAATTAGGAACTCCAGTATCAGAATCACCATTCACCGATGTCTTTATGGTTGGTGATAATCCTGCAAGTGACATAATTGGTGCGCAGAATTACGGTTGGTCAAGCTTCCTTGTCAAGACTGGTGTTTATAGAGAGGGTGACAATCTGAAGCATGTTAAGCCAACTCACATTGTAAAAGATGTTAGGGTTGCTGTGGAAACAGTTCTAGAAAAATATCTATAATAATAAACAAAAATTAATTCAGCTAAAAAGTTGACATTGAGCTCTAGCATCAGAGTCTCAAGAACTAACTGTATATAAAATAACTGTCTTGCACTTTTAAGACCAATAAATATTTCCTTTATAGAAACGCATTTTCTTTGATACATTCGTGCTTATCACACTTGTATAAATACTAACATTGGGCTCTCGGAACATTCTGCTCGATTATCTGGGCCCGTAAATACCATGGCCACAGAAGAGAACAATCCAGATAGTATATTTGGATTGTTTAAAATTTCCTGACTCCGCCAACATATTGACATTTCGAACCGATAAATTTTGATGTAGTATGACTATTTTTACAAATCATCAGTGATGCTATCCAAATTGATAGGCTCACCTGGTTTGAATGCTGGAAGACCTAGGTATGGACAACCTGTACATCTGAAAGCATCACCTAAAGAGCATGAGCCACAGCCACCAACTTTCTTACCGTCGATTGTGAAATCGATTTCTGTTAATTCATCTTCAGTAAACTTAACAACAGTGTCCTGCTGACTCCGAATGTTATCGATTTCGGCCTCTTCTTCCTCTTTGATACCACAGCTACAATCTTTACAAGCCTTCTTCTTCTTGGTCTTGCTCTTACCACAGGTAATCATAGTGATACCTCCAATGTTCTTTGCATCTTCCTCATTTAGTAAATCATCTTCATCCAAGGACTCTGAGTCATCTTCGTCAAAGTACTTGCTTCTGGAAGCATCGAACAAGTTTTCATCCTCCTCATCTTCCAGTTCATCGTCATCGTTTTCAGCCTTGTGTACTCTAGCTTCAACCTTTGGCTTGGCCTCTTCAACTTTCTTCTTGAAAGTTGGCAAGGGTTTGTTTGCGGCCTTCTTGAAGCTTGGTAGCTTGCTTTCACCTGCTTTCTTGAATGATGGCAATGTCTTGGATGGCTCAGATTTCTCAGACTTCTTTAACGGAACTGCAACTGGCTCGGCCTTCACGGCCATATTCACCTTTTTAACCCAGTGGTACTTGCCACTGTCACTAACGATATCAAAGTCGTTCACCAGCGCATCGATCTTATACTTATCGCTCAGACCATACAACACACCACCAACTTTCAAGGCTTCATTCAGAGCACCTATTAGTTTCTTGGGGAAAAGAATCGCATCAGGTGCCTCAGGTGTCAAGTAGTAAATAACATCATAAATGCCCTTCTGCAACTTAACACTGCCCTCATTAACTTTGTTGATCAGGAACTGGTTGGCGATCTTAACATCAGCAGCTACAGCATCCGCCTTAGCCTTCTCCACCTCCTCAGGAGTAGTAGTGATAGCTGGATGAATCAATAATAAACCGGACTTTGCCATTTCTTCTGCACTCAATAAAACTATCACTCAAAAATTCCAACAGTAGCTCTTTCTACCTGTACAGCACAGTACCAACTACTAATCAGACGCCAAGAATAGCTCGATAGACCAGCTTTATATACTCTTGATAGTCTTGTTTTGTGCTGTAATCATAGATTAGTAAGCTATAAGCTGATATTATGGGAAAATTATGCGATGAGCCGTGCTTCGCGAGGAAATGAACTGTGGGTCATAGCAAACTGTGTCCCTGTGTGATCACATGACTTGTAAAACAATATATTGGAAATGCAGAATTGTATTAATGGGTTCTATATGCAAAAGGGTTAATGTCTATCATATGTAAAATAGCTAAGAGTTGATATGTAGGATAGGTGTTATGAGTTGGGAGCTAGTTGGTTGTTGACTTGGATATCTGGTCTTCTTCGTCGTCTTCGTCATCTTCGTCGTCATCATCATCTTCATCATCTTCATCATCTTCATCTTCATCCTCATCGTCGTCATCTACTTCTTTCGGTGTAGTACTTGCTTTCTCATCGTCTTCATCGTCGTCATCACCATCTTCTATATCGTTCTCCTCGGTGTCTTCTGGATAGCCACCCAATTGCATGACAATCTTATCTACAATCTCGTTACTATCCATCATACCACCCAGACCTATCTCACCGTTAATACTCATAACTTTCTCAGAGGGTTTAAAAACTGTTATCCAAGGCATCTCATCCTTGATCACTTGCAAATGCTTCTTAGTCATCAAGGAATTGAACGTGCTGCTCACCATCGATGGTGCCAGGAAGATTGGGAAAGCTGGGTTCCATGCTCTTACAACACTTGTTAAAAGATTATCACACAGGCCAAGAGCAATCTTCGTTAATGTATTGGCAGTTAATGGGGCTATTACTAATATGTCTGCCCACCTCCTCAATTCTATGTGTAAAACGGGATCAGTCCTCTGGGACCAAGCATCCCACTCATCCTGGTCTGTCCATACATGAATGTGATTTAGCTCTATACAGTTATGAGCGTTGGTATTGGTACAATTGATGTCTTCTTCAAGGCTGACAGCACTATTCTCTGAGGTCTTTTCGAGAACGGCCGACTTCCCCTCCCCGTTGTGGGTATCATTAGCAACTTTATCGGTTTTGTTCTTTTTACCATTCTTCTTGTTGAAAAACTCAGTCGCTGCCTGCGTTAGGATAACCTGAACCGCAATCTTATCTCTTCCATATATCTCTTCAAGTTTTTTTATTATGACTTTGATCTTGAAAACAGATACAGCACCCGTGGCACCTAGAAGCACATGAAGCTTGCCATCATCTTGAGGTAACCTGGGGTCTATGTTTTTGGAGTTCTCCCTCTTTAAAATTTTTGAGGGTAAAGAATTGAATGTACCTTCCTCCATGACCGCTTCCAGTGCTTTGGGAATGCTTACGGCTTTTATTTGTTGGCCAAATTCTTCCTTGATAGGCAGGGATAAATCTGGACTTTTGTTTGACCCGACAGATGACCTAGGACTAGTTAAAGTACTGGTCTTACCTGGTGTGTGCAATGTATCACCCACTACAAAGTGTAAATGATCATTCTCAGCAGTATCATGAACTGCAAAGGCTATCGGATCAATAGCATCGGGTGTTCTGCTTCTATTCGGTACGATATTGTTGATCGTAGTACCAGATCCAACACTAAATATCTTGTTACCTCTGATAAAATCAGTTCTTTCTATACTCTCTGCTATCCTGTCAACATCAGCAACATCTGAACTCTTCGACGTAACAGGCTTTATGTCACTGAAAGTAACAGTCGGTACCCTCTTAAGACCGGGCTCCGGAGTGTTGTTTACCACATGACCAGATGTACCACTGGCATTCATGATAGACTTAGTCTGAGCCTCCTTCCCGCTATTAGAATCGGTTCTGCCTTCCGCTACTCTACCGTTCTCTTCCAGTGTACCACTTCGTACACCGTCCCGCTCCGGATTGGCATCGCCCAAACCAACTTTGCTTGCCATCGCCCAATATTTCAATTCTTCTCAAAATTAAGCCCTATACAACAACAGTCACAGTCCTGGAACCCACCATTAGCCCAATTGAATACTACTACTCATCTCTTTTATCTAGTGCTCATCACCTCGAGAGAGCCTTGAGATGACGAATTCCCAGAAAATTTTTAGTCGTGATGTATGAGGATAATAGCCTCCATCGGAATGCTATTAATCTAGTCTTTATGGTACAGTTTTTGCTTTATGTAGATATATTTAGGTTGTTATGCTATCTTGGGAGTTAATGCTTTCATTTCTTTCTCTTGGAGCTGTTTACGTATCTGCCTTTACCCACACGCACGGAGTGCTGTTTCAGACCTGAAATGGCAAAAGGTGAGATGTAATTGTCTGCGGAACCACCACCTATCCAGTTGTTGAGCACTTTCTCATTGTGTCTTCTGGTCCATTCTTCCTGCTTGATGGCCTTCTCGTATTCCTTCTGGTCCTCACGCAATATAGGAGCGTCCTGAGTGTTGTTTGCATGCTGGTGCCCCTTCTTACCGTATCTCTTCACTGCATTCTTGGACAACGGACTAGCCATGGAGTAACGGTTACCTCTGTTCTTCCATTGAAAGTTGTTTTTCAGATGTGGTGTTACTTCACCAGTGGTAGCGTCTACTGTCACTGCACATCTCAGCAAAGTACCTTGGCCACCGCAGGATGGACAGAAATGCTTGGCTTTGCCATCCTTTGGCAACGGGAACATACGGAAGCACGCGTGGCATCTCAGCATGTAGTTACGAAGTCTCTTGATTCTCATACCAGACATGAAATTCATTAGATTTAGGTTCATCTGCAATGCAACGTTTTGAACAGCAAAATCACCAGTGGCCAACGCAACTTGGTTCTCAGGGTTCTCACTAGAATCTAAACCGCTGGCAGTCAAGACACCTTTGGAACCCGTGGTGTCCTCACCGCTGTCTCTAATCAGAGTTTCAGTCAAGTTATCTGGAGTGATCCACTCACCGTCGTCGTCACCTTCGTCGTACTCTTCGTTTATTTCATCTGTGCTGGCTTCAGTTGGCATGCCGTCTTGTTTTGTCTCATCATCAGCCTGTTCCTGTTCCGGTTGCATCTGCTCTTGTTCCGGCTGCACTTGTTCTTGCTGTCCTTCCTGTAGCTGTTGCTCTGCTAGTCTTTGCTCTCTTTTAGCCTTTTGTTTCTTACCACCTCTTCTTCTTGGTTTCTTCTTGATCTCTTGAGATGCCTCAGTGCCCTCGGCCAACTCAGCTTTCACTTCCTCTTTATCCTCTGCATGCTTAGCAGGCTGTTCGGCGGGCTTCTCTGCGGGCTTCTCTGCGGGCTTCTCTGCGGGGTTCTTAGCCGGCTTCGCAATCTCATGTTTCAGCTTGTCGCCGGGCTTCCTCCTCAGCCTCCAGTCACCTTTATTAAGCTCTTTCTCGAGCTCATAGGTCAACGCAAGGATATGTATATCGTTCGCACTCAGCACAGAGTAATCACCCGTCAGCCTGGCGAAGTTGCTCACCCTGTCGATAGACTCCTTCCTGGGGTGCACCAGCTGCAAGTTCCCCAGCGACTGCCAGACTTCCAAGTTCTTCCTAGCGTTGGCGTCCTTGATCTCATGGAAAACAGTGGGCGTGGTGTAGAACTTCTCAGCGTAGTACTGGTAGTGGTTGTACGGCTGCGTGATCAGCGGCGTGGCATCAAGCACCAGCGAGTTAACATGCGGTACAGTCATCATGTGCTCGTTATTTCTCATCTGTCTAGAGCGTCAACTACCCAGCTTTACTACTGACTTATGTTTAATAAAATTTTTTTCAGTGAAGTCGATGCTCATCGCATCGCAAATTTTCCAGCTTTTTCCCACCAAGGGTTCGATCCTGGCTCAACATACAAATAGTGCCAAAGCAAGCTTATGAGGGGGAAGGGGGGGATTGTACAGGTATGCTGGGAGTAAGGACGTGCTATCAGTATGACGTCTATTGACTACGACGACAAGGAGCCGCTGACCTCTACTGCGAGGCCGCTGACCAACAGCATAATAACGGTGCGGGTGATCAAGTCGTTCCCGTACCGGAACGTGAAGAACCTGGTGTTCCATGACTACGACCTGCAGAACAAGACCGCCGGGGACCTGTTGCGGGACTGTATGGCGCGGATCAGCACGGAGGGCAGTTTCAGGCCCTTCAGGAACGTGAAGCTGGACACGCTGAAGGTGTACACGCACGCGCACGGCTCCAAGACCGTGAACCTGGTTATCAACTTCGACCACGACGAGGACTGGATGCTGGACACCACGTCGAACAGGAAGCTGTGCGAGTACGGTGTCGAGAACGAGACAGAGATATCGCTGTTCAACCGCGAGGACTACGTCGCGTACAAGGCCAATCCCGAGGAGAAGTGGTAAGCACCGTACATCTTCAAAACTGCTGCGACAGTGCTGCGACAGTGCTGCGGAACTGCACTATTAATATATATAGCAATTGCTACTATAAGCAATTTAAGTAATCAAATATCAGTATAACAACTCAACTTCCCTCAAACTGGCCCAACGGCTTGGGTCCTTTAAGTGACGAAAAAAAAAATTTGGAGCGCAAAGCAGATAAATAAGGAATAAGCTGTGAGGGATAGCCAGGAGGGGGAGCAGCAAGAGAGACCAAGCCAAGCGATGCCGTTGCCACCATCTTCATTGAACCAGAAGTCTAGCCGGGTGTATTCTGTGGCCCGAGTATACAAGGATGCCTGTGAGCAGAGGCCTCAGGAGTACTGGGACTACGAGCAAGGTGTAACCATTGACTGGGGGAAGATATCGAACTATGAGATTGTGACCAAGATTGGGCGTGGTAAGTACTCTGAGGTGTTCAGCGGGAAGTGTATTACCAACGACCAGCCGTGTGTTATCAAGGTGTTGAAGCCGGTGAAGATGAAGAAGATTTACAGGGAGTTGAAGATCCTGACCAATCTGACCGGTGGGCCCAATGTCATCGGTCTGCTGGATATAGTGCAGGACCAGGCCTCTAAGATACCGGCATTGATCTTCGAGGAGGTGAAGAACGCTGACTTCAGGACGCTTTATCCTTCGTTCACGCTACAGGATCTACAGTACTACTTCACACAGCTGCTAATAGCACTGGACTATTGCCACTCCATGGGTATAATGCACAGGGACGTGAAGCCACAGAATGTCATGATAGACCCTGCACAGAAGAAATTGAGGTTAATCGATTGGGGTCTGGCAGAGTTCTACCACCCAGGCGTGGATTACAACGTCAGAGTGGCCTCCCGTTACCACAAGGGTCCCGAGCTGCTGGTGAACTTAAACCAGTACGACTACTCGCTAGACCTGTGGTCGGTCGGGTGCATGCTAGCTGCCATCATATTCAAGAAAGAACCTTTCTTTAAGGGATCTTCCAATGCTGACCAGTTGGTCAAGATCGCAGATGTTCTAGGTACGAAAGAACTGATGGCCTACCTGGCCAAATACGGATTAAAACTGCCATCCGAATACGATCACATCATGAGGGACTTCACAAGAAAGCCATGGGAACACTTTGTCACTTCCTCTACCCCGCTAGCCGTACCAGTTCTAGTGGACCTTGTCGACCATTTGTTGAGGTACGACCATCAGGAAAGACTAACTGCTAGAGAGGCAATGGACCATGAATTCTTCAAGACCAACTTCGACTAAACACATATATGTACATTCTGAATTATCTCCAAGCACGCAATTATCAGAAAGGATTTGCACCATAGTATTCAATGTTTGGAGATAGACGGCATTTTTTTTCTAAATTAGACTTCATTCTTATTCGTTTTCCAATCATATGAATCGCCTAAGAACCACAGCTCTGGGCAGTTTCCGTAATAGATAGTGTATATTTTTTTCACAACTCCACCGATAGAAGTTTTTTAATCATAATTGATGTATAATTAGCTCTGATTTTCCTATAAAATAATAATAATTCAAAAAGAAATATGTTAGCTAAACAATGTGCGATTAAAGAATATATATATAAAAAGCTAAAATGTCAGCAATGATCCACACGGACCAATTATCGCATTTAAGAAGAAGGCGTCACTGTCATGTTAATGTTAAATTTTTTTTTGTGTTGTGTATAATATAACTAGCTGAAGCTATCCGAGCTTCATGTCTAAAAAACATATGGAGTTAAAAGTCATTAAAGTGAAAAATATATGGTACCAGACCAAGAACAAGTTGCTAAGCTATGATGAGACCAGTTGATCGTCGATCTCGAGCGTGGAGAAGGAGCCTGTGCCGAAATCCTTCGGCGCGTCGCACTCCAGAGGGTCTTCATCGGGCATATAAGGGAACAGATACCTATCGTCGTACAGGTAGTGTTTCTGCTCCACCACGTAGACTCCATCGACGCTGTGCGATGGCCGTAGCGACGTGGCATCACCTTTGTCCCTGATATCGACGGTGGACTCATGGAACACACCATATATGTCGATGTCTCGTCTGAGCACGAGCTTATCGAACTTGATGCCCTTCATCGGAGGCAGTGTCGAGCTGGAGTTGGCCCTGCTCTTGTGGATCCTGTTGAACCTCTCCTGCCAGTTAGTCTGCTGTGAGGACTTGATCGCGTACATCTGGGCGATGTCATGTATGCGTATGTAGTCCTCGAGCAACTGCTTGCGCCCGTTGGAGTGCGACCGGCCATGCAGCGGCGCCTGGCCCGTCAGGTCGGGCCCATACAGCACGTTGAGGTCGTTCTCTTTGTTCCAGTTGATGGCGAGCGGGTCGATGCGGTCGAGGTCGAACTGCTGTATGGACCAGCGCCTCCAGAGACAGTAGTGCAGTCTGAGGATGTAGTTGCGGTAGTCCTGGCAGTTCTCACGCGCACAGCTGGGAAGCCTGAGTATCCGCTGCCGCTTCATCTTGAGCAGTATGCGCCACGAGACCGGGTAGTCCGCACTGCGGAACCCGTGGTGGAAGTAGTCTATAGATTGCTTATCGTAGTTGGTCAAGTTCTCCAGCAGAACATGGTTCTGCTTGGTGACTATAGAGTCATCCATCGAGAACCTCATTGTTGATCGTTCATAGAGGTGAGGAGTTACACAAAGGTAGAAATGTACATAATATACATAATATACAGACGCTGGCCTTCGTTAGCCATCTATCTATATTCAATATGGGACTCCATATATATGCCTTTTTATTGCTGCACCACCTGGGTATCGAGAACAGATGAATTACGTAGTTTTGCTTATCAACTCAACCATTGTGTGTGCGTGATTTAAGAGCACGATGCACAAGCCGGCGATCGATCGATTGCTGCTGATCTCCCGGATATCGATGCTCACAAGGACTGGAATGTGATGTTGAAATGATGTTGAAATGATCACAACGATGCTCACAACGATGCTCACAACGATTGGAATGCGATGCTGAAATTGCGATGCCTTTGAGCTTCCCATCGATGTGAGATCAGCACTGGTGAGGATGCCAGTTCTGCAATTCGTGAGGCACAACACACAATGTGACTTCCACGTCCAATATTATTTGCATACGTCGCTGGTGACTGAAAATTTTTTCCAAAAAAATTTTGCCAAAAATCTTTGCGATGAGGTTAGGTGATTGCGATTTGAAGTATATAAAAGGCTCCTCCATGCTTTCCATTCGGGAAGTGTTTTGGTTTGACCTTTTTTCTGGGTTTGGTTCTTTCACATTTGAATCACGGCACATCGTTGTATAATAAACACATAATGTCTCACAGAAAGTACGAAGCTCCACGTCACGGTCATCTAGGTTTCTTGCCAAGAAAGAGAGCTGCCTCTGTCAGAGGTAGAGTTAAGTCCTTCCCAAAGGACGACAAGTCTAAGCCAGTTGCTTTGACCTCTTTCTTGGGTTACAAGGCTGGTATGACCACCATTGTCAGAGACTTGGACAGACCAGGTTCCAAGTTCCACAAGCGTGAGATTGTTGAAGCTGTAACCGTCGTCGACACTCCTCCAGTTGTCGTCGTTGGTGTCGTCGGTTACGTTGAGACCCCAAGAGGTCTAAGATCCTTGACCACTGTCTGGGCTGAACACTTGTCCGACGAGGTCAAGAGAAGATTCTACAAGAACTGGTACAAGTCCAAGAAGAAGGCCTTCACCAAGTACTCTGCCAAGTACGCTCAAAACGGTGCTGAAATCGAGAGAGAGTTGGCTAGAATCAAGAAGTACGCCACTGTCGTCAGAGTCTTGGTCCACACCCAAGTCAGAAAGACCCCATTGGTCCAAAAGAAGGCTCACTTGGCTGAAATCCAATTGAACGGTGGTTCCATCTCCGAGAAGGTCGACTGGGCCCGTGAGCACTTCGAAAAGACTGTCTCTGTTGACTCTGTCTTCGAGCAAAACGAAATGATCGATGCCATTGCTGTCACCAAGGGTCACGGTTTCGAAGGTGTTACCCACAGATGGGGTACCAAGAAGCTTCCAAGAAAGACCCACAGAGGTTTGAGAAAGGTTGCTTGTATCGGTGCTTGGCATCCAGCCCACGTTATGTGGTCCGTCGCCAGAGCTGGTCAAAGAGGTTACCACCACAGAACCTCCATCAACCACAAGATCTACAGAATCGGTAAGGGTGACGATGAAGGTAACGCTGCTACCAACTTCGACAGAACCAAGAAGACCATCAACCCAATGGGTGGTTTCGTCCACTACGGTATGGTCAACAACGACTTCGTCATGGTCAAGGGTTCCATCCCAGGTTGCAAGAAGAGAGTTGTCACCTTGAGAAAGTCCTTGTACACCAACACTTCCAGAAAGGCCGTCGAAGAAGTCACCTTGAAGTGGATCGACACTGCTTCCAAGTTCGGTAAGGGTAGATTCCAAACCCCAGCTGAAAAGCACGCCTTCATGGGTACTTTGAAGAAGGATTTGTAATAAAACTTTTAAGTCTCTTTATAAATTTTATATAACTTAATCCATCTTCTTTTTTTTTAAAGCTGCATATTGGCAATACAACTGAAATCAAATCTAAATAAGGTATGAAATCTTTAGGCAATGAAATCCATATGTCAATGAAATGAAATCAAATCAAGTATGTCAATGAAATCAATTCAAATCAAGTATGTAAGGCAATATTACAAATCAATTGCCATGCTACGCTCTGCCAAGGACTATTACAAATGGAGGTCTATCAATATATTTGATAGGGAACCCACAAACCCTAACATACGTCACTGCGAAGAAGAAGGGTTTAGGGCTTCTTTCCGCACTGTGGAATGTAGCCCATTTGTACGAGACCAACAGAAATAGGGGCATCCAGTGTAGGGCTCTCCCCTTTTGAAAACCCTAAATTGCTTGTGCCCGTCATTGCGCTGGTTTCTGTGGGGGGGCACCGGATTGCAATCAAACCCTACAACGGGGCCTCTCTGAGTTTGGTGTCAAGCCAAATCGCCCACGGACTGTACTCTGCGGAGTTTGTGTGCGTAAATCAGAATTAGGGCTTGCCACCTGCCGAACCCCTTGCCCCATGCCCCATGGCCCATGGCCCTCCAGCTCCAGGCGAAAAGGTATAAATAGGGTCCTCTTTCAACTTACAATATCTCTTTCATCCAGAACCAAAACTAATCAATAATCTAGCAATCCCAATCGCAATCACAATCGTAATGTCTAAACAGTGGGCTGACGGTAAGGACGGTGTTTTCAGAAGACAGGTGTCTTCTTTCAGAGAGACTATTTCCAACTCTCATCCAGTTTTCAAGCCTGCCAAGGGTAGGTACTGGCTGTACGTCTGTTTGGCTTGTCCATGGGCGCACAGAACTTTGATCGCCAGAGCATTGAAAGGTTTGACCTCTGCTATTGGTGTTTCCGTTGTGCACTGGCACTTGGACGAGAAGGGATGGAGGTTCTTGCAAGGCGATGCGCAGGAGCTTTTGGCCGGCAAGGCCTATGAGATTGCCGGTGGTATTGAAGGTGCCAACTCCGATGTCAGCACCCGTGTTGGCGACATCAAGAACGACAGCGAAAGGTTGTTCGTTGACGGTTCGGTCGAGCCTCACCACCACTTCGAGAGATTGAGTGAGCTGTACTTGAAGAGCAACCCTGACTACAAGGACAGATTCACCGTTCCAGTGCTATGGGACACTGAGACCCAGACCATTGTCAACAACGAGAGCAGTGAGATCATCAGAATCTTGAACAGTGACGCCTTCGACCAGTTCAGAGACAGCGACGCTGAGGTCCCAGACTTGGTTCCAAAGGAGCTAGAAGCCGAGATCGACGAGGTCAACAAGTGGACCTACGACAACATCAACAACGGTGTCTACAAGGCCGGTTTCTCTGAAAACGGCAGCAACTACGAGGACGAAGTCACCAATGTGTTCACCCACCTGGACAAGGTCGAGTCCTTGCTGGCCGACAAGTACAAGAAGCTAGAGAAGGAGCTGGGCGACAAGGCCAAGATCCTGTCCAAGTACTTCATCGTCGGTAACCAGATCACCGAGACCGACATCAGACTGTACACTACCATCGTCAGATTCGACCCAGTTTACGTCCAGCACTTCAAGTGTAACTTCACCTCCATCAGAGAAGGCTACCCATACATCCACCTGTGGTTGCAAAACTTGTACTGGAACTACCCAGCTTTCGGCAAGACCACAGACTTCAACCACATCAAGCTGCACTACACCAGGTCCCACCCAAGAATCAACCCATTGGGCCTAACCCCATTGGGTCCAAAGCCTGACATCAGACCTTTGTAAGAAGTATCTATTATAAATGGACATAGACTCTACATAATCTAAATATATAGCTTAATCCAAAACTTCTCACTATTACAACCATCTCCTGAACAGCAATTGCTTATACTGGTTCCAGCACACGACATACTTAATTTATACCCTTTTGGGTAAAAGACGCGTTAAATTTTTTTCTATGGCTTCCCGGGATCAAAGCACTCGCCATTTCAATTTTTTGGCAGGTAGTATATAAGGCAAGCACTTGTTCACTCCGTGGGGGGGATTCAAACTGATTCTGGTCACATACCTTTCAACTGACCTAAAGCGACTTGGAGGACTAGTGATGCAGAGATCAGGCAGTGTTAATATAGAAGTGTCGCGGTTCAGTAGCATTGACGGTGTGCTGGGTGCGGAGGATACACGGGTGCACAGGAAGACCAGGTCTGAAGTAGTGTTCACTACTCCGGTGAAGGAGTCTGCCAGCCAGCACGCGACGCCGCCTTCTACGTTTAGCGTTTTATTCAGTGCGGAGAAGAAGTCTCAGGAGTCTCCGGTGAGCCGTCACTCCCCCAACGACCTGTTCCAGATGAAGAACAAGCTCAATAAGCTCGCGTTTAAGTTCTCCCTGGATATTGGTGCCGATGGGAAAGCAGCCATTGTCAACGGTGGTAACAGCAGTGCCCCTGCTTCGGTGAAGAAAGAGGATCAGGACACGAAAGCTGAGGATAAGGTGCCTGAGAAAGAAGAAGAGAGTGAGGACTCCGCTGCTACAAAGACAAGAATACTAAGTATCTTGAAACAGATGAGAAATAACAACAAGAAGAGAAGGACTAACGATGCTTCCCCCAAGAGGATCACTAAGGCGAGCCAGATCGTCTCCAGCGTGTCGAGTTCTCCTTCAAAGAAGTTGATCCTGCCTCCAACCACTCAATTAGTGAGAGACAAAGTCACTAGCAATTCTGGTTCGAAACTGCCCACTTTGCTAGTCACAGAAACACAGTCCCCATCAACTCCAAAACCTGCTCCTTTGCTCCCTAATGATTGTAACGTTACGCCGGGATATAACATGATCGACCAGGCACTTTTGAGTAGGCCAGGTTCAAAATTTGCTTCACCAAACGGACTAAGTTTCTCACCAAGGAATAGATTGCTGCCAAGGATGAGTATTAGTGGTGAGAAGAAATTCTCCAAAGGGTTTTCACCAAGGGGTCTTACGGATACAACTAACGGGAATAGCTTGGATAGCTTCCTAATGGGTAATGATCTTGAAAACAACTGGTCAGATCTTTACTTCAACCAAGCTCAGACGAACGGTGCATCAAGAAGAAACAGTGTACAATTTTCTGTCAACGGCGCTTCATCTCCTAACTGGTTCAAGTATGACTCTGCTAATATCACATTAAGCCCTCTAAGAAACTTAGAAAACATCCAGAATCAAAACACTAACGGCAACAATAACCCAACATCCATCATCTCTTCACCAGTGTTTATTCGCCACGATGATACAACTGATGAGAATCAAATAATGAGAATAAATCAGCACGAGAAGGAACATTATAAGCAACAAAACCAATCCTTTCTACAGAAGTTGACCTCATCATACAGCCAACCAAATGGTGACACTAATCAAATAACCATGTCTCACATTTACCGTACATTACACAATAACTCTAAGGCTCCAAATAGCGCTGGTATCGCTGCTGGACACGATAACCTCGAAGACGATGCAAGTTCTGCACTAAAGACATTAATTAAATAATTTCTTAGCAACTAATATTAATGATGTATTCTTTTAATATATAAAACTAAACAAATAACGCTATTCTTAATCATCGTATGGACACTACGTTAGTTCAACACAATTTCAATCGTCTCGCCTTGAAAATTGCACTTTTGACAAATTATGCGATGAGTTTGCTAGAAAAGGGACTCATACAATTGTAGTGGTTGTATTTTCTTGCTTTCTCTGAGAGTGTAATGCTCTAAATTTTACTGCTCACCAGTAGATGTACTAGTTAACTGCTACGGATTTATATACTTTTGAGAGCAATTTGGCAGTGATCAATGGGGGCTGAAGATATAGTGAAAAATAGGGAATAAGAATTGAGTAAAACATGGAGCAGAATACAAGAGGTGAGGACGAAATTAATGATAGCACCTTGTCTGATTCATCAAGTATGAATAATGAGACAGCCGTGTCAAATGGGGAATCAAAGGGAGATAATGAAGTGTTGGAAGAACAAAGTCAAGGATTTGATAACGAGTCGAATTTAGAGGAGCAAATGAATACCTCACTGCATATAAATGAAGATGTTAAAATACAAGATAATTACAACATAAATTTTGAAGAGTGCAATAAATTGATTAAAAGGAAATGGACTCGGCGAAGGCCTATAATAGTAGACCATTGCCTGCCGAACAGGAGTCCAGATATTGACAAGCCTTCTACTAATGGGAAGCTCCATAATAATTCTAAAACAGAAAATGTAGGAGGACAAGAAGATGATGAAAAAGAGGAGGAATTAATCATTAATATAGAGCCAATTGAGAATGGTGGTGAAAGTGGTATTGATAATATACAATTTAAAATTATATTACACTCTGGCCTGACAACCAAAAGCACAGTCATTCGCAAACTAAGTGATTTTTATGTGCTATATCGACAACTTCAAAGTAATAACTGGGGTGTAATAATACCACCACCACCATTATTGTGTCAATTGCCTGATAAAGTAAAGCCGTCTATCACTGATACCTGTAGGAATCAGATGCAGATGATGTTGGAGCATATTCTTAACAATGAATATCTACGCAATGATATCGACTTCAAGTGCTTCTTAAATAGTGATGACTATATCAATGAGTCTGTTAAAAGAGCTAATATAACAAACTCTTTAGCACTTGACACTACTCGGCCTTTTGACTCAGCGCATATCAGTTTACTGAAGCTATTTGGAAGCGAGGAAGGAAAAGAAATTATTCTTAATGGTGGCATAGAGAGTGAGTATAAAGGGCTATTCTCTTTTAGTACAATACCGACTTATAAAGAAAATGATGAGTATTTGATAAAGGCATTTGACAGAATCTCGATAATTGAACAACAATTCAAAACACTGGTTACATCCCTTACTCTAATAGACAAAGAACGGGGCGAACTAAAATCAGTTCAACTAGAGTATTATAAGACGTTGCAAGGCCTGGCTGACGAAGAATTGAACAAGCATTGCTCAGAAGTAATTAGAGCTTTTGCTAGGAATCATCAACAAACAGTGCTTTTTATTGATGAAGATTCTGTACAAGAGTATGAGAATGTTTGGACGTCAGTTGATTTGTTTCTCCGATACTGCACTAGTATAAGAGCTACATTAGATCAAAGAGTAATACTAGGTACATATTGTTTGATTGTAAAAACACAGTTACAAAAGGCTACCGCTGCATTGGAAAAATTAAATGGAGGATCAGTATTTGTTTTCAGAAGCGTGGATAAAAAGGAGCAACTGGAGAAAACTATACAGATACTTTCTAGGCGCAAAACTAAAATCGAGGCAGAAATTGAAAGTATAACAACAGAAATTAAAAAGAATTTAAGGAATTTCTATGGATTTATCTCTAAGATTTTCATGAAAAATACGGAAAAATATGTTGATGCATTATTAGTAACTCATAATAAACAAAAAGAGAGTTGGGAAAATTTCCCTCTGTAAATAATTTATGGATACGACAATTTAATAATTTTTTATAGATATGATACTATTGGCAGGCCATTTAATCATCATTAGACTCTTCTTCTTCTTCCTGTTGTTCCTCTGCAAAAGCTTTGCTCAGCATAGGGAAAACTTCTTTCTGCTTACCAAGAGTATTGTATGGGATAATCATACCATCAAAAGCAAAGCAGAATTCATTGGCCTCAACTTTGATATTATTATCCATCGAAGGCAACTTAGGATATCTCTGGGAAAAGTGTGTCAATATAAGCTTTTTGGCTTCCATGGCATTTGATACATTGATGGCCTCATTAATGGTACTATGCCTCTTTTTGATGGCGTCTTCAATCAATTCATTATCTAGAGTTGCTTCATGAATAAGTAAATCAGAACCTTTACCAATCTCGTATGCAAATCTCTCCAAGTTAGGTCTCGTATCACCAGAGTAAGATACCTTAAATAAGTCACTGTTGAACGAATTCTTGTAGAATGTTATAGTATTTGAGTATGCCCAATCACAGTGTTTCGCTCTACAAGTCTCGAACTTAAAGATTTTAAGGTCTTTGCACATCATTTTTATGCTTGTATAATCTTTGAAAGAAGAAGTATCATCAAGTGATAACTGCAATTTTCTTTTTTTATTAGTGTTCTCAGAAATCACTGCTTCAAATTCGTTTATATCTAACGGTTTAATTTCTTTCCGAACGTAGTTTCCATGTATAAAATGCTCACAACTAATGTAGTTGATCCGTGATAATATGCTTTCGTCTTCATAATTTAGCCATTCATCCACGAACTTCTTATATTGCCAAGGTGTTACAATATAAATTTTAGCATTTTCATCATTTTTTGTATATCTATTCCATTCTCTTAGTATACTTATAATACCCAAATGATGGTCGGCATGCAAATGACTTAAATAGATTAGCTTCAAGTCTTTAAATATGGACAGCAGTTCAGTAGAATTAAACATCCTTTTCAACATACCAATAGTATTCTCCCCTGCATCAAGGATTACATTTCTATTTGAGATGACACCATTGTTGTTGAACGGTACTTTCACTAACGTTGAAATCACATTACGGTATTTGGACGGCAGAGCACTACCTGTACCAAGTGTAATAATTTCGGGCTGTGTTGCTTTCTCTGGGCTACTGTTGAAGTTATTTACATGAAATTGATTTTCAACAATATTTTCATATGTAGCACCAGGAATTTGCAAGGGAACAACATGGTTATGAAATGCTCTCTTCCAGAAATCTGCAGTTGAGGGAAGTTCAGTTGTGATCACTTTGCTGTTTAGATCTTGCACTTCCAACTCTGAATTTTTGGTATAGGGTTCTAAAGTCACATCTGTACCTCTTTTGAATATATGTACATTCTCTTTATCGATTGAAGATTTTATATCTCCTTCACTGGTTTGTATTAATGTCGTACCTAAGGGCGTACTCTTTTCGAAACAATCAAAGAAATCTTTAGATAGTATTTGATCGCATTTTGGCAGATTATAACTTTCTGGTTGCATCGATTTTAGTTTTAATGTGGTTAAAGCTGATCCACGAAAGTTTAGTGAGTTTGGAGAAATTTTTGAGTGTGAAATTAGATGTTGTACATTCCCATGGTTTAATGTTTCCATTAGTTCAATAATATCATCATTGAATACCACTTTATCGTCTAAGAAATAGTAAATTGCTGCAGTTCCTGAGAGATCATGGGTCTTGAATTTTTCCATGAACGATGGTATGAAACTGTTATCAGGTATATCTAAAATTAGAACTTTGCCAAAATTTCTTTCTTTCTCCAGAACTTGGTCTGGTGAAACTATAGTACCATCTTCGAGTGTAATTGACTCACCCTTAGTTAGTTTTGCAAAAAGCGGGCCTTTTGGTACACCTAATCGAATTGCTTCTTCGACTTTAAATCTACCTCTAATTGAATTGAATTGCACTTCATAGTTGGTCGTTTCTGAAGGAACTGATATATTTTCCGGTAGTTTCACATTCAAATGAGGATCCTTGGAAGGCTCGTATTTCATATTTGTATCGGTTTTCTTAGGAAACATGTGAGCAACAATGTCATTTAGTAAACTCTCAACCGTTTTGTTCCCGAGTTTGACCTCTTCGGAGTGTTTCTTTGATATGACAATCGGATTTACTTGTAATAACTTATCCTTATAAATATTTTTTGATGGCACTAGCGTATTTGTCCTCAAGTTTATTCCAAATCTGAAAACAAAATACCTCCATGTGGAGACAATATAGTTGAGAATTTGGCTGCCATGGTGTAACACCAGATTGTCCTTACCTTGATCTGCAATGGTCAATATCATACCAGGAAGGCCACCTATAGCAGACCAGTCCAGCATACCTGTCAAAAATATGTTACCCAATTTGGATATCTTGATCTTGTTCTCCGTCAAACACCTCTGTGACCCTTCAGAGACTTTACCAAAAAAATACCTCTCACCGCTGTCAGCTTGTAAAAGCAACAGAGGGTGCTGCGTGTCCGCAGTAGGGTGCGCCACAGGAGTAAAAGTAAACATTGATGCAGCCCTCCCACTATTAATCTTCTCTTGTCTCTTGTTCTGGCACCGCGCCAATTGCCGAGTAGGTACGTATACACTATGTCTCCAAATACTCACAGGGTGTTGTCTCGCCCAACTCCTAGTAAAAGAAAGCAACGTTACGCTTAGATCAGACAGCAATTCCTTCTCACACAAAGAATCAAACCACTCATCAACTCCCCCCACTAGACCTGACTCCAATGGGCATAAAAACTTTAACTCTGCATAAATCCACAATATATGTGATGCTCATCGCATCAGCTGAACTTTACTTCCTTCATGCATTTTTGAAAAATTTGAAACAGTGAAAAATATATATAATTGACCCGCGTTCGAACTCTCATCGGAGCAGTTTTTTTACTTTTCTAAATTTGTCTGCAATGATTTTCCAGGTCATGTGAAAAAAAAGGAAGGAAATCACTTTGTCCTAGAAAGAGAGGCAGGGCATAACTGGAGTATGTACTGCTTTGTAACAATTGTACGATGGTTTCTGAGGAGGAGTCATTTTTGGCCCGTAATAATAGTGCCAATAATAGCGATGCCCTATGCTTAGACCAGTGGACATAGTAATTAGCAATTAATAATGAGATAGTAGGTTCTAATATATGTTGAAAGTAGTCAGAAATATTTAATATATAAGGAAAGTGGGCTCTTGAGATTTGCAAAAGTTAGATTTATTCTTAGGGACATTCATTGATTAAGGCTTTTGGATATTTATCAAAGAGTCATCCCTCCCCGAACCGATACTATAGAGACTAAAATAATACAAGCACAAATACAATATACAATTATGAGTGTTAGCAATCCTGGTAGAACTATATTGGCGTCCACTATTTCCAAGACGTATGATTATCATATTGTTGAGAAGATCAACGAGTTGAAGGAGAACGGGGTGAGGCCCAATGGACCTTTGTTGGTCGGGTTTTTGGCTAACGATGACTCCGCTGCAGAGATGTACGCCAAATGGACACAAAGAACCAGTGAGGCACTGGGAGTTCGTTACGAGCTGAGGAGAATTGCTGATAAGGATTTCCTCGAGGAAGCCATCATTCAGGCCAACAGAGACGAAAATGTTGATGGTATAATGATCTACTTCCCCGTGTTCGGAAATGCGCAGGATCAATATTTGCAACAAGTTGTCGCTAAGGAGAAAGACGTGGAAGGTTTGAACCACGTCTACTATCAAAATCTATACCATAATGTCAGATTTTTGGATGAGGCGCAGACATTAAAATCTATCTTGCCTTGCACTCCACTGGCTATTGTGAAGATATTGGAATACTTGAAGTTTTACAACGAATTCCTACCGGAGGGTAACCGTCTATATGGTAAGACATGTGTTGTGGTTAACAGATCAGAAATCGTAGGAAGACCTCTGGCGGCTCTTATGGCCAACGACGGGGCCACAGTATACTCTGTCGATATAAATAACATACAGAAGTTTACACGTGGTGAGAGTCTGAAATTTGCTAAGCACCACGTAGAAGATCTTGGTCCGTTTTCTGATGAACTTCTGAAACAAGTCTCAAAGGATGCAGATATCATTATCACCGGTGTTCCATCAAAGAGTTATAAATTTCCAACAGAGTACATCAAAGATGGTGCCACTTGCATTAACTTTTCAAGCTTCAAGAATTTTGACGATGACCACGTTAAGCAAAAGGCTTCCCTATATGTTCCAATGACAGGTAAGGTGACAATTGCAATGTTACTGAGAAATATGCTGAGACTAATAGAAAATAGAGAGCATATGAAGAACTAAGCCTAAGTTATAGTTGTAATCTTATTTTTTTTTTATCTTTATTTCTTTTTTTTTTTCTTCAGTTCTTTATATAGTAATATAGAGCAGTTTTTGGTTTTAATTGAAAGTGAAGATGTCTAATAGGATTACCATTGAGCACTGGCATGGCATTGATAATATTGCAATGCGGTGTCAATCATCCATGCTCTTGTACAGTCGTATGTTACGATAGATGCCCTATTTGAAATTTTGCAGAAATCGATCACGCACATTCAACTGAAAATAAGCAATAACGATCAAATAATAAATCTAGTTTATCTAATAATTAAACTGTTAAATTAGTACCTTAACTCCCTATTTTTTATTAGGCTCATAGTAATTGGATCAACTCTACGTATTTTTGCTGCTCAATTGGTAGAAATAGTTACAAGTTTTGTGTGGTTTCTGGGGATAAATAGGTATCCGTTTTACACCCCATCGAAAATTTGAAATATATTTAAGCTCCTAGGATTTGGTCATTTCGTGGAAATAATCTGGTTTCAGTTCTAGTCTTTGACTCATACCGAATTGCCAATATAGCAGTGATATAATAATTGAACCTATAGCAATATGACTGACGTTAAGCCAATGTTTCAACTAAGGAAGGATATCCTGAATGATGAAACTACTGGCACGAGTGCCATTGAAAATGTTGACAGTGGTAATGAGGAGTCCATGATCTATCAGCAAGTTGGTGATCAGACCAAGGTCTTGACCGAAAATGACAAGTATTTGGTCAAATGTATAAATTCCTTCAATGCTGAGCAACTTCCTATTCCCTCTCATGTTCCTTTCTACTCCACAATAGATGGTGTAAACAAGCAGTGCTCCTATAATGATAATGAGAATTTATATGTATGGAACTTCATCAATTCGAAATGGGACGACTCTAATTATTGTAAAATACCATTGAATACTGACAGTAGTTCATCGGTAAACGCTCTCCCAAAATCGGTTTTTATTTTGCCAACTAATTATGATACTGATGCTGAGATGTTAGGACTAGAAAATAGCAATTCTTCGAATGGTATTGTTGGTGGTGTGATTCTGGTAGAAAACACAGCAGACGCGACTTACTTAGTATACTACGAAGATATGCGTTCAATTAACCATCTTTCGACATCTATATCTAAAAATATGGCCCATTTATTAGATTTGAAACTACATTCAGAAGAAAAGGTAACGCTGATGCTTAACTCAGAACCGGCAGGTCTTGTACTAGCTACTACAGAGGGAAGATTGATGTTTATAACCATTAGAGAGACAAATGGTAAACCCTGCCTAACGCTTAAACAGCAACTGATTAGGCCTAAGGGTAGTGGTCCTCTAGCTTTTTTGAGTCTTTTCTCAAGTAGTAATGAAATCATATCACTAAGAAATGGGCCGATTATTGGGAAAGGTGAGAGAATCGTATATGTTCTTACAAGAAATGGCCGCTTTCAAGTGTGGAAACTGTCAGTTGCCTCTAAATGCGTTAAGATGATGGATACTAATTTCTACGATAGCATACTAGATGATTTGGTAGAGCTTTATCCCTTTGCTCAAGGCTCCTTAAAGATTTTGGATACACATCCGATAACAAATCAACCGTTCTCTCCACAAGTTGTTCTAACACAGATATCCAGTTCAGATGAGACCAACTTTATCTTGTCTACCATAATTCTAGATGAACAAACAAACTCTTTCACAATATTTTCAACATATAGATTGAATACCTACATCATGAAGGGAAACAGTGCATTAGCTAAACCAAAACTTTGCGTACCAAGCTCATTACAAAGTGCCACTTCAAAGTATTTTGATCTCTTCATTGTATTTGATAAAGCAGTTGTCATAACGCAGACTAGTTCAAAATTGGACTCTACATATACTTTGAAAAGAAAATGGGAAGATATCATCAGTTTCAATAAAGAAATACAAATATTAGCCGAAAGTAATGACGCATCTACAGTGTATTTACTCACTAAAGGTATGGGAATTATATCCATCATTCCAAAAAAGGAGAGAGGGGAAACTGCGTACGAAGAATCTTTTGTTAAGTCGCATCTTGACCAAGCAATCTATTTTTCTTCCAGTAGTAGCAACCCAGTAGAGTTTAATCTACCTGGTGGCCTCCATCTTGAGCAAGATGAAGTCGAAAATGACTTGAAGACTGCTAGTGAAGAGATTTTATTGTCCTCATCAAAATATATTCCACCTTTGACAGATAATATTGAGAAGCATTTGAGTCTCAGATTAGTATACTTTAGAAACTTGATCAGTTTTGTTAAGGATAACTTCGCTTTCAGTATTTCACCTTCTAAAAAGCTAGATATAATAGAAAACTTCGAGCTGTTAAACTGTTTTCACAAATTCAACAATTTTATCAGCTCATCAAACTTTGAACTGAAATCTTTTTGGGACAGAACTCTTGAGGCTAATGGTAATATCAACGAAATCGAATTGGCTGTGGAGAAAATCCATAGGTTCCCTGATCTATTCTCTACTTATTTGAATACTATAATAAAAGAGCTACCATCTAAGTCCTACACGTTCAAACTGACGCTTGCTGACCTAATAATTGAAACCATATATGATGCTATTTTAGAGGAAGGTGAGAAGAAGTTAAGATATGAATTTTTGTCCCTCGATCCACTTGAACTAAATACACATCTGCCATGGTTCATTAGCATAGATATCCTCGATTCTATAAATCAACTTTTTTTCGATCTAAAGTTCTCGCTTGAGGGTCAAGAGAAAAACGCAAATACCCAACTTTTAGTGATAGTAAAGACATTATATTATCTTTTTAATCAGGTGCGCTTGTTCTTTTTGAAAGAAAATAATATGAATGATGTTAGTGCACAAGATTTTATGAAGAAATGTGACCAACTTTATGAGAATAATCATTTAGCTTGGAACCAGACATTATGTGAACTTGGTTTGAATGAGGATTCGTTAGAGATTTCAGAATTTTATCACGACTTTGTATCATTAGTGGAAACTTTAGATACTTTAGAAGCAGTTGAATCAAAGGCACTTTATGAAGAATATTTTGCCAGATTCGGTGAACAGTTTGCCCATACCCTATTTGAATACTATGTGAAGAAAAGTAAACTGCAAGACTTGTTTTACAGATTTCCTGAGCAACAGGAATTTTTAGTGTCTTTTTTTAAGAAGTACCCACAGTATGGCAGAGTTTCATGGATATTCAGTATCATTAACTATGATTACGCAAGTGCCGCAGCAACATTGTATGACATTACTAGTGGTGATAGAGCCTCTGCCATGACTTTGGAATCAGCCCAGTTATACCTAAACATTGCTAAACTAAGTACCTTGGCAGCGCACGAAAACCACGCTAATGTTAATTTACTGGGAGCCCTGAAGAGGATACAAGCCAATCTTGACGTAGTAGATGGAGGCAAAGATTTAGTTGAAAAATTGAAAAGAGTTGATGGTGCACCATCTCATCTTCAAGCAAATTATAAAGGGACTGAATTTGAGAAACTCTTTGATCTGTTGGTAAAAAAAGTGACCAACGGCACCATGTTACAATTTGTGGAGGTTGTGATTCTTTATTCCTTGATCGATGACAAGGAATGTCTATATCATGCATTAAAACTACTGGCCATTGATGGTGATATACTGGAACTGGAACTAAAGAAATTCTTAATATCTTTGATTTGGAGAAGAAGTATTTTATTTGATATTCAAAATGCATATGACACTACTAGTGAAGATTCTACCTTGCACTTTGTCTTAAAGCAGTACTTGGAAGATGAACTATTCCGCGCTAATTGTCCATTGCCAACTGTAGGCGTTCTGACTGAAAAGACCATGTTTACTGAAAGCTTATTGAGTAGTTTGTTTTCCAATTACGAATTGGACACGAAGAAACTGCAGGATATATTAGAAAAGGAATATAATACTGTAGAGTCCACCGCTGTTGATATTGAAAAACGGATTATTGAAACGATATCTTCTCTAGACAAAGCTAATGATAATTCATACACCGTTAATTATCACGATCTAACTATAGAGTATCAGAACTGAAGTCAGATTTGCATAGCTGTATATTTATTTAATAGTATACAATAAAAATAGGAATATTACAACGGAGCTAAACCCAGTAGTTATAATGGCACTCCAGACCAGTACATACATATAGAACTGAATGGCGAAGCTTCCTCTAGGGAGCCAATAGTATAATTATTGAATGGCATGATATATTTTTGGCTGTTTTAGTGAAGGTGAAATAGGTAGTCAACTAATTGTCTTTGTGGTTGACTAGGTTGCCTTTGGATGAATTATTTCCTGCTTTCTTCATTATTTGCAACGCTTATTCTTACGAGAGCTTCTGGTAGTGGTTCCGTTTTATGTTCATCATCACTTTGATATGACTTGTCAGCATTGGACTTATCAGACTTGTTTTCTTTACCATCCCATGCACCGACTTGATAATCTCCTTCGGCGTACCTCAGTAAGCCCAAACTCGCCTCGGATATATACTTCCTTATAGAGTCCCAGTTAGCCATAACATTAGCCACAGACTCTGCATTCTTATTAATCTTACTCACCTCAATACTCATCTCATCTAATTCAGTCCTCATTTGATCTGTTAGTGCAGTAATTCTCTTAAGGGCTGCTAATTCTTGCTGTTTCGCCAGTTTTTGTTGCTCTAAACCATCCATTTCTTACTATCCTTGATCTGAATTTTTAATTTAGTATAGGATCACAAACTAATTCATATATCTAGTTAATCTTATTGTTCCGAAAGGTAGCAGTTTTGTTGTGATCCATTGTATGCTCATTATCTTGTGTTGATAAAACTGAATCAGAGGCATCGCGAAGTTTGTTAGCAGTGCATTCTCTAATAAAATAAGAGGACTTTATTTTGCTGAGATCACGTGAATTAAAGTTATATTCACTATTCTATCGCAAAATGGGATTAGCTTTAGAATGCACATAGTTGTAAATATCTATTGTTTTATGTATGATACTACATTGAATTTTGTCTAAAAAGTAAACCTCTATTATTCATCATGGCTAGTGCTGGGGTTTTTGAAGTGCTGTACAATAATGCAAATTGGTGTGTCATTGGTGCGGAGTTAATTGTCTTCATTAAATTACGGCATTATAGTACCTGTGGCAATAGTACGTCCATCTTTTCTGCACACAATTCTTCCTATGTGTTCATTTTGTGAGAATGTCAGAAGAGGGATCCATCTTCTCTTCTCTGTCAGTTCGATCTCAACGATGGCAGCTTGGTGTGAGCTCAAGTGTCTTACCTTCTTCTTGATAACTGTTTCGAAATCGTCCTTATCAACCAAGGATATCAGCTTACTGATTCTGGCAGGTTGTTCACATACACCTCTAAAAAGCATGAAAGGAGTACCCGGTAGCAAGGGCCTATCCATTTTGAATGTAAGCATTCGTAGGTTAAACTTTTGGTAGGCAGCAATATCGAACTCAACGGATGCCGCTATGTCACCACCTTGTATATCTTCTGGGTGTGCATGACGAAGCTTGATTGTAACGAATTCTCCTTTAACTGCAATAGGAACAGGGGCCTGCTCTTTCCCCATAATAATCTTATCCACAGTGACACTTTGTTCAGAAGGATAAATAGTCAGCGTTTCACCAGGTTGGATAGTACCGGACTCCACTTTACCGGAAATAATTGCTTCTTCATTCTTGTTTGATGCTGATGACTCCAAAATAGAGAAAATGAAGGATTGGTCCTTTACCTCTTGATATGTAACCATACCAACATCGGATGCAACATTTTCCAACGTTTGGATTACAGTTGGGCCAGTATACCATGCAGCATCCTCTGGGTAAGGAATCTTGTAGACACCCTCACCAGAAAACCCACTACAAGGCACCCAAAGCAATTGGTTGTCCGTAAACCCGATGTCATACAAAAACTTGACCAACTTTTGTTTGATATCTTCATATCTTTCATGAGACCATTGTACGGTGTCCATTTTGTTCATGGCCACAATGACTCTCTTGATATCCATACTTTTCGCCAGCAAAGCGTGCTCCTTAGTTTGTCCATCAAGGTTGAAACCAGATTCGAAGGCATTTATACCACAGTCAATAGACAAGATAGCCACATCTGCCTGTGAAACACCAGCAATGGCGTTTGGTACAAAATCTCTGTGACCAGGTGCATCAACGATGGTAAAATTGGCATTTGGAGTATCGAAGTCACTAGTACATATAGACACTGTTACACCACGTTCTCTTTCTTCCTTAGTTTGGTCCATAACCCAGGCTAAATGGAAAGAGCCTTTACCAATGTTTTCACTCTCCTTCTTTAACTTTCTGATATATGTCTTATCTACTGCACCAACATCTTGTAATACACGGCCCATCAAAGTAGACTTACCGGCATCAACATGACCTAACACAACAAAACTGACATGTGGTTTACTCTTCTGGATATAACTTTCAATATCAATTGGTTTTCTTGGTTTAGTTGGTACAGTAACCTTCTTATATACAATTTTTGTATCGTCTTCTTCCTCAGTCTTCCTAGGCTCGTCAAGGTCAAGCCATTCGTCATCTTGTTTCTTATTTTGATTGAGTGATAGCTTTCCTAGGTCTTTGGTGACTTTCTTGGTGGTAGTTGTTGCGGGTGTTACTTCTTTCTTAGGCTTCTTCTTTTTGAATTTCCTTTTGAGCTCAGTCAAGGCAGCCTGCAAATCGAACTCATTCTCAAATATAGCTAATTTAACACTCAAGTTGTCCCAGCCTTGATACTCGCTTAGTTCCTTCTTTGCTTGAGGCAGCACCTCGTTCATCAGATCATACTCCTCGTCATTCAAATAGTCATCAAACTCTGCCTCGTCAGCGAAGTCAGGTAGCTCATCGCTCATGTAATCGTCATCATCGTAATCAGCCATGTTGTTAATCAATTGTCTGGTTGGTTCTATTCAACTTTATCATGAATTGGCAATTGTGGGTATTACTCTTATATAATTATACAGTGAATGATGTTAGGACACCCCCATCCACAGAAACCTGATGCCTAAACTATCTTTGATGCTACGATTTTTGCCATCTCGAGTGATAATATCGTGATAACAATAATTTTATGGGTGTATTATGGATTTCCTAAAGTCAACAGACACCCCCTCCAGTCTAATAGGAGTAGCATTTCAGGTTGAAGTTTGGACTAGATTTCTGAAACTAGCTTACATGTATCGAGGTTTTCATGAGAGCTATTTAACCTTTACATTTCCCAACCAAATGATAATCGTTTGGTGATTTGATATTTAATGAAAAGTATGTACAAAATTTTGTTAATTTTGGGATATATAATCTTGTTACGTCCTTGATTGGCAATGTTATTTACAAGTATTGTCTTTTTGATATGTTGTCGTGATTGTATTTAGCTTTGCCAAAAAAAATCATATGACTTTGCTTTATGCCCTATACCACAGCTCTTGTCTCTTTTGTCTGTCGCTTCTAGCAATGGCTCTCTTCGCATGCCACTTAGATTTGATAGTTTCCAGCCTGGACTTCATCTCTTCCTTGTGTGATTTAGGTGGCTCGCTAACAATAGATATGAACAGTGGTGACACGCCGAACTTTTCAGCTAGTGCTTTCCTGTTGTTCTTAACTGGGTCCTCGAGTCTCAGCCTCTTGATCTCACTAATATCCTCCGGTTGTAAGTGGTACTTCTTGCCCTCTACAGTGCTCTTGCTTACCAACACTGGAGGTGCCAATTTGCTCAGTTGTTTGTCCTTTTCCTGGTACTTCAAGTGTCTTATGTACTCTCTTCTAGGATCATCCTTTGGTATGAATCCAAGTGGTATAGTCTCGATATTAGTAGACCCCATGGGTGAGGATTGTGCTCTGTTAAGGTACAAACCCGGCTCTAGCAATCTCTGTGCCTTCAGATAACCTTTGCTATTCGAACTGGAATTGGTAGAGTTGTAGATAGTAGGACTGCCCCGAAGTTCTTTCATCGGTTTGGTACTGTTGCGAACCACAAACTTATCAACTCCTTTCATCATAGCGGATCCACTATGAAATCCTCTTTTCATCATCATGATTTGTCCGGTGTCTTGAATTTGTATCCCTTTGTCAACGGTCTTGAAATCAGGCTGCTGTTTTCAAGAACTTGTGGCAAGCAAATAACAACACTGGTACTGCTATCTTGTACTGCTGTAAGTGTAGAATTGATAATCCTCCTTCGATGACTCCTCTTATGCTAAGTTCTGTACATTTGGGCTTTAAATGTTTGAATTTCCTTGTCTTTGCAAGTTAAGTCGGGTTTTGGGAAAAAAAAATTGTGATAAAAGTGAGCCCTAGCGATGCGATGAGCTGAAATGGCGACTGGCAGCAATACAGTAGGACAAAGCTTATAAGAGCCCTGATGGAAGATGTTACCAGTTGGCTAGAAAGTAGAGGTATTACGGAGAAGTTGACTACCAATTTTTACAAGACTTTGAAGCGGTTTGCGGAGCGCAATAAGGGTGACAAGTTTCGCAAATCGTGTGTTTCCCTGGGTAAATTCAAAGGGCAAGATAATCATTTTTTCGATGAATTGAAGCAATTATTATTGGAAGGTGCTGGTAGTACTGATACTCTAGCCAATACTGGATTTGTGGCCAAGGATTCGTCATTGAATGTGATGAAACGGTCGAGAAATGATGAAGCCCCAGATGATGAGGAAGATTTACAACTACATACGCCAGTAATACAGAAAGATGTTCTATTAAGAAACTCATACAACAATAACGATGCTACATCCTGTTCATTTAGGCCTATAGAAGAAAAAGGTGAAGGGCAAGTTACTGGAGAGGAGGATGGCGATGAGGAGGACCAGGAGGACCAGGAAGTCTTGAGTTCGGCTATATCAGAAGTTAGTGAGGATGAAGATATGCAGTGGTATAACTATGATGACGATTACGGTAACACAGTAGTAGATGAAGATGCGTTATTCAATGTGCAAACGGGAAATATATCTGTTACTAGTGAAACACCAAGGGAAACCATTAACTCTTTAGTTGATTTAACTCCGTTTTCGGTTTCTACTAGAAAAAATTGGTTACCATATTTTCTTAATAAGTGCTCTGAACAATACGATCTCGATAGTAGCGTTTTGTTGGGATCCTTTTCTGAAAGTTCTCATGACGGTTTAGTGAACCCATTTAAAAATCCAGAAGGTCAGTTTGCATTAAATGCTAGGAAAGGTAGCCGCTCTGTAGCCATGAAAAGGAATCAGAATGATAGTGCAGAAAAAGCAAAGGAGTCTACAAATTTATCAGGTACTAGCCTTGGTGAAGCACTTGGTCTAAATAAAGATAGCAATATTCTTGATAATAGTAGGAAAACTAATAAGAATATTGATAAACAGACTGCCACAGAAGATGTTGATAAAACAAGAAAAAGCTTACCCATATACAAAGCTAGGGCGAATGTGTTGCAGATGATTAGAGATAATCAGGTTAGTATATTGATTGGTGAAACAGGGTCGGGGAAAACCACGCAATTGGCACAGTATTTATACGAAGATGGATATACCAGAGATGGTGGTTTAATAGCATGTACACAGCCTAGAAGAGTTGCAGCTATGTCAGTTGCTAAGCGTGTGGCACAAGAGATGGATAAGAAAGTTGGAGACCTTGTCGGTTACTCGATTCGTTTCGAAGATAAAACTGGTCCTAGCACCAAAATTAAATTTATGACAGATGGTATTTTATTAAGAGAAACATTGATAGATGAGAACTTAGAAAAATATAAAGTAATAATTATTGATGAAGCACACGAGAGATCTTTAAACACAGATGTTTTATTAGGTCTTCTAAAAAATTTGGTTAAAAGAAGACGTGATATAAAAATCATAATTACATCGGCAACGCTTGACGCCAACAAGTTTTCTCAATTCTTTGGAGGTCTTCCGCAATATAAAGTACCAGGTAAAACTTATCCAGTACAGGTGATGCATACAAGTGGTACTGTGCCAGATTACGTCGAAGCAGCTGTATCTCAAGCGGTGCGGATTCATTTAACCACAGCCATCCAAAGTGGGGATATTTTAATTTTCATGACAGGTCAAGAAGATATTTTATGTTGTATTGAACTAATAAAAGAGAGAATTGTTGATCTGTATGGTAAGAAGTATGGTATCAACACATTTGATAAGGTTGATGATGTTGAATTGTTTCCGATATATTCAGCTCTACCTGCTGAAATACAGAACCGTATATTTTTGGATTTAGATATTGGTAAGAGGAAAATAGTGGTCAGTACTAACATTGCAGAAACATCACTGACAATATCAGGTATACGTTACGTCATTGATTGTGGATACTCAAAGCTAAAAGTTTACAATCCCAAAATTGGTCTTGATAGTTTGGCGATTGCCCCCATTTCGATAGCGAATGCCAATCAAAGGTCTGGGAGAGCAGGTCGTACTGCTCCGGGTATAGCTTATCGACTCTATTCTGAAGAGACGGAGTTGACTGATATGTATCAACAAACCATACCTGAAATAAAAAGGACCAACTTGTCAAACATTGTTCTTACATTAAAATCGTTAGGGATTAAGAACGTTGTTGATTTCCCTTTTCTTGATCCACCATCTATCGAAACACTGATGGCATCTATGTATGAACTGTGGTTTCTTGGTGTGTTAAACGATGACGGCGAATTAAATGCTTTGGGTAAAAAAATGGTAAATTTTCCACTTCAACCAACTCTATCTAAAGTTTTGATCCAATCTATCTCTTTCGGATGTAGTAAAGAGGTAGTTACAATTGTTGCAATGTTATCTGTACCACAAGTATTTGAGAGACCAAAAGAGCGCCAAAAAGAGGCAGATGAAGCAAGAAAGAGATTTTTTATTTCTGAATCCGACCATTTGACTTTGATGAATGTTTATGACCAATGGAAGAGTGCCAAGTATTCTCCCAAGTGGTGTAAAAAAAACTTCGTGTTGTACAAATCCCTGATCAGAGCTAGGGAAATTCGCACACAAATAGTTAGCTTGCTGAAACAACAGAAGCACAAACTAAAATCTGCGGGATCTGATTTATCTATTATTAGAAAATGTATATGCTCAGGATTTGCTCAGCAAGCAGCAAAAGCTTCTGGATTGACTAAATATGTTCATTTGAGGACGGGGATGGAATTGCGTGTGCATCCAACTTCCTCTCTTTATGGTCTTCCAAATTTACCACCATACGTTATTTATCATGAGATGTTATTGACAGAGCAGGAGTATATTTGTTGCGTAACCTCTGTCGACCCATTATGGCTAGCTGATTATGGGTCACTGCTTTATGATGTTCAGCTTCTGAAATCAATAACGAATGATAATCTGCTACTTGATGATGTTAGTAGCAGAGATGATTATGATTTTACTGAAATTAAAAAAGCTGAGGCAAAAGTTAGCTATATAGTGTCCGAAAGAATGCAACGGATTAAGCAAATAAAACAGGTTTATTCAGATCAGGATGCCTTCCAAGTGAAAAACCAACCAATTAAGAGTGTTATCTCTAAAGGTAATTCTAAAAGCTTGTTCAAACGGAGACGTCCACTTTGAACCGAATTAGAATAACAATTATATGTATCATAAATTTCATTAAAATGTTATAGACAGGAATGTATATATTAATGCCATATGCTGTTTGAAAAACTCTCTGCGGTATTGAATATTGAATTTTGGAAGCCAGTAAACATTCCGCATTCAGACTGTTCATATATTTGTCTAGCTTGAGGAAGCCACTTTTGCATGTTTTCAATTCTTCTGCTACTGGCAGGGTGTGTACTTAGGAATTCAAAATTGGCGCCATTCATAGTTCTTTTCTCAAATTGAGTCATTCTCTCCCATAGTCTTACAGATTCATTAGGTTGGAAGCAGGCTCTAGACATCAGCATCAAACCAATATAATCAGCCTCGGTCTCCATTTGTCTAGAAGCTGGCATCCGTAGTATACCATCCAATAGTAGTCGGTTTATTCCCTCTGCTCCAGTTACCGTGTACAATATAATGCCAAGAAGAGAATACAGAGGTGCTTTTGATAAATTTTCGGCGGTATGTCTTGCCAATTGATGTGCAAATTCATGTGATAAAACAGTGGCAATACCGTCATCATTTTGGCATATATTAAGCATTGATGAAAAGACAAAAACTTTGCCATTAGGTAAAACAAATGCATTTGGAGGTGCTCTTGGATCATTTACAATATGTATTTTCCACTGAATATTTTCTATTTGCTTCTGATCTACTCCTGGTTGATGCATGGCTGCCTGTACAATTTTTCTAAATATCTTGTCAACTCGTAAAGTCAATGGATGATTCTCTGGTAGTATAGCACCCTTGGTTTGATTTAAAATCGATTTATAAGAGTAATTACCAATTTGGCGTTCAATTCCAATTGGAACCCATATAAATCTGTTTCTTTCGCTGAGCGGTGCTTTCTCCAGATGAGTCACATAAAATAATCCACCAAGACCAAATGTTACAGCAAGATATTTCCGACCACTCTCATCTAGCAAAAGTTTGGTAAAATCAGTGGATGAATTATTGTTAAACCGTTTGTATGTAGCATAGCTTCTATTGCCAGTGAACCTGCTGTGAACCTTCCCTTTTGTCCATAACTTGCCACTTACGCCCTTGGCGAGCATGTTTAATCTCGCAAACATGACGTTTCTCCAGTTTAAAATTAGCAAAAGTAATACCCTTATCAATAAAAGCCGATGGATACTAGTTTACACTATTGATAGTGCTCATGCAGTTATATCAGTCAATGATGAAGGTATTAATTACTGACTTTGATGTTATGCATTTTCATAGTCATCGCGATGAGCTCTAACAGCTCGAATAACGTCATTCGTGATTTAGTATATAGTTTTAATTGGTAGTTGTAACAATAATATCTTTAATATAAGCATAATTTATATCTCAAAATCAACTTCTCTATTAGCTGATGAGTTCTGTGCAACTGCTTGATTTTTTAACTGAGCGTACCTTTGCTTGGTCTTGAAATATAGAAGCCAAGCTGTCAATGTGAAAATAATTAGAGTTATTAATATACTCACTAGATCAAATATTCTTGAACTGGTGGAGTGATCTTCAGCCATATTTTTAATACGTGCACCAATAAATAAGTATATTAATAGTTTTGGTGTTGTTATAATGTTTGCGATTGTGAAGTTTTTGACTGAAATGCCGTATATCCCAGCAATAGCACCGTTAGTTAACGAGTAAGGGAATGGGCATAGCCTTAATAGTGCAAGCATTAGATAACTGTTATCTTCTTGTAGAATGGACGCAAAAGCTTCAAATCTTTTATTCATGTGAACTAATTTCTCGGCTCTGGAATGGAGGAGATTCTTGAAAACATAGAATGATGCCACTGAACCAGTTACTGATCCAAGAGCTAACACAAACCAACCATGGAATGATACGCCATAGATTAGTCCTGTGGAAGTAGATAAAAACGAATATCCAATCATAGGTGGGAAGCCAACAAAGAACAGGAGAACCAGTAGAATGAAGTTCGTTGAGGACCGCTCATTTAAATCTTTAGAGGTCTCTAGGACTTTGTCAAGGATCTTATTATGGAATATGAGCATCAGAATACCTAGTACTATTACTAATGCTCCAAATAAAATAATAAGCAACCGCTGCCATTTTGGTAAACTATTAAAATGGTCTAAAGCTTTGTACATCGATCTCCTAAATGTATACATCAAACGTTCTCTTGGAGTCATATTGTATAATGTTAGGTAATCATCATCATCGTCATCATTGCCTTCAATTCCGATTCCATCCAGCACAGGTTTGTTCAATCTATCGAAAGATTCCCGACCATTGTCAAAGACATCGATGTCTTCTTGCCCTAAATCAGCATTGTCTGTAGGCATTTTCCTATTGGTATTTTCACTTGATATTATGATTTCTGATTTTAAAATTAACTAAATATCAATTCTGAATTCTGAATAGTGTCTTTTAGTTGATTGTTAACTGACTGATTCTTTTGATCACTATGTGTCCCCATTGACAAACAAACCGCAAATCGTTTGTCACTTTTATCAGGTACATAACATTGTAAGATTCCAACATAACAGTAGGCATCTTGATTATATATGAAAACTCATAAGTCTATTATGATGTCTATTTAAATATTGATAATTACCATTTGTTGCACTTTAAATAATGGAGAATGTTTTTGTTTGAGCCAGTAAAATAAGTGTCACAGCAAGCGAGAAACAAATCATAATTGGGTAGTGGTTATTTGATAAACTATCGGCTCAGGCTTACAGAAGATTCGCCAAAGGATGCACTGCTACTTCTACTTCTTAAAATTTTCGCAGGTCGGTTACTGTTTAGTATTCTACGGCCTGACTTCCTGAAGTATTCCTGTCTCTCCATTCGAGGTGAACCACCTACAGATGTAGATTGGCTGGAAGTTTGCGTGCTCCTCGGTGTCTCTACAACCTTATTCACATTTATTTGGAAACCAACATTTTTGTTTCTACTAAATTTATAATCACCAGATCTGTGACATTCGTTCGATTCCTTTTCTGCTAGATCTACTCTATTGATTTGGGAATTGTTGGAGTAGTTGCGATTCCCTTTGAGAATCATTGAGCTTGGTGAAGTTACAGAAAATGATTTGGACTTATTTTTGGCAATGGCTCTAATGGAAACATCGGATGTTCTCCTCCTATGTCTTGCTGACATTGGTGTTGAGTATAAAGATAAGTTTTCGGTTGAATGCAATTGATGTGTTGTATTCTTTTCTGAGAGTAATGAAAGTGATTTGGCGGACTCAGACTCCAAAAGATTGTCATCTAAAACATGTGAATATCCGTTAGTCTCCTTCTGAATATTATTTTGAATTAGTCCAATAGGGGCGTCAAAAAATTGCAACGGTGATTTGGTTGATGAGGATACAATCATCCTACCCTTAATGAATGAAATAGCCTTATCAAGAGCAAACTCCTGGCCACAGTGATTTTGGATAATTGAAATTTTTGGCCAGGTGGCTTGGGCGCCATTAGTGATCTCACGTAAAATGAACTCCTTCGTTGGATTACATAGCAGCTCATTTATCCTGTACAGAGTCATCATATCGGGTAAAATAGTGATATCCCCAGAATATTGTTGAGAAAGTACAGATCGTAACTTTAGTAACAAATTTTTGGCAATACCTAATTCACTACCTAACTCAAACAAGTGAATCATCTCATTTGAAACAAATTTGTAGATATGTGATAAATTTTGCTTCAGTCTTGCACTAAATTCATCTTCAATTTCACCTCCAACACACGACAAAGAAAGCTTCAAAAATGGAAAAACGTGTATGTTAACTTGGCATGCGATGATGTGGTCTATGTTAAACATTTCAGATAATCTTGATATTGGTAAATCATTATCTACTGAACCGTCCACAAAACGAACAGATGCACTTCCTGACCATTCTCTGACCTCCGATGTAATTGGGTCTTTTTCATATAATGGGCTTGATGGAAATATACCTGGTAATGAGCATGAAGCACAAACAGCGGACCAAATCAAGACGTTCGGTGCCGTTAAATTATTCAATAACCTGGGTTGCTCGAACATTGTCGCTGGGGAGACTGTGATGTTCAGAATTTTACCCGTTCTATTATATGCCTCTCTGAATGTCATGTCACCTAAGAACTCTATAACTGTGTTAGCCAGTTGCTTATTATCAAACCAAGTACCATTTTTAAAAAACCTGGATATTTTTATTAATAGATTTTCACTCTCAGTTTTTTGTTTATCATCATTAAATATATTAAAGTCTTTTGAGGCAACTTTTTGTAGAAGTTCGGGTATTTCTTCTTTATGGCGGACGCACAAAATACTTGCAACAATAGCGCCTGCACTACTACCGCTAATAACTCTTGGTAATAAATCTAATTCAAACAATGTAGCCAGTACACCGATATGAAACAACCCAAAACTGCCTCCTCCGCTCAACACTAGAGCTGTCCTACCTATATTTCTTCGGGTCTGTTGCAAAATTCCAAGTAAATAATTATCATCCAGGTCTGACTGTAATAACGCTTCTAAACAAAGCTTTGACTCTGTTATGTAATGGTCTATTAGTAGCTTGGTTCCCACATGAGAGTGGCGGTATAAGTTTACATTTCCCATATTACCTAGGTTTCTAACCCAATTTGTCCTTATTACATATAGCAATCCCAAATAATCATTCTGTAGTCTCAACTCTCTCATTTTATTCGTAACAGTTTTTATAAGTGTATAGTCATACAATGTTGATTCCTGTTCTTCTTTCCATTCGTTGGTATTCGTTAAAGAATCCAGCTTCAAACAGGCATATTTCCATTCTTCATAGGATTGGGCGAGCTTCTTCTTACGCAGATATCTGTCTATAAGAACATTTTTATCATAGTTCCCAATGAAGGTGTTATAAAGAGTTCTTTTTGTTGAATCGTAATATTGTTTTAAGGACTCCAAATATGATATTTCGGATTGTTCGTTGCTAGGGTTGCTCTCAGATACAGAATTTTCATGCAGCTCTTCAGGTTCCTCATCATCATCTCTATACAGTTGAGGTATATTTTCAGACTTCAAAGGATCTGTAGGTGTGTCTTCTGATACTAGAGATTCTGCGCTGGTGGTCTTCAGCTTCTCTTTGGTAGCTCGGTCAAATGCATAGTCAAGGATAGGTTCTAATGGTTCTGATGGTTCTTCCTCAGCCGTTGTATTGGCCTCAGTTTGACTATTCCTACCAAGCAAGTACTGGTAATATCTCTCTATCAGAGGTTGTGTAATAGCCTGCTGTACTCCACCATCTATTTGGTCAAATTCGTGGTCTTCTTCTATCAGCCTAGCCAAGTCATCAAACGAGGATTGCCTCTCGGAGATGTACCTTTTCAGAGTTTTAACAGGAACAGCCATATTTGTCGGCTACTAATGGCATCACACAACTATAAAAGTGTTCTTTGAGTAGTTATAATAGTTGTTTAGTTTGTTTTACCTCTGATAATTTGGTGGTAACGACTATTTGTGCCTGAAATTGCACTTTTAAGGTAATCTTTAGGCTCCGCATAAATTCCGAAATCTGGCTTTTTGTGTGAAGCAGTCAGTTTCGTACGTAAGTTTGTGTGTGACTGGCCTTTCTATGAAACGATGAGATAGATAATGGTGATGGGATGTCACAATCCTCTGACATATCAAAGCTTTCCTACGTTATATTTATTACTATAATAGGTATTATCAAATTGTACTGTATTTCTACTTCACACCGGTTGCACATAAGAGGAAACATTATCATGAAAATAAATAACATTCTTTTATAATTCCGCATATACTTAGGTGAAAAGGAACATACTTGTGTTAAGCATGTAAAGGTAATCGGTGGTATCAATGTATTGAATTGTAAATGTTAAACAACATTTTGGCTTGTTCCATTGACGTTATCTAGAGTTTTTTTTACAAAATTTTGATAAATTTTATGTTTTGGTCTGGTACCAAGCTGATACTAAAGAACACATAATTGTTATTTCAAATAAACTGAATAATGTAAGTTACTGTAGCTATAGAGGCTTAAATATTATTTAGCTGGTTTTACGTTAGTACGTGGCATTATTTTTTATTGTTATTCTTTTTATTTTTATTAACGCTGATTAGAGTAGACAATCTCAATGCAGCTAAAGGATCATAAATCCTAAGCCGGCGTTCATCACCCACATTTACGTTATGTGGACGGACCCTTTAATAACTTTTGCCAAGCTCACATTAAACTACAAAAAGGTATTCTATCTCTAGGACAGCATAATAGACTGATCTAGACGACTTTGTTTACTATCTCCATTGCAAGATATATACAATTTCTATTGCTTTATTGTCATTATAGCTATTTTTGGCGTCGCTGGTCTATATTGATTCACACAACAGTACAGCACTTTCTGTCATCCCGCATTTTCGCGTTTTCTGAGCAAATCTCGAAGCTTCGTCGATCAAAAAAATTCCCACGAAGGCATCACAAAAACAACTAGACACGTCGATGGCATTGATTGGCACGCTTAGATCAACTAACACTTAACTGCTCATAGTTCACCCACCCCATCACAACAACATAAATCAGGAAATAAACTGGAATTACCTCTTGGCAGAATTTCCCAAAACTCCCAATCTTTCATATGACTTTCATTTAAAACAAACGTTCTTTAGAGAAACTGAAATTGAAAATTAACAACAAATAAATTATAGTAGTTTAGCAAGCTGAATATACAGGATTACAAAACTGGGATATTTGGTCTGAATTATTGACTGAGCAATAGAAATAGATATACAGGTCAAGATGTACAGTTCCATGTATGGCTCACCATTTCCCAAAATCAACCCAAATGTGAGGTATAAAACCGCTCTTGAGAGAGCTGGGTTTGATGTTAAAACAGGCAACTCTAAGAGGTCTGTATCTGAGAGACCTATGGATAGATACCCCGCGGCAAAAGCTGCTGATACCCCACTAAAGAACTCCTCAACTCCCGTGTCTCCATCGAAATATAAATCACCTAACGCGTCTAACAAGAGTATACATAAGCCTAGCAGAAAATCCAATGATTCTCATCTTATGGAGAAGCAACGTGATATTGATGACAGACAAGAAATCTCTATGTATAAACCACAAGGGAATATTGGAGGTAAATTCCGTTCCACTTCAGAACAATCAACATTTGGTCAATACACCAATGACCGTAACAGTGGGAATAATCAACAATCATTGCCCATAGACCATAATGTGTTAACTAATGCATCACCAGCAGTACCAATTGTAACTCCAAGCATTGCAAACCCAATAGAGAAGAGTTTCCAGATGCTTACTCAGAATGATACTTCGATGTCGCTAAACTCCAACACAAGTGAAGAAATCGAACAAAAATCTAGTGTTCTAGACGATAACATCATAAATAGCGATAATTGGGATGAAAGAGAAAATAAACATGCGTCCTATGAGTCTGCAAATGAATACCATCAAAAATCACATTCTCAACAGGTGTCCCAATATAGTCATCATACGAACGAAAACCATTTCAGCGAGACAGAGATTGATAACGATTTGAACTTTAATGCAGAACCTTCCCCAGCGAATAACATCAACGAAACAGATACAGAATCTGATGATGCTGACAGTCTCGAATTCAACCCAAATGCTGATCTAAGTGCAAACCTAGATGAAACTGACTACAACTTTCAAAAAGATCTTGATCTGAATGATCCAATAACAAACGATGATGGTGACGATTTCACCAAACCATTGGTGCTTGACAACAATTATGAAAAAGAAACTGCACCTAACGAATTAAGTACTCAGAAATTTATTCAAATACCTAACAGATCATTTGAAAGATTGAACAAATCCAATAACAATACCATCGCATCAATACAAGACACTCCAGAAGAAGATATTACTGGAACAGTAACTTCAACAAATCCACAATTGCAAAAACTGATTGCTCAATTGGATGATGTATCTTTAACAAGAAATGCTGAAATTGATACGTTACTTCAACCAAAGGATTCTATTGCTATATTACCATCTGACTCTGATGTCCAAAGAAATTTAAGCAAATACAAAAAATCAAGTGCATACTTATCTGGCTTTCCAAAAGATCTTAACATGCCCAATGATGATTCAACATTACCAACAGAACAACAAAACACATTATTAAGCAATAGATCATCAAACTCTTCAGACAGATCTGATCCGCGATACCAGTCAGACAATATTTCTCCTGGCAATGGTACTCCAGTGTTCTATAAATTCAACCAACCTTCACCATTTACATCCAATACACCACCAGAACTAAACCACGATGAACAACTCCTATATACGCCTTCCAAAAATGACGCTAAGGGCTCTTATGACTTATCAAACATTCAAGTTCCATCTATTGTTACCGAAGATATGTCCGAAACGCGCTCCACACCAAAGATTACGAAATACCCACCAGGCGAAGGACCATGCAGAAGATGCAATAAGATAATCGAAGGCAAAAGGATATTCTCCAGGAAAGACAACGAACTATCTGGCCAATGGCATAGAGAGTGTTTTCAATGTACCAAATGTGATATTCAGTTCAACAAAAACGTGCCTTGCTATATATTGAATGATCAAATATTCTGCCAGCAGCATTATCATGAGGAAAATAATACTATATGTTGTGTTTGCAAAACATTTATTGAAGGTGAATGTTTGGAGAATGACAAAATGGAAAGATTCCATACTCATTGCTTAACCTGTATATTGTGCAAGAAGATTATTACCAGTGATTACTATATATTCAATGGTGAGATTCCATTATGTGCCGAACATAACATAGAGGAAATGTTGAGCGATGGTATTATTGGGGATATGATTAATCAAGAGGGTATTGATCGTAACAATACAGTATCTCGGAGACGGACGAGATTGATAAATTTCAACTAAATGAAAATATTAAAACTTTGCATTTACTCTTCAAGTTTTCATCTTTTTAGGTAAGAACCATGCATTAGAAGAGGAACCCCATTTATATAAAATTCAATTCTTATACCAGCGATAACATAAGCATGCTATTTTAAAAATTTATAGATTTTTACTTTTGAAATCTATTATCCTATAATTTAAAGTCTATGTTACATAAGTTAGCAATACAATATATCCGTTATATAGATTACTAAATGAAAGATGTCATTCAATTGGCACTATTTATAATGAACAACTCTTCTTGGGTGAGGGTGAAATGGATAAACGATTTCGATGACTAAGGTACTGTTTGTTCAATCACAGATTTCTGAAGGTTTCAAATCGATTGACAACGAATTGATTGGGATGTTCAAAGGGGAATGGGCAAGTGATTATCTGGCTCAATCAGTGAACTTGTAAGAGCCAGTAGCCATTGTGATGGTACCACCTCTGTAAGAACCACGTTTCATTTTATTCTTGTTCTTGGTAAAATCTTTGCCTCTTACTCTGCCCAGTTTTTCGTTGGCCTTTTCACCCCAGGTACCGGCGGCACCTTGGTACGTGTTGTCAGTCAATTCCCAGGCCTCGAAAGAGATCTTTTCTCTTTCAATTCTGGAGAAATGTCTTCTTTGACCCTCCTTAATCTCGTCTTTACCAGCTGGGATGGCCAATTTTGCTCTCTTCGAGGATTCTGAGCTGTCGGAACCAGAGGAGCTGTCGCCTTCTTTGGCATCTTCTCTTGCTCTCTTCAAAGTAGTCTCATCAGTGGTGGACTCGTTGTTGTTAGATTCAGATTCACTTTCAGAGTCTTCTGTGTCAGACTCAGAACCTGAGTCACTAGAGTCAGAGTCGGAAGAGCTAGAATCAGAGTCGGAAGAGCTAGAATCAGAATCGCTTGAGCTGGAGTCGCTTGAGCTAGAGTCGCTTGAGCTGGAATCGCTAGAACTGGAACTGGAACTGGAACTAGAGTCGGATTCCGAGTCGGAGTCGGAGTCAGAACTAGAGCTTGATGAACTGGAGTCGCTGGAGCTAGAGCTAGAGCTTGAGTCAGAATCAGAGTCAGAGCTTGAGCTAGAAGAACTGGAGTCGCTAGAGCTAGAGCTAGAGCTAGAGCTTGAGTCAGAATCAGAGTCAGAGCTTGAGCTAGAAGAACTGGAGGAGCTAGAGCTAGAGCTTGAGTCGGAGTCGGAGTCGGAATCAGAGGAACTTGAGCTTGAGCTTGAGCTTGAGCTTGAACTGGAACTAGAACTAGATTCCGAGTCAGAGCCAGAGTCAGAGCTGGAGCTGGATTCAGAAGAACTTGAACTGGATGAATCAGAGGAACTAGAGCTAGAGGTGGAGCTGGATTCAGAGTCAGAGCTTGAGCTAGAAGAACTGGATGAACTAGAGCTAGAACTAGAGCTAGAGCTAGAACTAGAACTAGAGCTTGAGCTAGAGCTGGAGCTAGAGCTAGAGCTAGAGCTTGCTTCAGCTTCTTTAGCCTTTGCACTTAATTTTGGTGGTTGTTCCTTGGCCATTGCTTATATATGTGTGAGCTCACTGGTTACCCTGGGCTGCTCTTTACCAAATATATGTGCTATTCTTTTCAGCATTTGCGATGCGATGAGCTCATCGCTTCTCGAGCATTCTTCATGAAAAAAAAATTTTCAGATCATGTGACGGTTTAGTATACGGTCATGGTTTTTAACCAGCGGGCGAAGTATAAGAAAGTACACGGGTTGAGACATAAGGCTATGGATCGAAGTTATTGAAGATATAGCTGAGACTCGAACTCACTATCTATGTAGTGATAGAGTTCTATTTCTCACTTTTATCAATTGATTTAGAAATCATCAGATTAGATACAACAGCAATGTGATTAATGAAACAGCGATGTGATTAATGAAACAGCCATCTGATTACAATATCAATCAATTGCAAAATCAATTGCAAAACCAATCAATTGTTGCAACAATTACAACGTTACAACAACTCCAAGATCACAACGTTACAACATTACAACATTACCACAATTGCAACAAGTACAATTGCAACAATTACAATGCCACAATTACAACTGTTGCAAGGAAGTGCTAATACAATGCATCGACAAGCAGTAAAGGGTAAATGAAATCGACAACCAAAGTCTGATATGGTATCGGGTGTGTATGTGATAAGATAAGAGTCATTTCCAATTGCAAGACAAGGTTCAGCATATAGGAATTCCAAGAAGTGTGATTAGCCACACGATAGATAATTCCGATGGGAAAGATCGAAAGCTCGAAGGACCCCCCCCCCCCCCCCCAAGAGGATTGAGATTGGAACCCCAAGACGTAAGTCGGACCGGGGTGTTTATGACGTGAAGTTGTGCTGTCCAGGTGCGCTGTGCAGGTGTGCTGTGCAGTTGGAGGGGAGAGAAAGTGGCAAGCGGTAACGGGGAAAAGAATTGTGTCATTACCCGAGACTGCAACAGTACAGAGACACCGGGACAACGGGTATGAGCAATAGTGTCACGGCCAGAGGTACAGAGAGGTACAGAGAGGTACAGAGAGGTACGTAGATAATGTACGGAAAATGTGTGTTGTCTGAATGGAAAATAGGAGGCAAGAGAGAGGAAGAGAGGACCCTTGTTATCTCTTCCCCGACTTTCCGAAAACGGCAACTGATAAGATAAGAGAGACGAGAGGGAAAAGACTTTCCCAGAACACACTGCAGGATCCACAGCAAAAGAAATATTGTCAATCACCAAGAGCAGGCGAGAAAAGCGAAGATGGGAAGAGAGAAGCAAGAAAAAAAAAGCGCTGCACAGAGATTGCGTGCAGCTGTGACACATTTTATCTTTTTCTTACTCAGAAGCAGTCCCAAAAAGGGTATCTCCCATCGTGCAACTGTACCACCCAGAAACACGCAGAGGGAGAGAGAGAGACCCAGAGAGAGAGACCCAGAGAGAGAGAGACACCAGATCACATCATCAGAACGACACACCATACATCGCTACTGTCCTTCCCCCTCCAGAACACCACAGAAACCGGGGCAGCGAGATACTGTAGCCACAGTTTGGAGTGTTAGGTACAGCCGGAAAGCCGGAATACCAGATATCCCCCCATCCATCACACACACAGAAATACAGAAACACAGAAACACACAGAGAGAGAAAGAGAAAAGTGCAAAAGATACCTCGCACACACAAAAATGCGCAGAAACCTAGTCCCCGCTTTGTTGTGAGAGCTTTACACAAGCAAATGACACATAATATTGCTTCGGTGCGCACAGAAGCGGGCGCACCCCGTTAACAGAAGGTAAGACACCAATTGGAGAAAAGAAACGAAATGGGAACTACTCCATACTCTCTTAGAAACATGCGTAGCTTCCAACGCAGGAATGAGACAAGCTGAAATAATGGACTCTCTTCTTGAAAATTTTCTCCATTGGTGGATGGGATCGTCATCTCTTTCCATACACTCTCATATAAAAGGACGGCTATTTGGCTGAAAAACTTCTCAAACATTTAACAGAAATCTTTTTGACAAAGGATCAACACTGATACACACACAAACAAACAAACACAAACACATACACACATAAACCATGCTAAATCGTTTCTCGAAACGGAACGATGAAAAGAACGCTGTCGAAGTGCAGAAGGATGTTTCTAGCATCGACGACAACTCTTCCAAGGAGGTATATGAGATCGAGGACCAGGAGATCCACCACTTGGACAGAGACAAGTCTAACGCCGAGTCTAACTTTGCGCTAGGCGAGGATGACGACTTTGAAGCTCCTACCGAGGAGGAGTTGAAGACGCTGAGACATGTCGCCGGCCACATCCCACTTAGATGTTGGTTGATCGCCATCGTCGAGTTATCCGAGAGATTCTCTTACTACGGTCTGTCCGCTCCTTTCCAGAACTACATGCAGAACGGTCCTAACGACAATCCAAAGGGTTTGTTGGGTCTAAAGTCCCAAGGTGCCACCGGTCTGTCCTACTTCTTCCAATTTTGGTGTTACGTTACCCCCGTGTTCGGTGGTTGGGTCTCTGATACTTACTGGGGTAAGTACAACACCATCTGTGTCGGTACTTTCATCTACGTCTGCGGTATCTTCATCTTGTTCATCACTTCTATCCCTGGTGTCACCAACTCTGACGGTGCCCTAGGTGGTTTCATCGCTGCTATCATCTTAATCGGTATTGCTACAGGTATGATCAAGTCTAACTTGTCCGTGTTGATTGCTGACCAACTGCCAAACAAGAAACCTAGAGTTGTCATCACAAAGAAAGGTGAAAGAGTCATCGAAGATCCAAACTTGACTTTGCAAAACGTCTTCATGTTCTTCTACTTCACCATTAACGTCGGCTCTTTGTCTGTCATGGCCACTACCGAGTTGGAATACCACAAGGGTTTCTGGGCTGCTTACTTGCTACCTTTCTGTTTCTTCTGGGTCGCCGTCGCCGTCTTGGTCTTTGGTAGAAACCAATACATCAAGCCACCTGTCGGTGACAAGGTCATCTCTAAGTCCTTCAAAGTGTTGTACATCTTGTCCAAGAACAAGTTTAACGCTGAAGCCGCTAAGCCTTCTTTCAACCCAGACAAGAACTTCCCATGGTCCGACAAGTTCGTCGACGAGATCAAGAGAGCCCTACAAGCTTGTAAAGTGTTTGTCTTCTACCCTGTCTACTGGGTCTGTTACGGTACTATGTTGAACAACTTCGTCACCCAAGGTGGTACTATGGAATTGCACAACTTGCCAAACGATTTCTTGCAAGCTTTCGACTCCATCGCTTTGATTATCTTCATCCCAATCTTTGAAAGATTTGTCTACCCATTCATTAGAAGATACACACCTTTGAGACCAATCACAAAGATTTTCTTCGGTTTCATGGTCGGCTCCGGTGCTATGGTCTGGGCCGCCGTTCTACAACACTTCATCTACACTAAGGGTCCATGGTACGACCACCCATTGGACCACGACACACCAAACCACATTCACGTCGCATGGCAAATTCCTGCTTACGTCTTGATCGCCATCTCTGAAATTTTCGCTTCTATCACTGGTCTAGAGTACGCTTACTCCAAGGCCCCAGAATCTATGAAATCCTTCATCATGTCCATCTTCTTGTTGACCAACGCCTTCGGTTCCGCCATCGGTTGTGCTTTGTCTCCAGTCTCTGTCGATCCAAAGTTCGTCTGGTTCTACACTGGTTTGGCCTGTGCTTGTTTCATCGCCGGTTGGGTCTTCTGGTTCATCTACAGTGGTTTGAACGATGAAGAAGAAGCTATGAATGCCTTGGACTACGAACACGATGAGTTCATGTACAAGCATCACAGCGATGACGAAGAGGCTGCTGAACACGTCAGAAGCATCAAGTCTGAAAAGTCATAGATGGTGTGTTAAAAAAGGTATGTCGTTTCAACATTAACAATAATAGTAGCATTTCTTTTCCTTTCATCATCTAATATTCATTTTAATGACATTATGGACCACACTTTTGTTTTTATTTAAAAACTAGAAGAACTTCAAAGGTTTTCTAATTTTTACTTAACTTTCTTTTCCCATTCTACCAATAACGATATTTTCAATTGCACTAAAACATGAATGAAGATAGAAGAGATAGAAATCTTAATCTTTAGTAACCCCTCCCCCCATCTGACAATTTTCAAAGTAATGAAGAAGGATGCAACCCATGAAACGAATCGCCCCTAACATAACCAACACTTATGAACTATAACAACTAATACATTCAATAGCAATTGTACTTGTACTGCGAACGCTAACCTAATTTTTTATGTCACGCCACCATTCACGTTTCTATTATCCTTTATTTCTTTTCTCAAAGGAACTTAAATTCATAATATTCATGAGTTGCACATCTGTTATACTATACATCCAAATAGGCCTGGCGTATTTATCACACCCAGGTATTTTTTTTTTTTATTATTATCTTCAGAAGCTTTTTTACGGGTTTATTTTTCATGAGCAAAATTTGTACTTTTATTTAATTACATTTTATTTAAAACAACTAACAAACGAAAAAAAAATTAAATATAACTGTTTTCAAAACTTCAGATAAGTCAAGACAAAGACAAGACTAAGACAAGACTAAGACGCCTATTCCGTTAATGCATTGACACCTTGTTCAGCGAATCATAGTTTATCATATCGCTCCGATTAAAAAATCGACTTTCCCGCAATCGCGATCTTAAAAACGGACGGGGGGGGGGGGTGAACTTTGTTCGAACGAAGATCACCTGACTTATACCAATGAATTTCAACGAACTAAAAGCACATGCAAAGAATCTTCCTTACTATCTGTTAGTAGCGCGCAGTTCACTCTAGAGTTAAATAAAGAACATTGAAAGCACTTAGATAGACACATACACATTCAACGGTTAGTTCTGTTATTTTCTGATATTGCCAAACAATAATGGTTTAAAGGTACGTTTATATATTCCAATTAAAAGATATATGTGATTGTTATATTTGCTTTAGTAAAAAAGTATAGATAAAATGGCTTTTTCTTTGAATATTCTTTCGAAAAAAAACATGGAAAAAATATCTGAAAGGGGGTAAACCGTCTATTTCAACTTCTTCTTTGGACGCAATTGGTTGGTGTGACCACACTTTCTCTTTCTACAGTTAGTAGCTCTTGGTGGCAATCTGGCGTAACACTTACGGCAAACAGACTTTTCACAGTTGTACTTAGAAGCCAAAGCCTTCAAGGATGGTTCAATGATACCACCTCTCAATCTCAAGACCAAGTGTAGAGTGGATTCCTTTTGGATGTTGTAGTCAGACAAGGTTCTACCGTCTTCCAATTGCTTACCAGCAAAGATCAATCTTTGTTGGTCAGGTGGGATACCTTCCTTGTCTTGAATCTTAGACTTGACATTGTCAATGGTGTCAGAAGATTCGACTTCCAAAGTAATGGTCTTACCGGTCAAAGTCTTGACGAAACTGTAATAATGAACTGCATTTTTCCCGATATATTGAACAACATTCCGCTAAATTGAAAATCGTAGCATACAAGTTGCCCTCCATTTCATCCCAGAAATAAAAAAGGCGTATGTTGTTATCTCTCCATCAATTTAGATCATATCAATATTAGAAAAAATTTATAATAACTGTTAGTAAAAAAAGAACTCTCTCAAAAGCTTCAACTTTGGAAAACCAAGATCAGATTAATGGTTCATTTGTATCATTATGGAAATATCAGAGGTAAACGTAACACAGCTAAAGAAACTGACTGTTATCCACAGCAAGGCACATCAAATGTTAATAGTAGACATAATTTTAGAATGAATCCGTTCTATCCCATACACTCCCAAACATAATAATTGCGGCTGTGTTATTTAAAATCATTCCGTTATTACTTTGCATAGTACTAATATGGCCCATCACGGTTCTTATAAATCATAACTTATTAAGACTTCAATTCTGCGACTATGTCAAATAACAATCCTCTTGTTCAAAACCATCATAAGAGTATTCCTCCAAACAATTAATATGCCAGAAACATCATATCTCCTCTAGTTCGTCATTATTAGAGCCTCATATACCTTTCACGCTGTTGAAATAAACCTCGTTAAACGCTGATAAACCCCATAATATATTCCCATCAATCTGTCTCTCCGAAAACCACATTGGATTCCTCGTTTCCCACTCATTTCTCCATCTATATGTTCACATACATTTGCATTTTTAACTTTATCCGTGCTTCTGGTGACTCCAGATAATACAAAGCAAATTAAAATAACTATGTATTAAAATCTTAAATGGTAATATAAAGATATAATAACGATATCATCAACTACACTACTAATTTTTTTTTCACTATTACTTCGGGACTAGTAACGTAGAATGAGGGTGGCATATCCAGTGAAGATGGTAACTTGCGAGGGCATGTCGTAGCAAGATTTCGAAGCTAACTGTGATTGCCACTGGTCAGGTTAGTTCCAACCAATGAGCCCAGAATTCGTTCAGTGCCACCACCAGCCAACAAGGTCTAGGCAGAGCAGTCGGGAAGCTCTCTCTAGCCTAGGCAGACGGACGATACCAAGCCACTTAGAAACCCGGAATGAGCGAAGGTGCTAGTATACAATAGCCTACGTAAGCAAACCGTAACTCCCTACATTGACCGAAGAGCAAAGATACCCGAAGCCCCATGGGAAACGGTCAATACAGGTCGAGCCTAATTGCGCACTCACGAGCCCATTACCTTCTGGCCTCTCCTGCTACAGTAACGCAATGTGCCCTTCCAAAACGGTATGCTGAATGGACACCAGCTAGTTCCACACAGTCCCCCACTATCGGCGACAGGCAGCCTTTCCAACCCAGCAGAACAATACACCCCGACCACCACCTCGTTGAGCCAAAGTAAGGTGAGTAATCTACAAAGAAGCGAAACATACATGTAAAACTTTTAGAAAAGAATAATTAAACATGTACGGGTGCAAACAGTAAAACCCGTACATCCTCAAAATTAAACAAGACAGTCACAAAATCACTACATACTAAATACTCACGTTGGTGCTACTCGTACAATGAAACTGCCACGTGAGCTCTTATTATTTCATGTTCGTTCGACAGTATCTTTCTGTGATATTGCCAAAATTTCTTTTGTTTTCCAATTCCTCAATATGGGAAGCGCATGCAAGGTTTCTGACCGAGGGCTAGCCATCTTCCAGGTTGGAAGGGGACGCCTGCGTACAGGGATCTAGAGCGGTAGTAACCGCCGAGAACCTTTAAAGAAGTTAGTCGTATCGAGAAGTCACTGACTTATGTTTCGGAGTTCCATTCTCAGATTATCACAGAATATCTACCCGGAGATCTATTCCTCATATTTTTCATTACATCTAGTTGGATAAAGATATATATATACCTTTATTCTCTGGCAATCTATCAATTGTGTCTTTTAGGGGCTAATAGCGAAGGTACTAAGGAACAGAATTGGTTTGAGAACCATGGCTACTAACACAGAAAGTGAAATCGCCACGTTTCTCAATGTTGAAAGAAGCAATGTGGAATCACTCGCACAAGAATTAAAGGATGCGATACTTTCCAAAGCTGAGGAATTTGCTCAATTGCAATCCGATAACCTTAGGACAAATGTACTGTTGGAAGAGACGAAAGCCAATTTGTCTAGCAAATACGAAAAGCTAAAGGAAGAACTAGATTATGTAGTTGAGGATAATACTAAAGTTCGTGCTGAGAACAAGACCCTGAGTGAAAAGGTGTGGTCTTTAGAGACTTCTGATAACTCCAAATTGGCCGAGATAAATCAGTTAAAGACTTCCAACGAAGGCCTTCAAAACAACATAGATAGGGCCAACGAGAGGTACAAAGAGTTAAATGGATCTTATGATGAAAAGGTCACAGAGCTCGAACATATAAGAGACGAAAAGAAAGAACTACAAACTCAAATCAAGACACTTAATGATAAAATTCTGGAACTTGAACTAAAATGCCAAGAGTATCAATCAAGTGAACTGAATAGAAAATCTGAACTTGAGCGGAACGCACAAGAGATTTTATTACTGAGAAAAAATCAGGAATGGCTGGAACAGGAATTGACAAACAAAAACCAACACTTCATGTTCTACAGGAAAAAGACTGATCTAATGGTTCATGATGCTGTTACAAATGTTGAAAAGCTTAAAAGTGATCTAAAGATAGAGAAATCTAGCAAGGAAATTTTGTCAAAGAAATTAGACGAGACCACCGAACAATTACAAAATAATCTAATTGAAAATAAGGATCTCAAAGACGTACTTGCTGTTGAAAAACAGGAGTTTGATAAAGAGCTATCGATCAAGGACAAGCTAATTAAACTATATGAGAATCAGATAAAATCTCTGGAATCGACTCTACAACAGAAGTTCAAGACCGCTGAGGCTAATGAAGAAAATAGTTCTGAAGTAGTAAAATCACTCAAAGAAGAACTATCTCTAGCAGAGAGAAAACTTCAAGATATGGAAGAGAAATGTGTACGTTTAGAATCCATATTAGATCACGACTCCAATGATGTATCATTACAAACTAAAGGCAGAAAAAGAACATATTCCAATGATTCTAATTCAAATTCCTCAGATGAACTCGGCTCTTTTGATGATTCCTCAATTTCGTTATCGAGAATGCAAGGTGATATAAAAATCTTGAAGAGGCAACTTGTTCAAGAAAAGAGACAAAAAGAAAAACTACAAAATCAAGTCGAGTCTTTTGTTATTGAACTCGAACATAAGATTCCAGTGATAAATTCTTTCCAAGAGAGAACATCTGTTCTTGAAAAGGAGCTTACAGACACAGCTTTACTCCTTGAACACGCTACAAAGGAAAATGAACTAAAAACTAATGAGTTACAATCTCTAAAGAAGAAAATCTCCGATGATAACTCACAATTAGAAATCTTGCTAAGACAACGTACTGACTTAGCTCATCAATTACAATATCTGTTAATAAATATCTCAATTATAAATGATAATGACCATTTACTCAATGAAGATGAGATAAAATTCATAAAGAATCTGGTATCCAATGATAATATGGCATCGACAAACGATTCCCAAAAAGTAATTTCTGAGCATCTGATAAAGTTTAAGGACATTCAACAACTACAGGAAAAGAATATGGAACTGGTAAAAACCGTTAGAACATTGGCTCAACAGCTAGAAGAAAATGAAGAAAAGAAGAAATCCACATCCAATAACACTGTCGATGAGGATAATGAAATATTTGCTGAAGCCAAAGAAGCTATCCTGACGCTAGAAAAAGTCAATGAAAACTTAGAAAAGAACTTACAAATTGTAACCAAAGAAAGGGATGCTTTTAAGTTGTTAGTTTCCGAAGATAGGGAGAGAAACTTTAAATCCTCAAACTCAGTCCATAAATACCATGAACTGAAGTCATACAACGAAACAGTAGTTAAGGATTTAGAGAATAGATTAACTCAACTAACAAATGACTCGAACGCGCATAGTAAGGCATTAACTGAAGAATTAAACCTATTACATAAAGAAATAAGCCAATTGAATGTTCAAATAGAAAAATACAGATCAGCCAAATCCCTGGCGGAAGAAAGACTGAAGATAACTCAAAACAGTATGGAATTACTTTCAAAGGAAAACGAGCAGTTGCGTATTCGCTCTAGTAGATTAGAGGATAGTCTCCTCCAACAAGACAAAGAGACACAAAAGACCTTTTCCTCTTATGTTGAAGCTATATCAAAGAACTCATCACTCGAAACTTCAGTAAGAAATTTGGAAACGGAGGTTACCTTACTGAAAGACCGTGAAATCTCCTTGAAATCTGAACTTTCTAATACGACAGAAGAAAAAACAAAATTGCGTATAATGGTTACTCAGTTACAATCTTTACAATCCGAAAGAGAAACTTTGCTTGAGAGAGTCCAAAGTGATTTTAAAAAAAGGATTTCAGAGGTTAACTACATAAATGAGAAACTTGACAAGCAGTTAAGCGAAAGAGTACATGAAATCGATAAGATTGAAAAGGAAAGAAATGCGCAATATGAATGGTACCAAAAGAAGATTGATGAAGCCTCTCAACAACAACAACAGATTCAAGGGCAACTTCAAACAAAGAATGATGAGTTAGAACGTCTACATCTACAAAATAAAACACTTGAAAAAGAACTTGAAGGAGCTCAGATTCGTATACACACTTATGAGACTATAAACCAGAATAACTCTGAAAATCAGGAAGAAAATGATGTTATTAAGGAACTAGAAAAGACCAAAATTGAACTGGCAGACGCTTATTCACAATTAGAAGAATTTAAGAATTTATCCCAGAACAGCGAAGATGCTCTCAAAGAACTCAATGCATCTTTTAATGCCAAAGATAGGGACTATAGAGACGCTATCAAGACGCTAACTGAAGAAAAAACTGAAATAGAAGGCCGCTTTGAGATTTTAAAACAGCAACTTGAAAACATAAAGAACGAGTTAACAGTTCAGTCAGAGGAGGCGGAATCTGAACGCAAACGCCTAACTCAAACAATTGCTGAATTACAAGGGGCCGCCCAACCAATTGAGGAAGTTAAAAAGATGTTTGAAGAGAAGTTACAGAAGCTAGAAAATGATTTAGAGGAGCAAACTGTTTACGCGAACAATGCGCAAAAGAATTACGAACAGGAATTACAGAGGCATGCTGATGTTTCAAAAACAATTAGTGAATTGAGGGAACAAAATCAAAGACTGAAAAACGATACAAAGAGTTTGACTGCCGAACTGCAATCACTACAAGATCAAATGTCTCAAAATGAGAAACATCTCAAATCAGAAAGAGATGAATACAGGATTCAAATTGATCTTGCACAACAGCGTATTGATGATATCACTAAGCAAAATCAATTATTATATAATCAGATTGATTTACTGAACAGAGCTGAATCTGTCAATGAAAATAGTTCAGATGACGAGGCTAACGGCTCTACAGCCTTAGTTTTATCCTTACGCAGAGAAAGGGATATATTGGACACTAAAATCAATGTTATTGAAACTGAAAAGAATAGTCTACAACAGAAATTAGATGACATACAGAATGAGCTTGAAAATACAAAGAGAAGTGCTGCTTTATTAGAAAGCGAATACAGTGAGCATTCAGACCTCATTAATAATTATCAAACAATAAGGGGTGACCTTGAGCAGTTGAACCTATTAAGGGAGAGCAATGTTACTTTAAGGAACGAACTAAAACAGGCACTAGATGAAAAAGATAAAATAGCAAAAGACCTCCAAATTTGTAGAAACGAGTTGTTACCATTACAATCTAATTTAGAGAGTGCTAATAATTTGATAAAAGAAAAGGATTTGAAAATTGCTTCAGCCAATGATGAATCTCAACGTTGGAAGACCAGATTGGAGGAAATGATTGAGAAACATCAAAAAGTCAATGTTGATGACTACACTAAACTAGAAGAGACGCTTAATGAGACGAAACAACTTCTAGACAATAAGGTACAGGAGACCAACGAACTGAATGATCGTTTCAATAGGCTAAAGAAACAGGCACATGAAAAGTTAAATACCTCCAAAGAGTTACAAAGTTCGTTACAGGAACAAATATCTAATTTGATATCTGAGAAGGATGATATTAGAAAACAGTTGGACGTTAAAACAGAGGAAAATTCGGAACTATTGTCCGAATTGAACAACTTCAGAGAAAAACAAAACGATCTAGAGACCTTGAGGGAGGAATTGAATAAAGAAATATCAAAGTCTGAAGAACTAGAAGTTAAACTTCAAAACGAGATCGAATCATCATCTTTAGCCTCTAGAAACACCAACAAGGAAATCGAAGAGCTGCAAAAGGTCATTGACGACCTAAAGACTCAGCTTGCTGCTAATTCGACAGATGCTGATGAACAAACCAATAGAAACGTCGAGGCCATAAAGAGAGAATTTGAGAATCAAAAGACAAAGTTCATCGCTGAAAAAACAGAAGAGTTTAATAAGAGGCTAATAGAAGAAACAGAAAAGATTAGAAATGAATTTCAAGAAAATGAAAAACCAGACACAGAACTAAATGTTGATGTCGAAGCACTAAGAAAACAATGGGAAGAAGATAGTGAAGAATTGATCCAAAAACGCATTGCAGAAGCTGAAGATAATTTGAAGAAAAGAATCAGATTACCATCTGAAGAAAAGATCAATAAGATAATCGAAAAGAGAAGAAGTGAACTTGAATCGGAATTCGACCAAAAAATAAGGGATAAAGCAAGGGACTTGCTAATGAATGACCATAGTAACGAGTTTAATAACGAACTGAAAGAAGCTCTAGAGAAGGAATTAAAGGAGAGGTTTGAAGATGAACTACAGGCTGCTAGAAAAAAGGCATTTGAAGAGGGTAAGCAACAAGCAACAATGAAGACCACCTTATTGGAAAGGAAAATACAGAAACTTGAATCACAAATTCAGGAGAAAGAGAAGGATAGTGAAGAAACTCAGGATGTTAAGCCAGAAGAAAACTCTACACCTTCAGTAAAAAAAATACCTGAGACATTGAATTCAAGTGACACCAGCTTTGGAAACTCCAACAATGTAAAAGTTTTAAAACCTAGCAGTCCATTTGGGGCTACTTCGGCATTTAACAACCCATTCACGTTTAATAACAATGGTAATCCACCTGCTTTTGCAAGTGCCTTTGCCCCAACATTCAAGGATCTAATGTCTGGACAAGGTGGACAACAGAGTGAGTTATCACAAAATAAAAGAGTAGGCGATGATGACATAGAGACCAATGAACTAAAAAAATCAAAATCTGACAGTGAATCGGATCAATCATCCTAAACATGACGCCCATAACTTAAAGTATATAAATATATATATAATCCCCTGTAATCTGCAACAGGAAATTGTAACATTAAAATCAATTTGTATATTTAAATGTTATCTTACATTTGATTCTGGTATACCATAATAGCGTGATCATCAATGAATCTGATTAATATTTTGTATTCATTGTCTTTTGAATTACAATCTTCTAAGTTAAGCAAATATCCATCAATACACATATCATATCTATATTTAGGTGCATTGTGTCCAGTTTTGATAGATAGTTCAAGGTTTTTCTGAAAACATTGGTAAATGGTGCCAATTTCTTGAATATCTTCTCCATCTTTATTATGATACCCACGCATTATTTTATCTTGCAGATCTTCCAAACAAATCCCAGCTTTGTAACCTAATATATGCAATTCCTTTTTTAGTACGCTTGATTTAGGAGATGGCTTATAAGTGGGTTCTAAATTAGGAGCTGCAATAACGGCAAAGTAGGAATAACTTTGACTTTGAAGCCCATTTACTGCTATTCCGACATTAAGATCATAACTTTCAAAGACAGTCTTGCTAGCTACCTGAAACCTTTCCACACCCATCGATTTATATTTGGGATCCTCAGCACAGTGAAGGAGATTAGCATGAAACCCTAAGGATAATATAATGAAGAAGATCATGCTGGTAGAGTTTGGCAGTTGTGCATCATATAGAGGAAGAGGGGAACATTTTTTATTACTGTTTAAATACGTGATAAGCGCCTGTAATGGTGTTTTAAATCCCAAAGAAGTAGCAAGGGCATTACCTGATCCTAATGGTACTGGAAGAATTGATATCCGGTATTTAGCACTCCGGAGAATGGTGGTATCCAGTGCATTTATAAACTCAGAAATACTTGTGTCACCAGAGAGAAATAAGATATCATATTTGAATCCGCTTTGAAAGCTTGTTCTCCTTGCGAAATCTCTGATCGAGTTCTCTGATTCAGTTTTTATGTATTTGTATTCAACGCCAAGTGATTGAAACAATGGCTCTATCACAAGCTTGTATAAATCTGACCTATCATTCCGAGAAGTACCAGATTTTACAGAATCTATTACTATTATTTGTGTATCTCGATCAAACTTTAGAAAACAATCAGTACTTCTATCATTGGCCTTGATCAACTTATAGGACTCAACTTTACCCTTAACTTCCACAATTTCGACGCTATACTTGATCCCGTTGTTTCTGCACAGCTCCACAATAGCAGCCATTTTTATTCTTTCAGCTCCAATTGAAAGTAATTCTAGTAATTGCACAGGTTGTTACAGTAGTAATCAGCAATGTGGAGTTATTTGTTCCCACAACCGTTTTAATATTTAGGGCCCATCGCTCAGGCTTTAAGCTTCAATTTTCTGAAAAATTATTGAAGTTTGCGATGAGCTCCGGTTTTAAGAGAAGAACAGTAAATATTATATTGCTATTGGAGTTATGTAGAGCCTGGACTATACATTGTTAACAGCATTATACCCAATAGCGAGATTTGATGTCCAAGAACAATACTAGAGATTTGTCTCACACATTGTATGTTTTCCCAGAATTCAGTTTAATCCAAGCGATTTTATTTGATAAATGACTGTGATACTAACTATAGCATATCATTTCAAAATGCCAGCACTTTAACGTGTATTACATTTTTGATTTGTACAGGATATATTTATAGAGATTTGCATGTACCATTTGAGACTGCAAGGGATGCGCTGATTGCACAACGTGTTTTACAGCCTGACCCGATACTGAGACCTGAGGATTTCCAAGTAGAATACGAGGCCAAGGCTACTGTACTGGATATACATTTCAAAGCCATAGATGATCGGGTACTGAGAGTAGGTGTCAGCAGTGTGATAGACAGCATAAAGAGTATCGTTGAGACCATCGATGAGCTTGATCCGGAAACCATGTAACGCCTTTTATGTTTATACCAAAATATGTTTACAACTCATTTTTGTGTACAATCAATAAATGTACAACATACTTATAGAAAATCTCTTGAGGAATACAATTGCTATTAGCCAGAGGAATAGACTTACGCATACCAGGGTTCAATGTCTATTTTCCATTTATTAGGAACAGATGACTCAGAAGTGGTTTCCAAATTACGCTACATTGGTCAAGGGAGGAGGGGATTAAAGAGCTCCTCTTACCAAGTATACCACAAGATGCTATTATGTACTATTCGCTACACAGACCATATATAATTGAAGTCCTTTAGTTGTGTATTAAATACAATATCTTATTTTTGAACAATTAGGTAGGACGAGACTAACAAGAAAATTTTGTTAGGAGCGATGAGCGAAAGAGCAGGGGCAAGGAAAGGGAGAATGCCCGGTTGTGGTTTCTGAAGGAGTTGTGGTTAACTATGATCTGCAAACTTCTTTTGGATGACTATAATAAGCATAGGATAGTCTAAGAAGGTTTTTGGTCTGTTTCTTATACTTCCTTTTATGCAGTTTCAGATACGATTATATAAGAATACACTGGGGTGTACTGCGAATAGTAAGCCCGACAGAAGTTTTGAACACAGCTGTGCTGGGAAAACAAGACATTCAACACTACTAAAATCAATATAACAGGAAAAGTGAGAACATAGTAAGAGGGGACTAGATAAGTTCATTAAAAACAAAAGCAAAGGCTGAGAGATCAAAAAAGAACGGGTGGGAGAAGTAAACACAGTTTCACATTAATGCCACAGACGTTTATACAACAGCCCTTTGGTCTACCTGACTCGGATACTGGCTTGTCTCGAAACAACTCTAACTCACCTTCGGCAAGGGATATTTTACTGGAAAAGAACGTTACCAATGAACAACGATATCCCAGGAAGGATGGCTACAACTATTCTCATAATATAAGCAAAACCAATACAAGCATCAATACCAACACCAACACTACAAATCTAAGGGAGAAATTTTCTAAGATTGGTAAGGATACTTCTAGGTATAACAGGACAGCTCTCCATATATTAGATAGTTTGAAGAAGAATAAACTCCTGTTACAGGGTCAATTACAGGATAAATCATCACGCAGATCGAGCTTAGAAGGAGAAAATAACTTTGAAGTGTATACATATCAAAACCCAATAGATGAAAACAAACAGAATGGAGAAGAATCAGCCTCACCTAAATTAATGCTTAGCAGAAGTACCTCAAAAGTAAACGATCTCAATGACAGTATATTGGTACAGTTTGATGATAGGTCAAAGTTAAATAGTCGCAGATCTTCAATATTTGAACCAGCTAACGTGGATATGGGAATAAACAATGACTTAGCTTCTAAAGAAATAGGCATTGATAATGTTACGAAAAGCATATCTAGACTGGCCAATAGCAATGATTATGTAGTATCTAGATCTCATAATGAGGAAATATCTCAAATAGCAGGGAATCCGAGAGTGAAAAAATATTTATCAAAGAGAGGTGCCTTGAAGGGCGACTCTATCGATAACAAGGCTGATCAAAAACTGTATATGTATGGGAATGGCGAAAATAGAATTGAGAGTCATACTGAGACAGGCCATTTTGAACAGCATGCATTTGGTAATTGTAATGACGTTGTAAAAGGAAACCCGGACATCAATGGCTATGAAAATATTGATGACGATGATGGGCAATATCCTAATGAACCGGAGGATTGCTCAAACGAGTTTAATAATGACGACACAGACACTACAGATACTAATCAGAGGAAAAACAATGAAGAAAGTAAAGACGATGAAGAAGAAGATGAAGACCAAGGAAATAATAGCAATAGCAATGATAAAGCTAACAATAGTAACAAACCTACACAAGCATTAGTACAAAAGTTACAAGACATTTATAAGAATATTGTTAGACAAGAAGTAGAACTACAGGAAAAATGTGCCCAGTTGACTTCATCCCAAACTACAGATCTTAACAGCATATGGTCAATTTACAGAATAAATGTTGAATTAGTTACTAACTATGTGACATTCATAAGCACAGCTCTTCTATCTTCTCAATCACAGTACGATCTTATGATCGGTCAGGAAATAGTAGAAACATATAGAATTGGTAGAAGATTATGGGTCTACGGGACAATTACATTCCTTGATGTATTAAAGAACTTTTCAAGCTTTATGGACCCTGAAGTTTGCTCACAATTTATAACTCACGTCTTCATATCTATATCTACAATGCTTGCTGACATCCCAACAAAATATTCAATCCCTTGGATGCAAAGATTGGGTGATCTTTCAAGAATGGCAATAGCACTATATCCATCAGGATTCATTGATTGGAAGCTAAGTTCGGAATACTGGTATAACCAAGCCCTAAAGTACACATATGGATACGGAAAATTATATTATCATATGTCTACAATACAACAAAATACATTAGAGGCTTTCGTGAATTTAGGGAAAAGTGTATTCTGTCAAGATACCTTTATACCATCTCCTCAGTATATGCAGTTGGTTATCGACAATATTTATCAACGTGCATTCATTGAAAGAGGTAGCAATAATACAAGAAATTCGCAGCTAATTGAGTATTTGAAACATAGTGAGGTGATGCTGCTTCCTAATTTTATAGGCAACGAGAATCTTCAAAAAGTTGTAATGACATACTTTGAGCATAAATTTGGTACAGATCTGCATGATTTGAACATTTTTCAACCACGAGATATATTTTTACAGAATCCGGAGAACCTGAAATATTTTTTTAGGCATGCTCCTGCATTTGCTGAATCACATATACTCCAAACTGTAGGTTTCGGTGATTCAAAAAATCCTTTTGCTTTACTCTTTGATTTGCCTAAATTCCTGAAAGAGAAGAAGGATAAAAAAGATAGGAAGAAAACTAAAAGCAGTGGTGAACCAACTTCTAATGAATCTGTGATGAGTTTAGACAATATTTCAACAGATTCATTGATCTCCTCAGATCAATATTTCAGCAATTTGGAGTCTATGCAACATCCATACCTCCCACCTCCAAGATATGACATCTGGCTAAAATCTCTCTCATATCTTAATTTAACTGCTGTTCAATGCGGCGTTATTGTTTTAAGAAAATTTTTGCATGGGCCTTTTGTAGTTGCTTTACCACATTTGATGGTGTGGACATATTTTATCATATCAGTCTGTTTGAAATCGGAAACTTTGGTAGATGAAGAGAGCAGGTATTTCTGGAGCTCATTTATGCGGAGATTACTACCATTGAATAGTATTGTGAGTTTTTTAAATGTCCTGATTGCATATGCATTAGATAACTCATACTATTCTACTTTGATAAGTTCGATTAGTGAAGAACTGGACTCAATGGATCTACAAGAACTTTTGACTAAGTTTAACAACAATGAAGAGTTACCCGAGGTTTGGAAATGTTGGGGTACACTTTGGTTTGATGCTATTACCGATAAGAGCAACACTGATACAAACAGCTATGAAAAGATTGGTGTATCTGATCATTTATTTTTTGATTCCCCAATAGATGGAATTGTTTTCGATTCAAAAGACGAAAATGGGGAAAAGTTCTGGAAAAGGGCATTGCGAATAATTTTTCTGTTCAAGAAGATCGCAGAAACGTTTGACATTGGAATAACGCTAAGTCATACCGCTCCTGTCTATTGTAGACGTGATGACGTTGAGTTAAATCACATTTTAGGCTCATTTTCCTTCAAGATCGAACAACACTTGTTAAATGGTAATACCGTCCAAGTTGAAATTGAAAACTGTCTTGGGGCGATCATAGAAATGACTGAAATGCCCAATGAAGTTAACATTACAATGGACGCAACACCACCAATGAGCCTTCAAGAGAATGAAAACATATTTGAATATACCGGTTATAAAAGAATTGCCCCAGAACTTCAAAATTTTGATAAAAATGGTGAATTAAGAAGTGCAGCAAACTATACATCGTGGTATTCTGCTCAGGAGATAGTACCTAAATCTGCTGCCTCACCAGAAAATAGTGTTGCTGGCAGCTCACCAGGTAGATCTTTCCAATCACAAGATGTTGAGGAAAATATATTTTCTGTATTCACTAATGAAGAAGAAAATTCAACCTCCTTATTAGATGGATTGAATCTGGAAACGACTTCCTTTGTATTAGATGCTACTTCTTGGCTCAGACACTCTGCGCATATTTATAAGCTTGCAAGCAACAGCTTTTTGGTCTTTTCAATTTGTTTGACAACTTTCCAGGAATTGCGCTTTTTGCGAAAATCTAAGGACGAAAATGTAATGGAGGCCGCTGCTAGAGCAATTATTATAATAAGACAGCTATATAGTGATGGCAAGGTTATTCCGTTAAGATTTACTGGAAATATTGCCACACATATCGAAGAGCATTTAGAATTCGAAGAGCAGATAACATGGAGATCCCATGTGGATGAATTTGTTATCGAATCAATAAGTAAAGCTCAAAAGAAGTTCTTGCAACCATTTGTACAGAATCCTGTTGACAACGATTCAAGATTTTTTGTACTAGTCAGTGATGATGAAAACATGAAAAGAAAGGCTCACGAAAAAGAAATAAGAACGTTTACTACTAGATTTGTTTTTGCATTATGTAGTGAAATGGGGAAAGGAAGATTAATTTGTACCAACTAAGTGATTGAGAAATTAGATCTAAAAGATTATTCGCGCAACAAAAATTCTATGGCACCAATTTATGACATCCTGCCATTATTTTTACGTACATTGTTTTATAGAGGCAAAGAAAATTTAGGAGCTCCGACCTAGATTATATATATTTCCTGTAACAATATTCTACTAAGTTCAATACTATTTTATTAAATGCGCTCATAAAATAATACATATGCATCATTATTTGTTATGGAGTTTATTTCAGTTTTTGATTTGAAAAAGTCTGTACGGTTAAAAACCAAATCGTCATCAAACTCAACCCACTTCTGCAATTCTAAGTCTGTAAAATGATTTTTTTCCTTATTTACCAATGCTGTGTAGTGCCCACCTCTAGGACTACCTATATGGTTTATAGTTCCATAAAGTCTATAAGTTACTGAACTATTATCTAACGTTTCTACTGTCAGGCTCATTGGATATGATATATTTGATGTATTTTTTTTTGAAATATCATAGCAAAATCGAGATAAATGGATCACCAATATTGGGGGCAAAGAAACAAAGCTTACAGACAATATTGTTTCTGATTTTTTTTGTTGTCTGTGTCTTTGTTCATTTTCTAAATTATCATATTTCAATTGAGAGAATTTATTAGCGCCGGAATTTCTCTCGGTTTTACCTGCTTCAATATGAGAAAAAAATCTGGGAAATTTGGAGTGTTTTCCAATATTTGTGTGCTTTTGTTGATACGTCTTATCATTATCTATAACGTTGTATCTAGCTTTCGTCTCGCAACTAGGACAGGCCCATGAATTTTCACCAGTTAATATTTCTTTTCTTGTGAACAGGTTTATACAGTCCTCAAGCCTTATGGTTTTTGACTTGAAGAACAGTGAAGATTTTTCCTTGGGTATGTTTAAAGACAGGATATAAAAAGAGGAGAAAGTACTAGCTGATTCGTTACAGTGTTTACAGATTAGCTTACTCTCAACATCACCTCTAAATAAAAGATCAATTGGCGATAAATTATTCCTACTAATCATTTCATTGTACCAACGCAGATAATTCTTATTTTTTTTCAAATAACGATTGTTGCTTCTTGACGCTATAAGGGAACGGTCTTTAACGGTTGCAGAAGTGTTAGCAAGTTCTACTCGTAATCTCTCTAACACAAACATCAAGAATTCTTGTGTATCTTGTTGACAATGAGGTATTTTGAAATCAGGTCTTAGTCTTTTGCATGTTTCCATAAAGGACTTCGGTATGATGGCACAGCCGCCGTTTTGGTACATTTTCTTAAATAGCAGACTTAAATCATTCGCAATTGATAAGGATTCAGAGTTTGTCTCTGCTTTGAACATCTCAAATTTATCAGTGAGGAATAGGTCTCGAAATTGTGTGCTGCCAAACAGACATTGTAGCATGCTATTCATGTAACAGGTGTTCCCCATATTTCGAATACCAAAGACAGATAACTTTTGTTCTTCTGTTATCGCGTTAATGATAATCGGTAATGTATACTGTTTAGAATCATGATCGATATCTATGGGCGACTTTGCTAGAGCAGATTTCGAATCTGAACACTCTAATGAAGAGCCTGAAGAATCAGTACTTGTATTTTGCGATTTGTCCTCCACTGTAGAAAGATCGCAACATGAATTCGCCTTTTGACTTAGCTTTACACTAAAGTTTCCTGAGTTTCTATTTTTATTCATTTCTAATGTTTGGCTGGTTCTGCACTTCTCTCTAACCCTGTCCAACAGGTATTGAAATGTCAAATCACCTTCACCTTTCACTAGGTAATTGTTTTTAAGTTGCAAGTAGGTGCCATATTCAGTGTCCTCCAGCTGAAATTGGTTTGCATTTGGAACTAACAAGTATATGTAGAAGCATCCAGCAGCGTAGTTCATGTATGAGGACTCCAATAGCTTCTCCTGGCCGAGCGTTTCTGTCTTATCCAGATATTTCGCAGCTTGTCCCAGCAACTGAGACACTTTGCATAGCGTCAAGACCCAGTACTGCTTCTTGATGCTAGTCTCGAACACTTGTGATACTAAAGACTTGAGTATTTCGGTATTGCAAATAACTAAATCAGCAGTCATAGCAAAAATCCTTTATATGTAAAAGTATCAGCTAGATAAACCCAATAGTCATGTAAACTTTTGATCATTAGCAAATACTTTTGAAGTGCAAGAAAGTGGATAGATCTACGCTCAACTGGATGGGGGGAGCCTCTACCCATCCATCATTCTCTTATATAGAAACGGTAGTCATCGGGACTACTGATGACTTTTCTTATTACGTGCTTGTTCGCAAAGCCCGGACCCTTAAAGACTTTTCAACAATGGTAATCCACAGAAAGGTGCGTACAAATCAATAAAAAAAAAGGACTCAAAAATAATTTGCAAATAATAGAGGAGAGCTCATCGCTCTGAATGCTTGAAGAACAACTCGCGCACCATTTATAGAATTCAACAGAAATAATAGCGGTAGAGTAAATGTAAAAAGTAACATCTTGACAAAGATACAGGCTTGTCACCATGAGAATAGGAATAAAAATTACCTCAACACATTCCCCCGTTACTTCGGGGGGAGTTGGAGGTAATCCACTATCCTACTTCGATGTCCTAGAGGGCCCAGATATCAGCTATGATAGTCTCGTTCGCTAACACCCCTTCTAATGTAGCGAGTTTGTGATCTCTACTGCTGATGCGATGAACGAAGTATAGGATTTATATTTCGTATAGATCGTAAATCAAAAGCGAAGGGGATGTTCTACTTGAGAAAGGGGGGGGGGAGTGGACTGAATCAAAGCATTTACGGGGATTCCACGGATGCATTTCCTGATCTTGAATTGTGATAGTCTTGCTCTATCTCCCATACAGAAGAGTGGGCTGTGTCTTGTAGTTGCAATAGAAGGCTTCCCCACCCCCCCTAAAGAGGCCCTTTTGAGAGTTGTAAATCATCTGACTCATCGTATCCACAGACGTGAGTCATCTATAAAACACTTGCCACGAAATATTTGGAAAGAGCATATGACCGATGTGCCGTCTTAAATAACACCCGGAAATTCTGTCAGCTGAGAAAATCGCGAAATTTCCGGCGGAATTTTCTATCTGCAAATGATTCACATGTGTACGGCAGTATCTGTGATACCGCAACAGTTTCCGTTAGGGAACGAAATCGCGATGGGATAATGGTCCCTTGGAAGTACTGGGCATAACTGGGTGCTTGTTTTTTCAAGAGGGAAACAGCTGAAAAAAAATAAAAAATGAAAAAATATTTGAAATTTCAAAGCGATGAGCATTTTCCAGTTGGATTTAGGTGCAAGCTAGCTCAAAAATTCCAGTGTGATTGCTTGACCTAAAATGTACTATTTAATTGTAAGTGGAACAATGGTTCTTGATGACTAAATATACTGTGCCAACAAGATATGACTTTATGATCCCAGGACTGACGAAAAGAAAAAAAATTCCGTTGTAATGACTGTTGATTTATAAAAAAAAGAGCATTGAATTGTAGCGTTCTTCGATATATAAAAGCGGCTGTCTCTTGTGTTTTGCTAAATATAATCCTCTGAACACTTTACATAACCCACTACCCGTAAATAACAACTACTGAGTAATATACAATCACAAAATGCTAAGAGGAAGTGCTACTAGACTAACAGCTATGCGTGGATTCTCTTCCACCAGACTAGCTCAAAAGGCTTTAACCATTGGTTTGATACCAGGTGATGGTATTGGTAAGGAAGTTATCCCAGCGGGTAAGCAAATACTGGAGAAAGTTGGGCCAAAATTTGACCTAGACTTCAAATTCATCGATCTGCATGCTGGTTGGGAAACCTTCCAAAACACCGGTAAAGCCTTACCAGATGAAACCGTTGAAGTGCTGAGGAGAGATTGCCAAGGTGCTTTGTTTGGTGCTGTTCAATCTCCTACCACCAAGGTAGAAGGCTACTCTTCTCCAATTGTGGCATTGAGAAAGGCTATGGGCTTGTTCGCCAATGTCCGTCCTGTTAAAGCAGTTGAAGGTACCAATGACAGGCCTGTGGATATGGTCATTGTCAGAGAGAACACAGAGGATCTATATATCAAGATTGAAAAGACATACACCGACCCGGCAACTGGCACCAGAGTAGCAGAGGCCACCAAGAGAATATCTGAAGTTGCAACTAGAAGAATTGCTACCATTGCCCTTGATATTGCTCTACAAAGATTACAATCTAGAGGACATGCAACTTTGACCGTTACTCACAAGTCCAATGTCTTGTCCCAAAGTGATGGTTTATTCAGAGAAATCTGTAAGGATGTGTACGAATCCAACAAAGACAAATACGGCAAGATCCAATACAATGAACAAATTGTGGATTCCATGGTTTACAGAATGTTCAGAGAACCAGAATGCTTCGATGTTGTTGTAGCACCAAACTTATACGGTGATATTCTTTCTGATGGTGCCGCTGCTCTGGTTGGTTCATTGGGTGTTGTTCCAAGTGCCAATGTGGGCCCAGAAATCGTCATCGGTGAACCATGCCACGGTTCTGCACCTGATATTGCAGGAAGAGGTATTGCCAACCCAATTGCTACTATCAGATCTACCGCACTAATGCTTGAATTCTTAGGTTACCCAGAAGCCGCACAACCTATTTATAAGGCTGTTGACAGTAATATAAGAGAAAACCAAATCAAGACCCCTGACCTAGGCGGTAAATCCACTACACAACAAGTCGTGGACGACATCTTGTCCAAGATATAATGTGGATTCTCTAATGTATAGAAATTCCACTTCACTTTTTCAGTTCTATTAACAACATAAGTCTATAAATTGCTTTTTATGACGTTTTGTACATTATTTATCATCTAATTATCATTAAGACACTCATGAATACTTAAAAATATCCAAACTTAAGATATTACTCAGTTCTACCAATCTATACCTTGTCCGTATTATTACACAGCGCTAGGAAATCTTCTCTTGAAGTCTTCCTCTAAGTCATCAACGTTTAAGTGCATTAAAACATCAGTTGCATCACTCGTGATGCGGTCATTTTGCTTGGGTTCTAGTCTCAACGCACTCAGAGTGGAAATCTTTTTGTTTGAGCGCAGTTTTTTGGGCTTGGGTGGAGGTGCAGGCTTAATTTTACCACTTTTTGAAAGCTGATTTTTATCTGATGGTATTCTAATGGTGGGAACATCATTAAAATCTATCAAATCTGCAAGAACGGGTGAATCTGGAGTCACTTTAGGAATATTAGTCCCTGTGGAAGAAAGCTCATCAGTATATTTACCGTAACCTTGTGCAGACTTTTTAACTTCGTTACTACTCATATTATCTAATAAATGCTGCACACGTAGTTGAATAGATTTTCGTTTCTCAGAATTGGGATTCAATGGCAATCTAAAATCAGAACCATCACTTCTTGAGCTAGGACTTCTCTGTACAGCAATATCAAGCTTATCACTATCAAGTTTGGAGCTTTTTAAACTATTGTTATCGCCGGTATGAACGTGCCTTGTCCGGTATTCTGAACTTGTTGGTATATATAAACTGCTGCCTTGGGAGTTAGTCCTAGTTCTGGTGTTAGGTGATGAAGCAAACGTTGAGGTCACTTGTAGTTGCTCATTCTTCTTCATCATCCCGCTTGGTTTTGGTTGATGAGAAGAATCTTTATTTTGCAATTGATTAGCAGCCGGCACAATCGCTCCTTGAAATACACTCGGTGAATTGCTTATGCTACCAAAATTGAACTCATTATGCCCCCAACTTTTTGATAATGGAGCTCCAATTAACGTACTTGACTTCACGAATGATCTAGATTGTGGAATTGGTTGAGGTTCTGGTGGCTTTGAATTATCCCAGACTTGACTTCCATTACCAATGACATTATTGCTGACCATTACGGTTGGCAGAGTCCTGTTATTATTAACCATTCCATTCCCTGAAAAGGTCGGTCTTTGTGCAATAGGCATAGGTTTTATCATTGGATTACTCAAGTTATCTGCTTGTGCATTCCTTAATTTCTGTAGTTGCAATTGTGGGTAGTCAATTTCAGTTGATAGTTTCACCTTCTCCATTGCCCGCAATAGGTAGAAGTTTCTTATTGGACATGGGACGTTTTGCATTCTTGAGACTTCTTCCAAAACTTGACATACATTAGGCCTATCCGAAGGATGCTCTCTTAACATTGATTTAATTAAGTTTTTCAATCTGTCACTATAATTCGGGAAGGAAGGGAATTGAAATCTAGCATGTAGAATGGCAGGCTCACCAAGTTTTTCAAATGGTGTGGTATAATAACAAAGTTTATACAGAAAAACACCCAGTGCCCAAATATCAGCCTTTTCATCGATGGGTAATCCGCGGTACAGATCTAGCATTTCAGGGCATCTGTATTGTGCTGTGGTATTTTTCATGATATCATGCTGTACATATAACAATTCTTGCTGGTTTCTTGGAGGCCTTATTACACCACTGACTGATCCAAAATCACAGACCTTATAGATACCTCCCTTCGACAGTAGAACATTCTCTATCTTAATATCTCTGTGAAGCAGAGGTGGTACCAATGCATGCATTACGGCAATACCTTGTGTGGTTTGACTCATTATATCAAGTATTTCTGGCTCTGTTAACCTATTTTGAAGCCTAGTGTTCATAAAATCAATCAACCCCCCTCCTTCACAGTATTCCATCAGTAGAAACACTTCGTAAGTTCCATCATTTGTCGGCGACCTAGTTGCATGAGAATCAATATATGATACAACATGCTTATTATTGGCAAGAAGTTTCATTGCATCGACCTCAGCCCTCAGAATGTTTAGAGACAATTTATCTGGAACTTTCACCCTTTTTAGACAAGCAACATTGCTACCATTGAAGAGACCCATGGAGAGTATCTCTACCGCATAGATCTGCGCAAACCCACCTGAGGTCAAGTACTTCAAGATCTTGACCGAATGTGTGCCAACCGTCAGTTGGGTTCCCACATTAATCCGATCCAATTCGGGTTGATTCATAACTCAAACTAATTGATAGTCAGTGATTAAATTTCAAGCTTATAACCTCACTAGATTTTAATAATATTCTTTAGGGTACACCTAATCTTTGATATAGCCGTAAAAATGTTACTTGTAATAATCGGTTTGGGAAATGGTTCTTATGCTTTTAATATTTATATTCGAAACCTAGCACTCCATGTAAGGAGGCTTAACAATCGGAATAGTATTTAAGTTAAAGTATCAACAAACAGAAAGTTTCACAAAGGAGCTTCGCTATTAACATTCAATTGCGTCAATTAAACAATAGCTAAGATATTACTAAAATACCTAAATATGGTGAGCCCTATACTCAATCATTTTTATTACCATTCTTGTAGTGCAAATGACAATTTTCCTTTGTTAGTGATGATTTTCTGCGGGCCTCATCGAGCTGTTCCTTTCTTGGTGATCATAGAAGGCTAGTTGTCAACTACACAACGGGGAAGTAGGCTTACAAAAATCTAAAATGTCGTCATTTTGGTTTTCTGCGTTAGAAATTCTATGATTATGCTATTGTGTTAATATTGCAACTGCAGTTCAGACGTCGATCAATGCGGGGACCAGGCAAGTTTCAATTACGATTGCAGAGTTTAATATTAAACAAGAGTACCATTGTGATGTAAGTTTATGTAATAATATGAGAATTACAACTTGAGGCAAATACGTAATTTACAAATATGCAGTATAAGCAATCATGCTCAATTCAATTACAAATATTTATTGAGACTTTATCCTAAAGCCCTAATATGCACTAAAAAAGCGAGAGTGCTATAGCATTTACTGTAACATGCACTTGCTAATCTTACTATGCTAAAAAATTTATTTGAACTTGCTTGCTTATGGTGGAGTGTAACAATATTGCACATTCAATTGCGATGAGGATCTCTTACTTTATATTTTTTTGCGCCATAGAATACACCGTAGAAAGGCTTTTTTCCAATGTAAAGAATGAAAAATTTCGAAGCTCATCGCATCGACAATAGTAACAAGGTGAGTCTTTAGATGAATTGCTTTAAAGCCTGGACATCTTTCAGTATGTTCAACTAAATAGTAACGTTCAAGAATTGTATAATTTCAAAGGTTGAACCTCACTGAAAATGGCTAGAAGATTAAAAGGTAAAGGTGGTGCAAAAGGTTTGAAAGCAGCTCTACTAAACCATAAGGCTAATGTTCAACAGAACAAAGTTCTAAAGAAGAAAACAGAAAACAAGATAAAGCAAAAGACACAACTCAATAAGAATCAGAAAAAACAACAACAGAATAGTGTAGAAAAGAGTTTCATACCATTTGAAAAAAATGAAACGTTAATGCTGGTGGGTGAGGGTGATTTTTCATTTGCTAGATCAATTATTGAAGAATCATATATTTTACCTGAAAATTTAATAGTCACATCATATGACAACTCTTACAATGAATTGAAGCTGAAATACCCACATAGCTTTGAAGAAAACTTCAAATTTTTAGTTGATAATAATGTAAAGATATTATACCAGGTAGATGCCACTAAGTTGATAAAATCGTTAAAGCTTTCAAAGCACACACCTTGGAGTAAGTTGATGGGACCTAGTTGGAAATTCAAGTATTTGCAAAACATAATGTTCAACTTTCCACATACTGGAAAAGGTGTCAAAGATCAAGACAGGAATATTAGAGACCATCAAGAACTTTTGTTTGGATTCTTTGATAGCGCCAAACAATTGTATTCTCTTGTAAATTCGAACAAGAAGAATTTGGAAGTAGGTCAAACAATGGGTTATAATTTATCCAATAACCATGATGCGAAATCAAATATTACTGAGGAGGGTTACGGTAGAATAATATTATCTTTATTTACTGGTGAGCCATATGATTCTTGGAGTATAAAGATATTGGCAAAAAATAACGGCCTTCAATTAGAAAGGTCAAATAAGTTTCAATGGGAAAACTTCCCTCAATATTCACATAAAAGGACAAATAGTGAACAAGATACTACAAAACCCGCCAAAGAACGTGATGCAAGGATTTATATCTTCAAGAAATATGAAAAGACTAAACCTAAAAAAGTTAGTGAGGATTCTGACGAAGAATAATCACTGAAAATATATGTAAACTAACCATTAATGTAACGCCTAATCATTATTGAATTTTATCGAATATTTATGCATATGCTTATATAGAATAGCATCTAGGTTGGATACATCGTAATGAAATCCGCTTCATTGTATATTTGCTTATCTATTGGATCGATTACTTCTGTTTCACCCAATTCTATTGCCTTAATATCAACGAGATATTTGGCTAGTCTTTTTAATCTTTTTGCTTCGTATATATTTCCATTTGGTAGCATAATTGGGTCATCAAATAGTTGTGATTGCGTGTGATGAGCAAACGGTAGACTTTCTGCAATAGGCGCAAATGTCTTGTCACAAACTGGACAGCTATTTTGAAGTACCTCCTCTTCAACTTTCTTATCAACCAGTGGACTACTCGATTTGGCAACCCTTCTATGATGAAGACATTCCCTAGTTTTTAACGTAGAAATACCAAGTGATAAATAAATCAAAAGTGGATCATTTTGGGAGATACCATATAAGGAATAATAATCCTTCAAAAATAATTCATTAAGTAGTCCCCATCTTTTATCATCTAGAAGCAGCATATATTTCTCGAAATCTGTATTTTGACTCAAATTCATGTAACTCAGATCTACAGGTTTTACATGTTGTTGCTCCACAATCTTTGGCTTTTTATGAAAAAAATATTTGTAGGCTCTTATTTCATTCTCTAAAGGATTCCCATCGTCCTTGGTAAGAATTGCGCTCCTTTCGCTAGCTTTTGCCTTCATGATCTCTTTACAGTAGTTAATTGACAATAATAGTCCAGAGGCATGTGTCAACTCATTGAAATTAGTATTCACAAACTTAAGTAGGTAATCCTGAAAACACTTGATAGCCTCTTCATATTCGGATGCCTTCAGCAATTCAATATATTGTTGAAATCTGGCTTCAAATTCGAGTCGTGATCCATTCTTCTTCAAATACGATTTACTATCATTTATCCAATCCAGTAAAGGCCTTAAATCATGATTGTCCACCAAAGCCGTTGATATTCTATTACCTGTAAGTAAAATATCAGTGTCCAACAAATCCTGTATGCCTTCTTGCTCTAAAAAGGTTACCCCTGGCAATCCTAGTTCTGGTGAGCTATTGCTAGTGGTATGTCTAGTCAAATAATCACCGATCAATATATTCGTAAATTTTAGATACCATTCCATTAACGGGGTTATATCTGCTACTTGCTGTTTAGCATTTTCAAGTTCCTTGAAGAAGTTGATACGGACTTCAAGTCTCTTTAATATGGGCACTTCTTCATTGACTCTTTTTTGGAGCCTTTTCTCAAAGATTTCCACACTCCGTATTATATCCTTCAATTCTTGCAGTGCCTTCTTATCGCCTTCAATATTACCTGATCCTAAAGCAATATTAAGCCTCTCATAATGTGAGTTTAATTCATCAATTTCCTTCTCGATTAACCGATTGAGATACCTTGAGTTCCTCTGTAATTGCTCATATGGTATATTGAAACTGTGCTGATTCAACTTCAAGTGGAAATCTACATCCGGCTCGTTAATTAAAGAGGTCGTTTCCGCCATATCTTTTTATTCAGTAGGTTCGTTCCAAAAACTGACTTCTATAGGTTTTACTCAACCGCTAAACACTGATGATAAAGTTAGTCATGGAATACCCCGCTGATATACAGCCTGACTTTCCAATTGGCTATATTCTGCTATATAATCCCTAACTACCGAGCAAACTCGTAGAACACGATCATAACGATTCATTCAGTATGCGAGCACTGCCAATATTACTTAACCACTGTTGTTTATAGAGGATCATATTCTTTAGCAAGTCTCATAAGATCGAGTTGCCATGAATGTGTATTTTGAATATAAAAATTCAGGAAGTAAATAACACTGAATATGTGATATGCATTACGCAGCTAGCATTATTTGTAGATTTTTTTACATGAATAAGCTATTATGAAAAGAGATATTATATGTATACACCCATGATTTAAAGTTAGCTGCTATCTATTTGTAAGTTTTTTCTTGTTACACTCAATTGCATCTAGACGTTTATATTATTTACAATTCACCCAATCTCTTGATGATTGCTTCTGTGAATTCAGTAGTAGATGCTGAACCACCGATGTCCTTGGTGGTGACTTGTCCCAAGGAGATGACGTCGTGTGTGGCCTTTGCGATTCTCTTAGCGGATTCTGTTAGACCTAGATGCTGCAACATTAATGTGGAGGACAAGATCATTGCGGTTGGGTTGGCAACGTTCTTACCCTTGATATCTAGACCGACGTGTTGGGAACCTGGTTCGAACACGGCGTGCTCTCTGCCGTAGTGAGCACCTGCGACCAGACCTGGACCACCGATCAAGGCGGCACCGATGTTACCGATGATGGTACCGTACATAGATGGAGTAACCATGACGTCGAACTGGTGTGGCTTTGCGACGGCTTGCATGGACGCATTGTCGACGATGATGGAGGAGGTTTGGATATCTGGGTATTCATTGGCACCGATCTCTGTGACAGTGTTTCTGAACAGACCGTCACCCATCTTCATGATGTTGGCCTTGTGGACAGCGCACACGCTCTTTCTGTTGTATTTCTTGGCGAAATCAAAGGCGAATCTGGCGATTCTCTCGGACTTGGCCTTTGTGATGATCTTTAGGGACTCTACTACACCTGGCACGGACTCGTGCTCCAGACCGGAGTACTCACCTTCTGTGTTCTCTCTGATGACCACCAAGTCCACGTTTGGGATCTTGGTCTTGACACCTGGGACAGACTTGAAGAACGCTACGTGGGCGAACATATCCAGCTGCTTCCTCAACGCCACGTTGAAAGAGCCATGGTCCGCGATGTCGGCGGAGGTATGCCAGATACCTTTCAAACCGATCTTGTTTCTCTTCAGGGACTCCACAGCCTGGGAGACGTCCTGGATGTTGTCAGAAGTGCTGATGTCCACTCTCTCCCAGTCAACAGGAATATTCTCAGCTTCGAAGATAGACACAACAGAGTCCGTGATCTCCTTACCAACACCGTCACCAGGAATCAAAGTCACAGTGTATCTACCACCATACTTCTTAGGCAAGACCAACTCCTTGGCCATAGAGGCCATACCCCTTCTTTGCACTGTTCTGAACATCCCGAGAATTATTTTCTATGTGTCGTGTGTGTATATGTTCTCTGACACTAAATATAATGTTCTCCATGTGCCATCCACCCATCGCAGCATCCTGAAACAACCCACCACTATATATATAGGTGCCCCCCCCTCCAGAGGGGAAAGTTTTTCAAGAAACCCGATGCCTGGTGCTTTCACCTCTCACAGTGTGAATCTTTTCTCGAGAAAGTGTCAACTCTGCGCTAATTCACTGGGGGGAGGGGAGAATACCAACATGAACATCACTATAAGGGGGGGAGAGAAGGGCAAGAGAACCTTCATCTTGCTCTAGGGATGGGATCACACAGAAAGCACAGCACAACGCATTTCCTCAATGCCGATTGGATCATTCGAAGGACGAGCCGTAGAGAAACACCCGCACTTCTGTCTTGCAGAGAGATCCCGACATCTCGGTGTTACGATTCTCGCGAAAACAACGCTTTCTCGCATATCTGTTTTGTACTGCCCCTTCCCCTTCCAGTCAAGTAACTACTTCAGATGCACTCCGAGAGTTCGGGCCTTCGGCCGTGGATCTGGACGTCATTTTGGGGGAACAGGGGTAATGTTGTACTAGTGATCGCGTGAAAGCATTCGTGAACAAATAAGTATGCGTGCGTGTGTGCGTATAGACGTTAGATCATATGATCGATACGTTTGGTCGTACATTGTTTTCCAGGTCGAATAGCTGATTTCCCACAAATATGATATTTCTTGGGGGGACATATGCTCAGATTCTATAGCTGGATTGCAACGCCAATTGATGTGGAGGGCAAAGAAACCACTACATATATCAAACGGTATTGACTAATGTCTGCAGCTCATACGTACAGGTCGGTGGTGCGCAGTATTGTGAAGTTCGAGAGGCCCAATGTTCTGCAACAGCTGGCCAAGAAGCAGAAGGAGGACATCGCTAAGCTTACATACAGGCGTATCCAGGTGGTACGTGACCAGATGACGCACAAGAGCGATCCTGTGAAGCTGAAAGAATTGAACAAGGAGGCCATCCTGCTCGGTGCGCAGGTGGAGAAACTAAAGAAGTGGGACCCTGCGAGAGATAAACGTGCGTTGTTCATGAAAGATAGAGACTTGGTTCGAGATATTGTAATGTCTAGTCTCCAGGATACAAGATCGAAGAGCCACTTGAAAAATATCGAGATGTTCTTGACTAACCAAAGAGAGTACGAGGAATTGATAGAGAGATACAATCCCGGTAAAAAACTGTCTCAGGATGAGAAAGTCAAGAGAACTGCTAATAAAGTTGGCCTGGAGATCCCCCCTGATCTTGTATAAAAGAAGCGAAAGAATAAACTTTCCATGAATTAAAAAAATAAAAAAAAAACATATTTCTGTAAATAATAAATAAATAAGGGAATCCAGATAAAAAAACTAATCTATAATATTCTGCAAAATAATCGATTCAACAAATAATAGTAATAAAAAAAAAGAATTGCTTTGTATAACAATCAATGCGATAAATAAGCTAGAATTTCCTCTCTAGCTTGATACGCATTCAAATAAGAACCATAAGACCATGTTAGATCAGAGGCACCTTGGTTATACCCTGTGTACTTGTTTATTTGTTCACTCATAGATCCATCGTCGGCTACATGTAATCTGATTTTGTCGAGAAACGAGTCCCCTAAAGCAACAAATGATTTGATTGTTTCATTGAATGCGTGTGAATGATACTTCACATCAAATTTATCTTTACTATCCGTCTCGATAATAAATTTCCAAAATTCGTCACTTGGAGAAATTGGAATACTTTTTTCATCTTCTATGAATTTTCTTGCAAGTTTGTACATGTGTTCGGCGGCAGCAGCAGTGGCTAAGTACCATGGGTTACCTTCTGATATTCCGACACCATCATACACATCCTCCGGATATCTACCTAGTGCCACAGCGGCTAGATTATGCTTCTTTGAATGCCTCTCGTTCTCTTTGTTTATCGGGTACAAGTCTGACATGGATTCGGTGAGACCATATAATGTATTCAGTATATAGCGGTTGTCCACATGAAATAAGTCTAGATGTTCAGATGTATTACTACCATCATGGGTGTAAATACTAGCCAATATGGTCGCAATATCTAAACCCGAGCGCTTGCCATAGATCTCCGGGCATGATATGATGTGGTTAGCAGATTTTGAAATGAACCCTGTCCTATTGTCTAATATGAATTCACGAATCTTATGTCTAGTATCCACCAGAGATTCCACAAATTTTTTTCTCAATAAGTGATTCTGTTTAGCGATTGGTAATGTTCTCTCAATTGCATAAAGCTGCATAACAGAGGTGAAGAAATGATGTCCCCTAACTTCTTCCCATAGGTCGAAGTTTTCACTTTTCCATTCATCGACTATGAATTGCAAATCCCAAAATAGAATATTGTCAAATATATCTTTTGTTACCTTGAAAGGTAGGAAACCCTCTTTGGCATTATGAGTAATAATGTGATCAATCTGTTTACCTGTGTTGTTCAAATGTTGTAAGTAATTCAAGATGGTAATTATTCGTAAAGGTGGGCCATCATTCTGGGGTCTGCCCCAATTTTCGTTAAACTGGGTGTTGTCAACGTTGAATTTGGGCTCACCCAACCCTCTTATTGAAGTTGGAACTCCTTTACCGGAGAGATTATCCAAGCGTTGCAACACAAACGAGTTGTTCAAGAACTGGAGTATCCTCCTATGCACCAATTGATCATATTGCAGGTTCTGTTCAATTGCAGGCAACTGTTTAACTAATGTATTGACCACAATAGCACTGTCTCTTACCCACTGGTAGTAGTAATCGGGCTCATTTCGAGAGGGTGAAGCCAGTATGGCACCGTTCTCATCGATGAAGTTGTCCAGCAACCTCTCCAGAGCAATGGAGTTCTGTGCATGCACCCACTCTGTGAAATTACCTCTTGGCACATACCTGTCATGCCAAGAGACAGCATCGCTACGGAGAAATTTCACAAAGGGCAACGACACATACAGCGACAACACTCCAACAATCCACAGAAACATCAGGATAGGAATGTAATTAAGGACTGTTGCTTGGAGTTCTCTTTTCTCTTTTAACTAAAACAACTTTCTGTATGAAGAAGCCCTGGTTTTAATACTCAGAAAAGCCTTTTTTGTGGTTGCTGTGGTTGTTGTGATTCTGAGTTAGTTATTACTTTACACAGACGCCCTTACACCCCTCCCCCTTCTGCCACCCAATTACAGGTTACGTGGATGTGATGTATCGTGAATCAGACGGGCCGTCATGATTGTGTCATAGGAATAAGAAATGGCGGGGGCGGGGTGGACGGTAAGTATTGCGATCCCTTTTAATAATGCGAATATCCAACAGGGTCTGCGTACTCTTCTGAGCCACATATTTGCTTCCCCCCCCCCTCCAACAGAAATTTCTTTGCAATACACTTTTCTCGAAGGAGCATTGGCAAATTCTGTGCATATCACCTAGTGCAGTTGCAGTATACAGTGCAAGTGCACAGTGCAGTATACTGCACTGTGCCGAGTAACTAGCTGTGCTGCGTTGATAACGTGCGCGAGAGTGGTCCACCCCCAAAAACGTTTTGTTCTTTGCTTTTCCCAGTGTGTAACATGGACAAAAATAAGGGACAAGAAACAATTACACTGCAGGGAATTCCCGTGGTTTGTACGTAGTATGTACGCAGTTTTCAGGGATAAAACACAGGGTTCTAGATCATCTTTTTTTTTAGACTTTAGATTTTAGATTTCCTAACATCCGTTGGAGATCTGCGCATTTCTGGTCAAGAAGCAGGCGTTCCCGTATCAATCTATATCGATCCATCGGTTCCCCGTTTTCGGTTCCTCTTCGGCCGCAGTCTGGTTGTAACCGTTTTGTCTTGGCTTGCAGTCATATCTGATAATGTACTGGTTCAGCAAGGAATGGAAGTTAAGGGAACACTGTGAATGGCCAACCCCACTTCGAGGAATTGTCCTTGGTTAAACAGGAAGCACCAGAAAAGCTACTGGCCACAGTTCCCAAGTCCCCAGTAACTTCAGGTCGATACCCCAATAACAAGTTGTCTGCAGGCGAAAGCTGTATTAGCTAAAGATGTTCCGTGCGCGAGACAAACGATCGGACAAACTTAAAGTCGAATGCCTTCACTAAGACTGAAAATCTCCCGCACGAGAATCAACAACGCAGAAAAGCTAAGAACAGAAAAGGGAAAATTGACGTGCAGAAAAGCTGGCAGAGAGAGAAACACCCGTACATGTCCGGGTAGACTAACACTGATAAGGATGATTCATTCTTGATTTCTTTTCTTTTCACGATGACTCTTGTTGCTGAAATCACCGAGAACAGCACGCACGTACACGCAAACACACACACAGACACAGACACAGAGACACACACACACACAGAGACAACGCACAACTTCAACGAATACAAAACCCCACTAAGAAAACATAGTGACAGCCACAACTGGAACCTAAAATGCTTTACTTGCGAAATCGAAGCTCATAGCATAGCAAAGCATAGCATAGCATAACATAGCATAACATAACATCTCTTTTTAAGGGAAGTGTTCTTCTCTTTAGATAACTAGTATCGCAAGCAACCAGATAAAAGGATATCTACGTCACATAGGTGTTATCAGTGGAGGGTAAACTCAACACACTTTACTCTAGAGGGTGATTTCTGGAGAAAAGTGGAGTTCAACTCCCCCCCCCCCCCCCCACACCTGCACAACACTGAGCATAGGCTATGCCTCCAAAAGAAATGCCAAAAACGTGTGGGAACTCTCATCCACTAGTCTTAGAAATTAGGAAAAGAATAAAACAAAAGAAAACAATACCAATATCGTGATATAAAAACACTTGTAAAAACTACTGATCTTGGATTACCTCTCTTGATTAAATTGGAGTGTTATTAAAAGTAACAGAAAGCCCATACTACAAAATCACTAAATGAGACTCACAGACTCGCCGCTTGACGATTACCAGAGACTTTGCTTCTCGCAGTCGATGGACCTCAAAGATAGGGTGCGCCACCAGACTTACAAGTCTAACCTGGCGCCCACAATGCACTCACTTGTATCCCACTTGAAACCACAACTTAACCACTCATCGATGACTGCTGCTGATTCGAAATCAGACAAAGGCCTGATGTGCTTCGAATACCAGTTCCCTGACCTAGTAGCGCAATCACAAGAGACGGCAGACTCTAACACTCACATTCAATATGAATCTGGAAATCGGCCATACGGACTAAACGCCGAGACTGACACACCTACGGCTCATCGCATGAGCACTGAGCCCAGTGATGGTGCTTTGGACGCTACATTGCTTTTACCAGAGTTGCAACAGACAACGAGCCCTAGATTAACTGGCCATAAGCGCGGTTACTCTTCTCCCTCGGGTCCCAATGGTACAACAATAAGTAAGAATCAACAGTTTAGGATAAGCAATCAAAGCAACACACACAAATTTATAAACACCAACAATTGCATCCTTTGGACCAACTTCGATAAGAATGAACCTGCTAGCGAGGAAAACTTTGTGTTCTTGACTGGCATATGGCGGTTATATCAGGATGTCATGAAGGGTTTGATACAGATCCCTCGTAAGGGCAAAACATCTAAGGAAAGACAGGACTTCTGTCGCCAGGAGTTTGATTTCATTATGTCCAATTGCTTTTGCGATGATCAATTGAAAACAGCTAAGGATCAAAGTGACCCTGTGGATTACTCCAGGAAATTTCATAGAAGAAGAAGTACTGGTAGTATTTCTTTCACACAGAAAACAAAAAGTAACAACAGTGTAACTAGTGAGAACTCTGGAAACACACATAGCACTTCTAATTCCAGTGTAAACTACCTTGATTTCCATTGGTTTGATATTTCTGAGAAAGTACGTAGCCAAATCTTTGAGCAATTTAAACAACATTTAGAAAAGGACAGAAATGTCGATTGTTCAACTATTCCAAAAGCTGAAGAATACATCCAGCGGATAAGAGGTGGCTACATAAAAATTCAAGGTACTTGGGTTCCATGGTACATTGCAAAACTGATCTGCATAAGATTTTGCTTCCCAATTAGGTATTTATTGGTACCAATATTTGGTGAGCAATTTCCTGTGGAATGTGAAAACTACTTCTTCAATGTTCATATGACTAACTTAAAGGAGTTCTTGGAAAATGAACATCTAATTAATACTGTTAGAAGGAGACAAAAATCAACAGGATTAGCTACACCACCATTTCTTACATCTTCCACGTTTGGCAACGGCTCCATAGATTCACCTTTTTCTGATGAAAGAGAAGAAATGGAAATATCTCCCTTTCACAAGTATAGTAATAATCTATCACCAAATTATTCTCCCAGAATGAGAAAGAGAAGAAGATCTGATAACAATTTGTCGCCTATGTCTCCTTCAACTAAGCTCGCCTTCAGGAAGACTCCACCAATAAGGGAAGAGCCCGAACCTTACGAGCATTATACTTCTGGATTTTCAACCATCGACAACAAGTTAAGTACAAACAATACGGTTAAGGAAGAAACCCACCCCTATAGGAAGAGAGCACTTTCCTGGTCATATACTCAAAATACATCCCAAAGAACGAAATTGCCGCCAATTTCTTCACTAATAGAATCAATCAATTGGAAAACTAATTCAGATCATGTCAATGTATCAGAACCAACACCTACTGTACAAACCTTGTCAAAACTTGCCTCATTTTATACCACAAGAGGACACAAGTATTCATACCCGTCTAATATATGTACTGTCAGCTCCAATGAACACAATAAACTAGCATCGCCAGTCAAAAATAGTAACATGGAGACATTTTTGACTGCCCGTGAGAATCAAACAGGTTCACACCACTATAACCACATAACTGAGCCCCATATGAAACATAATTATATTAGACAGAGAGATATGGTTCCTCGTGTCATATCGGATAGCTTGTATCCTGATTTGGGATACAAAGAGAATAAGGTCGATTTCATTTGCTTGAGAAATCAAACCCATCTTCAAGAGAATGTGTAATCAAACATAATATAGTCATCATTTCAGTTCAACAATAAAGGCTTCCTTTTTATTTATATTCTCCGCCTATAATACGGTCTTAGACACTTAGAGTGTAGAAAATATCTCAATCTGTTTTAATCAATGTAAAATTGACACTCCTTACTAATCATATTTCCTCTGTTTCGTGTCAATTCAAACTCAAGGCAATTCCTTTGACTTTGACTTTAGAAGATATTTCTCGGAGAGTAATTTTATTTACATTTTAATTTAATTGAATAAGGCACATTTTTTTTCATGGTGAATAATTATGCCGTCTATATTATTAGATGAGTTTATCACATGAACTATAGCACGGAAGCTTTGTATTCCCATTAAGTGATTCTTACTAACTATTCATTAATAATGTTTAACTGTATAAAATTTAAGTATTGCAATCAATTTTTAACTAGAGCATGTTCTGGAATTCTACCACGACCATACCCATTAGTTTCATAGTAATCCATTGGATAGTACTCTTCAGAAAACATAACATCATGATTCAACAAAACATTCGCCTCATAAGGAGTAAGCAATGGCTTTGGAAAGGCGTAGCCCCAATCAATAGATAACCGAGGACAAGCAACTTGTACAAAAACGTCAATCTTATCAAATTTTGCCAGTTTTTGAGGGAAAATTTCACTCAGAATTATTTTCACAACTGTTTTACCTGCCTTTATAAGTTTCTCTTCTAAATTACGAACTGTATCAACATTTCCTTGTCTACCCAAGGCACCCAAAATTAAACCAAAGACTTTACCCTTTTGAGCAACCTGAAGTGCCTCGCCTCTAACTTGTACCAATTGCTTTTGATCGTATCTCTCTCTAGTAAACTTTCTGTTATACGGATCATATTTGAATGCTGGAATTTCTGGGTTATGTATCATAGATGACTCCAAGTGGAATCTACCATCACCAATAAAAACCATAGCATCAAATTGATTCTTATCAAGTCTTTCTGACGTACAACCCAAAACTTCTCCTCGCGAAAGGGGTTTGATCTGTGGTGTAACAATGTATAACATATGTTCCTTATCATTTAATAGGGTATCTTTAATAGAATGAACAGTAGGATTAAATTGAATTGTACCAAATGTAGCCAATCTTGAACCTTTTGGGAAGTTCTTTTGTAAAGTCTTTATAACATGGGTCTCATCTATAGCTATCGTGACAAAAACATACAGCACCTTTATTTCTGTGATATCTATCGGAACTAAACATGAATGTGCATAATGCACAATAAAATCACAATCTAAAGCTCTTGCAGTAAAGTCATCAATACAACACGCACCGTATGATACATCACCCATAACAACAGTCTCGACATTACAGAACTGTTCTAATATATCACTTATCAATAATGAGTAAATTAGTAAACCTTCTGGCATTTGTAAGGCCACACGCTTAGCACCATGCTTACGAATATTCCAAACTGTTTTATGTATCTCAAAATTATAATTTTGTGGCAGAAGCTTGATAGCTTCATTAAGTTCTTCATCTTCCATGATATCATCGGGAATATGGTTTAAACTTCTACCAACATGTACTCTGCTCTTAGTCTGCCTTACAACCTCATTACCATCAGCCTTGACAGTTGTGATAGTTTTTCCATCGGTCTTACGTTTACCAACAAATCTTCTTCTAGGAACCTTTGTAGGCTCCTTCTTCTCGGTAGTATTATCCATTATAACCTGCTTGCTAGATAGTCTTCAAATCTGTTATAAATATTAAAATTTAGCTAACTTGTAGCAGTTATAGAGTAATTACTAATAAAGTTTAGAATCAAGCTCATCGCTTTTTTTATTTTTTTTCGCCGGAATTTGAACTGAAATTTTTCACAGCGCACCTTCTTTTAGAAAATGAAGTGGAAATGATGCGATGAGCTTCAATAATATAGTAGTATCAATCATTATTAAATTAATATATTTGTAAATAATTCTCATTTACTAAATCTATTTATGAATCGATACTGATATTAAACATAATCAAAAGTGGAGGAACAATGATTACTCCAAAATTTGAAGTTAGTCAAGACGATGACTTTGTCTATGTCAATATAAAGATTACCAACATTAGATTTAATTCTGGTGGATTAGAAGTTGTCGTTGATAAGACAATGTTATTTTTCTACTTATCACCATACTATCTGCGTCTCAGATTTCCTAATGAAGTGCTCGATGATGACGATCACCCTACAGAAGCACAATATAGGTCGAAGGATGAGTGCATATTTATCAAACTTCCAAAAGCAGTCAAGGGCCAATATTTTGATGACTTGGACATACCGACAAAACTGTTAGCTAGACAAGGAGATATTATAGGTGCGGATATGGTTGAAAAATCAACAGAAATTAAAAAAGGACCGCTGATCCAAGAAATTGATTCTACCACGAACACAGAAAAGAATGTTGAAAATATTACGCAAATGGGAGAGCAGTTTGATTGGGAAATCAAACAAAATGTTAGCTCTGAACCCACATTATCTCTGAATAAGTACGGATTTGATGCGCAGTACAATGGCCTAATTGGCGTATCTATCCCAAACGGTAATGATATAAACGAACTTAATGACCCTGAAAATACTACTGAAAACGATAGAATAAAAGAAAGATTAAGCAAAGAAAACCTGAAGTTTGATCCAGATTATTATGTCTCTGAATATATGGTTTCTAAATATGGCTCTGAGGAGGATCTCGAAGTCAATGGGATAAAGAAACTTCTAGGATTTACACCGAGGATTGTAAAAGATTTTCTAGGATGGTATAAATCAATAGAAGATAAGGAATCATTTTATCCAGTCGAGTTCACTGAATTTGAACAAAATCAAATGGTAAATAATATTCCTAAGAAGGAGTACTTAGTCAACGAAATTGATCATATAAAAAAGCTTTACTTGACAATTGTAAACGTTGTCTTTGCATATATTTATGACTCTATTGAGAACGAAGATGCTAGTAATAGTGAAAGTGCGTGGAATATTGGTAAATTAACGCCTCAAATTGCATTTTTAGACCAGAAGTTACAATTAGAAGAAGTCGAAGGTGTGAGCATAATAAAAGTATTGATATACACAGGATTCAGGAGAGCATTGAGTTATCCGTTGCACAGAAATTATGATCTATGCAATAAGGCTTGGGAATACACTTATTACATATTAAGAGGCGGTAAAAAGTTGGTGTTGAGGGCATTATTGAAGGTACATGAAATATTTAGATTTCATGATGCATACTATGTATACAATAAGATTCTACTAGATGATCTAGTCTCATGGTTTATAAATAACGGGAATGAAAATGTTCTGAGAGGTTTGACCATGGAGTTCAAGAAAGAACTAGATACCATTTCGAAGGAGACAATAGATTTCGATTGCCTAGTGGAACTTGATCAAGAGACTGGTGAACCAGTGTGGGAGAATATGACTATAAAGGAAATGGAAATACTGGCTGAGGCGGAGTATCAGTCTACTCAAGAATAATAAGCATATTGTCCTTATATATTAACCCGGGTCAAATTTTATTCATATTAATGTTAAATTTTAATCATTTAATATTAATGTTTTCAAGTAGACAAGATAAATGTATACATATATAATAGTCAAAACTATTTTTATAATGAATTCAATATTTCATAGGATGCTCAATATTAATTTATTTTTCAACGTATTTCGATACTTGCACTAGTTGAAAATCTTCTAAGGCGAGAGAACACCGAGGATCAGGAAAAGTGTAAACATCAAATCAAGCATTAAGGCTGATGAGAATTAGAATATAAATTATATGGCTAGAAAGTGTCCGATAAGCACCTGAAAGCAGTTTTATCATCCACATTTTTGCAGAAGATATAATACAGAGGAAACGAATCAAGTGATTGTCAGATGTCGTTCCTACAGAATTTCCACTTGTCTCCAGGGCAAACAATTAGATCAACTCGTGGGTTTAAATGGAATAGCGGCTCAAATCAGAATGGTATGGCAGATTCTCAAGACACTTCTAGTGGAGTCAAGTCTGACAGGATGTTGTTCAACAATAGCCCTCTAAATCCCAGCAATGATAATATTCAAATTTTATCCACTCCAAAGAAACAGCAGCAAACAGCTCCGGTAGTTACAGATTTCAACTACACTCCATCACACCAAAAACCTTTTATACAACCACAGGCAGGCACTACGGTTACATCACATCAGGATATTAAAGAGATTGTGGAGATGACTTTAGGTTCTGAAGGTGTTTTAAATCAAGCTGTCAAATTACCAAGAGGTGAAAATGAAAATGAATGGATGGCAGTTCATTGCGTGGATTTCTATAATCAGATTAATATGTTGTATGGTACAATAACAGAATTTTGCTCTCCTCAGACATGCCCTAGGATGATTGCCACGAACGAATACGAATACCTATGGGCGTTTCAAAGAGGTCAACCACCTGTATCTGTACCAGCTCCAAAATATGTTGAGGCACTTATGAAATGGTGTCAAGATCAATTTGATAACGAAAGTATTTTTCCTGCTAAAACAAGTGGCCAATTCCCGGACAAATTTATTGAGAGGCATGTGATACCGATTCTTAGAAGGCTATTCAGAGTATATGCACACATTTATTGTCACCATTTTAATGAGATATTGGAGCTTAACTTACAAACAGTTCTAAACACAAGTTTCAGACATTTTTGTCTCTTCACTCAAGAATTTCAACTTCTAAAAGCATCTGATTTTGGTCCACTATTAGAATTGGTTACTGAATTAAGAGACAGGTAATGTATAATGTTATATTATTAATATTTTCTTTGAATAGCATAGTTTTTAATGACTTCATATAGTTTTAATCTACATTAATATATGCAGTAATGAAATAAATGTATGTTAAGTTATGTAGTTTTCTTGTTATTAAAGTGTCCCGAGCCAAGTAAGGACTACTTGATTTAGCTTAAAAAAAGATTTTAGTGCTGACCTTTCACAATCGATAGGATGTATGACATCTTCATAGCTTGATCAATTAGTAATCTTTAGAAAATGGAGTTTGTATATAAACACCTCCACCATTTGCATGAAGTTCCGATGTATTTGTATCTGGTATAGATGACATTGATGTATTAGTATTGGTTTGGTTATCCAATCTAGGGGTCGATGATCTGATATATGTAGATCTATCAGCCATTTCGCTTATGTTATCCTCAGTCATGTGAGCTGGAGTAACTGGTTCATTAATGTTCTGGTCGATATTAATTGATATTTGGGGGGTTCCAATATCACGACCAGGTGTAGTTATTGTGTTTAAAGATTCGTTAGGATTTGGGGACTGCATATTAGAATTCTCATTTATGTTAATTTTCGTTAGTTTCTTGCCATCAGCATCTAAATTTAATTTGTTTTGAACAAATTTACATTTTTCCTTATAATTTGAAGTTGAACTTAATACCTTGATATCATTAAACCATTCCAACATGGACTCATACGAATCTGTCTTAAAAACCCAATTATGGCCCCTTCTTATTAAACCGTTTTGCTTCCCATGAAGGACGAACTTGGCTTCATGAGAGCCCTTCTTGGAATGTTCAGTAACTGTGCATTCGTTAAGAGATAATGACATAATTGGTACAAGATCTTTCTTTCTGTCGATTGATTTGAATTCATGCAAAAAATTAGGAGTTAAAACGTAGAAACCTTTTGAATATGATTTTAAGAATTTCGATCTTCTCTCTAAGTAACCTGACCTTATTTCATATGTGAATGGATCATGTTGGTACTTGTAAGTTATTTCCTTGAGATTTCTCATTGGCACGTTTGGTTGTAAAAAGTTAGGATCACGGGAGATGAATGTGTCCCACTCGTATTGTGGGTTCATATTAAAAAATCCCATGTCCAATTTTGATATTAGAATATCAAATATCAGCTGTGATTGTTGTCCCAATAGTCTCGCATAGATGGTTAAAGCATTCTGTATTTCCATGACAACCACTTTTTCCAATTCAGCACCAGAAGTCTCCAAATTATCAAAAGCTTCATGCAAAAAGTTTTCTTCGATCAACTGTTTCTTAATCTGTTTATCTAATGCTATTTTGGCAAGGTAGGGGTCCTGCTTAGGAGTGCCGTATCTGGCTTCTTTCAAAGAGTCTATGTAATGTTTCATGTCCTGTTTAGTTTGCTGCAGTTCCTTTGCGCATGAATTCTTGAAATCTGATTGTAAAGACTTGATTTCTTTTATCTTTACTAATAAATCTCTTCGCAAGTCCTCAAGTCTCGGTATGACGTCGTTCGTTAGTTCTCTAGATGCGTTTGAAGCGTTTGATGCTAATGCCTCGTGGTACTGATTTAGGATGGTAGGTAAGTCCTGGACTGATCCGCTGCCCAGTGGCAAGAAGAACTTCTGTGTGTATCTGTCCTCGCTTGATGTAGGTTGGTACTGGTTTTCTATTGTGAAGAAAGGGAATTGCACAGCGTGTGACAGTCTGAGCTGTTGTCTGACGATCTCGTCCTCTATAGATGCAATTTCGGTCAGATAGACTATTATTGACCTTATGACGTTCCTCCACGCGGAGAATCTTGCGGCTAATACGTCGGTGGGCTGTCCTGTGGTCGGTATCAGCACTGCTAAGGGTGATTTCGCTTTGGTACTATAATCTAACTGTGTCTGGTTGTTGTTCTGAATATTCTTTGAAGTTATTGATGTGAAGGAATTCTTGCCTTGTTGTTGCTGTTGAGGTTGTAACTGTTGTATTGGTTGCTGGATTGTACTGCCTATTGGTGGAGAGAGCGGTGTTGGACTATTAATCTGTTGTTGTTGTTGTTGTTGTTGTTGCTGCTGCTGCTGTTGTAGTTGCTGTTGTAGTTGCTGTTGTAGTTGCTGTTGTGGCTGTTGTTGTGGCTGTTGTTGTTGTTGCAGTACAGGGTTATCAATACTGGTTATGGTGCTCATGTTTTGGCTTGGGTTAATAACCACTTGTGGAGGGTTGGCACTTTGGTTCACAGCTCCGTTCAGGTTGTACCCGTTGGGCAGCATCATGCTACCGCTATAAGTCCTGACCTGTTGCAGCTGTGGGTTGCGTTGTGAGTTATCCTGCACAGCGCCTTGCACCTGCACATGTGGCTGCTGCTGCATCTGCTGCTGGAAGTTCTGCAGATAAGTGTTCGTGTAGTCCGTGAGACTCCTGGTATGTTTCTGCAACGAGTGCAAATGCTGCAAGTTCTGCTGCTGCTGAGACATCATCTCCGATATATTCGAAGTCATAGTATTGTGTTTCGACATCCTCAAAGTTTTTTTGATCAAGGAAGGAGTTAGTTGCTCTTCAACTTTACAGTGAAATCTATCGTATGTCTTCTTTTCCCCCACAAGAGTCTTCCACGTCCTGCTAAATGTGTTTTGCAGAATTACAAGTAGTATAAACTTATGGCAGTCGCCAATATCGATACTAATAGTGGTGAGTCCACTTGTTTGAGTAGGATTAACTGAAGAGAGAGAGGGATTAGGCACTTGATGGTGCTTGCATACGTAGAACACATGTGACTCTAATATCAGATAGGCACAATGCTAAGAAGAAGGGAGCTATGAATGGTGGAAGCCCTTTGGCATTGAAGAAGATAAACTCCGCACGCAACTTCTCTGCTCCCATCCCCAATCCCCCATCCCCAATCTCCCTCTCTTCCTCTCTGCGCACTCTTGTGTGCTCCTTGTGTGCTCCTTGGTCAAAGATGAACCCCTTTAATTCCCAAAACGGGAACAAGCGTAGACTGCTGTTACTATATACGTACATTTAATCATGTGATGTATCTCCTAAAAACAACAGAACTGGTAATACCCTGTTACGGTAACATGTGCAGATCCGTATATAGTATATAGAATAGAGTTTCACGTTTATTACGACAAGAAATCACGCTAAGATCTTTACCCACGTAAGTATATAGAATTGGGAAGAGAGTACGTACAAAGTGGGATGAAAAAGCTGTATACAAAGCGGGAAAGGAGAAGAGTCCTTCACAAAATGGGAAAAAGAAATCAACTTCTTGCCATTGTTCTACGGTGTATTCTTAGTGATGCGGGGGGAGGGAGTCATATGTGCCTACCCGCTATAATTTATTGTGTACTATAGTATATTATTACAGACTGTATTACCGGTATTATATACTATGTTATAAATACCACATCATATACTTGTACTATCGTATCGTTATCTATATCTTTTACGTTGAAATTGCAACTCTAACAGTATGTCTCATCGAGGGGTTAGGACTTAGAGATATCTTACGAATCATCCCCCCCCCCTGAGACATATTAAAAAGAGCAATACTTGAATAAAATATACATATTCTTTGTAGCAAAAGGACATAACAATATAGTAAAAACCGGAATAAACCAATGGTGGCTATTATATACAGACATAAGGCCAAGGAGTTCAACGAGCTCAAGATCGCCGGCGGGTTCAACAATTGGGAGATTGTGCCCATGCAGTGGAGTCCCGCCAAGGAGCAATGGGAGTACGAGCTCGATCTGGAGAAGATTCCCGCCGCAGTGACCAAGATCCACTTCAAGTTCATCGACGACCAGGGCAATTGGTTCACTGACAGCAATTACGCCAAGGAGATCGACGAGCACAACAACGAGAACAACGTCAAGTTGTTGCCGGGACACCAGGAGACCGCTACTGCTTCGGATGATAAGGACGTCTCTTACCAGGACGAGCAATTGGAGAAAGGGCCCATCACCCCAGCTCCATCTCTGGTTGCTGAGAAAACATCAGAAAAACACACTACCACAGAAGATCCAAAGCCAGTGCCTGAAGCGTTGCCTGAAGTCACAGAAACTATAGTAGAGGAGCCCGCCAAGGCGCTGACCGACGAGGAGGACACCGCCAATAGCTCAGAAGAACAGACTCGCGTAGAAGAGGAGGAACCAGAGCAGATCGAAGAGGTTACTGATACAAATGAAACCAAAAATACCGTAATCAAAGGATCTGATGCAGATATGTACAAGACTCTCTTGCAAAAAATCATTGAGTTCTTCGTGTCATGGTTCGCTTGGATACGGGGTGACGCTAAATAGACGTCTGATCTCTACTAATACTATACATTCACTGTTATCAATCCAATTGGAACAATCATACGACGCAAGGCGGCAGTACAGACCATTCGAACTGGCAAAAAATGATAACTCTTAAATAGAAAATTGCCCGCAAGGGCCTAAAGAACCTTATTTTTTATATGACACGGTTCTTATCTAAACCGGTAAATACAATACATTTATATATATAAAATATTATATCCTGGGCTTTTTTTAGCATTGTTTCTGCTACAATTACAGCATATTTTGACACAATCAATATTAGCATACAAAGATGGAAGACCTAATTACCTGTACCTGCCAGTGTTTCGTATATTATGATATATTTTCTTCTAAAAGTTTTTTTTTTGTTTGGAAAACTTTGACAGTATATAAAGCTTTGCAAGTTGTTCCTAACACTTGATATCTTTTCAAAGTGTCTTTTAATTTAGATTTTGTTTCAATTTTAAAGAAAGTAACGCAAATTTCACAGCCAATCGCAGTGATAACAGCATCTTTTAAGAGGTTGAACCCCTCCGGGGCGTTCTTAGCCCATGACCTAATAGATATTTCACTGCACCGGGAATTTCTCAGATTTTGTTCTCTCGAGGACTTGGTCTTGAGGGTTTTCGGGACTTTCACGCTTGGACTGGAGATCATATCTAGTACCGATCTTGGGTGCAACAGCCCATCTGTTGTCTATGTCTCATAGATCTAAGGGTTAACCTTCGTGTTCCCGTATGGGGGCGGTTGCAAGGATCGGTAGTACATCTATTAATTTTAGTATCTCATATTTAGCTTTATTCTATTTCTTGTTTGTGCATAAGGATATTATAAATGTTTATTAGTAATCAAGGGTAAAAGAAAAAAACATTAAATGTGCTATGGTGTAGATTATAAATAGTGGTATGAAGACCCGTTTATCGAAGTCTAAATTATGACTTTACATTAGAATATGCTCATTTTTTTTCATCGTCGTCCTTGCCTCTATGGATGAACCTGAAACTGGAATTGAATCCCAGCAATTCATTGATACCTTTGATCCAATCGTTCTCTGTTTTAGCAACACAGTATATACCGGATCTCTTTTGTACGTCTTTATCTGGAGTCTTGCCGGTAATAGTGGCTTTATCAGCTGTTTGTTTCTTAGCTGCAATAGGGAATTGAGTCCCATCAATGTAGATAGTTCCAACTTCATTAATCACATGAATCTCATCACCCGCAACTAAATCCTCCTGTGGAATACCATCAATCGATAGCTTGACAATATGATTAGCCACATTCATGTTCATCTTTGATTCCACTTTTATCTTTATGTAACTTGAGTGTGGTAATATTAAAGGTCTAAACGATAGAGAACGTGGACAGATAGGAGTTAGCAATATAGATGGCACTAATGGCGACACGATTGAGCCACCAGCGGATAAAGAATATGCAGTAGACCCCGTTGGGGTAGACAAAGTGACACCATCGGCAGTAGTCCTTGTCAAATACTCGCCATCGATATAGATGTCAAGATTAGTTAGGTGAGGTGAGTTACCTCTATGTAAGAATATATCATTCATAGCGTGTGCTACAATTGGCGTGCTATTACCGTTACGCACCACATGACATTGCAATCTAGTTCTGTGGAGACATTTAGCTCTGGAACTTATCACTTGAGAGAACACTTTCTCGTGCTCTTTGAAATCAAATGGTAGTAGAAACCCCAATGTACCAAGTGAAAATGCAAGTACGGGAGGTGCGATCTTATCACCAAACATAGAAACGCTATGCAAAATGGTACCGTCACCTCCTAGTGTAACCAATAAATCTGTTCTTGTGGCTATATCTTCTTCTGTACCAGTAAATAGTAGATGCGGTCTGTTTGGATCATTATGAACAGTGGCTTTGAAATCCTGGGAAATCTCTTCAGCAACATCAGGTTGAACTATAACGTTAATCTCGGGGTATGACTCATGCAGATGTGTAATGAACTGGACCATGGCTTCTCTTGTCGTAGGGGTCCATGGCTTCTTGGTGACTAGGACATTCTGTAACGGGTTTCTCCACACTAGCGATTGTAATTTTGAGTTTGGAGATGTGAAGAAGTCAGCAGCTGTGGATGCCCTTAGATTAGAGACAGGCTTTATCTTTACGAATCTTCCTTTGCCGACATTTGCACCGCCAATATCGGGACTGTAGTAACGAATAATAGCTCTATTGACACCACTCAGAAGAACTCTCCTTGGAAGAATTCTATATGAAGTCAGCATCATGTTGTCTTCAATTCAAATTGAGAGTTATTGTTTTATAGTTGTAAAGCGTTCTAATTTCGATAAGACTTAGGAGAGTATTGGAGCAGGAAACAAATGAAATTAGGCTGATATGCCAATTGTAAAACGATGGCAATCTTTTTGATAATAAAAGTCTCAAAAACTTAAATTGAGATGCACATCTGATTTCCAATGGGGATGAAGGATCAATATTCCTCCTCTATAATTTTTGCACAATTTTTTCCAGATTAGTAGGGAAAATGCCTCGGGACCGGGATGAATTTTTTACAAGGATGAAAATCATATGAGGAAGTCATCGAAGCAACAATGGATGGCGTGTCGGACTAGAAGATTGAGATGGGTGGCTTTACAATTTAGGATTAAAAATTAGAAGGTTATTTAAATTATTTAATAGTGGATACTTATTTTTGCGAAACAAGCACATTTAAGCTAGTGTCGACAGTAAGTACTTTCAGTAAAATATTCTCTAGACATCGATAAGCAAATCAAAGTAGGTAAACAAAAATAGAATTAAGAAGTAAAATAAAATAAAATTAAGGACAAAGAAGAATAAGAAAAAAATAGAGAAATGTCTGGAATAATTAATTAAGTTATGATGGTAGTGTATGAACATTGAGTATCACAGGAAATGACGAAAATAAATATGAAGTGACTCATTCAAATCCGCCACTCTATTTCTGAAAAATTATTCTAAGACACTTATCATATTCCCTCATTTAGTTTGAAATAGAAATATTGTTCCTTCAAATAGCAAAAATAAAACGAATAGATTGAAAATGTTTGGTTTTTGTTGTTAATACAGTACAATATTATATGAGGGAGGATATTGCGAATATTGCGAAAAATTAGAATAAAGATAAATGCTTAAGTACAATAAATCAGTCAAAAGTAAGTTGCCTCAAATAAGATAAATACCTTTGAATTGATGGTGGTTTAAAAATTAGTTTTTTTTTGTTGGTTTTCGATATTTTTTTTTTTTGCGTTTTTGTAAATTATACAACTATTATTCTGATTTCTTCATATTATTTTTCAAGATCCTGAATGAATTTTAAAGTAAGATATGGCAATAATAATAAAAAAACGTGCAATCTAATTTTCGATTGTCATCTTTTTAGGCTGGAAAAACAAATGTATATACATCTTTTTTTCTCAAGCAGCTTGAGATTCTTCAACACCTTCTTGGTGTTCTTCTTCAGCCCAAGCTTCGCCTTCTTGTTGTTCACCTTCTTCTTCATCTTCTTCGTATTCTTCGTAGTCTTGCTTGAAACTCAAGGTTGGTTTCACTTGAGCGGAGTCCAAAGTCCATTCGTTCAAGGCACTTTCGGCATCGATGATGATTTGTTTAGAGGCTTCGTAACCGTCGTAGGCAGGTCTAGTTTCACCTGGGGTAACTGGGGAGTCGTCTAGCAATTCCAACAAAGCCTTACCGTATCCGGCGATCAAAGCAATCTTTTCGGAATGTTCGATGATGGAGTCGAATTGGTAGTTGAAAGCGGCCTTCAACTTGGATCTGGTGATGTTAGACAATTGGGCTTCGGCGACCAAGGACTCGGCTTCGGCACGGACCAATTCTTGTTCCAAGACCTCGATCTTGTTGGAGTAAGGGTCCTTGTACTTCAAGTAGGCGATCTTGTCTGTAATCTTGTCCTTACGGTCTCTGGATGGTTGAACGGAACCTTCGATATCTCTGATGGACTTCATGGTCAAACGGTACTGGTCGTATCTGTCAATGAATTGGTCGTCCAACTCACTGATCTCGAAGATCAGCACACCCAGCTTGTCGGTAATGTCTGAGACGTCGTCGTCGTTCTCTAGACCCCATAGGGACAGCTGCTTGGCGGCGTCACGTCTCTCATTGGCAGCGACTTCCAAGGATCTCAAGACGTTCTTCTCGATCTTGACCAGCTGGGAAAGCTTTCTGGATAGCTCTGGACCAATCTGACCAGCAGTAGTCTTTCTGAAAGTGTACGCAATACCACCCTTACCAAAGAATCTACCCTTGGTGGAAGATGGTGGTGGTGGAGGGTTTTGTAGTTGAGACGCAGTTGGAGCTCTAGAGCTTCTCAAAGAGTAAGTTCTGTGCATTGTTCGTTGATTTGTTTCTTCTGAGTTTTTGGTGTTTAGCCAGGATTTAAGGAAAAGAAAATTTCCATCCTACTTAAATACTAAGAAATTTTTCAAGTTTAAGAGGGAAAAAAATCCTCGAAAGGGGGTGGGACAAGGGATGTGTTAAGCAGTTGCAATAAGCCAAACAGTGAGGGTTCTAGAGTGTGAAGATAAGAGGGGGGAGCAGAGTGGCTAGTGGCTTCCTCTCTCCTACTCTGCGTCTGTGAAGTGCAGCTGTGGTAGCTATGGACGGTGTGTTTTGTTACGTGGTGCTCCGTGTCTCTCTAGTGTCTATCGTCTTGCCAGACAATCATCCGCACCAGCTATCGTGTTATGTCTCTTTGTGTTGTGTATGGTGCTTCCAGCTGCGATACATTCTGTGCCGCTTTTTTCATCCTTTGGTGTTTTTCGCGAATGAGATGGGCCTTGTAACCCCCCCCCTCCCCTACAACTTGTACGGCCAATATTGTGGCCCCCCCAGAACAACCCTCTTGTCTCCCTTTCTTTAATAGGATTTTGCTACCTTCCACAGACCTATTACCTGATTGGGTAATAGGCGAGCTTTTTCTGAGCTTCCCAGCCATCTCATTTTTTCTAGTTGCGATACTAGGTGATGTTTACAGAGGGGCAGAGGATGGTGCGTACCGCAGGACGTTCGACCCGGTGGTTGGAAAAAAGAGGGAGGGGCACTAGTCCGAGTCAGGGCTGCACCCCCCTCTTGCTCTGATCTTCCCTTCTCCCCGGATTCAATTTGAGCTGCACACTTTGAACTTGGGGAAGGGCAGGGAAGGGAGCCAGAGGAAGGTGACGTATCGGGCTACATCCACTTGTCATCGTTTTTCCTCTTTCAGATCAACATCCCCCCCCTATTGTATAAGGTAGTGTAAATCGTGGGTCGGATACTTCGGCGTTAATATTCATTATTGTGTATTTCTATATTTTATTTATTTTATTTATTTTACTATTCTATTATAAAAATTTGTTGTTCATGGAGTCTTAGTTTTTGGCATTGATGGATGCTGTCAACTTGGCCTGTTTCTTCAAGTTCTCAGGGCCGTCCATGGTTGGTAGCATCACTTCGATCATTCTCAGCTTGTCGTTCTTGTTGAACTGCTTGTCGTTGACCATGTCGTTCCATTCACCGTACGTAGCAACGCGCTTGTTCTCGTAGTTCTTGGCGCCGAACGCTGGGAGGATCAGGGAGTGGTCCCAGGACTGGATGTCGTTGTAGCCCTGCGTCTCACCGTGGATCAGTCTCTCGATGGTGTAGCCGTTGTTGTTCAACACGAAGATGTATGGTGTTAGGCCCCATCTGGCAGCGGTGGACAGTTCCTGCACGGTCAATTGCAACGAACCGTCACCGATGAACAGGATGACTCTCTTCTTGGGGTCGATCTCCTGGGCGGCGAACGCAGCACCCACAGTGGAGCCCAGTGCATAGCCGATCGAACCCCATAGCACCTGAGAGATACCAACGGTGTTTCTAGGGAACTTAGACTCTACAATACCGAAACCAGAAGTACCTGTCTCGGTGACCACAACATCGCCCTCTTGCAGGAACTTGCCGACATGCTTCCACATCCACTCTTGCTTGATGGCGTCCTTGCCGTTCAGCGTGGTCGATGGCTCCTTTTGCCTTGGAACAACCCTGTTATCGGTTCTGCCCTTCACCACAGCTGGAAGCTCCTCAAGCAACTTCTCCAGGACAAACTTCATCTGCACGCCAGGGAAGGTGGCGTTTCTGATCTTCATGTGGTCAGAGTGGAACTCGATGACGTTTCTAGTGTTCAGGGAGTACGAGAACGAACCAGTGTTGAAGTCGGATAGCAGCGCACCAACTGAGAGCACCAGGTCGGACTCCTCGACAAATGTCTTCACCTCGGGGTCGCTCAAGTTACCAACGTAGACACCACCGAATCTTGGTGTGTCCTCATCAATGGAGCCCTTTCCCATTGGCGTAGTGAAAGATGGGAACTGGGTCACCTCGATCAATCTCTTGGTCTCCTTCTTCACGTCGTGTCTCGAGGTGCAGGCATCAGCTAAGATAATTGGGCGCTTAGAGGCCTTGATCATAGTGATGATCTCATCTAGCACCTCACGCTCGGCATCTGGCAGATTAGGTCTTAGCGCTAGGTCGATTGGCGTATCTAGCAGCTTGGAAGACACCTTGGAGTCAAACATGTTGGCTGGGATACCCAAGTACACAGGTCTCTGGGTCAAGTAACACACTCTGATACATCTGTCAATCTCAGCTGGAGCAGTCTGAGGATCAGACACAATGAATGTTGTCTCAGAGATAACAGATGACATCCTGTGGAATGCGTCAAAGTCACCGTTACCCAAAGTATGGTGCAGCAATAGTTGCTTGGCTCTAGAGACAGTGGATGGAACACCAACCACATGTAAGACACCGACGTGTTCAGCGTAGGAGCCCGCAATACCATTCAAGGCTGAAAGTTCACCAACACCGAATGTGGTCAGTAGACAAGCCATGCCCTTCAAACGGGCGTAACCGTCAGCGGCATAGGCAGCGTTCAACTCATTGGCGTTACCGGCCCATCTCAAGCCTTCAACTTCGTAGATCTTGTCCAACAAAGTCAAGTTGAAATCACCTGGCAAACCGAAAATGGTGTCAATGTGGATCTGGTGCAGTCTTTCGAACAAGTAGCGGCCTAATGTAATTTCTGTCATAGTTATTTTTAGTTTTGATAAAAGTTTTTTTTTGTTTGGTGTAGTATTAATTGATTTGAAATCTATCAATTGTATTCTGGTTTTCTATTGTTTGATATAAAATATCCAAAACAGAAATTATCCAGAATAATACAAACTGGCTCTGCTTATATACCTTTTTTTGCATTACCAATTCCAATTGATGTGAAACAATTTGAACTTAAACCGGTCAATACTATGTAAGCAAAAATGAATAATGCATAGTATTATTCCTAATTATGAAATTATGAATGGAATACAACTACAATTCACACCCATGCACTCGTTTACACCTTGTAAGCTTCGCACTACACCTAGATATTGACAAAAAAAATATACTTACATTATGCAAAAATGGGTAGTTGGATAGCGAAAATATGAAAAACCTCACTACTTACACATGCTTAGTAACCAAGAAGTTAGTAACTATGTTTTGGTATCTAGCAATAGAAACAGCAATGGTGCCATTGCAAAGGCAACCTGTTTGCCGACTATCAAAAGTAATATCATAGAATAGTTTGGGAGGTGCCAAACAGCATATTCTGTTACTGATTTTAAAGGATGGGTGCTCTGCAAAGGGCTGAAAGCAGTTTAGTCATCGTAAGCAAGAAAGTGGGGGATTGGGGGAGGCAGTAATAAAGGGCATGAAACCGATTTCGGTTGGCATTGACTTGTATCGTGCCACCTGGGTGCTTCCCCCTTTCATAGTAATTTACGTGCTAAGTTCAAGACCAGTTTAAAAACGCCATTATGGTATAGTTATGCAATTCATAATGGTTGAGAGTGAAAAAAAAAAGAAATACTGCATACAACTATTCTTAAAAAAGCCTTCTCTCGAGACAATGCCAGGTATTTCATGAATGGCAAGGGGGGTTACATAAAGCTGTTGAGTTTTCTCAGAAAAGTTCGCACAGCTCCTACTGAAATACGTCATTTTGGATCTAAATATAAAAGTCGTGAAAACCAAACGGAAAAAAACAGCGCAGATAAGCATTCTCGCAGACAATGCATACTCTTCTGTGTGCCCTCACCTAGACTGAATCCAATTCAAATACCAAGAGTGGGAGGGTGTGCATAATATTATTCACACCACTTGCAAACGAGTCCTATTTTAGTTTAACACTAGTGCTCAGAATTGCATTTCGCTTTTTATTAGATATGGGCTGTTACAGATTTACGCTTCTCTGTTCACATAGTGGGACTGCCACTATTATATCCTTAACTTCTCAGAATATGCAGCAATGCCCTAGTCACCATTGCTTTTGCCGACTATCAAAACACAACAACTCAAACAAGGGTCTCAAGGGAGTGAAGTGCAGTGAGTGTACAGGGAGCTAGCTCATCCTTATATTTTACACTTGTTTGAAATGGGATCAATCTGCTATCACCGATCTTCAAGCCCAAATACTCAAATGACCAATATATCTTGTCGGCCTTTGTAGCAGATACGTGTCACGATATATATTATCTTTCACGACATACAAGGAAAATTGACAAACAATGCCATCCCGTTAAGAATCTCCGCAGGGAGACTAATATTTGATGAGAAAAACTAAACGTTGCTACGAATGTCTCTGTGATGAGTCTAATTCCTTACTAAAAATTCCAGATGCTCTCTATTCTTTCTCTCAATAACACAAACATATACTGGAAAATGCTTGGTCAGATACTTCAAGCGAGTATTTGGAATAGTGTTGCCAAGTCGTGACCGTATTACATAAATATTTTCTGGAATAGTTTACCAGCAGCGGCTACAGACTATTACAAGTTCGCTTTTTTGGCATTAGAAGAAAGATTAGGACTGCGAAACTGTTATTATGAAATGGTAAGCCAAAGGACTAAGAGAAACCCTGATGTGGAAGTTCTCTCGTTTGCTAGAAACCATAGGTTCAAGGATACATTGGCCTTGTTTCTTGTCTTTCTAAGTTTTAACCATGTTATGCTGTTTTTACTTTTGGTTGTGTTCATCGTTGCGACTAGGTTTAAAAATGCGCTGGCCAACAGCTTCATATTGTTCTTCCTCTCCAAGAAGCCATCGCCTGATATACAAGTAGTTAGCAACTCGGCAAAGAATAAGAAAAGATATGTTACACCTCCAACGTTATACAAACTATTGGCCATGAAAAATATCCCCTTCATTGGCACTCTGCATGATAATTCCATTTTAAGACCTGTACCTTTGATAGTCATTGAATACCTGTTTGTAACAATATTGAGGATATATGGTGGTAATTATTTCACTGACCCAATAGAATATTTTGCCATTGGTATAGTCGCATCTTTTCTAATAAATGACCCAAACACATGTCTCACGCATGCAATGATATGTTCTGTGCTGTACTCACTGTCAAAACATTTTTTTTATAGCGTGTTACCTCTGGTATTTGGCAAGGGAATCATGGGCTTTATTTTATCATTTAAATCTTCTGGGCATCGTGGGCAACTGATAAGACAATACTTGCTTCGCAATTCCGCCATCTTACGACTCTTTGACAATTTATGTGGAAAGGTTAACTCAACCGACTCGTCCCTTTCATTGTACATAGATGAAATTTGCTTCTACCTTTCATTTCATATAATATTTTACCTGATTGGTAGGAGATATTTTATGCCAGTGCCTATCCCAGAATCTGATTTACCCTCATCATTGAGAACATCAACAGATACACGTTTACCATCATCTGGAAACCAAAAGACCCAGTCAAGTTCGACGCACAAGAATAACACATCTGAAACACGTAATAATACACAAGTGAGAAACCGTTCCAATAGTCATGCTAAACATGGAAGGAATGTGTCGATGAGTACGAACAGGACTCAGCATCAAAGTACTGCTATCAACGGCCACTCTCATGCAAGTAATCTACCCACCACACAAGCAAATGTATCCGATACGAAATCGATCAATGCTTCCGACTCTTATATCATAAATGCAATCTCTAATAACTTGAGAACTTTAAGACAAACACCATTCTTCTCAAATTTAGTCTCCAAATATAATGTCTTTGAGCCTGATATCGTCTCTCCAGAGAGAAGTAATAGTCTTGCTATGCCTACAAATGTTGACTATAAGGACGTGAAGAAAAATGAATCTAACTCAGCCAGCAATTTGGAAGGGCTCAGAAATGAGTTCTACCAACTCAAAGTGGACTTTTCTCAGACAACAGATGAAAGAAATCTGGACACTGATATAACTCCTACCAGCAATATTGAAAATTTCATCAGACAGCTGTTTGAGAAGAAAAAGAGTTATATCATTCCACCATTATGGTCCATGTTTCTCACTGTGAAGACAGCAAATTTGGAGAGGAAATATTTGGAGAAGAAATCTGAAGATGTTTTAACGCCTATCAGTTCGAGGGATACTGATAATGATGCCAAGGAATCAAATGACATAGACATGTTAGACATTGATACAAAGCTAGCGATTGCTGAATTGTCGGATAATGGGATCAAAAAGAGTGTTTTTGATGAAGGCACTGGACAAGAAAATCTTGCTATGATAATTCAAAGCTCTTCAGATGATTATAATCAGCTCAATCTCGTTTCGATGAAAGATAATATTTTTAATAGGCAAGAAAATGACTACAAAGTCTGCATTGCAAATATTGGTTGTAATTCAATCACGTTTCATATTGAGAATCTTTTTGAAGGTGAGTTGATTGTCTTAGTCAATGGTGTGATCTGGTCTGAAGTGTCTTGTAGTTTGATCATGGAGCATGAAGGTGAGGAACTTGCTGTTGTCAATGGTCTCGTTCCATCATGTTCCTATGATATCCAATTTGTAAATAGATTAAACCAGACACAGGACCATCTGATGTCAGATATCGTTGTTCGTACTGCAAGTGGCAACAGTGGTGACTTTAACGGCAATTTTGGTAGTGTAGATTTCACATTTCCTTCATATTATCATAGAAAGTTTCTGTCACCTTTGTTAACTTTGAAGCATTCAGTCTTGACGACTAATACAAATCTAGCCGAAGAACGGATGAAGTTGAAGAAATCTAAGAAGGAGATTAGTAAGAAGATTACTTCATTAAAACAAGAAATTGATCATTTCCGGTCAAAGATCGAGAACAATGCCACAAACGAGGAGAAGAACGCCTCTAAAGTTGAATCGTTAAAGATTGCTTTACAGCAGTCCAATAGCACGATTTTAGCGTGGGAGGAAGAATTGAAACAACTATCGGAGAAGCAGATTGAGGTTGAAGAAAAATATCTAATTCAAAAGGATCTACATCTGCGAAAGCAATTGGAGTTTAGCAAAGAGGAAGAGAAATTGAAGGCATTGGTCAAAGTCAAGAAAGAGAATGTTGAAAGATTACAAGAAGAAGTTCAGCAACTCACTGGGAAACTCGAAAAACTGAATGCAAGAAATTCTAAGGTCTCCAAAGAAGTTGAACAGCAAAATAAGGCCATAGACGACTTCATCAACCAACTGGCGAAAGCTATTGAGAAGAACAGACAGTCATGGGAACAACAGCAGTCCTTGAAATATAATGAGTATGAGCTAGTTGTGAAAGCATTACAACAAGATATTGCCCGGTTTGAAAGCGGGAACACAGACCAAAACCGATAAATATTTTTCTTGAACTATATAACATTTAATCAAGTAGCATTTTCTTTTTAAATCTGTATTGCATTTGTTCCATAAAAAGTCACGAAATGTTTCATCACAATCACAATCACAATCACATAGATATATACTTAACTGTAATAAAAAAAATGAGCAAGGTATAGCCCATGAACCATACGATAAAGCGTATGCACGTATATTATGATACAATCACGGTATGACATTGCAGTAATTTTGTAATCTAGTGAAGTTTGCCTCCTTAGCTTAGTGGTAGAGCGTTGCACTTGTAATGCAAAGGTCGCTAGTTCAATTCTGGCAGGTGGCAATTTCTCTCAACTTTTTTTTTATTCTTGTTGAGAGGTTTGTCACAACTCCCAGTCACCCCCAGCTAAAGATAGTACATTCTCCTCGTTGTATGCATGGAAGTAACCACAAAGCCCTCACAAGTTACCTCGGCTTCTCTACACATAGTACTTTTTTCAAGAGAAGAAACGATTAGATACAAGTCAATACTCCGTAATGAGAGTTCTGCTACTGCATTGCGACGTTGCAGTTTTTTTCGTTCTTGGATTCAACTGTCTTGGATCAAACTGTCTTGGATCAAACTGTCTTGGATCAAACTGAAAATTTTAAGAAGAAAAATTTTTGTTTTTTTTTTAAATTTTTTTCAAAAGAAATTTTTCACGCATCAGGCATCGCGCAAAGCAAAACGCACTGATTTCAACTTTTTCAACTTTTTCAGTTTTTTCAATTTTTTTTCACCGATGTGGGACTTTGCGTAACGAAAATTTGTATGAACAATCGATACCAATTGGGTTAGTGGTCCCTAACATTCCAAAATTTTTTCACTTTCTTTAGAAGCTCATCGATTTTCTTTACAATAGTGTATTTCTATAGTGTATTTGGGTTATACTGTTTTTTTTGACTTGGCTATATTTCTTCTGGTAGAACTGGGAAGAAAAAAATAAAAGACCAATCCTTTCACTAGCCCACCCCATAGGGTTATTATATATTAAACCACGTATACACTTCCTTGCTTTGGGAACTGTGTGATTGATAGAATACTAGAGTAAAGAAAGATAGACCGGATGTCTGGAGTGAAACGTAAAGGACCAGAAGTGGTTGAAGAAGAGCCGGTTCAAAAGAGGCAGGTTATAGAGAAGCACACGGATGGTAGCGATGATGAAGCTAGCGGTGATGAGCATGAGGTCAAGCGTACCAAAAGCGATACCACATCACAGAACATACAGATTGCTAGAGAGACCGCTGAGTTGTTCAAGTCGAATATATTCAAGCTACAGATAGATGAACTTCTAGCGCAGGTGAAACTGAACGACAAGCATATACTGAAGATGGAGAAAGTGTTACATAAATTTTACGATATGGTGCAACAGATCCCAGAGTGGAAGGATAAATCGTTATCCGATGTGGAGTCCTTTTTTGACAATAAGATTGTGGCCGTCCCATTTGCTGATCCAAAGCCATCGCTGGCTAACACCAACTATAAGTTCGGCTACTTGAAGCCAGGCGTCGATCTTATTGGATCTTTCGCTCTGAAAATGGGTATCTACCAACCTCAGGGTTCTAACGTTGATATATTGCTGACTATGCCTAAGGAACTGTTCGACAAGAAGGATTTTCTAAATTTCAGATGCTTGCACAAGAGGAGCGTCTACTTGGCATATTTCACTCATCACTTCTCCATATTACTGAAGAAGAATAAGCTAGACCACTTCATGTCAGTAAAATACTCATATCTAAACAACGATCCACTATTGCCAATCTTGACAGTTACATGCTCTAAGAACCCAGAGCACAGCTCGGACGAGTACAATTTCCATAAGACAAAATTCTCCATCAAGTTCATAATCGGATTCCCAGACGGTTTGTTCGATCCAAAAAAACTATTGCCAAATAAGAACTGCATCAGGTTAGCTGGCACACAGGATGTTAATGACCTTCCAGCAACACCATTGTACAACTTTGCGGTACAGTCCTCTACTACATTCTCTAGTTACTTGAAATTTCTTTATCATAATAAAAAACAGACAGCAGCATTTAGACAGGCTGCCATACTAGGTAAAATATGGCTTGAACAACGTGGATTCTCATCCAAAACTGCACACTCAGGAACATTAGGTGGCTTTGGTTCATTTGAATTTTCAATGTTGATGGCTGCCTTACTCCACGGTGGTGGTAACAATGCTAATAAAATATTATTACATGGTTTCTCCTCATATCAATTATTCCAAGGTACTATAAAATATTTGGCAACAATGGACCTATGTAATGACGGACATTTACAATTTTCTTCAGATATTTCCAGTGAAACTCACAAGCACTCCAAATATATAGAAGAGGGCTTCCAAACGCCGACCATTTTTGATAAAACCAGGAAAGTGAATATTCTAACCAAGATGACTACCAACTCATATTATATGCTAAAACAGTATGCCAATGAGACACTGGGCATGTTAAATAACGTGGTTCAGGATAAATTTTCGAGTGTCTTTTTGATAAACTTGAACAGAATACCAGAAATAAAATATGATAGCTGCATAGAAGTTAAATTACAACCTGATGATACTTTAATTTCCAAGTTTGGATCTGCTGAAAGGATTAAATTCATAACATTTGAGAATTACCTAACTAATAAGGTATCGACGGTCTTGAAATATGCGTTGGGTAAAAGGGTTAAATATATGGAAATAAAGCTAGAAGGAAAGCGGTCTGACTTCCCAATTACAAAACGGAAAGTTTACTCTCATTCAAGTGGATACAATTTTGAATATATTTTGATTCAATTGATTTTGGACACGGATGAAGCAGAAAAGTTGGTGATTAGAGGTCCAGAACATACATCTGAGTTGACACCTGAGGCCGCCATGTTTAAGAATTTTTGGGGGAAAAAATCCTCTCTCCGCAAATTCAAAAATGGAGAAATCTCACATTGTTGTGTTTGGCAATCTTCTTCTGAGGTCTCGGTTGTAACATCAATAGTTGACTATGTTATAAAGATGCATATCTCTGAAAGAGCCAATGTTAACAATGAGGGAACAAAACATCTACACAAGCAACTTCCTTTACCCAACCTGCCCTCGAGCTCTGCTACTTCTATTCAAAACCTGTCAAGCTTTTTCAATTTGAAGAAGTCTTTTGACGAGCTCTACAAAATACTATTTAAAATGGAACTGCCACTTTCCATTAAGTCCATTTTACCTGTTGGTTCGGCCTTTAGGTATACATCTTTGTGTCAACCTGTTCCATTTTCGTACTCTAACCCTGACTTTTTACAAGATGTTGTCTTAGAGTTCGAAACATCACCTAAATGGCCAGACGAAATAATTGCATTGGAAAAGGCTAAAACAGCGTTCCTGTTGAAAATTCACGATAAGCTAGTTGAAAATTACGCACCCGAATACAAATCTTACTTTTTGAGAGATGAGTCCATTCCATATAATTTAGATATTGCTACATTGAACATTTTAACTCCAGAAGGTTATGGTTTCAAATTTAGAGTATTGACTGAACGTGATGAAGTATTGTATCTAAGAGCAATTTCTAACGCCAGAAATGAGTTGAAGCCAGCTTTGGAGAAAACATTTTTAAAGTTCACCGCCAGATATCAAGCAAGCGTAAGACATACTAGAACAATTGAGAATCTCTCTCATGCATATCAATTATATTCTCCAGTTGTGAGACTATTCAAGAAGTGGTTAGATAAGCATTTACTTTTGAGCCATTTGGATGAGGAATTGGTAGAACTAATTGCTATGAAACCATTTGTTGATTATACTCCTTTCAACGTTCCGGGTTCTTTGCAGAATGGGTTCCTAAAGGTCTTAAGATTTATTAGTCAATGGAACTGGAAGGAAGATCCTTTAATTTTAGATTTCGTTAAGCCAGGTACAGAAAATGAGAATTCTGGTGATATCTCCAACGGTGAGTTAACAAGCTCCACTTTGAAGAAGTTATCCGAAAGACTAACGCTTCAACAGTACAAAGCAATACAATCAAATTTCGCGAATATCAGAAACAGCGATCCTAATGGTGTTCATCTACAATATTTTGTTGCTTCTAGAAATGATCCAAGTGGTATCCTTTACTCAAGTGGTATTCCATTACCTATTGCTACAAGATTAACTGCATTGGCAAAGATAGCCACTAATATCATTTCTACACATGGATTCAATAACCAGACAATTGACCTACTCTTTACTCCAGGTCTAAAAGATTACGACTTTGTTGTTCAAATGAAGACACCAGTATCTTTGAAGATCAGCTCAGGTATTATTGAGCCATCTGAATTCAAGAATATTTCAAATGGTGCCTCAAGGTCTTTCCCAGATGATCTTGATGACATGAGCGAGAAGATGGATCCAACTCTTCAACTTGTCAAATACTTAAACATGAAGTATTCTAATAGTATTGTGTTCTCAAGTCATAAGTACGTTGGAGTTAATGGTGGAGAAAAGGGAGATGTCAACGTTATCACTGGTCTAATCAAACCTACTTTCAAGAAGGAAAATAAATTCAGAGTTGGTATGGATTGTAATGTCAAGCCTATTGATGAAGAAAAGGTAATTTTAAATAAGGAAGCTATTTTCCATGAAATCGCCGCATTCGGACACGAATTAATAACCGATTTTGAGGTCAATAATTGAGATGATCAGCTCCAATAGCAAAAATATAAGTACTTTATTGCCGCATTTTCTTTTCTAGCATTCTATAGCATTAATATTATATAATCAGTGATCAATGCTGATACTTACCAAAAGTGAATTAAATTTTAATTAAATAATTTCATATTTTGTTCTTCGAATGATACACGGACTCCCAATGAAATGAAAATTACTGCAATAGATGCCATGTGATGGATATATAACTAGAATTTCAACAAGATTATACTTTAGAGTGCAATAGGACAGTATTAGAAATCTAATAGACAGAAAGTAAATGTCTGATATTGAGAGTGAAGCCGATCTATTAGCTGATCTGGACAACGATTTTGAGGACAATGAGATATCAGATGGTGGCGATGAGTTAGAAGATAAAAGCATTGAGGACCTAGATGTTACAGAGGCATACGACTTTAAAAATCAGCACTATGAAGCCAATGACGAGGATCAAATTATAGTGGACAATTCTGCAAAGACTCTTAAAGATTTAGTGAAATATTTGGGTGCCAAGTCCAATGTTGATCATAAAGGGCTTCAAACAGAAATTGTTAATCTTGAAACGATCAAACATCTAATAGCTATCAGTAGTAATGAACCCGAGATAATAAAGACATTAAATGAAATACAGCAATACTGTAAAGTGATATCTGAAAAGTGCTATTTCGAACTAACAGAAATATATGAAGATAAGTTTTCTGAACTCAAGTCGATACTTAGACTACCTCACCAATATGCGCAATGCATATCTCTTCTCGAGCAAGGCTTAGAATTGGAGCAGGTTGTGCTGAGGTTTGAAGAACTATGTTCAACAAGTCGAGAGCTCATAATGGTTTTAAATATGTCTCTCCGTGCTGACTACAAAGGAAACTATAAACTCACAGATACGAATAAAAAATCTCTTCATAAGCTCACCTCAATAATATTTGAGGCTCACGACATAATAAGATTTGTATCTGTTGAAATTGCCAATAGAATTGGTGAAATTGCACCTAATTTATGTGCTCTACTGGGTACAAACACTGCATCTCTATTAGTTTCGCATACTGGTGGTCTTTTACAACTCAGTAAAATTCCAAGTTGTAACATTGCTAATATTGGCAAGAAAAATACGAAAGACCATAATATCTTGAATTTCTCAAATCCAGGTGGCTATATATTTCAAAATGAGCTCGTTCAAAACCAACCTATTGAGAACCACAAACAAATGATGAGGATGCTGTCATCTAAAGTCTCACTGGCGGCTCGTGTTGATGCTGGACTCAAGACTGGTGATAAGAACAATAAATTAGGAAAGCAGTGGAGAGTGGAGATTGAAGAAAAGATAAAGAAGATAAGAGCACCACCTAATATATCTGATGTGAAAGCACTACCGATCCCAGAGGATAAACCCAAAAAGAAACGTGCTGGTCGAAAATTCAGAAAATACAAAGAGCAGTTTAAACTCTCAGGTACAAGACAATTGCAAAACAGAATGGTATTTGGCAAACAGGAAGCTACGATATATGATACTTTTGGAGATGAAGTAGGTCTAGGGATGACCTCACAAAGAAAAAATGGACTGGCAATCTCTACAACAGGCTCAAGTTTTGGTGTGAAGAAACCTCAATACATTCAAAAGAAATTGAAGGACTCGAAAAGATCAACTCAAGAATACATCGACGCTCTAGCTGATAGAATAGACGAGCATGCGAATCTCATTAAACCAAACGGCAGTTAATAGACAATATTCGTACCAATCCTGAACATGACGTCCTGCTTTGATTCCGAACTATTTTTTTATTTAGCATCATACATATTTTTAATCTTATAGACAATATCTTCGGCATAATAGATCAATTCTTTGAACAGAGTATCCCAGTTGTACCATTAACTAGGTCAAAAATAGCTTCCCAAGTTAAGATGTTCAAGCATATGAATACATCACGTGACTACTACCTGTTACAGCAATCGATATAATTATGAGATGGAAGAGCAAAATTGCGAGATCAGCAAAAGACGTCATTATTACATTTCCAAAATGAGTAAGTTGTAAATAGTGAAGGATGATTCACCTGTAAGGATAATAGGCAAAATGATAATTGGCAAGGTACGTGGCTTAATATTGGTATACAGAGTCTTCAACTACCCGTAGGTTATTGTTACTATTATACATTGTCCCGATTAAATAGGGAAATCAAAAAATATATTTATGGAGTTGTGTTGTCATTTGACGGTGTGCGGAGAATTGTAGATCAAAATCGCTTATAGCAATCAATCAGATATAAAAAAAAGAAGGTAGTTATTTGAGTTTTTACTATATCGTTTTGATTTGTCAACAAAGTGAGGAAGTATAAACCGACAATAAACATGAATCATTTTAACCACGCCTATTTACGGGATCATACACCTACACCATCGCCAAAGAAAGATGGTGTCAATAACTTAGAGCAGGAGCTATCCGCAATGGATATCGACGATTCTGCTAACGATACGAATATTGACGAGCTGTTACATTCACCAAAGAAGTTACCTGCTGGTTTCAGGAGTAAAGCGAGTAATAATAAAACTCAGAGACTCGTTGGTGTATGCAAAATGTATTTTCTCGAATACTACTGTGACATGTTTGACTATGTCATTAGTAGGAGACAAAGGACAAAACAAATAATGGAATATTTAAGACAAGAGAATGAAAATGGTAGACTTGATGAACACACAGCAGATACTGAATGGAGAGGATATCTGGCAAAGGAAAACAATATTCTCAGGAAAAGACGATTAAAGCCAAAAAATAATGATTTTGAAATGTTGACACAGGTTGGTCAAGGTGGCTATGGCCAGGTATATCTTGCAAGAAAGAGAGATACAAAGGAGGTTTGTGCTCTCAAAATATTGAATAAGAAATTGCTTCATAGATTAAATGAAACAAATCATGTTTTGACTGAGAGAGATATCTTAACTACAACACGTTCTGAATGGCTAGTCAAGCTTCTTTACGCATTTCAGGATTCTTCCAGCTTGTACCTTGCAATGGAATTTGTACCAGGTGGTGATTTTAGGACTCTACTCATAAATACCAAGTATTTGAAAAGCACACATGCCAGGTTTTATATTAGTGAAATGTTTTGTGCTGTCAATGCTCTCCATGAGCTTGGTTATACACATAGGGATCTTAAACCGGAAAATTTCCTAATAGATGCAAAAGGACATATTAAATTAACTGATTTCGGATTAGCTGCAGGTACAGTATCAAACGAAAGAATAGAGAGTATGAAAATACGGTTGGAAGAAGTTAAGAATCTGGAATTTCCAGCGTTTACTGAACGCCCAATAGAAGATAGAAGAAAAATGTATCATGATTTGAGAGATACCGATATAAATTATGCCAACTCTATGGTGGGATCCCCAGATTACATGGCATTAGAAGTATTAGAAGGTAAGAAGTACGATTTCACTGTAGATTATTGGTCATTGGGATGCATGCTGTTCGAAAGTTTAGTTAGTTTTACACCCTTCAGTGGCGCGACAACAAATGAGACATATGAAAACCTGAGACATTGGAGGAAGACATTGAGGAGACCCAGGTTAGGCAATGGACGATATGCGGTTTCTGATAGAACTTGGGCTTTCATCACTAGTTTAATTGCTGATCCAATAAATAGACTGAAGTCTTTTGAACATGTGAAGCGAATGCCATACTTCTCAGAAATAGATTTCTCAAAATTACGAGAAATGTCTCCACCGTTCATACCACAACTTGATAGTGAAGTTGATGCGGGTTATTTTGACGATTTTACAAATGAAGCTGATATGGCAAAGTATGCTGATGTTTTCAAAAGGCAAAACAAGTTGAATGCTATGATTGATGACTCTGCAGTTGATTCCAAATTAGTTGGTTTCACCTTTAGACACAGGAACGGTAAGCACGGTTCGAGTGGTATACTATATAATGGTGCAGAACATTCGGATCCCTTTGCAACATTTTACTAGTTAAGTAGATATATATAACATTCCGCATAAATTTTTTTCATAATAAAGAATAAATCGTATGTTCATTCGGAAACCATAATTAAGAGTCATCCTTTAGTACAAATTACTCACAGATTTGTACCTATCCAAATCTCATTCTGATATCTCTGTTTGACTTGATAATATATTTTTGCAATCTAATATAATGTTTTCAAAAGGGAAAAAATAATCTGCATCAAAAAAAAAAGCGATGAGCTGTGTGCCAATTGATTGACTAAAAAATCACAAATCCATAATATTAAATTAGACTCTTCTCTCAAATTGTAAACAAAGTTATAAAGAGACATAAAGGTTTGTAATTGAAACGACTATGAAGATAATGGTGGCCAACCCTGGGTTGGAAAACACAAAAGAAGCCTTGGATAAAATTCAAATAGCAAATGAGAAAAATGGTCCATTTGAGACTGTATTCCTGTTGGGGCAAAATAAAGAGGATACGAGTTATGATCTTAAGGATACAAACACAATACTTGTAACAAATCAATTGAAAAATGGCCGTACTACAAGAAAATCATCTGTAATCATATTGCATGGATTTGGTATAATGAAACTGGCATCGGGCCTAGTAGTTGGATATATTACATTATCAAAAAATTCATTACAGCAAGAGAAGAAATCAATTTTGGAATATTTTAAGGCCAGTAAAGAATTTATTGATGTATTGGTTACTAACATTGGTTCAAAAGCTGTTGCCTCGCATTTGCAGTACAAAGCGAATGGCAATTCAATCATAGATGAAGTGATGAAACATTGTAAACCACAATACCATTTAACGTATGATGGTGATAGAGGCTATCACGATATGAAACCCTTCTGCTGGGGAGAGACAAGCTCTGATAGTCAAATAACGAGATATTACAATCTTCCTTCTTACTCCCCAATAACAAAAAGTAAATGGATTGTTGCCTTTTCTATTGAGCCAGGTAAGGACTTTAATGAAATAAATGACTATAAGAACGAGCTTGGAACAAATCCATACTTATTAAAACCAGCACTGAAGAGGGACCGTAGTGGAATTGAACAGAATGCCCATACAAAGAAAACTAAAATAGACTCTACAACTTGTCATTTTTGCTTTAGTAATCCTAATGTTGAAGACCAAATGATTGTTGCTATAGCCAAACATTCGTACTTGACTCTTGCCAAAGGACCATTAACAGTACCAAAAGGAGATATGAGTTTTTCAGGCCATGCATTGATCACGCCTATTAACCATGTTGCTAAGATTGACAAATCATTAGACAATGAACTCAGTAAAGAAATCGAGTTGTTTGAATCTAGAGTAGCAAAGATGAACTACAAGTTGTTCGATTGCTCAACAGTAGTATTTGAAATCCAATCTGATAAAGCTATACATTTTCATAAACAAGTAATACCAGTACCGAAATATTTGATAACTAAATTTGAAAGAGCATTAGACAGGCAAGTTCATATCAACTCTGAGAGAGGTAACTGCAAATTAGAATTTGAGAAGTTTGACGGTTTAGATAATGAGGAGTATCGTAAGATTGTCGGCAGAAAAGATACTAATTATCTACAATTTACGATTTACGAGACTGACACATCAAAAGCCACAATATACATATCAAGTTTTGATATCACAGAAAGGTTAGACCTCCAATATGGTAGGCGTACTTTAGCATTTGTGCTAAATCTACCAAAGAGGGTCCAATGGAATTCACCAATATGTCAACAATCGAAGGAACAGGAACTAAAAGAAGCACAATTGTACCAAAAGAGTTTTAAGAATTTTGATTTCACCTTGGAATAAACTCTATTAAAACTGGAAGAAAAGAAAGAACAAAAAAGAAAAAAAAGTACGGCAATATATCTGATACGAAACTTAAAGCATACCCGCCCGCATGAACTAGCATGCTATTTACATTTCGATGGAAGACTCTTGAAATTATCGACTACTGTCATTTTGACATCATAACAGTATATACCATTTGTCTGTTCATGTGATATAATCGTGTTAACGCGAGAATTAATCTTGATTTCGTATATAATGAGTGAAAATTTTTGATGAGCAAATGCTGAAAAATTCATGAGTTTTTTCTTTCTTTTGATGCGATGAGCTGTATCCAATTGAGCTTACCACGTACTCTCGAGAGTAACCCACGACAGTGGACCATACACCATCGGGTGCTTTGTTCACTGCTTGCAGGAAAATTAGCAAATGATTGTTATCATCATTGCTTTAATTATGTCAAAAGTTATTAGCTAGCTTTATTTTTGTCAAGATTCCTGACAGTAGATATATTAACTTGTAAATAATATTTTTTTATCTTGGAAAAGCTAATGAGTAGGCGATTGTTATCTCTAACTCATAATTGCTTTAGATATCAACAGAAATTCCACGTATCTTTACTTTCTCCGGTAAATAATAGTATTTGGAAGAGTCATTTTTACAATCAAAAGAGATACTTCAGAATGAGTGACTTGGATAACTTACCACCTGTTGATCCAAAGACAGGTGAGGTTATTATTAACCCATTGAAAGAAGATGGTACAGAGAAGACACCTAAGGAGATTGAAAAGGAGAAGAAGAAGGCCGAAAAGCTTTTAAAGTTTGCTGCCAAGCAAGCCAAGAAGAAAGCTGCTAGCAACGCTGGTGGTAACAGTGAAAAGAAGGAGAAGAAGAAGGCTAAGAAGGAAGTTGAGCCAATTCCAGCATTTGTTGATGCCACTGTCCCAGGTGAAAAGAAGATTTTGGTTTCCTTGGATGATCCAGCTTTGAAGGCTTACAACCCAGCTAATGTTGAGAGTTCATGGTATGACTGGTGGGTTAAGAGCGGTGCTTTTGACCCAGAATTTACTGCTGACGGTAAGGTTAAACCAGAAGGTCTTTTCTGTATTCCAGCCCCACCACCAAATGTTACCGGTGCCTTACATATTGGGCATGCTTTGACAATTGCTATCCAAGATTCACTAATCAGATATAACAGAATGAAAGGTAAGACTGTCCTTTTCTTGCCTGGTTTTGATCACGCTGGTATTGCTACACAATCTGTTGTTGAAAAACAACTTTGGGCTAAGGAGAAGAAGACTAGACATGATTTTGGTAGAACTAAGTTTGTTGAGAAAGTTTGGGAATGGAAAGAAGAATACCATCAAAGAATTAAGAACCAAATTAAATTCTTGGGTGCTTCCTACGATTGGAACCGTGAAGCTTTTACTCTAGATCCACAACTATCCAAGTCTGTTGTCGAAGCCTTCGTTAGACTACACGATGATGGTACCATCTACCGTGCTGCTAGATTAGTTAACTGGTCTGTTAAATTAAACACTGCTATCTCTAACTTGGAAGTTGAAAACAAGGACGTCAAGGGTAGAACCCTATTGTCTGTTCCAAACTATGATGAAAAGGTTGAATTTGGTGTATTGACCTCTTTTGCTTATCCAGTTGCTGACTCTGATGAAAAACTGGTCATTGCTACCACCAGACCTGAAACCATATTTGGTGATACCGCCATCGCTGTTCACCCAGACGATGCTCGTTACAAACATCTACATGGTAAATTTGTTCAGCATCCCTTCTTGCCAAGAAAGTTACCAATTATTTGTGATAGCGAAGCTGTTGACATGGAGTTCGGTACTGGTGCCGTTAAGATTACCCCAGCTCATGACCAAAACGATTACAACACTGGTAAACGTCACAACTTGGAATTCATCAACATTTTGACTGATGATGGTTTGCTGAACGAAAACTGTGGTCCAGAATGGCAAGGTATGAAGAGATTCGATGCTAGAAAGAAGGTTATCGAAGATATGAAGAAGCTAAATCTATACATTGGTCAAGAAGACAATGAAATGACTATACCAACATGTTCCAGATCCGGTGATATCATCGAACCTTTGTTGAAACCTCAATGGTGGGTCGCCCAAGGTGAGATGGCTAAGGATGCCATTAAGGCTGTTAAAAATGGTGAAATTAAGATTGCACCAAAATCATCTGAAGCTGAATACTTCCATTGGTTGGAAAACATTCAAGACTGGTGTATTTCCAGACAACTGTGGTGGGGTCACCGTTGTCCTGTCTATTTTATTGACATCGAAGGCCAAGAAAATGATAGAAATGATGGCAACTACTGGGTTGCTGGTAGAGATCTTGCCGAAGCTGAAACCAAAGCAAAGGCTAAGTTCCCAGATGCCAAGTTCACTCTACATCAAGATGAAGATGTGCTAGACACTTGGTTCTCTTCTGGTTTATGGCCATTCTCTACTCTAGGCTGGCCAGATAAGACCAAGGATATGGAAGACTTCTACCCATTCTCCATGCTAGAAACTGGTTGGGATATTCTATTCTTCTGGGTTACCAGAATGATTTTGCTAGGTATCAAACTGACAGGTTCTGTTCCTTTCAATGAAGTTTTCTGCCACTCTTTGGTTCGTGATGCCCAGGGCCGTAAGATGTCCAAATCTTTAGGTAACGTTGTCGATCCACTTGATGTTATTACCGGTATCAAACTTGAAGACTTACACGCTAAGCTATTAATGGGTAACTTAGATCCAAGAGAAGTTGAGAAAGCTAAGCTGGGACAAAAGGAATCTTATCCAAACGGTATTCCTCAATGTGGTACCGATGCTATGAGATTTGCCCTTTGTGCCTACACCACTGGTGGTCGTGATATTAACTTGGACATTTTGCGTGTTGAAGGTTACAGAAAGTTCTGTAACAAGATTTATCAAGCTACTAAGTTTGCTTTGATGAGACTTGGTGATGACTACGTTCCACCAGCCAAGGAAGGTTTGTCCGGAAACGAGTCATTGGTCGAAAAGTGGATCTTACATAAGTTGACAAAGACTTCTCAAACTGTGAATGATGCACTTGAAAAGCGTGACTTCTTGACATCTACTAGCGCTATTTACGAATTCTGGTATTTGATTTGTGATGTTTACATCGAAAACTCTAAGCACCTAATTCAAGAAGGTTCCGATCTCGAAAAGAAGTCAGCAAGAGACACTCTATACATTCTATTGGACAATGCCTTGAAGTTAATTCATCCATTTATGCCATTCATTTCTGAGGAAATGTGGCAACGTATACCTAAGCGCTCTACTGAAACTGTTAACACAATTGTGAGAGCTTCTTATCCAGTATACCAAAAAGTATACGATGACGAGAAATCTGCTGCCAGCTACGAATTGGTACTTGACATTACTAAGGAGGCTCGTTCATTGTTAGCTGAGTACAACATTTTGAAGGAAGGTAAGGTGTTTGTTGAATCTGATCATACTGAGTCATTTGAAACTGCTCAATCCCAAAAGGACTCTATTGTCTCTTTGATTAAGGCTATCAATGAGGTTGATGTTGTTCGTTCCGCCTCTGAGATTCCAGAAGGCTGTGTTTTGAAGGCTGTGAACCCACAAGTAAATGTCCATCTATTAGTAAAGGGTCACATTGATATTGATGCTGAAATTGCAAAGGTTGAAAAGAAGATCGAAAAGGCTAGAAAGACTAAGCAAGGTATTGAACAAATTATCAACGGTAAAGATTACGATACTAAGGCCAATGAACAAGCCAAGGAAGCTAACAAGGTCAGATTAGAGAACTCTATCGCTGACATTGAAGGTTTTGAAACTACTATCGAAAACTTGAAACGTCTAAAGTTGTAGATTAGCATTATGTACTTTTGAATGTATTATATATACATATAATATCCGATTGAAATGGATCAATTTTTAGTTAAATTTGACTGTACTTAAATCACACATGCTAAATATGATGTTCATGAAATGAGCATTTTTATCTTAATAATATGATAAAATTTTCATAGAGCTACTAATTAGCTACTTTGCAAGTCAAGTTCTTTTTGTATATGTTTAGTTAAAACACCTCTCCAGTTGGAGCAGAGATTCAGACATGCACTTTCACTCAATTCTAATATATCAAATATCACCTTATCATTAAATATACCGTTACTTTCAATGAGCAGAACTCTTTTTACTTTCTTACCATTGTCACCTACTTCCATTGCTATAGTGTGTACAGAGCTACTTTTCTCCAACTCTTCATCAGATGGCCCTATAATATACTGTGCTTTGTTTTCTTGGCTTTGATCGTCAATCACTGCAATTGTAACAGCTGCCGCCAGGTCATTTAACGCAACACCAGCGTTTACCAGAGCCAATAATGCAGAATTCACACATGCCGAAAGTTCTTTCTGATTATGTAACTGCTCATTCTCACCAGCTTCCATTATCTGACAGGTTATTTGACATAGCTGTCTAGGGTACTTATGTCTAGTTATCAACGGAGTAAAAATGGCACGTATTTTATCTTCCAAGTATTTCTCTCTAGGCGTTGGAACACCTTTGGCAGGCCTAACTATAACTTCTAATGCCATTTCTGTAGGAAGTTCCTGACGCGCCTTAGGTTCAACAGGTCCTGTAACTGCACACAATACATTTGTGGAGTTCATTAATAATTTGGCAGATCCATCAACCTCAGATAATAATCCTAATTCAACTACGATATCTTGACTCATTATGCACCTTGATATGCTTTCCAGTGACTAATCAGTGGTCTAATGTAGCTAGCTCAATAAAAACACCTTTCAAATAAAAGGAAATACGATGAATGTTCTTGAATACAAGCTAGCCACTGCCAACTTCAATACTATCACTATTGAGCTCATCGCATTCCAATTCCCAATGAAATTTTCCAGTCCGCCTTTGAGAAAGTGACAATTTTTCATTTTTGGTCTTATTTTTGCGATGAGCTAGTTGTGCAATAACTGATGGATGAGCCATCTGATTAATGTGACGATATAAAAAGAGAAACGCATCTTCTCGCTCATCACAAAGGTGTATCAGTTAGAGTAATCTACCACAGAATTGGGCTTCTGCTTTAACTCTGGTTATCATAAACATATGAATAAGAAAGATCACCTGAGGAAAGATGAGGAGGTTTCTACCACAAACAGTTTAGTTGCGGGGAGCTTGTCAGGTCTGTTCGCAAGAACTTGCATTGCGCCTCTAGATACAGTCAAGATTAAGTTGCAGGTTACTCCACATAACAAGAATGCCAATGTACTAATAAATATCCTGAAACGGGAAGGGATTAGAGGATTTTGGAAAGGCAATGTGCCAGGATCGATTATGTATATTATATATGGTGGTGCACAATTTGGATCTTACACTTATATTGGAAGTTTTTTACGTGGTGGGTTGGATCTGAATATCTCTCCACAGCTTTATAGTTGTTTGGTAGGGTCATTGGCAGGAATGACAAGCTCCTTGGCGTCATATCCCTTTGATGTTTTACGTACTCGTTTTGCTGCCAATTCACAAGGTCAATTGATAAAGCTCAGAGACGAAATAATGGCTATTTGGAGCCACGAAGGTTTGATGGGTTTCTTTAGTGGATGCGGGTCATCCATGATAAACATAGGATTAAATACAGCAATCATGTTTGGTGTATACGAAAGCATCAAAATATTCACTGAAGAGAGGAGTAAGCTGTCAGATCGCAGAGATCCATTCACTCTACTGAACGAGCTGGCTGGCCCAATTAGTGGATTTACTTCAAAACTGGCTACCTTTCCTTTGGATACCGTGAGACGCAGAATACAGATAAGAAATTCACCCAACGAAGAACGCCACGATAGAGAATTTACCAAAGACATATACAAATCTTATAAGAACAGAAGATTTCTAGGTGTGGGAATTAGTATGGTACAACAGGAAGGTCCATTATCTTTGTACAGAGGAGTAACCATGTCATTGATAAAAAGTGTGCCAAGTACAGCAATCAGTCTGTGGAGCTATGAGCTGTTCATGAACAAGTTGGGATAAAAAGGGTACTGGTAATTTCTACAAGTACGCAAACTGGCTAAAAGAAATAGTATGTCCTTTGTTCTTTACTATGTTAGGCCTCTAACCATTTTGGGCCGGGTGATTCTTTTCTTTTTTTTTCTCGAGAAATTTTTTGTGAAAATCCAAAATTTTGACAAATTATTGTTCATATTATGGAAGGCATATATGCTTACGGAATTCAAAATACATTTGGTAGCATCACGGAAAATGGTATAATAATATTTCTATTTTAGTTTGTATTAAAGTATTGGAAACTATATTTCTCAGTATTTTTTTCAGCTGTGTCGGCGTATAGGACAAAATACAAGTCTAACAACAGATCAAAATAGGGTAGTAACCAAAACAGAAACCCTTTGATTATTAGAGGTAGCCAACTGATAAAATATAATAGAATAATCTAGTATGTCCAGTACAGAACAGGTGACAGCTAAAGATGTTGTCTGGTATATCCCTAACAAGATTGGTTACATGAGAGTGATCTCTGCAATCATCTCATTTGCAACAATGAGGGATTATCCGTTTTTGACTATGCTTGTTTATGGTGTCTCATGCTTGCTTGATGCTTTGGATGGTACCATGGCGAGAAAGTATAACCAAGTTAGTCGACTGGGCGCTGTGTTGGATATGGTCACCGATAGATCGACAACTTCCGGTTTGATGTGTTACCTATGTTTCGCTTACCCATCTAGAATATGGTGTGTATTTTTCCAAGTCTTGTTGGGCCTTGATATTTCAAGTCATTACATGCACATGTATGCGAACTTGAGTGGTGGTCAAGGTTCCCACAAGAACGTCAGTAAGGAATCTTCAAGATTATTACACTTGTACTACACGAGAAGAGATGTTCTGTTCACTATCTGTGCGTTCAATGAAGTATTCTACGGTGGATTGTATTTTTATTCATTCCCTCAATACGCAACTGTTGGTAAATGGTTATGCATTATTTGCTTGCCTGGCTACATTTTCAAGCAAGTAGCCAATGTCATTCAGTTGAATAGAGCTGCATTGATGCTAGCAGAGCTAGATGCAAAGGATGCCAATGAAAGAGCAAAGTCCCAATAATTTGCATTGGACATTGACGAGATAATGCATTGTTACAATATATATATATATTAAATTTTAGCATCTTTAAACACTTGATGATTAAAAATTTGGAGAACATTTTAACATGTGTCATGCATTAATGAATAATAGTCACTTTCAACATTTTTAGTTTTTATTTTAGAATAATATCCAATATTTAATGACCAAAAGTAATTGTTTATCTCACTAGAAGGTAAATCTCTGTAATGGAAATCAACTTTATTGATCTTTTGCACTGTGAAGTTAGTAAAATTATTTATTATGCTTCTATTTTAATCTGTTAGAAAAAAAAAACATTATTTGATCGGTGTTTAATTCTTTTAGGCTAACGAAAATAATAGTTCAGAGCATTAAACAGCTGATTTCTCATATTTGACATGAAACGGCTGGCCAGAATTATCCTAACAGAAGCATATGGATTTTAGGGAAGGAAAAAGTTGAAACTGGCGTCTAAACCTAATACGTGTAGTTACTATTGTTAGGGATTTCAACTAACCTAGACTCCCAACTCTGCGAGGGTCCAGCATAAACATGTTCAGGGTTTTCCAACCTTCTAACATAACTATTAATGAGGGGTATTATTAGCCACGTACAAAATCCCTTTATTCTCCTATAGTGTTCGATTTTGCCTAAGAAATGAATCCCCTTTCCAATTTTTCTGTATCCCTCACAGAATGGTATGCAGCGGTTTTGAGATCCTCCTGCAAAATACTACCCCGCTGTATGCATCTTACCGGAAAAACTTCGACAAGTAAAGGTGAAAAAAGTCTTACTAAAACTCTCTCTATGCTACGTGAACTTCTGTGATAGGGCTTCCAATTCCTCGAGAAAAAAAATAATGGATTCCTTTTGCATGTTCGGAATTATTACCTCTGCAGTGTACCCAGTAGTACTGGATAGGATGCCGGAAAATTATGTGTTCTTCCGAAACACTGATTGGGTGTCCATGAAGAGAAGAAGTAAGAATTAAACGGCTACAATAGCAAGATTATGGAGTGCGTTGTGGAGTTGTGGGGTGCTACCTGGGAATACTCACAACACCGACAACTTTTTTTGCTCAACATAGTTGAACTAAGTAAGAGAGGAGGGGGTGATACTTACAACTAATCGGAAATAGAGTATGTAGTGCTCGAAGAAAAGTTCTAGCATGATACCCCCAGTGGGTATTCAACCAACCATGCCACAACACCACAGTGCTTTCAGAGAAGGCTAAGTTTCAGTGCTTCATGGACGCTTTTGTATTCGGGATTCTGGTATATCTTGTGAAAAAGCACAGCACACATAATCTGTTTCTAATTCCAAGAACCTGTTTCTGGTGATCACATTTACATTTTTTTTTCTCTCAATTCGAGAACTCCTGGACTCCCTAATGATAACTTCCCATTGTACTTGGCTCTAAAAAGAAGCGATGATACGATCCCTATTCCAATTTTCATTGTTTGTACGCATTTAACACTTCATCGGATGAACCGAGATTCGTAGGAACTTGAATCAGTAAAATAAAAAAGTAACTCATTTCTGAACTACTATATTCCTCAGAATGTTTTGTACACCAATTTGTAGAATTAGTCGAGAAAAAAAGAGAGGGGGATGACTTTCAGTGGAAACACCTGTCTCTTAAAACAGGAAGAGTGTGTACCATCAGCAAGCATCACACCAAATGGCAGAGGTTTCTTGTTTTATATTTCCACTACTTATGCTATTGTAATGAAGGAAGGATTTTCCATTTGATCCATTGTTATCAAATCGATTGGAAAATATTTTTCTTCACCTTCAGCAGAAAGTATAGGGGAAATCTTGCCAGTATATACTTAGAAATGCCTTAAATTAACTCGGGTGCTCCTAAATTTAGGCTCTTGGATTCTTAAAAAAATTTGGTGCTCCCATTATCGATCCCTATGGGTAATATTTTCGCTCCCAGCAGTTCTCTATCATCGTTATGGAATTCCAACCAGGATCGGTAAGCATTATTGTGCTTGAAAAATTTATGGGAAGGAAGGAAAATATATATTAGAGTTGTAAATTAAAATCTGATTCAAGCGAAAGCTCCTTAGTTTTTGAAATCTAGAATAAATTTTAATTGTAGAACATGGCTTAAATACTACTTTTATGTACTGATTGTATAGAACAAAATTTCAGGTGCTTTTGTGAGAGACAATAGCTTATAGAATACGAATTTTTGATTTCACAAACTTTTACCAACTTACAAAAGGGAAACACCCCTCTGTTTCAAACACTTCTATTCTTAATTGGAAATAAAAGAAATTTTAAACCATTACTTAGGTAGGCTTTTTCAAAAACTTTTTTTGGTGATCTTTATAAGGGAATAAAAAAAGTCATAGTTTGCCTACTTAACAGAAACGGAAAGTTGCCAGATCATATTGCCAATCTAACAAAGGCAAATTCAATCCACAATATATCTAAATCCCACTGTTTCTATTTAGCATCAGCAAAGACTTATTGCTTCATTCTGATTAACTGGCAGCAATATCATTTCACAAAACCAATTAGTCTAATCGTGTTGTGAGGATCAAGTGTGGGTAATATTGATCGCTAATAGATAATTTGGTTTCTGGGGCACGCAAGTCTGATATTCTAGGCTTTTTGTTAACCTAATTAACTGAGCAAGGTAATATTATACACTAGGTAAAACATATACCCAAAATTGCTTATTTCAAGATGTCCGAGCCTTACGACCAATACGATGAATCAAATCCAAATGCTATTCCTTTCCCAAGCGGGTCAACATCTGGATATAGCACTAGATCAACATCAATATCTGCTACTCCAGGTTATTTAACTCCACAGTCAAGGACTCCATCATACGCTGCTCTAAATGACGATGCGGTTTCCATCAAATCTTCTGACTACTTGATGGACATGGTTCCTGATTCTATGACATTAAAAGATGGTGCTTCTATCTCAACTGCAAAGAGAAAGGAGTTTATTCTACCTGAAACTGACGAAAGATCACCATACTTTGTTGGTGTACCTGTCCCCGTTATTGCAGCTTCGGCTGTAGTAGATAATGGAGATAAGAGTTTGGAAAAATCTACTAGAAGTAAAACAGTTATTGGTGATACCGAGGGTTATGATGGCCAGTTTGTACGTGAATACCCAACTGACATGTTAATTGATAGATTTTATAAATGGAAAAAGATTTTGAAGAGTATCATTGCATATCTTAGAGAAGTAGCTTATGCTCAAGAACAATTTGCAAGAATTAATAACCAACTCAGAAACTCAGTTAAGTTTCCATTTTTAACTGATTTGACTGAAGGTTCCAATAAAATTATTGACCCTCTAAGTCAAGCCCCAAAGAAAAATGCACCAACCACAATGGCTCAAAAGAGAAAACAAAAAGAAGAGGAACAAAACGCACCAAACGTTGATCTTCCTCCTGTTGATCCTAGTGAACAATTTATGCCAGTTCAAGCTACCGACAATACATCAGCCTCTTCTGGGTTTTTAAGATTCGGATCTGGTTCTATTCAAGATATCCAAGTAATTTTGAAAAAATACCATGTCTCACTTGCTAATCAACAATTTAAAATTTCCAAAGAAATTGTATCTACTGTTATTCCAAAACTTGAAGAAATCAAGAAAGACCTATCCTTTAAAATTAAAGAAATTAAGGAATTGAATGGCGATTTCAAGACCAATATCAACTACCACATAAAAATGACAGGCATCCTTCTGAAGAAGTATATTGCTGCGTGCAGATTTGTTGATAGAAACAACTATCTACAAGATGTACAAAACAAATTAAAGCCCAAGCACGATCCCTATCTACTAAAACTTCAACTAGACTTACAGCTGAAAAGACAAATCGCTGAAGAAAATTATCTTCAAGAAGCGTTTGTTAATTTACAAAGCTCAGGTTTACAGTTAGAGAAAATTATATACTCTAGAATTCAGCATGTTTTACAAAGATACTCCACCTTGATCGACTCTGAGGCCAGGCTAATGATTAAAAATTTGTGTCAAGAGTTACAATATGGTATACTCGCTAAACCTCCAGCCATGGAGTGGGACAACTTTGTTTCCCATCATCCACTTTGTCTGTTGAACTGGAAGTCAAATGATCCTGTTCCTGTTCCTAGGAATGCATCGGCTGTAATCTATCCGAATATGAAATCCCCAATGTCCAAGTGTATTAGGGCCGGCTATTTTATGATGAAATCGGAATCAAAAAGCTCAAAGTCGAATAATTTCCAGAAAAGTTATTTTATTTTGACGTCTACATATATTCATCAATTTAGTTCTAGTGACTTCTACAAACCTAAGAAAGGTGCTCCAAATCAACAAAATTCCATCCAATTCCAATTCCAACCCAATATCTACCACAATTACAATAACAACTCGATTAATACTAGAAAGGTATCTGGTAATGTGAATGCTGTTTCGGGTCACAATGGTGTTACAGTCGAAAATAGCCCTTTCAGTCGTCATTCGGAAGTAATTCCTATTGCGTCAATTCCTTTAAGCGAATGTAGACTTGTTGAATCTTCAGATGCAATTTTTGTTATAGAAGGTAAGGCTGAATATTCTAACAATTTAACAGAAAAAGTTCCAAAGAAGCAGGTTTATAAGAGTATGGCTCATGCAGGCTCCAATACCATTTCAAACCCTCTTGCATCTATCCCTGGCGCCAAATATGGCCAAGATGCATCTACCAAGGTGCTTCACAAAACCAAGCTGAGTAAATTGGTGAAAGGAGCAAAAGCCAAGACACTTGGAACTGAAACTAGCAAACATTCAAAATCTGGCCTGGAAAAAGATGCTAACAAAGTTGTCACCAATAAGGTCTATACTACAGAGCAGGTTAAATGGACTTTTAAGATGGTTGCGGAAAAACCAACTGAAGATGAAGTTAAATACTTTAACAAATGGATAATTGACATTAAAAATCTTACGAAATTTGAAAAGCCCAAAGAGCGCTTCAATTTTATTGAGGATAGATTGATGAAATCACAAACAAAGAGTCAAATGTCTGTTGCAGAAGAGGGCAGGAGTAATCAAAATAGTACGTCCAATTTTGCTGGAAAACCTACATATATCTCATTGGGTGTTGACTCCAAGAGTACGTTTACACCGGATGGTTCTGTGATGAATACACCTGCCATTGACGATAATGGTAACCTTATAACCTTTGGTCAAAGACATTCTGTTGTCTCACCACACTACTCTAATAACTCAGACAACTCCTACAGACAGTCATATAGACCAACAAATTCACTTCCTGGTAGTAGGAATCTTTCTCCTCTCCCAGTTAATTCACCAACTAGTGTAAATTCTGAGGGTAGTGGTGGTGGTTATTTTGCTATTCCAGTGAATAAGCAAATGTCACACCCAGGATCTAATGTTCAAGTCAGTGAGTTTGGAAGTCGAAGTAATGTGAACACAGCTGGTAGTTCTCCTAATATAACTGGTATGGGATACTTTGTTCCGGTGCAAAGCACTGGTGTTGTTCCAAAGGTTAAAGTAAATAATGAAGAAATGGGACAGAATAGCCCACAGCCTCCAGCCTCACCATATAATAGTTTGAGAAAAAATATTAGTACTGGTAGTATTCCTACTCTTAACAATGAAGGAAGTAGACCTGAAAGTGGTAATTTTTACAAGAATAATAATAGCTCCACTAATCTAGTTGCAGCCGCTAACGGGACAGCAAGGGTTCAAGCTGTAAGGAAACATAAAAAAAATGTCTCTTTCAGCTCTTTAAATAGTTTGATGTTTTCAAAGAAAGGTAGCGTTGGTTATGGTGGTCAACCAATCAATGGTATAAGCGAAAACAGCGATAATGAGGATGAGGGTAACTCGAAGGAAAGTAAAATCAAGTTAAATCAATCACTATATTCATGATATCTTGCTACTACTAAAGTTCAATTTTCATACAAATAAAATAATAATGATCCAATAAAAAATGACATATTGATAAATATATATATTCTAGTAATGCAATTAGACTTTGATAGAATGACGTTTAAATAAAAACTCCATGAACATAAGATGATAAAAGTGAAGTATATACAGGAAATCTTTTCAATTCTAATACATGTATGAATTACAATTTTGAAATCAAAATATTAGATGATAAACTACCACTGACTTTTTGTTTAAGGATTCAAAAAACATTACCAACCGTGATGTGATCAATCAAATATGACTACCTAATTTATGGAAATTTCTGTTACAGTATAGGACACCACCATTTGTATCATCATTCATTACTATTGTGTCTTCCACCACACCTACCCAAATTTCATGGTCACCAACTCTAAACACATTTTTCTTCTTGCAGATGATAGCCAGTTGCGCTTCCTTTAAGATTGGTAAATCATAATTAGTTTTATTGCCTATTTTGTGTATCATATAATGTTCGTTCATTTCAAGATCCTTAAACGGCATTGTACGATTTATACCTTGTAAGGCACCTTTACTAAAATTTCTTATAATATCTATTGACTCATTGGTTGGGTTTAATAAATGGATAGCAAAATACCTATTCTGATGCAACGTATCTGATGTTGCTGATGGAAGTTGTAAGTTAAATTGTATCATCGGATGTGGCTTTAATGCCAATGAAGTCATCGAAGAGATAGTTAGGCCATGAAATAATTCATGAGATGTACCTACCGGAGATGCTGCTGTCAAAACCATGGCTTGATTTGCAACTTTGGCCATTGATTCTTTAAACTTTTGCTGTGTCACGACATGCTTACCACCATAAGATAAGCATCTTTTTGTAACTAAATGTTGCAGAGGCAGACACCTAACCACTCCGAGCCTAACGAATGGAAACATTGTATAGATGAACTGCCAGTTCTTTCATGCATGCAAGGATTGTCCTTATTAAAGAGACTTTTTGACTTAACTCAAAGAATACTAGCTTTATAACTGAAACCTGAACACTATGCTATTTCATATATTGATCCAACTTCTGATAATCTTGAATAATTGATGCACCATCTATTTTAGCTCTTTTTTCAATTGCGGGGAGTAGTCATCGAAAAGTATCTTATTTTCATGATTTTTTCACAAGTGCTCCCTAAGTAGTCAAAAAGTTCCAAAATATCTTTCCATAATGAGTTAACCAAACATTATAGCATCAAGAAAGACAATGACAACCATTGTAACTTGAAACTATAGCTATCAATTTAAAAATATTAATGGATATTTAATCAAGGAAACGCATATACAGTGAAATTTTGCTTGGTATATAATGTTTTTGCATGTTCAATGAGTTAATAACTCTTATATAAATACTACCGGCAGTCCATACACAACAGGAGCAGCTCCGTTCAAGTATTTCAAGTGGCATACAGTCCTTGAATCAGCAACTGCTTGGGGAACCCCAGTAATCACTGTGTTTGGTTTCGCATCAAGTAAATTGCATTTCTCAAGCATCTCGATACTAAACTTGTCAATATCTTTGTCAGTAACATCCCAGAGGTTACCTAAGACCATAACAGAGTTACCATACATGTATGATTCCGCTACACAGTTTGGATTAAGATTTCCATTAAGCTTTGTCGCTGCTGAAGAACAACCCATTAGAAATACCGGAGGTAGCTTGTCACACCTTTCTATTGTACAGTTACGAACGTATTGCTCCCCCCCACCATGTCCTACATACAAAAATACCTTTGAATTAGTCAAATAGTCCATATATTCTTCCTCAGTTGGTTTTTGGTTGACTAAAAGTCGAGATCCAGCTCGACTATCCTGAATCCTTTCAAAAATATCCTTGAAGGTCTTTTCTGTCCGAACAAGGTCGCTATTGCTATTCAATATCATTGAAATATCGTTCGTCCTTTCAATTTTAACAGGTAAATTTCCTTTAATGCTAGACAATAAATTGGATAATATAGTAAGCGATGGTACTCTAGTAACTGAGCGACCTTTGAGTGGTTTCATTATTTCCCAAGGGAATGTATGACAACTGGGTCCCACAACTAAGAAGGTATGTTCGATTTTGGTGAATAATTTTTTGTTTACTCGAACCTTTCTGATCTCTTCTTCCAATAATACATGGAGTAACCCAAAATCTATTTCATCATAAGCATTTTCTTCACCTTTATGTGATAGAGTATCCAAAATAAAATAAATGACATCTTCAAGTGCAGTGAAAAATCCAAGATCACTAGGATCTAGATCTAACAATAAACTGATTATCCACTCATCCAGCTGTAGAAAATTTGCTCTGTTACAACAATTTCTCCTGCTAGGTAGTATCTGATTTAAAATTGCGGTTATCTTTGATTGAAATTCTAGTAGCGCATCCTTATCACAATACAATCCGTTTAATATACCAGATAACCCATTTAGCCATGTTTTCTCAATCCTCTCAATTAGATTGCCAAGTAATTCATCTAAATCATACCTTCGTTTCCACCAGTTGCGTACATCATTCTTGTCTTTTATAGTTTCAGTAACATTTTTGGATACACTTTCATTACTATCGTTAATTATCTTTTGTAAACTTTCTGACGCTTGTTGAAATGTTAAAGAATCTGCATCTAAATCCCTAGAAACATTTCGATCTATGGGTATTTTGGCCATGATATTTTTCGAATCCAGATTTGAAATTCTTCTTATTATCAGAGTATTAGTCAGTTTACATATATCAATGCATATTACTTCCACTGTGATATTACACAAATCTAGTAAACGGTCTTTTCCAATTTGCTCTTCCCAGTTAAGCGTTACATTTTTAGATTTCATAATCTCATAATTTGATGATTCGAGTTCAAATATAGTTTTACCATATATGTCGCAATTTTTATCGGCCAGTAAACTTTCATAAGTATGTGTTATTTCCGAAGGTAACTCATTTAACTGAGTGATTGTTTCTTCAATTAATTGCTTCCTCGACTCTGGTACTGACAGTAACGAAATTAGGTAAAAATAGTTTAGTCGGTAGATATCAGAAACCTTTAAAATTACGTTTCTTTCAGTGAGTTCTTGTCTCATAGCGTTAAATGTTGTAAAGAACTCGTCCAGTATATCCATTACAATGTGCTTATTAGTTTTAAAACTTGTCGGTCTCCGTTTGGGTGTCATGTTCGAGGACCGATTTGTGCTGTTTGATGATATCATCCCAACATCCAAAATATTGCTTAAACTCCCTGGTGATACACAATTCAAATTTGCTAAAATTGTTTCATTCAAACTTTTCAAAAATGGATCTGCATCAATCTCTAGTACTAATCTCTGGTTGATATGTACAATCTTGTTAAAGAAATTCATATTACTATATTGTGTTGGACATTCATCACAGATGTTACCGAGCTTAAGTTTCCAGCTCAAAAAAAAGTCGGTATCGTTCAGGTCATAACCGAAGTACAATCTTAGTGACTCCTGGATTTTATCATATTCTTCATTAATATATAAAAAGCTGGTAGTATTGATAATATCATGCTCTGCATTTAGATTATCAAAGACATAGTTTGCATTTTTCTTATGCGTCAACGCAGAATCATAATCCCCATTCTCTAGATAAAATTCAAATAAGAGAACATGTACTGAAAATAAAAAAATAGGTTGGTCAAAAACTGGCAGTAATTTTGTAACTTCTTTACAGTAATATTGAGCGCCCTTCGCAAGACCCACTGCAGTGTAGATTTTAATTAAATTGGAATAAGATGATACTAATTGATTCAAAACTGTTAATCTGTCATTTAAATCTAGCTTTTCAATTATTTTTAGAACAGATTTTCCAATTTTTAGACCTTTTTTACTGACCTCCACTGCATAAGAGTAGCACTTCTTTTGGTTTAACAAGCTGGCATAATAGTTAGCAAACTTAATATTGAAAATAAGTTTCTGAAAGTATTTATTCAGGTTAGATTTGTCATTAGTACTAAAATCCAAAATATGCTCCTTAATATCCTTGGGTACTCTTTCATTGCTAGAAGTAAAAAGTTCGGGTGAATCTTCCCAGGAAGCGTACAACAAACTCATAATTAAATGGTTGTAAATATCTTTCTCGTCATCAAATTTGATTTCTCCTTTTTGATTAGTAAATTGATCAAAAACATGTTTTGTCCTATTCTTTAATTTCAAACGCATACACGAATGAGCCTTATAAGTGATATAATCATTTGATAAAGTTTTGTAATATTCTGTTCTTTTCTCTAAAATTCCAACAACTGATAGAAGAAGTTTATGGTAGCCATTTATCGATAGATAGTTAAGCAGCTTTTTGATAAAATCGTTCTCGATTCTGGAGCAATAATTAACTTTATTATCTTTGGTAGCAAACTGACAAAATGTTTTAGTGACCTGCACCAGATACATTGTTCTTCCCTTTGCGATATCATTATTTAACAAATAGTTGCATTTCAGAAGCGGAAAAACGTCATACACAATGCCATCTTGATTACTACTATCGTTATACTCCTCTGAAGTAAGCACTTTTTCGGGGAAGAATGACGATTGAAGTAGTAAAATACAGGGCTCCATACACTCATTATTTGGGTACCTATCATTTGTAACTCCGGCAATTATTCCCTTCATTACTTCTGACTTGCATTCTAGGTTTTCCCACTTTAGAGTCCCGATTTTCCTTTTGACAATAGCGGCTATATATTCACAAACTGCGTAGACTTCATTAAAGTGCTCTTTACCGTCGAATAAAGTATGATGATAAAAAATTTGTAAAATTTTGTATCTGTTTCTAATCTCTTTAGTTGCAGAAAGAAATACATTGAATTTATTCAGATCAGATGGTTTGATTTTTTCGGTTTCTTTGTAATTCAATAACAACCTAGAAAATTCAAATTTAGATACCAGTAAAAGTAACTCAGAATTTTTTGTTTTCAGTGCAATGTTATATGCCACAGCCATGGTGTTCTCAAACGTTTTATGTAGAGAGTTTGTTGTACAAAACTGTATCATGGACTCGATAAGTTTTATAAGGGGAGAAATATCGTTAGATAAATACTTCACATTGCTATTCAGTAAGATTATTATCTTATCCAAAAATTTCAAGACTGGTTTCGATATCTCGTAGCATTTTATTTGAAAAATTGACAATATTCTTTGTATCAACAAAATGCTTTTCTCATCAAGCTCTTTCTCAAAGACTCTTCCCTCTTCAGCGATAATGTTGATAAGGTCATTTAATTGCTTGGTAGACATCATATACTTGTCAAAGAACCTTTCATTCCGCTCTAAATTAGTAACTACATTCTGTAAATTGAAAAATCCTTCTGGCACATGCTCAGCCGATGTACTAGAAAATAGTTGATCATTATTTGATTTATATTGCATCTGGTAACTGAAATAGAACATGCTCAAGTATCTTGATGTGAGAGTATTGTTTGAAGTCTTCTGTCTTCCTAACTGCTGTAAGAAAGCATCTCTAGTCATGTTTTTTATAAACTCATCATATCTGAAGTTAAATTGTGCAATATACTGCAAGAACTTCAATCCAAAAAGCAAACGATATTCCTTGAACTTAGAGTAGTAGTTAAGTATTAATTTAATTACAGTATTCTTCTTTAATTTATGATCCTCCAATAAAAGCTTTCTATCGTAGGCAAACAGCTTTATGACACTAATAATGCTCTCAGATACATCATGCTTTTTTAATAATGTTTGTAACACTAATATCTTCAATGAGGATAAGTATTCCTTATTGTTTTTTGTATAATCACATAGAAGCAATTGCTGAATCTCTGAAATGGAATTCCTATTTGTGTTATTGTATAATGAAATGATATTCCTGGATGCGCTATTCAAGCAATTACCATTGATTAATTTCACTATAAGTAAAAGATGTTGCTTTGTTATTAAATTAATAACTCGGAGACCATGTATGCGGTAATAATAGCTGTATGTGTTGCTTAAGGTAGTTTCGATCTCGCTTGATGATCCTTCATCGGAGACGGTAAGGTTTGAGACTGCATAAGATAAATTTGATACTGTATATTGGTGCATTAAATGGTGTGTACAATTATTATCATGTGTCACTCCCCGTTTAAGTGAGTGGGATAAAGTTTTATACTCATCACCTAACTGTGCATTCAAGTCAACTTCATGGAGACTATTATCAAATCGTACCATTGATTAGTAGGTAATCCAGCTTCAACTGTTCAGTTCAATAAAGTTCCTTATGCAATTTCACCACAAAAGTAGTATCAATCCGGTTCCTGCCCTGATTTTTTGTTTGTGTTTTGTATCAGTATAAGCAAAAGTTCAATATTATAATAATTGCAAATAAAAGCTGCTGCTTAACTTTTGAACATTCAAATAGTAAAAAAGTAAGCTTACTGGTGTAGGATATACACTATGGTTTTTCTTGGTTAACTCATGAAATATTATCTATTTATGGTGCTACTGTGTGTTTACATTTAGAAAATCCGAGAATGCATGGAAAAGGCGAAGAAAATCCACATAGCCATCAGATAAGTAAAGTGATGAGCTATGTCAAATTGTAGAACAAAATGAATTGCGAAAATATCCTTTTCAGCTTCTAACAGTTTGTTTAACAACAAGATATGTTTCATTTGAAGAATTTCTATGGTTCTAAACAATCGAGATAGAAAAAGATTAAGTATAACTTTAATTACTTAGAAAAAAACATACTTAACATAAAAATGTTGATGAATAGTGAAGAATATAAAAAAAATGGGAGCTATTTTCTAATTTACTTATTGATCATGAATATGTATGACTTGTTCTAATTGTTCAAAGCACTATCTACTCTATCGATCGCTGCCTTAATCTTCATACCAACACGACTACTCAACTCATAGTCGTCAGCATAATTTTGAGCTCTCAATAGCCATTCCTTACATTCGGATAAACCTTGCACTCCGTTTAGTTTCCAGCAAAATAAAGCACGTTCATACAATGCAGATGGGTACAGCCATGGGTCCTCGTTTTTCTTTACATACTCAACTTTCCCATCGGGTAATTCCTTGAAGAAAGTAGGTAGTACTTTCTGATCTAATAAGTCACAGCCTTCCTTGATTTTATCGGATCTTCTTAAACATAGAGAAACTAGTAAATCTCTGATCAAGTTTTGGTCAGGATCATTGGCTTCGACAGCTGGGTTTTTGTATTCAGTTAGCATCTTTTTGGAGATATCTAAATGCTTCTGAGACATTCTATTAAAACCGTTGTAGAAATAAGCGATTTCATATACAGGACCTGTGGCAATAGCATCAAGTGGATTTGTCAAGTTCAGTTTTACTTGCATAGCTTTGAATTGATCCACCTTTCTGGCAACAAATCTATCTAATGGCAGATTTTTGGATCTCCAGGTTTTCTTACCTAGGTAATCAACTGACTTGAAAATAAGAGTGGTTGCCTTTTCTTTATAAAATTCCTCCTTATCGCTCTTCAAGTCACCCATTTGAATCATTCTCCAGTTTTCCAAATAACAGCACCCTGCAAAGTAACTGTAGAAGGCGTGAGACCAATCGCTAATATCTAAAAGAGATAAAATGTCGTCAGCAGCTCTATCGTATTCATGAAGATGAATCAATGTAATAGCTCTATCAAAAATCATTAGTGTCTTAACCTGTCTCATTTGAATGCTATTTACATCAATAGAATCCATCAAAGCAACAGCGTCTTCTAATCTACCTTTACCAGAAAGCATTCTAGCTTCATTCAATAGCCACAGAGCACTATTAGGGAACAATGCACGCGATTTTAATAAAGCATCTTCCAATATTTTGCCTGGATGCAAGATTGTGTTGCTATCCATATGAAGATCATCGTCTTTTAATTTCAGAGATTCCATATCTTTAGTCATAGTAGATGTATCATCGTTATTTTCTTCCTGACCCTTTTTATCCTCAGTTGAGTTCAAGTATTCCTTCACCGAGGCGGGAACATCAAAGTCATCATCAGTAAATTGGAATGGGCCATCATAATAAAACATAAGACCAAGAAGGCCAATGCAGCCATGAACATTTCTGTGCTTGGTGGCCTTCCACACCAACCTCAAACCTTCTTCACGGGAACCACGGAATCCGACGGCTGAAAGGACGGCACCAATGGCAGGTGGTAATAATGAAAGAACAACTTGCAAAATACCAAAACATAAGTTAACACCGGAGTGAATAAACTCATCTATTGTGGCTTGGCTTCTATCAACATCATCAGAAAGAGGAAGATGCTCTTTGATTTCTTCCTTTGGCAAGGAGTTCATGGCTTGCAAACCCAAATCGTTTCTTAGCCTGTTGATTGCAGGTGGGTTGTCAATATGTGCCCCAGATAATCTCTTTGCACGCATTTTATGAACTTTGTCGGCGAATTCTAGTAGCTCTTTATCCTTGGCTTCTTCCTCAGTAAGTTTGTATGGGATATCAATCGAGTTAAAGATGTCACCTTCTGAAATGAAGCTAGCTGAGGAAGATTTACTTTCCTCACCATTATTTTCAGCATTTGTGATAGAAGCTTCATTGGCGGCTTTGATTTGTTCTAGTACCTCTTGTAAAGTATAGTACGCCTTTCTCAGCTTCAAAAGCGCCTTCGCAACTTCCATCATACTTTCACTAAAAATCATAAGCAATGCATGTAGAAGCAATGATTCAGTATATGTAACGGCAAAAACAGTACCTGGTGGATATTTACTGCTGTTACTCAAGTTTAGCTTTTCAGCATTAGCCTTGCTCTTTTGCGACAAGGTTTCGGCCTTGGCCAAAGTAGCAGAGGCTTTCTTCATCTCCTCGGCTTCAAAACTTAGCGTAGCCTCCAAGAATTCAATAACACCACGAGCTAGTACATTAATAGTCCTTTCATCTTCATTAGCAGAATCATCGCTTTCTTTTAGCAAATTTAGACCTCTCTCTGGATTATCGTCTAGAACATAGTCCATAGCACGCAAAGCAACCTCAAAGTCATACGCTTGCTGCAAAATTAGCTTGGTCTTCTCTTCCTGTGTAAGCTCTGGAGCTTTATTCCCTCCAAAGAAACTGAACATACTGGGAGGTTCTTCTATAAATTAATGTCTGAAGTGTATACTTTTTAAAGTTACTCCTGTTACCCGCTTTCAACAACTCCTAAGCGATAAAGATACTTTCTATAACTAATGAGTTTGAAGCAATGGATGATTTATAATAGTTACAAGAACAAGGTAATGTGCACCGAACAATATTTGACACCTCGACCTTCCTTTTATATAACTTCACCTATGTGCGCTACCTGCCCAATACTCTGCTGTTGGTTTGAAAACTCAACTAAGCTGGACCAAAGTTAGGAAACTGCTCATCTGGGGGGGGAGGCCAGGACCACCGCAAAAGTTGAGCAAACCCTCAGCCCATGATGGTGATAGAGAACCACCTTAGTGCCACCCCTTCTACTGTTTTGGCAGGGGAGATTTACTATTAACTCACTATTCACTACACAAAATGTTCACAGCTTCTTCTCTGTGAGTAGGGGGGATCAAGCTAACTTATCTCTTTGAAAGAAGTGGCCGAAGGGGGCTACTAAAGATGCGGTGCATAGAATATCTTCAACCAGGCTTTACTAGGACTGATGTTGAAGGAGCTTTATGGAAAGACCTTCCAGCTAGGGATAGTGCCCTCATTGGTGAAGTTGCCGCAACTCTCTTTTGTGTGAGTTTGCGATAATGGTTAGGAGAAAAAAGTAAGACTAATGTATAACTGCCCCCTTTATCTATAATGGAAAAGTGCGAGATGAGCAGTGAGCCTCTTCTGCTATTAACATTCTTGGGCCAAAAAGGGCATCTGATCTCGCGGTAACTGATGAAACTATCGACGGGCGTACTAAGATGTGCATTTACCTAAGCCTGCGAGGCTAAGAGACAATGTATAATTCAAGGTACGGTTCATTTTGTATATCTTAGGGACTGGATATGGAAATTCATCCGGCATTTAATATGAACCTATTGTGTAGGATATATCTTAACGTAGTATCTATGTGGGAATTATTAGATGTGGGGCATACCAGCCGGTGTATTTTATAAAATTGTAATTACTTGTTTATAAATGAAGTTATATTCTTCAAAAGTGTATTATGCGGAGAAATTAAACTGTAAGAAAAATGTTAGCGGTCATGATTGCAAAAGATTGGACTTACGAATAGTACAATAAAAACTATCAAAGAGTTGATTTTCTGTTAAAACTTCTCAGTCTTCAAGACCAGTTTACCTCTAGCCCTTTGTGTGTTCATATAAGAGAAAGCTTCTTTGCAGTTTTTCCAATCATACTGCTTGTCGACGAGACATTTGATTAAGCCGCTCTCTAGCAATTCACCACATTTCACCAGCCAACTGTCCTTTGTGTTAAGCTTTGAACTTGGATCGAAGTAGAAATGATGGTAATGGAAAGACCAAAGCATGGTACTGAACATCTTTCTAGCATTAGCACTTGGGTTATCCCATGAGTTGAATATATCTTCTTTATAGTTGGCAACATAGTCACCAACGGTTGTGATATAGGCACCGCCAGTCTTAATCAAATCCTTAGAGTGAGCAATGATATCATAGCCACCGACAAAGTCAAGAACGACATCAAACTTACCTTCCGTATAAGGTATAGTAACCTCCCCTTTGGAGTCATCATAGTCAACTATTTGTTGTTCATTGATCATTTGTCTCAAGGGCTTGCTTGACTTCCCTCTACAAGTCAAGTAGTTGATAAAAATCATTTCTTCAGCTATATCTGGAAATTTCTCCATTAGGTAGTCCGAGTTAGTACCTGAGGTGACGATGACCAATTTCTTTTTTAGGTTTAAATGGTATTTCAAAAGTTGAATCATGAACAAACCTACAGACGATGTACCACCATTAATTAAAACATTAGAGTTTTCGTTCAAGTATTTGTTCTTCTTTAAGTAGGACATGATATTGTAAGCAGTTCCCATACACCAGAGGGCACCAGCAGCTTCCTGTGGAGAAAGAGAAGAAGGTCTTGGTAGAATAGGATCGGTAGATGGGTCAACTAATATAGATGAAGCTGCGCAACCTTTGCCCAAATGAGGGTGGTAATAAATACCGTAAACTTCATCACCTACATTCCAATACTCACTAGCGTTAGAACCTACTTCTGTGATGACACCACTGTATTCTCGACCGAGTCCGATTTGACCGTAAATTGCAGAAGCATAACCGTTCTTAATCTTCTGATCAACTGGGTTGAGAGCAAAATAATTGACTTCCACAACGATCTTATTCTTTGGGACTGGCATTTTTATCTTATTATCGTATGTAAATTCAATGGGACCCTGTTTGGAATGGAAACATAGAGCTTTTACAGGGATGTGTTTAATGTGTCTTAAAGGTCTTGCTACTCTTGTTAGTTTTGGAGCATCCGGCTTGATTTCCTTTGGTGCTGGTGATTCATGCTCTACAGTCATCAACTGTAAAGTAGGGTCGTTCTTTAACTTATCAGACATTCTCTATTCTTGTGTGTATTTATCTGCTTATACTTCTTAAAAGATAAAAATAGCTTATTATGTTTCTTTCTCAAACAGGCAGGAAGATATTTTTCTTTCTGATTATCTTTTGTATCTTTGACAATCTTTTTATAAGCTTTATACTAGTCCCAAAATATTAGGTGGCTGACTGTTCCAAAATAGACCTTACTCTACTGTTAGATTGAGATAAAATCGGTTTCTTTTAGTTCCAAAGAGTACAATAGATTTTTCTTTTCAAACTTATCTCTTTTGTCTAATTGTTATCTCTGTTCAAAACTACAATACGTAAAAAGAAAAGCATTAGTTTTATAATACATATGTTCAAAAATCGGTCTATGAGCAGCTAAATCCCAAGATCTCCATAGCTAGTAGCAATCCACTGTCTTTCTGATATGTTTTCATCATGCGAAGCTGTGTTTGCAAAAACAAACATTGAGCAGGTAAACAGATCAAAGGAAATGAGATGAAAAAAAACAAACACACTTTGGACCCACCGAGCTTGTACGTATTTTTTAATTGCGTGTATGAGTATAAAATGCCGTTAAAAAAGGAAAGAAAAAAAAAAAAACCGAAGCAATTACTTTCAACTCATCGCAACAAAAGGTAAACTCAGAACGGGATTGGAAAAAAAAAAACGGCGCAGGGATCTGGTACAATTTGATTTCGCAAGTTTTTCAATTATCCCGCAATATTGGCAAACTTTTTCCAGGAAAATAACGCAATGACGTAGTGGTATTAAGTGATATCCATTATTTCAGTCAGTATCCTACTACTTTCAGGATATCCATTTATATAGTTGTCTAGGTACGGGAAACCTTGTGAGACGTAATGTAAATCAGCTTACATGAACTCATAAACACATTTTTTTTTTTCATATTGGGTGTGATGAAATTTTGTTTAAGTCATGCTATAGACATGTGAAAAAGATGTATAGTATCTCCAAAACCACACAAAAATGCAATAGTATCAATCAGATGATGCCATTTCTAAATGTAATCAAATAGATTGCTTCCTATTTATGTATTTTTTCAAAGTGGGTTTGTATTTTTATCACTGTAAGATCTAGTGCCGGATAACAGTGGTTCGTAGCCCCTTTTTATAACCTCTATTTTATAGTTGTTATGTCTGTTGCTTGAAGATGGCAACCCCTGAGGGATAGTACAGGCTGAGGGGGCTGGGCGGCTAAACGTAAACGATTTTCAGATCAAGGATATAATTAAGGGGGGGAAGGATAAATTGAATTAGATTACCAGAAATGGTAACAAAAATAGATGATATTTGGTGGGGGGGATTGCAATCCCTAAGTAGTTCAGGGACATAATAATTAAGAAAATCCTACGGGATATTCTTGGGTGCGCTATTTTCAACTACCCATTTCCTATTGCAAGGACTACTAAATTGCCATTAATTAACCGCGCAAAGGGAAGCAAGGGAAGGGGAGTTAATTAGCAAGTGTAAATCCGAGGTTCTGAGAGAAACTAGATGGAACCAGTATCACACTCTATATTCATAGGGATGGTGAAGGCACTTTGGACAATGGAGATCCCCAGCATCATTGCAATGTAGTCCTTTATTCGTGCGGTAATTTCTGACGGACACAACTGAAAAATTCTGCATTTTTTTTTCACTTTCTCGTCGCTTCAGGTTTCTTCCAGAACGTTCAAAACGTTTGCTTTAAAGACACTCCTCTGCGACACTTTTACTGTACTCTAGTCAAAAGATACTCTCAGTGGCCGCACCACAAAAAATGGAAGGAACCCTTGAACGAATGGGGTAATTTTTAAGGGACGCAGGATGCTCAGAGTAGGTAATAAGGGCTAAATGGCCGAGGGGAAGGAAGAAGAAATGATATAGTCAGAAAAGGTAGTGCGTTTGTTTCAGTGGGGGGGAGGGAATTAAATGAGAGAAAATGGAAGAGCTCACCAAGAAAGAGTGCAGAGAAAGCAAAAAAAAGAAGTGCGGAATGTTCCAATTTAGAAGCAGGATATTTTTAAGGGCTGAGCGGTTATTCTGGGAGTCATCCTCCTTATTATTAACTTTCGTTGTTCTAGAAGGTGCCAGACCCCCCCCCTTACCCGATGTTGGCACTCTAAGAAAACACAGAAGAGACAAGAGATGATTAGTTAATTTTACTGGCTGCGGAGTTACCACCCCCCCTTAAAGAACTCCCCTTATAACAATGTGGCTACAGTGTCGCTAATGAATAGAGCTATAAGCTGTAAGGTGCAGCCTCAGAATGATTCGCAGGCAATGGTATTATGGGATTTCGATTGTGTTTGTTCTCTGAGAAGCTATGAGAAGCTATGAGAAGCTCTGAGAAGCTCTCAGCCATCACTAGAATGTTCCTGCATGTTCTGTTGAATTGGGTGTACTCAATGCAACTGCACTCCCACACTCAATTGGTAGAGGGGGGTGTAGAGGAGAAGCGCACAAAACCCTCAAATATGTTATGGTAATCCAAACGATGCCGGATACCGGTGAAGGGGGAGGGGATGGAAAAGTATATAAAGGGCAGATACCAATCAAAGAATCTCAATTGTCTCTCTAGTCCAGTAAAATACTACAACAAATCATAGTAAAAAAAAATAAATACAAAAAAAAAAGTACAAATGTCTAAGGCTGTTGGTATTGATTTAGGTACTACTTACTCATGTGTTGCACACTTCGCTAACGATCGTGTTGAAATTATTGCTAACGATCAAGGTAACAGAACTACTCCATCATATGTTGCTTTCACAGACACTGAGAGATTGATTGGTGATGCTGCTAAGAACCAAGCCGCAATTAACCCTAAGAACACAGTGTTCGATGCTAAGAGACTGATAGGGCGTAAGTTCGATGACGCTGAAGTTACAAATGATGCTAAGCACTTCCCATTCAAGGTGATAAATAAGGATAGTAAGCCAGCTATAGAGGTAGAATTCAAAGGTGAAACGAAAACTTTCACCCCAGAAGAGATCTCTTCTATGGTCCTGGGTAAGATGAAAGAGACCGCTGAGCAATTTTTGGGTACTACTGTGAACGATGCAGTGGTCACCGTGCCCGCTTACTTCAATGACTCCCAAAGACAAGCTACTAAGGATGCTGGTACAATTGCTGGTCTAAATGTGCTACGTATCATTAACGAACCTACAGCAGCTGCTATTGCTTATGGTTTGGACAAGAAAGGTGCTAGCGAGCATAATGTTTTGATTTTCGATCTTGGTGGTGGTACCTTCGATGTTTCCCTATTATCCATTGACGATGGTGTCTTCGAAGTTAAGGCTACTGCTGGTGATACTCACTTGGGTGGTGAAGATTTCGATAACAGACTAGTCACTCATCTGGCAAATGAATTCAAGAGAAAGAACAAGAAGGACCTAACCACCAACCAAAGAGCACTAAGGAGATTGAGAACTGCAGCAGAGAGAGCTAAGAGAGCTTTGTCTTCTTCTTCTCAAACTTCAATTGAAATTGATTCTCTCTTTGAAGGTGTCGATTTTTACACTTCTATCACTAGAGCCAGATTTGAGGAGTTGTGTGCTGATTTGTTCAGATCCACCTTGGAGCCAGTAGAGAAAGTTTTGAGAGACTCCAAACTAGACAAGTCTCAAATTGATGAAATTGTCTTGGTCGGTGGTTCCACCAGAATCCCAAAGGTTCAAAAGCTTGTCTCTGACTTCTTCAACGGTAAGGAGCCAAACAGATCCATTAACCCAGATGAAGCAGTCGCCTACGGTGCCGCTGTTCAAGCCGCTATCTTGACCGGTGATCAATCCTCCAAGACACAAGACCTTTTGTTGTTGGATGTCGCTCCATTGTCTCTTGGTATTGAAACAGCTGGTGGTATTATGACCAAGTTGATCCCAAGAAACTCCACAATCCCAACTAAGAAGTCTGAAGTCTTCTCCACTTACGCAGACAACCAGCCTGGTGTTTTAATTCAAGTCTTTGAAGGTGAAAGAACTAAGACAAAGGACAACAACTTGCTAGGTAAGTTTGAATTATCTGGTATTCCACCTGCTCCAAGAGGTGTTCCACAGATCGAGGTTACTTTCGATATTGATGCCAATGGTATCTTGAATGTCTCCGCTGTCGAAAAGGGTACTGGTAAGTCTAACAAGATCACCATCACCAATGATAAAGGTAGATTATCCAAGGAGGATATCGAAAAGATGGTTGCCGAAGCTGAGAAGTTCAAGGCTGAAGATGAGAAGGAAGCTGAACGTGTTCAAGCAAAGAACCAATTGGAATCTTACGCCTTCTCATTGAAGAATACTTTGAATGAGGCCAGTTTCAAAGAAAAGGTCGGTGAAGAAGACTCCAAGAAATTGGAAACTGCTGCCCAAGAGACCATTGACTGGTTAGACGCATCCCAAGCAGCTTCAACCGATGAATACAAGGACAGACAAAAGGAATTAGAGGCCGTCGCCAACCCAATTATGAGCAAGTTCTACGGTGCCGCTGGCGGTATGCCAGGTGCTGGTGGAATGCCTGGTGCTGGTGGTATGCCTGGTGCTGGTGCTGGTACCGGTGCTGCTGATTCCGGTCCAACCGTTGAAGAAGTTGATTAAACGATTGACTCATTTATCTGAGTTTGTTTTTTTTATCTCACGACTGGAGATTATGTTGTATTGTAATCTTCACGTGTTCGGCTCCATTAATGTTTTTAAGATTAGTTGGATAACAAAAAATTTTCTTTATATATGAATAATTTATAAACTTTAAGGTGTATTTAGGATTAAATGATATATTTTATTATCTTATTCTTTAAATGAAACAGTTCGCTACAGTTCGATCAAGAATTTTTTAACTATCAAAATGGTTCAGCTAGTTCGCCACTGAGTTACCAATCATCAGTCAGATGCAAAATTACTCGAGAATCTTTGACAGATTATTACATAGCTGGATATTGAGAACATATAACCTTTCTTCAACAACCAAGCGGGATACTTGAATTGCTGATATAATATTCGTAGCTATATGACTAATTCATAAACATATCTTCGTACGTCGACATTTCCACACTATTATTTTTTTTCATATTCCATTTTGCGTCAAAATCAGCAATTCATGCTTGAAAAAAAAATTTCAACGATGTCCATCGATTTTAAGCAATGTGATACCATATAATTGTATATTATAACCTTTTTAATTTATTGCAGTTTATTTTACTTTTCTTGCTTTATTGTTCATATAGTAGGTAAAAGACATAAGAACTAAATAACTATGGCTGAAGCATCTGCTCATTTTTCCTTCCCAAAGGAAGAAGAGAATGTTTTGGCATTATGGAACGAAATTGATGCCTTTCACAGGTCTATGGAATTAACTAAGGATAAACCAGAATTTTCTTTCTTCGATGGTCCTCCATTTGCTACTGGTACCCCTCATTATGGTCACATTTTGGCCTCTACCATTAAGGATATTGTTCCAAGATATGCCACCATGACTGGCCACCACGTTGAAAGACGTTTTGGTTGGGATACACACGGTGTTCCAATTGAACATATTATTGACAAGAAGTTGGGTATCAAGGGTAAGGAAGATGTCTTCAAGTATGGTCTAGATAACTACAACAACGAATGTAGAGCGATTGTTATGACTTACGCCGACGAATGGAGAAAGACTATTGGTCGTCTAGGTCGTTGGATTGACTTTGACAATGATTACAAGACTATGTATCCATCCTTTATGGAATCTGTATGGTGGGCTTTCAAGCAATTGCATGAAAAGGGTCAAGTCTACAGAGGTTTCAGAGTCATGCCATATTCCACCGGTTTGACAACCCCATTGAGTAATTTCGAAGCTCAACAAAACTATAAGGATGTTAACGATCCAGCCGTTACCATTGGTTTCAACGTTATCGGTCAAGAAAAAACTAAACTTGTTGCCTGGACCACCACACCATGGACTTTACCTTCCAACTTGGCTCTTTGTGTTAACCCTGAATTTGAATACGTTAAAATATATGACGAAAACAAGGACTGTTACTTCATCTTGTTGGAGTCTTTGATTAAGACCCTGTACAAGAAGCCAGCTGCTGAAAAGTACAAGATAGTTGAGAAGATAAAGGGTTCTGAGCTTGTTGGTCTAAAATATGAGCCAATTTTCCCATACTTTTACGAGCAAATGAAAGAAACAGCTTTCAGAGTTATTGCTGGTGATTATGTTACTGCTGATTCTGGTACTGGTATTGTCCATAATGCTCCTTCTTTTGGTGAAGAGGATTATGCAGTTTGTTTAGAAAATGGTGTTATTAGTGAAGATACTGTTGCGCCAAACCCAGTTGATGACAACGGTAAGTTCACTTCCGATGTCACTGATTTCGCTGGTATCTATGTCAAAGATGCTGATAAGTTGATTATTAAGCACTTAACTGAAACTGGTAACCTACTACTAGCTTCTCAAATTCGCCACTCTTACCCATTCTGTTGGAGATCAGACACACCTCTTTTGTATCGTTCAGTTCCAGCTTGGTTTGTTCGTGTCAAGGAAATTGCTCCAAAAATGTTGGACTCTGTTATGAATTCTCATTGGGTCCCTAACACCATTAAAGAAAAGAGATTTGCTAACTGGATCGCCAATGCTCGTGATTGGAACGTTTCCAGAAACAGATACTGGGGTACACCTATCCCATTGTGGGTCTCTGACGACTTCGAGGAAATTGTCTGTGTGGGATCCATTGAGGAACTAGAGCAACTGAGTGGTGTCAAGAACATTACGGATCTACATCGTGATAAGATTGATCACATCACTATTCCATCAAAAATGGGTAAGGGTGATTTGAAGAGAATTGAGGAAGTTTTTGACTGTTGGTTCGAATCTGGTTCTATGCCTTATGCTTCTCAACATTATCCATTTGAAAATACCGAGAAATTTAGTGACAGAGTTCCAGCTAATTTCATTTCCGAAGGTCTTGATCAAACAAGAGGTTGGTTCTACACCTTAAGTGTTTTGGGTACGCATTTGTTTGGTGAAGTCCCATATAAGAATGTTATTGTTTCCGGTATTGTCCTTGCCTCTGACGGTAGAAAGATGTCCAAGTCTTTGAAGAATTATCCTGATCCAAACATCGTTCTAGAAAAGTACGGTGCTGATGCATTGAGATTGTATTTGATCAACTCCCCAGTTTTGAAGGCAGAAAGTTTGAAGTTTAAGGAAGAAGGTGTCAAGGAAGTTGTTACTAAGGTTTTATTGCCATGGTGGAACTCTTATAAGTTTTTGGAAGGTCAGCTTGCCCTTCTAAAGAAGACTTCTGATGTTGACTTCAAATACGATCCAAAACTATCTAGTGACAACGTCATGGACAGATGGATTTTAGCTTCTATGCAATCTTTAGTTCAATTTATCCACCAAGAGATGGCAGTCTACAAGTTGTACACTGTTGTTCCAAAGCTACTGCATTTCATCGATGAGTTGACAAATTGGTATATTAGATTTAACCGTCGTCGTTTGAAGGGTGAAAATGGTGTTGATGACTGTTTGAAGGCTTTGAACACTTTGTTCGATGCTCTTTTCACTTTTGCTCGTGCTATGGCTCCATTCACTCCATTTTTAGCTGATGGTATCTATCAAAGACTAAGAGCATACATCCCAGAAGAAGTCTTGGCTCAATTTGGTCAAGACGGTAGGTCAGTACATTTCTTAAGCTACCCAGAGGTTAGACAAGAACTATTTGATGAAGCCATTGAAACTGCAGTTGGTAGAATGCAGTCAGTTATTGACTTGGGTAGAAACATTCGTGAAAAGAAAACCATTTCTTTGAAGACTCCATTAAAAACTTTGGTTATCCTGCACAGTGATGAAACATATCTAAAGGATATTGAAGCCTTGAAAAACTACATCATTGAAGAACTAAATGTCAGAGATGTTATTATTACTACTGATGAAGAGAAGTATGGTGTTGAATACAAGGTTGTTGCTGACTGGCCTGTTCTAGGTAAGAAGTTGAAGAAGGATGCTAAGAAGGTTAAGGATGCTTTACCAAAGGTCTCCAGTGATGAAGTTAAACAATACATGGAAACAGGTAAGCTAGTAGTAGATGGTATCGAACTTGTCGCTGGTGATTTGAACGTTATTAGAGGTTTACCAGAATCTGCTGCTGCTAACGGCCAAGAAACAAGAACTGATCAAGAAGTTTTGATCATTCTGGACACAAATGTGTATGAAGACTTGAAAACGGAAGGTTTGGCCAGAGAGTTGATTAACAGAATTCAAAAATTGAGAAAGAAATGTGGCCTAGAGGCCACTGATGATGTTCTTGTTGAATACGAATTGGTAAAGGACACTATAAATTTTGAGGATGTTGTCAATACCCACAGAGACATGCTAACGAAGACCTGTAGATCTAACATTGCCTTATGTGATGGTTCCAAGGATCACGCTCTTGTTGACGAAGAACAAAGTATCAATGACACCATCTTCAAATTGAAGATTTTCAAGTTATAATTGCATAGAAATATCAACGCATGAAACTTTTCACACTGGTACTGGTTGCTTCTATTCAAGCTAGTCGTGAGAACATTTACTTTAAAGTTTACTGTACTATACCATTATAGATCATCTCTGATGACAATTGATAGATATTCTATCTGGAAGATGACTATCTATAGATTATATAAAACTAAAATACCATTAATTTAAGTATAAAATGAACTTATCAATATGAAATGATGAAATAATTAGGAATTCAAAATTGTATTATCACTTAGCAAATATTATCACCACTCAATCAGATGTTTTGGATTATCATCTTACTGGGATGAGCTGGGATGAGATGGGATGAGATGAAACTTACAGAAATAATAGTTAGTATGGAAACAATAATTGGATCTCTATTACATCGCAATTAGACAATACGTTATTTATAACATCAGAAAGAACACAATTGAGCAGCCAATGTCAGAAAGCATTGATCAAGAAAGTGACCTTAGCTTCCATACAGCGATAGAGGAGCCATTTACAAGCTTAACATCTACACCACACAAGAGTAGCAATGGATGGGTTAGTTACCCAACTAATGAAGGCAAGGATAGTACAAATTCAAGCTCACCCAACCTTGGAAATGAATCTATAGTGAATGATATTATTAGTCGCAGGCGAAATGCTAGTTCTGGGCCTGCTAACAATCTGTCACAAAGTGCAAGAAGAGATACAGAGAACAAGAAACTGAAAGAACTGCGAAGGTTAAAGAGGCTTCAAAAAACTATTAAAAATAGAGGTGGTCTAGATAATATGCGAGACTTTGTACTGAATAGCGAAATTGATGCTGAATATGCTAGGTTAGCAAAAGAAGCAGAGCAATTTGCTCTTCCAATCGATGAACTGGAAAGAATCGAGAAACAAACAGAAGAAGATTTGGATGATGATGAAATCCTTGAATTTATAGAACAACGAGATAAATATCAGTATGAGCTTGACCAAATATTAAATGAGAATATTGCAAAGGAAGGACTATAAGTGTTTATATAGGCAAAGTAATGTACTCGTAATTGTGATTATAAAATATGATATTCTAATTGATTCGTTCATGCATGCTATGATTTTAACTATTTAAGTTTTATTGATATTTACCAGGACAAATATTGTACGGTAGGTCGAAAATAATTAGAAGCTTTTCTCAAACGATTGTTTAATTGTCACGACCTTATGATTCAAAGATTCAAGCCTGTTCTTTTGACAAATTTGTTGATTGGATCGTTGCTAACTTCATATTGTGATAAATTATTAATTTCTTCGTAAGTAAAAGCATCTCTGACTTTGGCATCATTTTCATACCAGTTTTTGATTAGGCTAATCATTTCCTTCTTGAATAGTTCGTTTACTGAATCAGATGTTTCAATCAAATCCTTGATAATATAATATAATTTACTGTACGATATGCCAGCAGAAATGAAAATTGAACTTATAAACCCCTCTCTGACATACTTTTGAGGCAACGATTGAATAATATCACAAATGATAGGGAAAAGTTCGGTAATAGGGAATACATATTCAGATGTGTGGACTGTTCTACCTATTTTTATCACAACGTTCGATAATAGATTCAAGAAGTTAGTAGTTTCATCTGGATTTTGCTCAAAATTAACTTCTTTCTTCAAAGAATCAAAAAGTTCATGCCATTTAGACATTATTTCATCTTGATCCCTAAAATCAGAAACCTTGAAAATACATATGCATATTTCATGATAACCTAATGGCTCAGCATAGTCATTGAACAAATCGCTGACCGGTAAGATTTTACCTTCTAAATTGGTTTGTAACTCTGATTTTGTAGTTGGGTCTATTCTTGAATCAGATAATACCAATGATAGGATATCTTCTTGTACAGTTGCAATGTCCAGAACTTCCTGTATATCACTGGCCAATTGTATCATTTTTTGTTTTTCGCTCAGCTGGCAGGCGCTATTACAGAAACCATTTGCTCTTGAAAGACATTCAATTCTTTCACTTAGCTTTATTTCGAAATTAGAAATGGCCAGAGAATACAATACTTGGGCAGCTTGATAGTATCTAGATTTTTTCGATAGGTAGATCCACATAATATTCGAAATTTGAAGAGAACTCTGCGATTTTTCTTGTAAATATGGTAATATGAAACGTGTGTCCAATTGTAAAATCTTGTCCTCATTATTCTCACGGACAAGCCAGTCATACATATGATAATGGAAAAGTTTATCGTTGTAGTTAAGAATAACCCTATAAGTCTCCGTTCTCATGGCAGCAATATCTGTCTCACTACAAACAGAAGCAGTAGGATATGAAAGGTTTGGCGATACTGATAATTGATCAACCTTTACTAACACTTCAAAAACTAAATCATAAATTTGAATTCTTCTGTCATAGAATTTTTTTCTTTCGTCGTTTATTAATGATCCATTATCCACATATTGAGCTGCTAAATTTCCCTTGTCAATAGCATTGGCTATATTCAGTAAAAATTCGATTGTCTTCGCATAGCAATCCAAGGACAGCATAATGGAGGTTATTTCCCTTAATTTTTCCATTGATAGGCATTTGGCTATGCTTTCAAACAATTTGACAGCACTATTTAAATGCAATTTTAAGGTATCACTGTCTTTCAGACCTATTTCCTTAGCTTTTCTCAAATGTTCGGTAGCTCTGAAGCTCAAAATATCATCACTTGAACAAAATGAGCCACATCTCTCCTGTAGTGCACTGGCGATATATTCAATTGATGTCCCTCTGCTTATATTCCTATTGATTATAGAGAGTAGAATTTCTCTCAGTAGAGATCTAGTATTTTCATTGGGGGAAAATAGATCCTTGAATGTTAATCTTGATAGCTGCAATTGAGTGTTCCTGTTCAAAAATCCAATTATATCCTTGAATGCTGCGTAAGGATTTTCGATACCTTCCATCTCACTTTCTTCAAAAAGGACATTTAAAAAAGACAACGCTTCCTTCATAGATTGAACAAGTTTGAATAGTGAATTAAAGGCTATGCTTTCCGCTTGGTTTGCAACATCTTCAGATTTGTCAAAAGTTTTGTATCCATTTTCAGTAACTACGTTTGCTGATGACACTGTAGCGATTGTGTCACCATATTTTGTAAAAAACTCACCTAATATAGAAATGGATGACAAGTAGTATTCGATATCGGATTTGGACACAGAAATATTTGTGATAACATTGTTTTCTTTGGAACTATTGTTTGTTTGGGATGATGTTACCTTTGGGTCACTAACAAAAACATTTTTACGCCAAACATCTCTGAATAATCTTGTTATTAACAGTGTAGAACCGTAAAATCTGGGTGATAATATAACATCATCTACGTCATATCCTACATCGTTTTCTGAACGAGAACTATGTTGTGATCTTAAAGTGTCTAATGACATAGTTGATTTTTGAGGTGTTGTCGATGATAATGACGATCTTGACAATAACGAAGTAACAATATTCCTGCTGTAGGATGGTTTGATGTCAATAGCACCTGGAATACCTACTGTATAGAATGTTAAGGCCTTTGACCTTAATAATTCCGATTTATCAAACTTACAAGTAACAAATAATGCCGACGAGCATGCTTCTGTTAAACCATAATTCAAAATAAATGGGAGAGGATTATCAATTAGACTTTCAAAGATTTCATCTGGTGTTCTGTATCTGTATATCTCTAATGAAGAATTGGTCAAAACTGCAATCTTAAGCTCCTCGGATGAATATTGGGTAGCAAAGGTATTAGCATATCCCTCAGGCTTATTGCTGGCATTGAAAGTTTTAGTCAAAACTTTAATTTCTTTAACTGGAGATACGGTATCAAGAAAAGTGGCATTCTCGACGTATTTGCCGAATGTCTTTAAGATACCATAATCAGGGACAGATACAAATAGTTTGTTCTCTGGTTCTGTGAACTTGTTATCTGATGGCGTTGTGTTGTCCTTATTTTGGTTAGCATTGTTATTGTTTTCATTATTTTTGACAACGGCAGAGAAAAAAATTCCTGGAGAGATAATTTCAGCAGAAGTTGTAGTTTCTAATAGAACAGATGATTTTTTTTGGAATTTCAAAACTACAGATTCTGTAGAGTTAAGAGTGGAGTAGAAGGGCAAACTTCTCTTCTGCTGTTCTAGTTGCTGTTGTTCTAGTTCTTTCTGTAAAATTTCTGGGGTTACCGAACTTGGAGGGAATTTTATTGATTCTAGCCTCAAAGCTTCGATGGAGGTTCTACCAACAAAACCGTTGAAGTACAATCTAACTCCTCCGATAGTGATTGCTACCAAGAATAAGTTGCCATTCTCTGCTTGTACTACAGGAGACAACTTCGCCAACTTGAGGTATTTTGGAGCCAAGATTGGCGCACCCCTTGCTGTTGTGGCACCAATAATTCTTTTTATATATGATGGTTCAACAGAGATAGCACCTTCGAGAGATTTCCCCGTTATGATATATGCATGTATCTTTGAAGTGGATGAAAGTGTGTATAAAATTCCTCTAGATTGGTCAATAGTAATTTGAATAATGCTCTCTTGGCCATGCGAATTACTGTCATCAAACATAGACTGCACTAAGTTACTACCAGGCAACTTGGATAAAATATTTGTTGGCAGTAAGCTTGAAAAAGTTGATTGTGTTCTACAGCTCTTAGTACATTTACTATTAAACCAATCGTCAGAACCTGTATATTGTAATTCCCAAACATTTAATCCGTTTGATTTACCACTGAAGAAGATTTGACCGGTTTTCTCGTAACAGGTAATATTGTTTACATTCATTCCTTGTACATTAACTGACATTCCAGTGTTGAATATACTCAACTCATTAGTCTCCTTCTTGTATGAGACAGCTAAGATGTAGATATCGAATACAGTTGCCACCACTAAAAGATGTTTGACATGGGAAACAAATGTATTTGGTTTTGGTTTAACTAATTGTATCTTCAAAATTGCATGTTTTATATCATCAATTGTCTGATATTCTGTGCTATCATTGATATTCCATAATATGATTCTGTTATCAATGGTAAACCAACAACGGTCTATTTCTGGGAATATACCCATATCACTTTTTAGCTCAGTATTTGAGGCTTCCTGCAAGATGTCATCCGGTATGCTTACAACTTTTTGTCTCTCGAAAGGAGTAAAAGCACCTAGTCCACCAACTTCTTTAGTGAAATTGTAATTAACACCGTTGTTATAATAGGATCTCTCATCTAGGATAGGTGTGTTAGCATCCATTCTGTATAGATGATCCACGTACTGGCTAGCCAGTTCTAATGGCTTAGCAGATGCAAGCCCTGGGATTCTGACATGTTCTGTAGTTGTAGTCAAAATAGATGAATCCAGGCTTGGTGGATAGTTGAGTGTTGATCTAATCCCAACATTTGTAGATAAAGGACCAGGAGTCTTATAAGTAGTACCCATGTTCCCTGTAGCTACACCATTGCTACTTCCAATTATGTTGTTATTAGTAACTCCGTTCACCTGTTGTGCATCAACAAATTGAGTGGCACCATAATCATATCGGTTTTTCAAAGGTGTGGAGTACATCTTTTTTATTTACTTTCTCTGAAATCAACCCAATACTTATCAATCTTCAACCACAAAATATGGCCAATATTTTCCCAGAAAAGAATGTAACTAGCTCTAGCTCAGAGTTGATCTGGTAAAGTCGAAATTGCTTAGCTTCAGAAGATAATAATAGTGTTCTGAAACGTACAGATTGAATGGTATTAGTGAGCGTTTATAAATTTTCAAAACGCTTCTATTTCCTCTACTTATGATTTTGGTTCCAGTTAAGTATTATTCAAAGTTCCGCCTTCGCTACTAAAAAAACTTTAAAAAAAACACCAGTCCTTTCACAATTTACCACAGACTAACTCCCTGGGAATATGCCGCAATCAAAGTCCAGTTTGAAATGTACCTAATTCTAGCCAATTGGTGCACAATTGCCACTTTTAGAATTATTGTTTGTTTTTTGCTTGTAAAGATCCTGCTATTAGTGTATTATTGTAGTTTGTATTTTATTTTTTTTTCCTTCCTGTTCGCACTTGCGCTTCCTTTTTCCCAAAAAAAAAAACTTTGGATATTTGAATATATCATAGATGACGTATATAGTATTTTACGAAGTCACACATGATATGATGTCTAACGTGATATCATGAATCTGACCAGCATAAGTTGAATTTGATATTGAGTTGTTTGGGTGCTCAGCGGTTAAAGGAGCAGTGTTCTAATAAAAAACATAATAATCATACTTAAAGTTCAAGGCTCCTAAATAATTCTGTGCAAGTTTGCTCTAGAGTATATCAGATTGTAGATTTCTTGATCATTACTCTTTACAGAATGGTTTTGGCGGAAAAGAGTGCTAATATTCCAGTTGTTAAAAGCTTTGATGGCACTAAAGCTGGCCCTGATGGTTCACCACTGACTAAGAACAACTTGAAACTATTACAGAAATCTATCTTTGAGCTGGAAAATAAGAATTTTGAGTGTCCTCATTACTTGTGTAGTTTAGATAATATGGCACAGATCAGGCATTCGAGAACCTGGTTTCTGTTTGAGTTAGAGATGACATATGATGGATATTTCAATCTGAGAAATTCGTGCTATTTCACAAGAGTTTACCGCAATATATTGCCAGTGTGGCCTAATACTAGCTGCTTAAGTTTGAATAAAACAGCATTCGATTCCAGAGTCCAGCTTATGCCTTTAAATCACATTATTATATCCAATTATGCTGCTGCCATACCAGAGAGGAAAAGAAAATATAATCCAGATGATATAAATGATATTTATGTCGAAATTGCTGATATAGCTGAATTTGGTAATGTTCAAAAATATATCCCACCAACAATACTAACGAAGCGCCGAAATATGGAATCTTTCAACGACTGTAAAGTTAATACAAAAGATATAATTAGTTTCAAAGATGTTAATCAGGAATATGAAACGTGGTTGGATAAACATCTTTCGCTAGCTAAAGATCGGGATTAAAATAAGATTCTTTGTAGTTATTGTAATTACACGTTTTGTTGCCCTTTTGCTCATAATGATGGATGTTTTTGTATCGTGAATTACAGACAAAGATAAAATGCAAGTATATGGGCTTAAATAAATGTTAAATACACCAAAGTATGTTTTAGTTTCATTACATACTTTTCCTAATAAATCTATTTAGCGACCAAACGTTGTTTTCTTTTTCTTTTCTTTGACTTCTTCATCAGTGGTAGGGTGAAGTCTTATCACATTCGGATAGTCTGGCCTATTACCCATATGCCCTTGATGCCAATCATAACTTACTGCATATGCAAGTATAGACCCATTCCTATTGAAATTACATACTGGAATAGACCCTTGCATAGATGGAAAGCCTTTCAATCTGTGTCTTTGATTTTTATCCCAGAAATGGAAAGAACCATCACCACCAGCGGTAACGAACGTACCATATATAGGATGGAATGCAATACTATTGACTGGATATACCAGAGATTGACTTGATGATCCAGCAGCTCGATTTGGTTGTGTTTGTCTATGGCACTTGAACGAAAAACCGCTCTTCTTCTGTGCTTCATCATCAACATATTTAATCGCACATCTTCCTTCTACTGAACCAATAGCGTAACCATCACCTTCATTATAACATGCTACCACACGTGTTTGCCATTTCAGTGGAGATTGTGAACTCTTAAAAATAGTTGTTGGATTGGCCAAATTTATAATGGCAATGTGCCTCTCAGCTGTACCAACAACCAACAGCTGTTGCTTATTATCCATAGTATAAACACGTTCCGGCATTGCTATTGTTGTTATTGGTTGAGGCTGTCTTGTATCCCAAAATTTAATTGTCTTGTCCCATGATCCTGTGACAAGACATTCAGTATTTGTAGGTCCGCATTGAACAAATCTTAGTGATTTTACAGCATCATTGTGACTTCCAATTTGTTGGCTCTGTCCTGAAGCCACATCATATAATTTAACAGTATTATCACAGCCACCAGACGCAATTCTAGCACCGTCTAAGGACCATCTTGTGCACAGTACTGGACCATTATGCTCATATTGTGCTTTACCTTGAGGAACCCCATTTTGGGCATCCCATATACGCACTTTCCCATCCCAGGAACTGACACTGAAAAGAAAATCATGTTGTGGTGAAAACGCAATATCTGAAATAGAATCATCAGCAGGGTTGTTTATTACAATTTCATTTTGAAGGTCCTTCTCAGTTGCCATTACAGTGCTGGTTGTGTTTCCGGCTGCACTGTTTCTCTGAAAAAACGACATGTCTGTAGAATATAGCCAATGCTTGATAATGTATTAGTCCAATGTAAACAGTTTCAAATTCAAACTTTCTGATAATGTATGATTTATTGTATATTGGATAGGATTACCAGTATTTAAACAACTTGCAATTATTATAGAACAAAGAACCAACGAATCCTCTCAGTATCACCTATATTTTGATCCCTTCTTGATAGGTAATATTTCTAGCAACTGTAATAATTAATGAGATCTAAACTGGATATATTCATACCTTTTACCTTGGTAATAGTTTGGGCTTACCTTACCTTTGAATTTACATCACCATTATTCATTTACACAAGTTCATGTTCTTCCTCATTGATACATAAAACTTCGTATTTCGGCATAATACTGGGAACTTATTGTATACATAGAATGCCATTAAATTAGGTGTCAATACGCAGCCTGATCTTATTAATTGCTACCTCAGACTATATTTTTATATAGGCTTTCGAAATAGTAAAGAAATGAAATGAAATGAAAAGTATTTATTAAAGTCAAGTAGTTTTGCTTTTAAGAACGTCTTGTGTTTAAGTGCATTGAAAACAAAGTAAAATAAAAATCTATAGATTGAATTATGATAATAAAATCGAAATGCATGGTTATTATCATGGGGGTCATTAAAATCATTTCGATAATCGAACGAACGAAATAGTGAATTGAAGGTAAGTTATTAATAGGGTTGGAACTATTGTGAAAAATGTTGCGAGAATTCATGTTGGTTAAAAAAAGCAGATAATGAATATTGGATGAGTTAAGAAGAGCAAAAAAAAAACAGACAATTGATCGAAATGAATGAGTGTAGTGAAATGAATGGTATAGATGTTTAGTCCATGAAATGAAAATTTGTATCATTAGTTTCTAGAAGAATATTAGCATCCGAAGTACCATCATGATTTTCCAAATTGTGGCCATGTGCATTTTCTTCTTTACTAGGTGAGCCCATGCTATTGTGGCTGCCTTGCTCACCAGACACTACAGGATCACCGAACATACTATCAAAGAACAATAAATCCTCTTGATTAGAGAATTTGTAAAGGTTATTTGAAATTTTAGAGCTATCGTTACTATTACTCATGTGGCTGTTCGAATCGGCACCAAAATCAATTTTAGAGTCATTGTTAGCCAACGAGTTGATATCAGAATGCGAGTTACTGTTAGAGTAATGCTTATTAGAATCTGGTGACGCATGGAAGCCATCATTCTTTGGGATGAAATCAATTGGTGACATTTGAGATTGAATATGATCATTAGAGTTAGTAGAAGCATGTGAATTGATATTAGAGTCAAAGGCATTATCTGCATTGTTGTCCTGGAACTTGGTGAAGGATGAGGGTGTTTGCGAATGTGATTTCATTTTGGATACTTGGTTATCTGTATTTGTATCCTTTTGCGGAGCATCATGATCATCATTTCCAAAGCAACTCTCTGGAACTGTCGAAAGTGGACTAGACAATGCGGGTTTGTTAGTATAATTCATGACACTTATACCATTAAAGTTCATGCTATTTGGTGGAGTCAAATGATTTAGGTTTTCCTCTGCAAAACTAGTGGACACGTTTGAAATAGCTTTTCTGATAGTTGTAGGATCTGAACTTTCATGTTCATGCAACATTGGTGTTGATTTACGTCTGGATATTTTTCTTGTGTTCTGACTAGATCTTGGGCTATTTGTTTCACTTGCTACACTTCTTGAAGTTGGTGACTGCATCACATTTGGTGAAACACCGGCCGAAACTGACTTAGCCAGCCTCTTCAACTTCATGGCTCCAGCACTTTCTAATGGAGTAGGTAGAGAGCCCGTTAATGGAGTTTGATTACTTTCCGAACTCATCTCATCTCTTGGAGAAATTGTACTTTTCTTTGAAGCAATTGATGTGTTCCCTACAGATGGATGATCGTACATGTCATCTTTCAAATCTTGCTCATCTCCTATAGTAGTAGGTACAGGAGTACCATTTTGATTTACACTGGATGTAAGCACTGGAGTAACAACCATAGTTTTAGGAGTAGTAACTCCTTGAGATGCTGGCTTTCTTTTCTTCTTTGGTGGCTGTGTTGCAGGAGTTTTTGATTTCGATCTAACTGAAGAGCTTTTAGCAGACCTTGATGCCCCTGTCAAAGGAGTTGCGGCATTATTGGAGTCTGGGGAGGTACCTCTGCTAGTAGAAGAATGAATATCTGAAGCGCCATGGTAAGCAGGTGAATTTGTTCCAACTACCTTTGAAGTGCCAGGCGTCCCTTCTGATAACGAGTTGTTAGAGTATTTGCTCAAAGCGTGATCTTCATCTATGTTGGGGCTTCCATGAGTTGAGATTTCCCGAGCTTTTGCCATTGGGACATCAGGGCTCCGTTGACTTGAAGATCTCGTCCTCTTTAATTGCGGTTGAACTTGCGATTTCTGCAATGTTTGTGCCTTTCCCTGTTGCGGTGTTGGAGCATCCTCGGGACTACTACTATTTCTATTCATTTTCGTCTTGCCCATGTTCTTGGGGCTAGGAGAACTTTGCATATTCATAGTCTGAGCCATCGAGGAGAACGCATTCGCGGCCTGTGGTGTCTTTCCATTGAGCATCATACTGTTGAATTGTTCCATGGTTGGTGAGCCGTTAAAGAAAGGTGCGCCTTGCATGTACCAACTCGGTATTTGGCCTGTCATAGGTAATTGACCCATTGCGCTCATTGGAGGCATCTGGAATCCATTCATCATACTCATGTCAAACATCGGGGAGGACATCATCTGTGCCATCATCATCTGTTCCGGGCTGCCAAACGCTGGGTTTCTGCCGTTCAGATGTGCTTGCTTAGTAAAATCAAAGTTTTGTGAGAGTTGTGCGCGTTTCTGCATTTCCATGTAGAATTGCAACTGTTGTGGGTTCATCATGAACATGCCAGGAGCGAAAGGCATATACATTTGTGGGTTCATAGAGTTCCACATTGCGGGGTCCTGCCTCCTTGCTGGTTCTGCTTCATTAGTTCCCATGTGCTGAGGAGTTGGTGCATCTTTAACATTGGAAGACGGCCGTGGATCGCTAGATTTCAGTGTCGCAGGAGTAGCAGTAACGGTTGCGGTTCCAGCCTCGGTCCTAGAGATGCTATCTATGCTGCTTTTGTGTGTAGTGTTACAAGGAGAAGCCATGTTAGGCGAGTTAGTGTCGTTAGAGTATTGGTATGCAGAAGGGTCGATGTGAGAAGCAGGGCGTGTATTCTTGCCAGCAGAGTTTCTGTCCTGGTTCTCCGTATTCGGAGATGGCTGTTGTGCCTGTGAACTTGCAACAGAAGGGTTAAACATATTCGCATACTCGGGCATCATCATAGTCATCATCATCATCTGGTTATAGTCCAAAGGCATAGCCTGTTGTTGTTTTTGGTACTGGAATTGTTGTGATTGTGATTGTGATTGTGGCTGTGGTTGTGGTTGTGTATTTTGCTGCTGCTGCTGCTGCTGTTGCTGCTTTGATGGTGATGACTGAGTCGCTTCCCGCTGCGGGTTCGAGTTCATATTCGCGAGCATCATGGCAAACAGCATCGGGTCAGTCTCCTCGTTGTCGTAATCGCCGCGCTGTTCTGCTATGTGCTGCATCCTTGCCGCATGGATCGCTAAACTCCTATATATGTGTTCCTGCCTCTGTTGCTGCAACACGAGCTTGAAATACGACTGCGCCGTCTCGGAACCACCCCGATTGGTGGTCGTGTTGAAAATGTCCCAGAACACCTGCCACCACTCATACAAAAACCCCTGCGGCGTGTCCACCACCTCCTCGACCTCAACATCAGACTCCTTCTCAAACGACTCCGCTGTCCCCGACAGATTGCACTTCCGAAAGAAGTCCAGAATATACCGATTCAGCTCGGGCTTGGACTGAGAGTTAAACATCCAACTTGTTAGCGTAGGTTTTATTTTTTTTATTGTTTATCCTTATTTGGTTTGGTGTATTTTTTTAACGCCCAGTGGAACCCAATTTTTCATGTCCCGTTATATAAGGAGAAAAAGGATCTTCCTGAAAGTTTTTTTTCTTTCTTTCCAGGTATCTCTTGGTTCCGTCTGCAGGAATTGTCTCCCGTTCGTCTAGGTCCCTACCCTCCCTGCAGCTGTATCTGCGTCTGTATCTGCGTCTGTATCTGCGTCTGTGCGGTGCAGTCTTCTGACTCTTTCCAAATTCACGTCCGTGTTTGTCTGTGCTTCCATTCTCCCTCTTCCTCTCCCTCCCCGCTCTTCTTCGTTTTCCTCACCTTCTGTCAATCCTTTTTTCACTTCATTTTCTTCGCTGTATATGTTGTCACGTACAGCCACCTCTAAGGCACCCCATTGGAACATTGGGACCCTTGCAACTCTCCCACCTGGTATTCCCCCCCCCACTCGAGGGTTTAGATGGCACTGCAGGAATCTGCTTCTCTTTACCCGATTAGGAATATTTTCGTGTGAAGACGAGGTCGCCACATTGCCAGTGGCATCGCAGGTGGTATCGCAGTGGCCTGTGCTCCTGTGCTCTCCGCTGTGCTCTTCTGCACTTGTGCTTTTGTGCTCTTGTGCACCTGCAGTGGTGAAGTGGGCTGGTACGGGGCTCTCTGTGTGAGGGGTCTGTTTGAACCTGATCAACAGTGCTGCAAAGTACTGCTGACAGTCAACGCACAGTCAACGCACAGTCAACGCACAGTAGAAGCACTCTTACAACGCTCCCTTACGTAAAACTGGTAGTCTCGAAGGGAAGCCCTACTCTAGGGATTGACAAAGGGCCCTGTGTCTCGGAGATAGTGGATACGCTTTTAATTAAAGCCCGAAACGTGTATAAGACCGACAGCTGATATATTGGATTTCATATTTAATTTACATAATGATATAAGGGGAGGGCAGACGAGATCAGGCGATCACTGGTGCTAGCACTTGGTTTTGGGCGACGACGCCGTTGTACTTGCTGTTCAGGTATTTCAGCAGCTCGACTACCTTGACGCGCACGTCCTCGGACTGGAATTGCCTTAGTCTCTCCATGTTCTCCTCTCTGCCCAGTGTAGACTCGCGCTCTAGCTTCAACCTCTCGTTCTCCATGGTGAAGACGTGGCCGAACAGCTCGACGACGTTTGGTGTCAAGCCAGAGATGACCTCGTTGTTGGACTCGTACAGCTGCATGATGAGCTTGAAGATCGGGTCGTACTCTTCGAAACCAGTCTTCAATGGCAAGTGGGACAGCAATGCTGGCAAAGTTTGCTCCAGAGGGATCAGGTTCTGGTGCTTCAAAGCCATTCTGGCGACACAACCACTGGCGTTGGCGAAGGCACGGTCGATGATCTCCCTGGTGGCCTCGTCGTCGTCAGCAGCCTTCTCGTCAGCGACACTCAGTAGTTGGTATAGAGCCTTCAAGACATGCTCGTAGACCTGAGAGACGTCAAATGGAGCGTACTCGCACAGTAGACCAACACCGTAGGCGGCGTTACCTCTGACTTCTAGGGACTTGTCGGAGGTCAGTCTGATCACAAGAGCCTCTAGCATCTCATGGATGTATGGATTTTGCTCCTTCATACCTAGCGCGATCTCAGAAGCAGCACCGACAGCAGAAGATCTCTTGTTCTTGGACTTGGATTGACATAGAGTCAACAAAGTGGTCTTGAAAGGTTCAAAGACCTTGGCAAAGTCTGGACCAAGAGCCACAGCTAGAGATACTAGAACTTCAAGGGCAACGTCTAATAAGGTAGCCTCGGTTTCAGAAGCGTCTAGATCTTCATCTCTTGGAATGTCTTCTTCGAGGTCCGCAACTTGACATGTGTGTTTGTTCTCTAGAACACTAGAAACTTGCAAGCACAAGTTTTCTAAGTGGGAAGAGTTACCGTTGTCCATAATAATGATAGGGCCAAACAACTTGATCATGTTGGCAAAATCTTCTAGGATAGTGATAACCATAGAGGTCTCAAACTCGTTCTCTAAGTAGCTCAATGTGGTCTCTCTGGCGGTTTGGATGACAGCTAGAACACTTGGGTCAACATATGAGGCAGCTGGGAAACCCTTTGGATATTCGTCTTGTTGGACCTTGGAGGCTAGTAGAACAGCCTTGATAATGTTCCAAATGGTGTTCAAGGCTGATTCTCTTAGACCATAGGACTCGTCAACTTGTTGGTTCAAAACCTTCAAGGACTGTTCGACATATGGCAAGAAATGCTCCTTAGTACCCAAAGCTAGCTCAGAAAGAGCAGCGGCAGCAACTTCCTTTTCGTAAGAGATACCGGTGTTGACTGTAAACTTGCTTTGTAGCTCTTCTTCGGTGGCACCATCAGCTAGAGCAGCCAATTCGTCGGCGTCACCATCGAAGTTGAATTGGTATTCGTCCAACTCTAAAGTCTTAAAGATTTCTGGTAGAATAGTTTCCAAGAATGGGGAAAAGTTTTCACCATAAACCTTAGCCAAGTTAGCAATGAAAGCGTAACCAGATTCTCTTAATCTAGCAGAGTCAGTCTTGATAGCTTCGTAAGCGGAGTTGACCAATGGTTCAGCAAATGGAGCGAAGTTTTCAGATCTAACAGCTCTAGCCATAGTGGAAATGTTCTCGAAGGTGTTAGCTCTTAGTTCGATATCATCTTCGCTCATACCTTCAATTTGGGAACAGTTTTGGATGAATTGTTCCAAGTATTGGACGCTGGTCTTGAAGTATGGAACGAAGGCCAAACCGGCAGCAAAAGCTGCAGAACCAATTGCGGATACGACGGCACACTTTAGCTTGGAAGAGTTGCTTGTGGACAGCATGTGGAATAACTTGTTCATTAATGGTTCCAAGTACTTGGCAATAGCTTCATAAGCAATGAATTCTAAGATACCATCTAGGGCAACAGTTGCGTAGTTGTAGATAACAACAGTACCAGCATTGTCGATTATGTCAATAATTAATGGTAAGTAGTCCTCATGGAACTTGGCAACTTCGTCTTGCAAATCAGTGGTCAAGTTGTGAACACACTTCAATGCAGCCAACTTGACGACTTGTTCATTGTCTTTCAAACCACTAATAGTAGCTGGGATAACCTTGTCAAATTGAGACAAGATGTAGTCTGGAGAACCAGTAACAACGACGGAGATAGCCAACAAGATAGCTCTTCTCTCGAAAACGTTTTGAGAGTTTAACATAGTTGGCAAGTGCTCTATGATGACAGCTGCAACTTGAGATGGAGGTAATTCAGTGGAAGCAAAAGCCAATAGTCTGATAGCAACCATTGATGGGGTGTTCTCTTCATTTTCACCAGCTTCATCCTCGTTGTTTAATTCATCTTGAACATCAATTTCTTCAGCAGCAATCTTCAAAGCAGTCAAAGTAATCTCAGGGCCTAGCTTAGCTTGAATAATCTTGGACTTTCTACAAGACAAAGCTGAGATGATGAATTGGGTAGCATAAACTCTAACATCTTCATCGATTTCTGTGTTGATGGCAACTTGCAAAGCCAACTTGATTAGATCAACGATGGCGTTACCAGTAAGTTGCGAGTCCAATAGCAGGAAATCGTTCAAACAGTTGAAGATTTGCTTAGTGTTTGGAACATCATCGGCTTTGATAACAGCTTCCAAAACAGAGACCACAGATGGAATCATAGCGGCAAATCTGGCAGCTTGTTGTGGGTTGATTTCTTCTTGTTCTTCGATCAAAGCAGAGACATGATTCAAAGCTTGTGCAGATAGAGATCTTGTTTCCAAAGAGGTAGTATCATTGATGGTTTGAGAGAATAGGGTCAAGAAGTCATCTATGTAACTGACTAAACTGGAGTCAAAATCTTCCAACAAGGACAACAAAATGAAAACTGCAGTTTCTCTAGTCTTTGAGTCCTCGCCGGCAGCAGCTTGCACCAAGTTTGGAATCAACTCAGGCCATTGGTTGTCACTCATCTCTTCACTACCGATAACGGCAATAACACGAGCATTGGAATGACGAATAATTTCCTTTTGTTCACTGAAAGCATATTGCAACACGGTTTCCTTGATACCATTCTTGGTAGCCACATCAATAGAAGCCCAGTGCTTTGGAATCAGTTTTCTAACCTCAACACCAGCTAGTTGTTTCAAAGCATCATCGTTGCTGTGATGTAGAATGTGTACCAAAGCGGCAACACTATTTGGCTGTGTATAGAATTGCTTTTGCAATGTCTTGGTGGCCTCTTTCAAACCAGCAGAGTTTGGTTGAGTAACAGCAGCCAAAGCCTGCTCTAGTTGAGAGATGAATTGTTGATCCATTTTATTATATTTTTTTTAAAGATTTTCGATTTACAAAAGAAAGAATACCTATATCGTGTCAAACCGTGCCTCCTGTTTCTTATAGTAATGTTTTTTTCCCTTCTATGGTATCTTTCCTGTTTCAATCTCCCGGTGACTTCTTCCAACAAATACAAGATATAAATATATGAGAGACTCCACTTATAACTTGAAATATACTGCCGAATTTACATTAAATAAAAGCTAAAAACATGAATCAGATGTTTATTGCGATGCGATGAGCTAGCTCATCGCATCTCATTTGGTGACAAACTGCAAAAGTTCACAATGGATTTCTTCTGAAAATTTTTTGCAAAAAAAAAATTGAAAAACTTAAGTATGGCGTGTAGAGTGAGACAAAATTTTCACCAAAAGTATCAACAATTTGGTGCTGAATAGAAAAAAAACAGCAAATAAGGTGTAAATAGTGGTGAATTGATGGTATTAATGGTGAGTGATAGTGTCTATTACATTCAGTTAAACCGGTTTATAATTCTATAGGAACTGGAACGTTATCAACTTCTTTTTATATTGGTTAAAGGAAGAAAATTTGGTTTATTGACTGCTGAGAACCTACGTTGAAAAGGAAAATAAGGGTCTAATACATAAATTGAACTGCGTACTCGCTTGAAGATTAAAAGATGCTACCACTTTACTTGTTAACTAATGCCAAGGGACAGCAGATGCGTATAGAGCTGAAGAATGGTGATATAGTGGAGGGTGAGCTGACTAATGTGGATAATTGGATGAATCTGACTCTTGCCAATGTGAATGAATACAAAGGTAGTGAGAACAACACAAACTTGCCTCAAGTTAAAGTTGTTAAGTCTAAAGAAATCTACGTCAGGGGTGTTTATATAAAATATATCACACTTCAAGATGATATCATAGAGAAGGTCAAGCAACAAATCAACAACAATAATAATAATAACAATAATAGAAAGTTTAACAACAGAAATCATCAAAACAACTACGGATATAGGAGGAATAACACTGGTGGTAATTACAACAATGGCAACAACAACAATAATAATAATAACAATAATAATAACAGGAGAAACTACAACAACCGTCGCTACTACAACAACCAAAACCAAAACCAAAACCAAAACCAAAGCCAAGGTCAAAGTCAGGGTCAAAAGAATCAACAATTTGAGTAGATTATCGGACCAAGATAGACATGACTTCAACATTCAATAAGACAATAAGACAATAAGACGATTAATAGGATATAGACTTACTCGCTGTGTTGAACACTTTGTGCATTAATGTGACTTTACTACCAATTTTTTTGTTTTATTCTTTCACTTTCATGAATAACGTACACATCAAAAATTACCAAATAAAAACAATTGTTGGAGTTTCCCAAGTTCGGTTTTTTTACTCCATATGAAAGCAAGATGAAGACTCTCTTTCCTATCTGACTTTAATTGTGTGCATTTAATTACAAATATGAGTGATCGTATACATATTAGAGTTCGACATGTCAAACAAAATATGTGGAGAAGTTTTTCATATCTCTTTTGCAGTTCAGTTCATATATTTATTTTGTAATATTAGTTAAATCGATATGGAAAGTTTCACTTTTTTTTATATTATTTGTCATTGTAAATATAAACTAATGCATTGTTTTTCTTAATAGAAATATATTAGTACAGGGAGGGCAGATGAGGGTTAATCTGCTATATTTATATAAAATGGTTAATAGCTAAACAGTGATTGCAAATGCTTATTATTAATTATTCATTACGATTATTAGATATATTTAAATATTGGGATGAATGCTATAAAATATCCTCGCCGAGATTGCCCAATCGAATCTGCAAGGGTTGCTTATACTCCAGTGGACTCATGAAATTGTAGATGAGGATTGAATTGAGTGTACTATGTCACGCAGCCAGCAAATTATATCTGAAGGTCTACTTTATAGATTTGTGTGACAAGCATATAACTGGTTAGATAACTCAAGGAGCCTAATGCCCAGCCACACATACCGTTAAATAGAAGACTGTAACAAACAGAAATGAATATAGATGAGAACCCTTGCATGTTTAACACAAAAAAGATGTAGTAAAGAGAATATAATTCCATATACCAGGCACAACTACTACCCATTAAAAAACTCTTCCATCCCCAGGTGTGACGTAGATATCTATCATTTTTAGCTTTTAGCATAACGTAACAGCCAATAATTGCAATTTCAATGGTAACAATGGAAAGTATCAAAATATTTGCAAGTAAAAATCCATAATAATAGTAAAAGCTGGTCTTCTCTAACCATACTGATTTATAAACATACTGCAATTCAACCCAAATAATGATGAAAGAGAAAAACCCACCCGCTAAGGCGCCAAAAGTAGTGAAAGAATCATGTTTGATGTCAAAAACAAGTCTTTGATATAAGGAGACTTTTTTAGTAAAATCACTCCTAGATTTCCTTGAAATAGTGTTCCTCCTTAATGAGGTAATTCTTTTCAATGTGTTGTAACTGTCAACCTTACAATTTAAAGCCAGTACACCTCCCAAGAGACTTAATGGAATGCATGTCACAAAATATATAGATACAAGGAATACCTCAGTCTTGAATGGTAATGCATTAGTAGAGTCGTGTGCCAAAATTATGCAATTCAATGAGAAGGAGATTACCATCAATAGACCTGGAAGAGAAGATCCACAAACTACTGAAAACTTGTAGACTTTGGTTCTGTTCACTTCATTTCTTAGATATCCCTTTAAAATTTGATATTCAATGTAAAGTCTAGATCCAATATACCCAGATATAGCAGCCCCACAGATAAAACAAATCAGGGACATGGTTAGCACAGTGAATCTGATATTATGAAGTTTACTCAAAGAGCAGGAGATAATTAAAGAGCCTAGGATTGTAAATGAGAATTGGATACCCATAGAAGTTAGACATATTAGAGCTTTCCAATATGGAATCTTCCCCACAGTTATCCAAGTCTTGGCATTAACAAATACAGAGCCAGATATTTTATCATCATTATCATCTTCATTGTCCTGACCTAAATTTGTTGAAGTATTTATATTACGACTTTCCCGTTCCTTTTTGCTGAATATCTTCAATAAGATTATTGATACAATCGTAGTGGTCATTGACGCGATTCCTACCGAATTCAAAAAGCTCATCCAATGAAATTGGTTTGCTTTTGAATTGGATAATTCACCATTGTTCAAAAAATAATTCCAGCGATGATTCCAATCAACTTCAAATTCTTCCCTCCAATAAACAGAGTAGGTGAAAGGTATAAACGTTAACTCATCATCCTTCTCTGGAACAATTATTTCATATTTATCATGGTTTTTATTGGCACCTGGGCAGTGATAGTCACTAACCGATTTAGGATACACTTCAAATCCCACTATTGTAAATTCTTCCTCAGATACAGGGTGGTATCTGATCACTAACATAACATGGTTGTTCAAAAATGTCTTACCAGTACGGTCGTCTACGTATCCTACTGGAAAACCTGCAGCGTAGTATTTATTGTGGTTTGTACTAGAAATGAAAGTAGTTGCAGCTGGTAAGCTTTCATCAATAAGCCATTGGGTCACATAGCCCTGTTGAACAAGTTCTTTTGCTTTTATCATACCCTCCTTCTTTGTCTTTCTGGCACATAATATCTCACAAGGACTGTCAATTCCAAACGACAACTTATAGTCACTTTGCCATTTTCTATCACCACGGAATATCTCATCTAGGGATAGATGTAAAGGTTTCTTTTCTTTGGTTGGAGGACAAATGAAAGGCAAATCATAATAAGCGTAAGGCAATTGAGTAAGGTCAGATTCAACTTTATTAACTATAAGTTCGACATGGTCTCCTATTTTGTATAGATTAGGGTTTACCCAACCATGTGAGTTATAGTTTAAAGTAATCGCTGACAATACTGACGGTATTATCCAAAAACAAAACTTTATTAGAGAAGCTACAAGAGCCAGAAGCAATAGCATGGAAACCGCACTTTTCATGCGATTAGCAGGCCGCGAAGTAGTCATATCATATAGTGTGCAGTGTTATCAAAATTTGGATTAGATATCGGTTCAAAAAGTTGTATCTTTGGGCAATTATGTACCTTTACCCCCGCAATTTTATGTTGTATCCTTTTTTTTAATAATGTGATGTCTATCAATTGTTTTAAAGTTAAACAGTCAAGCTTGGCACTATTGAACAACAAAATTCAACTCTAGTACTGCAATAAAAATAAGATAGTTTATTAAACTTTCCTCCCCAAAATTGCAATTGCAGTATTCGAAATGAACACTTTCTTGCTATTGTTATTGTTTTTATTTTTTTTTTTTTTTTTTCAGTTGTCTTGTCATGCGTGTCAGGTACTTTTCTCGGGGCCCCGAAAAGTTGAGAAAATCGTTACAGGTTTTCCTTTCTATCAACGTAATTCTGAGTAAGCGATCACTGTGGATTTGCATAATAGCAATTAGCTGATTGACCCACATTTACTTCTAATATTGTAACTAAAGATGATATAGTAATAAGTATAAATTAGTCATTAAAAGTAGATTAGGTAAAGTAAATTACAAAATATTTATTTGGTAAGAAAAAAAGTAAAACAGGTTAGTATGGGAATAAAAGTGATCTTTTCCATTCTAAGGGGGTATCTTTTAGCATATAGCCCAATCAAGCAAGGATTTTGATGCCATTATTGGGAGCTATTCAAAAGATTTTATTCTTAAATATTACAATTTTCTTTTGTGATGTAAAATCTGACGTTTACAAATAAAAGAAAGCTTTACTTTTATATGTCAAAGTAAAAAAAAATTTTCCGGAAGAGATATTCGATAGCAAAGAAATAAATGGTCTTAGTAGCATTTTCAAATATGTTCAGCAGGTTTATGGTGTTCGGTGTCAAAGTATCCAGTATCTTCTGCTTTGGTACTATCCTCCAATTTTCCTGGTTCTTTTGTTTGTCTACTAGTCTTCCTAGCAATAGCAGGTGAGGCCATACCGGAAGCTAGTAAGAATGGACTACTAAAACCATTGGTACCTGCAGTGGTGCTTGATAAGTTTGGTGTATTCATACTTGTATCTGAATCGGAAGTTATAACTGTTGTTTCGGCATTGTGGGAGGAAGCGGTGTGATTGAGGGACTTATCTGGATGGCTTCCATGGTCATCTTCATTCCATAAACTCTCTTGGTTTTGTAATTGTTCTTCCCTCAGCTTAGTCTCTTCTCTCGCTTCAGCCAACAACTCTTGAGCTTTGCTTAGTGATACAGTAGGTGTGGAGTATGAACTAACTACTGGAACAGTGGTGTCGATGTCTATAGTTGCTTTGATTAATGCTGCCATCCATCCTCTCATTTCATCCTTAGTGTCGACAGCAAAGTAGTGCGTTCTTGGTTGAGTAAAAGTCAAACCCTTCTTGGATCCAGGTTGCGGTGGAATTAGTTTGAAACAGAAGCGGCCTTTACCTGTACTTGCAGCATATAGCGAAACTAGTTTATCATCCTCTTTGGCAGGGATAACACGGTGTGCGGTAATATCTATCAAACCACGTTCTCTTGTATCAGTAGTGTTAGCAAAGTAGGAAAGTCTAGTACCATGTAAGGTAAAGAATCTTGTTTTCCACACGCTCACAGCACCACTACCTTTCTTACTTAACCACCCAGAATAGTCTGCATTTTTCATAGCGTCTCGTACACTGATAGATCTCAAACCCTCAGTAAATGCCGAGGTATGTTGCTTTCTCAAACCAGGCTTGGTAGATTTGTTCTTGGATTTTACAGCTTCACTAACAGATCTCTTTTGTGGTTCCTCGGCAATAGCAGTACTAGCTATGGCCGACTTAGTTTTACTTTGTGTCTTTGCGCTAACTGATCTTTTCTCCGGTTGTGGACTACGCTTAACCGGAGTTGGTTGTTTAGCAGCTGAGGGTGAAGTAGGAGTAGTTGATGGAGAGCTTTTGGTAGCATTGTTTGTGAATTGCTGTTTAAAGGGACTCAAAAATATAGATGCTACTTTACTTCTGTCATTGCCACTTGGTTTACGCTCAGTTACTTTACCATTTGAAGAGAAACTAGCAATCGAAGAATTTCTTCTGTGAGTTTTAGTTTGAGGTTTGTCTGAGTTCTTTTTAATATCTACCATTGAAAGAGACCTTGATGGGCTTGCATATATACTTGAAGTTGCGCTGGCATCCTCGGAGATAGCACTTTCATTCGCCTCATCGCGCTTCTTCTCACTTTTTATTGGCGAAAGCAGTGACACTCTATTCATAACAGTTTTGAATGGACTCAACGGAGTTTCTGAATTGCTTTGGTCTGCACTTGAACTTTTTGAATTGCCTACATTAGTATCTATTTGTGTTGATTGACTTACTTCTCTAACAGCCTTCTGTTCATCGTTCGAAAATGTAGGTAGTCTCTGCGGTTGCACAGGGCTGGGGTAAGAAGGTGGTTTTGGAGCCCTTCTTGGTGAAACAAACAAGTCACCCTTCTCCTCGGAGACACTGCCACCACCTATCCATAAGGATGTAGGTCTATGTTTGGTAGAAGGTGTTCGTGTTTCACTTGATGGAAGGTCTTCTAGTGAATGAGAAGCATTCCTTGGATGACTCCTAGGAGCACTGGTGTTTAGAGTTGGGGCAGGCATTAAAGCACTGGCGTCGTTTCTGTCTCTATTTTTCTCCACTCTTATCACATCGTGTGAGCCCACTTTACCTTCTCTAGCAACAACTTCCCTGATCATCTCTATCTGCTTATACATTTCAAATCTAGTGCCAAAAGAGCTAATATCCAATTCTTTTAAATGCTCCAGTTGTAATTCAAGCAATATCTTACCAGAAATTTTGTGTTGTTGAAAACTGCTAGCTGATTTGATATCAAACCCATGGCCTATAAAGTATGCAGTTACTTCATCTGGTGTCCAGTTTTCTACATTCATCAACTCCATGATTTCGTTTTGATTTCTCGGTAGGCTCACTGTAGAGGCTTCATTCACATTCAAGCCTTGCGTAGTAGAGTATACAGTGTTCTGTGTCACATCTCCAGAGTTGTAATTAGCTGATGATAACGTAGTATCGTTCACATTTGCATGCTGTAAATCTTCTAAGGCCTTATCGATATCGCTTATCGTGCTTTTCACTGAGACGTTACGGTTTACATTATTGGTGAAAGCAGAAGCTCCAGATTCAACTAGATAAGGAGATGGCAAATCGTTCATTACTTCAGAATTTGAAAGTGCTGGAGAATTCACTAGGTCTTCTCGAGAGCTTGGGCTATATATACGCTTCGAAGATTTTGCTCTCATAACTGTAGATTTTCTCTCTGTTGCCAACACCTGAGTAAAAACCACGGGATACAACCCTTCCTCTTTCGTTCTCAGGTTCCGCCCATAAAACCAGCCGTCGTTAAACTCACCATCATCGTTAATCACTTGAATTTTGTCACCTGGGTTCATATCCAGCTCATCTTCCATCCTTTTTGTGTATGCATTTATAGCAATATACAGAGGAAATCTGCTTTTACTACTAAATGTCTGGGAACTTGGTGTGGCTGCCGAGCTGGTGCTAGCATTCCTCGCAAAACTGGTGTCCAGCTGTGCAAGCTTCGGGGTATTCACGCCAGACATAACTCAAAAAACAATACAGTATGTTTCCTATTTCCCTCCAAAATAAACCTTCTAATGGAGTAAAAGTTAAATGAGGTGCCGGTCGTTGAGCTATGACTATGGTTTTGGCCCTTGATATAGCTCCCGGGACTCAAAGGTACTTATAGTCGATGTTGTTTTTTTTCAGTTAGGGATTGAGTGGCTCCTTAAAAATTTAGCATGAGGTGTCCACATACGGTGTCCGGTTTTAGAGTGACGAAGCCCATCCAGCGAGCTTCAGCAATATTATATGTTATACAGGTTTTGGAATATATATTAATGTAGTGGATGTAAGCTGGTTAAATTGGAGGATATTCTGGTAGTACTTTGTGGTTTTCTAGTCCTGATGACTAACCTTTTATGCTCACTTCAAAAGTGCATATTGCCAAAAAAAAAACAAGCTGATGATGTCAAAAAATTTGTTATGAATATTAATTATATGTTGAATAAAAGAAATGCATTTCTATCTATATGTGAGTGTATGTTCGTAAAATTCATTGTTTCTGAGATCATATCAGGTATAGTTTAGTGGCTATATGTGAAGGCTTCGACATGTGAGCCATGGAGCAATCCTTTTCCTTAGTCTGCTTCTGTGATTGTTGTAGCGGGCTTGGTTTAATGGATAAGCTGCCACATGAGCAATGCAGGTCTGGGTTTATGTGTAGACCATGTTTAATTCCTCTTAGTGGGCACCTAGTAGCGCGTTCGTCTCTGCCGCCCGCCAGTTGTCCAAATCGGAGAAGCGTTGGGCCTTCCAACTCTTCGGGTTCAACAGGTGTGGGTTTCTTGTTCTTTCTTTGGCGAGATAAGAACCTTGCAACGTGAGTCTTCTTCTTCACGCTGGCCCGAGATTTGATTCGCGGCGAGAGCACATTGTTGAACTCAAGGAACCGCTGTCTTGAACTACTGCTGTACTTCCGGTACCCTTTTTGCTTATTGCTGGATATGTTAGCGTTCATAAAATTCATCTTGAAACACTCCAGAACAGTGTTCGCATTTTCCTTGGCGATCATAATGCTATATTTGCTCCTGTATTATATATGTTCTAATATGTTCTTTAAGTTTTGTTATATGCTGTATTGTAAGTTGCACTATTGTAGCAGCCTAGATAATTTTTATTATGTTGATCTTGTTCTTGATGACTACGATTACAATAAGATACTTATAATTAAATTTAAGACGTGGGTATATATATATTGGAGAGATTTAGAACATTCCAGTTTAGTGCCCATAATCTCCTTCATACTGTTTATGTGTGTGGGTACTATCATATAAGAGAAAAATGGCACAAGAAGGGCATTTTTTTAGCAAGACAACAGCGTTATTGGTTAAAAGAAAAAGGATCGCATATGATATGTGTGGGAAAGGGACAGAGTATTGGGCTATTATTTATCAAGCGGAATCACAAAGTATAGAAATCACAAAAAGAAAGAAAGCAAGCAAGTAGTAAGTGAGCAGGAACAAAGCAATACGACTAAATTCTAAAAAAAAAGTCTCGGATAAGAATATAGAATGATCGTCTTCTAAAACTGGATTTGCCAAGGGGGAGAAGGATACTAGGAATGTGTTCTTCTATAACACTTTGTACTACTTTGTTGAAATGTGTAATGCTTGCTTGATGCCTGTTCACGCAAGAGATTGTGGCAGAGAGATACAAAGGATTAACAGTTTTGTTTTTTTTGATAATTTTTTTTTTTAGTCCACGGTGCAAATAGGGCGATGCCAAAGGAATAAGTAGTAAGAGGCTATTACGTCAATTTGTGAGGATTACAGAGAACACCGTGAGAGCAAAGGCTATCCCATTTTATTCAAGAGAAGCCCACTTTGCAATGTTCCTAGTTTCTTCGTTGTCAGGACTAGATAGATAAGAAGACTCTCTCGTCCCCCAAATTCATAGCAGTGCTTGCAGGTGCGTAGTTGCAGCAGTTATTTCTTTTTAAGATGTTTAATAGTGAGAGAACTTTGATGTGACAAGAATCCCTGAAAAACGGACAGATTCGTGTCGTGATCTAACACCGGCCAATTCTTTAGAAATAGGATGAATTGGGCGAGATATACACTTGTGCAGAACTATACACCACCCAACGAATATGAGTTGGGGGGGATAACAAATATCTATAGAAATTTTTTGGGGAATAGTGTCTAAATGGGGTGTATTCGATAAAGGGTATATTATGTAGTCTGTTAATGCAATTTGTTGAAATCAGGTCTTCTTCTGTACTTTTCGGAGTACTAGCATTTTGATCTGTTTCATGTTTATGGTCTTTCTGCATAGAGCACAGACACCTCCTTTACGAGGAGTTCTTGAGTTGTTTACCATTTGGAACAAGCATTCGCAACAGAATACATGCCCGCAGGGAGTCATAATAGCAACATCTGGTGGCTCGAAACATATAGGACATTTGTAGTCTCGTACCCGCTTGTATTCCCTTTTCTTGCTCTCCTCGTCATTGGCCTCTTCGTCTGGTATCTCGACCACTTGCTGTTCCTCGGCTTCCAAGTTGATGGTCTCGGGTGTCAAGTCTGCATTGCGCCTCTTGTTCATATTAGTTACTTCCAAGTCATCGTCATCATCGTCGTAGTCACTACCTTCGCCCTCCATGGAAGCATGACTTCTCTTCTTGGGAGAATGCTCTATATCTAGGTCTGTCTCTATCTGGTCTTCACTCACGCTGGTCTCACGTTGGCTATCTTCATCATCTTGCAACATATTTATCATCTCTGATCCGAAATCACTGTTAGACCGTTCCTCGCGTATTACTGTTATAGAGCCATCACTGTCGTTGCCATCGGTGGGAACACTGCCAGCATGTTCACCACTCTCAGATTTAGCCATCGCTCAATATACTCTGAGCGTCATTAAACCAAAGTAAATACAAACACACTAACTTAAATATCTAAGAAACTTCTAGTTTAACTTATAATCATTCTCTAATCATACACACTATTCATGCGTATAATCCCCATTGTTATATTTGCCGGATGAGCTAGTACTAATGCATACAGACAAACTGCGCAGTAACTGGTCCTCCCCACCTCGCACACATAATTGCCAAAAGAATTAAGACAAGACCCGAGAAAGAGAGAGATAGAGAGAGGCAGAGAAGGAGGGAGGGTCAATGTGCAGAGATAGAATGGAACACTTTGCAAGATTTGCTTACTGTGTTTACCCGGATTATTGAATTTAGCATATTTGCTACGTATGTAGTTATCTATTACTTTTTTCAGAGGCAGGTTTTCAGCTAGATTTTGTGACTGCTCTTTCTTGGGGTTTCCGAACGGGTCGCGTATTACACCCATACATATTTGGGAGTGCTATGTCCTGGGTATAGATTTTTCTGAAAACGGATGGATGGGAAGGACTGATGCAGACAGCAAGAAACTGAACTGCTCTTTGCAAGTTCTGGATTCCTTGGGAGAGGTCGATGGTTTGGCTGTTCCCTAACTCATACCATCGCATTCTGAGTCTGTAATGGCATCTGGATCCAGCACCATACGCATACGGGTCGGGCTGTAACCCTGAGCCTGGCACTAGCCAGTGTCGTGCTAGCCAGAGTCGTGCTAGCCAGAGCCGTGCTAGCTAGTGTCGTGCTAGCCGGTGTCGTGCTAGCTAGTGTCGTGCTAGGTCCAGCTCTTGTCAGGAGGTCTCTGTGGTGGAACTGGGCACCTCCTGCCTAGGCCGGCGTGCCCACCTTCTTCCTAGCACTACCACTGGTTTCCACCAGACCTTAGCACTTTGTAGGAAGGAGGTAGGGCAACGGCAACTCATCCCATAGTGTAGCAAAATCTGGAAAAACCTCAGAATCAAGCATCTCAACCATTGATGGCATTACATTAAAATGAAAACATAGATATTTCAACGATAGGCGCTTAGTAGCATTTGTTTCTGGCTTCATAACACTAACGATACCAACGAATCTAACACAAGAACAATGTCAGGTAACGGTGCTCAAGGTACTAAATTCAGAATTTCTGTATGTTTTAAAAGATAAGCTGCGAATGAACAAATTGTGAAATCTAGAGGATGGTTGTTGAGACAAGCAAGTCCAAGAAGGTTAAGATATATCGCCCAGTGTGTTGTACTATGCAGTTTTGTTGCAAATCAAGCGTGAGTTAGAAGTATATTCAAAGTCCAATCAAAGTATTCCCGCCGTCAAGTATACTGTGGCGAAACGTGTGAGGTTGATTATATTGTCAATATAACCCAAGAGGCATACAAGCTGTGAGAAGCTATTTCTGTGAGAAAATGTCTATATTGGCTATTAACGCATGCAAAGGAATTTCAATAGGACAAAACATGGCTTGCCTTCCCATCAGGAACTCAACGATTTAACAATTATATTCTCCCCAATACGTGAATAACTTACTAACAATTTATGTTCTCTTATATTATAATTTTTTTCTTGAGGTTTTTAATGCATGAGTTTTTCATTCCCCATCCCAATATTATGGTATCTAAATCAAAGTGGTAATAACATCCATCCATCTCGTGGTATACTTTTGAATGGCTAATTCCTATGAGAAAATGAAAACAATATTACTAGTAATATCAAAATGGAAGGGTTGGGCTGATTTACAAATGCTACTAGGGATCCAGAAGGGAAAAAAGGTTAATGTACAGATTACACCACATATGAACAGCTAGGTTTGCCAACCGGTGCCATCATGAACTGTGCTGACAACTCTGGTGCCAGAAACTTGTACATCATGGCTGTCAAGGGTTCCGGTTCCAGATTGAACAGATTGCCAGCTGCCTCTCTAGGTGATATGGTTATGGCTACTGTTAAGAAGGGTAAGCCAGAATTGAGAAAGAAGGTTATGCCAGCTATCGTTGTCCGTCAATCCAAGGCTTGGAGAAGAAAGGACGGTGTCTACCTATACTTCGAAGACAACGCTGGTGTCATTGCTAACCCAAAGGGTGAAATGAAGGGTTCCGCTATCACTGGTCCAGTCGGTAAGGAATGTGCTGACTTGTGGCCAAGAGTTGCCTCCAACTCCGGTGTCGTCGTCTAAATGTCATACTAGAAATAGTTTCCTATTTAGTTCAACATAAAAAATTTCATTAAAATATAATCATTTCCTAATTCTGTAACTTACAGAAGATGTATAGTAATATACTTGCTTAAAAGTTTTTTTAAGAATATTATAAGCTTTAAGTATCTCCAATAAGCTATAGAAAGCATATATACATGAAGTCACATATCGGTCTATGATAATGGCAATGTTAATATTAATAGTAGTAATGGTGAGAGATTTCGATGTATAATTTCGTATTAGTTCCTTAATTATATGTAGATAATATATTAAAACTTATCGTTGTGAGTTGAATATTACAATGTCATAATCCAAAATCAACCTTATAAACCTCGTTATCTAGCCTAATGAACTAGTATTAAAGTTAAAAGTGATTTTGGGCTTATAAGAATAAAATAAAATACTGTATAGAGATATTGAAATATGTTGGTAGCTTTCTTGTAGTTTGAATATCTTTCTTTGTGATGCAATTGCTATTGTTCTAGGCTTCGGTATCGTTGTCTATTATCGTAACATAATTGCTTGGTATAATACCCGTCTCACCCGATTCCTTCTTCGCTTTCCACCATCTGCCCTCTATATCACTAACCATTAATATTTCGCCCTGTTCAAAGGACATCTCATATGCATCAGCGGAATCCGCCTCGTAAGAGTAAAGCGCCTTAACTCTGTAAGGGAAACTCTCGTCAGCCAGATCGGCGTAGAGCCCCATCGTGTCCCCCATTGTAGTATTTGTATTATTATTGGTAGTTGCGGTAATATATGTGTCACCGATAGTATTGTTACCAAGTTGTGGTGATCTCAACGGAGCGTTGTTGTTGGTAGGCAAGTCGCTTGCAGATGGGTAAGGTGGGCCCGTGTTCTCAAATTCTGTAAGTGCCGTTGATGAAACGTAGTTGGAAGTGTGAGGATTGTTATAAAAGCCATTGTCTAGTCCCAAATTCTCAGAAGCACTATGTAGATTGTTAGTGCTGTGAGTCAGCTTCACAGAGGATCCACGGAACTGGGTTTGCTTACTAGATCTCCTGTACGCCTTGATCTTTGCAGCTTCAAATGGAGAAGGTCTGATGCCATTAAGTGAGAAAGAGTCGACCCATCTATTTATTGGGGAGGCATTATCACCACCATAGTAAAAAATCCATATTAAATTAACCATTGATAAAAGAACTACACCAGCAGATGCTGCAGCTTTCTGGTTACCTGAACCATAGATCAAATAATTGGCACTATTTGTAGAGTATACAAACGCAACACCTATGGAAGCTGTTAAAAAATTTCTGTAATAATCGACAAGGTCATATATGTAGAACCCGATTAGCATTAAAATGATTAAAAATTGAAAAGCTATACCCCACCATGTAAATCTCGGAAAGTCCTCATTAACTTGTACAGATATGCAACCACCAAGTGTGATAACCCAGGATATTAGACCGATTAGTATAGATGATATCGCAAATGGGTCCGATATCAGATTTCGAAATCCAACATTTCGAACAGCACCTCTTGTCCTGGGATTTATTATCTTACCTCTCCTGCCTGACATAACTAAATTCTATATCGTTACTGTCCACCCGATGTTCTTCAATCGATTCAGAAGTATTCGAAACTGTCACAATACAGTTGAATTGCTTATATATTAGTGAATGTATGAATCCAGTTGCCATTATGGTTAGAACATTCTCAACGCGATGAGCATTGACATTTTTGCAAAAGTGCCTTCACGCGTTTTGTGTGGGAATACGTGATTCATGAGTTCTATATATAGATTTGTAGTATGGCATGCCATGTCATTGCAGCGTATTTCGTTGTGATTCTTACTAGTTGTTTATTCCTTGGTTATTTCTAGTATTCAATTGAGTACATAGGTCTGTATTGCAATAGGACTATGTAATGATAAATAATTAGTGGTGGGCATTGTACTTGAAAGTAGCAAAAAGCGATGCTGTCATCACAAAGAATCCCCATATTGTTGCTGCTAATCCAAGCTTCTTCAGCAATCTATCACCTCTGGTTAGAGTAGCTCCATCTGATCCTATTAATCTGTAGCCAAATATCCCTGGTAGAATGAAAGAGATCGAGGTGGATCCTGTGGCTCCCACAATTGCCAATACTTTATCAAGTGAGTGCACGGACATTGCCACGAGATATGAGGGAATCAAGATCGCAGCAGTAATCGCTAGAAATAGCTTCCTCTCCATCTCTATGGGTACATCCTTAATTGATCCTTGTTCTTCAGCTAGTTCGTTGTCCTCTATGGAGCTAATGGAACGCACCAATGGGGTTCTCTCAGTAGCCAGCAGTTGTGAAGAGCTCATAGTGTCTGCATTCGCTGTAGGTTCTTGTGTATTCTTGAGGTCAGGATTTAAGCTAGGGTAGAAAAACGCAAGGATATTATGAATTGAGCTTCTTGCCGGATGGCACTGCAACGGGAATGCTAGCGTGACTAGTAATGCAATGGCAATTCTTCCAATAATGCTAGAGACCGAGTGGGGATACAATGTGATTATATTGCCTACGATCTTATCTCCGAAGGTCATATATCCACAACCGCCAATTAAGATATACAATATGCATGCCAAGGACGTTGAGATTAAAGGAATATACTTTGTAGTCTTGAAACGGTTATCTTTCTGTTCATTAATCACTGAGAACATATTGTGGTGGCAAGTGTATGCAAAGACAAAGATAGGTAATGTTGTTAAGGGGCTAGGACCGTGGTGTGGTAGCCCAATTGATACATGGCCCTTCATCTGCTCGATATCGCCATCAGAGGAAACTAAATGTATTATCACCAGCACACATAGGTAAGCTACGGACATAATAGCCAGTGAGGAGGTGTGTCTAAGGGAGTTCAAACGCTTCTTCAGACATAGTGGGGTCACTACGAATATCATTACAAGTGTAATGTGGAAATCCCTATTCAACAAAAGTGGCTTTGTGGTGATTGAACCAGCAATCTGGGGCAGTAAATCTCCCACAACAATCAGATATGATATCCCAACACCCAGGCATTTGATAGCAATGGCGAGATCAAAGATAACACTTAAGTTCTTGTTGATAACCTGCGTCAACGAGAAGAAAGATGCATTCTTGGAATCTGGAGCATACCCGGCTACTCTAGCTTGTATCAGCAATGTCATCATTGAACAGAGACCACAAAACATTATCATCAGGATCCCAAATATGAGACCAAAGGGTTTAAACGCATAAGGCATGGCCAGTATGCCAGCTCCGCATGCGGTGTGCAAAAGAGTCAGTACACCTGAACCGACAGTAGAACTCATAACCTTTAGTTTTTTATATGTTAATGCTAATTTTGTAGTAACGCAGCAGCAACTCTTATTGTGGCCCCAGACCCAAGCGTTCTTAATTTGGATGACTACTATCCTTTATGTTGCATTATATCGCTTTGGCAAGCGATGATGCAGTTGCAGCAAGAAAAAAAATGCTGAAAGGCATCTCCAGTAAGTGCTTACAAATTAATGTTGCTGAAATGGTATAGATGGCATATGATTTCTGCTTGGGTTGTCTGTGTGGCATAGATATCGATTAGTTAGTTGGAAGATAGCAGAGGATTGATTTATAGAGATGAGTGACGAAGTAGCAGTGCCTCCGGTGCAGGAAGGAGAGAAAGTTGAAGCTCAGGTTGAAGAAGTTGCAGAGGAAGTTGTCAATGAAGGTGGTGATTCAGGCAAGAAGAAGAAGAACAAGAAGAAGAAGAAGAAGAATAACATTAAGAGGATTGAACTTATCTACCCGGATGAAGTGTATCCTGAAGGTGAATGGATGGACTACCAGCAGGACTTCAACCTGGAGCGTACCACTGACGCCGAGAAGAGGTACTTGGCAAGAGATATGGAGAAACAAAGCGAATGGAACGATGTTAGAAAGGGTGCTGAGATCCATCGTCGTGTGAGAAAGAATGTGCAGAACAAGTTGAAGCCTGGGATGTTACTAACCGAGGTTGCCGATATAATTGAGAATGCTACAAGAAAGTTTACAGGTGCTGAGGACTTAACCAAGATGGATAATCCAGTCAGTCAAGGTATTGGTTTCCCAACTGGTTTGTCTCTGAATCATTGCGCTGCCCATTATACCCCTAACACTGGAGATAAGACGGTTCTGAAATATGAGGATGTCATGAAAGTTGATATTGGTGTTCAAGTGAATGGTCATATTGTTGACTCAGCATGGACTGTATCCTTTGATCCCCAATACGACAACTTGCTCGCAGCTGTGAAGGATGCTACATACACGGGTATCAAGGAGGCCGGTATTGACGTAAGATTAACCGATATTGGTGAGGCAATCCAGGAAGTAATGGAATCCTATGAGGTAGAGATCAAGGGTAAGACGTACCAAGTGAAACCTTGCAGAAACCTATGTGGTCACAGTATCGGCCCTTACACCATCCATGCTGGTAAATCCGTTCCAATTGTGAAGAATGGTGACCAGACGAAAATGGAAGAAGGTGAGCACTTCGCCATCGAGACCTTCGGTACCACTGGTAGAGGCTATGTGGTAAGTGGTGGTGAAGTATCCCACTATGCCCGTCTGCCATCGGATGGCCTTCCACAACCAAACTTGGCTAGCGCAAAACAACTATTGAAAGTCATCGACGACCACTTCGGAACCCTACCGTGGTGTCGCCGCTACTTAGATAGATTAGGCCAGGACAAGTACCTATTTGCACTTAACAGTCTAGTGAAGCAAGGCCACGTCCAGGACTACCCACCATTGAATGATGTTATTGGATCTTACACCGCACAGTACGAGCACACTATCCTGCTGCACCCACACAAGAAGGAAGTGGTGTCAAAGGGAGACGACTATTGAAAACCTTTCATAAGTGACAAAACAATTACACGCACACATATATAAACACAAGATATAGACATTGGCATTTCAAAGGTGCATAACTAGATGAACTAGTATATACTTCCTGCTTTGCGGTATAAACCCATTATCAATATCCCTTTCTACGTGAGCTCGTTTAACAGCACACTTCACCATTTTTTTTTGTTTGTGTTTGCTGGAATTTTTGGGAAATCAAAAGCTCACTCCCTCCCAGCAGAAAGCAAATTTGTTAGAATAACAGTAATAGTTATCAATTGTTGGGGGGGCTTTAAAAGCAAGGAACTGAACGAGAGGATCTTACAGTATTTCATCAATTGGACAAATTCTATCTCAATACTTTAACCGCCGGAACTATATTTTACTGCATTAGATTCTTTGAGGCAGAGAAAAGTGTTTTTGAGAATCGAATTTACTGGAAAAAACAAAACTAGAATTCCTACAGATCAAAACAAAAGGAATAAAAGTCGATTATATATAATAAAAGAAAGCAATGTCTCTAGTTGATATATCTCCAGATGTGCTTGAATACAAGTCGCCATTGACCAGGCAGAGTACCGCGTATGTCACTGTGAAAAACAACTCTGATCAAGCCATAGCGTTCAAGGTGAAAACCACTGCTCCAAAGTTCTACTGTGTGAGACCAAATGCCTCCGTGGTTGCTCCTGGTGAGATTGTGGATGTCCAGGTAATCTTTTTAGGTTTGCCTGAGGCTCCGGCTCCAGACTACAAGTGCCGCGATAAGTTCTTGGTTATAACACTGCCATCTCCGTATGATTTGGGCTCCAAGTCTGTGTCCGAGGCCTGGGCTGATCTAGAAGCGGAGTTCAAGCAACAGGCAATCTCCAAGAAGATCAAAGTTAAATATTTGATAGATACTGAAGTGGAAAAGAATCCACAAAGTGTTCCTGAAACGGAGGATGCTAGAGAAACTATACAACCAGCACATCAACCAGCTCCAATTGCTGAGACCAAGCCCTCAGAGGTCACTGAGAATAAGATGCCTATGACTAAAGAGGTCCCAGTTGCTGCTCCAGTTACTGCAGCACCAATTACTGCTGATATTGAGGAGAAGAATGCCATGCCAAAGACAGAAACTCACGAAAATGTTGATGAACTGAAGGAAGAACCACCTGTAACAACGACAGAAAAGGAAGAGGCCAAGGTACAGAGTTCTGTTACCAAGAAGTCCGGTAATGAAGGCTCTACGAACACTATGTTGATTGTCATATGTCTTGCTGTCCTTATTTTGGGTTGGTTGTATCGTTAAGGTACTAGGTTGTCATGACCTCGCTATAATTTTAACGAGTACCCGTGAAGAAAATAGAAAAACCGAGAAAGATTTAGGATTGTTGACTATAAGATCAGCAAAAGGAGGAGTTAGTAGACATTAAACTAAAGAAAGGAAATTACTCTTCCGTTGTACATTTTTTATTTCACGCCAAGATTTTTGTTTTGTTTTGCAAAAGAACCTGGTAAGATATTTTTCCATTGATGTGTATTACTCATTTTGCAGTTTGTTTCTTTTTTGATTAAAAGATTCATTGGACTGTTTGAGGTAGGCGTCAGTGTTTAAGTAGATAGGGTACTAAAATCTATTCATATAGTAATCTTTTTCCCTCTATATTTAACTTATAATAATACCCGATGATATCCATTACTACAAATTAACTGGTTGCAATCTGGCCTAAAATACGCTGCATGATACAGGCATCTAAATAAAGTATTTGAAATGACTGACGTGTAAATCCGTAATGCAATCATTGCTGTTTTTCTGTTCCTTGCTCCGAACGGCTGTCGGAATTTTTCAGGGCAGTGGTTCATCTAGAAAACATGAAAAACTCTTGCAATGATAGTGAAAATTAAAGGAACTGGTAACTGTGGTATAATATACTGTGGACTTGTTTACAATTCTAACTATTGTGCATAAATAGAAGTCGATTAATTGATCAAGATGGGTTTGCTTGAAACACCAATCTCAATTCCTAGCGATGACAAGAACTATCAGTTGACGTCCAGTCCAAGGTATATCAACTGGCATATGTTTGGCACTGCAACTTCTCAAGAGCTTGTTTCCAATGGAGCTCCTGGTATGAATGGCAAGAGGGCTCTGGCATCAGAATCTTCTAGCCTAGGGTTAAAAAGACAGAAAAGTGATAAAACTACCAGGTCAATGTCATAGATTTATCAGGTACCAATGTATCTGGTATCTTAAGTATATAATAATATTCATGATCACGGAACAGAGAGAAATCCAACATATTAACAATTGTGATTATTCAATGTTCATTTAATTTTCATTCAATTAATTTTTATTTACAGAGCAAAACTAGTGTAAACCCTAGGTTATGAACGGCACGACTCCTCCGATAGAATATTTGCTATTCGGATTGTATAAATTAAATTGTATTATAGTTTTTAAAATATCTATTAAAAGAATATAACTGGTTTTCTTATTTTACATGTTTGAAACTGACTTTAGGAGAAGGAATAGGGTAAAAGCTCTTTGAAAGATCATTCTAAGGCAATTCCATCAGAAACGTCCAAAGAGAAGGAAATCTCTCGAGCTCTTTTTATCGGTAGCAATTTGTACCTTTTCGTTAGTAGAAGTATTTTAGGCTTTATCATTTTATTTGGTAGATCGTTATTACTTAGTGTTTTCCATAACGCTGTCCTATGTGAGTAGTGAACGCCACAGTTGGACTAACTATAGAATGGTTAAAGTCTTCATTTCCTTAGATAATCTCTTAAATAATTACCTAGCTTTTCGGCACCTGTCTCAACCATATCCTTTAGCATCTGTAGTTCATCATCTGTACTGGAATTGAAGTCAATAAAAGCACCATTTGAACCTGCAGCTCCTCCATAATTTCTTTGAGGATTATAAGCCCCATTACCACCCTCTAATAGATCTTCTTCGCTTTGTTCTTCACCAAAATAAGATGATGAAGAAATAGATGTAGCATTATCGAAGGTCTTAAGTTTTTCACGAGCTTCACGAGAAGCAGCTTCATCGTAGGTACCACGTCCGAACATCATATCTGAGGAAATAGCTTTCTGACCACCATATTTTGCAGCGATAGATCCTGTGTATTTTGGTCCTGAGGCTGCTCTCTTGGCTTCCTTATGTTGTTGGGCAAGCTCATTGGCTTCATTATTGGTCATACCAAAACCTAGTTTAGCAAATTTAGGCTTCAAATCTTCAACTGGGGCAGGGTCCACAAAGGACTCTTCTTCACCATTAAAGACGTCTTCCTTCTTCGCGAAAGAGTCTTCATCATCCTTTTCTGTAGAACCGAAACTTGGCGCTTGGTATTTGTTTGGGAAGGAAGAGGTAGTGGAAGAATTATGAAGTTCAAGCTCTTTTTCTTCTTCTGCTTCTTTCTCGAATTGATCGAAAAGATCTTCCGCCTTAGACTTATCTACCTTCTTGGCACCAAGTCTAGTTGGTTTTCTGGATGATGATAAGATAGAATGCTTCTTGGCACCTTGAGTTGCTTGAGGGGTAGAAGTCTTTCTTCTACTGTTCAAAATTGAACTGCCTGTTTTTCTTCCCAAACTTGTGCTGGAGTTATTATTGCTAGAATTTGCGTTTAAGCCTCCAGTAGGTCTTGGAGATAGGGTTGGGGTTACAGAACCGTTGTCAACCTTTGGTTTCTCCCAGTTGGAAAAGAAGTCATCGACACTACCTTCCTTTGGAGTGGAGGCAACACTGTTAGAGTCACTTGATGTCTCATCACCTTGATTGTCCATTTCAGTCAACACTAATTCACCTGGGTATTGTTGCATATCCTTTTCCACCTTGGAATCAAGATGCGCTTTGTACTTTTTAGCCACTAAACTCGTGTATTTTGCTTGTGCATTCACATTAGAGCTATTCAAGTATTGTTTTCCATTATTCTTCATGAAATATTCCTTAGCCTTGTGGTTACCACCATATTTGAATCTTCTCAAGTTATTCACTGTCCATTTATCTAGGGTAGAACTCTTCACAAAGGTAATGTGTACACCAAGATTTCTGTGAACAGCAGAACATTGGATACATAGAAGAACACCAAATGGCACGGATGTCCAAGTAGGGTTCTTATTACCACAGTCAAAACAAACACGGTTCTCCAATCTGCTGCCTAGTTTGGTGAAAACTTGCTGTCTAACAGAATCCTCAACGAATACTTCACCGTCGTCCATATTTTAATATGTATGTGTGTCCTATAGTAATAATTGATAACGTTACGATTTTGATCGTTTCTAAAACTCGATTCCTTAACCTCTCTTACCCTTTTATAACTCAAATTTCCTGATCCGACCGGGAGAAAAATGATAGTTTGATGAACGTTCACTTTATCGCTGTCGTGGGATGATTAATAGAGTTACTTGACTACCGGAATAGAACAAAAATTGTGCTATTGGGAACTTCAAAACCTTTTTGTTGTTCTTGTTATTCCCATGATTTGTGCCAAGAATCCTATTCTTAGGCCGGAGGGAGCCCACATTTGAAAAAAAACAAAACGAAAAAATCGCTGAATGGGCAAATCTTAAGCCGGGTAAAGTTCTTGTGCAGGCTGTCCATATAGCTATGCAGTCTCTATTCATCTCAGGAACTGTATTCATTGCAACGGTTACTTTCAAACCAAATGTTGTGAAAGTTTAGCGAGTATGTTCTATTGTCATTTCTAGCATTAACTAAATAAATGAGACTAAAGGCCATGACATATATTGAAAAATAAATATTTAATATTTATAGAGTAAAAAAATTAGTTATACGTAAAAAAAAAATAGGAAGGATACAAGAAGACAATACGAAAATAGAAGCTATAGCCTATTTTGTGAAAACATCAATCTTCCGTTACTGAAACAGTATTTTTAGATACCATATCCCATATGGTAGACCAATTTGAATAAAAATCAAATTTCATTAAAAAAAAAAAAAGAGAAAAGGCCCAATGACTACTTTTCATGAAAACAAACTATTTTTGTATCTTCGCAAACAAAATCGAAAATATAATATGAGCATATCAGCTCCAAGCAGTAGAGTAATGGTGGCTCAATTTTCTCCGTTTCAAAAAACCAAATCATTTGTTTGTTTCCAGGTAAAGTAATGCATAAACCTCATAAAAGAACTGAAAAAAAAAATGTTGTGAATCTGAATTGAATTAAGTCCGTTGCTATAATCTTTCAAAATTAGTTAGGGCAGAAAGATGAAGGAAAATAACACAATAATATCATATAGTCATTAAGCATCATCAAGTAGAAAATTTAGTATGCAGTGTGAAAAACCTAGTAGAGTCAGGGTTGTTTTTTATTTTGAATTGGAGCAGCAGAGAATGATTTCGATTTCGGCAGTCCATTTTTCTTAGGCTTCTGATTTGTGGTTAATGTTGAAGCGGATCTTTGTAGATTAGCCTTTTTGCTATTTGTAGGACCTTTTGCTCCGGATTGCAATGTGGTGCTTGATTTTGTGACGTTAAATTTGTGAGCATTAGATACAATAATTTGGAACTTTGGTTGTTTCTTGATTTTCTTCTTAACTTTCCCATCTTTGCTCTTGGATTTCATGGCTTTCTGGGAATTGTTTGGGACAGTGTTGAAAACTTTTGGTGCTGTCGCCATTGAATCACTCTTGAAAGATCCCATTTTTGGTAGTTCTGGGATCGGTAGAATTGGTCTGTTTTTAGCATCTAGAGAAATGTTAGATTTGTTATGTGATATTGGTGTCGGTGAGAGTGGAATAGCAAGTTTGCTATCTTCATCATCGTGTTTTAATACACCGCTGTCACGATCAAAGAGCAACAGTCTGTCATCAATATTGTAATCAGATTGTTTACCGGCTTTCAATTGTCTGTTCTTGGCTGGTAAGTTTTTCTGTTCCTGACTTGGTATAATGTTAAGTCTTGAGTGATCAATCTTCAACGGTGATTTAGTTACAGAGGAATTCAGTTGAATTGTGGTAGGTGATGATCCATATATGTTGTTTTCTTTGTTTTCATCATCTCTGTTGGTAAAATTAGGAATATTTCCGAGCTTCGATAGTTTACTTGGTGATTTGTTATTGTTGGGTGTCTTCATAAGGAAGTTATTTTTGTTCTTCCTAATTGATGCAACGTTAGGTGTGCTATTTAAGCTTAAGCCCATCGTATCTTTCCTAGCTCTTTGGAAGTCAGCTAGAGCACTGTTAGAAGTTTGTATATTATTCGGATCAAAATCATTACCTATTTCTCTCTTAGCAAATGGGGTGAGTCCTGTACTATTTGTTCCAAAGAAGTTCAGAGCATCTTTCTTCTCCCTGTATGGTGACACTGAAGAAGGCATGTTATTAAACGTCAGTACATTTTGATCTATCCTCCTTAGCGGCGTCCTATTGCTGTTGCTGTACAAGAATTTTGTAGACGACGTCGAGTTGAGTAAATCCCAGTTAATTTGTGCGGAACTATTCAAAAACTTCAACGGAGTCTTTGCAGGGGTCTTTGTATTGTTGTTGTTCAGCAGGCTAAAGTTTGGCGAATCCAACAAGAACTCCCTAAGCTGTTCAGGAGACGCCAAAAATTCGCAGTTACCATTCTGAGGGCCCGCGCTATTGGGATCAATAAGCATCCCATGCCCATTACCCTGTGTCCTTACGTTATTACCAGGCGGCCCACTTATCCTCACCGATGGCTGTTGATTAAGAGCGTTATTGAACACACTCGAAGGCTGCAAGTTTATGTCATCCAAGGAGGGTTCAGCACCGTGTTGTAGCTGTTTAGTGGCCGACCCTTCGCCTAGAGCCGTGGTCATCGTTGTGTTCATGGGCAGTATGCTATTGTCCAGGAAAGGAGACGAACCCGCGTTCCCATTCCTCCCGTTAGCTACTGCTACCTCCGCATTGCTAGCGCAACTGTTATCCGCAGAAGACTGCACGCGAGAGTACGGCGTAGGGAAACTCTTCACGCCATTGCCACCAGCAGTAGGCTGTATACTGTTCCCCAATGGGGATGCGAAATACTTCATATTCTCCGAAAACACATGCAACAGGTGCGCTTCCAGATCCTCGCCGTGAGGATTCAACCGCTTCCACTCCGGCGTCTCTTCCATTATAGTCTGTATTGTAGCTGCAAATGTTTTTGTCACTACTATGGACCTCCTGTAACGTTGGTGAAAGTATGAATCTATGTTTGCAATCCTTTTTGTAATTGCTATTTGTATGAGCAAGGATCTTCGATTTGTTTTGTTTTGCGGAAAGATTTTCGTGGATCGAACACAAACAAGGGACGTGTGTAGTGATCTTGGTTTTTTGGCGTTATAACTGGTTCGATGAGGATTCCATGCTTCATGTATATAATTGGGGGGTGGGATTATTTCTTATATAGTCTTTATAGTCTTGTTAAGTGTAGGGACTGTTTATAGGAGGATAGGATACGCAGGATAATGGACGAGTGCAGGGACATTGCTAGGCGATTGGACGAAGGCGAAGCTGCAGGAGAAGCTGCGGATTGCGGTTTGCTGCTTAAGCTGGCGCGTGGATTGATACAGCATGGTATAGCCAACAGTGATCTGTTTAACGGTATGGAGGGAGGTGACGGTGATGACGATGACGATGATGAGCAAGGAGAATACGAGGATGAAGAAGGTGATGAGGATGGCGATGATGACAACGAGAACGACAACGACAACGCCAACGATGTCGATGTCGATGTTGATGACGAAGGAGAAGGTGTTGGTGCTCAGCCTACTGTGAACACCAAGTTTTACCAATTTGATCTTGAGGAAGAAGAAGATCTTGATGATGACGAGGAAAGTGGAGCTGAGGATGAAGAGGAAGAATTCAGGTTCAGTGATTATGTAGACGGCGATCCGTTTGAGAACGCGCTCGTAGTGCTACAACGTGGTGAAGAGATAGCGCAAGGCGAGATGTTGGTGGATGTGTACAAGCTTATGGGAGAGGCATATGCAGAGGTCGGTGCGGAAGATGACAGCATAAACTGTTACGAGAGGGCTATCGAAGTAATAGAGAGCCGTGAATCTGGAGAGAGAGACCTCACCAAGCAGATAGAAATCCTGGAGAGGTTATCACAAAACTTGAAACTGAGTGCTGAGGTCAGTGCCGACAAGAAACTAGAGATCGCCAACAAGCTGAAAGGGTACTTAGAGAAGCAGTTATCCCAAGACAAGGACGACGAGACAAATTTGGCAAGATTAGAAGAGGTGAAGCTGGATATACGAGAGATCAAGATGGAGAAAGAGATGGATCAATCGGGGAACTCTAAGGAGCTTCTGAAGAACTTGATCCTAACGCAGATGGCAAAACTAGATCCATTGAAGGGCAAGCGTAAAGCTGTCAATGATCTATCGGGAATGATAGTTAAAAAGAAAAAATAGCCTGATCACCTCGGGGCCCAAGAAAAAGGATTAATTATTATAATTATTATTAAATAAGGGATGCACAATTTATTATGGACCCGAAGGAGAATGCTAGTAGATAAAAGGCCATATATCATATCTTATGAAGCTTTGTAAACTACGGAGGGGGGGTGTAATAATGTAGAAAGAACGGGCATTACAGAATATTTAATATTATAAGTTCAATTTCCCTATAATAAAAGTTGTGTTGTGCAGTATGGGTTATTGCGTCATTATACTACGTGACGAACCCAAGGGGTTTGTACCACCTCATCTCTCTCATTCTCTCTGCTCTCTGTGATTGGGAACAAAGAAGTCTGGGATATCGGGCAATCCCTTTACATTAGCAATTGGATGGTACTAATGTTGTAAAAATATATATATAACTACCTCCTTACTTGTAGTATATCCTATAATTCAATTTTGAAAAAAAAAGGCATAGCAGATTTTTTAGTAATTTGGAAAGAAAGACTAAAGAATACACAAGAAAAGATGCCTCCTAAAGTTCCAGCTACGACTGTCAAGGACAGGTTTTTGAAAGTTGCCAAGAGTTTACAATTTGCGTGGTTTGCAGGCCACTTCCTAGTTGTGGTCAGCTCTTTGCTGTATTTGTTCAGGTTCTGTGAGACCTTGTACCGCTGTGCGTACGTTGGTGTGTTGGCGTCATTTGGTATTATCACGTACCAGCAGGGTCTGCACCAGCAGTTGTCGCTGTCGCTGTTGACCAATGAGAATGTGTTGTACTTTGCGTTGGCGCTGGTGTGGTTCTTCACCCCCAGGTTCAGTCTGTCGCTAGTGCCATACTTCATGTTCTCTGTGTTCCATGTGCTAGTGTACTTGAAGACCACGCTGTTGCCCCAAGTGTTCAACCAGACCGTGGAGTCCAAGAGCAAAGTTGTTATGTTTATCGACAAGTTTGTGTTGGACTACAACGAGAGGTGCATGTACTGGGTCTCGACCACCGAGCTGCTGATGCTGTTCCTGCTGTTCGTGAGAGCAGTGTTGTTCTTCTCCCGCTCCTGGATCGTGCTCGTGGTGTTCACGCTGTTCATCAAGGTCAAGTACGAGACTTCTAAGTACATGCAGGCCGCCTTCGCGCAGTGGAGAGTGAGAATGGACGGTGTCATCTCGCACCCAAGCGTCCCACCCCAGATCAAGTCCCTGTACAACCAGTTGAAGTTCCAGCTGGTGCAATTGTCCAAGGTCACCATCACCAGAGCAGCACCAGGCACCCATGGATCTACTAGTGCTTCTACTGGTTCTACTGGCACCAGTACCAGCACCAGCACTAGCACCTCCGGTGCTAGTGCCAGTGCCACTGCCACCCACTCCGCAAAGATGGACTAAGGTGTAAATTGAGTCAACAAAACTTATGTAATTGAGTACTTAACAGCACATAATAAAATAAACCGCAGAAACAACTTCACTTTATAGCTATTTTATATACCCCTGCACGTACCGCCCTGCACAAATCCGTGACCTCCACACGTCGCACACGATATATGGTTGAGAAGTCCTCTTTCCTCTGCGGTCTCGCCTCTGCGGTCCCCCCTCTGCGCAGAAGAAGAAGAAGAAGAAGAAGAAAGGAAAAGCTTCTAGAAGATTCCATCTCGGCGTCGAAAAGGTCGCTAAGCAGTTAGAGAGAAGAGAGAAGAGAGAAGAGAGAAGAGAGAACCTTCTCGATGTGCTTAGAAGGAAGTGCACATGGTAGGGTGGGGAGCCTGGGAACTACGTAATTGTTCCCTCGGAAGGTTCGAGAAGGTTAGCTGTGGGAAGGAAGCTGGTTTAAAAAAAAAAGTATATAAAGGGCCTTGTGCTCAATTGTCTCTAGGTCACCCCCCAATTCAAGTACTACAACAACAAATCATAGAACAAAAAAAAAAAGTACAAATGTCTAAGGCTGTTGGTATTGATTTGGGTACTACTTACTCATGTGTTGCACACTTCGCTAACGATCGTGTTGAAATTATTGCTAACGATCAAGGTAACAGAACCACTCCATCCTATGTTGCTTTCACTGACACTGAGAGATTGATTGGTGATGCTGCTAAGAACCAAGCTGCTATGAACCCACACAACACTGTCTTTGACGCTAAGAGACTTATCGGTAGAAACTTCAACGACAACGAAGTCCAGACTGATGCCAAGCACTTCCCATTCAAGTTGGTTGATGTTGATGGTAAGCCTCAGATCGAGGTTGAGTTCAAGGGTGAGACCAAGAAGTTCACTCCAGAACAAATCTCCTCCATGGTCTTGGGTAAGATGAAGGAAACCGCTGAGCAATTCTTGGGTTCCGCCGTCAACGATGCTGTCGTCACCGTCCCAGCTTACTTCAACGACTCTCAAAGACAAGCCACCAAGGATGCTGGTACCATCGCTGGTCTAAACGTCTTGCGTATCATTAACGAACCAACCGCTGCCGCTATCGCTTACGGTTTGGACAAGAAGGGCGGTGAAGAAAACGTCCTAATCTTCGACTTGGGTGGTGGTACTTTCGATGTCTCCCTATTGTCCATCGAAGACGGTATCTTCGAAGTCAAGGCCACCGCTGGTGACACTCACTTGGGTGGTGAAGATTTCGACAACAGATTGGTTAACCACTTCGTCCAAGAATTCAAGAGAAAGAACAAGAAGGACTTGTCCTCCAACCAAAGAGCTATGAGAAGACTAAGAACCGCTTGTGAAAGAGCCAAGAGAACTTTGTCCTCCTCCGCTCAAACCTCCATCGAAATCGACTCCTTGTTCGAAGGTATCGACTTCTACACCTCCATCACCAGAGCTAGATTCGAAGAATTGTGTGCTGACTTGTTCAGATCCACTTTGGACCCAGTCGAAAAGGTTTTGAGAGACTCTAAGTTGGACAAGTCCGCTGTCCACGAAATCGTCTTGGTCGGTGGTTCCACCAGAATTCCAAAGGTCCAAAAGTTGGTCACTGACTTCTTCAACGGTAAGGAGCCAAACAGATCCATCAACCCAGATGAAGCCGTCGCTTACGGTGCTGCTGTCCAAGCCGCTATCTTGACTGGTGACCAATCCTCCAAGACCCAAGACCTATTGTTGTTGGATGTCGCTCCATTGTCCCTTGGTATTGAAACTGCTGGTGGTGTCATGACCAAGTTGATCCCAAGAAACTCCACTATCCCAACCAAGAAGTCCGAGATCTTCTCTACTTACGCTGACAACCAACCAGGTGTCTTGATTCAAGTCTTCGAAGGTGAAAGAGCTAAGACAAAGGACAACAACTTGCTAGGTAAGTTCGAATTGTCCGGTATCCCACCTGCCCCAAGAGGTGTCCCACAAATCGAAGTTACCTTCGACGTCGACTCCAACGGTATCTTGAACGTCTCCGCTGTCGAAAAGGGTACTGGTAAGTCTAACAAGATTACCATCACCAACGACAAGGGTAGATTGTCCAAGGAAGATATCGAAAGAATGGTTGCTGAAGCCGAAAAGTTCAAGGAAGAAGATGAAAAGGAATCTGAAAGAATTGCTTCCAAGAACCAATTGGAATCTATCGCTTACTCCTTGAAGAGCTCCATCTCCGAAGCCGGTGACAAGTTGGAAGAAGCTGACAAGGAAGCCGTCTCCAAGAAGGCTGAAGAAGTCATCCAATGGTTGGACAACAACACCACTGCTACTAAGGAAGAATACGACGACCAATTGAAGGAATTGCAAGAAATTGCTAACCCAATCATGACTAAGTTGTACCAAGCTGGTGGTGCTCCAGGTGGTGCCGGTGCCGCTGGTGGTTTCCCAGGTGGTGCTCCTCCAGCTCCAGAAGCTGAAGGTCCAACCGTCGAAGAAGTTGATTAAACGGATTGATAGAGAAAAGAAAAAACTTTTGAGTGCATTAATGAAATTAATTCATTGTTTTTTTTTTTAGCAAACCCCCCCATTTTTTCATTTCTTCATTTTGATAGATTTTAAAAAAATCATAAGAATATTCCCATCTACAAAAGAAACAAAAAATCATTAGTTTTATATTTATAATCCTATTTTTATAACGACTTCATTCATCTTTGTATCATATATCATAATAAACATTAATCATAAAAATATCTAAAAAACGAACAACTAACTACTCTCCAATAAGTTCTGGTAGAGAAAAAAGTTAAAAACCAATTATTTAGAGATAAAACCAATCTATTGATAGTTACAGAATACTGTAGGATATAATAAACACAAGGTGAGAGAACTTGTGTGTGATTACAGTTTCAAACCTGTATAAACTTAGTTCTTGATGTAGATTACTCAAAATATGTAGAGAAGCAAAAAAAATTAAATGGGGCGAGCTGGGAATTGAACCCAGGGCCTCTCGCATGCTTGTGATTGTTCACACGGATTTTATCCATGTTCGCCCAAAGCGAGAATCATACCACTAGACCACACGCCCGTTTTAATTGGATGCTATGTTTGGATTAGTTAGTTATCATTATCTACCTAATTTATAATCGATTTGATGAGGTAATATCCTTCTAAAAGCCAATAAAGTAGGCGTCTGCTCTATATTAGCTACATTCTCATATACTATCAAAGAAAACACGGTCATTCTTTTAGTGATCACTAATGCCATACACATATGTTGCTTTGACTCAAATTCTTGTTACCTCATGACTGGTCGAATCAAAAATTGTGAATAACGAATCATTCATTTTGTCATGAGATTTAGAGAGTAGTATGACTAAACCTGGTATTTGATCATCTCAGGGTGAACTGCTACTCAATATTCTGTCACTACGGAGTGGATCATTCACTTTTATTTATTTGATTGCATATGTCCCAGTTTCTTTTGAGAGACGCCCGCAGGTCGCTGCTAAGACCACTTCGAAGGTGCTACTCATCGAATTTCTCAAATCAGGCCATAGAGATAGAATCTGGGTTGCAAAGGGAATTGGATGGCATTCTAAATTCGTTTGATGCTCCCATTACATATGCCTTTGGCTACGGTTCTGGAGTTTTCAAACAGGTGGGATATGATTCTACTGACAAACCACAGATTGATCTCATATTGGCAGTAGAAGATCCAGTGGAGTTCCATTCCAGAAACATAAAACAGAATTCTCATCATTACTCAAGCCTGAAATACTTTGGGCCAAAAGTAATTAGTCGATTTCAGGATGTTGGAGCTGGTATATACTTCAATCCCTACGCTAATATTAATGGAAATGAGGTTAAATATGGAATAGTGTCGATGAAAAGAATATTGAACGACTTAAAGAACTGGGAGAGTTTTTATATTGCTGGTAGACTGCAAAAGCCCGTAAAAGTACTGAAAACAAACCCCACAATTGAACATTATAATCATCTTAACTTGAAGGCAGCCGCAACTCTAGCCAAACATCTCATATCAGTCAAGTATCCAGAGAAGTTTGATGAATTTCAATTCTACAAGGAGATAACAGGCTTAAGTTACCTAGGTGACATAAGATACCATTTAGGTGCTGAAAACCCTAAGAAGGTGGAGAACATTGTAACCAAAAACTTCGACAAGTTTAGAATGTACTATAAACCTATTTATGAGGATGTTGTAGTTAATAATGGTTACTACTTACCACCTGGGTTTACCTTAAAGAATTCGCTGAAAAAGATACAGTATCGAATTCAGAGAACAAGCCTAACTCAAATGTTGAAAGGTGTTGCAACAGCTGGTATTACAAAATCTGTCAAATACGCATGGGCTAAAAGAATGAAGAGTCGCTCAAAATAGATCGAGAATGAGGCTTCATTCATACCGTTTCATATAGAATTCAAAGACTACAATATTTTGCATTGTAATTACATGTACATAAGTATTTAACTGCATTTAATAGTATTTATTATATCCTTCCGAAGTGCCAAAATGAATGAATTCACTGCTATGATATCGATGTTCGATATCATAATTACTTAGAGAGTCAAGAAGTCTTACCAGTACACAGACTATATTACTAATAAAGGTTTAATAATATCTATCTATCAATCGATTACTATAATAATAAGTTTAATATAAATTATTAAGAATATGTATTAACAAACAGTACAAAAATGTATTTATATGAAGAAAACTGGTCGTAACATGTGTCAACAAACATGCATCAACTACATGTTAAAATATTGGCGCTACTGAATTTAATCAACATCAACAGCATCATCGTCATCATCATCGTCAATATCCATAGTGTCGTTATCAATTGCAATGGTTGCCTCGTGGTTTGGTAGGACATCAAGACTTTCTTCCTCATCTTCAGTACTAGCAGACCCACGTTCCTTGCCAACCTTTAAGACAACTTTAACAGTTTCCTTATCTTGAATTTCTCCCTTTAAGATCCTTAAAGCCATCTTATTCAAGATTTCAGTTTGAATTAGTCTGTTTAATGGACGGGCACCCATGTCTTCAGAATAACCGTACTTTGCTAGGAAATCCTTGGCTTCTGGAGTTAGTTCTAACTTGTAGTGCTTATCATTCATCTCGAATCTGTCTTCAATTTCTTTCAATCTAATATCTACAATCTTGTGGATTGCCTTTCTTGATAGTTTATTGAATACAACAATTGAGGAGATTCTGTTCAAAAACTCTGGTCTGAAGTGCTGCTTAACAGCTTCCATTACCAAAGTCTTGGTTTCATCCATAATCTTGGAACCTTTCTGTAAGTTAATATATTGGGCACCAAGGTTGGAAGTCATAATGACAATACAGTTGGAACAATCAATCGTCTTACCCTGGCCAGAAGTAATTCTACCGTCATCTAGCATTTGCAACAAAATAGTCAAAACATCAGGGTGTGCTTTTTCTATCTCATCAAATAGCAAAACTGAGTATGGCTTGTATTGTAGTTGATTAGTTAAGAAACCACCCTCTTCGTAACCAACGTAACCTGCAGTTGTACCTAATAACTTGGATACAGAGTACTTTTCACTCAATTCCGAACAATCAACCCTAATCATCATGTTTTCATCATTGAATAAGAATCCGGCAATCTTCTTGGCCAGTTCTGTCTTACCAGAACCGGACAAACCAAGGAACATAAATGATGCCGGTTGTCTAGGATTGGCTAAGCCAGATCTGGAAAGTCTTACAGCGTTGGACACAGCCTTAACAGCCTCCATCTGACCAACAACTTCTGAGGAGAGATCACGTTCCATATGGATTAGCTTCTCATTCTCAGATTCTGATAGTTTCTTCACAGGAATACCAGTCAGTCTTGCGGCTGTCTCAGATATAGTGTCCGAGTCCACAACGTTTTGAATCATTGAATTAGCACCCGCACGCTGTTCCTCTTCGGCAACTTGGTTTTCTAAGTCGTCAATCTTCTTCTTGATATCTGGGATAGCAAAGTATCTCAAATCAGCGGCAGTAGCAGTATCATATCTACGCTCGGCATCAAGAGCCTTATTTTCCAATTCATCTAACTTCTTCTTCAATTTGGTTAGCTCTTCATGGCCCTTTCTTTCTTCGTTGTAACGTTGTCTCAATGGTTCTAATTCTTCGATCAAAGATGCCTCTCTCTTCTTAGCCTGCTTCAATCTGTCCTTAGTGGTGCAGTCAGCATCCTTGTCTCTTTCTAGAGCTTTTATTTCAACTTGTAGCAATTGCAGTTGACGTTCCTTAGAGTCAAGTTCTTCTGGCTTTGAGTCTCTTGCCACAGCGACACCCGCACATGAAATATCTACCAGATCAATTGCTGAATCTGGCAATCTTCTGTAGGGTAAGTAACGCTTAGCCAACTGAGAAGCAGTAACCAAAGCACTATCTAAAATTCTGACACCGTGGTGAATTTCGTACTTTGGTTGTAGACCTCTCAAAATAGCGACAGTTTGTCTAATTGTTGGCTCCTGGACGTCGATCTTTTGAAATCTTCTCTCGAAAGCACCATCTTTTTCGACAATAGATCTATATTCATTGTTGGTTGTAGCACCAATCACCTTCAAATGTCCTCTGGATAAGGCTGGCTTCAAGATGTTGGCAGCATCATCCTTACCATTTCCCATAAGCATGTGAATTTCATCAATGAACAAGACAATCAAAGTCTTTGATTCCTCGACTTCCTTCAACACACCCTTTAATCTCTCTTCAAAGTCACCTTTGTACTTTGCACCAGCCGTTAGAGCAGCCAGATCCAGACTGAACAGCTTTGAACCTTGTAGAATGGTTGGAACATCATCGTCGATGATTCTTTGAGCGACACCTTCGATGATGGCGGTTTTACCGATACCAGGTTCACCGATCAGACATGGGTTAGACTTTATTCTTCTAGCCAAGACTCTGATGGTACTTCTGATTTCTTCTTCTCTACCGATGACAGGGTCCAGCTTACCTTGCCTGGCTTGTTCTGTCATATCGATAGCATATTTACCTAGGTATTCCAAGGGTGTATTAGTGTCGGCACCTCTGGAGTCTATCCTTTGGCTACCTCTCAATTCCAAGGCCTGTTGTTTAACAGCCTCAGTATCGACACCGGCATCCTTGAACACCTGTTTTATACTAGCGTCATTGAACAAAGCGAATAGCAGATGATCCTGGGCGATAAAAGAGTCCTTTTGTTGCTTCTGTATCTTTACCGCGTCCTGGATCACTTTACCCAAGGCATAGCTTGGTGTGACTTCCGCTGGTGCAGGATGCTGCTGAGGCACACGCACCAATGCTTTGTTCACTGTCTTCTTGAACAAATCGTAGTCGTAGCGACCTTTCTCGATCAAGTTTTGTAAGTACGCCACGGACCCATCCTCAGGAGTCTCAATAAAAGCAGCAAGCAAATGGATAGGTTGCAACTGAGGATGCTGGTGGTCAGTGGCTAGCTTCTGGGCAACTGTAAGGATATGCAGTGCCCTCTCTGTGAACTGTGTTTCGTCGTTCATACCTTATATTCTGTTTTTTATAATTGTATATTGTATTGGTCTGTTATATGTAAGCTATTGAAGAAAACAATTGTCAAGAAGCCACCTGTTTCTGCCTTATATACATTTGAAATTGTAGCGATGAGGGCTATTATTTGTTGAAATGGTTCTTATTGGGTTCTAATTTTTCAGGGAACCCTTAAAAATCACAATATAGAAAGTACTAATATTTTAGCTTCAGTACGGCACTTTCTAAGGCAGAAAGGCATGAAAGCCCTAAAATAACCACTTATATAATGGAAGGTCCCACTATTCTCTCGAAGGTTCCTGAGTCTGTGGAAGAAAGGAAAGTGTGCTTTTGCTCAGAGACAGCTGTAGCACACTGCACAGCAAAGCTACACAGCAAAGCTACACAAACGGAAGGGAATATTCTAGGAGTGACTGGTTCTGTACGGGATTTTCTAGAACTTTCTAGCATTTAGGTTCCCTTCCCTCCAGCGGTGATACTGGCAAGCTCTTTAGGGTTTGGTAGTGTGTAGGGGGAGGTTGTATGGACACAATGGCCCACCTTAGTGGGGGGAGGGTAGTGGAAGCCCTAATCTGGTTCAAAGGTACGTTACTAGTACTTTTGTTGTTCTTGCGAAGCCCTACATGTCTTGTCAATGCTATCACTTATAAGGCTCATTTCATTGGGAGTCATAGTTGGGATTCTGGTTAAATGGAATAGTAATGCGGGATTAATGGGAAGCTCAGGGGGGTGATGATGAGTGAATAAATACATGATGATTAAAAAATTTAATAAATAAGTTGTTTATACTGAATAAATATTAGTTGTGAGAGCATGAGTGTGGGAGGAGGAGCATTAATTAGACCATAAAACTCTCACCACATCCACATGTACCCTTAGAGTTGGGGTTCTTGAATACAAATTTAGATGCTAGTTTGTCGTCTACCCAATCCATTTCGCTGCCGACGACACTGAACAATGCCTTGGAGTCGATGACTATCTTGACGCCGTCTTGTTCAACAACTTCATCGAACTTTCCCGGTTCAGTGATGTATTGTAGGTCATAAGTCAGACCTGAGCAACCACGGTTCTTGGCACCGACACGGATCAGCTTTGGTTCTGGTTCGTCGAGCAGTGCTTTCAAATGGTATATAGCCTTGGGAGAAAGTGTGATAACCGCCTTACGAGGTCTCAGTATCCGCCTCTTTCCTTTCTTCTTCGCCGGCGCTGAGCTATCGGATGCTTTGGCTGTAGCAGTGGCCTTGTTTGTTGGTGTGTCCTGTACTTTCTCCACAGCTTCTGGTTCTTTCAATTCTATCATATTCTCCTTGATAAACTTCTCCGTAGCCACTTTCTTCTCTTCTTCTTTGGCCTTGATCACTTGCGCTTGTTCTTGCAGGACTTCTTTGCTGGGCATCCTGTGCGAGGACCACTTCGCACTCACCGGGGACGTCTCCTTCCGCGGCTTGTTGAAAGAAAACTTGAAAGCCACAGTGTTGGTAGGCCTCTCGTTGGACACTGCAGGGCCCAGCACTGCCCGTGATCCGTGTAAATATCTCGCACTCCTCAGGAGCACGGGCAAACGCCCATTATATATACTTCTTATAGACATTAGTCTTAGGTTTTGCTAGTGGTGGGCGTTACTCTAAAGAGATCATGTTTGGCAACAAGTTATTACTTTACTCATATATATATACCATGGGACTAGATGGCTTACAAATATTTTGTCAAAATTTTGAAAAATTAATAGGAACAATGGCTCGAGAGCTTCTACAACACTAGGTAGGAACACCGGACACTTCCTCCCCCCCCCCCCAATAACACTTAGAATATACCGTAGCACCCATTGTATAATTGGCAAAATCTAGTGCATCTCTTAACAGATTTCTGTAGTTGGGTATCAGTAAAGCACAGAGATTACGAAGCAGTAGAAACTTTGAAAGTGAAATTTATTGAAAATCCGTCGGGACTTTCTATCTTGCTGACTCTCCCCGCGACTTTTCTCACCTTACTGTCCCACGTAAGGCCCCTGCGCGAAGCAATTCCCCCCCCCCCAATAGGTGCGTCGGTCTCTGTGACTCAGCACACCTTTTACCCATACAACGACTTGTTCTGGGAGGAAAAGTAGCACTGGGCCAATGAGGTACGAGTCTGTGAGTAAGAAAACGATTGCTTACCCGGATTCTAGCGGTGCTTACTTACTCGGGATTGTCCGTAGTGCGACTTGTTTCCTTATCGTATGGTGGTATTGTACACGTGATTCTTGTCGCTTTCAAGCAGGTTTGACGTTTTCAAAGTTTCCACACAGTACGGAGCGGTTAATAAGACACAAGCAGAGGTTTGTTTAATAGTGTATATCTTTTTACATAGTGAGTAATATACTGGTAATAGTGGAGCATGGTTTTTTCAAATATTATTCTTCTTGGTAAAACATTTTATCTATTGTATTATTTTTAAATTTTTGTTTATTACTGTTTGGGGATCAATTAATGTTTTGTTAGTGCCACTTGGCATACAACAACTACTACCTCCTATAATTGAATAAATATTGAAAGGGTCTTTATATTTTTTTATAATGCAATAGTAGAATTTTTTTTTTGATATATGTTATGTATGATTATTTATGGGGGGGTATATCTTGTAGAACGCCATTGACTGTTTTTTAAAAGTTCAGAAAACAAGTAATGATTAGAAATAAAGGTCGGGAAAAATAATTATAAGTCTATAATACTTCTTATTAGAATTGAAATTTTGTGGGAATAAAAGAAAGTTGCAATGGCAACAACTATTTCAAAAAATGAAGTGTGTGGGGATTGGATGAAAGAGAAATGGTTATTTACATTTCATGTGTGCCATCTTAGCAAACTAAGATGTATTAGTTCAAATTAGTGATATTGTTTTTTTTTGATTCTCTCTTTTAAAGGAAGAGTAGGAATCAGGATGTGGTCGCTTGAAGCTTAAGCGTAGTAAGCATCCTTAGAGTTCTTTCTGATTCTCTCACCGTACTTCAAGAAGAACAGTGGCACTGGAATCAAAGCTGCAGCAAACAGACCCAATAGCAGACCGGCCCAGCCAGTACCCATACCATGGAACATGTAACCTGCAAATAGTGGGAAAACAGCACCGAATGCTGATCTCATGAAAGTGTTAGCGGCAACAGCAGAAGCAGCCAATGGCAAGTATGACTCAATGATGTAGTTCAAACATGGCAAGAAAATACCCATTAAACCAAAACCAATGAAGGAACCAGCAACGGTAGGACACATCCAGTGGATCTTGTGTGGGTAGTAACCAGTCCAGCAGAACCATAGAATACCGATTGGGAAAATGACACCTGCGTAGACCATTGGGATCAATCTAGCTTCTGGAACCAACTTACCAGCTTTTTGAATTCTCTTCAAGTAGTCGTTCTCGAAGTACCATAGGAAAGCAGTACAGACCAACATACCAATAATTAGAGCAATGTATGGCAATTCACCGTTTGCCTCAAAACCGTAACCTTCGACAAAGACAATTGGGTAAGCTTCCAACATCAGATAAAGAATACCGTAAACAAAGGAGTTGTAAATGGTAATAATCAACAGCAATGGTTCAGTAAACAACATCTTAATTGGTCTAGTGATGGTTTTCTTGGCGATTTCAGAGACAGAAAGCTCGACGTGCTCGTGAGCTGCGTGGATACCCCAGTTGTTAGTGGACTTTCTCATCTCCTTAGCCTTTTGGACCAAGATAGTTGGGTGATGAGTCTCTTTGAAAGTTAGTGCAACGGCAACGAACAAAGCGGATGCAAAACAACCAGTGACGTATTCTAACCATCTCCACGTAGTTCTTTGAGCAATGTAAGAACCCATGACAGGAGACAAGATAGGACCAACGAAGACACCTAGGGAGAATAGACAAATGGCTTTACCTCTAACTCTAACATCGAACATATCGGCAAAAGCAGCTGGGACAACAGCCATTGGTGCAGCACCGATCAAACCACCGAAGAATCTACAGATCATGATTGATTGCAAGTCCTTGGAAGTTGCGACAGCGAATTGGAAGACAGCGAAACCAAATGCAGAGATGACTAGCACACCACGTCTACCGTAAACTTCTGACAATGGAGCGTAGATAACTGGGGAAGCAGCGAAACCGAAGACATATAGAGTAACACCCAAGATGGCGACCACTGGGATAACGTGATAGATCTTACAGATTTGTGGAACACCGGATGCAAAGATGGAAGAACCCATGGATATACAGATACAGTTTAGACACAGGACAATACAAATAATAGTTTTGGTCTTCATACTCCAATTGAAAGGATGGATTGGATCATTTGGACCATCGAATGTGACTTCAAACTGTGACTGTTCTGGTAATGCTGGTGGGAAAGGTCTGTCACCACCCATTGGTGGACAATTTGAGTAATCAATGGCGATCTTCTCTGGGTCATCCTGAGTACCAGTTAAGATACGAGACATACGTCTGTTAGTCTCGACCTTAGATTCAGCACCAGATGTCATAGTGTTAGTCCTCTCTATTAGCTCACCAAGGTCCTCTTGGTTCTCTAGAGAACCACTGAAGTCCTTTGGTTCCCCAGAAACACTAGAGGAAGAGGAGCTGCTGGCTTCAGCTTGCTCATTGGTATACTTTGGCGATATCTCTTCCACCATCGTTTTGTATGTATGTATATATTTTTTTTATTCAGTTGACTACCGAATGATAAAACTTTAACTATGAAATGAAAATATAATTAATAGTGGGAGCATCTTTTTGTCTCTACTGTTCCAATTATATACTTTTCACTGCTGCAAAATTTTTTCTTTCTTTCTTTCTGTGTTTTCTTTCTAGGATCTTCTCTCCCTTTGGTACAGGTATTTTGATCATCTCCACCATGGAGAGAACCTCCGTAAAAGAAAGCTGCTATTCATTTGCTAATCCCAAAGCTACTATTGTTTTTAATTTTTTTTTTTTCTTTAATTGTTTTTCACTTATTTTACCTGATTCTGTCATCACACATCTCGGATCCCTGACTTCTACACACATTTCTCCGCAGTACAATGGACTTTATTTCTTTTTTTTTTCTTCTTCCGTTTGTTTGCTCTATCTCGAGTGCTTCTTGTTGTTTTGATTTGATTCTATGTGATTTCTCGGTATCTTGACCACACTGATTTGTAATTGAGAAGAACCTCGCAGGACAGCAAACATTCCACGGAATTATATGGTATTTCACATCTGGGCTTCTACTACAGTAGTTTGTATGCGTTATTAGATCTTTTCCCAGGACAACAGATCCCGCAGAATACCATGCACAGTCAATATTTATTCCCTATATTCTCCTGCAGAGGAAGTTGCTTCTCTCCAAAGGGGTGAAAGGAGTATAGAACATCTGTACAGAATCATAAATAAGTGAAAATCATTTATTGTACGAGGCGTTGTCTTGGTGTGAAGAGAGACAAAACCCTTGGGTCTGCAAGAACTCCCAATCTATATTATGCACGTACGAAACGGACCCGCGACTGAATTGCTGTCCACTCGGAGATGTTTTTCATCCGTCTACAGAGTAGTCTACGTAGTTTGCTCGATATGTTATACTCCGGACCGAGAACTCTACGGATCCGTCATGCAAGCTGAATTTCTTTTTTGTTTACGATATGTTTCTTTGAGTGAGTGGTTCCACTGGAATAGCGTTCGGGATGGAGAAGTCGGGGCGGAGGAGGATAACGGACCCCCCAGGCTATCCTATCTGCCAATGAGAAAGAAGTCCAACGGATCCGTATCTACACATAAAACATACGGGATCATATTGAGAGAGAGAGAATTGGGAGTCCATCCGTTCACCCCAGATCCTCCGTTCACCCACCCCCACCAAGTTACACTACAAATCCACATTACCATTCCCCTCAGTCTTTTTTACCCTCGATCATGTGATTCGTTTATTCTCAAGATTTATGGAAATGGCTCGACAACATGTAGTTGCTGGAATTATAGAAAATAGCTTCCTTTTATACCTCAAAACTTTCTCTTGCAAAAGAAAAAAAGAATAACAACAATGTTGATTGTGCAACAATGGGGTTAGAATACTTATCCCCGTGACATAGTTTCTTGCGATCCACTAAATTAACCTTGCTGCGGTAAATTGAATACATGACCTAGGAGAAATAAAAAAAAAAGAATCCTATATTTAATCATTGATAAATAAATATTTACTTGTGGAATAAAACGAAAATTAAAAACTAACGATAAAGAGATTAAATTAAAATAATAAATCAAAAAGGAAAAACAAAATTTAGGAAGCTTTCTCAAAAAATAAAATAAAAAAGCATTGTCCTTAGAATGGTGCAACTTCCCTCTTTAACCACTTGTATGAAATGCTTTGCGGTTGGATGAGTTGGACCAACGAGTCCCATATCCTTTGGTTGTACTCGTTCAATTGTTTCTTCTCTTCGTGAGTTAACATATTCGCATCAATCAACTTACGACAATATGGCACTAATGTGATGTTCTCGAATTTTAGGAACTTACGGTCACCGAATTTTAAACCGTCTGCGTATTTGACCAGCATGTCGTTTTCAATTCTGATACCATACTCACCATCTTTGTAGAAACCAGGCTCATTACTTATGATGTTGCCCGCTTGCAGTGGATAATTAGCCAGGTGTGGTTTAATACCAACACCTATTGGGCCTTCGTGTACGTTCAAGAATGAACCGATACCGTGACCAGTACCATGCCTGTAATCGAGACCAAACGACCACAAATACTGTCTAGCAATAACGTCTATGCTCATACCGTTAGTCTTCTCCGGGAACACAAGTCTCTCTAATGCTAAGTTACCCTTCAACACTAAAGTATAGTTCTTGATCTCCTCTTCTGTTGGCTCACTGAAATGCAAAGTTCTTGTAATGTCAGTTGTACCTTCTAGGAACTGAGAACCGGAGTCGCACAGGTATATCTTAGATGGATCAATCATTGAGGAACCTTCCTTTGGTGGTGCATAGTGAATGACCGACGCATTTGCACCTGTAGACGATATAGTCTCAAATGAATTACCCATGAAGTTCTTCTGTGTTTTCCTTATGTCTATAAGTCTTTCTGCTGCGCTATATTCATCGATTAATGCTTCCTTGTTTATCAGTTGGTTTTCTAGCCATGCAAAGTATTGAATTAAACACACGGCATCCTTCACTTGAGCTCTGTGTGCGTTTGCGATCTCAGTATCATTTTTGACCGATTTCAGCATATCTATTGGTGAGTGTACTATCTTATATGGAGAGCCCGCCACAGAACGGACAAGTTGCCACGAGGAGACATCTGGCAATAAGAAGGCGGTCTTTCCGGAGTCACTGCTAACAGGAGCTTGCGCTACAGATACCAAGTGACCCCATACCTCGTTGTACGGCTTAACTATGATCTCATTATCTTCAAAGTATTTCTTAATCTCATCATTATAAGTGTCATCAGTGAAAAGGATAGTCTCTTTGTCGTTAACGAATAAATAAGCATAAAAGACGGGGTTGTACTCGATATCGGAACCACGCAAGTTCAGGAACCAGCAAATTTCATCTAGTGCTACTGTTATGAAAGTTGCATTCTTCTTTGCAGAGCCTGATGATGGTTGCAGGTGCTTTTCGTTCAAGTCCTTTAGTACTTTTTCCTTCTTCGTTTTGAAATCTTCGCCGTGGTACTCTGAGCCCAATAGCAATAGGCCGTTGTTTGGTTTTTCTGGGATAGGTTCGAATTTTTTCCATATGGTATCCACCAAGTTCCGCTCTACTGGGACCAGAGAGACGTCGCAGTTTTTATCCTCTGTTTTCTCCTTTATCAGTTTTTCGAAAGCTTTCACTTCTTCGAAGGAGATCAGTTTTGGATCCACACCAATCTTGGCAGGCTTCCCGCCGAGACCCTCGGACATCTCTACTGCCTCTCTGATGCACCACTCCTGCCAAGTGAGCGGATCCTCACCTTGGCGCAGCAGTGTCCAGTTGAAGTCCAGCTCCTGCCTGGCCTGGTTGAAGTACCGGCCGTCTGTGCTCAATATCGACTTCCCGTCTGGGTGTTTCTCGTTGAAGTTCAGCAGGTCACGCGTGACACACGCGATCCCCGCGGACCCCGAGAACCCCGATATGAACGCACGTCTCTGGTCCACCGCGGACACGTACTCTGACTGGTGTTCGTCCGCGCTGGGCACCAGGTAGCAGCATATTCCTTCCTTGGCCATCTCCTTGCGCAGCGCCAGCAGCCTCTCCGTGGTGTTTATCTCGCGCGTGCTCTGGCACAGAGAGTCCGAAGAGTACACGGACACATTCCCCGAGTTAACCGCCGTCGTGGGACTCCCGGCCGCGGACATCAGCACCGAGTTCCGCTGCGAGCGCCTCCTGGTGTTCTCCATCTGCCGCATAAACAAGGACACACGGCGGCCCTGACGCGACAACAGCCCTGGCGAGCAAGTGCAATCAGCACAGGGCCTGCTCATCCTCGCACCGCCGTGCGGCATGGGTGCCGGTGGCGGGTTATACCTCCTCACAGTTCCAGACGCAGCCAATCCACTAACCATCGTTCTAATCAGATCCTTGCTATTCTTTAGCGACACTAGCATTCAAAATCTTGCAACTACCAACAATTTACAACCTACTTATTATATAAGAGTAAGAGAGAGAAAAGTTTTTATGCCCTCCCCCAGGTACCAAGGGTTCCCCCCACCCCATCAAGAGAAGTAACAGCACACGACACGATGCAATACACAGTACACACTACACTCGACAGCATCTAGAGAGGCAAAGACCCAGACACCCCCCACCCAATCCCTTTCTCTGCTGGGCGCTTTCCTGCTGCTGGCCTTCCTGCTGTTGGCCCTGGCACTCACCTTCGCTTTTACCTACAAAACACATTCCCACACCCCCCGCCCCCCTCTCTCCCCCGGATGAAAGGGAAAAGAGAGGCAGTAAATCAAAATTGCACCCGGTTATACTGCTGCACGTGGCGATCATGTGTTTGAGTAAAAAGTGATATACACATATACCCATGCACGTAATATTTCATATGACCATGTACGTATGTAGAGACCAAAAGATAATCCCCTCGAACGATGAGTTGGAAGATTATTGAAAATATTGAAAATATTGAAGCGGATCCGGTTACGGCTACTCTTTTGGTCTCCTCGCCCAAAATTGCCCTTGAATCCCACAACACCGAAAAAGTCGGTTTTCTGGTGTGACAGGGCTGGGAAAGGTACTCCCAATCACATCTGGGCGCGTAGCAAAGTTCTGTACTAAAGAGTATCTTATAGACTAAAAGGGGCATTTCTAATTAGAGAGTTAGAGAAATAGAACAAGACAACAGATTCAATCACAGGTACAGACGCAATTCGCAAACAAATATCACAGAAAATCACAGACATAGGATGGATGAGAGGGTAGTGAGGCAGGCGGTGTTAAGCACGTCGAGCGATGAGAAGAGGATATACAGGTCGCGGATGCAGAAGTTCAGCAAATCGCACGCGCTGTATGTGATACTGCTTGGCGCGCTCGCGTTCTTGCAGTTCGTCGCAATTGCGTTCTTTGCAAAGGGATTTCTCTTGTCCAGGACGGTGCTGGACAACGTGTCCACCACCAGTGATAACCCGCTTGCGGTGGACAAGAAGTTCGATAAGATGGTGCTGCTGGTGGTGGACGCGCTGCGGTTCGATTTCGTGGTGCCGGTGTCCACATCACACCCCAATTACAACGAGAACTTCCACAACAACTTGGATGTGCTGTACAACACTTGGCTCTCCACGCGACACGGCGGGCGTGGCGGGTACAGCAACAGCGGCTCCTCGATCCTGCTGAAGTTCATCGCCGACCCACCAACAACCACTTTGCAAAGACTAAAGGGACTCACCACGGGGTCTTTGCCCACTTTCATCGACGCGGGATCCAACTTCGACGGAAGTGTCATCGAGGAGGATAACCTGATCAAGCAGCTGTTCTTGGCCAACAAGTCAGTGAGCTTTGTAGGAGACGACACTTGGGACGCGCTGTTCCACCCTTTCCTAGCAAACAACAGCGAACCGTACCCGTCCCTAAACGTCTGGGACCTCGACACTGTGGACAATGGTGTCATCTCGTACTTCAAGTCGCACCTGTTGGATAAATCCGCCGACCGCAATTGGGACATCCTCGTGGGCCATATGCTGGGTGTAGACCATGTGGGCCACAAGTACGGTCCTAACCACTTTACCATGAGAGAAAAACAGAACCAGGTTAACAGATTCATCCAGGAGATCATCGAATCAATCGATAACGATACTTTGCTAGTGGTGATGGGTGACCACGGAATGGACCACACTGGTAACCACGGTGGAGACTCCCAAGATGAACTAGAGAGCACTTTGTTCTTTTACACAAAGAGACAAAACACTTGGAAAAATCAAAATGGTAACTACGATATCGAAAACTTGGCACAAAACTACCACAGCGTAAACCAAATTGATCTAGTGCCTACCTTGTCTCTATTGCTAGATATTCCAGTACCCTTTAACAACTTGGGCTGGCCTATCTCAGAAGCTTTCGAGAATGAAAAGGAGGAACTAGCATGCGATAATGTAGTCCTGCAACAACTGAAAAGATATGCAGATGTCATGCAGCTGACATACACTGAAGAATTGGAGGAAACCATGTCTGCACTTTGGAGAAATAGTACTGCAGATGTCTTTGCCGCGTCCCAATACCAACAAAAGTTTCTTGAAGTTTGTAAAGATAAATGGGCTAGATTTGACTATTGGTCAATCGCAAGCGGAACAATCTTGTTAACCATTTCTTTGATACTCTTACTTTCAATAACGAAACTGATTCCATCTATCGTTGTGAATCAAATGGTCCCAGAATTCGTTCCTTGGATAATCATCATGTCCCTGATATCAAATGTGTGCTTCCATGGTATCTTTTACGTTTTCCATCAACCAGTGTTTTTAGATAATGTATGGTGGTGCACACTTTTCGCGTCTGCTGTAGGTATCATCACCGGCTGCAGTATTTCCATCTTTGACCGTTACAGCTTTGTTTGGCTGGTTATGAAAATGGTCGAGATCTTGTCAGATTATTGGTCTCGTATTGGTGCAATGTTTGTAGTCATACATGCTATGCTATTTACATCAAATTCTTTCACAATATGGGAAGACCGTATAGTCGCCATAATGCTGATTACTTTTGGTATGCTTACTCTGTATGAGTTCACATTTTTGCCTACAAGACAGTCTACATCGGCATTACTCACAGCTGCAATTGGCGAAAAACAAGGTACAACATCAGGTGTAAGCCAATCTACTGCAAACTCCAACAATCTACCTCTAACTCGTTTTGCCAGATTGCTGGGATCTTATCACTCAATTGTCCTGATAGTCTCGACCAGAGTTGCATCTGTGATTACTATATGTAGAGAAGAACAAGGTGAATACTGTACACCAACTTTCACAACTAAAAACAACTATGCATGGTGGTGCTTGGGCCTTTGCCTTTTGATCGTCATTCTGCTACCAATTTGTATCAAGGGCTATTACAACTTGTCGTCCTCATACCAAGCAGCTGCTCCTATTTGGGTGGACATGTTCCTGAAAGGTGCTCTTTTCGTCAACTTCCTGTATTGGTCCATCACTGCCGTTGAAAATAGTACAGAATCACTTGAATGGGATACAAAAACAGTGAAAATAACCATTGCAAGAATAATTGCTGGGTTTTCCTTAATCGCAACTAATGTTGGTTGGATGATGGGTCCCCTATGTATTAAGTTAAATGTCAAGAACGCTGACTTGAAATCGAACCAGGCAACAATCTTAGGCTATACCAACATCTACGGCTCCGAATTTTTCCTACTTGTCATTAATGCACTTATGGCTATTATGTTATTTAATAAACCACTTGCTCAACTGTCTCTGTTCTTGATGGTCAACCAAATTTTATCAATCTTTGAAATTATTGATCTCTTAAAGTTGAAGGAAAACATCGTCGGACCTATCGCCCTTGGATTAGTCGCTTACCAACAGTTTTTCAGTACTGGCCATCAAGCTACAATTCCTTCAGTTCAATGGGATGTTGGCTTTATTCTGTCAGACAAGATTATCTTCCCATTCACACACTTGGGAATATTGCTGAATACGTTTGGCCCACATATAATAGTGTCATTATCGGTGGCTCTACTCACTTTATGGTCACAACCACCTGATGTCTTGAAACCACAAACGTTATTAGGACGTATAGTTTCAAACTGTGGTGTTCTTTTGACGTACAATACTGTATTGTGCCTGAGCTCCTTCATTTGGGTAACCCACTTTAGAAGACATCTAATGGTATGGAAGATTTTCTGCCCTAGATTTATATTTGCATGTTTAAGTTTGATAGTCATGCAACTGGTAATAACTTTTGGTACTATAGGTTTCGCCAGTGGTCGCTTAATCAGACATATTAATGACATATTTTGGAAATAGTCACTTCAATTGCTAACCGTTCATAGCAGCGCGATTATTTATTTGAACTGGCCTCTACTCACTCCACAATTCAATACCATCAAATACGCCGCAAAGAAATATTTTTATACTATTTGCATTATCGGATATATTTATAGATTACATGAAATAAAACAATTTTATATGCATTTCAATACTGAATGGTATTCTCTAGATAGTAGTATTTATTGCCATACCGATATTTTATCGCTACGTCAATAGTTATGTAAACACACACTATCAGACAATCGCATCTTCCTTTTTTTGTAACAACAAAAAGAACCGAATAGCTAACTGTTAATTATAGCATTTTACTACAAATATATCTATGTAACGGATTAAAATAGAATTCCATCAAACTGGTCTTGAAACTGAACTCTCTAACACCATCGAAGCGAGTATTGATGCACACATAAAGTTGCTTCTTTAAGTTTGTTATTTGGGGCGGGAAAGTATAGACGAAGGAGTTTAAATAGCAGATCAACAATCACATCGGAGATTTTTTCAAAACGAATATTACTGTGATCCTCCATTTCACGACATCTATATCCATACTGCTTAGATTACGATAGAGAAACCTCCTATTTTCAATTAGAGCGTATTTTTGGATTTGAACACATCCATTAACATCTACTGATCAATCGACGAGGTAGATACACAATGCCTATTGAGACGATTGTACCGCTCAGTTTGAATCTGTTCCTGAAACCTAAGGCCTTATATATTACGGAAGAGCAATGGCAGAATATACTTAAACATTTTGGTATAAGCACCGACGTGGAGAAAGCCATTTTCCGCACGCCATCTGATTTCAATTTTGTGCAATCCAATGAAATAAAAAACAATACATCCAAACTGCTAGGTAATACAAGGACAAGGAATGTTGAAGACGTTGATATTTGCACTTTTCCAATAAAGAACTTACCACAAGGAAAAGACATAAAAGACTTATTCACTGAACTACAGGTAATTGCATCAAACTTCAAAGTTGCTTGTATTATAAATGACACTCATTTGTTTGGGAATGAAATCAAGAAAACAGATTTTTATGCATATGTGATTGGAGCATGTGAAGTTCTAAATCAGATCAAACCCTTGATTGATGTTACCATTCTTAATTTTTTACGGGATGAGTTCTTTATTGACACTATCAAACTTAATACACAATCACTTATTCCTTTCCTAGCTGGTGTAAAGCAGAACAACATAAAATATATCAAGGATAGCTTCCAGGTCGATGTTTACTATACATGGCCTAGCACTAACAACTATGAATTGGAGCCCATTGTTTATATTGCTGGCTCAATATATGCGAATGTCCTGGCAGCAAAAGAGTTGCTCACAGCTTGCCTAAATAAATGCCAAAGTACATTATTTTATCAAGAACTTACAGGAATCTCGCCAGGTAAATTGGAGTACGTCAGACGATATTTCAAAAAGGAGATCCAAAGTCTAATGAACCAATACGGATCATTCGTATTTATTTCTTCGGACTTCGTAGGCTTCCAGTCCACTTCAGTGACGATGCTTAAGTCACTGACCAAAGAATTTACTTTAACAATTTTACAGAGTATAGCTGAGATACGAGTAACCATGGATTCTGAATTCGAGTTCACTGATGAAATGGTAATCGATATATTATCTGCAAAAGATGAACAGCAGCTCATTGTAAGGGATGATGAAATAAGCAATCAGTTTATATTGATTAGAAACTCTTCACAAAAGAGCAAGGTCAACGGCAAATCAACAACTCCTCTCCATAGTTTGAAAAAGTACTTGGAAGACCATGAATCTCAAATCGAAGAATTAAAGGCAATCTTTGAAATTCATCCTGATTATGACGATTTCATATCCGGTAAGAAAAATGGTAAGCTTACAAGGATCATGGAAAAGAGTCAAGCACAACTTGATCTAAACTTTGAGGAAGATGATAAAAATATGTTTCTCTCTATCATATCTAACAAAGTGAACAACTTAGAAAGTGCATTCACATTGTTATTAGACGAATTACCCTGTGAAGGAACATTTTTTATTCCTGAAGTTTATCACAGGCCTGCAATTGGTAGTGGTGGTTCTATTATTCAAACGACCATGAGGAAACATAATGTTTTTATTCAGTTTTCAAATACATTTTTGTTGCCTCAAAGTGGTCTTTCGTTTGTAAGATTTGATAACGTTATTATAAGATGCCCATTTAAGAATAGAAAAGGTATAGATCTTGCGATTGAGGACCTTAAAGTATTGATTCAAGAGTATAGTGAACAACAGCCAAGCACAAATATTAGATTATCGCCTGCACAATACAAGCATGTATTATTTGAGCACATCAATACCATTGGTCACCTGGAGAAACAAAATAACGTTTTTCTTGATTTTCCTCAGAACATACCGAAGACAACTGTTAATATATCGATTAGAGGTAACGATACAAGCTCCATACAATGTGCAGATGAAGTAACTAATAGACTGTATGGCTTTGAAAGAACATTCCAATTAAGTGAATGTATTCCAAATGACAAGTTATTAAGCAACAAAAAATTGCAAAATGAGTTAGTTGTTCCGTTGTTTATTAGACTTCACGCTTTTGTTTCATGCCAAGATAAAACATTTACTCTTGTTTACGACAAGGCAAAGGTAAACAATAAAGACTTTGAGAACCAAATTCAGCAATACCTTGAAGAAAATGGCCTTATTATCGAAGACAAGAAGACAGTATCTAAATTCATAACCGATACTACTGCTTATGCCGGCTTTGATCAACATGACTCACCAAGGGCCTACAAACAACAAAATCCAAATATGTCACCAAATTACTCTCAGAACAGCTACAAGAAACCTATACCACCTCTACAGGCCTTGGCGGAACAAAATTCGATGAGGGGGAAACCACCACTATTAAAACAATATGGACAGCATTCACCTTATTATAGATATGGATATGGATATGCATATAATTATGTTTATGACTATAACAATATGTATCCACCTCCTAAATAGATTATGCACAGAACTCATCTCAATTAGCCTCATAAGATTTTATTCGCATTCAACTCACATTTCGATTGAAGACAGAATGGCTATGCCATTAATTTGTACATACCCATACCATAAATTTTAATGCAATTATTTTTTATTATGTCTCTTTTAGGAAATTCGTATATTCTATATAATAGTAGCCTTAGATTCACACCCAGGGCACGTATGCAAACTTTCATGAATAAATACATCACAATCAATACAATAGTCGTTTTTACATTCCTCGCATCTATACCTAGAACTTGTCAGCATCTGATTTGATTTCTGACTTTTAATAATTGGGAATTTCATTTGACAACTGTAACAATTCTCGGTTGGGAAACTCTCTGCAGCTGGAACTTCAACAAATGTCTTCAAAGGCATTAAGTGATGGAAAGACCGCGCTAAGTGTGTAGATAAGATCAGCATCAGATCACAACATGGACATACAGTAGGCAGCGAGCATACTTTACTATTACAATTTGGACAGAAGTAACCTCCGTATATTAGCTTAGCATGGCAAGCACAGAAGGTGGGTTGTTCTTCAAATATCCTAGTAGGGAACCCCATTTTCACCAGTGTGAATCCTCTGTTTATTTTATTCACCGGTAAAGGTGTAACTGCCTCATCGAATAGCTTTTTTAAATGCGTTTCATCCAATAGCACCTGGTAAAAGGATGTATCTCCCATGTTTGTTTGTTTACAGAGTTCTTTACAGATGGCAACTTCCGCTGAAAGACCCAGTACTTTGACTCTGATTTGTTCTTGGACTAACGATGCGATGGTTTGATGGATATCACCTGGGTCATTACTTGATAAACTTCCAAACACTATAAGAACTTCTCTGGTACAATGTGCAGGTACAGGCAGCAATAGACCTCTAGCCATTTCCAGAGCATTTTGCAAAGAGGGGTTGCCCTTTGGTTCCTGCTTTCTTATTGATTTCAGTGCGTCTATGTGATCCTGTGGATTACCGCTCACTTGGCTTACCAGCTGTGCCAGACCGTTACGCATAGTTACTATACCCATCTGGGAGATAGGGTTCTGATCGAAGAACTCGTGGACGAAATCAATGGCTTGCTGGATGATCATGGCGTGTCTATTCGGCCTCAGGTCCTTCTCTAACATGGCCTCACTGCTATCGATAGTCAGAATCAATGTTCTTATAATACCACGCTGATAAGGTGTTACGTCACTCTTGGCAGCACGTTTCTTTCGAGCCTCGACTATACTGGCCACAAGCGTGGCCATATCCCCTTCGTCCTCCACTGCCACAAGATCCCAACTTCTCTTGATCTCATCTTCCCATGCGTAACCACCGCTGGCACCTTGCAAGTTCTCGTTCGCAAGCTTCTTCTTCTTCTTCACCACTTTCTTCTTCTTGCCCGCATTCCCATTCCTGAGCGCCCTCTTGCGCATATCATCATTGCGAGGCTTCCGAACAACCTCGTCCTCATCCGAGCTCATCTTCTTATTTTCTCTCCTATTGGTTTTTTTACTTCCTTTCACAAGTCTTGTTGTATGAGTATGGGGCAGCTGGAAAAGAGAACACTCTTGTATGATTGATGATTGACGATTGATGGTAGTGGGACTCCAAATATTCGTAGTTTATTCGAGCTGTTTGGTAAGATAGCGTTATACGTATGATCATGTTATTATAGGTACTTATACACGTACATGTCACACATGCTATACGTATATCACCACATCACATGACATTGACTCGTATCTAACAAGAAAGCTACCACCAATTTTTTTTGTTTGTCTTCTTTTCTAATTTTTTTGCATAATATGTCAAACCCTTAATTTACATAATTGACGGGCGACTCATAAATGCATGAATTTCAAAATGCCCGAGTATTTCGAATGACTCGCAAACTCAATTCCAGCTGGAGCTATCGATGGGTTACTGTAGAATGGCCGTACCGGAGCGCTATTACTCGGCCGAATCAGTTATTGCAATCGGCATACTGGTAAGGCAATTGAGAGAAGCGCACGGAAGGGTCCCGCTCTCCCTCCCGCTCTCCCTCTGAGTTGTTAAACTTCCCGCTACTTGCATTGTATTTCGAGACCAGTCTAAGAGTCACACTAGAGGAAATACAAACCACGCAGTTGCTACCACCTTTAGCAAAAGAGGAATGCACTACAGGGGAAGTCGCCGGTATTTGGCAAGCGGGACTCGATGGCTATAAGGTGAAGGAAAGAGAATATAATAGAGAATATAATAAGACGGTGCAGAAGAGAGACTGGTATGCTTAAGTTTCTGTGTGATTTACGGTTGTTTTTTTTTTCTTTGTTTCTTTCTCAATTCCAGTATTATTTGTCTATGCAACTGCGCAGGAAGGGATGGGGGACTAGCGAGTTTCTTCTACACCCCGTTCGAAGGCGCTTTTCCCACGCAATCGAGACTTACAAACCGAGGAAACAAATTAATGGGGATTGGACACTTCCCCTCCAGAGAAACAGGGCAGGGCGGTTATTGCAGGAAGGAACGCTATATTCAGAAAGAAAAAAGAAAGAAATTAATAACTATAATTTTCTTTGGTAATACGAGGGTTCTTCGATTTTCCTTTGTGCGGATATTGCTGGGAAACTACCCTTGATGCAGTCGGGATCTCACAGGCCATAGCTTCCAACAACAAACAAAAAACCGAATATCAATTCTTGGGATTGAAGAAAGAGCCGCACTGGTAGAATAAAGGATTGGAAGAAGATAAATCTATTAAGAAAAAAAAAAAAGCAATACTCAATTTTGACAAAATACTGATTTGAAATTTTAACAAGCTCATCGCAACTCTAGTTATCCTGCAATTGGAATGGAGCAAGGTGGCAGTAGCTGGAAAAAAAATTAGTATTTAAAGGTAGGCTTCTTGGTAACAGCTGATCAGCCTGCGAATGGTCGGGTATTTCTTGAAAGATACGAAACATAAATATAAACACAAGTATCTAAACTTCATATCATGGAAAAGGATCTTGAAAAGGAGTCTCAACTCTCTAAAGCGTACACTTCTGAGTCCTCGTTCTCCGAGAATGAAGTTGACGTTGCGTTGAAGTTCTTGAAGCAGAATGGTGATGTCGAGCGTGTCATCGATGACCATTCTGTTGATCGCAGAGCTATCTTCTATGGGTCGAAGAAGCTGGACAAGAAGATCAAGCGCAAGCTGGACAAGTACATCTTGTCATTCTTGTGTGTCACCTATCTGCTGATGTTCTTGGACAAGGCGCTGTTGAACTACGCTGCGGCAATGGGTATCAAGAAGAACTTGAAAGGTGACGAGTTCTCTAACTTGAGCACCATTTTCTCCGCTGCTTACATCTTCATGGAGCCTATCGTGACTTTGCTGATCCAGTACTTCCCGTTGTCCAAGATTATGGGTACTTTCATTTGTACGTGGGGTGCAGTGCTAGCGTGCCACTCCGCGTGCAAGACCTACGCTTCACTGATGATCGTGAGAACACTGTTGGGTATGTTCGAGTCCGCCAGTGCCGTCGGTTGTATCGCCATCAGCGGTATGTACTACACAAAGTCCGAACAAAGCGCTAGAATCGGGTTTTGGGCCACCCAGGCAGGTACTGGTTACGTGATTGGTGGTTTGATCTCTTTCGGCTTCTTGCATTACCACGGCAGAGATTTCACCTCCTGGCAGATCATGTTCCTGGTGGTGGGTCTGATCACCGTGGTGTTCGGTATCGTGACATTCCTCTATTTGCCAGACAATGTCACTAACGCTTGGTTCTTGGACCACGACGAGAAAGTCGCTGTCATTGAACATATAAGAGATAACCAGACCGGTGTCGAGAACAAGAAGTTCAAGAAGTCCCACATCAAGGAACTTTTCCTGAAGGATAAACTAACATGGCCAATGCTTATGATAACGGCTTGTTCCCAAATATCTACCGGTGCAATCGGCTCTTTCTCCACTACAATCACCAAGACTTTTGGATTTGACAGCTATGAATCAGCATTGTTGCAATTGCCAATTGGTGCTATTGTTGCAATTATCATTATAGTCACTACACAGATGATCTCAAGATGGGGACACTTCACCTTGGTTACTACTTCAATGTACATTCCTGCTGTGATAGGTTCCATCGTGTTAATCAGCTTACCACTAGAGCACAAGATTGGTAATTTGTTCTCTTTGTATCTTGTCTACAGTGGATCCTGTGTCATCACCAATATCTATATCTGGAACACATGTAACACATCTGGATATTGTAAGAGAATCTTCAGAAACGCCATCACTATGATCGTTTACAATATATCATGTATTGTTGCACCTCAGATGTTTAGAGCTTATTCGGCCCCTAGATACATACCAGCAAAGATCGCTTTACTAGTAACACAAGCTGTTTGTATTCCATTACAACTATATGTTGGATACCTCTCAAAGAAGGAAAATGAAAAGAGAGATAAAGAACAAGAAGGTCAAGCACCGGAGAAATACATGTTCTTAGATCTAACTGATATTGAAAATAGAAACTTTAGATATGTCTATTAGAACTACAGGTGCAATGGTAACTTTTTACTCTAGAGAAAAGCGCCATTCGTTCGATTTTAAGAATCTAGTACTACTTTTCAGGAATTTGGATTCCGTCTTAATAAAAATTTCATTAATTAGCATCCTGTTTAATATATTTCCTAGCTGTTATATACATTTTGTATAATGCATTTATGTCCTAATTAAAATAATCTCGTTATAACTTAGTTGTTTTTCTTCACAGTATTATCATAGTATATACGATACGAAGGAAAATGCAAAAGTGTTACTTAATTGGATGGCACTCATAGTCCGTTACAAGTATCACATGAAGTAATACCTGCTTTAAAATGGGGTTTTCTTCAAAGAAATTCTTCTCAACAGCTGCGACGGTTTACGTGATAGGTTTGTGGTGCCACTGGTGCTGGATTTTCTCTTACCGCTTAGTTGATTAACTTTCTCAGCTGGTCTGTCGTAATCCGCCATGGTTTTACGTTGACTTGAAGAGCCAGAATGTGGTGTACCAGGTGTTGAGTTTCCAGTTCCGGTACCTGACATGAATTTCCTAGGTGCGAAATAGTCATTTACCTCAACATCTTCAGGGATACTGTTGTTTGAATCAGGTCTAATAACGAGTTGTTCCCTATTCTCAATAAGTATTGAATTCTTTGGTAATGATTTTAATTTACTGTTTTTGAATATTTGGGATGCAGGTTTTAAATATACCGATACTATAGATCCCATGTTTAGTTCCAGCTCTTCTAGAACTGCAGAATCTAGTTTCGTGTTCAGTTCTAGCATAGGTAATTCACCATCGATAATTTTTAGAGCAGTATCAATGGGTAATTGTTCCTCGGCTTTTTCAGATTTAGTTAGGGCAAGTAATCTCCAGTAGCCAAACGCTCTATTTCTTAGGTCAATGTTATCTGCTTTCTCGGTACAATATTTGAGAATATTAATACAATTTGCTTCCGTTTCTTCTGATGGTGAGCGAAGAAAAAACTTAACGCTTGAGCTCAAAATTGAATATTGAACTTCTAGTGCTTGTCCTTCGATAGAGTCGGAAAATTGTTTAAACTCATCAAGATAATTAGGAATACTGTTGTAGTAGTGGGTAATTATCCAGATCATTGCATTAATAGACTCTGGTTCTTCCACTATATCTATGCATTTTATCAAGTCTGGGACGTAGTCTTTAAAGTTATTTGGATACTTCCGGAAAATGTTCCTAAAAACTGATATTATTTCTTGTATAACAAAATCGACTCCGAAGTCTAACAGATCTGCAAGAGTATCACAACAGTTCGCAGCAGCGCTATCATCCAGTTTCACAGCCAAATTACCGACTGCTCTTATAGCCTTCCTCGACATCTGAATGTCAATATCAGTCGCATATTGTTCCAATTCATCTAGAATTTGAATTAAGTTATTCTTATTTGCTAGTAAATACAAGCATTCTAGTTTCGTATCCTTTATATAAATAGGATCGTTGAATTGGATGAAAAAATATGAGATATCTAACTTAAGCATGTCTGATCCTCTGCTTAACAGTAGTAAGATCACATTTCTCAGAATTAGGAATTGTATTTCTGGAGGGTTATCTAGTAACGCAACAATTGAGTTGGAAATTCTTTTGATAACAGTTTCACTGATAGAATCCACGTAATTTAGCAAATAAAGAATGAATTTTAGAGTACCTAATGCAACGTACGTATTAACGTTCTGTAGTTGTGGTAAAATTAGATCTATCAGATCATAAGCATCATCATGCGTATTGGGGACTACAGTCACAGGTAATGTTTCAATTATCAGACCTTTATCCCATTCATTAGCTTTCTCTATGTTTTCCAAGATGTTGAATGCAGCGTCAACGCCGATATTCAACGGAGCCATCTGAGGATTTTTCTCGTGTATCAAATATAATGTATGTAATGCAGCAACTCTTATTGTTATTGCTTCGCTTTGATCTTCACTGATCTCAAATAGGTACGGTACTAATTTAAGTATTTCTTCATGATTCATTTCATCTAATTGTATCAAATTAAGAATGGCTGCTTTTGTAACATCTTTAGACATAGTAGTTTTTCTCGAAACTATCAACTTTGAGAATTTCATTGCTTCATCAAGAAATTCAGAACTCGGAATTTGCATTAGCGTTCTCAATGCTAAAACTTGTACCTTAGAGTTTCGGGATTTTAGATCATCCTGTATACTGGGAAGGAAATCCACCACCAGCCTTGGTTTCATGGACCCAATCACGGATACATACTCATGGCATATTCTTTTCACTTCGAAGTCATCGTCAATCTGCCAAAATTTGTGAATGGCGTCTCCTAACAAGGACATTTCATTGTAATTACCCAACGTTAGGTTCGCAACAATCTTTCTAAGCGCATTCTTTCGTTTAATACTGTTCAACTTAAATTTATTGACTTCATAGCTCTGCAACTCCGCGTTGATTTCACTAGCTTTATATCTTGAGAAGACTCTTTGATCGGACATCCTTTATATTATGATCCCACAGAAAAGTCAACTTTTCACAAATTCCTATCTAGTTCCCTAGTTCAAAAGCTTATAGTTCCCAGTGTTTGAAGGGATCAATGGCTTTCTAGTTCGAGTCAGTTCCCTATAATCTCAAAACTAGCAAGCTTTCGATGAATTTTAGAGTTAGCAGGCTATTTTGGCGATGATCAGACCACACGGGGAAAATAACTATAATTAAAATAAGAATATAAAGAGGAGGATAATCTTCATAATTAAGTATAGTGATATAAGACACTGGAGAAGCTACCTATGTGATTTCGCAGCACCGTTATATTGACTTATTGATGGTTGTCTTGGCTAAATAATGTTTTCCAGCACAGTCTTTGCTATATAAAGTGCACAATAAAATTTATCAAGCACCAACAATGAGTCAACACAATACTCTTCATGATCGAAATCAAGTAATCGCTACAGCTTAGAAGAAGGGGGCTTTGAATTAAGCTTTGAGGTTTAACTTATGATCATAATTCTGTACTTCGACAATAGGATAAGTAGGTATGTCTCGATATAAAACATCTATACGTAAATCGTTTGTAAGACATCTATAAATTATAGGCTACACTAGGAGTGCAAAGAGTGAGGCATCGTGAATTTAGCAAAATAATTTGTGTACTCACTATTGTAGTGCTAGTGAGTTGACTTGATTGAGTTGTTTTTTAAACGGGACTTCAAATTGTAGAGTAATTCCATTCCATACTCCGTTGTTCATTGTGCTTCACATTTTAGTCGATTGAGGTTCAATTTGACAAAAAAATAGGAACTAGTGTTAAATTAACAATTACAGGTAACGAACTACTTCTGCTATGTACTAAACAGTTTCAACAGCTTACAAGACATCATTTTTCGATGAATTAGGAAATTATTTATATAAGAAGTGACAGTTATCTACTAATTAGAATTCGCCAATTGGGATCGTGTAAATCTTGCATTTGGAAAATAGAACTTCTATACTTTGAGTTAGTGAAACTACAGCGCTTTACATACATCAACTATTGCGCCTTTCTAATGGGTATACTAATCACAATCAGAATGAGTGTGAATTACTGCTTTCTGATCATGAGTGGTCATATGGTTTGAATATACCTTATTGTGTGGCTATCGGGATTCATAATTGTGAATTATTGAGATAGTAATGGCTCTCTGATAGTCAAAATTTTCTGCAAATTCAATAGTACTGAAATATTTATACTACATTAACAATGTGTTTCAAACTTGATGAAACTAAACGGACTCAGTAAGATATTATTGTTCATGTTGAAATGATAGCTATTCTGGTAAGGCCCCAAACTTATAAATACCTAGCCCGTAAATCAGATATGAAATATCTCATGTCCCTTGCCTTTATTGCGAATATTCAAAACATTGATTTAATTACGCACATGTGTTCTCTACTTGGCAGTAATCAGTAATAGAGACTACAATAGAAATAAAATGTTGTTTATTGGTATAATACAGATCCTGCTGCTGATACAATATGTCTGTACGACTGAGATCAGGAATATTAGATTTTCTAATTTAAAACTTGATCCCCTAACAGATCAGGCCCATCCTCATCAAGGCTGGAAAGCTGCCTTCGACTTTCAAATACCTGATTCTTTTAAAGTCTATAAGGACGATTATTTTGAACTAGAACTTCCCAGAGTTTATATAATTAAGTTCGCCAAAGATAGCACAGAATTGTTGATTCCATTAAAGGATAGGAATAGCGAGGAGATCTTTCACTGTAGCGTACCTCAGCAAGCTGCTTACAAGTATAAATCAACTATCCTAAGATGTGTGACTTTGACTGACCTTGCCCCACACCCAGAGATAAGTGGACATATTGAGTTTTCTTTGTCATTTAGTAATGGGGACTCAACCTATCAATATGAGCTAGAGAACGCAAATTATTTTGAAAGTGGACTGAACAATATTGAGTTTACTCAAGAGCTCAATGCAGAAGTGTACTTTGATGCCGCAAAGTTTAATGACCACTTTTATACCACAATCAGATCAACAACGTACAAAGAAGTGGAGATATATTTTCTTTCAATGAGATGTCCCAACGGTTATCTGCTGGGAGGGTCCCAAAAGATAAACTTTGATTCCAAAGACGCTAATTGTCAACTAAATTGTAATACGCCTCAAATATTTGTTTCAAAGCATTTCAATGATTGGTGGTTCCCGAAATCATACCAGGAAATAGTAGATGCAGATATTCTCTGTTTCGGTAACAACCTATGGATAACAATTGGAGAACAAGAAAAAGGTCATCTGCTTTGGGTAAATGCTATGCAGGATGTTGCGGATGGCCAAAATACTCTCTATCATGATGTTTTCATAGAGTATACCTGTAGTGACACAATTGCAAAGACAACATATCAAACTGAACACACAGCACATTTAGAATATAGAATTTACGAGGGCACTAATACAGCAATTGCAGAGGTTCCAGCATCAGTTCCCTCGCCATCGAAATTAATCTCAAGCCTTTCAAGTTCAACATCGTCGGAATCTATCTCAACAGTAATTTCAACTGTTTGTCCTCATTGCTCTCCTTCCCGGATCTCCAGTTCCAGCTCAAGTACTAGTTCCAGTTCCAGTACTAGTTCCATTTCCATTACCAGTTCAAGTTCAAGCTCAAGTTCTAGTTCAAGTTCAAGCCCAAGTTCCAGCTCAAGTTCAAGCTCAAGCACCAGTTCAAGTTCCAGTTCAAGTTCCAGCTCAAGCACCAGCTCAAGTACTAGTTCCATTTCCATTACCAGTTCAAGTTCAAGCTCAAGTTCTAGTTCAAGTTCAAGCTCAAGTTCCAGTTCAAGTTCCAGTTCAAGTACCAGTACTAGTTCCATCTCAAGTTCCAGCTCAAGCACCAATTCAAGTTCCAGTTCAAGTTCCAGCTCAAGCACCAGCTCAAGTACTAGTTCCATTTCCATTACCAGTTCAAGTTCAAGCTCAAGTTCTAGTTCAAGTTCAAGCTCAAGTTCCAGTTCAAGTTCCAGTTCAAGTATCAGTACTAGTTCCAGTCCCAACTCTAGCGGAAGTTTCAGCTCAACATCAAGTATTCAAAGTACGCCATACACAAGTAGCACTTCATTAACTAGTTCTTTCTCAAGCTATAGTAGCTTTAATACAATTACAACTAGTACATCAAGTAATACTACCATGCCACCGACTAATGAACGTATCACAACTGTATGGTCGACAGCAATTTCTTTCAGTAAATACGAAACGTCTTCGTCTAGTATCTTTTCATTATCTTCAGGCAATACTTCCACTATGACAACTAGCAAGCCTAGTACTTATATTATAACGACCACAGTTAGCAAATATAGCACTTCATCTACATTTACTGCGTCAACATCTCTTCCATCATTGTCAAGTTTTGAGTTCCCAAGCACCTCTATTTCAATTACAGTAACAGGATCTGTTTCTATATCACTGCAAGAACCATCAAGGTCATTAAAACCTTCATCAAGGGAAGAGTCACCTCCTGAAATGCCAACTATTGATAGCAATAATGTTCCTCCCGTTGCACAGGCTCCTACAACTACCAAACTAAATAACCTTTCTAGTCTACCTCTCAGATTAACACCAATATCTCTACAGGTGGATACATTTCCTTCAGCGCAGATTACAAGAAGTGCTATCTCAAGTATATCCATCTATGAAGGTTGTGCTTCACTAAAAGGTGGCATAAGTTCGTCTTTCTTGTTGTTCTTTATTTCAATTTTAATTTTTTTTTAGTATGTCCTGTGACTGAAAGTGGCTCTAAGGAGCAGTTCTTGTATCTGAATTGTTGTTATAGTCAATTACCGATAAGTATTTGATTTGGTCATCAGGATAATATTTTTTGAAATTACGGTAGACTCTTTTTTGAATATGTATATTAATAGCTTCTAAAATTGGAGGTAATAAATTACCTTAACTGAACTCCTATTATTGTCTGGCGTCTGTAGGCAGCCACTTCTTCACATCGCAATGGTTGCTTAAAAATTCCTCTAATTGAGCCTTCAAAAAGTCCACTTCTTTCTTCATTTCTTCCATTGATCGGGCAATTCTAACGTCATCCTGGTCTGGTCGTAGGTTTGTTCCTTCCTCATTCATGTCACGAGCCTTCATATACTCATCTCTTCTGAGATCCCAGTCATCTAGGCGTTCGTACACCTTATCGCCAATATTGTTTTCTTTATACCTTGGTATTATATGGGTATGTAGATGAGGTACTGATTGGCCAGCTTCTGGTCCATCCTGTATTGCAATATTAACTGCTTGGGCCTTATATACCCACTTCATAAACTGGTGTATTAGTTGCACTGTATTGAAATAATCAGCGTTTTCTTGAGGGGTAAGTTGTGATAGCTGTACAACTTGAGATCTTAAGGGAACGACTAGTACATGGCCTTTAGTAATGGGCTTCAAGTTTACGAGGGCATAACTGAACCTCGTCCTGAAGAAAACTTGTTCTGTCACGAGAAATTTGCTAAAGTATATAGGTGTAGACCCACTCATTTCTTATATAATATTCTGAGTCAGAGTAACAAAACCTAAATGTACTTTCCTTTCAAGTATTGGTCTTAGTTACTGGGAAAAAAAGTTTGGTTACATACCTCATTCTTTTTGATTGAAGTGTGAAAGTCCTACACCAATTTAATTCCTATATTTCCCTGAGGCAGTCTTAAAGTGTTACCCGAAATTATTGGCTGAAGGAAACAAAATAGTATTATATTACTTGTACTTTAAAGAGCTATATATAGAGGTCAGAGCACTAAAAACAGGTGGATAATGTGTTAATATGTACATATTGTAATGTCATTATTCGAATTCTCATTAGGGGCATCTCATATTGCAATTTTGTAGTTAATTAAGTTATTTTCATTTGGTAAATGATTGGAGTATTTATCGTATGTTTGGTTGCGGGTATGGCATAATTCTCAGTAAAATCTATAGTTTACTTTTAATCTGTAAAAGCTGATAGATCAGAAAAGCGTGAGGCATATAGTTATTGTGAAAATCGTAGCAAAGTGGATTGTGATGTTTTCTATAGTAATAGTAACGATTGAGAGCTTAGTGTTACAGATTAGTAGGATACGTATAAACTGCCGTCTTGTTCCTCAAAGGCAGTAAGTAGATCTGCAACATCGTCCCCATTCATATCCCAGCCAAGTTTAGACGATACAGAGATATTCTTTAAGCTTGGTAATCTAGATTCAAGTAAAGCGATTGTGAAATCATCCGGATGAATCTTTGAAGCAAGACCTAAGGAGCCACTACAATCCAAATATATGGTCCTTAGAGGTCTAGCTTGTCTTCTTACTTCCAGGGGTAGGTCCGGTTCTATTGGAGTCAGAATGTATTCAGAAAATAACCATTTCGAGCAGTAATCAACTTGTAGTCTTACAGACAACAGGTTCCTGCAATACCTGAAAATAAAATCGAGTGAGTTCTCTCTCAAGGCGGGCATTGGATAAAAAAATGACAAGTGCTTTAAGTTATGTCCAATTTTTGCCAAAACTGTATATATAGACTGCTCGTCTACTTGTGGGCAAAATGAGAATTCTAAAGTGGTTATTGTTTCAGGCCAGTTGGTCATAGCAACAAATTCATTGGTTATCCCTCCACTTAGCTTCAGATATTGAAGGTTATTTGGCCAGCAAAATTCTTGGAAACCTTCGCAATCTATTGAGCTTCTTGGGAAAGAAAGATGTGTAAGTTCGTTGAAGTTACTTATAGCTTTAAAAAGATCTTTCAGTTTGACTGTTTCGGAAACAAGTCCTAGATCAAGAAATCTTAACTTATGGCAATTTTTTAGAGAAATAAGTGGCGCATAACCAAAGCTTGTTTGAGGTGCCGTAAATGCAAGTAAATTATTGGAGCATCTTCTAAGTAATTTGGAGACATTGGAATTCTTACCACTTTGTAAAATTGTGGATAAATCAAGCATCTGAACCAGATCTCCTAATCTGTATCTATCTATTTTCTTGGAGCCAGCTCCGGGCATAGACGTTGTTGTAACAGCTGAGGTTATTGTTTCCACAAAAGCGTTAAAGTTTCTACTTGATAGTTTGGGGGCCCGATAAAGTCTTCCCAGAGACAAATAATACCAGTATTTAGATACCAACATAACGTTCATAATGTTTTCAAACTCAGTATTTTCTTTTTCATATTCTGTCTCTTCTACCAGATCGAAATAGTACTTAACAACACGTCTTTGAATCTCTAATGGAATCTTCATCGGTATCATAGGAGGTTCGCATTCCACTTCATCATCCTGTATGGTCAAGCCTTCAAGTGACAAGTTTGTACTCCGTTTTCTTCCATGACTAGATAAACGTTTATTTCTATTTTTCCTCTTTGAAGTTTTGCTCTCTTCATCCTGTCCTTCATCATCACTCTCTGTCAATATATCGTTTCCAACAGAATCAGTGCGTCTAGTCTTTGCACCTATGATCTTCAACTCACCAGATTTATTTGTATTCTTCTCATTTCCATCATACTCGTCACCATCATAGTACTCATCGCTTAGATCATCTTCTCCATCGACTACTCTCTTTCCGGTAGTCTTATACCGTGATAACATAACATTCTGCATATATCCCTGGCCACCAACGTACTTCCGATAGGGCACAGCTGCCCTTCTCGGTCTTGACTTATTAGCCATTAATTTTATTACTTGTGTTCTTGATATCTACACTTTAGTATTAGAATATTTTCTCAGCAAATATAGTACTGTTCTGAACACTCCAACTTATGATACACACTTGCGATGAGCTAAGCTCCGAGGAGATTTAAAAGATTCACGATATGCACTTGAAGTTGGGGATGACAGAATGATAACCACAAGAAGTGAAACTTTTGATAATATTCGATATATAAATTAATGTTATTAATAATTATCAGTTAATGGTTGATTTTATAGAATTAGATACTTACATACCATTAGTAGACTTCATGGCGTATAGAAAATTTTTTGTGCTTGTTGATTATTGAGTAGCAATGACAATGAATTGACCATTATTGATCTGTGCCATAAGTACACAATTTGGGTCAAAAATATAAATTTTAGTTACTTCTATTTATCCTTTACTTAGCTTATTACAAAATCATCTTTTCAAGCTTATGAAGTCGATTTTGGTCATTAAACACTGAGGTTAGTTGGTTTGTCTCATCTATTAACTGCGCAATAGGTCGTCTGATTGAGTGTGTTGTTTGATGTATTTGATGGGAGTTTTCCAAATTCAATTCAATAACATCTCTCCGGTAAGCTATCTTTTGTGTTGCACTATCCAGACTATCACTAATGGATTGTAGCATCACTGGGTGTATTTCGTTTCTTACTAGTTTATCTGTAAGACGTTTATCGTTAGTTTGTTGGATATTTTCGGTTAGTTCTTTAGCATCTTGCAGTAGTTTCCTCTCCTTTGCAATTTCTTGCTCTAATATTTCTGCTTTCCGAAGCTCTTGGACATATCTCTCCTGGAGAAACCTACGCTTCTCATAAATATATTCGATATTCAAGTCATTCTCTGTAAGACGAGATGGAAACTTGGAAAACCGCAGTTTCTTCTCTATCCTTTGCAAAATGTCACCAAGCATCTTCTCTTTGTCCTCTTTGATTAGTTCTATTTCTTGTCTCTTACCTCTAAGTAGTCTCATTAGTTCATCATCGTACTTCTCAAATACTATATCAACACTATTGGCGCTATTCGTTTCCAAGAGTTGCATAACTGAGTCTACCAAAATGCGAGACGGTTTTCTCCACCTCTTTAAGTTATAGTTGTTTGGCAGCCTATTCTTCATTTCCCGCCTTATCAATTTGGGAAACTGCCAGGGATTCTCTTCCTGATCTTCATCGCTTGAACTAGAGTCGCCACCGGCATTGAAGGTCTGAAACCTCACTTTGCCCTCATCAGTACCTACAACGCTGGATGTCTCTTCATTTACAAATAGATGCCTCTGATTCCGCACTTCGTCATCCGAACTATGCACAATGTCATCGTCTTCACTCCCTGAGCTCGTAACAATTCCATCCAGCAAAGACATAACCACTTCTACAGAACTTCACTTGTCTACTATCTAGTCTTCCTCTTCTCAGCCTGGTCCAGCCTTAGATAGCAATTATATGTCTTGATCTGCAAGTTAATTGTTTATTTGTGAGCTCATCGCGCGTTCGGGTCTTAATTTTAATTTTTATTTTGGTCAGACAAGGTTGTATAATGCGGAAGGGTTAATAGACAATGGACAGTAAATATGTGCAGATACAACTTCCTTCAAGTTTGCTGGTGGATAAATTCAAAGAAACTATGACAGTAAAATTTAAGGTCTATAAGATACAAATATGTAGATAGTGTAACAAAGTAAGAAAATCCGAAAAAACATTATATCTGATTGTGTGAAGATATCTATACTAAAATAGGAGAGTGAAATAAAAGGTATGAATGTTCAGCATCAAAGCTAGTTGGGTTTTGTTAATTATATATAAAAGTGCAGGTTTCCATCTTATACCTTAGTTTCCCCAAAAGAGGTAAAAATTCATAAAGCTTTTGTAATAACTCAGAAGTCAGAATCGAACTTGATCTTGTCACTGCTTGCAACTGAACCAGCTGTCTTAGCAGTACCGCTGGTAGCAGAAGCCTTTTGGTAGTCAGAGACCTTCTTTTCAAAGAAGTTAGTCTTACCAATAGATGTAGCTTCTTCCATGAATGGGAATGGGTTTGTGGCGTTGTAGAATTTCTCGTTACCGAAGGATACTAGCAGCTTGTCAGCAACGCTCTCGATGTATTGATCTATTTCTTTCAAGTCCATACCCAGCTTTTCAATTGGCATGGAGTTTCTGTAATGGGCTTTTTCGATTTCGACAGCCTCGGTAATGATCTGTTCGATAATCTTTGGATTTGGCTTGGTCTTCAAGTGAGCAAACAACAAGCATGCAAAGTCGGCGTAGAAGCCTCTGTCTCTGCAGATGTGATTTGTGGCCATAGCGACACCAGGCATGATACCCTTCTCCTTTGTCAACCAGTACAAAGCAGCGAAGGCACCGGACATGAAGATACCTTCTCTGGCAGCGGAGGCGACCAATCTTTCAGCGTAAAGAGATTCATCGTCAAAGACCCATCTGTGAGCCCATTCACTCTTAGCCTTGACCTCTTCTTGTTGGCAAACGGCCTTGAACAATGGGATGTTGTCAACACTAGTGAACAAAGCATCGACCAACATAGAGTAGATTTCATCGTAAATGTTCTCCATCATAATCTGGAAACCATAGAATGACTTACCTTCTGGGTTTTGCAATTCAGCGGAGAACTTCTCAACAATGTTCTTGTTAACAATGTTGTCAGTTCTAGAACAGATGGCAAGGTAGTTACCGAAGAACTCCTTCTGACCAGCACTTAGAGTTTCCCAGTCCTTGACATCCTTAGCCAGTTCCATGTCTTCAGCAGTCCAGAAAGCCGCCTCAACCTTCTTGTAAGCAGCCCAGATCTCATGGTACTTGATTGGAAACATGACAAATCTACGCTTGTTCTCCATCAGCAAGACCTCATCCTTCTCGCCTTCCTTCATGTGATGACGCTCATCGTCAAACTTGGATAGAAATTTGTGGTGTTCTTCAGCAGTAACGTTCATTCTTGTATACCTTAAATATATTGTTATTTTACTAGGTGTTATCTATTATATACAGATCAATTCCAATTGGGCAAGATCAATCAAATCCTTGGCCCTCTTTATATACAATTTCAAGGCCAATTTTTCAAAATTTTTCAAAATTTTTCTTTTTTTTTTTCCCCTTCCCTTCAAGAGAATTATAGGAATCCCAATTATATTTAAACTACAAGGGAAACCCACCCAACACTCATCACTTGCCCCCGCAGAACTATCGAGGTCTCTTTAGCCACAAACCACTATTACTAAGATTAAGATCAATGTCCTGATGGCTTCTCCCATTGTTCTCCAGACACCCCCCAATCAATGAATGAAAAAAAAGAAACGGGAACGACGTTTAGGTAAATATTTACATCAGGTTCCTGTAACGCGTGGATGTTTACGTGTTTCTTGCCACAACTGTATGTTTGTTTTGTACACAAACATAAGAAGTACTGAAATATATATGATATATATAAGAAACGCAAATATCCAGATTTACATTGACGTATATACGCGTTCAACTTGTTCACACCACATTAAGAAAACATTTAGCAATCAAGCATACGGCTCTTTTGAAACTTCCTTGCTATAGCCCCATGTCAGAATTTCTTATCGTAATGGCCACCGTTGAAGTATCACACCAGTAATCTCACTTCTAAATGCAATATTTGCATATTGTAAATACTACAGATTATAAACTACTGCTGTGTTGACTCCATTTCATGTTGGCGAAGCTGAAATAACAATTTCAAAAATTAAAAAAAAATTAATGGTTGCTAAGAGATTCGAACTCTTGCATCTTACGATACCTGAGTGCTCCTGAGTTTGTTAACCCAATAAGTATTTTTCAACTTGAATCAGGCGCCTTAGACCGCTCGGCCAAACAACCATATTGTATTTGTTGAAGATGTGAAAAGAGTTAATGACCATATTTACTACTACCAAAAGCCTGGATGTAAGATACAGGGTACGAGTTCGTCACAGGTATTCAGCGGATTATAGCCGTAGATCGGTACGTATCACGGGATGTAATAGTTTGGATAATAGAAATACAGGTCAGTAATATATAAACGGTTCGGACTTTCACTTATGTGTCACAGAAGAGGAACCTAATAAGTCTATGTGACTTATAAAGACTCGTTCTTCGAACAAAGATTCTCCTGGTTTAACTTAAAACTTATAACTCTGAAACAATAGTAATGTGTGACTCGATATAAGCTGAACTTGTACCAAGTATCAAAACTAAAATGTTAAATGATAATAAGTCTTATTAGAAAACTAGAATAAGCTTTTTGGTATTTCTTATTACTGTTCTTATTGTGATCTTTCTACTGAAAGAATAAGGAAAGTATAATAATACAATTTACTGAAGAAACGAATTTTAATTCTCACGTCTGAGAATTCGGATGCTATTTATATCCTTCTCGGATTAGATAACTTATGGCCGAATGGAGAATCTTAAGATCTCCTTTTACCCCGCGGAGTTTCCTTTTAGTTGGGGTAAGTAATTGGGGTAATTATTTTATTAAGCGCTTATCTGATCTTGAGGTTAAGTCACACCTTGCTTCAGATTTGATTCGTCATATGTACGTCATGCTAACATAACTTTAATCTCCGCATCTTTAATTTAGTGGGGCACGCTGCTAGCTATTAGGCGGCATCCGTTTATGCCCCACAAGGTTCCCGAGGTATCTTATGAGATACCTCGTCATGTCACGTCAATTCTCCACTTTCCTACTTCTGAGGTTTCTCCTTATATGTTGCCGGCTTTAAGGATACATCTCATCCGTCAATCAAGTGTGAACTGAATAACATGACTTATGCATGACGCACACTCATCAGAGCGTTTAGCTTCCTACAACCTTACGAATCTACTTAAATAGGTCACATGTAGTGCACTAATATCATAATGCTTACACTGGAAAATCACGTGAAAGCCGAGAAAGGTATACTCTACAAGTATTAATGGAATATGGGGATGTATAAAGTTCAAGCACCGTTAACATAACAAAAAAAAAATCAAAACTCTAGATATACAGATTATAGCTAAATCATTAAATGAATATATACAAAAACAACTAACCTACAGATATTTTTGTTTCCCTCCATATCTGGGCTAGATGGTTGACAAATCTCTTAGTCTTCTTGTCAAACCGTACCAGCTTACTGTCGGCGTCACCTATCCTGTCAACAAATGTACAGTAATACTCTACTGAGCTCCCAATTCTGTACTTCCATTTCTTGACTACTCTAGATGGAATTATAAAACCTGTGATGGCTAAAAACCCGCGTTTGGGCTCCTTGCTGGCAAACTGTTGTTCATCTCTTCTCACAACATTTACATCTGTGCTTGGTAGCGATCTTTTTCTTATACCAACTTCGCTTTCAATATCTATTTCTTGTAACTTATCCGACTCACATTCATAGAAAGTTCCTTTACCCCAAAGCAGTTTATCTTCATGATCAACATGTATTACTTGGTTGGAACATATTTCGGGAACACCAAGTCTATCTTCTATAGTTGAGCGTCTAATTGGTCCTATTATACCTGCGTCGATAGTGCCTACTGCAAATTCCATTCCAGCAACGTATGGACCAAACCAGAACGCTTCTTTTGTACCGGTTGAACAGTGAGCATAGTCCCTGTGCATGTTCATAACCATACCCATGATTAGTCCACCTAACTTTTGCTTCTTGTTCAACAATATAACACCCCCATCAACTTGATGCATTAAATATAGGTTATAATACCCATGAAGTATAGCACCCATGGGATCTGATGTATCTGTGAGGCGTGGGTCATTCATTCTAAGAGGAAATTTGGAACCAATTGTTTTATATTCATCCATGGATGGCTCTAGTGATTTCATAACATCCGTACATATATACGCATGCAGCAAAGCCCCCAGATACTTGTCTCGCCACATATATAAACCGGAATTTTTATACTCTTCATTCTCCAATAACTCTTCTGGATTTACATAAGGTATGACCTCGATATCCATCATTACCACATCTTCAAATGTATTAAATATTGATGCTAGAAACTTATCGTCATAACCAACAAATGTTCCCTTATTGAAACTATCGTCAATGAGTGCTTCTATCTCAATTATTGTTACGTGTTGATCAGATTCCTCCGCATATGAAATGATTGCATCCTTGAACCTTGCTAGAGTCACATTCCTTTTAAATACTAGTTGAATAGGAAGAGTATTTCCATTTTCTTTTAGAAATTTAAACAATTTCCTCAATATATGGAGATTGTTTGACTCTATAGTAATAACTAATCCTTTGCCCTTTGCTTCATTTCTCCAATTCCTCAGAAAATTGAGATTATATTCTAGAGCTCTTTGTTTTGTCTTAGGTTTCGTTATAACTTTACCCGTTCTCAAATCGGTAAGTTTTGGATACAAGTATTGATCTGAAGTGACATTCACAAATTGAAACATTGGAAACATCCTATGGTTAAACTCAGTAGCATTATGTTCATCTAGTCCAAGCTTTTTAAAAACCTGTATCACGTCAACCCCTTTATCTAAAAAGCAATGGTTATACATTCGAATTCTTTCAACCGGGTGCAACAAACTGTATTTTTTCATAGCCATGTCTTTATTCCAGACTAATATTTCACTATTGTTCCATTTTGGATCGCCGTCATACAGAGCTTTCACTAAAAGACTACATCTATCTAAATCAGAAGCAGCATTCCAATACGGCAATGTATTGTATTCTAGTTGTTCTACCGTTAAAGGTTTCCAGAATAGCAAGTTTTTCCATTGTTGCTGGCGGTTATTTTCCTGCTCCATTTTATATGCCTTTGAAGTAATCCTGCCAAATAACTGACTCGAACTTCCTAGTTTCAATTGACTTTCATACTCAGTATACCTATATTTTATAGAAGACAACTTTGCTGTATCTTCATGTTGGTTATACCAAATTAGAAGACATAGTGAGATGAAAAATGACAATAGAAAAGAGGCACGTCTGTTGAAAGAATGCCTATTCCCTAAAACATCCTTACAACCATAAAAAATGTATCGAAGCCCCTCAATGGACATTTATATGCCACTTTTATTCCCAAATGTTTGGGTAATGTTCCGGATTACTTTAGCTGTTAGCTGAATATTGACCCTCTCCTATCAATGCGGAAACAAAAGAAAGCGTCCTCGAACTACCACGACCATAAGCTATTGGAGAAGCTAGTTTTACAATGTTGTTTATATAGTATGAACATGCTATGGACCTAACTGATGCAAAAGTACCAGGTTCAATTGTGAACTGTGGTCTTCATTCAGGAATGCACACCATGGCTTCCCAGACAAAGGAGAGAAACCATTGCAGCAAATATAGGACCAGAACAAATCAACAATATAGTCTTGCTAGATATATAGTTTTTTAAGTTCCTTTTCTACAAACTTACCACTACAAACTAATTGTCGTTTTCTTCACAGCTATTATACCAATTGATTTACACATTCCATATTTCGCTACGAAGGTGTCTAGGGACTCGAATTTCTCACATTAGACAGCATTCGCACTCATTTGGATTCCGCACTGAAAGTCTTGTACTGCAACTGGGTTAAACGGGTAAATCTCTCGAATGCCTAGCTTCTTAACAGGAGTGTTACTAAATACCAGGCAACATGAGGAAAGGACACGACATCAACTTTACAATCGATTTGGGTGCTGGCTGCTCAAAAGCATTCGTTAAATTGCCTGCACGTAAATCAGTACGTACGTACAGTCAACAATTCTAATTTTGAGAATTGGCCACGTCAAGTATAACTGATGCCAAGATTCCTTTCAAGACTGCAGTAAATCTACAGTCATTACAAGACTACCGAAACATCACTAGTGCTGCTCTGATAACTAAACATACATTTTTCTTGAGCATGAAAGTGAGCTAAACACTGCATACATATAATGATTACTGTAGTAAAATGAATCATATATATTGTAAAGAAAAAACTATAACTTGATTGCCAAACATTAACCAAAGACTATGAGATTATTGGGTTTATTCAGGCGACATCTGAAAGTAAGAGAACAAAAAGAATCGAAAAAAATAAATGCTTCCAACCAGATTTGAACTGATGATCTCCACATTACTAGTGTGGCGCCTTACCAACTTGGCCATAGAAGCTTAAAATGATTGATATTCAAGAAAAAATTGTATCCTGCTATATCGAATAGAGAATATTTTTGACTTATAACATACAACGTGGTAGCTCAAAGTATAAGTCTCACCTATAGTTGAAGAACGAATCATCTAATATAACGATGCATAAAAGGCGCTCTTCTTAGCGTTTATGCTATAGCCAACCTTCCTAATCACTTAGTTAGGTCACGTGCGGTGAACTAGTATCATAAAGTATACACAATTGTAAACCAATGAACACGATTCCGAGAATTTCTTTGCTACATATCGATATCTTGCAATCCCATCATACCCCATTCCTTGAGCATCCTAACTACCAAAGATAGTTAACATCTTCATATGGACCGAAGAGTCAGTTACTAATATTCAACAACTTATTATGGATTAGCACAGTTTCATGAACTTAATCAAAAAATCATAAAAGTGCAGTATTGAAATATTGCTACTGTTGGTTAAAAACAAATTAGTATCTGATAGTGCATAATATGAAATTACTTATCAGACAATCATGTAATGAAAAAAAAAATTCTGAATCGTATTTATATGTAACCGCTCTTCTTATATTATCCTGTTGAAGACAATATAAACAGGCTTGGAGATTTCTTATACTATCAAAAATAAATACCGGAGAAGTAAGGGATTCTATTTCAGGTAAAGTAACACTCTCAAGTGAATTGCTTTGGCTCAACACCATGTGTGAGTCAAATGTTGGACATACCAACAGCACAAAGCAAGGAACTTCAAAAATTGACAATTCCAACAGGAAATATTTTAAATAGAGAGAAGAGAAAGCTGAATAACAGGCCCACAAACAGTGCTTCTTACTGTAAATCTGAATTCGAACACTGAAACAAAGTTGATCACGTGATATATTGTATCACTCAAAACCACAAAAATACTTTGATAAGACATCAAAAATCATTAATCCGCGATAGTTTAATGGTCAGAATGGGCGCTTGTCGCGTGCCAGATCGGGGTTCAATTCCCCGTCGCGGAGATTTTTTTTTGGGGGTAATGTGTACTTGAAAGTAATTCATCTCTTTAAATATCAAGATTACTGATATATCTTTTAATATCAGCATACAGCATAATGCATTACTTGTATGATATATACAAAAGAGTTTTGAATGCTTTACAAACTGGTTCCCAATAGGGTTAAACTAGTCTTGCACACCAGTGATATTAGAACTTCTCACTTGTGCAACTTACGATACTATCAGCTTTGTGGTTAATATATTAGGACCAACAGTTAGCTTGTGTAGTTAATCTGTCTTATATGTAATGTCCTCCAACATCGTCCTGCCATTTATTTCATCTTGATCTTGAATTTTCGTTATCAACTTGGATCACTCCGAATCATCGGGCAAGAATGTGCAAAAGTCATCTCGGAGGGGACCTAAAGCTAATAAAACTTTCATAAATTGGAAAATATCCATAAAATGTCGATATAATAATATTGTTCATAGTACTTTTTTCTACATTTATAGGTTTAGTATAGTCGTCTAATACTGTTATCAATCGCAACAATCAGTCCATTATTAATTGCAATCCTATTTTTACTATTGGTGTCTGACATATGACACTTTAAGCATAGATATATCTTAGTTGAAGGAAGATGACTGATCAGATAAGTCACCTGGGGAAAACACTTAGCACTGCGGCATCGGTTCTTATAGGATCCCAAGATATTGAGAAAAACGTCGAGAACAATCTATTATCGAACTCTCCTAGGAACCCATATAGAAAGACCTTACAAGAGAGTTTAACCGCAGCTGATTTCATGAACCATGAGACTTTTGATAAGCTTAGAAAGACAAGAGCTATTGCATCTACTTTGTCTGAGGATAGCAAGGGATTGTACTCCCAAAGAAGTAGGGAAAAGTATTTTACCAATAAGGTTTCTGACAAAAAGACCACATTTAAAGTGTTGAGCCATTTAAGTGATGATTTGCTGAAGGATCTCCCAGAAACAGCTGAAAGTAAGAGTAACACCAGAGATCAAGGTGAAACGAAATTGTTGAAAGAGTCTGACTCTACCGATGCTAGTCAAGAGCGTATATTCTCACTATATCAAGGGTTTGAAGCATCCATACCGGTTATCAACCGGTCTGTAGAGAAAGAGCACTTACTTCTAGAGCAAAATAATCAGGAATCTGCAGCTCAAATACTGCCGCAAATGGGTAACAAACCTAGGATAAGGAGTGGCCCTTGGGAGGACTTACTTGAATCAAAAGAAGATACGTACATTTCCTTGGACTTTAACCCAGAAAGAATATCAAATATTAAATCCAAGAAAGAACTAGAAAGAATCAATGAATTAGCTAACAACAATTTGGTTATGCTGGATATCAGGAAAAAACTGTCCGCTGATGAAATTGATGAAATCAAGAAACAGATACAAGATCTGCAATTGAAACAAAACCTTCTAGTAAAAAAGATTGCTGCAATAGAAGAGAACGAGTTATTTTTGGAAGATATTATAAGATTGATTGGACACCGTTCCGCTGATTTCTCAAATGATACACAAATTGAGTTTGACCAGGCAAAGTCACTCTCAGGCCTAAATAATCCTGAGTCGATGATCGATGCCACAAGACCAACCGCATTGGAAAGAAAGAACTCAATAGATATTGTAGAAACATCTCTAAATGAAATTAGGACATCCTTTGATGGTAGCAAGCAATCCATAGAAGGAAAAGATAACCATAATGCATTAAATGGATTCTTTGAAGATGCCAGTAACAAAAAATCAAGAAAAGCTCAACCAACAGTTCAGAAATACTATAACTCTGGGAAAAAGTTATCCACTATACCTAAAGCTCATGATGATGCTATTACATGTTTAGATTTTGACCCCCATTTCAGTACTTTGTGCACTGCAGGGTACATGGATCATATAGTTAAGCTGTGGGATTATACGAAGAAACGTCAAATTGGGGCAATGGAAGGACATGTTGCAACGATTAGTTGTATGCAAGTGGACAAAAACTACAATATGGTTGCCACCGGTAGTAAAGATGCCACAGTAAAACTTTGGAACGCAAATGATGTCATAGGGAGATATGAAGAAGGAAATAACAGTGAAGCATTACATACCTTAGATGCACATTTAGATGAGGTATCATCACTTTATATCGATGGTGCCAATTTGATGACTGCTTCACAAGACAAAACCATTAGAAGATGGGATTTGTACTCTGGGAAATGCATTCAAGTCTTTGATGTTAATTTCCCAAGTTTATCTGCATATAAAAGCAGCTTCATGAAAAGCAATGAAGATAGCATGATTTTAAAAACCGTAAACACTCCAATTATTGGGAGTATTCAAAGCTTTGATGCTGCTTTAGCTACTGGTACTAAAGATGGTTTAATCCGGTTATGGGACATGCGTACTGGTGAAGTGGTCCGTGTTTTGGAGGGTCATATGGATGCTATCACATCACTAAAATTTGACGCAACCACCATTATCAGCGGCTCATTAGATGGAACTATACGCCTGTGGGACCTAAGATCAAATAATCTGACTGACATTATTAGCTATGAAAAGCCGATTTCATCCCTAGATTTTGATGCAAAGCATATCGTAGTGGCATCCAATGAACATAATACTCATATTTATGATAGAAATGACGGTAATAAGTGGGATCTACAGGATGAAGAACAAGATACAACATCCTTGTTCGTCAAATACAAGGAGAGATATACCATGGAAGGAAGATCAAACGGTGACATAGGAATTTGGATCGTATAAGGGAAAAATAAATGATAATGAATGGCTATAGTACTGCATGTAAATATCGAACTGAAAAGCAAATAATATAGGCATCATTATTGATGACACCACCGAAAGCATTCATTATCTCTCATTCTCTCCTATTTATTTATAAATTGAAACTCACCTATATATATATATATATATATATATATATATATTATTTATATTCCATAACAAGGCATTTCCAACAGCAATTTTTACCATAATACTCTGGAAGGAACATGTACACTCTAATGATTATCAATTCTGGAGCATTATGGCTCTTGTATACCAACATCACAAACAACGAAGTAAAAATTTGAGTTTGGCCTCGCAAACCTGAAAATTGCCCAAATGTGGCGACCAACGAGATGAGCATAGCATTTTGAGTGTAATGGTATTCGTTATTTGTGTAGTATTAGCGGCCAATTGATTGTTATGATCTAAAGAATCTTAGTAACAGAGTTGGTCAGGTGTGTATTGTTATCAATTCCAGACAGAAAACGAAGAAAAGTAGCGATGAATTTTGGTAACCAGACGCCAACGATTGTTGTATTGAAGGAAGGAACAGATGCTTCTCAAGGTAGAGGTCAGATCATCTCAAACATCAATGCTTGTATTGCAGTTCAAGAGGCACTAAAGCCAACATTGGGTCCACTTGGTTCCGATATCTTAATTGTCTCCTCAAATCAAAAGACCACAATTTCCAACGATGGTGCTACTATCCTGAAATTACTTGATGTTGTGCATCCTGCCGCTAAGACCTTAGTGGATATCTCTCGTGCCCAGGATGCTGAAGTCGGTGATGGTACCACAAGTGTTACTATTTTGGCTGGTGAGCTAATGAAAGAAGCCAAACCATTCTTAGAAGAAGGCATTTCAACTCATCTGATTATGAAGGGCTATAGAACAGCTGTAAAATTAGCCACCGATAAAATAAAAGAACTGGCAGTGGATATAGGATCTGATGGTGAAGTTAACAGGGAACTTCTGGAACGTTGTGCAAAGACCGCCATGACCTCTAAGCTAATTTACAAGAATGCTGATTTCTTTGTGAAGATGTGTGTTGATGCAGTTCTTTCTCTAGATAGAGACGAATTAAATGATAAACTAATTGGTATCAAGAAGATTGCTGGTGGTGCCATGGAAGACTCTATTTTTGTTGACGGTGTAGCTTTCAAAAAGACATTCTCCTACGCTGGTTTCGAACAACAACCAAAGAAATTTAACAACCCAAAAATTTTAAGTTTGAATGTAGAATTGGAACTGAAAGCTGAAAAAGACAACGCCGAAGTCCGTGTTGAACATGTGGAGGACTATCAATCTATAGTTGATGCCGAATGGCAGTTAATATTGGATAAACTAAAGCAAATCGAGGATACCGGAGCGAACATTGTGCTTTCAAAGCTTCCTATTGGTGATTTAGCCACTCAATATTTTGCTGACAGAAATATCTTTTGTGCAGGTAGAGTAGGTGCGGACGATATGAACCGTGTTATTCAAGCAGTAGGCGGTGCCATTCAATCAACGACAAATGATATACATGATGAACACCTGGGTACTTGTGAAGTATTTGAAGAAATTCAGATTGGTTCCGAACGTTACAACCTATTTAAAGGTTGTCCAAATGCTAAAACAAGCACTTTACTGTTAAGAGGTGGTGCAGAACAAGTAATTGCTGAAGTAGAAAGATCCTTACATGATGCCATAATGATTGTAAAGAGAGCTCTACAGAATAAAATGGTTGTTGCAGGTGGTGGTGCAATTGAAATGGAAATATCCAAATACCTAAGAGACTACTCAAAAACAATTGCCGGTAAACAACAATTAATTATACATGCATTTGCAAAGGCCTTGGAAGTTATTCCAAGACAACTATGTGAGAACGCTGGTTTTGACGCCGTTGAACTACTTAATAAACTAAGACTTGCTCACAGTAAGGGCGAGAAATGGTTTGGTATTGATTTTGAGAATGAAAATGTGGGTGATAATTTTGCCAAATTTGTATGGGAGCCAGCTTTGGTTAAGATAAATGCTCTAAGCAGTGCGACTGAAGCCACAAACTTAATTCTATCGGTCGATGAGACTATCAAAAACAAAGAAAGTCAGGGCGCAAATGCCGGTATGCCTGCTCCAGCTGGAAGGGGTCGTGGCATGCCTATGGGCATGTGAAGAGATTCATTCCATACTTAATAGTTCCTATATAATGCATAATTTATTTTGATACGCACTGTAATATAGATTCAAGTTTCTGCAGCTTCCAGCGTGCTTTACTAAGTCCTTAGATTTATTCTTATTTGAGAATCGATTCTCGAGTGATATCAAACATTCAATAGCGTCTAACTACGCGAAAGTAAAAAGTAAATCAGTCCTGTATTATATATACTGTATCTCTTTATTTATATCTCCTTAGTTCCTTCTCTAACTTCTTACATCTCTCATCCAATTCATATATGTGTCGCTTATATAAATCGGTAACCAATTCGAGCTCATTTATTCTCGTACGCAACCGTATTACTTCCTCTTCATTATGAAGTTGCACACTGACGGGTATCTTATGCTCATCATCTGCGTTTGATGGATCAATTATATCAACACTATTGCGTTGTTTCTGTGTATCGATCATACTGCCTCTTCTAATTGGCAAATTTTCAGATGATGGCACTTTACCTTTCATTAACAAGTGAGGATTAGGTGGTATATGAGAAAGGTGGGATGTATCTAACGGTTGTGGTTGTGACATTTTTTCCTTGATATTAGAGCCAGTACTGCGAGAATCTCTAATTGGAGCACCGCGCAATGCAGTTGGCAAACCGCCATAGCTTTGATTACTATTTACTACTTGTGGTATGGATGTCTTCCTTTTCTCTACCATCGATTGCTCTAATGATGCTATATTGCCATTCTTATCATCTTCAGATGACTTGGCATGCATAGATCCGATGTTACTATTACTTGCCGCAGTAGTACGAGAATCAGAGCCAAAATCCCCTAAGACAGCCGAAAGCCGGGGCAGGGGAGTGCCACTCGGGCTATGAGACTGAGGGCTTAGTGGAGTATTCTCACCACTTTTGATTTGGGCACTATCTTTAGATTGACTATTGTAGCTATCTATGCTTGACTCGGAGACAGCTCTTTCCGACTTTATTTTGGCTTTCTTATGCTTTCTTATTAGATCTGCTTCTGCGCTTTCACCTACATAAGGCCGACCATGTTCAGTGATAGAATGTCTTAGATCTGATGGTGGATGCCTTCTTTTATCTAACATATGACCTTTCTTCTCTTTATATGCTTCATAACTAGTTGGAATAAAATTTGTAAAACTGTGCTTGTATCGATCATGAACTAACTCTGCTGGTGCACCTGTAGGAGAAGTTTGAACATTCTTCCTATTGCGAGATTTAATGACATCTGTCTTTAAACTGATTGGTCTCGGTTTTCCATGCAATTTCAAAAACAAACCACAAGCATTGCACAAAACTGATCCTTGCTCATCGCGTCTCCACAGAGGCGTTGTTGAAGTCATACAGTTCTTACAGACTGGCGCGGAATTACCGAACTCTGAGACAATGCCAGCAGTGTCTCCTTGCGCTACAACCTTCTCTTTCTTGCTGTCAACTTTCTGCTCTACTTTCGATTGCACTACACTTGTGTCCTTGCTTGCTGTACTTGATTCTGTTGATATAGATTGTTTATGCTCAGAATCAACTACATCCCCCTTCTTGTAATCCTGTGCTTCACGCCGGGGACTTTTACCACTCATATCTTCACTGTGTTCTGCCATTTTACAATCAACCGGATTGATAAACTAAAAAAATCTGATCTAGATGCTTCTCACTCTAAAATCTGCTCTGTATTGGATCAATAATATACCTTGGGTATTTTACAAGACCTTTTTTATATCAGAATTAGCCGCCAAATCCTTTATCAGCACCCGATATACTAACTCAATACCTCTATCAGTTTGTTATCTCTTCGTTTATCTGAAATTTCAGATGCTTATCAGGTCTTTTTGGGAAATTTTCTTCTTTTATCACGAACAAACTTTTTTTTTTCAAGTTTTCTAGGTCCCAACGAATACAACTAGAGAGATTTGTTAGCTTCTGTCTCACTCTCGGTTTGACACAAATCTCCTTTCTATGGTGCGTAACTACTCTTCTTTGTAGACAATGTACTTTACACCAGTAAACAGGTGCCGATAAAGTGCTAAGCAAGCTACAAGTATCGATGAAGAATCACAATGCCAGCTTCACAACACGTTCGAATAGTTTTTACTGGACCAAGAAGTTTTTGGTATTCTTGCCATCAAGCATAATATATACTAGTAGTCATTATCATTTTACGTATTTGCTTTTCGGAATTGATATTTTACAATAATCTACTCAGAGTTTGAGACTAGAAGTGCCACTCTCTAAGTCACTTAGACTCTCGTTCCTAACTTCCATTTAATGTTATCCATTTCCGTTAAAGTTGCAACGCCTTCCGTTTGCAGTCACTTTTTGTGGTCTTGCCGTCTTTTTCACCACTAGATAACATCTGAAGATACCTATGATGGAAATGACCGCAAAAATACCATAAGAGAAGTCATCTCTATGTGGATTGATGGAATTCCTGTGGGATACTAGTCATTAGAACTTTGTATGAACTGGAATTCGGAGAGGTGTGAGTGGATGGTGATTCAAGAGCTGTTGTAGATACGGTTAGAACCATACTTTATACCCAATTTAAGTAATCAAGCATTTTTAGCAATCACTTAATGTACAAACGCAATTAAGCTTTTCAAAGGATAGTATATAGTGTTGGCCTACATAGTTTATTAGGTTGAAGGGATTCCATCGTTGCTTACTTAAATGCTGTGTATTATAATATACAATTTAATCTAATTGTTCTCGGAGGTAATAAATTTAAATTTATGTAAAAACAAAATGCAAATATTATGAGGAGAGCTAGTCAAGGTATCTGTCGAAAGGTTCACCCAACACATTCTCCATAACTCTCACTAAACCACCTCTTACTTCAGATTCAACCTCTTCATTGTCATCTTCAAGTAATTCGGCAATAATTGGTACCATTTGTGGTAGAAGGACTAACCAGCTTTCTCCAACCTTCGAATAGATCAGCTTGACTGTCCTGACAGCCCACAGCTTCTCATTTGATGAACAAGTAGCCTTCATGTGCTCTACTAATAGCTTGTTCATCATTTGATTGTGCTCATCGACAGAACTATTTTTGGCTGCTAGAGAACCAATAGCTTTAACCAAATACTTACCAATGGTTGGCTCAATATTGCTCAATTGGTTCACCAGACTTGGGCAGATCAGTTCGAATCTAGAAGTTGATTGCCAATATTCATCACGGTCGTACTTTAGCGATGAAGTCAAGGAATTTAGTAGCAAACGACGCAAGTTAACATCGGAAATATCACCGGAAATAAATCTTTTCAATAATTCATTTACAGGTTCAATCAAATAAGTAAAATATGATGTGATGATACCCTTCAAGTTCTCTTGTAATCTATTGAAGAACTTGAAGAATGCTGTTAGTCTTTCCTTTTCAGTAATGGATTCAGAAGAAACACCTTCACCATCAAATGCCCACTTAATCAGTATTACAAATAAAGGCCTGAAAACTTTATCGTTCAACTTCAAAACATAGGTATTAGCAACCGCATAAACAGATGATTCGATTCTACTAATTGTGTTAGTATCAAATTCAGATTGTGATCTAAATTCAAACAAGCAGATTAACAACTTGAAGAACAATGGTGACTGGGATGTAGCAGATTTCTTTTCAATCTTCTCAACAGTACCTTCAAGCAAACTCAAAAATAGGGAAATAGCGGTTGAGTCCCCAGATTCTTTGACTTCTGAATTCCAGACTTTTAGTAAAGTACCCAAGACATTCTTCAAATCTAGTTTCTCAGTGACTAATTGAATGACCGATAACCTTGTTGTGACTTCCACACCACTAGAGAAGAAAATTAATTTCATTAGAGAAATCAAGTCGGAAGTCAAGAAGCTAGGAATGGATTTCACAAGCGCAGTGAATAACAGTAAAATTGAAAGTTGCAATTGAGGTGCCAATTCTTCTTTACTGGCTCTAGTCTCGTTAAATAATTTGATACAAATAGGGACAACTTTTGGATAAAATGAAATGAATTTAACACCCATTACACTGACACAGTTGGTGATGACAGCGATCGATGAGATTTGTAACTCTCTAGGTCCAGTCGAAATAAGACCAGATGCTAAGTTCAAGACCTCAACTAATAAATTATTATCAAAGAAGCTGCCGTATTTGTTAATGAGAGATGACTGCAAATTTAATAACACCTGAGCAACATTGTTTTCTTCTTGAGGTATCTTCTCGTTCAGTGTATGTACCACAGATTGAGTTAATTCATGATCATCAACTGTTTCATTTTCGAACTTGTCAAAGATATTTGACGCAATATGATATCTGATCTCCTTATCAATAGAAGATTCCAAAAGGGGCACAGTGGTTGTTAGGAATACATTAATAGGTAATACGTCCAAAATTGCATGCAGCAAGCCATATAAGGATTGTTTTATTTCCTCCAAAATGTCTCCAATGAAGTGAACTGAGTTTTGCTTCTCAGAGTTTTCATTCGTCTCGAATACAAATATGTCAGGGTAGTCCGCAATCAAAGATAAGATCATCTTTAATACAGAACTGTATGATTCATCAAGGGCCTTTCTTGTAGCATTGCTTACAGTTGGATCCAGAATAATACTGTATAGTCTAATTTTGAAGTTTCTGCTACTATCATAATAATCATCGTTAGTATCAACAATAACTTTTGTCAAAAAGTCATAACTATTGTTGGTCAAGTCACAGAATTCACTCTGTGTTAAATTCAAAATCTTACTTGAGAATAAAGCTTGTGTTTCCAAGGTAACCTTTTTCTCTGGGTTTTTATTTGCCAAAAGTAGTTTTTCGTATAGTTCCAAAAATTTTCTGAATCCTGTAATCTGTTCTTGGACTTCAAACTTGGATAGAAGTAGTTTTGTAAATTCCACCAATGACCTACTTTCACTGATTTTAAAACTCTTAACTGCATTCGAATATTGTTGAGAAATCAAAAGTAATAACGGACCTAAAGAGTTATCAGAACCCAGCGCTTGAACAAGAGTAGTGAATAACCGCAACCTTCTATGCTTTGGGATATGTTGCAGAGCTGTTGCAAAACTCATTACTAAAAACTCTATTTCTTCAGTAATATTTTCCGAGTTGGCAGCCAGGAAAGCAGGAACAACGGTCAAAATCGTTTTTTCCACAACCTGTGTTGTAAACTCATCATCCTGTCTCACACTATGAGCACCCATGAAAGTAAAGATAGGCATTACGGAATGTAAAACTATCTCAGAGCTCAACGTAGCTAACTCCCCAATAACTAAGAGTAACTTATTTTGAACTTGTGGAGAAGAAGATGTTCTAATTGCTGAAACAATGATATCAGCTCTAACATTCTGTAATTGTGTCAATCCTTGATCTTTTAGTGACCTTATGGTATTTAGCATAGCCGATGCTAATAGTTCCTCTGCATAAAGAACTGGTAAACCACCATCTTGATCCAAAGTTTCAAAATCAGCTAACGTAAAAAATAAAGAAGACAATAATTCTTCAGAACCCTTCACCTTCTGTTTGTCCAAAGTTTCTAACATGATTGTAAGTTTTTTCAGGTGATCTTCAGCAATTTGCGAGACTTCAGCCGATTGCAGAGCTGCCTTATTGGTAGAAGAGCGTCTCCTTCTCCTTTTTGGAAATGAAGTCACATCAGACTCAGAATTTATAGAGTTTTCTTTGAAGATACAAACAAACGTATCTGGATCTATTTGCAGAGACTGTAATGTTCCTAATGCGTCGTAAATTTGGTCTTCCTTCGTAACGGATTGCAATATTTCCTGAACAATTCTCAACTGATTGCTCGTCTTAAATGTTGCAAATACTTCAACTAGTCTATCCACTAGAATTTGAATCAAGTCTTCATAATCTGACTGTAAGACATTTATAATGAAATCCAACATGAAATGATGCTTTTCTTTATTAGAGATCAAATTAACCATTGCCGTTTCAAATTGGATCGGATCTGTTTTATTCAGAGCACATCTAAGTAGCAGTTCCTCCCTTCTTTCCAAATAACTCGAGATACTTTCTTCAAATAAGCCAGAATATGATGCTGTGTTTGGGACATATTTACCAAGAAAGTTTAGGATCATATATTGGGGATACGGTAGAGGAATGTCTAATACCTGCTGTGCCCAAAATAACAAAAACACCTTCTCAGCTTGCTTTGGAATGAAAACACCAGATATATCAACGTTCTCCACAACATAATTTTCAATAAAGTTTTTAGTCCACATCTCACTATCCGATGGACTAGGTACCTTGATGTCCTTACCCTCGCCATAAAGTTGGTTACTCATAAAATAGTGCTTAGTAAATGGTCTGTTCCCAATTTGACCTAAAATCTTCTTGACACTAATCTTCAAATTCTTGGAAGACCCAGATTGTGCGACTAATAAGAAAGGTATTAAAGTAAATAAGTTCAACTCCTTATCAATGCTTTGAATATATTTTGAGATGTTATTCATAGCTAGTAAACGTAAAGCAATCGGAGCGGAAGGTGACACAATGACTCTCAATAGGAACGTTAGTCTAGCTTCAAGTGTAGTCATGAATGAAGATAGAAATAGACCAGCTTGATAACCCGTACCAATTGCTTCGATGAACAGACCAAGTATTTTATTAAACTTCTCGTCATCCTCAGATATCATGGACTTATTACTAGTTACTATAAATTCTGAATTCTCCTCTAAAAATTGCTTGAAAGGCTTTGTTTCTTCCTTTTTGTCTGAGGAGGTATTTTTATGAGAATTTAGGGTCTTGAGCAGTTCTAACTCGTTATCATCATTAGTTTTTGAAAACAAAGAAGTTGTTAAACGAATCTCAAACATTTCACCAGTCAAGTTTAATGATGAAAGACAGTTTATAACTAAACTTTCATTTTCTTTGACCAAGAACTCAAACAAGTCAATAAGTTTTGACTTGTCTTCTAAAACCTCAGATAAATGAATTAGATCTATAACAATGCTTCTGAATTCATACTTTTCAAGGGATAATTTTTGAACTAATGGGACAACCATATCAAGTTTAGAGTGGTCGAATCTGATCATCGCCCTGATATAAGACGTCATAAACTTATCGCATTTAATGCTTGGCTCTTCAGTGAGCAGATCTAAAACTCTAACCCAAGTATAATGCTTATCAAATATCTTATAAATATTAGCTGGAAGATGTTCAATTGCTTGTTGACCCTTCAATGTCTGAGAGATCTTTATAACAGCCCAAAATGCCGATTGTTCAGCTTTTTTATCCTTCAGGTTGGCTAATATAGTTTCAATAGCAGCTACTACTATATCCTTTTTCAAAGGTAAAGCAGCTGTAAATACAATAAGGATTGTATGTGCTGCAATTTGACAATCGGTCGAACCAGAAGCCAATAATTTTGCGGCTATTTCAAGGATTATAGGGACTAAAAATTCAAGCTTTTCATCGTTGCTAGAATTGAAGGCAATCAAGTTTATAAAGCAGCATGTAACGAACAATAATTGGTTGGTATAAGTACTCTTATGTTTGATGCATTTTGATAAATAATTAGAGTATAGTTTCAAGAAATCCGTGTCATTGAACATTTTAATTATTGTAATATTTGTAGGATTGCTATCGTTCTTAACAAAATTTGATAGTGGTTGAAATAGGGCCGGTAATTTCACAATATTAAGAATCCTCTTAAAAATTGGACTCTGATAATAGTTTAATGTAGACAACAACAGAATTTCAGTATTGTGAACGTGAATCTGGAAACGACGAACAAGCCATTCAGTTGCATGTAGTGCAGGTGCCAAGTGCCACTTTGAAGATACCATTAACAAATATGCATTAATAGCATTATCTAAATTCTTGTTTTCTTCTTTACTTTGAACATTTCTGTCTATGGTTATGGAAGTTTCGGAAAACAAAGTCTTCGAGAATACTTGAAATCTTGGTTCGATATCACAGAGCTCTTGTAAGGCACCTAGAGCATTTTCAAAAATAGTTTCATAATCCTGAGTTGCAGCGGTTTTTGGATTGTAGATCAAGGAGGCAGAATGTAACTTCTGTCTCTTTTTTCTATCAAATGCAACAGATGCATTGGATGCTGCAACTTGAGCTAACTGATCACTCAGGGAGGACATATTTTCCACTACCAATGCTTATGTTTCCTGTAAAACAAACACTTGATTTGCAGAAATTAAATTATTTATTCCTTTTGATCAGACACTTTTTGATGAAATCACTATCAAGCTAACTATAACTATCCAAGATCAGTACCCTCTGCTTATATATATCAGATTACACATTAAATTGCTAGTTTCAAGGTGAAGCTCATCGCAAGCTCATCGGAAAATTTTTCAAAATTTTCTAAAAACTACCAACCCAGAAAAAGCAGAAGAACAAATGAGCTTCACGTGAAGGAAAAAAGATGGAAAATTGTAAACACAGCATTGTTAAGTATCTGTTATATGCGAGCAAAAAGGAACTCTAATAGCAAAATCAATTTTCAAATACTATACATATGTCAGTGTCCTGTAGCAAATGCAATAAAGAACTTTTCATAATGATTTCAAACTTTTAATTTAATGTATACTACTATTATGTATATATTAGAATTTTCTATAAACTAAATAGCCCTGTTTTCTTCTTACCGAATGGATAAACACATAAGGTTGATGCAAAGAGTCCAACTGAGATACCTATCGAAACTTCAATCATAGTTATACCAAAAGACATAGAGTTGGATAAATCTACAGTTTGCACCGCATTTGTGCCATTTCTACCAACAATTTGGTTTGCACTTTGTAAACCAGACAACAATGAATTTTGAGATGCAATACCGGATGGCACTTGAACAAAGATAGCTGGTAACATTGCAGATACCGCCAACCCCTGCCAGATTCTAGAGTATAAATTACCCAATATACCGATAACAAAAGAAGCCAAAGCAGCTGTAAACTCTGTTGAGTTCTGGAAGTGCTTACCAGACCAATATGTCACCACATAACCAGTACACGAGATAAAAACCATGGCAGGTAATTGTGTCCAGTTTGCTTGATTGATTAATGAAATACCAATGGTGAAAGCAGGCACAAACAGAAAGCGGAACCATGGAGAAATCGGATAACCACAGGAGATTTCATTTGTAGCACCTTTGTACATCCAACCAAATAAAGCAGCACCTAAGGTAATACCGAAACCTAAAAACAAAGAATAAATGATGGCATAGAACATTCTGACCGAACCCGCAACCAGACTTCTACTCTGCAACTCCAATGACCCACATAATATAATGTACCCAGGCAAGATTAGTGCTAAAGAACCTTGCGTAATTGCACCAAAACAAATATTCGAATTTGGAATCGAACCAAAGGCTCTACCACAGAAACTGACAACAATAGAGGCTGTGATTTCAAAGACGTTAGAGTACATCAATGACTTTTCTGACAGAATAAACTGCATCATACCTACACATGAACCCATGAAAAAAGTAATGGCTAGATTTATCCAATGACCACCAAAAGCGTAAGGTGTAACCATTGCGGAACAGAAACCATACAGGAAGACACAAACCCACGGTGGATACAAATTCTTTTCCCTCAATATTCTATCTATTTCAATGTTACCCTCATCAGCTCCCATCTGATCATGAATAACTTTTTTATACACTCCGTGGACTTGGTGTAATTTCCATAAGTTCAAACCTTGCGTACATCTTACTAACTGAACTTCAGATGTTCTTGTTGTAGCATCACCAAAAGAGACAATCATACAACCAGGCAAATAAAGATATTGACCATCGATTTCAAGTACACGAGAAGTCATAATCATGTATTCTTCTAACCTATGGGTAGGTGCACCGTAGAGCATCAAAGCCTTACACATACGCAAGATAAAGCGCTGCCTTTGCAGTAACTCGGCAATATGAACTGTAATTTTTGCTTCTGCCAACATTCTCTTTCTTAGTTTAGGCATCTTACCAGCTACCTTTTTGGCTTTATGTCCAGATTTTTTTAGCCCTTCAGTAGACAGGTCAGCGCTTGATAGCTTATTTTTTTGACTGTAAATATGACCAGCACCTTTCTTACCTTGGTTGTATATATGGCCGGCACCTTTTCTACCATGGCCGTAAATATGCCCAGCAGCCTTTGATCCATGCCCATATATTTGACCTGGTGCATTCATTGCCAACCCAGCTACTTTGCCACCACTTCTCATGAAAACATTTTTGTGATCTTTTGGTTTGTGCTCACTAGGAACTTCAGTTTCACCACTATCTATACTCATCAAATTTGCTGTAGACTCTCCATATGAAGATTGCGAATACATGCTGGATGTTTCTATCGTGGCATTATCTTGCTCTTGGTACAATTTCAGCAAGGAACCTAACACACCACCTCTTACTTGGGTTGGTGGTGCTACATACCCATGTGTATCAACGAAACCATCATTTTCTTCTTCACCATCGCCATCAAAGTCATCAAAATGGTCTATTGCTGGCGCCAAGAAGTTTAGATCTGTGGATGACGCTGTTGTTTCAATATCCGACAAACCTTGTCCATTTAGCGCTTCAATTTGTGCCGGCGTCAAATTTGAATGACCTTGTAATATGTTTTGTGCTTCGGAAGTAAAATCTTCCATGGGTATATCATCTGAATGTCCAGTGACGACGTTGTCATTATCTTCCAAATCAGTCTTCTCTTGATTGGAATTTGCTTTACTTAAACCTGGTGCCAAACCAGCGCCACCATTAGATTTCAGATTTTTAATCATTCTGGAGAACAAATTACCGTCCTCATCATCACTATCCTCGGTTGAGAATTTAACGTTATTTCTCTTACCTTCACTACGGTCTTGTCCACTCGAAGAGGATGAATAAGAAGATGCAGAATCATCTACAGAACTTCTCTTTTTCGACTCAATGGACTCTTTATCAAATCTTACAGACTTGCTGACATCTTTATCACCGGAATCTGCCATCTTTCGATAATATTAGCAGGTCCAATTGTGTTTTCCTTGGGTGTCAGTTTTACCTTTTTGTTAGTACTGCTTTGACGGTTTGGAAATCAAAAAAGATTAACTACAGTTATATATGAATATTCTTTCACACTCACAAGATACTCATATATATATCAATTCAATGAATTAAAATTATGCCATTTACCGTAATATCCCTGCACAAAGAAAAACTTTTTAGCGATTGTTTATATCGGGATCATCTTTAGAAAGTTTTTTCATCGCTCCCTCAATTCGTCATACAAACGCCTATAGTAATAAATTACACATCCGTGATATCACAATTACTTTCTTTTCCTTCTTCCTTCCTGAATGTTGGCTTATTATCCACTCGTTGCTTCGAGCCAGAATGCTAATAAAGCCCAGCGCACCCATGCGACACCCATGCAAAGTTCCTTGGTCGGATCTTCCGAGAAGTATAGAATTACGTCATTTGCATATTTACGGAAACGGAGTAATCTGCACAATCATGGCAACATCGCAAAATTGTTTCTTTTTTTTTCTCTCTTTACAAGCAGATTTTTCCGCTTTATTCCGTACAGCAGCGGAACAATTGCTGTAGCTCTTTGTTAAGGAAACCACTCCTTCTCATTGTTTTTAGAGTTTTTCTCTGCGGTTCTGTTTCTTTACCACGCGTCAGCTGGATCTGTTCATTGCATGGTATCCGTTGTACTGCAGCTCTTTTTCTGTCTCTTGAAAGAAATTGGTATAAGGAGTACCGTTTTTTATTTCTTTTTTTTTGCTTTCTTTTCCCCTGCTTCGTCATTTACTCAACAGGGAAGTTTCGCACAGATCATGGACTGCTTCCAATTGATCTATTGCCATTTAATCTAAGTAGTACTAAGAGAATATCTGAGGGTAGCTTATCCTATCAAGACACGCTCATCAACTACCTAATAAAGAAGGGAACTAAAAATACTTCTGCGACAGTATCTAACAGTTGCACTGGTTATTCTTACAGATCTGGTTGAAGCATAGGTAGGGAAGACCCCCCCACCCCCTCCCATTCCCTTAGTTCAATAAATGACCGTACAAGTAATGCATGGGCAAAAACCCAAATGCATGCTTCAGTTCCATTCTTTCTTTTTTGTTTATCAGTCCCTTTCATTATTCTGCCTTTGAACATGCAATACAATTTCGCCCTTAGGCACATCATTTCTGCGAGCATTTGACTACCCCTCCATCGGATCAAAATAACGTCTACGTTTCGGCCCTTTAACTTGTCTCTACGTCATTTCTATTACTACAATCTTCTATTTTTTTTGAGTCAACGTCTTTCTCGAAGCAAGCTTACATCGATTCGATGCCAACAAATCTATTTTAGGTATTAAGCAATTGAAAATAAGGGGACTTCTTGAACAACAGCTCATCTCACCTTCAACTCTCTGTGTTGTATCATTATAGAGGCGACTAACACAAACTAACCCTAAATTTACATGTTGACTATATAATATTTTCTTGTCAGTCACATTTGTGTTCTATTCCCCCCATCTATATCTTACACGCATGATACACGCCCATACATCTTGTACGCAGGTAACTGGCTGATTGTTTTTGTGTTCCTGTCCTTCAAATACTACTTCTAAATCTAAATACAGAAAAACATACGTATACCCCAAATACAAACCAAAAGTATCAAAAGTATCAAAAGAGAGGAACCCCCTTGATGATTTCATGAACATAATTTGTTTTAGTGTCGCTCATTACACACGACTTCAGATCTGGGCGGTTAATTCATAGGCGTATAAATAGAGTAGCACAAGAAAATGAGTGAGAGGAGACCACAAAGTTATATTGGTTTTGTTCTTGCTCTTTTTGGGGAGAGTACCTAGCAGAAAAAATAGATACTAACAACTTCTGAGCGGTTTTACCGATAATAAGATTGCGAACTGTTGGGCGTTAAGCAAATAAATTGGCCAGCAATAAAGAGGGAACATCTTCCATTACGTTCCAAATCTCTATACATAGAAGAGATTGCATATCATTTCACCGTTTCTGTTACTGCATATCATAAATTTTTACCGACTGCATACTTGTGCTTATTGAAGGCCTTTTTTGAAAAACTGCTAAATACCACCCTTTCAATTGCCAGTTTTTCCGAACCGCTTTAAACTTTCGAGTTTTATTTGAGACCCTTTCTGGATAATCAATCTAAACAGATTATTAAACCGACCAACAGTTTTGCATCAGGAATAGAAGCTACTAATTGTTAATTTGTTGCTTTCCATATTTGTATCTGCCTTAAAGAGCATCACGTAGTCCCCAACAATTATGTTTCAAAATAAAGCGCGCAATTCAGACACCGAGATGAGGAGTGGAAATCAGATGGAGAGTTCTATTGAAGATATCCAAGAGCTTGAGCCACCACCAGATCTAGATTCACCACCATCAACTATTCCACTGAAGTCAATGCATGAAAATTATGAAATTCTGGAAGAACTTGGTAATGGGTCCTTTGGCTCAGTGACATTGGCGAAGTACAAGATTAATGATTGCTTCTCAAAGGACCAGGACCGCAAACGGATGACAATGATGGATCCAAAATATAATAATAGACCAGAAAATATATCCAATTCAAGAAAACAGGGTTTAGTTGCGATTAAGACAATGCTGACAAGACTCCCCACCTTACATGATTACACGAGGGTTCGTGAGGTTAAATTCATTCTTTCAATGACAGCTAATAAACACCTAATCCAAGTATATGAAATATTTGTCGATTCTGAAAAATACCAATTACATATTGCTATGGAGTATATGGAACAAAACCTTTATCAGATGATGAGACGTCGCAAGAAAAGAGTTTTCTCAATACCTTCTCTGAAATCTATACTGGCCCAGGTGCTGGCTGGTTTGAGGCATATCCACGACCAAAACTTCTTTCACAGAGATCTTAAACCAGAAAATATATTGATTACTCCAAGTACTAGATATTTTGATTCCAGTTGGTTGGAGAAAGGTAATTATCCAGATAACTATGTTGTTAAACTTGCCGACTTCGGATTGGCAAGGCACGTTGAAAATAAAAACCCATATACTGCATACGTCTCAACTAGGTGGTACAGATCTCCCGAAATACTTCTCCGAAGTGGATACTATTCCAAACCATTGGACATATGGGCATTTGGTTGTGTAGCTATGGAAGTAACAGTATTCAAGCCTCTCTTTCCAGGTTCAAACGAAATTGATCAAATATGGAAGATTCTTGAAGTGTTAGGAACGCCCCATACCTTGGAAGAGTCAAAAAATTCAAACTATACTCCACATGGTGGACTTTGGGAGCTTTCAAAAGCCTACGCCGCTAAATTAAATCTTAAATTCCCATATGTGGAAGGTAGTTCATTAGAAAAATTACTTTGTAGTAATCAATTAACTGATTTACTTGCTGTTATTAAACTCTGTTTAAAATGGGATCCAAACGAAAGAGCATCGGTGGAACAATTAAGTAGTATGCCATTCTTCACCAATACTGTTGCTGACAACTCCATTTATGAGAAAGAAAATAATACAAATAAGAATACATTAAGAAGCATTGCTGAGCAAGCGTTATTGTTCGCAGGCTTACCTAGTTCCCTAAGTCTGAAGAGCTTAAGAGGAAATATCAAATTGAGGGATACAGAAGAACTTGTTACAGATGAACAACCTAATGACAGAGAGAAAGATACCAATTTTGAAAATGTTCCACTTGATGATAGATCTGAGTCATTGAGCATTCGGCGGGAAGATCGGGTTCCGCTAACTACAAGCACAAACAAAAAAGAGAGCCAATGTTCTGCAAAAGACATATGCAGAGATAGTAGTTTTATGTTGAGGAGTATTAGCCAGTCAAAAAAGAGGAAGAAGCTAGACAACAATAAATTGCAAATTGATTCTAGCGCCAATTCCAACAATAATGAAAGCAATAAGATTATAGGGTGTTCAACATATCGTTTCCCTAATTTTCAAGGTAATTTTGCTTCAAAACAAGATCAAAACATTGAACTAGGAAACTGCAACGGTTCGGAAATAACAAAAACAGATTTCATGAAGTCTGGTCAACTCCATCAATGCAACCGTATTAATGAGGAAATTCAGAATGAACTTTCTAAACCAATTACTTTCGAAGAACAAAATGCCAATAACATTGAAAAAGAGCCCTTTAGTACAGTTCCAGAACGCTGCCCTACGGATTATACAGCTTTTACTTTTAATAATATTACTGGCAATGACTACACATTTGGCTGTCAATTTTTTAAAACAAAAAAAGAGACTGGACGACTCCCACACGAGTCATCCCATTCCGTAAACGAGCTGTTAGATAACATGTCAATTGAAGACCTTCCATTAAAATCCAATCAGATGACAGAACTAGAGCCTAGAACTATCCCAATTAGTTTGGTTGACCAATTTGGAAGTGATAATCTCAATTATAATATATTTGAAAACAACTCAGAGCTCCGTAGCCCAAATACTAATGAAGCAAAAGCGTCAACATACGAGTTCGCATTTAGTAACCCCTGTCATGCTATTGGGAATATTACTTTTTGAAAACTATTGTGTAATATTTTTATATGTCTTATTCAACAATAGGGATTGTATATACCGTGCTAATTAAGCAGTGAGTTTATTATCACTTTGCGGCGTGGTTGCTCTATATTCTTAGTTTCTGTAAGGTTTGTTTCTATACTCCTTGTACGCCAGCTATACCATAAAGTAGTAACGAAGTGGATTGTATTACAACTCTCCTAAGACTACAGATCAACTAGAATAGTTAGAATCCGGTGCAACTAGAAAGGAGCAATTACGCACATCCTTCCATTACTAAGCTATACGACCTAATATATACAATAATTACAATTCCGAGTATTGGTGAGTTGACACAATGAAAAGACAGCAGTTTCTATGTGAAATTGAGAAAAGCTCCATTGAATGATGTAAATTCTCTTCATTCGCTAACATGAAATTAAACCCGAAATAGCTACGGCAGTATAGATCCCAATTCAATCCATGATAGTTATGTTATGAGAGAAATAACTGCGAAGCTGTTGACAGTGAGGATTCAAACGAAAACCAGAAGTGTGTCTTTTATGGTAGTTTGTGCCAGGTTAGTGAAGAAACAAGTTCAGAGTGCATTTCCAGCTAGTTACAATGTTAGTCTTCACCTCTCGAGATCGTTTCTGGTTCAGAAAATAGATACATTTTTTTTTTCTTTTTCCCAGTGCTTGTACATACTAGCTAATTTGAACGAAGTTACTGTTGAGTTTAACTCATTATCGAGAGGGTTTTCATCATTTTTTTCCTATTCTTCTTCCTTTTTACCGTTTTGGCATTATTCAAGGATTTTCCATTTACGAGGAACCAGCTCGTACAGGCTTCGAGACCTAGCGCACCCATTATGCCACATTTCCTGCGTGAATACTTCACTCTTGTCGTACAGATCAAGTACCATTTCTTTTAATAGTTATAGACTTACTTGTCTTTGAACAATGAGTATTACTTCAGTTAGAAAATTTGACATTATTTCTGCAAAAACGAGCAAATCATGGTACGTCTGTTTCTTAACAAAACAAATTTTTGAATGTCTTTTGGTCCTCGAGCCTCTCGTGTTTTTCTAATTGGTGGGCCTATGGGATTTTCCTCAGTGCTTTGTCTATTGTCAATAGAATAGAATTGAATTATAGTGTAGTTATCGGTGTTTTCAAGTTCATTTTCCTTCTGTATTCTTTGCTTAAAATGATCTAAATTGCTCGGGGCTTAATTGCTTTACGGTCGTATCGCTTTGGTGCAACTCAGGATAATTCGGTTTCACTCATACCTAACCCAACGCTTTGTAAAACCAATGCCATATTCTCAATAAATATTACGGCCAGGATTGCCAGGAACACCTTCATTAGATGCAAGAGGAAGCTTATCGTTCAGCAATTTATCTGCTTTGCGGTTTGGCTATTTTATTATCAAGCGTATGTTCGAAAAGCATTTTTTTTTATATATGAAGAAGAATAGTTTTTCAACTTATATATATGTTGCAAAACCTTTTCAGGAGTGGTGCTTATTTTAAAATTCGACTGTTTCTCCAAATATTTTCAACTTTAATAAAAGTTTTCAGGTAGCACCCACTCTAAATTATATATATTAACCAAGATTACATATACCATCGGACTGATACACTTCCCAACTTTGTGAATTACAGAAAAGGTGCAGAAATTTTTTTTTGGTATTAGTTTGAAAACTCCATAAGTGATTCGAGTATTGGCATCATCGTTTATCCTCAATATATTCTTAAAAAGCATAGCCTCCCCAATATTCATTTTGTTTCTCTAATTTATTCATTTAATCCCAATAACTTATAAAGACAAATAGGACTTACCCAATAGTAAATTACTGGTAAGAATTTTCACTACTATTCATATTCTTTGATTAACAGTGCATCAATAGGCTAAAAATAATACATCCAGCAATAGTTTCTAATCAAAGCACCGTACAAGTTCCAAATATCTAAATTGCTTCCTCCCACTAGTTGAAGTATAAGCAAAGTGTTAAAACAAAGTGATAATCAATAATCAGAATCTCAGAGAATGACTAACTCATCACCTGTTAAGGAAAGGATTAGCAATGGTATTCATCATCATTCATCTGATAAGTTCAAAGTTGCAAAGAAAAGAAGAGGAAGTTCAGTGTCAGAGAATGCCAATAGATCAGGAATTGCAGCTGCTGTTGCACTAGCAAAAGCAGCAACTGTACCATTTCCTTTGAAGAGAAATTCGGTTTCCTCATCATCGTCAACTTCACCACCAACAGAATACACCAAGACCATCGCAAATCCAATTACTTTGTCTCCAATAGTTATTAGTGAGTTGATTAAACCGGGAGAAAAGACTATAAAAGCACCTATAAAGGCCCCACCAAATGAGTTTGAAGATAAATATGTCAAATTATTCATTGACTCCCATCATGATGACGACTCTGTGATTACAATACCCGAAGAAAGTAAACTAAAGTTTCTGCCTATCGTACTAAAGCCGTTAGCGAGTAAGGATATACAGGACTTCGGTGTCTTCACCTCTATCCCTTGCTCGAAAAAAGATTATATTCAAGAATATAGTGGTATGATAAGTTTCTCCAAGCAATACGTGAATAACGCTGAGAATAAATACGATATCCTTGGTACTCCAACTAGAAACATTTTGTTCCATCCACATTGGCCACTCTATATAAACACGAGTGGAACTAAAGGTGCTCACAATGTCTTGGAACACTTGAGATGTAGTTGCAACCCCAATGTCGAGCTTGTCACAGTTAGGATAATGGACAACAAACCTAGAATAAAGTTTGTTATTAGAGCAATTAGAGATATTGCAGAAGGAGAAGAATTACAGATTGCATGGCAATGGGATATAAATCATCCAATGTGGCATGTTGTTCAGGAATTACAAGAATTTGATTCACTTAATAACAAGGACAAATGCCGTGTTAGTAGAGCTGCCGAGGCTTTATTGCAAAGTAATCAATGCGCTTGTACAGACTTCAAAAAATGTAAATTGAGAAAAGTACAGCAAGACTCTCGTAATTTCATCAATAACCTCAGTGCATTAATGAAAAAAGAGCTGAAAAATGAGATGGGTGGTTGAATTATCCATAAAAATTGCAAAAAAATCACAAAAATTAACGACTCAAAGAATAGATTTCTAATCTAATTCTTATTATTAATTCCTTTAATCTAATACTATTCTATTCTTAAAGATCAATTTGTTTTTCAATTGATTTTGAACTGCACCATAAACATGTATGCTCATCAATGAGTGGAAAAACAGTGCATAAATAATTTTGATAGACTTTTTTTAAAAATATAAATATTACATTTGTTGTTGAATAATTTGGGTGCCACACATCTTTCAATAAGCTCAACTAATTGCTATTGGCAAGCTTGAGCATTATTGTATCCAATAGAGTATATGCTGTAACACGATATACAAAAAATGTCATTTCATGCTGAAAGATTCCAAAAGTTGAAGATCATGAGAAGACTACATAGTCAAGTGTATTTAATTCGCCTAGCTGTTTGCTCTTTAGTAGACGTTTATCTCATTCTCAGAAGACTACCTAGACTAGGAAAAGTATAATAGAAGTATGGCTCACAGGGCATTAGTTAAGATTGTGATCACTGGTACCAGAGTGCTGGGGCATGCTTTCGCAGAAGCATATAGGCAGGCAGCGGCACAGTCGGCTGCTAAACAAGGTGCGTCTGCTATGGGTCGTAATAAGACTGGAAGAGGTAATGCTGCTGCAGAATATGGCGGGATTACACTGGATGAGAGTTGTAAAATACTAAATTTAGATGCTGCAAAGGATTTAAAACTTGATAAAGTTAATCAAAGATTTGATTACTTATTTAACATCAACGACAAAGAGAAGGGAGGTAGTTTTTACCTACAAAGTAAAATATATAGGGCCTCTGAGCGTCTAAAATGGGAGTTAGCACAACGAGAGAAAGAAGCTGCAGAAGAAAAGCTACCTAAAGCGGAAGATGCCAGTGAAGATACTGGTGAAAAATCGCCTCCATCGTCGTGATTAGAACGTTTAGAATACCCGAATGAATATGAAGCCAAAAGTAGGTACTCTCACTGATCACAGTTTCCATGTTTTTGCATTCCCACGGAAATTGGAGTCAAAATGTACTAATATTAGTTTTTGAAATCTTATCATAATCATGTATATATTGTATATGTAAAAATTTAACATCAAGACCAGAAGAAATGAACTTTTTTGTTGATATTAGACGTTTTACTCTTAAAACATACATGTTTGTACACACAAATATATATATATATATGCACTCCACTATTGTGCACTTTCCAATACTTGCTCAGAGTCTGCATCTTCATCAATGAATTTTGGAACAGTGCCCGCAAGATAAGAAGGAACTTCTGTACCTTCCCCTTCACCAATATCGTTAGCCATCATTGCTGTTAAATCTTCATCAGCGAGAGCTTCCAATTCAGCATCTAATTCACCCTCATCTATGTCTTCAATATCATTTCCAACAAAGTTCGTAGCCAGTACCTGCTGAAGCTCTTCCCCTTGATCTATTAAATCCATCATTTCATCCTGCATGTCCTGTAGCTTATCAATGTCTATCTTACCATATTGAGCTTTTAGTGCCTTATTAGTCGATTTCAGAGCATTAACGGTAACCATAGTATTCTTTAAGTTATCACTAGTCATCTGTGCCTGTGTCATAGACCAAGACTGCGCATCAATAGAGTCCCTCATTTGCTCAAGTTGTTTCCGTTTATTCAACAACTTCAAGGCCTGAGCCCTAAGTGGTCTCTGACCTACACTACTCTTCATACCTTTCATCTTTTTCTGTAACGCCTGTAGTTGGAAATTGATTTGCGCAATTTGTGTGTCGAGTTGAGACAAGCGATGCTGTAAACCTTGTTGTGCCTGGTCCATGGCAGCACCAGATTCCTGCAGCATCTGATCATGGGTTTTCTTGTTGCCATAACCAAATATTCTATTCATCGTGTTCTATCTAATCTTGTGTAAGTTTTAGAAAACAGGTTTTGTAATTTTGCCAATATTTTCTCCCTTTCCTTTACAACTGTCCCTCTGGGTTCAAATAATGCCAGTTTATTTTCTTTATATTGTAACAGACGCAATAAAATGATCTTGATCTGTTACTGACAAATTTTGATATATTTTATGAGATACTAAATGATCCCAAAGCTGTACGTCGTATCCATCGTTCACTGCTTTAAGAAGATCAAACTCATCGAAGCTTTTTCAATTTCATGTCGAAAGTGATTCGCATAACGATAAGGCAAAAAGGGTAAAGATAGAATTGTCACGTGACAAGGTAATCAGGAGTATCTACTTTCAGCTTCTATTGTAAACATGTAGCTGTATTGCTACCCGTTCTTATTCTGGAAGTTCTAGTTCAAAAGTGGCATGGCTTGTGGTTCCAATCAGTATCTTTGCTGTTTTATCTGGCTCAGTGATAATATTAAACGTCGAAAAACTAGGAGCTGTTTCTTGGTTCTCCCTTTGCAATAGTGAAGAAGCCAAGATTCGCGTTGAAATTTGATGCTCCAACCCTTTATTGTTGTATGTGATCGAGTACAGTTTAAGTTCTGTCCAAGTCAATATACATACCATTAAACCTTTTGCAGTGAGTAGCCAATCAGCTTGCAGCACTGGTAATTGCTCATTAATAATTGTTAGCAACTGGCTGCTTAATGTGTCCCAAATACACGCTGAGTTATCCATAGAGGATGATAATAATAGAATCGATGGCATAAACTTGTTAGATATTGTAATGTCTAAAAATTTTAGCGAGGTAACATCTGAGGTATGAAAAATGCTCCTAAGCCTGCTCTGTTGGGACATTTCCGGTAGAAAACCGTGATTGTCCATACTAATCGATATTTTCTTGTCCTTAATTGAATCAAGCATTATTTTATATATGCCACCATCTTCAGTACCTACAAAAACCTGGTTATTGTTTTCCGGGGATATACTTAGAGATGTTACGCCAATCTCTTCAAACATTGATACCCTGTAAAGTTTTTCGACAAATAATCTTGTTGGAGACCATAATTCTCTTTCATCGATATCAGTTATATCATCATCACTAAACTTATTATAGCGTTCCAACACCAAGGCCCTTTTTGGTGGTACAATTTTAATTGAGCCCACCACTGAACAGCCTGAATCTACCTTATCATAAATCTGTAGCGATGTAGAGCTTATCATATTTAGAATACCGTTAGCGCTTGCAGTTAAAAATCTCTCATCTCCTGAACTAACATTCTGGAATTCATCAATAGCATAAATTGGGGAATAGTGATAATTTTTTAGCGCAATTGAGTGCTGCAACTCACCTGTATGTGAATCTGTCTTGAATTCGCAAATAATTGTCTTACCGATATTGGAGGTTAAAAGTATAGTTAAAATCTTCGATTTCAAAGATTTGTTAACAAATTGTCCCCTGATGATTTTTTGACCTTCAAATTTCACTCTTTGTATTTTGTCTTCCAATCGATTGATGTCAATCAAAATTAGCCAGCTATTTAACATCAACTGTATATCGTTTTTATCCACTACTTCTTGTTGAAACACAAAGATGACTTTCCCATCAAAATAGTCTGTTGAGACGCATACCAACTTACCACCTGTACTGACAATCAACTCATCAAATATCCATCTTGTTAAAATTTTGTAACCTGACTGCCCCAAATCGAACTTTATATCATCCTCATCTTTAGAGTGTTCAAATCGCGATAGTAATATTGGTTGACCAACTGTTACAAATTGTTCACTGACTACAAGGATATCATCATCGTTTCCCTTTAATGGCCTTGCATCGAATCCTTCATCGATCATCTCAACAGCCATAGTTTGTACACCAACATCTTCTGTAACCAGGCTATTTGTAGTCATTTTAAAAGATTGTTTGTTCTCATCTATTATAGGTTCGATTTGTGCAGTAGTTTCATCGTCTCCTTTGGATTCAAAAGTAATTGGCTCTGTTTCAGTTGCGCCATTCAACAAAACTTGTTTCCTACGTCGTAGCTCTTCCAAGTACGTCCATTTTTCCTTGACACTTTCAGACATCCAACAGTTATTATTTCACAGCTCCATCTATTTATTTATAAATTAATATAAATTCATTTAGCGGAGTATGTATTGCTCATTAATTGAATATCTTTAAATATTTACCTGTTCTGACTTCCAAATTTGTCAAAAAGTCATCGCGATGATCTATAAAACTGAAAAATTCACTTTTCATTTAATATGAAATTGGTGTTGGTTTTGATACTGTCAAGACTACATTGGGTTAAGTGTTTTAAACTTGCATCAACAGTCCTGTACCATCCATTTGAGATTATACTGGTAGATATCTAAGAAGCGTTTTGATTTCAGGCAGCCGATAATAGCAATAATTTCTAACATACTAAGAAATGGATATAGATATTGATGATATTTTGGCGGAACTAGACCGTGACACTACAGCAGTTGCCTCGAGCAGTGGACAACATGGGTTTTTGGATGCGAATAGTAGTATGCAACATGTTACACAGACTACGGCTTTTGATTCATCATTGCCTCATGCCAATAATTTACAGAAGGACTATTCACCTGTCACGCCGGAGCAAGATTACCTACAACTGTTGAAGCACTGGAGAAATGAAAGGTGTGCTCCTGAATTACTGCCTTTACCAAAACTACTAGTATCTAGGATGTTGAAAAGAATACAGGATCAAATGGAACACATCGAGAACATTTCCATGGGTTTTCTAGAGCATGAGATACTGGAGAAAGATGGAGAAGAAGCAATTGGTCAAAACGAATATCAAAATAATGCTCTAAATAATGGCAAACTTCCGTTGCTATGTATGGAAGCAGAATTAGAGCGTGTCAAGTTTGTCATGAGAAGTTATCTACGATGTCGTCTGAATAAAATTGACAAATATAGCTTATATCTACGTCAGTTAGGTGATCAAGGTATAAATCTCATATCTTTGGATGAATTAATGTCTGAGCAAGAATTAAAATATCACGCCAAGCACTCAGTTATTCTTTTGAAGTTACTTAATAACTCAATTTTGAGGCATATGCCCCCAGAGTTACAAGCCATAAATGACACAGAGGGTAGCGTAAGCATGATAGAAGAACCAAATTGGAAAAAATTTGTTTTTATATACGTTAATGGTCCAGCCAATGTAGCCGATGATCCTCAGTTGCAACAGAGCGAGGATGGCAAGTACTATTATAACATTACTATCCCCGAGTTTGACGAGATTGTAGAACTAACAACTGGCAGTATATATGTGATGAGATATGATATTGTTAAGGACTTGCTGAGAGACGGTAAGGTAGAACTAATATGAGCACATTAATGTGTGATTCATGGTTGTAAAATTAAATAGTTTATAGACTCTACCATCTTGAGATAATGTACAGGATGTTAAAATGCATTAATAGAATAATTATGTAGAAACTTTGACGACTATATATATTTACTATATATTATAGCTTTCATTTTAAATTAACAGCGTGATGCTGTTATTATCTTTGTCTCAGGAAACTCTCATTTTTAGAATTAAACTTTTGTTGAAAGGTTTCATTTCGGGTTCTATCCCCAGATCTCCTCATCCTTTGCGAAAGACCTAATCCTACCATATGTGTTTGGGGTTCCTTATTGCTGGGTAAACCATTTACTAAATTTCTTGAATTAGGCACAGGTAAAACTGATTTCTTGGAACTTGCTTTTGCATTTACAAACGAGTTAAATATTCTGTTGTTGTTCTTGTCTGTATTATTTTGGGCTTTCCTGTTATGGTAAGTTGACGTGGGACGGTGGTACTTCTCCCTAGATAAAATTGGGTTAGCTAGTCTTGCCGCTTGTACAGCGTCAAAAACAGCAGAATTTTTACCAATATTAGCCCCCTTAGGACTTTCCGGGATACTTGGTGGAGGTGCGCTGTCTGGATTGAGCTTAATTGAACGTTTTATTGCTGATAAAACGATCAGTACATCATTCTTACTGCATCTCAAAATAAAGGTCTTAAAAGGGTTCACAATAGATATAATCCCAACCTCATTCATGCATATACTAGTCCCAGAACAAAATAAGTTAATGCTAAAGATTCGTTTAAAGTTCAATTTATCACAGGTTTCCATAATCATGAGTGCTCTACCAAAAGTGGTAACTACGAATGCACATGGAGAGAAATAAAGACCAGCTGCTGTTTCGTCTCCAACAGATTTCATAGATATTACCTCTTCTGATATATCTAATTCTTTAATACCTGAGACTGTTTTAAAAGGTATATCGGATTTGTAGTAATAGTCCTCCTCCTTGTGAGGATAATTTTCCCTAGTTGATTTGAAAACAGTATCTTGTTTAGTAATCGTGGCATTTCTGAACGACTCATTAAGAATACAATTGTATAAATTTTGTTTTTTGTCTTCAAAAATATTTGTATCGACAACAATAATATCGCCAATAATGTTATTGAGAACATGTTCCTTTTGAATATCCATGAAATCAGTCAGTAAGATCTTTGAAAACCTTCTTTTGATCATGTTACGGTCAGTTGGAGTATCGCTATCACTATTGTACGGTGAACTTTCGGCCTTATCGAACTTATATATCCTCTCTGGTAGATCAGGCGCACCTGAATTCCTCGATTTCTCATAATTATTCTTGGGTGTATAACTATCTGCACTATAGGGACGAGGTGAATCTATATTCTTTTTCATAGGAATTTCCTTTGTAATTACATGCAATTCATGAGCTTTGGAGTTACCGCTTGATTTTTTCTTGGCGTAGATTTTTGAGTGTAGATCAATTTTCTGTGACTGTGATCTTGATAATTTTGTTGTATTTGAAGTAGTAAGTTTGGTTTCTTTGTTATTGTCTGCACCTTCTTGCTTCTTTGTTTGGGTATCTTTAATGAAGTTGGACCCCTTGGAAGACAATGCCAATCCTTGTGCAGAAGATTTGAAATTTTGTGATGGTATCGCAATATCAATGTTTCTATCCATATTCCTAGGTTGTGATACAGTAGGAGAATTAGGTGCAGATTTAGTATCCAAGTTCGGTGAGCTGATGCTGTTAGGCAAATTTGTACGTTTTCTAATATATTTGATATTTTTCCCTACAATGATATGCTTATCATCCTTGCTTTTCTGAAATGGAGACTGGGGAATAGGAGGTGAAAATGGTTGCATAGATTTCGCATTTATCCTGTAGGGAAGTATTTTTGGTGGATCTCTATTCCATACAGAATTATCTGAGAAATTTATGTTCTCGAATAAGCAATGCTCCTTGATCTGAGGGATTGTTAGACGTTTTTCTGGTTGTTTGACCAAAATATTTTTTACTAAATCTCTGATGATTGTGGGGAATCCAGCAGTGAATGCAAATTGAACTTTCATTACTTTCTGAAATGTTAAATATTCATTTGTGGCTTTAAAAGGGGGTTTACCAGCAATCATTTGGTAAACCAAACAACCAAATGCCCATATGTCACATTTATAGTCTGTGTAATTATCTGACAATAATTCTGGAGACACATACTCAGCAGTACCCACAAAGGAGGAGGAACGGGTGAGTAAATTATAATGCGGTTTACCGTTCTTGTCGCTCTTCTTTTGTAACAACTTGGCAGTACCAAAATCAGTCAGCTTTATTTTCATGTTCCCATCGAGAAGAATATTTTCCGGCTTAATGTCCCTGTGTATAATGCCATGAGAGTGCATGCTTCCAATCGCATCTATTATCTGTGCTGAGTAGTATATGGTACATTCCTCATTTAGAGTACCAAATTTCTTAATCAAAGAAAGGAAATCTCCATTGGGGGCGTATTCAAGCAAGAAATACAAATTGGCCTCGTCTTGGAATGTAAATGATAAATTAATCACGCCAGTGACAGATTTGAGATTTTGTAGAGCAGTCTTTTCGATGTTAACATATTTCACTTTTTTTTGTTTGATCAGGTATTCTTTGTTTAGTACCTTAACCGCATAAGTTTTTGATGAGTCGGTTTTCGAAGTTGCTAAGAACACTTGCGAGTACGATCCATCGCCGAGCATATCGCCGAATTTGAAGTCCTTGATACCCTTCCGTATTATAGTTTGCCTTCTAAATATCTCTGCATCTTTGATGTCCGCATCCGTGGCAGTCATAACATCAGTCTGTACTTCCTTGTCAGCATTAATATCTTCGTCGTTCTCACTCACAGGTGGGATGAAATGAGAAGTATCGGTGAGGGCCTTCTCTAAGGTGGAGACCCTGTGAAGACTAACCAAATCAGGCATCGTCACTGAGTTACTACGAACAGAAGAAATCACCGTCGTATGAGAATGAGTCCTATGAGAGGACAACTTAGCGGTAAGCTCAACTTCATCAGATGGAAGTAGCGGCCTCACTCCGGGCTTGCTATCGTGACCCTTCCCCATACCAAGATATTCTCTTACTCGTCACTTTACCGCTTCTTCTCAAGATAACACTACCAATGTACTATCTAATAGAGTTTTATAACTATCTTCCACTGTATGGGACATCTCGGGAAAAGAACTATAGGAATTCCCCATCCCTGGTTTGCCAGAATCGTCATGCCTTCTATGATTTTTTTTTGTTTGTTTGTTGGTCCCACTGTGAGCCTGCAGAAGAATATTCAAAAGTGCAGTACAAGAGATAGGATGGGAAAATCACTTCTGTTCTCTGCTTCTCGCACTCTCACCTAGAAAGCATCGCACAATAACGCAGAGAATTTCCTCCTTTTTATGGCCGGGATTTTTGCAAAAACGTAAATCATGTTTGGCTCGAGAAAAAATTATTTTTTTGGAAAAACGAAAATGGAAGAGTCACGTGCATTCAAGTCAACCCAATATATGGCTATATCAGAGAGGCAGGTCGGATAGGAGTCTACAGTGCGTGGTCCTTCTTGACTTTCGATGACTACAATATCGTTTACGTTGTTGATGGTTTCTGTATGAGTGTTTATGTTTTCCATATATATTAGATATAACTGTCTGGAGTGAATTATATGCATAGAGTCCTACTTCAGGTTTGGTCGTTGCCTGCTCACATTTGCTACTATTTGCCGAGTAGTTTAAGTAAGAGCCCCCAAGATCATGAACAGGGTCAAGATTAGGATTCCTTAAGAGGTTGCATAAAAAAAAACTACCTGTGTGCCTTTGGTGTTATAATGAGTTAGAGTACTAAAGGGTTTGCTCATTCCCAAGAGCAAATGGTGGGAAGAAGAAAAATGGAGACAGCAAAATGGGCAGTAATCCTTTTCCGGAGTTAGTAGTCTTCTGCCACGCGATGAGCTCAACCGTCAAAATTTCACTCAACAGGTGAAGTGACAAAACAAATAACCTCTTGCAAAAAAAAAAAAAAAATATAAAGATAAGAAACTCTTGAGTCAGTAATGTGTTCGATACTTTTATCATCTACTTTTGCTGTGTTTGAAATCAACTTTGGCTTTAATTCTCTTTTTTTTCAGCTTCATCTAAGCGGTACGTACAAACAACTAAGAAGTGATGAGTGCAACTACTACTTTACGTAAGCGTGCTTCCAAGAGTGTTGGTGAGTCTGGTGGCCGGAATGATGGATCCATACATGCGCATGGTGAAGAGAAATCTGAGAAGCTTTTATGGCATTTCAATGAGCTCCCTGAATGGCAAAAGGACAACGATAAGATTTTGCGTGGGTACGTGCGTGAAACAAACTCCTTTAAAAGATGTTTGCAATCACTACTATACTTGAACAACGAGTCTGTGAACATATATACACACTTGATTCCAGCAGTATTTTATATATCGCTGTCGTTATATCTGGCAAATGTGTTTCTTATCCCAGTCTATCCATCAACTTCTAGTGTTGACTACGTTATAATTAACGTGTTTTTCCTGGGTGCCTTCTTCTGTCTGCTCTGCAGCAGCTGCTTCCATTGTATGAAACAACATTCTGAGTCACAGTGTAATGTCTGGAGTAAGCTCGACTATTTGGGAATTATCTGTTTGATCTCGTGTTCCACAGTTCCAATGATATATTACGGTTATTTCGACCACATTTCAGAATTCACAATCTTCACAGGTATAACTCTATTGTTGGCTATAGGCTGCTCTGTATTTGTCTTGACGGATAAGTTCAATACTACTGAGTATAGACCTATCCGTGCCTCATTTTTCACCTTATTTGGTTTTAGTGGAATTATCCCACTAGGAGCAGGATTCCTAAAATTTGGCGCAGAAGGTGTACTACAACGTATCAGTTTGCCATTTATAGGTTTAGAAGCCTTGTTCTATATATCAGGAGCAATTATATACGGATTCAGATTCCCAGAAACAATAGCTCCTGGCAAATTTGACTTCTTCGGTAGCTCGCATCAAATATTTCACATCATGGTGGTTTTGGGTTCAATTTGCCATCTGTTTGCAATGGTTGAATCTTACCATTTGATTCACTCAAACTTTCTGAGACCCGTGTAAACATCAGGCTGTCATCTGATTTTTTACTTCTATCATGGAAGGGTGGACTTTCACAAGCTTTTTACATGCATTGAGACACTCTTTTACTATGCATTCATTTGTTGTTTTACTTTAGGATATAGAACTGTAGTTTCGTCGCACCAGTTCATTTTTATTTTATTATACCTTTTTTTCTTATTATCTGATTTAAGATACTCACCAATGTGTTTTCACTACTTTTACTAGTCTGAACTATCGCATATGTCGATGTGGCAATGCATAATTTGCATCTCATTTTTAAATAGAACACTTCTCATTATTTAATAGTACTTTTAACAAAACATTTCCCATTTCATGTAATTCCCAGCTGTTTCTTTCATCTCAATCTAAAGCCGAGAAGACACTTTTCTGGCAAATTTCATAAAAAAAGAGTTAGCACTGATGTCGATGAAGGTCATAAGTGCAAGCACCATATAAATATAGAGGCATCTACCGTCAGCCACAAGTAGATAAACAATATTCATTAAATAATATAAGTTATGATACCAGAAGCTCTTAGGAAGCAGGCTCTAATAGCTTACAAACATGGGTTGAGAGCGACACGAGTGGCCTTTGATGGGGATAACCGGGTGTTGCTTGCTGCTAGGGCAGAGATGAGGAAAGGCATGGAGAATCCTGATAGTTCCAAGACTACACAGGAGCAGATACAGCATTTAGAAGAAGTGGCTACATTTCTAAAGAGAAATCTAGTTCAGGGCCAAAAAATTGAAGGAGAGGAAAAATATCATTTGAAAATCCATAAGGATATAGAGTTAGGAGACAACGAATCCATTAAACAGCCAACAAAGTTTAAAGCAAGGCCATTTAAGAAGTGTAGTGACAACTGAAAATAATAAAGTTTTAGCACTATAGAAGCACTATAGAGGGTCAACTCGCACATTATTGAAGTCAGTGGAATTCTTTTTTGTATCATAATGTAATTGGAGATCCTAGAAAACTGGGGTAGCTACCGGTGATACACTACATTGGTAAAAGATTGTGGCACTGTAACTTAAGTCGAAAAGCAACATGTAAATAAAGTATATTTGGACTTTCAGAAATATGTATATATTGATAACAGTATACTGCTGTTAAGAGCATTTACAAGTCAACAAACATATATTGTCACGATTTGTGAACGTTAAAGCAGGATTTAAGTAAATTAAACTGTAACTATTTGGTTTATTTTGAACCGAGTAGAGTCTATAATACATCTCAGAATATTCTAATAATTACATCACGTGATTGATATTCCTAACCCGAACGCATTTTACTCCCGATAACGTCGACGAAGCAATACAATGATAATACAAAGTTAGGCTAATCTTTCAGATTCATTTTTAACCTTTAAAGGTTTCAAGAAACAGTTGTAGATAAGTGTTTTAGTTTTGTACTGAAGAGAAGCAGCTACAAGATAATTGGTATAAGGAAACCAAAAGTGTAAGCATTGACTATGTGGGGTTTAAAGAGTATATCCACCGTGGGAGTAAGGACTTACAGCAGTCAAGTCACACATGATTTTTTGAACAGTATCTTAGCCAGAGCTCAGGAAGCTACAGCTAAGAACAAAGAAGTTGTACAGGCCAACCATGCAAGAGCTCCTCTTAGGAACAGAACTAGGCAACAGGATGGCGGTCAACAAAGACCAGCAAACAAAATAAGGCAAAGAAATGGTAAGGTGCAAGCAAAATTTCAGGTTAGAGACGAAAACAGCAATAGAGCTATTCCTGACTTAAAAACTAAACAACCGCAATTCAAAAGAGCTCAACGCAATAACAGGGATGGACAAGCGGACGTACTTGACGTCATGGATGCTGGCACAGGTAAGACAAACAGAGCAAGTATGTCGGCAAAAAGATCCAACAAGTTTACAAAAAGAGGCAAGGGGTCGCATGTTATTGAAGCAGTAAGTCTGTCAAAGAAACCGACTTCTGCAAGGGAGATTGCACTTAAGAAGTCTGTCGATAGTGTCTCGTATGAGCCTGTAGAACCTACACCGCTGTCTTTGTTGGCGTACTCAACTCCAATTTTTAACACTCATAAGAGCAACATTCTGCAAATTTCCATGCAGACTATCAAAAATGCTGCTTCTCCAAAAAACACGCCATCAGGCTTTGATGCTATCCACTCTGGTATAATGAATAAAGAAAGGCTGCTAAATAGCTCACAGTTGGATGTTGATGTCGATAGATTGAAACAGATTGCTAGAGGTCAATATTTTAGTCTTCCAGTGTTACAAAATAAAGCTTTCGACTCTTTGACAAAGTCAGAGGATAAGAAGAAGCAACTAGTTGAGAATAGTAACGTAGTCAGGAGGTCCTTGGATTCCTTAGATATTGAACCTGAGAAAAAAGAAATTTTGTATGCCGTCTGCTCTGGGACTCAACCAGTATCTGAAGTATCACAACTTTCACAATAATTTGAATATTCAATTCTCGTCCTAACTTAACCAATATTGTAAATATTTAGGATGAGAGTGTTGTTATGACTAACAATAAGTCAGTTCATGTTTATATATATATATATTATTTTTATCAGTAAATATTCACAGATGATTAAGATTTTCTTTCAATATAATTGACCTTAAAAGAAACTACAAATCACGTTTTTACGTTCATTTATCTAGAATTGTGTTTAGTACCTTGCTGTAGAGTTTTGTGTCAGCTTTCAAGAGCGACTTCTTAATCTCAAATTCGGTTATACACATTTCACCCTTCGTAAGGATACTATGTAAAACCTCATGAATAATGTTAAGTGGCAACTCAGATGGTAGTACATCAAGTACTTTATTTTTTAGATCCCTATTGTGAAGATAAACCTTTTGATTTCGCTTTAAAAATGTCGTCACAATTAGCATTTTATCGTATCGGTCGTTAATCATAAGATATTTGTTTAATATGTCAATGAAGTTTTTCTCGTTTGTATATTCCTCAATTTGAAGGAAGTCGTTATAATCGATTATAAGTTCGTGAAGCTCATTGTTTAACCAATATTTTGATAGCATATCTGGAATATCGAAAAACAGATAGAATAATAATATATTTGTGTTAGTATCATTAAAGGTTTTTACCTGATCAAAATATTCTTTCTCAAGTAAAGTGTTTCTTGTAGTAAGGCGGCTACATTGAGTCTTCCAAACTCTAAACTTTTGGAATGTGCTTTCATTGTCTACTCTGGTAGTAAGAAACTCGTGGAGTGGTTTTTTGAAGTAGTTGTATGTGTTTTTATAGTTATCAGATTGCTCTAGTAAAAATGTTGATAAATTGTTGTCCTCAAATTCCTCTTTCATATTGGCTATATAATAATCCAGCAAGAAGTTTTCATCTTTTGTATTTTTTGTCCCTATCACTTCAAGAACCTTAACTTTTAGATGGGTGTTATTCTGAATTTTACCCAGAAACAAAGAGCTGTCTATGGACGCCCTATTTAAAATTTTGAAAATATCAGAAATCAGTTTACTGTTCACATCCTTAGTTTCACTAAGAACAAAGTAAATTATATCGATTAGTTCAGTCTCTAAAAACTCTTTGGACAGTTTTTCCACATTTTTATCGAGGTAACTCATTAATTCCGAGAAGTTTCTTTCGGATTTTAGTACATGTAAAACGCTGACATGATCTTTCATTTTAGTATAGATTCGAATAAGCATTTCATTGTGATCATTAGGCTCGGATTCTTTCTGTATTATATGTATCAGCTCTGGCAGATAAGCGTCCTCGAATTCATCTAAATTGATATGTTTGCCTTCTGCTAATAAAATCCTAAATATAGCAATAGTAAGAGATTTCATTGTACTTTTATACTCTCTAGGTAATTTATCCCTTGTACAATATTTGTCTTTCAGAATCTTCTGGAAATATTGAAGATCATCCAGTTGTGATGATTTGTTACATTTATTTTTTAAAGGCAGCGTTTTTAAATGCTTCATCATTCTGTTTAAGCCATTAAATATCCAAATTTCACCGAATATTTCATAATCTAAGAGAAACAGCAGTTGGCGAACATCTACTCTATCACTATTGTCCACCCATTTCTGTATCGTATGTTTGTTGATGATGTTTGTATCAAATAAGTCCCATAACAGCACTAAGTTACTTAAGTACTTCATTTCAACTTTTTGGAGTTTAGAGATTTTTAAGTCAGAATTCTTTCTATGTTCAATATATTCTTGAATTCTTTTGACTTCATCATTGCCATACTTATTAATTGAGCAAAGAAACGGTTTTGTAAAGAGGCAGTATATTTTTGCGTTATACCACATAATTATTGAACTTGTTGGTTCAATCATATTTTCTGCAAGTGCTTTCTCTCTATCAACACCGAAAGAGTTGTCATCATGTGATAATGGTACTTTTCGAATTTTTTCCACTAGTTCAGCTACCATTTTATTATTTTGATATGAAACTTTAAATCTCATCCTGACTCTTGTGAGAAGTGTGTTACCATCATTATTTGTTATCCTTTGTACCAACTCTGGCTCTTCATCAATTTTTAATCTATATATTAACAGCTGTCCATCATGAAAGAGGGCTAGGATATAAGGATAATGTATTACCACGTTTTGGGGATAATGTTCGAACACCAACGTTGCTTTAACTATCTCACCAACATGATCCACAACTAGGCCCATGGCGTTGTCGTCTTTGCTGTTCCCACCAGAGGATAATATAAACATTTTACTATTAAAATCTTCCATCAAAGGATTAATCGATCCATTACCAGTCTCAGAAACACGAAATAAAGGAATTGAATTACGGTCTTCTAGATTATAAAGCTCATACTCGTAATCCCTAACTAGTAGCAGTATATTGTCATGAGCTTTTATATATTGAACGTTCTTGTAGTCTATCAATATCTTACCAGCAGATATTGCATTAGAGCCATATTTGAAAACCATAATATTTTTGTCAGATGCAACTAATGTTCTATAAGTGTTCGTACTTCTCGAATATGAATGTATATCGAAATCATTGACATCGTTAATTGATTTGACATTTGGACAAGGCGCAAATTCAGGTAGTAAAAACATGGCTAGCCTGGTCCCGCATAAGATAAGTGCCCTGTCAATATTTGGAAGTAGTTTTATTTTTTTAATTGAAGATGTCGAATTATTTTCAAACGGCATTCTGGATACCAATAGATATTCTCCGCCTTCTATTTCGTAGTAGTGCAAAAGTTCACCTTCAGACGTTCCCAAATATATGTGGTTCTCATCAGCATCCATACATGTTATGGTTATGTCCTTCGGGAGGTCGTCGACTAATATATTTGACATGAAGGGATCCAACATGGATATAACGTCGTTGTAATCTGTTTGTGGCGGTGGGTTATTATTCTGGGGATCATCTTCAAGATGTCCACTCGATTGATGATCAGTATTATCTTCATCAGTAATTGATGCAGTAGGTGAACTGTCTGTCGGATCATCTGCTAAATTTTCCCTGCTATCATTTGGATCTTTAGTCATCACGCAGTTCCGTATTTGAGCGTTAGGAGATCAGGTTGAGTCACTGTAAAAATCCTAATTATCCAATTGAAATTGTTGAAAGTATCTATATTGTGATATTCGCAAGCAAATGTCAGCCACTGCAGTTCAATACTATTGATAATTCTCAAGTTTGCATTTATACGCCGATCGAAGAGCATTTATTATATTTCGGCTATCGGTATCAAATTCTGTGGCCATACATTTGTTCCATGCAAAACTATTTACCCGGTCAGGAAAATGGCAAATGCTACAGCAAATAAAACTAGATGTATAATATATTAATGTAAATGAAACACTAGCAGTTATAATAAATAGTCCGTGTCATTTATGCAAATTTATTGTATATACACAATATTTTGATTTTTTAATTCGACTAGATCAAAATGGTATATAAATAACGTGTAATCATGTAATTCCATTCGGGGGAAGAGGGGGGGGGGGGTTATTTTATAGTGGGCGATTGTCAACTTTATGGCATCTGTCCTAAGAGTGCGAAGAATTTGTACTACTAATTGAAGGTGGGGGAGGTCTTTTGAATGAGTTCTTCTTTGTTACTGTTGAAGAAGCATTAAAAGGAGGAGACTCCATAGGAGGTGGTCTTCTTTGTATTGATCCAGAACTATTTCTCTTAACTGAAAGGCTTCTTGATGTGGTTTTCTGTGAGGATGACACTGACAGGCTAGACACAGAAGAATTCACATCATCATCAATTGACAAATGATTTATATTATCTAAATTCTCAAACTCCTTATGCAATCCCTCCTTGATAACTTGTCTCTTTAATGAGTCCACGGTCAGTACTTTCACCCTATAGGCACCATATATCGGCTTGTGATCGCTATAAAGGAGATCGACATCGGAGTAGGATAATACTTGTATATTGCTACCTTTGTATAATATTCTATCAGTCCAAGAAGGTGTTCGTTCCTTATCTGAGGTATCATATAATTCGGTACCAATATCATATTTGTAGGTCGGATTAAACCTGATTTCAGGCTCTTTATAGCCATGAAATACTGTCCCCGAGCATATTTCCTGAGTTAGCTGATCATGCATTAGTAAATTTTCTAAATAGCCATCCTTCTTCTGGATAAGTTCATCTCTGACATTTTCATTTGGCATAGTAACCCTGTAGTTCATGTCACCAAACCAAAAGATATTGTCATGGTCATCCAAAGTCTTACCAACAGAAAATTTCAGTCCATCCTTTATTGATACATAATCATTTTTCCGGTCATCCACATTAGATTCACCGGCCGCTAAATGGCAATTAACAAAGCAAAAGCTCGATTCGCCAACCTTTAAACTACATGCAGCAGCTCCTTTATTGGCGGCTATTCCTCCAAATCCGGTTCTTTTATAAGTTCCTTCCACATTTTTTACTAAGTCTATCATTCCTTTTTTAGCAAACACCAATAAAGTGAGAGATGTCATATGTTCTATTCTTAGTAATAGATAACTATCACCATAAAATCCTAGATAGGTCCGAATAGTTTCCTCCCACATACCACCTTTAGATTCATCAGCATTCAATATAGATCTTGCTGACATTTCGACTACCTCTTGCAGTCCTATAACAACAATATCTGCTTTGAATTTCTCTTCTATTGGGAATAGCCATTTAGTTAAGTCATCGTCTATAACTTTGCCAGATGCATTATAAGATCCGACGAATATGCTAACCTGTCTATAACTAGAATATTCTGAAATTCGTTGTCTCAAACCATTATTAACAAACTCTGTCAGCAGATCAAAAATTTCAACAGGATATTGGTCATCCTTTCTTCCCAAAAGCAAATCAGTTGTGTCGAGTTCTATTTCTTCAGTAAATACTTTGAAGTATTTTCTATTCACAGAATTTTTGACACTAGAGAATCTACTGGACAACGATAATTTGCTTTTCTTTTGAACAATGTTGTTATCATTAGTATTTCCTGTGTGTATTTTAGCAAGTTCAAGGCCATTATCTTCCCAAATTTTATTGTGAGTCAAAAAAAACTCCTTATCTTCAATGTAGTCACTGCATTTTATAATTTGAGAATCTTCAAGAAATGTCCTAAATGCTGTCATAGAAATTATTTGCTGAGCTAAATTCGTTCTTCCAAGGCAATCTAGGCAATTTGTTCTGAATATCCCTTGCTGTTCTGAGAGGGTTCTATGTTTTGATATATAATAAGAATAATATCCATCTTGCTCAACGAATTTTAAAACCATGGGGATGAGACGTTTTGTAGCTATAATACCATCTTGAATGTATTCTCTCTTTAAGTCGAAGTCAATTATTTCGCAGCTCTCCGGATACAGGGACAAAAGCTCATGAAATTTTTCATTTAGCTCTGATTCATCTGATTTAGTTGATAATAGGTTGACTATTCTCATATGACCGTAAGTGTTAAGGAGTGCAGTCATATGGCGCTCAAAAACAGGTTTAGTAGCCTCTAAAGCCCTAGTTATATGAATCTTAGGATTAGTAGAGTACTCTTTCTGTTCCCAAAACAATGGCACGCTACCTCTAATTTGTGTATATGCATAGCAGAATGACCCAGAATACATAATAAACTCTGTTTCAATAAAATCAGCTGTTTCTCCGTCATCATTAGTTCCCCTTACACGATTTTTATAGCCTGTCCTCTTGAAGCTTTCGCGAGATATTATGGTCATGCCAACTTTAAAATCATTAATGTATGTTATTGCGGTTTCACAGTAGCCCCGGATAATGCTTGTTATAAATCCCTCAGTATCAAATAACTCTTTTGTTTCACTATCTAGCCTATCTCTATATCCAATAAGTTGTATCATCATGAAGTTATTCCACATATATTTTTCATCGTAAACGTTATCGTTAAGTCCACTAGAGTAGAATCCTCTGTTCTGTAGTGAAGATGTCAAATCAAATTCGTTACTAAAGTAAAAGCTTCCATTTGAAAGTAATTTCATTAAAGCCCAACATGGGTGCCTAACATTATCATTCTTATTAGGTGGAGGTTTTGACTTGTCAGTATCCATTGGATACCCGTTGTCATCGATATCATAGCCATCCCAACGATTAGAGTTCAAGCAGAAGAAATCAACAGCAAGAACCCTATTTATAGATGTCTCTGGTATTGGTTGAGCAACTTCCCGTTTACCTGTAATAGTTCCAATAAATAACAAACCATCGATCTCAATAAGCCCAATGAAGGCATAAATCTCTAGATCAGAGAGTTTTTCAAAGCCCTTTTCAATGCATTCTTTCTTCGGAACAACTTCTACAGAACAGCTTAAACGTCCAGTTGAAGCCACTTCTGCTTTCAATAGCAATGCCTGTGAGTTAGACGCAATAGCAATTCTCCTGTTATGGCCTTTTGTTGAGAGAATGATCATTATATGGTTTTCGATTCAAATTTCTTGACGATTTAAACCCTTTCCATTACCATAGAATGCTACCTTATTGTTGTGACTTTCGATGAAATGCCTACAGAATATTTTTAATCTGTAATACCCTTTAATATTAATGCTAGAGAACTAATCTCCTGTAGGTGGTTTATTATAGTTATATTGCCGATTCACAATGATATGCCATTTTTACTCATCGACAATTTTAGAATAGGGCTTGTACCTTATTTTTCTTTTTTCAAATTATGAGAATTCGTTGATCCGGAATGAACAATGAGCGAGATGAGATGTTCAAGAAATTAAATATATATTAATTCTATTGAGAAGAAGTGTTCTATTTACGTATGGTTGAAAATAAATAATATGGTACTAATTCTATAGCACCTAATTGTTTTCAGTAGGAAGAGTGACTTCACCTGAATGGATAATGCTGTTAATGGTTGAGAAAATGGCCCTAACAGATGCTTCACCAACATCTTCAGAGACACCGACACCCCAACTGTACTCCTTTTCATTGGTAGCAGCATCTCTGTAAGAGATGTGAATGAAAGAGGCGGCTTGGGTTTTGGAACCGGAACCTAAAGCATGTTCTGTATAGTTTTCAACACCAAATTTGACGTTGAATAAGTTTGATAGGGCATCTACTAAAGAAGAAATAGGACCGTTACCAATACCCTTAATTGGAATGATCTTGTCGTTAATTTCAACTTGCCCTGTTAGGATTCTACGGTCGTTGTCAATCTTCTTCACATCATAGTCGAGCAAAGATACGTATTGATGGGTTTCGTTGTTGTAATTATAGGTAGACTTGAATAATGCAGTAATCTCCTCTGCAGATAATTCCTTGCCTCTTGTGTCAGCTTCATTTTGCACAATGGTAGAGAATTGCATTTGCATGTTTCTTGGGGTGTCTAGACCCAAAGACCTTAAAATAACCCAAGCAGCACCACCCTTACCAGATTGTGAGTTGACCCTGATAACCGCTTCATAGTCACGGCCGATGTCCTTTGGATCTAATGGCAAATATGGAATCCTCCATAAAGTTTCACCTTGAGCACGCTTCTTTTGTTGTAAAGCAAATCCTTTTTTAATAGCATCTTGGTGAGAGCCTGAAAAGGCGCAAACAACAAGGTCACCACCATATGGAGCTCTAGCTGGTACTGGAATCTTGTTACAACGTTCAACGATCTCGATAACACTTCTCATGTCTGAAAAGTCAAGACCGGGAGAAACACCCTGGGTATACATGTTTAAGGCGACGGTTACCAGGTCGACATTACCTGTACGTTCACCATTCCCGAATATACAGCCTTCAACTCGATCAGCACCAGCCAAGATACCCAACTCTGTAGCAGCAACGCCACAGCCACGGTCATTGTGAGCATGGGTGGAGATACAAACCTTTTCACGTTCGCTAATATGAGTAGAGAAGTATTCGATCTGATCAGCGTATACATTTGGAGTTGCTACTTCAACGGTTGCAGGTAAGTTAAAGATAATAGGATTATCAACCGTTGGTTCCCATGCAGCTTTCACAGCCTCACAGATTTCAACGGCAAATTCTACTGGTGTATCACTAAAACATTCTGGAGAAAATTCGTAAGACCACCTAGTTGCTTTTTGAGATGGATCATCCTTGGTCAATTTCCGTACTAGCTTGGTTGCTTCTACAGCTTTGGCAATGGCTTCTTCTTGAGACATATTGAAAACAATCTCACGGAACATATCACTTGTGGCCAAGTATGTATGTATGGTAGCACGCTTAGCACCGGTCAATGCTTCAACTGTCCTCTTGATCAGATGCTCCCTAGATTGGACAAGACACTGGATAGAAACATCGTCTGGTGCGTTTTCTACAGCGTATCTTGTGAAATCGAAATCGGTTTGCGATGCTGACGGAAAACTGACTTCTATCTCTTTAAACCCGATTTCAACAAGTTTGTGAAAGTATTCTTTCTTTTGCTCTACTGACATAGGGTCCGGGAGAGATTGGTTACCATCTCTCAAATCGGTAGAAAGCCATCTTGGAGCTCTCTTAATTGTCTTGTTAGGCCATTGTCTATTTGTCAATTTTGGGCCTTGAAATGGTCTATATTTGACACTTGGATTAGCAAGCATATTCTTGAAACCCAATTTGACTGGAGCAATTGTCTTGGCTGCACGAGAGACATGCTCTGCAAAATTTGGAATTGTTTGTCTCATTTCTGATTTTTAATTTGAAGCAGGTCTTTTAAGATCTCTTTTGAGTTGCTACCTCTTAATATGGCCTAGTTTTGTTCTAAATACTATGTTAATTTTCTATCTTCCAAGTCACGTTGATCAATGACTCAATTTTGTTCACCTTTCTTTCAATCAATTAATAGTAAATTGTAGACTTTTACTACAGAGCAAACCACTTCTTACGCCTTTGAATTCCACTGGTTATTATACTCTTAATATCCGCTTTTATAAAGCTTAATACTTCTAATATAATAATATCTCGTGCGGAAAGAAGAGTAGTTTTATTCCTTTTCGAGTTAAAGTTCTTTTTGTATGGCTAAGGAAGAGTAGGCTAAAGAGAAATACAATTTATCCAAAAGGAAGTAAAAATGTAATTAAGATTTGGACATTGGATTTTTATATAATACCATATTCAACATAGAAATAGGTTGTTATGCAATGTGAAAAAAAATTCTATAAAAAAGAGCTGAATTATGCCGGTATTGCTTTTTTCACTACTGATCCGCATTATTTTTTTCATTATTGAATTCTTATGAGTAATATTTCTCGAAGTGATGACTAAAAACAAGCATAGGTTGCTCATTGTTCCTAGCATTTTGAGACTAGAAAAATGAAAAATGAGACAGCAGTTCCACCGGCACCGGTTTGATGACCAGTGTTGCGAGCGAAACCGGTGTGGTAGGTCGGAATTCTTTCGTATGTTAGTTGTTTGTTGCATGTGATATAAGTAGTGATAACTCTGTTCTGTTCACATGGAATAGCAACTCCGATACAAATTTTATAGTGGTAATAATACCGTACATGAAAAGATGTCATTGCGTAGCGCCAAATAACCGTGATATGGCTTAATGTCGGCATTTTGTGAGATATGTTGAACTTTAATATTAAAAATATGAGGGAAAATTGGTAATATCATGCAGAGATGGCCAAAATATTGAGGACAAATTGGGAAATGCAAATAGTATATTGGTAATATGCGTGTAAAAAATTATTTAGGGTGTATTTAGTTAACGTTTTCGTTGATCTGTAATACATAATTAATATTTGCCAATGCTAAGTTTGGTGGAATATCAGGAATTCCATATTGTTTATAATTTTATTGATTGGAATGCTGTTGTGGAATATGGGATGAGTAGTTTTTTTTTCTACCCACCATGCTGAGTTTGTTAAAGAGCTGTTTGCCTTTACCAACTATGGTACTGCTATGATGTTCATGCGGGAGGTTTGTCATAGGAGGTGAGATAGGGCGTTGAATCTTTCTATCATTGGGCAAAACCACTCGGTGAGATAATGGGGAAGTTGATGCTTTAATGGACCTATTAACATGGGATGATCCATTAGATTTGCTATACTTGTTCGAATGCGACTTGTTATTTGGTGAAATGAGAATTGGAGAAACGCTTTTCCTCTTATCAGTCTCTAATGAACGTCTCTTTGGCGAAACTGGATCCGTATTAGTTTGAAGACTTTGGTCAGTAGATGCTCTCTTAACCGAAGATTTGTTCTTGTTCATTATGTCGCTAATCTCTCGACTAATAAGTGGACTGACAGATGGTGCAAGTTTAGTAGTAGAGCTTAAGAGAATATCATTAGCTGACAAGTTAACCTTTGGCGTCATCAAATAATTTGATTCCGGGAAATGGCCACTACTGATCCCCCAATGAGATGTTGTTGACTCCAATGTAGACGGTATATTCGAATCAAACCAGTTTAAGGCAGAGGTCTTTTTGAGTTCATCTTCTTCATTTTCTTTGGAAATAGTAGACGCGGTGGAGTCCCCTTCACCGAAGTTTGTGATAATGGCCTCACTCTTCTCACTTATCAGTTCTTCTAGTGGATCATTGGAGTTATTAACAAATTTTATGAATTGTCTATAAGCATCCATTAAGAGTTGTAATATGTGCTGCATTGCTATAAGAACACTTTCATCACTAGGAAGTTGTTGTTCTTCATAACATTTTTCGAATACTTCTCGTATTTCCTGTGGGAAGTTACACTCTCTTGGCGAGTTTAATGCAATGTATTTCAAGTAGATTCTGTTGTTCCACATCTTTAGTAGCCTATGTTGGTGGCTCTCTGTGGTAGCTAAGTCTGTCTCCGATTTTGAATTGGCCATATCAAGTGAAATAGCCTCCTTTCTCGTCTTTGTACATATATATGTGTTACAATATTGGAAAAACTCCAAATTCTCCTCACAATGTGCTTTCAATAGGAACCTGTGGAAGGTCTCGATGTTAAAGGGTCCATCATCTTTCCTGTTCTCAACATTTCTGTTCCCTGGTTGTAACAGGATATCATATAGAGTTGGAAATTGTGACATCGAGCATTCGGAATTTTTTGTGTATAGTTTGGTTCTTTTTTTTTTTATTATATTTCGTTTCTTAGGTATTGTTTAATTACTTTCAATTAATATCTGAAATATGATATTTTAGTAAAGATAATTCATATACTTTTCTCTCTTGCAGCTTTTCCGCCATTGAGAGTCAAAGAGAAGGTACAGAATATTTCTTACTTCGTAATTATTATATACAATTAGTTGAAAAGGAATCCTAAACTCTGTCTCTTTTTTTTTAATAAATATTATATTTAATTCACACTATATTTTTTTTTCATCTCTTTTAATGCAATTCTCATCGAAAATTTTTGTCCTACTAACTGATTAGTTTGTGTTGTTCTATTATTGCATTCAACCACAGATATTTGCACAAAAGCTTCCAATCTTCGGTCTATTGTACAGTCTTATCAGAGAGTATTAGGCTAATATGGAAGCTTTCTTTCTTCTGCTTCGTCTTCTTTTCCTTCCATATTGTCTATTTCCACTGCCATCTGTACACACTCTTCTGCGTTCTTCCTTCCTTTTTTTCACAACTTTTTTTTGTTTTTTTGTTCTTTTGTTTTTTCTGGCTTCTATTCCCGTGTTGGCTGTTTCTTTTCTTTTCTTCATTATAAAGTTCGGAAGTGAAGTAAGAAGATACAGCCTCCATGTATTGTGCAGGCATGTCTCTGTGGAATTGGGTTGGCACACGATTGGAATTCATCATGGATATAGGAAGCGTACACAGCGCACAGATACACAGGAGAGAAAAAGGATCTTCCTCTAGTTCCATGCACCAGATTTAAAAATATAGACACTTGAGAACAATGAGATGAACAGTTACCTGTACGTAGAAGCAGGGAGGGGAAGATGTGAGAGAAATAGACCCCCTCTTTCCCTTCTAGAATTTATCAGTTATAAAAGCGCACGCAGGAACAACTACGTACTATTTGCCAACATTGTCCTGCGCGTCCCCTATGGTGCAAAACTTTTCCCCTCTTCTTCTCCCTATCTGCCAGATAAGATAATGGTGCGAAAGAGAAAATCCCCCAATTGACTGTGGTTGTCCTTTTAAACACACTCATTTTGTCCTCTTAGAACATGCACATGCACAGAAAGTATTGGAGAGCAGAAAAATAACAACTCCCTCTGTCTCTCTATCTCTCTCTCTTTCCGTTCTTTTTTTCTTTCGTCTTTCTTTTCACAAGAAAGGATTTACAAAAATAACTTGTAAACTGAGAAAGCACTGTAGAAGATCCAGTTCATTTGTTGTCTAAACTTCTTTCTTTTTGTGTAAATAGAGATGTACCTTTCCCTTCGCACGATTCTCGGGTTTCAAACTCAATTTTTCTTTCTTTTTTTTGGCTTAACCCATATATCGTCTGACCCACAATTTCCTTTACCACTTCTTTCTTTTTTATTTACAGATGCTACAGTAAAGATACTGCACAGACTCAAACCACACGTTAGGTCCCAGTCCTCAAGCCGTGAATACGGGACAGCACCACAAGAGCCCAAAAAAAATTGTACGAGTGTTACTCTTCAAGCCCAATACGTGATTGCTTTTTTGTTTGTCTCTTAGATCTCCTTTATTCTTCTCATGCCCCCAGAAGTCAGCGCGCGGAAGATAGATAACATTTCAACAACCAGAGAGGTTGCCCAGAGTCAGCTGTACGTCCTGTTTGCTTCTATTGTTCTAGCAGCCAAAAAATGATGAAAACGTGGCGGAGCCTTTGTTGCACGGAGTAGATAGGAGAGAAGTCCATGCAGTGAGAAAATACTGTTCATTCCCAGGTACAAACACATCCTACAGCGCACCCTCGGAATATCTGTCCTACCGCACCCTTCCGAAAGTCTCCCCTTAGTGAATAAGAAACCCTTGCAGTTATGGAAATGCATACTTCGGTGCTACAGCCTCATTATACTTGCATTCAAATCTTCTCAAGATACCCGAGTTTCTATTTGAAAAATTTTTTTGGCTGTCAGATGTTTCGTACCTTGTTGAGAAGGATTACCGGTACATCCATTTCTATGTGCATATCCCAATAAGGTAATCTTCGAGAAGCTTTTTGTTTTCCACCTTCTACTTTTTCAAATCCTTTTCCCCTCAATTTTGGCCCACTCCCCCCCCCCAATCGTCCTTTCTTTTTCAAACGTCATCGAGTAACTAATTATTCACAAAGTTCCTTCAGCAACATGACAGCCATTGCTGGCTCTCGGCTAATCCTCGATGAGGCCACAGTTGTACCTGCATAAACGTCTTTTTTGTTTACCACTATGGATAACAATGTTGTGGAGCTGTCAAACAGTTAATAAATTACCACCACAAACCAAAAATCAAGCTCTGTAATGACTCAATAATGCTAAATAAAAAAAAACAAAGATAAGGATAATTATTAATTATTTGCTAAACTAAATTATACAGTATGGGATATTAAGCAACCATTAACATTGTAGGAAATGAAATAACAAACAATTGAGGGGGGAATATCAAGATGAAAATTGAGGAATAGTAAAATAAAAAAAGAAATGAAAACAAATTGGGATAGCTCAATTGCTTCTCGATGCCCTTAGCTTGAAGCACCCAGTATTATTATTACAACCACGATGATGATTATCAGTGTCATTAGTCCGCACCTATTTCTTTGACGTTGATGCTCATCGGCTCGATTCAATTGCTCGTTTGCCCTGTGCATATTATTGTCGAAATTTGCGATATTTTCATCCACTGTGTCCACTTGGGTCCCTTGTTCTCGAACGAGTGTTCCGAGTTGCTTAAAGATTGCGTTGACCTCTTGTACCGATGAGTGTATGCGAGATATCTGCCGAGACCGGTCCTCCTGCACAATCGTATGGAAATCAAGCTCATCGTCATTGATTAGTCCTTGTTCCATCTGGTCTTGTAAATGCATATGCTGCTGTTGCGTATTTGTATGCAACAACGGCGTTCTCTCGGTAGTCTCATCTGCAAGTGCCACTTGATTCTCCAAGTTCTTGCTGCTGTTCATGGTAGTTGAGGCCACAGCTGTCTCTGTATTTATCTTCAAGGGGTTCTGACCCTCTCGCACACGAAACACCGCGGATAGCCGCCGCAGTTCACTCTCTAGAAACTTGAAATCCTTGTCCCTCTTCCCGGCCCCTAGAAATCCATCCCGACTCCGCTCAACAGTCTGTGTTGTCTCTCCGATCAACTCTCGTACTTTACATCTCAGGGCTTCATCGTCCCTCCTAGTGCCTACCTTCTCGACTTCTTTCTCCAACAACCGAATATTACTCTCCAGCGACTCTAACACATTACCTTTATCCATTAGTATACTCTCCTGTCACACCAGGCTCCTTTCTTGCATGTAGCAGTATCTATTATCAGCTTGAAATAATATGGTTACAAAGACCTGATAAAAGCAGCCTAAAACCGTACTTCCACGGTGTCTATGTGTGTGTGTGTGTGTGTGTGTGTATGATGCGCATTACAACATTACAGCTAAGGTCGCATTACATCTTACGTAGGTATCACGTTGACTTTCTTAACATCCGTATTACACTATATAGGTCAAGGGGGGAGACCACGCAACTCCGGGTAACAGTATCCTCACAATGATGTCTTACCCGATTAGGAAAGTCAGTAATTGGTTATTCAAACTGACGAATATGTGGTGTCAATAAAGAGTTAGCTAGAAACGGCCGTAGAAGTGATTGAACTAATCGTTATAGACTCTTGTTGTACGCGATTTCTCTCTGGAGATGTCACTTTAGGAATACAGCACTCCCCTACCTGCCCCCCCCACAACCCAGCTCCCCCCCTAGAAGAGCACGAAGGGTGTGCAACAAAGGGACAAGTGACGTGCAAGTGACACGACATTTGAAGGGGAGCAGGTGACTTGGTGCTCTAAAGGGCGGAACTTCGGAAGGGGAGGGCCATGGTGGGGGGGGGCCCAGACAGTGTCAACACAATAATGGCAGGAAATACGCGCCCTCCTAGATCTTGGCCATGTCCTCCTAGCCGCTGAATATTAGCATATTAGCTTCGGAGGGGCGGTAATAGGATAGGTCAGTACAGTTATTTCTTTTGCAGGTAAGAAAACAGGTTAGAATAGTCTATTTTCAACTTTTCTAGGTATCTCAAGGAAGTATACGGTTTACACACGAATCGATAAAAACTGCTATGGGTTCTAAGAGCAATGGTGCGAAGAAGATGTCTTTGGAAGAGTTCCTAGGGAATGACTCCCTAGGTGAGTCTGTTTGGGATGAGGAAGAGATTAACTTGGATGCGATCAATAATATCAGCAACACGACTAACCCGGAGCTTTTCAGGCCGAAACACAATAGCAACAGGTTTTCTAGTGGGTATGGCGGTGGTCATAGTGGTTATGGCGGTGGGCTTGGCGGCAACCAGCGCTTCTCTAGCGGGAACAGGCACCTGGATCCCGCGTATGACGGTGGTGCTGGGTTCGGTCCTCCTGGCGGACATCACCAATCTTATGGCAGAGTTCAGCAGCATCACTATAGCGAGCAAGAACAAAGGATGGAGTCCAGCGGTTTTGACTACCTGGCAAGCGCAGGTCCACCATACATAGTCAAGTTCTCCAATCTACCACCGAGATTCTCAAATTACGACATTGAGGATCTCTTCCACATGAAGTTTACTAAATTTGTCAAGTACAGATTGTTTTGGGAACTGCAGAGCAATCCATCGTTGGATTTGTTGAACAAAGGGGACTATTTTGAAAAGACTTTCAAGGACAATTTGAAAGTAGCATTTGTGGAGTTGTTAGGAATGAGGGACTTGATGAAAATCATTGATTACTGGTCTGTTCCACTGGCTGAAATGTATCAGATAAACGTCTCCGTTGCCAAATTTGATGACTTCAAGAATTACGTCGAGAAAAGCAAACCTTTGATAGACCCTTCCTATGATGCTGGAAAATCATTTGATGCACCACGGATACAAAAATCACATCCTTTCACCTCAGAGAAGAATGAAATGGCACCAGCAAAGTCAGATGCGTCTACACTTAACAAAAATGCACAAAGGCAAGAGCCAAAGAAACCTAAAGTAAATCCATTCGGTACTGCAAAGCCTGTTGATACTCAATCAAAAATATTAGAGATTGAAAATAAAATGCAATCGCTTCATGTTGAGGATACTTCCACTTTGCGGGCAATATTGGAAGAAAAGTCTGATGCATCAAAGCAGTCTAAGACATTAAGTAAGACAGCTACATCTACATTGGATAACGGTCAAGGGAAAACGAAGATCAAAATTTTGAAAAAACCCGTTTCATCTGGAGGACAAGATAAATCCTCTAATACCACACAGCTGGGGTCTGCCAAAGTTACAGAGCCAAAACCATCTATTGCAGATGTAAACTCTAAAGTAAAACAATTGGTTGACATAAAGAAATCAGATGCCAAAGGTGCGAGTAATAGTCAAAAGACACAAGCTAATGATTCCAAGGAAAATGTCAATGGAAATGCTAATGAGGATAAGAGTAAAGAACCGAAAAACAAGGACGAAAGTAGCCTCACCAAAGAAACGAATAATTTAAGCGCCATGCCCGACGGTAAATCAAAAGTAGATGATGAAACCAAAACATTTGTAACTAAACCTGGACAGCGTGAGCTCTGCAAAACTAAAAGCAATGACAAACCCACTGATATACATGTGAGCAAAACTGATGAATCTACGTTAGATGTCAGTGTAGCTAAAAATGAAACAGCAGAAAATACCAGTTCAGATAATTCCCATGTTTCATATAACTCTGCAAGAGGCCGTGGAGGAATTAAAGGAAGGGGAAGAGGTGGAACTTACCAACGAGGTAATGCTAGAGGTAGAGATGTTACACGTGGCAGAGGTAAAAGAGGTAAACGACCACTACAGGATAACAATTTTTCCTCTCGAATAATAGACAATACAAAAGAGGAGGGCATTGGAAAACCAAACGTTCATCATATTAATGAACGTGTGAAACTAACTGGTGCTGTAAACACAGAAAATTCTAGTCGGAAAAATGATCAAGATGTTTTCTATGATGCAAAAGATGATTTAAATGTTCAAGGAATTGATATTAGAAAACAAAATTTTAAGGATGAGAGGTATATGGAATCTAAGGATAGCTCTCGTATTGATGCAAAGTCTGTGCCAAGATCTACAGCTGATAAGGAGATACAGGTAGGAAATAAATCAGAACATGAATCTTCGGGAAATAATACAAACGTAGCAACAGCAGTTGCTAGCAATACAGGCGAAAGTGAAAAAGCCAGTACTAAGGATGTTACATCTGCAGAAGTAACTCATAGAGGAGGATATAGAGGAGGTTTTAGAGGAAGTAGAGGGGCTTATAGAGGGGCTTATAGAGGGGCTTATAGAGGAGGTTATAGAGGTTCTTACCGAGGCGGTTATAGAGGGTCAACTCGTGGTTCATATAGAGGTGATTACAAAGGGCCTTTCAGAGGTAATTATGAAGACAGACAAGGACAAGAAGAAGAACACAGATCTTCAAATGAAGTTAATGGTGTATCTCTTTCACCCGCAGAGAAGTCAAAAAAGAATGTAAGAGGCGGCTCTTATAAGAGAGGTCGCGGATCTAATAGGAATAAATATCAAAAGAACCACGAGGTTAATGATCAGTCTGGATAATTTTTCACCTGAAATATGATATTTTTTCTAAGTAAGAAGAATATTTGGTGTCCGTTGTTGTTTGTATTTTGACTTGCTTTTCAAGCGTTTAATTGAGTTCAATAACTGAAATTTTGCGCCTCAGTGTATTTTATGATAAATATTTTTGCATGTATTACGAATGAATGTTTTTAATTAGTAAACATTGTCTTCTCAATTTACAACTGGTTTGTCTAACTTTTGTTATTTAACAAAATATCCTACAATTAACTTGATCACAACGCGTCTCAAGTGATCACTTCTATCAACAAAACATAAAATTGTAATTTCATCGATAATAAGTTTATAATCATTAAATAGACTTTTACCAATTCATAACTAATTTAATGGTACAAAAATAGAGATATCATATATTTATAATGTAGAGTGTTGTAGGAATAAAATAAAACAAAGCCACATCTAACTGTCAGAATTAGCTTTCAATAGAAAGGATCAAATAACGACTATAGGGAACGGCTTAGAGTTTATGCGTTGGGATGCTTAAGCCTTTCTAGAGGAAGGCTTGGAGGACTTAGTCTTAACAGCAGAAGAGGTAGCAGAGGCGGCAGCGGCCTTTTCAGCTTCCTTTTCAGCCTTCTTCTTGCTACCCTTCTTGTAAGAGTTAATGTAGAAAGAGATAAATAGGACCAAGTAAGAAGTCAAGATCAAGTAACCGTATGCTGCAGCATCTTGAGTACCGTAACAAGTACCCTTGTTTGGCAAAATGCCGTCAAAGTACTTGTTTGCGTAGAAGGTGTAAGTTGCGAAGTATACGAAAACCAAATCGATCAAGAATTGGATAATTTGGAATCTAGTGACCCATTGTTTCCACCAAACTCTGATACCGCAGGAGCTTAGGAAGTAGTACCAGTACATAACGACATGGACACCCAAGTTTAGCACAATTGGAACCCATTCGACAGAGGTTTCACCGACCAATTGAGTGTAACATAGCAAAGCGGTGGCACCATGGTGATAAGTGTGTAAGAACAGCAACTTCTTTCTCTTGAAGATTAAGAAGACAGTGTCAAACAATTCAACAAACTTGGTCAAGTAGTTCAAGTAGTATAGAACAACCAACTTTGGAGCGAAAGCTTGTGGGGAACAGATAGCCCAGAACAAACCGTGGTGGTAAATCATTGGAACAAGTTGTTCAATCAACAGAACCATTAGTATGAAAGAGATGGAGGTCAAGAACAAGTTGTGAAGTTGGAACAAAAAGTGGAAATGCATTGGAGAGGCGTTGATGGCACGCAAGATGGCTTGACCACCAAAGATGACAATGTAGTAGAAGATAATAATACCGATGGCTTGGTAACCGTTAGCCAAGAAGGTTTCATTGTAGATGAATCTGAAGTCCTCAGCTGGGTATCCAGCAATCTTTTCGAAGACAGCAGAGAACAAGGGCCACAACTCAAGACCGAATGGGTGGTCAATTGATGGAGTGTGGACCTTGATCCAGGATGGAGCACCTTGGAATAATACTTCCAATTGATCAACAGCCACCGAGGCAGCGGTGGCAGCAGCAGAACTGGCAGCGGTGGCAGCGCTTGCGGCACCACTAGCAACAGCAGAGGTCACTTGCGAAACAGGTTGATCCATTCTTCTTTGGGTTGTTCGAGCTTCGTTCCTATTATTTTTTTCCTATTAAGCCAGTGTTTCAAAACTAAAACAAAACTCTAAATAAAGACTATATACCAAGAAGTTAAATCAAATATATATTATAGGAGGTATTACGTTCTCGAAACATGCAATGTAGGTAGCTGTATGATGTGCGAAAACATCAAAGGTCTTTGCAAAAAGTTTGTTGTCGATAATTTTTCACTGCTTAGGAAGAATTGAAAAATTATTTTTTTTCAAAGAACCTTCAACGCAGGCGATGATTTAAGGACAAAATTGGCGACGACAAGGACAAAATGAGAGACGACGACAAGGACAAATCATCAAAAGTTCAAGTATAAGACAAACAGTGGTCAATACTTGTGATAAGTTAATAGATCTCATCTCAGTAGACACAGATACTCATATTTGCAACGAAACTAGCGCGGGTGCCAACCTAGGTCAACTATTGATTCAGAATAATTATGAGCATTGTGAGTAGTAATTTCCTGGATGATATGTCTCGTGTTGCATCCTGATTAGGAAATTTGTCTTGAGGGTGATGCGCGTAAATTGAAGTGAAAAAAGCTCAACAATGTCCAAATTTGGCTGTCTTAGTTCGCTTTCGAGTCAATTGTCCAAGGTACCAGTTTCCTAATTGAAACATTATTATAAAGTATTCTTAATTCAAAGACAAATGGGCCTATAGTGGCACATTACTACACCTTTGGATCGTCTAACTTAAAAATTATGTTTTACGTTCTGAATAAAAATGGGAAATAAAAAAATTAACAATAAAAATGTATCAAACTTATATATGACCAATCATCATGAGATGACCTTTTTACGGAGTGTCAATTATTCAAAAAGACCTAGCCCCAGAAGTCTAGGGATGCAACGGTATCGTAACCGCGTGAATCTTCGTATGCATACAGAATTTCTTGAGTGTTTGTCTGTAACAATCTAATTTTTTCTCCCAGTATACAACGCACAAGTTCACCAGTTTCAATTTTCCTGATTTCTATGAAATTGCTGTCAAATGCCAAAATGTAAGGGTACCAAATAGCAAACTTTTGTGGATCACCTTCCCAATGTATAATATGCGACTCTTTCTTCCTCCAGCCTTGTGTATTAACGAAAAATGCAAACTCTGTGTAACATAACAGGAACATCGTACCTACTCTGTAGATGGCCATTGGCTTCAAAGTATCCTTCAAAGCAAACTCAAGAGATGTGTCTGCTGGATCCAACAACGATTCATGCGCATTCTGTGAGATAGATACAATTTGGAACCCTTTCTTACAACCAATACATAGATTGGCTTTCAAAAAAGATATAGACACAGGTTCTGAATCAAATGTTACCTCAGTAATCTTCTTTTTCAGACTCTTCTTGCTATGACCACCATCCTCACTTAGTAGTGGATGCTCATGCTCAAAAAATTTAATAGAATGTGATGAACTATGTGCTGTAACAATTAATCTCTTACCATTACAGTCACCTTCTGAGAAGAAATTGACATGATTTATCAGCTCTTTGCTATGTTTTTTAAAGTACGTAGTACCATTAACCTCATTTTCAATCAGCGATAATGGGCAACTGTACAACTTTTTATCGATCAACAACAGAATAGACTTGAACTCTTCCAAAACAGCAACTTGGGTGATATTACTTCTTTGCACCAATTGTACAGGAGTGGAGAAATAAGTAAAAGTCTTTTGCGTGTCCTTATCTTGCTGTCTTTTTATATTACTCATGTAGAGACCTAAGTTAGTTGCAATCAATAACTTACGACCACCATCGCACGTCGATACACTATTAATTTTGTTCATGTAATCAAAGAACCTATCACTGATTTTAGTGATGTTAATCATATCAGTCTCATCAATGATTCTTTGTTGCTCAGTTTTAATCTTATCTAATAAAGTCTGTAGTCCTGCATATTGTGCTGCATACAAAGTTACCTGATATCTCTGCTTTGCACCATAATATAGGAACGTCAACGCATTCTTAGGGTTGCTGACGTTATTCTCTGGTTGAATTACAGTACCGGAACAACCTGGATTATCACCAATGTAACGACGCAAAGATGGCATATCTTCAGAGGGACATACAAACAGAAGTGGTAATGGGATAGGACGCTGGAATACTTTATGCTGATGCCATTTATTGACCGCCTTAGCCTTCAAAAATAATAGCATGTTATCTAATAAATAAAATTGAGTATCACCAGCAGTACCATCAGACTTACTTAGTTCTTTTCTAGATAAAGCACCTTCGTGTTTTATCTTACGTTTTTCACTATTCAATCCTAAGTTAACATACTCATTTTTGAATAATATCTTTTGTTTCAAAAGCTTCACATCATGTCTATCTTGAGCTGCACCACTTGCCTTATCAATTCTTTTCATAAAGTTCTTCAATGCATCCATTGCTCTAGATAAATTTTCATAGTCATCCTTGTTATTCTCAGATTCTGTTGATTTTAGTATCTCACGCACTAGAAGCATATAACGACCAGGTCTCGAAACACCTTGAGAAAGGAACGAATCTATACCATGTCTCAATGACGAGTTCATCATATCATCATCAAATCTGGCAAAATACGGATTAACGGATCTTTGCGTTTCTATCAAATACTTCGCGTAAGGTCTTGACGCAACATACTGAACGAAGGGCTCAAAAAATGGTATGAATCTTAAAAGTATGTCACCAATGCCTTTAACTACCGGAGAACTTTTTTGTCTATCCTGTAAGGCTTCCAAAAACCTTCTGTTAACGGAATATATATCATTAATATGGGCAAAGACATGTTTAACAAAGTTTTTTCTTATATCTGCTGGAATAATATTTGTTTCAGATAAAGTTTTCATGAAAGTGTCTCTTGTCACTTCTAATGACTTCACAAATTTCTTTTCAGAGATATAAACTTCATAAATTGCTTCTTGTCTTTTGATCTCCTTCTTTGGCAGGTTTTCCCATAACTCCTTCGATACTGAACTAGTCCATGATGGTTTTTCTTCTTCATCGTCATCCAGTGCCATTGAAATATTCCTTTTCAAACCCCCGTTAGGCTTTATATTTAGACGAGCTTGTTGTTCTAGTCTTCTAGGACAAGATATGGAATAACAAAGGGCGTTTCTTGTACATGTTGGAGAATAACACTCTGCTAATAAAGTGAACACACCATTAATGCTATTAGTAGCAGACGGAACAGCGTGAGGTCTCGATGAGGCCTGTATCGTGGAGTGCTCCATATAACTACTATTCAGTGACGTAGTTGACTTAGATGAAGCAACTTCAGAGATTGAATAAGGTAGTGTTGTTCTAGTGGTCGAATGAGATATCCCTACCATGCTATTATTAGTTGTTGAACTTGAAGTTGTAGGAGCGGGTTTGCCTAAGTATCTCGAATTATCTGTAAATTCATAGACTTCATAAGGTGAGTCTCTCAGTCTATGTTCATAAACGACATCGTGGAATAGCTTTTGGGCATCTAAGGATCTACCCAAGAGTAACGCCAAATTACGATCCGATGTTCTCACTAATGCACAAATGACATCAACAGCCTGTTGACCAGTAAATGCATCTCTATACAAAAGACCATCTTTCTTGTATTCACCAAGTTGGATTGTCTGCCTGAATTTAGCAGCAACACGTGATAGCAATGCTGGATAAACTTGTGGTCTCTTTGTCGATGCGCTTAATATTGGCCTTGATTGAGGTGAAGCGATGCTGCTATTTCTTCTGCCACTCATCGATCCACTGTTAGTTAATGTGGTAGCACTGCCATTGTTATAATGTGCACCATGATGATAATGAGAATGTAAAGAAGTAGAGGACGCAGAATGATATCTCTTCGAGGATAAGGAGCTGGAAGAAACTCTAGTTTTCAATCCTAAACCAATGGTACTATGTGAATCCAGACTGTTTTGCATGGAGTAATTTGAATGCATAGAATCATTACGCTGAGCAATATTGGCACCGGAATGATATGTGCCTCCAGGATTTGACCCAGCACTTGTTTTTCTATTTTGAAATGAATTTGCAATATTCTTAAACGTCGATGAGTTTATTGACAGAGATCTGGAAGCACCATTCTCGTTATGAACATTAGAGTTGCTATTGTTTCTGCTGTTTTCCATGGCCGAGTTTGATACGCCATGGCTATTGTCGTTGCTCAAATCTCTAGAGGTAGATCTAGTGAACAAATGGAATGCTTGCAAAGGCGATTTCTGGGCACTCGTTGGCGTCGTGGTAGAGCCATTCTTGTTCGATATGTTAGAGAAACTAGCCTGTTTTTTCAACCCTGCTAGGGCCAATTGCGGCAAAGAAGGTTTCTTCCTTGCTTCTCTTTCTCTATTCTGTACTGCACTATTCCCTGTGCTATTGTTACTATTTGCCGCCCGCAGCTTCTCCTGGTGTTTACTTCCAAACTGGTGTTTCTGGTGATTTAAATGTGGAGACGACTTAGCATGATGCATAGCTGGTGTTATCCCAAACCCAGCCTTTTGACCAATGGCTGCCTCCTCTCCAGCTGTAGATACAGCAGTTCCCGACGTATGGTGAGTCCCCATACCTGTGGACATGTTCGCATTATTCAGGGAGGGAACCGGTCCCATATGTGTCGGCACATGGTGCGACTTGTACGCCATCGGAATGGGAGATGTTGCGCTATGAATGAGCGGTCTCTGAGGGCTGCTGATCGGCGTGTTGTCCGCGCTAGACAAGCTCTGTGTGTCCGGCACGTCTTTTATCCGTGCCTCCTGAGACATGATCATGTATGTGGCACCAGCACGCTTATTCACAATGGGTGCACTCCCAAGAGGCGCCAGAGACTCTCTGAGTACAGAATCAAGCCCCTGTATATCCTCCACGCGATCAGGAACAGACATCGGGTCTCCCATACCCATGCCAAGCCCTTGCCTTTCTATCCCGAAAACATCAGCAAAAATAGCATTTCTCTGCACATTATCCACCATTACTCCTTTTTCAATTAATATTTCCCAGTTGTATAATCCACAAGTATCCCAAACTTTTCCACCGGTACAGAACTAAACCTCCTATAAATAGCTTTGTTTTTTTTTGTTTTTGTTTTGTTATTGTTTTTGTTTTACTAGATCTCTTTCTTTCTTTCGGTATTCCTGTGTTTTCCCCCCTATCGTGTTGTTCAACTCCCTTGCAACCGATTACACGTCTCCAGGTCAGCTACTACTTCCTGCGATCAGCGGCAATGGTGAACTTGTATTGCTTCTAAAATTGTTTTTCCCAATGGGGGCGCCCACTTTTGATTTTTTTTCTTCCCAGCCTTTAAGAAAGTGTATTGGCAACGGGGACCAAGAAAATACTCAATTGCTGGGGGGTCAGCACACCTATCGCTACACACGCTCATCTTTCTCTCTCTCTACTTCTTCTGAACCACTCTCTTGCCCTCAGAAGGCACTGCACTTCCCCATCCCCCCTTTGTTCAAGTAGCGCCTGCAAGTACTGCTCAGATACTGGTGCAGCCCATGGATGCGTATAACGGGTTTCCTCTGTTATACCCGCCATACACAGACAGGGCTGCAGCCTTTGGGATCTATATTTAGGTTTTCCTGCTTCCTTCCTCCTTCGTAATTATAACTGGAATTACGTAATTTGTTTTTCCTTCTGCTTTTCCTTTCTCTCTGTGCTGGTTCTGTGCTACTTCTGTGCTACTGCTTCTCCTTAACATTCTCTGTAGCCCTCTCTCTCTGTCTCTTCCTCCCAACTTCTGTGCACAGTACTTTCTGAGGGATGCAGTGCGGAAATAGGGATCGCCTGTACTTTTCTCTCTTTGCCAAATCCGCGTTCTCCGAAATTATATACTTGCCCCTGCAGCCATTCTCTCCAAGTCTACTATTTAAACTTTTCTTTCTTTCTTTTTTATCTTTCCCCGTCAGGATTGGCATTTCAAGTCGTAGCTCAAACTTCTACGTCATATGCACTCGTACGTTTTGCATGTGAGTGTTGTATATAGTGAGATGGATCGTTATATGATATGTTGCTCGTGCTGAGTCTATATTCACGAATATCCGTACTTTCAAGTCCTTCAGCTCTCATACACAGACTGGGACCGAGACACACATATTGGAATATAGGGATTGGCCTATTTGGCAAAGTTACATATGTGTTTCACTGTGAACTTATATAGGCATATTCTTTTGGGCAATTTGAAATTGCGAACTGTATCGAATTCAAAAAAAGAACAATAGCAGACTCTTTACAATGCCTGCTTACAACTCTACGTTTCCTTCAGACCCACAGACGGACAGAATGGTCGGGAACTTGGTTCTCTTGCCATTGAACACCAAGTTTAGAGGGCCTGCTTACCAGGCCAACTCGGACTACGATATCGTGGACGAGTGTCTAGACTTGTTCAGGGCAAACTCTTTCTTCAAGAACTTCGAGATCAAGACCAATTCCGATAGATTGCTCATATACGGCATCCTGTACATCAACGACTGTCTCAATCACTTGAAACAGACCACCTCACACAACGAGGCCATCAAAGTGCTAACAAACCTAGCTCTGGATGACTTCAGTCTACCGGGCACGTCCGGCTTCCCACTGAACTCAGTCTACTCCATCCCAACGGCCGACCACAACGCAATGGAACTGCTGAAGTCCTACCTACAACAATTCCGCCAGGAACTAGCATCAAGACTCATCGAACGTATCTACGCGGAGTCCCAGGACCACCCTTCGAAGTTCTGGCTCGCATTCACAAGGAGAAAGTTCATGAACAAGTCATTGTGATAAGCACGCCCCATAGTGCTCCACCGCTATATATACATATATATATAATCCGATCTCTCTCTGTATAATTAGATTCAATTATTTTTCTTTAAATTAACGATAACATGATATGTGAACTTCTCGACTACTACCTTCTATATATTTAATGTTATATTTACACGGGCCTACTTCTTGGCCATGAGCTCTTGAAACACCTTTAGCGACCTACCTTGCAGGGCATCAACATCCTTCTTCAGAGAGTCGACATCTACCTCTAGGATCTTATCGCTATCCATCTTCTTGATCTCATCTACAATGCCCTTGAGATCATTGACCTCTTGCACTATATCAACAAGATCTTGTTCGCGATTGTGCTCCTTCACATTCCTCTCCAATGTGTCCCGATATTGCTCAAAGACAGATGCCGTGTCGCTAAGCATGATGTCACACTTGTTCAGCAGCTCGATCTTCGTCCTTATCTTGTTGTCCAACTCGCGGTTCCTATTCGCATCCTCAATGATCTTCTGGATCTCCTCCTCAGACATGCCCGAACGAGGCACAACTTTGATACTCTCATTCTTGCCACTGCTCTTCTCCATAGCGCTGACATTGATGATGCCATCAGCATCAATATCAAATGTCACACATATCTGCGGAACACCCTTTTTCATAGGCTTGATGCCGGTCAACTTGAAATCACCAATCATAGTATTATCCTTGACCAACCCTCTCTCACCTTGATACACCTTGATATCAACACCAGTTTGGCCATCCACCCCAGTACTGAAAACTTCAGTCTTCTTCACTGGAACTGTGGTGTTTCTTGGAATCAATGGGGAAAAAGCCCCACCAAATGTCTCAATACCCAAAGTCAACGGCGTCACATCTAATAGTAGCACGTTCTTGATCTCACCACTTAACACACCAGCCTGAATAGCTGCCCCAAGTGCAACTGTCTCATCAGGATTAACGCTAACATTAGGTTTCTTGCCAAAAATATCCTCAACAAGCTTTCTTATTCTAGGCATCCTAGTCATACCTCCAACTAGTATTACGTCATCGATATCCTCAGGCTCAATATCAGCGTCTCTCAAAGCGCTCTCAACCGGCTCTACAGTTCTCTCGATCAAATGCATGGTCATAGAATCCAACTCATCCTCTGTGATCTTTACATTGAGATGCTCAGAATTAAAGAAAAATGGAATGCTAATACTAGTCTCCTTCACATGTGATAAATCAATCTTCGCCTTTTCGGCAGCATCCTTTAACCTCTGCATTGCTTCCCGGTTTTTCAGGACATCCTGTCTGGAAACAGCTTTAGCACCTTTCACAAATTGCTCTAGAAGATGATCGACAACAACATTGTCAAAGTCTTCTCCACCCAGGTGTGTATCACCGTTAGTTGCTCGCACTTCAAAGACACCATCTTCAATGTCTAAAACAGAAATGTCAAAAGTACCACCTCCAAGGTCATAAACAGCAATCATACCATTATTCTGCTTCTCATCAATTCCAAAACTCAATGCAGCTGCAGTAGGCTCATTTACTACCCTTAAGACATCTAGGCCTGCTAGTTTCCCTGCCTCTTTAGTAGCTTGTCTTTGACCATCGTTGAAATAGGCAGGTACAGTAATGACTGCTTTTTCTATGCCCCCTTCGGTATTTAGGTAGTCTTCAGCACAGTGTTTCAAGTATTTTAATACTTCTGATGCAATCTCACTTGGTGACTTCTGTGTACCGTCTTTCAACGCAACATACGCTTGCCCGTTGGTGGGAGACCGAACTATAGCATATGGCATGTTCTTCTTGTCCCTGGTAACTTCATCATCCTCGTATAACCTACCAATAAGTCTTTTAGTAGCATAGAATGTATTATCAGGGTTTAGAATAGATTGTCGCTTAGCTCTTTGACCTACAATTACTTTACCATCTTTGTCATAGGCAACTGTCGATGGTGTGGTCCGTTGTCCCTCTTCATTCTCAATGATCTTTGCTGATTTCTTATTGTTTGAATCACTTATATATGCAACAGCACTATTGGTAGTACCCAGGTCTATACCTATGACTTTGGTAGACAACTTTCTTATCGACCTCGGCAGAAATTGCCTCCGACTCAATCTCAACATATTTAATCCGTTCTTGTTTATTTGCTGTCTCTCCAACTATCACTACCCCAATCTATGACCTGTTTTTTAGGCTCTTAATACTATACGCCAACACTCCGGTTATATATTACATCGTCCAACTCATCGTAAATAAACGAGGGTGTCTGGCTATGGTGTTGTCCGATGAGGTTGGGCTCGAAGGTTTGACAGGCCACTAGATAATTACAAATGATTACACACTTCCCACAGAAGCATGCGCACAAAATATCATTCTGCCAAACATGAAAAAAAAGTGGAAATACTTTCAAACAATACTGCCCGAGAAAAATGACGTATATCTCCTTATGAGTAATATAGTCGATATGTCTTAGTAATACTTGATCTGATCTTATGTGGAATTTTGGGATCTGATATTTAGTTCCACTGTATTGGAATTGATAAGGTGTACGTTGTCTTCAATGCTTAGGTATAGATGGTTGTGGTAGCTTGAATAACGACCTTGCCTTATTGTTCAACAGCAGACGCCTGCTACTCCAGTCCACTTGATCAAATATCAAACCCACCTGATATGGCATGTTCGAAATAAATTTCCTAAATTCGGACTCCTCGGGATATATTTCATCGTTGTGTGATGAGCTTAAGAATATTTCTCCCGATGCCTTAATGTAAGTATATAAGAGAATTGGTGGTTCCGTATCTGCTAACCTTTGAACTATAGCAGTAACACATAGCCTCCGATCTGGCCCTTTGATAAATGTGCCTAGTTCTGTACAATCTATGCAAGGGTAGTGACTTAAATGGAAAAAGTCGGTCAAGCTTGGAATCACTGACTTCGAAGGAGATGCGAAATACAGGAAATCGGGTGGATGCATATTAATTGCTTTAAAAAACCAGGAATCTGTGTCAATGCAGCTAGATATTCTCATCTTATCATCTTTCAAACCAGTTGATTCGACTGGATAAGTACCATTGAATTCATCCTCCATTTTTTTGAAAAAACTCGTAACCCATCTAAGCGACTTCTCACAAGGCGGTAGATTGCTGCATGGATATAAATCCTGAAGTTCAACTGCTGTTAGACTGTCAACTTTAAGGCCATTACACTTAGTTATCTCGTCATTCAAAAAATGGCACAGTAACTTTCTTGGCTCTACCGTTTCATCAAGGCTCAAAGACGTCTCAATAGATTCATGATGACTTATCGGTAGACGATTTCTAATAAACCTTAAAAACTCTGTTTTAGAAAACATTCTTATCTTTCTTGTATCCGATATTACAAATCCACAAGCTCCTGGTAAAGTGTTATCTTGAAATGCTAGATAGTTACCATTAAAATTACATCGTATTTTGAAGAATTTTGCTATCTTTTCTATTATCGACAATGTTATAACAGGTAAAGGACGTGATTCATTGGCATAGGCACGTAATAAATAGGCATCTTCAATAACATGCCTTTGATGATTCTCCGATATAGATATAGTGTTCGAAAGTGCTGATATTATATCTTGCATTCTTTGTTTAGCAGTCACTTGACTAAAAAGCTCTGAATTCCCGTTGTACTTATGAAATACCTTCATCTTAACTTCCTCAAAAACAATATTGCGATATTTTATAAGCTTATCATATTGTGGATCTAACGCAGCAAACCGTAGTAATATATCCCTCTCAAATGAAAACCGTGTAGGCTTCAGAAACTTTGCATTTTCTTGAAATAAAGCATAGAAATACCGTCTACGAATTGAACCCAGTAAATAATATGACCAAGAGCGCTCTTCCAAACTCCACTTTTGCTCTGCGCTGCAAGTTATTCTCATAAGATGTGGGATATATAAGTATGGCTTAACTAGAATGGCCATACGGTACAATCCCCAAAACTCGACACCTAGCTCGTCAAATTGACAGAGAGATGTAATATATTTAGTGATTCTGTCGTCATATCGACTACGGTATGTATAGTAATAGAACCAATCTCTGTCTTTAGCTGTCTTACCCAACACTGACTGAAGAATCTTAACATCATCCTTGTCGTAATCCTCTAAAATCAAATCAAGATCTTCAACAGGCCACCTTGCTCGACAGTAGCTGCTCCAGTAGCTACTATGCTCAACGTTCACCTTCAATTGATGACTGCATTGTCGTATCCGCCATAGATCATCACTTTCTAAAAAACCTGCAATAATATTAAATACCTCTTGAGGTATAAGCTCAATGACAGTCTTCCCCATAAGATTGCAGGTAATACCAATAATATACCACCTGATATACACTAATACCCATATTCGATAAATAAGTATAGCGGAGATGAGATGACTATATTGGCTACTCAATCAATTTCTATAGCATTAATGTTGACATGCCTGAAGAGAGCACGTAGGAAGATATGACGTAATTTGAAAATAAATCTCTATGAATGGTATGCTTAATGGTGCTCTTACACTATGAAATATATACGATTATATGCCTAAAATAAATCTATAAGTAATATTCATAATTTGAATCCCATCTTAGTCAATTCATCACTCAAAGAACCATTGTCTTCCACCTCATGAAGTCTGGTTTCAGTTCCCCAAACTTTACCGTCAACGACAATTGTTGGTAGGTTTCTAACACCTAATACTTCTTCAAAGGCATCTCTCCACTTTGCTTGAATCTCCTTGTCTAGGGAGCCGATGTCAAACACATGGATTTGATTCTCGACATGATATTTATTCCAGATTGATCTAGCGTAGACACAATCAGGACACCAGCTTGCAGAAAACTGGAATAGCCTATTATTGGCAACCATATCCTTTGCCTCTTTCACATAATCAGTCATGTCTTAAATAGTTACTCTTGGTGGGTTTTGCAGTAATATGTTTTGCTCAAGGAAGTCTTTGTTCATACGCTTTATTATATTTAAAAGCCGGCATTTTATCGAAGAGCCACACTGCCTGTGGATAACCCCGAATGATACAATAAATGTCCATGTGTACGTTTATCAAAATGCCATATAGAATTTAGTCGTCAATGGTAAATCTTTCTTTATTAACATATGCAGTTTTCCTCAAAATATATCTAGTGTACAAATATAGCTAAAGACAGGTATCAAAGTATATAGTTCATTTCTTCTTGTTAGCAGCCTCAATCTCCTTTCTGGTACCTCTTAACAACTCCAAGTGACCGACTTTACTAGCAACCAATCTTTCTGTAGCCTCTGTCAAAGATGAAGTCTTACTCAGCTTCTTCAAGTGGCGTAGGGACTTCTTCTTAGATTTGATCTGTATTGGAGCAGCTTTCCTCAGATTCTTCTGCTTCTTAGTAACTCTCCGTGGATCCTTGGCTTTCTTCGTTACCTTCAATGGTTTCTGTGGCATGTTTGGAATATAAACTGGGGTTTGACGTTCTAAACTTTTTGTAATAATCTAATTCGAAATACAATGGATATAGCTTCAATAGTCTCTTGTAGATTCTAGTGTATTGCGATGAGCTCATCGCAAGTTTTAAAATTTGAAGTTTTGATTTTTTTCAAAATTTTCCAGTCTTATTCAAAGGTTGTACGGACCACTCTTAGAATAATCAAGAAACGGTGATAACAAAACTGAACAAATGTATCCATTGTTAACTATAGTATGTCCCCCCCCCCGTGGATAATCTAGTCATTGGGCCCACATTGAGCAATTACAGATAATAACACAAGAAAGGTGACAGGATTACTTATTGGCTCTGATTTAATATTATTGTTTGAGTGTTAGCGTGGAGGTAAAGATAATAAAACTTGAAGCAATGAACCAGTATAATTTTATTCTGGATGCCTCAGCGTTTGAGAAAGGTTTAGGTAACGTTAAGAGGTGGTGCCAGAGCAATGGTAATGTGGACGGTAAAAAAAATGTATACTTGCGATTCTATGTTCCAACTTTTACGCTTCAAGAACTTAACTTCCTGCAATATAGACATAAGAGTTTCTCCGCGAAGGAGGCTCTGAAGTTCATCGATAAGCTTGAAACAGCTACGTCTGAGGGCCAAAGGAACCATGTAGTCATTGGGAGGAAAAAAGAAGAAGATTTGAGATCAGATTTAGAGCTTTTTATCGAGTTCCCAGATATTTTGGATGCAGTCACTTGGCCTACTGTTTTGAGCTATTGTACAGAGGGTCAAGCGACAATTGATTCGTTGAATAAGTTACCAAAGAGGTTTAAAATACTACTGAAAAGCTGTGTGTATAAGTGCCATTTAGAAGATGATGACCGAATTCGTTGGATTTTAGTTACAGAGGACCCTCAAGTCAGAAAAATAGCCTCACAATGCCATATCCCGTGGTGTTCAATAGTTGATGCCGATTCTATAATATCAAAAGATATGAACGATCGTTCTTTTAGAGACAGTGAGAAGTTCAATAGCATGATGTTGAAGCGTGGAGTTGCAAAATCAGAAAATATGGACGGCAAAGAGGTTATAAAGACTAATTTCGATCAAACTGTTTATGCGACTCGGGGAAGTGGAAAACTATGGACTCCATAAAGTCAGAATTAGTGTTTTTACCAAAATAGAGCTTATACAATGACACCTTCAATTATAAGAGTAATCTCTTTCAAGATATGTGCTAAAACTAGTATTGAGGTACTTTTTTGTCATTGAATGCTAAATATTGCTATATTAGCGTTATTCTCAAACGGAATTTGCTGAAGAATTTTCATTACGTTTCCATTTGTTGCAAAATAATTCAAATCATTATCTCTATACCAGATATATGAGTTTGGCCAATGCTTGCCAAAAAAATACTATTACTCCTTACAAGTACTACCTTCGCGAGCAAGGAAAAATAATCGACTCTGCGAAACTAAAGCGGGATTATCTCTCTATTGTGTTCCAATAGCTACTTTATGAAACAATTATCAGCAAATTTGAGTTGATCGGGGGTAGATATTATTGATAAGATAATATGATACAACCATCTCTTGTTTAGATAGACATGTGATCGGTAGAAGACGGAGCGAAAGCTGATCTGATTATCTAGACAACTTTTGAAAAGTTGCCTAATTAGAGCAACACCAATATGTTTATGAGATTTTTGTATTATTAACTTGCAAAAGAATATATGTAAAAGAACAATTTAAAAAATGCACTCAAAATCTAATTTCTATTGTAGAAATATATATAAACGTAGTGTATATATAATATAATGGAAAATAATAAGACGTGAGAGCGCTTAGTTAACCAAAGCGGAAGCAGTAGCGGATTCGTACTTCCAGTTTGGTGGCAAGACAGCGACGGTTCTGTAGTATCTAGCCAATCTGTGGATTCTAGATTCGATCAAAATCAATCTGAACTTAGCGTCCTTGTCCTTTCTGTTTCTTTCCAAGTGCTTTCTGACAGAGACAGCCTTCTTAATCAAGTAGTACAAGTCTTCTGGGATTTCTGGAGCCAAACCGTTGGACTTCAAGATTCTCATGATCTTGTTACCAGTGATGACACGGGCTTGGGTAACACCGTGAGCATCTCTCAACAAGACACCGATTTGAGATGGGGTCAAACCCTTTCTGGCGTACTTGATGATTTGCTCAATGACAGACTCAGTGGAAGTCTTGAACCAAGCTGGAGCATTTCTAGAGTATGGAATAGCAGAAGAGGAGATACCCTTACCCTGTATTAATTAGAGTTTCCTTTACACTAGCACATTTCAAATGAGGATAGCATTAGATTAGAAAACAATTAATGTTAGTAAAACTGGTTCATAAAAGTAAAATAATAACAGAGGACTTGTAACATGTATTTTATCTTATTGATTCAAATTTATTATTTCCAACCAACACCTGTTGCAAATGAAAACAATAAAAGAGACCTAAAGTAATTCCACCTACTGTTATTTTTTTCGTTCTAACCTTTTCTATCCTCTTTCCTATAAAGGAAAACAAGGTAAAAGGATCACAGCAATTGCTGATACACCAGTTTCTTAAAAAACAGGAGCATTTCTCAAACGGATACATCATGCCGGGATTACGATATTTCTATCTAAAACACCTTCATTATCATCATTATTAAATGATAACGTAGTTCAGACAGAAAATCATCCCTAATAATGGTAAATGCAATCCCCAAAAGAAATCTCCATAGATCTATTTAATAAAACTTGGTATCACCCAGCTACCTATGTCACCCCAATTAAATTTCCTTTCAGTATTTCTGAAAGTAAGATAATTGGTTTGTAATTAGTGCACAGACCGGACATACACGAGACCTTACGATCTCACATACTTTGTGATCCTAAAACTTTGAATTCACCGAAGTGAATGAGGAGAGATAAAGCCAAAAGAAAAGATAACATAAGCAAAATAAGCTAAGTTTCTCTTTCATTCAGATCCTTATCTATTCCATTCTGCATATAAACAGTTGCCAATTGAAATCAATATATTCAAACCATAAGATGCATGTTCACAAGATCCAGGAGTTCTCAGACTTGGAAATATTAGAGACATACGGAACTGTGCATACGACCCATGGCGACTGATTTCGATGTGTGTTTGGTTGATTATATTATAACCAGTACTAAGAATGAAATGAGATGTATGTCAGTAAATACCTGGAAATACCATCATTCAGCTTAAATAGTTTTTGCTCCACTCATCGCGGAAGACCCGATTTTGGTGAAATTTTTCAGAAAAAAATTTGGAATTTGCGTTATAATACGACGTAAACAGGTATATATCACATGCACCATAATTATAAAGTTAGATAATATGGAGGATTACCTAATAAGGTAATTCAACTAACATTGGTGCCAGAAATTACGTAGAACAAAGTCTGGCCCAATTCTGGTGTATGGGTTTTACATTTAGAGCAGTCATAAAGGAAATGTATTATGTCACGTTGATTATATTATTTCCAGCGTGTAATTAAAACGCTGGCCTCTTTTCTCCTAATTCCATCTTTGTAAAAATTATATTGATCTGATTCAATACATCCAGAAATAAAAAAGGATAATAATTAATATCTAAAAATTTATCTTGTCTCGATCTGCGCAATCAATTCCTCAACATCTGAATCATCTTCTAAGCCTGAAGTGACTTCTACCAGCTTAGACGTACCACACTCGTTTCGTATCAACTCGAGAGCACCGGCGTACAGCATCTTCCATTCTTGGGAAACTACTGTTTGTGGTATCCAGTATATTAGAATTAACGGTGTCTGTTTAATACCGTCTTTGTTAGTGAGAGGATAAGCAATAAGAACATACCTTGGCGAGTTGTCCGGCAAAGCCTCACCATAATCAGCTAAACCATCTGCCTCGTCCAATTCTTCTAGTTCATCTTCTTCAATAACTATCTTGTAAGATGGCTTTGGCTCTATCTTTAACGGCAGAGCTTTAATAGTATCGGCTCTAGACGTGGAGATACGAAACTTCCTGATCCTTTCTTTCGTCTCGGAGTCAATCTGATATAAATTAGACATATTTTTTGGTATTGATATTACCGTATATTTCCTTTAACTGACCCAATTGCAATGATATTTGAGAAATTACAAAAATACATTCAAATATAATCGAATCCCCTTTAAAATGGATACATCTTGAATTCACATGATGATTGACACCAGCTACCTCCATACGAAGTTTCAACCTACATACACGATGTTTAAGTCATCCTTTGACGGTAGTCATAATGTAGGTGGCGGCAATGCTGCCAATAGCGACGTGGATATGTGAGAAACTATCTATACGTTGAGCCGAAGAGCAAAAATGACTTATGTGCATTTAAATAAAATTATTATACAGTATATGGCTATAAAAAACTGGCCAGAACCAACAGGGCATGTTGGAGCGTCAGGCACTCGATTTATAGATAGTGAAAACTCCGAATGCGTCAAAGGGTATAAGTAAGATACTTGAAAGAGAGTTGAACCAAATATACATGTAATTTTTGGGGCTCCAAGAATGTGAAATGAGAATCTATCAAAATTTGCAAGGACATCAGGTGACTAGCATAGGATTTCTTGTAAACAAGATATATGAAAAACAACTTAATCAATAACATGAATAGTATACGATTGTAGTTGTAAGAGTACCGCATGTACCTAATAGTTAATTCATGATATCTTGTTCTACTCTAAGTCCACTTGTATGCAAATATGGGGTGCGGGGTGCCGAAAAAGAGGTAACAACAATACTAATAATAATACGAGAATAAAAATAAAAATTTAGGTGTAAAACATCGTCTCATGAATTGAAATAAACAACTTATACGTTCTTCTAATGGCTTAACGCCATATAATTGCGTGAGCAGTACTAGTTTAAAGAGGGCAGATCAAAGAACAAAGTATTTGTCGTCTTTACAATCCTCTGGTGTTCTTCTAATAACTTCCTCTATATCCCATCTTGGGGCTTTACCATCGATACTGGACTTACCAGAATTTAGCTTTAGGTTCAGCTTTTCACCGACTTCATCGACATGGCGTAGAAGATAGTCAATATCTTCCTTTGTAATCGATGCAGACATACAGAACCTAACTCTGGATTCAATCAATGGAGTTGCTGGGTAAGCGACAACCACAACAGCAATCTTACGTTGCAGCATCATTCTGGAAAAGGCAGGCATCTTAGATGGACAGTACAGTAACATTGGGATAACAGGTGAGTCTGGGATACCGTAGACAATGAAACCCAATCTCAATAGAGCCAAACGCAGGTAACGAGAATTGAAAGCTATACGTTCCAATCTCTCTCTACCTTCACCTGGACATATATCACCTTTGATGGTTCTCAATGAAGAAACAATTTGAGCTAGGACTGGGGCTGGGGTTGGCTCAGCGTAACTAGTGGTAGTTAGATCCAATCTCAATCTATCCATAACCCATTTGTCAGTAGCGATGTAACCACCCGCAGCACCGAATGACTTGGTGAATGTACCCATCAAAATATCCACATCATGTGGGTTGACACCGAAATACTCGCAGACACCACGTCCAGTAGGACCAATAGCACCAATAGAATGTGCTTCATCAACGAATAAATAACACTTGTACTTCTTTTTCAAGGCAATCAGTTCAGGTAAATTACACATAGTACCTTCCATGGAGAACAAACCTTCGACACAGATCAAAATCTTCTTCCAAGGGCGGTTAGTCTTTGGCTGACCGAGCACGATTTGATCTCTGATCAACTTTTCCAGGCCTTCCATGTCACCGTGTTTGAATGTTCTTACAGCAGCACCAGAAAGTCTGACACCTGTTCTAATGGATGTGTGGTTCAATTCATCGGAAATGACTAGACACTTACGATCCAGGAACGCGTTGAAAAAGTTAGCGTTTGTACCGTAACCCATCGAGAACACCATGGCGTCTTCCTTACCAACGAAGTCGGCGACCAATTCTTCTGTTAGTCTGTGCAGATCCGTGGTACCGATCTGAGTACGGGAGCCACCGGTATGAATACCGTACTTATCCACGCTCTCCAACGCAGCGTCTGTGCATTGACCTTTACTTTGAGCAAAACCCAGGTAGTTGTACGAGGACAAGTTCAGGCACATGGAAGTGGTGCCTGGGTAAGTGAAGTACTCATTCAAGTTGTGGGAGATACGCGTAATGCAGCGGATAAATCTGCCCGGAACACCAGTGGTCGGCCTGGAGAAACAGTCGTCGATTCTCATCTTCATTCTCCTGGCGAAAAAACTGTCAAAATTGGAGAACCATGGCGCCATACCGTCATGCTCAAGGATATCCAAGTGCTTGTTTCTTTGCAACCTCATACCTAAGAAGTCATGGATGTGCCCCAGGATAATCAGAATCAAATAGTTCAGGTACGTGACCAGAGAGATATAGTAAGGAGGCGTGTCTATCACAGGCTTCCGGATAGGCTTACCCTCCCGCGAATGTACTTTAAACCTATACGCATCAGACGTCAACTCACCAAACTCGTTCTCCTTTTGTTGCTCATCGCTCAACGGCTCGTGCTTGATAAGCGGAACATACTTGTAGTCGCTCACAGTACTACCATTCGTCGACATCTTTTACCGGCTTTATCACTGTCTAGAACTGTGGTTGTTCCTTATGTGGATATAAAATCGGTTATAGCTTATACTTCAGACTGTCCAATTTTTCAGAATTTCCAGCTTGTGTTTTTTGTATTTTTTTTTTTGGCAGTTTTCTAGCTTAGGGCTCCTTCCTTTAACGCCTTTTTTTTTTCAACACCAAATTTTCTCTTGCTTTGGCGTCCCAATGATCTCTCCCTCATTCTCTTAGAGCTTCGCCTCTCACTGGGGGGGGGGGGGTCTGGTCATTGTACGTTATCATCTGAAGCCTTTGATCCAATCGAAGCTGACGAGGCTTTGTTCCCACTGCAACTGCGACTGCGACTGCACAATCTTCTCGAAGAACTTCTTTGATCCATGTCATGGCTCTCATCATTTTCCATTTTTTTCCCATCTAAATCCACAGAAAGTTCCGTAGTGCACGTGACTCTTCCATTTTGATTTCTCAACATTAATTCTATAGAACAGAACTAGGTGATGTTGTTACACGTGATGCTAGACCATTGATATTAACCAATACCAATACATACAGTATATATTACTTACGCTTACCTTATTTATAGTCTTTGCCTTTGTCTTTGCCTTTGCCTTTGTACTGTTGCTCATACTATGTCTCCAATCTCGTACTGGCCTGGGGAGATCAGGCGGAGGTAGTGGTGGCAGGCCGGTGTCTCTTCCGCGACGTGTGCGACCACAAGCACTGTGCCGGGCCAGTGGTCTAGGAACTCGTGGCATTTCAACATTGGCGTGACTTCCATACCAGAGAATGCTTCGTCTAGGACCAGTATCTCTGGCATCTTCACTAGACTTCTCACCAGGAGCGCCAGTTTCTGCTCACTGACACTGAGCTGGTTGATGGTCTTGTCGCGCGCGATCAGGTCCAGCTCAAAGTAGTTCATGTACATATTCACTATGCGCTTCTGGCTATCGTCCAGCTTGTCCCAAAGGGGGAGGAAGTTGTTGGATGACCCCTGGTGGAACCCAGTGGCTATGAATTCGCGGACCGTTAGTCTGTCGGCGCAGTTGTTCAGGATAATGGCATGCAGTTCAGGAGAGGACATGCCGATCCTGCTGTTGATGTCGAAGTAGTTGGATTTGCCTGTCCGGCGGGGCTCCCCGTTCTCTACAACTTTGGAGTTCCACGATTGCGGGTGCTCAGCGGTCAAAAGCGACAGCAGCGTAGACTTGCCAGTACCGTTGTCGCCCCTGATATGCCACTTGGATCCCGGTTTGACTTGCCAATGCAGATTTTCCAACACGGGCTCACCCTTGTATGTAACACCTAGCCCCTTCAATTCAATTGTGGGTGGCATCTTGATCATCTCGTGGGAGGCACAATTGTACATTGGGTGTGGCGATATCAGATCGTCAATAGAGTATTCCTCACTCGCACCAGAAAGTCCAATCTCTTTCCTCCTTTGCGTTTTGGCATTCTTTAAGTCCTCAATCACAGAGGCCCTCTTGTTTTCGATAGCGTCTCTATATTCGTTAATTGGTCCTTGGAACTTGATGCCAGACTCGGGGTCGACACAGCATATGTGTGTACACCAACTTGGAATTGTATCCTGGTACCGTAGACCTATCACAACAGGAGAATGATAGCTGTTTTCTTTGCCAGCACCACCCCAATTGCTCAAGAACTTGGAGATGATTGCTGTGGCTGTGGGATCCAGCCCTAAGAAAGGATCATCCACCAGTATCAAATCTGGCTGTTTCAGTAAACTTCTAGCCAAACGGGCTCTCCTCATCTGCCCATTACTCAGTCCCATGGCCCATCTATTCTGTAACTCTTCAAGCTTGAGTTCCCGGACCAAAAAATCATAGAGTCCCATATCCACTACCCTATCAGTTGTACTGACATCGTACTCCACTGCATTCGAGCCAATGGCATTGTCTAGGATAAACTTCTTACAAGTCTGATCGAATTCATCCTTGAAGAACTCATAACGAGCACTGAGATGCGCAGTTGGAATGGCACCTTTAAATTGAACCTGCTCAATGCGAGGCAGCGTAACACCATCTTTTGAGACATTGTACTGTAACGACAGTGGGGGGTCACATAGGTACTTGTTAGACAACACATTCATGAATTTGGCCTTACCGTTACCCCAGATGACCCATTTCTCACCAGTGAGTATCTCGAAATCTTTAACCGGCTTGCTGAACACTGGCGGCACATTCTTCATCAGAGAAGACCTAAACAGCGCATTGGATATCTTCAATACGCTTTTGCTCATTTGTATAATGCTTCTCTAGGGATCTTGCAGACTTGTTCACTATAGTAATGACTCACTTTTATCACTCTTTTCAAACGTTCGGCTTATATACTCTTAATCTATAATTCGCTAGGTAGAGTAATCACAACAACACTCCAATAGGGACAAACTCGTTACTAGAAAGGCAGCTATGGTAATTTGCAGATGTTATAGCTACCTAAATATGATACTACGCTTCTTGCGGTACTTATAGCTACATTATCCACAGCAATGCTATGTTTCTCCTACCGAACGCATAGTGTAGGCATCAATGCTATCAATGCGAACCAGAAACCAATGCTAAATAAGTAACTCAATTATAGATACCTTGAGTAGTAAGAATTGCAATAGTTATTAAATTATTCGGGTCCAATTCACTACTAATATTCTTGCTATTCATACTATTATAGCAACAGCTCATCGAGGGTCCCCATGAAAAAAAATAAAATTTTGAAAAAGTTTGGAAAAAAGCTGCGAAGTATGGGAAGTGGCAGCTATAAGTGAAGAGATTAGAGCTGTAATTAAAGGGTTTTGCTTCACACTACAAGATACCCAAACTAACACCAATCAGGAACTAAATGCTTTTCTTTTCATTTTTCAAAACTCTTGTTGATCAAGAGGTGGTTGTTCAGGTATGTTAGCCATTACTAATACAAAGTAATACTAAGCAAGGATACAATAGCAACAGTATCCTAGACAAAACAAAAACCGTACATCTACTAACATTTATGTCGAAACTCCATATAATTACTCCATTATCAATGTAAAGATGAGATACATGTGGAATTCAACAAGTGGTCAATCCAGCTAAAGAATGATATAGAAATAAAGGGCACTTTGCAGTCAGTAGATCAGTTTCTTAACTTGAAACTGGATAACATATCATGCAATGATGATAAGAAATATCCACACCTAAGCTCTGTGAGGAATATATTTATCAGAGGTTCTACTGTGAGGTATGTTTATCTAAACAAGAACATGGTTGACACTAACCTACTCCAGGATGCCACCAGAAGAGAACACCTAAGTGATAGAAAGTGAACATAGACTGGTATTGGAATTTACATCTTATTAATAGCGGTCCATTTTGACTACTGGCATATCGTTTACATCTCAATTGATGTAATAAATAGAGCCCGATGAAAAACCCAGGACAATAGTTCCTAAAAAACGTCATTCTCTTTTCATTATGTGTAACATATATAAGACCTTTTAATGTTTAAAGAATTATTATATGAAGTTTTGATATATTCAGAGAACGTTTATCTGCTTTTGTATATCTATGCTGAATTATATCACACTTGCGAATGGATGCTCTTTAAGTCAACCAAAGTCGCCAAAATATGAATTGCTTTCTTAGCATAATTTTGCCAAAAAAAATTGTGTTCAGAATTATAAATTGAGTTCTTTCTAGATGTAAGTTAGTAATGAGAAACCAAATTAAAACAATGATAAAAGAATGTCTAATCTTGAAACTCTGAATTATAAGAGAAATGCCGCGAAGAGGCAAAAAAAATTAAATGATTTCGCCCAGGATCGAACTGGGGACGTTCTGCGTGTTAAGCAGATGCCATAACCGACTAGACCACGAAACCATATTAACTTGTTGGTATAAACGAATGAAACTGACAACCAAACAAGATAGAAATGTTGCCAAAAAATGAATGATGGTATTGAGATATCCCAACTCATCTTTAAAATGGTTCTTGTTGGTTCAAAACACATATAATTTGATTTCCATATCTTTGATTGTGGAACATAATTATAAGAGACCTGAATAAATACAACCCTTAATGTGCCATAGAATGTTTGCATGTTAGAGTTTGAGGAATTCATATCGACTGTGTATACTAAATTGCTTAGCCAACTTTTAAAGGTAGAGTGTGCGGATTGAAATGATTACACATTTCTGTGAGTTAGCAGCTCATAGAAACTATGTGTTGGCCCTGTATAGACACTCTTTGCGGAATGTCTCCAGAATAAATTCCGGTTTTGTGAAGCATAAAATGAAGAAGGTTATAACTAATGAAGCCCGAAAACACAAGAATGATAAGTCCAGCTGGTCTATATACAGAAGACTTAAGGAGCTAAAGTTATTAAGTGACAAGCTAGAGGATGATCAAGTAAATGACGCCTATAATTTGCTGGATAGCTTCATGAAATCTGTTAAGAAGCCCAAAAATGAGTTGAAAGGCCATTTAATGAAGATAAGAACTGAGATTGAAACTAACAAAAACATACAAGATAAGACCAGGTTGACAAGGTTAAATTTATTACATCGATATATCGCAAAGAAACAACAAAATCAATTGCTAACTAAGCATATTCCAGATGAATACAAAGAAAAGTTACTTCTACCGTTAGCCTTGCATGAAAAAGGTATACTTCGATTGGCAGCTATAAGGAACCAGTTCAAGAAGGGAGGATATCACGCAAAGCTTTCATTCACGATGGCGGGCAAAACCAGGATTTGGTTTATTAGATCAATGCTCAACAAGAGGAAGAAACAGTCCTTGCGCCTACGAAATCTAATTACCTCGGAAAAGAGGAGGTACTTGGAAGTGTGTAAAATAGTAGAATCATTGAATGAAAATGCAAATTGGGCTCTTCATGAAGCTATATGGGAACGTTATTTAGATGATGGCTATCTACATGCAACATCTTCAAAAGGCTATTTGAAAATGGTGGAAATCGAAGATAATAGCGTTAAATTGCAAAACCAAAACGATTCCAAAGTGGTAAAATGTCAACGTCTCCAACAATGGCTAAGTCCAATACAGTCTTCTATACTAAGTTTGGAAAACTATTTGAACCAAAGACAGATGAAATATGCTAAGCTAAAGACAAAAATCCTGGAACCTAAAGGTGTCTATGACTACTATCAAAAAAAATCCAAGCGTGTCTTCCAAAATCATATGAAAACATATAAAAGAATGGTTAAAAACGAGCTCCCGTTTGTCAATCCCTTCATTGAAAGGCTGTCAATAGGCTCAATACTGAAAAGAAATGGGATTAATGTAAAATACTGAATAACCGAAGAACACACACAAATTTATATATCTTAGCATATTCATTATGCAGTTTATTTCCGTTAATAAATATTATTCGATCGTATCCCCATTGTACATAGTTGTGATGTGATCCCATCAAGGTCACTAATTTCGTCAGGGTCAAGTACTTCTTCAAATAATCTAATCCGATACTTATAATCTGGAGAATCTTCGTCATAACCTCTTCTCAAATGAATACCTATTCGACATTCCAAGTCCTCATCAAATAGCTGCCTGCTAATATACTGCGAACAATTCTGATGGTACTCCGAGCAGTATGAACTTGCTTCATTTGATGTGTATCCACCTTGAATCAACGTCAACCGACATAGTGGGTACCCACACTTTCCAGCGTTAATATTTCTAGACAGCACTATCATCCTGTATGTCAAAGGAGTTAAAAACGCACATATATACTTCAGAACAGTACCGTTTGCACAATCTGTCATAGTAAGCAACTGCTGCAATTTCTCAACTATCATCTCACCTTCCTTCTGGGACAGCTGGTAATGCGTACGGTGATCCCGAAGAATCAACTGGACATCTTCTATCGTTGCCATTCGCCGTATATTTGACTTGCTTTAACAATACCTATAGCATTCTAACTCAATAAAATACCCACTTTTAGGTCCACTCCTATTTATACTGTCTTGCCTAAACCTCTTTGACCATTTTCCTCCTTTTCAGCATGGACGACCCCCTGGCCAAGTCACTTATAGGAGCATTAAGATGAAAAGACAAATAAACATAATAGTTGAACATCTCTGTTCTACATTCTTGTTTAACTGAGTATTCACTATGAACAAATCTATGAGGGCCACTTAACTAATCAAGTTACCTATAGTGCGGCAATATGATCTTTTAAACGCTATGGAATGTCAATTTGGGCAATGGTTTTGGCATCGGTGAAGGACTATCATCATGCTTTCCATCATCTATATCCTTCTTATCTCTCTTCTTGACTACTTGAATGGCCATCCATGGAACTTTGTTCCTCAGATCAACATTCTCTATTTGTATCTCTGAGCTGAAGTTCTCAATGAAGTTACGCTCATGGATGTTTATGCTGGAATTATATGCTAAAAATTCATTCAGAATTGAGACTGTGCTCCAGTATGATAGTTTCCTTAGGCATGCCACAACCAAGGAAGTAATCAACTCACCATTTGTGCAATGCATGTAGCAAGGATAATGCTGCTTGTCAACTAGAAATCGGGCACATTCCTCAACTACAGTGTATTCAATTGGAACAGTCTTCTTCTTCCTCTTGACTTTAGGTTTAGTCTTATCCTTGCTCTTCTTCTCATCTTGACACAGTATATGTATCATCTCAATACCATCCTCTGTGCAAAACCGACTCATAACTGGGTCTTCCGCCAAAGAATGCGGCGTCAGAGATACTACATACTTGAGTCTCAGAGACCGTAAAAACGGGATATTCAGCTCTCGAGGGTAGCTACCTCTATACAAATTGGGCTGAACAGTACTGAATTGCAATGGTGTTATCAGAGACATCCCTGGTAGTAATAGTGGTAAAAGAAGACCGATTCACTTCCGAAGAGAAGTTCCTAGACGTAGAAAACTGTAGTTAAAAGAGAAATCAAACTCCAATATATATATCTATTGCTATATCTAACGGGATCAATACTTATAACTATAGATGACTATTCACCAAATTATTCCTTTCAAGCATTAAGCTCATCACTTGGAATTTTTCAACAAGGAAAAAGCATTTGCCAAAAGTAAAAGTCATAAGGATAAACCCAATGGGTTCAAGAGTGAAGGGCATCCCAAAGCATATGCATATGTAACAGTAAGAGACCACAGCTTTCTGGCAATTAAGCATTGTACCATGGATTTTGCAATTGAACAAGATGATACTTTAATTAGCAGCACTTCTAAGGCGGAAGTTAAGGATACCAAAGTGGATGCTGACAAGGGGACGCCCGCGACCAGAGGTCACAAGAGGGAAGACGCCAGTGGAAAATCAGCTGGTGAAGCAACAGGTGAAATAATAGGTGAGACAGCTGGTGAAGTTACTGGGGAAGATGTCAATGTGAACAAATACTTTGATGAACTGGAGGACAAAGTTACTCAACAGTACGAGAAGACATCAAATGTCTTAAAGAAAATAGTCAAGGAGAGGGATGACGGCATTGAATTAAACCTGGGTCTTGATCCAGAGACTAGTGCCAAAGCTCAAGAATATATTCAGAAGTTGGATGAGAATTTGCAATCAGTGGAGAAATTGGCACAATCTTATTGGAGTAAGATGAGCGTCTCTGTCAGTAAATCAGTCACGGAATCATTAAGCACTGGGAAAGCTGCAATTGAGAAAGTTCAAAAGGAGAACAATGCGGGCTCCTTTTGGTCCTCTTGGAAACCCATGCTTTCTGGTGTGATAGGCTCTGAGGATGAGCCCTCTACTCAGAAGGACCTTAGCGTTGGTGCGATGGGTGGTAACCGAACTGAGTTAGAACTAAGGATGTTAGAGACAGATAAATCTATTTACACAAATAACAAATTACCGCTTGATAAAGAATTTAATGCCGATAGCAAAACCGTAGAGATTGCCAACCTAATAAGAACTAATAAGGATTTAGAAAAAATGATGAATGAGCTGGTTCCTAAGGAAGTACCATATGCAGATTTTTGGAATATTTATTTTACACATCAGAAGAGGATATTGGAGATGGAAGAGAGAAGGAAACGGATATTGGAGGAAAAGCTCAAAAATGACGACAATGCAGATGAAGAAGTGGCCTGGGACGATGATGAAGATGAAGGTATAACGGCACCTGCTGCCGATGCTGAACAGCAATCAATCAAGGAAAAGAAAATATCTGAAACTAAATCTGAACAACCTGTTGAGAAACAACCAAAGGAAGTTAAAGAAGCTGTCACCATACCTGCTGTTGCTGGAGATGATGACGACGAAGATGATTGGGAATAGATTTATCTATATCGTGATTATAATGCATCATATCTCTCTGCAGTTTTATAACTCTTACAATAAACTAATTAGGCAAATTGTATAACGTTTTATCATAATGTCATTATTGAATATTAAACTTTTAAAAAACAAATGTATCTATATACCATGCACCCTACGATAAAATAAAACATACGCATTTGAATTTACAACCTCGGACGTTTTCTTTACTAATCTATAATTTTGATCATCAAAATAATACCAACCTCTTGATAGTCCCTTATTAACATAAGAAGTATAATGCCCACCATACAAACTTCCAAAATGATTTGCAACGGCATAAAGACTATATTTGAAAGGAGGGATTTGACCTCTTGCTGGTAATTCATCAATACTTACACCCGGTGGTAGTCGGTCATCTTTATCGTTCGCCCAAAATGATGTCAAATCCAGGTTAAAGGGATAATCAATTAATTTAGTATTCTTGTTCATCCTATTATCGAACCTTTTAAGATGGATTATGAGGTTACGGGGTAACCTAGTAATTGTTAGTTGCTTTGTTGAAGGCTGCTTTTTTTTACATGTCGGACAGTTCCAATATTCATCATGTTCCAGCTTCTCACATTTTGTAAATTCATTAAAACAGTCCATTAAATTTACCGAAGACTTGGTACCGGTTGGGAGCGGGACTGATAAGACTGAAAAGGGCTGGTATGTCGTCGAAGTATTGGAACAGACACTACACTTTAGTCTTGATGCATATTGCCCTTGGAATAAATCGATTATTACACTGAAGTTTGTAGTCAAAAATCTCTCCCATTCAATTGACGATGCAATTCTTAAAGATAATAATTCCCTCTTCTTCTCAGCTTCTTCAGAAAGCTCTTTTAATGGGGGGTTATTACCGCATTGATTCAAGTCCTCATGCAATCCATCCAATAAGAATTGACAGAACTCTTGACAGTCTTGTTGATTTGTATTTCTAAACATAGAATTTATTGAAGCGATCGCCATTCTAAATTGTGTCGGTCTAACTATAGCAGCTTTTTTTTCTTGATCATAACTAGTTTGGTGCATAATATGTGCAAGTCTAGCAAAATATCTCGCTAAGACTCCCTTAGAACCTAATTTACTGTTAATATTAATGTGCTTCTCGTAGGAGTTATTTAAAAATATCTGTGACAGTTCATTTGTACCCATAATGCATTGCAAGATACAATTCATATAGCACGAATTGCCCATATTTTCCAAACCCACGGTAAAGTTCAAGTCATAATCCTTCTTTGTATTAGGTAACACTGAATGATTAAATTTTCTGCCAGTAGGACTTGACAAAACTTCTTTGATTGTTGCATTGCTAGAGCTTCTGAGACCTGTCGGTGACTTAGACACATCATCTCCAACAAATGTTAAAGAACTTGGTGAAACAGATTTGGCAGGACCAGGACTCATAGCTTGCGTTTTTGTCGTTTTGATAACAGGGTTACTGGGATAAGAAATAGGCATTGGCTTTAAAGGTGGGTCAAGAGATAAACCTGATAGTGATCGGTCATTAAAGCTGTTTGGATTTAATTTGGTATCGTTGTACAAATCATTAATTGGAGCCATTGGTGTTGATACAGACCTTGTATGAGACCCTAAGGACATTGAAGATGTTCTCTTTTTATTAAAAAAATTTTTGAAGCTTGAACTTCTACTAACCTTACGTTCTGTAGGATTTTGGTAGATATTGTTATAGCCCTGAGTTACAGCTTCTGGCCTCATCATTGCCATCATACTTGAATCCATGGAGTTACTGACACTAGGAGTAAGTTCAGGGAGCTCCTGCAAACTTAAACTTCTTAAATCACCTGATACATAAACACTGTCGTCTTTTGTAGTTATAACTTCATTTGATTCACCTGAAGACTCTCTCGTACTATCCATCAAGCTTTCTTCACTATCATCTCCGATGGATTTCTCATGGTCATCACTATGTTCTACTATATAACCATCTTTACACCAAGCCTCAATCCCATCCTTATGAACAAGCAATCGGCTAAAACGACCGTTTGGCTGCATTGTGAGGTATTGGTATAAAATTTCTTTCAGACAGTCCAGTTTACTGGAGTATGACTTCAACAAATCGCTTGAGAGAGCAGTTGTAAGAATAATGTACTTGAAGTTTGACAAATTTCCGAGAAGTAAGATTTCATCTTTTGGTGCAGTTATCATTGATCTCTTTACTAAGTCTCTATAAGTATAATTCTCACTGAATGCAATGGGCTCCAAACAGAGTATATTTTGAGCGCGAATATGCACATTATTGTAACTTTCCCTTTCTCTGACATCTATTATCAGTAAATCATTGCTATTTTGTCGCAAAAGCTTGTCCAATTGGCTGCTATTGATATGTGCACAGAGCTGGGGCTGATCATTTTCAGTTAAAGAGCTTTTATCAGAAGGTGTATGCTTCTCTGAGACTTGTTTTTCATTATAATTACTTTCATTGACCTTCAGTATAGCCTTTGAATGATGAATAATTTCAATAGTTTCATCACTAATCAGTGATGATAATATGACATTATATATCTGTAAGAGTTCCGATTCAATTGAGCCTGCTTTTTTCTTTATCGTATTCTTTAGGCTTTGGAACTCAGCTAAACCAGGAATAACGTTAGTCATTAAGATATGAACTATCTTATAGTAAAAGTAAGCATGAACATATTGTATATCCAAATTTCCATGACTTTTTTTCCGTATAGCTTTTGTGCATTCATTAAGTTTTGACAAGTGATCTAGGCACTGATCAAGCAAGTATTTCATTTCATTATTCGTGACATCTGTACCTTTTGGTTTCTTACCGTTACTAAAAGAGCTAGTACGTTTCAAAGTACGCATAATAACAGCATCGCACCGACTTTCTTGCACTATAAATTCTACCGCCTCTTGCGCCTTATTAATCAACTGCGGGAGACCTATGTGCACGTCTATGTCGGGGACATTGCTTGGCACCATCTGCATCAAATAACTAACAAAATAGCTTAACTTAAGACCTATTGCGTGATGTCTGAAACAAAGATATGAGGTACAGTCTTACTTGAGAATAAGTCTGCTATCTATGTATAGCCCTGTATTCTATTAAACTCGCTTTCAATACCAAATTCCACTTATGAATCGCTCACACTACCGCAAATACTAGAGATTATTATAGTTGAAGTATTGTAGAGCACTTGGCGTCTACTTTGCCACTAAATAAAACTGACTTACACCTATTTTGGTACCTGAGTCTTTATATATGGGGGCAAATGATCTGGTAATGGGTGCGACTAGTGACGGTCGCCCTGAAAATGTCGTACAAACCGTTATTTCCTTTGATAAGCATCGCATCTGAGAAGTATCTAGAAAATCACATGACTAATTAGATATTTATAAAAAAATAGAGCAATGAGTCTTACCATTTTAACCTCCGATACCCAGAACTCTGAACTATGGGTTGCAAGTGCCTATTAATGACATACTTATCTTTTTTATTAATTGCGTCTTTTCTAATTTTGGTAGTTGATGGCAAATTAGTACTGGCTGAGTGATCCAACCTAAAAACAGTTAACAAAGTCAGTTATATTATAAAAATAGAGATTAAATAGTATTTCATTATTTAGTTAAATAAGAAATTTAACTGAATCGATATAAATAATCCTGTTAACACAGTTGCTAAAGCGAAGCAAAATACTTGGTCTCTAACCAATTCTCCATTTTTCACTGGAAGTCCAACATTTTATAAGAATATGAAAATTAAAATAAGTAAAATAATTTATCCCTACAATTTAGTAGACACCATCATCTGGTCTATTCTGCTCAATTCTTGCGTTCTCACCCTTTTCTCTTAAGTCATCACACTTGTAGTTATGGGATTTGGTGCTCTTACCGTGTTCAAGTTGTTCAAGATCTTTTTGGTTCTCATCGAACATTTTTTGTTCAGCTTTCTCAGCAGCATTTTGGTCTTTCTTCAAGTGATCCTTGGTGAATAACTGGCGTGTAGTGGATAGAAATCTTGCGCATTCAGGTTGGCGAACAGATACTCTAGTATTGGCAATGACTTGTCTCAACATGGCTTTAATTTTTTTGCAGAACTTGATGGGGATGTTATGTATAGCTTATGTATGTACAAAGTAAAAGAGTATACCAGAATCCTAAAGTTGTAAGAGAAGGGATGCTATATATTCAAGGTATTTATACTACCAACCAGCATTAAATGAAATTAAGAGTCCTTCTTTTCCAATAACTAGGCAATCCAATATACTAACTGCATTTTGCGTGCAATGTATGGCTATTTTCAGTTCACACACCCCCTTCTCCGGCAGATACAACTTGTATTAGAGTCCTACGACTACAATATATTCCGGTTTATATTAACTTTTACGTACTAATAGCGAGGGACTATCAAAACTCATATTCCTGGTCCCCGTTATATTACTAGCATCCCAATAATCTACCCACTCTCCCCTAAGGTTTCTTTACATCTTTAGTGCCAAAAAGAAATGTGAATAGGCATTTGACAGGTTTACTAACTATTAAAGGGAAGAATTAAATTGAAGACACACAATGTAAATAGGTGAACAGCATGACCTAGCCCCCATTTACCTCCACACAATGTTATTTTCATTCCCCACTTAATACAGTAACTTCTGGGAATAGCATGTAGACCCTACTGAATGAGCGAACACAAACATATTAAAATCGACTATGACATATACGACATGGTTTCTACTAACGCAAAATAATGCTCGGGTTAAAGACAATAAGGAAATTCTCAGGAATCCAGTCATTGAAATATAAACCTTTTTGTGGAGCACTAAGAGTACCCTCAAAGATTAGTAAGCAATCATGAATATAGTTATCCATGTGGGTACAACAATAAAATTATTTAATTGCTATTCCCACCCATCATCTATGATTACAAACAGGATAATAAAAATTATTTGCGTGTAAGAAATCATATATAGTACATAATTGTAATTCAGTTTCCTATATTCTTATATTTATCAAAATGGTTTGATAGTTTTTAACAGAATGAATATTATGGTGGAAATAGTTCATTCATTCTTTATCTTTTGACTCGATTTCATTATTGAGAAAGAATTTATCTTATTGTCATTCATATTCAGCTATCATATTCTTCCTTGACTAGTTCTCTTTCCATGTCAATCCACTTGGTATTGCTGAAGTCAGGATCCTTTGTGACTTCCTTGTTTTCAGCAATAACTTTGAATCCTATTCTCTCATAGAAAGGTATCAAGTGTTCATGTGCAATGATCACAATTCTGTTACCAACTTCTTGGTTGCTTAGCTTTTGGATGTAATCAGTTAATAGCAAAGTGGCAAGGTTTTTTTTCTGATATTCTGGATCAATTACTAAAGAGTGTATAGCAATAGTACTACTACCTTCCACATGTGAGCCTGCTTGCATGCTGCTCAAAGTAATAAAACTACCCTTGATTTTAGTACCCATAACATGCCCTATCAACTTCTCATCTTTGATATCTTTTCCGTTGGAGTCCAATTCTCTAATAAAAAGTCCCGAACATAGCTCAGGACAGGTCAATAAACGGTACTCAATGGTTTTCTCAGATGCTCTTTCATGAGGTGGGAATCCTTTGCTCTCCAGGGCAATAACTTGATCGCTGTCCTCAATGATCAGAGGTCTAATGTACATGTGCAAAGGAAGTGTTGGTGAGGCCATTTCTAGTATTTAATCTCGTTCACAGATTGGAATGCTAAATCAAATAATTTGATCCAGATAATAAAATTAATATAAAAACGAGACAAAGAACAATAAAGTAATGCTGATCAGTGATACCTTCATTAATAGATCATGGGACCTGCAAGATATGCATTTCAGTGCCAGTATCCATTGCACACACAGCATTTCTCAATCCCTCTCTCTGAGTTTGCTCGGCCCACTGACTTTTTCCTTTGTCATTCTGCTATTAGCAGTTTCTAGGCACGTGACTGACAGTTATACACACAATGTCCTATTGTAATACTGACATACTACTGCGCTGGACCTAACGATTTTGAATAAATCACCATACATCTTTTATTTATTTGTATTTTAATTCAACCAGGAATGTATATTAGACGGGAGAAAATATATGAGGATACTAATTAAAAGGTAAGAAATAAGAAAGATTATAAATAAATTTATAAGGTGCCAAAAATGCATAGTGTAAGGAAGATTTAGTAAGTAGTTTCTTGGAAATGTTCCATACTAATAAAACCCAGTCCTTTCCCCAATAGTAAAGCTGCAGTATTATAATGAAAAGTGGATAAAAAATACAATTGAAAGAAAAAAAAGTAGAAGATTATTAGAATGCAATGCTTTTTAAAAATGAAAAATAAAAGATGAAATCAAAACAGAATATAATGTGGGCAAGTAAAATGATCATATCTGATGAAAGAAGGTATGTGTAGTCTGTTAGAAACATTTTCTATGAGAGCGAAAATGATAGATGCTTATGCTAATGGATCAAAGAACCATTCCCATCTAGTGCCTTGGAAAACTCTCATACCCATGGTTCTTGCCTCATTTCTGGAATCGAACTTCAGACCTCTTCTTAGGTCATACCATTCCTTTAGCACACGGGGTTGCAACAAAAAGTAGTTGATGATTGTGTAACTCACTAAGGCATAAATTTCACCAATGAATAGGTCAAATCTCCAATGATGGTCCAGGTACATTGTGGTCCACCATTGTACACAGATGAATATAGATGCCAGTAGTGGTGGCAGGATACCGGTTGTAATTGGCTTCAAGTACCATTTGCTAGTCAAAGTTGTGTCTTCGACGTAAGTTTCCACAAATACGCTTGGCTTACTGTCTCCGAAACGTAGCTGTTGCTCTTGCTCTGTGGCACCCATGTTTTCCAAGTCTTGCAAGGGATACTCTTCCGTTCCAGACAGTGTGCTGCTGCTATTCTTTGTGGCGAAAGGTGATTGCTCCTCATTTTTACTCACGTATGATTCTTCATCTCCTTCGTTTTCGGAGGCCAAGTTTAGTGGTGATCCCGACTGCGAGAGTCTGTCCTCCTCTGAGATGTCATATGGGGTGGAGTGCTGCTCGCCGCCGTGGTTACTGCGGAGTCCCGTACGCTTGGCGAAAGTGTGCTTCAATGTGGTGGCTCTGAAGCACAGGAACAGGAAGCACTGGAAGGCGATGGCGCTGTGCAGAGAGGGCACCGCGCCGAACACAATAGGGGACAGGTGGAAGCCGTTAGTGTTCAGGTGGGTTCCCAAGTGGGTGTCCACACGGGTCAGACCAGCTGCGTACCCTTCCTGTTGGTAGTTGACGTGCTCCTTGTCGTCTATGCCGTACATATGAGTGAACCAAGGCGATGCCATAGGCAGCAGCAAGTGTGTGCACACACCGGCCATGTTCTGCAAACCCAAGGCGAACCCGAAGCATTTGACCACACCGGGTGCATGAAATACGTATAGGTATACCGCTGTCAAGATAGGAGCTGTCAAGTGCATGATAACGTAGAAGAACCAAGCGATCATGTCCTTAGTCTTGGTGAAGTTCTCTTCTTCTTGAACTGCGAAGTGGTGCGCCACGTTCAAAGCGCAGTATGACAAGATGGGCAATGCGAATGGCATGATGTACCTGTTCTTGTACATCTTTGGAGTGAGGCTATCGTACCACTCGTAGATGTTGTAAGATATGCGTTTCACTTTATAGAGGTAAAACCACACGAGAGCGGGAATAACCATCAGGGACAGCGCAAACAACGCCGTAGTCACAAAAGAGATGTTGACCAGGTCTATGTCGTCGAGTTGCTCGAGGAATTCATACCAGAAATCACCGAACAACAGCTGATCCAGGTAGAAGGCACAGCGGGAGTGGATCGCCGGCCGTATATCAGTGGGTATCCATTGCGCATGGTGGAAAACAAACAACCACAGGAAGATAGGCGAGAAGTTAACCGCAAAATTGAGCGGAAGTGTCAGCAAGTTCCGCTGGTTCAACCCTGACAACACCACAGACTTAACAAACCACAGAATATCTATCATTGCATACAGGTTTTTTTAGTTTTCTTGTGTCTTCTCTTTTTTTTTTTTAATGGTTTCTTTGGTATTTCTATATCTATTGTTATGATGTATTTATGAAATATTTTTTCCCTTCTCTTCTTTACAAGGCTATTGTTATTATATAGTCTTGGATGGAAATGCAATCTTGCACACTATGCCTCTTCAAGGTGAGTAAGCCTTTTAGAGTACTTTTTTTTTGTCTTTCGTCGTTGTGATTGCAATGAGCTTTGGTGTAAATTCTTTCCCATCTATTAGTGTTTAGGCCCAATCCCAGGATTAAGTTATGGGGATAGCCTCTCAGGGTTTTGTTAGGAGATATACAGGTCTATACAGTATACAGTACAAAGCATACAGGATTTCCCTTGTAACTTGGCTGTGCTCGCACTCACAGCTAGGACAATACACTATGGATTGCCCTTTTTGTCTGGATAAGCCCTAAGGTATTGCCCCTTCCGCTATCTTCCTCCCTGCACCATTGTACTGGCACTGTATGGAGAATAAGGAAAAAAGAAATTTTTAGTTTCTTCTTTATGACACCGGTTGTACGCTACTGACTGGGGGGGGGAAAGAGCTTGCTTTGTATTGCTTTTTTTCTTCCCCCCCCTCGCTTGTCCGCAGCAGTTATTGGCGTTTTCCTTCCCTCTACAGCGTTTTCTACTGTCCTTCTCTATCGGCGGAGCCTGCAAGCTGCTCTCAAGGGGTCCCCCCCCTTCCAAATTTCTTTTGGTAATTCTATGCGTTGTTCCTGCCGGTTCTCTGCATTTGCTATTGTGTGGGGAGAGGGAAGGGTGTTGTTTCTTTATTATGCTTTCTCTGCACATTGCGCTGTGTGCTGTGTGTTGTGTATTCAGTATACTCTGCGCATTGCACTGTGTACTCAGTACTCTGCAGTCCCCCGTTGCGGCTCCGTTTCTTGCTTTTTTCTTCTTCGGCACGCGAAACTAGAAACTCGAAACTAGAAACTCGGGATGGACGCTTCGGGAAGAGGGAAGATTTCGGGTTTTATCGTAGCTCGTAACTCTTTACTGACGATGGACGGGACTTCGCTCGATCCGTGGAAACTTCTCTCCATCATACGTATCGTGTTATATAGTCACATGGTGTTTAGTATATAGTGCTAGTATCTTTTTTTCCCTTACTACTCCCCACATCTAACCACTATAAGCCGTCGATGCAAAAAAACAACAACAACAACAACACTACAATAAAGTCAGCATAATAAGTATTGTCAACGGGAGGAAGACTAGAGAAAGGGCTTAGCGATCATTAAAGATGGACGTGGATGAACAGAAACAGTATAAAGTACAGCTCTTGCTGCATGTGAACAGTCTGTTGCTGGCGAGAGCCCTGCGGCTCTCGCAACAACAAGACCAACTGCAACATCAACCACAGTATCTAAAGCGCATACACGCTAACTTACAATGCATATCTCAATTGAACCAAGGTCTACCGAACGCTAAGCCTATGATAATGGACCCGCCGCCTCAGCAGGACTCCCCACAACAAGATATACTGGCAAAACTATACCTACTAATGGCAAGAGTGTTCGAAATATGGTAGTCATCGAATAAATAAACCATCCCTTGTACTATATATTCCCCTGCATAAACAACCAAGTACTCGCCTTTCTGCTTATGACTAACAACATCTGCATGTATAACCCCCCCATTTATACAGTTTGTAATTTACGTATACTAGAATTTAATTCTTTATGAAAAAATCATTTTAACAATAGATACCATCCCCTCCCACTTCAAGCTACAAATTCTCCGTTACTTGCACTTGCACTTGCACTTGCACTTGCACTTGCACTTGCACTCACAAATGACTTGACTCCCTAATATAATATACCTTTATATACACTAATTATTGCCCTTTCAATTATAGAAAATCCCCTTGGTACAATGGAAGAACGCTTCTACTTGGTGGGGACCCCCCTCTACCCCACCTCATTTAAACTGCCCCTCACCTCCTTCCCAATTAGGAACTATACAACGTCTTCCAGAAGAAATATTTTCCTTCCTGCTCAAACTTCGAAAGGAAAATAGCGATACTTTTGCATAGCCAATTCGTCATCGGACAAAACCTCTCGTACTTGCAATTGTTAGTGAACCTTACACCGACAGTTGTATCACTTTTTTCTATCACACACTCTGCCCCCCCATAACAAAGGCCTTGCAGAAATTCCTTTCATCCCTTCCTCATCTGTCCCCCTTACTTTCTGGCAATACCCACCCCCCATTAAAACTAGTTATATATAAAAAGATTATAAGTTATATTTTGCAACAAGCCTTTCAAATAGTCCAATAGTTCGATTTGGCACAGCACAGCAATTCAAGAAAAAAAGATGACCGTGCCCGCTACTAAGAAACAAAGAATCATCAATTGTGTATCGCAATTGCCATACAAGATACAACTGGGCGAAACCAACGATGACTGGAAGATCACCCACGTAACGGGTAACAGCGCCCTATACTCCTCCCTGGACTACTTGAACTACGACTTGCAAGGAGAAGTCGAACACCACGTTGTCGGCTGGACCGGCGAGGTCACCAGGGAAGCCAGCGTTCCTAACTTCACTAAGGAGGACAAGGACAAGCACGATGCCAGTGAGGAAGACCCCATGTACTTGACTAAAGAGCAGATTAGCGGCTTGACCTCTACGCTGCAAGACCAAATGAAGGTCGAGGATAGCAATAGCACAGTACACCCAGTCTGGCTGTTGCGCAGAGACCAGAGCAGGTGGAGATCCTACGCGGAAAAGGTCATCTGGCCTACTTTTCACTATATCTTGAACCCTTCTTCTGCTAATATTCAGCAGGAAAACAATTGGTGGTACGACTACGTCAAGTTCAATGAGGCTTACGCCAACAAAATTGCAGAAATTTACCAAAAGGGGGACATCATTTGGATTCACGATTACTACCTGCTGCTACTTCCACAATTGCTAAGAATGCGTTACGACCAGGATGTCGCCATTGGCTACTTCCACCACGCCCCATGGCCAAGTCATGAATACTTCAGATGCTTGCCCCGTAGAAAGCAAATCCTGGACGGTTTGCTTGGTGCTAACAAGATCTGCTTCCAAAACGAATCCTTCTCTAGACACTTTGTCTCAAGTTGTAAGAGACTGCTGGACTCCTCCGCTAAGAAGACCAAGAACGCTGATGGATTTGAACAATATCAAATTAGTGCCTATGGTGGTGATCTAATTGTCGATTCTTTGCCAATTGGTGTCAACACGAAACAACTATTGAAGGATGCTTTTACCAAAGACATTGACTCAAAGGTGCTTGCTATTAAACAGGCTTACCAAAATAAGAAGATTATTATCGGTAGAGACCGTCTTGACCCTGTTCGTGGTGTCCTACAAAAGATGAGAGCCTTCGAAACATTCTTGGAAATGTATCCTTACTGGAGAGATCAAGTGGTTTTGATTCAAGTTAGTTCTCCTACTGCTAACAGAAATTCCCCACAAACAATCAAATTGGAACAACAGGTCAACGAATTGGTCAACTCCATCAACTCAAAGTATGGATCTTTGAACTTCTCTCCTGTACAACACTACTATATGCGTATTCCAAAGGATGTCTATCTATCCTTGCTGAGAGTTGCTGATCTATGTTTGATTACCAGTGTCAGAGATGGTATGAACACCACAGCTCTTGAATATGTCACTTTGAAATCAAACAAATCGTCAGCAAATGCCTTGAGTTATGGTAACCCATTGGTATTGTCCGAATTTTCAGGTAGCAGTACCTTGCTAAAAGATGCGATTTTAGTCAATCCATGGGATTCAGTTGCCGTTGCAAAGTCAATCAATATGGCATTGAATATGACTAAGGATGAAAAATCTGCCTTAGAAGATAAATTGTGGTCTGAGGTCCCAACAATTCAAGATTGGACTGATAAGTACCTGAAGTCTTTGAAGGAAATTATTCATGATAGCTCTTTGGGAACCCCAAGTGCCGACAAGAGAATCACTCCTGCTTTGAATAGACCAATTCTGCTTGAAAACTACAAACAGGCCAAACGTCGTTTATTCTTATTTGACTATGATGGTACTCTAACTCCAATCGTTCAAGACCCAGCCGCTGCTATTCCAACGGCAAGATTGTACTCAATCTTACAAAAGTTAGCTGCTGATCCAAAAAATCAAATTTGGATCATTTCTGGTAGAGATCAAAAGTTCTTGAATAAATGGCTAGGATCAAAGCTTCCACAACTGGGCTTAAGTGCCGAGCATGGCTGTTTCATGAAAGATATTGGTAACGAAGACTGGGTAAACTTAACTGAAAAGGTTGATATGTCTTGGCAAGCCAGAGTTAATGATGTGATGGAAGATTTCACCAGGCGTACACCAGGCTCTTTCATTGAAAGAAAGAAGGTTGCCCTAACATGGCATTATAGAAGAGCCGTACCAGAACTTGGTGAATTCCATGCAAGCGAATTGCAAAAGGAACTACTAAAGTTTACCGATGATTCTGATTTAGAGGTTATGGAAGGTAAGGCTAATATCGAAGTCCGCCCAAGATTCGTTAATAAGGGTGAAATTGTTAAACGTCTGGTTTGGCACGAACATGGTAAGTCACAGGACATGTTGAAGGGTATCAACGATACGTTACCTATCACAGAAATGCCTGATTTCATTCTGTGTCTAGGTGATGACTTTACTGACGAAGATATGTTCAGACAACTAAACACCATTGAGTCTGTTTGGGATAAGAAATTCCCTGATGACCGTAACAACTTTGGTCACTTTGGATTCTACCCAGTTACCGTTGGTTCAGCTTCTAAGAAGACTGTTGCCAAAGCTCACTTAACTGATCCTCAACAAGTTCTAGAGACACTTGGTTTACTTGTTGGAGACGTATCTTTGTTCCAAAGTGCTGGTACTGTTGAGCTGGATGCTAGAGGCCACGTTAAGAACAGTGAAAGTAGTTTGAAGTCAGAACAAGCAACCGCTCAATATGTTTTAAAGAGAACGGCATCATCTCAGAATGTTAAAAAGGATAAATAATCTGACGAGCTTATGATTTATGGTATCTTTGAAATGGAGTTTGAGTATGTTTTTAACACGATTACACCATTCAACTAATATATTCTTTTTCTTGCAACAAATGTTCGATTGGATATATCCGAAGATACATTGTGATACCAATGACAACATTCAAATAATGATCGTTTGATGCAAAAGACTAGATTGATTTTATGACTTTTTCTGATTTTAATTTTGGTTTTACGACTTGTTTCTATATGATATATAAGATATATACATTTTCTAGATATATTTATTATAAAAATTGTATCTTAAATTGTTGTTTTAACACAGAAAAAAAAGTTGTGGAAAATTGATGTTTATGTTTGTCGTTATTACTTATTCTATTTAGTATAATAATGGTTTCGTGTTTCTCATAATTTGAGTACTTGGTCAGTACCTTCATAGGCAAATGGTTCAAATCCATATTTGTTTGCAAAATCTCTTGGCACAAACCTACCCCCCACATAGTGTTTGGTAGTTTTTTCTTTTAAGTAGTTGCTGCAGAGCTTGGGTACAGTCAATGAAACTAAAACCTTTGGAACTATACATTGTTCAGAAATTGGACCTTCGTCAACATCCCACCCAGTGGGTACATCAACTGATATGATTGGAATATCGTTCTCAATTTTCTTCAATTGAGACATTATCGATTGGAATGGTTCTCTCATTGGTGGCTTAAAACTAAACCCAAATATAGCATCAACTATACACAATGTCTTTTCTGGTTCTAAGTAAGATAGCCATCTCGTTTCGTCATCATCCTGACCTAACACTGGAACTTTAAAGAAATTTAATTGATGCACTAATTGCTTGTAAAACTCGGTTCTTTCACTTCTCTTAGGATAAAACACTATGGGGTTGTAGCCAAATAACTTTAGATGTCTTGCACATACAAGACCGTCTCCACCATTGTTCCCAGGCCCAGCGATCACAAAGACATGTTTGTTATCATTCAACTTACTTGAGAGTGGAAACTCTCGAGACACTGCTTGAGCTACACTGAAACCAGCCAATTCCATCAATTGTTGCAAAGTGAACCCAACTTGTGGGCCCATTAGTTCCTGATCAATCTCTGCTGCCAGTTTAGATGACACAACTTTTAATGCTGACATTTTAGTACCAAACGTTTTCCCTTTGTTGACCTTCTTCAGAGGTAAAATGAATTAATCCTTAATAAAATATGTCGAGTCAATTACCTCTTATATAAGTAAATTGACTTGAGTGGTTTATAATGACAGTTCATATACTTCATGGTGTAAACTAGGGCAGAAACTGTGATCACATCCCTTAAGGGTCGCCAAATCAAACATCAATGATAACGATATATGAGGAATAAGATTACTTATTCTAATTTGATCCATATTTCCTTCATAAGAATATTAATCAAGTTCTGAATAAACAAGTTTATATTAACATTAAATACTATATTATTCATGAAAAACTAGAATAGAAAATACATATATGTATATATAGTTACACTTCATCTCGAGAATAAATTCTGAGAATAATAAAAATTAACTTCATTTTGTTCATTTCAAATTAGACAAGCTAATACCAATTAACGTTTCAGGTCCTTGAGCATGCTTCTAACACATCCCATATCTTCTATCAACATCTTCCGCAACCATTGAGTTTCTTGCCGCTGTAACTCCAATTCCCTCTCAAGCTGCATTATACGCTGGCCTTTTTCAGAGACAATAGACTCATACATAGTTTTCATTTGTCTAACGATTGAATCCAATTCCACTGTACTATCAGTTGATTTTTGTTTTAGGAGGTTATTGCTGTTGTCCTGGCCTTCATTAACGTAATTATTTCCTGAGTCATCATTTCCAATTACATCAGCAGAAGATGGTTTCTCATTATCATTAGTGTATTTGGTTTTCTTATTAGATAAATTAGGCAATTGTAATAGCTCTTCTACTGTATCATCATCAAGTGTATTCACATCTAGTGAGCCTAAAGATCGCCTTTTCCAATTATGTTGGGGGGCTGGCATGGTAGTGTTAAGTGCTGCATTTATTTGATTATTAGTTGTATTAGAAGTAACAGAATTTAAGAACGGCAGACCTGAAGCTCCATTAGGCACAGTGCTATTAATATCATTACCAAAATTAAATTCAAAATTGTTTGCCCCTGGACTAGTTGGCTGAGTATAATAACCATTCAGTGATCTTGAATGTATGTCTTGCGGAACGCTCAGCAATCTTTTTTGTAGCTGCTGTTGTAGATATGAGTCAAATAACATATTATTAAAATTAGTATTGTTTTCGTTCATACTTTGGTTTCCGTTGTGATTTTGTACCATTATTGGATCGTCCTGTTTCAGTTCAGCATTTTGAGAAGTTTGGTCACCTATCTGTTGATTAGATTTTGGCCTTGAAATTCGTTGTTGTCTTTGTGCTCTTATATTTTTTCTTTTATTCCGAGTTTGAGTAACATCATTGTCAGGTGTATTTCTCTTATTGCTATTGCCGCTGTTTGGTGTTAGGTCATTTTCTACCGACACAGTTCCTTTATTGGAAGTATTACTGTTTACATCACTTACATTCTTTCCCCGACCATTTAAGTTGATATTTTGGGCTTTTTTACCTCTGCCTTGTACTATCATTTGACCAGTCTCCAGATCATATACATTTAATATACTCATTGTTGCCAAATTCCATAGGTTATCATTAGCCAATTCCTCATTGCTCCTTACTTTCCACGAGTCCTCATCAATTCTGCTAAAATATTTTGCATATGGACTTGCATCATAGCTTAATCCCAATTCTCTGATTATTTGCTGAAACCTCTGGTAGAGTTCAATGCTGGATTTTGGTGACGTTGATCTATCGTCCACGGATCCTGTGTTTAGCGTAGCATTATAAAGCTTTGATATCTTTATGAAAACTTTCATATATTGCGCACTTACCAACCCCCCACTAAAAGGACCACCACTAGGAGTTGATCCACTCTGACTGGAGCTGTTATTTGGTGTCCCACTATTCTTTGTGTCCGAAAAGTCGTTGTTATTCGAATCTTCAATACTTAGTTCTTTCTTCCCCACACTGTTTGGCAAATTGGTGTTCGTTAAATTAGTTGGAGTATTAGTGGATGTTTGTGGTGAGCTGGTAGCACTTAGTAGTGTATTTGTCAATATTACTCTTGTTTCTGATAACAGAGCAAACGCCCTTATAATAAAGACATCTAACTTAACCTGATGATGCATATTCACTATTCTTCAACTGCAAATAGTAACTTATTGTACAATAGTACTCGAAAATCAGAAATTACTACCTCTTAAAAAGGTACAGCAAATGAAGTGAAAGTGAATTGTCTAATTCCTACCGTGAAGTCGCGTGTGTTATTGGATATCGCTGTTGATCAAGGGTCCGTTTCTTCGAGATAATCAAACTAAAGTTAGCACCGAGAATAGTCTTGAAACAACAACTAACGTGAACTAGAAGTATGAACAATTATTCAACGACTATGCTCATCGCCTATTGCGCTGATTTTGACATTGACTTTTTTTTTCATTTTTTTTTTTCAAAATGCGGGCGATGACTACGTTTCTACGCGATAATCAGTATATTAAAGCTAAAAGGGTAATGTGGAAATCAGGAGGAGATTAGTTTGAGAAACTGGAATGCAAAAATCTTAATTATCAAGTATATATATATATCTCGGCTATTTAACGGCAGCTCTAGACCAGACTATATCATATGTAGGTATCTGGGTTCAACTTATTATATTATAGAATAGGAAGAACTAGAGAGAACCCAAAAAAAAGAATACAACTGGAAATAATAAAGATATAAAATTTTTTGAAGTTACAATCTTTTGTTATCCCTAATATAAAATAACCTTAAAAGTATTTTTGAGATACAATGTGTCTATTGAAAGAAAGTGTGGACAATAATAATTAGTGATAGAGAAATAAAAAAAACAACAACACTATGATAGTGTTATAGTAAGCAAATTGGTGCTGAAAAGAGGGTGAATTAAAGAGAGTATAATTAAAACTTATCAGTTAACTTGCTAAGAATTTATCAGGAAAATCATGATTAGTTCATCAGCAAGCATTCAATATTCATTTGTTACCAAAATCAATCGTGAAGCAGAATGTTAATGAAAATAATAATGTCCCGTATGTTCTGTAAAAGTTCAATGCTGGCAATGTAAGTATAATTTATAATGATGTAATAACAAATTAAACCGTAAAAAATAAAAATAAAATACAACACATTTTGTTTCTTTCTGTTATTATGAAAATATTATGCGCAAGGGAAAGCAAAAAGTAAAAAAAATGACAAGGAAATGATGGCAGTTTTTCAAAAGCACAAACCTAACAATCGAAATTATTAAATAAACTGACTGCTCTGGATGAAAAATATCTGTACAGGATAAAATTTATATTGGAGCTAATTTATCGACCATCTTTGTATGATAGAAAATGATGTCATAATGATCTCTTGGTTTACAACCTAAAAGATGAGAGCCAAAAAGAACAGTGAATGATAGCTACTTCTAATTCTCCCATCATGATGAAAACATTTTTATGCAGAATTTTGGTACAATAGTAAAGTAAAACTGACCTTATTCTCATGGCTTATTGTATACTATCCCTGAGTTTTGGCCCTGAGTCGATCCTAAATTATTACTTGAAACATTAGTAGATGATGTATTCGTATTTCTTCTATTTGTAGGTCCCCTTACTCCCAATGGATTCTTAGAGAAACTCAAACGTATACCTCCTTTAGTATTAACAGTTGCACGAGGCAATTGGCTACCATATAACTCTACAAGTGCTCTAGTAGCGCAACTAACATCATCGAATTCGACAAAGCACATAGGTCCATGACCGTGACCAGTGCCATTAGCATTCTTATTGCGGAAAGACAACCTCCTAAAACCAAACTGGTTCGAAAACAATTGTCTCAATTCTTGCTCGGTAGCATCTGATGGCAGATTACCAACATACAGTGTATTACAAGGAGGATTTTGATCCGCAGGGTTGGCAGGAGGTGGGATTCTTGCAAGCAGAGATAAATCTGCCTGAGAAATATTGTTGCTACCTGGTATGTTTGCAATATTACTCGTACTTGAAGCAGTCGAGTTTAGACCACTCTGCTTGTTGAATTGAGCCTCTGATGTCATACCCATGTTACTAGAGTTCACATTGCCTACTTTGGGAATCATATTTGATGATAGCGCATTTCTTTGTGAAGTGATTCTAGATGGTCCCATTTTATGAGCAGTGTTACCTTGCATGAGAGGCAATTGAGCGTTTTCGGTCGTGACTTGATTATTCTGCATACTTAATGTTGGTGTCTGACCAACTGGATTAAATGGGGTAAATCGACTGCCATCATGGACACCAATATTCAAATCTGATGCTGTTATTGGATTGACAAATGATTGACCATCACCATGAAGTTGAGGTACCACATTAAATGATGACAACGAGGTAGACGAAGCAAATGGTTGACTAGCATTTGGCATTCCCATATTGGTGTTGATTTGCATTTGTTGGCCAAGTTCACCCGATGGTAGCTGGCTGGCCAAACCAACTTGTGTTTGTTTGGCTCCTGTTGGAGCTGGCATAACATTTGCTTGAGAAGGATTATTTGGGAAATAGAATGCTGCAGATTTCTTTCTATCATTTTGGCCTGTCCAATCAACAGATGGTGTTTGTGGTTGTGAAGATGCTACTAGGCCATTTAGACTGTTGTTAATCCCATTGTCATTCCATATACTTTCATTGATATCATTGTTCTCCCTGACCAAGAATGAGTTAGCTCTATTAGATTGATGAATTGTGCTTTCAATTGGGACTGGGTTTTCAGATATACCACTTAGTTGTGTAGCTGGGTTGCTAGATTGGTTTGATTGATTGGTCTGGAAAACCAATGATGAGTTCACTCCTTCTGAACTAAATGGATCATTAAATGAAAATCTCGAATGGCGTTGACCTATACTTTCATTTTTATGCTCAGGATGCATGGATTTGTGCGCTTCAAATACTTGCTTCAACAATTCTAAGTCAATACTCTTATTGCTTTCCTGATCAATAGCTTCAATAGTGCATTTTTTCGACTGTTGCGGTCCAAACAAGGTATCCTTCCTGCTCAATATCGTAGCATATTGAGCTAGCAATCTGAGATTTTTCATCGTAGCCTCAATGCGTTTCCCTGGCTCTGAAACATTACTTTTGTGTTCTTTTTCAACTTCCTTGCCATCTTTGTCATCTACAAGTCTCACAGACTCAATACCATCTGCTAGAGAGAATATCAAATGACTTTCCCTTTCAGTAAGGTCTTCTGGTATCTGGCCAATCTTCAGCAAATATGGACCATGTCCGATATCAGCTAACAAACTATCAACTAAACTGCCAGAGTTCTTGTTTGTAGAGATATCAGAAGTAGGACCTGACGTCACTCCAGGTGTTGCGATGGAGAGGTCATGAAGCATGGAGGTTATCGCAAAGGGAGAGGTCTGCTGACTGCCTTTTTGTTGTGACGCGCTCGTGGCAAAGTTTGGAGCAAATGGAATAGCAACATTCACATTTGTATCGTGATTCTGACTATCCGTCGAACTATTTCGAGAAGTGGTTTCCATGGTGGTGCTAATCCTGTTATATCTACACTGCTTTATTTTCGTTTATCGCTGTCTCGTCCTTTCGCCAGTGGTCCTTTGTCCCTCTAACTGTGAGCTCTGCAACCAAAAAAGAAAAACAGCACACAGTATCTTCACACACAAGCACTGAGAAACTGTATTATGTTACCGCTGAGTTTCCAGTCTTAGGCGCTTATTTGTTGCTATCTTCAGACAAGTCGAGAAATAACTTATTGTTGCTTCTCTCACCTGCCCTCGCTTGTTTATTTTTCTTTTGTGCAAGTTCCCGTGTCTGGCCCTTTTCCTGTACTTCCCACTCCTCCCCCATTTACCCAAGAACACTCTTTTCCAAGGAACACTCCCTGCAAGAGTTTCTGTGACTCTAATGGCGAGACTCGGGTCAGCTCCACAGAAAAGTCAGGAGCAAGCAGGGGACAATAAGTAAAATCTTCGTGGATATGTATGTGTCATATGTTTGTCGTATATATGTACTAGAATAGACAGAAGAGTTCATAAAACCTCATTTATATATGTTCCTGGTATCGATGAAGACTGCTCTTAGTAGTAATAAAAAAAAAATGGGGTAACCAAATAGCGGATGTACTCTATTGTACCGCCTGTTTCTTTGCAGGGCCTCTGATCTCGTCGAATGTCAGAATGCCTTCGCATCGGCTGCACACGAGACCTGTGATGTAGCTTTGCTCGAACAAGCGGGTCTCCTCGCCTCTCATGCGTGCCTTCTTTATTTCACGCGCCTCAGGTATGTACTTGCAATGCAGACATCTGTACCCACTGAATTTGTACCTGCCGTAGCAGCGGCCACATACATGGCTCTTGCCTGTCCAGTCGCGGTAGAAGTATCTGACACCCGTGCGAGGACAAGAAACACAGTGCTTCAGGTTTTTGATCTTGGTGATGTGCACAGCGTCAGTCTCACAACATTCAGTACAGGAATATACTACGATTTTGTTGCCAAGCAGTATATTACGGGGTTGGTCTAGATGTATCCCATACACTTCTGCCTCTCTCAGCTTGCGATCAATGAACCCTACGTACTGCGGATCACGGATGACAACTTCGGGAGCTGGCTTCCTCTTGTGACCACTCCTACAATATGATAATACGTTTTGCAAAGGCGTGCTCCCTGAGATATTACAATCGTAGGTAAACCTGCACTGTACTCGGCGTCCTTCTATGACCTCGTTTCTGGCTGAGCGTGTAGTCACAGTCGCTGAGATTCCCAAGGACCTCGCAATATGAACTATGGCGTTCATAACAGACGGGTATATGGTCTGAATAGACACTTTATAGACATCTGGATTCTCTTTACGTTTTACCACGTAGCCATCGGAATCTATTAGTCCTGCTAAGAACGCTTCTCGAATTTCAATATCCTCATGCCACATGAACTCAGGAACTTGCTTCTCCCCATCAATCTCTCTTTTAATCCCCAAATTTTGAATTGTATTCCAAAATGGATTGTTCTTCCGTAGATTCCTAGTTTTCCGCCTTTCTTCAGGCCCTTTGCCATAATAAAGCCTCACATGCTTTGCTCTAAGTGGAACCTTTTCATCTTTATACGTAGGATACAGACCCCAATAACGACCTAGCACAGTGAGACTTTCCATTAATTTCTCATCCACACTATCAACTGTTATCTCAGGTTCCTTTGTAGTACCATCTCCAATCCACAGCCCCAATAACCATGCCATAGAGACAATTGCTGGTGTAATCAAGTGCCTTTGACCACTTAAAAAATTAGATAATATACCATTTCCAGAAAATACAGGATTACATTTTAACGTTGAGGTTACGCGCATTGATGCATCCAGATACTCAAGGTCCCTTACTTGTATTTCGTAATCAATATCAGGACCCCAGATTAACCGCTTATCTCTCATGAAATTCTGAGCTTGCAATTGTCCTTCTTTAGTTTTAGGAAAGTTCTTGTGATGATTCTTTGGCACCGTTATGGCCCTTCCATCAGTGGTTAGAATTTCTTCCAAGCATCTCCATTTGACAGTTAAGTTTGGTCTCCTGGGATTATTTTCTAAGGTTGGTATCGACGGTGTTTTTAGAACCAATTTATGAGTGGCTGAACAATTAAACCCAAGCCGATTATAAACTGTTCTCCGTCTAGGATCAAGCCTACCGGGCTCACCTTCATTGGCCCTATGCTTTGTCTTTTGTACTATCTCATAGATTGTCTGCTTCGCCTTTGTTGTATATGCCACACGCCCTGGAGTGCCATCCTCACACATAACATATGAGTTACTTTTAATAGCGGATATATCTTCAAGGTGGCCATCAGCCATTAAAATAAAAGTTCCCTTTTCGAACATGTAAGGTAAAACAAAGTTGATTTCTTTTGTCGGTTATATAATCAAGTTATCATATTGGGATAAAATAAACATGGTAATCGAATTTAAGACTAACAATCGATACAAAAAAACTTTGCTTTATATTTCAATCAAAACGACTTGTATTTATATTTTATGAGAATATAGTTATTGGCACCAAACACAAAGCTTATTTTATGACCTCATTGCCAGCAATTCTAGTCGAATTTTTGGGTTGACTTAATATTTTACATTATCTTAACGCAGGATTTCGAAACATATACCAAAACTCGCCCTAATAAAAACAAATAAACGCCAATTGCAAAGTTTTAGGCATTATCTTAAATAAAATTTGGCGTCTTCATTTTAATCATTGAAAATAAAAGAATCACACATCCAGATGTATTTTTTTCGTGGCACCATTTAAGTAAGCGCTTACTGTTTTGCGTTTTGCCATGTGCATCGCTATTGAGTTTATCTGCTGCATTAGAGAATGAGTGCAGAAACGCCAAGTTGAATAGTAGATTTTTGAACACGTCAAATGTCAATTAAAACATTAAATTCTATTTCCAAACAAATAGTAGTTGGGCTTCCAGAACCACAATCAAAGTTTCATCAATGATCTCACAACAAAAAGTTTGTGACTATTTTGCAGGTAGTTGAAATTCAATAACAAAAAAGATATGCCACATATCATATGTCTCATTGTATCAAATTATAGTTAAATAACTGGAAACCAGTCTTTTTTACCTTCATTAGATGTTCTTGATTATTATCTTTGCCTAAGATCTTGAAGAACAAATTCAATGCATCTTGAATAAAGATCCCATCTGATTACTATAGAAATCACTACACATAGGAAAAGTCCGAATTCCCAATATCTCTAAAATCGTCAGTCTTACTAGAAATAATATGTCAACTTGAGGTATAACTGTTCAGGAATGGTGAAGTAATGTCACGAAATTCTCTTGTAACTCTTAACAATATCTTCTTTACTTTCCTGAATAATCAAGAAAACCACATATAAGGAATCAAAGAGAACTGTAAGACCTCAATCACCATTTCACCTTAAAAGTTCATAAAAGGAAGTTTAATTTATTCTATACATAATGGCCGAGCATCTCATTCCTGTTACTGAGGTTTTGTACCATAACACGATCCTGCTATGAGGTCCAAATACCAACTTCTCGAATACGCCATTTATTATAAGACGGAAATGAGGTTTAAAGGTATTGGTATTCTCTGGTAAAGACTTGAGGCATTAGATACTCATATAGCTTATCCTTCTTTGCGAAGAATAATAGTAACTTAATGTACTGATCTTAATCAGAACGCGAAAAACGTTCGCAATTTCCACTCAACCTCAATGCTTGTAATTTGACAACCAAAGTAGGTTAACTTTTAAATTCGAGTGCAATGATTATTTTAGGTTAAACTCTTATAAGGTTTTTTAGGAAGCTTGTGTAACAAAATTGGTTAAATAGGAAGGTCTTTACCTTGTTTTTACCCCTTATAGACTAGAATTCGGTCAATCTGGAAACAAGAATTAGATGATTAAATAATTTGATTCTTTACACATAGAAGAAAAGTTAAAATAATAATTAGTGTGATAATATCAGGTCTATACTACAAGCCGTGTAACCCTTGTTTCATGGGTAGTTTCAGCTCACGTTAAAATACATCACATCGAAATAAAATGCTCAAGATTAGGATGCTCTGGGTGAAAGCAATAAAAAAACATCAACATGTGAATTAATAAATCTCATCGTTAGCTATTTTCGTTAAGGTGAAATTAAAACCCAGAAACATAATATACTAATTAGTTAACCAATAAACGTAAATGAACGGCTAAAATAAGTATTAGAATTCTTCCCACTCATCTTCGCCTGCTTTTGGTACCGACTTCTTGGTATCACCTAGCAAATCATCTCGAGATGTACTAGCAGATTGGTTTTTTTGACTAGCAGGAAGTTGGGAATAGCTCTCATCACCATTAATATATTGCTTCTGGATATTCTTAGTAAACGAGGAAAATGCCTGCATCCCATAAGTACTAGTTTCCTGGAATTTCTGTCCAAATTGCGCGGCAGCTCTCTTAGTTTCTTCAGACAGCTCACCTGTATTCCATTGCTGGACATTTGGTTTGATATATGTCTCGTTAACATCATCAAACGATTTAGCCACAGCTGAGGAGAATAATCCCCAACCCTTTGTGAGAGTACCCAATGGATCAGTTTGTAAATTTTCCAAACTCATTGTATTGGTGCTTGGATCTGTTGCATTTCTATTATTAACAGGTGTGTTACCAAAACCCTGGTACTTACCACCTTGAGATGGGGGCAGGTGGTCTGGCTTGGAATCGTTCTTCTTTCCTAATTGGGCAAAGTATTCCTCATTCTTTTCCTTGCGTGTTGGTGAACCGATTCGTCTTGACTCGATCGGGGTGTTTTGTCGACTTGATTGTTCTGATGCAATTGATGGTTCAGACACAGGCTCAGATTTACCCAAAGATTTAGGATCAAAATCAGGATGCTGTGGCTCAACAAATTCTCTGCCTTCAACTTTACATGTCAACTTCTCCTTGTAGTCCTCAGCGATTGGATTCTCGTACTTAAATTTATGAGGCAAGGTCATATCAATACCATGGGCGGTCATATACTCAGTGAAGGGTTCGTTTCCACCTTCTTCCATTCTAACTAACTCTTCTTGCTTGAACTGATCCATAGTAATTGAACGAACAAAAGATATGTGAACACCCAAACTTCTATGTGTACCAGCACATTCCAAACAAATGAAAATACCAAACTTTGGAGATGCCCATTGTGGGTTAGGAGCACCACAGTCCACACATTTCTTGTTTGCACCAATCTTTTGTAACTGCAACAAACGTCTACGGTTGTCTGGATCAACTTTCCAATCGGACATGACTTTAGATGTAATTTATTCAGATGAATTTAATTTAGATCGGTTATTTCAAATGGACCAAAACCTTCTGTCTTAAAAATTATATTCTTCGAGAGTAGAATACTTTAAGGAATAAACAAGACCCTGACAAAAAGCAATGTAGATTGATATGACTTCAGTGTTTTGATTTCGATCTTCGAAGACTATTTGTGATTTTGTCAAATTTTTTTTAAATTTTCATCTTTTCTTGAGTAACTGTGACATTCGGAAGGAAAAAATATTTATATGCGAAGACTAATTAGAAGCCAAATAGTTGAGGATACCAGAACTTATAAACAGACCCTGATTTACGGATATTCCTTTTGATTATTCCTTTTACCTATTTTGCTCAGTAATTGACACTAATATCTATTATTTTATTACAGACATTAAAGTATACTATGTAAGCTATCTTACAATGCTTATAACATAATATTGATTTGTTTTTGTTTTTTGTTGGTTTTATACTGAATATATTGGTATTATATTAGATTTATCTTCAACTTTATCTATAGATATATCTTGGCATAATAATCTAATCATAACGAATGGGTGGAATCACATAGATATTAGCTGCTTGTTTAACCACATTAATGAAATAAGAGGAAAAGAAGTGAATAAACAGCAGCATAAAAAATTGTGTTCATTGAAAGAAGAAATTGGCAAAACTACGAACAAAAATGGATGAAACAACGTTGAATATAGACTTGGAAGCAAAAGAGAAAAAATTGTAAATGCTGTATTGAGTTTTTAATTATGCAAATTGATTAGTCGATTGAAAATTTAATGCATTTTGTAACAAATCATGTCGAAAAGAATGAAAAAGTCAAATTATAGGAAAATACAGTCTCGAAAATGATAGTGGTCAACGCTAGTAAATAACTTTCAGTACATCTTCCCATTATATCGGCGTCGTTATAAATAGCGCCTGAATGCGATGAAGAAAATGTCTCTGTAGCATTTATTGACTTCTCATCTCATTTAGTGTTGATCTTATACTACCCATTGCCTCTAACAACAACTTTCTTAGGCATATCGATTCTTGTCTTTGTTCATTGAGCTCTTTTTCTAGTTTTCTAATCTTTTCATCATTATAAGAGATAACACCATCATAATGCTGTCTTAATGCAAGCAATGCCTTTTGGGCGGACTTTGAGCACACAATATCTTGTGGAGGCTCTTCTACAAAAACCGGCGATCTTGGTTCTTCCGATCTTTTAAACTTCTCCTCCACTGGTGTATTAATGGGGAAATCCAACATATCTACCATTGCAGAATCAAACTCATCTCCTGTAGGTAATGGAATATTATTACTGTTATTACTATTACTGTTATTATTGTTAGTTATTGGTAAGTTAAAGTTAATGCTAAAATCGTTTGGTGTTGGGCTTGTTGGTTGTGTGTAATAACCGTTTAGAGATTTGTTATTTGTGAAAAATGAACCATAATTAACTAGGTCCTTATTACTATTGTTATTTGATGCTAGATTTGAAAGCATCCCACTGCTTGTAAAGTTATTAATTACACTCATTTTTCTTGGGGAATTATTAGTAGTCCACGACTTTGGCACCAGAAATTTATCCGCAATGGGATCATATATTGATAAGATATAATTTCTTATTGTACTCCATGTCTTGTTTTTCTCCAAAGTTTGGTAATCTCTCAGGTCACCATTTGCAGTGAAGAACTGATTGAACCGAGATTCGTTATAGTTATCCTTCAATTCTTTTCGTACACCCAAGAATCTTTTGTACAATTGATTAGGATAATCCGTATCAGAACCCACTGATAATGTATTTAAGAATGTTCTTAACAAATTTGAGGATGATGAGCTATTAACCAGTATGTTATTGATCTTTTCAAAGATTGAAATAATATACAGATCATCAAATTTTGTACCGTTGTCAGAGTTGAAGATAGGTGTAGTCATGTTGGTCAAGTTCGAGTTGATTGAATTTGGGGAACCGTCAGACATATGAAAACCACTATAATGACTCAGTGCTGATCCAGGGTCTCGATTGCTCAAATTGTATCCGGAATTGGCGGAATGTGTAGTGCTATTGTTTTGCAGATTATGGGCGTTATTTGATCCGCCTATCAACATCTGGAATGATATGATAATAAAAAGGTCTAAGTTGAACTCATCCATTGTTATTTTTAGATACCCAACATAAATGCTATGCTACTTGAGTTGCTTTCGGCTCAATGTGAAATAAGTATGATGTATTAGTCGAAAATTGTGATATCTCTGTAAACCACAAAGATAAAAAGATGACTGCCAATTTTTATCGAAGGGATATTCACACCAGGCCCATATAAATGCTCTTTTTAACCTACCTTAACCGAGTTTAGTGCTATTTCCTCGCGATACTTTTTATTAATGTAGCTATTGTTCTCGAATATAGAAGGCTTCCTGGGTGAAATGACTATTTATCAATTATTTGATCGTTTTCTTCAAAGCAATTCAAGACAATTGCCAACACAAGAACAGTTTAAAATCTCATATAAGATATGAACACTGAATAGACTTCAATTCACTAATGATGACTTTTTTAAGGAAATAAAATAAAGGAGTCCTTGATCTACTTAAAAGACTATAAGGATCCAAGAAGTAATTATTTCAACATTGAAATTTTTTTCTTCTTCTTCGTCAATGAAAAAAAAAGCTTTAATCATCATTAACTGTTATCCACTCACTTTCTCTGTGCATGGGCAAGGTTGTGGGGGTGAAGAGTTATTACAGAACGCACGCTTCAAGTTGATGAATAAAATCTTAATGCAAAAAGAATGAGAAGACTGAAGGAAAAATTATAAGCAGTAGCTCATCACCTACAATCACACCCCCACATAATCCTGAAGGTCATTCTGATCACTAACAAACCGGCTACCATTACAACCTCTTCAATTCATTACAGTGACTTGTTCCTTTCTCCTTTGTTTTCAGTGAAACTATGCAGTAAATTCTGAGTGGAAAAAAAGATTGGGAGAGAACGATTGTATTTCGAACAGGTAAAAGCTTCTCTCCATACCAAACTTGGACTAATTTTTTTTTTCATGATAACAAGCACCGAGCATTAAGAGTTACCTAACAATCTCCCCTGTAAAGGTCGAATTTCGTTTCTTGCACTAACTCATGAAGTGAGGATATTATATACAACCACCTGACTAAACGTTGGTAATGACATAAATTAAAAACGGTCTTGAGTATCCGCCAATTGCTGTATTTTAATGGGGAAGTAATTAGAGTTGTAACTGTTCAGTTGTTCTGAAGTTGATAAGCAGTGGATATATGAACTGTTTGATCGAGTCAGAGTGATTTTATTTATTGCTGATGCCTACTTAAAAAAGTGAGCAGCAGAAATACAGTTATGGATAAGGTAAAGGAAGTGGTTAGTAAAAATGACAGCAAAAGCCAGTTTGTAGCTATTATAATACTCAACATACACGCTATTGTACCTTAAATACTGGGCAAAATTCCAATTGGAGAAAAAAAAATGGATAATGCTTATGTAAATGAACCCCAAAATAGATTGGTTTTATTGATATTATTCATGATCTGGGCGGCAAATGAGAAATAAGCGGCTATACTACCCGAAATGGTAAACAAGACAGCTAAACAGAAAACAGAAGACATTAGCGCTTGATGAATCATAGAAAACACCGTGCAACAAACAAACGAGTTCTAACTTCAAATGGGATATGAGTAGCACAGTACGAGAACTCAAATCCATCCTGTGATTTGCGTATCTAGGTATTACCCGTCTATCACATGGATTCTCAATTCGTATCACAGTATAATGAGACGCGTTAATTCTTTTTTGGTGTCACACTGTTAATCCGCTTTCACGAATAAATGCGAAGTCCAGACTCTGTGTTCGTAACACCAAAAATAGTGGCAGTCGTGGTCTCTAGGTCTTATTTTTCTATTGTGCATACATGGAGGAGTTGTCAGTTAGATCAGGATACTCAAATACAAAATAGAATAACATTGACAAAAAAAAAAAAGTTGGAAACGTCTGTCAATTAACTGGAGAGGTAAAAACATCTATAACTAGTGTTGATTGAATTTGTAGTTGGTATTGAATATTTATACTTGTCCACTTTGCTATCACTACAAGTCCATTGTTATAATTTGCAATACACATTTTCGGGACTAATTTTTTTACAGAATAAGACCAATTTTTTTTCCTGTGGTCTCTTTCAACTGAATTGATTAATCTTCACTTATCTAACTTTTAATCAAATGGATTCGCCATCAATTCCTAACAGTCTTTTCCGCAGGAAGGACAAGCACAAGAGAGGTATTGTCTACTCTGTTATGCTATGTGGTGCATCAGGTACAGGTAAGACAACTTTTGCTAACAACTTATTGGAATCAAATCTTTTTAAACACAAATACAATGGTGGCTTGCACGAATTTAATCCAAATACCAATGACTATTTGACCGTCACTAAGCCAACAAAGATCATCTCTTTCAATTCCAATAATGGTTTGCCATCACAATCTATGGAAAACCTGATGGATTTGACCAACAGTAGTGAGTTTGACCAGGTGTTTAACCCTGCTACTCAGAATAAGGACTCTGGTATCGCAATTACATCAACCTCATTTGAAATTCGTTCCAAGAATGAAGAGAAGAATAAGTATGACGTGGATATGGACACTATATATCTAAACCTAATAATGACATTGGGCTTGGGTGAAAATATCGATAATAGTATCTGTACTAGTGAAATTGATCTGTTTTTAAGGCAACAATTTGACACTGTTTTGGCAGAAGAAACTAAAATAAGAAGAAACCCAAGATTCGAAGATACTAGAGTACATATTGCACTTTACTTTATCGAAAATACAGGCCATGGTCTAAGAGAACAAGATGTTGAACTAATGAAAACTTTGACCAAATACACCAATGTGCTGCCAATTATCTCAAAGGCTGATTCTTTTTCTCCCGAGGAACTTAAGACCTTCAAGACTGCGGTTATGAATGATATCGAAAGATATAACATCCCAATCTATAAATTTGATATTGACCTCACCGATCCATCTCAAGAATTTGATCTAGATCAACAAACAATAGAAGAAAACGAGTATCTGGCTGCTCTTCAGCCTTTTGCTACTATATGTTCTGACCAAAGGAATGCTGAAGGTAAGGCTGTCAGGGAATATCCATGGGGTTCTATTTTAATCGATGACGAAAACATCTCCGACTTAAAAATATTGAAAAATGTGCTATTTGGTTCACATCTACAAGACTTCAAAGATACCACGCAGAATGTTCTTTATGAGAATTACCGTGCTGAAAAGTTATCCTCAGTTACAAATAACAAATATGAGGCAACAAATCCCCAATCAAACGACCAGAATATAAAGAGACAGTCTACAGTTCCAAGCTTGAGTAACTTCCAGTCATTGATACAAACTGGGCAAATCAAATCATATCAGAATCTGCCCATTTCACCATCTCCTTCACAAAATGGTAATACAAATCAAGCTACAGAAAATCTGGAGGATACAACCAATATGAGTGTAATTTCTGAACATTCCGGAATGTCGCAAGGTGGTGTGCCAGAAAGAAGCCAATTAAGAAACATATCAGAAACAGTACCGTACGTGCTAAGGCATGAGAGACTTCTCGCTAAGCAACAAAAACTGGAGGAATTAGAAGCACAATCCGCCAAGGAATTACAGAAGAGAATCCAAGAATTGGAAAGAAAGGCCCACGAATTAAAAATGAAAGAAAGAAGACTTTTGTCTGTATCAGATGTTCCAAACTCACCCCAAGTCAGTATCAAGAGAGGAGATACTTATAATGACTTGGCATCGATGGCTTCTAATCGTTAAATAAATAAGATATAGCATACATACAAATTCTTTAACAAACATACAACTTTTGAATGATAATAATTGTATAATGATGTTTTCGCTCGCAAGTGCTAACCATATTATAATACGTTTGAAGTAGCATTATGCTACGTAAGCTCTAGTTTAAGATGTGGAAACTAGCTAACTTTTATAAATTTGGAAGACTAGCAGTACAGTAAAAAGGAACATTTGAAATTTTATAAACTATGTGATGTAGAATATGAGAGTATATGCAGTGTAAGTATTATATATAAAGAAATGCTTAGCTAAACGAAGTACGCAAATTATGGTTGATTTATTGGTGAATTTTAATTTTTCATGTAGTTAGCTTTATATGAATTAGGTGCCTTTCCAATACTAGTCATCTTGCGATTATTAGGTCCCCTAACACCAAGTGGATTTTTAGAAAAACTTAATCTTATACCACCTTTCGAGTTTGCACCAGTCCGCGGTAGTTGTCTTCCGTATAACTCAGCCAAAGCCCTTGTTGCAAAGCTCACATCCTCGAATTCAACAAAACACATCGGACCATGTCCATGTGTGTGACCATTGTTGTTCTTATTTTTGAATGAGAGCCTCCTAAAACCGGGCTGTGGTGAAAACAATTGTCTTAACTCTTGTTCTGAAGTGTCAGGAGGTAAATTTCCAACATATAGTGTATTACATGGTGGGTTTTGATCCGCTGGATTAGCTGGAGGTGGCACTTTTGCCAAAAGTGATAAATCGGCTTGGCTCATACCTTTTTCGCTATACCCCATGCCATTCGCAGATGAAAAGGATTGGGATGGTGACAAGCCTGGCTTGTTCCCATTAGTTGCCATTTTGTTGTCAACCATCACATTTTTGGTCAGATCAGTGTTGCTTTGAAATATCGTGCTATCATTATGAACAAGGTTATCCTGGAAATTGTCAGCTCTATACGCCATTGTTCCGATGTAAGGATCCTGATTGCGATTATTAGTCATTTCCACTCTGGTTATGGAACCCATATCGGAAGGACCAAGATTATTCACGTAATTATTGGAGGGCTGATGTGAAATGTTACTGAAAGTCTGGTGATCGAATGAACCATTGGCATTAGAAGCACCTCCATTTAGTTGGTCGTTTTGAGCACCATGAATTTCAGGGAGTAAAGCAGATCCATTTTGAAATACGTGTGTATTTTCATCGGCAAAATCTGGTTTTCTGGTGGAGTATTTGTTACTCGTTTTCGATTCAGGCAAGAGATATAAGTTGTGATTAACACCTTTGTTTCCCTCATCTTTCCAAACACCAGTATCGGTGGTGTTAGCACCGGATGTCAATGGCAAATCGTCTACTGTTGTAGGTAGAGTATCAGTTCCCCAAATATTTTCATTGATCTCATCATTCTCCATTAGAAGTAAAGCCTTTCCTGTATCTCTAGAAGTGGATTTCCTGCTATTAATTCCATCCATTTGATGTAATGAGTTCAGTGACGTGTCGCCTCCAAGACCCATATTGATCGAGGTATCGGGAACAGTTTCACTGTTGAAGGGGTCACCAAAGGAAAACCTCGATCTTCTTGGGAACAGATTAGGTCTCGACAACTTCCCAAGAGATTGTATGGGTGATGATTGAACCATAGAGTCAATGTGGCTATCTGAAGAAGAGAAATGCATATTCTTTCCGATGTTTTCATCGTGGAGTGAGCCATCTGTATTGGTACCAGCCAATAGATTGCTCATCGATAGATAGTTATCAGTTTGGTGTTCATAAACACCCAGGTACAACTTGGTACCACCGAACTGTTCCTTTATACTTTCAAGTTTGATAATCAGCTCGAAAGCACATTGGCTCAGATAGCTAGGATTTTGGAATTTAACCTCGACGCTAACTTTGCAAATTTCAGGCAGACTCCTGTACTCTTCCATAGCCTTGAGCGCAAGGGTAACATCACTTGAGGGCACGACTTCGATGGAGTCAACTCCTTGAGCAAATGCGAAAATGCAGTGTGCTTCACGTAACGTAACGGGTAGCCCCGTCATCAGCAAAGAGAAGTTCTTTTCCGCGTCAAACACGCCGTGGTTGCGCAGGCTATTGTCAAACAACGTGTGTAAATGCGGCATATTTGTATGAACTGTTGAGGTCATTGAATTCGGTATATAATCAGCTTTATTGACACCCATGGTTAGCATATTCTCAATCTCTTTCAATGGCGCATTATCGTGGATGTGATTATTCAGGAAAGAGCCATGCAATGCTTTCACGTTACTAGTCGGAGAAACAGGGTGTATCATTGTCTCCATGGTCACACCGGAATGGTGGCTATCGAAGTTACCACCAAACATGTATTCAGACTCTGTCATTTTCATCAATAATTGATCGTTGATATCGTGGCGAGCTGTACACAAGATAAAGAAAGACAATGCAGTAAAACCAAGTTACATTTATTTCTTTTGACTACCGACAACTCAAACGCCCAGGGACCTCAATGGAACTTGACATACAATGGGCAAGCGAAGTCCACGACTATAGGATTAAACAAAGGGACCCATGGGAAACCCACAAGGGTACAATTGCGATTGTGCTGCCTTTGGGCTCGCCTTTGTTCTTGCAGAGCTTTGTTGTGGTGACTTTCACTCGAAATGGCTTACCCGCATGGAGGACTCACATGCCCACAATAAACACTTCCCTACAGGATGCCACTTGCCTCCCTTCCCCCCCACGCGGAGTGATTGCAGTTACCGGTTATGGCAAATGCAGGTCCTGAAATTCCCTTATTCGGAAGTTAATTTCCCGTTTAGGTATTTCCTTGTGCGTACGTATTACATTAAATTTACGTTCAATACGAATAAGTCACATGATTCACATTATACTGATGTAAGTCAAAGAGCTCAGTTATTGGCTTGGCGGTGTTGTGCAGCAAGAGTAAATATCTCTCTCACAAATAAAGGAATTGTTACAAGTTTTTTAACACTATCTATGATGGAGTAAATGGTTTTCGAAACTAAGATATGTATTTGGTATTTCATTTTAATTATATTTTTTTTTTTTTTGTTTAATTACTCAAAGTATGAAAATATGGTAGATACATAGTTCGGGACAGATTAAAAAAAAATATTTGCTAACAAAACTTGACATAATTTCATTAAGATCTTTGGGTTTCCTTTAATTTCTTCTTACCAGTGCTTGCTTTGCTCTGTGATTTACGCTGTTCTGATCTTGGGGTGCTTGAAGACTTACCCTCAGAGTATTTGTAGTCCATAGGTGAGCCATGGATAACGTGCTCGCCATGTGATTTTGGAACGGCCTGGTAAGTTGGTACATCTGGGTCAACAAGACTGTTCCTGTATTTCAAATGGTTGTGGCCAGCTTGATCATTACTGGTTACAGGAGATAACTTCTCATCATCATTGAAGTTATTGTAACCACGACCGGCTCCATGATCATGTCCGTGGCCAAGACCACTTCCTTGTCGAGTCCCATGACGTTGGTCTTGATCATTGTCCTTAATTGGGTCAAGATCGTCAAGGTTTTTACTCTTAATACTATTTCTAGAAGTAAAGGATTGGCTTGTTTGTAACTCGCTTCTATCCAAGTTAGGCAATCCAGATGTTGTCATACCTGTGTTCCTCTTCTCAGAGTAAACTTCCTGTGGTTCTTCAACATTCATCATACCAACTGGGAAATTATTTTGTCTTTGTGGCTTTGCTGCAGAGTTTTCTCTTTGGACATATTGCTTAGCGTCATCCGTCTTGGGTTCAGAGATGTTCAGATTCTTCAAAGGATTTATTTCCTTTGATCTGGGATCCAAAGATTGTTCCAAGTCATTATTGTGGGATTCTCTTTCAACAAATTTTCTACTGTTCATGTCCTTTGGTTCTGTGATATTCATCTGTTCTGGACCGAGCTTACCAGATTGCATACTGGTACTAGTGTTGCTCATGCCCTTATTTTGTGGGTGACTAGTACCAGAGTGATGATTTTGGCCCATGCTGCCACCTGATTGCGTAGATTTGCTATGACTAGTATTTTTGTCTTGATCTGCAAGAGTACCAAATAGAGCACCACCCTGTGTTAGTTCTTCAACAAGATCTTCAGTCTTGGGTGTTTTGTTGTGGCCACTATCGGTATGGCCAGATTGAACACCAAATTGCTTTTGACCTCTATTGGAATTATTATTAGTGCCTGTATATGAATTCACATGCTTATTCAATCCTAATCCAGCTGTCATGGTTGATACACCATTGTGAACTTCTTTTCCAGAACTACTATTATCGGTGTCAGCAGTCTTAGGATCAAGGGACTTGCCGTTGTTTACTCCACTGCCATTAGAGTTATTGGTCTTCTTAATGATATGAGGATTATCGGAATAATTGTTACCAGAGCCTAGAGATTCCTTCTTAGTACCTAAACCAATTCCAGTGAAAGTTCTCCCTTCATGGTCTAAATGATCAGCTTGCTGGATTTCCTTTGGGCTCAATGGTGGTGTTGGGTTGACATGGGTTTTTTGGATACCAGTTTTACTTGGAGTAGAAATTACATTTTTTTCAAACTGAGTCTTTGAAGTGCTGTCATTTCCAACTGTTCCGGTAATGGTAGACAAAGGAATTTCATTACTATCATTATATTCAGAATAGCCCTTTGCTGTACTGTAGTTTTCTTCTACAGCAGAGGGTTTTCTGTTAATACCACTAAAATTTTGATTATTGGAAGAGTACGTCTTTGGCTCATCCTTTTTCAAAATATCTCTGCCCTTAGCGGAAGTGCGGTCAAAGACCGTACCAGACAATTGAACATTAGGATTTCCCATATGACTGTCCTCATTTGAATTATCACCTGATTCTCTGGCTGTTGCATTTTTACTAGTGGAATTCCACATTGAACCTGAATCCGATTTGGTCTTATTGTTGTTATTATGCATTTCTACAGCATGTGAGAAATTCTGTTTCTCTGTTTGGATTTCATTCTTGATCCCAGTGTTACCAGTAAATCCACCCTGAGGATGACTTGGAATCACAACACCTGTATTAGTAGGTGGCTTGTCCTCTATAGCTACATGTGATGTTGGCAAAGAACTCCTTCTTCTGTCTGCTGAGCTTTCTTGTTTGCTCTTACTCTTTCTACGTTCAGTGAAGCCAGTGAATAGATTAGTTGGTTTCAATGAACGGTCAGCAGTTTGACCAGTATTGTCAATCTCACCATGTACAGCAGCGACAGATTGATCATTACCACTTTTATGCGAAGCGCTAAACCTTCTGAAAGGCTTGGTTAATGAACCAAACCCAAGACCAGCTTGAGTCTTGGTGCCATCACCTTCTAATTTACGTGCAGTATCGTCACCAGTTTGCATCTCAGGCAGCTTGTACTCAACTGGCTTAGTAGTGCTGTGACTAAATTGCTTTTCCTTCCTTCTTTGCTCGTCAAAAAAATCAGCGTATTTAGAGTCGTTTCCAATATCCGCCGAGTTGACTTTCTCAAATGGTTTATTACCTAAAGCAAGTGGTTCCTTATCTTTGTTATTTTCTTCTTTGTCTTTATTTGGGGACCTTGGTTTACTGAATTTCAACATCTTTAATAAAGCTTACTGCTCACAAATTGCCTATTTATATCCTATTCTAAATGCTAAAGTAGTAAAAAGAACAAACTTATCAATAAATAAAATCCTAACATCCCTCAAGGAACAGGGTTTGAAGGAGTGTACTAGTTAAATACATATTTTCTTTTTGGCTGAATACACACTACCATTCAGTAAAGTACTATTATTATGTTGGTCATCTCTAGATCATTAACTATTCCATATGATAATTTTTAAATTGGCTATATCTTTTCTTTTAAGTAAGTATCCTGCACACTTTTCTGTGTGACAAGTGCGAACCCTTAAGGGATTAATGAAAATAATTAATATTAAAAATAAAAAAAATTATCGATGAGCTGGAATTTATGATGAGCCCCGGGGGGATGTGGATGCAAGGATAGTAATCTTGTCTTATAACTAGCCATTGATGGCAAGGTGTGTACACATGACCAAATGGGCTGTCACTGTAACTAATATTATAATTTCAAATATTCACTAGGAACTGATGTGTGGGATCGGGGTCCCCTTATTGATCGTGTGCCGATCGGCTAATAACCTCATTCCTTTTATTTCTTGAATTGTAATTATAGACCTTGAAATTTTGCCGTTGCCGTTGCTAGTTGTTTATTGAAGTGTTCTAATTATTTCAAGCTCATTTAAGGAGTGTTGGGATAATAGGATGGGAAAGAAAATGGTAGTAATGATATCAACTATCAGACATGAAAATAAGGAATCTGGTCATATCCCCTGCTCTAAATAATGTGATATGAAAAGAATGTTTTTTGAATTATAGAGTAATATTATTATATTAAAAATTATCAAAATGATACTTATAGAAGATATGGAGATAAAGTAAATAAAAATTAAAGGAAAATTATCTTTTGATATGGGTTCGATTGGATTGATGTGTTTCTTTATAATTTGTGTTTCATTAAGAGTTGTGTCGTCACAACAAATAAGAACAAACAAATTAAAAAGACGCTTGAATTTTTTTTAAGGATATTATCAAAATGATAGTAAACCAGAATTAGGAAAGTAGGTGAAATATGTCTTTCTCTTTTCTTATGCTAATTGTTGTTAAGCTTTGGGTATGCCTAGCACACATTCTGGCTATTGCTACTACCAGGGGGTATTTTTATTATTAATGTAAATTAGTGTGATTAAAACGATAAATTAAGAAAATAATTGAGTGGAAACAACTAGTTTTATTTGTTTTGAATTTTTAGAAGCAATGCCAGTTTAAAACAAAAACATATGATAATATTTCGATATACGTATGCTATCGAAACATAAGTTGAATGAAACTTGAAGAAACAAAACTAAAACCTTACAATCCCATTTTCTGTGTTTAAATTTTTTTTTTTGTCTTTTAAGTTTTTTTCATGTTATTGCTGATATCTTTGTCTTGGAGTCCAAGCAGTTCGATGAATGACTGTATGACGTCAGAAATTAGATCATATAATACAAAATGGTTAGTTATTTAGCCAAGCACTGCAATAGCCAATACAACTAAACATTTCTAAGTTTGGACACCTTCAACCACCTTTTCATGGGATTCCTCTTCCGCCATCACACCAGCTGGAGTTTCGTGTTTCTTAGTTCTTAGCTTTCTGAAAAAGGTACGGCCAGAAGATGGTTGGCTTTCAACAGGTGGTACAGCACCGACCACTTCGGTGTCAGAATAGACGTCAGTAGTTCTGTACTTGTTATACTTCTCCTTTCTTCTAGTAATAGCATCGATCATAGTCCAAATAGAAGATACACCCATTAGGAAAACAGTAGTCCATAGGAAAGCAAAGTTCTTAGCACCCATCTTTGCATGTCTGTCGTCGTGGTGGAATGCATTCTTAGCTTTGGCATAACAACCAGTGTACAAACAAGCAGCCAATGTAATGAAGAACCATGACAGCCAGCACAACACACAAGTTGTGATGCTCAATGGTCTAGCCAACTTGAAGATACTTAGGAATATTGGGACAATAGCCAACACGGTGAAGAAAAGGGATATCAACAACATAGCCCAGCCGACCTTAGACAAGTAGTAGTATGTCTTTCTGTGGTCAATGAAAGTTCTTGGCATGTTGGGGGATTCACCGAAGTTATCCTTTGGAGAAAATGGTTTGTCGGCACCTTTGTCGGAACAGTCGTAAGTCTCATGGTCTGCATAACCACAGTACATGTAGTTGTACCATCTTGTGACATCTGGGGCATCATTAAAACCACTGGTGTCAGCTTCGAACCAGTAAAAATTCTTCAAAGTACCAGAATCACGGGCACCTGACAGGATTAGGAAGAAAGATAGTAGACCTGCACCTACTATAAACAAACACACAATAGCGTTTACAAATCTTTTGTATTGCATTATGAGTACTTTAGGGCTTATGAGTTTTCTTGTTTTATTGGAATGCTCAAATGAAACTTGTTCGGTTTTGTTATTATTATACTGTTAACTTCTTAAAAGAGCTTCTCTGTGATAAAAACAAATTTTTTTTCAGATATATTGATTACCTCTATAGCTTATGAGGGAGGTGAATAAAAATTATTCTTTAAAACTTAAAAAAAAAGTAGCTTTCCTAGCAATCAATAGAAAGAAGTAGAAAACTCAATTTCCGAAATAACCAAAGGTTATATATAATATCAAATATTATTGTTAAGAGAATTAAAAAAAAAAAAGCAACAGCTTTTTCTCCCTCTTCTTCTTTGTTGAAATAAAAATTCCTTATTGTTTTAGAAACAAAAACAAATTAACTTTGTAATTTGTCCTTTTCCTTGTAGAACTTAGTATTAGTATACCCAAAAAAATTTCCCTATTTTTCTCTCTCTAAACTTTGAGAGTTTCCAATCCAAATAACTCCTTCTAACCCCCACTCTCTCCGTCTCTTTAACATCCATCACCATTATGAGTATTGTGTATCATAGCATTTTGGCTTATTATTTGCATCCTCATCGATATTAGCCTCCCCATGTCTTTGTTTATTATGGGATATTATGCAATACAAACAGCAAGGATGCGATGTGCCAATCCTTCAATTAAGTTGACCCATTGCGTACGCTCTATTGTTTTCTTGTATTAGTTTCGCTGAACCCAGAAGCTATTACGTCTTCTGCCTTCAATACAGTGTTTACTAAATTCGGGGGGCCAGTGAGACCCCAGGGAAGGGACTCATCGGGGGGATGTGGATGTAGGGCAATATCGCAAACACCTACTCCTTGCAATTTGCAGGACCTAGCCCTAAAAGGGGCATGTTTGCAACTGCACAGAGAGAATAGGGCAGGAATAGTAAAAAAAAGGGGGGGAAAGTCTTCTACCTGGGAAAATGTGAGAGCAAGTCCGGAGAGGGAAGGTGCGCAACAACATCCTCTGCAACTCTTTCTGCGCGTTCTCATGAACAACACACAGCCCTAATATAGGGAAAATGTAAACAAATGAAGAAGAAGGAAAGAGGTACTGTTAGGAGAATATTTCCCTTAGACTTATCCGTGGAGCGAAAGTTACCGAAAAAAGGACTCCCCTTTTTCTCTTGTTGCGGGTTCTTATTCTAAGGGCTCTCTCTTGTACTTTTTCGGGAACAATAAATAAAAGATTAGTTCTGAATGCGGTAACTCAGGGATTTCTGGTTTGTACAGATATTACTGTGTGGACTTTCGTCTTGTATTTCCCGAAAACAGGTTGTGTGCACAAAAGTAGAGAGCAAAAGGGAAAAAATATATTAGAAAACACCCGTGGGAAGCAGATCGTCATGGTAGACGTCACACACAAGACTTCAGTTCCAGCGGGGCGACACTTAAAGCCTGAGTCTATTAATAGGCAGGACAGTGCCAGTGTCGAGCGCAAGTGAAGGGAGTGGGTTGGGTGGGTTAAGCCAACAAAATTCACTGCACTAAACTTCACTGGACTTCATCGCCTGGGCAAGCTTTTTCTGTAAACCCGGGACGTTGTCTATAATCCTCTCTATTTACGAAGTAATACCGCAATAGGAAAATAAGGGCCACTACCCCTCGCCGACTACTATTTGAAAGATCACATTGACGAACAACATTTCAACTCGCCCTGAGCAAAGAAGCAAGTTAGAAAGTGTAGGTTGGAAATGCACCTCAAATGTTCTAGAAGCGCTTCCCATTCACTATTTTATGGGAGGGTTTAGTATCACATGTACTAGCGTATCTCTTACACTTCGATGCTAAGCAAAAGCTTATTGAGTTAACGACAAGGTTTCTTCCACTTTAATAGTATCTCTTAGCCTGAACATTCTCTGTAGCCGGAGTTCTTGTATGGTACACTCAATTGGGGACCATCGAATAATCCGGTCAGTTTTAGAAGGTCTTTGGAAAACTCTAAGTCTCGATGTTTCATTGAGCAGTGGGGTAAATATATCCATGGTTAGCGCTTCGTCGCCTAGGAAATTCTGTACCTCTTCTTTGCCGGTGATATATACTTCAAGTATATCGACTGGTGGCACGTATTTGCCTACCATAGGTAATTCATTCACTACTTTGATGCGTATTTCTTGATCGTATACTATCTCAACATCAATTATGTAAACGTTCAAAACATAAATCTTCGGTGTAAGGTGTTGCAAATGATTCAACTGTGAAATATTATGATCTTCCACAACTTCATACTGTGTAATATCTGTAATACATGGAACTTGCTCCTTTGACTCTCGTGTGGTTTTCGAGGATGCTATATCGCCGTTCACATTCAAAGTCGGAGAAGCAGTCAGATAGGGCTCTGTTTTATTGAATAGCTCTTTGATGTACGGTTTCTCCCCAATGCTCAATTCATGTAGGTTATCAAGTAGCTCGATATCTCGCTCCACTAAATTCAGCACAGATTGATATAGTTTACACTTCATCACTATTCGACAAAGTATTCCATACTTACTAACATTTTTATCCGCAATTTGTGAGTTCTCGTTGACCATAGCGTTGAGATCTTTACCATACTTGGCTTTGACTTTCATATTAAATTCATTGAAATGATTATAGTATGAAATAACTCTAAAACTTTGGTCATGATCTAATTTTGTATTATAGTCATTGATATACCGATCAAATGTATATTTCTGCTCGTATTTCCGGTTTGTTGTAAAATCTGTGAATACGAAATTGGCATAGTTACTATTATCTGTTGAGCACGCTAATAAATAGCCAAATACAATATAAAATTTTGCGGTATTTTCTTCTTCAATTATCATGTCCTTAAATTGAATGACTTGATCCCGAGTAGACTCATCGATGAAATTTATACTGTTGAAGTCGTATCGATTAGAGCATTTACCCTGCTCAGGTACCTTTTCTTTTACTGGCATCTCTGGGTTGAAATCTAATTTCTCTATCGTCCATTTGAAACTGTCGTATCCACGAATCTCATATTTCCACTTCTTTACTGTTATGTTTAAATCACCATTAAGATATTTTCGCAGCTTGCTTGAAGTATCAGCTAGTCTACCAAAAGTTTCCATGTACTCCAACTTGTTCTTGATAACTACTTCACAGCAATTGTTATTCGGTATGAGAAGTTCATCTACCATTGTTTTTTGTTTGAATACTAATCGAAGAGTGAATTTATCTAGATCATCTAAGGACTTAAACCCAACAGGAGACATAGATTGTAATGAACAATGGCTTATGATTACCGACGAATTATCACCATTGTATGTCCAGAGTTGGTTTCTATGTGGGTCCATAAAATTCACATAAAGGCAACTATCCTTTTTACTGTGTTTATTGGCAGATGACCCATTGTGGTTCGTTGGTAGATCATGTTTTGTTGATCCTAATCTTGTCACAGTAGGGTACGATCCCTCGGAAATATTGTCCAAATCGTCATCACTATCAATCAATTCATCGTCACTAATTCCCGGTATGCTTGCTTGACTAGTAAACTGCTGCGTGTTCATAGCTTGTGAGTTAAAGTCATTTTGAGATTCCACCATAGTAGTTTGTTTTGTGAAGAAACTCGTCAGTTTAGTTTGTTTGGTCATTTTAATACCGGATAGAAAATGCACCAGAGTATTTTTGTAGTTATTTAACTTCACAAAATTGAATTCTGACTTGATATCAGAGTCCAGTTTTTTCAATGCCAGTAGTATTTTAGAGATTTTATCTTTCTTCTTCTTGTCCAGAGTATTCCAGTTCTCCTGTATATAATTAATATCAAGTACTTTTACGTCCACAGGTTGCAACTTGAAAGTCATGTCACCGTTGACCAACTGTAGTCCAGAAGATGTGCACTTAGCCACCACAAAGCAAAGCTTCTCCAATTGTATTTTCGTTATATTGAATGCATTGGTATCAGAGACTTCCAGGTCACATTCATTTACTACTTCTCTCGCCTGGGCCTCGTCTATATCCAACACTCGCACTTCACCTGCGATATCATCCAGCGCTATATGGAACCCATTGTCATCCTTAGATATCGAGGTCAGCACGGCTATGATCTCAATAGACATCAGATATCCTAATGTGTTCAGATGTGTATAGCCAAAAAAAAATCACACCAAAAGAATATCAGAACCGGCAGGTATAAAAATATGAAACTACCGCTGGCATCAATAACTATACATTGCGATGAGTGCTCTTAGGTCATGTGCATGGATGCTATTTGAGCCAAACGATCCTTCGGGTTTCCCGTCTTTTCGCGTTTTCGCGTATCATTCTGTGTGGGATCACTATGGCCAAATCAATGTGATCATGTATCACCTTATACAGCACTTTGAATGACTCTTCTTTTGGAAATTGCCAAGGCAAAGTGCATCGGGCACCTTGGGTGATCTATGGGACGACGTATATATTGCGAAAGGGTTCAGAACAGTGCATTGGCATAACACTGACGAGACTGGTGAGGTTAGCATAGATTGACATCTTGCGCAAGAAGAACAGAGCACCAAGCGCCCAAAACTCAATCGACTATGAGGATAGTGATACAGAAGGTCAGCCAGGCCATGGTGAAAGTGGACAATGAGATAGTATCTCAAATTGCCAAGGGGTATATGCTGCTTGTTGGTATAAGCACAGAGGACACAATTGCCGATGCGCAGAAGCTCTCCAACAAAGTGCTGAACTTGAGATTGTTTGAGACGGGCGACCAGTTCTGGAAGCATTCTATCCAGGACGTACAGGGCGAGATCCTGAGTGTCTCGCAGTTCACGCTGATGGCGCGTACCAAGAAAGGTAACAAACCGGATTTCCACAAGGCTCAGAAAGGGGAGCACGCACAGGAGCTTTACAACCAGTTCCTGGACCTGTTGAAGACCACACTGGGCGCAGACAAAGTCAAGGACGGCCAGTTTGGCGCTATGATGAGCTGCTCATTGACCAACGAGGGACCAGTGACTATCATTCTAGACTCTACAGAGTAGACGTAATTGTATACCCGCAATTGTATACCCGCAATTGTATACCCGCAATTGTACTGCAAGACAACGTATGTACTAATAGAGAGACAGATACTGGACGCAATTCTCTAATATACATAAGTACGAATGTAACGCTGAATGAAACTATAGACATCTTCATCCCCGGGACCCGAAAACCCCGAAGATCGATGAGATTGACTTCCTTCTATGCCAATGGATTTCCATCACCTTCTGCTGTATTCGATCAGGGGGGGGGGAGGCATATTCTACTCGGGTGTACGTGTTCTAAAACAGCAATACACCACGATATAACATGATCCCCCTGGTTCCCATTGCAGAGTTTAAAAGACATACATAAAATGCAGAACCCGTGCACCACAATACGTAGTTCTGTTTCGATTTTTCTAAAACTTTTACGGTACATATTTAGAAGCGGTTGACGTTTTCTTTTCTTGCACTGCAAGCATAGAAGGGATCCCGGACATCGGTGGCCGGGAACCAGCTGCATCGGTCTAAAATGTAGAGAAAAAAAAGGGGATCTTCCTATTGCTCAGATGAGACAGGAGGCAAAAAAAGATAGAATCCCAAATAGGAAATGATGGGTCTTTCTTATTCTAAAAAAAAATCTGTTGGGACGTCTCTTGAACATATGTGCGCAGTTATTAGAAGCCAATTTGTGTCAATGGCCCGGGATTAAGTTAGAAACATTCGCAGGAAACTCCTTACGTAACTACAAAAAAGTCTCAAGTCGCAGTCTCAATAAACTCCGTGTATCTTGAGTACTAAGGGGGCGGGTGAGGGATTGCCGGACAAAAAAAATTTTCTCAAGCGAAAAGACGAACATCGAAAAACAAAAGATAATAAAACCTCGCTGTCCAATCACACAGACACGGCTGTACACCGAACTAAAATCCCAACACACCCCTAAGTTTCTCTCTTGGGCACAACGCAAAGCACCGGATGATATGAGCAAATCCCCGAAGCACCGAGTGAAGATAGGTCCGCAAGATAGAATGCTGTGGTTTGATTCTGAAACAAAGGGGGAGAGAGAGAGAACAGCAATTTATTTTCTGAATCATAATCCCGGAGAACGCAGTTAACAGCAAAAATGAAAAACATAAGAGACACAGAAAAGAACGCACAAGCAGATATGTAAAGAACACGAAACACACTTATTCATAGCTTTTGTAGGGGATGTTCTATGAAATTGAAACTATGAAAGGATAAGTAATGCTCGAGTACCTGCTCTGTACTGTTCTGTGCAATTACAGTTGCAAGGTTGAAGAAGCCAATAACACTAACCAAAGCAGAACATCAAAAATCCCTCCTTTCTATCGCCCCCCCCCTGTTCAGTACCACTCCCTAAATCTTTCCCTAGCATAGTCCGGAGAATCTGAATATGCTTTAGAAACATATGCAGAGGGAATATTCTTTTGGCTGCGGGCAATCAGGTACATCCTCCCATAACGAGTAGCGCATGAGGTTCCCTGTAGCCCGATGAGATGAGCCAAGCATAGAACATACTGCACAAACCTTAAATCTGTTCCATAAATTTCCATAATTGAAAGTGCAATAGGGGACCCCTTTTTTTCTATTCCGCTTCCATAAGAATTTGCGCTTAGTACTGCAACGGTTTAAGAGGGAATGATTGGCAAAGGGAGACATGAGATGCCCTTCAAGAATAAAAAGTACAGAGAAAAACAGTAGACTCGCACACACCGAAGAACTTCTTACTCAATGAGCGGGTACTTTAGAGCGTACGGGATTTTCTATCGGAGGGAGGAGACAAGAGCGGAGAGAGAGAAAAAAAAGGAGACAAGAATATAGAGCACCATTGTTCCGCGACATATTCTGAGTATATCTGGCATGGCTCTAGCTCCGTCCCTTCTTTTCCCGGCTGTAATAGCATTTCCTTTTCTAAGAAAATTCAATGAAAAAAATAAAATTTCTTCAGAAACACCTGCAGCAAAACAAATAGGCGGTTAAAAATAAATGATGAGAATAACTTGGATTTCTAAGCAATTACCGCAAGGAAAATTTGTTCCCCTTCTAAAATTCTAATTCTCGCCTAGAAACTCGAGTGCAGTTCAATCTAAAACATGGTTATTAGCTAATACACACAATTCGCCCAACACGCAATTCGCTGTATCTGTATCTTCTCTTCTGTGTGGTAAATTAACAGTTAGCTCTTTCTATTTGTAAGATTAATGTCCTGAAAATCCCGCACTGTCAAGGAACCGCAGGCTTATGAAAGGAACTGTTTCTCTGTGCGGCTATTGGCTGCTTTCATAAGTAAAAGGGGGAGGTTGGGCCAAAAAAAAAAAGTATAAATAGGCGGCAGGTTACGCATCCAATTCATCCTCAATCTCTAAATAACAAAGAAAGAAAAATAAAACCAACAGTGTTTATTTACAATACAAACAAACTTAATATAAAAAAAACCATATACGAAAAATGACTGCTTCAAGTGCTATGAAGAACTTTGGGTTATTCTCCCTAAGATTTTTTGAATTCGGTTCTGCCGTTGTTGTGCTGGGTACACTTGGTTACACAGTGCATGGCTACCACTTCCATGGTTCTAAGAGAACCAACTTCGTGTTGGCACAAGCTGCTATCTCTACTTTCTACAGCTTGTGTACATGCTTGCTAACTTTGGCTGTGCCACAATTGATCTTCGTTGGTCTTTACTGGTTCTGGGAATTGATTATGACCATGCTATGGTTGGCCGCTTTCATTGTTGACGCTAAGGTTCAAGGTGACGACGGCTGCCACAACAGAAGATCCACTACTTACGAACCACACAGAGGTTCTCAAGAAGAATTCCAAGCAACTAACGGTGAATACAACCCATTCACTGGTAAGTACACCACCAACGACTACAAGCGTCCATGCCACACCGGTAAGGCCTCCATTGCCTTCGCTGGTCTATGTTTCGTCTTGTACTTGACCTCCACCATTATTCTAGGTGTTAGAGTTATGACTCCAATCGTTAAGAAGTACGGCTCTAAGGGTTTGATGATGAAGGGTTCCGACATGAACGACAACAGCTTGAACAGATTCCATGGTTTGGACTTGGTCAAGCCATTGGACGATGCTTACAACTACGATCCAGAACAAGGTATGGGTGAAACTGCCCCACAAGACTCTGCTTCTTCTCACGAATACAACCAAGAGAAGTTGAATGAACAACCACGTGCTTCTGGTGACACTGCTGTCCAAGCTTAAACTTGAAAGAACTGAAACACATGGGTAGAACATTATTTTTTTTCATGGCGCTAATGTCATTAAAAATGATGTCATCACCTTTTATTTTTAGTAGATTTACTCAAGTTTATGCCAAGTATTCTTTTTTGATGAATTACATTCGTTGAAAGGGAAGGGATTAGATAATGCTTCAGATCCGTTCAGACATTTCTTATAACTGCAAATCAGTGTATTTCTTTTACGGTAAGGATCATTGATTTATTAGTAAATGGACGGTTTTTGAAAAAAGGTTTAAGCTAGCTGAATCTTATTTCAGGGAAGAATTATTCTATTTCCAAAAACTTTTTTCTGAGATATATATTCTTTTTTCTTTCTATTTCTGTCGCAGATATGAGCACTAATTTATGAGAGAGCTACCAATGCTCTCTCAGTATCCTTTTAGATTTAATTTTCACAATCTTAATTTTAATTAATAATTGTTTAATTCTATAAAATTAATTAATACCAAAACTTAATAGTATCTATAAAAAGTTACAATATAGAATTCTTCATTATATATATTAAATTTTTTCTGCGTGTTTCTACAGATGACGATTTTATGATGCATATATGTACTATTAACAAGTAAAATACAGAAATAATTTCTGTATCTAAAAGTTCCCTTATATCTGAAAAGAGTTTCAAAACTCATTAGATTATTGTTTAAAATCATTTTCAGGAGGTCTACCGTCTTCGCTCTTCATGTACATGTCGATTGCTGCTGAGAATGCAGCAAAACCTGCACAGCCAACCAATGCTGCTTGAGGGCCACTCTTGTAGGCCAGTCCACCACCTGTTATACAACCAGCTGTAATACCATTGTATATATCGTTCTTGGCTCGCAGACTCTCCACAGCACACTCTACACCAGCATATATCATACCTATATAACCGAAATTCTTTGCGCTAGAATAAGCCCTCTTACCCATATCAGCGAATTGTAATTTCACTTGCTGTCTTAATGGCAGGTCTGCCATTTGTTGTACAGCTCCACTCATGCCACCTGGAACGGGAGTATGGAGCGGGGTATCATAGGCCATAGAAGCCATGAACAAACCTAACACACCACCTAACGCAAAACCAGTGGCACCACTTATTACTGACTTACCGGGACACGATGACATGAATCCCACAACCATCTCTGCACCGCGCTCACCTTGTTCATCGGGCGACAGCTCTCCAAATGCTTTCTTCTCCGGTGGTGACAAATACTCCAGCCCAAACCCACGATATACCATTATTTATCAATTTCTCTTGCCTATTTTATATCACTTCTAAGTTTTTGTTAAAATTGCAGTATTGTGAGTAATATATCAACCAAGTTCTATGTATGAATGATAGTATAAATCATGACGCAAATATAGATGGAAACATGATTCCATGATCAAGACATGTGTGACAGCCCATAGGTATCGATCAAGAGCGATGACTTTGATGATTGCCCATATCACTACTTTTTCTAGCACTTCGTACCTTTTGACTTCCAAGCTGTCACTTCTATCTGCTGTGACAGCTTTGGTTATATATAAATAACATATTACTATGTATGTTCATTACACGTTAGATTCATTATATTCGTATCATTTTGAGAACATGTCACGATACATTCTAAGTCGGTAGTATTGTCGAAGCTTGAGACGTAGCAGTATTTCCTTTTGAGTTAGGTAATCATTCTTCAGCGATTCGTGAAAATCATCTATGCACTTTGACTCAAATGCATCCTGTGCACTAGCAGTTCGTATGTTAAAGTTTTTATTTTCAGGCCTATCCTTTCCCTCAAATATAACGCCATATCTAGATGATTGTATAGCAGGTAAAATATGGGGTCGTTTTGGTGAATTGCGTTCTTGTTGGTTGTTTTGATTGTTCATCTGTGTATGGATCGATGATGTACGAGATGGATCAGCGATAGTATTTATGCTGCTAGCTACACTATCAAAAGCACTACAATTTCTATCTTCCATTTCGATATCGCTACTGGAACCAATAGATGACACGCTGTTTGATCTCATAATGTTTACCCGAGACCCATTACCGTTCGATGTAGCCGCAAATGCAAATTCATGTGCAGTTTGAATTATTCTTCCAGGAGTAGAAATTGACTTGTTAGTAGTTGTATCTTCAGTATGTGCAGTGTTTTCAATTTTTTCCATTATCTTAAAGTTACGCCATTGTTTGACTGTCTCAGACAGTTTCTGAAGATAGTTTGACTCTAAATTCCTTGATTCTATACTGTTAAATGGAATCTTTACAGATAGCGGATTTTCTAGTTTGTTTAACTCAGAATCGAAAACTGTAGTGTTCAATTCATAAAAGTTTGTATCATCGTTTTGATCTTGATATGTTCTAAAAGAACCAATCCTAACCTTCTGATCATTCTTACTTTTATGAGGATCCACCACAATTGCAAGGTATGGGTCTTGATGTTGCTGATTTAATGATTGAGTCTGCATGTCAATATTACTTAGCCAACAGTCATAACCAGGATGGGAATGGTACCAGCCAATGATATTTAAATTCTCTTCATTTCTTGTATATGATCGTTCCACCATTTCGTGATAAAATTGGACCATATATTCATATGATTCCATATGTGCATTAACCATAGTCTCTGTTCCTTCAACAGGTAATTCAAAACAATCAAATATAACAAATGTGTTCCCTATAACATTACCTAAAAGCATTCCCATCACTTCAATATTCCCACCTTTTGTAGCATGACACAGTATTTTTGAGCATGCAAGTTTAGAAAGCAGGACATTTTGATAGAATAGTGGACTGTTTTTAGTGCTATCTATAGCCTTCCTGTTTTTTAAAGAACAAACTTGGTTCAAAAGACTAAGTTGGTCTATGGATTCCTTTTCATTTCCTGCTATGTTATTTTTATGTTTACTATTTTGTACCTCATAATCTCTAATATTGTAATCTAGTAACTTAGACTCCAAATCTGAAACATTCAAAGATGGAAAGTCATCCATAGTATATTTAGGCTTAACTAACTATGGATTATTGTTCTATAACTTCATTAGTTGCTCTCTGAGTCTTTGCAACAAGTACTGTATTTAGGGTAGATTAATCCTTCTGTTGAGTTTGAAAGAACCAATGAGTATGTTAAAGCAGTGTATGTTTTGTAATCAATTGTGAACACAACCATTTGATGTTCTTGATATGCAAGACTTAAATAAGTTCTTTTCCAAATCGTTATTTTAAGGTTGGCATTGCATGATGCACGACCGATGGCTAAGTCATCTCAATTAATGCGGATTCCGGCACTTTAACTCTCATTTCTTGTACAAGCATGTGCAAAATGGGACTATGAATATTTATATTATTAAATCTAAGCTAAAAGGCTGCTCATTTGTACAGGAGATTTACTAATTCTTAAATACATGTCAATAATAATAGTTTAAATGCATAAAAAGACTTTTTTTTTTTTTAATATAACATGCAAAAAAATAAGTTAGAAAAGAATTTCATGGGCATGAGAAAATGCTAGACAGCAAGCTTATTTCATTCAAAGTCAGTACTTTTAATTAGTAATGGCTAGATAATGAGATGATGTCAACACTTTGTGGTTAAGACAGACTACAGAGACTTGCTGTCGAATTCAATTACTGTAGAATTTTTCAGCATCTCTCTTTAATTCACCAATGAACTCTAAAAATTTACCAATATTGACATCGATACCGAACTTGTAAACAAAAGTACTGGATAAGTAACTGGACAGCAAAACCTTCAAGTAGTTTTCCGGAATACTCGTTAGGATTTGATCCTTACCAGCAACATCAATTAACAACTTTGGAATTATTTTTTCCAACAAAAGATAGTTACGAAGCTTCAAATCATTCAACCACAACTCTTCAGATTCTACCAATTCGTCATTCAGTTTGTTAATGGTTTGTGATAAAACATTCGACAACTCAGAAATTGGCGTACCTGTCTCTTGATTAATCTTCCACAATTGACCAAATTCTAATCTAGCATTGTTCTCAATTCTTGATTGAGCCTCAACAACATATGCTTTGTACAGTGGACTCTTGATGAATTTTATACCTTCTGGTGTTGTCTCTCTCTTGGCCACAAATTTATTGACAAAATCATCATCATTCAATGCAAGGGAAGCCAAAACTTCAAGAGACGATGAAGTAACACCACCTTTGTTAGCTGAAGCATCCTTGAATAGAACACAGCCATGGGCTTCTAATGCTAATTTTGCTGGCTGAGCGATAAATAAGTTTGCACCTTCAACAATGTAAGGAATCTTACATTTGTTAGTCTTTTCGTCAATGAAACAGTGCAAGTTATTCAAGTTAATGGAGTTTGGTCTACCTCCACATGGAACGAATACGTCAACATGGTCAACGTATTTGAATATTTCAGTATGGAAGTTGTTTCTGAAAGTAGTACCATTAGCAATAATAGCTCCATTAGGAAGCATAACATCCATATCATCAACGGAGACGAAGAAACCTTGTTTACTTAGTTTTGAAGTGTCAAACTCCTTAACCATCTTTCTGGTGTGAGCTAACCTAGTCAATTCTTCCTTATCAATACCTTCTGGGTCACATAAAACACCAGAGCCATCAAGGATACCAACGTATGATTCGTTTGGTGTAGAAAGTAGAATTTCGTTGGATCCTAAGTCCCCATCAGGACCACCAGTTTGAAACTTGGCAACGGTCTTTTCATTCAAATGAAGGGTCTTGTATAATTCATTGACATAGGACCTAACACCTAAAGAAGTCATACCGTATTCATCATGAGGAATACCACCCAAATCTGGTGATTTACCAGTTAAGAATGACTTCCACCATGGACAATTTCTGGAGCGGGCATGAGTTGTTGCCCAGTCGACAAAGCCGGCCGAACCTTCATCTGGACCAAAGAACAGAATTTCCTCCTTTCCCAAAAGGTCAACATAATTCTCTTTCAATGGATCCTTGATTAAGATATCAATCATGGCATCGACGTACTGAGAGAATGCAATGAAGGTTTGATCATGCTCAACAAGACCAGGATTTAGCAAAATAACACCCTTTGAACCACCTTCTGGAATATCCTTGTTCTTTCTTTGTTGTGTAGAAGCCAATTGATAATTTTCATCAATGACAGTCTTGGAATTGGTATCATAAATGTCTTGGTTTCTTGAGCACACTATTCTGATACCACCACGAGCAACATCCTTGAATCTGATATGGAAACCTTTGAAAGTGTTACCTACAACAAAGAATAGACCATATGGGGTATCTGGGTACTCTACCTTTGGCATGATTAGCTCAGGCAGCAATCTGAAAGAAATAGCAACTTTTCTAGTGACAAAGAAATTAGTCTTTAAGATCGCCTTGTTAAACAAATTCAAAGTTTGTAAAATCAAATAATCTGGGGAGTCATTAGGAATGAATTTATTTAAGAAACTTTGGAATTCCTGGTCATTCTTAAATGGTTCAATTTGCTCTAATCTTTGGTAAGATAGAGTCTTTTGTAAGCTGTCAGACTTTGCATGGTGGGAATGAACATCTGCAAAGTTTTTATACAATTTGGATACGACTTTGTGATTTTTCTCTAGAGCATTGATGATAGATTGTTGGGACAATGTCTCATTTCTTAACTTTCTCTTCAAGTTACTTAAGATTTCCAAAAGTGTGGTATCTGAGTCTTTGATCGTCAATACGGATAACAATGACTGGTAGTCACTACCAAGTCTGTTAATGAAATGGTTGATAAAGATAGCAGATACGTGCGCGTAGACAGCTTCCTGAGGAGAGAACTGTCTCTCGGCACAAACCTTGGTAAAAGCATGATTAGGGATGGCATATAATAGAGAGGCTTCTCTTTCGACTTGCTTAATTGCCAGTTCCAAGTCATTTTTCAAAATTTCTTCTGGTTGCTGAGATCTGTGAAGGTAAATTGAGAAAATAATAATATCGTCATATGGATTCTTATTCGTCTTTACAGCTGAAGCTTGGTTTTTAACTCTAAAAGATTCTAAGTAGAATTTAGAGGGTTTTAACTTATAGTAGTGGAATAATGAGTTGATTGCGGAAAAGTAACTCTTTGTGGTGAATCTCTTATAAGCCACCAACATTCTTATTTCATCACTATCCTCGACAGATTGAGTAGTTCTGATGACAGGACCTTCACGGTCCTGTACCAATTTGATCAATAAACCGTAAAGTTTCTTGTTCTCAATAGATGTCACTTGAGCCATAGTTTTATCACTAATGGAATCAATTTGACCCTTTAGTAATTGAGTACTATCTATGGCTGCTTGAGGTTCATCAGATTGGCTCTCATAGACAAAAGTCAATTTCAATTCACTTTCAGGAGCAGTAAATGAGACTAATCTGCAATTACCCTTTTCCTTGTTATCTAGGAATAAATGGTCAATCTCTTCATCAAGTTCATATGGTGGGTTATCCGTGTGTTTTTTAGTTGTGGCTTTACCACCTTCTAATTGTTGGTCGATACCCCCTGTTTGATCTGTTTTCTCCAAGAACTCGGGAGAGGCTGAATTTGACTCCATAAAGATAGCATGGCTACTATCGGTGATGATCTTATTCTTGATGTTGAAATGTTGGGGTTGGACACCAACAAAATTCGATTTGGCAAAGGATTCCAACTTTGATGCGTACAAGGAGTGTACAATGTTGGCGATCAGCTGTGGAGACTCTCTTGAGAAAAACAAATCGTCAATACCCAGGGAGTTATAGAACCAGTCTACCTCTTGCTCAATTAAGTCATCTGGGATGAAACCTTGTTGGTCTAGCAAGTCAACAACCTGTTCTCTTTGTTGTTCTTTGCCTGGGAAATCAAAAACATGGTAATCTGACATTGAAGAAATCGACAATGTCGCAATCTCTGGGACTTCTGGGTTACTTAATCTCTGTTTGAACATTATGTTGTTGTTGTTATTTTTTTTTTGTCTTTAGAGAAATTGTAAACTTTTCAGATTTTGTTTAAATTTCTCTATTAGAGTTAGCTTATTATTGTGTTGATAATAATTTAATTGCTTTCTTTTATTTTGAGTTCTTTTATTCAAATAACAAAAAAAACAATAAGAATATATTAAAAATTAGCGGTGTTTTTGTTTGTGATTTTTTTTTGATTTTTCTGTCTGTTCAGAAAGGTCAATCAAATGTACTATCAATTAGTAAATGTAGTTTTGTCCTATTTGTTATAACTAGACAATAGTATTGTTATGCAATAAAGTCAATATATTTCAGTAAGTTCCAGAAAGAATATAGGCTAAACATAAGACATGGGCGGCAAGAGAAGGGAAATTCTTTTTTCCGGGGTCTCAAGTGAACAGGTCCGTTACCCCTTCAGTATTTATAGTTCTGCCAACAGATCCCACGGTAGCATACGCCTACGACAGGATTCTAAACAGTACGCGCATTTTTAGGGGGGGGTGAAGCAATGAGAGAAGGGGGCAAGCTACACGTTTACAGCTGTGCACTACATTCTGTGAAAACACCGGAGAAACCGTAACGACACATTTTTTTTGGCTTTTTGGGACTAGTAGCTATTTTAATGTCGCAGAATGTGCTGCGCGGTATTTGTCTTCAAATCGAAGGTTTCTCCTTTTTCTTTCCTCATTGCATCTTGAGCGTTTATTGTGTCGTGCTAGTGCCAGGGCTAGTGCCAGGGCTAGTGCTAGTGCCAGTGCTACTACTATGACTGCAGGCGCGCACATATACTTCTCGGGGTAGATGATGGGGGGGAAGGGAATCGATGGGCTTTTCCATTAATCACTAGTACAGGTCTATTTTTTGGTCTATTGCTACGGGGTCTTTAGAGTCTTGGCACAATGACTGGAAAATAGCAACGATTAAGGACGCATTGAGTCACAGAAGACTCCGTGGACTCCAGAAAGAAAAGAAAAAACGAATATCCCTTACGATCGCATCTGCTCTCCCATTCGTCGGACAGAGAAATTGTAGTACAAACAACGGCATGGTAATCAGATCCCTCTCGAGGAAAGTCGCTGGTGGGGGAGGGGGAGGGAAGGGAGGGGAATGGATAAGCGGGATCTTGGGAGTTTGTGCTTTTGCTTTGTTACGGGACTGAGGGAGGGGCATCGCTATTGTTGTTTACACTAAGTTGTGTGCACTGTTTTTTTAGGAGCAAATGAAAAAAAACAGTGGGGTAAAAAGGTTGTCTTGGACTAGGAATTGTGCCAATTGGCGTTAGAACAAACAGTCCCAAGAAGTTGGGCTGAACTGTCCCGTTGATGATGGGGGTCCGGCAGTTTACAGCTAAAAATACGTCTGGATGTTATTACTTGTATATGTGGAAAGCCGCGTTTTCCGTGTCCCCGGGGTTGGAACACCGGGGACAGGAGGGGGGGAGGTCTTGGTTATTGGGGGAGATGGTAGTCTTTTACCGTGAATGTAGCTTTATTTTATTTTTGTAGCAAATATTGCACACCCAAGAATGTTGGTTCATATGTCGGGAACCCTTTGGCACTGGTGAATACCTGGTTAGTGTTAGAGCCATATTTGGACATCTTAAGGAAATGTTCCAAAGGGGGATGTGCTTGTTCGCCTTTTCTGCACATCCCAGTCGGACAAATGGGTATTTTTATGATGATGTAGAGCCGCGTTGGTTTGTTCTGGTCTACATCCATTAGTCCGAGAACTTACTTTTGCGGCTACGGCAACAAAATTGTACACAAAAAGAAATATAATGGGGGAATTTAGTGATCCTGGGTCGGATATACAAGTCCGAATTTCTACAGCCGTGTAAATTTTTTTTTTCAAGATGCATGTCGAAAGATTCTTACCACAGTCAACGTGGTGGGGGTGGGCGGTTAGTTCCACATAGAAAAGTAAGTCCTTTTTTTTTATTGGGGTATTTGGTGGTAAAAGAGAACCCTTCCTATGCGGATGTATAATTCCCTTCGCATACGCTATACTAATGAGTATCCTGGTCAGTGTCTGCTATTGTATTTGAAATCCCCCAATGCTAAAAATGGCAAGTGAGGGGTAAAAGAAACAAATGAGGATTTCTACACACTGGGACAACGGCTGTAAGAATGAAAAAAAAGCAAGGGAAGGGCAACGGTACGTCCCTAGAAAAATAAGTAGAAACAAAAAAAATTGTGTCAAATTTCTTGTTTTCATTTGGCGTCTCTAATTCTTTTTATAAGTGCGGGGTACACACTCCCCTAACCGCAGATACGTCCGTAGTTTCTTCTTCTTCAGACCTTGTATTTGTATCAACGCACAAAAACGTTTACTTTATACCGAAAAGAAAAGAGTTTGGCCCGAATATATAGATTTTCAAAGGAAAACCAAAAAGAAATAAATTGAAATAAAATCGTAAATCAGATACCTGTGATGTGACAACTTAATAAAGATGTTAGTACAATTCGTTTACGTCATAAACAAATATATATGTTTAAAGGCTTTGTAGGGAGAGTTGGGCTGGGCAAGAGGAGACGGGAGGATAGCCATGGACAATTTGTTTGAAAATAATAAATGAAGGTGTCATATTGGCGTCATTCTAATATTTTTTCTTTAAATTCAGTTTACTTGGAAATAAAAGTATTTGTGAACCGTTAACATATACATGAAATGATTTGTAACTCTCTAACTAATTTTACATGTATGCTATATTTGAAGTTGTATTAACGTGAAGTGAACCATGAAACTAAAAACATGAAGAAAAATAAAAGTCAAGGACAAAAAAAATATTCTAATAATAACTACAATAATAATGGTAAATAACTGCCCCATGTTTTTGTAAAATGATGTTTTATCTCTTGTTCTCCTGTTCATTTTGTAGTTGTCCCATATGTGCAGATGCCTGAGGTAATGAACTATGCTTATGTGTTATTATGGTATCTGCATACACATCTTGTGCTGCTGACATTTTACTCTTGTTATCAGACTTGCAGCCGCTCAAAGGAGCCTCGTTCCTTATAGTGCATGCCTCTATGCCATCTACCCATTGATCACTAAGAACTTCATGTATATTGAATCTGCATGCCGGTGCTAATTCTAGCATATGGCTTAGTACCTGCTGGGCCTCTTCTGGTACTAACACCAAGGGATCCATAAGATACCTGTTTTTTTCCAAAAATCTACAGTAGTGTTCATAGTCATGTAGGTTTTTCCTATGTTTATGGCGTTCACTTACACCCCTACTTGAGTTATTGAGATGTTCGTATGGGGTCTTCTGTAATAGACGCAATAATACTTTACTATTAACGTGGCGCGACATTATCTGTTCTTGGGGCTCCTTGTACTTGATATACCTAGTGAATTGCAAATCAGAACAACGAGGCTCCCTCCATGGGAACCTTTTGGTAATCATACAGATAAACATTATTGCTGCAGCCCATATATCTGTTGGTCTGGGGTCGTAACTCCAGTAATAACATACTTCTGGTGCTAAGTAAGGGTTACTACCGTGTATGCCGGAGCTTCTCATTACCACTCTATGCTCGAGGTAGGGCGTATTAAATACTGTACTACTGCCAAAATCTATCAACTTTAGGACACCTTCTTTATTTACAACACAATTGTCTAGTTTCAAGTCCCTATGGCTTATACCTATGTCATGTAAATAACTAATTCCATGCAGCACTTGTTTGAAATAGCAACATACCTCATCATAAGTGAGTTTATTGCTTACTACAAGTGCATATAGATCATAATCACAATATTCCATAACGGTATACAAGCTACCGTTCTCGTAAAATAAGTCGTATGTTTTAATAATGTTTTCATGATTCAAAGCACTACCTATGGCATATTCAGTATGTATCCTTTTCAAACTACGCATTCTAGCTGATAATTTGAAAATATCAATGCCTTCATGTGTCCCAAGGGAATGTTCTACTGAACTTGGAGCATCGTTGGTCTCTATATCAACAGACATTTCACTTGAATTTTCAAGCCGGGATATTTCATCCATTGCGATATCATGAAAGACTTTAATAGCATAAAGCTTATTATCACCCATCTTTGTTGCTAATTTAACTTCACCGCTCGCACCAAATCCCAATATATTAGAACGTTCCTCTACATTCTCTCCATCCATATAAACAACTTTTTTGCCTTCTAATTGGAGAAGTTGGTATTGCTTCCATATACTCTTTTTGGTATTCGATGTATTTAGATAAATTCCATCCATGGGTAACTTTCTTTGTATATTATGTCTGATTGGGGCTGTATTATTGGGGATATTAACATCACCATTATATGTACTGTTGTTTGTTGTTGAAAACGTAGTACTTTGTGAGCTTACGTTGGATGAGCAGTCATCACAATAATTACCATTGCTATTGCTGCTAGTTCTACGAAATAGTTTGCCTAATTTACTGGAGCGCTCAAAAAATAATAGTTGTTCCATTCTCTTTCTCTTATATGTCTCGGAGTCTATCTTAAAGCGTGATGGTATATTTTCAATTACTGGTGACCAGAGTTGTTCTGTTTCAATTAGTGTTGCATTCTCTGGAATCTTAAACGGGTTATCGGATTTGTTCGCACGTTTAAGGCTCTCAATGGGAATAGTTCCTTCACTACCAATTGTAAGTGATGGATTCTGAAATACAAGGTTTGGCAGAACTTCCTCAAATGACATTACTGATTGCTGTGACCCCACATTTACCGGTGTTAATATATGAGAACTCTCTGAATATGTATAAGATTTGAGCCAAGAGAAATCATAACTTGGTGGTTTTGAAGATTCAGCTTCATTGTCATGTAGCTTTAACCATGTGCCATTAGAATTTCCCACTGCAGTATCCAGCATATTTGACTTACTTAGCATAGTGCCCGCTGTTGAACGAGATAATACTAGCTCTCGTATGCTGAAATCATAACTATCATTGTATCTATTGATCTCTTCTGCAATTTCAGTAGCCGATAAGCTAGGATTACTTTCAAAAACAGCTGTTAATTCTTGTGTTGACCTTATTCTATTATCCGTTCTCGGGAAAAGTCTAGGTATTAAACTTTCTAGCATTACTGATGATGGTTGTGTATGATGAAGTTGATTTATCCAGATTGATACTAATATTTAATTGTACAATAATAATTCATAGTGCTGTACAATTACGTTTAGCAATGTTCTGGTAAATCAATTAGCAAGTTTTGTTGTTTCTTTTATATATTTTGAGAATGTGGTGCTCAAAAGTAATAACTCCAGTTTAAATCGGAACGGATATTTGATTTTAGATGAATGTGTGTCTGTTTCATATGCTTTAGCTCTTATTTGTGCATTCGCACAGAGAAACACATAGGGCTAATAGTAATGATACCCTTTTATTGACGCACAGTATCGGAAAGTCTAGCCATTTAGAGCAGTGCTTCCTTGAACGTAACAAGAAATAAAAGGAAAGCAGCTCACCATCGGATAATACTCAAAGAAGTAGATCAAAGCAGACTTGTCTTGTAGGTAAGAGCACATTTATTTTAGAAGGGGTATTAAGAATAACCCATTTACTTCTGTCTGCTTTTACTCTGAATGGATTACGTCTACACAACCGCATTCATCATAGTTTTTTTTTCTTTTTGTCACCTATTCGAATTACCTTCAGAATACAAGCACATTCACTAGTAATTACTTCGAAGTATAGTACAACGGGCCTGTAACTTCAAAAGCTCCGCTGAAATCCGGCTTTCCCATCAAATAGACTGTAGAGGAGAAAGATAAGGCAGTGTGTCTCAAATATTAAATTTAGCCATTCGGATGATCATCTCTTTCTCGACTTCACATCTTCTTTCCCCACCCTTTTCATTCTTTTCTTCACTCTCCCCCCCGCACATCAAAGAATTAAATGAGAGAAAAGGTATCCCTATAATGCTTTGATGATAGTTGGTACATGTCTACATGTATCCCACACGTTGCAAGGCAGCTTGTCTACGTGAGGACCACTACACACAAAAAAATGGGTTGTAGCCAGTGACAATGGGAGTCTCCCCACATCAACAAGCGAAGTCGCACGTCCGACTAATTTACGATGCCCCACGGTTACACGATAGTGACTGCATCCCTAGGATGTAACCTATGCCTGTGGGCATACGGAACAGATTGAGCACAACTTCCAGTTTACTAACAGATATCTTCATTATTCAAGTCGACACTAAAAACTAGACAACGAACAATAAAGGGAGTTCTCTCGAAGACGAGATGACGTATTTTGTTGTTTTTCAATGGCATTCAAAATCATTTTAATCAGAGGCCCACCTTCAACCCGCAACCAGACATCTACAGAGCAATCAATGGACGAATTTAGAATAACATCCCATTTTGAACCTTATTCTCCTACCTCCACATTATTTAGAAAAAGAGAACTGGGGCGATCAATAACGTAGTAAGTAGTACAGCACCATATGATTCTAATACAATGTGGCATCGTGCTGTAATGTGGGTTTGTGGTCGGTGTAAAATAGGTACAAGCATATACCATCAAATCCCATCCCTCTTTCAGTAGTGGTATTTGCAGTTGTAACTCTGTGGAGTTTTTAGACTATTAGACTCCTGGTTTTGGGTTATTGGCATAACTTAGTAGTATTCATCAAAATGTATATTTTATTGGCACCAGCCAAATTGTGGTGTAAACTCCTTGATTTACAAATTTGATACGTTGGTTGATATACGCTAATTGAGAGGGGGGGGGCTATATAAATTTGCCTTGGAATAGAAATGCATATAGTATTTATGATGATATTTCTAATGATGTAAATTTCCATGTTCTTTATTAATTTGGACTTCTTAACTTAAATGAAGGGCAATTATTTGCAGTATTATCTTTTTCTATAAATTTTATTACTTGAGAAGTTTAGCTCTGTCAGGATGAATACCGGTAGTTGTTGTTGTATCTGAGTCAGATTTCTTATCTTTTGGTGTGGATTTATTTATGAATTTAGCCATTCTTTCTTGTCTTTCAGCTTCAAACTTTTCATTCTTCTTACGTAGTTTCTCCAGCCTGTCTTGACTATTTCCACCACCACCAACAGTAAGCTCTACATTGATTCTTCTATCCTTTAGCATGGTCTTATTCTGAAGTAAGGCAACATCCATACGTCTTTGAATACCAGTTTTATCCTTATCACCATCAAATTCCAAAAATGCTATACCTTTCTCTGCTCTCAACCTAATAACATCAGGGCCACTACTCTTGAAGTGTACTTGAAGTTCTGAAGCAGTAATATCTTTTGGGAGGCCACCAACAAACACTATGAATCTGTTCCCGCTTGCATTCTTATTACCTTTGCCTTTCTTACCTCTTCTGGTTTTCCTCTTTTTCTTTGGTTGCTCTTCCTCTTTTTTCTCTTCTTCTTCTATCTTCCTTTTGGCGTCTGTAGTCTTTTCTTCCTTGGACTTACGGAATTGTTGGGCCTTTAGTTGTTTCTTAGAGAGTTTCTTCTCTCCTACCTTACCTTCTTCGGCCATTATTATTTTATATTATATTTGATGTATTTGACTTAACAATGAAACAAGTGTTAATTCTACAGAATTTTATATGAGAATAAGGTTAATTCTTAGACTCATGTGTGACTACCTATATTATTTCACCTCATCGCATTTTCAGCTCATCGCATCGCAAATTTTTTTTTTTTTCACGCAGCAATCAAGTGAATAATCCATCTGTATGACGTGCTACGTGTGTAACTACACAGTACATTACCACTATGATGGCTGTTTCACAGATAATAATTCTATTCAGTTGAATTCCTCTCATATGTATAAGTCTACAAGACGCTCTTCTTGAGAATATATTAATGTAATTTATTTGGCATTTGATTTAGGGTTATTTTTTTGCTGTATGGATAGGGAATAAATAATAAAACTGATCTATAAAAGATTTCGGGTATGGCCTATAAATATACCCTAAAATAGAAGCTTGATACATTGTACTTGTTTATCTCAAGTTCATAATAAGATAAAAAACAAATTATTCAGCTTCTTTCTATTGTTACAAAGGTTTTGAAGGTTTATAATATTACGCAAATGCAACCTCTCTTATCTTGCCATTTTTTACTCTTTAAACTCTTCTCAGATTGTGGACGAGAATACATACGTTTTACTGATGTCCTTTTCGAGCTATTTGACATTCTTGATTTACTTTGTGCTTTTGCCAATGCTGGAATTGTTCGAATATCATCATCTCCATCCACACATTCTAACGGTGTGCTGCTGACTTTTACAAAATCATTATTGTCCACTAGATCTACGTCACTCGTCTTGGTATATAACTCAGGTACATCCCTAGAACTTAGACTTCTTAGTTCTCTTTCCTTAGCGCCAACATATTTGGCCACGTTATCGATAACATCCTGTAATCCGTAACCCGTCTTTGAAGAACACTTCACAAAACCTAATAAATTTTCATCTATTACAAGGCCATCTACCAATGACTCAGGTAAAGGCATGCCGTCAACTTCTTGAGACTGATTCAATATATTATTTGAACTGTTATCATCATTTAGGTCACACTTTGTAGCTACTAATAGTATCGGTACTGTACTTGAATTATCTGACTTTCTTATGTATTTTTTAAGTTCTGGTATCCACTTATCCTTAACATTTCTAAAGGACCTTATATCATTATAAGGGAAACAAGCGAGAAATACATCTGTTTGGGGATATGTCAGTGGTCTTAAGTGATCATGTTGCTTGTCGCCGGAGGTGTCCCAGAAAGTAGTGTGGAATGTATAGCCTGTCTCCTTATCCTGAATTGTAGTTAAATACTCGTCAAATACAGTGGGTACGTACTCTGGCGAAAATGAACCAGTAGTGTATGACATCAAAAATGCCGTTTTCCCAACCTCACTATCGCCTACTAATACACATTTAAGAGACTTCATGTGTAAATTTCAAACAATGAAATTTGAGCAGTATTGCGGTTAGCGATAAATACTAATCTAGTAAAGTACTAATTTATAACAAAAAAGGTTAACTATTATGATCAGTTAAAAAGCAACTTTGAGCAATTGGGTATTTGAAGTTGTCCTGGTTCCAGCGAGAAATATGTCAATACCCAATAGGTCAACTAGTGATAATACTATTAAGAACCTTTTAAATCTAATAAATAGCTGTGTTGGTATAATATTAAAATTAGAAGGTTTAGCCAAATAACTTCACTATTAGTTAACTTGTAGATACCAAATTAATATTTGTGTGAGATTGTAAAAGTTTTGCAGATGTAAAGGTCAGTTCTTTGGATTCAAACATTTGGTCGTATTATTAAAATATTGTCGACTTATATATCTTTGATGTATAATTCTTAGAGAAGAAATTTTATTTGAAGAGAACAAAACTTTGTTTAGTAGATTGAAATGATTATATTAGAAATGCCAAGACTAAAAAAATGTACGGTTTAGAGAGATAGGCCAACCGCACTGGTATTTTCTGAAATGGGTACTGGAAACTTCTTCAAAGTCCTAAGTAAATATTTTCTCTGTGTAAATATTGTAGCTAGGCATCAGTGGTGCAAAGACTACCATAGCTAGAGATAAGTAAGTGCAAGATTAATATTTAAGCACTTGAACATTATTATGTTTTTTTTTCTAGTAGAAACATTACAGTAACAATCAAGTTAACACTGCTAAAATTTATAAGCAGACCGTTTATACACCAGTTTCTGGTCTTGAATTGCTAAGGGTAAAAAATATATAATTAAAAGAAATGTTACGTGCCAGCAGAAGGACAAGCGATGAGATTAAAATATGATACTACAACGGATTCTACTGACTAAGTAAATTTTCAGGTTGTTAATTCACTTGCTGGAGAGCATAATGCACAAATAACTATACATGGTTAAAATAAAGCTCTGAAAACACTTACAAAGCCAAAAGCCAACTTTATTTATTTCCAAAGAGTTAGAAATCTAACAAATTACTCAATTGAGTAACTGGTATAGGTTCTAGTCTTTGGCACCTATTTCAAGTGGCTGAGATGGTTTGTTAAGGGAAAAGTGAAATTGAAAAAATGTAATGGGGACAAAGGGTTTAGCACCTTTCTATACAGTAAAGCAACTGCAAAAGGTAACTTTTGACATTTGTCTTTGTGTTAAAATTCCCAAAAGCTTTGCTTCAGAGGTTTTTGAGTGCACTAGCATGATGAAGAAATACTCATCACACCTATGTACTTAAGACCTTGATTCTTAAAAGTATCAACACTGAAATAGCGCAGATCCAAACATTATGTATACGTAGGAACAGTGTTCTCACTGTGATGATTCTAAGTTAGAGAAGGAGAGCAGATACTTGACTGTTGCAAAAAAAAAAAAAGCCCAGTTTTCGTTAACTCACCGTACGCAATAGATGGCAGATGATGAGTTGTTAATGTTAAAAAAAAAAAAAATATCATGGGGGGAAGAGATGGTTCCTTAAGAAAGGCAAGGAGAGTGGTTTATAATGACTGTTAAAATGGTGGATGCCATCGCCATACCATTTCTTTTTCACAAATAAATCGATAGGGTATTACATAGTAAAAGGAAAAATTACAGCAAGGTCCCCCCACTATAATATAGTAAACTGTCGCATCACATTTGAAAGAACCCCTAGAATCTCATCGGAATTGACATAATAAATGAACTCGAGGATTGATTTCTTCATCCTTGTGCTACAGCTTGTGAATGAATGAAAAAAATTTTCAGTTAAAGGATCGCATGCTATGTTCAGCAAATACGTAGCAATTCATGATACATTAAAAATAAGAAAAAAAAACTGGAAAAAGAAATGATTAACGATAAATAATGCGCTTCTCCAGAGGAAGCAGCAAAAAAATAATATTGTGGGATGGGGTTCCTCTTTAGGTCTCTATCGTTTAGATTATGACGCTAACGATTGGTTGATTTTGGGTTTTGAATCACCTCGGCTCTAAATATCAAGCCCAAAATACTTTACTGACAAATATTTGAGGGTATATGAAATTCAAAGACAGGAAGATGATCCCATCGATAACTATCTTCATGATTGCAATACCTATTAATAGTTTAATGGCTTGAAAAAATGATAGCTTTCCTTCCCCTCCCCCATAAATTTAATATCCATAGTTTGAGATAAAAAAAAAAAGCATACCTATTAAATGATAATCATCTGAATACTCTTCGTGCTATGTTTTTCATACTTTGGCTTGTATAAGTAACTATAATGTGGGTTAATGCCTTAAGAATGATACTCTCAAACATAAGGGCAAAGGAAGCATACTGCATTCTGCTATTGCTCTTCTTGGTATATTGATTATTTAGCCTTGAAAGTCACTGTACAAACTTGTATAGCAGCTCCGATTATTTGAAAGTCTAGTATGTGCATTGTATCTGATGGTAATGTAGCTGCCCCTGTTTTATTTTCCAAATGGTGGTGCAAAGATTATGCTGACATAAATAACCGGAGATAGCTGGTTTTATGTTTGTAATATGATCGCCTCATATTATATATTAACTACGATACGAATTGCAGCATAGGAAAAGTTTGGAGACAGATTTCATATGGGCGTCTGGATTTATGTTAGCCGTACGTATATGTTCTTCTGTTACCAAAATTTCGATGTAAAACAAAATCACAAAGTTCAGTATTCATCCCACTTATGAAACAATCGTTATTGTATTGACATCTCAAGAATTGAATTATGATAGCATAATCCCCTCGAAAAAATATCAGGGTAGCTACACTTCGGATTGCAGCATTATAATTTGGACGATAGTCGGATCTTTTCTTTTTCACTATATCTCAATCAAAATTTGGGATGGCGTCCTAACGAGCTAGTATAGATAGGCATTTTCAAACAAATAAGGCAAAAGCCGTTCAATAGTAAAGATTGATGATATAATTTCCTTGCACCTCGGTAATGGAATCCTTTAGTTATCTTGCTTGCTTGTATATAATAGTTATCTAAACCATTTGTACGATACATATGCAGTCTTGCTTATCGCCTCAAGTAGGTAGGCTTCATTGGCTAAAAGTGTCTTTATTGAAATCTTAATTCTTGCTGGAAAAAACCGGTAGTAAAATAGACTTTCAGTAAAATATTTATATTTAGATATGGGGTGGGGAGGCCGATTTAGGTTATACTATGTGCTTATTACTGTTCTGGATCTGATTAAGAGGGGGGACGGATATGGCATTAGACAACCCAGCCAATATCCAGTTATTCAAATAACCTGAGGTGTTTATGTTTGACGGTATGAAACTGCTTTGGTAAAAGCGGATCAAAGTTAGAACAAATAGTGATGGAGGCCAATAATGTAATACCTCGCCAACATGTACTATATTTTCCAATTGAAAAAGTCTAAAGCTGCAGGAAGTCGGCTAGTATTTTTTTACGTGTAATGTATTCAAAATGTTAACTAAAAATAACTGGAGTTATAAATCGGATATATACTTGAGTAATACTATAATGTCAAAAAAAAAATCGGAATATGTCTTGAAAAGAAAACTAAAAAATTTCAAAATCCAAGTTTGATACTGTTGTTAATTTTTATCATCATGGAGTAAATCAGGTATCTTGATACAATTAATTTAATTTGTGCTACGTAGGAACCAGATATTCAAATTTATAACTGTTCTTAATACAAGTGTCAAGCCAACAGCTAAATCTACTTATGTTATTTAATTAATGAAATCATATTATACGGGAAATAGAAATTCAACAGCCGGAAGCTCGAAAATAACGGGAGAGTTTTAGCAATGCTGGTACTCATCCTCATTGAAAGGCGTAAGGACTTTTGCAATGGGTTATATTATTAAATACTCCATTTCTTTGAACTAAGATCTGATCTTTATTGTTGTTAAGGTCGGCAAATCATATTATCGAGTTTAATACAAACTATAAAGACATGTTATCCTATGCTGAATTTTGTACTATCGGATCTGCCATGATCTTAACCTCCACAGGTTTTTTAATGGGTGTCTTTTTTGCATGCCAACCATATGATTACCATCTACTGTTTAATCCACAGGCCACACAAGAGCAATTTGATCTAGCTTTGAAGCACTATCAAGTGCTAAGCACAACACCAATGCCAGTTCTATATTTGCTTGGGTTTGTTGTTGCATTGGGTATAATTGGTAATACCATAAGAATTTATAAGCCAAACCCAGACTTGCAATTGTTTGAATATGCGTCGTTGGGTCTTTTCGTTTTAGCCGTCTGTGTCTTCATCACTAATGTAAAAACAGGTATTGAATGCTCCATTACAGGTAACTGGGGTGAAGTCACACAAAATCAAGGTTTGGCCGTTATTGCATCTTCTAACATCATATTGTTAGTTATGTTCCTCGGTGTCATTTTGTTGCAAATTGGTTTGTGGTACACCAACTATGACTACCAAAAACAATTGCAAGCCTTCTACGCTGAGGAAAGAAAAGAACAAGAAGCCATCAATCAAAGAAAAGAGGAAGAATTTAAGAAGTTATCTAAGAAGCAACAAAAAAAGCTAGCAAAGGAAGAAGCTACCAGAAAAACGGATTAAGATGTATATGTTACCTAACATTTGACACAACTTGTAATATATAATTGTTATTAATTTTTCATTCGTTTGTATTTTAGACTCTATGATTGCATAAAGAAACATTATTAAAGTTTGAATATGTTTAATTTTGTACTCTGACTCTATTTGCAGAAAGCAATTTAATTTTGTATAGTTCTATAATATTTGTATAATTACATATTAATATGGCGTGACAAGCAAATGACCAGCACTTACGTAGTAGTATTACAATTGCCGTTTCAACTGGGAAACAGCTGGGAATATAACCCACTTAACATGGTTTTTGTGATTTGATCTCTTTGTTGAAAAATTTATTGACAACTCATCATAAAATGGATCCATCCTCATCAATGTGGATTGAGGTTGGTGACAGTGTTGAATAGTCACCCACAGATGAGGGAACAAATGAGCTACCAGGACCGTAGCTATTCATTGAAGAAACATATGAGAATTGTTCATTTGTATCTGTGTTAGTTGATTGTTCGATTTCTGGTTCAGATATTAATGAGATGGACTCATTATCAGGTAGAAGTAAATGAGGTATAGAAACATCGTTTTCACCATTTCTAGGGTTAATGATTTTATCAGAGGGTGTCATATCCTTGTTATCCAGATTTGGAGGAGAGGGCAAGCGTTTGTCAAAGTCAAACTCATCCTGGAAAGGATTTGTGCTTGGTGTTGACATATATTCAGTAGTTGCTTTCTTCCAATTCTTAGTTGGTGTACTGTTCTCTTTCTTACTGAAAAGTTTCTTTAGTCTTTGGTTGGAAGCTGTTAAATCTCTCGTTGAGATCGCGGGCTTATATGGAGTGTTTTCTGTGGAGAACCCATAATAGCTTCCCTTTTCATCTTTTATGCTAGTTAGATCATCGTCTGGCATATAATTGTGGGTATTTCTCTTTCTTCTGAAGAAAAGAAGAAATATAACCACAGAGCACACCAATAGCCCACAGACGCTACCCACAACCCCACCTATTATTTTACTGTTTCTTATTCTAGCATCTGTATCATGTGAATTCCAGTCAAGGGTCCCAGCCAAATATTTCTGGTATAGAGCTGCATCAGTAGTCAAGATTCCAGTAGGTGGAGTAAAAGAAACCATCTTGTTTGGGGTTACCTTAATCCTTGTTTCTACCGGAATGTCGGTATCAAACGTTGTAGACGCGTCAGTGAACTCAAACTTTTGGTCATAGATGTATATTATATAGTTTTTGCTTATTGTGCTTGAGATTATTGGAGTAGAACTTGAACTTGATTCTGTGTTTGAACTTGAACTTGAGCTTGAACTTAGTGCTGAACTTGAATTAGGACTTGAGCTTGAACTTGGACTTGAACTTGAACTTGAACTTGAGGAAATTTGAACGCTGGACTCAGACGAGATTGAAAAAGAGGTGCTCTGTGAAGAGATATAAGTTTCTGTGGATTTAGAGGTTGAGAAAGGTATGATGTTGCTTGTGGTATTGTAGGAAGACGTGACAGATGTTAAATAGCTGCTTGAAAACAAGCTTGAAGTAATTGAAGTTGACGACGAGGTCGAGTTTTTGGAGCTTGCCGGTGTGATTGATATTGCAGATGTTATCGAGGGTAATGAACTTGTAGATATCGAACTGTTTTTAGAGATGCTTGAATATGACTGTGAATAGTAAGGTGTGATTGGTACAGGTGTAGTAGTTGTATTTTGTTGAGAAGATAAGCTTGATACTGGCATTGAAGTAGTGTTGTTAGATGAAGCTGCATTAGCTGTCACAGGCTCCACGTCAGTAACATTTTGAGACGTATGTATTGTAACGGAATTCGAAGGTATTGATATCGATAATGGGTCAGACTCCATGGGTACCGATGTATTCGCGTTTAAAACAGTTGGAGGTCCATCCACATATACATCACTAGATGACATCGTGATGTTACTATCAGCCATTATTTTATACCTCCCAATGGGTTTAGATAGTATCAAAGTTCTTATAGTTCTTGTTGTTGTTTTCACAACTTATATCACAATCCTCAAAAGTCTCCAAGAGTAAGTTGTAACAACTAGCTGTCGTAATATTATGTGTTGAGATCAGTGTGTGTGTGGTAGTGTGTTGTTTATCTTTTTCCAGACTATTGCAGCTGCTGAAAATGTAGTGACTTAGTTGTTTCTGTTTCTATGGTAGTGCCTTATTCTCCCACAAAGCACCTTTCCCACTGCCTTTGTGAGGTTCAAAAGTTGTTTCAGGTTCTCTCTCTCTACTGGTTCTTATTTACAGAAGGTCAGTATATCTCAGTCCACACTCTGCTTTGTTTGTTTTGTTTTTGTCATTGATTGCAATGGCATCGAACAGAAGTGAAATTTTTCACTTTTTGCTTTTTTGCCATTTTGGTTTTCTTCAGACCAGTCTGTGTTCCTCTGCCAGTCACCGTTGGCACCAGGCTCGCTTCCCTATTTTCACAGTATGCTTTCTAGCCCAGTTGTCAGGGATAAGCTGGAAAGGCGCCCTTTTCTGCGTGGTATACTGTGTGGAGTTTTGGAAGTACTTTGATCTCCACCTTTCCATTCTCTCCTTGTGCGTTAGTTCTCTTGCTCGCCAGTTTTGTTTCTGTTTCTGTCTTTTCTCTCTGTGGTGGATTCTTCGATGAAGTGGGGGGGATGGAGGGCAGTTCCCATTTTGGCGTATTGCAACGCCGTACGTGGTTTTCTCATGCTTTGCTGTGGATCGTGCGTACAAAGCACTTGTGAGTATCAGATATATTGAACGGATTAGATAAGTCTTTTCTTTCTTTTTTTCTTGGTCCTCTCCTTGAATTTCTCTGTGACAAGTGGAGGCCTGGAGGTCATTTAGCCATTGTCCTAATTGTCCAATGTTGCAGATCACTTTTCCTTTGCCTCCCCCCACGCTACTTGTTTTGATTAAGTCTTTGTTTTTTCTGCGTCTGTTTTTCTGGACTCGCCTTTTTATTGCTGCAACTGTGACATTTTTTGCCCATATTTTGGCTGCTTGATGGGATCTCTTCCCCCAGAAGGATGCGTATGTAGATGCTACATTCTCTTGTTTATTTATTCATCTCTACCGTGAGAACACTCTGCAGCAATGCAGACTATCCCTCTTTATGTTTTCCAAGAATGTCGCTTTTTTGGACATTTTCTTGCCTTTTTCGTGTTTTCGCGTTCCGTTTATTGCGCGGTCATGTGATGATGAGGTAATAGATGTGAGAGACGCTTGGATCCTAGCAGTTTCATTGTAGTAGTTATAGCAGGGGACTTGCCGCCAATACTGTCAACCATATCTCGACTAACTGATGTGTTGCTCTGATTATCGCTAACACCGCGGTGCAACTACATTTGACCATCTCAAGCCTCTGAGTTTCACACTAATATCATATTTAATGTTTTGGAACTTATTGATACAATTATAATTAGTAGTATTACATAAATTACAAATATATGGATTAAAGAGTTTCTTGACTGAAAAGGTATTAGAATTAAAATATTAATAGAAAAAGAGAGACTAAGAGAGAGAGAGAGAAAAAATTAACAATTAAGAAGTAAAAGTTTTTTTAGAATATATGGTTTTTTTAGGCCTTTTTTTCCTGTTCATATGATCATACTAGTTATATTTTTTTTGGGTGCTTATTCCAACAACTAGAAGTAACTTTTTACACTTTGAAGACTTTCTTCAACTTGGAAAAGAATCCCTTCTTTTCTTTCTTCATTGGCGTCGAGTTCATGCTGGTCGTTGTAGGCTTAGAAGTAGTCTTAGAAGTAGTCTTAGGAGTTGTCTTGGCACCAGTCTTGGATGTTGTCATTGGAGACTTCATCTTAGGTGTGTCATTCATAGATGAACTGGCTGCCATTTTCTTCTTTGTTGGAGTAACAGGTGGATCGTTCTTGAACCCTTGCGGTAGGTTTTCATCCGAATGTTGAGCACTGTTTGGAATGGAGTACACTCTAGGATCGTTCATATCCGCAGATGGTACCTTGTGAGCCGCGTTGTGTGATGTATGGCTTGGATGGTGCTTGTACACATCTGGGTCATTCATGTCCATATTGGTTTTATCCATTTGATGGCCAGTACCAGAATACTCGACAGCCATTGGAGTATGTTCCTTAGTATTGTGCTTACTCTCTGGCTTGCTGGTAGTTGGGTGCAGCATCTCCCTAACTTCATCTTTGATGTGCATGGCATTGCCTTGGACCTCTGCCTTCACTCTGTCAAATCTGTTCTGTAGCTTCTGATCAGTCTCCATAATCTTGTTTTCAACATTTTCCTTCGTAGCCTCCTTCTTCTCCATCATTTTCTCATCGGTCTCTTTCATTTTACCCATCATGGTGTCATCTTTCTTTGTGTGTTTATGCGTCGTGCTAGATTCTGACATCCCATGTGGTTGCTTATGATCCATAGTCATGGCTGCTGCACTTGTTCCCATTGTCATGCCTGAAGACTTAGGGTCCATAGACATAGAGGGAGTTTCCTTCTCCATTGTCATGCCTGAAGACTTAGGGTCCATAGACATGGCAGGAGTTTCCTTCTCCATTGTCATGCCCGAGGACTTAGGGTCCATGGACATGGCTGGAGTTTCCTTCTCCATTGTCATGCCCGAGGACTTAGGGTCCATGGACATGGCTGGAGTTTCCTTCTCCATTGTCATGCCCGAGGACTTAGGGTCCATGGACATGGCTGGAGTTTCCTTCTCCATTGTCATGCCCGAGGACTTAGGGTCCATGGACATGGAGGGAGTTTCCTTCTCCATTGTCATGCCTGAGGACTTAGGGTCCATAGACATGGAGGGAGTTTCTCTAGGCATGCCCATCTTTGGAGTTTTGTCATCCATTGACATTCCAGAGACGTTCTTTTCCATTGGAGTGGCTGATTTTTTAGCCGTTGTAGAGTTTGACATCATAGCCCCACTAGCCATGCCAGTCGTAGCAGCCGCAGCCGCAGCCGCAGCCGCTTCGGCCTTCTGGCTTTGTTTCATCTTCATTTCAGTTTCAGTAGCTGCATCTTCCTCTTGGCGCTTTTGCTTCTCCATATCTATTGCCATCTCCTCCTGTCTCTTCTGCTCTGCATTAGATTTCATCTTTTGTTCTTCCATGGCCATATTTCTCTTTTCATCTTCAGCTTCTTTCATGCGTTTCTCTTCATCCGCTTTCATCTTCTGCTCTTCCGCCATTTTGACTTGCTTTTCTTCAGCTTCCTTCATTTTTTTCTCCTCATGCTCCATTTTCTTGCTTTGCATATCCATACTTTCTTGCTTCTCATTCATCATGTCTTTAGTAGTCTGGGTTTCCATTCCCATCGATTTCTCAGCAGAGGCATTCTCTTTATCGAGCTCTTCCTTCTCAACAAATTCACCTTTAGAATTTCTAAACTTAGTGAAGGCTCCCATTTTATCCTTTGATGGAATTGCAGGGCCTGGGCCTGCCATGATAGCTGTCTGTTCGTTGGCAAAGGCGTTAGTGGAAGCAGGGTCCGTCTCAATTGGCATTGTATTGAACTGGCCAGGAACATTGACATGAACATCCCTTGCGGACATTCCCATGTCATCAGACATGTCTTTCGTGGTGTCCATGTTGTCAGACATGTTCATAGATGGTTCACCCATGCTTTCAGACATGGCAGTTTCTGTACCATGACTCATGTCCATTGAGTCATCAGCCTTCTTCATTTCAAATGCAGCCATATTGCCAGGGATAGCAGGACCTGGGCCACCAAATGAATAGCCTGAGTTCTTGAATACATTAGTATCAGCTTCCGGGGTGTCCACGGGTTGTGTGGTGAATTTTTGCTCTCCAATCTCCATATCGTTCTTCATAGCAGAGCCAGAACCAGCAGACATTGCACTCAAGGCCATCAATCCACCAGACTCTGGGATCCTGGAACCCATACCTTTCGTCTGGTCCTTTAGAGACTTCTTGGCCTCATTTATAGAAACAAAATTGTTCTCAAACCCGTTAGAGTCAAATTCTTTTCTGTAGTCCTTAGATACAACCCACTCGTCATCCACAATGAACTTGAAATACAACCGTTCGCCTTCATCTTCAAACTTCAGAGGAATGGTAACGGCATAACTACCATCAGCCTCCTTCACCAATGGTATCTTGCTCTGCCACTTATCAAAAGAACCAGTTACCAGCACTTCCTGTGGGCCTGCAGGCCATCTAAACGTAAAACTTACTATCTCTTGCATCAGTATAAAAAGTAATAGTAATACTTTTCCAAATGCGTCAATCTTTCAGTTCCTCTCTAAGTATGTGGAAATCAAATATCTAATGTATATACATATACTATAACTATACAGGTCAAGAAAGTGGCGTCTTATATATCATATTCGCCTCCCTGCTTTCCCCCTTACAAGCAGCATAGATAAGGATTTGGACATGGACTCACCTCTGAGCCCAGAAATGCTACAAAGTACTTAAGACTGCCAGCAGGCAATTTTAAGGGTTAAAGTCAATTAACAGGAGAATATGTCATTAGAAAGATAACTCCTTTTCCCAGAAAGAGCTGGATTTGATAGTGTTGCTCACTGCTCATCTTGTTGCAGTAACGTCCGTTGTGCTCCCCCCCGCTCCTCTTCCATCAGATGACATGGCTGGTCTTGTTCCAACTACGAACCACGAACGGAGGCAGTGCATGATGGGGATTGCCAAATGTTCTTGAAGCTTGTCGGTGCTATTCTAATAGAGTTTTACTCCCACTACTGTTAATGAAGTGTATATCCTTTTCCAATTTGACGTCTGGCTTATTGCCTGGATGGGTGTTGGAAAGTGCAAGTCACCTGCACTTCTCGTATACTTATACAAGTATAGCGCATCGGTCTGCAAAACGCGATGAGCTGTTGGTGTCGAATTCCCAGCTGGTAGTTGATATTTATACAAGTTAGCAATAAAATTTCTTGTGATTACTGGCGTATATTTGTAGCGTAAATAATTGTCTAGGTTTGCTGAAGATGTTGGTTGTGGTAAGTGGTGCTCAGTACAATGGTGTCGAGCGGGTGGTAGATATATTAGTAGATGGGTTTGGGTTTGAAAGGCTTAGTGCTGTAGATGATCATGAATTGCTGTTGGAATACGTGACCAAGAATTATACGCGAAACCTTGTGCTGCATTGTGACGACTTGGAGCTGTATTTGAAGCTAGAGAAAAGGCCGTTCTTGATCCACATCTCCATTGAGGCGCCTCTAGCACTTAGGTTACAATTATCTGGATTGACACCAGAAGAATTTATCAATGTAGCCGATCTGGATCATTTCAAAGACGATAAGATAAGATTGGTTGAGAGGGCTCACTTGAAGTTCAAGCTTGTGGACTGCGATTTGTCTACTCTGGATAACCGATTGAAAGAGAACATTGAAAACCAATTGCGGGTGCTACAGAGTCAGGACTCTCTAACATTGGTAAATCCGCCTTTGAGACCCGATTGGGATACATACTTCATGAAACTGGCAACCTTGGCTGCCTCTCGTTCAAATTGTATGAAGAGGCGTGTCGGTTGTGTTATTGTGCGTGAGTGTAGAGTTATAGCTACAGGATACAACGGTACTCCTCGTCATTTGACGAATTGTTTCCATGGTGGTTGTCCTAGATGTAACGATGGTGATTCAAAGAACCTGCATACATGTCTATGTCTTCACGCCGAGGAAAACGCACTACTGGAAGCCGGGAGGGACAGAGTGGGACAAAATGCCACATTATATTGTGATACGTGCCCATGTTTGACATGTTCTGTTAAGATTGTTCAAACCGGTATCACTGAGGTAGTGTATAGTCAAACGTATAGAATGGATGATGCAAGTTTCAAGGTGTTACGCGAAGCAGGTATTAAGGTAAGACAATTTAGCTTCAGAGAGGAGCCTTTGTTGGTGTTTGTCTAAATTTGAAATGGATATAATGATCTCAATAAGTGGCATATGAATACATTGAGTATTTATCTTGTAAAAAGTATGCCGATAGTTCTCTTATAGATTTTAAACTTTCGGTAATGTTTGAAACGTCTATGTGATATAGTTTAAATCATACATAAAAATAAAGATAAATTATATCGACAATATATGCTACATTAGAATAAAAAGTTAACGCTAATGGTGATAATGCTCAGAATACTGCTTGCTTATTTTGTGTCGATACAGCAATGAACACTATCCGATACCCTCTTAATGTACATTCTTTTTCCTTATTGAGGGTTTATAAAGGAACAATTTCTGAATTAGATTAACAAACACTAGAACTGAAAGTAATATCGACATAAAATGAAGTATATTACCTGTAAATTATGCTCCTGAGCATAGTTTTTTGTTGCTTGCGTAATCTGGAGTTGTTTCCTCCCAAATCATCTAGCCTCAAACTGCACCATTCTTCTGGTTCTGGCCTTTAATAGAATTCTATGACCACAATCCTTACAACGAACAGGATCTGTTCTGGACAAGGATAATTTGCTTGAACATTCTGCACAGATATACTTGACGGTGGCGGTCTTGGAGTGAGAAGTACCGGCAGCGGCAACATCTAAGTTGCTTGGGATTTGAAAACCTTCACGAGACATATTATCTGATGTTTTAGTGCTGTGATCAGTTGAAGTTACCTCGCAGCAATACTCCAAACCTAATACATCAGACTAGACTATTGTAGTTGCTCATCGCATTTTTTTATTTTTTTTTTCAAAATCTGCAAAAAAGAAATCGCATAATATCTCGTACTTCATGAGCTTCTCGATTGCCAGTATAACAGACCCGCCAATCCAATTTTTCAGTACTATCTTATGAAGACAGATGGGACAGTGAATAGAATGCTGGCCCCAAGATTTATTGGAATTATATTTGAGAAATTAACAAAGAGAGAGCTTTTATTTGAGAAAATAATTTAAAAATGTATAAAAAAAATAATACAAAGTTGTATGGCGTAAGAATAGGAAATTGAGAATAGTGTCTTCGAAAGAACTAAAAAAGAAAAAAGCAACCACTAAAATATAATATACAATAAACCTTTGTGTAATACTGCTGTTCTTTATTATTTTAGACTTTAGTCTAATTTAGAAAACTGTTTGAAATCATTTAATTAGCAGAAACAGTTTTGTATACCGTTTTTGTACTTTTTATAGTGGTTGCGGCGTCGACACTTTGACCAGGTTTGGTCAGATAAACGGTGCTATAATATTCATCATCTTCATAGTAAACATAGCAAGTACCATCGGACTTTGAAATTGAATAGGACTTGTTATCAAAATCAAACGAACTGGAAGATGAGCAACTACTAATTGATGAAGAAGATGAAGATGAGATAGGCATAGAGATTGAAGAGCTCATACTTGAAGAACTTCTTGAAGAACTGCTAGATGAACTGCTAGATGAACTGCTAGATGAACTGCTAGATGAAAAATCTGATCCAGAATTGTCGACAGAGGATGGCATAAAGCTTGAGACAGTACTATTGTGCATAGTAGAGCTTGAAGAAGTACTGGAAGAAGTCTCTGGTGACATTGATGAAATGTAGGAAGATACACTTGAGCTATCGTTGTCTAGGAAAGACTGGTCTGGAATTTCAGATTCCTCATCGTTGTTTGAAGAAATAGAGCTTGAAACAGAAGCGGCGCTTTCTGATTTTGATGTGGTAGTTTCGGAAACACTACTAGAGGAAGCAGATGGAGTGACGCTCGCTGACGAAACACTTGCACTAGTAATCTCTTCAGTAGTGGTTGTGACTTCATTGTTCGCCAAAGTAATTTCTCTAACAATTGTGGTAGTGTAATATCTAGTGTAAACAACAACAGATGCTGGAGCCAATGTACTAGTTTTTATAGCATATTTGTAAACGACACCATCAGATGTGATATACCTTACGTTATCATCATCTCTTTTCTGAATTTGTTGATTAGCTTCAATGAAAATGTTTAAAAATTGGAAAATAAAAACCAAAAGTGTAGCGGCACGGAATTGCATTATAAAAATCTTTGATGGTTGAGTAATAAAATAAGTCGGCGTTTAGTGTCAAAAAAATAGGTAATTAAAAGGAATGACAGTATTATTTTAGAGTTTTTCAAAGGAATGAATAGGTCGGAACTCTAAATAAGTTGGATAATTTGCTATAACAAGCGTTCTGAAAAGAATGTAAAATAGTTGGGATTAAATTTAAAAAAAATAAAAAAGCTTTGGATGAGACTAACGCAAAATAGTTTTAATTGGCTTCTTTTGAGAAAAGGTAATAGTAATGATATTTGTTTTCACTTATTTTGTTGAATTTTTGTGAATCTTTAAAATACTCTGAAGATGAAATTAGTATTTTCTGTAAGCAATCTTTTACCGAACTCAGATTCTACCTTCTTTATATATATTTTCGAAGATTGAATACCATTGAAAAAAACAAAGGCATCAAGTCTCCCTTCATTGCAAAATTATCTCAAATTTTTCCAAAATTGCAAAGCTATTTAGCATGTGCAGGTATAAAATATTTATGTTTACATTTTAATTGTTTTGTAAACAAATAGTTTATGGAAGATGTAAACATTAAAACAGTTGTTCAACAAGATAGTTCTTCATATATTGCGTGAGTTTTGGAGTGATATCAATGATTTTGTCGAGAAATTCAGCAGCATGGTGAGGCAGTATCTGCATAGCAACAACAATTGCTGGTTACACGCCCATGTAATATCATGTTCTACGTAACATACCAGCACTTTGTAGAATGTGTACGTTGTTACGATAATAATAGCCAGCAATTTACAATAATTTCCGGGTAACATTAGAGATAAAGACAGCGCTGTACTGTTCATGAAACAGAAATGCTGGTATTGTAATGATTAAACTATGATAGTTTCTATCTAAATTTCGATTGCAATGCTAACATCTAGTAAAATGCCCCTGATTTCATAGGGGTTAGAATAATTACTCGAGAAATAATGTAATATTGCTGATCTGGATCTCAAGCCTATGGAAAATAGTAATTTGAATTATACCATTTCAACTAGCTAATAATACTTCACAGATCTGCAATGTAGATCTTTCTAGTTAAAGTCAATAATGAGGGATTATTTTTTTAATATTCTGTTGAGTTGTCCTCTTTTTTTTCTATCCCTATATGGTCAATTGTATAATACATCTCCATTCTTGTCGATACTAACGCTAAATTCAAGATCGTCATCTGTAGTAATATCCCAAGTCTTGTAGACCATCATCAATGTAAAAATGTTGCATATGCTCCCAAAAAATAATCCATCCAAATAATGCTTAACACCTTCGCATATCTGTGAGGAAAATCCGTATGTTAAAATTTGGCCAGCGACAAAGAAAAATACTCCCAGTAGCACTGCGCCTGTTACCCATAGATTTCTGACAATGAAGAACGATACAAATAATTGGCATATAACAAAGATAAAGAGGTTTATGAGATTCCACAAATAAACAACTACGAACAGAGCAGTAGTGTTGGTGTTTGGTATCTCGTGGTTTTCGATCCATGTCCTGAATGTAAGGATAGAGGCGAGAAAGTTAGCCATGAACCCACAGAGGGAAAAACCTCTAACTAACAGCATAGATTTCGTGGTTCCGTCTTCCCATAGATTGAAACCCAGAAACCCATTGATTAACAACGTCCAACAACATGCACCAGCGAGGCCTATCTGTACGGCAACAAAATAAGGGAAAGAATTAGAACCTGGTGGTGAGACACCACAGTTGACAATCAAAGTGAATATTATCAGTAATAGTGTTAGTTGAAAGAAATATAAGTATTCTGATCTACCAATTGCTGTATATTTTTGCCTGATGTTATAAAGAATGATCAGTATAACTCCTAGGGCCGCAATATTAATAAAGGCATTGCCAATACCAAATATGGTTGTATTTGCTATATCAATTGATCTTGCGTAACATTTCGGAAGTATACCTATATTCAAATGCTGTGGATCAAAATCATGTATCTTTGTAGAGTTCGATAGAACAAGGTGAGTGGTAGACTTTATTACTGAACAGAGTGGCAGAGGAGTGCGCGAACAAATTGACGCAAAATTGCTTATTCCCATCTGGTATACTCTTTGTGACTTGACTTATTCTAGTATATTGATATAGGATTATCCAATTAGGTGACGGGTATATTGTGCTAAAGCCTTCTGATTTCAAAAAGGAGTAGTTTATTTTGAGCAGCTTTTTGTTTTTCCTAATATATCGTGCAGCTTTGAGAGCTTGTTTTTGTAATCTGGATACTATTGTTTACTGTAGTAATAGCGGTAAATCTAAAATAATCTGAGTTACTATATTTTAGTTTCTAAGATTTTTATTATTTTCAGTCCGCCGTATAGTGAGGTAATGAGCACAAATCCATATTGTGCACGGTGCTCCGCTAAGAGAACATCGTGAAGACCACACAAACTGTAGTTGAATTACCCGATTAGGTTAAATCTCAAAATTTTAGACCTCACACAAAAATCTATAATTACAAATCGTGTCTAACAAGAACGAACGTGATTTATTTGTATTACTATGTCTTATAACACCCATCTTGATTAAATGTCTTATAAAATCTAAAAGCAGAGTCTTCAGCGTTTAGCAGTATCTAAAGTTGCAAGTTTTCATGAAGCTCCAAAAATGTAGGAGCTTATCAGTATAGATATCATTAAATAACTACTCTAAAGTAACCTCTCATATTGTCTGTCTAACGACTTATGAGGTGGCATAGTTGCATGATTGATTGTAGACCCACTATTAAACTTGCTAATTGTTTTACCTGGTCTCGCCCCTACCACACACATCTTCTTAGTTCCACTATCCATGACCATTACACTAGAATAAATAGATGACAACAGAAGCTTACCCGCACACAGAAAAATCCAAATTTACCTTGTTCGTTGGCAATCATCAGCAATGTTTGTGACTGCACATGGAGATGCTACACCCATACACTATTTGTCGAGATTTTCATATGTCATGGACCCCGATGGGGAGTTGGAGAGGAAAAACATCGGAGTGGGTAGGGGCTTGACAAGCAAGTTCAATTACTGAGACGAGTAGCGAAAACTGCGTGGCCAGCGTACTCCCGATGGTCTCCAAGTCTTGCGGGAGGAATGGGGGTGGTTGTAGCATTGAAGGTAAACCTGCTAGGGATGGTCTGCTGTACCCAGGGGCCCCAGTGCCATGGCCAACAACCTAGCATCGGCATCTTCCTTCTGGCTTACCAGATTCTCTTTGCCAATCGAGTGTACCATGCTAGGCTCTCATTTTATCCTTCTGGAAGTACTGGCGTTGGGCTCGCCAATTCAGCTCTGCTGCTGGGGCCAAGCCAAGCTCACCTCATTTGCCCACTGGTCACTATCCCCTGCCTAACCAATTGAGACCTAGTTTGCCATTCCCCTTCTAATCGCAGGTGGTAGGTGGGAGGTCCACAACGGTGGCACTGACTAGATAGGTGGACAGCAACTCTCGTAACTAACGGGTACAGCAGAGGATTCCGTGTGAGGGAAAAGTTTCAATCTTCTGATGTTTTTGCAAATGGATTGAACAAAAGACATCTTGCCATATAATAGTAGGCGTTTAAATTATAGGCTGTGATTTTACCTTTTGACTGTGAAAAGCAAGCTGCAAGAATCCAAACACAATGGGTATGTGATAGAGTTTAATATATTATTTGGCGATACTGATGGTAGGCGATTGAAGTGGACTGAAGGCAATAAATGATCACTTGAAATCTTAGGATAGAAAGAAACAAACGGTAATAGCATGATGGAATATAAACAGTTTTATAATATGTCCTTGAAATAGAAACGATTGTGCACTGGCTAAGAGATGTGCAATTTAAGAAAAGGGAAGCACTTTTGAGAAACAGGCCAAATATCATGATACCTGCTTCTAGCTACATTTATAAAATACCGCGAAATACCAGGCGTGTGGAACAATTCAATACAAGGCAGACTCCAGATATATGGAATTATTTTTCCTAAGAGATTTATTGTGAAATGGTCAGTTTTAGCAGATAGCACTCACCAACAGTATCCTGATTATAAATTGTAGGGAGAGTTTTTTTACTAACAATCAATCTATTCAAATGAATATACTTTTCTCTTAACTCATGAATTCGGTATATGTATGATAATTGTCTTCGAGGTTTGTTCAAATAAGTGAAAAATTTATGGTGAGCTCCATATTGTTATCATTAATAAGGTTGGAGAGTGGCATTGTACATTTAGTTTAGACGAATTTCATTGAGAGAGGAGGTTTGTTTCTATTTGAGTTGGCTTTTTAAATTAGTTAACGTTCCAAAGACTAGAAAGACCTACTGCAAGGGTAAGGCCTGCCGTAAGCACACTCAACACAAGGTTACCCAATACAAGGCTGGTAAGGCTTCCTTGTTCGCTCAAGGTAAGAGACGTTATGACCGTAAGCAATCTGGTTTCGGTGGTCAAACTAAGCCTGTTTTCCACAAGAAAGCTAAGACTACCAAGAAGGTTGTCTTGAGATTGGAATGTGTTAACTGTAAGACCAAGGCTCAATTGACCTTGAAGAGATGTAAGCACTTCGAATTGGGTGGTGAAAAGAAGCAAAAGGGTCAAGCTTTGCAATTCTGAGCGCAAAGATAAACGGGAATCATCTTTTAACTATATTAAGTATTTTCATTTATTTTTCACTCTATTGTTAACATATAAATCACATTTGTAGGTATCTACTTTTACACTTCCATTTTTAATAAACACAATTAAGATCATATAAGTGGTTAAAGAAATGCTCACCAAAGCATTTGGCCCATTTGGAGGTGCCATGGATGTGCCATGGATGTGCCCCACAGATATACAAACCTACCAAATTACTAGCTGTCTACAAGGAGTTCATTATAAAGGTGGCATACCTAAGTTAGTTTACTTATTTAAAAAATAATAAAGATGTAGATACAGCTGATTCCCAGTATCTCATGTAAGATATCAACACCAGGCGCCCAGCAACGTTCTTTAAGTCTATCTACGCTTCGAACAGTACCGATATGGGGAAAAAACATTGAAAGATTATTTCCACATGGAAAAAGCAATTCATAAAGAATCACAATCTCCTGATAGTACTGTCACAGGCGATAATAAAAATGATGTTGAGGATTTAAAATTTAAAGGAAATTAAACTAAGAGAATAGCAAAATAAAGACAAATGAAAAATAACATCTCAATCACTGCTCTGCTTAAATACTTTTTTTTTTACTGAAATTTTTCAGTAACTTTATGCATCATTGATCTTTCATCACATGACCCATATGAAATCAGGTATAAAATTAGGTCTTCTTATAACAATAATAGTGTGCGATGCTGTTTGGATCACAAGCAATTTATCAACACAGGATCGCAAGGAATAGCAGCCACTATTTCGAATAGACAAATAATCAGACGTAAATTTCATAACTACAAAAGATATATGGAATTATATAATCAAAGTTCAATCCATTTTAATCGTTTCCTTAAGTAGTGATCTTGGAGGGAATCTTTGATAGAGGGCATAGAATATCCAAGCGATTGTGGCTGTAATAACGAAAATGACAGACTTATAAGGTTCAGGCACATCTAAGAATGGGTAAGGGTAAGTCTGGCCTGTTGTGGGGTCGATAATGAGTTGCAAAAATTTATAATAGCTCATGGCGGTAGCCACAATTATAAACCATGCAGTAGTGTTAGATAATCTGAATCTGGCACCATATCCAGACAGATAATGGTCGCTGAATAGGAAGATAAACGGCAACGCATGAATTGCGATATCAACACTGATTGGGATCAGTGGTCCGCTCAATTCCCCATCGGCAACACCTTGCATGATGAGTTTGATAGCAAACAGTCTCAAAGGCCAATAGATAAGTGGGACAACTGTTTCAAGCACGAGAGCCTGAGGCAGGATGATATGTCTACTAACCAATTCAGATAAGTTAGCAAAGAAGGGTTTATCCTCTCTAGCTTTTGAAGGACCAACCATCCTCTGAATACACCAGTTCAGTATGCTAGCAACGTTGCTGACCATTGTTGCCATTAATGAAATGTTGGTGAAAAATTGTTTGTGGCCCGCTTTCTCCAGAGTTGGTGGTAACTGGATCTGTGTTGACCATTTGTAACCCCAATACGAGGTACTCAAGCACAGAACATTGATTGCCAGCGATAGATTACCATTCATTGTTTGTAATTGATTTATGAGTTTACCCTCTAACCGTTCATTAGGCTTCGAGAACTAGCTTATAATTAGATTACGCTTTGGGTTTATATGATTAGATATCAAAGAATAGGGATTATTCCCGTTACACGTAGTCAGCCTGTGGGCATTGGAAGGGAGAGTATAATTAGGGTTCTCTTTTTTACTTCAATGGAAAAATAGGGTTTGGTTAATTATCACCTTTCCAAGTCCTGAGAAAATGATAAAACCAACTTAGGGGCATTGCAGGAAATGCATGGAGCAAACGGAGCAACGCATTGTCTTACTAACCCTAAAAAAAATATGACAGAATAAAAGCCCTAAATTCAGCAGTGTTATTAACAATGGGAGCCAAGCAAACAGCTATGCGATGAGCTTCCCTTTCCCACAGCAAATGCGAGAGGATAGTTATGGATTTAATCTAATGAGGCAAAAACTAGTATTAATACTTTTGATAAATATGAGGGGGGGCTGTGTATGTATTTGTGAAGTGAAATCCCTAAAGATTAAAGGGTCCCCCACTAATGGTAAATTGTATCCCTTTCTGGGTTCTTTCTTTCCATAGATGTGCTATTCCCAGGCACGTTATTAAGTGTACATTTGAGTATGATAGGATTTGGTGAGAGAGGGGTGTACCATTGTTCAGGCAACAGGATGCTATGTTAATCACAGACAGGCATGATAATTAACATACAATGAAATCATTTTAAGGGAACTACGATATCCAAAAAAGAAAGCAATGCTATTTTTGTCATAGTTATTTTCGAAATATGTTATTCTTGTCATCCAATTAACTGTGATGAGATGTGCTGAGCTGCATAGTTAATCTTGGCTGTTGTATAAGTGAGAAGTTTTTATCTTTACTTGGGTATATTGTGATTTTCCTTTACCTTAATTGAATCCATTGTGATCCAAGAAAAAGAAACGCCAGTGTGGGTTTCATTAATTGCCCCTCAATATTTTGCGACTACATCTGCAGTTTGGCTTATTAGGGATGTTTGAACTACTGTTACTATAGCCAACTGTATGCTGATGCCCGGAGTTTCTTTTGAACCGTTGTGATTCACTCAGATCCTGTAGAATGACTAAATTTTTAGACAGTTTAAAGGTACTCTAAAACTGATGTGCGAAATTCTGTTTCTATACCACGCAACTTATTCGATGTTTTAACTCAAAAGCAATTGGTAAATTAAGGATATCTGCTAAGCAAAAAAGAAGAAGCAATGTACGAAGTGCACAAATAATAATAATAATGGTGTTTACTGTAAATTTTACGTACAGTTTATTTTAGTATGATGCTAGATTATTGGTGACAGCATATATGTTGTAAAATGCTTACAATTTTTTCAGACAATAATAAACAGAAATCTAGAACTTTGGTAAGGATGACGCCAAATGATTGAGATGTATGTGTCTTTCGAACCATTTAACCATTTACTATTATTAGCAGGATAATTGCATCTACAATAGTGTTTTAGTTGATTTAGCGGTACCACATAAATCGTCTCATTTATTTTTCCATAACTGCCATTATGGAATTTAAGGATTACGGCAATTATTTGTTGGGTAAAGGTTTGTTACCTTTTCTTTCTTGGTGATCATTTTTGGAATCCAAGGTTATATTTGAGAGATGCATATATTGAAAGTATTAGAAATCTAAATATGATCCGCTTTTAAAGCTATGGTGAGGTGTTAGGAATTTTGTATTGAGGGATTGAGATTAAACTTATAATATTTTCTCCGGAGATGTTTCGACAAATGTTATTAACGTTTCACATAGAAATCCTTGGAAATAAGGATGTTAAAATTATGGTGCTGCATATCCCTTTCTAGAGGCTTTACCTTTGTCAAGGAGGGTTTTGCAATTGGTTATAGTTTAATTGAGCATGTTGTTTGATAAACTTGCGCAGGAACCATTAAAGACTGATCAATTAAGGTATCATTTTGATGAGGGTTGAATGGAGAGTTTTTCAAAGTCTAGAATACCCAATATAGTATTTTATTAAAATTAGACGAGCCAATTTCCCATGATTATTAGGCATTGAGAAAATATTAATTAGCCAATCTTTGAATATCCCTTAAGTCTGTGATATATAAGTAGGCAGATTGTTGAAGAATTATTCAAATCATGTTGTATTGATGTTAGAAGCCATAATATGCAATTAACAACAAGTTGATATAGTTGATCACTTAATTTTTTTAGCATAAAGGATCAGTTGGTAAATCTAATATTTAATAAATGAAATTTGAACAATTTATAGTTGCCATTATTTCGGTTATTTCTTTCGTTTCAGGCTTCCCATTTAGAAGACAAATTGCTCCTCCTCTTTTCACTAATACCACCATTCCACATAATAACGGTACTAATGGTACCGGTGGTGGAGGCGGCCAAGAAGGTGGTGGAGGGCAAGGAGGTGGAGGTGGCTCTGGTGGTGGCTCAGGTGGCGGCTCCGGTGGTGGCTCTGGTGGTGGCTCCGGTGGTGGCTCCGGTGGCGGCTCCGGTGGTGGCTCTGGTGGTGGCTCCGGTGGTGGCTCTGGTGGCGGCTCTGGTGGTGGCTCTGGTGGCGGATCTGGTGGTGGTTTGATAACTTCACCTGGAAGTTCATATTGTTACCCAAGTAATGGCCACTATCCTGGAGATACTATCACAACTGGACGCAAAATTGGAATCTTTTACACTGGTGGCTATTTGGCAAATATACAACATTCTGATGTAACAGTAGAAAGGCTATTCAACATTACCAATACCGAATTAAACATCACACAGTTGTATTCTGTTGCTGCTGCTGTTAATAAGACACTGGGTAACGGTGAGTATAAGGGTGTCTTGATTGTCGGTAATAATAACTCGTTGACAGGATTGGGGTACTTCTCATCAATTCTGTTTAATACGAATAAAACTATTGTTATTTCTAGTAATTCTACTCTAGGTCTTCCAATTGCAAATCAGAGCTTATCGACTAACAGGGGCCCCATTTTGACCCATAATGATAGTGCTGTTTATTCTGGTGGGTTACCACCATACAAAGTTCCTATCGGTGTATTAGACACCAATGGCACTGCGCATTATTTCTACCGTGGTGGTCTACCTAAGTTCTTCGACAGAGGTTCAGGTTTAAGGTTGAACTATACAAACTTCACAGATCCTGGAGCTTACAACAAGACACGTACCATTCCAACGATACGTATTGTCAACCAAACTAATGTCACTGATGATTTCATCAGAAATGTGGCTCCAAATCTACAGGGACTAGTTGTCAACATCACTGGTACGCCATTCACAACTACTGGATTGCAATCGTTACGTTATCCTGTGATGTTTGTGAAGGACCAACAACAGCTGGCATTCGTTAGTAAGTGGAACGTGCCTACGGGTATTATTCCCGGCGGGTACTTGAGCCCCGCTCAAGCTCAACTATTCCTATACGTCGCCGCTCTGAACAATGCCACTAGCCCTGCAGCATGGTCTCAGTGGTTCGGTAATCCAGACATCATCTAGTATGATCGACTTCCCAGTCTCTTTTTTTTTTTGACTTTTTAAAATCCCTATTCCGCACATCTATGGCATAGCTGGTCTACTGTCATCTGAGTTCTGCTTTTCTTTTTTTTCTTCTTGTGTAAGAACATTTTCTATTACTTGAGATGTGCGGTGCGGGTATTAACTTCTTTTAATGGATGTAACGACTTTAACTAAAGAGTATAGCCTCACACTTTTATAGTAGAGGTCTACAATAAATGCTATTAAATATGTTCGTTATAATGTGTGTTTAAGTTTTCATAAAATACGTAAAAAAAATAATAACAAAAACATCAAGAACATGACAACCTCTCCAAACAATATAACTACTATAAACTACACGCCATTTTTAAATTTTATTAAGTACTGTAGTAATCACCTTTATACAAATGCGTATGTAATCATGTGACTTTTACGTCAGCCAGCACCGAGAACCCTAAACGAGGGGCCCCCCATCAGCGAGGCAGCAAGGCAGCAACTAGAGGGTAGGGCTCACACTTAAGAAGCTGCACATAAAGATTCCAGCCGGAATCTGGGGGGTCCATTGAGAGTCACCGCTAAGAGAAGCCCGAAGTATCCGTCGCACGACAGTGGGATAAGAAGCTCAACAATGGTGAGCAGCAATAAGGGTTCATGAATTCCTTTGTGCTGCAATTTCTGTGGAAAGTCATTATTGAAAAATTGACTCTTGGCTTCCCCCCGGCCATCGGCTCAGCTGGAGGAGCCAGGCATATATAAGGGCAGTGCTTATCGGCGATGAGCACTTGGGCTATTGAAGAGGTATCATACTCAGACTAGGGCTAAGGATGAAGCTCATACAGTATCTGATTATTGGTGTGACGTTGCTGGTGTGTCTTGTGGCGCCAGTGATGTGTCATGCTGGGTCTTATATACTTTCATTTGACGAGTCCAGCAGGGCTCTCCCCCAGAATGTGTGGGAGAAAGCGCTTGGGTTTGCTGATGAGCTCGGTGTGAAGATTACACATGAGTACTCCTTGATCAAGGGGTTCACGCTGGATGTGCCTGAGGAAGTTTTGCCCAAGTTGAAGAAGAAGCTGGCTGATTTGGAACGGGACTATGGTGTCAAAGGGCATTTGGAAGAGGACAACTTGGTGCATGCATTCCAGGAACACATTTGAAACTATTTCTTTTTATAGGTTTGAAATAAGATAAGATACGATTTCTCATTCGCTTTTAGTTTAGCCTTTTTTTTTGATGCACATATCATACATCACACATTTGTACTGTCATGACATTGAATGTCCATATGTAAAATGCAAGACAAATTATATTAATACATACAACTCAGTTACATCACTGTTTATTTTAGCTCTTTGAAGAATTGCTCGATACCGGAGCCGATTCTATGAGAGGCCTCTACTAGCTGCTGGTCATCCTTGGCGTAAGCAATTGTGACTCTTAAGAAGTCGGAGTTGTCGTGGGACAACTCGGAAGACACACCCATTCTGTATCCCAGCACTGTCTTGATACCATTTTGCACAAGGAATCTGTCGAGTTTCTTCATTTGCTCGGGGATGTTACCGATCTCACCGGGCGCTTTGTCCCATTTGATCTTGACTCCGACAAACATACCAGCAGATGGCTCGATCACTGTGAACAGGCCGTTCTTGTAGGCATCGGTCTCATATAGTGCCTTCAATGTTATGTTTCTTCTGTGGGTGTACTCAGCAGCCACCTTCATGATCCAATGCATCCAACCTTGGAACAGCGCCTCTTGCTTTTTCTCTGGGTCTTCCTTGTCATCGCCATCTTGGTATAGCGCCATGGTCTCCAAAGTGTTGTACAGCACGGCCTGAGAGACACCACTTGGTGCCCTAGTGGTGATCTCGGCGTATTCAAGCAAGTTGCTGATGATATACTTGTTAGCCACGATGAACCCCAGTCTTAGGCCAGGTGCAAATACTTTTGAGAAGGTCTCCATACGAATAACACGAGCGTCCGTATCGATGGTCAAGAACGAGTCCACTAGGAATTCGTTAGTGTACTTTTCCACTGTGAAGCCGTCTTCTAGATAATCGTTCTTCAATGGGTCCTCCGGTTTATAAGATGGAAATGACAAATATCCGTATGGGTCATCCTCCAAGATCAAGAAGTTATGCTTATGAGCCAACTCGTAAATCTTCCTACGGTTCTCCATTGGGATGGTGACACCAGTTGGGTTTTGCCCAGTGCATATGGTGTAAAGAATTCTTGGCTTGTTCAAGTGTTTGTAAGGGCCTGAGGACCAGTTGTCTAGCAATTGAGTCAGGTAGTCGACATCGATACCTTGAGTGCTTGGATCCTTGGTCAAGTTCATCTTCAATGGGATACATTCAGCACCAGTGGCCTTGACGTGAGAGATCACCGGTGTGAATGTGAACTCTTCCATAAGCACTGTGGATTTCTCATCACAGAAACACTCAAAGAACTTGAACATGGAGTCACACGAGCCCGAGGACAACAGCACATCCCACTGATCAGCAGAGTAAGCTGGCTTGTTGATCTTGTTGACCAAGTACTTGGCAAAGTTTCTGATCTGGGGCAAACCTGGCACCTCGTTGTACTGGAAACTTCTAGCGATGGGCAAACTCTTGGGCTCGTAAGTGGACATCTTACAGTGCAGGTGCTTAGAGGTGTCATCGGCTGACTCAAATGGCTTGTTGACAATGGTCATGTCCATGGCCTTGATGGGGAAAAACTGCTCGTTGGGCATACCGGCGGTCAACTCAATGACATCGTCACCCAACACTTCATCATCCCAGAAAGCCACCAACTTCCTGTTCTGCATCCTCCAGGACAAAAACTGTCCAAACTTTTCCTCTAAATCAATCATCGTCGTCATCGCTTGTAGTATCCTAATTGGTACAAAGCTGCTATGTAAGAAAATGTATATGAAAACTATATATGTGTCATCGCAGGCTATGCATGAAGCCATTCATTGTTTCTATATTAGATGACACAATTTCCAGCTTCCCCCAAACATCACAACAGCAGTGATGTGTGTTCCGGGTCCCCAGCAGGTCATCGACTGAACGATAAGAAACCGGACCTGCACCAGCACAGCCCTCCCACCCACTATTTATACTTCCTTCGAGGAAATGGAGATGACTAACCAACTCCACGTGGGGGGGATGATTCAAGTGAATGAGGCACTCTTTAGTTTATGCAAAACTATGTGAGTTCGATCCAACTCCAATGTCCCCCCTGAGGCCCATGTGCCATATAAGAATCGATCTATACTCCACGTGTGTATTGCATTAATAACATATATAAAAGCTAGTGTATGTACAATAGAGATGGCCTCACCACTCCCCCCATCCCCATCCCCAACCCACACAGCCCAGCACGAGCTTGTAAAACCATAAAATGTCTGATAAGCACAGGAAATCGTTCACGCAGGTGTGTATGGAGATGATACGCCGCAAGAAGAGCCACGAGGGCAAGCAGGCCAATGCCACGCTGGTCGTGGACAAGAGCAAAGACCTCGCGTGGGTCACAGACACCACCTCCATCACTTCTATAACCACCTCGGCGTTTGAGTCCTCCAGCGATGAAGAAGACGAGAACCCGTACAGATACGCATTGAGGTGACAGTACTAGCCTTCCCATGCTCCCCGTCCCTCACCTTCCAGCATATCAAAAAACTGTGTATAGTATTATTGTTATAAAAAGTAACTTTAGAGATGTTATACTTCTTTTCTACATAATTTTATTTTTAGTAATAATAAAACTTCCCTTCAATTGCCAAAACTATATCTCTGGGTCGAGTAAGAAATCGCAGAAGTAGTTTAGGCCTGCGTATATCTCTTTGCCGACAGGTCTGATGTAGCGCGGAGGCAGCAAGAATCCGTGGTTTCCGGTGTCTCTGAGCTTGAATTGGAACGCCCAGTGTGCCCGCTGATGGTACATGAAGTCCAGTGCGCTCCCGGCGCCGAGCTCTGGAGTCAAGTCCGCGCCACGGTCCTTGCAGGCTGCAACCACGTCGTAGTTTCTCCCAGACTGGTACCGTATGGCTTTGTTAATACCGTACGCTAGCTCAAGCAAGTTCTCCAGGTCCCTTGGTAGAGCATCACATGAAAACGCATACGGATACAGTATCTCCTGCGAGTATGAGTGTAGGTCTAGGTACCCATAGACTTTGTATTCACCCTTCACAGTGCTTAGGAAGTCGTTCCAGGATTTGGCCTCGATGGCTTCAAATGGCTCCTCACCGCTGTACTCCTCGCTGCATGGGTACGCATGTGTAGATTCCCACTGGTACCCAAAAGAGTGGTCGATGTCTATCCCTTTGCAAACAGGGATATAGGTCTGTTGTCTATTCTTTCTCCACAGTCTATTCGTGGTGAACGTATACTCGTAGCCGTCAGGGTTGAATACTGGTATGACCAGGAAATCCAGGTTTTCCAAGTACTTGATCTCCTTCTGATCACCTAGAGCATATCTGCCAACCAGCTGTGCTACAACCCAGCAGGCACTGCTCACACTGACCCATTCCCGCGCATGTACACCACCGGTGATCACGATGGTCTTCTTCTCAGGGTTGGTCTGGTTGTTGTTGGCACATAGATGCAGCGCTCTTAGTTCACGGCCCTCATAGGTTCTACCAACTACTTCTATATTAATGATATCGGGGAAGGACTCCTGGAGTCTCTCCATCCAGCTGTATATCTTGTCCAAAGGTTGGTACTGGTCAAAGAAGAACTCCTCGGTACCCACCAGTTCACCAGCATCAAACACTTTCTGGTCTCTACCATTAAACGCACCATCAACATCACCGTCATCATCGTTAGAACCATTGTTAGAACCGTATGTGTCCTTTATTGCGCTGTCAAGATCAGCTATTATCACATCGTGGTCCACTGAAATCTCAGTACCTTTGCTTACTCTAACATCAACAAACTTCTGAGCATGCGTCCACACATCTACGTCTTGTAAGTCCCCGAACACACCTCGTAACAGCCTGTGTGTGTCCTCATACCCACTGTCTTCAAGGTATAACCTAACAACTTTGTAATCGCTGAAATCGCTCTCACTTGGCACCGCGGCCGCAGGGCCCCACGCCAGCGCTAACACTACAAATACCCACTGCAACAACATCTGCTAGTAGCTTGAACTTTCTGGCCTTGCTCTTACTCCAGCTTGGTCCAATCCCCTGTGCTTATTATTACTTTTATGAGGACTCATCGCTTCCACTTTTAAAGGACTCTTCTCACGATGCGAGCAGCAGGGCTCTGCTCCTTACGGGGCGGAATGAGCTTCAAGCTGCAAAGGGAGTATATAAGACGGATGAGGCACTTCTTGCACTGGGCTCCAGGTTCTTGGATTACCAAGCAAAGAATATAGAATTGTGTTGAAGGATGTCTAATTTGCGGAACGAGATTAAGGAGGACAGTATATCGCCAACCAACAGCGAGCTGGAGTTGGACAAGCACGGGGTTGACAAGAATGGGGTGGATGTGTCGCGGTTGAGTGAGCAAGAGCTGAAGTTGTACAAGATGTACGGGAAGTTACCGTCTAAGAAGGATATATTTAAGCACAGGATGGCCGGAAGAAAGTACTTTGACAGTGGTGACTATGCGTTGAAGAAGGCCGGTGTTATAAGGTCAGACGATGTTATTGATGAGAATAACTCTAGTAATAACCTGCCTGTAACGAACCCCAGTGGGCTCAGGGAGTCCATTATCCGTAGGAGGATGAGCAGCAGTGCTGGAGACCATGTTTCCAGGCAAGATAGTATATCCAGTGGGCCCCCACCAAGGTCTCCTAACAAATGAATACAATGTTGTAACTGGTTTATAATGACTTTGAGCAGTTTAAATTTCAACTTGTGAGTTTTTGGTTCAAGATATAAAATAACAAGAAGTACCAGTTTTTTTTATGGTTGTATTGGATAATGTTGATACACATTCCGTCACTCACTTTTACCCCAAAGTGTTGTAGCGGGGTTTGACTTATATTTCATAATATTTGCCAATACATGTACACACTTGAATGGTCTAGTTTTAATGACTTGGGGAGAGTGGACAATGCATATTTTTGTCGTCTGTGTTATAATGAGTTCATCTTATTCTCTTTTTTTTTCTACTATCATATGTTTAGAGATACGCAGTCTATCGGTTCCCGTTAACTACTTGCTCTAACTCATTATTTTTTGTATATTTTTTCAAATAGTGGGTTTATTCCATAAATTTCAATGCTCTCCCAGTATATACCACTATATTTCGTTTTTAAACTGGTACTTGATATTATATAGAGTTTGGAAATGCTTATAAAAACACAATATCACTATACTCTTTGAATGGCAATATATTGCTTTAATTCAAATATCCTTATGGAAGATTGGTGATTATGTCCATTATGCCTGTACTATTTTAGTATTCAAAAGGAAGCTTATCGCATTTCGCCCGCCAACAGGCTCGAAATGGGTGAAAAAGTACATAATAATGTTAAATATTGTGCTCCAACTGGGAATACCCAGGTGGGATATGACCTGTAGAGCAGGTTAAACTGTGATATGCAACATCCACATATCAGAAATATTGCAGTGTTACAACGGAAGCCTGGAAAAGAAGATGCTTTGAAGCTTTTAAAGGACATTGCTGATGCGGTTAGTCTGCTGATGCGAGAGAATAAGTTCAAAGTGGGTACTCTGGTAGAGTTTTACCCGAGAGACAGGTCCTTATTGGGGATGAATGTTAACCATGGACAGAAGATAATGCTTAGGTTAAGAGATCCGCTGGATGAGTTTCGTTTTTTACCGTGGGAGTCATTAATAGGTACAATGCTTCATGAGCTGACACATAATCTACATGGTCCACATGATCAGAAATTTTACTCAAAACTAGATGAACTGTCTGGGAGGCAATGGTGCATTCAGCAACTAGGTTTGAAAGATAATTTCATGACCAGCGGTAATAGATTGGGAGGACGTGGGTTTAGAGATGGCCCTACTCCACGCACTACAAATAGTAGAGGTAATAAGATTGAAAAAATACGAAATAAAGGTGTTCGATTGGGGTCGCTTTCTGACAATCTTAACGGTTCCTTGAATACATCAAGAATGCTAAAACCTGCCCAGATGGCTGCGATGGCAGCTACTCGTAGAGCAGAGGCTGATAAGAAATGGTGTGTTGAAACAAATCAAGAGGAAAAGATACCAGATGATAGTTCCTTGGAGATAATAGTTTTAGATGGAGATGAGAAGGAAGATATGGGAAGCACTGGTGACGTTGGCTCTTTTACGGATAAGTCGAAGAAACAACTTGAACACAAGCAAGCGCTTACTATAATTGAGTTGAATGATGATCAGGATAATAACGACGTAAGGAAAGTAGATGAACCTTTTCAGGCCAAAAAGAAAAGTACCTTTGAAGGAGAAGATGTACTATTAATTGATCTCACATCCGATGAGTAAATAATACAGTAAATATACAGTTTGATAGAGTTTAGAATGCATGTTACATATTAATAATAAATATCATGAAACCAGAAAAAAACGAGCATCTGTAGAATGATATCAGATGTAATGAGTAACTATTGTACATAATTATAAGTAAACATTATCGTTAAAATATCATAAGGATGACTAATGTTTGCTGGTAATAGGATGTAGAATATGTGATCTAGTTTGTTAGCTGTAAACGATCTAACAGCAGCCCAGTTTCTGAAAGAAACCCTTCTCGGAGCTGGTAGTGGTGTAATCTTGTTCAACCTGTTCGGTATGCTGTTGGAATTGTTGACGGTTGTTTGGAGTAGCTTGCGCAGGGTTGTTAGGTGGTTGTACCATAGGTTCTTGTTGCTGTCTATATCTGTTTCCTTGGAGATCTTGGGCCTGTGCATTGTTATAATTCCGTAGTCCCCCATTGTCCTGAACACGTTGTCCTTGCATAGCTGGTGGCTGTTGACGCTGTTGCCTTTGGGTTTGTTGGTTGTATTTGTGTTGCAGCTGCTGTTGATAGGCCTCGTACGATGTGGGGTCTAGGTTTCTCTTGTTTTGCATCTGGTTAGCATTGTCAGCGTTTCCACCAATACCAGCTTGATGGGATTGTATTTGATTATGGTGGGTTTGGTCAGGGTATTGTCCTTGTTGTTGACCGGCAAGTTGCTGTAAAGGATTGGTCATCTTATTTTTATGTCTCCTCTTATCATTTGGTGGATTTGGGTGGCCGTATCCGTGTAGGTTTGGCTTCTTGTTTATCGTTAAGTCCCAACCACGTCCGCCATTCAATTTCATCCAGTCGTAGGTACCATCAGCAGAGTCGTTCATATCGTCAAGCACTGACAATAGTAACTTTCTGTATCCTTGGTAATCAGGAGTTTCCTCGAAAGATAAACTCCTCACAATTTCCAAGTATCTACCAAATTGCACTGGGTACCCATTCGATAAATCGTATACGTTAGTGGTTCTCTTTTTCTCACCAATCTTTTCGTACTTTTGCTTGTTGTTAGGAGCCTTCAGACCTTGCCAAGGCAATTGTCCTCTTAGGAAATAAAAGAAGACATGGCCTAAGGCTTCCATATCATCCCTTCTGGATTGCTCCCTACCCAAATGTGTGTTGATAGACATGTATCTAGCCGTACCACTTAAGGACTTCCTTTCTCTGTAGGGGATGTGTTGTTTAGTTTTTGGATCTCTGTATTGCTTAGCCATACCGAAATCGATCAAGTGGATTTTATTCTCATCCGGTTGTCCAGGTCTTCCTATCAAGAAATTGTCAGGTTTGATATCTCTATAAATTAAGTCATGCGCGTGCAGGTCTTCTATCAAAGTAATCATTTGGACAGCAACTTGTACAACTGTCTTGACTGAAAACTTCCTTCCACACCAGTCAAAAAGATCCTCAAGTGAAGGACCCAAAAGGTCGATAACCAGGATGTTATGTAATCCTTCTTGACCGAAATAGTATGCTTGTGGGACATTTGGCGTTCCTGCCATGATCTTGTATGTCCTGTATTCATCCTTCAGTTGAGGTGCCTCGGTTTTCCTTGGCTCGAATTTGATCGCAACTGGCATGCCATTTATCATGTTGGTACCTTCAAACAGCACACCAAAAGAACCTTCACCGATCTTTTTCCCAATCTTGTAGTGTAATCCCACAATGGTAGAATCGTCACGACTGGTCATGTTCGAGCTAGATCTGTTAGAAGGTGTGCCGTTATATGGCGCGTTTGCGTTCATTGCTGGATAGCCCCCGTTGGTCAAGTTGTTCACCGCCATAGCAGTGTTAGCAGCAGTAACAGCTGGTGAGTTCTGGTAGCGAGACATTGTTGACAAATTTCTAGAATCAAGTGAATCAGCGATTGCAAAAGAATGTAGCGAATGGGATAAGAACCTGGAAGTTTAATATCAATTCGGCACAGTTAGTTCCGTGGGGCTGTGTGTAGTTTGGCGGGTTGTCTCTTTACTCGTTGTTATTCCAGTGTCGATAGGGCAAAGGTGTTATATAGCTCCTGTTCCCATTCACACGAGGGCGATATTGTAATCTTACTTGTTGATTTAACGTTTCCTTAGAAGAAAAAAAACCTCTATTGCGATATTAGATCAGTATTGGGTGCGTAAATTTCTATAATTCCGAATCCTATAGCGTCCTATACCAATAGTCTGTGTTGATTTCTGTCTATGCGAGTGAAAAAAAAAATAATAATTTGTTATTGGTGTATAAATACTATTGTCAAATAGTCTCGAGAAATGTTCAAAACGCTCAAATCACAAGTGTACCTTCGGTGCTAAATGTTTTGTTTAAAGTTTCAATAAAAGATCAATGGTGATAGAGAATGATTTGAGCATTTGTTTTGTGAAAGTTTCCTTGAGGGGGAAATCCCAATGACAGATCACCAAGGCTAGTGATAAGAAAATTTTTTGTTTATTGCTCAGGGAGATGGTCCCTCGTTGCGTGTTATTTGGTGCAATTGCCTCTTTGGTGTTTTCCGTGTCTAAACATCCTTTCTTTTACACAGAGGGATTATATCCGTTTTGGGTCTAAGTTCTCGTTTAACTTCCAAACGAACGGGCCCCGCAATTACCACAGCTTATGCTTTCCCAATTGCAAAGCATGAAATCAAAATTAAAAAAAAAAGGATTTCACTTCTTTAGAGAAGTGAAAGGTGAAACTGAAATCACATCCGTTGATAAGTCTCTACACGCACAATATCACAAGCAAAACCCTATCTTAGTATATATCATTTTCAACCCATGGGAATTAAAAGCTGCACCAGCTACACAAGAATGGAGGCACTTTGCTGAATTTGTACCGTACACGTTATCTCTTGACAGTGAGAACCATATATACCTTACCATCAGAGCTTGACATGAATATTAAAGGTCAATAGCACGCGCTGACAACGAGGTTGTGGTATGGGGGGGGCAGGGACTACTCTATACTGCTCTCATTGAAAAATAACCGTTAAGCTGAAAATGAAAATGACGTCATTTTCGGAAAAATATGGTGCTTCTTTCACAAAAATTTCTCCGATGATCAGGACGGCAGTAAGAAAGCACGCAGTAGATGAGGAGCCAGATAGCTTTGTCGGTTTCACGGCTGTTCCTGTGGACGCACCCAGCTAGCGAGCCATTTTGTGCTTGTATAATCTGCATTTTTTCGTACGCGACTTTGAGTGCCACGGGCTAGAAAAAGGCGAGAGAGAATATGGGAAAAGTGATCGGCACTTTTATTTTTCCCGCTATCTGATCGCGAGTCTCTGTGGATACGCATAATTCGCTCTTACTGCAGAGAGTAAGCTGTCAAAAAGCAGATGCTAAAGCAAAAAAAAGTAATGATGCAAGTCAAAGTACTTGTCCCAAATGGCTGATTCTGATTCTAAAATGGGGGGGGAAGGAATTAGGAGATGAGCTATATATTGCTTTTTGTATGTGGGACCCTTCCTTTTTGATAGTTCACAACTGACTAAGGTTGAGGGAGGCCCAGACTTCCGGTGATCCGCACCAGATTGCGTAATCGTGGTGGGTTTACAAAATAGTCTCTATTGTTGCATATTTGGAGAGCATAAATATATATATAAAAGATCATATATATAGTGTATACCAGACGAGATAGTGCTGATTGTAGGTAGTTGTAAAGAAATATAGCCCAGAGATAAGGCAGGATACAAAATGGATAATAGAGATGTCCATTACTTGGACAAAAGTGGTGATTTCAAGTCTCCTACGTCGACTATAGCTTCTGGTAACTCTCTCGATGACTTGACGAGTAGTTCGACGAGCACTCGCTCGCATACGCCAGAGGAACCTGTCACGAGCACATATTTGGAGATTATAGATGGTGAGCCAGCAAGTCCGCCGGATTACGACGAAGTTAACTACAATAGACACGTTACGTTCCCGATATGGGAGGATCTTACGCCCTGCTCTATGACAGAGAAGCCTCCAGCGTACCATCCCACAGTTTACAATGTCGCTATAGTGTCGGTGAAGTTGGAGTGGTTATCACCATTCGAGCCATCCCCAAATAGGAGTTGGAGGACATTTATCATGGAGATAAACTCAACGCAGATAAACTTTTACGCTCTCGAGCCAGAGTTTCACAGACTTGTAAAGAACTACTACAATTTGAAGTATGACGATGGCGCCAAATCTCTAGCAAAGGGTATACTTTCCCTAGGTAACTCCAAGAAGAAGAACGATAACAAGATTGTGGACACGGAACCACATTGGAAACGGCTGAACGCTAAGCTGGAACGCAACTATTCCAAATACCTGTCGGATGCCCGCCTTTACAGATCCTTTACGCTTCAATATGCAAGAATGGGTATACCCACAGATTACAGGAAAAGTGCGCATGCCCTCCGGCTTAGATGCGAAGCAGAGCAATTTCTTGTTGCTTTTGATAACGTTGACGACCTCATTAACTGGTCGATGTACATTAATATGGGTATTAGTGTTGCACTTGATTTAGACTGTAGACAGTTGCCAAACTATAGGGTGGTTCCAAGGCGAAGAAGACCCCATCACACTCGGAGACAAAAACGTACACCGTTGCATTCTTTAGTTGATAACTCAAGCTCATCTTTCTTCAGCAAAGAGTTCTTTTTGGCTTCACCAAGAGGTCTTTATCTTCATGGTGCAACGGCCATGTCTTCACCTCCACCAAGAACTAGAAGTAGCAGTTCGGCAACGGTGCAAAGTACAGTCCCTAAACGTGTTGCATCTCAACCGATTTCAAGAAATTCCTCTAGTGGCCGCATAGTGAGCAATGGAAATAACAGCTCATTTGGTAAGTTTTTCGATATGTTTAAGAGCAAGCGGTCAAAGCAGGACTTTAAATCGCTGCAGTCCGCTAATGTGACTGGATTAAAAGTGACTCTAGAGTCAAAACGTGACCAATCAGCTAAATTTGAGTTAGGATCAGACTTAGAAGTAATGAATAATAGTATAGCCGAGGAACCTGTCAAGGAATTCCCATCAGACAGGTGTGAAGAAATGTTGAAAAGACACGTTAATATGATGGAACGAGAACTTTTATGTTACAGTACACAAGAGCCAGAATTCTCTGAAGCCGGCAGAGAAGTCAATAATCCTGGTTCTAGTTCTCATAGTAATAGAAACTTTGCAGAGGCAGAGCACGTTGACTCTAATGAAGATGAGGATGAGGATGACGATTATACGTTAGACGACGATTATGAAGATGGACAACGATTAGATCCAGTTGTTTCTATTTATGCGGAAGAAGGTTTGGTACATGAAAGTGAAAGCGATTACTACTATGAGCAAAGAAGACTTACTCGCAGCCGTGCTGCCTCAACTGCAAGTAACATGATATCACATGCAGATGCCGACGATGTAAAATGGATGCCTCCTCAAAAGATTTTATCGAGAAGAAGATACGTTAAGGATAGTCTTAGATGTATCAAGGGTTTTGTGGAGCATTCTAGTTGGATGGGTAGAGTAGTCTGTTGTCCTACTGGACCACCTTCATTTAAAACTAACAATGATCTGGTATTGTTGAATGGTAAGAAAATTGATGAGAAAACTGTTGGTAACAGTAGGAACAAAATTGTGAATTCAAGTGGGGATAAGAGTTATTGGAAGACCAAAAATCATTTCCTTCAACTTTACATCATTGAGCCAACCGGATATATTCCAATTACTGCTCTCGAAGCAAATGAAGCAAGGAAGAAGATTAAGACTGTATTATGTTAATTGAGTAACTTATCTCGAGTCTATGAGGGAGTAACTGTTAATTTTTTTGCACATTAGCTATCTTTTACTGGATCTGTTACTAAAAAAGAAATAATGCAAGAGTTTGTCGAATAATTCGGAGTTCGAGACTGAAACGATTGCAGCATTGCCAGTATAGTTAACGATTTTAATGAATTATTGTTTTATATAACGCCGTTTAGATAAAAAAAAATGCATAAATACTACCTCAAAATATCATTCTAAGACAAAACGAAGTTAGTGATGCTAATTTCGTTGCCTTGACAATGTGATCATATTAGTGAGCAGTACCCTGATTGCATATTACTAATGTTTCGATAAATTTTATTCAATGATATTCTAGGTTAATTTTTGCAGGCTAAATCAAGAAATTAATAAGCTCGCGTGGCGTAATGGCAACGCGTCTGACTTCTAATCAGAAGATTATGGGTTCGACCCCCATCGTGAGTGCTTTCTTTTTTTTTGGCAAATATAGCGTTTATTATTTTTTTGCCTATTAATGGGACAGCTTTTATGTACTTGTCTATACCTGTCTTTCCGTCCAGTAATTTCAAAGTTTTAATCCATTATTCGCTCTTTAGTTTATACACATCGCTCACGCTGTTAACCTGTTTTCGCGTCTCCTTTCCACTCAAATTTGAATTTCGAGGGAATCTCACGCGCATCGCGAAAAAAACATCAAAATTAGGTTAAAGCTCTTCAATCAGAGAAATGAAAATTTGTTACGCAACATAAACAGTTAGCTCTTGAAGTCAAATTGGTTTAATACAATTGCAGTTTTAAATTCTAATATATAGCGCCTAAAGTTGTTTATAACAATACAGTTACCTGTACTTTACGGAAATCGGAAGGCGATACATAAAGTCCCTTTAAGAGATTCGACTTGAAAGCAAACAAGAGAAGGATTGCATCGCCTTGAGATAGCCGTTGATCGAATCGACTGTAGCAATTGAGAACTGTGCTTGCAGGAAAGAACATATCAGAGGATACAATAAAGATCAGACGAAAGAAATAAAACTAAGTATACAAAATAAAGAGCAGCATTGTTATCCCATTATACAAGATATGGATATCTTCAGTCAAAGGGATTACTACCCGATACCTTCGGATGATGTAATCAAGTATAAGCATATGGTCCATAAGAAATGGAATAAGAATGAAGTTATTCAAGCAGACATACCATCAATAATTGTTCATTTATCGTCTCCAGTTGATTCCGTTGACTATAAAGGATTTTCGGACTTCTTCCTATTTTATAGGAACTTTCTGACCCCAGCAGAACTCTATGACTACCTTATATTGAGATTTAAGTGGTGTATGAGGGAGATAGAAAGTTATCAGCATCAAAGAAGTGGTGACAATCAGCTTCGTATTGGTAAAGTCGCGTTAATTAGAACATTCGTACTGCTGAGACATGGTATTCTGAATCATTTCGCAGACGACTTCCTTCTTAATGAAAACTTGAGGCTGCGATTAATAAGTTTTTTTAATGAAGATATCAAGTCAGACATGAAAGTAATAGTGAGTTGTTTAATCAGTCTAAAAAAGGCTTGGCTTCATGCAATGAAACTTAATTGGGATAACGTCCTATTTAATGAGCCCGCATTTTCTGCATATACAGATTGGATAGATTATAAAATAAAGGATGTATCGCAGTTAGATATGGCCCAAAAGAGGAATAGTAGGTTCAGCTACCATGGTATACAAAGTATTAGCAATCCAGATATGAGGAATAGAAGCATACTTTCAATATACAAGTCAGATAATTTTGATCATATGGTACAGTCCAATAGTAATAAGATTAGCAGAAACAGAACTCCATCCACCCTGCTTTTTCAAAAAGATTCATCAAATAGCGAAATGGCGACTGTGTATTCAAATAGAAAAGGTGCCCAAAAGAAAACGATAGCATTACCTAATATTCTAACGTCAGAGTTAGATCGTAAAGATGTTATGTCAAATGTCACAAGAATGTCTCATATAATACAGGATGCTAAGACTCTTAGGTCTTCAGATGTGAATAAAATAATACCTTCAACACCAGCAAAAAAGGTCGAGCTAATATTGAATACGATATATTCACCCGATTGTTTAGAATCTGAAAATATTCAGGAATCCTTAAACCAAGATACATCCTCTACACAAAAATCCTTCCCAAAAGGTATTATGAGTCTTTTGGCTAGATGGAAGAAAAACCATAAGATAGCAGACCCAAAAATAAGGAAACCAGTTGGATTTACCAATAAAAGAGAGGCAGAGTTAGACAATTTTGTAAAATATGTGATTTCAATTTCTTCTCTCACCAATAAAGAAGAAGATCTGAAAAGGTTAAATGAGAATCTTGACTCCAAATTTGATATATTAAGTGCACGTACGATAGATGAAGTGGAATATCTGTTTCGCTTAGAAAGTAAATTGTTAGCGCAATTGAGTACAATGCAGAAGACTACAAGGACTTTATCTAATGATGAATTCAACGATGTCAATGTACCTAATAATATCGATTCTAAGCAGATATCTGCGATGGATAACCTAGATTTGTTTAGGACAGTTAATGGAGTAGCGAGATCAGTCATCTCGCTAACTAATTCAGTTAATAAACTGAATAACCTCTCAGATCATAGTGTTTTGGACAGAAGAAGGGTAAAAAGTTCAATGCCTAATTTCTATAATAGGGAGCGCTCTCTATCCGGGTTATCTAACTATGCAGGTTTACAATTCTATGATGCAAGCAGTGAAATGTCAGCAGAAGATGATAAACCACAAAAGTTAGTCTTTCATGATGGTGTGGATGAGTTAAAAAACCATTTAACTCAAACATTTACAAAGCCAGGCAGTATATCAAATTCTTCTCCGTTGAAAAAGGTCTTACCCAATCTTTTTGAACATCCCTCTGTTGATAGTTTAGCTTCTGGAGATGCCTGCTCATATGTTACTTATGATTCACAGTTAAGCCAGATGGGGACTGTAAAGAAGTCAATGAAGGATGAAACTAGTAGATACTCGAACTATGAAGGGCCAGTACTTAAAAAAAAGGTGGCATATGACAATTTAAGAGAATTTACTTTTGAGGATTCTAAGGAAATAATTAAAAATGACACTTCTAGTTTGATAGATATATTAAATAGTCCTGTTACTCCGGATCTATCGATACTACCTCAAACGCCAACAGGTAAAGGGTCTGTGCAACATAAGAAGAAAGAAAAGAGTGAATCAATCATTAGTCCTGCGAGTGGTAGAATAAGCATTGCTAAAAGTCACCATATGTCATTGAGCCCCAACCTAACAAAATTAAAAGAAGATGATGAGTATGTCAAAGGGGACAATAGTCTTGGTCAAGCTGAAGATGAGCTTATCAGACTTGAAAAAAACCTGCGCGACTCCAAATTAGAAAACTATAATACGGTAGTTGCTGGTAATCTGGGAGCTGGAAGCGGATCATCAACGCCTCTAGGAGACAGTCCTACTAATGTATTTGAACTGCCCTCCAGCATTAACATGGTTGAATCTGATATGGATACTGAGAGTTTTGAAAGCTCATTTGAGCAAAGACAGCCTACTAATCTCAGAGAACAATACTTTAAAAGTATAGGATCCCCCGAAACAGCTTCTCCTAGAAAAGTAAATTCCAACAATGCATACTCCCAAGTGAGCTCACAAATGAGTCCGTCTTTAGCAAATAAATACCTATTCTCGCCTGACAATGAGAGTTTAGATATTGCCTCGCCTGTTAAGAATGTTGAAGATCTGAAATCCAGGTTTTTGAAGGGCAATAATCAGTCAGCGTCATCATCACAAATAGGTGCTTCTATTAATACCTCTGTTACGGCAACTCCAAAAAATAATGACATGTTTGGATCGGACTTTGATAAAAATGGTTTAAAGAATATAATGACTGCCTCGGAAGAGAAGTTGTCAAAAGATCCAGTAGAGCTAGCGATGATGAAGCTTGAAGGCACATTTAAAAAAAACAAAAGTGGTAATAATACAGGATACTCTAGTGATCTTGAAAAGGAAGTTGATATCTTGAACATAGCTAATCTTCCGGAAATGAACGCCAACCCTTCCGATAAAAGGAAATCTTTGATGCTAGACAGAAGAAGGCAAACGATGTTCAATATTGGACCATCGATATACCCGAGCAATACTAATGATGAAGGTTATGATGAAGAATCTATAACTGATGATAAGATATGGAGCTTAATTGCCCAATATCATATTGATGACGAGAATTTATTGGCAAAGAATCATGCAAATCATGTTCCATTTATATTGATGTATGAATCCAAGGACGTTGCACAGCAATTTACACTAATCGAAAGAGAAATCCTTTCAGAAATTGATTGGAAGGATCTTTTGGATATCAAATTACTTTATAAAGGGCCAAATCTTACCAGCTGGTTGCAACTCTTAATTCAAAACCAAGAGTTTACTGGGATTGATTTGGCAGTGGCCAGGTTTAACTTAACTGTTGATTGGGCAATTTCTGAGATTGTATTGACAACTGATTTGAAAATGAGAAGAAACACCATAGAGCGTTTCATACATGTCGCCGAGCACTGCAGAAAGCTTCAGAATTTTAACACCATGATGCAAATAATCTTGGCTTTGAATTCTGTAGTTGTTCAGAAATTCACAGAAGCTTGGCGTCTAATTGAGCCAGGTGATATGCTGCTCTGGGAAGACCTGAGGAAAATACCAGCATTGGATTGGAACTATCATGCTCTGCGCACCATGATGAAGACTGTTGATCCATTGAAGGGGTGTATCCCATTTATTGTGGTTTACTTATCTGATTTGACCATAAACTCCGAGAAAAACACTTGGATTGTGGAAAAAAGAGTAGTTAATTACAGTAAATTCTCAACGTGTGTTCAAATAGTCAAAAATTTTATTCAAAAAGTGCAATGGTCTAGTTTCTACGATATCATTCCAATTCAAGAACTTCTGAGCAAATGTATTTATATCAGCTCCCTTTCACAAGATGAAATTGAACATCTAACAGCAGAATTCGCAAGGTGAGTTTAACTTTATACTGCTTCAAAAAACTACAAATTCTCCAACCGCATGTGCTATAATTTCATATATAGTTAATTTTTTGATGTTTGTTTTCATTTTTATTTTTTCTAAACAACTAGAATAAAATTTTGGGAGTAACAGAAACCGTACATTATCTGCATAGTTTATACACGGGTATAGACAACTACTAAATACTATATAGTAAATTAATTTATTGCATCTCTCCAACTACAACTGCTTTTATATTCTCTCCAAGGCGCAACCTTTATTCTACATATGAACTGACCTCCGGGTAACCAATATTCGCGATGAGCTCTGGAAAAAAATTTAAAGAAAATTTTTTGCGATGAGCATCTCGATGAGTTTAGTACTGTAACGGCTAACAATCAGTGGAACTTTACCATCTGTAAGGCGATCTCTCCCTGATTAGCCAAGGATTATTCATGGGTGTTTTAGTAATCTCGGTGCATTTACTTATCTGATTGTTTAGTTATAGATAGTCTAGAGAAGGAGATCCCATTTTGTGATTTTGTCAGGTACATTCAAGAGACAGATCAGCAAATAAAGAGCCATGAGTGACGAAATAGTATGGCAGGTAATTAACCAACAGTTTTGCGCTTATAAGGTCAAGACTGACAAGGGTCAAACATTCTGTAGGAATGAGTACAATGTCACTGGGCTGTGCTCGAGACAGTCGTGCCCCTTGGCAAACTCCAAGTATGCTACGGTGAAAAGTGAAAACGGGAGGCTGTATCTATATATAAGAACTGTTGAAAGGGCCCACACTCCAGCTAAATGGTGGGAGAAGATCAGACTGAGTAAGAATTATTCCAAGGCTTTGAAACAAATAGATGACCACCTGCTGTATTGGAACAAATTCTCTATACATAAATGTAAGCAAAGGTTCACTAAACTGACACAAGTTGCCATAACTGAGAGAAGACTGGCCATGAGAGAAATGGAAAGACATTATGTTGGTGTAGCTCCAAAGGTTAAGAGAAGAGAAGAAAACAGAGAAAGAAAAGCACTTGCTGCCGCCAAGATTGAAAAGTCTATCGAGAAGGAATTACTTGATAGATTAAAGAGTGGTGCCTACGGTGACAAGCCTATGAACGTCGATGAGAAGATCTGGAAGAAAGTCATGGGTCATCTTAAGGATGAAAACGACCAAGAAGAAGAAGAAGATTGGGAATCTGAAGAAGAGGAGGAATCGGATGAAGGTGAGGTGGAATATGTCGAAGATGATGGGGAAGCTGAATTCGTGGATATGGAAGATCTAGAGCAATGGTTAGGAGATGGAAATGGTGATCATAGCGACAGCGATGATAGCGACGAAGAAAGCAGTGATGATGACGAAAACACTCCTAAAAGGAAAAAGGCGAAGCTATCAAGACGTCCAAAGATCGAAATTGAATATGAAGAAGAAAGAGCACACCAAGAGCTTCCGCAAGAAGCTGCTCATTGAGGGACTGTTTAGTCTACTGGCATACCCCGCACACAGACCATTATTAGTATCATAATCATTAACATTACCATTCTTTTGCTGCTCTCTCTTTAAAAGTAAGAGGAGTTTTGTTCTGTAAGAATTGAGTTATTTATTATTAAAAGCTTTATCCCCGTATCCTAATATGGTTTTGTAGAGGATTACGCAAGGAATCACTCAGATTTGCACGAGGGAGATAAAGTACATATTTATATTAATTGTATATTAGTCCAAGTATAGAGAAGCTATATTTGATTGGATTTCATCTTGAAACCTGGCATCTTTCTGATCAATAATATCGTCTCGAGTTTTGACCGTATTTGATCAGGGCTTTGTTCAGAACCCGAATCGCGCGAGAAGGAAAACCCACAAAAACTTTGGAAAATTACGAAGTTAAGTGAAGTGAAGTGAATGATGAGTTTAAGATTGAATACATCATTTCGTGTCTTCCAGTTGATAATCAGTTAATATATATCAGTGGATATTTTTGCTTGAAGTGAAGTTAAGATTAATTGTTATATTTGTTCTCTCAAAACTGCTAGGACTTAATTTTTAGTTTTCTATCGTGTCCTTTTCGGGAGCATTGGCAAACTTCATATCAAAGACAACCAATTCATCAACTGGCATATAAAAAGTATTTTGAATATTATATTGGTTCTTTTTTTGCATACTCCTACTCGAGAAGTTTAACTCAATTGTGTCGATTTTGAGTCCAAATTTCAGCTATTCCTATTGTAACCAATGAGTTCAAGAATGGGGAAAGGGACGCGAGTACCGACAGGGGATACTCTATTTGACATAGATTTTAACGATGGTAATAAGATTAGAGCTTCGGAAAATGAACGGACGACTTCTCATGGTTTTCCTGAAGAAATTATTGATTTAGATAATGACTCTATTGAAAATGATTTGCATGACAACCCATTTTCAGAGTACGGCGGTGAAGGGGATTGGAACACGAACAGATTCGACCGTATCAATAATCAACCACATTTGACACAAATAGGAAATAAAGGTAATGTGTTCACTCGGATGGGGAGGTCGATTAAAGGTATTTTCACTTTTCAAAGCAATAGTGAACCTCAATCCTTTGAAATGAGTAATTATAATACTGTATCAACAGGTGAGATGGATGATAATTTCCAGAAATCACGGAACAAGTTCGATATTAAGATACTTTTCAATAAATATCTACTTCGAAAAAATACTTCTGACGGGCAAGACTCTGGAGAACCAAGGGAAATTCACATTAGCGATAGAGAATCAAATAACAGATTTGGATACATTGATAATCACATCTCTACAACAAAATATAATGCAGCTACATTTTTGCCAAAATTTTTGTTCCAAGAATTCTCAAAGTACGCTAATCTGTTCTTTTTATGCACTTCGGCTATTCAACAAGTCCCACATGTCTCTCCAACAAATAGATACACGACTATTGGTACATTAATGGTGGTTCTTATTGTATCAGCAATTAAGGAATCGGTTGAAGATCTGAAAAGGGCAAGTTCGGATAATGAATTGAACAATTCAAAAGCTGAAATATACTTTGAAGCGGAAGGTGATTTTATTCAAAAGAGATGGATTGATATTAAAGTTGGTGATATAATTAGAGTTAATTCCGAAGAACCCATCCCAGCCGATATTATCATTCTATCATCTTCAGAGCCAGAAGGTTTGTGTTATATTGAAACGGCAAATTTAGACGGTGAGACAAATCTAAAGATAAAACAAGCAAGAACTGAAACTGCTAAAATCATGGACTCAAGGGAATTAAGAAATATAAAAGGTGTAATCAGTTCTGAACAGCCAAATTCGAGTTTATACACTTATGAAGGTACTTTGGAGATGAATGGTACCAAAATACCATTATCTCCGGAGCAAATGATTCTGAGAGGAGCAACTCTAAGAAACACTGGATGGATCTTTGGTATTGTTATCTTTACCGGTCATGAGACCAAACTGATGAGAAATGCTACTGCTACACCAATTAAAAGAACTGCTGTTGAAAAGGTCATTAATATGCAAATTATAGCCTTATTTACTGTGTTAGTTGTTTTAATCTTGATATCATCAATTGGTAACGTCATTATGTCTACAGCAGATGCCAAACATTTGTCGTACTTATATTTACAAGGAACTAACAAGGCCGGTCTCTTTTTTAAAGATTTCTTGACTTTTTGGATCTTGTTTTCTAATTTAGTTCCTATCTCTCTTTTTGTTACGGTTGAATTAATTAAATATTACCAGGCATTTATGATAGGTTCCGATTTGGATCTCTATTATGAGGAGACAGACACACCAACGGTAGTCAAGACATCATCTCTTGTTGAGGAATTGGGACAAATAGAATACATTTTTAGCGACAAAACTGGTACGTTGACAAGGAATATCATGGAATTCAAATCCTGTTCAATTGCTGGCAGATGTTACGCTGAACATATCCCTGAAGATAAAGCAGCTACATTTGAAGATGGTATTGAAGTTGGTTATAGAAGTTTTGATGATTTAAAGAAACAGTTAACCACCAACTCTGATGACTGTAAAATCATTGATGAATTTTTAACTTTACTGGCCACCTGCCACACTGTGATTCCAGAATTCCAAGCAGACGGTTCTATCAAGTACCAGGCAGCCTCACCAGATGAAGGTGCCTTAGTTGAAGGTGGAGCCTTGTTAGGATATAAGTTTCTAATTAGAAAGCCTAACTCAGTTACTATATTGATTAATGAAGAGGAAGAAAGGGAGTATCAACTTTTGAATATCTGTGAGTTTAACTCCACAAGAAAAAGAATGAGTGCTATCTTTAGATTCCCAGATGACTCCATTAAATTACTATGTAAAGGTGCGGATTCTGTTATTTTGGAAAGATTGTCTGAAACCGGCAACTTCTATGTTGATGCTACAACAAGACATTTAGAAGATTATGCTACAGAGGGTTTGCGTACGTTATGTTTAGCTACAAAAGATATACCTGAGGATGAGTATAACGCCTGGAATAAGAAATACATGGATGCTGCAACAACTTTGGATCATAGAGCTGAAAAATTGGATGCTGTTGCTGAAGAGATCGAAAGTGGTCTCACTTTGATAGGTGCTACTGCAATTGAAGATAAACTACAAGAAGGAGTTCCAGATACAATCAGAACTCTACAAGAGGCAGGCATAAAAATATGGGTTTTGACAGGAGATAAGCAAGAAACGGCTATTAATATTGGTATGAGTTGTAGGTTGCTCAGTGAAGATATGAACTTGTTGATTATCAGTGAGGAGACTAAAGAGGCCACTCGAAGAAACATGGAAGAGAAGCTGGCTGCACTACATGAGCACTCGTTGTCGGAACATGATATGAATACATTGGCTCTAGTCATTGATGGACACTCTTTGAGTTTTGCTCTCGAAGCTGATCTCGAAGATTACTTTCTAGCAATTGGTAAGATGTGTAAAGCCGTCATTTGTTGTCGTGTATCTCCTTTACAGAAAGCTTTGGTTGTCAAAATGGTCAAAAGAAAAACAAATTCGCTATTATTGGCAATTGGTGATGGTGCTAATGATGTTAGTATGATTCAAGCGGCACACGTTGGTGTTGGTATTAGTGGTATGGAAGGTATGCAGGCGGCAAGGTCTGCTGATATATCAGTTGGCCAGTTCAGATTTTTAAAAAAGCTACTACTTGTTCATGGTGCTTGGTCATATCAGAGAATTTCAGTTGCAATTCTATACTCGTTTTACAAAAATACAGCATTATACATGACCCAATTTTGGTATGTTTTTGCAAACGCATTTTCAGGACAATCAATTATGGAGTCATGGACTATGAGTTTATATAATGTTTTTTTCACAGTGTTGCCTCCGTTTGTTATTGGTGTATTTGATCAATTTGTTAACAGTCGATTGTTAGAAAGATATCCACAACTATACAAGCTTGGACAAAAAGGTCAGTTCTTTTCTGTAAGTATCTTTTGGGGTTGGATTGTGAATGGATTTTACCATTCAGCAGTCGTTTTTGTTGGTACAATTCTATTTTATAGATATGGATTTGCTCTTAGAAAACACGGTGAAACAGCTGACCATTGGTCGTGGGGTATAGCTATATATACTTCGAGTGTGATTATTGTTCTCGGTAAAGCTGCTTTAGTAACCAATCAGTGGACGAAGTTCACATTATTTGCTATTCCCGGTTCATTGTTTTTCTGGCTCATTTTTTTCCCGATATATGGATCGATCTTTCCATATGCCAAAATTTCAAGGGAATACTTTGGTGTAGTAGAACACACTTACGGGTCTGCAACATTTTGGCTGACACTAATTGTTCTACCTACCTTTGCCTTGACCAGAGACTTTATTTGGAAATATTATAAGAGAATGTATGCACCGGAAAGTTACCATTTGATACAAGAAATGCAGAAATATAATGTTAGCGACTATAGACCACACGTCCAACATTTCCAGAATGCTATCAGAAAAGTAAGACAAGTTCAAAGAATGAAAAAGCAAAGAGGTTTTGCATTTTCACAGGCTGAAGAAGGTCAAGAAAAGATTATCAGAATGTATGATACTACTCAAAAGAGAGGTAAGTACGGTGAATTGCATGATGCATCAGCGGATCCGTTCAGTGACACACATAAGTTAGTTCCTGAAAATAATGAGGAAAATCCTTTTTCAGATGCCGCTCAAAACAATCAGTCCGATCAGAATTCTTTTGGTGAGAGTTTGTTAGGCTAGTTAACGCTGAAAGATGCATTCGGCTAATTGAGCTCTGTTATTTATGAGTCACTTTATATAATTTCATTGATTGTAACTATTATAATGCTCTTTGTTTATGTTCTACTATATTAACTCCTTTTCCTTTTCGGTCTTTTCAGTATATATAAATCTAGGCATTGTATAAGAGACAGTTGAGGTTCATAAGTAAAGGCAATCTCCGGTTTTTCATTATTTGGTTGATCTTCTGCAGATTGTTCATAATTAAGATTCAACTCTTCTTCCTCCTGTAATATGATTGGATCTTGGTTTGTAGATTCTGAAAGTTTTTGCCCCATTACCAACAATGACTGTTGTTTTTGAAGACATGGGTATTCGTTCCATTGTGGATACTGATCTTTAAATATCAGATAGGTCCGTATTGTTTCAAGTTTGTTTATGTTTGATATGAATATATCGACGTCCCAATTTTTCCTATAAGTTAGTTTATATTTCATTTTTCCAACTCTTTTGAGACTGGTTAAATTGCTTTCTTTTAAAGAGCCCTGAATAGATTGGGGAAACTTTTTTAAAGTATCTTCATCAAAGTCGTAAACTTGTCCTACACGTATTTTACTAAATATGTTCTGCTTCATGGCCGGTGAGCTGAGTTCATAAAGGATTAAAATAATGTCATCCTCCATCTCTGTAACAAGGTTCTTCAGGTCAGTATTGGATAAGTATATTTTGGTTAACGGTGATTTCAGGCAGACTATCGTATTATTAGAAAGTAATGGGGCTTGTACTTTGGATTCTTCTGTAGCAGTTGATAGGATTTGCCTTCTATTGATATGTACCCTTACAGGTAGTATGCTGTCTTTGGCGACCTTGATGTAAGCAATATTTTGGACCATCAATACTTATTGACATATAACTGTGACGTTTCATATACAATTATATCATAGAGACTATCGAACTCAGTTCATGTGTTGCCTAAGTATCCTTTATATCTCAAGTCGTTATTTCTCAGTTTAATATTTAGGCGATGCCTTGGTACTTTAACCAAAAACGCTCCACTTTTGAACTGAAGAGATCCCAAAAATAATGATAATATTGGCTGTAGGATGATAAAAGGATGTGCTTTAACATATCTCTACAAAATGTTTATAATAAGATAAAATGCAAATAATTGTGAATATATTTTTATAAGTCAACATGTAATATATGTAGTGACTAAATTAATATAACTTTAAGCGATGCATGCGGTAATAGTCTGATATATAATATGCCGTTAAATTAATTGAGGTATGCAACGTCATTCTATAATAAGAAAAGGCCATAGTTAAGAGGTTGAATCGATGTATAACTAAACTTTCCAAAAATATGCTTTTAAATAGTATCCGATAAGAACTAAAAAACCCAATGTTAGGATGTCGTAAAGCATATATCTGTACTTATATGCCAGACCAGTATTCTTCTTGGACACCATCAATGAGTTTTCCAAGTAAAGTAGACTTTCCATCTTTCTCATTGTTTCCTTTTGATCAACTAATTGACTCTGACATTCTGACATCTTATTTTCAAGAAATTCCAAATGTTTTACATTCTCTTCAACTGTTTTACGTAGTTGAGACTCAAAGGATTCAGGATTGTTTTCATCGAAATCAGCTTTCAATACTGTCAAGTATTCATTGGCTATTGTATTTTTAAGCCCTAAAATCTGAGACTTCAAGTTTTGAAGATCTGATGTCAAATTATCAAATGATGTGATATTATTCTTCAGTTCCAATTCATCTTTCAGTATGACAGACTTAAGATCATTCTTAATCTGAGATTCAAGCTTTGTAAGACGAGAATTGATATGTTGCTGATAATAGTCGGTCTCATTTGTACCCAAAAACATATTACTGTCATTTGCATTAGAATTTATTATTTCACTATTTTTTATTTTCTCTTTGCTAGTAAGCTTTGCATTCGAGAAAAAAAAAGAGCTAGTAGCCAATCCTGACCTGTAAGAACCAATAGCACTCCTTGAATCGTCAGAATTTGAAGTTAAAGATGCTGAAGAGTATGAAAATGGCGTTGCAGACCCAGGTCTCATGTTAGGATTTGAGTAAACTTTCGAATATTTTCTCTTGGAGCCACTAGGGTCAGCTAAATCATGATACAATAAACTTTGAAGCGACAAATTGGATGAATAGTCCATCAAGTCCGGCATTTGCTCATGTTGAGGTATGTTAAAGACACCATTTTTCCCCACAGAAAGAGTAGATCCGTATGCTGAAGCGTTATTAGATGAGAGGGCAGAATTATTACCCGATTTCTCGATAGATTGAAGAAATTGATTCACTAACCTTTTTTGATCATTGGACCCGTACGACTGCGAAAATGATTTCTGATGTCTGTGCTTTTTATGCTCTTTATGAAATTGCGTTTGATTCTGATTTTTAGATTGATTTTGCCCGTTTGACAGTTCTGGTCTTTCCTCATTATCAAGACTTTTTACAGGTGATTTTATGAACTTATCAGCTGTGAACAAAGTAGCTTGTCCCCCATTGCCCACCTCTTCTTGTTGGTCTCCAAGTCTATTAGGTGTTGGCTTTTCTGTCTTAGTAGTCTTTGAAAGATTATTATTATACTGTTTTTCAAGTTCTGTGTTGAACATACACTCGCTGAAGGCGCCTGTATTAACAGAAGTGTAATCGGGTATTGTTGGCCTTTTTAACATTTTCTTCTCGACTAATCGATTTTTTCCATCTGCAAGTGCAGCAAGGTTGCTTGCAGTTACTTGCCTTATAATCATAGGCTTACTATTCCCCAGTTTTGGCTCTATATCGGTGTTGGAACCTGCCTTAAATGATCTCTTTGGATCAGACACGCTTCTTTGAACATAAGGTTCAAATATTTTCTTGGTATCCAACCTTTTCTTGTTCGAGTTCAAATTATTGTTGGTATTAACTTTGCTATAATCTATACCATTTATATCATCCATATTTGTGAATGATGCAGAATGCATGCTTACCCCATCTTCATCATCAGATATTATTAGAGTACCTCTTCTCGGTCTATGCACGTTGAGATTCCCCTTTGGTGTAATCCCAATTGTATTAGCCCTCTTGACATGCCGTTTAGATTCATCTGCCTTAGCTAGCAAGTGATCCTGCATCGCTTCATCGTTCCCCGAATCGCTATCCTGCCCACTACCTTCCTCATTAGCACTTTTCATTGCGAGCTTGTTCCTATGTATCCTAGTATTAATATCAGTAAAGGGTATTTTGGGTTGGTGCTTCATGTTAGGATTCTCCATCCTCTGTATAAGGAGATCCATCTTTTGCCACTACTTTCGGTTAAGAGGCTGGAGGTTCAATGTTCGTTGGTGTAGTGAAACTTGTGTTCCAAATAAAATGTATAAAAAATGGATGTTTGAGGTTCTAAATAATATAAAGCATCGCCAAAGAAAAACTCCTAAAATTCCTACTTGATGATTCAATAGGGTCCTTATAGTGGTTATGAAATGCCCTTGATGCCCAAATGGTTCTCTTAGAAATGCTGTACAATGTGATGTTCCCCGAGTGCCCCGATGAGGACCTACCTCTAATCCTCTAGCACCCCTACGCTAGGCTGATGAGGCTATTTGATAGCAGAACAAAGTCCATCAGTCCGCATATATCCCAATGAATCAGCCTTTGAGTCGCTTGCTATGAGTTTAGAAGTGCAATATGTTAGAAGTGCAATATGTTACAGAAGTCTTGTAGAGATGAAAAGTTATACATCCCATACCATCACGTGACACACATACAAACATCTTACCAACATACAATGATTACAATACATACAAGAATGAGTGTCAATTCAAGGCATACTTAGCTTAGCCAGGAATAACCTCCAGTGTGGAATTAAACTTGCTAAAGTACAGTTATTTTACCGTCCACCCTGTGGATAATATGTATCTCGATTGGTTCATTGACATAGGTACGCGGAAGTATAGTCACGATAACCGCTAATTAGCTAGTTCAAGCCCAATGTCACGATATATTTATGACTATAGTAAATTTTCTTAGTTTCTAATATTAGAAACCTTTACAATTATCTCCCTCACGATATTCAGCGCGGAAACAATGGGCAATACCGCCCATTTCCATCGAGACTCTGGTGGTTCGATATTTCATATGCTGCAATGCATCCAGAAATCTACTAGACACACTCAGCTACGAATACATCCCCTAGATTAACACTCAGTTGTTTCCACAATATCCTATTCTGGATATCGATAACACACGCTAATTGCAGTGTCCTGTACAAACTGACTTAGTTATCTGAAGCTAATAATGGGCATTGCACCTGTCAAAAGACGTTTGCGAAAACAGACCAGAAGGGGGAGAAGGTAATGGTATGAATACATTGAAAATAATTCATATACTGCTGCAAAGAACCATGGGAACAGGCGTATAAGAAACATCAACCTCCTTGCCTCCCCCCCACCCCCACAGCTGGTCCCCCCCATTATTCTCGAAATGCCTCCTCGGACACAGCAGACACAGAGCAAATGCCATACAATACAGGATTACTGTTTATCCGAATAAATGAGTCCCAGATATTAATCATCCTGCACCTGAAGTCTCAACTCCCACCTTCTGCCAATTACTAATTGTGTGCTTGTGATGAACTACAGTTTCTCGTGTTTGTTTTGATATTTCCCGTTAGAATGAAAGCAACAACAAAGCAGTGAAAAAGAAAAAAAAATTGCTACAAAATCGGTGCGGAATACTAACATTACATTTGAAAGTTCTTACTACGCGAAATCGATACCCACCTCTAGTGCAATTGATCCAACGGTAAACAATATCTTCCTCTGGTAAAATTTGCCAATATTTCACTTCTTCATTTACTACTATTCCTTCTCTCTGTTTCTGCCCCATCGACAAATACCCCTGTCCATTTGAACTGGTGTTACAAAACCACTGAATTGCTTCTACAATCACAAGAAGGCAAGCGGAAAAGGTAGAGCTACTACAGTTATTGCCCTTTCCCTCATCTCTTCTATACGCTGATTCAATAATAAAGAAACAGACAACCTCTTTTTAGTCAGAGCTTCTTGCAAGAGCCAGTTGAACAAGCGCAAGAACGGGATTTGATTCCAGAACTTCTAACAGGGAAAATTTTTCATCCTAGCGACATTCACATACTGTTATACAATCCTTCATCATCCCTTCATCCCCCCCACCCAGATACATCTATTAGAATCTACGCATATATCAGTTCTCTAGCTTACTTTATCAACAGATCAACGACTAAAGTATAATCGAGAAATTGGATTCAGGATAACAAAATAACAAAATAACAAAACAAAGATCAACCACAAACTTATCAACTCGCACATATATATATCGTTCACAACTTTGAGAATATCCCGATTTGTTAACAAAGAGCAATAAAGTCCAACTATAGAGAAATCAACTGGATAATATCTAAAAGAATTCTCACAAGAAGAGCTATATCATAAACAACTTTTACTATGACATTCGAAGTAGGCACAAGGTGTTGGTATCCATCCGAAAATGGATGGATTCCTTGTGAAGTTAGTAAGAATGAACCTCGTGATGGGAAGTACCACTTACAATTCACATTAGAGGACGGAAGCCTCATTGACCTGGACACAGATTCAATAGATTACAACGATAGTCTCTCAAATGAGGGATCTCCCATGCCAGTACTACGTAACCCGCATTCGAGGGAATCTACTCAAGATTTAACTACATTATCATATCTGAATGAACCAGCTGTTCTACATGCTATTAAACTACGATATATGAATAAAGAAATATACACATACTCCGGTATTGTGCTGGTCGCTACAAACCCATTTGCCCAAATGGAAGAACTATATAGCAATGATATGATCAAGAAATACTCTCGGATAACATCGCGTGAGGAGCTGGATCCCCATCTGTTTGCCATTGCTCACGATGCATATACCACGATGGATTCTCAGAGTAGAAACCAGACTATTGTGGTCAGCGGTGAATCTGGGGCTGGTAAAACAGTCTCCGCTAAATATATCATGAGATATTTTGCTTCATTAGATGACAATAATGCAGCAGTAGTCTCTGAAATGTCTGATATAGAAAAAAAGATACTAGCAACTAACCCAATTATGGAGGCCTTTGGTAATGCCAAAACAATAAGAAACGATAACTCCTCAAGATTTGGTAAATACTTGCAAATAATGTTTGATGCCAAGAAAAACATTATTGGTGCTCAAATAAGAACATATCTTTTAGAGAGGTCAAGATTAGTGTTTCAACAACAATCCGAAAGAAATTACCACATATTTTATCAACTACTTGCTGGTTTACCAGCTGCTATTAAAGAAGAGTTGTGTATCTCCAATCCTGAACAGTTCTATTACTTGAATCAAGGCAGTGATCCAAGAATCGATGGTGTTGACGACGCACAAGAGTTCCAAGATACCATTGCTGCGCTATCTGTTATTGGTATCAACGACTCTTTGCAAATGGAAGTTTTCAAAATTCTAGCAGGTTTGTTGCATATTGGTAATATTGAAATCAAGCAAAGTAGTACATCATCTTCTATTTCACCAGATGAACCAAACTTAAAATTGGCATGTGAGTTGTTAGGACTGGACCCTTACGAGTTTTCGAAATGGTTAACTAAAAAGGAGATCACCACTAGATCAGAAAAAATTGTCACTAATTTGAAGAAAGAACAAGCGCTAGTTGTCAGAGATTCTGTATCCAAGTTTATCTATTCTCTACTTTTTGACTGGCTAGTAAATCAGATAAATACTATGCTGCACGGTGCTGAAGTATCTGATCAAGTAAGATCATTCATTGGTGTTTTGGATATATACGGCTTTGAACATTTTGAAATGAATTCTTTCGAGCAATTCTGTATCAATTATGCAAATGAAAAACTGCAGCAGGAGTTTAATCAGCATGTCTTCAAACTCGAACAAGAAGAGTACGTTCGCGAAAAGATAGAATGGTCATTTATTGAATTTAACGATAACCAACCTTGCATTGATTTAATTGAAAATAGACTAGGTATATTATCTTTACTAGATGAAGAAAGTAGACTACCTTCTGGTACTGATGAATCTTGGACCCAAAAATTATACCAAACGCTCGACAAACCACCAATGAACCAGGTTTTCAGCAAACCCAAGTTTGGCCAAACCAAGTTTGTTATTAGTCATTATGCAGACAATGTTGAGTATGATGTTGAAGGGTTTATAGAGAAGAATAGGGACACTGTATCAGAGTCGTTAATGAATGTACTGAAAAACTCGCAAAATGATACTCTAATATCATTAACGAAGCCAACTGAAGAGACTAGCACACCACCTCCCCAAACAGCAAGTATATCAAGGCCTAAGTTGATTAACAAGAAGCCTACTCTAGGTTTCATGTTTAAGAAATCATTGGGAGAGTTAATGGAAATCATCAATAATACAAATGTACATTATATTAGATGTGTTAAACCCAACTCTTCGAAAGTTGCCTGGGAATTTGATGATGGTATGGTATTATCTCAACTAAGAGCATGTGGTATTCTTGAAACTATTAAAATTTCTTGCGCTGGTTTTCCATCACGCTGGTCTTTCCAGGAGTTTATTGATAGGTATTACATGTTGGTAGATACCACTCTTTGGAGTGATGTGGCTTCCTCTGAATCAAACGCAGAATCTAGCATCAAATTCTGCAAAGAAATTCTTGGCGCCACAGAACTGTCACATGAAAAATGTCAAATTGGTCAAACAAAAATCTTCTTCAAATCAGGTGTTCTAGCTGAATTGGAATCCTTAAGATTGAAAAAGATGAAGGGAATTGCTATCACCATTCAAAAGAAAATACGGGCGTATAAGATAAGAACGTGGTACCTTGAAATAGTTAACTGTGTTAGAGACCTCCAAAATAGAATTCGTAGCAAACTGGTAAGATTGGATGTTGAACATCAACTGAAGACGAAACTTGCCCTAATGATGCAGGCTACTCTTCGTTCATACAGAGTTAGAATCAGAGTTGCTAAAGAGCTAGATGATATAATATTACTTCAATGTAAGTTCAGAACTGTGCTTGCTCAAAGATACTTACAGGAATTGAAGAGAAACAAGGCCTCAATAATGATACAGAGCTATATCAGAGGGTACAAACATAAAACTCAGTATAGATATTTTAGAAAGAATTACCAAGCCATTCAAGCTTTATCTAGATCTATGCTAGCGAGATCTTTGATGTTGAAATTAAGATCTGAATCTGAAGTTACCCAAATTAACGGTGTTACGTATACGGAATTGCATTCCATAGTTAAGGATATTCACGACAGTATGACATCAAACAATCAGATTATTAAAGAGCTTGATGAGTTTAACGGTGTCATTGATACCCAAAAGTCTCTAACATTCACAGACCTTTCTGCGAAAGCGGAACAACTGAACTCAGACGCCCAAAAGATAATCATAAAACATTCGAATCAAGAAAAGCAGATCAAGGACCTCAAAGAATCAAAAGGAGATGTGGATTCAACTTTGACTAACATTAAAAAAGTACACAACAATATCAAATCACTAGACAAAATTATGCTAGAGGACGCACACTTCCAGACCGGCCGGACAATAATATCTGGGCTTGGTATTGAACATTCGTCACAATATGAAAATATTAACGACAATGAGAACAACTGTAGACCAAACGACTACAATTTGTTACAAATATTTAGAAACAATCACTTGATTGTCAAAGAAATAATGAAGGAGGAATTTGCAACGCTTGAAGGCTCCTTTGGTACCATCAGTTTTATCTTAGGTGAGATGATAAAACTGAAACAATTTTTATCTGCAAAGCAATTTATTTCCACCCTATTTGAATCCATCCACAGCAATGTTATTGAAGAATCTTCATATGATAAGAAACTCAAGTCAGGTTTCCAATGGTTTTCGGTCGCGTTTACCAATTTGTCAGTATTGAGGAACTCTGAGTTTAGTCTAGGAAAAGAGACTTCAAAGAGCTTGTCTAAACTTTTGGCAGACTATGAGAATGACTTGTCTAAAATGTTGAGATCTTGGATTTTGAGTATCTTGAATGATATGTTTAGAGAAAACGATAAACTTTTTAATGACTTTGCTAGTGTGGAGATCTCCAATGTAATCAGTTTCAAGATTTTGCAACAGAAAATAAAGTATATTCAAAGTAAAATGGGTACCAGTGCCATAGAAAAGTCACTATTTGGTAAACTTATAGAGACTTTAATACAATATCTGAATCTAAACGTTGCAAACCACGTCCTTATTAAGATACCTAGTGTCGACTTCGAAACAGGTATAATCTTGGAGAAGAATTTGGATACATTATTAGAGTACTGTGAAGAATTGAAGCTATCGAATTGCAGAAATAGTACACGTCAAACTAGCCAGATGAGCAAATTGCTTCAGTTGAGTATAAGCTCCGTAGAGGAGCTAAGAGTAGTCTGCCAGTATTGTTTTGCCTTGAATTTAACCCAAATTCATGCATTATTAGCCAAACAAAAAGCAAGTTCCGACGAGAAACCGATGCCATATATTGTGGTCAAAAAAGTTCAATCATGGGCTCAAGAGACAAAGAAAGATACATCAAAGAATAGTGACATAATTTTCAGACTTGATTCTGACATCGTTAAATGTGAAATCGATACTTCGAAAGAAATTGCTATTCCTGAGTTGCATATTCCCGAAGACATGACGTTAGTGAAGGAAATTGAGACATTATCTCAGTGATTATGCTAAAATAATATCAATGATCTTTAAATTACGCATACATTTCTTGTTCAGCTTCTTTTATTTTTATTTTTCTTCCTTTAAGTACAAATCTATACTTTGTTATGTTTTAATAGCGTCTTTTTTAAGAAAATTATGAAGAAAATGTATTATTACTATGCACAGAAATATTTAGGTAGCGAAAAAGCTATATTATTTTTTCTATTATACAATTTTGCACATACTTTTATTAGATAGAAATAAAGAATAAGTGTAGTGAGAACAAAAGGAAATAAAAAATCTCACAATAGCATAGGTGGTTTCTATTTTCTTTATTATTTTCTTTTATATTTGAATGCCACCAAAGAAAACAGAATGAGGAAAGCTGCAAACTCTAGATTCAACTCGATATGATCATGGTTTTATTGATTGAGAAGCAGCTTTATCTCTTTGTAACTGATTAAAACTCAGGAAAAAAAAGGAAGTCATCGGATATAATATTAAGGGAAATTTATTTTGTATGCTATTGTGTTGTGATTAGAGGGTAAAGAATGCTGAAATCCAATTTGAGTTTCCGAGTGTTAGAGACGTCTACCGCCCCACAATTTATCTTTTTTTTTTCTTTTTCTTTTTGAGAAATACTCTATTTCACCTCATTAAAAACAGTTAACAAGCACATCCATGCCTATTGAAAGATTTTAATTTTTTTTTGGTCTTATGAGCTTAGCAAAAAATACAATGCGTGGGCAGTTTAACAAGTGTGACAGACAGATATCAACTGAAATGAACTGCTATTGGCACAACAATTGCGACCAGCAGACATATAATCACAACGAATAGACAGAATTTCATCTTTAGATCTTTGTACCACATCTGTTTCCTCACCCTGTTGGCACCTCTCTTGAAACCTTGCGCAGAGATGGCTAGATTGTCCGCCTTATCCTCTATAGAGGTCAACCTCTCACCACGCTCGGCAACTTTGTTAATGTTATCTCGCATAATACCAACTGTATCATCAATCTCAGCTTTCAAAGCAGCAGCCTTGGATTGCGACTGCTCATTGGTCTCATCCTGTTCAGGAGTCACGTATGGGTCATAAGGCACCGACGAAGACATTGTAATATATTTTCTATTTTTTTAATCCACTCAGAAAGTCAAATAAGTTACTCTCTGTGCGACTATATACATTATTCCCCTTACTACTCACACGTTATCATTTTTATATGGATAGATGAAATGCAAAACGCCCCGCCCCGCGCGTTGGAGGGGGGGCTTTCCCGTTCCACATTTCATGACGTTTCTTCACACGGCCATGAGTGGGTCAGAGGTCTAAGAATCTGGAAATCCGTGTAGGTCGAAGCGATATCCCCAGCATTAGGTGTATAGTTAAAGGATGGAGGCTTTGTTATTATCGGTGTGTACGTATTATGGTCACATTGCAAGAAAATCCAAAATACCGTGATGCGTTATATAAACTATTTGTGACTGCTTTTTTGTTGTTTTCGACTACGAATACACCCATACATCTCTAGTTTAGTTTTATTCGGTTGATAAACTTTCAAGTCTTCTATTTTAATTATTTTTTTTGTTTTTTTCCATGTTCCTATTAAGCAATGTCTCAAGTGCCTGCTTTTCTAAGATTTTTTTTCTCGGAGATTCGTTGAGTCAAAGTAGTGTTATTTCTTTAATCAAATGTTGTACGGGGTTTGTACTGACTACTGCATGATCAGGGGGGGGGGTAAAGCAGACCTCCGCCCGTTTACTGCGCATCCTTCCAAGCGGGATTCGTTATGTAAAACCTAATTATAGAAGATAATAGCTTGATGTGCAGAAGGAATTTCCTAATCAGGGAATTTTTGTTTCTAGTTTCTTAACATGATCTGTTGCACCACCCCTTTTTTTCTACTTTCTTTCTTTCTTCCCTCACGGCTGCTTCTGTGCTTTACCGCCGTACTCACCTTCCTTCCCCCCCCACTCAGATGTAAAGTGAAAATCTTTATATTCTTCCTCCCCCCCCCTTGTTACACACTTTTTTCTTCTTTACCGCTCATACACCCTCCTAACCCAATCGTATATAAACTGAACAAGAAAACGTATTCCATCACGAATGTTTTCCTTTTTTTCTTTCCTGGAAGAGAAAAAAAATTTTTTTTTTTTTTTTCTGGTGAAATAAATCCTTTCCATGCCGTGAGTCTTTTCTTGAGTCTTTTTGTTTTCTTTCTCTTTTAATCTTTTATGCAATTGATTTGCTGATTCATCTATACTTATTTTTTTATTCCCTGGATATTACATCTCTGCAATAGGAAAAACACAATTTTATTATTGTTATTATTAAACATAATTTTGATTTTTTTTTTGAAAATCTTTCCTTTCAATTTTATTTGAAATAAAAGGATTCAAAAAATTTATTCTCCTAACCCATCTCCCCACCTCTCTTCTTTTGTTTTTTATTTTAATAAATCAAATTGAAGAAGAAGAATCAACTTTCAGAGTTTTTGTTTAAATCTGGAATATCACAAGAGTTTTTTTTTTAAAACCTTTTTTTTTGTTGAAAATACTTTCACCTATCCACAAAGAAAAAGAACGAAAACCTATTTAGTTAGGCTTTTTTTTTATTTCAAAAGAAGTATTTCTTAACATAAATTAAAGTGTTGAAAAAAAAAAGATCATCACAGAAAGGACATTTATTACATTTTTTTTAACTACTATTTTTCTATTTGGTTAGAAAATTACTAGGTAAAATTTCCCAATTCCATACTTTTTTTTCTATATCCAGATTTCTTCAATTTCACACTTGACATTACCTTTCTCTCCTCCTCTCACAAACAAATCAAAAAAGAGAATTAATAATAATAATATTAATTAGCTTGGAGGTTTTAGCTAATTTTCCAAGTACAAGCAGTTTTACTCAATAGTTTTTTTCTTCTTACAATAGAGGAAAAATAATAACCCCAAACAAACTATTTTTTCCTTATCGATATCCTTTTTTGTATCTGTTAATATTTCAGATTTCAAGGATTAACCAATTTAAAAAAAGAATCATTCAAGATTAACGGTTACTATTTGGGAATAATACTATAAAGTTGAAAGAAAGACTGTGATTCAGAAGAAAAAACAAAATTCATATTTGTTTTTCTTTCTTTAAATTTAGAACACAGTTACCACCCCCCTCGTCTCTGGAATATTAAAGGTTTATTTTATTTTATTTTATTTTCGTCTCCTGTTTTTTTTTATTGCTATTTGCCATAAGAAAACTTATATTGTTTTGCTTTTTTTGTTTCGAATCTTCTTGAATAACGTCCAATTCTTCACTTGAATTCGAAACTTTAAAGAAAAAATCAACAACAATATATACACTTATTTATTATAGTAGTGTGACAACTGAGCTATATCCAAATTATAAGGAATAGTACTGAAGGATCGATTCAGAGAATAGCATCTACCAATGGCTTTGGCTAATTCAAGACCTATGCAGATTCCAAACATGGAATCTGATCTGATTCACAACACTACTTCGCCAGTATTCCAACCAACCTCTCTGATGAGTCCATTGTCCACTACCTCGGACATAAGTATGAACATGGGAATGAACATACCTATGGGCATGGCTATGGGAATGAGCATTGATCCAAACGATGTCAACAACTCTCCTAATAGTATTAATTCTCAGCTATTAGACCATTCTACTAATGATCTGATGTCAGGGATAAATTCAGGTAATGGCAATGGAACCGATATGTCTATGTCAATGTCGATGTCCTTGGGTCTATCACCAGTTAGTCTCGACATGGGTAATGGCATTAAAAATAAGAATGGAAATAATAATTTGATCACTCCACAACAGCAAGAAGCAAATGCTAAGGCTACCGCTTCAAACAAGAAGAAAGATTCTTCGAAAAAGGACGGCACTAACAATTCAAAGGATAATAATGGATCATCCTCAAATGCAGGTCCAAACAATATCATGATTGAACTATCAAAAATGATACCTGTAACAGGTGAAAGGCCTAAACCAACCGACAGATCTGAACCTTTGGATGATGACGTTCTTTATGCCGTGTTCTTGATTCTGTGGGAAATCGATGCCGACCAACAAGGTATGACAGTTAAGCAGATCTGTGACCATCTATTGACCAGACATCCAGAAATGTCCAACTTGTCAACAAAACTTTCTAACCTGATTTCAGCTAAACTAAACGCTTACGTTAAAAAGACTGAAAAGGGTGAAAAGACAATGAAGTACGCATTGTCAAGAGAATGGTCAAACTCTTCACCAAGAAGAATGCTGTATATGTACAGAGGTATCTTATCAGAGAACTACAAGGAACACGCCCTAGCTGCTTCTGAAAAACTAAAGAAGCAGCAGGAATTGATGGGATTATCCGCAGAAAAGAAAAAGGCTGGTTCTATAGACTTGAGTGCGGATTCTCCATTAACTGACATGAGCTCCAGCAGCGAAACCTCCATTAACAGTGGAATTCATTCCAATGGGTCTGTTGACCCAGCTGCCATGCCATTCTCCAAGGATATGAATAACGGATTTACTTTCAGTCCTGATTTCAACATTCCTTACTCAACGTCTCCAGTTTCAGTGAATCTGAGCCCCGCTGTTGACGAGCTTGATGGCTTAAGCCCAACGTCTACCCCAAGAAAGTTGAACATTAGCAAGAAAATGAACAAGAATGATGAATCCACCAAGGGTAACTTGAAGACAGGGACTAAAAATGGTACCGACAACCAAACCGTTTCCGGTCCTGCTTCGAAAAAACAGAAAATTAAATCATCTTCAAGTTCTGCAAGCTTTCAGCAACTCGGTGAAAGACTAACTACCAATGGGAATGACAAGAACAGTAGCTCTGGAGGTCAACCATCTGCAAATTTATCCTTAAACGCTATCAGGCATAGTGCGCAAGGTGGCAGCTCCAGCGGTAGTAATTACATCACAGCTGCAGCAGCTGCTCCAAGATTATCAAGATCTGCATCTAGAGGTTCGTTCAAATCTTCATCGCAAGCATCGGCAAGTGCTTTAGCTGCTATTCAAAAGGTGATTAGTACTCAGTTACCTATTGAATTTTCACAAGCAAGCACACCGAGCGTATCAAGAAGCAGCTCTAGTATAGGAGGGTCCGCAGGTGGTAAGTCACCCACCTCCTCCACTTCTTCCGATTCTTCTGGAGGATCGAACATTACAACACCTTCAGGTGATGAATCTACACCAAAAAACATTTATTGCACAAATAATTTTAGTTATGAACACCCTGCTAACGCAATGTGGTTCAAAATTGTTAGGGAAGGATTTTTAACTAGCGATATTGATCCACCCGAGTCTTTATCACTTGAAGACTTGGAAAATATAATGAGTTGAAGACCGGCGTATAGTTTAATTTTTTTTGTTTCTGTTTCTTTTTTGTTTCTGTTTCTGTTTCTATTTCTGTTTCTGTTCTCTAACACATCTCATTTATTCTTGCCTATTTAATACCTTTCACATCATCGCATAGTATTTATTATTCAGGGCGGTTCATATACTTGTGACAAAATGGTTTACTTTTCCACTGTCAGAAGTATATTTACGTTGTTTAAATTACGTTGTAGTTATGTCCACCTTTCGACAATGATGGGATAATTAAGCATTCCTATATTACGTCTGTTACAGATGCTTGGCATTTTTGTCAATAAGACTTTTCCTAGTTAATCTTTACTGGAGCAAGTGCAAGAAGCGTTTATAACTTTATATTCATAGTAGTTTTCACTAGTTTTAATCCAAGAACACACATGACATATTCTCTCAAAAAAACAACAAAGTGCATAGGCAGTCTTGTAGTATCCTATTATATATGAGTAAACTCTGCAATCATTATTCTTCGTATTGATCCTCGACAAAAGTATCTGTGCCTATGTAATTGCATTGTTCGCTGTTGTTGAAGTCTAGGTTTATCACTGTGATAGTCATGGGAACGGTTGATGATTTTAACGGATTTTGCTGTTCGGTTCGGATTAACTGATAAGGAGCACTTGAAGACAAGGTCATCGACCCAACGATATTTCCCACGGAAAATGGCCATATAAATCCTACTACTCTAGACTGAAGTTGTTTCGTGATGTGGGGGCTTCCTTGTCCAATCGGCATTACAATTGCAATTTTGCGAATGCATGACTACAATGTGATCCCTGATAGTAAGGACAGCGATGCCGGGATCACTTCTTGTCAGGGAAAATCTTTTTGGGAGCCGTGCTAATTTTCAACTACTACAGTATTTGAATGGTCCTTCTACACACTAAAAAGCTTCCAGCACTGGCCTAGTCTTCCACTGTGGTTATTTCGGTTTATTCTTGCAATTTACACAACGGCAACAGATGACCCTCTTTATTTTCATCACTTAGGGTTTATCTAATATGCCTCGTCACTCACATCTAGCACATAATGATATTTGCAATCGAAGCACTGTGTTTCTACCTCTCCCTCTCCCTGTCCCTCTCTGAAGTAAAGTCTCCTGACTAGCAGCTTCTTAAACAGATAATTGTTTGGCTACACATTTTTCACTCTAGCTTGCTAACATACTATGAAGCTTCTACAATGCAAATTTCCTCAGTTCATTACTTTTAATTGACAAATAATTAGCTTTAAACAATCGAACGAATTACGATGCACAAGTATTCCTCTATTTGTATATATATAATAAGCATTAGTTTTCGTAGTACTTGGAATTGCGATTTGCGTAGATTGAGTAGTTTGTGTACTATAGCAATAACTTCTTAAATTAATCTGTATTTATTATTTTAGCCACATCCTAGATCTACACAACACAAGGACCATAATCATACTACAACTTTCACATCAAGAAGATTGCAAGAGCTCATAGGACGTGATAACTATGCTGGGACTAGGGGTTAAGAACAATTCTGTGCTTAGACGACAAGGTACGAGGTATGTCCATCAAATACTGAAACATCAAAACAAAGGAAACAGAAACGCTTTGAAAGCGATCACACTTGGATCACATAACAGACTAGCAAGAACATGCAATGTCCAATTGTCCAAGAGGTTTTCCACTACACGGGCCACAAGCGCATCCGAAGAAGTAGCATTTAAAAACTTATCCCAGGAGCAAAGAGACATTTTGACTCAGGAAAGAGCTGTTGATAACGTGGACGTATGCATCGTAGGCGGTGGGCCATCAGGTTTAGCCACCGCTATAAAATTGAAGCAACTTGATAATGAACATGGCAGCGGTAACTTACGCGTGGTTGTACTAGAGAAAGCTAGTGATATGGGACTACATATTGTATCCGGTGCAATCCTGGAACCTAAAGTATGGAGAGAATTATTCCCAGAAAGTGAATTTTACAATGAGGATGGCTCTGGTATACCATTACCACCTGATATCGCAACTCCAGTAACAAAAGGCCAATTGAAATATTTATTGAATGGAAGTATCGGTCTTCCAATGCCCGAACCACCTGCCATGGTCAATGAAGGTAATTACATTGTGTCCCTTAACCGTGTTGTCAGTTATCTAGCTGAGAAAGCAGAAGAGATTGGTGTCGAAATATATCCTGGAATTTCTGTATCGGAAGTCATATACGATGACTCAGGTAACAATGTCATTGGTGTAGCTTCAAAGGATTTAGGTATCTCTAAAAGAGGTTTACCAAAGGATACTTTTGAGAGAGGTATGGAATTCCACGCTAGAACAACTGTGTTTGCTGAAGGTTGTCGTGGCTCCTTGACAGGAGAGGTTATAGATAAATATAATTTGAGACATGGCAGAGAAAATCAGACATATGGTCTTGGTATCAAAGAAGTATGGGAAGTGTCTTCGGAGAAATTTCAAAAAGGATTTGCTTCGCACACGATGGGATATCCATTATCTAACAGCGTCTACGGTGGTGGATTTATGTATCATTTTGGGGACGGACTGGTAGCTGTGGGCCTAGTTGTCGGCCTGGATTACAAAAATCCATATGTTTCCCCATACAAGGAATTTCAAAAGATGAAGCATCACCCTTTTTATGCGAATGTTCTTGAAGGAGGCAAGTGTATATCTTACGCTGCCAGGGCTTTAAATGAAGGTGGTCTACAGGCTATACCAAAACTACATTTCCCAGGTGGTGTTCTAGTAGGTGCTTCTGCCGGATTTATGAATGTTCCTAAAATTAAGGGAACTCATACCGCTATGAAATCTGGTTTACTTGCTGCTGAGAGTATATTTCAATCTCTCAAAGATAGAACACCTATTGAAGAGGTCGAAAGTCTGGCTGATGAAGAAGTTGTTGATTTAGTCGACTACGAAAAGGCTGTAAAGTCCTCATGGATTACTGAGGAATTGAGCATCGTGAGGAACATTAGACCTTCCTTTACCTCAAAACTCGGGGGCCTTGGTGGTATGATGTACTCAGGTCTTGATTCATATATTTTAAGAGGGCATGTTCCTTGGACTTTTAAATTCCACAAATCAGATGCTAGCGTTACTGGCGATGCGAGAGACTACAAACCTATCAACTACCCTAAACCGGATGGCAAGTTATCATTTGATATAATGACCTCTGTCTCGAGAACTGGTACATATCATGATGAAGATGAAAGAAGCCATCTACGTGTTCCAAATCAAGATCTAACAGCTTACGCTACCAAGTCTTATCCAAAATTCAAAGGTGTAGAGGAAAGATTCTGCCCCGCAGGTGTATACGAGTTTATCGAAGACCCTTCTTCTCCTATTGGTGTGAAATTTAAAATTAACTCTCAAAATTGTATTCATTGTAAGACATGTGATATTAAATCACCAATTGAGGAAATTAAGTGGGTTGTTCCCGAGGGTGGTGATGGCCCCAAATACACTTTGTCATGATTAATGATCCTGAAACAGCAATACAGCTGCTATTTCGATATTACACTCCACATATATTTGTTTGGTTTATTTATTTTGATATTTATTCAATTATTTAACTTATTTATAGGTACTATTATATTTATTCTTTTTGAACACCTCTATTCTTGCACGCCATTTAATGAGATGAGTTCCGTTCAACTTACTTTTTTCATTTATGTATAGGCTTAGGAGATCAGGAGGTCATTGTTTTTATTTCTAACCTACAAACTTGTCGTCTTCTATAAATCTTATTAAAGTTTTGGATCCAGATTGCAACAGAGGGTGTCCGGCAACAATCTGCATCCATCTATTTAGTCCTTGTCTTCTTTCTTCTATTACTTCATCGCTAAACCTATTGCTCAAGTATATCTTTCCAGGTAAGTGTGGCACAACCACTCTTGGATTATTGAGCATAGATATCTCTTTCAACAAACATTTTCTGAAGAACTCGAAATCACTATACCTTCTACGTACCCTGGATGCCCGCTTGTGGAAATTGGGCAGATTAGTCCTGCATATGATCTCGTAATCTGTGTACATACCACGCTGATCCACACCGTTTGGCACATGTGTCTTGGGATTCCTGACTTCTATCTCCAGGAAATTCTCAGGCTCAGCATACATCTCACTCGTACTAGGTATCTTGTGATGCTGGGAGAACATCGTCTCCTCAGTGCTCCCAAATGACTTAAACTCACGCTTCCCAGACATCGGTCCCTTTTAATTTACAAGACAATCTCTTTATAAGGCAAAACAACAGACACACAACTATTATACCAATTTATAACGCCAACGCCCACAAGAGTATAACAATTGTCCTATAGAGAGACTAATACAAAACTTTTACAATAACTCTACTAGTCATAGTGGAAACCCTTTATTATGGGCCAAATAGCTTTTCAGGCGGAATTTTTCAGTTTTCGATGGGAAGCCACCCCCCCACCTACAGCTACAGCTACACGGTGAAAGAAGTTGCATGTGATAAAGGCAATAATGCCTGGTCAACATGCCATATTTACTAATTATGAAGCAACCTCTTAGATTGTGAAGCTTAGTGCAATTTAAAGAAGATTCAAAATGATGTTATGGTCTAGCTTTGCTACTATTTAATTCCTTGTCATGTTGTTGGAGGCCCCCTACTTTAGTGTATGCTCATCCTTACAACAACATGGAATCATATCGCTCGTCAGGACTCTTGTAACCACCTCTCAAATAGATGCATGAAATGTGTCATAAGTTTTTACACTCTTGAAGATATGCTTGCCATCGTGAATATATTAGACTATACTTGGTATGCCAATGCCGGTGTTTTGAGATATGCATATCAAAGGACCGACTCAGATGTAAAACCCCGGCTTGATTCCCTTTATCATCCATCCCCCCCCCACTTTGGTCTCGAAGACAAACATACAAACATACAAACATACAAACAGCACCTCAGCTACACCCCCCCACCCAGACATCAAACTCGTTGAGAAAGTGTCATTTTGATGAGTGGCTGTGTTCTCATCTAGCAATCTAAGATAGGCAGAAGAGCACTTAGGGAAATCAAATCAGTATCGCAAATTTGTTAGTTATCACTACAGCAGTCCCTATTTATGCCAGATAGCTACAATTATGTGTCTTACGGTCATCATCGTATATCAATATTGTGTAGCTTATTGTTGGAGGTCATCTCGGTGCTATCTGCTACCTCTCCTCTCAGTAGCATCTTAAGGTGTTATCTCCTTGAAGTGCCCTAAATAAAATTTTACTACTTACGCTAAAACGGTAAATTGCCTTGTCTTTACTTCTATAGCTGGTGTAGACGGTAGTAAAGAAAGTGCCGGTCTTTATCTGATCGTTGAATGACTGTAAGCCACAACAAAGCGAGATCATCTTACTTATATATAGCCAAAGAAGTAATAAGCTGAAAAAAAAATTAACCGAAAGAGAACCTTTTGGGCTATACCTTTTCATCTATGCTATGCGCTTTGAACTAAAATACTAAGAACAAAACGCCCCAAAAGTTATATTCAGTAGTGGCAAACAACGGTCCACAAAAGACTAACACTACTATAAGAGGAGCTACACAATGACTGTGTCGCTGGGACAAGCAATCTACGTTGCTGTAAAACCTATATTCAAGATATACTTGATCATCGGAGTCGGGTTCGGTCTGGCAAGGTACGGTATTCTGAGTGTAGAGGCTACCAGGATCGTTTCAGATATTGTGCTGACAGTTTTGATCCCATGTCTTGCGTTCAGTAAGATTGTTCCCTACATAGAAGGCCAGGACATCAAACAAGTGGGGATAATATGTCTGTCGTCCGTGCTGGTGTTCGGGACTGGTCTGTTTATGGCTTTCTTAGTCAGAACGTTCTTACCAGTGCCAAAGAGATGGCGAGGAGGTATTTTAGCTGGTGGGATGTTTCCTAATATCAGTGATTTGCCCATCGCCTATTTACAAAGCATGGACAATGGCTTCATATTTACAGAAGAAGAAGGCAACAAGGGTGTTGCCTCCGTTATCATCTTCATGACTATGTTCATGATCTGCGTGTTCAACCTTGGAGGATTTCGACTGATAGAGTCTGACTTCCATTATAATGACATCGAAAATGCAGATCAAGAGTCAACGAGTAGCTCACACGATGATGATGAAGCTTTATCAAAGAAACGTGTAGGAGATACTAGTACAATACCTGTAGTCAGTAACAACAACTCAAACTATGAACTAAAATCTAGGACAAAAATGAGCTCCAACATCGAGAATGATGTAAACATCACAAGTTCTTCTTCTGCCAACACGGATGATATAAATAGCTTACACTCTCAAGGAACAAGAAGTACAGAAGCGTCGATTCCAAGCACATTTTCCTATACAACAGAAGCTCAAGACTTGGGATCAGCTCAACCAAGACATTATTCTAGGGAGTTATCCAGAACAGATAACTCAATTTTATCATATAGGAACTCAACTAACCGTAGAAACACAGATGGCATTACTAGAGTTAGATCTCTAGATCTACGCGATGGCCCTCCGCAAGACATGAATGATATTATCAAGGAATACTCAAATGTTGATCAATTTGGACACATTAGGGAGAACCCATATTACAAATCGCCCGAGCCTCATGCAGATGGACAATCTGAAGAACCAGAATATGGACTGGGACGTATCTTGACATCAGATGCTACTGTCACAACCAAAGATATACGGAAGTCTGGGAACTTCCTACCAGAGAAATTAAGAAAATTTTCTGTTGTCCCTCTTATTGTCTTCTTCCTAAAGAATTGTTTAAGGCCTGCCTCAATTGCTGTTTTCATTTCTTTAGTAGTTGCCTTCATACCTTGGGTCAAAGCACTATTCGTCACCACGGAACATACTCCTAAAATACACCAAGGACCAGATGGCCAGCCAGTACTCAGTTTTTTGATAGATTTTACAAGTTATGTTGGCTCTGCCGCTGTGCCATTCGGTCTGATGCTACTGGGAGCAACTTTAGGCCGTTTAAAATTGGGAAAGTTATACCCAGGATTTTGGAAATCCGCTGTGGTGCTGGTCATCTTGAGACAATGTGTAATGCCAATATTTGGTGTTTTATGGTGTGATAGACTAGTGAAGGCAGGGTGGTTAAATTGGGAAAGTGATAAGATGCTTTTATTTGTCATTGCTATCAATTGGGGACTGCCAAGTATGACTACAATTATTTATTTCACGGCAAGTTACACGCCTTTAGACTGCAAAGATCCCATTCAAATGGAGTGTGTTTCATTCTTCCTAATGTTACAATACCCACTACTAATTGTAAGTTTACCATTTCTCGTGACATACTTCCTTAAAGTTCAAATCAAAGTTTAGGAATTATATCGCCACGTATTGTAATCAAATTGCTAGACGCTATACTGAAGATAATGAAAGTAGTAAGATATCTATGATTCTAACGTTGAACCTAAGTTACATTTGTCATCCAATTACACCAAAAAAAAGCAACAGCAAAAACGCATAGAACACAAATCCATTTTACGCATTAGCTTAATTATTAATATTCCTACCATTTATAAATTCATGCCGTTCTATATAACCTCACCATTCAATAATTCTAATTAATACATCAATTGTAAACACGCCCAATATCTTACATGAGTTAGACCGTTACTTGCAATTGAGTCATCCCAAGAATTATGCCGATGATTCACACATTGTTAGATAACATGATATATCTTATGACGAAACTAATTTGTGACTACTTTTTGAACACCCATACAACCAATTAGTCGTTCGATCAAGGCTAACATTTTGCGGATCTTTCGTTTTACTGTACATCTCTGCCTAGGCCTTCTCCTACCTGGAAAACAAAATCAACGCTAGGCAATGTGAGGGCACAGGGAGAAGAACATTAGGAAAAGCGCCATACAGGAGTTAGGCCGAGGAAGAGAGCTTCCCGGCTGGCGGGGGGGAAGCTGGTTTGCTTCGCCCTTACGTACATGCTAGACACCATGGGAACAGTCTACCATCCTCTGCGTTGGTAGGCAGCTAGGCTCAGGCAAGTTGAGTCGATGGGTTCAAGACCAATGTTCGAAATTGATTGTAGGCAGTTGGGGGCATTAAGGCTAGACGGAGACTCTTCTAGCCAGGAGAGTTAGGTGCCCGCAGTACCCTGTAGAGGCAATGTCTTCCTCTAGGCTGAGATTCCCTTCCCTTCCCGTCTAGCTATACTGACAACTGGTACTGGAGCGTGTCGCTAATTGGGCTCAATGTGGTACCGAACCCTTCTGAGGTGGAAGGGAACCAGAGTATCAGTTTCTTTTACTGGATGCGACACGGTAGGGATTTTGTCACAGCTAGCGATAGTCTCCATTCTGGCACTCATTGGGTGGTAATGATGTGCTTTCTGCTGTCGGTTCTCCGCTCAGCGACTCTGAGATGAAAGTTTGACAAAATATGGTTAAAACAATAGCCATATTGTAATAGAGTAAATAGTATATATTTTGAGTATTTCACACAATATTCTTCTTTAAACAGCCATATAGCCACAGGAAACCAAAGAGATAATACAGTGAGAATGTCCGCTCAAGCCAAGATTTTGTCTCAAGCTCCAACTGAATTGGAACTACAATTCGCTCAAGCCTTCATTGACTTGGAGAACTCTTCCCCAGAACTAAAGGCTGAATTGAGACCATTGCAATTCAGATCCGTCAGAGAAGTATGTGATATTATACAATATTAGCCGAGAAATATAATCCAATAAAATATGATTATGAGAGGAAACTACCAGAACCATGCAACACTATGAAATACATGAGAAACCAAGAGCCCAAAAATGATACCATTTTACAATATCAAGCTGAAACAGGAATATTGATGAACCTTACAAACGAGTACCAATATCGAAAATGTTAAAATGCATACACGGAATCACCATAAATCAGTTTTGTATTTAATGTGGAAAACACCGTCAAACCAGTCCAATCCAATAATATCCTCCACACCCATTATGAGCTTGTGAACAGAGGATTAGCAATCAAAATCGAATATACAGCACTATTACTATACCACTACATGGTTATTACTCTGATTTTTTTTATATTCATATTCATGGCTCATTTACAATAGTGATGGTAAATGCTCTCAAATCAAAATCGACTTATAAATTCTATGATCAATGATTACTAACATTCAATTTCACTCTAAAGCTCCTCTTATAAATTTGTAATACACTTTGGCATTGTTATAATAGTATTAGCATAACTGAATGAAATGAGTTGAGTTTTTATACTGTGGATTTCATGTTCTGCTAATATATCTGAATGGAAAAGTGTTATGACAAATTTATATAATACGACTAAAGATTGATGCAATAATAACAGATCGACGTTGCTGCTGGTAAGAAGGCCTTGGCTGTCTTTGTCCCAGTCCCATCTTTGACTGGTTACCACAAGGTTCAAACCAAGTTGACCCGTGAATTGGAAAAGAAGTTCCCAGACCGTCACGTCATCTTCTTGGCTGAAAGAAGAATCTTGCCAAAGCCATCCAGAAAGTCTAGACAAACTCAAAAGAGACCAAGATCCAGAACCTTGTCTGCTGTTCACGACAAGATCTTGGAAGACTTGGTTTTCCCAACTGAAATCGTTGGTAAGAGAGTCAGATACTTGGTTGGTGGTAACAAGATCCAAAAGGTCTTGTTGGACTCTAAGGACATTCAACAAATCGACTACAAATTGGAATCTTTCCAAGCTGTCTACAACAAGTTGACTGGTAAGCAAATCGTTTTCGAAATCCCAGAAACTCATTAAAAATCTTCATGATGTATCAAAAATAACTTTCTCCCCATTTATTTCTTTTAATTTAGTTTAATAGAATATCACACTTTAAAAAAAAGATTCTTTTAAAAAAGGTTCCAAAGTATTTCTCTTCAATATCTCACAATAGCATATATAAAATACTAATTATATTGTGAGCATTATAGAAAAGAATTCCTTTTGAGCACACATGGAGTGACCTGGTTGATCCTAACATTTTTGTCTTGCATTATCAATACGATGCAAGATGTATTTGTCTATTCATCCAAATATTGTACCAAAGGCTTAATAGCATTAATACTCTGATACATTATTTGCCATTATTATTATTTTCCATTTATATCATATATAAGAAAAAAACAACAACATTATCAGTTTATGCAAACTCTAACCAGCAGTAAGGATACATGGTCACACCCGCTGTCAAGATAGTAAAAAAAGGCTAGTCAAAGCTTTCAAGTTGGACACCATATGGAGTAATACAAACTCAATGACTGTCACACATCGAAAGGGTTTAATAATTCACCACCTGACTTATTAAAAAAAAATTAATGGTTGCTAAGAGATTCGAACTCTTGCATCTTACGATACCTGAGTGCTCCTGAGTTTGTAAACCCAGTAAGTATTTTTCAACTTGAATCAGGCGCCTTAGACCGCTCGGCCAAACAACCATATTGTATTTGTTGGATGTAACACAGAATTTTGCGACTATCATTCTAGAAAATGCGTATAAAGTTATATTATTCCCTTGGAAAAATCAAAGTTAAATAGTAGTAACTTCGCAATAGTAATAGTCCTATCTACATGGTAGCTATAGATTAAAAAATGTTGTTCTCATTGCCTGCTTGAACATTATAAGAGATTATATTCATAGATTACATTAACTATAATCTAATTGTGAGCTTGCTAGTCAACAATTCTACCAATCACTTGTGGATAACCAAATCGGATAATTATAACCAACTATAACTTCAAAATGAGCTCACCGGCGAACTTATTCCCGGGTCTTAATGATATAGTTGATGTTTTGGAAGAACTTCCTTTAGAAATCTCCAGATACTTCACACTGTTGCATGAAATTGATGCTAAATGTGTGTTGGCGGGACCAGCATTAGATGACAAAATAAAAGGCTTCTTAGAGAATGATCCAACTGAGAAACAAGACGAGATAGCACAAAAGGATAAACTTCAATCATTGGTTTCTATCAATCAGTTTTTAGAAGAGCTAATGCCATCCTTCGAAGAAAAAATGCATGTATCCTCAATAATGTTGGAAAGTTTGCAGAGATTAACCTCAAGAATGGAACTAGCGTATGAAGTTGCTATTAAGAACGAGGAAATACCTTACAGTCTGAGATTAGGTGTAGATAATCATCCAGCTATGCATCTGCACCATGAACTAATGCAGAAGGTAGATCATAAAGCTAACTCGAAATCCTCACAAGCACAAAAGAGTGAATCCAGAAGGGAAGCTATGGCTGCTAATAGAAGAACAGATCCTCAGCAACACCAATCAACCAATAATAACAACAATTCAGCTAATGAGAAGTCGAACTCCGTACCTGCTCATAGCGATAATGCGAATACAAATAATAGAAAGCGTGCGAATAATGATAAAAATAGTGCAAATGGTAATGGACACTCTAATAACGATAACAAGAAAAGGAAGAGAAAAGTTACTACTACAACGACCCCATTGGGCTCCCACCCAAAGTCTTCTGGAAACATAAGGTCTCCAAGACCAAAAACAAACGAATATGGCGAGCCATTGTATTGTTATTGTAACCAGGTGGCATATGGTGAAATGGTGGGGTGTGATGGTGAGGACTGTGAATTGGAATGGTTCCATCTTCCATGTATAGGCTTTGAGACTATACCGAAAGGTAAATGGTATTGTGAGGACTGTAAGAAAAAACTGGCACAATAACGTGAGTGTAGAATTTCACTCACAAAAGTTTACATTTTATACTTTAATTTGTTATAAATCTAATGACATATACGATATATATTTAGGAGGGATTGTAATCTTATTTAGATCACAACATTTTCACAGTCATTTTCATCTAATCCTAAGCGATAAAGAGGACTATCTTTTGAATTAAAATCTTTAGATGCTTCTTGTAAAGTATATAGACACTCTGTTTGTACCTACAGTTAACTTATACCAAACGTAATAATACTAGAAGCTAGTTCAAAGACAATAAGTATGTCGTTAAGTTACTCTGTTATCCATCTATCTAATAGCTTGTAAGATCATTTCTAACAAACCAAAACTGAAGCGTGACTGAAATCACCTGCTTTAAGAGATCAGTCACTGCATAAAACCTCAGATGATCCTAAGATGGAGCTTAAGACAAAGCATAACTCAAATCAAGCAATAGTATATAAGCCAACTTTGGATCCATACCCCTTGAAGCTTCATTTATGATTCCTGGGGCTAATAACTGTCAGTCATGGATTCGCCAACTTTAGAAGACAGAGAGAACAGTATCGAAGATTGTGATGATGATGACGATAACATATACATAAATGAAGAGACGGAAGAAGGGCACGAGAAAGTGCTTGTTACGCATGCTCCTCAGGAAAGGATAGTTCCACCATTAAACTTTTGTCCAGTTGAGCGATATCTATACCGGTCTGGTCAACCCTCTCCTGTGAATTTTCCATTCTTATTAAATTTAAACTTGAAGACTATTGTTTGGTTAGCAAACGAAGAGCCACAAGACTCCTTGTTAGAGTTTTGTGATACTCATAAGATCAATTTACAATTTGCTGCAATAAATCCAGATGCAGGTGAAGATGATAACCCTTGGGATGGTTTGACGGAGCATTCTATTATAAATGTATTACAGACAATTGTTACAAAAGAGAACTATCCTCTTCTTGTGTGTTGTGGTATGGGACGTCATAGAACAGGAACTGTCATCGGTTGCTTGAGGAGGATAATGGGATGGAACTTGGCTAGTGTTTCAGAAGAATATAGAAGATTTACAGGAAGCAGAGGTGGTAGAATTCTTGTTGAACTATTGATCGAGGCATTCGATACTGCGCTTGTTGAGATTGACAAGAAAAATGCTCCTGACTGGCTCCTTACTTCATTGGAATAGAGTATACAACCTACTGTTGGCCTCTGCAAATTTCATTGCAGTAGCGTTATTTTAGTCACTCTTTGATTTGTATCCTCATTATTGTCCCAAAATACCCCGGTTCTTCTCATTTGCTCGAAGTAAATGAAGACATATAATTATGTTAAACTCTATTATGTAAAATACCACCATACAGGTAATACTAATCAGTGTCATCTTTATGGAGATGCGTTCCACTACAGTTGCGGATTACTTTCTCATTAAGACTCATGCTTTGATATAACTTTATAGACCCTATTGTAGAATATTTAAGAGATATACAACCGCGTTGTAGTGATGATAGGAATAAATAATAATAATTGACCAATTTTTCATACAATATCAACAGCCTCAGATATGCACATTTATGGAGGATATTACAAATTACCACTTATCTAGCTGCTCAGCTATAGACATTCGGACTCTATGAACAGCATCTTCACAATTGCGATAGACTGCTTGGCTAATGGTCTTCCTGGTATTTACTAGACCCTCCGTGTATAGTTGTCTTTTTGAGTCCTTGATAGCCTTAGTAACGTTCTTTGGTAGCACATCTCTCTCGCAAGTCTCCACGAATTTCGATGATGTCACAGGTAAGAACTTGTTGAAAGTGTAACCAGCTAAAAAGATGGGCAGTATGATTCTTGCCGGTACACTGGACATAAACATACCAAAAAATGTAGGTTGCCCTTTAATAAGCAAAGCACCGTAACCCCAGTTAGTTGGATTGGTCAGTATTCTACCTGTGAAAAATGCACCCAGACCTAATAAACTAATAGGAGCCAGTAGTTCCTCATTCTCATATTTATCAACAAAAATATTTTTCTTTAGATACTGGACCCTATCATCAAGTTCATTCTTTTTGCGAGCTTTATATTCAGATATTTTGACATATGTTCTTTCATAGTACTTTAAGAACTTGTTTCTGTATTCTCCAATACGCTCAGTAACTTCTGGAATCTGTAAGACCTTGTACCCACTTGGTAAATCACTAACCTTCACAGTTGGGATTTCCTTGCTTTCGGTAAAGAGCCTCTCTGTCCTTACCTTGTCTCCATCCTCGACCTTCTCACCAATACTATCACCATAGAAGTTGACCATGGCTCCCACTTAGCAATGCAATATTCCGCCAGTGATATGTGCCTTAGCTATGATGCTGCGCTACAATATTTACGCTGATGTAGTCAGCATCTTGTCCCTTATATTGCATATAATTTTCTAATCATCGAGAGTCTTCCTTTAGCGATCGCGATGCCTTCGTGAAATTTTGAAAAATTAAGGATTGATTGGCCGATAAAATAAACTGGGGACTGGTTTATATAACAGTGTTCATGTAGCTAAATGTCTGTAGAGCGCACTATGTATAAGATATTGCGCATTAGCCCAGTGTCACTCATGCTTGTTTATGTATAAATATGAGAATTAAAGCTAAAGTTGTTACTTTGAATATTAGTTGTGTCCTATGTCCTATAGCTTTATAGAATAACGAAAACTGTCTGCGTAAATCAAATGTACATATTTTGAGAATGTTAATCGGTGACAAATATGCTCTGGTAGGAAGTGTAAACCATGCTAATACCACCGAATATTATGAGTACGATATCTATAATTACCCTCCGTGACATGATTTTACCATTTGATCTTGGTAAGCTAGTACTTTTCAAATGGAGCATAGGAGGATACATGTATACTAGCGGTATACATGCAAACGAACCGATTATAGATAAAAACTTGTCCAAATTATCAGCACCCACACAAGCAATTGCAACAACCAGTATTACAATTGAAGAACGCACAGCGTTCTTCATCCATTTGACTTTCCATGATGACTTACCCGAGCTCGTGTTGTGTTCAGTAGCATGTCCCTCTCGATCTGATCTATTTACCCATCTGTCATATTGTTTGAATAACCCACTTTCAATAATTCTAATAGCTGGGAACATTTGTAGAGGCGTCGAAAGCATGATAGCTATCGAATATAGTAATTGGATGAGACTAACAAGAATATTTTTCTGTGGTAAATTTAGTAGAATTACGGTATCAACCTCAGAACCATAAGCTAAATAGCCAATTGTAGCCACAATTATAAAAACGACAGTAGTACAAATTATCACCAGTCCTAAAACTAGTGGAAACTTTTCGGGCTTTCTCATAGAATCTTGAACAGGAATGACTAGCCCTATACCTTCAAATGAGAAGATGGCAGTACCAATGAAAAGTGTCCATCTGCTATTGTTAATTCCAAAGATGACACCATCAGCAGGACTACCAGAAAGATCATAAAATAAATGTTTCATGGAGAAAAAGACAACAATTACAAGGCCAACTAATATAAAAACATTGGCAAATAGGGAAGGTAACGATAATTTTGATATTTTTCTAACAAATGATAATGGAATAAAAAGCAGTAACTGACTTATCATCAAAAATGTAATCGACACATTAGGCAATTTGAAGACATGTTCACCAATGGCCTTTAAATTTCTGGCTGTAAAAATAACATAAACACTTGAGAATCCAAGCTGTGTTATGACCAAAGAAAATAGGATTAAATATTTCATAGTGGGACCATATAACTTTAATCCAATCCCACCAAATGATCTGACTTGGGCAGCAATTTTAGATGAAATTAGAAGATAATAGCACAAGTAGGAGTACAAACCGAAAAAGGCAAGCATGAATATTGAGAAAAAAAGACCTCCATTGTTGAAAGCATTAGGTAGAAACAAAACACCAGTGCCAATAAAAGATTTTAGTAGTAAAAAGAATACTTTCCTTGTCGATGTAGTACCCTTGGGAGGTCCTTTTGCTTTCGTAGTCTGTGAAAGCAAATGTGAGCTCTCATCTAATGCATATGGCATGCCATCAACAGAGTAAAAATCATCTTCAAATGACTCACCAGCAAAATGCCCATACATGTATAGAAACTCAAGAAAGTTTTTGGTCAAAAAAGGCATTTTATCATCTTCTTCGTCATCTGTAAGCGCTTCATTAATGGATGGAGAAGAGTTATTGGGTGTGGTTGATGAATCTACATTATCGTTGCTCTTATTTAATAGTTTTTCTTTCCTCTTCTTAGTCACAATAAACTCTCTTCTAAACCCACCAGGGACATTTAACGAGCTTGCAGTAGACTGTCTCCGTTGACTTGATGCCACTGACATTACATCATCTGTCGATTGCATGCGTTTTACGGGCGTCGGCATAGCCTTGGTTGCTACCTTATAGATATCTCTCGTAATATCACCACCCGCAGTACTGAGATTTGGATCGTAGCTCAAATCTGGCGTTCCAGTCCTGAGTTCGCTGTCATCCTTGGGTCTTACTGATGGGCCAGTGTTCACGTTTCCAAGCCTCCCCGCTTGGCTCACCGACGATGGTCTTCTCCTCTCAGTGTAACTGCTGCTAATGCTACCGGTCATGTAAGTGTTCAGATAGTTCTTTCTCAACGAGTTCACAATCTGTTTTTCCTTCTGTGGATGCAAAGTCTTGAAATCTGGCGAGCCAATATCAACCATGACATGCCTGTTATCCATGGACGACGACACGGGTATGTTGATATTCTTGGCTGCCGTTGGTGTCAGCGCCATAGACATCGACCCACGCCTAAAGGACCCAGAATAGTTGCTCGTAGAATCATTATCGCGTCTTTGGGACTGCCTTATCTCCCTAGGCCCCACCGTCGTGTATTCGGGATGTAATAAGCCCTTGTGTTCTTCACTTGAGCCCATACCGTGCAATGAACGAGTCTCTCCACCACAACAAGTTTTCACAATAGTGCAGTGTGCTTTTAAGATTTATTATTTGTTTTTAAGCGTCTATTGTATCGATTATAACCTTCTGAAGAGTTTATTAATGAAAGAACAAGCTAATAACTTCCAGTTCTTTATTCAAGTTCACAAGTTAGGACTTCAACGCGATTTCTCTGCAACGCCATATTTCAGCATACGTATTTGCTGTTCTTTTGCAACCCTCCCCCCTGCGGTATCCCACTGGTCCCAGCCAGCTCCACCGTGATTCCTACGGCACACTCTTAGTTCATGCATGGAACTTGCTTACGAGTATTGTTCTATGCGACTGATTTTCCTGGAAAGATTAATGAATTATGGAACTAATTAAAGCTAACAAATGCTCGCAGACCAGCATTATTCCTGCGGGTGTCTCTGTGTGTAATTTGCCAGGAAATTGACGGACGCGAAAGAATTTAATCTCTTTGTGATGATTCCACAGGGAGCTGCAGTGTTTTCTTGGGGGGTTCCTGGGCTTCTATCCGTCGAGTTTGCTTTTTTTGCTTCCAGTAAAAGGCTGGAGGCTGTAGCTATGGTGCCCCCACTGTGCAACGTAGGGCGAATCCGTGCTCGTGTTGTGCGGGGGCCTCCAGAGGGCCTCCGGGGGAGAGAGAAAGGCAGGAGAAGCGCAGGTAGAGAGCAATCTGTTGTCTGGGGTACTACGGTGGAAATAGTGTAATTGCAGAGGGCTCCAGTAAAATTAGGCATAGCTATTTACATCTATTAATTTTAGAAATTATGCTCCTCACAGAAAAGAGGGAAGGCATTTTAGAATTAAATATATAAATATTAATGCTTGTGTTGGCACGATGGTTTCTTTGTCGGTTGCCTAAAAAGGCACTACAATACGGCGACAAGTAGTCCCAAAAGGGGAACTTGCTATTTACTAACATTCCTTTACTTAAATTAGGGATCTAGAAGGGTGCACAGTGGCCGCCGTACCAGCACGCAAATGTTTATAAAGATCTGCTATTTCTCTGTGAGAAGTTAAGGTTTTTAAGAGAAACCATAGTAGCGCCTAGTGCTAATTAAAGAAAATTGATCACCCCCACACCATGCCAATGACGTATGGCAATAGCAGGATATAGCGTGATACATATGACGTCTTAGATATACATTCAGATGCTATATTATTAAAGAATGGATAGAGGTTGTATGGACTCGTATAAAGGATATGCCAAGCGCTTTGAGTCTTAGTTCATCATAAACTCAAATATCGTGGCCATGTCGACGTAACGACGGCCACAATCGCTAAGGTATTTTTGGACTATAGAGTGGTTTAGCTCTAGCAGATCACGGTTTTGCTCAGTTAAGGCGTTGATTGATGTATCAGATAGCTTCTCTGATGGGTAGTCCTGGTCTCCTTCCAGATACAGTGGTTTCAACTCACGTTTCTTGTTCTTATCACAGTCAAATAGAGAATCGAAGAATAGTAGCTGGTTGTACAATTGCTTGTCGGTGTAACGGTAGTGCATCACACCCGTACAGCCATCGTTGAGACATCTTTTACCAAACACGGATAGTTGTCGGGTGACATTGCCACATGTTGGATCATCGCACTGCAACCAGCCTGCATAATACAAAGAAATATGTGATCTAATGGCTCTTTCTAGTTGGCACGTCATTTGCAATGGCGAGAATAAGTAATCACAACTTTTGCATTGCAAACCGTTGTAACAGTGTTGGTAGTAATTGGATGCAACAATACCACCGTATGGAAACTCTTTCTTACAATTTGGACAGTTCAAAATCAGGTTGGAACTATCTTTGAACCTTTCCATATCAGAAATTGTGGTCTCTAATGGTTCCAATTCATTGCTATTAGATCCATGGCCATCGATGCCTCCACGTCTTAGATACTTCTTAGAATCAAGTCCCAATGCTGATATCAAACGTACAGAATCAAAACTATCAATACGTTCCAGTAATCTTTCTACGGGAGCATATATCTGTTTTTCAAGATAGAATTCTGGATCAGGTCTCAAGTTACTACCTTTCATCATTACCTCATTTAAAGCATAGGCTCTCTCAGCAACGGATTGTGCTCCGCTGGCTTCTCCGTTTTCCACCTCAGCTGGCTTCGTGATGACATATGTGATAACGGTACCTGCTTTTACCATACGTCCAGTTTTCCTCATTCTAAGAGCGACTTGAACCGCTGGCATATTCTTACCACCCGGGTAGGCGCTCGGATCTTTGGATAACTTCGTATTGATCTTATACTTGTCAACTCTGATTTCGTCCTTTTCAATCTTTTCCCTCATGTCCTCGAGGTAATAGTACACTTCCTGCAATGCAGTCTCGGGATCTTTATCAGATAGGATGGTATTCAAAACATGAATGGAAATATCTCTGGATAGTGGACAGAACTCACGACGCTTCATATCTAAACCCTTGACCTCCAAAACAGTTTCCTCCTTACCTTCCTTATTGATAGAAACATTCAAAGCAGCATACTTCTTCTTGGCGTGTAACAGTAACTTCTTGAAGACATTATCGATGTCTATTTCCAGCAAGCGGTATCTTTCATTAACCAGTGTCTTAAAATTGTTACCAATTTTAATAGCATCGTGGTAATTATCACAGTTGGTATCAATCATGACAGAATCGGTATCACCATAAACAACAATTAGATTCATACTTTCTGCAAGCTGTCTGGTATTCATCAGAATTTCTCTACCTTTATTTGTCACCAACATGGCCAAAGGTCTAGCATAAAATCTACTGTTCACATAACCCAAACAACCATACATGGAGTTTGCTGTAAGTTTTAAGGCCTGTTGTCTAATATCACATTGTAGACGCTTGTGTGGGTCTGTTTCAGTCTTCATGATCTTTTTAACTTCACGACGACGCTCAACCAAATTGGCTAGTAAGCGAGGTAAGACACCTTGTGCTTTATCAGCTGAGGGTACTTCAGGAAGTTCATCGATATTTTCAACATCACGGTCAACTGTTGTAAAACAAATGTTGAACTCTTGAATAATAGATGGATAAAGAGAATTGAAATCCATAACTAGCACATAGTTTGTATGGAGGCCCTTCTCAGGATCAAAAACCAAACCACCTTGGTATTTCGATTTTTTACTTGAACCTTCAGGTTCATCGCTTCCATCTTGTGCTCTTAATCTTTGGTTTCTCATCTTCTGAGTTTCCTTATCAGGTACAATGTAGCCATTTCTGGCAAACTCATGAAGAAGAATGTATTCATTTCTACCGGCCCTCGTACCTCCCAAAGTTTGTGACCAGGCATTACCAGCTAAATTTGTCAATTGCTTTGTTAAAGATAATATCTGAATTCTAAAAGAAACTTCAGCAGCAATCTTACAGTTTGTGACATTCTCCTGTAGAGCCATCGTTAATAAATTCACATCATCTTGATATTGTGTATTCTGGTAGTTGATTTCCAATGGTTTGTGATCAACTTGGCAGGTAACTTGATACATTTCAGCCAAATCCCAATTTTGACATTTAGGAGTTAGCGATTGACCCATTTCATTACCAATATCACAAATCAATCTACCAGCAACCATCTCTCGGATAAACAAATGAGTTAGACCCGAATTGACCTTACCAAATTTATCCGGCCAGACTTTTCTGACTCTCCGGCCAATCGTACTAAAAGTTGGTATGTTAAATTCATGTAACCTATGCACAAGGACATCAAGATAGACACCTTCTAAACGGTGACCGATGAGAACATCGGGATCCATTACTTTCATCATAGCACAAAAGCATGCCAGTAGTGTTTTCTCATTGTTAAATAAACGTACTTGCCCACCAAGTTTTTGTTTTGCTAATGTGGCTAGTCCAGGAGGAAAGCTAGAACCATGTGGAGGTCTCACTAATGTAACAATGTCTGTTGGATCTAAATTCTCCGGTATAGGTGAATCTAATTTTAAATTCTTATAAGTACCCAGAGTGATAGATACTATTTCTTGCTTGTTTTGTTTTGGATTCATTACAGTTTGAATCGAAATTGATGTACAATGTAATTCCGGCATTTCTTTAATATCAATAGGCTTTATGTCCTGTGGTCTGTTTATTAGTACTTCTATTGATGTATGTGATGCATTTTGTAAGGCAGAAAAGTCGCCACCTTTAATCTCTAACCAACAAGGACCCATTATTTTATTTTGTACAACGAAGCTTTCGAAAATATTGGTGTTGCCGCCAAAGACATGATGAAAAGTCTCACTTGAAAGATCAGGTGGTATCGTGTCTCTACTGCTTTTTGGAGTATTAAATGGTAGCAGAACTTTTAGATAGTCAGATTCATGTGGAATTCCAGGAAGTTCAAAAGCATATTTCATATGTTCTGGTTTAGCTCTAATATTAGGTAGTCCATACTTATCCATAAGCAATGGAATAATTTCTTCATGGATTTCTTCTGGCTTTCTACCTTCCCGGGGTAGAAAATATAACTCCCTGCACATTCCATCTATTTGTATCATTGCTGATACATGTTCACCAGTCAATAGTTTAATTTTTCCAAATAAAACTAATGTGTTGTTGACTTCTGTAAAATCGAACCAGTACATTTTGAATGTACCAGTTTGTGGATCTATGATTTGATCTTTGGTAAACTTCTGTGTTGCAAAGTTCAGCGGTCCCGACATGCTGTAAGAGGCCACAGAGCTACCAATAGATTTTTTATTTTCAGTTATTGGAGTCCCTGGAGTAGTAACATAAGGGGAGGATGAAAGAGCGCTTTTAGAGTCCAAGTTAACTTTACGAACTGCAGTTGCAGTTCTCATTTTCCTTTTAGTAACGATCACATTATCTTCATCGCTATCATCACTATCGATGTTTGTAGATGAATCCTGTTCGAATTCAGATTTCACGGCGTTTAACAAGGAGCTATCCTGTACATGACGTGTGGGAGAGGTTTCTAAGGAGTTTACAGCGGTATCACCTCCTCCTAGCGATTCACTAGGTATCGAGTTTTTTATTTGATTCTTTAGAGGTGAAGAGTTCATGTCAACTCTTTTGTTCTTGATTCTTCTGTTTTCATTATCCGATGAATCAAAATCATTTAAAGATCTTTTCATGGCTGTCTTCACTGTTGGAGAAGATGATAATAAAGATGCATTCTTTCTGTGAGTAAGGATAGGTTTTTCATCTTCCTCATTATCGAATTCATTCAATATATCATCAAAATCATCCAGTTTAATTTGTTTCTTCTTGCTATCTAACTGTTTTCCAGACAGCACAACTTTGGAGTGATGAGCCTTAAGCATATCTCCGATTTGCTTTTTAGGTTGCTGTTTCTTGTTACCCTTACTCGTACTATTATCAAGTTCATCGTTGCTAGAGTAATCTTCTTCGCTATTGAACTCTTCCTCTACACCACGATCTACATAGCCTAGACCATCATCGTCTACAACAAAGTCGTCTCTCAATAACTCTTGCCTCTTGCGATTTCTATACTCTTTCTCATCAATTTCATCATATATTTTATCATAGTTGTCTTCATCATCTTCATCATTAGCGTTCTTTCCTTTCCTTAAAGCCTGAAGTTTCTTCAATTTCGCCAATTTATCATTAGAGGCGCTCATTGCTGCTATTTATGAACCCTAAACTCCTAGGTTATATTTGTGGTTGATTTTTAACACAGGTATCGACTATTTTTCTTATTATGAAGCATCCAAATTGCCGCTATTTTTTTATTACTTTACTTCAATTATGTCTAATTGCTGCCAACCAGTCTTTCCGTTGCGATGCTCTCATCAATGTGACGCGTGAAGCTTTTTTTTTCGGTGCATCACTAGGAAAAAAAACCTGAAATACGCGTCACATATGCTACCCGGATATGTTTATGATGTCAAACATATCATTCGCAAGTGTGGTTTCAATATTTTTAATAGTGTCAACTATATGAATTAGTTATTTATTTATAATTACAACCTCTGATATGATATTACTTTAATTGTCAAAGAAAAAAAATAAAAACCACAGTTATATGACCCATAAATATTCTCTAAATATTTCCTTGGCCAATCCGAACGACCTGTATAACCATAGTAAACGATAGAAAATAATAGTCACACTATGAATAGTTCATTAGTGTGGTGTTGAGGAGCTAAAGTTATGATGTTAATGGACATAAGACTTGACAAAGCTCGGCTACTCTTGGAAGTAATAGGCTGGCAAAATGCTCTTATAGTAATTGGGACTGGCTCGAAGTCTCTCAATTTTAGTCTCAACGTTTAACCTTCGCTACTTTTGGATCCATCTTAGGGCTCTTACTTATCGATTCGCTATCAAAGGAGTTATCTAATCCAGCCATGTTCAAATCACCACTGCTTAAAACTAAATTCTTCAATAGCTTGTTTTCCATCTCTAAAGTATGTATTTTTTGTTGCAGTGTAACAGCCAACTCACTTAACTCCTGAATAGAGGTTTCAAGTTCTTTCTCCTTAACTTTCCTTTTACTATTTTCTTGCGACTTTGAACTTTCCTGTTTATGGTCAATTGAACGTTTCTTGGAGGGAGCATCAGATGCACTTTCTTGAAAGTCTGATATCGAGCTGGATCTTATTCGTTTATGTTGCGAAGTATCCTTGTTCAAGTTATTATTGATGCTATGAGTTCTGGTAAGCTCCTTATATTCTTTGTTTTCTTGTTCGCTGTCTGCATGTACCTGAGTATCGGATTTAGTTCTACTGATAGTTTCCATATGGTTCGTGTCGTCTGAGCTCTGTGGCTTTCTTAATTTATGAGTTTGTTGAGACGAGTGCATTCTTAGTATGCTTTCCAAAAACTCCGCACTGTCAGCCTCTTGCTTCTCCAGAGCTTTCTCATTAATTTTGATGTTATTCTTCTTGTTTGGTCTATTTTTTGCAGGCTGAGGAGACTGTGACTGTGATGATATACCTCCATGGTCATTGTAATTGTTGAGTTCGTCATTACCAGATGTATTAACACTTTGAGGCTTCTTGGAGATGATGTGGCCTTTGTTAAATAGATCTAGTAATGTCTTCAAGCTTTCCTCGTTTGATATATTGTTATGGTCTATAAGTTGTCCGGTCTTTTTCTTCTGTTGTTCATTGTATGCAATTAGGGCAGACATGGCGTCTATTTGGTCGCTAGTGAATCCCAAACCCAGCAGGGTATTATAGGCGCCAGGTGGAACTTTCACACGTGGAAGTAATGACACCAGCGTTGATGTGGGAATAGCAGAGTAATCAGGAAGCTCTATGTCTGTATGTTGGTTTGCTGTTGGCGCAGTCTGTGCTTGTGTAAATTGCCTTGAAGAAACTGCTGGAGTATGGTGGTTTCCTGAATTCCATTGGGAGGAGTTCGCGATGACGTTATTGAGAGGAGAGGAGATGCTCGGTCTATGATTACGCACCAGATTAGCAGGATTTTGAGTATCCCTCGGCGAGTCCCCAGTGTTAGACCTCATGCCTCTCATATACGGGTCATTATCCTGTGGAGGGCTATGCTGTGGGTCCATATCATTGTTTGGGGAGGTACCAATATTAACGTTTGTAAATTCACCGTGGTCGTCCGAGCTTCTTCTCACAGGGGAAGTGGGTTCGTCACCAAACGGGTTCTGGTTGTTGTTATTGTTTTCTTTCCTTCTATTTGCAGAAAACCTGCCTCTAGCTTGATCATATTGCGACATCAAGAAGTTGTTTCGTCTCTGAGTCAAGAAGTGTGGGTTTCTTTGTCTTCTGCCACTGCCACCATCCAAACTGATCTCATCGTCTTCATCCAGTCTATCATTTTCATTACTGTTGCTGTTGTTGTTGATGTTGTTGATAATATTGTTGTTGATGTTGTTGTTGTTGTTGGTATTGCTATTGTTGTTGTTAGACTCATCGTCCCCGTCATCGCCACTGTTGTTGTTGTTTCTGTTCGACTTGTCCTCATCGGGAAATATAAACGCATCATCTGCAAACACACTCAGCTCGGCACTCAGTTGCTCATCCAGGCCCATATCAGCTACCGACATGGCCCCATCCACCCCGCTGCCACCCGCGGCACCGTTATAGTCGTGCACCATCCAGGAGTCAGCAGCAAAATCGTGATCCAGCGACGGGAAGAAGTTATCTACATACGCCAGCTGCTCAAGCAGTATGCTCGGCGTCGCATCCTCCTCCCTCGCATGCGCATCGCCCGAATCATCCGCACTCTTGTCCTTGGGCTTATCGTCCTTCCCAAAGAAATTCACATACTCAGTACCAGGAGATACCCCGTTACTGCTCATTATTCCTAGTTGTATCCTTGTCTGTCCTTCAAACGCAAGGTTCACCACTATTACACTATTTTATTATTTTACTTTTTTTTTTTTTTCAAATTGCAACTGATTTTTCCTCGCCTAACGGTCTGCCCAGCCTTACAAAACTGTGGTAACGATTTGTAATCATAGTCAACAGCAACTAGCACTTGTATATGCAAACGTATAGCACTTGTATGTGCAAACGGATATCTACTCTATGTATTGGCGTTATCTAGTGTATGTATATTTGGTACTTGTCTACAGTGTCTCATCTATGTACCCCCATCCGTAACTTTCCACACTCCAATAAGCGTGTCATACTCTACTTTTAGGGCATTTACCTGTCTCTATACTACGTGTGAACTGTCCAGGGTGCCGGTATAACTTACACAACATATGGGTGTCATCTGCATAATATGGGCATCATCTGCATAATATGGGTATCAAACATAGTTCTGGTATCAACTCAAGGTATTAGCAAGATATTACACCATGCAAGAACGACAGAAAACCCCAACTTCGTACGTGTGGGGTACTCTTATACCCTTTGGCAATACCAGTGCTGATCCCATTCTCCTCTAACCCTCTCATTCCACTCAAAGAGCTCATGGTTTGGGATTCAAAATGAGTCAGAGCAAAGAGTGGAGTTTTGAAGCCAAACTTGTCCCTGACCTGATGATAATCGAAGGGACTTAACTGGCTCTCGAGAGGAAGAGGGAAACGCATCGTTGCCTTTGCGATCGTTAACAAGCCTGCGATTCTCTGTGGGAATGCCTGCCGGTGCCGGTCTCCCTCTTGTTGATTCGATGACTATTAAGTTAATGGATGCAAGAGGGCCTCCGATAGTTATTGCTCTTATTAAAGATTGACAAAACTCAAAGAAGAGAAGGGAAAAAAAAAACTATATAAGAGAGGTTGGTATTCTTTACTTGTATTTTATATTTTATATTTCTTTCTTGTGGGAAGTAGACCAAACTAAACTAACTATTTAGAGGATGAGAGCTACCGTTATCAGACTCTCGAGGGCTGCGAAGTCAATTCCGCCCGTGAAATTGGCGTATAAGAACATGTTGAAAGACCCTTCCATCAAATACAAACCATTCTCCATTGCTCCAAAGCTTACTGACAGGAAATGGCCAGACAATACCATTACCAAGGCACCAAGGTGGTTGTCTACAGACTTGAGAGACGGTAACCAGTCTCTCCCGGACCCGATGTCCATTGAGCAGAAGAAAGAGTACTTCCACAAGCTGGTGGAGATTGGCTTCAAAGAGATAGAAGTCAGTTTTCCATCTGCCTCGCAGACCGACTTCGATTTCACAAGGTACGCTGTGGAGAATGCTCCAGATGATGTTACCATACAGTGTCTTGTGCAATCCAGAGAACACTTGATCAGAAGAACTGTGGAGTCGTTGACTGGTGCCAAGCGTGCCACTATACATACTTACTTGGCCACCAGCGACATGTTCAGAGAGATAGTCTTCAACATGTCTAAGGAAGACGCTATCGCCAAAGCCGTCGAAGCCACTAAACTGGTCAGAAGCTTGACCAAGGACGACCCTTCTCAGCAGGCTACCCGTTGGTCCTATGAGTTCTCTCCAGAATGTTTCAGTGATACCCCAGTCGAATTTGCCGTTGAAATCTGTGAAGCAGTAAAAGCTGCCTGGGAACCAACCGAGGACAACCCTATCATATTTAACCTACCTGCCACAGTCGAGGTCGCCTCTCCAAACATCTACGCTGACCAAATCGAATATTTCTGCACACACATCACCGAAAGAGAGAAGGTGTGTGTCTCTACGCATACCCACAACGACCGTGGCTGCGGTGTTGCCGCTACCGAACTTGGTATAATGGCAGGCGCTGATCGTGTTGAAGGTTGTGTCTTCGGAAATGGTGAACGTACTGGTAACGTTGACTTGGTAACCGTGGCATTGAACATGTACACGCAAGGTGTCTCTCCTAACTTGGACTTCTCCGACATAAGGTCTGTAATCGAGGTTGTTGAACGTTGTAACAAATTGCCTGTCCCAGCCAGAGCACCATACGGTGGTGACTTGGTCGTATGTGCATTCTCTGGTTCTCACCAGGACGCCATCAAGAAGGGTTTCTCGGTTCAACAAAAGAAGCGTGACCAAGGCGACATTCAATGGAGAATCCCATATTTGCCATTGGATCCAAAGGATATCGGCCGTGACTACGAAGCTGTCATCAGAGTCAACTCTCAATCTGGTAAGGGTGGTGCTGCTTGGGTTGTCCTAAGAGCCTTGGGCCTAGACATGCCAAGAACCATGCAAATTGAGTTCTCCACCAGTGTACAAGAACACGCTGACTCTCTAGGTAGAGAACTAAAGGCCGAAGAGATTGTCAACTTGTTTAAGGAATCTTACAACTACAACAACGAAATCTTCCAACATATCTCTTTGGTTGATTACAACGTTGAGAAATTCGGTGCTGAGCGCAGAATTCTAAATGGTCAAGTTGAAATCAATGGTGAAGTTGTCGACATCAAGGGTACCGGTAACGGTCCAATCTCTTCTTTGGTCGATGCTTTGTCCAACTTATTGAACATCAAACTTGGTGTCAGCAACTATAGTGAACACTCTTTGGGTTCAGGTTCATCCACTCAAGCCGCTTCTTTCATCAACTTAACTTACAGACGTGATGAAGATAATGAAAAGGCTTACCAATGGGGTGTAGGTGTGTCTGAGGATGTTGGTGATGCTTCTGTCAAGGCAATCTTTGCCACTTTGAATTCTGTAATTCAAAAAGGTGACATTAGTATCCCAAAGTCTAAGAAGGCTGCCTCTGGTTCTGCTTAATTCAAACAGGCATAAAGGAATTGGTTGGATAACAGAACTATAGACTATAACAGTATTTAAAAATCTTAATCTTAACAGGGTTATCGAAACCTATTTCGATATTATTTAATATTCTCAATTATACTCTTTTTAACTTTTTTGACCCATGTTGTTTTAGGATCCTGATGCACTAAACATGTATACTATAAGTAAGATTCATGGCACAATGGGCATTATATAATACTATTTATTATTGAACTTCGTAAGATTATGATGCACTAGATTTACTTCGATCTACCTTAAGACACTGTGTATTTCACAAGATTAAGTACCGAAATTCAATTTGATTTGTGAAATGAACAAAGACAATGTGTTGAGAGTTCATTGGCACTTGTTCTTATCAACTGGCGAAGAGACATTAACTACCTGAAGTAAAAGTTTTTATCGCATATGGATCAATGCGATTAATAATTTCTTATTAGTAGTCGTTGCCTATAATGGATATGATTTATCCTGGCTACATAGATTTTAGCAAATATACAGTCATGCAAAAACTTAACCTCTAGAATTTGCTTTAATATTTAAAGGAATTGAAAACAACTGGAAGAAAATAACTAATATGATTACCAGAATACAAACAGTATAATATGAAAAAAAGATTTATACAACCATTAAGTTAAAATACAAATGCAGCTCTCTTTTGTGCATTGCATTTCTCATAGTTGTGTCATATATAATTAACATTTAACCTGCCGCATATCGAGAGGTATTAACGTTGGTAGGGCTGGTTTCCGCCCATTTGACTAGAGGCACGGTTGTTAGCATTTTCCTTCAAGGCAATCAGTTGTCTGGACCTGAAACCTTCGTAGTGAACAAAAGATGTCGTCTCGATCAAATCTTGCAAATGTGTTCTGATCAGGTATTCCCTTAGATACACGAAATCGCATTGGTTAATGTCTTCGACGTTTATGGCACCCCAACGAGACTTTCTGCCTCTGAAGGTTTCACCGTTGACCTCGATTTCTTTTTCGGAGCCCACCACTGCAAATGGTATAACAGATCTTATACTTTTGTTTAGCACTAGTTCATCCTCAGTAAGGTCGTCAGAGTCATAAGGGTAGATTCTAAAGTTGTATTTTTCAAATTCGCTTTGGATAATCTTTTTGAACTTGGTTCTCTCATCGATCGTCAGAGTGTCAGCCTTTGCAATAACTGGGATAACGTTAGCGATCTCAGTTAATCTCTTAAGAGTTGCGACATCCAGAGCGGTGAGCCCCTTGCCGTTTGGCTGTAAGAAATATAGGATAGCGTGTACTCTGGTGTCAGGGATGTATCTGTCACGTTGAGCGGTCAACTCTTTACGTAGGTACTGTGAGTATTGTTCTTTGATGTACTTGACAATTGGTTCCCAGACCTTGTTATTGTTGATGTTGTCACCAAAGCCTGGCGTGTCAATGATATTTATATTCAGACGCACACGGTCTTCGATCAGTGTGTGCGAGGAAACCTTCATCTCGGTGGTCTTGGTAATTGGCTGCTTAGAGATATCTTCGCCAGTGGCAGGATCAATCAAATGCGAAGAGAAAAGCGTGTTAATCAGCGTACTTTTACCTAAACCGGAGTGGCCTACTACCATGATGTTGAATTGAAACCCTCTCTTCAAGAGCCTGTGCTCGATCTGGCTGGTAATAGTGTCAAAGCCAACATAATTGGATGGCAGCAAAGCCTCAGGGATAGTAGACATGTCTGTTCTTTCACGGCGTCTTTATAAGTAACTGGCTCGAGGAATGGATCAAAAATGCGTTAAAGCTATTCTTTTTTTCTTGGTGATGGAAAGATAGACCAGAAGTGATTGTCGAGTGATTGGAGTAGTAATCCAAAATATACAAGTTGCAGTACCTGGAAGAGTGCCAAGTTCAACTGGTATGGACATGGAAGGACTACACAGTGCGCCTACAAATAGCTTGTTGGCTATGATGTGGCCTTCTGCTTGGCAAAAGATCAACGCGAAATCACAAAAATAGCTTCGTAGTTATGTATATGAATTATGCCCAATGTGAATACCAGTCTGGTTTCTAGTAGATTAACATGAATGTATAATTTGTAGTCATTAAGTGAACACTACTCCATTGAGACAATGAGCTGCCGGTATAAAGTTTGAAGTCATACTCAGCACTTTTATTTACAAAGATTCAGACTTGTTGTTCATTCGTTGTTATGGGTCAATACTATACCGAGCCAAGTGTTTACGTTTAATCCCAGGTTTTAGAGCATTGTCTAGTGTTTCAACCAGAGTAGTTTTCTAAATGGTAAGAACTGCTTGGAAAGGTACATGTAGTGACCATGGCACCTTGGTTATATTGCAAATGTGTTGTAATTCCTAGTCACTAGCATTATATCACTTTAGACCTCAGACGAATATGTAGTTTCTACGAAGTTTCCTCCCAGGATGAAGCTTTCAAACTCTCAGCAAACCCATAAAGCCAGTCTTGTCAAATAGACAGTCTGCAAGAAGTGCAATTCAAGACGTCTTGAGATAGGATAGGTGCCACTGATAAGGATGTCTATGCTGGCGAGACTAAGTAGCGGGTATATATTTGCTGGTGCCGGTGTTGGGAGCCAGGCGGTGGTTACACCAGTGACACTGGGACTAGCTGGCGTTTCCCAGGCTATACCGGCCCTGTTGGGTAAACTGTTGGGCGACACTGAAGCTAAGGAAGAAACTGGGTTCTTCGACAATGGTATCTTGCTGGCCGCACCAAAGAAGAAAGTATCGCATCAAAAGAAAAGACAGAGACTTCTGGCCCCAGGCAAGAAACATGTAAATATGATGAACCATCTGAACAGATGCCCTTCCTGTGGCCATTACAAGCGTGCTAATACTATCTGTATGCACTGCTTCGAAAATGTAAGATTCCTGTGGAAGTCGTACACTCAGGAACAAAGACAAGAACCCATCCAGGAGCAGAATCTGACTGACTTGGACAAGAGAGTGTTGTATCCCGGGAAAATGGACACTGTGTATGAGGAGAAACTAAAGGACAAAGACAGCTACTTGGTTCGCAGAATGAGAACTCTACCGAAGGAGGACCCAAAGGTTGAATCCTAGTTTCGTATTTGTGCAAGGTATTGAATATTAAGTGTACAAAAACGGCATGTCATAACGACGAAAGTTGCAAATCATATTCCAGAAATCAACATAACATAGCAATGAAAGGCTTAGAGATATCGACAACAACTCTCCATGTCTTATATGTATATACTCACCTATTTCCATTTTCCCCCTGCTTCCATTTCCTTACTATTACTATATTATCTTATGATCTCATGTAAATACATAGATATTTTTTTCTATCATCAAGAATTAGCTATTTTATTCTTATGGCCTTTGTGTTAAAAATGTGTCAAGCCTTGCGTTCGATAGATACTACTGGGCTCAAATGGTCAGTTGCAATTCGACAGAACCACCAGAGTGTGTCTTGGGACACCCATTCAAGCTTAATTTCGCTTTATTTCACTTATTTCGTAGGCTCACACACAGACACCCTTCTCTTGCACCCCCATTCTAAACCATACAATAATAAAGCTTATCAAATGGGCAGTATTGAAGTTACTGGCACCCAATTTTGGGTATCGAGGCCATCTCATAGTTGGCATGAATATATAAAGGGCCATGCCCTGCATTCCGTCTGGAATTGGGTTTCTTGGTAATAATGTTATTATTAGATACAAGGTAGTATTAACTACAAGACTAATTATAAAACACAATCAAGAATATATAAACAAATAAAAAAAAAATGGGTAAGAGATTTAGTGAATCCGCTGCTAAGGTTGCTCAAGGCAGAGCTAGAAAGCGTCAACAGGAATGGGAGAAGAACCGCGCTCAGAAGGAGCAATTAGAAGCCATGGAGGCCAAGAAGTGGGAGGAAGGTGCTAGAGAAGGTACCAGCAAGAAGGCCTTGCTGGAAGAAAAGCGTCAGCAAAAGCTTGCTGCTAAAAAGGAGCGTGATGCTCTGCTAAAGGCCGAAGAAGAGGCTATTGGCAGAGGCGGTAAGCTCAGAAACTTGTAAAACTAGCATTCATACTAATTTCAACAGCGGTGGCAACTGCAAATACGGCAATGGCATGTTGGTACATGCCAGGCTCACGTCAATATGGCAAGCAATTGATGTTACAGAACAGACCTGCGAAGTACCTACAGGGCAAGGGCTCTGTCGGGGACAAAGCTATCTTGGAGTCTATCCAGGTGACTTACTGAAGGCTGTACCATATATGGCTAACTGGTAATTTTGTTGGTCAAAATTCCCAGTTCTATTCTCACAGCTACTTGTCTAATTTAATTAGTCGTGATGTCTACTGTTTCTTCTAAACGTTGGTAATGGTAAACTGATTGCTTCAATGTATTGATGTAATGTGTATCATCCTTGGACTGCTACTAATTAACACACATTGAGATATTTATCTCACGGCAAGTATTCCCTTTTATAATTTCTTTATAGTGTCGAAAAAGTTCATTTGACTCAATAGTTACTATAATTTTGACTTTATTATCTTATAAGGTACTTCTGCGGAGCTTAAGTACTGGTTAAGAACAGATATATTGACCCTTGAGTTAATATTATGTGCCCAGTTCAAACCCTTGTGAGAGTTTTTCTTACTAGAAGCGTATATATCCACCCATGTCTTATCAGCAATTATCTTGATACTTTCTCTCACCTTTTCTCTATATTCCACTTTATTAGTATCATCTGGAAAAACTGTGCAATTGTACATATAATAGCCGTCCTTGGCAATGCCTGGTTTACTATTGAGGTGGTCATCAATGTATTGGAGATTGGTAACATTTTCTTGTCCATTCTTCGCAACTTTGATTTGTTCATCAATAGCCTCTGGTCCATGTAGATTGCACCAGCAATGAATAAACCACTGTTTTATATCCAATCTTAAATGATTTCTCCTTACTGCGTAGTCCCTGGCAATTTTAGACTTCGTATTCATGATAACATTCTGAAATTTAGAGCTTAATTGTTTCATTTGTGTCTCATTTATTGATGTTTTTGAGTTACTTTGTTGTAATTTGCCATTGATAAATAGGTCCGTAACTGGTTTACATGTTATGGCTGGTCGACTTTTCCTGAATGAGGATAAAAAATGATCCGGTGGGTAATATTGTAATCTAAAATAGTCACATTTGTACATATTTGACTCCCCAGATAACAAGCGTGTATTAGAATGGTATTTCGCTACTGGACTAACGACTCCCTTCAATTTACTTGCAGCTATCCTGATTGGCATTCGATCGATGCTAGACTTTGGTATATCTTGTTCAAGAAAGGTGTTATTGCCTGCTAATTTCCAATCTAAAACTTCATAGCCGCCATCTTTATTTGGTTCTATCCTTACGGGTTCAGTATATTCATCGACTATATGAAATGCATTAAAAGCATCTAGTGTTTTCTTATTGCATATCCTTTTAATTAAAAATTTCTCGTTTAGTCTATTACTAAACTTCCCAACTTGCATTAAATATCGGAGATCAAGTAACAGATGTTACTAGTTGCTAAGTTTTTATATCAGACATGTGTAGTTATTCATGAATCTCAAAACTAAGAGTTCATTTCAATTTCTTAAGGTATATGGTTTATTTTTTCAAGAGGCTAAGAAGCTTCGTCACGACTTTAGAAGTCATAAAAGTAGTTATATCCGTGCTACTTGCACTAAACATGAAAATGAAGTACAAACGAATACGGACAAAAAAATTGAATTTAAAACAAATATGTCTATACTAAGTATAAGTGTACTACTACCAAGTTATCGTGTTTAGCATTTTTTTGTTCTATGACGTGAACGCGGGCTATTTATTTAGATACACGAAAGTTAAGGACAACTACCAGCCAATATAGTCTCTACCAACAACTCTAAATATCTTTAGTCTGCCTGTGGTCATGTTATGAGGTTTATAGCTTGATTGGGAGACTTTACCATTTTGAAGATCAATCACTCTGAATTTATCTTTTGTAAAATCATAGTCAGTCACAACAGCAATATGAGAACGCTCTTGCCCAACCGATACGACCTCTTTCTTACCTATCTTCTTGTGATGCTCAAAGACACCTTTCCTTATTACCATAATGTCACCTGGAAGAACTTTCTTAACCGATTCAGTTTCCAGCTGTGTCTGAGCCTTATAATTCACCAACGGAATTCCAAAAGTTCTTCCACCAATTACTGGAATGATTGACTTATACACATCTTCTAGTACAGAAGCACCAAAATCTTGGGAACTAGAGTTGATTAGTGAATGTGCCTTTTGTACAATCATATTGTTGTACTTACTAGCGTATGCATCCAACTTTGAGGAATCAAAATGAGGTGGAGCAATATACTTCTGTGTAGACGTCACAGTCTCTTGAGGATTCTTCGCATTGAATGTAATAGTCAATACTATTTGCGAAAGAGTTTCAAATAAGATGTAAAAGTCACGGATAATCCACTTTTCACCTAATCTTTTCTTGATCTCATGGTCATCAACTTCATATGTAAATTTAACCTTTGGATCAATCAGATTGTGTGGTATTTTCTTCTCTAACCACCAAGTTGTGTTACTGTCAAATGGCACACTCAACATCCTTGTGGTATCCGTTAGTTCTGTAGTTGTGGTGCTCTTAACCTCACGTAGTGCATTACTAGAAGACTTCATAGAAGGCTCTGGAGCAGGAGCATTGGGTAGGGGTGGGACATTATTACTGCTTGATTTGGAAGAGAAGGGGTTATTAGACGTATGTTCTCTTGTTTCAGTGCCTTCATCACGAGGAACATGACCCATAGGAGGATGTGAGAGAGGTGGTAGTGGAGGAGGAGCCTGACCATCATGACCAGCTGTTGGAGGTGGTGGAGGAGGATGAGCTGCATGAGTTGGAGGTGGTGGAGGAGGATGAGCTGTGTGGGTAGGGGGTGGTGGAGGTGGTGGAGCACCATGGGGTCCTGAATGATCTGATGGCGGTGGTGGAATACCTGACATAGGAACTGGAGGAATACTTCTATCTCCTTGTGGTTCAACACTTCTCTCACTCATCATAGGTGGTGGCGGCGGTGCTGACTTCATATGTTCGCCTGGTGATTGAACACTCCCTGAAACCGGTGGCATTGGGGGTACTTGTGGTACTGGAGGAGCTGGCATAGTGCCTGGAATAGGAGGATTCGGTGGCACAGGAGGAGCTTTGGCCATTGGTGCATTACCGGCAGAGGGTGGATGAATTGGTTTTGTTTCAATCATATCTACATCATTCGTCATATCATTTGGAGCGTTGACCTGTGGATGTGCAGGTGGAGGAGGTGGTGCGACTTCCTCACTATTTCCCTTCGTATGGTGCTCATGTAGTTGTTCTCTTCCAGGTGGAATGACTGGGATAGGGGGCATAGAAGCTTCAGCAGCGGCTGAAACAGGTGGAGGACCAGGAATAGTCGACTCTCTATCCTCTTCAGAACTATCTGACGAATCAGATAACCCTTTCTCAATGATTGGATCCTCCTTATTGGTAGTTATTCCATGTGCGTCAGAGAGGGAATCTGTGCCCATTTCAGGTCCAGCAACACCTTTTACTTTCGAGGATAAATCATCGGCATTTTCCTCAGCAGAGGACTCGTAACCTTTCATTTCATTTGCCGAATGATAAGCATCGTCCCCTACCGAAGCACCATCCTTATCAACCGTATTCTTTTCACCAGCTAGTTCATGATATATATGTTCCTTCTTAGAAGAATCGCTTGATGCCATCATGGGATCTAAAGTTTTAGCTTGTTCTTCTCCAGCATCGGTTATTTTTTCCTTTGGTTCTAATTTTTCTTCCGTTAACTTCTTGAGTAGCGGGTTTTTACTTGGATCTGCGAAGGGCATCACTGGTACTGCTTGTGGTATATTTTCCATTTCGGATGACTCTTTCCTATCAATATTGGACTCAGATCTAGCAGTTGATTCTTTGTCAGCAGTTGGCATTGGAGCAGGCATACCAAATGGATTGAACCCAACTGGACCGCCAAACCTACCAGCTCCAGCTAGTTTTGCCATTCTATTCCTTAGAGCTGCTCTACGAGCCTCTTCCGAGTCCTCCTCAACCTCTGTTTCAGCATGCTCTCCATTCTTCGAAGTCTCTTCATGAACTGGTTGACTCTCATCAGTCATCCCACTAATTTCTGGCTCCTCTGAAGGCATGTTAGAAATGCCTTCCTCATGATGTGACTTTGCATCAGCTTGGTTCTCTGTTACTGACTCCTGATGGTCATCATTTTGATTGTCGTTTTCTGTTGACTCAGTTCTGGTTTTTTCCAAATGTGCACCATGGTCATCTAATTCTGCCTTTGAATTCTGTTCATCTTTACCATCCATGTTTTCTGGTGATTGACTAGCTTCCTGATGCTGTTTTTCAGTAGCTCTTTTCATCATTTCGGCATCTCTCTCCGCCTGCAACCGTTGCTGCTCCTGTAGTAAGGCAATTCTTTCCTTTAAACTCATCTTGGGCAAATCTTCTTTATTGATATCTTCTGATCTGGGTGTATCGGCATCGTGGAATTGACTGGGATCAACGGCAGCAGGAATTGGGATCTTGCCAGGCTTTGGCATCTCTTTCTTAGGAGCTTCATCACTACTCACAGGTACCGAGGGAACACTAGGCATTGAGACCGGTTTTGCAGACTTGTCTTCGCTATGTAGCTGCATGTCAGCTTTCTCGTATTTCCTAGGTTCCTTGATGTCATTCTTAGACTCGACTCCATCCTTATCTCCAATTGGATCAGCAGATTTAAGGGCCTCATCGCCCTCAACAACAAAACTCTTGGGAAAGATACCCTCATGGCTGGCACCTGTACCGTCCACATACTCCCCATAATACCACTCGTCGTCCTCTATATTCGTGACAGTTATCACTTGACCCTTCTCAAAGTTCAAGTCATCCTCATACTCGCTCTGATAGGGGAACGAAGCCACTACCTTAAACGGAATTTGGCTCATCTTAAAAACAGTGTACCAATCTTGTTGCTGCAGTACAGAATGTAATACTCCCTACAGAAAAGACAAGGCTTTAAACCCTCGGCGGTTAATATAACTAATTGAGCGACTTTCTAACTACTCCCCTCCCCACCAGCCATTCAAAGAGCCCCAACCCCTAGCGTTCCGGCTCCCCCGCCCAAAGCCATGAAAGAAGAAAGGTATCACCACGGACGTCTATTGACAATTCCAGGATTTTTGAGTAAAATTAGATTTACCCGGAACAAGATATGACGCGTGAAAAACGGCGGAGCCGATGAGAGAATGGAGAGGACGCGTGAACTCTTGCAGAGTAGCGTTGAGGGGAGGGGGAGGGAAGGAGCAGACTTGGGCGCTTCCGTGGTTTTGGGAACAAGCGCGCCGGAGGGCGCCGGGGGAGGAGAGCTGGGATCTGGCCGTTGTGCCTGGGATTCAGTGTGTTTGCTGGAGCTAGGAGCCGCCGATCTCAGCTTTCTGTAAAACGAATACCAGATACGGATTTAATGGCGTCAAATGAAATCTGTGTTTTATCCCGTCCTTGCATCCTTAAGTATAAGTAGGGTGCGCTGAAAACAGGAATCTAACAAACAATTCTTCTTCCCTTCTGGGCGGCTAACTGATCTAGGAAAGGAATCCAAGGAGCGTTCGACGTTTGTCACCACGGTATAAGTAGAAGAGTAATACTTTGGGAGCATACCATTATTACCCTGTAAACCTCCTTTGTTTGGTATCTTTGAGAAGGCTGAGAGTCAACAGTGAAAAGAAGCTATGACAGTGGAAGAATCCGGAGTGAAGGATGTGTACAAGGAGATGCTGATGCGTAAAGTTGAGCGGAATGAAGTGCCGCAGGCGGAGGAGTACAGCCGGTTTAAGGAGTCTATTCTGGACGGGAAGGACTACGGGGACGAGGACGAGGACTCAGATGGCGACTACGATGCTGGAGAAACTGGATCGGCAGATATAGCGTTCCGCGAGGATGACGATGAGCTAACTGAGAGTGATAGCGACGACGATATCGATGTAGGAAATGAAAGCTTTGTGCTCAGAGATAAGTTCTCATCCAGCGACGAGCTGGCACAGGAAGATGTTGATGAGGATAGTTACAGCTATGATATGCAGGGTCAAGAGCTAGACTCTGAGGTTGACGGCGATGACGAAGAGCTGCTTTACTGGGATCAACAACGAAAATTCAATGTTGTGACGAGAATAATTCTTGTGGTATGCTCGGCTCTATTCGTGTATTGCATAATGACTGGTAATTTAACGTCCACCTCCAATAACGTGGTGCTTTCACCATCCACAAGTGCGAACTTACAAAAACAGATAAATCATCTTTACAGTGAGTTCAGCCAAAGTGAACAGAAACATGTACAAGAACTCGATAGAACGTTGAAAGTTGTTGTGGCACAATTTGAAAAGAATATCAAAAAACTGATTCCAAAAAATATTAAAAATCTACAAACGCAGGTGGAGAACTTGAACGAAAGATTTAACAAAATTCTAAACATGGGGTCTAGTCCGAACCAGAACCAGATCACAGTAACAAATATAACTCAATGGCAGCAAAGTATTCTGTCGACATTGAATATCACCTTACCTACAAAAATACCAGTAGTGGTCAATAACTCATCCCAAATGCTCATAATTCCCGAGATGCATAAATATATATCGGATATACTAAATGATATTGTCCATGCATCAGAACCATTCATTAATGTGAATAATAACGGTACTGGAGTAAAAAATTCCCTTGGATATGATTTGAATAAGTATGTTAAAGAGGTCTTAAGCAATGAATTCCAATACGTTGACAAAAAATTCTTTCTGCAAGAACTGAACAGAAACTTACAATTGAATAAACATGAAATTCTGGAGGAAGTCGCAGGTAGGCTAAGCCATATTGAGGATAAATATGGTGCCAATGCAAACAGAAGGCAATTGGTGCCGGAACAGTATAGTACAATTCTACTCAAGAATCTTGTCAAGGAAATTTACAATACTAATCACTATAGATGGGAAGATGACCTCGATTTCGCTACTGCTGCACAAGGAGCCAGACTGGTAAAACACTTAACATCTTCAACTTACAATTATAAAAACGGAAATGGTATTACACCTTTGGAACTGCTGTCAGATTCATCTTTGAGCCGTGGCTCAACCTATTGGCAGTGTGTTGATTCTAAAAGTTGTTCATGGACTATTAGATTCAATAACCCAATTTACTTAACAAGATTATCATACTTCCACGGCAGATTCACCAATAACCTTCATATGATGACATCGGCACCAAAATCCATTGCTGTTTATGTAAAACTAGCCAAAAGTAATCCGGCCCCATTAGAAAAAACTTTGAAAGACCTCGCAAGTGAGAATGTGGGGAAAGACAATACATTTAAAAAGGACTCTAGCTATATTTTGATTTCCAACTATGAATATGATATTCATGACCGAAGAATAAGACAGGATTTCCCCCTTCCTGATTGGTATATCCAACTAAAACCACTAATTAGATCGATTGCATTTGTAGTAAATCAGAATAATGGCAATAGTGAGTTTACATCGTTAAGAAAGTATGTTATAAATGGCGTTACAGCTTCAGATCTAAAAATCATTGACTCCAATGAATTCACTATAAACAGAGATCAAATCCCCGAATTTAGTGAACACCACGCACAGATACACCCTAAGCCTCCATCTCCAAAAACTAATAATATAAAGGCTTTTGGGCAGGATGAACTAGACATTTAAGAGACCATTTGCCTGCATAGGTAGCCCTCTAATGACATCACTGAGCTCTACAATCACTTACACAACAACCTCTCTATCATCTTTTCCCCTTAAATGAAGTTGATCTTGACTTTACTTGATTTGCAGTTTGAACAGCACCTGGAGTTTTTTTAATAAGGAATATACATTTGCTATTGAAAATCATTAAGCCTTTATGACTAGGAAATGAACGTGAGAGTTTTGCTGCTACAACCATTTCCATAGCAGAAAGGGCAATTATCAGAAAAAACATCCAAAATTACACCTCCGGACAGTTTTGACTGAGTTGTAATGAGTAAAGAACCCGTACGAATATTTCATTTCTGCATAAGAATCATGAGGAGAGTGTAGAAGATGCCTCCTCACATTTTGGGATGGAGATCAAATATTATTTGTCTTTCTGATTTAAAAAAGTGACGTCTTTTTCACTGCACTTGTTTTGTACTTACCAATTACAGCAAACGATGGCTTAGAGTTCGTTAAGTGTTCGTTTTCGGGGGGTTAATATTTATTACCTCTAACAAATTCCGTACGAAAAGTACTCTGTAAGAGGGCAAAATGACAAACGTTATCCCATTTTTCCCACATACACAACTTTTTGGATTGAAATTTATGATTTCTATCCTTTTTCATGAATACAAGTACAATTTCCACTGTGGAATCATATATAGTCCAAGCATTTAATTTACTTCCAAGGGTTGTCCGCGAACAAGATAGTTACAACACGATTCTGAACATCTGAGAGTATCAGCTTGTCGGCTTCTGTATAACTTTAAAGATCTTTACTCGAAGCCCTTCGATAAGTAACTCAAAGCCAAGTGACAACTCTAGCATAATTGTTTTTGGAATTTAAGGAGGTACCTAACTGTACGGTAGCGAATAATTACAACAATACATTTATTTTGTTTTTTTTATCTAAAATAACAAACACTTAGGCATCATATCTCTCTCATTTTACCAGTATGAAGTTTTCTTTGAGTTCTTTCAAGAACAAATCATCCTCATCTAGTGATGCATCTTCGAGCGATCCAAGTGATAATAGTGTTCCTCAAGCGCCACCATCCAGGAAACTGAGTGAGCGTTTAAGTTTTCCATCGACAAGCGAAATCGGGTCCCAAATAAAGAGCAGAAGGAAAAGTTCACATCACAAAATTGACCTCGATTTTATGAAGATCCCACCAAAGGCATTAGAGGCCCTAAAACCCTTAACTGCCTTACTAGCAAGCCAAGAGACCAAGAGATATTTTTACTGGTCATATGATCCCCAATATGACGATATGTGGACCGTAACCACAGCTGATTCAACTGAGAAAGTTTCTATAATTGAAATAAAAGGTACATCTTTCACAATTGAGACACAAGAAACGTCCAGAGTACTAGACGTTGATCTTACAGGGGGAGTTATCTTGAGAGTCGAATCTGATGAAACAGGCAGCCAGTTATTCTTTAATGATGGTGAAGTCACTTTGAGCAACCGTTCAATTCACAACGTGAATATTTTATATAGAACTGCATTATTGGCTATCTTTGAAAGGTTTTCTATTCTCAAAGCTCTCACAGGTGCTCTTATTGCACAAATCGGTCTAAGAATGTCAGATATAAATTTGATTTTAAATTCTCACTTCAGCTTTAAGGACTGGTGTGATGTTTACCTTGAGGAACAAGGTGGTTGGGTACGTCTCTGGTGTCATGTTGATGGCGTTGAAAAAAAAGGCAAGCCACCTTCTCAAAACCAATCAAATGGCACTGAAAAGAAGAAAAGTAGTTTGAATGTATTCGGTAAGAACAACAACAGTGATCAAGCAGGTACTGCAACAAAATCATCTAAGAAGGGTGGGTACAAGATTAAGTTTTATAAGGATAATAAGTCATTGAATTCAAAGAATATGGTTTGTTTCATTTCCTCTGAATCGAATGAAATTCAAGACCTCTTCTTTTATGGAACAAATGAAAATGATGCATTGAATAGAAATGACTATGGTGAATCCTTCCTAGATAGCAATTTAAACATGATTAAAATAATAGGTGAAGTGAGCTTTTCTAATACTGCCAACTCTCCATACCAGGAACCAAATGCCACTTTTTCTAAGAGTGGTAGTTCCGGGTTCTTGAACGGACAATTAAGACAATTGTCTAGATCAAGCCGTAATATGAGTGTAAGCAGTGAGGCCAGCTCAAATGAAGATTCTCAATTAACCTCACCAAAGATGAGAACTGGTTTTTTCACCTCTCCGAAGTTGGGAGGAAACACAAGCCCTGTTGTAGGCAAACACCAGAGAACAGCATCCACTGCTTCCAAGAAGTCGAGTAAATCTCTGCCACAAAATTTCGCAATCAAAAAGAGATCCTTACTTATTAGACCAGTCGAGCATGAAGGTGTTAAACAATTAGAGACGTTGATTCGTTTCATTGTACCATTGATGAACTGCCTAGGTATGTATGGTCGTCCTCACCATTTCTCTACCGATAAGGCTGATCCAAACTCTTTGATGTACGGCCTCCCAAGACTTCCAATTATAGATTATTTTGCGAGAAAGGAAACCAGACAACTGTTACAACAAGGACCACAAGATCAATCTTTGATGTTAGAATCCGAAACCTCAGCCGTGGCTATGAAATGGTTAACTCAAGAGTTAAAGAATTTCTCAAAGCAAAATTCTAACAGGGAAAATACTTTGACATTTACGAAGATCACCGATATTTATCCAACAATCACTACGCAATCCAAGACTCAGTCACAAAGCCAGATTGATGCCAATGCTCCCGTCGAGGAACAGGCCATGCAACAGAACTTGCCTAGTGAGCCTGAGAATGGCCAATATGAACATTTCCAGGACACGTCTGAATTCCAACCTGCCAATAACTTACCTACAAATGGCATGTCTTATGATAACAATTACGTGCAAGATCAATACGTTCAGGATCAAATGGTCCAGGATCATATGCAAGCAGAAGCAGAGCAAATGCAGGCAGGTATTGATATGGGACTCGACTTTGATATGGCAATGATCACTGAAAGCATCAGAAACACTAACGTTGAGGACTACAAATAAGCATGTCTAGCGGCACCCCCCAATTTGTACATTAATTCACCTAACGACCTTCAAGATTAACAACTGCTAGATGTTATTATATTCCTTATTTGCTCTTTCCACCATGTACTGAAATCCTGACATTATGAATTTTCACTTCAATTCTATAAACTATCACGGACAATCTGCCCATTTACCTCTTTTCTGAACTATAGACTAATCATAACCAACATTATATATGTAATATACAAAAAAAATACAACATACAAACATAGAAAACACACAATACTTACCTTATGACTAAACAAACAGCTTCTATTTTGATAAATACAGCCAAACTGTAATTGCTTGTATTCATGGAATATTCAACATCATATATTACGAACTAAAGATTTCAACTGCTGAAACTGAAAAAAAAATTCTGAATTCAGATGCCTTTGGGCATCATTTGGCCACCAAGTAGCGTATTCTGCGTATTTATGATTAGAAACCAATTGCCCTTCAGACACTGGACTATAATATCGACGTGTTTATATCGTGCTTTGTTTCTGATTGGGATAGAGTTGCAAGCTTAAAACGTGGAGATCAAAGGGTAACATATAGCCATTTTAAAAATGCAAGCTCCAGTTGTTTTTATGAACACCTCTCAGGAGAGGACTATTGGCCGTCAAGCCCAGATATCTAATATTACTGCTGCCAAAGCAGTGGCTGATGTTATCAGGACATGTTTGGGCCCTAAGGCCATGTTGAAGATGTTGTTGGATCCAATGGGTGGTTTGACTGTCACCAATGATGGTCACGCAATCTTGAGGGAGATTGATGTTGCTCATCCAGCCGCAAAATCGATGATTGAGTTATCCAGAACTCAGGATGAAGAGGTCGGTGATGGTACAACTTCTGTCATTATACTTGCTGGTGAAATCCTAGCTCAATGTGCCCCTTATCTTATTGAAAAGAACATCCATCCAGTTATAATTATACAGGCTTTGAAGAAGGCTCTAGCAGATGCTTTGGATGTTATCAATGAAGTCAGCAAGCCTGTTGATATTAACAATGAGTCTGCTATGAAGAAACTGATCCAAGCCTCTATTGGTACCAAATACGTAAACCATTGGTCTGAGAAGATGTGCGAACTGGCTTTGAAGGCTGTGCAAATAGTTAGAGTTGACTTGGGTGTCACCAATAGCGATGATCCTTCAAACAGATACGAAATAGATACAAAGAGATATGTTAGAATAGAAAAGATTCCTGGTGGAGACGTCTTAGAGTCCAAGGTTCTCAACGGTGTTCTGCTGAACAAGGATGTCGTACATCCAAAGATGTCTAGAAGAATCGAGAACCCAAGAGTTGTGTTACTTGATTGCCCACTAGAGTACAAGAAGGGTGAATCACAAACAAACATCGAAATCCAGAAAGAAGAGGATTGGAACAGAATTCTACAAATAGAAGAAGAGCAAGTTCAACTAATGTGTGAACAAATACTTGCCGTTAAACCAAACTTGGTTATTACCGAAAAAGGTGTTTCCGATTTAGCTCAACATTTCTTACTAAAAGGTGGTTGTAGTGTATTGAGAAGAGTAAAGAAGACTGACAATAACAGAATCGCCCGTGTAACCGGCGCTACAATTGTAAATCGTGTTGAAGACCTAAAAGAAAGCGATGTAGGTACCCAATGTGGTATTTTCAAGGTGGAACTAATTGGCGATGAGTACTTCACTTTCTTAGATGAAGCCAAAGATCCAAAAGCCTGTACAATTATGCTACGTGGTGGCTCTAAGGATATTCTAAATGAAATTGACCGTAATTTACAAGATGCTATGGCTGTCGCACGGAATGTGATGCTTTCGCCATCTCTTTCACCAGGTGGTGGTGCCACGGAAATGGCTGTATCCGTTAGACTTGCAGAAAAGGCTAAACAATTAGAAGGTATCCAACAATGGCCTTACCAAGCTGTTGCTGATGCAATGGAATGTATCCCAAGAACCTTAATCCAAAATGCTGGTGGTAACCCAATCAGAACTTTGTCACAACTAAGAGCTAAGCATGCTCAAGGTAACTTAACTTTCGGTATTGACGGTGATACTGGTAAGGTTGTTGATATGGTCGACTACGGTATTTGGGAACCAGAAGTTATAAAACAACAAAGTATGAAGACTGCAATTGAAAGTGCTTGCCTACTGTTAAGAGTTGACGATATTGTGAGCGGTATCAGATCTCCACAAGAGCAGTAATCTTAAATACACGATAGATATAATTACACACCCTTTTAATTTGCATCCAGTTTAATCACAACGATTTAAATATTTGTAATATTTCTTTTTCATGTCAATTATGTATTCGGGTTGACAAACAATACTTCAAAGAGTTATTGTAACCGTCCACAAGTTTCTTAAAGCTGGAATTACTTACCGCTGCTTTTTTATATGCAAATTCTTTGAATCATCATATTCCCTCCGCCTTTTGTTATTTTGAGTGTTACTCTTCATCATAGTCAATATCTCTTCCAAACATATTTCCCTCCCTTCATATATGAGTAAATTTGTATTGTAATCAATTTTTTCTAATTTTCCACTGTTATTCTTAATTAGCTTATACACAGGTTCCGATCGCCCTAAATTATCTTGAAATAGTATCATCTTCTTCCCTCCTTTCAATTGATCACCACTAAAAGTCCTATCTAGTTCATTTAATATTAGAGGTTCTGCCAATATTCGGTTCTCTTTGTTTCTACTATGTAAGATCTCAAATATATCCCAATTTCGTAAACATGACAACGGCTCGTCGTGAACTTCAGGATCTTGACTATCTGTGTAAATCGAACTACTCATTTTAGTTTCTCTATCTGAAGTTTTATTAGATTTAGCCTTTTCTCTAAGTTCTGACTGCTTCTTACCTAATATAACTCGCTCAGCTCCATCTAGCATTTCTACTGAATCATCGATAACTTTAGCATCATCTCCAAGTTTCTCGAGCAACAATTGCCTCTTATCAACTAATGATTTATTCCCATATTTACATTCTTTTAATCCGAGATTAATAACAGATATAGCATATTTGTATTCTTTCAATTCATATAAAAGTGAACTCAGCTCTTCATACATTAATGGCACTTTACTCCCTATTCTGTTGCGAAGCATGAATATAAACAGATCCTTACAATCAGATTTATACTTATCAGAAAAGAGCTCCATATACCACAGCCATATCTTCACGTACCTTTCGTCATCTCTATATCTTTCGCTATCCTTGAAGTATGTTATGCACCGTTCAATAACGTCCAGCATTCCACTTGATCTTGAGGAACCCCCTTGAGGAAAAGCATGATTAATCCAATCAATATAGTCTAGATAAAGGACCAAAGGATCGTCATGATCCTCAATTTTAACCAACAATGATGATTCAAAGCTTGCCCGTATTCTCTTGATCTCATCATCGTTCTGGCTCAATGCAGACACAAGCCGATGAGCTGATCTTCCATGGCGTAAAGGAGCTATATTTTCTTTTTCAACTTCAATATCCTCAAACCTGGTAACTTTTTGAGCTGGCATTTATTTACTGGTTTGCCATTCTATTTACTGTTATTAGGCAATAATCCCATCCTTAGCTATGTTTACAAATTTAAAGTATCGGAGCGATGAGCAAGAAACTGACAAAATTATAGGTAATTCAGAAATACATGTATTTGAAATTCAAAAGAGCTAATTATAAAAAATAAAGTACATAGAATATATTTTGTATTGTGTTCTTCTATATATGCAAAAAGTGCGACAATGTTCATTTCTCATATTTTGGTTCTACTGGAATGAGTTATGGCTCAAGGTGATTAATGTTTTGAACAAGATCTGTATTGAGAGCTTTGAAGTTAAATCATATTACAATAAAACGAGAAAATCATTGAAAGAATCAAGCAACCGCAAATTAATGGTGGTCCAATCTTATCCTCGTAATCAACAGCCCATTTCTCTCTGATATATATTACCCTCATGTTGTAAATGATGTATGTGTAAACTAGTGTGATTAAAGCAGTTAAGAAGAAACCAATTGAGGCAACCATAGTTGTTTTTGTACCGTAGTTCAATAAAGATGTGGAGACACCTGATAGGATGATGGCTATAGACATCCATGACAAGAATGTTCTTTCTGTAGCAAAATAGACTTTAGGTTCAACACGAACAGGGACACAAATGGTTTTACCAGGTGGTGCCTTTATCTGGGTATCGAAGACTGTGCCCTTGGGTATTTTAGAAATCTGATCACCATTTAAGTAATGGTCAATTGTAGATAGAATTTGATAGTATTTCCTCGAAATCGAATTACTTGAGTTTCTAATCTGTCTCTGGTAATATGCACGATTAGGCGAATGATTTTCGTGACCTTCTGTTTCTGAAGGCACTGCTCCATAACCAACCATTTCTTCTGTGTCCATCGCATTTCTATCATTTTCGGTCATCGCCGCCACTAGTGCGGCATCGTCCTCATCATCTTCATCATAGTCATCATCATCCTCATTTTCTTGACCAGGTCTTGTAATATTTATATGAGAAGGTAATGCAGGCTTTCTAATGTCTACGTCCATTTGAGGTAACCAGAATGGTATCGATTCAACTTTGTCATTCAATAATGTGGCAACACCATGAATAAATTTAGAGAATTTAGGTACAGGCTCAACTAAATGCGAACGTACAAGTTCTCGGACCCACTCAGGGGGTTCTTGCCCAAACTGGGTCTGAAGTTTAACTTCTAAAACTGCATAAGGGAATCTGCATATATCCTTATCTGCCACTTGCTTAAATGACCAATCTACACCAATATCAGTTCTTCTCCAGTTACCCTTAGTCCTATCAATCCCGTCAAAGTTGTCTTCTCTAACCATGGTCAATTCTGTATCCAAAGAAATACGAACTCTAGCATCACCTGGCAATTGAAAAGCAGTTCTATTATAAAAAGACCTCACTACTGGTCTCAACTTCTTCTTTAACATCACGTACTGAACCTCAGTAGCTAAAGCCTCCAAACTTTCAATTTCTTTTAGAGACTTCTTACCCTCTTTTCTCATCTTTGCAAAGGCCTGTTCGACTGTGTATTTACCCTTCATAAAATCATTTACATACTTCTCCTTCAATGCAAATCTTGCTTTGACAGACTTTTCACCAGTCCAGTCCTCTCTATGTGTCTTTCTCTCAACAAATATAGTATCAGAGGACATACCACCGTACCATCTCAACCGATGTGCCTCTGCACCTTCATCTTTTCTCAATCTACCATAGTAAAGATCTAAATCCTCGTTATCGTAGTAAATAGACGTAATTGCAGAATCCTCCTTCTCAAATTCTTTATTAGTGTTGAAGACTAGAACTGGCAAGTGCTTCAGGATAATCAACTTCAATTCAGTGATATTATCTGGGTGAACCCAATACTTGGTGGTCTGTCTCACAAAGTTTTGTTGTTTCCCACCAGCAGCCGAATCACCCTTAATTGGCTTACCAGAGGTCCTAACAAAATCGTACATCTGTGAAATCTTGACAACTAGTTCATCGTAGTTTTCCTTAAAGAAAGGTTTAGCATCAAGCCTAACTTGAAAGATAGGTTTCAAGATAAAACCTGTCTTCTTATCATGCTTTTTTATGATCTTTTGGAATCCTGTATAATTCAACCGGGAGAACTTCGCCAAGTCATGCACATCAGCAATAACATCGCTCAGCTCTTCTTCAAGGATCTCAAAATCCAACTCAGATGGTGGATTGTTCGAGTCAATCAGCCTCACCGTCTTTGATACCTGCTCCTGTACTTCTTTGACACGCCTACTCAGCTCAGATTGCTTCACTCGACAGAAGCTGTACACTTTATCCAGCTCAGTCTCCAGTGACTCCAAAAACTCAGTCTCCAGCTCCTGGGACCACTCACCATTGTTCTTCCTCAATTGAGTCTCCAGATCATTCTTAAGATCATCATAGGCAATGTAATAGTAACTGTACTGACGTATCAGGGACCGCTGCAAGTGCTCACCGAACTTCATTAGTCCAAATTCAAAAAGTTTCAATTTACACCACCTAGAAGCTTCACGCAACCTTAGATTACACAGGTTTGCTATAGAAGAACAAGATCTTGACTTGAAAGACTCCTCTTATATACCTTCTCTGACTCTTATCCCTGCCCCATGTGGGCCCCACTCCCCCCAAGATGGGAGTTTGAGAGATTACATCGCTGGACACGTTCTGTTTTAGTTTTAACTATTATGCTATGTGGGTAAATGCTAAATATCAGGTCAAGTTTATTTAAAAAGGACTTTGGTGAAAGGAGTTCGTCTCTGTTATCACACGTACTCTGCCACTAGTTGCAGTAGTGCGTCAATTTGCTCCTGGGTGAATCGGGTGTCACACTCCTCGACTATGGCGTATAGGTGGACCATTTGCACAGGCAGCTGGTTTACTATCTGTAATTTCTCTGCTTGAAAAAGCTCGTACTGGTTAAGTCTCATGACAAGTTCAGTAAATTTATCGTCATTGAGGTTGCAGAGTGGGGACATCTTCTTAACGTCTTCTTCTTCCTCCTGTGCCACGTCGTATTTGTTCATCTTTAAGTAATCTATCACATCTCGCGTAATCCTTTGCAGTGCTGGGTTGTTGTAAGGTCTCTTGCGGTGCATATGCCTTTTTTTCGTGCTCATCTCCGCTATAGACTCATCATCCCAATGGTATTGTCTCTCCATCTTCGACAAATGTTGTAGCACTTCATAATCTGACAAAAACGCATCTCTTGTCTCCAGAACCTTCATTTCTCTTGCAAATGTGTTATTGTGATAAAGCTTGAATCTGCTGTACTTGTAGTGGGAGAAAAAAATAGCATACCCGCTGTTAAAATTAACGAGTTCCTATAACTTCATGACGGTTATTCATTAGTATTCAACAGAGTCGGCAAAGTTCCAGAGCTCATCGCTGATTTTGCTTAAAATTTGGATACCAGACAACGTAAAAAGTCACATGATTCAATATTGGTACCATATTGCTAATAAGCAGCTGCTAAATCAGGGACCTGCTGTGCTTTTTATACTTACCAAAAACTCAATTAGAAGCCATTCAGTTTAGGCCATAACATATGCAAAGATAGTCGGACCCAATTTTATTTATATTTCAATTTTATTTTTTTCTTTCACAGAAAACTGTATCTCAATGGTACTGACTTTTTAAATTCATGTTCACATGGTAATTGTTCTTCTGATAGGTTTACTTCTTTCAGCTGACCAAAATTAAAATGACGGTTAAAGAATTGCTTGATCCTGTTTATGTGTCTGTGCTCTCTGTTCCTCCACCTCTTGTTGTTTCGCATTGGGTTGTGGCGGTAACAAGGTCCTTGCATTGCCGTGAATAGCGTTCCAATAGTAGTATTTCCTTTAGACACAGTGCGTTTGTGGGTGTATGGTAAAGTAGTTTGAGTACCATCTTTAGTTTGGAGCGGTCCCAGATTATTAAACGAGTTATTGGGACTAGATGTGTCCGTGAAATACAAAAATTCCTGATCACGTACTCTATCTTTGAAAACTTCATCGAGTAATTCGATAGTATCCTCAGAACACAAAATTTTGGCTAGAGGTGCATATGAGATCACCGGTAGCCCGGCAAGATCCTTTGTCGCTGGTGAAAGCGATAACGCTTTGCTCCGGATACTTAACGTCCGCATGCCCTGACTTCTCACAGAGTTGTACCGTTCTTCAAATACTGCAGTGGCATCACTCCCATTGCTGCGAGCAGATATAACTGTTCGCACTACGGGTAGTACCTCAGTTCTTGACTCGACCTCAGTTGCTCCAACAACCTTAGAAAGCACACCTACAACCCACTTCTTAAGTTCCACAAGCGGATCACTACCAAGGTCAATATCCCCAAGGGCACAGGTAACATCAGAGGCTCTGATCTGCGGCAACTTATCATCACCATGCACCAGTGACTCGTTGTACCGCAATGACATCCTAGTTTATTATTCCTTGTACTTTATCTTATTTAATATATTTACTGGCTTCTCCTACAACTTAACGAGATAGCCTTGGGTATTCATCGCGAGCACCAGCCCAATTGCTTTACAAGCTACTAAAGTAACCTTCCTAACATGCCATGACCATGACTATGACCATGACTATGACTATGACTATGACTCTCGATGCGGCCGTCCCGCCGAGTTATTGTGTCGCCTGATTTCAAGCAGACACTCTGGGTAACTTTTGAAAAATTTCCAGCTGCGAAGAAAAATTTGTGTGGGAAGAGTCGCAGACTGTGGGAACTAATATAAGTTTGAAGCTCATCGAGTAGTCTTTAGCTAAGGTAATGGCTATTAAGACCAAGTTTGAGCTGGATTGGATGGTAATCGAGAGTAATTTTTTTTAAATTGGAGCGTGGTTGACTGGGTTAGAGCCAGAGTAAGTTAAATCAGGTTAATATCAGAGCTAGAAGAAGCGAGTCTGGCGCGAGCTATACGAGAATTTTTTAATAGCGAATGTTCGAGTCAGGTCTTCGGAGGTGGACTGTGGGGCTGTTCCTGCTGGGCGTGGTGATAGTGCTGTGGGTGTTGTCCTCCTTTCTGATCAACTATATCTTCGAGGATGGTACTTACAGAAAGCCATTTTTCATCACGTATATTAACACAGCGTCGTTTATTTTCTACTTGATACCGACATTCAAGAACATAGTTTACAATTACAAGGTTACTGGGAAGCCTTATATCCACGAAGAATTGCTTATAGAGGAGGAGGCTAACGAGACTGTAACAAATTATACCGCTGACAACGAGCAGTGCAGGCGGGCTAACAGCATTGATGAAGCTAGCAACCCATTGTTGGAAGCACAGAACATAGTCAGGGACGCTCAACTGGATAGATTATCTCTGCCTGAAACCATTAGGCTAAGTGCGGAATTCTGCGTCCTTTGGTTTGCTGCTAATTTTGTAACTAATGCCTCTTTGGGCTACACATCGGTAGCTTCGCAGACTATATTGTCCTCCACCTCGTCATTCTTCACACTTTTCATAGGTGCTGCATTCAGAGTAGAGACAATTGATAGAGTTAAAGTCATCGGATCGCTGATATCCTTTATTGGTATATTACTAGTTACAAAGTCAGACGTACATATACCGCAAAATACACATATGCCACATACCCATGCTTTAGATGAGAAGAAAAGAGATAAAACCTTCGAGATATTCTTCGGAAACATGTTAGCGTTAAGCGGGGCACTATTTTATGGACTATACAGCACTTTGCTAAAGAGAAAAGTCAAAGACGAGAGCAGAATCAATATGAAAATATTTTTTGGGTTTGTTGGCCTATTCACACTCATTTTGCTATGGCCAACATTGTTACTATTGGATAAATTTAATTGGGAAACTTTTGTGATACCTCGTGACCCATTGGTTATAACTATCATCCTTGTCAATTGTTTGATAACATTTGTTAGTGACTTTTGTTGGGCATCCGCTATGCTATTAACAAGCCCATTAACAGTAACTTTGGGTCTAAGTATAACTATTCCACTGGCAATGTTTGGTGATTTTCTCTTCAGACATAAGACAGTCCCGTTCCTTTATTTTTGCGGTGCTATCCTAATTCTGGGATCTTTCTTTGTTATTAATAAGAACTCTGAAAAGAATGAGAGAAATGAGGAAGCAATTGCATAGTACGATTTCACTTAAACTTTTGAAATGGTATGTTTACGATTAACGCAATCCTGTTTTACTTTGAAAACAAGGATTTTTTTGTTTATTGCATGAATAACGTTTGAACTTAGAGAGGAAAGTGCTTGTTCGCTATACACTTAGATGTTAGTAAGGACTGTATAGAGGCGGAACCACCTTTTTGGGTCTTTCTATTGTAAATATTCAAATGCATTGTCATGGGGTTTTTTTCTAATCTTAGCATTATATGGTGTCCATATTTAGTACTTTTTATTTTTTTATTATTTATTTATTCAGCTTTCTATATTACATTATGTATAGGTTTACGGCAAAAGGAAATTTCAGTAATTTAATAGAGACATATATGCGCTAGAATTCAAATGGATACTCGGGCTGTTTAATCTTATAGCAGCTAATGTAGTATGAACCAAAAAAAACATCAAACATGCGCAAAATAATGACCCTAATACATTCGCATTGTCGTTGCCCTTACAGAGCTTTTTCCAATACACGAGAAGAGTCACAACTATGGACATTGCCACATACATTGCCGAGACAGTCACAACTTCAATTCCAAATTGCCAGCCTGTTCCCCCACTGAAAAACATAATATTACCTTTCCCATCTCTAGCAATGAATGGGATACCATTTATCTGCGTAAACTTAAAGCCAGCAATACTAGGCAGTAAAATACCAAAAGCCAAGACGATGCTAAACAGAAGACCTTTATTTCCAACAATCGGTAGCACCACCCTCTTGAGAACCACAAATATAGCTGTACATATGACGAAGTAAGTTAGGAACTCTTGCACATCGAACTCTTGTGGAATTGTTATTTCTACTTCCATTATCTTCCCAAGGAAACTTCCAAAATGCAGCGGATTTGATACTTCCTTATCTACCAATTCATATTTGTAAAATGGAGTCTTGGCCCATGAGTATACTTCGCCATCTTTCTTTGGTGGATAGACAACAGCATGGGGAACATTCTTTAAATCCATATCTCTCACAATTTGTCTAGTTTCCTGGACATCGCTAGAGAAAAAATATACTTTCTTATCAGGGAATTGACTTTGGAACAATCTGACAACATTTCTATAATTATCCTCAAAGTCCAGACATATCTTACACAATGCAACACCTTCATCATTAGTTGACCTCATAGTAATGAATAGAACATTGTAATAATCCTCTAACCCCTTAGATATTTGTGCATAATTAGCATCTGTAACAGCTATAATACCATCCTCATCCTTCAATCTATCTAGTTCTTCTGTTGTAATTGAGAACACCCCCACAATAAGACTTATAAGCAACGCAATGGCATGCATCCTCATGGCTGTTTATGAGGTTACTATTTCTTATCCTGATATCGCGAGATTTCCGAATATTATCTTTAGTTTGCGGTTGGAACCTTTAAGATATGTACTTGTAGAGATTTTCAAAATGCTACCAATACTCAATTGACTGTTATACCTCTCAGATCGACCATCCTTTTGATGATTCGATTGATACTCATCTTATTTTTCCTTTAATCTTGACAGCTCTGTACTTGAAAAAGTCAGTGCGATGAGCTGCTGATTCTTTCACAAATATTCTCAAATAAATATAGGAAAGAATAGTTGGATATTGATACTATTTAAAGTAAATTAGAGGGAAAATGCTTGTATATCCATTTTATATTAACAGAAATTTAATATACATATTAGTGAGACTCAAAACAGTGGTAGTACAAAGTACCATATAAATCCTGGCACCATGCCACATATTCACAACTTGTATCTTATACCATTGAGTCTGTATTTGATATCCTTTAGCTGTTTAGTGGCAGGCTCCCAATTTTCAAATTCCTGAAATAGTAGATTGATTTCATCCTTATTTAAATGCCGGTCAGTTTCATAGAGAAGTCCACGCATGCACCATGGTAAATGGTAAGTGTTAGCTCCAAGATCACATAGCTGGTATGGCGTATAGTCTACGGCTAAGTCAATGAAATCATCTGTTGTTTCCAGTGCAAATCTAATTCCGAGCTCATACACTTGTACTTCTCTATATATTGTTGAGTGCCCTCCCCCAGTTAATGGACCTGCCAAAGAGCCACTAATTTCTTTGATAATTCCATGATCATCATAACCAAGATTGATTAGACTGCCAGCAATCTTAACAATTCTCGTAATGAAGTCAGGCGTTTGAGAGCCCTTATCCACAAATGTAGCTCTGAAGATATTGGGGTGATGTGCAAAAAGGCATGTCGATGAATACAAGGGAACTAGCTGATCATTGATAGAACCTACGAAAGTGATTTTGGCATTATTTTTTATCAGCGTCCTGAGACTTTCGATGAACTGTTTAGATTGTAACGAATCGAACTTCTGAAATTCAAATAATTCTCGAAGTGAGTCTTTCTCTATAGTTTGATATGCTCTTACAAATAAAGTTTGGTCTGCGCCATAAAATGGCCCATTGTTGATTCCTGCCATGCAAAGGATTGAGATAATCTTCTTGCTCGATGTAAACTTATAATCAGCTGGCCCATTAAAAAACTTTGAATTATCTATATTTATGATACCACATTCTAGCAATTTTGCCAACAGTATGATAGTTACAGGACTACCTTGAGAATGCGAAACAAAATAAATTATGTCTGCCTCATTAATCTCATGCGCAAGCTCAGACATTACATCAAAGAAATAATCAACTCTCTCAAATATCTTCCCCTCCTTTTCCAACGCAATTTTGCTAATCTCAACCTGCTGATTATGGGATTCAAAGTATCTCATTACTATAGCTTCTGCCTCAAGTACAAATTTTGCCGATGTGCCTGTAGGTTCGCCAATGAAGGGTCTTATGAGTTTTGTTGGAAAGAAACCATGAACTCCAACTATCAGAACTTTAATGGGTGATTTACCATTCTCAGAAAACAAATCAAAGTGTCTTTGGGGACTAGTTCTCTTCAGTATAGGTCTTCGTTCCTTCTCTTCATCCATCACATGCCATCTAACCGCATAATCTCGCAGTTTGGCCTTCATATCATTCCATTTCGATTTCTCTGGTAGAATCTCAAACTGTGGTGTAACAATATTGGGCTTCTGCGCCAATTCATCCAAGTTCTCTTCCGTCGCCGCTTGGTCGTGCTTCGACTTATTTGTAGTCGTTTCCATGACATTAACACCATCGTTCTCGGCACCCTTAAAAGGAATATATACATTACTTGCTAGCGTAGAAACCAGATTATCGATCCCAAGCGTACCATCACCACCTTCATTGTTCGGTACTGACTTGTTGCCTCTCGACCAAAAGGACCACCCTTTAGTCTGCTCTTCTTCCCCAGATATAGCCTCGCTATCACTGCGAAGCCTCACACTATCTCTCTCATTATCTGAAGCCATCCTACGATTTATTTCATCTGAATTAGTACTATATCTATACACTTACTCTACAGATTACCCACCTCATCGCAATTTGTATGTTGATTCATCGGTTTATTAGAGCTCAAATCCCTAAACTTGGACTTTTTCAAGCTCATCACGTTGAACTTTCGATCGATCAAGCTCATCGCAAAGAGTATCGCATATATGAAAACGCCAAAAGAAACAATAGCCCAATGAGTTGCAACTATAATCCTGTAATTGGACTATTATATGCTACCAACAGCTGTCAGGTTTACAGTACGCGCCATGTCCACTAAGAGAAAGCAAGTTACTATTGAAGAGTTTTTCTCGAAACAGAAGAAGAGTAAGGTCAGTACGGTCAAGAAGGAGGAGCCTAAGCTACCTAAGGAAGCGAGTATTGAAGGCGATACCGTGGTAGAAACAGAGACTGAAGATTCAGCAGTGGTGAAAGAAGAATCTATCGGTGTTTCGGACGCGAAGAAGAAATTCCAAGAGAGTTTAAGCTCGCTATTGAAGGAAACGTTGAAGTTGGAAATTGACACTATCGAGGATTCATGGTTTGCGCAACTATCATCCGAGTTTAAGCAACCTTATTTCATCAAATTGAAACAGTTTGTGAATAAAGAGCAGGCCACACAAACTATTTTCCCACCAGCAAACGATATATATTCATGGACGCGATTGACTCCATTCGATAAGGTACGCGTAGTAATTATAGGACAGGATCCGTATCACAATTTTAACCAGGCACATGGATTAGCGTTCAGTGTGCGTGCACCTACGCCTGCGCCACCCTCTTTAAAGAACATATACAAAGAATTACAAAATAATTATCCTGACTTCAAGAGTGATAACAAGATTGGAGATCTTACCCCATGGGCCAAGCAAGGTGTGTTACTTCTCAACACTGCATTGACCGTTAGGGCACACAATGCTGCATCTCATTCAAAGCAAGGCTGGGAGACTTTCACTAGACGTGCACTTGAAGCGCTGGTGCATGATAGAGAGAAAGATGGCAAGAGCCTGGTATTTTTATGCTGGGGATCAAATGCCATCAAGATAGCGGAGTCTTTACTGAGTTCAACACACAATAAGAAAAATATAAAAATGTTTAAATCAGTACATCCCTCACCACTAAGTGCAAGTAGAGGGTTCTTTGGCAATAATCACTTCAAACAGATAAATGACTGGTTATATAATGAAAGACATGAGAAAATGATTGACTGGAGTGTTGTGCCATCGTGTTCACTTAAAGAAGTGACAGACGCTAATGCCAAATTATGAGTAGAAGCACTTTCAAATTGCTTGCTAAGATAATATTACGTTAGGAGCACATACAGATTTAAAAATTAGAATATGATAAAAGTTCTCAATAAAGTATTTATATACTTAAATGTGTATTTGCACCTTTTGCTTATGAAGATGAAGTGACAACATTATTTATAGCACAAAAGGATAAATTAGCATTAATAAGTAATGTTAAAATACATACATGAACACAGTTGAAATGCTCAAATAACTATATGAAATGCAGGAAAGTTATGCTTGAATGTGATATAAGAAAACATCATTATAGGCAAACAAAATGTTCGGTAAAATGAGCTAAATAAATACTCGAATAGTAATGTACAGTTTGTTGAAAACGCTCATTAGTTAAGCAATTTTAAGCAGATGGCTTTTGAAGAGCTTCCTTTTGAGAGCTCAACAAGGTGAAAACTGGGGCGTTTAGCTTATCTCTGCCCTTTAGGAAATCCAATTCCATTACGAAGTCGTATTCTAGAACGTTAGCACCAATCTTCTTGATCAGTTCTTCAGCGGCACCAGCAGAACCACCGGTAGCGATAATATCATCAACAATGACAACGTTAGCACCGGCTGGGATAGCATGCTTTTGCATTTCGAATTCATCAGAACCGTATTCCTTTTCGTAAACAGCCTTGACACATTCACCAGGCAGCTTACCAGCTTTTCTAACTGGGACAAAGCCGATGCCCATGGCTAAAGCCAAGCTTGGGCCGAACAAGAACCCACGAGACTCCAGACCGACGATGTAATCGACCTTCTTTTCAGTGAATGTCTCTTCCAGGTGCATCTTGAATGCGTCGACCAACTTCTGGAATAGTTGTGGTTCTCTGAAGATTGGTAGGAAATCCTCAAACAAAATACCTTCAGAAGGGAAGTTTGGGTATTGATGAAGGGCAGCCTTCAAGTCCTTGGCATATGATTCAATAGACATAATTATACGATTTGGTGTTTATACTTTTTTCTTTCAAATATAATGTTCTATGACTACCTCTATTCACACTGAAAAGTAGACAAAAAAACAACAACGGCAAAACCTGGAGAAAGAATGTAATAGTCTTAATGTAAATCAGTTAATGGAGACACTATCCAATTAGTATTCCAGTATTTGTTTAATTAAAATTTTTAGTGTAAGAAACACAAAAAGTGAAGCTCATCGAGCTCATCGATCTTCTTTTTTTTCCAAAAATTTTCAGAAATTTGACAAAATCTTAGTGAAAAAAGTAACAAGCGATGTATAATTACCATAAACAATGGGAAAGTTAGAACGCATGGCATAGTTGGCCATTGCTTTTACCGGAGTTTGTTATAGCACAATAAGCCTATTCTTGCGGAGCAATGAGAATACAGTTATAAAAGAGTAGGGAGGATGAGCGGAGTTTCTGTTTCTGTGGAGCATGTTGTTGGCAATCAAATAGGTAAGGGACTTCCACACTATTTTGTAGAGCTTGGAGATAAAGATATAACAAGCTTTGAGACTCAGAATTCACTTTATAGGGCTGAGGATTATGACCATTTGCTGTTCTGTTTGGAAGAGCGCTGGCAAGATGGCGACTCTGCTTTTGATCCTCTGTTTGTACCGTCCTTTGATATCATAATTGTGCTATTCACTTTGATAACTGTATCGGATCACTACAAGGCTACTGTATTGACTCGCAATGAGCCTTACAACGTAAATAGAGTATCATACAGTAAAAGGGCAATCAAAATTCTAAGAAAGTACTTGCGCATTTTGCAACAATTCGATACTACCAGGTACGGAACGTATAAACTGGAGCTTTTAAGGTGCCAGATGTTCTTAGCTATCGAAACAGTTAACCCACATTTCAAATATTTACAGAACTGCAGGTCAGTGAAAAATTCCACAAATGAGAATGTTTATTATAAACCGGATGCAATGCCAGAGAATATTATAAGGCGCGGCATAGTTAATCCTTATCGTTCTTTTATCAGTTGTGTGGAAACTAAAAATCCAATTTTTGGTAATATACCAGTAAATTTCAAACTTAGTCAAAGAGGAGGGTTGAGCAATGCCATTTTATGGACACTAGCTAATTCGATACAAGAAGATGATCTACTGTTCCATGACGCTTATGAGATATGGATACCACTATTCGACATCTTCATAAGTATACTAGAAATACGTCAAGCATATTTTTTAGAGAATGAGATAGTAAAGAAGATTTCAAAGGAGTTACGCATTCAAAAATTGATGGAAAGTCCAATATGCCAATTTCTTTCATTTGTCGATTCCATAAACTTTAACCCACTCTTTTGCGAATACGTGTTTGTCAACTGTGATTACACATTAATTAATAGAGATGCGGCACTCACTATACAACCGGTGTATAAAGGCGAAACACAGCCAACTGAAGTGTACTATCAGAGGGTAAAGTATACCAAACAGTTCAAAGCAAAAGTCTCAATGAGGATAAGGAGGCGCTTCATCTCTTTATGCTTCAATATTCTTGGCTCTGTACCAACGGGATTACATTTACCGAAACCAAGAATACATAAGAAAAGGCTATTAGTAGAAATGTCAAGAACATTGAGTACATTCCAAAACATTGTCGAATTTGAGGAGTTCTTTACTTTTGATTATGAAGAATTTATGTTCCACCTTATAGAGAGAACGTTATATGAGCTCTTCAAGCAAGATAGAAGGACCATTGTCACAGAAAGGCCTTCATTGATTAGTGGGAAAGATGACTTGAAAACCTTCTTTAATGAGATATTAGCACTGTTTAAGGCGGGCGCTTTTACGCCTGATGTCAGAATTAATGGATTACCTCCGCATGAAATTATAGACAATGCAGGCCATGTCAAAAATGAGAAATTACGCCTTCAAAAGATTGATGTCTGTATATGTACAATTTTGAGAAATGTATTACAGGGCCAAGCTAAACCTCTATTAGTAGATTGCAAAAAACTTCTAATCAAGGTATCCAAGCGAATTAATATCGCGAATGAGAAAAGACTAGAAATAGATACGGCATTTCCACAGCTGAAACCATTTATAGATTCATTTATTTAGAGCAATCAGAAATATAATTGTACAGCGACAAAACTAAGGGATGATTGTTCATTTTTATAAAACTTACCAATGATACTGGCCAAAGTGTCAGACCTTGTAGATAAATTCAAATATAAAAAAGTTTGCAAGAGGACCAAAAAAAGTAATAAGCCCTGTAGGGGGCTCGAACCCCTAACCTTATGATTAAGAGTCATACGCGCTACCGATTGCGCCAACAAGGCTTATTAAATTGCGTTGTCAGAAAAAACTTTAAGACAACTATATTCGATAGTAAACAATTTTGCTATGTAAGATACAGGGTACGAGTTCGTCACAGGTATTCAGCGGATTATAGCCGTAGATCGGTACGTATCACGGGATGTAATAGTTTGGATAATAGAAATACAGGTCAGTAATATATAAACGGTTCGGACTTTCACTTATGTGTCACAGAAGAGGAACCTAATAAGTCTATGTGACTTATAAAGACTCGTTCTTCGAACAAAGATTCTCCTGGTTTAACTTAAAACTTATAACTCTGAAACAATAGTAATGTGTGACTCGATATAAGCTGAACTTGTACCAAGTATCAAAACTAAAATGTTAAATGATAATAAGTCTTATTAGAAAACTAGAATAAGCTTTTTGGTATTTCTTATTACTGTTCTTATTGTGATCTTTCTACTGAAAGAATAAGGAAAGTATAATAATACAATTTACTGAAGAAACGAATTTTAATTCTCACGTCTGAGAATTCGGATGCTATTTATATCCTTCTCGGATTAGATAACTTATGGCCGAATGGAGAATCTTAAGATCTCCTTTTACCCCGCGGAGTTTCCTTTTAGTTGGGGTAAGTAATTGGGGTAATTATTTTATTAAGCGCTTATCTGATCTTGAGGTTAAGTCACACCTTGCTTCAGATTTGATTCGTCATATGTACGTCATGCTAACATAACTTTAATCTCCGCATCTTTAATTTAGTGGGGCACGCTGCTAGCTATTAGGCGGCATCCGTTTATGCCCCACAAGGTTCCCGAGGTATCTTATGAGATACCTCGTCATGTCACGTCAATTCTCCACTTTCCTACTTCTGAGGTTTCTCCTTATATGTTGCCGGCTTTAAGGATACATCTCATCCGTCAATCAAGTGTGAACTGAATAACATGACTTATGCATGACGCACACTCATCAGAGCGTTTAGCTTCCTACAACCTTACGAATCTACTTAAATAGGTCACATGTAGTGCACTAATATCATAATGCTTACACGCCCCCGTTTAAAAATGCGCTGGTCCCACAGCGTACAGGAGGAAGATAATACAGGTTATTGATTAGCAATATACGGCGCGTAGGTTATGAAACAATGATTCGTTAGCAAGTAATTAAACTAAAGGTTATAATCGGGCTAGAGCTTGTTTGAGGGAAATGGTTGTATCAAACATGTCCATCCTTTGCTCTAGGTGTGATAAAAGCGGTTTATCTTTTTGATCATAAATTGAGTAGTCCCAAGGTTCGCAGTGGGCCCATTGCGCGGCCATGCGCCAATCGTTATGTTTCCAGTCGACATTGATAACGTTCGTGGATTCATGGGCCACGGAATCGGCTTTGGCAGTATCGATTGGAGGGACGTTCCGCTTAGGTAGGAGCTTTTTATAGTATGGTCTCATGTGTCGGATGTGAAATTCTTTTAAGTTTCCGTCGAGGCGGTTGTGTGTTCGGACAAGGTATGTTTGGTCAGTCTTTTTCGCTTTGATTGTGAATGGACCGTACCACACGTAGTGTGGCTTTTTACTGATTTGTTTTAACTGATTGTACTCATCTCGCTTAGGAGGTTTGTAGACAGATTGATGCACTACCACTTGATCTCCCGGCTGATAAGCATGTGTTTGATAGTTGACGTTGTTTTTAAGGGCTTTCGCGGCGTTCTGATCAGCTATTTTCTGTTTGATTTTCAAATATAGAGCCTCTTGAGCCTCTTGATGTTCGTCAATCGTAGGGTGATCTGTAAGTTTGTATGGTGCATTATCGCCTTGCATTGGCATATAGTAATTGATGGCTAAAGGATGATATCCTTGGTTAGCGAAAAATGGTGTGGTATCGATAGTTGCTTGATACGAGTTGTTATAGGCGAATTCGGCTAGTGGTAAGTAGGTTGACCATTTTGTTGGCGAATGTGCCACTAGTGTGTTAAGTATTTCTTCGATTGTGCGGTTTGTGCGTTCGGCAAAACTATTGCTTGAGGAAGACGCAACTGTCGTATAATCACGATGAATTTGTAGTCTGTTCATGACAGCTGTCCAGGCTGTGGCGGTGTATAAAACATCGTTATCTGATAGTATTCTGAGAGGCCTACCGTGTAATTTTATGATATTCTGAATGAATATATCTGTCAACATTTCAGCTGTAAAATCTTTCTTTCTGCATGGTATGAAATGTGCCATTTTTGTGAAATTGTCAACGATTGTTAAGATACGATCATATTTATTATCACCGCTTGTTTTAAAAGCATCGATAAAATCGATTGAAATTTCTGACCATCGCTGATTTGGTATAGGGTGTGAGTGTAATGGGCCATATGGATGTGTCGTAGGGTGTTTACCTTTGCGACATTCGGGACAACGTTTGATGTATTGTTTGATGGAGTCGAGCATATTAGGCCAGTAGAATCCTTTTAAGAGATGTTTATATGTGGTATCGGCACCACGATGACCGAATAACGGGGTGTCATGATGTTCTCGAATGATCTCATGCACAAGTGTTTTCGGTATACAAACTCTGTAGACGACATAATCTTGTTTATCCTGGTATACTAGTATATCACCGAAATATCTGAAACGTCTGACTAGTTCGAAGTATTTGCTTGGTATGGGACGGTTAGGGTCGCGAATGTACTGTGCTATATTTTCATAATAAGGATCTTTTAATACTTCGGCGTTGATAGTTTCGATCGTGACGTTCTTTAAGTCTTTTATCGGTCTAGGATCGAAAAAGACTTTTGCTAGGTGCTGGGTTTCAGGACTGTTTCCTTGTTTGTTATTTACGTCAGTGTGATCGCTATCAATTTCGATAAGGTCATTGTCAGTTGAGTCCGTAATTTCAGGTTCGCCAGGAGGGCGTGATAAAATGTCGGCATGGTTTCGGGGACCGGGTATATATTTAATCTCGAAATCGTAATTAGCCAAGACTTCAGCCCATCGTGCTAAGCGGGGACTGAGTAATGCTAATCGGTTAAGGTTAACGTTGGTTTTGTGATCTGTGTAGATAATAACATGGCTACCTTGGACATAGTGTGTCCATTTTTTGAGTGCAAACACAATGGCATATAATTCTTTGTCTCGGATGTGCCATCTCGTTTCATATGAATGAAGCTTATGACTTAGGTATGCTATGACACCTTTTGGTTTTCTGCCATCTTTGTATTCTAATGTTGCACCGATGCAGTTGTCTGAAGCATCGACTGTCATAGTAAGCTGGTAAGGTGATTTAGGGTCAAATGCTATTAGAATTGGTGCAGAAATCAAAGCATCTTTTAAACTAATAAAAGCGTTGTGACATTCGGTTGTCCATTTCGTATTTTTCTTCGCGGCAAACTCATAGAGTGGTGAAGCCATTTTCGAAAAGTTTTTGATGAAGCGACGATAATAATTGGCAAGGCCTAGGAATCTTTGGGCATCTTTATAGTTACGTAATATTGGCCATTGCTTGATAGCGTTTATCTTTTCTGGGTCTGTGCTAATCCCATTTGCATTGATCACGTGTCCTAGGAATTGGACTTGAGTCAACATAAAGTGGCATTTACTCTTTTTAGGGTAAAGGCTGTGTTTACGTAGTTTGTCCAAAACTTGGGAAATGTGGTGTAAATGCTCTTCTCTGGTTTTTGAGTAGATTAAGATATCATCGAGGTAGACAACACAAAATTTCGATATATATGGGCGAAGAACTGCGTTCATTAGTCGTTGAAATGTGGCTGGGGCATTGGTAAGGCCAAAGGGCATAACGTTCCATTGGTATTGTCCTTCGTGTGTTATGAAGGAAGTTTTGTAACGGTCGGGTTCATTGACTGATACTTGATGGTATCCTGAAATGAGATCAAGTTTACTGAATATCTTGGCTCCATGCAGACTGTCTAATACATCTTCAATAAGGGGCAAAGGGAACTTTGATTTAACTGTGGCATTGTTTAGTCCACGATAGTCAACGCATAGACGGCTGGAGCCATCTTTCTTTTTGACAAAAAGTACTGGGGCGGCGAATGGTGAGTCTGATGGAGATATTCTTCCTGAACTGATAAGTTCCTTGATTTGTTGTTCGAGTTCGGCCCTTTTGACTGGTGAAAGTCTGTATGCGCGTTTAGCGATAGGTGCCGTACCAGGTACTAGTTCGATCTCATGTTTGACAGTTGTAGTAGTGGATGTGGGAGGTAAATCGTCAACGATCAGGTCTGCATATCGGTCTTGTAGTTCTTTTGGTAATTCGGTAGTAGAAACGTCGGACGTGGTAACCCATAGTAAGTATTTCTCATTAATTGGATTTCTTAAATCATGGTCCAATCCGCGTGTCGTTTCTGCTATTGTTGCCTTAGTTGTAGATCTAGAATCATTACCCTGTTGCAGAATTTTTATGAAAAGTTGGGGGTTGTTATTAATAAATGGTGCTCCAAGTATTATGGAAGGTTTGAGTTTTGTAGGGACGACATAGAAGTGTTGTTGGTGTTGCTGGCCCGATAAGGTAAAGCTTAGTTGAACTTTATGCTTTAAGTATCTGTGTTCTCCAGTGGCAACAGTTAGTTTAATTGGGGTTATTGTTTCATATTTTATGTTTGAAAATCCGGCGAGTATGTCGGAACGGATTAAATTAGTTGAGGCGCCTGTGTCTAGTAGACACGTATGTGTTTTTTGTTTGTTAAGACAAAATTTAATTGGAATTTCGAAGCGATTGATAGGTTGTTTATTTTCATAGTCATATTGTAATAGTTGATGTTTTAGGATAGCAATTTGTTGGGATGGAGAAATGTGTGGACCATCTTCAACAACAGATAGAGAATTGATATAAAAATTAGTATAACGTTGTTGAGATGGGTTAGTTAGTTTTTTGTATTTTTGTTAGAGGAAAATCCTCCGCCTGAACTATTATTGTTTCTGCGGTTATTGTTGAAACGTTTAGGATTGTACCTACGTTTGTTAAACTTATTCTTATACTTATTCGATTTGAAATATTTTTCTTTAGCTTTGCGCTTCTCGATTTCGTTATCCAATTCATCGAGAATGGTGGAAGGAGATGGCCAATGAAGGTCGTCGATTTGACGTTCAATTCTAGGAGGTAAATAATGTTTTGTGGCATAAATGGCACAAGTCATGTTTTCTTCATCACAGATGTTTTCAAATGCATCGCGAGCACGTCTTAGCGAGGCGGCTGTGATAAATTTTGGGCGATCAATTAAATTGACATGCCTAACAGTTTCTTTTGAGCTTCTCTCATAGTGGTTATCAATGGCCTTCAAGAATGTCTTGATGGTAATACGCGAAGGTAGGTCCTCCCTTATTTTAGTCAAATCGTATTTTATATCATCGTCCGTAGCACGTCTAATGTTATTGATTAAGACTTTGTCTGGTAAGGTGCGGAATTTTCTAACCGCACCGCGCATGTCTGTCAACCATTCCTTACGTCTGGCATTGCTGCGGGCTATCTTTTTTGTGAGGTGTTCGACTTCGTCTTTCAAATAATGGCGTAGTTTGCTTTCTTCTTCGAGAAGGTCTGAATCAGGTGGGTAAAGATCCAATGATGAGTCATAATCTGAGTCGGGGGTTTCAGAAGGACGGGTGGTCCTTTCTGGTTCCTCAGCAGGACGGGAGGTCCTTTCTGGTTCTTCAGCAGGACGAGTATTCCTATTAGATGCGGGCGCTACCATGTAAGATACAGGGTACGAGTTCGTCACAGGTATTCAGCGGATTATAGCCGTAGATCGGTACGTATCACGGGATGTAATAGTTTGGATAATAGAAATACAGGTCAGTAATATATAAACGGTTCGGACTTTCACTTATGTGTCACAGAAGAGGAACCTAATAAGTCTATGTGACTTATAAAGACTCGTTCTTCGAACAAAGATTCTCCTGGTTTAACTTAAAACTTATAACTCTGAAACAATAGTAATGTGTGACTCGATATAAGCTGAACTTGTACCAAGTATCAAAACTAAAATGTTAAATGATAATAAGTCTTATTAGAAAACTAGAATAAGCTTTTTGGTATTTCTTATTACTGTTCTTATTGTGATCTTTCTACTGAAAGAATAAGGAAAGTATAATAATACAATTTACTGAAGAAACGAATTTTAATTCTCACGTCTGAGAATTCGGATGCTATTTATATCCTTCTCGGATTAGATAACTTATGGCCGAATGGAGAATCTTAACATCTCCTTTTACCCCGCGGAGTTTCCTTTTAGTTGGGGTAAGTAATTGGGGTAATTATTTTATTAAGCGCTTATCTGATCTTGAGGTTAAGTCACACCTTGCTTCAGATTTGATTCGTCATATGTACGTCATGCTAACATAACTTTAATCTCCGCATCTTTAATTTAGTGGGGCACGCTGCTAGCTATTAGGCGGCATCCGTTTATGCCCCACAAGGTTCCCGAGGTATCTTATGAGATACCTCGTCATGTCACGTCAATTCTCCACTTTCCTACTTCTGAGGTTTCTCCTTATATGTTGCCGGCTTTAAGGATACATCTCATCCGTCAATCAAGTGTGAACTGAATAACATGACTTATGCATGACGCACACTCATCAGAGCGTTTAGCTTCCTACAACCTTACGAATCTACTTAAATAGGTCACATGTAGTGCACTAATATCATAATGCTTACATGCTACCAAATTATTTGATATTAGTATACAGATATTGTGTCAGTATTTGTTGATGGTATTCCAAGTTATTGACTGTAACCTCCTGATATGATATTCTTGAAGTAAATAGGCAAATAGAACAGAACAAGCTCTTGAAAGTGGGAGTTTATGAAGTAAAAGTCGATAAACTGTACCCTTAATGTCAATTTGATGTTAATAAAATTCAAAGGTGTGTTTGTCCCCTAAATAATTCAGTTATAATATTTATTTCATATATAACAACCTGGGAAATTATGTAAAATAACTGAGGATATTATTTTATATTTAGGTCGGTTACTGTTACATATGATGTTACTTCCAAAATATCATCTTAATTATTGAATGAGGAGCGAACGAATACAAGCTTGAACTATTATTGTCCTGCCACCATTGGTAATAACACGGTAAAACAGAAACTACAGAAAATAATTATGTATTAAAACTCTTCAACATTGATATATACACCTTAAAAAGTAACATCACTATTAACGTAGCAGTAATCTGGTAGGAGTTTGGCCCGTTAATCATCATTGTTGCGTTGAGGGCTAAAAGGATTACTGGTAAACATTATGCAGTATAGGAACTGAAATAGGTTCTCATGATTCACTAATCAGTAAAGTAACAGTACAAGGAAACTAACGAGATGAGCAGGTCTGCGTTAAAAGTATGTCCCCTCCCTTCCTGTCTGATGTGAATAAATTCGTGATGCGATGAATGATTTACTAACATATAACCTATTTTGCTTTGATGCGAGATAAAATATACTCTAGAGTGTTGATCGATTGAGACTTGTTATTAACACAAGCAGGAACTTTTCTAGTGAAGCCGCTGTTCTACCAAACGCTGCACCAAGACCAAAGTACACACTGGCCACAGTTAGAAGTTTTCCTTCATTGGAACCTAATTCTTTTATACCAGTTTCCGCAAATGTGTTATCACTGCCATTAAGAAGAGATATATTGTGGCAGGCAGTAGTCTATGAGAATGATAAGAGACGTGTGGGTGCGTCAAATCCACCAGGTAGAAGCGACAAAGGGTTTTCTAGGAAGAAGTTGCTACCTCAGAAAGGTAGTGGTAAAGCCAGAGTAGGTGACGCTAATTCTCCGATTAGACACAATGGTGGTAGAGCACTGGCAAGGACTGCTCCAAATGACTATAGTACTGAGTTAAACAAGAAAGTATACTCGACGGCCTTCTTCACTGCGCTGAGCCACCAATACAAGCTTGGTAACTTATTTGTGATAGGGAAAGAAGGTGAAATTGCTAAAAATGACGTGGAGATACTAGACATAGATCTTGGGCAAAAACCTGTGCCTTCTGACAAGATCAAACCAAATAAGATGGCGGAACTGGAGAATGAGTACTGTGAGATGTATTTCAAGAAATTCTTGGCAGAGAATAATCTATTCAAACAGAGATTACTCTTTGTCACCAACGAGCCACGAGAGAAATTGTTACATGCCTCTGACAAGTACAAGGACAAAATAGATATTATTCAAAAGGAACACCTGGAAGTTAACGACATACTGAGAGCAGGTAAAATATACATCGAACTCGAAGCATTGAAGGGCATCTCTGCAAAGTATATGTCTTACCTTGAGAATTGATCTTAGAAAAATAAGTGCACTAATTTTCAGGAAGTCTTTTCAGCGAAGTGATCCGAAATCTGTAAATAATCATAACTATCAGCAAAACAGACATGCCCAAAGGAATACGTTTTTGAACTTTTCATAATACACAACTATGTATATACTAGAGATATATTCCAATTCCACACGTATAATGAAATTTCTACCACGCTGATCGTATATAGCAATTACACAAGCATGATCATGTAGCTATTGACGTACCAGAGATTTGTGACTTCAAAATTACTAACACCCAGACATCTAAACATCCAAACATCCAAACATACTCCCGTTTGCTTGTGTTCTAGTTGAACTCAGCAGGAAACTATCCCACAAATTTCTTTTTCAGGACCTGCCAGAAAACTTGGGCCAGGGGGGGGGGGAAATCAGCCCAGCCTGTTGGGAAAACAGGAACTGCTGGACCTACCAGTGTTGCACTGACAGGCGAGAGGAGGTGTGGGCCTAACTAGAGCCCGGACCCCCTTGACGGGCTTACAACGACCACTCAACCACACAACAGACCTCAGAAACAGTATGTTACCGTTAGTACTCTAGGCTGGATCCAGGCAGAAGGAGCCGTCTGGGGTTCATCCTACTGCTTCCACCACCAGGAAGGCCAGGCAGAGGCAGTTGATTCCTTCCCTCTAGAGTTAGTACCTAACTGTCAGTGAGCTAGGCGGAGGGGGGAAACTGCCACTTCCCTGACTTCACCACCACATCGTCTGACTACCCAGTACGTTCCCTCATTGGAAGTTCCCACCAATTTTTCACTTTTCCACTATGGAGCTGCTAGCTACCATTCCTACTCATTGGGCGTTTACCATAGCTATAACTGAATTTAGTCGCATACATATATTAGAATATATAATTTGCATTAGTTATTGGGCGTTTAGTAACATTTAATAACCGAAAACACAAGTGTAGAAGATCAACAATGTCCTCCCTAGTTGTCGCTGAACAAGGTTCTTTCCAACACATTTTACGGTATGTTTCCCCATCGATTATAGAATAGATAAGCGAGATCATAAGGCAAACAATAGATTGTGGCTGCTACGTTAGTGCAAATGAAATTGGTGGATGTATCAAGATTGAAAAATGTATCAATAGAAAAACGTGAAATATGGTCCAAACAACAGATAATAGTGCCTCGATACAATACAATACAATACAATAGAATGCAAATGTAATTCTGATATCAACATGAAATATAAAAAAGACACTCCAAAGTATTCTAAGATATGAAAATTAATACAGAATAAGAATAATCCAGGTAATGCTAATATTTTGGTTTTTGGCCAGATACGAAGTTATGCGTGAATAACAACAATGAATATGTTTTACATGAAAACAACCACGACATCAAACTCCTTTGAATTATGAATCTCAAGTTTTTTCCACACTATGAATAAATTACTAACATATCTTTATTTTTCTTACTTTTGAACCATCTAATATACCAATAACAGTGGATAAGAAGGTAAAAAAATATTACATTTATACAGTTTGTTGAACACTAACGTTGACGGTAACATCAAGATCGTCTACGCCTTGACCACCATTAAGGGTGTTGGTCGTCGTTACGCCAACTTGGTCTGTAAGAAGGCTGATGTCGACTTGAACAAGAGAGCCGGTGAATTGACCCAAGAAGAATTGGAAAGAGTTGTTCAAATCATGCAAAACCCAACTCAATACAAGATCCCAGCTTGGTTCTTGAACCGTCAAAGAGACATTGCTGACGGTAAGGACTACCACACTTTGGCTAACCAAGTCGAATCCAAGTTGAGAGACGATTTGGAAAGATTAAAGAAGATCAGAGCCCACCGTGGTATCAGACACTTCTGGGGTTTGCGTGTTAGAGGTCAACACACCAAGACCACCGGTAGAAGAAGAGCTTAAGCTCATACATTATGTGCATAACTTTTATCTTTTATACACAATAACAAGAAAAAATTTTTACTAATTTAAAATTTAAGCTTTATTATATCATCCACAACCTTTTCTCTTTATAAAAATAATCCCCCCCACATATATACAATAATTAATCGACATAGGTTCTAGTCAGACTACTTTATGTGGAAATAACCATGCAACTGGTTACAATTCTAGCCAAGGGTTAAGAAGGAGTCATTGAGTCTCTTTTGCAAATGTACATCAATTTGTTTTTAATATTTATAAATATTTATTAAATGCTGAATAGTATCATAATAGTTTTACAACTTCGATTCCTCGAAAGGAACGAAACCGAATTGAAAATAATAATGGATATGCTATATATGTTTGTGTCTCAACGAGGGATTCATTTCAAAGGTCATTATTTGGTGGTCCAAGCAAAGCAATTAGTGCTTGACGTTAACGTCTAGTGACTTTAAAGGTTCTTTCTTTACTTTTGTAACTTTCTTGCTCTTTGAAGGAGATGTCAAGTTCTCGTTATTGATCAGTCTGTTGACTCTTCTATTTGGGGAGGTCTTCACTGGAGTCAAAGTCTTGTTAGAAGCATCCAGGTGGAAAGTAAGTGCCTGGCTTCTCTTTTTTGTAGGGGATTTTGGTCTTGGCGACAGTGGTGCCTTCTTTGGCGACGAAGTGGAGAGAGGCAATGCAAGTTGTGGGACGCTTTCGGAGTCATCGCAAGAGGAAGTGTCTGTAGAGATGTTGAAATCCTCGGAAGGTGTTCTGGATGCCAAGGGCGTAGTTGATGTTGTGGAGCCGTTGGACCTTGATCTGTTGTCAGCGATGACCTTGTGTCTCTTCATGGCTTGTCTCTTGTTCTGGAACCACACCTGGACGGCTTTCTCAGTCATGTTACAACGCTGAGCAAGGTTGATCCTGGTCTGCTTGTCCGGGGTGCTGCATCTTTGGAACTCCGCCTGCAGGATATTGAGCTCCTGGGATGAAGTACGCCTTCTCTTTCTGCGGGCCAGCTGTGCGTTGTCAATCTTGGGCTCCTTTGTAGGGAAGGTCTCCTGGGAGTGTGTGATGAACGCAAATGCGCGCTTCTTATCGTCACTGGACGGGGTGCTGATAGCGGCCTTCACTGCCGAGATGGGCGTGAGTATGTTATCCAGCTTCTTGGACTTTGGCTTGGTAGCGAGCGGCGTAGCGGAGACAGGCGTAGCTGCTGGTGTGCTGGGTACGGTGTGCTGCACAGTGACCAGTCTGGGCTTAGGCGCAGGAGTGGCAAGGTAGTTGGCGTGTGGTGTGTGCATAGCGGAGGCGATGGCGGTGTAGCGCACGCAGCTCTCCACCGACTTCGGCCTGGCGACGTGCTGCGACAGGATCGGAGGCAGCCTAATGACTCCCTGGTTGTCGCATTGGAAGTTAGAAGTCAAGAATGGGGACTTCTCCTCGTGTATAACTGTGTTGAGGGCGGGCAGCATATTGTTACTGAGTGTGGAGTAGTATGCAAGTATATTTGTGTATTTGTTTATTTTATTATTGGCTTTTTAATGGTTATGTGTATTTTAATTCTGCAAGATGTAGAGGTGAGAAACATAAGCTCTTATATATGTTTGGAGAGGGGAGTGGAAAGATAAACAAATCGATAACAAGTCCCGTTTAGGAATCGAAATGGCGTTGGTGTGTCCATGGTATGAAGCCTGCAGGCACTTATAGCCACAGGCTACATAGACTACATAGAATACATAGAATACTTAGACTACACAACAGGTACTGTCCCAAGAGCTTATTTAAAACTATAATTGAGAGAGCACCAATTGCCAATTTTGTATTTCCCACTAACGGTATGCGACGCGAACACGAAAATATTGGCATTTGGACGAGCAACGCGACGAAAACAGGATGAAAAATTTCAATTACCCGATTGGGTTAAAGACAAACATGAATAGACTATGTAGTATAAGCAATGATCAATTAAGATTGATCATTGCTTATACTGAGAGAGGGAAGGAAAGAATAGCAGGATATATTTTTGAGTTTATTTACTTGTACGGACTAGACTAGCTGCATTATTTGACGTTCTTGAAGTACTCCTTGGAGTCCTCGACGGTTGGCTTGATGGTGGCTGCGCCTGGGGTCCAGTTGCATGGCAAGACGGTACCGTTCTTGTCGGTCCATTGGAAACCTTCGACCAATCTCAAGGCTTCTTCGACGTTTCTGCCTACTGGCAAGTCGTTGATGGTAATGTGTCTGACGATTCCCTTAGGGTCGATGATGAACAGGCCTCTCAAAGCGATACCTTCTTCCTCGATGAGGACACCGTAGTCGCGGGACAAGGTGTGGTTGGTGTCGGCTAGCAATGGGATGTCGACTGGGCCTAGACCACCGTCTTGTCTTGGGACGTTGGTCCATGCCAGCAGGGAGTACTCGGAGTCGGTGGAGGCGAACAAGACCTGGGCGTCCAGGGCTTCGAAGCGCTTAGCGGCCTCAGAGAAGGCGACGATCTCGGTTGGGCACACAAAGGTGAAGGCCAATGGCACGAAGGCTAGCACGACGTACTTGCCCTTGTATTTGTCCAGGGACACTTCATCGAACACACCGTCAATGACGGCGGTCTTCTTGAAAGTAGGAGCAGGCTTTTGAACTTGAGCGACCATTCTTGCTTTGTATTTGCTTAATACGCTGTGGCGTCCTCCAGACAAGGTTACGTAAAATTCTTTACTCGAGAACCACTTCCCTATTTATACATTTTCGTCGCTGCCATCCCATTGGCCATCGAGTCCCCTTAGTGATCTCAACCGTTAAATTTCCTCGTACACACATACATAGCTACATACCCAATTGGTGCTCTTCTCGAACCTGCTCTTCTCGAACCTACTCTTCTTCTCGAACCTGCACTTGCTCTTCATGGTCGTGCTGATCAGCAGTGTCCACTACAGTATGCTCTTCATGGCCTTGAGGCTGTCCCTGTTGTTGCTCTTGATCAGCAGTATGTGATGCTGGGTGCTCTTCAGGATCATGAGGCTGTTCCTCTTGCGATGGCTGTGGGGCCTGTGGGGCCTGTGGGGCCTGTGGGGCCTGTGGGGCCTGTGGACGTTGTACCAATTGCTCTCTTCTCTGCAGGATTGACAGCGTCTTTTCCTTTACATACGGGAAGAACAGTAGGATGAAAAGTACGAGGTTCTTAGGGATCGCCACAAACACGCTATCTCTGCTTGGATTTGGAACCACATGCTCGAGACAGGTATCTAGCACCTGCTGATGCTCGACAAAGTCAATGATACGGCCAACTTTGTCTACTACTGTGGTGGTGAAGCTCGGAGACGGGTTGACATGCTTGACGTCCCGCCACAGCAACACCAGGAGATCATCCCACATCTTCTTCAGAGGTGGGTTCCTAACCAACCGAGTACGTCTCGCTTTATATCTCTCCAGCGTAGCATTTAACAACACATACATCTTCTCCAGGAGCTCGACGTTAGCTTCGCTCTCATCTTTACTTAACCTAATAAATATTTCACGCATGTACTTCAATTGCTCCTCTACAGGTATCACTGGAGGAACAACCTCCCCTTGGCCATCTGCATTTTCTTCTTGCACTTCAGTCTCTTGACTACTCTCGCTGTTAGACTCAGAGATGAGACCAGCTGTGGTATATAGTTCCTGCCTTATACTCTGCAACTCTGCGGGCTCGATAATTAGCCTCTTCACAGACTTCTCAAGGTGGTCCCACCCTTTGACCCCGACAGAGCTGAAATACTGTCTCGAAACTCGACGCATCTCTACATGCTCCTCAATCGCCTTCAACTGCTCCTCATTCACCTCATTTAAATGCAAGTAGGCGGCCCACATCACCCATATTTCATGTGTGTTCCATACTGCCCGGGCAACAAGCAAGAGTACAATAAGGTAGCTGTATTTGGATGGCACCAGCGGACTGAACTCATAAAGAATGAACACAGGGATTAAGGCATTGTAACCAACGAGATACAAAGTTCTGAAGACTAAGAGACCTAAACCAATAAATTTGCCAAAATAGCGTACCATCCTCTGTTTGAAAGTATCTGGACGAACTGATGTTCTACTGGCTCGATCATCCCTATTTTGCCTTCTCACCCTTTGGCCTACCGAATTAACATTCTCGTGACCGAGCTCTATATTAGAAGAACTAATTGCCGAGCCATCGCGACCTACTGTAATAGAATTCTTCTTAATCTTTATACCAAGTGATTTTTCTAGGCGAGCAATGAAATCCTTTGATAGGTTAACCAGTTCTTTACTGTTGTTATCATAATCATAGTCAAAGCTAGACATTTCAAATTCTTTGCCATCGATCTCAAGCTTAACGTCTCTCTCATTCAAATATTTACAATTCACAAACACCTCCTTATCTTCTTCGACTAACAGACATTTCCAGTATAACTCACCCTCCAATGGGACAAGTTTCCTGCCTTCCTCGTCGAAGAACTCTAATTCTGGTTCATTGGCCATAGCTTCAAATGGCGATACAGAGCGCAGATTGCTGTTCAACCTCTGCAGAGAAGGCGTGGCCAAATTCTCTGATGTAGGAGTCCTCGTCAATGCTGGAGTATTCAGTCTTGTAGATGATTGCACATAGTCGAACAAGTTGGGGTTGGAGAAAAGCTCACTCCAAAACCCTGGTCCCGCTGGCTCATTAAACTCTTGGTTGATCTGTACATGCAGCTTATATGTGCCAGAAGCCTCAGAGCCATACTCTATACAGCTCATTATCTTTGATCCATTTTCTTTTAGTAGGTTACCCTTGTATACAAGTTTTATGTCTTCAACCGAAAGGCTTAGTGTATGTGTGTAGACAGAACAGACAAATTCTTTGACATCTCTCACTGTTGTGTTCTCATCAAATTTCATGCTTCTAATGGAGAGCACAGAATCAGAAATGAACTCCAGCGTGTCACCTTCATCTTCTTCCTCTGTTTCGTCCTCGTTATTCTTCAATTGTCTCTGTTCATGTGCACAGTTAAACATTATTGTAATCTTGGCTGCATCTGAGGGTAAAATGTCAACTCCAAGCAGGTCCAGCAACGTCAGTGAATCATAGCAGTGTGGATCAAGGTCATGTAAAAACTTGAACGGGATGTGGTTACCCTTTATCAAGAAGGCCAATAGATTATGTGTGCTGTGCTTCTCCATTAGACCACACATATTCTTATCCTCATCCTCTTCATATCTCACCAGTTTCTTAACCACTTCTTCAGCTAGTACATTCATTATTCCCATCTGCTTCAAGTCCACTCTTTCCACTATAGTTGTGGCGATCTTATCCAGAGAGAGAGTGTTAACTTCCAATCCCACAGTGACAAACTTACCAAAGTACTCGGGGCTATAGGCCAGCTTGATATCCTCACCGGACCTGTGCGCGTACCCACCTCTCTCTAATGTATGCACAAACTCCAGCCTGATGAATGATGGCACATCCAGCGATGCATCCGCATACGAATAGGTCCGCAGCGCCTCCTTCAGCGAGAAGTAAAGCGGCAGAACAGTGTCCTTATACTTGAGACCACACTCATCCACGGGCTCCACGGGCTCGACAGCACCCAGCACCAAGTGCAAGTACTGCACCAACCGACTCACTTTGGTCTCCGGAAACACATTCACATTCAAAGACCGGTCGCCGTGATAGACCCTAAGCTTCCAGGGCTTCCCAACTAGCAAATCCATACTTTACGTAGTCCTTTCAGTGATCAAGTTACTGTCTCTATCTGTTATCTGTATGGGCAAGCTCTCTTGTTACATTAGCAAGCTGTTTTTAACTTTGAGTGGCCCTTTTTGATTAAATTTCGCCTTTAAAGTTAGAAGGGCAGTCCAGCATTACTATCGGCAACATCAAGACAGGCATAAACAAACTTCATTAAATAGTTGATATTTACAATAAGAGATAGTAAGATGGGAAGGCGCATACATATAGACTATATACAGTAGAGATACAGAGTTTCACTTGGACGCCTTGGCCTCCAGCTCCTTCAATTCCTGTTCGAGTTTCTGGATGGCAGCCTCGTTCTCTTTGGTCTTCAATCTTGCGGCCTCGGCCTTCTTCTTACGGTCCTGGGCCTCGGCGTCTCTGCGCTCCAGCTCCTTGATCCACAATTGCTCCCTGAGCTTGGCCTTCTCCTTCATCTGGTCCTCCTTCTTCTTCTGGTCGTACTTGTCCTTACCGTATATGAACGACCCCGCAACCAGTGCGGCCAGCGTCGCAGCCTGCAGACCCACTCTCCACCTGAAGTAGAACTGCGTCTTCTTCCTGTTGCCTATACGCATGTTCTGCGCGGCCAAAATAACAGCACCAGTGGTCAGCAGCGTACCAATGGGCACCAACGGTTGCTGCTTGCAATGGTACACAATCTTGTCCGCAAACGACAATTCCTCCACATCAGCATCCTCCACATCAAAACTACTAGGTAACCGCGACATTTGTACTCTACTTTTCTTCACGCCTTGTGCTGTAGAGAGCTTAAAAGATGAACAGTAACTTCAGACCTCTTATCTTTATAACAACCTTCCCCCCCCCCCTTCCTTGAACAAATCCCACCCCCAGAACTGACGAAATCCCACTTTTGTCACTTTACAGCTCAGAGCCTTCTCAATCTGATGCTTGTTTGCAGTTAAAAAGGGAACCTGAACAACCCAGTCCCTTTCTATCATGGCTTCGATCAGACAACAACAACTGCGCATCTATCCATGAAACACTACAAGTTGTACCTGCTGCTGGCTGGTGTCTATGCCGAGACCGTCGTCGGGCCGCTGGACGAGGACTTGCCCTCGATGGAGCCCGTTGCTGATCCAGAGCTCAGTCCGGTCACCGAGGAGATGTTCTCCTCCTGGGCGCTGTTCATTCTGCTGTTCCTGCTGATATCAGCGTTGTGGTCGAGCTATTACCTGAGCAGGAGGCGGATCAGGGCGGTACACGAGACCGTGCTGTCTATATTCTACGGTATGGTCGTGGGGCTTATCATCCGGATGAGTCCCGGGCACTACATCCAGGACACCGTGACGTTCAACTCCTCTTACTTCTTCAACGTGCTGCTGCCGCCTATTATCCTGAACTCAGGCTACGAGCTGAACCAGGTGAACTTCTTCAGCAATATAGTGTCCATCCTGACGTTCGCCATACCGGGGACGCTGATATCCGCAGTGGTCCTCGGGACAATCCTGTTCATATGGACTTCGCTGGGCCTCGAAGGCGTCAACATATCCTTTCTGGACGCACTCTCTGTGGGTGCCACCCTCTCTGCCACTGACCCGGTGACTATCCTTTCGATCTTCAACGCTTACAAAGTGGACCCTAAACTGTACACCATTATCTTCGGCGAATCGCTGCTGAACGACGCCATATCCATCGTCATGTTCGAGACATGCCAGAAGTTCCACGGCCAACCCGCTAAGTTCAGCTCATTATTCGCTGGTGCAGGGCTGTTCCTGATGACTTTCTCCGTCTCGCTGCTGATCGGTGTGCTGATCGGTATGCTAGTGGCATTGATACTGAAACACACGCACATCAGGAGATACCCACAGATAGAGAGCTGCCTGATACTGCTGATCGCTTACGAGTCGTACTTCTTCTCCAACGGGTGCCACATGTCAGGTATCGTCTCCTTACTGTTCTGCGGTATTACATTGAAACACTACGCTTACTACAACATGTCTAGAAGAACGCAGGTCACAGTGAAGTACATCTTCCAGCTGCTGGCAAGACTGTCTGAGAACTTCATCTTCATATACTTGGGCCTGGCGCTGTTCACAGAGGTCGAGCTGGTCTACAAGCCTCTGCTCATCATCGTCACGGCCATATCCATCTGTGTAGCACGGTGGTGTGCCGTGTTTCCTCTGTCGAACTTCGTCAACTGGATTTACCGTGTGCGCACACTGCACTCTATCAGACCATCCGTCGGCGAAAGCATCGCTGTCCCAGATGAAATCCCTTACAACTACCAAGTCATGACTTTCTGGGCCGGCCTAAGAGGTGCTGTGGGTGTCGCCCTGGCGATGGGCCTCCAAGGTGAATTCAAATTCACATTGCTAGCAACAGTACTGGTGGTCGTAGTGTTAACTGTGGTCATTTTCGGTGGTACCACAGCAGGTATGTTAGAAGTCATGAATATCAAGACAGGCTGCGTGGACAATGGCGATCCAGAAGAGGACGAATTTGATATTGAAAATGTTGGCGAAGATCCGCTCGATGACGAACCATTACAATTTAACGCTAACTCCAGAAACCTGATGCGACCATATACCGACTTACCAACCCCTGTGGGTAACGTCAGAGATTTCGATGAAAACGATTTCCCATCAATGTCTGCAACACCAGACCGGATGTCTGAACAGGCTGCTAGTTCACAGAGGCCTTCTGGCGAACGGACGAACTTGAAGGATGCCATTGGAAATATGCTCCGGACTGACTCGCAATGGTTCCAAAATTTCGATGAGCAAGTCTTGAAACCAGTGTTCTTAGACAGTACTTCTTCCCCCATGACAAATAGGGACGAAGGTTTGAACAGTAACAGAGATTCTCCTAGATTTATGTCATCTCGTAAATAATTTATATAGAATGATAAACAATTCCGCATCTAATATTAGTAGCTTTCTTTGTTATGAAGTATATACTAGTACAAGCCTTTCCTCGAAGGCGAACTCATGTCAAAGTAATGCATTATTCCAATTAACTCTGAATTACATGCTCTCGGTATTGCAGATATCCAACACCCATCTACTTAGTCTCAAAACATCATCATCGAGGTAAACCTCATTTAGTAATGCGTTATATTTAAGGACAATTTCCAGGAATGCACTAATGCATAAATTGTATAGAACCGAGACAGCGTCTGGTCCTTGCTCAACTTCTTTATTAAACAAAGTAGCGGTTAAACTAGACTTAGGATCCCAGTCAGCAAATCTTCCTAAAACGCCTACTGACCTTTCCAAAACCTTGAGTACTTCACCGACTGAAGCAACAACAACGCCTTTCTGATCTTCTGCATGCGATTTAACTAAAAATCCCATCAATGCAACTACTGCGCATCCATTACAAGATGCCAATGGTACTAAAATATCAGCCTGCCTCTTCTTGGATGATAAAAATACATCAAATATTGACGCCAAATCAAGCTTTTCGTCCTTACTCTTGGTGCCTGAAGGGAAAAACACGGAGCTCAATTTGCCTCTGATATAAAGATTAATACCTCTAATAAATTTCACTATAGATGGCTCATGGGTTATGATAGGCTCATCATATCTGTGAACATGATCGAAAACAAAATCATCTGTTTGATTTATTCTGGATTTCTTATTAGAAGTGCGTTTATTTTGAATCAAGATATTTTCCATCTTTAAGGGTAGCTTGTTATTGTGATCAGACTCTCTAAATGACTGTGAAGTTATACCGTAATTCAATGAAGATGGTTGTGCCATACTTTCAGGAACATTGCCAAAAAGTTCATCCCTAGCATGGTCATTAATCGAGTTCGTAAAAGATCTTTCTGGTCTCTTTGATTTATTTGGTTTGTTTTGCAAGGTTTCCAAGAATTTTATCACAGAGGTGTTTGATTGCTCAATAACATCAATACACTCTTTTAATATGATATTCCACAAATTCTGATTTCTATAACGGGTGTGATAAATTGGATCTCTCAAAGAAACGCTCATAGCAGTGGCACGATAAGACAATTCTTGAAATGCAGTTAGTTTCGTGAAAGGCTTCTTTGAGCGGAGACCATCGATTAAAGTCTCGATTGGTGTTGATGAAAGGGTTGAGATTGGCTTGCCCTTGTGCAGACAGCCAATGCTCATGTGAGAATCAAACCCCAAGTTAATGAACTCAAAGTTCAGAAAAACGATGAACGATAGAAACGTCAATTTCAGTACTGTTGAGATATTCAAAAACCATGTCGAAGAAGTGAATCCGAACACGAAAGGATGCAACAGCAGGAACGCAGTGGATAAAATACCGCTACGGACTGCAATGGTGCCCAGTTTCGAAGTAATGTATTCCTGTGGTGGCTGGAATTGGCTATCAAAGCTGAAGGACAACCTATCTCTATCAAATAATATATGTTGAACTGTGTAGAAAAATGGGAGCACACACCATGTCAACAACCTGCTGTATATAGATTCTGCAGGACTAATGTTCACACTTCCTCCAAGTACAAGCCCCACAAGGACACTTGCCATAGTGTACACGGCGAGGAATATCAATGATTTCAAAGAGAACACCTGGCCCAGTACGTATGTGATGTCGTTTCTGTATCCAAAGGATTGGACGTGCATATAGTTCTTTCTTGCCACTATTATCAATAACGAGGCTATATTAAGCACCACAAACTTTGGGGTAAATAGGAAAAGAGACTCTATCAATGAGCTGTCTCCTTTGGTCAGCACAGAGAACACCAGAATCTCGAGCGTAGAGGACGTAACAAACAGCCGCGTCACAAGGTGGTTAAACCGCGTCTTACATATATCCGTAAATATGGCATGGTAGCTGTACCTCGAATTCAGCACCGGAGCTTCCATCCTCTCCAATATTTTCGACTTAGAGACTCCGCCAACAACTTTATGATCCAATTACCTCTAAATAAAGATCGCTTTCTGATCTATGCAATTCGTGTCAGAAACCGGAAGGAAAAAAAAAGACTTTGCAATTATTTAAACCCTGTGCTATATCTCAACTTCAGCAAGGTTAACAATGCATTGCAAAGGCCAAATAGCGTATACAAATGTGCAAACTTCACTTGGTATTGCTTTATTTCATCAAATTCCAATATTTTTTCTGTTTGCGAAGCAAACTATGAAATCACTCTGCACACAGGCGTGGATCAGATGATGAATAGCATTTAGCAAAGAAGGGCTCATCGCGGTTTACAAGCAGGACTATTGCCTACTAGCGGTTATAACATGGTTAGAAGAGCTGTCTTGGGTACTGTGGTAGCTGTGCTTCGTGTTAGGCTTCTTTTTTTGAGTTGTTTTATCCCTAGTGTGCGATATAGACAGCGGTTTACTTACTGTTTCGGTGACTTAACCTTAAGCGATGGTCAAGGAAGAAGAGAAGGATAAAGTGCACTTCAATCACGACGACATACAGCAGAAGCTGGACAAGAAGCTAGGTCCCGAGTACATCTCGAAGCGTATTGGGTTTGGGAGCAGCAGGGTGGCGTATATCGAAGGATGGAGGGCGATCAATTTGGCGAACCAGATATTTGGTTACAATGGATGGTCTACAGAGGTTAAAAATATTATAGTGGACTTTCTGGATGAACGCCAAGGGAAGTTCAGTATAGGATGCACTGCCATCGTGAGAGTTAGTCTTGCAGATGGTACATACAGAGAGGATATCGGCTATGGTGCGGTGGAGAATGAGAGAAGGAAACCCGCTGCCTTTGAAAGAGCTAAGAAATCTGCGGTGACAGATGCATTAAAGAGATGTCTGAGAGGCTTTGGTAACGCCCTGGGAAACTGTCTCTACGACAAAGAATTCCTGTCTAGGATAGATAAAGTTAAATTTGATCCTCCTGACTTTGATGAAGGCAACTTGTTCAGGCCATCGGATGAAATAAGTGAGTACTCTAGATCTAATACTATTGATAATGATAACCCTGCAGTTAAGAGGCAAAAGCTAAATAATCAGAACAGCATCCCAGACACAAATAAGGTAAAATACAATGGCTCTGCGCCTGCGCCTGCTATCACCTATAACAACGCGCCTAAAAAACCAGTTCAGTCAGAAGAAAGGTATGCTCCCAATGGAAGTAGGGGTAAAGAAAACGCACAGAACAAGTCTGAGAATGAAGATCTGCTTGACGATTCCTTTATGTTCAGTGACGATCTACAAGATGATGAGCTAATTAGCCTAATGAACAAGAATTCTTCTGATCCGGACAGAAGATTCAATAACGCACCAAAGGAAAATACTGGAGATATTACTTTTGTAACGGCAAGAGCTGCAGATTCTTATCAAAGCACTGAAAATGTACCAGAGAACCTTAAATTTGATCCTAAATATGTACCTCATTCAATGAAACTTACAATTGATCAGAACACATCAAAACATATTCCATTGAGTGTTCTAAAAGAAAAAGGTGTTACCGCTACTTCCAGAGAGGCTATTTATTCAAGGTTCGCTGCTAAGGGCAAACAGATACCAAATCCAATCGATGACAGTACGGACAGCCGTCTAGCAGAAAATGATAAAAGTAATGAAAATGATGATACAGAAACCAGTCACTCTACAGAAATCGAAAAGTCTGCTATCAGTAGTGTGAATAACGGTACAAATATATCGGGCTCCACAGAGTCGTCCGTAACAACTGTACCATCACATAATTCAACATCGCAAACTACAAATATAGAAGCTAAAGTAGATAAAGCCGATAGTCAAGTAAGTGAAAAACAGAGTCAAAAAGGTATCAAATATGCCCCGCAAGTGCCAGTAGTACATCCTAACACGTCTGCTGCAATACCCTTAAACCAAAATAAACCACTGAGAAGAGAAGTAGGAAGGCCGAAAATCAACAATGTTGGCCCAAAGAAACCATCTCCTACACCATGATCCATGGATTGTAATTTTTAACAAACTACTGCTATATAAACAATCTGCCAGATTGGCTCTATTTATAAGGTAATGCTATTGCTAACTATCAATTTATTTCATTGCACATAACATATGCTGAATCGACAATAAATTAAACATTAATTTTGAGAACTGAACTATATATACAATATTGACCATATAAAACAATTACCAAACAGCATTAGAACGAAGTTGCATTCACTTATAAAAATTATTGATTCTCGTTAATTCCATCTGGTTTAATCTTTCTTTTAACATCAGTCGGACCAACCCATTCCAAACATTTCATCATATCACCATGAACTTCCATAAGAGAAGATTTAATATTGGTATTTTGGTTTAATTTTTTTAGTATTTCTTCCCAAAGTTTATTTTTAGTTTTAGTACTACCTTTCCCATCCAATATATAATCACGCAAATGTACAGAACTTATGAAAGCATCACCTTTATCTGTAGCTTTCTTGTCTTTCAGAAGCTCTATAACTTCATTGGTATAATTGGCAATTTTCTTCTTCTGTTCAAAATAAGTTTTTATTCTATACCTAATCACCGCAATGGAAATTATAAATCCAAGTACTATTAAAATAATCTTACGGTATTTCATAATGGTTTGATGCAATTCATTCTCGAAATGACACCCCAAGCTTATATACTTCTTGGATGATGACCGAAGAATGAAGTTTTCACGTTCTCTCCTTTCTGGAATAGATTCTTTCTGTCTTTGATTGTCATTGGTTTTACTTTTATATCTTGGCTTAATCTGTTCTCTATGTCTATTGGCTGGTAGCTGTAGAAAAAATCCATAAATTCAAAACTGTGTTTGAATGTTTGACTCAATTTAGTCGTTAGGAATAGATGTTAGTAAATTTTGATCATCATAAAGATATTAAATAAAAAATGGTATGATACTCACTTGCCTCATAGTAATTTCAGGTTCTTTCTCCAATTGTTTTATCACAGAAGACCATAATTCGTTAAATTGTTCTTCACTTATCCAGTCTTTTTTTGATTCCTCAAAAATTTGATATACAATCTCTTCTGTTATACCGCTTTCGATATCGTCACTGGATTCACCACATTCGACTTGTGCATTTTTAATCCTGAGTAATTCAAGTGCCTTTGCAACAATCTCAGAAATCATTCTTTCCCTCTCATCATCTTTCTCGCATGATGCACCAATAGGTATTAGTCCATTCAAACTGTACAAAGAATTTTGCAACCTGTAGCCGGGTTTACATCTTAGTTCTAAATTTGGATAGCACAGGCCATGCTCAGGACATTCTTGACATTCTGGTTTGTATGGCTCTAAAAAGGATTCAACCTCATCTCTATATGGTAAATTCAGCTTTTCGAAGTACTCTGATCTACCTTCACGTTCTTGTCCACAATAACCAACCATAATAGACTGTTCCCTATACCAGACAGCTAAGTTTATGATAATAGCAATTAAGGCACCCGCCACAATTAGAAGAATCAATTTTAATAAAAGCTTCAAAGCCTTGCATACAAAACTCGACTTTTTTGGTGGAGGGTTCATTATCTCTTCTGTTGACTCTTTAACTAGATCAGACTCACTAGCTTCGTCATCAACAGATTCAACTTCCTCAATCTGAATTGTTTTGACCTCAGGCTCTTCAGCGACCTCTTCATGGTCATCAAATAGAAAGCTGTTTTCGGATTTGAGTTTGCCAATGAATACATTGTCAGAGTTAATGGTGTTGCTGAATGAATTATCTACTTGAGGCCTGGATATGTTGATCTCTTGGATGCTTGAGTTTGATGTATCGGCGAAAGGATTTTGTACAGTTGTTTTAGAAGTCAAAGAGATATCATTTGAGTTGTCCAGGGGCTGGGCTTCGTTACCAAAATCTTCCGTTGAGGAATTTTCGTTTTTTACTTGTGTCGTTTGTTCTTCCACTTCAGGTGCAGTATCACTAGGTGTATCCTCTTTGATGAAGGCATTATACATATCAGTCCCACTAGTGTGTGGTTGTGCGTCAGACTCTTTGGGGGCACCCTGATCAGAGATTAAGTTGCTACTGCTGGACGGTTCACTGTCATTGCCATCATGCATGCTGACATCCTTATTTTCTTTATCCTTCTCCTTCTCCATATCTGAAATTGCATTGTTAATCAGACTCGCCATCTTATCACTGACTTTTATCGATTTTAAGTGGTCCAATTCATTCCCTTTCTGTTTCTTGTAGGAGAAATCCAAGTGAACTGGCTCTTCGGGTTTCTTCTCTACTTTTTCCAATTCTTCTACTTCTTGTTCAGCTTTCCTCTTTGACCTAGCGGTTTGGAACTCATTTTCGGTTTCAACTGTGTCATCCTGTTCCATTTCATATGAGCTGGAGCTATTACTGGAACTTGAGCTTGAACTTGAGCTTGAACTTGCGCTGGAGCTATCGCTAGCAGTGGAAGAGCTGCTTTCAGTATCGCTTTCACTATCACTTGCGCTCTCTGAGCTCTCCTTAGGTTCAGGTACAACCTTTTGCTTAGCCTGTGCTTTCCTTATTTCCTTCATAGTCTTCTTCTTGGAAGTAATTCTGGAGATACCGTCACTGCTAGCCCGCACACCTTTCTCTTTCTTACGCATCTCAGGAATCTTCGGCTTGATGTGCTTCTTAAATAACTTCGCCAGCTCGGCCTTCTTGGCATTAGCAGGGTACTCGACCCCATGTTCTGTCAGAACCCTCCTTAATTTGGCCACGGTCAGCGACTCGGGCTTAAAACCAGGAACCAGTATGTTCGTCACCATCTTATCGTTGCTCTCCTTAGCCACAGTAGACCAATATAGAAAGACAAGCAAACGGAGTCCCAGTCCTTTATATATGCACATGTTGTTGAGAATGCAAATCCAACAATTTGCAAGCTCATCGCAAATTGCTTTGTGGCCTATTATTAGGAAAATTAAAGATTTTTCCTAATTGGGTAACACAATAACATGATCCGCATCGGAGTAATGCAGAAGGCCCATCGGTACATACAGAAGAGGTGCATAGAGACGGGGCAGATCAGTGGAAGGGCCCCCATATTTATTTACGTTACATATACCTTCAAAGGGTGCTCAACATTCACACACTATTATGAATCGAACCAAAGCCATTAGGTCAATCACACAAGAAGATGCTTGCTGGGGACAGTTCTATTTTGCAAACCATTCCCAGAAACAGGCTGCAAAGTAACTAGCACGAAGCTCTAGAAGTACCCAGAGTGCGAGTAGAAGATCTGTAACGACATTTGACACCTTGATACTACTCACATTCAAACTTCACTGATACATTAGTTTGGTCATGTGACTTAAGCGTACAAAATGCATATTAGGGTTTCCTGACCACAATCCTCAAGCCCTAAAACTAGAGGTACTCCTCCCCCCTGAAACCCTAATCATAGATTCTTAGCCCTAAAAGGCCACCACTCCTGCAGCTCTTTCGGCGCAACTAGCATTAGCTGTCGATGCTGTGCGTATTGGCAAGAGTTACAGTAGGTCTAAATTAATATTTTAATATTTGTAGTGTATTGTAGAGTGGCCATTGTGCGCCAGTAGCTTCGATGATATTGCACTGCGCAACAGGTTTCGATCCGGGGTAAGTAATCTGCAACGTTAAGAATTTTTTCTTTACTCACACCCACCTCATCGCTTGCTGCCCACCCCCTAGTATATCAGCGAACTGTACTTGCAAACTAGACGGTAACTTCGCAACTCACCTCGAATACTCCCAATTGCGAAGCATTAACGAGAAGCAATGTCTGATTTATCACTGGAGGCTACGCCTTCTAACGACGGCAGGAGCTCTATGTTTATGGATGATCGCAAGGACAAGGACGGTTTGAGTGTTGATGAGCCACAAGTCAGTAGGGATGAAGAAAGCGGCGGTTCTGATGCGCATTTCTCTTACCACGAGGGCAGGAAGATCTTTGAGAACAGTTCGAAGCATGTCGCTGTCGACCAAGAGGATCTGAGTTCGTCGGGGTTCTTGCCGCAACCACACCACCCTACTATGATGGGTGCCAACGGTAATGGCCAAGGCCAAGGTAAAAAGAACAGGACTCTGTCTTCTAATGCAAGGCACACTTTGCCAGATGCGCCATTGAGCAAAGCTGAGATCGTTAACAAGATCACAGACGACTCTGTCAGGGATAAGACCCCCTTGTACAAGATGGGGATGCTGTCCGATGACGCCTCGCAACAAATCCTCGAGGATCCATCCCCAGAACTGGTTGATCTGTACACTAAAGTTCAAGAATGCCGTGATTTGAGAACCAAATACCAATCATTGTCTTTGCAATACAACAGCCAAAACCCTAAGAACTCTCAAGATTGGGAGATATACCCTCCACCACCAAAGCCCTCTTACAACGCTGAGACTAAGACTGTCATTGCTGTTACCAACAAGCCAGACGCAGAGGTATTTGATTTCAACGAATGCGAAATCCCTGGTGAAGATACAGAGTGGGACTTCGGTACCAACGATGACGACTCCTACTACGTTCACAAACCTGGCAAAGAAGATGAGATTCTTGCTAATATTCCATCTTTGCGTGACTACTACAAGGATCTTGAGAAAATGGTAGGCATCTCTTCTGATGGTCCAGCAAAGTCATTTGCTTTCAGAAGATTGCAATACTTAGAAGCTAGATGGAACCTATACTATCTGTTGAATGAGTACCAAGAAACCAGTGTCTCCAAGAGAAATCCTCATAGAGATTTTTACAATGTCAGAAAAGTGGACACTCACGTTCACCACTCAGCATGTATGAATCAAAAGCATTTGCTGCGTTTTATCAAGTACAAGTTAAGACATTGTAAGGACGAAAAAGTTATCTTCAGAGATGGTAAAGTATTGACCTTGGACGAAGTGTTCCGTTCTTTGAACTTATCAGGTTACGATCTATCGATTGATACCCTAGATATGCACGCACACAAGGACACCTTCCATAGATTCGACAAATTCAACTTGAAATATAACCCAATCGGAGAATCGCGTCTAAGAGAAATTTTCTTGAAAACTAACAACTATATCAATGGTTCTTATCTGGCAGAGATTACTCAACAAGTACTCTCCGATCTAGAAAACTCAAAATACCAAAACTGTGAATATAGAATCTCTGTGTATGGTAGATCCCTTGACGAATGGGACAAGTTGGCATCGTGGGTGATTGATAATAAGGTCATCTCTCACAATGTCCGTTGGTTGATCCAAATTCCACGTCTATACGACATCTACAAGAAGACCGATACTGTGAAGACTTTCCAAGATATCTGCACAAACATCTTTCAACCATTATTTGAAGTTACCAAGAATCCAAAATCTCATCCAAAGCTTCACGTATTCTTGCAAAGAGTTATCGGATTTGATTCTGTTGACGATGAGTCCAAAGTTGATCGTCGTTTCCACAGAAAGTATCCAAAGCCCTCTCTATGGGACTCTCCACAAAATCCACCATATTCTTACTACTTATACTACCTATATTCTAACATGGCCTCTTTGAACCAATGGAGAGCCAAGAGAGGATTTAACACTTTAGTTTTAAGACCACATTGTGGTGAAGCTGGTGATCCTGAGCATTTGGTTTCAGCATACTTGTTGTCTCAAAGTATTTCTCATGGTATTCTGTTGAGAAAAGTACCTTTTGTTCAATATTTGTACTTCCTTGACCAGGTTGGTATTGCAATGTCTCCATTGTCTAACAACGCTTTGTTCTTGACTTACGACAAGAATCCTTTCCCACACTATTTCAAGAGAGGATTGAATGTTTCGTTGTCTACGGATGATCCATTGCAATTTTCTTACACTAGGGAACCTTTAATTGAAGAGTATTCTGTAGCTGCACAAATCTATAAGCTTTCCAATGTTGACATGTGTGAGCTAGCTAGAAACTCTGTTCTACAGAGTGGTTGGGAAGCTCAAATTAAGAAGCATTGGATTGGTAAGGATTACGAACTGCCAGGTGTTGAAGGTAATGATGTCGGAAAGACAAATGTTCCAAATATTAGAATTAATTACAGGTACGATACTTTGGCAACCGAATTGGAACTAGTTAACCACTTTGCTAATTTCAACAAAGATTAATAATAATACGTATGCTTTAATAATTATTTAATTTAATCAAATGAATAGGAGGTATTTTTTAAAGGCAATACATCCATCTCTTGGCTTATTATCAGGTCTTCTTAATTGGGCAGGGCGTGTGTTATGCATCGAATATTTACAGAGTAATTGATTTTATGTACATATGTCGGGAAAAGTTTAATTGTCCTCTTCTACTTTAGACTGTTCCTCGTCATAATAATTGACGTAATAATAATACAAAGAGCCAAAACCAACCAACATCAATGCAGTAGGAATCAAGATATTAGGTTTGTTATCAACTATCAACTTTGATTCATCACCTTGAAATACAACACAGTATTCCTTATCGTGAATATTACCAATCAACTTCCACCCGTCATCTTCAAATTTACTTATAAGTCCCAGTATTTCCTCGGGTGGAAAGTGTGCTGCATTGATTATCCCAAATAAGTCAGTGTGATTAACATTAAATAAATTAAAATTCTTTCCTAATAATTTGTTTGTTGTCTCTTTTGATGAAAGGTCGTAGATCAAAATGGGCTTATATCTTTTTTTACTTTTATTCAGGAACCCAGTTACAGTAGCAATTTTATTAGTCATTCTTCGTATCTTTATATTTGATTTAGTAGTTGTATTTATGTCTGAACCAAAAATCATCTTTCCGGGTGAAACACCCACATTACTAGTAACTTCATCCCATTTATAGGCACGCTTGGTCATATTTTGCATATTCTGCTTTTGCTTTTCCCTTAATTCAATTAGATCCAGGTAGTTTTCTAGCGCTTTGATATCTATATCCCCTTTTGTTGATTTACCAGCTACTTTGGATTGATCAGCGGATTTTCTTGCCAGTCCACTTGAAATAGTATCATCGTCCAAGTTGTGATTCGGTTTAGCTGTTGAAGGTTTTAGATTGACATGGATCACTTTCTTCTTGATTGGTTGCTTTGCATTTGGATGGATTGGACTAACAATGTTAGTGATTTCTTTATGGTTATCCAATTTTGTGAGACACTCTGAGATTTCACCATCGGAAATTCTCTTCTGCAGGAGCAGTAATTGCAGATTAGCAAACGTTTTCTTGTTTTTGATATCTTTCAAGCCATGCTTTGCACCTATGTCGGATAGAACTGAATATAATGCTGATTCAGGTGCAACACTCTTTATGTCCTTCAGTTTTAATACTTTCTGTATGAATTCGTTCACCGATTTTCCTTTTGCAGCAGTACTTTGTGGATCCCTGGAGCCGTTTGTCTTAGTACTACGATTGATTGTACTAGTCCACCTAACAGACAAATTTACTGCCCTTGAATTTGCTAGTGTCAATGGTATTAGCTTCGACATCTTAATTTAGAGTCCCAATTCCACGAGCACACTACCCTTATGACTAGTAAATGTTCACTTAGTTCTAGTAGATTCTGATTGACTTAAACACTATTTCTAATCTTTGATGATAAGATGGAAGCTATCGTATGTTCATAGAGTTTAGCTCTTTAGAAGTTATGGGTTTGACTTAGTTCTCACTTTTTTCAATGAATTTCATGTATGATTATTATTGGAAATATCTCTAATTGGGACTTTATCTTGACACCAAAATATAAAAAAGTGGAAACCAACAAGTGACGTTATTAATGTAGTATAATTTGTTGTGTGCTATTAAAATATATATTTATGTATCATACTTGTATTCAAATGCCAGCAAAAACACAATTTCTATTGTAGTGTACATAGGAATCAAAACATATGCGTGAAATTCACATTTTATTGATCACGAACGGATGAGGTCAAAAAATTACAAAACAACGTTACGATGAACATGACTAGTTAAATGCTATAGTTTTCAATCAGAATCTGACTCAGCTTCTGTGTCAGTGTCAATATCTGTGTAATCACTATCGCTTTCATCTTCGTCATCTACATCACTTTCGTCTTCGTCTTCATCACTGGAGTCGTATTCTTGAGCGATGTCTTTCTCTAGTTCTTCTTCAATGGTTGGCTTTGAGACGTGAGCTTCATCCTGGACATTCATGGTCATGGTGAAATCTAAGTCTGGGCCAAAGTAATCGGTGTTCTTGAGAACAATTCTGAAGTACACAGTCTCTGGCTTTGGTGGGGCTGGTTGACTTAATGGGATTTTGATGGTACCAATCTCCCAGTCCTCGGCATTGAAGTCCTTTCCAAGTTCTTTGATCTCTCTTTTGTCCAAATGCTTGGATAAGTTCTTGAAAGACAGGCGGTCAATGTTCACTGGAGTTTGTAGAATCTTTAAGTCCTTTTGGAAACATAGGAATGCCACCCAAGAGGATTTCCTTTCGACAGGGAAGTGTGGGGACAAAGTTTGTGGAACTAGCGGTTGTTCTAGCATGGAGGCAAATGGATCTCTTAGAGATTCAAAATCAGTCTTTTCCTCAAGCATTTCAGCTGGGAATTTCTCTGTTGGGATCAGTTTTTGCTTTGCGGAGCGCACAAGCACTTTCAAAGAGATGTATGGGGTGGAAGATGGAGTCACAGCAGGTTCACCAGGAACAACAAAATCTGCTCTGATCAATTTCAAAAATGGGATGTTGGAAGCTACGGACAATGTCTGCTGTAGCAACTGTTTATCCTCAATACCCAGTATTTCGCCAATCTTCTTATCTTCAAAAGTGAACAGTTTGCCCAGAGTGTGAACGTTTTCCTTAGCTGCAGCCTTCTCGAATACCTCTTTGTCAACGTTTGGCAATTGTAGAATTTCACCGTTGTTGGTATTTGGCAAGGCTTGGACAATACACTTGAACGTGTCCAAAGTACTGATAGCGACGTCCAGGTTTCTGAAACCAGCTGCGATGTCAAGCAGGCCATGCAAGATAGAATGACACTTGGAGACGATTCTGTATTTGATCTGGTTCTTCTCCTCTGAGCCGCTGTCACGACGGTGGATGTGGTCCTGTAGCAATTTCTCGAAATCCTTGCTGTTTAGGTTAGGGTAAAAATTCTTGAACTCCTGCGCGTGTGAGATCCATTGGACGATCAAGTTCACGGTGACGATCTCTGATGGCTTGTAATTGACCAATCTATCGACCAAGTACGAAGCGGTGTTGACATGGATGTTCTTTCTGGTGTAGGACTGGGTTCTGGTCCACCACTTACCGACCAAGTATGGCAGCACGACACCCAGCAAAGACACGTAGAAGATCACAAGCAGAGGTGAGGCGGACCCGGAGACCATGAAGCTTGGGATGGCGATACCGTGGGTAGTGGACTGTGGACCGTCAGGGTGGCCGTACTTCAGGTAGTTCTCCCTCACTATAGGGTCAGTAAGTGCCTCGTGGGCCTTGGAGATCTGCACGTACATCTCTTCCATGGCTGTTCTCTCCTCTGCGGACAGCTCCTTCGACATCTTATCCGGGTGGAACTTCAGGGACAGCCTCCTATACGCGGACTTGATGTCCTTGTCTGATGCGCTAGGGGAGATACCCAGCAGGTCGTAAGGGTCAAACATCTGGGCCATAGACTGCGTGATCGTCTCCGTGTTGGCCGCGATACGCTGGATCAGCAACGCGACAGACACCCACCCGATAAACAGCATCAAGTTGGTGAATGAGAACAACCCGTTGCCGGGGTCCATAAGCTTCGTAGCCCACTGCTCCCTGAACTTTCTAACACTAGAACTCTCGAGCTCCTTGTTCAGCTCCGTGTACTTGTCCTGCAACTCCTTGTTCTCACCGAGCTCGCTCACCGCATCCGTGCTCTTGGTCAGCTTGTACAACTGACGTATGGTCATCGGCACCAGCACCATCAGCAGCAAAGTCAGCAGAAAGAACGGCCACGTCTCGCTCCCTTCATCGTATTCATAACTTAGTGCCATTGCGTATCAATCTTCTGATGCAACGCCAATAATGCCAAACCTTTGCAAATACTATTCAAAATATAAACACACCACTGGTTTTAATACTACAATTGAAAAATTATTTTGCAACTTTTTTTTTGCAACTTTTTTTTGCAAGTTTCTGCGATTTTCTGCGTTTCGTCATCGCAAGTGAATTGGAATTCCCAGTAGAAGCGTGAAAAAATAAAGGGCTCCGTAAGACCCACAGACAGACACGCAGACACAAACAAACACGCAGACAGACACGCAGACAGACACGCAGACGGTATTTACGCCTTCTTAAGGAACGCGACTGTAACGATAAACGGAACTGCTGATCATGTGATACACGGGAATATCATATTGAACGCAAGTACATGTGATGTGACGTATAGAGTGTGTGTTGTTAATCATGGTAAACGTAGACCAGGTGATGCGACGTATATAATGTGATACAGGCATCACACAGTACGTTTCACGTTCCACGTGTATCCTTATATACGTGAAAAATGGATCAATTTCTCAAAATCTGGCTGAAATGGCAGTCTTTTTTTGTTTTATTATAATGAGAAAGAGGGCTACCTACTTAGTCCTGGGCATCTGGTATTGCTGTTGGGGGGGAGTTGTTATTATACATACCAATTTTCTGATACCTGTTTGGAAACACACGTATACTCATTTATTGGTACAAAAAAAAACAGTCTCCTGAACATACAAAAACAGATCCACAAGGATGTCGCTGAAGCCTAGGTCGTTGACTGCGAAGAAGAGGAGGCCCAGCCAGAACCACGGTGAGCTTATGGCTCTCGGGATCGGTAACCCGCTGGATGTGGTGCGCAAGTACCTGGGGCTGGGGGTCTCGGATATGGACCTGAATGACGGGCGGTACGTGTCGAAGAAGAAGCGCAACCGGTACACGGTGATGCCCATGCTTGTGTTTTTCGTGGTCGTGATGTACCTGCTGGTGTCCACGTTCATGCCCAATGGTATGCGGGCGCCCGTGACGTACCCGCCGGAGCACGGTGCCTACCAGAACGAGGTTATTTCTTCCAGCCCGCTGATCTTCCCGCATGTGGAGCACGCCCCTGTGCTGAAGGAGATCGGGATCAGAGGCCTGTTCATACTGCGGATGGAGATGGACGGCACTAAGAGGTTCGTAATCAAGCCGGAGGACAAGCCGTTCTCCGACGAGGAGAAGAAGAAGACCACCGACCAAGTGCTGCTGGTCAAGAAGTCCTTCCTGGACCACGGAAAGCTTATATTCCCAAAGAAAAACGAGAGCCCCGAGTTCGTGGTCGTGACTCTGGTGGATTTCGACAACTTCGACAGGGACACAATAGTCAAGATTGTGCAGAACAGAGTGGACTACGCCCAGAGACACAAGTACGGTATATACGTCCGCTGGGCACAAGAGTTCGTCACAGAGATGTCGATCCAGGAAGTCGCCCCAAGCTACCAATTAATGAAGGCCTCTATCATGAGAGCAGCAATTCACGCCTTCCCATACGCAAAATACTTTTTATTCCTAGACCAGACATCGCTGATCATGAACTCAGAAATTCCTCTACAGAAACTAATTCTGCATCAACCTACTGTGGAGGCCAACAAACAGGTATTGCCGATCCTACAACACTACAACGGCAGAAACGTCCCTGCCAAACTGGCTCAACAACCAGATCTGGTATTCCCACAACACGATAATGGTGTACTAGATCTTTCTGCATTCATCGTCGCCAACAGCTTGCACGGCAAAATGTTCTTAGACTACTTAAACGACCCATTGGTCAGAGATTACCATTGGGATGACATCTACACACAGTACGGCCATGTCCTAAACTGGCACCCAGAATTGCTGGACCGCACATTACTGGTAAAACGGAAAACATTGGCCAGCCCCGTTGAGGACCCAACAAACTTGAACATCAAGGACAACAAGATCGACGGTGGTGACTCCGGTTACTCCACTGGCGACTTCATCGCATCCCTAGCTAAGTGTAAGGAAAGAATTTCTTGCACAAGTGACCTGGATGTAATGTACAAGTTTTCGCATATGGGATAGATCGAATAATTCTCGTGTTTGGGATTCATTGAGCTATGAGATAAGGCAAACATTATCCCAAGTCAAAATTTACTATATACCCAAAACTCTGATAGAGCGCTGTTTTCTTTCTTCCTAATTTACTTTACACCCAGTTTATAAAGGCATCATTACACTTTTGATGGAATGCATTTGTTATATTATTTTTACTTACAAGACTTTTTTTTAGTTACTAATTACATAATGTATCAACTGCGAGTTGTTTTTTTTTTGCACAAACTATCAATTCTTGAATGCAACTATAGCGGCAGATGAGATCTTTCTATGGATGTCTCTCTTGTCCACATCATGTGTGTCTTCCACCTCACCCCATCTTTCAACTTGGAATATTGTCTCCAACGTAGCTAAGCGTATAATTTCATCAAGGGATTTGACCAATTCTTTATGAGTGGATTTCTTAGTCATGCTTTCCATTAATAAGATACCACATATGAAAGATTTCGTTGTCAATACAGTCTTCTCAAACACTGCAAGGTCCCAAGGGGATAGTGAGTCCATGTAGTTCATTGCTGCATCCTTAACCTCTTGAGATTGCACATTCCCACGTAAACCATGAACATCCGCATCCAAGATTTGAAGTGTCAATTGTTTATCTGAAGATGAGTATTGCCCCAAAAACTCCTCTATCTTCTTGATGATGGGCAAGTACAACTTGTCCTGCTCCTCCCTCAAGGCACCTTCAAATTCCTTAGCCGGTGAAAACACAAGTAATGTATCAGTGTCCATGTATCTAAGTAGTTGATTCTTTATAACAGTGGTGTCACCGCCGATCTTTGCGACAGCTTCGGGGTCACAATCCGCATTACTGGTGGTCTCCAAGTCAATGCATCTTGAGACAAGCGATGTAAGTGGTAAGGAGAATTTCTTACTGGCCACTTCTTGCAAGTTACTCCATTCTTTCTTTAACATCAGCCCTAGAACTTTCCGATCATGGTCAATGGCCAAGTTATTTCCCAGCGGAGTCCTCAACGGCTTAGAATCTAATTGAACAGTGATCTTATCGCCGCCAAAATCTAACCCAACCTGGTCCCAGAATTTCTGTCCTGTCTTGCTCAACTTATTCGTCTCAGTCTTCAAGTTGTTCTCAATGGAGCTATCAACCCCCAGCGGCGAGGCTCTACTACTGGCATGGTAAAACCTGGTGCGTCCTATATGCAAACGCCAATAACTTAACCTCCTGTATACCTTCAACATCGCTCGCTATCTGTAGTATCCCTCACTTGAACAGAGCCTTCAACTCTTAGAGTCTGGTCAACTTCATTTAAGTTTTTGAAAAGACGAGTTGATTTGAACTTTAAAGAAGTTAAAGCTTCCCTCCCGTGTTAGAGGGCCTGAGCTACTGACACATAAAACTACCGATACATATAACAACGGATATGTCTACACAAGCACAGGAGATGGCCACCACGCTCCGCATGAACAAGGGCCAATTGGAGATAGTAGAGCAACAGCTGAGCCAGCTAGAGAGACAGCAGAAATTCGCACAGGCCACCGCCAAAGAGCTGGAGTCGTACCCTACAGAGACTGTGTGGAGGTCATGTGGCAGAGCCTTTGTGCTACAGGACAAGGATTCTTACATCAAGGACCTGGGAACCGACGAGAAGACCCTCGAAGAGCAGGCCAAGGCACTCAGGATCAAGAAGAACTACCTGGATGTCTCGATCGAAAAGACCGTTGCAGGTCTCAAGAGTATGATGAAGTAATACATATAGACACTTATCATGCAATATATCAGATACTGTCTTTCATAGCAACAGCGTAAATATTAATAGAATAACTACTGCTTTTTAGTCAAAAATACGGTTTATTATGCTTCTAACGCAACATCACCAGTTACGTTACTGAAAATTTTTGTTTTGCGATGAGCTGCAAAGCTCATCGCATCGCATCGCATACAAAAGTTAGTCAAAATATTGGCTTTATATATCTGATATGTTTGTATTTGAGTTATTGGCGAAGACATAACAGTGAGAAGAACTAGTACAAGCAGGACGATGTCAGAGTATAAGAATTTGCCAGTTACGGTGGAGAAGCCAATCCCAGTGACGTATGATTTGGGTAACCTGAGTGTATTTGATACCAATGTCATTGACAGGAACGATGTGGACAGTTCAAATGCGAAGCGTGAGGAAGTTATCAAAAGTGTAACGCGTGACAATGTGCAGCTCTTGATCAACCAGCTGCTTTCGTTGCCAATTAAGAAGACTACTGAGCACACAGGTGGTAACAGTGGCCAAGGTGCTACTGTTGCGCTATTGCAATTGCCTGAGCCATCTTCTGAGCTACCAAGAGAGAAGCCATTGCCTAAGCCAAAGGCTCTTACCAAGTGGCAGAAGTTTGCGGCTAAGAAAGGTATCAAGCCAAAGGAGAGAGCGGGCAAGATGGTTTTCGATGAAGCTACGGGCAAGTGGGCTCCTAAGTGGGGTTACAACGGTATTAACAAGAAGCTGGATGACCAATGGTTGGTCGAAGTCGATGACGACACCAAGGGCACTGAGAATGAGCTGATAGATCCAAGATCGTTGAACAGAGCTGAGCGTAAGCGTCTAGTGAAGAAGAACGAGAGGCAGCAGAAGAAAAACTTGAAGAACGCTATGGGACAATAGATCCATAACTATGACAGGTATTCCAAAAACCAAGTGCTCTCAAATCGTTGAGCCACAGATATAAGTTACGTTTTCTTCAAAAATGAGATTACTTACATTCAGGTAGAGGTATCTCATTACACATTTCAAAGCATTACAACATCGAGTAGATATAGTTTACATATTTTTTGTATATTAGAAATTCAAATTCCCAACATAACTGATCCTAACTGGAATGTATATCATCGGGTCACCAATAATTTCTTTGGTGAGTAACAGAAGTTTAAAAAGCTTTACAGTAAGTTGAGCCATTTCATCTAAATGGTTAAGAGGATTTAGTGCTGATTGAAAAACAATTTTAAACATTAATTCAGGTATTTATTCCAGATTTATTGCATTATACATGGCTCCACAATACATTAGTGAAGAGTACGAATCGATGATTGATGCGGTCTTGACGTACTGCGATGAAGAAGTATCTCTAAACTCCCTGAGAGCTCAACTAAACGAAGTGTTTAGCCTCAACATCAAGTCATTTGACCTGAACCTTCGAACTTTGGTAGACAAGAAATTGGAAGCCTTCAAGAATGTAACAGAGAAGCCCAAGGTGAAGGACATCAGTACCGATAAAGTTATGACAGAGAATCGAAGGTATATAAATGTGATAAAACAGACTCTGAAGGAAGCAGAGTTAAAGAAAGAAGGCATAACAGTCACGAAAGTACAGAAGCCCAAGCTGAAACTAAAAGTTACCAACAGTAAAAAGAGTATGATTCACATCAAGATGACAGTGACGCCAGAGCTCCAAGCTGTAATCGGAACACATTATCAATCGAGAACAGAGATAGTTCGAAATTTATGGAAATATATTAAAGAACATAACTTACAAAATCCGGATGACAAGAGGCAAATCATATCAGATGCAATGTTGGAACCTGTGCTGGGCAAAACGTCGGATATATTCATGATGCACCGGGCTCTCAAACACCACATATTGGGACCAGCACCGATAGAGGCAGAAGTAATACGCACTGACCAAGAAAGTACTCCATCTCTAGCTTCAGAGTCCAGTGAGCAAGAACATGCAGATAGCACTGATACCAGCGACTCAGTTTACTACTCTACATGATTCCTAGCTAAGTAAGGGTAAAAAAAGTGAAGTTCATTTCAAAACGTGTTAAAATATTAGATAAATCACACCTCTATTAGAGCGAATATAATATAATCAATTCACAGAGGTACAGTTACAAACAACCGCATGTCCATCATGTATTTAAAGCAATGAGCTTATACGCATCCCGAGATACGACACCTCATCGCTATTTTTAGGTCTCTTCACTAACTTCTGTGGTTAGTAGAACTGTAATAGCACTAAGACTTGACATATAACTAGGCCACCGAGAATTGTTTTGTGGTATTGATCTAGCCCATTGATCTGATAAGTTTGTTATTTAATAAAATATTTGTGCTAAACACAGGCTTTTGATATTCTATCACATAAAATGTGCTCTAAAACAACTGAATAGGGATTATATTAGAAACTCCATCGATATTTTGATAACTGACAATCCCTCCCTATTAGAATTCAACCAGCTATATTTGAACAATATCCAAGTATCCTGAATAAAAATGAGCCGAAATAGTTCTAATCAATATTCCATTTACTCCGAAGTCAATTCTGCCGACGATGAAAGCATACTAAAGGAAACTTATCACTATACATTGATAGTTATTTTACTGGAATACATGGCCGAACCACGTTTTCATGTAAACTCTACTGGAGCTCCTCAACCATTAAGAGATGAAATGAACCAAAAAAGTAAAAGTGGTGAGTTTTTATTGAGAGAACAGTCAAGCATTGGCAGTTATCAGAATTCTAGCAGCGCAAAGGATTATCTTTTAGTTGCTCTCACAGAGAGACTTTCATTGATAACTAGGAACCAGATCAAAGTGACCGACCCAAATTTCAAAAGATGCTTGTTGAAGTTCTATAATGACTATTTCTTGGATCCAAATATGAAGATCAAACTGAAACAAACTTCTAATATCGAGGATATAGTTGCGTATTTCAGTCAGTCTGCCAATAAAGAATTGAATAAAGTACTTCTAGACAACTTCTCATTGGAGCTGTACAGACAAGTTGCCTCTTTTTTAGAGTTGCTTATCAATTGTACCCCAGAAAAATACATGGCTGACTTCAAACCTAAACTCGAAGCTATGAAGTCCACTTTCGAACCTAATAGATATAGACCACTCACTAAAAGATACTCTTTAGATATGAACTCAAATGTACCAATAACGGCGCAAAGACAACCGTCATGGAATTTAGATGACATTTCTCATATTGGTTATTTTATGAAGCTATTTGCTATGGACAAGATGAAAATACAATATGATGTTAATGATATCCTCAAACATCTATCACTGTCATCTTACAAGAATGAGCTACTAGAACTCAGAGTGAAGGTTAAGAACTCGTCGTTCTCTTTATCCGTTAGTGATTTCCCTACTGAGAGAGAATATAGAAATTGGCAAAATTATATTTTTGGAGAAACAACTCAACTTATTGATAAGTTTTCTTCGGAGCAAATATCAAATATAAATGCGCCAACACCATGCATTCCTTCCAATCGTAAAGCCATAATATCCAAGTTATTTGAATTGATTATCCAGTCAGAGTATAAGAATGATGAAAAAGTACTCGCATTATCTAAGGAATCCACGTTCTTTATTTTTAAGTGTGCAAAATATTGGTTATCTGACTTTCCATCAACAATTGCCTCATTATTTTTTGCTGCTATGAATAAAGTATTATTTACAAACGATATGCTTAACGTAGAGTTTGTTGAGAAGTCGATAATGATGGTCTCCAACCTATTTTTGAGATCAAGGGAAACCAAAGAACTAACCACATGGAATAATTACGATAGAATACTATGGGTGAAAACCTTACGGGTGATTTGTTCAAAGACGTTTAAATCTATAAGCATTCTATTATCTAAACTATTTGACCCCAATTTGCCCTCTTTTTCACCGTACTTATCCTTTTATTTTACAATAAAGTATACTGATAGATACACTGAGGATTACTTGAAATCAACTTCTTTTGAGAAAAAATGGGCAGAGTCTCTAAGAAATAATATCAACAGGGCTTGCCAAACCTATTATCAATCCTTGGTCTCAACCTTACCTAGAGATGAAACATTAGAAATACAGCATATTCAAGATATTGCAGAAAAGATATACAAGATGATTGAAAAACTACAGAAGAAATACCCAAAACCGATGTTTGAAGATGTTAATATAGCATTTGTGGTAGCAGACTTTTTAATTAATGCATTCCTTGTTGATCTTGAAACTATGTTGCGTTTTGTAAAACACTATCACAAAATAGCTTCAAAGTCGATTGCGCCTGTAGATGGTTTGGAATGTTACAAGGCTATTGTCGATTTACGTGAAATATATGTTCAGATAAAACCGAATGAGCTTTTTCCTATAAACCTTGAGAGTATGTTTGGACAGTTTTTACAAGCCCTAAATGATGACATCAAGAAAAGAATTATGCATGTAGTAAAATCATCTATAAAGGCTGAAAAATGGGTTAGGATGAATGACGCAACTTATTATAGTACCTCTATCGTTGATATATTTAGATTGGTGAATGAAGCTGTACAAATCTTTACGAAATTTGATTGGGAAGATCAATATGAAATTGCTTATCTAACTACCAACATCCTAAGTGAGTTCACTGAGGGTTTAAAATATTACTGTTCAAAACTTCAAAACTTAGCTGAAAATGATTTACAAATGGATGTAATAAATCTAATTACTGTAACACCAGAATCAACACCATTGTCATCAGGCATAGAAAAATTAGACAAGAAAGGAAAGACATGGAGTTTTCATCAGATGAAAAGGGCATTGAAGTCCAAACCATCAATAATGGTTCCAGCTCCATATGAGTATACTGTTAGGACATGTGTTATACTTAACAACCTGGATGCAATGCTGGGTATGATAACTCGTCTCGATGAACTTGTAAAGCCGCAAGAATTGTCTAAATACTTATCAGAGGCTAAAGCAAAGCCTAATAGAAGTACTGAAAATTCTAACAATATTAATCACATATTTACCATCAGAGTTTTAAATACAATGGAGGTTCATGCTGACACTAATGATGGGTTTTCAAATCTTAGAGTAACTCTAAATGACTCTAATCGAAAATCGGAGTTGGGATCTACTAGAATAATAGAAGATTCGCTAAACCCAATTTGGGATGAAGAATTTGAACTACGAATTTCTAACAAAGAAAAAGCATATATTGACTTTCTAGTCTGGCACCATTCTGATGCCAAGAACACAAAGATGGTAGAACTATGTGCAAAAGGACACGTTGTGTTGGATCCAAAGCGTTTTTCTGATAATGGCTTACCATCAGAAATGTCCATAGCAATGTCTCCCAAGGGCCACCTAAATATACATGTCACTCTAGAGACTGAGAAAATGGATCCACTTTTCTGTATTGGGAATGCCTACCGCACAGCACTAAGATCAAAGGAAAAACTATTAAATATGATTGTTACTAAATTTTCTACTGTTGTTGCACATATTATTTCAAAGAACACCTTGAAATTCGTTAAAGCTGAAAAGAAAAATTATGTTGGAAAGGACGCAGAGGAGGTTGTTTATGACGCAATTGTTCCTCTATTCGATTACTTAAATTCTAATTTAAGTATCCTGGCATCGGAACTTCCAAAAGAATTATTATTCGAGGTTATACTAAAAGCATGGGATGTCATTTTATTAAGAGCCGATTCCATGCTTCTTCCTTCCTTGTCTTCGATATCTTCTAGCGGTCTTGTAAACTCCGCTAGAAAATCTATATGGAGAAATTCTATCAGTTCTAATCCTACGATATCAGGCTTTGGGAAACCGCTAACAGAAGAAGATATATCTATTGTATTTAAATGGTTGGATGCATTGTGCATCGATTTCTTCCATAATGAAGGCGCAGGTCCTTCCATAGAGAATTTAAAGAATGTCAAATATACAAGTATGTTAAACATTCCAAAGTTTTATGGTACATCAGTACCAGAATTGAAGAAGCTGATTTTACAACTCGAGAAGAGCTACGATCAGTATTTAGATCACATATACAATCAAGACCATGCGACTATTCAATTGATCAGGACTCAAACTATGGGTGTTTCGAGACATGCTACAATCATGGGTAGTTCAACTAAGGCTACGCGAGAACAATTGAAAGATATTATCAAAGAAGAAGAGCATGATCCACTGAAAATATCTGCTGATAAAATGGATGTTATTTTGAGGATTCTCTTGGCCAAAGGGGAGTTCCATTTTGTCTATAAAAATCTAGAAAGAAGGAAAAAATTATTAAAGAAGATGGAGAACAAACGTATGGCTCGCAATGCGGCAATGGGTAAAAAAGCGATACAGTAACTGTTTGGAATTCTGAAACCCTGAAGCCATACAAGAGTAAAAACCAACTTTTTATGATAAATACAAAAATTCACTCACCACTACTGGTTTGTAACTATAAATTGCACAATTACGACTAACGACATTTATACTAGATAAATATGAACTGTACTAATAGTTAGGGATATATAGATATTGATGTACTAAACCACTTAACAGTTGTAATATTTTTAATTATTTGTTTTTTTCGTAATATCATCGATGATAGAGAAATATAAGTCAATGAAGTCTATACATTAGTTTTGAATGAAATTGTTAATATTGACACTAATACTTCACAAAATGGTGTACTGAATATATAATTTTTGTTACGGCAACTGCTTAATTGCTATATTACCAAATTCTGATAATTATGCAAATGTACACCCATCGTCCAATAAGAACATTTTTGCCAAAATATTTCAGCCAATAAGTGTTGAAAATAACTGCACCGTCGAGACAATTAGACAGGTTGTGCCCATTGTAGAACGTAAATAGCTGCTGAAACAACAATAATACTAACAGGCAAACTTAATACAACGTATCCCCAGAATAAAATATCGGCCATTTCGGCTTCAAAGAACTCATTTAGTTGGGTGATTTGGGTCAACTGAATAGCCGGTGGTGACACAGTTAGTAAGAAACCAACAACCAAAAAGATGGGATCATCTAAAATGCTGACGTTAATATATTTAACTGCAGCAGCAATAATTGGAAGCAAAAACATCGATGGGAGTATCATTCTACCGATGATTGACCCTACAATCAGTTTCTTGTAATTATGAGTTCTTCTAAAGGTCTCTTCCGAAGGGTAAAGGTTTGAACCAAGAACAATCAAGATCAGAGGAATGGAGACCGACCCAAGCTGAGTCACTGCCTCTGCCAATGTGTTGTTGATGAAACCATCGTCTTGGAATAGTTCATGTTGTAAAGGTGGAATAGCAGCAACAATAACTGAGGCTATCATTGACCATAAAGGTGGGTTTAAATAGGACAATATCTTGTTCACTATACCACGGGAATTATCCACAATCTTTTGGCTGAATGTACTAGGGACATAGTTCATACTGGTTGCTTCCGATGAAGCACCTGTCTGAGCCAGTGCGGATGTTGCCAAAGATGATCTGCTTTCCAAATGAGCCTGTACTTGAGAAGGTGGCATATGCTGAGTGTTTTCACCAGACCATCTCATCAGCTTATTATAACCCCAACTCCATCTTAGCATCTGTCCAAATTGCTGGAATATCAGCAAATATAAGATACCTCTGGAGGCAACGTTATCTCTGTTATCGTTGGGTATCTGGTCCCAAACCAAGTTGGGCAAAGTGTATGCCAATGATAAAGTTAAGGAAACCGGCAGAGAGTTACTGTTCCCAAATATGGAATTAGCCACCACAAAATTAGTCTCATCTCTGTCCAGCTTCAGCACTCGGGATATAAGTCTTCCTGAAAAGAAGGATATGAAGGTAGTGAGACCGAAGAATAGCGGTATTATAGCGATCTCCAGAATCTTGGCCATGGATAATGACCTAGCCAGCTTACTGAAGATCAGTGCCGGTGTGAACAAGTCCACATTGAGCGCTGATATAGCCTTCTGGGCCTTCTTTGGGAGCAAACCTGAACGGGCACTCCAAAACCCTGCAAATGATATTATAACCACTTGCATAACAGATTCGAAAACCTGATATGCAATTTGGCCAAACGAAAACGTTTCCGGAGTAGCCATCAAATAACTGTGTTGATTTATTGTATGTATATTGCTGTTGTGCAGACCAATATCAAAGAAATGTATTCTTTAACTATGATATAACCTACTTCTTGTTCTTATATATTTCCTTCTTATCACAGTGAGAAACTCAAAAGAAAATTAAGTTGGAACACACCCTTTGCCCATTATATTAAGAGTAGGCAGACTACATTTAAAGGGTTAGCGTACGATATTTGATAACATCGAAAGGGCATCCACAGCTGAACCCAAGGTCCCCCCCTCCCTAGAGCTCATCGAATTCTCCCCAGTCCCTCATCGCACATTGAAAGACAAAGCTGAGCCCACTCTTTGAAAAAAGAAATGAGAGAATGAAACCAACCCCTCCTTAGTGCAGTGCACATGATAAGGATTTCAGATGATTTGCCATGCGTTCAAACACCCTCTTTCACAAGAGATAGATCAGGAAAGTTGTGAAACCTTTAGTTGTTATTGCAATGTTGATTTCATCTTCTTATCTGCACTTCGAGCAATAGCCTATAGTGGTCGCTGATAACGGCATGTAGGCATATAACCGACTATGTCAATAAGGCATAGAGCTAGTTGTTTTATTCATATATAATGTTATAAGTACTTTCTTGTATTTAGATTATCAAGTTGCTTCCTCTGTATGGGAAGGATGGAGCCTGGAGAGCGGAGATAGTCTTGTTGCTGCCGATTCTCTCTGGGAAGCCCTCGAAGGAATTAGCGTATGTGGCTACGGAGTGTGCGATCAGCTTGGTGTTGACCAAGAATGCGTCCCATGCCAAGTTCGAGATGTCATCACACAATTGGTGGTAGCACTTGTCTAGGACACCACCGTTGAAGACGTTCTTCTTCTCTGCACCGGTGGCAATACCACCGGCTGGGATACCGTTTTCGATGAAGCCGACGTAGTCGGAACGGCCATCGAATGGGATCAGAGTGTAGTTTAGGCCCTGGTCCTTGTAGTAGTTAATGTACAAGTCTCTCAATTCTTGGGATCCTGGTGGGTTGACTGTGTTGTTAGCGTCGTAGACCTCGTATTCGTAGTTTGGAGAGGCCATCATATCGTAGTCCATGAATACTCTCAACTTCAAGTTTTCTTCCTTCGACAAGCTGTTGGCGTAGTAGTTGGAGCCTAACAGGCCTTCTTCTTCAGCAGCCCACCATGCAAATCTGACCTTGTTGTTAATCTTGAAATGGGTCAGTTGCTTAGCGACAGTCAATAGAGAAATGGTACCAGATCCATCGTCGTTCAAACCTGGACCTTCTTCAACAGAGTCAGAGTGAGCACCCAAACCAACGATGTTGTTCTCGTCACCGTGCTTAGTGTCTGCAATAATGTTCTTAGTCTTGATCTTTCCAACGTAAGAGTCCATAGCAAAATACAAGGAGTAATCTGGGTCAAATGCCAACTTGGCAATAATCTCCTTACCAGTTACGTAGGTGACACCAATGGTAGAAACTGTGTGGTTAGTTGGAGCACCCAAGGTACCCTTTAGACCATCTAGGGACAATGGTTCGTTGTCGTAGATGACCACGGCGTGGAATCCGTATTTACCGGCCAAGTCAGACTTGACACCAAATGGACACTCACCTCTTTCAATCAAGGCAATGTCGTGCTTGTGCTTGGAACCCTTGCGGTGGACAGCGGCGAAGTCCTTCTCGTGACAACCCAAGTTAGGAATCTCAATCACACGGCCAACAAATGGCTTAACTGGTGGCGACAGAGCAAAAGCTGTGGTGTTCTTGAACGTCTTACCAGTTTTGGCATCGGTCAGGTTATAAGATCTGATTTTGCCAGCCAAGGCATCGAATTCTTGGACAGAGACGTCGTAGTAGTCCTTCATGTCATCGAAGGCGTCCAGGATGTAGTCGATGGTCTTGCCATGGCCTGGAGAACCAATAACACGGGTTGGGTGGCCAAACTTTTTCTTACTCTTCTTGGCAATCTTTAGAAGGTCATGAGCGGTCTTGTTCAAGTCATCCAGTTCAATCTTGTCTTGCAACTTGTCAGACTCAACAATTGGCTTCAATAAGTATGGGACATGTGGCTTCCACAAGAAAGACCAGAAACTCTTCTTGCATGGACTCACATCCTCATCATCGTCCTCATAAACTTCAGCAGCATCCTGCTCAGAGTGTCCTTGACTCAAGGCATCCTTAACACCGGAGATGATTGAGTCCCAGTCAGTCTCCTTTGTCTCCTTCAGAGCGGACAGGTCAAAGGCCTGTTGTTCACCATAAAATGGCAACACGGAAGCGTTACTATAGGCTACCAGAGCAGCAGTTACAGCAATAGTAGAAAACTTCATTCTTTCGAGTATGAGTGTATCTACTTTTGGTTCTATATAGGTAAGTGTGAGTAACAATTCAAATATAATTGGTAAGAAAATGCAAGACTCCTTATATTGGAAAGAATTTAAAGTCAGAAGCCCCGGGGTGTGTGTAATAATTAATTCATTGAAAGGTGGGAAAGCAACAATTGACTGTAGGTGATGAGCAAAAAAAAGAATTAAATGCAGATTAGGGATCAAAGGAAATTAGATTGAGTCAAGAACCAAGTCAAAAACGATGTGGCAGATGATAATTCTGCTCGTATAACATATAGGTTATCAGTTTCAACATTGGATTAAGCAAATGACACCCGTGATAAAATCCCATTTCCATGAATGTTGTTCATTGATATTCATCCATGAAAGTAAAATTCAACAACCTTGTAGTTGTTTTCCATTTCTGTCAAAAGGAAGGAGATATGATATCAATACCAGTTTCCACAGAGAAGTAAAATTGACGGCATAATACTGGATTATATCCATTCAACAATTTTATAAAATTACAGTTAAGTTCTCATGCCTTATCGTGAGTACCTTTGCAAAGTGTTATATACCAGCCGCTGCATCAGTGCGTCTTGAAAGGCAATAAAGCTATGGAGAATGTGTCAAAATAGTAGGGTAAAAAATAACCCTAATGTACTGCTAACAACGAACCCTAATTTGATGGGGATAATCAGATAATATCACTTTAGAGAAACCCTAAACTCACATGATAGGTACTCTCAAACGTATATTCCAAGCAGATTACAACTTGAGTGTGTGACCCTATATGGAGGCCAATAACGGCTGTGGGGGGGCAGGCGCATGCTGCCCGGTTATTGCTACCAAGTCATGTATATCTTTCAGTGTACCAATTGCTTGAATTTGACTTCCCAGTTCGTTGTTACCATGTCTGTAGTTTAAGTTGTGGTTCACAGTAGTCATTCCTTGGCTTAGTGCTGACTGTCCTAGTTTGGGAATGTGCATACCATTCAAGCATACTAGGGGTGGAAAACGCGTTGTTGCGGGGATGAAGAGAATATCAAATCTAGAGAATATTTGGAACATCTTTAGTCCCAATAGGGAAAGGAACCAAATGGCTCATGACTACTAACGCGAAAAATAGTTCTTCTTTTGGCATTTCGTCGAAATTCTCTTTTTTTTTGCGTTCTATGTGGAAAAACGCGAAAAATAGAAAAGGGAAAACGATGCTATGGAAAGCAGAGGGGGGAGGATGTGTACACGGGGGAAGAGGGGGCGGATCGGATAGAATAAAGTTGAATCATGGTTCTATGATATTAAATGTCTCAAATACATAGTCGCGTTTGTCCTATGAATTCGTTTTCTCTGAAAGAGGCTTATTCTTAAATATGCATTACGTATCCATTGTAGCTCAAATTAATACTGGCCACGTAATCAAATTTTAATTTCGGAGATTCTGAAGTTATACATCAGGCAACAAACAATGCATCTTATGTGCTTACGTAGCATTCCAATACAAATACGACATATAGTCAAGTAACGACCACTCGTGATCATGTAGTAAAAAGATACACATTGATATACATTTGCAAAACTTCATCTTAGAGATTTTAACATGGGAAAAAATGGTTACAATATAAATTGTTGCGACCGGGACGATGACCTGACCGTATCATCTGGTGTGATAAGCCAGTGATAGTAAATGTACGTTCTCAACACCTTAAAGGTTGGGGAATCACACCATCTATCATTGGGCTTTGCAAATCTCAAACTTCTGAACACCCGTATGGTTTTATTTTAACACCGATAAATATTTGAGCGCCATAGCACGGGCACCAGCTCACACACCGGAAGAAATTGCCGACGGCTGTAGAAGTGTATCACACATATATTTGTTTTTTTGGAAAAAAAAATGCCTCATATGCCGATCCCGGGATTACACAGATCAATAACTTATCTTCTTACAGTAATGGTAACCCTTTCTTTCTTTTACATATTAAAAAGGATCTGCAAACTTCCACGGATCACCATATGATATTCGGCTTTTACCATATGAAAAAAATGACTGGTAATACAACCTGCAAAGAAGGTACTGGACACTGTGAGAGCAACTGGATCAGGACCCTCTAAATATTAAGGTACGAACTATTTTTCCAAATTTTTCATATTAAACCCTTCTCCTCATATTAGAAGTGATCCCAGTTGTATATTACTAATTCATTTGCCATACACAAGAAAAGATTCTCCAATGAGAATAAAATGTTTTTGGTGCGTACGTTTCTGGGAGAATAAAAATTGAACAACTTGAGATCTTGATTACATTATAGGAGAAGAAAAGGGATCGTCGCACACAGACAACCACGTACTGGGCAGCATAGAAAAAGTAACGAAGCAATATGGTAACCTTTTCTTCGCTTTAGTCTCAATTGTATTATGTAACACAGGCTCTTGCAAAACCATTCAAGCAGTTGTGCTACTGCATAATCTGGGGTAAATGTGTGCAGTGTGGAGGAAGACTCTGAACTGAACATAAACTTTAAATTGCTTTTTTTTTTTTACTTCTTACATGCCCCGTAGTTATAGTGCAATCCACATCTTCGGCTATCTCAGGAGATTGCCCCTACTCTGTATTACTCCACTTCTACTTCCCCCCAACACCGCACTTTGATATGCGACCCTTTCTGTACATTTTTTCTTTTTGCCTTTCCCCATTTTCTCGCAATTCTACCTGCACTTGAGATCTTGACTCAGATACAAAAGTGGTCTATCCACCCCAGCTCCAAAGAAAAGACTGCAGCAACGTGCTAATACTTGATTTGTACCGACATACGATGTGGCAACAAAATAAGAAAAAGGGATGATTTTCAGAATTCCTTGATTGGCCTTAGCCAAACCTTATCAGTTCTCACAGAAGCAGCCGCACAGTCTACACAGTGTTGCCACTAGAAGTGAGGAACATCTTCAAGATCCCACCTACAGCTTCATAATGCTGTACGATGAACGATGCCAGCTCCCAGATCACTCCTGCATATTACGTGCCGTCCCCAGTGTTTTCTAAGCTAGTCGGGACTTACCAGCTATTTATATATCGTGAGTCGTTATAGACTGTTGTGTGCACGGCAGTTTCACTGTCGATTTTCTTTCTTTTAGATTATCCAAAGTGATATTTCGTGTGCTACAGCAATGACCCCCCCCCCCCGTGTAGTTGACACGCACCAAAAAGAAGAAGGAACAGAAAACAGTACAAACGCGGTGTGTGTTTGCCAGCACAATCTTTTCTTTGGCCCAAATGCTGGACCCTTCCGCTGGTACTGGTAACACGACTAATGTGTGCTAGCAGTTGCACCAAATGTTGTGCTTATTGAAAGCAAAAAATAGAGACTACGCACAAAGAAAAGACTAACTCAACACATTAGCTTATAGAAAGAAAAGAAGGTTGGAAAGAAAAGGCGTTGTAAGTCTTTTCTTATTGCCTACATTAGAATAGAATAGATCAATGTTAAGTGAACGGAACCAGTAACTGACGGGAAAATCCTTTGTTGTAGGTGCATTTTTCTTTTAGGCGATCCTTTTCTTATTCGTTGCCAGACCAAAAAATTATTCTCTTTTCCATGTTCGCTGGTCAATTCTTTCAATTTTGAACACATATATAACATCGACAAAAGTCGTTCTTTTCTCTCGAGACTTGAGACATTCCAATTGTTTTTTATTTTGTAAAACATAAATACAACATACTAAAAAGTCCATCGGATTACTATAAATTAAAACAGTTTTAAAAAAAAGACCTTCTTTTTTTTTTTATCCTTCCACTTTCCTTAAAGATTTTATTGATAAAACTAAATCGAAACTTTACGTTCCTTTTAACTTAACCTACAAAAAACGATAATACAGAAATAATGAAGTTGTCCATCCCTCTATTGTCTCTAGCTGCTACCTCCGTTCTAGCCGCTCCAGCCGTTGTCACTGTCACCGAAGTTGCTCACGAACACGATGTCAAGACCGTCCGCGGTGTTGTCTACGTGCAAGGTGGTGAAACAAAGACCAGCTACACCACTTTGGATGACTCCACTCCAACTAGTGTAGCAGAACCAGTTCAAGAGAACCAAGTTCAAAACAACGCTCAAGCACCAGCTCCATCTTCCTCTTCTTCCCCAACTCCAGCTCCAGCCCCAGCTGCTTCTCCATCCTCTTCTTCCCCAGCTGCCGCATCCCCATCCCCATCTCCATCTCCAGCTCAAGACTCAAACTTGTCTGACTTTGCCAAGAGTATGTTGAACGAACACAACATCAAGAGAGCTTTGCACCAAGACACCAACCCATTGACTTGGTCTGATGAATTGGCCCAATACGCTCAAAACTATGCTAACAACTACGACTGTTCCGGTAACTTGGTCCACTCTGGTGGTCCATACGGTGAAAACTTGGCCATTGGTTACTCTCCAGTCGGTTCCGTCGATGCTTGGTACGATGAGATCAAGGACTACAACTACGCCAACCCAGGTTTCTCCGAGTCTACTGGTCACTTCACTCAAGTCGTCTGGAAGTCTTCCACTAAGGTCGGTTGTGCTGTCAAGTCCTGTGGTGGTGTCTGGGGTGACTATGTCATTTGCTCTTACGACCCAGCTGGTAACTTCCTTGGTGAATTTGCACAAAATGTTGCTCCTTTGAAATAAATGTACTTGAATATGGGAAGAGGACTCTAATCCTTTGAGATTAGGCTCTCAGTCATTCAATTATTTTTTATTCAGTCATGCTTCAATATTTCAATTTCACATCGATTAAAATTTCTTTCATTTAAATTTCAATCTTTATTTTATCAATTCGTATTCACGATGGGCGCTATTTTTACCTATTATTTTTTCTCAGCTTTGTTTAAGAACAGTTCCACAACTTTTCAATAGCTAGTGGAACCGGTTTGCATTTTTTTTTACCTTTTTTTTGTTTCACATTCACTACCACTGGTAAAGTTATCCAGTTTTATAAAGTTTTATCCAATTTTGCTCATTGATACCCTGAGGAGACTCTCTTATCTTTGTCCATCTGGTTTTCTTTTTTCACCTTCGCTTATCCTAAAAGAGATTTATTCATCCTCTTATAATAAGTTTCTGACGGTTATTTTCAGACAACTTATACCTTTACTTCCCAATTGTATACTATTTTCGCATATGTATCAATAGTCATTCGTTGCATTATTTATTATCAAAAACTTCAGGATCAAATCATGTTCACGATATGTACTGTATACATTGTCAACATTTATAACACGGTTTCTAGTTTTTTTAATTAATCTCTAATCATATTTTGTTTTCATACAATACAGTATTACATAAATCAAGATGAGACAACTCATTTTAATATTGGTTAAATGATGTAAAAATTATTTATTGATTTTCAGGTCCGTCTACTAATCTAGTGATACTTGTAGATACTTCATAAAAGTAAAATAATCAACCTAAAAACAACATCAGCTGCAACATGACGAGGTATCATTAGTTGATGGCCTCTGTGTCTGAATATCAACAGTATTGGACGAGACTGAGTCCGTTCTTCGACTTTGATCTTTATTCTTTAATGAAGCCTTCTTGGTGCTATATAACTGTTCACCAATTTCTTGGAATATATCTTTAACACCAGCACCTGTTTTAGCACTTACCTCCTTAAACAATAACTTTTGTGCCTGGGCGTACTCCGCACCTTCCTCGGTTTCGATCTTTCTAGCACTTTCATCGGCCTCTACTATATCCACCTTGTTCCCAACTAGATAAATTACTAGCTCTTCGTCTCCGACTTTATTCTGTAGTTCTTGCACCCAACTTTGAGCTTTTGACAATGAGTCTGGTTGGGTAACATCATATACCACCAAAGCTGCATTGGCGTTTCTATAATACATGGGTGCCAGGGACTTATACCTTTCTTGACCAGCAGTATCCCATATTTCAAACTTTATAACAACATCCTCATTACCATCTTTAATTTTGACTGTTTGCGAAAGAAACGCAGCACCAATAGTACTCTCCCTTAGTTCATCAAATGTATCTTTTACAAATCTGTGAACAATGGATGACTTACCAACGGAGGAATCACCAAGCAGAACTAGTTTGAACTGTAGCATACTATACTTCTTTATCTTTTGATGTGCAATTAATAGGCGGTGAACCGAGTTTCTGGATTAATCTATCAACAGTGGCAAATAGTCAACCTCTAAATCAGCTTTCAACAACTATATAGTATAATAGAAATGTCTTACTAAAAGCGTGTATTATATCCAGTTAAACACTGATGAATTGAAATGCTAACCTAATATATACGATAAACCGTTTCAGCTGGTAAAGCGCAGAATGTGCTTGAAAGTGATCACTACGAGTATCTTTCCTTCAAAACCCAATTATATTTACTATCTTCAGCCATTCAAACCCACTTGATCTCGTATCATACAACCCCTGTTCTCAGCCCTTTTTTTGATCGTACGCATAACCTCTAACAAAACAGATACAGGAAAAAACAGTAGCCACAGAATATTGTCAACTCTGGAGTCAAAAGTTCTATTGTTACAACTTGTAAGCCTACCGTCTGGTTAGATGTACAGCCAGTGAGTCACATGGGTCTTGACAATAATAGTTATTAACCACAGCTGTCATATATATATCAAATCATGCTGGAAATTACAATATAAAAATGATGCATCTCGGTTGTGTATCAAGTGCTTCTAAGTTCAGACTACCCTTATAATAACTGACCTTATCTTAGATGCTAATTTACATATGCATTATATTTATGGTAAATCTGAGATGAGAAAAAAGGCCAGTCATCTTAGTATTCTTGTGAAACAAACTTTTACCAAGGTTGAAATTAGAGTACATTATCTAATAAACACCCTAACTTGTAAATAATTATGATTTACAGCATTTAACGTGCCTACCAAGATATTTCAACACCTTGGTTTTTGTTGGGGGGTTTCTATGGCTCGCGCTTATCATTTTGTCTGACCCGATATAAAATTAATCCATTATTCATCAAACAATCACGAGGAAATGTACGTACGCCATGTAAAAGAAGTAAATCAAATTGATTACCAAATACTCACTATAATTTATCTGTAAATAATAGAATTAGGTGACACTTAAATTCATGTGAGTGCGTGGAATAGTTTAACCTTTTCAAAGCATGATCCATTACATTAATGGAAGTTGCTAGAATCCCTTGTTCTAATAAATACAATTGATGTGTATTTTACTAAAGATTTTAGTTCTTTAGTACTTATTGACTTTCATTCTAAGAATAGAACTTGGCTATAAAATGAGTAGCCTTAGGTTGCTTGATAAAATGCGCGCTTCACTCGATATTGTTAGAAAATTATAGCTAAAGCAATTCACTAAATCATTCTACTTAGCTAATAAAATTTACGTCCCTGATATAGTGTGATTTGTCTAGTATTGAACTATAATATATATCGACGGTTAAGGCCACTTTAAGCACAATCCGATTTTCACGTGATTTCTGACCAATGAATGATAGAACTGATTAAAGGGTCTGTGAAACGAATTGTCCATACAGTTCGAATTCATGGACGCAATTTACACTGGTAATACTATTATCCAACAGTCTTCGAGAGAATGAATAATTTACCGACAAATCCATTCGATACTTGTCATATCTTTGAATTAGAGCGTTTGCAATCTAAGAGCTATCAAGAGTCAGAGGTCATACTTTAGAAAAATATAAATTGTATCAAGGGTTACATTTCTGGAGTAAGCACCCTATAGCTAATAACTAAGCATTACTTTAAAAATACACATATCTGCTCTGCAACAACAATTGCTTTGATTAACAATACAGCTCTATTTCCATTTACAATAATAAAATAGCATAACAACTTGTTTATATTAATACAGGAGATCAAAGTTATTCGAGAGTAAAACAAATTTTACGACCATTGGTACTTGATATTGTGGAATAATATTAGTATTGTGGTTAAAAATAGCTACCAATTATTAGAAACATAATGCTGAGAACCAAAATTACTGGATCTTCTCATGTCCTCAGGACTGCGTTCAAGAGATATTCTTCAACTATCGATAGTGGAGCTGTGGAAGTTGTGAAACCTAAGAAAACAAGTTTCACACGCCGTCTCTTTAGATTGGGTTTAGCCGTCACGGCATTCTATGCTGGTGGTGTTGCTGTTTCTCAATATGATGACGATTTAGGTACTTTATTTACCGAAAAGGTGCCGGGAGCTGAAAAACTGGTTGACAGTTATGTGACTTACAGATATGATCCAACAATTTCAAAAATGCTATCAACCGAGTATCTTCTAAATTTGTTTAAAGGAGAAAATACGGAGGTGAAACCATCGACAAGTAGTCGTCTCGTGCCTATCCATGATGCGATCAAAGAACTTCATTTGGAACTATTGGAACTGGATTCGGAGAATAATTCAGAGCCGGAAATGCAAAAAATCATAAACTCCTTAAACAGTACAATTAACATGATTAATGAGCAAAAATTGAGAATCGGGGGTAAAAAATCAAGATCTATAGAAGAGAATTATAAGCAATTGATTGAAGACATTCTACATCTCGACAAAAACCTAAAGGAAACTGTCTCGAAAAGTATTAATGAAAAGACTGAAGAGGTTGTTAAAAAGGTCAGAGAGCAATACAAGAGAAAACTTGCTGTTTCTGAAGTCGAACTACAAGACAAATATAAGAATGAGTTTATTCATCTCAAGGAAGAGATGGAAAAACACTACCAAGATATTTTGAATCAGAAGCTGGAAGCCAATAAACAACATTTAGAGGCGAAGCATGCCAATGAAATTGCATTGCTTTCCATCACACAAGTAAGTGAATTTAATAAAATTATTAAGGAAAAAGTTGATTCAGAGAGGAATGGTAGATTGGCGAAAATCGAGGATCTTGATAAGAAGGCAGAGAACCTAACAGAGGCTCTAAAACATGTTAACAAAGTTGTTACAAGAAATGAAGCTGTGAAACAAATTGCTCAACAAATTGAAATAATTAGGTCGAAGTTGAATTCACATGATTTAAACAGTATCTCTTTGCATGATGATCTCACAAGATTGAGAACACTAACTGATATTGCAGTTCCAGGACCAAAGCCATGTTGTAAACATAAGGATTTGACACCTTCTTTATTTAGAGTTGCTCTAGATGAACTTGAATCTGTTGCTGGATCTTCTGAGAGTAAGATACTGTCTGAAGAACAGATTTACAATAGATGGAATCTATTAGAATCCGACTTCAAAACAGCATCACTATTACCACCAAATGCTGGTATGCTAGGTCACTTCACAGCAAAACTATTCTCATTGTTTTTATTTACCAAAAGAGGCAGCGCCTTACCAGATGCTACTGATCTAGATTCTGTCTTTGCTAGAATAAATGAAAATCTAAGACATTCTAAATTGGATAAAGCAGTAGCAGATGTTGTCACATTAAAAGGATGGACGCATGTCTTATGTGATGATTGGTTAAAGAATGCAAGAAGGAAACTTGAAGTAGAGAAACTTGTGGATGTGCTTGACTCCGAATTGAAGTCTTTGTGATTAAGAAACGAAGATATTGATTTCATTTTATCACAAACCTAATGTGAATATTTTCATTGTCATTAAATATTTTATTTATTCTTATAAAATAAATCATTACTAATCAAAACTTGGCAAAAACTGAAACGGACTTATTCTCATTCAGTAACTTTACATATTCCTTTACAGAGTAGGTCACGCCCACATTGTAAAAGTGCTAATGTTCTATTTTCAACATAGCCAGCTTTATTGTAGAAATCCAATTTCTTCTTCATTATAGAGTCGGCGTTTTTGATTTGCAGCAGTTCCGATAAATCTTCAACTGCTTTCGAAAGCAAACCCTGGTTATCAACAAATATTTTTGTTAAATTATGAGAAGGGTCGGCGTAGTATGCAAGAGCAAATGACCATTTAAGTGCTGTTCTTCCTTCACTCAGCGTTTTTAAAGCTTCGGTTAAAAACTGACCTTCAATCCAAGATATCCCGATTTTTTCCTGTAGATCCCTAACTTTATGACCTATTGTTTGTCCTAATCTCCAGTCCAGTTTTGCAGATACTTCATGTTCATTGAAAACTCTATAATAAAATGTATATTTTTTCAGGTTTTTAGCATTTTCATCAGTGGATTTATTTCTGCTATCGTCATTCTTATACATTGTGCACTGAAAGAAGTTTTTCCCGTGAGGAGCCCATGCTTTCTCGCAAATCCAACAAAATTCATATTTACAACTCGAACAGACCATATGATTACAACCTCCACTTTTCTCAATATTTACAGAACATTCAGGACATTCTTTGGTGTGAGACAATACCCAGTTTAAATTTTCTGATTCTTTCTTAGCTTTTCTAACCCATGCATTGGTAATCTTACAGTCACCTGGTGCATGTACTTCAAAGCCACAATTGAAACAAAACCGATGGTCTGAGGTGCACAATACAAAAGGTGAGTAATGCAATCTCGTGTATTCTGGTAGTGAGGACATATCCTTAAGATATATAATACATTTACAGTCGGCAAATGGACACCACTTGTAGTTTCTGTTATGTTTCTGAACAAAGCTTTTTATTGACGACTCCATTAGCTTTGCACTGAAGTCATTACCCATTATTCTATCTATATCATCGTGTCTCAATGCTAAGGAGCAATTCATACAAGTTATCACACTACCACCATGAAGCTTGTCTTTGATGTAATGTCGATAGCAATCAACACAGTATTCATGTCCACATTCCATTGAGAATGTCTCTGTAGATTTTGATTCACAGCATATTAAGCATAAAAAGTCTTCCTTTAGAATAATTTCTCTACACTTGCTGCTTTTATTCTCATCCATATGTATGCCAACCTCTAGTAAAAGCTCATCCATTCTATCAGTCCAAGCTTCTAGTAATCTTTCCTCATTCCAATCAAAGTGTTGCAAAAGGGTTAAAATGTCCTCTGTCGGTATAGCCAGGATGGGTTGGATATGATGTACTCTATTTAGCATTTTCTGGAAGATGTCCTGGGTAGTTAAACACTCGTATTGTAAATTTGGTACACTACCATTGTTCAACGATTTTTTATTTTCATGTGTTATTGGAACAGACAGGAGTTCATCATACTCTAAGTCATCGCCACTATAGTCTTCATCTATATCAAACTCTGAACTCTGGCTAACTAGAGATTTGGACTTGGAAATAGATACTAAGTCATCTTGGGTAGAATTAATACCAACGCCCCCATTATTCTCATACATAATCATGGTATCGTCCTCATCTTCGTCATCGTCATATATAAAATTAACCTCTTCCTCTGTCATACTTGCCAAGCTTAAGGCAGCTTCTCTATCAAAACTAGTAAGTATATTGTTTGACTAGAATTATAATGACTAATTCTTATGCCAATGGTCTACTGTTACAAAATTTCATTATATTTATATCATGACTTTTAGTATTATCCTCAAAATTATGACATTTTTTTAAAAAGTTGGCGATGAGATGATTAATGCGGGAGATATTCAGAATAACTAGGTTGAGTAAAGAATGAGGATCAACAAATGTGTATTTCAAAAAATAATATAGATCAATTCAATTAAGCAAGAAAGTTCCACGCTTGAGTTGACTGTGATCAAATATGGGTAATGGATTAGAAGAGTACAAGAAACTTACTACCCAACTAGAAGTGGATGAGCTGGTTACCACACTGGATACTGTCTTTCAGGAGAAGGACAGTTTGACAAATATAGATGTGATCCTCACAGTTATCAAGTATGTTGTTTCACACCATCAAGTAATGCCTAAATCTGTTATCCTGAAGTTGAATTGGTTTTTTGCACATTCATTAATTGGCTTTTCACAATTAATAAAGTTTGGATCGGACATTGATGCTAAGCAAAGCGAGCAGTTGATATATATTGAATATGTGACACAATTCTTAAAGTCTTCTACCACTTATTTACAGAATTATTTGATCGAATGTACGGAGAATAGAACTAAGGAGTTGATATTAAAAAGAACTTTCACAGGAAGTACTGTCTTCAATTTTGTTAAAGGGAAACTAAACCCATTGGAATACATTGAACTGCTGAATAACCAATTAGTCTTTGCACTTGATAAATTGGATTCAAGATCTGGTGATTTTCATAAATATTTGGGCAATCATATTGCATCACTTTGCGACTTTCATAATATTTTTGCGCCTGATGTAATACTATCTAAGACGTTCCTTATAAAGCAAGAACGATTAGAAACTCTTTCTCTATTTATGAAAAAGACATCAGAATATACCAGGTATAAAATAGGGATAAAGTATCTTCTCCCATATCTTGACAAGGTATGTTCGGATACCAATGCACAATTGGTACATCATATATTAGGTACTCTAGGAATCGGTAAACTAATACTGGTACAAGACATATTTAGGCTGAATAGTTTTACCTTACAGAAAACTATACTTGCGATCCTAGATTCAAAGAAAATAGATTCCGTTATGGATTTTTTGCTGATGAAATTTCATAGTATTGAATATGAATCTGATAACAATACTTGCCAGTTGATTGTAACAATTCTAAAGAACCATCTAAATGACTCTGGTAAAATAAAAGTGTGTCATTCTGATCAGTTTCTAAATGCTATAACGAAGAGACTGAGTGATCAAGATAAAATAATCCGGGAAAGATCAATGTACATTGCAAAAATAGCCAGTAATCATAAAATTGACTATGAATCTGATTTTACTATTGATATCGGAAAATCTATAGCTCATGAAAACTATGAAGTTCCAGAATCAGATTGGTCTCTCATATTGAATTCAGTTAATTCCAATGTCAATACTAATTCTTCAGATACGAATATATCTACCAGCACACATGCCTTAGAGGCATTGAATCTTGATGATAGTGATGATGAAGAAGATGAGGAAGGGGATCAACTAAAATATGTTTTCTTGAAGGATCTCACTGCAGCCTTAGAAAACAAATCTCAAAGAGGATTAACAAATATACTGAAGAACACTGTAAAATTAGTTAGACAGAAAAAATTGTTCCGCTCAGAAGTTGCATATTATGCAGGTGCAATGATTAGAAATATAGTGATTCTAAACAATGACTTGGATGAGAAGCAATTTGAGGAGTTAAGAGTTAATGCACTTGTCAGTATTCTTGTAGTGGTCCCAGAGAAAATCGACGAATTGTTGAAGATGTTATTTACAGCTGAACTTTCATTGCAACAGCGGTTATCTTTGTTACTATCTGTGTCAATGTCTGCGCGGGAGTTACGTGGGTACGATGATAAGCAGATACTAAAGCCACAGTTTGATTTTCCTACATCTATGCTGCCTTGGGACCGGAGACAAGAAAATAATCGTATTGAAGAGATTGATGACAATGGTTCAGATAACACAAGCGGGGGTAAAGTGCTATGGAAGTCCAGTAAACTGACTAAAAATACCGAAGAAATCAATAACAGGTTCCGTGAATACGCATCCAAATTTTTCTATCCATTAGCCAACGGATGGCTGAATGGAATTGATCTCGGTACCTTCGACAAATTGTTCAAAACTTATTACTTGAGCACATTGAAAACTGTATATAATTGTGCATATCTAGTGCACGACTTCGAAGACATGACCACCACAATGGATACAATACTGCAAGATGCTGTCAACAATAATATCCCCTTAGAATTGCAATAATTGGGAATATATACTGAGCCTATACTACTCAGCTATTTTATGCTTTCTAGGGTTTTGTGAAGTTAGGGCTTACGTGATTTTTAGTTCTTTTGTTTTTTTGTCCGTGAATCACTGAAGGGTAGACACTTTGCCCTTTATTTTTCACAGTCGAGAATTTCCTCGGACCGGTCGGGTTAGCACTTTCCAACAGCTCTTCACTGTTAACATTCTACCGGTTATTATGCAAGACCAAACAGTCCACTCTGGTTTCTTCACGCCTCCAGTATTACCTGAGATCATATTATATAGGTGAAAGGTGCACAGAAGCTTATACCTGGAGGAGATATAATCTCGAAGGAAATTCAACTTCCTGTGCTCGAAAAGCTTAGTTAGGGCTATCAATTAGGGTTGAGCCATCGCTATTTTTTTTCTCTCTCTTCTCTTCAAGCCCTCTTTCACTGCTCGAAAGGGGAGAAGAAGGGCCCTATTAGAGAGAATTCTGAAAAGTTTTTAAACAGCTAAGCTATAGATAGTCTTCCCAATTATTCCTGAAGTTGCTGATTAAACTCCTTGTTGTTTGATAAACAGTAAAACTAGTGTGTTTTGCCTTTTAATTGTTTTCTGATTTGTTGCAAACTAATTGTTTCCATGAAGAGATCATTTGTGGAAAACAAGACGCTGTAATTGAAAACAAGTACTAAAAAAACACTAATCAAAGGTTTATGGGTGTGATAACATGTCTTTCTTTGATAGTATAAAATCCAAAATTGTGGATAGTTTCATACCATTGTTGAGTAGGGATGAGAAATTCAGGCAGGAGTTCAAATTGCCGGATGGTGAGACTATAATCGATGACCTAAATGCAGATGTAGCATTTGCACATGTGCATAGTAAAATGGCCAAGTATGATAGACAGAAGCTGAACTCTGGTGATACTGGAAGTGCAGTGCAGTATGCTTTTCCTGGTAAGATCATGATGACGGAGCATTACCTGGTGTTCAAAGATGGATATGATGGTGAATCATGTGTTATGGTCTTGAACATCTCAGCAATCAAAAGGGTAGAGAGATCGACCTCTAATGCTTATTCTTTTGTGTTGTTGGTTACCCTTTATTCTGGCTCTCAGATATTGATCCAGTTTGTAAGTTTGAGACATAGATCAGAAAACTTTTGTGAAAGGTTGAAAAAGAATCTAAGGTCAAATATACCAAATGCTAAACGATTAAAGTCTTTTCTAGATACTTGTTATTCAGAGTATTTGATTTATAAAAATGTACTACGCGTTGAAGATATCAAACCGCCTAGAGCCGGACTGGGACAGCAGTACAAGTATCCTGGAAGTCCTTCAATTCAAAGAGAAAAAGCAAAGTTGAGACTTTGGTTCGAGTATTTCAAAGACAATGGAACTAATTTATCACTGGTGAGAAACCATACTTTCAAAAAACTGATACGTGTTGGTGTGCCGAATCGTCTTAGGGGTGAAATATGGGAATACTGTTCAGGTTCTATTTACCTGAGATATCAGAATCCCGATGAGTATCAAAAGCTACTTACTGAAAATGCAGGGAAGACTTCCCAGGCGATAGATGAGATTGAAAAAGATTTAAAGAGATCCTTACCCGAATACTCAGCCTATCAGACCACAGAAGGTATTCAAAGATTGAGAAATGTTTTGACCGCCTATTCATGGAAAAATCCTGACGTCGGATATTGTCAGGCGATGAATATTGTTGTGGCAGGTTTATTAATTTACATGTCAGAAGAGCAGGCTTTTTGGTGTTTAAATAATATCTGTGATTTATACGTACCAGGTTATTATTCAAAAACGATGTATGGTACACTGTTAGATCAGAAGGTTTTTGAGGCGTTTGTTGAAGATCGGATGCCTAATCTGTGGGATTATATAGTTGAACATGATATTCAATTATCAATCATTTCCCTGCCATGGTTTCTTTCTTTGTTTTTCACATCGATGCCTATAGAATACGCTGTCAGAATTATGGATTTGTTCTTTTGTAACGGACCGAGAACATTATTTCAAGTTGCACTGGCGGTGTTAAAATTAAATGGAGAGGAAATCCTCTCTGCGGATGATGATGGTATGTTCATTGCCATAATTAAAAACTATTTCCAGAATTTAGGTAAAAGTGCTCATCCAAACTCCAAGGAACCAAAAATAAGAGAAATAACAAACTTTCAGGAACTTCTTGTCACAGCCTTCAAAGAATTCGATGTTATTACTGAATCACAAATTGCGCAAGAAAGACATAAGCATCAAAAAGATGTTTTTCAAAACATCGAAACTTTTGTAAAGCGAACACAGATTCGTCATATGCCAAAAACCTACAACTTGTCTGACAAGAATTTAGGAAATATTTATGACTTATATTACCAGAGTGTTGAAACACATAAAATTAGTTTAGGTACTGGATCATCTAATATGGACTTAGAGTCCTTTGTTCAATTCATAAAAAAGGTGTGCAACTGGGCAAAGGATTCTCAGAGCGATCTAGACCCATCCTTCAGACAGCAAAAAAGCGAATTTCTTAAAAGATTATTCAATAGGTGGGACTCTGCCAAAGTTGGTGAACTTACTTTGAATGATGTTGTGGAAGGTTTGGATCATTTACTATCTCGCGATATGCTTGAATCAATAAATTATTTCTTTTCACTATACGATAAAGATGGTGATGGTCAGTTAGATAAGGATGAGGTCTTACAATTATCTGAAGGTCTTTTATTGTTAACTGATCCTTGGAAGAATGGCAGTTTTGTTGATTTATTGACAAAGAAAAAGATAGAGGACGATATTGCCGAAAAATTGGTTCAAGAAAATGGAGAGAAGGTCATAACCATGGATGAAATTTCATTACCCTCAGGTGTCACTATTGATGAAGAAAAATACAAGGCCGAGCAGTCAGAAAGGTACTTAAAAGCTGCAAGTAATTTCTTACAGAGGGCATTTGAATATGCAAAGTCGATTGAGCTTGATAGTGCAGTCAATCTGATAGATTTATCTGATGATGAGTCCGAAGGATCCGATGAAGATGTAAAAATAAAGAAGAAGAAGAAATTTGAGGCGATCATGGCTAACCCTGCTTTAGACCCTTCACATCCTAAAGTGCTGGATTTAGCAACTTTTAGAATGATTATACTAGCCGATGAAACATATGAGCTATTTTTTTCAGAGACCCTAAGAGACTCTATAAGGATTGATGAAGGTAATGAAAGCAATAATTACAGAACCAAAGCCTTGAGGAATATGTTTGATGGTATACTAGCGGATGGTAAAAGGGTTGCAGAACAAGTACGTCGTCGTGTTGACTCAGTAGCCACTAGATCAAGTATTAGTTCAAATGATGGACCTACATCCCAACTTTCTGCAACTAATGAAATGCTACCTAGTGCTGATGATAGAGCCGACGATGTTGATGACTTCACACAAGAAACAGGTGAAGAGCAGCATGAATTACTCAATGAAACTCTACTAGATATTGATGATGATATGAAAAGTTCCAATAATAACCAACAGGATAAAAGGATTAGTGAAATGCCAAAATTGGACTCTAAGAATGCCGATCTGGTAGAGTTTGAAGCCGATTAATATGAAGTCGTATTTTCGGTTTAGTTTCATATTTAAAAATATATTATTGTCATTATTTCACTGAGAAGAAACAGGCTACTCCATATATAATATATTGCTTAAAGTAGTTCAGCTCCTTAATATTGTGTTCCATATACTTGCGGACAATATAGTTAATTAGATTGCATAGTTATAACTATTTTAGCAAATTTACCTAAAATCCGTTAAAAATAAGGTTTTACTCAACATATCCGAAAATGACAAAATCCAAGGTGATTGGAAAGTACTGTATAATTGTTGGTATTAAGACTTTAAAGTATTAATCCACAAAATAGAGCATTGTCATAATTCATTTCAGGCCACAACAGTCAGGTTTTTAGAGAAGATGTTTTTGTCTGTGGGCCTACGATCAAATCCGGTAAAGTTATCCTTCTTTCGATTTAGTTCTATCAAGTGCAGCAAGCCACTAGGAAGTGCATTAACAATAAGGTCATTATCCAATAAATGCATATCAAGTTCACCGATACATAGTCAGCTTTCCAATATAATATCAAAGAGGAACTTTTCTAATGGGAAGTTTTCACTTAGAGGAAGCTGGGAAAGTATATTCAAAGATAATGGGAGTGATAGATACACAAGATTGAATAGGTTCCAACAATTTCAGAGGAACAGTGGTAACTCCAACTCCTTAGGGGTAATAACAGCATTCGGTGTTGGTGCTATGGCAGTTATTTACTTTATCTCGCCGTACCTATTTAATATAGTGCCACCGTTCACTTATTTTAAGCATAATCCCAAAGATCTTGTTTATGCTATCCTAGGAACAAACTTATTGGTGTTTGGTATGTGGCGTATTCCTCAATGTTGGAGATTCTTACAGAAATACATGTTGTTGCAAAAGGATCATATGGCAAGCAAGTGGGCAATAGTTGGAAGTGCATTTTCTCATCAAGAGTTTTGGCATCTCGGTATGAATATGTTGGCATTATGGTCATTCGGTACCTCATTAGCTAGCATACTTGGTACAGCAAACTTTTTCTCCCTGTATATGAATAGTGCCATCGCTGGTTCTCTGTTCTCGCTTTGGTATCCTCGGATTGCCAAACTAATGATGATAGGCCCAAGTTTGGGTGCCAGTGGTGCTTTATTCGGTGTATTTGGTAGTTTTGCTTATTTATTTCCACAGGCAAAAATTCTACTGTTTGTGTTTCCTATACCCGGAGGAGCATGGGTCGCCTTTCTAGGATCGGTGGCATGGAACTTAGCCGGCTGTGTATTGAGGTGGGGATCATTCGACTATGCTGCTCACTTAGGTGGTTCCTTGATGGGTATTGCGTACGGATGGTATATAAGCACACTAATGAAGAAGAGAAGGGAGCGTCGGATCAAAAGTGTTTCCAAATGGGTGTGATATTTCCTTTACACTAAATAGGAACTTGTAAATTTCTATAACTGAGGCTTCCATTCATTAACAACCTACTAGATTTATATCACTGTAAATACATGTATAATCTCTACATTTTATTTATTGATGGGCTTTCTGTAGTTAATCTATTCTCTGGGTTTAACTTCGATATAAAGGAATATGAATACACAAGGTCAGTAGGCGTATTTATTCTATTAACAAGATTGTGTGCTATAATATACTGAATTGTTTATTTTCGGTTCTTCAATAGACCTTGCCTTACTATAAAATAGTTATCTTTCCTCATTTTTGCTAATCCTGTGCTATCCCAACTTCCAGTTGGTTCACCAGTCGCTTCATCTTGTTTGATACCATCTATCTTCTTCAGCAAATCGTCATATGTAAGAGCTTTGTTTTGACGTGGCAACAACCTGGCATAATTTTCATCCAGGTTCTTATCCTGGTCGTCAACAGACGTTTCATGTAGTTTGTTTATAAATGACAACTGTTTAACTAATATCCGTTTGCTGTTCTGTAAATCGGCATCCTCTACAGGAAATGCACAGAGTGCTAGGAGTTTCCGCACTTCTTCCTCTGTAGGCACACCTTGTTTTGCTGCTTTACCTGTGTCTTCTCCATGGAGTATTTCATCAATTGACCACGTCTGTTTGGCCAAGTACTGCTTCACTTCAGCAACGTTTCGGAACGGTTTACCAACGGTTGCAGCAGTGTACCGCCTAAAAAATACTGCTCTAATCATAAATCGGCTCATTACAGTCTGGTTCTGTATAGTATAATACTGTATTGTTGAAAGATGGTAGCTGGTTGGTGCAACATCTCTTTATCCCGTTCTCTCTTCATTCTATTGTTTCCGGGGTCTCTCTCTGGCACCTTAAATTGATGAGATAGTGACTTGAGTAAAAAAAAAAGAATTTATTCTTGATTAATATAATAGATTGAATTACTCGATATTAAGACAATACTTCACACATTCTCAACTAAATTTGTAATTACTGTAAAATAATATTGTACTGGTAACTGGTGCTGCTGGCTAAAGATATCACTTACGCTAATGAACACTGAATATAAAGGATCATATTGTCGAGTTGGTAAAAAAAACTACAAATCTATATTACTATATTTGATATTTGTAAATTTAATCTTTTATCTAGACACCAGATTGTAGCCACTACCATCCACTAAGCCATAATAAAGTATATCCTTTTATTATATAACTTGAATAGAGAAATACCCTGTAACCATGTGACTTTTTACGTAGCATACAACATTCAAACTGAAAAATTTTTTGTGAGCAGCTTCATCTAACGAGCTCATCGCATCTCATCGCATCTCATCGCATAGGATAGTGGTGAGTATTGTTAAAAATAACAATTCATTATAATTGAGATAGCAGGTTCTGATGTCAGTATTCCAGAACTAAACCCACCAAGATTAAGTCAAGATGAGAGTTAAGAAGAGAAATGTTAGAGGTAATGCCAAGAATTTCATAACGAGATCCCAAGCTGTGCGTAAGTTGCAGATTTCTCTAGCTGATTTCAGAAGGCTTTGTATTTTCAAAGGTATCTATCCTAGAGAGCCAAAAAATAAGAAGAAGGCTAACAAAGGCTCCACTGCCCCAACTACTTTCTATTATGCCAAAGATATTCAATATTTGATGCATGAGCCTGTGTTGGCTAAGTTCAGAGAGCACAAGACATTTGCTAGGAAATTGACTAGAGCTCTTGGAAGAGGTGAAGTCTCCTCTGCGAAGAAGCTAGAAGAGAACAGAAGTACATACAAACTGGATCACATTATCAAGGAACGTTACCCAAGTTTCCCAGACGCTGTCAGAGATATTGATGATGCACTAAACATGTTATTCCTGTTTGCCAATCTACCAGCAACAAACCAAATTTCATCCAGAGTTATTAGAGATGCGCAAGTTATCTGTAACCAATGGTTAGCCTATGTGGCAAAGGAGAGGCTTATCCGTAAAGTTTTCGTCTCTATCAAGGGTATCTACTATCAAGCTAACGTTAAAGGTGAAGAAGTTAGATGGGTCATTCCATTCAAGTTCCCAGAAAACATCCCAAGTGATATCGATTTCAGAATTATGATGACATTTTTGGAATTCTACTCTACCCTACTTCATTTTGTTCTGTTCAAGCTGTACACTGACAGTGGATTGGTATATCCACCAAAGATCGATGTCGAACAAGATAAGATCTTGAGTGGTATCAACGCTTATATATTGGAAAGTCAAGAAGAAACCAGTGTGTTGAATGCAGAGGTGCCATCAGATGCTCCAGATAAAGAAGCACAGTCCATTGACACCAAGACACTTGCACAAGCAATGAAGGCTGACAGTAAGGATAAAGATGACAACTCTAACGATGAAGCACCAGAAAACGTTGAAGATGTTGAATTGGATGAATTTGAAGACCATAACAAGAACAAGGGTGATATTTTGGCCCAGCCAAGTAAATTCAGCTCTCCAACAGCAACTCTATTCGAAGATTTTGTATTCTACGTCGGTAGAGAGGTACCAATCGAAGCTATTGAATTTTTGATTTTATCCTGTGGTGGTAAAGTCATCAGTGAGGCTGCCATGGATCAAATTGAAGGTAACACTGAATTTGACCTAAGTAAAGTAACTCACCAAATTGTCGATAGACCAGTTCTGAAGCATAAAGTTGCTGGCAGAACTTACATCCAACCACAATGGGTGTTTGACTGTATAAATAAAGGTGAACTCTTATCAGCTAATCTATATTTGCCTGGTGTTAGCTTACCACCACATCTAAGTCCATGGGGTGATGCACTTGGTTACGATCCAACCAAGGAGGTTGAATCTGAAGATGAATCTAGTGATTCTTCTGAAGAAAGTGACTCCGAGATTGAAAATGAAGAGGAAGATACTAAACCTGCAGCAATTACCAATGAGGATGACGATGAGGATGTGGAGGAATTGGCTGCTCAAAAAGAACTAGAACTAGAAGCTAGTGGTATTGCATACTCTAAGGCCAAGGACGAAGGTTTACATGATGATGTTGCATCAAAGAAAAAGAGAAAGGTTACTGATGAAGATGAAGAAGAAAAGAAACTAAAAATGATTATGATGAGTAACAAGCAACGCAAGTTATACAAGAAGATGAAATATTCCAATCAACAGAAAGAAGATAAGATCGAGGAGTTGAAGAAAAAGAAGAAGCAACTAGCAAAGAAAGAAAAGACTCTAAAAAAGGTAGAGAAGAAATAAATGCATTCATACTGTAGTAAGTTTTACATTTAAAGATATCAAACTGTATTTTTAAATCATTCTGTCGTCATTATTACATTCTATTATTTTCAACATATTTGACATATATATTGTATATTAATTAAGGTTAAATTCTACAAAGAATCTTCATTATTCAAATTAAAGCAATATGTTCGTCAGTGTATGAATATATCTCTTCTATAAGGTGATATCTTTTTGTGTCAAATTTGTTCTGCTATCCATAGATTTTCTGTCTGGAACTTTAAAATCTAGATAACCAGATAAATCTCTTTGTAGGGAAAGAAGGTTTGCTTCTGCTAAGTTCAGTCTTTCAATATCGGTAGCCCTATTTACTGTAACAAATGTATGTACCACGTAACCTCCTTTTGTTACTTGTATTATGTTGTCCTCCGCGATATCCCATACTTTATGGCAATGAATTATCACATCACGTTTATGCACAAATCTAACACCAACAGTAACATACATGTAATCAAAGCTATACCCCAACTCAGCCATAACATTAGCGAGTGTAGGGTTATTACCAGCTTGATGTACGATAGTTGCCTCCTGGATAGCCTGCATACTAACCTTTCTATTGCTCCCAGCGGCGGGTATATCAGCAGTGGTAAGGGTCCAATTTATCGTATTATTTGAAGGATTGTTGATCATATCAAATAGTTGTTCTTGTTTTATTGGGAATTCTTGTTCCTTCATGGTGTTTAGTATTTCATCAGAATCCACACCGTTATTTTTTGATACAGGATCATTCAAGATCAATTCCAAGGGTATGCTTGTTGCGGTTGTCATCCTTGTAGGCTCCACTAATTCATTCTTCGAATTAAGATTATCGACCTCATAGTTAGGATTGGGCTTCCATACCACCATAAGATTGGCATATACCACTGCAGGTGAACCTGTCAGTATATTTATTGAAGTTTTGAACAACGGAAAGTCATCATCGGCAATTGTAGCCATAAGACTAAGTCTTTGCACCATTTTATAATTTTCTTTGTTATACTGTAACTACACTGCTTCCTCAATAAGAAAAGGTCACCTAGCTGATTTTGATGTGTAGTCCTTTGAAATGTTTAATCAATGTACTAGATCCAACAACAATCCAATTTTGTATTGAAACTCGTGTAAATTACTACTTACTATTACGCTTTAACTTATTTTTTTTTCATTTCTGGTATCGTTTCCTGCAAAAGTTCGGTTTCAGCAGATAGTTAATCAAACTCCATAAAGGAAGTATTAGCCATTGAGTGGTAGGCATAGAGGTTATTTTAGATGCTGTTGCACAATTTAAGGATCCGGATAATAGTTAGAACTCAATTTAAAAATATAATATAGAAGCAATGGCAGTTGATGTGCCAAAATCTGTTATAAAGAAGTTGGTATTCTTTACCGTTGCAATGGTCGTGCTTCCATTGTTGACTTTCTTTACATTACAACATCTAACTAGCAATACTATTATAAGCGGTGGTCTTGCAGCTTTGATGGCTAATGTTGTGTTGGTGGGGTATATAATTGCTGCGTTCACTGAGGATACCACGGAATATGCACCAGAAGGTAAGGAATCGAAGAAGGAATAAGTTAGTCAATTGATTTTACAGTATATGGCAGGCCTGTTTTATATTCAGAGTTATGTGAAGGTCGAATCACTGATTGGCACATTTAATTTACTAAATGACATGGCATAACCGCTTGATTCGAGAAATTCTTGTCTTGGTTAGTGTCTAATATATGTAAAAATACTGGCAGTTTTGTATATTATATCATTTATAAAAAAATACTATACAGTGGGTAATGAAATATCTAATGATTAAAAAGTGGAATTCTAATTGGTTTTCTTTGCCATGTTGTTTGGTCTTTCTAAAGCACCGTAACTGATGGAAAGATCGGATAACCACGACAAGGAGATTATCAAGATGATTAATAGAATACCAGATACTATTAAACACATAAGTAAGCCTTCGGTCCAGATTCTGCTTTCTTCTGATGGGGTTTTACCTTCGTTATTCTTGTCGTCTGATTCATTGTCATCGAAGAAGTCCAAGATGTCATACTCCTCTAGAATTTCTTCGATCTCATCTATGATTCTATCTCTTCTAACCTTCTTGTTATCACTAGTTAGCTCTAAAGCTAATAATGGTAAAGTTTGGGATTTGGTTTCAAGGTTCAGTATATTTTGCTGGATAATTTCACTTACCTTTTCATAGTTATCCAAGTTTTCTTGAAATTCCAAAGTATATTTATTGGCTTCACTTTTCACCTGATCGTAGTTACTATCAATAACATAAGAATCAACCTGACCAATGTCTTCTTCAATTAACCTCCAGAAAGTGTACTTGCCAACTTCTTCATTCTTCAAACTAGTAAATAAGTTGCGGAGAACATCTATGTTTAAAACCTTGATAATAAGCAAGGGCGTATTAGATTCACTAGCCGCTACACTTAGTGAGTCTGTGTTCAACTCAGAGTCTGAAAATGTCAGAAAGAACTTATTACTGGCCACTGCGTAGCTGAACAACAGGAATAAGGATACAAATAATTGCTTGATCATCATTTCACTTGATCCCTCCAGGAAGTAGAAAGCTATAACTTGTTAATCAAGTTCAATATAATATCGATGAGACAATATATTGTTTTATCGTCTATCAAATTAATTTATAACGGCCATGCATCATAAAGTCATCATTAGTATTCGATATTATGGCTATTGTGCCATCAAGAGCTATCTTAGCAAGACGGATGCAGGCCGGCCCTAATGCATACGTTAGTAATGATATATTTAGGAAAAGTAGTATAGCCCAGTACCCCATTGTTCAAGTTTTCCAATTCTTTATGTGTGTTTATTATTTTATACAGATTTTCTTCAAGTAAATAGATGTCATTATAAATTATATTTAGTACACCATTTTTCTTCCGGTGATTGTTCTTCTATTTGAATCTTCGTTGTCATCTTCTTCGTCGACCTTTGCTCTGTTTAGCACCTTCACAAATGTGTCGACTCTGTATCTCATTCTGGAGTGCATATAAGCTTTAGAACACTTGATATGGTAGTGGAAGTAGTTTCTGAACAATGTTAATTGGGACACAGAGGTGAATTGCAACTCCTCGGTTTGGAAATGACGTGGGAAGAGCACAAATGTGATGAACCTCCTACTGTCGTGCTTACCTTGTGTGTTTTGATTCTGTGCCACTGATTGGATCTCTAGTGGTGGTTCATGAGAGAATAGTACCTGTGGAGCGGACTGGATACCGCGGTTTCTCTTTCTTGCGTCTACGAACTCCTGTAAGAACACTTTACCCAAAATCTTGTCTGTTTCATCTTGGAAAATAGTCTCAAAGATAACGGTGACACGATCACTTGCAGCCTTCACAAAGATGTTTTCATCGTCTCTATACTTGATAACATGGACATTTTGAGACTCGACCACAGAGCCCTCAGGGATCGGTTGGTTGTTCAATTGGTGAAACTCTTCAAAAGCCTGATGGAATGGGAAACTTAGAACGAGAGTCTTCAAAATAGAGCACCTCTTGATAGCTTCTTCATTCAGGGACCCAATGTCAATTTGTAAAGTGTAGTCAAACCCTGGCTCAACAGCATTGGCAACCGAGACACCTTGCGTGTTTGCATACTTGCCTTGTAGAAAGGTTAGTAAATCACCACCTTGTAATATACTTTGCCAAGCCTTGGTTCTAACACTCAACAACAAGATGGACTTGTTGTCAGGAGTGTTGGAGACATGAAACGTCGTGTAGTCAAAATCAGAGATAATTCTATCTAAGGTCAACGGAGTACCCTTAGCATTCGCATCGAGCGCCTCAAATAAGGTCTTTTGGATCAAAAGGTTAGCAGGCTGCAGATGTAACATTGTGTATAGTGTTGTGCTAATTAAAGATAGCAATTGCCCTCTGTAAGTGGTTACAATTGGCTTCCATTTCTTAGCATTTAATTCACAAATATTGCTCAGAATTGCATGGGCTTTGTCTTTCGAAAAGGCCCCTATCGACTTTCCTCTAATGCGACGTTATTAGTGATGTTATATAAATGAAGAGTATAGCGAAATATGTTAAATTGTATTTATGACCTGGGGCCAATTGCATTCCCTTTATATATATACATGTGGGAGGGAGAGCCGTTATACAGTTCCTCTTTTTTACTAGTGTCCTTTTTCATGCTTTCTTCTATTTACATGGGGCTGGGATATCCGCTTATTCGTGTTATTGCATGTGCAATTCCATGCGCATTATTGCAGATTAAATCATTCCTTTGTGGGTTTCTTTACACCGTATTTCGATCTTGAGGTAATTCTATTGACCACACCGCTCAGATCACCAGCACCACGTACCACATGGTATTTTACACCTGGCAGGTCCTGGCAACGGCCTCCTCTAACATAGACAACACTGTGCTCTTGGGCGTCGTGGCCTTCGCCTGGAATGTAAGCAGAGACCACTTTCCCATTGGTAAGCCTTACTCTGCAGGCTTTACGTTGCGCCGAGTTCGGTTTCTTCGGTTTCAGGACCATAACTCTGAGCACAACACCTTTCCTGATGGGACACCTCTCTAAGTCCGGTGCCATACTGATACGCTTCTTCTTTGGTGGGCCTGCACCGCGCTTGATTTGATTTAGAGTGGCTAACACACTGGAGCTAGAGGAGAACTGCCTCACTTTAGTGAAACCCATCCCAGTACTGCTACGCCCTGCACTCAGCGACATATGTGAAAGCCCCTGGGCAAGACCCAGCGGGCGCGTGATAGTCTGTCCCATACAATGCATAGGTCTCACCAGACCTAGTAATATCCTTCCAAACATTTATAAAATAGCCAGGTTGGTCTGTTTCTGTGGATCTGATACCTGGATTTCTATGTTATTTCCAAGTTTCTTGCTCTTTTGTATCTTCAAAGTCCCAAACCGGGCAAGGCGAGTTGTTCAGCGTGACATAGTTCCCAGGGCCTATGAAGATGGCCATATTTGCATAAATAGCTACATAATAACGCTCTGGTTGATTGGCAGTTATAATCTTGTTTTTATTTTGTATTCAGTTGTTATGTATTTGTTCAATTACAGTGCTCGAGGGCACACATATGCAATAGCTTGAAAGTGCGAATTTATTATGGTGGAAATTACAAAACAAATATACTATAGATATGCCACTTGAGGGGGTATTCCTCTTATATACAGGTTTGTGTGGTTTCTATTAACATGAGTATAGCGTAGTGGTGGTTATTTGTTCTTGGTTTGCGTGTAGCTGAATCTCTTTCTCGTGGGTGCAAACTCCCCTAGCTTCCTGCCGATCATGTCCTCGGATATTTCTATTGGCACGTAGTCCTTACCGTTATGTATCTCAAACTTCAAACCGACAAACTGTGGTAGAATAGTCGCAGCCCTGGCGTTAGTCCTGATGGGTACACCTTTATTCATGGCCTCCTTGATGGGCAGAGGAACAATGTTAGGGCCCTTCCATGCCGATCTAGCCAGTAGTCTCACAGTTGGATGCATTGTGTTTTCTATATGTAATAAGATGCTATCGGTGCGTGTGAATGTGTGTTTACAGTACTTGTATTGCTAATGGTTCATATATGCTATTCATTGAATCATGCTCCTTTCCTTTTCATTCTCCAGGTCGCTGTGAAAACGTGAAAAATTCTGAAAATTTTTGCGATGAGCTCATATACAAAGGCTTATGGTAGAGTATTAATTCATTACTTGACAAGCAGAATACATTTCGAAAGCAGCAGAGTAAACAACTGGTTACTTGAATTGATCATGTTTGCTGCAAGATTTGACCCAACAAAGGTTGTTCGGGAAGAACCCAAGATTATACCGCAGAAAAGAGCAATTCCCGATGACGTTGAAAGTAGTGATTCTGATCAGGATATAGAGGATGGTGTTGAGGTTGGCGCTGTATCTAAGGAGCAGTCAGGTACTGATGTGACTACAACAAGGGCTGTTGATGGTAAAAGTGAGAGCGACAGTGAAAGCGAAAGTGAGAGCGAAAGTGATAGTGATGATGAAATGAATTTTGATATGGGAGGTAGCTCTTCATCCTCTGATGATGATGAAGTGTCCAGCAAGGATGCAGATGTGGATGATGATGGCAAGCACACCTCGGTGTTATCCAGGTTCAAGAAGACACTGTCCATACAAGATAAAATATCAGCACTGGAAGAGGCTAATACACAGGATATACTAGAAGATGGAGAAGCACATGACTTAGCACAGATTCCTCAACCTGCAGTGGTGAGAGATAAGAAACTACAAGTAAAGGACATATCTGAAATGAAAAACACAGCATTTAGGGACACTAGGAAAGTACACTATGATAATAGCATGACTAAATCATTCGAAGAATATAGTGATGACCTTACACCAAAACTGTTGAATAATATCGAAAAGTATTTTTCGAAAAGTACATTTCCAATTCAGACCGCTATGCTAGACCAATATCTAAAGCTAATAAATTTCACACTAAAGACATCGAAAAAGAATTTTACTAGAAGAATTGGTGACATCTTAGTTAATGCATCAACGGGTTCTGGTAAAACATTAGCATACTCCATCCCAATAATACAAACACTTTCCTCTAGAACAGTGAACAAACTTCGTGTTCTAATAATATTACCAACAAAGCTGTTGATCAATCAAGTCTTTCAAACCATGTCTCAATTAGCAGAAGGTACAAGCTTAGTTATTACGGTTTCCAAACTAGAAAACTCCTTCAATGAAGAACATAAAAGATTGCTGAAGACAGAGCCAGATATTTTTATTACTACGCCAGGTCGTCTAGTAGATCATTTAACAAATAGCTCAATTTCTCTAAGGAACTTGAAGTTCTTGGTATTAGATGAAGCTGATAGATTACTAAATCAATCCTTTCAGAATTGGATTCCTGAAGTTATGAGTAAGTTCAAATCAGATAAATTTGATCAAATGCCGGGTAGTATCATCAAAATGGTCTTTAGTGCCACGCTGACAACAAATACAGAAAAATTGAATGATCTGCAGTTATACAATCCTACTCTGTTTGCTACAGATTCAGTAAAACTCTACAATCTTCCCCCTACTTTGCAGGAATACCAACTACAGATTCCATCTGCCAAAAGCGTTTACAAGCCTTTGTATCTGTTAAAATTACTTGAACAATTGAGTGGTGGAAAAACTTTGGTGTTTGTTAGATCTAATGAATCCTCATTGAAGCTAGAAGTTTTGTTAAAATCTCTAATTAAAGGCCATATGACAACACTACAAATTGTAGTGCATTCAATTAATTCCAACAATAGTAAGGCAGAAAATCGTCGCTTAGTCACTGATTTCACTAAAGAGTCCTTACCAAATCAAACAAATGTTTTAATTACAACAGATCTTATGTCTAGAGGTATCGATATTGAAAACATAGCAAACGTCATAAACTATGATGTTCCAATTTCATCACAACAATATGTACATAGATGTGGTAGAACAGCTAGAGCAAATAAAGATGGTAAGGCCTACAACATGCTGGTTGGTAAAGGTGAAGCACAATTTTGGAAAGATAGTATAGACGAAGATATTAGCAGAGATGTGTCTGGTTGTAAACCTATATCCTATAATGATTCCTATAACAAAGTGCATGGCGATGAAAACGCTAGGACATCTGAGCCAACAAGAGACCTGTTTACCTCAATTGACTCGGAAACATCTGATAAGTACAATGAAATACTTAAGAATCTTACACAAAAGTAGTTACACTTGGCATTTTACATAGCAGAAACTCTGCAATTACATAAAGTTTCATCAATTTTTTTAATACAGTACATTGCATTTTATGATAATTCTATATTATTAATGCTAAGTTGAACTAAATTGAATATCTACTACAAACGCTCTATTTCAATAGTTGTTTCTGATCCAGGCAGTATAGACTTTATGCATTTATCAAAAGCTAGCCTGAAGTGTAGCTCTTCATCATTAGAAGCACCTCTCATGTTAACCTTCATCAAGACCACGTACAAGTTGAAATTTACCTTTGTGACTATTAAATCTTGATATTCTAGTTTACACTTTGCTTTATATTCAGGGAGATTTTCAAGTTTTTCAAATATTGCTGACTTAAACTTGGATGCATCATGCTCAATTACTGTCTTGTGTTCATGTAATATACCAAACATCTTTTTTATCCTAGAGCCGCTCGTTTTATCGTCAATTTCTTGAAAGGCATTTAAAGTATTGGATCTGTTCCTTCTTAGGGACGATATTCTCTCACTAACCGTTTCTTGTGTTGATGCTGTCGAATTTTCTTCATCTTTATCAATGAGTGCTAGTGGAGGTAATGACGTTGTTGAAAGCCCCATCAATAAAATGACACCAGTCCATTCAGCGATCTTAAGACCATGGAGCAAGATAAAGAATGCTATAGCAATTGTAGCTATATAATCTGAAAAATTGTAAAACTGATTAGCAAGCACTGGATATACCATCAGATAGAAACCATAAGATATGGTAATTAAAGGATTTTTTGTTTTCAGTTTACTGTTTGTATTGGAATAATAAATCTTGTAAAGGGATAATGTGGATAAAGCAATGCTCACTAAAAGTGTCAGATACCAGGTAGAATAATCTGACCCAACTAGAGTAAAAGGTTCAGAACTACCATGGTGGGAATGAGGTATCGATTGTTCTATATCCGAGTGAGTGTCTGAAGAGTGATCTCTAGTTTCAACCAGCAAAACTATAGACTCTTCGATTATGTGGAAAACTAGATCTAATCCAACAAAACATAATGATACTGCAAGACCAAAACTTAGTAAGACATCAACTCTATTCAAGCCAAATGGGAAAGTTATAGTGCCTGTAGACCATACTTGAAACTGAGATAAATTCTCAACTAGTATAGTTACTAATGCACCAATTATATCATATGCAATGAAGTGAGAAAATGTAATGAAGTTGGTCCAGTTGTTTTTTCTGCCTAGATAGAAAACGGCTATGCAAAGAATAAATTGGCTAAGAGAGATAATTAGCTGTATGTGCGCTTTTGGCCAGGGTAAATTTTTTATCAGGTCTTCGCTATCTGGTATAGGTAATGATTTCGAGATATTAAGTGGTATTTTGACTTCTGGTTCTTGGAAAAAATTCATAGATACAGAAGAATGCTTATATCTGTGACCTTTACGAAACGAAGCCCTAGAGGAAGAAGAAGGTGGAGTTTGATGGGATCCATTAGGCAATTGCGGTTTGATTGGGGCAGAGGAAAAGTTGAATGGAGAATCTAGCATCATGCTAGATCTTTTCCCTGGGGGGCCTACCTTAAGATGATTATGTTCCGGTGATGATGGTCTTACTGGAGACCTATTTCTCGAAGTTGGTGGTGCAAGTTTTGTACCGGGAATGTACTTCAGGGAGTTTCTTCGGCTCTCTCCTTGGACTGGCGTCTTAGTTACATTGTTGCCAGGATGAAATGCTTGTTCATTTGTAGTAGTAGTATTATTTCCACCAAAAGTAAATGTAGGGTTATATATCAAACTGGAGCTAGAGTTGTTACCATCACGTTGTGAGTACATCGAATTTGGTCTCGCAAAAGTAGGGGACATCAGTAAGGATCTAGCTTTTATCCTGCTTCTACCTGGTCCGGTACTTGTACCCAGTGCTTCAGTATTGTTGTTAATACTATTCCCAGCCTTCGATGCAGAGTCTGACAAGGATATGTCATCAGCAGCTTCACCATATGGAGTCTTGTACAATTGGTCAGAAAATTGTGAAGAAGCTTCCTCACGTATGGGATTCATCACTGGTGTAGACAATGGGTCAACGCCATTGGATGTGCTGTGTTCAGAGTTGCTCATTCGGTGTTGAGATTTAGCAGAAGAGAAAAGTTCAAAAATGAGTGTTTATCTTTTTGTGCTTGTGTGTAATTATTGCTTCGTAACCTATACGGTACAACAAACGGTATTTATTCTTTGTAAATTCTAATAGAAACTTTAAAATCTCTATGAAAGGATAAAGGAAGATGAAGTATGATGGAAGATCAAGTTGGCCTGGGACAATTGATGTTGTGCTTTGCTGAAACACAGGCTGAGATAGCTGACAGTAACGATGTGTTGACGTTAAATTCTTGGCATTTCATCGATTCCATCAGTTAAGAATTCTTCAGGCCCTGCGATTTTTGATTTTCGCTGGCCCACCAGAAAAAATGATCGACCATCTGTAACAATGTATAGAAAACACAAAATATTATATGTACTGCGAATGAAGTAAAAATAATTATAGTGGACGATTTATTTTAGACATGTCAATATATAAGATTATAGTATCTATTCTATAGATGCAAAAATAATGTAAAGTTGATAGACAATTCAACATCAAAATTAATAAAGCTAGGGAGAGTTAGAAAAAAAAAAATAAAATAAAACAATAACATAAGAATATGGTTTGTAGGAATCCGACAGAAAATCAAAGAATCATTAAAAGAAAGTACAGGTTTTGTAGCATGCAGAAAGAGTTTGAAAAAATCAATTTAGAAGGATAGTTGTTAGAGTTCAACATTGTGATACACTTGCTCTGGTCTTTGCATAACTACACCGTGCACGGCGTGTACTTTCTGTGAGAATCTTTCCATGTGCGATGGTCTTCTTTCTAGATCGTAGTCGAAGCTGGAAACATCATCTCTTGGTTCGTCTGTTTCGTTAACTTCTTCTGTTTTTGAGAACATTGCATCGTGGCCCATCTTATTCTTGGACAATGAACCATCCTTCTCGTCGTATTGGGTATCCTTGACTGATTTCTCCTCGCTGACAGCGTCAGTCTCTTCTGGATCGTGGTTGCCGAACCACTTAAATCTGCAACACCAGATGAAGTGTGACAAGAAGATACCCAATTCCAACCCAGCAATCACGGAGTACAAGATGATACCCATCGTGTCCATGTTACCAACCACAACACTGATGATAGACAGCCAAGCACCTAGGGAGTCAATGAACAAGAAGATGAAATTGATACCAACCACACGACCATTTCTCTTGGCTAATTCAAAGTATGGAGGTAGAAGGCCGATAGCCAGCAGAACGGTAGCAATAATACCGAAAATTAGGTCGGGCCAAGTAATACCTCTGGAGTACAAAGGACGTAGCCACAGGATGAAGCCAACCTCCATGCCGATGTCAACAACGATGATCCCAACCACAATGGCAACAATCTTACGCACAGCAAGACTGCATGGCGGGTAGTAGCAACTCTGCACAAACGAGATACCGCAGAAAAACATGAACAAGTGGGGCTGGATTTGCAACACCACATTACCCTTACTAACACAGAAGTATATGGCAAAGGGGATACCGGAGACAACCCACAAGAACATCATTAGCGGTGGCAGACCAGTACAGTCCTTCCGTCTCCAGTTGTAGATGATCTGTGGAATAAGCTGGACACACCAGCACACCGTGGCAATCGTAGCCAACGTAGTAGCAGCACCTTCAGAAATCATTGGTGTTATTTGTTGTTCACTTTGATGTTATCTGTATATCTGTATTCGAGAATCAGTGTCTATGCCTGCAATGCCATCGAGAGCGTGTTGCTTTATATATGTTTTCTACAAAGAAGAGTCAGAGCTTATTATCAAATTTTCAGCTTCCGAAGGGACCTTGAGTCACTCCCACGGGGTTATTGTGCGATGCCCTCTGGCCCTCCCATTATCCAATCCATTAGTACCCGTGGTGTTGCCCATCCAACCCAGAAGACCCCGCAGCCATAAGAATTGCTTTTTTTCCTTCAAAATTCTATTTCTCATCTTCCCTTCCCTTCCCTCTGCCCCCCCAACCCTACGCGATTTCTCTCGGGGTTCATCATAACTTATCTGTCTCATAACAGCTCCGTCGGCCCTTCATCCCCTGCATGCCCCTCTGCGAAAAGTAGATCGGCATCTTCCCCCGTCGGAATCTGTGCAGTTTGCCTAATAAGACTGGGAAGGGCAGTGTGAGAAGTTCCCTACTGCTGTTTCTTAGCATATAAAATGGAGGGTCTGCTATGTCGCTAATGGAAGTCTCTTGCTGCGACCTTCTAGCACTCTGTTCTTGGTCCCCTCCATCCCTAGGGGCCCATCTAACGCTTTCTAACATCCCGACGGTCAGTAAATTGGTTGGCAGAAATTTATTAATTGCTTATGTAGTCTAAGTTAGTGGTGCGGGGATTTCTGGGAGGTTGCTGACTCTGACCCCACCAGTATTCATCTCCGTCGGATACTTGTGGGCTGTTGTGACAGGTCGCTCTTACTGCCGACGGAGATATTTTTTTCATTTGACACATTTCCAATAGCTGAGCACTGTCTAATGACACATATTGTATAATGATTGGATTACTTTAAATAAAATACACTGTATGTACTAATAAATAGAATTAAAAGGAAGTGGGGCAGTGGTGGAGGGAGGGGACTAGACACCGTTGCTGTCCAGGAAGAAGTAGTTACCGGACAGTTTCTGTTCTTTGTCCATTTGGGAGTCCAGCTTGTTGATTCTTGGTCTGAAGGAGTTTGGATCCCTTCTGAAGGTGACGTTCAGGTTCTTCAAGAACCTGTTACAACCGGTCAGTAGGGACTCTGGAGCCGTGGCGGTTGTGTTTTGGGATGGGGTACCGTCGAAGACAATGACCTTGTCGGCCAAGTAAGTGGCCATGATGAAATCGTGCTCGACAATGAACGCGGTCTTCTTGTTGTGTAGGATGAATCTTCTGATGACCTTGGAACAGATAATACGCTGTTCGGAATCCAAGTAAGCGGAAGGCTCGTCGATCAGGTAGATGTCGGCAGGGATACCCAGAGACAGCACGATGGCGACTCTTTGCAATTCACCACCGGACAAGTGCTTGACTTCTTGGTCGATGATGTCATCGATCTTTAGTGGCTTGACCACATCGGTCTGGAATTGTGGGTTTAGGAATTGGGCTCTGATCTTCTTGAAGAACAGTTGTCTGACGGTACCTGGGAACTTTGGTGCGATGGTTTGAGGCTTCATGGAGACGTTCAACTTTGGAACAGAAGTACCGTCATCGGCTGGGATAGCACCGGCCAACAACTTGATCAAAGTGGTCTTACCAGTACCGTTTTCACCCATCATCACCAGGATTTCAGAGTCAGAGAACTCACCGGATTGGACGTTCAATGTGAAATCACCTTGTGTACGCTTCATGTCTGGGTAGGAGTAAGCACGCGTAGCATCAACGATGATGTCAGCTGCAGAGTCGGCGATCCTGAATTGCAGAGCTTCAGTTCTAAATCTCATGTTTTCGGATGGAATGTGACCATCCAAGAAAATGTTGATACCTTCTCTAACAGAGGATGGCAAAGTGACAACACCGTATACAGATGGAACACCGTAAAGAATACAGACGAAATCAGATAAGTAATCTAGCACAGACAAATCGTGCTCGACTGCAATGACATATTTGGATGGTTCTAGTAAGGATCTGATGATCAAAGCAGCGTTCAGACGTTGCTTGACATCCAGATAGGAGGATGGTTCATCGAACATGTAAACATCAGCATCTTGGACACATGACATAGCAATGGCAAATCTTTGCAGTTCACCACCAGATAGCAGGCCAATTTCTCTATTCAGCAGGTGGTCAAGTTGTAAAGTCTTGATGTATTGTTTAACTGTGTCTTGTGGCTTTTCCATTCTTAATTTCAAAAGTTCACCGACTTTTTGTACTGGACCCTTGATAGCTCTTGGCAAGTTGTCAACGTATTGAGGCTTGATAATGGCCTTGATGTCATCTTCCAGCATCTTTGTGAAGTAGTTTTGCAACTCGGAACCACGGAAGTACTTGATAATCTCTTGCCATTCTGGAGGGTCATCGAAACGGCCCAGGTTAGGCTTTTGCTTACCGGCTAGAATCTTTAGAGCAGTAGACTTACCAATACCGTTGGTACCCACCAGACCTAGCACTTGGCCAGGTCTTGGAGTTGGTAATCTGTGCAGCTTGAAACTGTTAGCGGAGTAACGATGTGTAACGTGGCTCTCCAAGTTGGTTGGCAGGTTGATAATAGTGATGGCATCGAATGGACACTTCTTCACACAGATACCACAACCGATACATAGCACTTCGGAGATGAAGGCGATCTTGGATGTTGGAGTCACTTCAATACAAAGCTTACCGGTCTTGACCACTGGACAGGATCTCTTACATTCCTGACGACATTTCTTAGGCTTACATCTATCCGCGTTCACCACGGCGATACGACTTCCTTTATCACTCATGTTCTCAATAAATAGTTGTGTATAATGGTTTTCCTTTGTCCTATAAGGTTGCCTGGATTTGAGAGAATCTTATTATTATTATTTTTTGTTTTGCAAGTTATGCTTATAATGAAAGGAAGAGAATAAATAATAGTTTTTTGAAGCACTTGATCCCAGAGAGTCTCGGTATTTAATTTTTAAATATAATCAAAAAAAACAGCTAAAACTGTATTCGTATTTGTATTACTATATTATTGATTATTAAACTCACTGAGGGCATCGCAAAACAATCGCAGTGATAAATTTCACTAAAACAAGTGAAAAATTTTTCATTAGGACTCCAGTCAAATACCAGTAGAGAATCACCAAAAGGCTAGTAAAATGGAAGCTGTATTACGTTGTTGAAGATAATACGACATCAAGAACACTAAAGTGTCATATGACCACACTCGTCTCTGCTCATAAGAACCCAGTGTTCAACCCGAGAAGTCCCCACACTTAGTAATGGGCATCCTATTGGTTCATAGCCAGGGTGGAAATCCCACTTATATATCCTGGTTATGTTAATCATTAAACAATCTTCGTCTCTGCAGAAACGGTTCTGTGTGCGCACCAGTTGCGTACCAATGCACGCCTTCTAATCCAACATTATAGCACAAGACATGGAAATGCCATCGATGAGGTCTTGCGGCAAGAGACAACCATAGAACTATAGAACTATAGCCATTTCTGCAAGCGGGGAGGCATAATAATATGTTTACCCGGCTAATATCATGTGCACTTTACGTATATGTAGATGTAGTTCATGTGATGTGTTTCGTATATACATACACTGTCTTCAGAAGGAGTCCCGGGAAAAGGAAAAAAGCAACGGAGCAGAGGGGTGCTCGCACTCAGGGATATAAAGTGTTAATCGAGCAATAAGTAGCTGTGGAAACGCCGTTGGATAGGGTGGAAGACATTTCTTGGGTCCCTATTTGATAAGTGTAAGTGGGGGATACGAACAGAAGCATAGCAAGTTTGTTTTTTTTTCTCTACCAATTTAAGTATGGCATCTTTACCTAAGAGGATTATAAAAGAGACCGAGAGGCTGGTTAGCGACCCGGTTCCCGGCATCACAGCTGAACCTCACGAGGACAACCTGAGGTACTTCGACGTCACCATCGAAGGCCCATCCCAGTCCCCATATGAGAAAGGTATATTCAAGCTAGAGCTGTATTTGCCCGAGGACTACCCTATGGAGGCGCCCAAGGTGAGGTTTTTGACCAAGATATACCACCCAAACATCGACAGGCTGGGCCGTATCTGCCTGGACGTGCTGAAAACCAACTGGTCGCCCGCGCTACAGATAAGGACGGTACTGCTGTCCATCCAAGCGCTTCTGGCAAGCCCAAACCCGAACGACCCCTTAGCCAACGACGTCGCAGAGGACTGGATCAAGGACGAAGCTAAAGCCAAGCAAACTGCAAAAGAGTGGACTGCACAATACGCAAAATAGAACTGGCACGGCAAAAAAAACTACCATAATCTAATATACTCATACATAAGGCTATATTATAAATTAGTATAAATAAGAACTATACGATAATGCATCGGCTGTTAAATTCCCCAGACTTTATGCAGAACCCAATAGAGTATACCACACACATACACTCTCCATCGAGCTCCACCCTCACGTGTCGGACACGAAAGACTCTCTTGAATAGGGAAAGGACGCGAAAAGTTTCTGGCCTTGTAAGCAATTAGCCAAATATAGTGTTCAGTGAGTGCGGACGGTATCGATGCATTTTAATGATAGTTACAACTTCTTCACATGTCCATTAAAATGCAGCAGTGCATGAATCAGTGGCGTGCTTTGTTGCTACAAGGCCCTGCAACCTACATCTCCTTTTCTCCTATCTTATCTTAAGATAACTTCTTTAAATCCGCTTCTCTACACCATAATCTGTGCGATTCCTACTGTCCAAGCTCTTCTATCTATATATTCCAAAGCTAGTGCCAGTGTGTGTGAGTGGGAGAAGCAAAAAAAAAAGAAAGAAAAAACTGGGAAGAAAATGGTAACTCGTTTCTCGAGAAAGGCGTAAATCACCACATGCAGGCGAAATCTGGTGAAAATGAAAAAAGCACAGATGTATTGGCCTACTCTATCAGGATAAAGTCTTGACTGCGAAGAGTACGTTGCGGACGGACGGGTAAGGAAAGTGGTAGTTGTGCAACAAATCTGTCTATGGGATGGGAAAGGGGTGGAGGAGGGAATGGTGTTAAGTAATTCTTGTCAAAGGTGATGCGATGGTGAACGGACGCGGGCGATGTCCGCTTGGGAATTGCAACACGTAAGCTCTGTGCCCATGGTTGGCGATATGGAGTCAAGAGAGAAGGAGAAGGGGAAGAAAAAAAATTTGTTGGGGGAAAAGAAAGATGATCCCACTTTGAAATATATTTATGATCCATAGATATTTTATAAAGCCACTATAAGATAAAACAAATCAAAGATTCTTTATACGTGAAGCAAAAGCTCCGAGAACTGCAAAAGGAAGGCCCAACTGAATAGAATTGAAAACATCAGTACACATGCCGTCAAGGTCGCCATTTGAAGATGGTGTAGGCGGTAAGGAGCCGATAAGTTCGCCGTTCGATGATAGCAATCGGTTTCAGGACGTTGAGATGGTGCCGATGGAGGAAGACGTGAAGGATACAAACACCACTGTGTATGATGAGTTCGGGGATGGTCCATACAAGGAAGAGGATGATATGGACGATGATTATTCCATGGAGCCTACCCCCATTGTAGGGCGAAGCGATAATGGTCAGTTTAACGATGATAACAGAGTGCTTATGTTTGGTCCGGATGATCTAGAGAGAAGGGCCCAACCTGGCAAGAACAGGGAAAGCAAGAGTGGAGATCAGATCAAAAGACTGAGATGGGGTACACAGCGCAGGAGGAAATCTTTTAAGAGATACGACATAGGCAGATCAAAGACTTTGAAATGGGCCAAGAAGAATATTCAGGACCCTTTAGAAGAACTAATTGGTAATGAAAATGAAGCTACGGATGAAACGGGTATGCGTAATAAAGCTGATGAACTGAGGAACATCTATTTCAACCAGCCGTTGCCGCAAGATATGTTGGATGAGGATAACAAACCCTTGGCCAACTATCCTAGAAATAAGATCAGAACTACGAAATACACTCCGCTTACTTTCTTGCCAAAAAATATTTTGTTACAATTCCACAATTTTGCGAACATATATTTCTTGATTCTAATTATTTTGGGTGCTTTCCAGATTTTTGGTGTCACTAACCCAGGTTTCTCTGCTGTGCCTTTGATTGTTATTATTATTATCACTGCAATTAAAGATGGTATCGAGGATTCAAGAAGAACAGTATTAGATTTGGAAGTCAACAACACTAAGACTCACGTCTTAACTGGAATTGAGAACTATAACGTCTCTGCTGATGATATCTCATTGTGGAGAAGATTCAAGAAAGCTAACTCAAGAATAATAGCTAGTTTTGTTCAGGTATGTAGAGAAACCTTGACAAAGAAAGGACGGTTGGAAAAAGCCCAAAGGAAACGTCAAATGGCAAATCACAAGAAAAACCTGAACAGGAAGTTTAGAAACTCTTTGAACTCTTATAGAAGTAATCGTATGTCTCGTGACGTGAGACCTTCGATGGACTTCAGGCCCTCTACGGATATCAATGGTTACCAACAGAATGAAGACACATTAATAAATAAGACTTTACCAACGGACATGGAATGGAGATTCTCCAAAGACTACTGGAAAAATGTGAAAGTAGGTGATATCGTTAGAATTCATAACAATGAGGAGATTCCCGCTGATATTATTTTACTATCTACTTCCGACTCTGACGGAGCGTGTTATGTCGAAACAAAAAACTTAGATGGAGAGACAAATCTAAAAGTTAGGCAATCCATGAAATGCACTTCTGATATCAGGAGTTCGATTGATATTGCTCGGACAAGATTTTGGATAGAGAGTGAAGGTCCACATGCAAATTTGTATTCCTACCAAGGTAACTTTAGGTGGAACAGTTTAGAAGATAATCAATTAAAGAATGAACCTGTTAATATCAACAACTTGTTGCTTCGTGGTTGCACTTTGAGAAATACTAAATGGGCTATGGGTGTCGTAGCATTTACTGGTGATGATACTAAAATCATGTTGAATGCTGGTGTAACTCCGACTAAGAAATCTAGAATATCTAAAGAACTAAACTTATCCGTTTTGTTTAACTTTGCATTGTTATTCGTTCTGTGTTTCATTGCTGGTTTGTACAACGGTATCTATCATAATAAGCATCCGAGATCAAGAGACTTTTTTGACTTCGGTACAGGGACCGGTGGTTCCGCTACAAGTGGTTTTGTTTCGTTTTGGGTTGCAGTTATCTTGTATCAATCTTTGGTCCCTATTTCTCTGTACATTTCCGTCGAAATCATCAAAACAGCTCAGGCTATATTTATATACCTTGATGTTATGATGTACAATGAAAAGTTAGATTATCCATGCACACCTAAATCTTGGAATATCTCTGATGATCTCGGTCAAATTGAGTATATTTTCTCAGATAAGACAGGGACATTAACCCAGAATGTTATGGAATTTAAGAAGTGTACGATAAATGGTGTGTCTTATGGTAGGGCTTACACTGAAGCTTTGGCCGGTTTGAGAAAAAGGCAAGGTGTAGACGTTGCTCATGAAAGTAAGATTGAGAAGGAAGGCATTAAGAGAGATAGAGAGGAAATGATTAATAAGTTACAAAACCTCGCCAAAAATTCACAATTTTATGAAGATGAAGTCACATTTGTCTCTAAGGAATTTGTTGACGATTTGACAGGTGGATCTGGTAGCGTCCAACAAAAGTCATGTCAGCATTTCATGCTTGCATTGGCTCTTTGTCATTCTGTGTTGACAGAGCCAAGTAAAGAAGATCCTGCTAAATTGGAAATAAAAGCACAATCACCAGATGAAGCAGCGCTTGTAACTACAGCCAGAGACATGGGTTTTAGTTTCCTAAAAAAAACTAAGGAAGGTATGGTATTGGAAGTCCAAGGAATTGAAAAAGAATTCCAGATTCTAAATATATTAGAATTTAATTCTTCTAGAAAGAGGATGAGTTGTATTGTAAAAATTCCAGGTGATGATGCTAATGGTAAACCAAAGGCCTTGTTGATTTGTAAAGGTGCTGATTCAGTTATATATTCTAGGTTGGATAAGACTGGTCTAAATGAAGAATCTCTGTTGGAAAAAACTGCTCTCCATCTTGAACAATATGCTACTGAAGGTCTAAGAACACTGTGTTTGGCTCAAAGAGAGCTGTCCTGGGAAGAGTATGAGCGTTGGAATAAGAAATATGATATTGCAGCTGCTGCTGTTGTTGATAGAGAAGAGGAATTAGAAAAAGTTTCTGATGAGATTGAAAGACATTTGATACTTTTGGGTGGTACAGCAATAGAAGATCGTCTACAAGATGGTGTTCCTGATTCTATTGCATTGCTAGGTGAGGCTGGTATTAAATTGTGGGTTTTGACCGGTGACAAGGTCGAGACAGCTATTAATATTGGTTTTTCATGTAATCTGCTGAATAACGATATGGAACTACTAGTTATCAAAACGACAGGCCCTGATGTTGAGGATTTAGGCGCTACACCTAAAGATATTGTTGATACATTGATTTCGCAATATCTACATGATAAGTTCGGAATGGCAGGATCTGAGGAGGAACTAAAGAAGGCAAAAGCTGAACATGACATACCTAGAGGTGAATTTGCCGTCATTATTGATGGTGAAGCCCTGAAGTATGCACTATCTACTGAAGACATGAAACGTAAGTTTCTTTTGCTTTGTAAGAATTGTAAATCTGTTCTCTGTTGTCGTGTATCTCCGGCACAGAAGGCTGCTGTTGTTAAACTTGTCAAAAACACATTGGATGTCATGACTCTTGCTATTGGTGATGGATCTAATGATGTCGCCATGATTCAATCTGCTAATATTGGTGTCGGTATTGCTGGTGAAGAAGGTAGACAAGCAGTTATGTCATCAGATTATGCAATTGGTCAATTCAGGTACTTGACTAGATTGCTTCTGGTACATGGAAAATGGTGTTATAAAAGATTGGCTGAAATGATCCCACAGTTTTTTTACAAGAACATGATTTTCACGTTGGCTCTGTTTTGGTTCGGAATTTATAACGATTATGATGGATCTTATTTGTTTGAATATACTTACCTGACATTTTACAATTTGGCTTTCACTTCTATTCCAGTTATTTTACTGGGTATTTTCGATCAGGACGTTAGTGATACCATATCCTTGGTATTCCCACAACTTTATAGAGTTGGTATACTGAGAAAGGAATGGAGTCAAACGAAATTTTTGTGGTACATGCTGGACGGGTTATATCAATCAGTTATAGCCTTTTTCTTCCCTTACTTGCTTTACCGCCGTCACATGATAGTTACAAGTAATGGTTTAGGATTAGATCACCGTTATTACGTTGGTGTGCCTGTAACAGCAATTGCATGTATTTCCTGTAATCTTTACATTCTAATTCAGCAAAAGCACTGGGATGTGTTCTGTTCATTTTTTGTTGGTGTTTCTATCATGATTTTCTTTACATGGACCGGTATTTGGTCAAGTGCTTCTAGAAGCAATGAATTTTATCATGGTGCTGCTAGAGTGTTTGGCACCCCCACTTTCTGGGCAGTGTTGTTTGTTGGTATTATGTTCTGTTTGCTGCCTCGTTTTACTTTAGATGTTTTCAAGCGTTACTTCTATCCTAAGGATATTGATATTATTAGGGAGATGTGGAGTCGGGGTGACTTTGATTCATTCCCTAAGAAGTACGATCCTACTGACCCGGAGGTTCATAAGATTGCTATGTCTGATATTCGTGTGTTTTCTGGCGCAGAATCTAAGGAGTTCAATTCTAATTCCAATACGAGTAGCTCATCCAGTGAAGATATTTTGTCTGAAGAAATTCCTCTGGAACTTGGAAAAGGTATGAATGATTCAGGCAAGAAAAGTGAATATGAGTCTGGTGTTGGTGATGAGATCTTGAAATATTATCTCGGTAAGGACTCTAATAGAAACACAATACTCACAGACAATCAAAAGAGACTTTCTACATACTCTAGAGCAAGTAATAGAACCTCGTTGGATCGCACCAGAGAAGATATGCTGGCCACCAACCAACTCGATACACGCTTTTCTGTAGAAAGAGCGAGAGCTTCTCTTGAACTTCCTGGTATTACTCACGCTGAAAATTTATTGAATTCGAACTAATTGAAATGTTGGTTGTCCTTACTATGAATTGTAACTTATCATATCAATACGCGATGTATTGTGTGATATATATTGAATTGCCGATAATGATTTAAAGCCCAAAATGTGAATACTGGTTTTGAACCTTTGCTTTGTTATTATTTTTCTGTTTTTATTTGTTTTTTTTTTCAATTCTATTACTTTTTGGCCCTTCGAGGAGTTAATTTTCAAGTCCTGGTGCTTCATGGGTTCCATTTATTGCATATTATAGTCTTTTTTTTATTCAGACATTTTTAAACTGACTCTCGTTACTGTATATTAATATTTTATATTCTCTATCAGGTTGTATATTATCCAAGAGCAACTAATGATCGATATGATTATTATTTCATTTCTTTAATCTAATATCTATTTATGGTACTCTTTTTGTTTGCTTTTTAAATGAACATATTCACTTACAAAATATGCTGAATACTATATCCGGCAAAAAGTTGGCAAATTTTAGTATGGGTGAATTATCTGACGTTAGATAGTGATAGATTTGAATGCTATTGCATCTGTGAGTTTCTATATTCTTTCGATAGAGTGAATAAATTTAAACTGTAAAAGGGAATTTAGCTATTCCTATTTTTGTGGTTGTATATGGTATAGAAACAATATGACTCAATAATTGAGGAAAATACGTTTCTTAACTGGAAGTATTCTAAACTTGACAAGGAATTAATCTAGATAAAAATCTGCAATGGCGTTACCAGTGTTCGCACTTATGTCCTTATTATTCTGGATGTACTCAAATCAGACAACTGCTAAAAAATATAATAAAACTGTATAATAATATTAATACAAAAAAAAAAATCTTAAATAATAACATATGGAGAACTTTAATACGCTGGAAGATGAGTTTCTCGAACAATCACTACATCATCATGATAATTTTGAGGATATGATAAAAAATAATATTCAAATATATGAAAAAAGTCCTGTTATGAAAGTCAGGCTGCTGGACAGTTACATATTTGATAAATTTGGTGAAATTTATGATACCGAGTTTATTACTACAGTATTTCAGCATGTGATTGGTGAGGATGTGCCAAATATTGTTGAAGTTCCGAAAGAAATAGATTATCATTTTTGGATCGATATGATGGATCAAGGAAAGCGCTCAAAGAAAAAATGCTCAACAAGTGGTATTCTCGACTTTGGCATGAGCTTGTCAGTAGCAGAGAATTTTTCATTTGTTGAAATCCCAGCAGTTACAAAAAAATTGGAAAACATATTTTGGGAGCATCAATATGCATACACTTCCTACTATTCATCATTAATTTTAGACAAAACAGTACCTCAGAATGAAATAAATAAAGAGTTGTATGATCTGGAATATATTTTGTCTTCTGAAAGGCCAGACTGCAAAGAGAAAATAAAGTTATGTTGTTTTGGAACGCAGATTCCATGGAGGATAGACACTGTCAATCAATATCATCTAATATTTAATTTATTTGGGACGCCAATTCAATGGTATATTGTTGAAGGGTGTAATAGAGATTCATTAATTAGTTATTTAAAAAAGCTTGAGCCAAAGGGATCAGAGACCTGCAATGCTTTCTATATACATAAGAAGTATTGTTTTGGTCCGGATTTTCTTGAAAGAGCCAATATTCCTTATAAAACCATGGTACAGGAATCAGGTAAATTATTTATTTCCAAACCTGGAACATGTTTCTTCGTTTTTCATTATGGATATTCTATTGTTATGGAGAAAACAATAAAATGTGATCAAACCATTTTTACCGCCCAGCATGTATTCCCAGCTTTATGTACTTGTGGGAAATTCGATCAAACTAATACAGTATTTGACCAGATCTTATCTTCAAATTCAGACATATATGGACATTTTAATGAGAATTTGAATCAGCAATTTCATATGTCACAGGACAATGGATTGGAACACTATTGGCTATCGAGTGAAAATAATAAATATTGGACTAGCCAAGTGAAGACATTACTAAATAAATCAAGTAATTCAGAAAACTTTGAAACGAATTCGCCTGAAACTAGGCTATGTGTATCAACACCACCAACAGATATGACTAAATCATTAACACCTCATGACATAAAACTAGCAAATTCAATACCAGAGTTCATAAAAAGACAACTTGAAACAATGAAACCGATTTACAAGGAAAAGGTAACAGATGATAAAGAAGTCATATACTGGTTAGCATCTGACCTTGACTACTATCACAACTCTGAATGTGAAGATATGGTACTTTTTTCAACTAAGCCCAAGAGAAAATGTGTGAAGAGAGGCAAATATCCTAACAAATCTAGAAAACCCTTGAAGTTTAAGATAAGATACTTTCAGACAAAAATTCAAACAAACACAAAATCTACTTTTCCAGTTGCGAAGAAGCTCAGATTACTACCTCAACCATCTGGATTTTCATTATTAGTTCCTGAAGAAACATTTCTTTCAGATGATGAAAGTTCGAAGAACGTGGAAAGCTTGGGACAAATATTCAACTCTAAAATCCGTTATTCAGATGGGTTCAAATATTTTTATTGTGAAATATGTGATCATAACTTCCCGTCATCTTATCACTTAATTAGACATAGAAACTCAGTTCACTCGGCAGAAAAACCATATAACTGTCCTATCTGTTCTAAAGGGTTCAAAAGAAAGGACCATGTTAGTCAGCACTTGAAGAAGAAAACTCCCTGTCGACAGAAACATTATTCATTATCTATTTAAATAATACCAATGTGACAGGTAAAAACGAATTTAAGTTTTGGTTGCCATTACAATTAATAAAAAATTAAAAAAAAAGAACAACATATATCTATTTCTGATAAAATTAACTTAAATAAAAACCTTTATAACTCAATCCTCTAATCTGTCAATCATATTAAATAATATGCGAAGAACATTCGATTTGACGTTATTATCATATACCAGAACACCTTCACCTGTACCTACTGATTTGTTATTCAAACCATCACCGAACGCCAATCGAGTAAAATCACTTTGTAGACCAAGAGGAACCATACTACCTGGATCAGCATGCCCTTGCAACGCTTCCTTTCTTTCTTTGATTAACCTTGAAGTATGTTCCAGGTTATCTGCTGCTGATTGCGCATTGTCAACAATTGACTTTGCTATACCGCACATTGATGCAACGTGCATACCAAACGAACCTTCACTCTGTCCATCCACCAACTTATACAGGAAAGTGACATTCCTTGTCGCTTCATCGACCAGTATGCTCATTTTCATTGGCTTAATCTGAGGATGAGATCTAAAACTCAAACCAAGACTACCATAATGTGTTGCGAAAAATCCTAAACTCTGAATGTGTGTTGCCACATGATGTAGAACACTTTCTGCAATAGAAAAACCGTCATTGGATGAGCCACCTCTTCCTAACTCATCAAGAACTAATAATGATCTATTTGTTGCTAGATCAAGTATTCTCTTAGTTTCAGATAATTCAACAAAAAATGTCGACTTGCCCTGCATAATATTATCATTGGCGCCAAGACGAGTCATAATTCTATCTATTGGAGTTAAGCTTGCAGATTCAGCTGGTACATAGCAGCCAAGTTGTGCCATTATCACTGCAATACATGTCATCCGTAGAACTGTCGACTTACCTGCTGCATTAGCACCTGTCAGTAAACCAATATTCGGTGATTTATTACCCAAGGTGACATCGTTAGGGATAAAATCTTTATTGACTCGGCTGTCGAGATTAAAACATGGGTGACGTAAAGATTTGAAATCAACAAATCCTTGTTTTTTGCACTTGGTAGATGGATCGACCTCATCACATATAACTGGCCTACAAGACGGCGTTCCAAGAGATTCTGAGGTCCTAACCAATCCTAGCAAACAGTCAATATTCGCTAAACAAGTTACCGTTGGCATCCAGACAGTTGAATATTGCGTGTCAAACTTTCTGCATAACCTGAAGTTAAGATCGTTCTCCAAAGTTTTATGTAGTTCACGGGCTTCAGCAACTGATCTGGCTAGAACCCTAACTTCGTCTGAGTAGTATCTTTTAGTATTTTTATTAGCACCCATTTGAACCCAATTTGCTGGCACATATTTAGTGGCACTGACTGGCACTTCAATTGTATAAATTTCTTTACCAGAGTCCTTATATTGCAAATTGGAAGTTTTTAATAGCTTCATATAACTTTTTAATAATAAATTCAATTCGTTCTCTAGTCCCTCTAATTTTTCCAATGATTTGTCAAAATCAGGCTCAACACCAACTTCCGGGATGATAACACCTTCTTCAACAGCCTTTCTCCTATCAAAAGCAGATTCCCAGTGCTGAACTTCATTTTCTAGTTGTTTTGGAATTTGGATAAAGTATGACTTTAAAGCGCCATGTAACTCGTTACTTTCAATTTCTTTTGTCATTTGTAAAATATTCTCAAACGCAGTGATTACTTTGTCAAAATCCTTAACTTTCAGAGAGCCTGCGTGAATTCTTGACAGCAATCTTTCGAGATCAGGAAGTCCAGTAAATACGGATTCGATTTTTGTTCTCAATTCATGGTTATTCATCAGCAGCTCGACACTATCTTGTCTTTTCTCTATATCCTCTTTCAGAAGAAGTGGATTCATTAGCCACTTCCTCATCATTCTTTTCCCCATTGGAGTTATCGAATTGTTAAATAATTTAAACAGTGTGCCTTTATCACTTCCGTCAAATGAATTGCTAAATATCTCCAAATTTTGTAAAGATATACCGTCCAAGACCATTGTATTTTGTGACTTAACAAAGTTATATTCAGTGAAGTTCTTCATTGATATCAAACTTTCATCTAATTTTAGCCATTTTAGATAGTATAAAAGACCTCCAAATGCAGAAAATCCCACTTTTTTATTAGAGTCATAATAGTTCTTCAACACGCTAGGCCACCCATCTGCTGTACCAAAGTATGCCTCCTCATTTGCCAGTAACTCATTGTGTGTCTTTTCAAAGTCGTAAAATTCTTCTACAGGCTTTATGTAATTGAAGAGAGCATTTGGAGCGGCACAAAATTTAACTATTTTGTTTGCCAGATTGCAAAGGTTATGTTTTTCAATAATAACTTCCTTCGGCCTCACCTGTGACATTAGAGTGTCAAGGCGCGAGCACTCTTCGTCATCTAGAAATTCTGTCATTTGAACCTCACCTGTAGATGTATCAATGAAAGCGACACCAAATATCTTAGTGTATGTAGCAGAGCTCGGCTGTGTTATGTCATAAAAATTCGATGGTTCCTCTCTAACAGCTAAACAATATGTGGCTAAATCAGAATGTATCATATCCCCGTCAACCAATGTACCACTTGTCAAAACACATTGTAGTTCTCTCTTTACAATACCCTTCGATCCCTCCCTCATTTCTTTGGCAAGCATCGATTCTCTTTGATCCACTTTTGCTACCTTGTATCCCAACTGAATGAATTGCGATGCCCAGTGCTCGAAAGACATTTCTGGTATACCAGCAAGTTGCATATTAGCTCTCCCACCACCGGCAAGTTTCCAATCAAAAAGGGCGTTTGCTAAAAAGGCATCTTTTTCATATAACTCAAAAAACTTACCTTTTTTAAAGAATACGATACAGTCCCACATCTTTGACTTGATTTCCCAATACTGTTTCTCGAATGGTGTAAACTTGTTCCAAGCTGATGATGGTATATACAGGGTACGAGGATCATACTCAGGGTCATCCTTGGGCCTTTTTTGGGCATCTCTTTCATCTACTAGCCATTGGTATCTTTCCTCGTTTTGTTTATTGAATGTGTTATTCTTGGGCCCTGTTGTGGCCATTGTGAATTTAGGTTTTGCCGCCGGTGGAGTAATGCGCTGTACCACCTTCTTTGGCGCAGCAGCCTTGGGTTTCTTATATTTGTTAGTTGTTAATGCTAGAATATCGTCATCATCACTGTCATCGAAGCCGCCTATTGAGCTCACTGCACTCTTATCAGATTTATAATCATCGTCATTGTCGGCGTCGGAAACTGCATCTGCTTTGAAATCGCTATCTTCATCATCACTAACAGGTGTTCTTTTTCTCTTCTTGACGGTAATATCATCCTCACTATCGCTTTCTTCCGCATAGCTCACAACCCTCTTCCGTACTCTACCGACTGTTTGAGTATCTTTAGTGTCATCATCATTTTGCTCGGTAGATTCCTCCTTGACTTTGATATTATCATCCTTGATTGGGGTCTTTTCAACAGCCACCGACGCAACAGGTGATGCTTTTGATATTTCAGTCGCTGGCTCAGGTTGTGCAACTTCTGATACATTTTCCTTTGTGTCTTCATCTGTTACAAATAGGGATTTCTGGTCCTCCTTCTCGCTTTCCCTTGATTTGGGGCTAGGAAATACTTTAGTTTTGCTCTTGGAGACACTGGGTGATGTCTGCTTCGAGAAGAACGACAGCAGCGTGCTCTGCTTCAGTTTCTTCTGGGACGAGCCAGTATTACCCACTTTCTTCTTATTTGCCTTTGGTGTAGTCGGCATAGTCATTATCGCAAGTTTGCCTTGTTGATTTGCTCCAGTGCTTGGGTATGCGCTTTGTGTCCAGGAGTTACCACATCAAATATATATGATAGCCCGAAATTCGATGCTCCTGGGAGTGAATTGTGATCAGTGGGGGGGCCAGAGGCAATGGCTCATCGCATTTCGCTTTGGAGCACAGGATGCGTACGCGTAAAAGCTCGATGCCCTTAATTATTTTTCCAGCCAAATGTGAAATTAGAGAAAATTGAAAATATAGAACGCGAAACGCGTAAACATAGGTATTGTTGATGTTATTGTTTTATTAATACACTGGATGTCAATTGCAAGTGATGTGCAGCAGATGACGTATTTTGCAGCAGGGCTAAGGGATGAACATCGAGTGGTCTTGCCTCTATGTCTGTGCCATCTGCCGCATATCGAATGCGAACAGTAATTAAAATTTACTGTTTATTATTTGGATGGCAACAGTACTTCTCAGATGTAGACGTAGCATATACTTTTGTTTTTGATTATATCATTACAGTTGGTTTTAAGTACATATGAAAGTATATATCTATCAATGCGTGCGTGTGGGTTTGGGTTTTTTGGGGGTCTAGGTGATGAGGAAGGGGTCAGTCAGCGTTAGCAAACTAGTTATTTACTCGTATGGTGTGTTGGAAGAAGTCAGGGTCTTCCTCTAGGGATTCCTTTATGATATCTAGGCCACCTTGGAACTCACCGTTGATATATAATTGAGGGAACGTAGGCCAGTCTGAGAACTTCTTCAAGTTGGTTCTGACGGTGTCGTCTCTTAATATGTCGAAGAACCCGAATCTGATCTGGTGTTCCCTTAGAATTCCCACGATTTGTCTGGAGAACCCGCACTTAGGCTCGGATGGGTTACCCTTCATGAACAGCATCACGGGTGCTGCGTTCACCAGCTTTGTCAGCCTCATATTCATCTCTTCCTCGGTCTCTTCCTCGCTGTCCTCGCTGTCTTCGTCGTCCTCTACCGCGCCGTTGCTTTCCTTCGACTTCGACTCTGTGCCCGCTCTCCTGCACTCCTCCAGCGCAGCAAGGAACTCCTTGGGGTTGGCACCGGAGAGCTCCTTCAGGATGGTCCCGTTCCTGATCAGCACGAAGTATGGCACCGCGCTTATCTCAAACAGCTCAGCTATCTCAGCCTGCTCGTCCGCATCCACCGCCAAGAACGACACGTCCTTGTTCGACTCGTCTTCGCTTATAGCCCGGTACAACTCGCTGATGGCCTTGCAGGGCTCCGCCCACGAGGTGTGGAAATATATAGCAATCAGCTTGTCCTGCACATTCTGCGTAGTCAGCTCCGTAAACTGGTCCTGGTTCGTAATCTCAGCAACCATATTCCTCTTCAAAAAGTGTCTCCTGCCTTCGATTTCCCTCCTTCCCCCCTCCATTGCCCCCCACCATCACTGCCAGACTCTCAACTGGTCCCTATTTATACTGCCCGATGAGCTCGGATTACAAAGGATTTAGAAGCGATCCCACCGTCGTACAAGATAATGGTAGCTGTGGGGGGGGGGTGTGTCTCGGTCTCAGCCAATCACCGTCGAGTGCATTACTAATCGCCACCATCGACAGCCAACTGTACAGCCCATCGCCACAGCCCATCGCCCCCATCGCCACACTTAGTTGTGTTGTAATTGTATCTGAAGTTGTAGTACTTGTGTTCCTGGTTTGCTGGTTTGCTTGGTTTGTCGGTGTATCTGCAGTTGTGTATTTGCAGGTCTGTGACTTGCACCCAGACATCATGTACTTCCCCCCCCCCCCAAATTCCAAAATTCCAATACAAATCCTCTTCTCCTGCGGAATCTCCTATTTAGGAAATCTTGGTGTTTCTGCATTTGCAAGTGTATCCCTTGGTACGTGTTCATGTGTATCCCGTGTATCAGTACCTTGATTCCCTCCCCCCCATCGAAAATGCAAAAAAAAATTTTTTAGCGAAATAAAAAGGGCATCGCTGCCTTGTTAGCTATTGCTAGCTATTGCTAGTTTCCTTGTCGTTGTTATATAAAAAGAACCACGGATTAAATATCTTTATTTGGTGAGTAAGACGCATTTATTTCTTGCAGACGATCCTTTGAAGATATAAAGACCAGAACAACAAGCCATGCAAATCTTTGTTAAGACTTTGACTGGTAAGACCATCACTTTGGAGGTCGAGTCCAGCGACACCATTGACAATGTCAAGTCCAAGATCCAGGACAAGGAAGGTATCCCACCTGACCAACAGAGATTGATCTTTGCTGGTAAGCAATTGGAAGACGGCAGAACTTTGTCCGACTACAACATCCAAAAGGAGTCCACTTTGCACTTGGTTCTAAGACTAAGAGGTGGTGGTAAGAAGAGAAAGAAGAAGGTCTACACCACCCCAAAGAAGATCAAGCACAAGCACAAGAAGGTTAAGTTGGCTGTCTTGTCCTACTACAAGGTCGACGGTGAAGGTACCGTCACCAAGTTGAGAAAGGAGTGTTCCAACCCAACCTGTGGTGCCGGTGTCTTCTTGGCCGACCACAAGACCAGATTGTACTGTGGTAAGTGTCACTCCGTCTACAAGGTCGACGCTTAAATGGAATATTAGCGCGCAACATATTTAACTATATATTGTCTTTAGTACTAATACAACATTTTCATCCCTTTTTTCCATTCCCTTCTTATAGAAAATCAGAAATCAAAAATAAATATGCATTAGATAATAGAAATAGTAGGCAGTCGCCATTATGTAAATGATTAAACCCAGGTGGGTAAATCTTGCAGAATATAGTTAAAACGAAGAAAAATAAAAACTGGCTGAAATGTGATAATATTGGGTGGGCGGTGCATACTGAATAGCCTTGACCCCCCTGCCCGTTACTGGATAATGACATGGCTTTGAGTGTAAAGGGATATGTACATGGTTTGCTCCCGTTTTTCCTTGTGTTCAGTGGTAAATAACTCTATAACGCTTCACTCATAGCTTTTCAAAATAAGGAAGTAAAGTAAAAACAAATTGCAATAGTCGTAACAATGATCTGTGAAAAAAAATTATTATTGTAGTGAAAAGAGGGGAAAAAAGACTCATTTCTTGTTGAATGCTTCAGAGAATATCTCTTGGTTGGTGCCGAGGATGTTAGAGTACGTTCTCTCCGTTTCTTTGATCAAGTTCCCGGCGGTAGACCTGACGTCCTCGACGGTCTCGTTGAAGACGTTTTCTATGTCGCTGTTGATCTGGTTCCAGTGCTCGTTGAACACTTTTAGCACCAGGTCAAACCCCATCTTACCTTTCTTTGCGTTCTCGCCGAACCTCTGCACGCTCCACTCCTCGACTTTGTTGCAGAACCTGCCCAGCGTGCCACACACGCTGATCTGCGCCTCCTGCTTGAACACGGTCTTGTCCGGGTTCACAGCGTCCGGCATGTACTTCACGGTCTCGTACACCTTCATGATGTTCCAGAAGGTCAGGTTGCAACTCCGCATCGTCAGCGTCCGCGTGTCCAGGTCCACGGTAGACACCTCCCGCACATAGCTCTGCTTAGAGGCACCCACCACCAGCAGCACCCACCGCGGCACACTCTGCTTGACAGTGATCAACCGCTCCGTCACCAGCTGCCTCCCGCTCGCAGACAGCTCCCGCCTCAGCACATCCACAGCAACCACATGCGTAGACACCTCGTTCGGATACTTGTTCCAGTTCGCAGCAGTAACCTGATCCCACGGATACGCAAACTCGCATGTATTCTGAAATAGTCTCATTATCGTCTGTTCTAGTTCTAGTTCTAGTTCTAGTTCTAGTTCTAGTTCTAGTTCTAGTTCTAGTTCTTGTACTTGTACTTGTAGTTCCTGTACTTGTAGTCAAATCTGTTTCGAGCCTCTTATATACTTTTCCGAGACAAATTTTCAGCACCCCCCCGGGAAAGGCCCACGCACATCTCTGAGCTAATACCCGCAAACTCCCGTCAAATCCCATTGGATCAAGAAGTCTAGAAAATTGTGCGGCCTGCTCTGTGGAGATCCGTCACAGATCCCTGTCTGCAGACGGAAATCCAGGGATCTCCGAGAAGTCGGTGCACAAGCAGTTTCCTACGTTGTATTATATTGTATTGAATAGTATATTATATTGTATTGTGTTGTATAGTATTGTATTGTCTTGTATTATAATATATTATATTGTATTGTATTGTATTGTATTATATTGTATTGAATAGTATATTATATTGTATTGTATTGTATTGTATTATATTGTATTGAATAGTATATTATATTGAATTGTATTATATTATATTGTATTGTATTGTATATTATCACTCTGTTAGAGAGTCTATTAATGTATTATGTATTAGGTTTTGTATTAGGTTGTGTATTAGGTTGTGTATCAGATCATTTGTATTGGATCATTTGTATTAGATCACCTGTATCTATAATTACAACTTCTGGGTCCCCGGGGCTCGGCCATGAGGTCCAGCATGTTCCTGAGGAAGCCGTGCTCTGCGTACGGGTTGTCCCGGCGCCTGCGGATGCGGTGCATGACGGGGTTCCTGAAGCCGATGCTCCTGAGGTACTCTCGGGTGGTCTGCTGCGTGCCGGACATCGCGACGTGGTAGCCCAGCAGGATCACCGGGTACACACAGAGCACCGCCGCGTAGACGCAGAGCAGCACCGCCACGGGCAGCGGCCTATGGCTCACCCGTATGCCTTCGTGGAGCGCCCGGTGCAAGTGCAGCGCGCAGTTGGCAATCAGCAGGGCGCACGCCAGCGTGCTGCTCAGCAGAAACGCCAGGAAGTACCGGTAGTTGCGCTGGCCCACACAGTTGTTCACCCAGATGCAGTGGTGGTCATGCGTCAGCACACAGCACTCGCACACTGAGCAGTGCGAGGCCCGCGGCGGGCGCCATATCTTGCATGTATGGCAGTACTTGAGCGTGACACTTGCATTTCCAGCGCTACCGCCAGCGCCATATGGTAGCGTTACGTTGTTGAAGTACTCCTGCGGGGTGTCCTTGTGCATGTGTATGTTTCTCGGCAGCACTCCGGGGTCGCTGGTGGCGGTTTTTGTGAACGACAGCAGCGACCATGCCCATGCATAGTAGAAGAGCACCACTAGCGCCTTGTATCCGTAGCGTGTGTGCCACAGCCTGTGCGCCTCGAACACCGAGAAGAGCACCATCGGCGAGAGGATCAGGAACAGCACCACCAGCGAGAACGGGCGGGCTGTCTTCACCGCACGCAGACGGCCTCCGAAGAAGAATATGTAGTTCGAGCGGCTCGGGAGCTCCTCGTAGTTGCGGTAGTTGATCTCAGTGTCACCATCAATGGTGATGAGCCAGCGGTAGAACCGTCTCGTGCTCATTGTCCCTATGACTTCATGTGTTGATGGGTTCCCTTTCATTATGTAAGCCCTCTCCCGCTTCTTTTCAAGTTCGCTTTTGGCAGCGAAGTTGTGTTATGAAAAGGATCGACACTCGGATCTTACAGGCAAGCACAAGACGGAAGTGTGCGCTGTGTAAAGCAAAGACAGGGTATAATACATGGATATCGGTCACGGACATGGAAGACTCGGAGCTTGAACTGTTGCGCCAAGGGTGCTTGGCCGCGAAAGACGTGTCGTACAGCCCGTACTCCAGGTACAGGGTCGGGTGCTGCATACTGGTCAGGGATGGCGAGCGGGTGATCAAGGTCACAGGTGCCAATGTGGAGAACGCAAGTTACGGTGGCACGATATGTGCAGAACGGGTCGCCATCACAAAGGCAATGACTACCGTGGAGACCAGGGACCCCTCGCAGTGGGTGGCCCTCGGAATAATGGGTGACTCCTTGCAGGACTGCATATCGCCTTGCGGTATATGCAGACAGGTTATCAGAGAGTTCGTAAACCCCAAGACTGGCCAAGTGCCCATTGTGATGTTCAATGGAGACGGCTCCAACTACAAGAAAGTGAGCTTGGAGGAAATCCTGCCTATGAGCTTCGGACCTGAAAGCCTCGCCTTATAGGGTCACGCGCTCCAATACAAAATATACGATTACGACTCGCAATGTAGATAGAAATGTGTATCCATGCATGTAAGAGGGGCCCTACAGTTGTGCCTTGTGTTGCTATGTACCTTGTCACACGCTTTGTCACTGCTGAGCTCATCGCTGAGTGAAAAAAAATGAAGTTGAAAGACTGCACTGCAATGCAAAAGAAAAAAAAATTTATTGCAACAGATGAATTTAAGAGCCTTTACAGCTTGATGTATTGCTTGTCCTTTGATCGAGGCTAGCAAACGGGTGAAGAATGACTGAGACTGAGACTGAGACCGGGGCTAAGAGATATTGTGCTGGTTTGCAATGTGGTAAGGAGACCAGCTCGGAGTTGAAATGTCCAGTGTGTTTGAAAGCTGGCATCGATGCCTACTTCTGTGACGAGAGTTGTTTCAAGGACAACTACAAGTCCCATAAAGCGACACACTTCAAGGAAGGTGAGGATGGTACTCTAAGCCAGGATGCTTACGATCCGTTCCCAAAGTTTAAGTACACTGGTGGTGTGAGACCTCAGTACCCACTAACTCCAAAGAGACACGTTCCAGAGCATATTCCAAAACCTGACTGGGCTGAGAATGGTCTCCCTATCACTGAACAAAGAAACGACAGAATGAACAAGATCTTGATCTACAAGAAGGATGAGATCAAGAAGATCAGGAAGGCATGTATGATGGGCAGAGAGATTTTGGACATCGCTGCCGCTGCCATCAGACCAGGTATCACCACTGATGAACTAGACGCCATAGTGCACGAGGAGACTATCAAGAGAGATGCCTACCCTTCTCCACTGAACTACTACAACTTCCCAAAGTCCCTATGTACCTCTGTTAACGAAATTATTTGTCACGGTATCCCAGATAAGAGGCCCTTGAAGGAAGGTGATATTGTTAACTTGGATGTCTCTTTGTTCTACCAAGGTTTCCATGCAGACTTGAATGAAACATACTATGTTGGTGAAAACATCGAAAAGGATGCCATTAATGTGGTTGAAACCGCTAGGGAGTGTCTGAAGACCGCTATCAAGCAGTGTAAGCCAGGTACTACTTTCCAAGAATTGGGTGATTACATTGAAAAGCATGCCAAAGAAAACAAGTGTTCCGTCGTGCGTACATACTGTGGTCACGGTGTAGGAGCTTATTTCCATTGTTCCCCAAACATTCCTCATTACGCTAAGAACAGAACTCCAGGTGTTATGAAACCTGGTATGGTCTTCACCATCGAGCCTATGATTAACGAAGGTACATGGAGAGATATCACTTGGCCAGATGACTGGACTTCTTCCACACAAGACGGTAAAAGAAGTGCCCAATTCGAGCACACTCTGTTGGTCACTGAGAATGGCGTTGAAATTCTAACAGCAAGAAACAAAAAGTCGCCTGGTGGACCAAGACAAAGAATTAAATAAGAGAATAATGAGCATTTAGCAGGATATCCTTGACATGTTTCTCAATTTATTTCTCACCATTGTATTGGAGTAGTCATTACTTCCAGTTCTTGACTTACGGATTATTTTTGAATTATGATATTTCTCAAATCTTTCATTCTTTTTTTTTCACAACTAATTTTAACGATTTCTTTCTATAATGGCATATAGAGATAGATAGATCTATAGGATTTCACATGAACAATCTAATTACATTTGATTGAATTATAATAGCATGGATTAATACATCCTCATCTTTTATAATGCCATATGTGCAGCTCACTATTTACGTAGTACTGAAAAATTATTTCAGAAAACGTCAGAATATGAATTTTGGTGACGATGAGTTTCTGAATAAGAGATGGAATGAGGTCCTACATTTTGCCACTTATATCAGTGCAATTGGGTTAGCGGCTGTTGTCAAGTCTAATTTCTGGTAATAGCATAATAGACACCATACTTGATTTAACTTTTGTGCACGGAAAATGTCTTTGCAATTGCTAAATCCAAAGGCGGAATCGTTGAGAAGAGATGCTGCGTTGAAAGTGAATGTGACATCGGCAGAAGGTCTGCAGTCTGTGCTTGAAACTAACCTGGGTCCTAAAGGTACCTTGAAGATGCTGGTTGATGGTGCTGGAAATATCAAGTTGACTAAGGATGGTAAGATTCTTTTGACTGAAATGCAAATTCAATCGCCAACTGCTGTTATGATTGCTCGTGCTGCTGCAGCTCAGGATGAAATTACAGGTGACGGTACTACTACTGTGGTCTGTCTAGTTGGTGAACTATTAAAACAGGCTTATAGATTTATTCAAGAAGGTGTACACCCTAGAATCATAACTGATGGGTTTGAAATTGCTCGTACCAAGGCTCTGGAATTTCTAGATGAGTATAAGATTGAAGACAAGGTTGTGAATGATGGTAATGTGGACAGAGAATTTCTTTTACAAGTTGCCAGATCGTCTCTATCAACCAAAGTCACACCAGAACTTACTGAGGTTCTAACTCCAATTGTAACAGATGCTGTCTTGAGTGTGGCTAGCAAGGATACGTTAAACTTAGATTTATACATGGTGGAAATAATGCAAATGCAGCATTTGTCTCCTAAGGATACCACCTTCATCAAAGGTTTGGTTCTAGATCATGGTGCTAGACATCCTGATATGCCTATGCGTGTCGAAAATGCACACGTTCTTATCCTAAATGTCTCCTTAGAATACGAGAAAACTGAGGTGAACTCCGGTTTCTTCTATAGTTCTGCTGAACAGAGAGATAAACTGGCAGCAAGCGAGAGAAAGTTTGTGGATGAAAAATTAAAAAAAATTATAGATTTGAAGAACGAAGTCTGTGGTTTAGATAACAAGCAAGGTTTCGTTATCATTAATCAAAAGGGTATCGACCCAATGTCATTAGATGTGTTGGCCAAGCACAACATTTTGGCACTAAGAAGAGCTAAAAGACGTAATATGGAAAGACTACAGCTTGTAACAGGAGGTGAAGCCCAAAACTCAGTGGATGATTTATCTCCATCAATTCTTGGTTATTCTGGTTTGGTTTACCAGGAGACCATTGGTGAAGAAAAGTTCACCTATGTAACGGAAAACAAGGATCCAAAGTCTTGTACTATTTTAATTAAAGGTTCGACTAATTATGCGCTAAATCAAACTAAGGATGCTGTAAGAGATGGTTTGAGAGCTGTTGCAAATGTTATAAAAGATAAATGTGTTGTTCCTGGTGCTGGCGCTTTCTTTATTGCGGCATCTAAGCATTTGAAATCCAGTAATTACTCTAAGCTAGGTGTTAAGGGAAAGACAAAAACAGGTATCGAGGCATTTTCTGAGGCTCTGTTGGTGGTTCCAAAGACGTTGGTGAAAAATTCTGGTTTTGATCCCTTAGATGTGTTGGCATTATGTGAAGATGAACTAGAAGATGCTAAGGAATCCGAAGAGAAGAGATATGTTGGTGTTGATTTAAAGATAGGTGACTCTTGTGATCCTACGATTGACGGTGTGTGGGATTCATACCGTGTTATTAGAAATGCTATCAATGGTGCTACAGGTATCGCCAGTAATCTATTATTATGTGACGAACTTCTGAGGGCCGGTAGATCTACCTTGAAGGAGGGACCACAATAGTCATTATATAAGTTTGCATATATAAAAATGTTCACACAGATGTGAATGAAAATTGTACCTTAGTATTCATCGATGTCGACCGTCTTTTTTTTAATAAGTTATTTTAAATATGTAATGAGTCAAAAGGTGATGGACAGTATCCGTTTTATGGTTTGTATTCTGATGTGGTTATTTGTATGCAACATTTTTATTTAGATATGGTTATATATCTACAAATCTTCTATATCTATTTGATCTTTAGGCTCTTTTTGTTCCTGAGCTTCAGCCCATTGAGTCACATCGTCGACATAAGATAATATAGTTGCCACACTTTCTGGGTTGTTAGCTTCCAAGGGCAAGAATTGGACCATTCCAAAATCATCAACTAGGTTAGCTATACATTGATTTAAGTGGTGGAACTTTGGATTTAGGTTTTGGTCAGCTTCATTGGCCAACAGCATAGCGTCTGGGTTTAAAAATCTCTTAAGTTTCTTCTTGCCATATTCATCCTTTATCATATCCAACTTGCTTAAGACGTTAATGTGGGGTAATTCTAAGAGAATCATCGCAGACATGGCAGATAAAGCACCACTAAAGAACTTGGAGCTGTCTATCACAAATGGGGCTTCCAAAAGATAGGTGGCACACAGGTTGAAATTGAGCTGTCCTTGTAAGTGGCGAACTATATTCGGTAAGACGGGGATGTGTGTGTATAGCTCTATTTGGCCAGGACAATCGAATATTAAGTATTCATCGTTATAATCACCTATCTCCTCATCTAGCCAATCAAGGTTCTTCATTAAATATTCAAAACAGTATATCAGCGCACCATTAGGGCCTAAATCTAATTCTTCCATTACATCATCTAGAGATATTAGATCTCTAATATCTATAGTGAACTCATATTTGCTAGGCTCTGCAGCTGGATCTAAGTTAACAATATGGGCTCTTCTTCCAATAGTCTGCATATGTGATATAATTGAGTTACAGAATGTACTCTTTCCTGCACCTGCAGGACCCAAAACTAGTAAACCGACTCTCGACATTTCTATAACAATAAACCGCCTTCTCCTGAACAGTATATTTCAAGGCTTCTAACGTAATCCAACCTGAATCGGATGGTATCCAAATAGCTCTACACCTTAGAGTGGTTATATTGCGATGAGATTCTTTATAGTTTCAACTTTTTTTGAAAAATTTCACAAGTTAGCTCATCGCGGAATTTGAAAAATATCAAAAACATAGTGGATTCAATAATAGTATCAGTAGCAAATTAATAAGTATCACTTAAACATTTGAAACTTAGCCCATGCAGAAGTGGACGGATGAAATAGCCTGGAATTTGGAAGTTGTATTATGATATGCATTGAGTGCAGTGCACCAACGGAGACTTTATATACAGAATATTCGAATAAATATGTTCAGCTGACAGAATGCAAAAACTGTCACAGTGAGGTTGATCCCTATGTTGAAATAGATAACGTTTTGCTGTTTATTGATCTGCTGTTATTGAAACCTGGTGCTTATAGGCACTTGGTTTACAACTCCATGGTAGTTTCCTTGGAGTCATTCAAAGAGCATTATAAGGATCAGAGGAGGAGGTTGCCTTATCACAAGTCGACTCCAAGATTAAAGGTCTCGATCAAAAATATATTTAACTGGTTTAAAAAATATGACACTATAATAAGATTGTGGGTGTTGTTGGTTGTATTCGAGGTATATTTGACTTGGGTTGAAGAGGAAGAGATTTATCACACAAGAGAGCGGGTTCCTTTCAACTCCGTGACACTTCAGCTTCTTATGATATATGTCAATAAGTGGAATGCCCTTCAACAGTACATGTTTTTTCTTGCTTATTGTGTCCTTGATAATGTTTTATTTCATATGTTTACACTCCGACTGGTCAAATCCTGGATGCCTTGGGGAAAGACTACCAATTACTCATCTCAAATTGTATCATATACAATACTGTTATCTCAGGGTGTCAAAATATTTCCTATTTTGATGCTGATATGGCCTTATGACAACATTATCTCGATGTCAATTAACAAATGGATAGCTAACCTATATTTAATTGAATCAATGAAAATAGTTACAAACTCAAGCTATGGTTCAATAATGCAATTGCTAGTAATTGTTTTCCTTTTGAGGTTCACAATTTTGAATATCCTTGTACTAGCCTTACTTTCAATGATCACAGGAGATAATTTAATCAATAATGTACTCGTGGTTCTATCACAAACCTACTTTGGATTGAGAACTTTTGTGAGTGAACTTCTGTAAAAAGCAATTAATACCTTACACTACTATGATTCGAATCTGTAGAATAACTTTTGAAATATATCTTGTATATCATGTATATCATAAACTTACGAATATTAGAATACTATTAACAGCAGTTTACAAAATAAGACCAAGTATTCACCCTACCATGGGCTTCTCCAATTCAGTTACTAAATATGGGTATACATAAGACTCCTCTTCACTGCTTTCCACCAGAGAATTCTCTCTCTCATGTTCCCTTATCGAACTTAATGCAATATAATGTGATAAAGGTAGATAATTTGTTTCAAAATCCCACCAGAACGTTAATGTGATAAAAGGTAGCGGTATGAGCCATGATGAGAGAACTAGACCGCTATCGAAACCAGCTAACGTCCCTGTCATAGTCAACTGGAAAAGTAATAAACCTAGAATTATTCTTCTGTATATTAATGGCCACACCTTTCCAGTAGAGTGCGGTAGATGATCAGTTGCAAAAATAAGTTGATATTTGTAAACATAGAAACCAATAACGAAGTAGGCTAAACCAGAGACCAAAATCTTCGTACTCATCACGCTATAAATCATCGTGATGATTAGAACTAAAATCGGTTGGGGTAACTGAAGTCCAAAATTGAATATGGGCGGATTGTATAATTCTTTTCTTTGTCTCGGAGTTTTCGCTTGTATTTTAATTAATGGAAACCCAATTAAGCTGCCAACTAAAAGCAACTTGAAAGGAAACATACCTATACCTTGTAGTATAATAAGGTCAACGTAGAAAAGTGAAAATTCTTTGACAGAAGTCGCTAGTTGATAAGCAATCTTAGTTGTATCGCTTAAATAACCCCAATAATTAGATGCGGTACCCGCTAAAGTGAAGACCAAAAATAGATTCACAAATATATAGAAGAAATTTTTCGAAACTAACGATACCTCTTCTTCACTGTGTGACACTAGCCCTTGGCATGAAGTTAAATATTCATAAAAATATGGGATGATCACATTAAGTAAAGTGAATAAATAGGTAGGTAACAACCCTGTGACAATATTTTCAGCCCATTTGTGTTTCTTTAACCAATAACCTAAACTTGGCCAAAATCGTAGAATTGTCTTCATATTCAGTAGTGTCGCAAGGTAAGAAACAGGAATAATCAAAAACAGACTGCAGAGACCAATAAACACTGTAACAGTCCATATCTTAGTTAGTCTTTCCTTTCTTGATAAACATACGTTATCCCATTGAATATCATGAGGAGCAGGAGCCAATCTGGTTATGAAATAATGTACTCTAGGGTCTAAAACAGCTTGCGCAGCCATTTGGGCATTCGCAACTGAGTCCATTGTCACAAAAGCTGTTGGGGTTGCTGGATAATGCCTATTTCTTGCATCAAGAATTTCTTTGTCGATAAATTTTAGTTGCTGTTCCAGGTGTTCAATAGCATCCACTTCCTTACCAAAAATACCCATAAGACCCAATTTCATGGTTGGTCTATCGCCTATTGCCAATTGTGAATATGTTGTACTATTGTTTGGTATATCTTGACTTTCAATGTCATTTGATGTGCTGGTAGTAATATTGGAATGTTGCTCCTCATTTCTAGTAAGTCTATAACTCTCTCTGTATGTCTCATAGTTGGCTATATGATGGGGGCATTCTGAATATTTAAGTTCCAGTTGCTTCAAGACCAGATCTCTATAATGGAATAACTTGTTTAATGGGCCCCACTCCCTGCATATTGTTATCGATGATACCTGGCCAATATTTAGCTTCTCGATTCTGTTTTTTAGGGCATTGACATCTCGCAATTCAATTGGAATACCAGATAACCGAATAGTCCTATCAGTGACAGTATTTTGCTTGCCGAGGTAATTCTGTCTTGTATTGACAACAACTTTTGTTTGACGCATGAGCATATTAATTGCAATCATGGTAAAGAAATACGTAAATAGCACGTACATCCACAGATAAAGACCAAACATTTCTGGATTACTAGACCCACTGTTATGATCCCGTTTGGAATTGCTAGTTTGTATATATCTTTTCAGCAAAGAAATACCAGCCTTTGTAACCGCGTTGTCAATTAGAATATTATTATTATCATCGTCACCGTCGTATCTACCTGTGAAGTGGTACCTCATGGGCGATATGATGCATATCGAAAAAAAGCAGTATATGCTTAAGAGCTTGATACATAATTTGAAGAAACCTAGGAATACATAGGCATCTAGGCCCGCATATTCCAGTACTTGGTCATCGTCTATGCGAAATAATACTGGAATCCATCCGAATAATTTGGACTCATCCCAAGAGGGCAACCTTTGATTTTGATCTTGATACTTTCGACTTGCATATAGTCTGGGAAATCGCTTTAAAAGTATACAGAAAGCTAAAAAAGCAAATAAACCCAGAGCACTAGCAATGCCCAACTGTGTGGTAACCACCATAGCACTTGGTCTTCTAAAATCAGGAGATTCGCCATTACCAAACGATATATTTTGAAATGCCATACCTGATGGGAATTTCAAACTTCCCCGCTCCATAGCTCTGTAGATTGCTGGAAATGAAATCTATCTGTTAAGTATTCGTAAGTTGAATTTATGTTCTGTAGGTATATTAATTGTATGTTATGTTCATCTTTTTAGATCTAAATAACGCTATTATTCTCGATGATCAGCCCTTTTTTTTTTTATGAAATTTGGTGCCTTCCTTCGTTAAGCCCGGATTGTGTAAGCGAATGGGCAATGATAGTAAGAGCAAATTAGTAACAAAATATGTACTTGATATATATCAGAAGCTGAGCTTTCTATAAATTGCTATGTTTTTGCTTTTTTATGTGGCTTAACTACGGGTCCGAATTTTTAGAGCTTAAGTTTCATTCACCTAGGCTCTCCAGTATTGGGCTAAGTTGTGGAGGTGGTCAATGACGATTGGTAGTAATGCGTTTACGCTATCATTGATCAGTGTTTGGAAATGAATAGTAGCTTCTTCTTCGGTTAAATCGAGATTGAATCTTTCCTTCACCTTCATAATAGAGCCTTCGGGATCCACTCGGATGTCTGGGATGTTTGATGTTTTCATTAGCTCAAATAGGTTTAGAATCAGACCAGCGTTTCTTCTTAGAATGGAGTAGGCCACAAAGCAGTAACTTCTAAACTTATTGTAATTTGAAGAGTCAGTACCGCCGAATGCCTCGATTATCTGTGGTGGTAACTTCATTAATGGTGGAAATGGCTTAGGGTCCTGCCCTAATATGTAACCAAAATCAGCATGGAAGAACTGGCCACCTTCCGTTATTAGTAAGTTATCCAAGTGTCTGTCTCCTACACCCAGTAAATATGTAATAACACAATAGCCGGCACATGATTTTACGAAATTGTCTATGACCCAGCTTTTTACTCCCAGTTCTTCATCTTTGTCTGGATGGTGTGCTCTGAAAAACGGTAGGATACCATGATATTTGTTTAAAATATCAGCCATTGTTAAATTTGGGATAAATTGAATGGCACCTTCCTCGAGACCAGTTGCTAGAATAGTATATGGAAGAAGTTTCAAGTCAACATTTTCATTTTTCAATAACTCGTTCATTAAACTAATTATCTGTACTACAAGTTGATCTTGTCTTAAATCATCACCAACTTTATACATAAGCGGGTAAACGCCACCATTTTCTGTATGAAAAGTAATCATCAAAGGAGATAAAGAACTCTTGAACACATTACATTGGTCTATCATGACATCATTAAGAACAATATCTGGATCTAACGGAAGTTTTACTAATCTCTTTTTCAGGTAAGGTCTTACCTTTGTACTCAATAAAGTTTGCAACAATTCCTTTTTCTTTGAAACAGTGTCTTTAAGACTCTTAATCTCTTCACAACAGTTTCTGAGTAACGTTAGTAGCTTAACCTGTTTCTCGATTTCGTTTCTGTCATTGCTGTTCAAACGGCTTAGAAAGGATTCTAATATTTGGTTGAGAAATGGTTGATCGTACGACTCAGATGTAATATACCAGTAAAAGTAGTTCCCAAGTCTTTTGTTTACTAGAGCTCTTCTAATTAAGAATTCAGCTAATGGGGATATAACGACAGGCAACTCTTCTATTTGTGAATCATCTTCCGAATGGATAGAATGTATAAATTTCGGATTGTTATTTTCAATGTGGGAATTCATAATATTTTGACTCTCTGATCGTTGTGTATTCCTGGTTTTCATCATTTGTGAACTAGATGAAAAATCTACGACGGTGAACTTACTATTAGAAGTATCCGAAAATGTATTGAGGTTCTCAAAACAAACCGCTTGGACTAATTGTAATAGGTACAGTTCCAGCTCTTTATCAGAAGCTTTTTTAAGTCTATTCACAGCATATGTACGTACAGCCAAATTTCTGTACTTATGTCCCAAGAGACCTAATGCGTCATCAATATCGATTTCGGCCCAGCCGTCCATCATTTCTAAGACTTCAGTTCTTTCTGTTTCGTCTTTTAAGTTTGTGCTTTGCAGGAGTTTTGTCAAGGCCTTTTTGTTATTTTGTAAGTAATACCTGTACTTCCATATGGATCCCTTCTCGTGTGCACTTAATCTCTTCCCTGGCGGGTAGTCTATAATTTTTTTTAAGTAGTCCCTTTTCTTGGCATCAGGTTTGACATGTTTATCAGATGTATTATGCTTCGATGCTCTTTCAAGTTTTCTGAATTTTTCTTCTATTGGGTCATTATTGAATTGGTCAGGATCATAGAATTTTAACGTCGAGTTATATTTATTTCCCATTGGTATTTTCAGCTTAGGATCTACTGAAGTAACCGCAGTGTTGTTACTAGTGGAATGATCAACTGAGAACGCACTAGCTGCATCGAAATTGCTTAAAGTTGGGATATTCTTTTGGATATCTTCACGAGGTTTCTCTGTGTAAATTATTGGTAACTCAATTACTGGAAATTGTATAGTCAACATGAAAGTATCCAAGGGTAAATCTATCTTTTCGTACTCCTTATATAGTTTCTTTAATACTAGTTCGTCTATCCATTCTTTCTTAGCGTAATCGCCATAAAAGTATTTATTGATAGTTTCCAAAGTTTTAACGGTCTCGATGGATGGTTTGCCTTGTTTTGTAAATTTGATTGCTTCAATACCTCTTTTTAATGTAAAATCAAGGTCTTTGAAAATTGGAGTGGTGATTGTCTTAAATGGAATCCTTCGTTGGCCATTAAACTCCCACAACACAATTCGGAGTTTGCAAGCAGGTGTCAAATGTCTTACGCTCACCGGTAATGTTACCCATTGATCCCAATTTCTGCCGTATCGAAAAGGCACATAAGGCGCAAAAACTGGGACGGTAACATCTCCCAGAGTCAGTTCATCATACACCTGTACTGAAACCAGCATATCACTGAAAATTTTGACATTAGACATCGTCAAACTCAATTGAGGGTCTATTAGCTTCTCAGAAGCCCTCAATTGGCGCTTCTTTCCCTTCAGGGACAGAATTTTTATCTGTAACGGCACATCTATATTTTCCGAGACATAGAAAGATACACTCTTCCCACTCATGATTCCAAAGTACAGTCCACAAATAATTTGCAGGGAACCCTTAATCCTGCTAAACCACTATGGTCGATTCTCCCCCAATTTTTCCTTCCACCACCTGTTTAGACAATGTTTTCACTGTATACACACTAGCACAGCTCGCTCCCTCTTTGGTAATGGTAATGTGAACAGATGTATAATAAGCGCCAGCCTTCTCCATTGCAAAGTAGTAAAGCTTCGATCAGCGATGAACACTTTGGCTTTATAACGCTTCCGTATTTATGTAACCTTGAACGATTATATGAGTTTTGGCTGAAATATTTCGCTTCAAAATTCCAAGAACTGGCAATTCAATCAGGATAAAGGCTAAACATATGGGCAAACAGTTATGAGTATAAACGGGTTAATCTGCGTGTAGATTTATGAGTATAGCGTTACTATAAAAAAGGGCATACAATAATCTAAGGTGATTAGCAAGATCTGTCTTTGAAGAGTATTTTTCTCTGTACATTTTTAGCCTTGAAATACTGAATAAAACTTGCATTTGTGCTAAAAATAAAACCACCAGACTAGGATTTGGGGATTACCTAGCATCGAGGATCAATTTATAAATAATTGAAATCTGCATTTCCCGGACTTGTGTTCGCCGTTTGTGCAGTAGTTTTTTTTATTGTTTTTGTGTGCATATTAGTACTCAAAAATACTCTTTCGTAGTTTCTTCAAGCCAAGAAGACAGAACAATCTTTCCGTGAGTGCTTTACACGTTTCCCTATCTGTCAATTACCAGATTTGGGTTTAATCTGCACTATATTTGTTGAAGGAAATGAGCATGGAGACCGCAACACAGGTCAATGTCGACCATGCGTTGCCGATATCGAAGATCGAACAAATAAAGGCGGATCTGAGGGACTACTATGGAGTTAAGGAACTTTCAGAGGAGCAATCCGAGTCTATCAATCAGCACATCAATATACTTGATGCTGCTTTGATGCAGTTTATGAGTGATAATCACACTTTGGAGAAGAAGCATGCAGATACTCAAGATGTCAATTTAAATCTGTATCATGGTCTGAAAAGGATGTATAACGACCTATTGCATGAGTTAGGCCGAGTTAAAGAGGAAAAAACTAACACCGAAACTACAGATCGCAACAATCCTTTGGAATACATGGCTGATGAATTACCTTACCAACAGACCGCACAACGGAAGGCATATATTGACTCACTTATTATGAAAGATGATTACGATGAGCAACTAAAAAGAGAAGGTACAAAGTTTCTTGATGTAATGGCACAACTCTCTGTTCTTGATTCCTCCATCGAAGAAAATACAAAATCATACGGTATGCTAGTACGCAAGCTAGGTTTTACTTTACAAGATCTCGATGAAAGGATACGAAATGGCTCGAAAGCGTTAGAAACAGATGACAAGATTGATAAGCCAATAGATGAAAACAATGAAGATGATTCGAAAGCTGAGTCAAAAGAGGATGCTAAGAAAAAAATATCATTTTCCAAATATTTGAAAAAAGATGAAACTACCAAACGATCAAGAAATGATGAACTAAATGAAGAATCAGAGCAAAATAAAAAGTTGAAAGTAGATGACGATAACGGTTATGATAACAATGAAAATATAAATAATGGTCTAAGACCCATTCTCAAGAAACGGGAAAATAACAAATCAAAATCAAAATCTTCCGGTATCAAATTCCAAACAGAGTCAGCACTTGTAACAATATATGGTGATGGTTTACCGCAAGATGGTTTAACAGTATCACCAGAAGAACTTAAGAAAATATTGAAGCCATTTAAACCAGGACAACCGAGGGAATTTCCTCTGGTTGATAATTTACCAAACGTTATTAAGGTACCGAAATTAGACCTACGTTTCGATGAGAATGTGAATAGTTCTGATATTTCAGAACTAAAAGGTGGCCCTGTACCTTGTGGGACAAGGACGCCCCTTACTTGTAGAATAAATTTTAATAGGTATAGTGCAGACTTAGAAAAACCTGCCAGAGAACCTGTCAACTTAGATGATGGAGATTCGTCAAAACCTATTATTGCAAGAGCCTTCGGCCAGAATAAACTGCTCTTGAGAAAAGACAGAGGTGGATTGCCCTATAGAAGAGTTCCTGATGTAGTCAGAAACAACTACCCTATAAGGCCAAGGTAGCTACTGTAATAATGAAACCCAGCGTAATGGCTTTTTTATTCTTTTCATTCCAATTTTGAGAATAACTCATTTATAAGCCTGCTTTGCATCAATAGTTATATCATTAAGTACTTTCTACTAGACCAAGTCCATTAAAAGCGTGCATTTTGAGTAAAGTGTAGTACGTTGCCCCTTGGTTCCTAGTATATGTAGATGTCATAATAATCAAGAATACTGATCACAACATGTTTATTTCTCATAACTCAATAAATTATGCAGTGTAGATGATATTACGGTTGCATTTCTACGATTCGCAAATTAGACCAAAATATAAAATATCGACCCAAGAGCGTAATTTTATAAATATGTGTCCAATAGCTAGTTTCCATACTAATATATGGTAACATATATAAAAACCTAGGAATCAATTGATAGATATACTAGCTTTTCGAATCAAAACTATGGCGCTGTTCAAGAGACTCTGCCAGTCATCAGGCAGACCTTTTTATCGTTATTCTAGTACATGCTGTCCATCAACTACAACCATTAAACCGATAGAGGCGTCAGCCAACACATTGAGACATCTACAGTTTACTCCAATTTTACCATTTGAAGATGGATTACAAATCCAAGAGAAGTTTGTTAAAGCGCAGCTGGATATTAAAGATATGCAAAGTAAAATAAGAAAGAAACTGGAGGCATTGAAAAAAGAATATGAGGGCTCTACCATTAATGAACATGAACAGAAAATTCTAGATCAAATAATGGCAATGAAGCCTAACCCTTTGTTACTTACTTTTGAGTTTCAACCAACTTATACCGGTGGTAAAAGAATAAAGAAGAGTATTACGGAAGAGCAGATAAAAAAGTATGAAGATTTTGTGCCTACCACCCAAAAAGGGAACCCCAGACCTAAATACGTCCAAGTTGAAAGAGGTGGTCAAATCACATTTCATGGACCTGGTCAATTGGTTGCTTATGTTATATTAGACTTACGTACTTTTGAAAAGTTTCCTGCAAAATGCTTGGTGTCTTCCATTGAGAAAGCTACAATGAACACTTTAAAAAATTTAGAAATTGATGAAACTGGAAAGCAGCTAAACCTCAAGACTAAAACAACAGAAAATACCGGTGTCTGGACCGAAGATGACAAGAAGATCGCCAGTATCGGCATACATGTGAGAAGATCAATCACATCTCATGGTGTTGCAATTAATGTGAACACCGATTTGTCATATATGAAAAGCTTCGAAATGTGCGGCCTTCAAAATAGCAGCCCAACTTCTTTAGTTGATCAAACGGGATACAACAATATTGACGTACAGCAAGTGGCCATACAATTTGCGAAGGAGTTTGCCAAAATTTTAGGAATTCAAAAGGTAGAAAGAATACAGATAACAGAAGAAGACGTCAATGCAATGCAAAGTAACTGATTATTGTATATATATTACTTAAGAACCAAAAATCCCCATCTTGTCAATAGAGTTTCTATGTATATATATTTATGTGATCCTATTCTAAAAAAAAAATATTTATTCATTGGGAGGAAAATCTATAAGCGACTGTTAACACACCGACAGAAACCAGACCAATAGTCCAAAAAGTCCAGCTTTTTAGAAACGTATTGGTAAACTTCTTGGTGTTGGCTTCCTCCCCTAAATTGCAATCAGAGGCTATGTTCTCCAAACCATCATCTGGGTCAATGTTAAGCTTTTGTTGTGTTTTTCCATTTTTATACTTTTCAACTTCTAATCTAGTTTTACAATCTTCTAGTACCTCTTTCACAGCTTTAATTTCTGCTTCATATGTCTCTCGTTCTTCAGTTTTTTGTTTTTGAATATGGGAGTGCTCTTCTTGAAGTTCAAGCGTTCTAGCTTCATCCTCTTTCATAAACTGCATCAGAACTGATGAAAGTTCTTTCTTAACGTCTGCTTGGAGACTTATCAAATATTTATCATTTTTCTCTACGAGTAGCTTATTCTTATAATCAATATCATTTGTGTAATTTAAGATAAAATTCTCAATTGATTTTAGTTTCATAATATCACGACTCTTAAAGCTTATCCCAGCTGCCATAACACGTATGGTGTCGATTAATTTATGACTTGTTCCAATAGAATTATTAATAAATATACCATTCAGTATGTCAATATCAGTCCTCAATATAGTATCTTCTAAGTCTAACAAACCATGGGAGTGATCCACAAATGATTCAAAAGCACATTGTTGTAAGTTGTTATCATCTATAATTACCTTCGAACGAAAACTATCAGATATAGGTTGCCGATCCAGAATTAGAGGATGAAAGTATATATCCTCAACTACTGCGCTTATTTTTCGGTGTTCCAGTTTAGAGTCAATATCTGTACCTAAATCAACTGTGTCCCCTACTTTTAGTTCTACGTCAGCTTGGTTAATTCTTTTGCCATTAAGGAAAGTACCGTTGCTTGATTTCAAATCCTTTATGAAAATCTTCCCAGAGCAATAATCACAACTCAGGAGAGCATGATTTCTAGATAAAACCCTGGAATCGAAGTTACCATTATCTGGTAGTACTTGTGAGCTTGTATTGATTTTTGATGTTTTGCTTGCACCAATATTACCATGAGCATTACCTGAAGTTGCAACATTGGGCGTATTGGCAACTGGCCTGCCAAGCTTCAAACCGTCTGGTTGGAAAGGTATCACTAAATACTTGGTTTCAAAAGTATTATTCAATGATCTAAGTACTAAAGTGTACTGGTATTTCCTCCTGAATAGCAATGGCTTCCGTATAGTATCGGCTTTACCTTTATTGACACGATCCTTTATGGGCTGCGACTGCGTGCTTTTATTAATTCTTGCAGTAACTTCCGCAACATGCCTATTCTTATTGTTAGCTTGGGTCGCAGTCTTCGTTCCAACATTGTTCCTGGAATGTCTATCTCGCCTACTATGCTTCTTCGAGTCCTGTAATACAGCTGTGGGTGCAACTGCCACTGGTCTGGGGCTATCAACTGTTCGTGACATATCCTAGGTGACCAAACAAGCTAAGCTTAACTGCATATATTAACCTGAAATCTTCCCGACTATGCTGTATTCAGTATTCCAATTGGTGATGTTTAAGGCTTCCTAAACACTCTCAAAATTGTGATTCGATTCTTGGAACGGCCCTTTTGTGGGTATTCTTTTTCTGTGTTTTCAGGCCCGCAGCTTCTACTAGCGATGCCCGGGAAAATATAAAATATAGAAACTATAATATTATTGACAGTAAAGCAAACTAATCATCCAAGATTACGTTGCTTCTGTTACGGGAAGAACGCATAAGTATTTGGTTATGAGAAGTATCAACAGTTTATTGTATTATGGAAAATATTTTTGCGAAAAGATATATATATATATACATATAGATAAATTAGTTGTAGTAAATAAAATGATATAAAAAGCAAACAAACAAAAACAAAAAAATGAACAAAACGAAATGGCATGTGCCATATTTGAAGTCGTTACAAGTCTATGAAAAGTAGTAATGACAAATTATGGAGCTGGAAGCTTATTCCAGGCTTTTGGATGCAAGTTTTAGTTTTCTGACTTGTCATTGGTACTCTTCTTTTCGATAATTTCTTCCACGTATGCGTTAGAGATCTCGCTGTCTGATTCATGTCCCTCGGTATTCTTAGCAACATCTGAAGCTTTGGAGATGACGTATTCTTGCTTTTCAGCTTCGGTAAGTTCACTATATGGCACCATACCCTTCTTGATAGCGGTATCGTCGTCAAATGCACCGTAATAGTCCTTGTCATCATGTAGGATCTCAATCTTGAATGGAAAGATCAGACACAGAATCCAATACAAAGAAAAAGAAATGGCGAAGGCAAAGAATGAGTCACCGTAGTAGAAATTCACAATACCTTTGTTGTGAAAATAGTTATTATTGACTTGCCAAGCAATACCAGGTAGACCGGGAGTCATACCAACAACCCAAGAGACAAATGCTCTCCAGTTGAAACCTTTGTTGAAATAGTATTCACCTTTCAAAGTGAAAGCTTGGACAACAGAGTAGTTTCTCTTTCTGATCACAAGGTTATCACAGATCATTACAGAAATAATAGGTGTCATAACCACACCGAAAGAACTGACAACGGTCAAGAAAGTAGAAGAAGAGTTGTAGAAATTCCATGGCTGAACAGCGACAGAAAGCATGGCAGTGAAGATAGCACCTCTTCTGATGTTGATGTATTTTGGTAACAAACCTGCAAGGTCCATACCACTAGCAAAACCAGCGTTAGAGATAGTGTATGAGATTTGAGATAGAGTGAAGAACAATCCACAGAAGAAGGCTGCAGCACGAGCACCTGAAGAATAACCGTTGTTCAACCAATAGTTAATAATATCCATAGGCATCCAGAGTTGTTGACCGTACAATTCCTCACAAGTTGATGCACCAATCGCACCGTAAACTGGCACCAAAGTAGTTGGGATCAATAGACCAGCAATCGTACCTAGATAAATACCTGTCAAAGAAGAACCAAATCTTGAATAATCACTTTGGTTAACTGACCCTGGAGACACAGAACCGAACCAATAAGAGATCATGTAGACCCAAGCCCATGCTCTAGCGGAACCCGTTGCAGTGGTCTTAGAAGAAGTGAAAAGCTGACCAACACCATGGTTTTCCTTACAAAGGTAGATAACCATACCGGTCATAGCGAAACAAGTACCAGTACATGATAAAATCAAAAGCTTATTAATTTGATAAGGTTTCATGATATAACAGAACGCACATACAATGTGAAAGATGACGAAACCAATCAATTGTTGGGTAGTCATCGCAACTTTATGGGACAAAGTATTTTCCAAATGTAAGTAGTGGTGAGACCATGAGCTCAGAATCAGGTTAATACATAGACCACCCAACCACGCATTTGAGCCGTAGTTGACAATACTCATCAACACACGAATGACAACACCAAAGGCTGAACCATAGATACCAAATGTGAATCTCTGAGCCAAGGTGTAACCGACTTTCCAATCCCAACCAGGGTAACAGTTAGCCAAGGTAAAGGCTATGGTAACCACATCACCGATGATAAAAGTACCAATCGTAGCAGCATAACTTAGACCAACTGTTAAAGCCGATGAGGCACTGATCCATGTACCCACGGAGAAAGAGATGATACCCCAATAGGCGAAGTTCGACCAGAACCCCCAAGTCTGATGCTCTTTTGGAATAGGAACCAAATCGGGATTCTTCAAGAAACTCAAAGTTTGTCTCTTCTCAACTGGAATTTCCAAATATGTCAGAAATTTGAGTCCTCTCATTGTTTGACGGCTGTATGTGGATTTGCTTGTATAATTTCTACAAGATAGCAATTAAAAATGAGATGGTTCTGGAAAATAAAAAAGTAGCAACAAAGCTCTATGCCCATTTATATATCAATTATTTCTGGATCGTAAGCTGCAAACATGCGTTATAAGAGCTTGCAAATGTAATTGATTAAAAAAATTTTTTTTCCTTATAGCTTCATGCAGCTTTCTAAAAATTAAGCAACCAAATTTAGTGCCGCTATGCAACTCAACTCCAACAACAATCCAGTAGGTTTATGTGCAACGCCAGTGGTGATGTCCGAGAAGGAAGACCAATAGCAATCTTAAATACGACACCTCGATGCTAAGAGTTATGCAGTTATCATAGCCAATTCATTATTACTGTCACCGATGTCGATGTCTCTCAAATCGATTGAGCCAAAGAACCTATTTTTTCCTTCTACTTAATCTTTTGGCATTTTCCCTTCCCTTGTCTCTTGCCGTAGTGCCAATCGCTTACAACCACACATCGGCGACCGTCTCATCCACTTATCCAGCATTCCAAAAGCATTCACTTAGAGGGAAACCTCGCCCATTCATCCTTTCACGAGTCACCCACCTTGTCAGGTGACAAAAAAATAAATCTGGAACCATTCCAACTGCACCAACGCTACTTTGAAAAACATAGCACAGATATTAACCAGTCTCAATGTCCATTTCGGCGGTTAAATCCCCTTCGAGTTTTAAAGTTCTGTCAACAGCTTGAGTCACATCCGCCCTTTATATACTTTTTCAAAAAAGAAAAATCCGGTTCAATGGCTCACCCCCCGCAATCATTTGAACTCTTTCCCGCTCACTTCCCAGAACTTCTTTAGTGTGCTTCTTCTTCTGCGCGATTTCTGTGCTGGATCTTCGCTGTGAAATCACACTTCTTCTCAAACTCTTCTCGGCCGAGAAGAGATAATATAACAATATACGTATATGTCGCGTGATATTGCGTTAAAGATGATGAGTATATATAAGTAAAAGTCGCTAATACGCAATTCATGGGGACTTCAACCACCACCCCATCCCCCCACCCCGACTTACATTGGTATGTTCTACAATGAAAAAAGGTTTTTGGGCTATTGGTTCCTCAATGTACGGTCGTATACTTCAAGTAAAGTGTTCTTGGATCCGTTGGTCTTGTTCCAGTACCTGCGGAACTTGCTGAGGATGTCAGACACCACGCGGGGTCGGTCTGTGGCGCCATCGCATATCTGTCTTAGCATTTCTTCCATCTCTCTGCGTTGAAAGGGTTTGGCAAACGAGTCCTCCAGTCCAATGGCTTCAAACCCATGGACTAGTGCTCTGCCAAGTATGGTAGGTTGCAAGTAAGTCTCCTTGCCCACTTTCTGACTTTGCACGTAGCTACGCATCTGTATCTTCTCTATATGCTCAGCAATGGTGGCATCTGTGCCTATACCATTGGCATCCATCAGCACAATAAGTTCACTCTCTGTCATGGGCTTCGGAGGACTGGTGCTACCGTTCTTCATTTCCGCCTTCAGTATCTTACACTGCTGGTTTATCTCCAAACGAGGTAATTGACGTGTAGTCTCCCATCGTGCCCACGGGTACACATCGAGGAAATTACGCTCAGTGACCATTAATCCGTTTGCGTAGAATCGCTCCCCAGACCAGTCGAGACTGATCGTAGTCTGCTGACCCTTCGCATCCTCGGAACAACTGGCTAAGAAGTGCCGACATATGTACTCATACACTCTTTTCTCAGTGGGGTTTAAACTAGTGACATCCCTGCCAACACTAACAATAGGATGGATTGGCGGATGCGCCTTATCGTCTCGATTACCGCTTCTAGGGAACATAAACCTGTTGCCATTAGATCCGGAGCCATTGAGGAGATTTGCAGCATACTCTGCCCAGTCTGATCGTCCTTGAGCAGGTTGATCTAGCTGCGCTTGCTTCTCCACCAATGACTTTAAATCCATTGTACTAGGAAAAACATTGGTTTCCGTCCTGGGATAGGATATAAACCCGCGCTGGTAAAGCTTCTCGGCGGCATCCAAAGATTGCTTCGCATTAATCCTTAAAAACCTTGCACAATTCTTCTGGAGCTCAACAGTAGTTAAAGGTAGCGGCTTGTATTTTGATGTTGGTTTTGATTTGATATCAGATACCCGTGCAGAGTCACCATCTTGTTCCAGACACATCTCATAAATAGACAACACGCTAAACCTGTCAAACAAACGCCCTCGATCCCATTGAAATTGTATTGGCTTACTCTCCCCTTCCTCACCTTTGATGTTAAGTTGTATATACCAGAACTCTTCCGGGATGAAATGTCGTATCCGCTCAAATCTATCTACTACGAACCCCAATGTCGGAAATTGGCAAGTACCATAAGAGATAACCGGCATATCTCTTCTATTATTCCTACTGGGACCCTCACTTTGTGAACTGGCAACTTTGTTTCTCATTGTTTCAGTAAGTAACCTAGTGAAGGTAACACCAGCTCGAAGATCAATCTCTATTCTAGTCCTTACGGCGTTGACACTTCTCATATCCAGGCGGTGAGGCCTATGTGCCGCTTGTAGTATATGACTTCTCTCCAAGTGCGAAAATACTGCTCTGTAAACTTGATTATCATTTAACCTCCTATTGCTCTTCTGAGCCTCCATATACACTTCCCATCCGATATATTCACCTTCTCTATCACAATCTGTCCAAATCATCAAAACATCAGCAAACTTTGCCTCCCGCCGTATATTTGCTGCTATTTTCTGTTGGTTCTTGTCCATGACCTCGTTGAGTGGTGCATCAAACAACTGCTCAATTCGACAATTGCCCCATCCGTATTGCTCATGAGCAAAATCAACCCCAGTCAAATGGCCAGCCACACTGGTCATGGTCACTTGCACATCATTACCACCTGCAAATGAAAAGCCACTGTAATTGAAATCATAGTTCTTGATATATGTATATCCCGAGTCTCTCACTGATAATCGACCTCCACCAAGAATGCCAGACACAGCCTTAGCTATTGAGTTCTTTTCCGCTACACATAGGACTTTCATATAAATGCAATCCGAACCTTACCACAATCGATATGTTAACAAAAGTAGTACTATGCCTTATTAAACTGTAGCTACTCTTTAAAAGCACTCTAATATATTTGTAATGTAGAGTATATGATTCCCAAATAGCATTGTTATTGTTTCAATGGCGATGATCATAATTTTTCATTAAGATCATCGCGAAATCAAAATCTTAAAAGTCAAGTTATGTCAATTATAGATGAATAAATCTTAAACACGCATCCCGAAGTTCCACTTTACTATTAAACGTATCACGTAAGCTCTTATCGTTAATACATGGTCTGCAATATTGCTTGAATGAAAGGACTGAAGTCTGGTGCTCTAATTGATGCTAACGATGACATAGAAAGACGCTTACTTGAATTCAAAGCCAGTTTCAGAGCACTATTAGATGACCGCAACTATGCATTTGTTGATAGACAACATATATGTGGATTGATTAGGAAATTGAATGACGTACGTGTTTATGTCATTCATTATATTCAGTCGTATTCTTCCAACAATCTTACTGTGAGTCAATCAAAGCTAGGCACCGTCACTCTAAATGATGTCATATATTTGTCTTGGAAGCATATCTACTATTATATCTTATGCAGATTGCTAAGAATATTAGCAACACTAAAGAGAAAGAAGAGAAGTTTGAACCTTTCAACACAGTACAAAAAGTGTTTTAAGGGATTTAAAGTATTGATCAGCGATATATTAAGTGCTCTAAAAGAAATACTGTTAACAGTGCTTACGCTAGCTGATCCTAATGCCATCTTCAGTCCAACTATTATTAAACAGCTACTGTCAATATTGAATGTGGAAAGTCTACCCACGAAGACAACGATAAGCGCCAGTGCAAGGATATCCCTCCCTATTATCCAATCTGTAAACCAATTATTACTTCATATTGGCGATACACAAGTAAAGTCATCATTTATCCTTGGAAAATCTTTAGGTTTTGATATTCCAAACACTTATTACTTATCAAGTCTGATAACGCCATATGAAGGTACATGCCGTCAAAAAATTGCTGACTACTTTTGGGAAACCAAAATGTATGATAATTTTATTATTAAATTAATTGAGTCAATGATTGTTCCGACTAGAAATACTCGTCCTACACAAATAATGTTTTTAGAGTATTTTAAAAGATATACGCGCTCTTCGTTTGCAACATTTATTAATTATTGCATCAAAATAATCAACAAAGGCGATATCGAACAAAGTATGTCTCTTGAAACAGAAGGGATTTTACAATTTTTTCAAAATCCAAGCCAAATCCTCGACCAGGCGCTCTTGATGATTTACTTCTTCCATATTTGCCCATTATTGGCTTCTCATGGTAATTTCGAGTATGAATATGACAATATCAAGAAACTAAGTTACAAAAATCTTGATGATAGACATAAAGCTATCCTTCAACTAATATTTGAGATTCTAGAAAGCCATGTGCTCACCCAAATGCCAAACAATGAAGATTTACAGATAAGTGACTTAGTATTACTGAGGCTTATTCTGGTATGGATAAAAACTAACCGGCCAATATTATTTTTTGCACATAGACGCCGACCGTTTATACATCAAATGGCATCAATACAACAAAAATATGCTGTTCAATATCAAATATCAAATGCCAACAAAATAATTCATCGACCTAAAAGACTTTATTTATTCAAGGAGGACATCGACTACAGAGGACTGATATGTTTTGGCTCAGAACTCACTGACTTCAATGATGAACTAATTCAGAGTTGTGAGGATGTTGCAGATAGGATTATGGGTTTTGTTGATCAACAGGACAAACTATCCGAGGAAGATGAATTAAAACTTCGATACCTAGCTATCTGCTCATCGATAAATAAGTTTAATGGACAGACAACAAACACAATAAGTTAATATAATATTTTATACAATATAGTCATCGGAAATAGAACAACATGATTAATGATGTTGGTAATTGTCTTATAGTAAATATTTGAAATGTTAGACATCAACTCAATCACTTAATAGCAATTTTATATCACACATGACGGACCATGATACTTGGCTACTTCTTACATCTACAATTAACCGTTGAAAATGCTCGTGTAGCTCAGTGGTTAGAGCTTCGTGCTTATAGTGGCATCCCCCTATGGGGAGCTAACTGTACGGATGTTTCTGGGTCTTAAAAGCGGCTCAGGTCACAAGTCACGCGACCGTCGTGGGTTCAATCCCCACCTCGAGCACTTTCTCTCTTTTTTTTTTTATTATTAGTACTAATAATGCTGAAATAATGGATTAACGATAGTTGTATTCGATGAAGAATATGAGTTACTAGGGAAAATTCTAATACCTTAATCATAATAAATTAATGTTGTTAAGGTTTTTCTATTTCCTTTTCCTGATCTATACGCTAATGACGATTAATTCAACTCGTTTTTCTGAATGAACGAATTATAATTATATATTAAACGGTGTTACTGCTCTAATTTTGTAATTACATATATGGAAAGTAGAGGTTTTATCTCACCTTTATTTTCTGGAGTTTTTGATTTAGAAGATGCTTGCAATTAGTTTAACTTTAGCTTGCATCAAATTCAAAGCAGACAATCACTGGTATAAAGGTACATTTATTAATTTATGTTCCGCTTTGAGGACATGATGCTAATTTTTGTTTAGAAAAACGAACGACGAACTAACAGATAGTACAGAAGCTATCCTTTTCATTAGATGAACTATTGGAGTTGATATTATCTGTGGCATTTTTGGCAGTCAAGGCCACTCTTGCGGCTTCGGTGAATGCTTCGTTGACACCTTTGTTCAACTTTGCGCTACACTCCAAGTAACGGAGAGCACCAATCTGCTTGGCCATAGCGAGACCTTCTTCATAAGTGATCAGGTTGTTGTTATTGTTGTTATTACGGTTATTTTGGATGTTGTTTGGGGTTATTACGTTGTTCTCGTTATTTCTCAAGTCACATTTCAGAGCAACTAGCACCAGGTTCACACCTTCACAATGGTCCGTTATTTCACCAACCCATTTATTCTTGACGTTCTCCAAGGAGTCCCTAGAGTCTATACTGAAACACAGCATTATGGTGTGCGTGTCAGAGTATGATAATGATCGTAACCTGTCAAATTCTTCTTGTCCCGCGGTATCCCACAGCGACAACGTAATGTGTCTGTTATCGACAAAGATGTCATGAATATAGTTCTCAAAGACAGTGGGCTCGTAGACTTCTGGGAAATAGCCCCTGGTGAACACGTTCAGCAGCGAGGTTTTACCACACGCACCATCACCTAGAATAACAATCTTTCTCTCGACAGGTTTCTTAGAACCTGAGGATTGAGATGAAGAGGATCCACACAGAAATGCCATGACTTAATAATCTATTTGGGTTTGGTTTTCGTTAGTCTGAAAGCGTTTATTATAATAAAATGTATGGAAAGTAACCGTAAATCCCTTTATATTGAATGGTAGACACCAGAACACCACTGTTTATATTGAAAAAAGGCTTATGTGGTTTCAAGTCTCAAACCCGTCACCAAGCATTTTTTTTTTTCCAACACCAAGGAAAATGTAAACAAAAAAGTTCTTGGTGGAAGGCTTCCCTCCCCACACATAGCAAATCTAGTTATCATGTTATACAAGTGCCCTCTCATATGACTGGCTCGTCCCACTGCATCAGTCTACAACACGGGTATATCATGTGATAAGATGTGGCCAGTGGTTGGACTATAAAACTGCCGATAAGGCTCACGAAACAGAATCAAGTAAACTATGGAATTGGCCTGAAGAATAAAGTACATGCGAGTTCGATTCTCGGTTCGCCTGCCCATACAAATACTCCAAGCGTTTTGGCTATCATACGTTACAAACTAAGGGAAATACAGTATAACAAAATGTAAAAAGCACATTGTTGTTTTCCCTAACAGTGTTTCTGTTTCAGTTGTTCGCGTCCCCAGTCTAAACGCCGACTACACCAGCCCTTCGCTAAGGCCATACAACCAGCACAACGGCCCGGTACCTGATTTTCAAAAGTTTCCCAAGAAAAGAATTTACTGTCTCTGCTTAGTTCTCTAAGAGACCGTAGATCATCCCATACAAAGACAGACATTCTCCAATCTCCTGTTGTCACTCCCTCCCAAGAATCGTAGATTGCACACTGTAGCTATTTCCCAGCGGGCTCGCTACATCACTTTGAATGAGGGGAAAAACGAGCGTCCTCCCCCCTTTCCCGTTCCCCATTACATAAGAGTGCTGTCAAAGGAGCCCAATAGTTTTCTTTCTTTTTCTTTTCTTGCCCCCGTCTATCTGTGACTTCTTTCCAGGTGGGTGTCGCAGAGGGCGGGCCCTCTCGTGATATCGACAGCTTCCAAGACCATCTCTCTGAAACACCCGTAAACCCCTGGTGCTGCATTGTTTACCACTGTGTACACACTACACACACGCACTTGTGCATGGCTTATAACGAAAGCACAGAGAGCACAGAAAGCACAGAAACACCTGCAGTCATTTACATGTTTGATTTTTTTTCCCAAAATATGATTACCTGATATGGAAGTACCTCTGGCCCTGAAAATTATTTCCTGTTTGGGAATAGCGTATATATTGAGCGGGTAGTACACTTGCAAGACACAGATACGAATACACACACACACACACACACATACATACATACATTGTGATATATACTCAGTACAACTACGAATACGAGTACAATACATTGAAACAATTACAAATATTGCTTATCTTATCAAGGTTTTGCAGGAACCATTCATGCACTTGTTACTATCCCCACCCTACGCTACCAATACACCCTCCAGTCTGTTTGGGTTGGGTATGGGGATGACCTTCACCAACATTTTTCTCAGAGTCGGGTTCGTCTGATTGGTCTCTCAAAATAAGAAGAAACACATTCAGGGGACTACCAGTGAACACACCGCACAAAGAGGAGAAAAGGAGAAAAATTACTTTTCGAAGAATTGCGGTCCCTTTTTTTTAGTTCAATTTTTTCATTTTTTCCGAAAGGGTTGTTGTTGTTCCCTAGACAAATGCCGTACGCCTCCCTCTCTCCCCGACTTCCGCATCACTGAAATCGAACAGTCCCTACCCACACTGTACAGCGTGTTGTCTGGGGGTCTTATCTTTCCCAGCCTTCGAAAAAGGACATTATTCGTCGTAGGGTTCCTGTCTTCCATATTCCCATATCCCATATCCCATATCCGCATCCACAATCGCTACGCCTATTTCTATGTGTTGCATAAGAAAAACAAGCTCGTCACCCTTCCATTTCTCTCAAGTTTTCTCAGTTCTCTCAGTTTTTACTCAGTTTTCTCAGTTTTCCAATCCCATCTCTGAAATGTTGCAAGTCCCTTTATTTCCGCTTCTCCCTACGTGTGTTTCTCTCAGGGTCCCTGGACCTCCCCCCACTTCCGTCGTTCTTGTGCCAGAATACATAGAATACACAGAATACACAGAATACACAGCGCACTTCCACGTTCCAATGTGAAATGCATCGAATCCAGGTACATCCTTTCTGCGCTCCAACCAATTTCCTTTCTTTTCTTGGTCCCTGCGAGCTTTTTCAGCTGGTAGGGACTGTTCTGCCCCTTGGGTATATCAGGAGAAACTTCCAAGCTTCGGAAAGAAAAAAAAAACTAAAAATCAAAAAATTTTGTTCCTGAAAATGTAATATAAAGTAAAAAAAAAAAAAAAAATAATGAATACATAAACGGTAGCAATGGTGGGAAATACATTAAATATTAGGACCGTAGCACTCATATATAACCAGTCTTTGTAAAACTTCCTTTCACTGAGAAACTAACAGTTACAAGACATAACCAACAACCAATAATTTAATAGGAAAAGAGACCATACAGTATTTTTTTCTTTACAAATGCTCCCTAAGCCAAGAGAATATCTAGCTAAGAAAAAAAATTAACTATATTTTTGACTACTATCCAGTAGAGACAAAGAAGAGAGAAACAGAGAGAAATAGAATTATTCCCCACAACCAGGAATATTAAAAAAAAAAATATCACATACACGCACACGCACACACTTCTAATCTAAATTTGATGGATCTTTTGAATTCTAAATTTGGGATTTCCGTAGATGATAAGAAGAGTAGTGATGGCGAGTCAAAGAACAACAATGAGACAAGCAGTAACAGTAGTGCCAATACGGCACAGCTCGATGAACCCATTGATATCGGTGTAGAAGTTGGTGGACTAGACGTTAACATCGACTCCTCTTCGAGTGATACAACTTCAAAGAAAATAAAAGACCTAATAGAAAACGATGCTGACAGAAGCAGCGGCCGTAGAACTAAGGACATTACAAATCAACAGCGTAAATCAGGTAGACACCAACACGATAGCAATGAGGCCAACGAAAGAAGGATAGATAACAACACCAACAACAATAACTCTGTCAATAACGGAAACGATAATGGTAACACAAGTGGACGTACGCAAAACAGCAGGGGTACTGATAGCCTGGTATTAGAGAACAGCTCTAGGAATAATACCATAAGCAATGAAAGAAGTAGCATTAGTAATGTAGGTGCTGGACATGACAACATTAATGCTTCGCAAGGCGACATCAATGGCAATGTTACTACGGGGATCATGAACTCACAATCGCGCGGTATCTCGCAACTAAATTCTGGTAATGATCTAAGCTCCAACATCAATGATAACAACAATAACAACAGCAATAACAATAGTAGTAACATTAACATTAACAACCCAAACAACAGTAATTCGAACAACAACAATCACAATACTGCAATGAACACAGCTGTTTCTTCAAGTAGTAATAACAGTAGCAGTAAAAACAGTGGCTCGACTTCCTCCCAATCTCATATGGGCTTAATGTCATCAGTTTCTTCGACGAGTAATGACTCTTCCAGCTCTGGAGAGATGATGATGAAAGCAAGAATGGAATCTGACATACGACAGAACAAGGAACAAGATCAAAATCAAAATGAGAATGTCCACGTTAAGAAGGATCCTAACGATTTAAAGGGTATCAGACCGATACGTAAAAAATGGAAAGACTATGAGGATATAGCCTTTGTTAAAACAATTTTGGAAAATGCGGAATTGTTAACCTACGTGGAGTATTTTAAGCCAATGAAGAATTTCTGGATTAGAATTGCGCAAATATTAAATGAGAAGTACGGATATGTTAGAAACTTCCGTCAGTGTCATGATAGATTCAAAGTGCTTTATGCAAAGGCATTGAGGTTAGATGACTCATTATCAAGTGATCATAACCATGCAAATTCAACCTCCTCAATGGGTAATTCCACTTTCAGTTTCCTAAATGATGCTAGTACTTCTGGTACTCCTCAGAGGCTCGGAACATCTATTACAGACGCCCTTTCACGTCAAACTCCACAAAACATTAGTCAGAGTATACCTCCTATGAGTGGTAACAATTTGAACCAGAATACTAATTTGTTCACCTCTAATATTGCATCCGCTCCAAATTACTATGGAAGCGTATATGATCATAAAGCAAGGTATCATCAGGATGATGGTCTGAGATCGTTACCACTACCGCTAAAGCACTTACTGATAAAGTTGAGGAAAACAATCACATTTTACAATGGTAACATAATTTTCAAAAAAGCAACTGAAATCAAAGATAACAATCAAATCAATCTTAACATCAATCGTATTCCAGACTATGATGGAGAATCCAAAACTGACACACTGAACACTAATAATTCAAAAATTGCGAAAGGCACTTCAGGGAAAAGCAACTATTTATCTCCTACGATAGGCGATGAGCCAAATGAGATGCCCGATCAAAGGACTTCGTCATTGGGAGATTTACAATTGCAAAATAGCAGCTCAAGTTCTGGTAATACAGGTGCGACACCAGCGAACTATAACTTTAATGGCTCAAACCCAACACCTTCTCAATTCAATATGGGATTACCAAATCTGCTTCAGCAAAATCCAAATCCTATGGCATATGCACCTGTGTCAAATGGATCGCAATTACAATTTTCTTCCACCTCGTCTTCTAATACTACGGGTTCCCAATCCCAGGTATCTTCTTTTTATCCACCTCAGTTTGGATATTCTGCTAATGCTAATTCAAACATAAATGTGCAGACTAAAATCCCAAATCAGATACCACTAGCAACAAATACACAAGTTGCTATGCCACCCTTCCCTCAACAAAGTCAAAAAATGCCAATTTTTGGTGAGAATAATAGAGCTGGAAATGATAATCAGCTACAAACTACGAAACCCCCCGCAGATAATGAAAAAAGCAATATGGACAACATGTACCAATCCATGTATACAGTCATATCTACATTGCGAGAACAAATTGATCAACTTAGAAACCAAATAAGTGATTTGAATAGTAGGTATGAAGAACAGTCGAAAATGCTTTCAACGTTGTATGCTATTATACAACAGCCACTAATGCCTCCTTCGTCAGAGACCTCCTCTTCTTCCAGCACATCATTCTCATCAACATTCCTTGATCAACAATTACAAAACTCACAAAATAATCAAAATAACATGATGTTCAGTAATCAGCAACAAAATTCAAACCCGAACATGGGGACAAATAATCAGCAAACTTCGAAACGCCAGCCTGCCCAACAAAATCAACAAGGATCAGAATTACCGCTTCCCAAGCAATCAATAAATACCAATACTTCTCCTCAGCAATATAACCAACCTACATCAATTCAACAACCTCATTACCAGATGACTCAAAACAAACACCAAAGTGGTCGCAAACTACCAAATCTACCTCAACCTAAGCTGCCTCAGAGCCTTCCTCAGTTAGGAAATTCTACCGTGCTTCCGCAACCACAAAACTTTAATGATAAACCTTAAAAATTGTTTCAAATATTTTATGTGTTAATTTCTTAAACACAGACCATTTTTTATTATGCAATCTTCGATAACAGATTTTTAATGCGAAGCGCTTGCTTAATGTATAAAGATTACGAGTTTTCCGTTCATTTATTTTGTACTTTTTTTTGCATTTGTGTCCTTTTTTGATATGTAATACTTTTTAACAACCCAACCATCTTACTAGTCATTAAACGCTATAATATATCTGCCAAATATGTAACAACACATTGCTCTTTAATCAAGAAAATGGCATTTTAACTGAGAAAAAAATTTGGCTCTATGGAAATGATATCATATCATCACTAAATACGTAATTTGCTCTTTAAAGACTACTAAGTTAATCACGTGTAGTCGTTTTAGAATAATATTCAATAATCAAATTAAAGTATTATTCAATAATTAATGTTAAACTTGAAAGTGTATCATGATATGCAAAAGTAGTTCAATTCAAGATCAAATCAACTAACTGGTAGAGATGTGCCTGCTTTTTACTTTTATGCCATTATTATACCTCCAGAAGGAAGTTTGGTAATCAATATAAAATCAGTAAGACATGCACGAAACATTTCTAAAATAAACTAATAACATAAATTTAAATTCATCTACATATATCATAGATGCGATATTATCCGAATCGACATTAATTAAAAAAGGTCTATAAATATCGTCGTGATCAAAATGGTATCACAAAGTAATGGGGTTTTATCCCCTTTTGACAAAAAAACAATTTGAACAAGTCAAATAAACTCATCATCCAGCCATTTATCTGCTTTCTTCGGCTTTTCCTTCGGCCTCAGCCTTCTCATTTGCCACAGATAATGCAAATGCTCTGCTAGCATCTTCTTTCCTCTTTCTCTTGAGAGTAATTTCACGACCATTCTTCAACAAGTAGAATAAAGGACAAGCCGACAGAGCTGTTAGAGCACCCAAAAATGTAAAAACACCACCATAGGTCATACTGGTAGCCATTTTACTCAAACAGCCGATAAACAAAGCAGATAGCAAACATCTGAATAAGTTCAGACATCCTGTTGCAGTTGATGTCTTTGAAGGGAAAATATCAACAATGAGTGTTGTAGAGAAAGTCAAGATACAATTAGAAAACAACGACGCAAACCCACTCATTACCAATACTGAAGCAAGAGGTGCCTTAACATCGATGCACCATCCAAATGCGACAAATCCACTACTACTCAATAACAGAGTAACGAAAGCAGCGTGAAGCCTAGTTTGTACCAGGTTAAAGACATACTTTGGATCATTATTAATAATGTTTTGAACTTCCTCTCTACTGTAGCCATTTTCTTTCACTAAAATTTCTTCTTGTTCCTTTAGCCAAACTTTGTGTTTAGCGAATCTCCTTCTGTAACTCCAATTCAAGTATCTACCAGAGGTCACGATACTTATCAAAGTACAAATACCAGTTGGTAAATAACATAGACCAATCTTGGCAACTGATAAATGATAGTTTTTACTTAAAACTGTTGACAAAGCTGTTTGATGAGTAGACCACGTAGCAAATTGAATACCAGCAGTAACCAACAAAATACTAATCTCTTTGACTTTCAAAATTGAAAGAGGTGCCAAAAGGCTAAGTTGTGTGCGTGGTTCTAGTGTTTCATACTCTGGATCGTCTAAGTGCAATTTCCTACGTATTAGAGGAAACATGAGTAGAGGAGCCCTGTTAAGATAGTTACGAGGAGTAACTGATCCGTTGCCGACAATGGTTCTCTTGGTTTCCGGTAGCATAATTATTGAAAAGACCAAGCATACACCCGAGCCTATAGCTAAAAACCAAAAGATAGATCTCCATCCCCACCTTGAAGACAAACCGGCACCAATTAGAGCACCAAACGCACTACCTAAAACTTGGAAACCCGATATGTATCCGACATACCCCCCTCTTTCGGCCCTGGTCGTCACATCTCCAATAATACCACTATTGATGGCAATGACAGGAGAGATACCAGCTGCCTGTAGACACCTCAGCACAACAATCTGTGCGTAGGTTTGGGCACAGGCTAAACCAATGCATGCACCAAAGTAAACTGTCACAGCAAACAGAACTACAGGTCTCCGACCCAAGGAATCGGCTAGTCCACCCATAAGAGTTGGCGCAATACCTTGGAAAATAAAGTAAACAACCACAGTTATGTTCACTAATTCTTCAGTAATGTGGAACTGTTTCTCAATAACACTTAGCACTGGGTAGTAAATAGCGCCTGCCATTGTTGAAAATAAACCCGTGTAAGCACATTGCAAAACCAGAGCCATCTTATATTTAGCGTCAAACCTCGAATAAGGTGGCGCATTTGCGATATCAGGCTCTGTCTGGTTGGACCTGGTTCTGTAAATAGGTTCTTTGACAGCCTCGTCCTCATTCGTCTTGATCATTTTATCATTGTCTTCACTGTCAACTTCAGATAGATCAGGACCATCATACTTCTCAACCGCATGCGACCGTTGATCATAGTCCGATATGAAACTATGCAGTGATTGCTGATCCTCCATCATATGGCGCGAATATCAAAAGCAAATAATCTACTGAAACTCCCTATGATCTTTCAATAAATAGGTATCAATAGGTATTGATGTTTTGAAGTTTGTTCTTTTCTCAGAATATATGTATTGACTATATTTCTAAGTTCCTAAGCATCTTGGTCTACTAAGTTTATAAGAGGTATCTATCGGCTGAGTAAATCATAAGTCATCGCCAAAGTCTCACACAGTCCTGTAACTGTCCTTTATATATGTTTTGCATAGCATATAGAGGATAGCATTGACAAAATCGCTATTAGTCCACTTGTGAGCTGTGACAATGTAATGATGGCGTAGGAGTATAAGGTATCTTACAACTACGCTATTGCGCCTGCACAACTTTCTACGCTCTTCCGATTTCTTGTTGCTCTTATGTTGAAAAAGGTTTCTTTCTTTTTCGTTAATTTGTAAGACCCTCGAAAGCATAGCTACAGCGAACTTTAAAAGCTTCGCTTCACAGCTAAAAGCATCGAAAAATTGCTTTTTTCTCAGAGTGCTGTGTGCTGTGTGCAGTGATTCTTCACAGCACCTTTAGATTGAAAGGGAAGCATAGAATCCCTCAGAGTAGAAGATCCAGATTTCCCCCTGCGAAGCTAATAGAGTGCGTGGGGTTAGCCCTCCCCATTATTATGCGGGAACCCTTTGTGGAACTTTACAAGAGATCTTCTCGAGGGATTCTTGCATTGTGCGTGTGTGTCTGTGGTATTGTAATGACAGAAAAACTAAAATAACAGATTCTTTTGTTCTACAGGTTCTGTGGGTGCTATTCTAAGAGCCACGGAGCAGAGAATCTTGCTCTGCAGCTGAGCAAGATTCTCCACGGATATCGTAATCTCCATGGGCCATACTAATGAACCTTTGACGTATTACTCATTGATATTGAGAATATACCATTGTCATGCCATGAAAACGGTGTATATCTGATTTTGCTGATTGTACCTTCTCCACATATTGCACAGTACTATTCTTGACACCTTAAGGATAGTTGTGGTTCTACCGCGGCTTGTGTGTTACTCTACGCCGAAAAATCGGGAGTGTGTATTATGTGTCATACCGACTAGGGAGGGGGGCGGGGGGTGCAAGACTCTATTATGAGCGATTAAGAGTTTTCACCCTCATTCATTGATAATAATAAATAGAACTATAGCATTGGAGTATCGTTATATAACTGTTTGGAGACTACGTATTCACTTATCTGTACCTCCAATCCCCAATCCGGGAGACAAAAGGTGAAAGGGGATGCCAAGCCCTATGTTGGTGGTGGGTGTTTTGGGGTGTGGATCAGGAAATTAACCTGCCGCTGCATGTTCATTCGATTTGGTGACCTGCCAGTTGATAGGACCACATTAGCACTCTGCGTCCGTCTGTGGCCTTGTCTCTTTTGACTGGTTGAGGAGCTTAACGATGGAGTGGCATCCTGATGCAACGTCTCATTGCCTCTGTACTGATTTCCTAGCATAACCATATTGTCAGAAGTCGCTGGTTGTGGAGTATTAGCCTGGTATCCCTGCGAACTTGCGACCATGCCATTCATGTGCCCTTGGTTAGGAACCACTGATTGGTAAAACCCCTGATTTCCCGCGGGTATGTATTGTGTTGCCATCTGTTGGCCGGGTGGTTGTTGAACCATAACATATGGGCCTCCTCTAACACTGCCATATGTCATATAGTTCGGGTTGTTAACCTGTGATGGCATCACGTTGGATGCGTTACTTGCACCGTAACTACCAGTATGGTGGCCATCATTACTGCCAGTATCCTTACCTTCATTAGCCGTAGCTGCTTTCATTGTATTGCTGAGATTTGATGTCGAATTCGACGTAGAAAGACTAGCACCTAACGAAGTGGAAGATCGTTGTCTTGCACGTCCACTTGGCTCAACTTTCACACCTTCTTGTAGTTTCACATCTTCGGAATTATTGATATTGCTGTTGGCCAAACTAGGTGGCTGGAAAGTAGCTCTATTCCCTTGAGTGTAGCTCCCTTGGTGCCAGGCTTGATTGCCTTGAGGCACATAGTACGTCTGAGGAGTAACCTGTTGATAGGCTTGATGATAAACCATATTCACAGGTTGACCATGGATGTTATAGTTAATATGAGAATATTGAGTTTCTGGGACTGTTGGGATCTCCGATTTATATCTCTTATGCCCTCTGGGACTCATTAATCGATTTGGAGAATGTTCTGTACGTTTCAACTGAATACTAGAAGAACCAAGTAAATCATGGCTGTCTATAGATTTCGAAGAAATAAGTTCGAGAAGTTTGTTCAGGGTATCATTTGTGAATTTCTCATTACTAACAAACTTATCGACTATTAGTTCTAGCTTTTCCAAGTTCTTGGTCTTTAATTTTTCTATCTCTTTCTGCTCCCTCTCTATATGTAGACTGAAAAATCGTTCCAGCAGTTTATTATCCGCTATGTCTATTCTTGATATATCCTCAATTCCTAAGGATTTCAGCAGATGAACTCGCAGATCATATGACTGAGAATTTAAGTTTCTATTAGCTTGATTGCCATCCCAGGGTAGATTCGAATTTGTGCTTGTCTCTGCAGTAGTTACGGGCCTGGTAGATGGCTGTGACAGGTCATTTACCGTATTACCAAAGCCACCACTTGAAGATGTGTTTGTGGAATTTATGCTGGGTCTTTCTACCGCCACAGGATCTTTAAGCTTTCCTTCAGATGTAGTAGAATCTACCTTTGGTGTGTCCGTTTGATGTATATCATCATTTGATTCGACCTTCGGTACTGTTACCCCTTCTTCTGGTTTCTCAGACTCTACCTTATCTTTTTTTTCTTCTTCAACCAGATGATCCTTTTCCATTTGGTCTAGTAACGTGTATAAAGTCCAGTTCTTTCTCTATTTGAAGCGCCTTACAGTCCTAACTGAGCAATGAAGCTTTCTGGAAAAAATTAAAAGTTAAAAGCGACTAAAAGAAACAATACTGCCGTTAGATTTCGTTATTACTGTATATTCACAATCCGCAGGCCAGCTCTAGCTTGTGAAAATGACCGAACAATCTGAGACGCGTGTAGTGTTGATCTCTCTGACGGCCTTCTTATTATGAGGTATACTCTAAATCCCAAGTATATGGAACTCACACTTTTCCTATTTATATTTTACGTGAGGTAGTGGATTATCGATATTGGATGAGGGTTTCGTTTCCACTAAATTATCCTTTTTAAACAATGGGAACTTCAATACAAATACCCCCACACACACGTAAAGCTTTTTATGAAAATCCAAATAGATCAAGCCAATTTAAACAGCCTAGTATTCAAATGTTGCACAAAAATTCGATGAGGTGATTCGGAAAAGCTGCTTATTTCTTGCGATCAATAGACTGATCGAATTATAGAATCCACGAAACTACTGAAAAAAGCCCGCAGAACGATCACCAATATTTGGGCTGAAAGCGAAAAAATTTCAGGCTTTGAATGAACTGGGAGTGTTACACAGAAGCCTTCAAAAAAAATGAAAAATCCAAAAATAAATCAGAAAATCGATGGGAAACTCTCAGAAAACTGTGCAGGAGGAACGTGGGATAAGGAGAGTAATACTAATTAAAATGTGTAATGTAATGGGGCCTCTTCCGATGCGTTCACTGAGGTTTATTAAATTTATTAAATGTAATGGGGACTGTGAAATGGGTTAATCCCTTTTAATATAACTCCTTAGTTAGCGTCAACTTCTCAGGATATGTCTTAATACTCTCTGCAATTGATCAAGAAAAATAGGGTTTGGCCAGTATTAAGAGGGATAATACTTTGAATTGCGACCTATTAGGAGCAATTGTTTGTAAAAACTGTAACGATTTTGATGGGGTGATATGCAGAATGGCGTTTTATCACCTAGGATACAATGGATTGACAACAAAGCTAATTATGCCTTCAACTGTTAGCCACAATCACAAATATGGTGCTTCCAAATCTTGTTGTCAGCTAGAACCGGTTGTGACAGAGTAAGGAAAATTCCAATGTATACAAATTAGCTAATATGCCTTTAAATTCGATCCTAATAATAGTAACGATATCTATGGCTTCTAGAAATGTTTTTGGGCCTCGCAAAATAAAACAAACGAACTCAATCAACGCCTATCAAATGGTGCTTCGGAACTATTGAAAATGCCAGTTTATAATGGATTGATATAAAGAAGGTATTAAATCTCTCACTTATATCGAACTGGAGAATATTGTATGGTGGGGTATCTTAATATGAGGAGGAAGTATCGACAATTGGCTATACTCTTAGGCCAAGTATACACACAACTTTGGGACAATGACTTGAGTTGTATAAGAACTTTATCTTATTCAATTAGATCTTCCCTGTAATTACCAGATTCGATTGCGAGTTTGTTACAAACACTATTGAGAATGTTGTAAAAAAAAGAGCTTATTTGATTAAAAACTATAGCTACAAAATCTTATTGTACCTGAGAGAAGATATCTTGTTTTATAAAAGCTTATGAAAATCACTATAAGAGCAAGAATATATTTTTGCAAAAGTAAGTCTCCATTTGCCAAAAAAAAAATGTTATTGAAGGTGTCACATAACGTTCACTAAGGAATATGAATATATAAGAAGCGACTTTTCCTTTTTGTACCAATTACTCCTTATTACTTTATCCTAACAACGAGACAGAGAGCTGTAGTTATACAATTATATTATACAGAAAAATATTTCTCTCCCCAGTTTTATAAGTGGTAGGACAAAACTTGTATCAAGTTATCCTCGAGTTAACGGTCCTTTGGTTCTAATCCGTGCACGTAAAAAACTCTGGCTTAGTGGAGTTATCTAACAAGCCTTCATCCACGGATAATGGATTCTTGTTGGACTAGAGAAGAGTTAGAGGATTGGATCTTTTTTTTTACATGCTTTTCTTAGAACCAACACCGTTTGCTGTTCACAGCTAATGTAATACTTTCTAAAGAATATGTAATGCCAACTGCTACTGTAATGAGTCGGACGAAAAATTACACAGTTGCAGGTTTAGTTTCTACACTTGGTTCATATGCATCCAGACAATGTCAATTAAATATCCTCTTTAGGAATATTGCAACTGACTCTATGATACAGATTCAGTAATACTTTGGAAAACGGGTAAAGGACTTAAGAAGAGAGCAAAGCCCACTTCTCAATCAGCCCGTAATGAGATAAGACACTCGAAATTATTCTGAAAAGGGAAGTATATTAAGGAATAATGTGCTTTTCTGAAAAACTAGATTGGCCATGGCCAAATAGCCCTGTATCCTCCTGCCCTTCTCAATCACCCACAGAATTACATATAGCAAGGAGTAACGTACATAATAAAAAGAAATATCCTCTTCCTAATCAAGTCCTACCGCATTCCTCCAGGATTACTTGATTCCTATTCAAATACACAAGTAAGCATTTCATAAAGAAAACTCTGGAGCCTCTAGTACCAAGGACAAATTTCCTAAGTCTAATGAAGTAATCGGTGTAGGATTCATAACGCATTACTTCACTCTGTACAAACCTCACCTCCCTTTTCATGTAGATCACTTTCAGCCAACCAGGATCGAGCAGACACGAAAGCTTGGACAAATTACGCAACATGCACAAACGGAAAGTCTTGAAGAACCCTTACCAAAGTATTCCAATAGTGGGGGAAGCGAGTCAAACTTAATTGAGAAGGACTTCGTACATCCTTTGTTCCTACATTTCTATGACCTTATCTCATCCTTAACATCGAGTTGGGGGAGGGGAGAAGGTGGGTCGATTGAAACACATACATCAGTCTCGTGCATTTGAGTTATTTCTTACCAGTAATGGTATTCGAGAAGACTGGACCATTTAAACTCAAGAGATTCTAGAAGGTTGTACTACTGTGAGGGATTATTTGTTACGGAATTGATTTGGGTTCTCAGATTGTTCCTTTATAGTAGTGCATCTCGGCACCGCACTAACAGTCAACATATTATATAACTACTAAAAATAATACCTATAATAGTTGTAGATATAATTTTGTGTAACATAAAGTAAATCAATCCCCCTGGCCCAGGAGGCTTTCTGTATTTCTCGATTTACTCACATCTCATCTTTGTTTTGTTTAGTTTATCCAATGCTTGAAATCATCACTAATATAAATACCTCATGTATGAAAAGCCAAATCAAAATTTCTCTTTATTAGTATTTGAAATGATGGATAATACCATCTGTGTTTTCCAAAAAACTGTGTTCTACGTTATGCTGAAGTTCGTGTCTTATGTCATTGACTAATAACTTGTAAGCGTTTAGAAGTCTCGTTAAATAATTGCATGACGTGTCAACCTGATCAGCATCTACAACAACGATGCTTTCATAAAATTATAATGTCCATCTGCTTGAATTAATTCCCTTTATTAATGGGAAACTTAAGTGGGCATTTCAGCAAAGCCAAGGATAATTTATTGTTAACGTGTTATCTTTTTGGTACAATTGAGATATTCTTAGGGTAATGTCTCTCTCGCAGAAATGTACGACATTGTCATCGGAGTTTAAATGCACATATGGAGTTAATGCAGATATGTACCACTATTACACATGTAGCCTTCGGGAATATATTCATTTCCTTTTATCCCCGATTAATATCTATAATCCGAAACTGTCTAATGACCTTTGCGAAGTGGTACGTCAATAGGTAATAAAATGGCACTGATAGTTAGCTCAATTGTGAGATTTGGAAAATAGTTTTGTTAGCATAAGATTTCCTATGTGATTACCGTGCTCCAGAAATAGTGTAGATGTCGTAGTATTACATTTAGGTCATTTTTATAAACAAAGTGAATATTTAATATAGTATGGAATTTCACTACATTTTTATTTGTATTTATCCAAATCTATCCAGTAAAAAGTCATGATGGAATGAAAGTTAAAGTTACACCGAGTTTTCCACTCGTCTAACCAACCCAGAACCAAAATTATGCAGAGTGTTGTAGAATAATCAATATCCTAAAGTTTAGTAAAGAACAAACTTGGCCGATCCTGAAGTCACGGCAACAGTACAACCATCAGCGCCACCTGAGTAAACACCATTCTCATAACTACATTGGCCGTTGACCACAGACGAATCATCGGAAGCAACAATTTTAACGTTAAAGTTCAAAGGAGATCTGTTGTTTGGGTTAGGAATTAAAGACAAATAAGTTATACCATTGGTAGAGCCAGCCCCAAAATTCAATGGAGCCCAGTTGCCGACACCTGATCCAGGAGTACCCCAGATACAACCCTGGTCTACACTAACACCAGCATTGTTTACATAGTATTGAGCAGATGTCTTTTTTCCTTGCCATTGGTAGTAAGTGTCTTGGTCAACTACAGTTAGTGGTAGAGTGGAACCGGCTTCTACAAATGTTGGGATAACCATGTTTTCAGTACCTGGATAATCTGTTCTGCAAATAGCAACACCTTGAGAAATGTGAGACTCGACATATGCAGCATTTACACCCCATTCACAGAGGTAGTTAGCAGAAGGATTGGATTTGTACAAAAAGCCATTCTTACATAACAAACCACCAACTGATCTACCATCTGCTGGCTGGTTTGATGGCCATTGAGTTTTCGACATGCCCGGCTGGCATGCGTATGAACAGTATGAGCCTTCTTGACAAGGACCTCCAGTGGAAGTATCACTGTTTTCAATACCAGACCAACCGCCTTGATTGAGCCAATCTAGAGCAATAACACCCTGGCCCGATGGGAACTGAGAACAAGGAATAGTGCCATCTTGAAATGGTTGATTAGGACCAGAGAAGGATGCCAAATCACCATAAATGCTACCAGTACCAGCGCTTGAAGATCCCGAATTTGTATTAGAACTTGAACCGGAATTGCTAGTCGCAGCATTGGATGGAGTAGATGATGGAGATGTGGGTACTTGAGCAGATTGAGGTGCTGCAGGTACTTCACTGCTGTAGGCATTAGATTGTTGGTCATTTCCAGCAGGTTGAGCAGCTGCTTGTTGATCATTAGGTTGATTTTGCTGTTGTTGCTGTTCCTGGTTTGCATTATATTGACTGGAGCTAGATGGAGGTGTCTCGGGCTGTAAAGTTGATGTTTGCCCTTGAGCATAATCGGTCGTAGTTGGCTGGACAGCCTCTTGAGCAGGGGAGCCGGCAGCAGCAACATTGCCCTGGACTTCGTCTTCTTTTAGCAAATCATTAGCAGCATTGTTTTGTTGTTCTGCATCATGAGCAACTGTGACAGTAGCATATACATATTCCACTGTGACAGCTCTCTTACGTTGATGTTGGTGGGAAACATCTTTTTTTGAATGTTCTTTATATCTATCGAACTGTGGTAGTGCCTCCACTAAGCTGGTTGCTAGCGTGAAACCTAATGCACAGGATTTAGCAGTGGGAAGTCTCATTGTCTATACTAGTTGTGTGATGTTTGAAATCTTATGCTTGATTTTCGTTCTACCACAACACAAGTAAAGAAGATATGGTATGTCTTAGGTTGTAAGACCATCTATATGTTTATATATAACCATATAAGAACAGCATATATGCGATCACCATCATATTTATTCTTGAATCATGACTGTCACAATTTCACCAACCAATTTGGATCGCGATTCGCCAATATCAAAGATCTTACAATAGACTGTATTAACTCATTAATAGGCAATATGGAATGGTGACATTATGAACATCACAATACTGTGCAGTTAAATCAAATACATTCACTAACAACTACGCGAATTGCCCTTTTAATCACCAAATGTTGCCAAATTTTATGAACATTTGGTGATTATTTCACCAAAAATCGCTTTGTGAAATTTCAACTTCGAAAAACTTGAAATTCGATGACTTTACCCTTTTGGGTATAGAGATTGGTCACGAAAAGACCATGTAGTCGATCAGCATTATTATTCAGTCTTGCTACCTGACTGAAAAGCTATTAATTGGTGAGTTGATATTGGCGTTGATGTGTGTTTTAAATCTTTTGCTGGTACAACACAAGACAGCTATTTTCCTTTGTGTAGAATGAACTTGATTCAGTGAAATATGTGTCCAGTCCGATAGCACATGGTGCCTACAAAATGTACTTGTATTTTAGTTTTTAGTTGAATATAGACTTATTTATTTACTCAGTTTTGTTATATTTCTCTTGGATGGCTACAGCCACTTTATCCAGCTTGAATTTTCTTGCAAGTCCCCATTCCAAGAGCCAATAAGGGACCAAAATGTGGACAAAGCTCATGATAGTAGCAAATCTACCTCTGTAGATGTCAACGGGGTCTCTCGAGCTCAATAAGTCTTCGACAACTTTCTTAGCGTATACATCGGCTGGCATTGGGTGATTGTCCTTTGCCATAGTTTGTCTGGTGCGGAAGGCATCAATGCCTTGAGGGAACTTGTATATGGACCCTTCTGGAAGGTCTCTCTTGTCAGCTATGTCAGTTAGCACCCCTCCAGTGATAGCATTGATAACTCTCACACCGAATGGTTTCAATTCCAAGTGTAAAGTACGGGCATACTCATGGATAGCAGCCTTGGTAGCAGCGTAGATACTTCCAAAGGGTAATGTAGAGAACCCTGCGATGGAACCCGTAAAGATCACAGTACCTTTAGCATTGATCAAGTACTGGGCCAATTCACGGGTCATATTGATGTGGCCAAAGACGTTCACTTTGAAACATTGTTCCATAACATCATTAGAGACATCCAGAGCTGGAAATGTACAACTTTGGCCTGCATTGTTGTATAAGATGTCCAATTTCTGCTCAGGCAGCTCACTGGCTAGGAACTCCTTGAATTTTAGGACTTCATCGAGTTCTGAGATATCCAGATGGTGAGGAACAATCAACTCCTTACCAAAAGAGTTAACCAGAGGCTCGATTGGTGCAGTTCTTCTAGCACAGGCAAAAACTTTGAACCCTTTACGTGCTAGCTCTTTGGTGACCTCGTAACCAATACCGGAGGACGCACCGGTGACCACAGCTACCTTTCTTCTTTGTGTTTGAGACATTGTTTTTGTGAGAACTGTCTTGTTTGATATTAGTTTTAAATCTTGCTGGCACTAAATTTACTTCTAGTGACTGAATAGACGTTTATATACAACTGTCCCTCGTTGGAGTTGTTGGAGAACTTTCCTGTCTGGCAGTACCAAGTCAGGATTTTTCAGATTTTGATTGTTAGGCTGCCGAAAAGCTACTATCCCAACCCTTTAAAAAAAAAAGAAAATAGCGATTTCAGACCCAAGTGGCCTCGATGAGGTAACAGTTCATGGGGATTAAAACCGACAAGTTAGGAGTTCTACTTCCTGAAGAGCATAAGATTATGACGAAACTCGGGGTTCTAGGTATATAGGGATTTCTTTAACTTGAACTTGTGTTTCGGGGAATTCTTTAGCTGTCTTGCTGAGATGACAGGCCTCACAATGATATAAAGAGTTGAGGTGATATCTCCTGACCTTCACCCCGCAAATTAATGTAATAATCATGATGTTATTGATAGTTTTGTTTGACGTTCTATTTGGGTATTTTTTCTCTTTGTTGAATAAAAAATAAATACCATTTATGTACAAATAATTTACTATATACGGACTATTTTATTTGGGTTGCTATCATCAGTCATCTCGGAGTCGGAATTAAGGAATAAAATTATACTGGAATAATAAAATAGAATAAACTTTGAATATGGAAACAAAAATTGTGCAAAGAAGCAGAATTTGCTTTTTTTTTCTTTTTTTGATAAATAGCATTCCTCTCGTAAATGAACCTGTTTAAAAACATTCATTTATGTTATTTCGTCCTGGAATAGGATTTCATGAAGGGTAAGTAATATACAAAATTAGAGGGAACTTGCCATCTATAAAAAATTTCAACCACTCGTTCAAGATTCGTTGAAGACATCCTTCAAGAATGCTTCTTCTTCTGCCAAGTGCAACTTCTTGTTACCGGCAGCAACAGCACCACTTGGGCTTCTACCACAGTATCTTACAACATTGTCCTTGTACTGCTCAGTTTCCTTCAAAACAGTTTGTAGTCTTGGAGCTACATAGTTCCATGAACCCATGTTCAATGGCTCTTCTTGACACCAAACAATTTCTTCCAAGTTTGGATAAGAGTTCAAAGTATCACGCAGTTGTGCGAATGGGAATGGATGTAGTTCTTCAATCTTTAAGAAAGCTGTAGTCTTGTCACCCAATTGCTCACGCTTCTTGTGCAAAGCAGTGTAGACTTGACCACTCATCAATACCAACTTCTTGGTTTCCTCTTTGGTACCGATAGCCTTGCCGTGTTCAACGTCTTCTATTATCCATTGGAAGCTACCTTCTGTGAATTCAGACAAGTTGGATCTTGCCAATGGGTGACGCAATAGTTGCTTGGAGAAGAAGAGAACCAGTGGTTTACGGAATTGACGGTGTTGTTGTCTTCTTAGAATGTGGAACAAATTGGCTGGAGTAGTTGGGTAAACAACTTGGTAGTTACAATCTTGGTGTTGTCTTTGTAGCTTTTCAGGAGATGGGAAGTATCTTGGGTCTTCATTTGCCATCTGCAAGAATCTCTCCAATCTACCAGAAGAGTGCTCTGGACCTTGACCATCGTAACCATGAGGTAATGATAGAACTAGACCAGAACGTTGCTTCCACTTTTGCTCACCACCAGCAATAAACTGATCGATTATAACTTGCGCAGTGTTGGCAAAATCACCAAATTGCGCCTCCCAAACAATCAAGTTCTCTGGAGAAGTTAAGGAGTAACCATATTCGAAACCCATAACACCATACTCAGATAAAGATGAGTTAGCAATAGTGAAGTCTGCTTGCTTATCGCTTAGGTTCTTTAACGGAGTGTATGTGGCTTCAGAGGCTTGGTCGTGCAAAACCGAGTGACGTTGAGAGAATGTACCTCTTTCGACATCTTCACCCGAAACTCTGACGTTATGGCCTTCCAACACTAAAGAACCGTAAGCCAAAGCTTCACCAGTTGCCCAGTCAATGCCTTCACCGGTTTCGACAGACTTACCTCTTTGATTCAAGATTCTCTTCAAGTTTCTGTGAACTTCAAAGTTTTCCGGCCAAGAAGAGATAGTCTTACCGATATTCTTTAATATATCTTCTGAGACCTTTGTTGGTTCATGTGGTAGAATTTCAGTTGCTAGTTCTTTTGGAGACTTGAAATCCTCCCAAGCGGCAGTTAGCCACTCTCTTGGTGTTGGAACGTAGTCCTTTGCCTTTTCAAAAGCTTCTTCAAACATTCCCCACACCCATTTTTTGTGCTCTTCTATGTCAGATTTGCTGAAAGAGCCCTCTTTCAGTAGCTTATCGGTGTAGACATCAATAACGGATGGAGTCTTAGCAATCTGCTTGTACATTAGAGGTTGAGTAAACGAAGGCTGGTCAGTTTCGTTGTGACCGTGCTTTCTCCAACCAACCACATCAATAATGGCATCAGTGTGGAATGTTTGTCTCCATTCAGCAGCTAATCCAAAAATGTAAGTCACTGCTTCGACATCATTGGCATTGACATGGAAGATAGGAGCATCGATGGCTTTTGCCAAATCTGATGGGTATGGTGTGGATCTGGAGAATCTAGGATCGGTAGTGAAACCGATTTGATTGTTGGTAATGATGTGAATGGTACCACCAGTGGAGTATTCTGGTAAGTTAACGAAACCCATTGTTTCATAAACAACACCTTGTCCAGCAAAAGCGGCATCACCATGCAGAAGAACAGCCAATGCCTTCGACTTTGTCTCTAAATCATTTTTGGCGTGTAAGATGGATCTAGTTCTACCAAGGACAACAGGGTCTTGGGCTTCCAAGTGGGATGGATTTGCAACTAAGGATAGGTTGACGTACTTACCAGAAGTTGTTGGTCTTTGGTAGTTCATACCCAAGTGGTATTTGACATCACCAGAGCCCTCGACGTCCTTCTTTGTTGTGCCTTGGAATTCTGAGAAGATGGATTCGTTTGGTTTACGGACCACATTAGATAGAACATTCAATCTACCACGGTGAGCCATACCCAAAACAACATCCTCGACACCCATCTCGACAGAACGGTCGATCAAGGTCTTAATACCTGGGACGACGGCTTCCAGACCTTCTAGACCAAATCTTTTCTCATTTGGAAATTTAGTCGATAGGAAACTCTCGAAAGAAGTAGCCCAAGTTAGTCTATCCAAGATTTGTCTTTTTTGATCAACTGTGTATTGGTAAGGGGTAGGGATTTCGATTCTTTCTCTTAGCCACTCACACTTCTCCTTGGATGGGATGTGGGTATATTCGATACCGTAAGAGGTACAGTATAGTTTTTCCATGTGCTCAATGATTTCTCTAAGTGTCATGGACTTCTTGCCGTCCCTGGCAAATCTAGGCAAAATACCTGGACCCAAGTTGATTTCTCTATCGAGATCACGCTCGGTGAATCCGTAATAATCTAGGGTCAATTCCTTAGGGATAGTAGCATTCTTGTTGCTGCCGAAGGAGATGCCCAGTGGGTCGATATGCGCTTTCAAGTGACCTCTCACCTGGTAAGCTCTACACAGCAGCTGTACTTTCAAATGCACAGAGACGTTCTCGTCGATGTTAGATCCGGATAGAGTGGATAGTGGTGCCTCGTGAGTACCTTGTGGCGAGCCCAACAGGATAGGTGGGGCCTGGAAAGCCTGGGATGCAGGTATCTTCAAGTCCTTCATGTTCTTGAAGTAAGCATTCCAGGAGGCATGAACCGAGGATGGGTCCTGCTGCCAGGCCTGGTACATTTCGTCAATATATGCTGCATTGGTAGTGTTGACAAAGTTGTCCTGGGACGCATATGTCCTCACAGCAGTGGCCCTGACAGTGTTCAAAACTGTGCGCTGCTGCAGAACCTTCCTGTTGGCCAAACGCCAAGAGGACGACCATGCTTTAGTTCTCAACATTGTGGTGTCTCGCTTTCGTTTTTCGTATTCGTGTTTGTACGGCTATAAGTAAACTTGTTTTTAGCGTTGCAAAAGGAATACTTCCAATTCTTTGAATAAATTGTAGTGTTTTCCCTATAATTTTCCGCTGGTATCCTCAGTAAGTCATAAAGAAGTTCGCTGGGGAGGTGTGACTAGTGGGCACCAAAGTACTGGCGAAAAGAGTCCGTCCAGTATTTATACCCCGGAATCCGCAAGAAGATACTAGCCCCTTCTGTCCGGTTAGGCCAGTGCCAGTCCGCATTACTGGAGCCCATTACTGGGAACCCATACCTACATTGTGATTGGACATGTCTGTGCACTGAACCCCGATGTCTCGGTGATTCCCTCATTGGCAAAAGGTCGGAATTAGCTGCTCTTAGTTGTTCAGCTCCCTTGAAAAGTCACTTCGGCCTTCTCATTGGTCAGAATCGTTTCTCACATGACAAAAAGGAAAATATTCAAGTTACCCGGCCATATTTTAATAGGTTGCAGGTATATCATAGCAGTCAATATAGTCATTGTATTTCGAGTAATAGTGGGCACCTCTGCTCTCCAGTGTGGGCACAGCTTCTACAAGAATGCCTTAAGTTCATTTACGTGATCTACTAGTACAAGAGACAAGAAATATATATATGAATAAGCTACTTGGGAAAGAGAAGAGTGAATGTGGTAAAAAAAAATTGAAATCCATTTTGCGAGCGAAACATAGGTGACTCTGTATTTGCTGAGATCCAATAATGTTTGCTCTAATGCTCACTTTTTGAGCATTCGAAGTTTGTTATCCTCTTTTTTCTCTCTCTGGCCTCTGGGTGCTAATATACATAAGCAATTATACATGATAAATGGACGATTATAAAGAATGTGATGATGGGGGGGATACTCTTGATGGCTGAGGCATGATGATAGAGAGAGAATTCATAACAAAAGGAAACAACTTCGAAAGAAAAAAAAAACTAATGTGAATAAATCATAGCCACCAAAAGGAATCTATCCCAACACATTCTTCATCCATGTGAAGAAACAAAAATTATATAATTAAACTGCAACATGACCTTGACCAATAGGTCGTGAGAAAAAAAAACTAATGTACAATCCTTAAGAAGCGAGCTCTATGTTTGAAAAGCTTACAAATCTTCTTCGATGAAACCCTTGTGGGAAACGTAGATACCATCCAAAAACTTACGGATATCCTTGTTTCTAACACGGCAGATTTGTTGGACATCAGCAGCATTTTGGGAAACGTCTTCGACAGAGTTACCGGACAAGACCAATTCATCCTTTTGAGCAGTGGAGAATTCGACATCGACACCGTCTCTAACTGGGACCAGTCTGACCTTCTTGTCACCCAAGAAGTTTCTGATTTCAATGAACTTCTTACCGTCCTTGTCAATGGTGTTAACATTGATTGGGAAATGCGCGTAGACGTATCTCAACTTGTACTTGTAACCCTTGGTGACACCGGTGATTAAGTTGTCAACCAAAGACTTAACAGTTCTCAAAGCGGCAACGTGCTTTCTGTCACCGTTGTGGACGGTAACCTTGATCAACTTCTCGCTGACCTTGGTGAAAGTAACATCAATGTGCTTCAAGGACTTGACCAAGGTACCTCTTGGGCCAGTAACCTTAACAACTCTGGACTTGATGCTGACAGTAACACCTTCTGGGACTGCGATAGATTGTTCGGTTTGAATGTACTTCATCTTTGTATATTATGGCAATTGGCTTTTGTTGACTAAGTTCCTAAAAAAAAGGTGAAGAAAGGAAAATGTTACGTAGACTGAATTAAGTAAGCCTGTTAAACATGAACTTGCAAACCTTCTTTTCACTTGTCTTTTTATACCTTTCCAGTTTGCTGAATGAAAAATTTTTCACAAAAAAATTTTTCATTGCGTGATTGTTATCACTTAGTACGTTTTTTCTCTTCGTCAGGTATGAGGACAATGAGCATCTGAGGGTTCTTTAGCTTATAGTACATCTGTAATTGTGATTTAATTAATAGTACAACATGTATTTGTGAGCGTGCAGTATACGCAAACAGTAAAGAGATTTCTATATATCATATATATTCATAACATTAGAGTCTCCAGCCCATTTTTCAATTATAGAATGTTAATTAGTTTGGTGTGCTCGAGAGGCTTTGCCCGGAGGGGTGGAACGTCTACCTTGTCCAATTTAGTGTTTGGAGAACCAGGTATTGGTGAATTCGTTTAGCTTCTCTGCGTCATTGTATACCCAGGATCCTTCCTCGTTGTAGAATCTGGCGTTATCAAACATGGTCTGAATGTCTTCCTTAACATCATCTAGAGACTTGTAGACACCTTTTCTTGCGTTCTTCTGAATAACGTCTATGGACAATGGCTTCTTAATCAGTTTGTAGTAATCTGGGTATTCCCGCTTAGATGGCAAGGTCTCAAAGATGGAGGTTAGTGGGTGCTCATCGGACTCATCTAGCTGAGAACGCATGTCGTCTACTAATGTATCCACCAGCTTCTTGGTCTCGTTAATGGGTTGTTTAGGGGTTTTTACTTTGATTTTCGCAGATACCTTCTTACTTGAAGCCTTATCGGTTTTATTTGTCTCAGTATCGTTCTCCTCCGGAATGCTTTGGTCATCATTTTGTTTTAACTTCAATTTGATCTTCAGTTTAGGCTTCTTCTTGTCTGGGCCTTCAATGATCTCAACAAGATTTTTAGGTTTCTCAGATTCAACAATCTTGATGGTTCTCTTTCTACCCTTTCTAGGAGAAGCCTTTAGTGGTTCTGACGTAGTGCCATCATGGACAGGCTCTTCAGGTAACTGTTCCGATACCTTTACATCATCAAGAGCACCTCTTCTTCTCCGACCTCTTCTACCCTTCGCTTGTGTTTGATCAGGTTGAGAGTCGTTCAGTTCAGTATCACCACCGTTTTCAACCGTTTCTGTAACTGCACCATTCTCTTCCATCTTTGGAGTTCCTTCAACTGGCTCCTCTTCAATATTTTCGCTGTCCAATTTCTTGGCTCTATTTCTCGTTCTTCTCTCACGAGCTTCACGTTTTCTCTTGATAACATCTTCTAGTGTACTATTCTCGTCCTCAACAGCTTCCAAAAATTGTTCTTCAGTTAGACCATCATCATAGAACACACGTTTGGTGTTACGCATTCTTCCTAATGCGACAGGTTCTGGTTTCAAATGTTTTTCGATATCTTCAGTGAATACAGAAGGCAGTTCATCTGTTTCGATAAGTCTGGTCTGGGGAGCATTTAAACCGAGTTCCTTGGCGTGCTTCTTCTCCATCTCAATTCTCTCTTTATCCATTTTATCAAATAAAATCTTCTCGTCGTCAGAACGGGCTAGAATATCATTCAGTTCGTCATCGTCAAGTTCAGCCTTATCATCATCATCTCTATTGGATTCGTTTTCAAGTAATCTTCTCAAGAACTCTTCTTGCTCCTCAGCAGTAGATTTGTTATCAAATTTACCAGCTTGGATAACTTTACCGTCAATATCTAGCTTCTGCATTGCCCTTTCCAATATGACTTCTTCAACGGAATCAGTTGTGATCAATCTTAAAATACGCACTTCATTCTTTTGACCAATTCTGTGCGCTCTATCTTGAGCTTGTAAATCTTGATGAGGATTCCAGTCTGTGTCAAAAATAATGACCGTATCAGCAGATTGTAAGTTCAAACCTAAACCACCAGCTCTTGTCGATAATAGGAAACAGAAATATTCTGAGTTTTCGACGTTAAATTCTTTTAACATATCATTTCTATCTTCTGCTTTCGTACTACCATCAAGACGCATATACTTTAGGTCTCTCATTCTTAAAAAGTCCTCCATAATATCCATAACTTGTGTCATTTGGAAAAATATTAAGACTCTGTGACCAGTCGCTTTGAATTTGGGTAAAATACGATCTAATAGTTCGAATTTACCAGCTACCCTATATAGCAAATCACTATTGCCCCTAGAAGGATTTACGACAGCTTCCACCTCATCAAATACAAAAGGATGATTACAGATTTTTCTCAATTGCATAATCTTGTTATTCAAACCTTTAATACCACCCTTTGTGGCACCTTCAGTACCTGCACCAACAAACAGAGCATTGTGTTTCAACATTTGTTGATATAGCTGCTGTTGCAGCCCAGATAGTTTACATTTAACGACCTTCTCAACCTTGTCAGGTAGATCCTTCTCAACTTCTTTCTTCAAACGACGCAGTAAGAATGGTCTTAAAACCTTATGTAGTCTTCTGATAACTAAAAGGGTTTCTTCTTCGGTTAATTCAAGTTTCTCTTGTGTACCGGTGTTTGCGAAAGGAGTGTTAAACCAATCTTCAAATGTTTTAGCTGAATTGAAAATTTTTGGTAGTACAAAGTTTAGCAAAGCCCATAGTTCCGGAAGATTGTTCTGCAGAGGGGTACCAGTTAGGATTAATCTATTCCTTGTTCTATAATATTTTGTAATTGTAAATGATAACTTAGAATTTGCGTTCTTCATTCTGTGACCTTCATCAATAATCATATGCGACCATTCGTGCTTAGATAATAATGCCTTGTCTTTGATGATGTATTCATATGTCGTTAAGAGCACGTCAAAATTACCTGATCTAATCTTATGTTGAAGCGCATGTCTTTGATTCGGAGTACCTTTGTAAATAATTGTTGTAAGAGATGGAGCCCATTTCTCAAATTCCAGTGTCCAGTTAGTAATTGTTGATAGAGGAACAATAACCAAATAAGGGCCAGGTTCCTGCTTAACCTCGTATAGATATGTAATTAGGGAAATGGATTGGATTGTTTTACCTAGACCCATTTCGTCCGCTAAAATGCCATTCAGATGATTGTTATATAAAGATACCATCCATTCTAAACCTCTTAATTGATATTCTTTTAAGGTACCACCAACTAGAATAGAAGGTTGTTTTTCAATTTTCTCTTTAATTCTATGTGCCACCTCGTAATAATCAATCTTCTCTCTGTCTTCGTCATTGATCGGAGTGATTTCTTCACCTTTTAAAATTTTAGTTTCATTTTGTTGAACTCTAACGGCTTGAGCAAGAGAATCCAAGAAAGAGTTAGTTTGTCTCAACAATTGCGTAATTCTAGTATCTTTTGTCTGATCAAGCAATCTCAAATATGCTTCCTCATCATTCGATTTCAATGCTTGCAGACGTTGTTTGGCAGTTCTTTCAATCCTCTTTTGTTCATCCCTTTCTATTTGCCCATGTAGGGACATGCAGATTCTTCCGAATTGGGCACATCTATCGCTTCTTGACCATTCATTTTCCTGTCTCTCTCTAATTAATGATAAAGTAGTGTTGACTTTTTGTAAATGCAAGTTACGCTCCTTTTTACGCTTGTCCAAAAGGTGTTGTCTCTCTAGTTCTTCAGCGATCCTAGCTGTCTGTGGAACAATGACTTTACTTCTCACCTGAACAGACCTTTGTGCTGCCATTGTAAAAGGTGAGTCACGTAGAAATGGTATGGAATGGTGCGCTTGGCTGGCAACGGTGTTAATCAATTTTTGTCTAATTGACTTCTGTTTTGTTAGAAGTTTCAATGATTTCAACTCTATAATAGCTTTTAGCTTATGCTCATCAATCTTAGATGGTGCATCATTCTTTGAGATAAAGTCTAGACAGTCGTTTAAAGAGTACGTAGCCAAGTTACCTGGTAATCTCTCTAACTCAAAAATCCTTTTAGCAATCCTCGTCGATATAATTTCTTCGGTTTCTCTATTTCCTAGTTGGTTTTTTAAAGTTACAAGCGTGAAACTATCTTTCATACCTAATAATTCAGCGTTTTCATCCAAATTATATGCCAGCTTTATCTGTTTAATAAGGTTTGTGTCAGTGGGATGATTAGCTGAAACTGTCTCCTCATCTTTGAGGAGATCCTCTGGCAATTGTAGATCTCTCTCCAGTAATTGCAATGCTAGAACTTGCTTTCTCAACTTTTCACTATCATATTTACTTAGTGAGTCGCGTAAATCTTGTAGTTCTTTTAACCTGGCGTTAAATTCGTCCTGTTCTTGTGTAATTTGGGCAAAGACATCCTCTATAGCATCTATCTCGACCTTGTTGCTATCGGGACGCGTGATAATGGCTCTATACCTGAATATCAGCTGCTCCAATTCCTCGGATGACCGTGGTTTGGGTATACGCAATTTCAATTCCTCACTCGGGACCAGATCCTCTTCCTTTGGCACAACGCTGTCCACAGCCATTGGCATACTCAGTGTCTCAGACATGTTATAAATCGCTAGTGAACCTAATAAACTAGTCTGTTTAGTCCGTTAGTTATCAAAGTAGACTGAAGGTCAACAAAAAAAGTGCGCTTGATAGTGACGTGGTCCTATCCTCAATTATGCATACACTGTCAATACTTTTGGCAACTGAAAACACTCCAATACAGTATAGAAAATTAACCGCTCAGCTAGCCAAGTTTCTTCCTCTTCCAGTCGTGACACCAGAAGTAATAGTTTGGCAGTTTCTTTGTTTTTCCAAAATTCTTAATTTTCTGAACTTCCATCAAGGTCGTTCGTTGTACATGATGGTGTCTGGTGAAAGAAAAAATTTGGCCTTCTGCGAGACTGGGCGTATGCGATTCAATGCTCGATGAGCTGTTGCGATGAGCTGTTGCTAAATGGGTTATTAATTCCTTGGTAGTCATCTATATTTTCTGATCAGTATATTTAGTCTTGTAGAGGTCCGATTTACGGTAATATTGATACTTGTAACAGGGTGTTTTGCTATCGAGGTAAAGTAGGCTATAAAGCGGGAATCAGTACAAACTTATCGAAAAGTTCATTTCATACAGGATGGTTTCAAAGAACTCTAAAATGCAAGCCACGCTGGCTGTGAACAGTGTGTTGGCGTCTTTACTGCCCGGTGCTGCGGCTATTACTGGGTCTAATAAGAAAGTGAGCAAGCCCAGAGTCGCCAAGGCCCAGCTTATAGACATGAATCTGAAAAAACGGTTGGAGTTACAAGAGAAGGATGTGTACCTTGAGAAGAGGAAAGAGAAAAGAGCGCGTAAGTCTACTCTACGGAAGAGACGGGAAGAGGAGTTTGAAATGGAGCAAAAGGCGAAATTACAGATATTAAACAAGCATAGAGAACAGGGAACTTTAACTCAGAAGGAGAAAGCATATCTGGATGAACTAGCTAAGAGAAATACCAAAAAGCTGAAATCCTGGGACTTGGAAGACGATGTTAAGGAAGATTTCTTAGAGATACAAGCACAAATTTTGAACGATACCAAAGAATCCAGCAAAAGAAGGTCTAGCAAGAAGAAGAACAAAAATAAAGGTTTCAAACAAACCTTATCGTCTAGCTCGAAAGTACAGGATCATAGATATCCAGGTCTTACTCCAGGTCTTGCTCCTGTTGGTTTGAGTGATGAAGAAGAATCCAGTGATGACGAGTAGAGAAATATCTCTTAGAAATGATAAAAAAAAAGTATCCTTTAGTTTACATACTGCATTATTTATATACAATAAATTATCTTAGCATTGTTAATAACAGAAATTTGACTCTTCTGAACTTCATCTCAATTTCTGATTGTATCAATATGTTGATTTCTGTTGAATTATATTTAACCTAAACATAAAACAACCGTGACACCAATAGATGTCTTCTTGGCAAACCTAATTAATAAAAACTGTTGAGGTATAAATCAATACAATATCTTAAAAATACACTGCATAACTAAATTATTCAAAAGGTACTTGGCCTAACTCAAAATATGCTTGTCTAGTATCTATACACTGCTTACGCACTACACGTTTTTTATCAGAAAGTGGTTCCAACAGCCCATTTATGATATCTTGCTTGTAATTCAGGCAGTAATTTATTGGTAGATGTTCTGTCAGTAATTGTAACAATTGTAATGCTGAAAGCCTGATCATGACTGTGTTATATTCATCGACCTTCACTAGGCTTAATAAAGATGGAACAAGACTCTGAATATGTTCCGCAACTAACTGATGATGTTGTTCAGTACTGTCCTTCAATGTTTCTAGAGCAGACAATCTCACCTCCGAGTTTGGCATGTCTAATGCTTGTAAAAGCATTGGCAGAAGGTCTTTCATAAAAGGGCTCACTAATTCGGATGGTGTATGCTTCAAAATCAGAGACAGCGCAGTTAAGTAGTTACATTTAATATCCATATTGTTTGAGGTTTGATATAGAGACACTAACTTCAAAAATATACCACTAAATGTTCTTTGCTTGTACAACAATTTGATGTTATTATTCCAGGCAATACCCTTATATTTCTTAAATGACGTAAAATCAATTACGAAGACCTCAAACAACTTCGAGACCTTTGTACCAATGACATGATCACTTAGCATGGCAATAAAATTTTGTAATATATCGTCAGAGTACTTTGAGTTTTTTGCAATCAGACCCTTTGATAACCAGATCATCACCTCCAAGTTACAATAGCTTCTGTCTTCCCAGTTCAAAATCGACAGAATATAATCATCGTCTAACCATTTATTACTGAGTGCTAATAATATTTCAAAGTATCCAAGCTTTTCAAACTCAGTCATGGTGGAATCAAAACCACTCAGTAAACTTTTTACTTCAGATAATATTTGATCAGCTTGAGGGAACTGAATTTCCTTGGTTAGTGCTTGAATAATTTTTGAATATGTCATAGACAACCTGTTAGGCTGTTTAGTGATTGAATGCTGCTCTATAAAATACTGGCTAGCCTTCTCAACTTCAGTTGCAGCACCAGTTGTCCCATTACAGAGATGCATAAAATAGAAAATATTTGATATCAAGGACAGATTCAAGTCATCATCCTTTACATTAACACCGTCAGCTAACACTGCGTACAAATCATTTTCTATTTCATGTTTTAGAAGTGCACCATCGCCTTCCTTAAGTAAAAAATAGTTGTTGTCATATAGTGAATAAATGGTAGAGAGAATCAGGAAACAGTAATCAGAAGATCTTCTTGCTATACTAGCAGATGTTTTACACAGCTTTTTTGTCAAAGACAAAATACTCTCCTTCACTAGTATATGTCTAGAGGTAGTAAAATCAAGTATAATTTTCAATAATGTTTCTGCCAAAATCAATGTTTCATCATGGGCAATAGAAGCTTCATCTAAAGCCTCCGGCAATAAATTTAACATCCTTGTCAAAGCAACTTCATAAACAATATCCTCATAAAGTTCGCTTATCGACTTTAAACCTTCTAAGCATGCATAATAAATGTTCTTATTCGAGTCAGTCAATATAGTGTCTGTTATATACTGCACAATTAAGGATATCTCCTCCCTCTTCAAAAAACCTTTCATTTTAGCCATTTGTGTAAATTTAATTACAGACAGAGTTCTAACAGTCACCTCCAATTTTGAACTACTGGTCAATGCCATACCTATTATCATGAGTAGCTCATCTTTGTATTCTTGCATTTTATTTTGACATATTTCAGAATTCAAAGATTCTTTCGAGAGAACACCATAAACTTCCATATATGCATTGAAGAAAAAGGATAAATTCATTAAAAGATATTTCAGTTTTGTTGTTTCAGAAGAGCTTTCAACAAATAATGGGAATGATCCAGCAATAGCATAGTTAAAATTGTACTCATTACCGCTTGCGATCGAAGCCAGGATATTACAACTTTGTTTCAAGTCCTTTTGATACTTGAAATTATTTTTCAATTCATCCAAAATATGGTCAAAGTATTTTTGGAAGGCCTTTTGATCAAACTGTTCTAGAACTACACCTAAAGCTTTTAAAACATCCAACGCAGCTCTATAATTTGATTTTATTTCACCTTTGATTGATAAATTAGAGACTGGATCCAACATTGTATCATCACCATCATCATTGTTTTGCATAATCTCAAACTTTAAGCCGTTCCATAGGGGCAACCAATGCTTCAAGCAATTCTCACCACCATAACTTTCAATGCAAGCCGCCATTGTCAACAATGTATCATTTTTAACAGCTGGTGAAGTAGCGGTAAGCTTGTCTATCAAATTGCCAAACGCATCCTCAGCAAACAAAGGTGTGGCTGAGATTGCTGATCTTAAGGCAGTCTTCAAGTCTGCATTAGTAATTTTATATGGATCATTTTTTGGTGGTTTAAAAGTTATTGGGAAATAACAAAACAGAACATCAAATAGTTGTTCGCCATATTTCACTGTGTATTGGCTTAGGTGCTTTGTTATAGTTTCATTCAATTTGAACGAAGAGAGCAAATTCCTTGGGTCCTTTTCACCTGTTGCCACATGAATATAAGTTGCAATAAAAAGGTGTGCTAAAGATTCGTTTTCCTTCAATTGATCCTCAAACCTTCCATAAAGTGTTACCAAAATATTGAATGCAACATATCTCACAGCTGCAAGAAAATTGGTGGGAACGTATTTATCTTGCAAGGTCTGCAAAGTTTCTTTTGCCTGCTGAACAACAAAGAAGTTGAATGAGGATAACAGCTCTAAAGCAGTAAGAACCTCTCTCATTAACTCGGTATCATCGATTTTAGACTGAAAGAATTGGAACAAAACTGCAATTTCATTCTTAGACAGACCATCCTTCGGTAAATGAGCGATAATACCGTTTAAACATTGCAAAGATTTCTTCCTCTCACCGCCATCTTCAGATACAATATAATCCTTCAAACTGACAATGATGTCCAATAGTCTCAAAGTCTTGTTCTTCACTTTCTCCGACAGCTGAACTGCACTTGCCTGTGCCCTTTCATCGTTGACACCAGCATTTGCCATGAATGTCAGGAGATCAGTATCCATTGTGCTTATTGATCTTGGTGTGATTTCAAGAGCTATAGCTTCCAAAAGAGTATACAAATAGACTAAAGCAAACTAGCGACCATTTCAAGTCCTATTTGTATGAGTTAAGATGTAACTACCCACAATTAATCAATTAGTAATCACCAGCTGTTCGGACTCATCTCATCGCTCTTTTTTTTTGCAGAGAGAAGAAAGAGAGACATGAACAGCCAAAAAACTATGTAAGTTACACCAAAGAAGGCAAACAAACAGCTGATCAACAACTGCTTGTGTGTATACATTTAAAACATATGCAAAAACACATGAAAGAGCTAGTTTATATATGGCTTCCAGATTGCTGCCTATTAAAACTAGCATGCCAAGAATAAGTAACTCTCACCTATTTGGAGATAGCCTAAAAGCGTAGTAATGTTGCCAGATCTTGAAGAAAGCCCTCAGGAAAATGAACAGTAACTCTTGATACAAGTAGCAATATGCTTTATGATCTTATTGGACCAGCATTTCAATCTCACATTGTACCAAATTAGTCTCATTACTTCTCTCTGTAATATATTTGCCCACGATATCTCACACGACCAGGCTGATCCGAGCCAAAATCTGCGGGCCGCAATGGATCAAGTCAAAGTTGACAGTGATAACTGGGGATATTTGATCTCATCGCTACTGGATAAGCTACGATTGCATTTGGTAGACTAGGATCTCGATCTATAAGTACGTCCTGACTGCTGACTATTGCCCTGGAGGAGATAGTGCTATCTTTACATTAGGATTAACAATTTAGTAGGGAAATTGTACCTGGTAGGTATCAACAACTGACAAAACTCTACACTAGGGTGCATATTTCTGTTATTTCTGCTATTACAACTGTTGAGTAATAAACAAGATTTGATTTGACAACCTGACATAGCTACTAATATTGTTTTAATCGACGTTGTACAAAGAAAAAAAACAGCATTCAACACAATACAACTAATTGGATTACTCTATTCTCCTAAAGAACGGTTATCATATTTGGATAAAGATACAGATACAGATACAGACACGGATAAACGACATATACACAGTATAAAAAAAAACAATGAATACTGCATTTACTTTTCCGCCACAGAATAGTGAAATACAAGAATCAGATGATACCGGTTACATGGAGCAAACTATAATACCGAGTAGTAACCAAGTACAGACAAATACACCTATCATGGATGCTACCACTGATAATAGCATAGGAAATTTACAGGAAGACTACACTGAAGATTCTCAAGTGCCATTAGATGACGATCCAATGACATTACAACAGAAGTTACTGAATATGCAAGAGGCATTACCAACTACAATGAACCCACTACATATAAACACGGGCACTGCTAATAATATAACAGCTACACAAGAAATACCCGTAATTGCTATACCTTCGCCGTCTGAGATTCCCGCCAACAGTCTTCGAAACCAGCTAAGACAATCTAGTTTAAAAAATGAAATTTTTAGTAATAGAAGTGAGGCTCCTAAAATAGGCGAGACGAATATTAGACAAGTTGCATCACTTAAATCTAAAACTGGGAACGCCAAAGAAGCGTCTGTCAATATTGATACTAGTGAACCTATCTCTCTAAGTCCAACAGATTCCAATGCTAGAGCGAAAAGCGACATGTACGTTGCTACACTAAGGCAGCAAATGGCCACTGATTGGAAAAGTCCTTCCGAATACGCTTTACATATTCTATTCACAAAATTCATTAGGCATGCCGAGCAAAAACTGGATTTGTGCTTACAGCAGCCTCTTGTCATTGAGCCGCCAATAGTAGAGATATTAGGTGAAGGTATCGATCCAACTTTTGATAAAGTTATAGAATCATTAGGTCATGTAGCCAAAAACAAACCGAAACCAGTAATTGACGCAATGATGTTTTGGAGAAAGACCAAGTCAGAGGCTGCAATAAACGCAAACCACGACCTCGAAAGGCTACTGAAGGACTATGAAGTTGAACAAAACAAATTATCAAGGAATCAACCCCTTAGAAGTACAAGTCAGAGAAAAGGGACGGATTTACTTAAGAGAAAGAACACAAATTCAACAAATGTCAGTACAGGAAGTAGTTTTAATTTTAGTCACAAAAGAAACAAATCATCAAAGTCTTCGCTAGGTAGTAAACTCACTGAGAGTTCACATTTACAGAATATTGAAATAGCAATAGAAAGCTCCAGGGATTCTGTCCTTCAAGCAGAAAGGAAATCTTTGGCAAGCATCTACATTCTCTGCCGAGTACTGATAGAAATCGTGAAACAATCTTCTGAAGAAGATAAATACCTAAACGATTTGGAAGATATTGTCTTCACACAACTGAAAACAACAGACCCATTATCGATCTCTACAAGCATTATGAAGTCATCCAATTGGAATTCTTTCGCAGAACTTTTAGGATACATGTCAGAAAAGCGATTTATATCAGTGAGTGACAAATTTATAGCAGATTTGGAAAAACTTCCACCCCAAATACCACCTGAAATGGAGCCAAGTATTCATCTCTTAATTTTGGGTATGAGGTATGTAAGGCTGAAAAATTACCCACTAGAAAGATTTGAAGAAAGTGCCGACTTCATGAAAAGTTTATCAAAGTTCTATTCGAAGAGCAGCAATATATCAATATCGCTAGCCTACACAGAGGTAATCAATCAATTATTATTACCATTGGCTGGTCATATAACAGCTGAAGTAAACCACCCTGTATGGGTAGAAGCCATGTCGTCGCTTCTTGAGACGGCAAGTAAGTTACAAAATGATAACAAATATTGGGCTAACGGTTTCAAATTGACGGTATCAATATTATGTGTGTCACCCCCTGAATTATTTAGCAATCGCTGGGTAACATTGATGGAAGCCAACGCAAGCAAAATTAGAACTAAGATTTTTTCTGAGAAAGTGATTTTTGCAGTAGCTCTCTCTCGTTTAGTTTGGGTTTACCTATATAGATGCCCTGAAACGCTTAATAATACGATGAGAACACTTGAGAAGTTACTTCGAATGTACTTGAACACCAAAAAGAAAGAAAATTGGCTGACACCTGATTTTGAGCTACTTAATCCTTTAGCTGATGCTTTAGTTTCTGTTGGTTACGCCCATCCAAATTTTATAATGGAACATGCAGTTTTGTCACTATTTCGGCAATCATTTAATGGACTCACATTGGATGATGTGAACTTTGAAAAACTGATGCTAGCTCTGAACACATACAGAGGCATACTAGCAACCAATACAAGACCTGGCTTTCCTGAAAATGATTGCCGTACTTACGCCACAAACCTTGATAATATCCAGTTTGATGTAACTAAAGAAAGTTTATCCCAGAATCACAAAGAAGTTTGCTCCTATATTCACAAATTGTTTACACTACTCGATGCTCGTATTGGATCCGAGGTTTGGTCTCCTGAAAATCAACATACAAAGTCTTCATCATCTTTTGGTCCTTTTACATTTAATTTTTCCAACGATAACTACGCAATCAATACTAAGAATACGGAAGTGTGCTTATTTGCTACTGTGATAGAGGTAATTCCTGGATGCCTTTCTGTTTCTAGTGAAATACCGTACAGATCTACTATTGAAATTCTATCCAGAAATGCCGTTCATGCCAACTCCACAATATCTGATAGCTGTAGAAGAGCATTCCGGGCCCTTGCATCGAAAAGGTCGCCATACACACTTATTACTTGGTTTGCTAAGTATTCGTTTGACTTTGATGAGAGAATGCAGTCTAATTATAATATGTCTTACCTAGTCTCAATGGAATACTATAAATTGCTTGAACTATATGTCGAACTTTTGGAATGCTGGCTGCAAGCCTTTCAATCATCCAACAAAGAGAAAGATAAAAAAGGAATTGGTCTCGATGGTATAAGATTAATGGCGGAGGATGAAGGGATCGCCGGAGATTATGATTCTGTCTATGAGGAGAAGAAAAAATTGGAATGGAAAAATACCATAACGGTAATTGAAGAAGTTGAAGGTAATGGGCTATTTTTCCTATGCTCTTTTGAGGCTCATGTGAGAGCACTTGGTGTTAAAATCCTCAAAATTATATCTAAATTTGATGAAGCCATGATTGCCAAAACCGTAAAACTTTCTTCTAACAGCCATGTCAGGACTGTATCCAATCACTTTGCTGCTGATAGTGGAACAAGACTAATCGATATACTTAACAACTGTAATGCAACAACGATATTAAACGCAAACTCTTCATCACTCAGTGCTGTAGAAAAAACTCGTTTTGCAAAACTAACATTGAAACATAAGAAAGGCGTTTTGATACGTTTGGCGGAGTCTGATTATGGGGTTGATGCTGCATTATGGCAAAGGGCTTTTCCACCTTTATTGTCTCATATATTTAAACAATGCCCAGTGACAATGGCGTTGTGCCGTTCAATTGTTTGTATTCGTTTAGTTCAACTTCATGAATTAATACTAAAAGTTGCCAATAACCCTGACTACAGACCGGAAGGTGTATTATCGGAAACTGTCATTAACCAGTGGAGGTTGTATTTGATTGCTGCCTGTACTTCTTTAACATCAACATCAGATCAAAAGCTACATATACCTGTCCCAAACTCTGTTCAACACGGTCGGAAGAAAAGTCAACAAATTTTTACTGTTCAACATCAAAAAATCAAATCTGTCAAATCAATCTTTAAGATGGTTTTACCTCTTTTGAATGCCCAACACGCGATGGTTAGGGACGCTATTATCGTAGGGTTAAGTTCGATGAATATTAATATTTATAGAACTTACATTGAGAGTATTGACGAGTTCCTGACTAATTGGAAAGAGCAGAGCTCAAAGAACGCTATCAGAATAGAAATGTTTCATATCCTTACTATCCTTTCTCAATTCATGTATGATCCTATTATCTTGGATGATAGATGGATACTGGAACGGATTGCAGAATATTTGAGACAAGCCAAGAAGTTTTTGGAAATGGATTCGGTCCAAAATTCATTTGCTTTTCAATCCTTGAGAAGTCACTTTGCTACATTACTCCTAAACTTTTATAAGGCTGCGCATAGACTTTCATACTTCGATAAATTATTTCCATTCCAAGGTCGGACATCGAGTTTTAATTATCTAAAGGAATGGTGCGGATATGGAGAATTTTCTTACATAGCGGAAGAAAGGTATAACTTAATGGTAAAAAAGGCTGATAATACAAGGGATAAAACTGCAATCTTGACAGGTATCGAATTCCAAAGAAAAAAACTGGAAAAAACTGTCCTAGAGGCCATGGTTGCACTATGCGAAGATCCCATCGTTAAATGTATTGACGACGTTCCTGGGTTACCTGTTGTTATTTCTTTTGATACTGTTGGGCTTCTTTCTTGGATTGGATCATTATTCAATTCCGGGAATGACACTATTAGAGGCCTCGGTGTAGAAGCTTTGGAAAATCTTCTAGAAAATAACCAAGATAACGCAAAGCTTTTTAAGGAAGTCGCTAATCAATGTGTCTCATATCACAATGATCCATCTGTGTCATTTCTTTATTACACAACTCTTTGCAAAGCTGTTCTAAAACTTGAAAACTTGATTCTGGAAGAAGATGAGTTAGTCTCTCTAGGCTTATATGGTTTAGTTTCTGACAATGAAATGATTAGAACATATGCAGCTGATCTTTTGTCAGTTGTGGAAACAAAACTTCATAATTCTAGCTATATTAAAGTATTTGAGGAACGGTTATCAAATTCCTCTAAAACAGTTTTCAAGTCAACCGCCCAGGAAATATCAAGCATCTTTGCTGACTTATTATCTCAAGAGTTATGTCTTAGAATATTTTCGACTCTAGTAAGGATATTAGAATTATTCCAATTTGAGATCAAAAGAGATATACTAGTGCTTATGGTGCCATGGGTAAATAAATTCACTTTGAAATCACTAGATGAAATTGATACTTACATGGTTCTAAATAACTTATTCTACATCACCGTTGACCTTAATGATACCTTTCCAAAGGAAGTAGAACAGTTGTGGATTTCTCTTGGTAAAGGAAATGCTTTTCAGAATACTCATGTTGCACTTGAGTATATAATGACATGCTCGATTAGTTACTGCAATCCCATCTTTGTTGAATATGCTAGTGATGTTGTTCTATATCTAGCGAATGTTCCTGGTGGATTGGGTTTGGTTGACTCCTTATTACAAAACTTAAAGCCAAAATTAATTGTGCCTACGCATTCTGAACTTCCAACTTTACCGTCGAATAATAACAAATATGTTTTTGTCGGAGACGTGGTTTCAAGATTGAACTACCACGGCAAGAGTGTGATATTCTCAAAAACTCAGATAACAATTGTTTTCCTCGTGAATTTACTGAATAGTCCGTTGGATGCTTTGAAAGATGAACTACCGTCCTTATTACACATTTCAGTTTGCCTATTAGACCATTATATCCCAGTTGTAAAGAAGAGTGCTTCACGACTACTTTGCAACTTAATTTTCTTATTTTCACCAACTCACGAGAAGACCGATTTAACTGTTGAAATTTTAAGAAGTGATGACCAACTGTGGTCGTACGACCATCTTGTTAGAGATAAAAAAGGAGCAAGGTCGCCTAAAATGATGGATCAATTAATAAAAAATCTACTTGACATATTCTCAAGTATAGAATCAGTACAGGAAAACTGGCAAAAGGTATCCTTGAAATGGGCTACAGCTTGTTCCGTTAGACACATTGCCTGTAGATCTTTTCAAATGTTTAGGTCATTACTATCATCTTTAGACCAGGAAATGTTTAGAGATATCTTACACAGATTATCCAACACTGTGTCTGATAGTAATACTGATATACAGGGTTTTGCTATGCAAATATTAATGACTCTAAATGCCATCACAGCAGAATTGGATCCTACTGAATTAATAGGTTTTCCTCAACTATTCTGGTCAATAACCGCCTGCTTGAGCAGTATACATGAGCAAGAATTCGTTGAAGTTCTTTCATGTTTTTCTAAATTTCTTTCAAAAATAGATCTGGACTCACCGGACACAGTCCAATGCTTAGTTGCTACTTTTCCTTCCAATTGGGAAGGTAAATTTGATGGGCTGCAACAAATTATTATGAATGGATTAAGATCATCGACGTCTTTAGAGATAACGTGGAAATTTCTTGATAAGTTAAACTTACTTAAAGATAGTAGAATAATTGCTAATACGGACACAAGGTTATTATTTGCTCTAATAGCCAATTTCCCTCGCTTTTTACAGGCCATGGATACTAAACAATATGACCAAATTGAAAGTGCTGCCTCGTCACTTATAGTTCTTTCTGAAGCATACGAGCAACCATCGTTATCAAGACTAATAAACTCACTTATCAAAGATAAATTTAGATCAAAAAGAGATTTTATGAGTCAGGTTGTTAGCTTCATCTCTAGGAACTTTTTCCCTGACTATTCTGCTCCAACCTTGGTATTTTTATTGGGATTACTACTGAACAAAGTTAGCTGGGTGAAAGTTCAAACATTGGAAATTTTGAAGTACGTTTTCCCATTGTTAGATATGAGTAGACCCGAATTTTTAGGTGTTGGGGCTGATTTAATATCTCCACTACTTCGCTTACTTTTGACGGAATATGAAGCCAAGGCACTAGAAGTTCTGGATTGCGTTCCAAATGTCCTTGGAAGTAAAATGGATAAAGATGTTTTGAGGACAACCATGGGGAATAAAAACTCAAAAAATAGTACTAACTTAACCACTACTTTATTTGGCATTCCTGAAGAGAGTGGATGGTCGATACCTATGCCCAGCATTACCGCCGCTACTACCAGACACAATGTTCATGCAGTATACATGTCTTGTTTGCCAGAAAGTATGGGGGATACTGATGCGCATGAAATTGATAATGATATTGATGTAATTACTGAATTCCATGTGGATGCAGAGTATGGTTTAGGTAGGATGGAAACAAATGATTCTATATCAGTTGTCGAAGAGAAAGATCCATCTTTGAGTCATATGTGGATGCAATTGGACAATTTGGACAATTTCTTTGCTCAAGATAATGTTGCGTCTACTACTAATGATTTATCTGTTTGGAGATAATACTATAGTACTTTCATTTATCATTATTAAACTCATTAAATTACAAATATGCATTATTCATTATATATAACATGATTATCAATTAATATTATTATTCATTACTGAATAAGTGGCAATAATTATTAAAGCCTTCATCTTTATTAGGCGTTATTAGTAGGTAAATATTTCCCAAATAAATGCGCATCTAGTTGATCGAAAACACCATGTATTCCTTCACCAGGTTCACTTTTAACTCTCACTCCTTCATTTTCTGGCAACCTTTCCTCAGTATAAATCGAGTTTTGATTTAAAGACTTAGGATTTGTTAGATTATCCTCCAACACATCAAGCTCATTCTTCATGCGTTTATCAGGTTCTAAATTAAAGAAACTGGCAAGATCGTTAAAATTGTTGTTTTCGTAAGATATATTATTATCCATTCCTAAAGCATTGGGGTTAATCATGTCACCTTCATTTGGTGCGAAGGTCGACTTTTGAATATGATTGTGCATAGAGGTTTCCAATGGTCCATTCGTCGACTTATCTTGAAACTGGGGAAACATATCAGTTGGATTTTGACTCGATAAGTAAGAATTAAATGTCTCCTCTACTGATTTCGCATTCGCCATGCTACTATCAACCAAATTGGTAGATCGTTTCTCAGGTGAAGAATATAAACTAGTCATGATTATTGTTTTGGAGTTCAGCTTTTCAAAAAGCTTGTTTAACAAATGATATGTTCTTTCAGCTGCCATACTAGAATCTTTCAGTTTTATAAGAACTTCACGCCCTACGTTAGCGTCTTTCAGAATCTCATAGTATTCATCGGTATTATTTGTATTGGGCTTCTCTGCTTCATGGATGTAGAAAAGAAGGCCGGCAACAGAATAAAATATGGTATAACATGCGTACCAATATGAACCTGTCAACAAATTATTTTTGAGCATATCTTGAGCCAAATGAACAACTGTTCGCGAGACCTTGATGGAATTATTAGCCCTTAAATATGATAGTTCATCTTCCTCTGTCTTTATGACATTTTTGGATATATAGTGAATGAAAGGTCTATAAAGAATCAACTGTACATGTAAGAATGCTAAATGTAACAGTTTATTAGCTCTTTCATATTGAGGATGTATATCATGGGCATTAGGAACCAATTCCCTAGGCAATTCTTCCAGCCACATCTTTAATTTTAACTCTAGATCTGTAACTGTTTTATGAGAAATAAAGATGTTAATTTTTTTTATAGGGTATAGGTGCTTTAAAATATCTCCAAGAATCATAAACAGCTTGGTATGCTCATTGGCAATCCCGGTACTAGATAGGGAATATGGATTCTGATCATAATTAATACCCTGTTCTGTTAAAGCTTCATCTGGGAGATCAAGAGGCAATTCCTGATCAAAATCTTCTCTGTCCAAAGAGCCTGGTAGTCCTAACATAGCATTCACATAAACATCAAGCTTATAAATAGTGTAGAAAAGTCTCTTTCTCATTTCAATTTCCAAAGGAGTGTGAATGCTGTTATCTGGCAAGTTCCTATGAAAACCCTCTCTTAATACACTTCTCATAGCCAGACCAATATAGGTATAACATGTTGACAATCTCGCCGAACATTGCAAAAATATAAACATCATCAGAATAGTTTGCATTGAATTTAAATCCCGAGCATTTGTTATATCCAAAAGCTTTCTTGCTGCAATAAAATATTTATAACCTTCATCCTGCAAAAATTTGTTGTTAGAAAGAATTTCATCGGTATGGTCATGGTTTAAGTCATCATGAATAATAGACTTCGAAAAAAGGGCTCCCACTGCCATTGTTGAGTAACACAAAGGAAGAAATCTCATTTGCTCATGGGAATAATTATGTGGGTCTGTTTCATAGAGCTCATCCATTTGTTTTATAAATGTTGGTCTGTGATAAAACCTCAATAGGACACAACAATGCTCCCATGTATTCTTAACAAATTCCAGAGCAATGGGCTTTGGAGGCAAAATAATTTTGATCTCTCTTCCCACAACTGGGGGTATACTACTTGAGTGAGATGTCTTGCTGTTCTCCTTGGCATCCATAACTGGTGTTTCACAATCTCTGACACTGCAAACACTATTTGTTTCACTTCTGTTGATATCATCTGGACTACCCTCTGTTCCAGCCGGTGAGATTGTATTCTCACTAGCTATTAAGTTATACTCTTTCATAACATCATCAAGAAACGTTGGTGCACTGCTTTTGAAGTTTTGAAAGATTTGTAAGAAGGTTGGAACGTCAATATCCTTTATATTTGGAGCATTCGGGAACAGAGCCTCGAATATAGTCTTGTACACATCGAGCTCTGCTTGCAGTTTAGCATTCTTTGTGTTATATTTTCTTGAGCTCAAGTTTTTCTGTACTTTTGATACACCGCTTCCCGTACCCAAACCTTGCATGGATTGATTCAGACTTGCCAAACTGACAATCGATGAGTTCGAATTTGAGTTTGAATTTGAAAGTCCTCTTAGAGTGGAGACACTCCCAGAACCCGACCTGCTTTGCAACCTCTTTAAGGGATGGTTGTAGGTACATTCATAGGAATACACAGTACAGTGTATACACGGCTGGTTACCATCACACTTCACCTTTTTCTTCCTACAGTCATCACAAGCTCTTGTGACTTTCCTCCTTTTGCCCTCTTGTCTGTGTGGCACAGTCAAGTTCATCGTTTTATTACAGACAGTCTGACAGTTCTTATAATCCAATCAGTATTGGTCTGAATTAGTATATATCCGGGGAATAGAGACACCGATCAAATATTTACTTATAGTTCCACTCAACTTTTGAAGTAGGAGTTTCCTTTTATCAAACTTCTCGACCTGTCAACTTACCTGCTTATAACTAATATCCAAGTTAGCTACTTTTTTTTTTCACTTTCCTTTGGATGAAGGTGTGAAAGGTTGCTTTCTGGGGCAATGCAATTTTTAAGGTAGTCCTATCACAGTGAGAAACCGAAATATTGTGACTTTCGGTGATTGTAGTATCGAAACGGAAACGAAAACAGTTACCAATAATGTGTTACTCTAGCTTTCCCACTATGCAAAAGAAGTAGTACTCCATACAATTGTGGCTATAAGCTTTTGCCTTATTCTTCTAGAAGAATACCCAATTAGGCAACACAAGTACAACAACAGATGTTTCCTCAGAGCACCCCGTAGACTCGCATGGGTCCGGCTTACGTTGGACTTCCAATAGACTTTTGTTGGGACCAAGAAAGCTTCCATTCCCGAAAGAGACACTGATAAAGCCGCATAGGAAATCTAATTGTAAAATTTTCAAGAATAAACGGAAAAACTATAGACTTTAAATAATCCTTACAGGGGGTTCTCAGTAGGCGGAACAACTTACATCTAAAAAAGTGAAGATGGGAAAGTAATTGTTCCTGGCTTTAAGTTGCTCATATGCCTCTGCAGGAAAATCTAAGCGAGGAACGATAATTATTGAGAAATCTGCATTAGGAATTATGCGTACCTAGATACTTCCACCTCCACTGTAACTGCTCGGAGAAAAGACCCGTAGGTCCCTGGGAGTAATGAACGCACTGGAAAGTGTGAATCTCGGAAAATTATAGAAAATTGACATTCCTAAGAAACGGAGGTACACCTGGTGTTACCGAACACCGGTGGATCCTCCAAAGTAGCGGGAAGTTATCGAAGTACACAGAAAAAGTCTAATAGCGGAAAACCACAGTAAGCAGCGCAGCATTGGCAGCATTGGCAGCATTGGCAGCATAGACAGTTTAGAATGAAAGACGTTTGGTGGGGTATTAAAATGGCGCGGGATCCGGCCAAATTCTAAAGTACAATAAGCGAGGTATGTGATGTAATACAAAGTATCGTTTGAAAACAAATAATAAATGCATATATATAAAAGCTTTGGAGAGTAGCGGTTGGATGTTACCATCCACTATTTTCTTTTTTAAAAAAATAAATAAGGATAAAAAAAAAGGATTCATGCTTGTCATGCATACTACACTACTGATCATATCTTTATGGAAGTATTGTTCAGACTTAGTAATGATATAGCGAAAATTACAAGCTCAAGGTTTGTGCGAGTGATGGCTGGATACTGGATGGAAGAAGTAAATGGGGGGGAAATCAATCAGGAGTACTCGCATTGATGTCACCTAAAAGAGACCATTTCTTTTCCATCATTGCTACCCTTTGATGTTAACTTTGTAAAAATTGTAAAGAATGACAGAAAGCTTTCTGCTACAGTGTTGTAAAAAGTTACCTTCGCCAAAAAATGAGAGCAAAACAGTAGTAGAAAGAGAGCTCATCAAGTCAAGTTGCTGCATTGACACTTTTGTTCATATAGTTCACTCATAGAGTCTATAAATAGAGAGGTACTTAACTTGCCAGAGGGGATAAAATAGAATCAAGTTATTAATCGCTTAAAAAAAAGCTTCTAACTGATTGTTTTTGTATCATTGAAGTAAATTACATTTTAGCGAACATGGATGAGGGTCTTGATCTTTCGTTGATACCTTCAACATTAAGAGATGATTTACTCAGGACGATCATTTCATCTTTATATGAGCCAGAAAAAACCGCAGTCGCAAGGCAATACGACAATCAAACACTCACAGCAGAGGATAATAAACCACACAGCAATCACAAGGCTAAGCTTGTAGGTAGATCGTGGACTTTCCGATTAAAGAGTGACTCAGTGACAATTGGTCGTAATACAGACACCTTTAACAATACGTTCAATTGGAGCACTAGGGCTGGACTTGATATTGATTTGGGGCCCTCAAAAACAGTATCAAGAAATCATGCAAAGATAAATTTTGATGAAAGAAATGGTAAATGGGTGTTTACTTCATTGGGCCGTAATGGTGCAAAAATAAACGGTAAAAGGGTTAAACCAACAGATGCGGAAAGTTCTGTTTCAGTTAGTATTTCAAACGGCGCACTTATTGAAGTCGGTGGTGTAGATATGATGTTTTTGGTGTCAGATATGTATCCAAAATATACCCAAAAAACCTTGGATGTAATAGCTACAAGGCTATTTAAGCATTACAAACTAGAATCAGAGCCAATTAATGTGGTCGAAAATCCATTCACATGGGGTATAATAAGATACTCAAAATATTACAATTCTAGAGTACGAGATGAGTTAAAAATTAAGGAAGGAACCGTTCCAGTACAAAAATTGAAGCTAGAAATTGAATTAGAGAAAATCAGAGAATCCAACAAAAAAAAGGAAACTCAGGAGTCAAATGTTGATAGAAGCTTACCGCTGCAAGAGGAAGGATCTGGTGACCACAGCTCTCATACCGATAAGGAAAAGCTCCCCAAAGACTCCAATATCATCCCTAAACAAGAGACTGTCCATGACAACGATGTAACAAAGACTAAGGGAAATGCAGTGACTGATACTGAAATGCATGTTTCCCAGGAAACGGACAATTTTCAGAGTTCGATAATTGAACCTCCAAAAGAAATCTCGAAAACTAGCTTCTATACTAAATATGATGTGTCTAAGTCTGATACACCTGTAAGTGATGAAATAAGTGGTAATAGTAAAAATTTGAAAAACATACGAAGTCTTGATGAAACAGGTACGACAACAAACATTGACGGCGAAACAGCAGTAAACTCTAAGAGACAACATGATAATGATATACCTGATGAACGGACTATAAAGCAACCGAAGTTTGATGTATCAAGACTGCAGAAGGAGCTAAACTCAAATTCAAAGGCATTAGGTGACAAGAATGAAGCAAATGCTTCGGTTAATCCTGACGTATCATTCGCTGACAAAGCAGTCAAAGATGTGAAATTAATAACTGACAGAAGAATTTTATCTGATAATAGGAACGGCACTGCCAAACCAAAAGATTCATATGCCACACTAATCACCAAAGCCATTTTATCGTCTCCAAGTGGTGAGAGAACACTAAGTGAAATTCTAAAATATATCAGTGATGAATATCCTTATTTCAAAACGTCTACATTGGACTGGCCAAATTCAGTGAGACATAATCTTTCCGTAAATAAGAAATTTGAAAAGATCAGTAAAAGAGCCAATGCTATAGGAAAAGGTAATAACTGGAGAATTTCACTCGACTATCAACAAGAGTTTTTGCAGAAATGGAAAAAAGGCACTTTAAAATTTATGAAGAAAACAGATGCCGTCGATCGACAACTGTTGCTATATATCTCAAAGCATGGTGATCTCCCTAGAAGACAGGCACCAGATGATTCGCCAAAACGCATCACAATCCAGAGCATGTCTGAAGCACCTGGCTCAAAAAAACTAGAAAGAACAACCAAATTATGAACTATCTAATTTATTATACACTTCGCATTTGTAGGCTAAATAGATAGCTAATTCTTAACTATTCGTGTTATTAGTCTGATTTGCCGATTCTTTTCTATATTTTTTGGTTAGCGAAGGGTTTCAAGAAAATCAAAAGCAACTCATCGCAATTGAGAATTAAAAAATAAAGAAAATCAAACAGTATCAAGATCAGTAATTAATAAATTCAAAATATAGATCTAAGGCTGAAGTCTATGGTATGCCGCCGAAGCGATATGATGATCTCTCTCTCCTTACTTTATGGCCAGTAGCACCTGATATTGATCTAGCTCAATATATTTATCAATTTTTAACATCGGAAGTCGGGACACAAACTGAGAAGGAAGTATACTTTACTGATTCTATTAACTCTTTTCCAATACATCAGTTACAAGAGTTAGTCAATGAGTCTAACCAGAGCATTTATGAAAATATCAAGATCAATACAGCTTTGGATCTGCATGAATTAAGTAGTATAATTAAAAAAAACACTGAATCCTTAATTCTGAAGAAAATACAAAATAAGAAAACCAATGATCTAAAGCCCTTTCAAATTTTGTCGGTCATCAATGGTCTTGATGTTATGTTTCGAAGTACTCTGGTCAGTTTCACCAATGAGCAAGCACATCTAATGCTGAGGGACGTTATGCTCCGATTACGCCAGGTATGTAATGAATATGACTGCTCGCCCTTGACATTCAAAATAATACTTTTGTTTAATAGGAGCGATGTTATGGAGCTCTTGCCTAAACAGAGGCATTCTGCTGCTCATCAACAGAAGAAGATGAAATACAATAACGCTATGGAAGGTAACTCCGTCGGAGAATTTGTAGGTAAATATTACTGTGATGAGGTTGCACAATAATGATGAAAATGCATATTTTATTTATTCCAATGAACAAAATTGAATATAATAATAGAACTATAAGAAACTCTTGAAATTTTCGTATATACAAAACGTAATGCAGGTCGAAGGTACTGATCGCAGTAAATTCGCCGAAAGACCCTTATAGAAACCCAACAATCCACTTCTACTGTATATCATTTTAGAGAGTGGCAATAACTTGAAATCGTTTTCAGAAGCTTGAAAGCTTTGTAGATTAGATTTCAAGAGTTGAAATGGATATACCGCTGATGTCGAGAGCATTTTACTAACTGATGTTACAGCGATAGTCTCAAGGTTTGTTATTTCATCGGAGTCTCTATTCTTTAGTACCAGCTTGTGCTTTAAAGTATCATAGCATGTGAAATGCAGTGCACCTTGTGATACGCCAACTAGGGCTGGTACCAATCCCTTCCATAATCCTTGAACACCATCATTTTTGATGAGGTCTCTCAGTACTTTCATTGATGTGAGGTCTGAGTTTGCCTTTGACATCATCCTGGTCTTGATTACCCATAGTGGGTTAGTTAGTACAGTCGTCAACATCCCAGAAGAGGCACTTGCCGATAGGTACATCCATGAGCTCAGGTCTTTGTCATTTCTTATTCGGTGATTGTAATTTATTAGATAGTCCTTTGCTACTCGGTATGAAGCGAAATAGAGCCCCCAGGCGATTGTATTACCAACTAAATTGACAGTCAAACCTCGATAGAGCTCCCTGGTCAGTGACAAGTCAGACCCCACTATCTCACTCCATAAATTCCGGTAGCCTTTCTTTGTAGTCGATGTTATTAGTAATTGTAATCGTACTTTAAACAAATCCAGTGGATGCACTATCAAGGTGGTTACCGAACCAGCAGTAAGCCCTGATATAACCTCCTTTTGTAAGGGAGTGTATCGATCAGACATGGCTGAGGATATATGCTCTAGTGTGACCCTATCAGTAATTTGTAATTAGTACAGTATCGTGCTTTTTCATAGTTTACTGTGGATCAGTTTTTTCAAAGCTCTATAAATCTGTCGATGAGCTAGCAAATATCTAGAAGCTCTCTACGCAAATGAATACATATGAGGATACATAGTTGAATGAGATATGGAATCAACTTTTTAGATCAGAAAGACTAATCGAAAAAAATTTATACTTTTCATAGGTGTATTACCTTCAAGACGATAACGCAGTAAATTTATTGTTCATCATTCAAAAAGTTCAATTCCAATCCCTCCAAAAGAAATAAATGATCTAATCATTTGTGTTTAAGAAAAAAAATGCATCAGAGGATCCAATTTATAATAGATATCCAGGAACTTTGTATATGGTCTTGCTTTGGTTCTGTAATTGATCCTTAAAATTTTTCTTTAAGATCAGTAGAAATTTGTAGTTTCCTATAATTCTGGTATCCCAGGAATAAAAAAACACTCCAATTTCCGAAGAAGCTGAAATGAATTCCAATACTGAGGGAAAGTAGAACATAATCAAGTAATACATGCTTAGAAAATTGTTTTATTCATCAGTAAAAGAAAAATATTAAAAATCATAGCAAAACATAAACAAACATATTTTCCAAAGTTCCCAGATTGGATAGCCTTATCCAACCCGATCCCCATCAAAATGGAGCACAGTAGTTTCATTAGCATTATAGAATCAGTCCATTTGAAGACAAAGTCTAAGTACAGGGCACGATAAACATCCAACAAATAGTAGTGTCAAAACTAATCTTCATAATCAGTTTATTACTCTCTATTTATACTGCCAAAGTGAAAAACTTTTTTTTACTTTCAGAAATTCCTAATGAAAAAAAAATGGGTAACCCGGACGGATTTTCAATAGGGTATGCTATCGTAATGTACGTATAAGATTCACCTGATATGTGTTCGTGCCTCGATATATTATTTAGGGTTTTGTAGTTTTTAGGGTTCTCTTGAACCCCAATCTGAATTAGCCTGCAGCCCTAATTCCTTCTTTCTAGCTTTCAACACACTCCCCTTCAAAGTGGGTACTTGTATGGGCAATCAATACATTATAAGCAATCACTAGTGCATGTGAAACTATACTAACGGCCGTTCTATGACTCTGAATCATCTAGAGCAGTAAGGTATTGAAATTGTGGTATGTTTAGAGATAGGACTAATCTGTACTTGTCCTACAGGCGGACGTTTCCGCACAATGTGAGGCTATCGAGCACGTACCGGGACGACAGCGATAAAGCCACTACTGAGTTTGATATTGACAATGAGGCATACCCAATGATAGAGATGGGCGTACACAGTAAGGGTAAGAACACATTACCGCCGGTATTCATTGATATCGCTCGGGATATAGATGACTATTTGGACAAAGTTCGGGAGCACACTGCGAAATTGCACAAGTTATACCAGAAGAACTCGCTTCCAGGGTTCGAGGACAAGACTCACGATGAGAAGCTTATAGAAGATATTAGTTTCAAAGTGATACAGTTATTTCAGAAGTGTTACAATATTATGAAGAAACTAAAAGGTATATACGATGACCAGACGGTCGATGGTAGAAGGCTAAATAGAGGTGAGCTGATGATACTGGATAATGTACAGAAAAGTTATGCCGATAAGATACAAATAGAAAGCAATAAATTTAGGGCACTACAGAACAACTACTTGAAATTCTTAAATAAGGATGACTTGAAGCCCATAAGCAACAACACATTGAAAAGCAGTAGCGCAAATGAAACTGCGCTTTTAGAAGAAGATACAATTGGTGGTATTGGTGCTAGGGAGCAACAAGAAATTGAAGAATATTCACGGCAAACCTTACAACGGAGACAAGCGACCTCATCAGATAATTATTTACATGTCAGAGATGAAGAGATTACCCAACTAGCCCAAGGCGTTCTTGAAGTTAGTACAATTTTTAGGGAAATGCAAAGCCTGATAATAGATCAAGGGACTATCATTGATAGGATTGATTACAACTTAGAGAATACAGTTATTGAACTAAAATCTGCTCAGAATGAGTTGAATAAGGCCACTACTTATCAAAAGAGGACTCAAAAATGTAAAATTATTCTTTTGCTCACATTATGTGTTATCGCATTAATATTCTTTATCTTATTAAAGCCTCGGGGAGGTTCCACTCGTGTAGTGCATGAAGTAGAGCAGGTACCTGTGCCTGTTCATCCTGAGATAAATGATTTTGAGAATGATAAACGTTATATAGAAGACAACATACAATTAATTTGAATAATCTTTAAAACTCTATAAGTATAAAACCGACTGATGATAATATTACAATTTTCCTGAAATACAGGTTTACAGAATGCATTTATATATTATTGATGTGAATGTTAGTACCGCTCCATATAAAGGATACAAAAGATGTTGTTCAAAAATTACCTAAAGTTAAGCATATCATCTGCTGCTAAACTTGATGTAGGTATGTTGTTTCTATTTCTGAATCTTTTCTTGTAAGCCGGTTGGAAGCCGGCCGTTGTCCTTGGTTGGTAGGGCATAGTTTGTTGCACAGGTGGGTGCATTGGGTATTGCATTGGATGTTGCATTGGGTGTTGCATTGGATGTTGCATTGGGTGTTGCATTGGGTGTGGTAGATGCGGCATTTGTTGCGGCATTTGTTGTGGCATACCACGCTGCATTGGGTGTGGCATTTGTTGTGGCATACCACGCTGCATTGGATGCATTTGTTGATGCATAGGATGTGGCATAGGTTGACGACCGACGCTTGGGGCCATGTTGTTAGGGGCTCTCATACCGGGGCCTATCTGTGTCATTGGAGCTGGAGGTCCATTGGGTCTACCATTCATATTTGGGTGCTGGTTCGTGTTTCTATCCATAGAATAGTTACTGACTGGATATGGAACAGCCTTCTGTTGGCCAGGATGGAGGTTTGGTTGCCGTAGAGATTCCTTAGCATTCAAATGATTTCCATTATCATAGTATTTAATATGTTCTGGGTCCACTCCACGCCTTGATACAGAGGTGATATCAGATCTGTTGTCATCAATGCCTTGTACTGTCAATTGCTGTGGTTGTTTGTGTAGAGCAGGGTAGTTCTGACCGTTATATTTGCTTCCCTGAATTTGATCTTGCTTTAGAATATCTTGTAATATTTGTGGTTGGTCACCGTTGTTTACAATGAATGGTGTTGCTGATTTCCTCAAGTTTTCCAAGTTTTGCTGCGAGTAAACAGAAGAATCCAGAGATGGTGTGTGAGAAGAGGTGTGCACAGAGAACTGTTGGCTGTTTCTTGAGTGTTTGAGTCTGCCACCTTGACTGTCGATGGCGGAGAACGCCTCGTGACCTAGTTCATCTCTAGTTTCATCGGCCAACTCATTTTCAAGTAGTCTGTCCTCGTACTTCTCTGAGTATGAAGAGGCAGAGGTGTTGTACTGGCTGGAGCTTCCGTTTGTGCGAACCTTTTCAGGGTCTGGGAGCACCGTAGCGGTAGAGTTGTTCACTGCGTTTTGCATGTAGTGGAACCCGAGCTTCTCGTCCAGATCGTTGTTGTATTTCCTCAGGTCGATGTCGTCCTCGATACCGTCAAACTCATCAGCGACCAGCCTGGTGAGCGGCTTCTCCGAGTCCTCATCGTAGAGGGGCTCCTTAGCTTGCGATACGTGTGCCAGGATGAACAAAGGAATGTTCATCAGGGCAAACACAGCAGCGGGCACAAGTATCCACGCACACCAGGTGACGTGTGGGTAAAACTGTATTATATCGACTACACATACCAGCGCAGAGGCAAAGAATGTAAGCACTGAGAGAGTCAAGTTCACGAAGAACAAAGCACCGATGTTGATGTCCGGGAGTGCGAACAGCACTAAAGCTGAGGCAAATGTGAAGAAGTTCAGCCCGGCGGCGACTGGTGCCACGATCAGTATGCGTGACAGCTTGGCCCTGCTGCTCTGAGGCAGAAACCATTTGGTGTTTTCGTCGTCGTCGAGGGTCTCTGGATGGTATGAAGCAGACGCGCGAGAACAACCATCTTGGCAGTAACCCAGGGTTCCGTATGTGAAACCATTGCTCTTAGCGAGACCTATCTGGTGGAAAGCTGGCGCGGTCACGGAAGCAATGATGAAAAAGGCCATTGATATGAAGGCCAGTAGGCCCACCACGAGGAACATCACCGTCCTCTTACGTTCGGCCATTGTAATTGTAGCGATGTTGTAATTTGTAGTTGTAACTTTTTTGTAGTTATTGAGCAAGCGTATGTGTATGTGTCTATGTGAATGTGTATGTGTCTATTTAGCTTTTGTCTTCTTTACAAGCAAGTGCTGTATCGAAATATATGTATTATATATAGTGGTTGCCGTTTGTTTTCCATCTGTGTTGACTCCTTAAGAGAGAGAGAGAGAGTTAAGCCATTTAATTAATTCCATAACGGGATATGCAAGAATCCACATTGGCAGATATGGATGGTATCGACATATAGGTTCTGATAAGATAGTCCATTGTGTGTTCAATATGGTATCAGTAATTATCAGCCAGGGCCTTGCAACAACCTAATGGCTGGGCTATTTTTCGTGTTTTACTTTTTCTTTTTCTTTGGATGTTTCCACACTCCCAATGGTACTTTACAAGTCCCCACACAAACACGCAGGCAAAGCAAGGTGCGGATGCTGGGAAAGACGCGAAAAAATAAAGAGGATAGATAAGCACTTTTCAGCTATTCCGAGTACCAGAGAAGACCTCGCCTCTCTTGTAGGCTTAGGGAGTAGCATTGACTCCAAATGTGGGTGGGTGAAAGGCCAGCTGTTATAGCTGTATATGCAACAATGCCCAGCCTCTCCTCATTTTTCTGTTGTACCGAGAATTGTCACTTTCACACACACCCTCACACTTTCTAAATATAGCAAAATGGTCAACTAGTGTGTAGTTGGCTGAAATAATGCAATTTGTTATCTGATAGAGAAACACCAAAAAAAAAATAAGTCTCCCGGGGGCGATTCGAACGCCCGATCTCAAGATTTCAGTGTTGAAATTACAGTCTTGCGCCTTAAACCAACTTGGCTACCGAGAGTATCTTGTACGTGGTGTTCCATGAATGAAAATTGGGTCTAAAAACGAGGAAAAAATATACCCGTCCTATATGATGTAGACACAAATGCTACCGATATACTCTACTTATACTTAACATGAAGGGTCCTTCTTATCCTTCTTGAATTGCATGGCATTGGCTCTATGTATCTTTGCACTGAGACCTGAAGTCTTAGGCAAAAATAGTCTTGTATGATTTCATGTCTACTTGTTATTATTAACTCCACGGGACACTGCTAAACCCATGATGCAAGCAAAATGAGCGTTGCAAAATATCATCGATTGTAAAATATCATCGACGACAAAGCAGATTAATCCCCATTCAAACGGAGAAAGAACTCCTTTTAGGGGAACAAATCAATTAGTCAAGAAGGGGTCCCTTTTCAATTGGCCTTGATTCTCTTTCCCCCCCCCCTTCGTTTCTTGTTTCCTTGAGAGAGCTCTTTCAAATATCCAATTCTTTCCACCTAAAAATTTACTTAACTTCTTAAATAACCTTTTCATACTCTCATTGAAAGAATAGTAAAAATATTAGCCAAACTGTCTTTAATTGACTATAGACCGACCAAGCGGAGAAGATTGTATGCAATGGAGTATTCTTCACAACACCATTCTACACACATGCAGCAACAACAACACCAACAACAGCACCAGCACAACACACACGGGACTTCTCAACAGTCTACGTTGCTGGCGCAACGTTCGACTGTCTCGAAGGGGAAGTACTCGTTACAGGACTTTCATATAATGCGGACACTAGGTACTGGGTCATTCGGCAGAGTACACCTGGTGAGATCGGTTCACAACGGCAGATATTATGCTATCAAAGTATTGAAAAAGGCACAGGTGGTTAAGATGAAGCAAATTGAGCACACCAACGATGAGAGACGGATGCTAAAACTTGTGGAGCACCCCTTCTTGATTAGAATGTGGGGCACTTTCCAGGACTCACGGAACCTGTTCATGGTGATGGACTACATCGAAGGTGGTGAGTTGTTCACATTGCTAAGAAAATCACAGAGGTTCCCTAATCCTGTGGCCAAATTTTACGCCGCTGAGGTTACGCTAGCATTAGAGTACTTACATTTCCACAATATTATCTACAGAGATTTAAAGCCAGAAAATATCCTGTTAGACAGGAACGGACACATCAAGATTACAGACTTCGGCTTCGCAAAAGAAGTGGAAACAGTTACATGGACCTTATGTGGTACCCCCGATTACATCGCACCAGAAGTTATCGCAACAAAACCATATAACAAATCAGTCGACTGGTGGTCATTGGGTGTCCTGATTTATGAAATGTTGGCCGGATATACCCCATTCTATGATACTACCCCAATGAAAACTTATGAAAAGATTCTACATGGTAAAGTTGTGTATCCACAATTCTTCAACTCAGATGTCATCGATTTGCTAAGCAAATTACTGACTGCTGACTTAACTAGGAGAATCGGTAACTTGCAAAAGGGAGCACAAGATATCAAATCACACCCCTGGTTTGCTGAAGTTGTCTGGGAAAAATTATTGGCTAAAGATATCGAGACACCATATGAACCTCCTATTACTGCTGGTGTTGGTGATACTTCTCTTTTTGACCAGTATCCAGAAGAGCAATTAGATTACGGAGTACAGGGATCAGACCCTTACGCAAGCTACTTTACTGATTTCTAGTAAACACTTTCAAATTGTTTTGGAATAAAAAATCAAAAACTCGTTGGTCAGAAAGTAGTCCTTTCATTTCTCTAATCAACGTTCTACTCATTCTTTAATGCCACTTATGAACTTTCTCATTTTCAAATAATGATTTTTATTTAGTCCTCTTACATTTACCCCCAATAGTCAGTATTGTATAATTCATGACAAAATCAAGCTTGGATAATAACAGCAACTCATTTACGTATTTCTAATATATTCTCAAAATCAACTCATTAAATTATCATTTTCCTTTCATGTACAGCAATGCCATAATTTTATTATTATCTACTAAGTTTTGTTTCTATAAATACAATAAACTAAGAATAAAATTAGAATTATCTCACAACTGTCAAAAAATCAAGTATAGTTGTTCATTTCACTCGTCTCTCTAATAAGGTTAACTAAAAAGAGAGTCGTAAGTTTCCTTCGCAGGATCATTAATCATTACGGTTGATAGATCAACATACTTGTCTAAATAATTGACATTCTCGAACTCGAGAGGGTCGGGTATTTTTTGGTCAATATCAGTTGATGGGTCAGTAGATGGTGATATTGGAGTAGATGATGTGTTAGTGGACATCTTGAATATATCATCGATATTGTTTTCGTTGATGTCTTGTACAGGCGCCATTAGAAGTTCTGGCTCTACCAATGTCGTATCCTTGATATTCTCTTCATAACTAAAGAAGTTATCATTTGCTATTGAACTAAAAAGATCATCACCTTTAGTGAGACTAGGTTGAGCTGGTTTTGATTTGTTAAACATCCCAGTAAAATCAATTTCGTTCATGTTCGAAAAATCTGCGATGTTACAATAGGATGCATCCGCGTAACTTTCCTTGTTCAGAAGCTCTGTGTAGTATTTATCGCAGTCATAATCGTTAATATCATTGATACCACATTGTATGAGATCATCTTGAGTGATTTCGAAGCCTTTGTCATGAATCAAAGCACTTGAACAGCTAGGTTCCTCTTTCTTAATGTTAGCAAGTTCGTTTTTCTCGCTCTTTCTTTTCTTCATTACCTTTTGTTTATTCTTTTGTTTTTTATTTTGACACTCCAGTATTTTCGAGACATCTATCTCATCCTGTAATTGAGTGGCATTTAGTGGCAAGTAAACGTTATTGATTGTCTTAATTTCCTTCGTTAGGCCACAATCACAAGAAATAATTGAGTTTCCTGATAGCAGATTTTCCATCGGAAGATTTGACTTGGCTTTATACTCTAGTTCTTCAAACTTTTTCAACGTTTCAGTCATTTCTCTATCTCTTAGATTTCTTTTAAACTTAGCATATTCATCTGAGTGTGGGTTGAATTTCAATGGATGAGAGTGCGAGTTATTTATTATCACGATCTTCCATTTCTTTAGTTGGGTAGAGAAAGTACACCGCACCCTAAATGGGCATATGTGTCTTTTATCGTCAACTGGTTCCTTTTGCCGTAGGTCCTTTGGTTCATGGCTTCTGTAATCACTAGGTTTACATTTGAATATTATTTTTGTTTTATCGGACCTCTCGATGACAATATCTATCCCCATGGGGAAAAACATTTCTTGTAGCCATACTTTAACATCTATCTTCTCTTGAAAGTCAGGTACTGGGTCGATATGTATCAGTTGGTTTTCATTCACCATTAAGGCATTTTCTAAGTTATCAGGTGTGGTCGTGGGTCTGTTTTTAGCAGAACCCCTGAGCGTGTTCTTACGATTCATTGTAAGTAAGCAAAGTGTTGTAATAATAGCTTTTGCGTTACACTATCTAAACTTGGTTTGGGAGATAAAAACGTTTCTCTTAGCAATTTCTCTTTTGACTATTCAAAAATAAATGTGGTTTTGTATGTGGTTAGTCCTTAGAACTCGATCCTTTCAAGATGATAGTTTCTTGATATAGTGCTGGTAACTTGAGTTCATAAATACTACCTTGATCAAGAACAGGTTTTATAATATACAATATTTTTTTTTTCTTTCTAAAAGCTACTATGTATTTTTTTTTTGTATTAATAATCAGCTCTTATGTTGGTTAGTTGGTGAACAATGTATAGTGAACTCTGCTCCACAGTAAGTGCCCTACAGCACAATGTTCTATTCTTTCTTTTTTTTCCTAAGAATCTCAAATCACTTCTTCCCTAGCAAGGCCCGCACAGACGTAGTATCAAGGAAAGAAACCCTAGCAGAAAACTTAATCTTTTGCTCCATGTTCTGTGCATCAAAAGTATTCCTTCTGTTTCCCTGAATTACAGTTTTGCTACGGCACTCTCTGCGAGCATACATGAAATATATATGAGGACCCTATGCCATGCTAATAGAGATTGGTGTTCATACGGTTCATCACTCAGAAACCCACGCACACATAGGCTCGTGTGATTGCGAGTTGCTGGGAAGCAAAAAGCCGTGGGATCTTCTCTTATTTAGGATCTAAATTGGCAGGGTGGAACAACACTGCGTGTGGGGGTGTCTGTGTTCTATTTGTCACCGGGTCCCTCTCTAGGAGACCTACTGAGCCAGTGATGACTCCTGCTTTCCAAATTCCCATTTTCCGTGTTCCCTTCCATTTTTCAGATTTTTGGCATTCTTTTTCTGTCTTTTTGATAGTCCTTAATAGGTTCTGGTGCGATGTTGCAATGACGTCGTATGGATGAGAGAGCAGAGTCAAGGCAAAGTTTCTTTTTGCAAAGCTATTGCATCAACCTTGTATAACTGACAGCTAAAGCTGATCTTTGAAGAAAGAGTCAGGCCTGGACTTTGGTTCACTGGGGGGGAGGGGGGTGTACTATCTGGTTTTTGAGCTAGTGTTTTGACTCCCATTGTTCTCCATATAGGAATATATAGAGCTGCGAGTTCCGGATATCCAACAGTGTAAACACCCGAGATTGCGGAGCTCTTTTTCTTGAAACAAAGTGTATCGTGAATGTTATTACTAATTACATATGTGAATATTATAGAATTATGCTAATGTGCTTGCGTGTTCGGGAAAGCAATATGTTCGTGTCAGTAGTCATTGAAAAAAAAAAGATGAAGAAAACAAAATAAGGAGAGGCAATTGCTTTCCTATATACAGATCTTGAAATGTCTTATAGTGCCGTCGTTTGCATGGATCAGTAACTTGGGTTTTTGGTTTGGGTTTTGATCATCGTGGGACTCCAAAATGGACAAAGCTTTTATCTTTCTGATATTGAACTTAGCTCTGATATCAACAAAGCCCAGAGAAAACCAATCCTTGCTTGCGTTGGAGTATTGGTAAATGGTTAGACTGGTGCCGTACAAATGCTGTTGCGTGGTCATTAAGTATTGCTCGCTGTTGAACGTTTCCAGCTGGTACTGGTTTTCGTTGTAATCTGCCAAAGTAAACACTGGAATTACATTTGTGACTTCGGAGTAAGATGGGTCAGCGTTGGAGCTCCGTACTGCTCTACCTCTTGGAACATGGTTATTTGCTGGGTTGATTGGTATAGATACTCCTCTCTCAGTTGTGACAACAAACAGGTGCTCTTGCTTGGGCATTGGCTTGATGTACTTAATCTTCTCTTCTGGCTTTAGCCAGAACTTGACCTCGTGATCAACAGGGAATAATGATGCGTTAATTTGTAGAACGTTCTCATAGTTCCAAATTTGAACACCATTTGAAAGTACAAATTGCGGGAAGTTCACCACTGCAGAGAACTGGGAGCTATCTACATCTGAGAAATCCTGATTATTGTAAGGGATATCGATCTTGTAATTGGAGTGATCAGTAAGCTCGCTCAAGATAAGCCCTTCCTTGATATTGAAGGACAGAACATAGCTTGGTAATAGTGAGGCATTAACTGTTACAATACCATTGTAACGTGAGTTATTTCTGATCGGATGTGAGCTTGTACGACTCTGGTATACCACTTCTGATTCACACCAAGCATTTAGACCGTCATCCCCTAACAGGGTGGAAGTGACTAGAACCACTTTACCAGAGGTGAAACCAAGCAAGAATTGGTAGTTGTTCATCCCACTCTTGGCATCCACACAGCATAAAGTGTCGTTGTGTTCAACTAGAGATCTCTCCAAACATCCCTTAACATATCTGTTCTCCTTAGTATCGTATAGGTAGAATTGTTCAAAATTGTTGGACTCGTTGAAGTACATCCACAAAGAGTTGTCGTAATTCTGATTGCATCTGTAACCATTCAAGTTTGGCACATCGTTGATTTCTACTGTCTCTGGGTCGATATCGATGGTCCACCTGTCGATACCAGCAGAATCCCAGTCATACATGTTCTGGCGGCGATGATTAGCTGTATTATCCTCGATACTGGCAAATATTCTCTCGTTAACGTTATTGTTCATGAAATAGGCGTACACTTCTTGTCTTATTACTTGTGTTAGTGGACGCACACTGGTGTTACCTCTCCTTAGCGAGCGTAGCTCCGAAGCAGTTGGGTATGCCACAGAAGGAAACCTTTCTCTTATGAACTGGTCCAAGTTTCTCTTCTGTGGTAAATGGAGGGAGTTCATGTCCTCCTGGTATAGTGTTATTGGCAAACCCATTTTGTCAAAATTGTATGGTGTTTATTTATGTGTGTGTAGTATATCTTTTTGCTATATAGTTTTTGTTTGTGAAGAGGTTACATGTAAAAGAAAGTCGACGGTATTTATACGAATACCAATTCCATTTACAAGTTTGGAATTTATTGTTTTTGTATTTTTTTTATCAAAGCACCCACGTATGTGTAATGTGTGCAGGTGTAATTTAGTTATTCTGTTTGCAAGTAGGTAAAAGCCCCACTATTGCTCATCAACCTTTTGATGACATTGCCAGGTGTAGTTGTGATTGATGTGAGGTGTATATTCGCAGCATAGCCTAAAGCTAGGGGAGAAGGGGGTAGCAATGGCCCAAGGATCATCTCTATCTATAGGAACTTCTCTCATCTAAGGCTACAAAGATGTATGGTATGTGGGGGACTCATTGGATAGGCTTCATGGTGCAAACAAAGAACATCTTTCCCACTATTCGAAAGGGATGGCATACTGCTTAGGGGGGGCAGTAAGAGGCCAGTACCAATCCCGTATCTGTTTGAGTTGTGTACATTACGATGTTCGAGGATTGTGTTCCCCTTATCCCACAGCCCTCCTGAAACCTGTAGGGGGGGCGCTCTTTAGGTGAGGGATGGGAGCCTAGCAGACGCGCAGTACGGGGTTAAGATGCGTCGGAAAAACCTGAGCATCCTCGCAAAGCAAAGAGGAAAAAAATGCGGGGGTTCAAAGAACAGATGAGTTTCTCCGTGCGAGAGTGTCTTAGATCCTCCTTTTTCTTGCAGTAAGGATTATGTTGTACGAGACTATCTGAGTCAACTTGTCTTCAAAGTGTCCTGTGTGCTTATATCATACGAAAATCTGGGGTAAAATGTCTACAGCCCCACGTCCCCATCCATAACAGATGTGGAAACAAAACTACAGGTGTTTCTGTGTGTGACGCTCAGAGCTTATCAACAACTTTTCTAATTTTACTATTTTGGGTTCGATTTTGGCACATTTCCCTGGCTCATTAGCATGCTTGCACAGTGAGTGTCGTACACCCGACGATACGTCAGGTTTGTATTTTTTGTGCGGATTGATCGGCATTTTCGCACCAATCTGATTTGTAGATCTCTCGGCAATTGTTGGTTTATTGCCTGGGCTCCCTGCGGCTCCATCCTTCCTTCCCAGTGCTGACTTCAGAGATCTCGGTTTTGTTGATATACCCGAGATTCGGTCCGACTCGTCTGTGTCTTCAACTGTTCTGCGGCTACGTAACGGCTATTTGTGTTGTAATACGATATTGCCGTCCCATAAGAACCGATTATCGCCGGGAGCCCTATTTGCAAGGAACTGACGGGAGTGCATTGTCCAGATTAATTAATGAGTAGCGACGTTTCCTGTGACTTGTAGTTGACAACTCAATTCATAAGCGCCTAAAATACGATTGTGTCTAACTTACGTATATACTGGAAGTATTACAAAATAGGAACAATCTTAAAAGTTCTTCAGTGCTAGGTAATATGTGGATTAGTCTCTTTATCAAGCAGTGTATGTATGAAAATGCGTTGCACAGCTACAGCTACAATTTAAAAGAGCTGCTGCAATCGTTCATGACATCCCTCGCAATATGTAGGCAGGATTATCTCATCGCTAAATATGAACGTGAGATGAAAGAGTCTCTCCTGCAATTGCTCGAGATTATCTCGGCTTTGAACTTCATGATACAACAGACAAAAAGGTACGAGAATGTGACAGAAAGTGAATTTGCTTTACAAATTGCCCATAGATTTATAGAAACTGAACAAATAAATACAATTAAATTTATTGCCAGTGGTAAGAAGCATAGATTCTTTGGCTGGTTGGCAGTTGAAAAGTGTTGGGACCCTCCAGATAGTGGTAGCGCATTAAGTTTGCTCAAAAAAATATTTCTACAACCTGAAAATCAGGATAAGGTAAAAATCTATTGGCTTATGCCATTTATATCAATCATTTTTCTGACACTACTACTTTGTAGTAGATATGATCAACTATAAATAAAGTAGATCATACCCATCTAGGTAAGTCTAATTTCTAGCAGAGCATACGATATTTCGTATGGTACATTTTAAAATTATATCCATTCTTGAGACAGAGACTCATTGGATACTCATATAAAACTTAATTCATTGAACAGAATTTGATTATGCTAATGTTACTATCATAGAGATACCATATTATAACAATTTTAGTCCAGCTGGATATGATCGAATATTCCAGCAACTGCTTGAAGGTTGCATGAAACCACATTTGTTTCCTCTATTTACGAGACAAGTTACTCCAGTTGTTCCTGTTCACTGTTTCTACTTTTAGAGTCAACTTCAAATCAAATTGCCCTAAAGCTAATTTTCATACCATATTCCAACTACATAATAATATTTGCTGTAGAATGTTCTGCCTCCACCTTATATGTGTTCTTTTCTTTGGTTTTATTGTTTGTTTTGGGTAGTAATCTCAATTTCTTTTCTAGAAAAGCTTATACAAGAGAAGAAGAGATTGAAAACAATATTGGACTCTTTAATACTTGATGGCATCAATTCATATTGTGGGGTTCGATCATATGATGGCACTTTGGTTTCCTGATATGATGTACTTTTGTTTGAATGAGAGGATACCTCTGAAACTGCATTTCCAGATGATTGAGTTGATGTATTAGATAAACACTCAGAAGTTTCTTTCGGAATATGATGTGTAGTCAAGTCCCGCACGAGATTTAATTTATTATCATTTGAGTAGGATTCTGAACCATTTATTGTGGGTTTATTGATTGTCTCGGTGGTACGTTGTTCTAAGAACACTTTTGATGGTGTTGTAGCCTTCAAACAAGTAGTTTGGGGTATTGAAGTACTTTCAGATGATTCAACTATTGAGACACTCTCTTGCATTTGCATATTTTTTTTTAAAAGTGTCATGTTAAATGGGAAATCTTTCATATCCAACTTTGATGTACTAAAGTTGCTTCTATCGATATTGATGATTATGACGCCGCTATTACTACTATCAAGATCAAAATTTAGATTTAAGTCATGGCATATCATAAGTGTCTCAACTTGAAGCTTGCAAACCATACCAGGCGAATGGATTCCTTTACCTGTTATTACTCTAAGTTTTTTCTCTCCAGCTTCAGCGGCTAATACCAGCCTCTTTTTCAACACCTGTACCGCCTCTTTGGCAAAAAGGCCATGTAAATCGATTTCATTGCTCAATATATTAGCGTTGTTTTGGTCAAAAGCATATTCAGCAGCCTTTAAGTTAAAACGATCAGAACGTTCAGCCTGTATGCAGGATTCTGTAATTAATTTCTTAGCCGAGTGTTTATCGCCTTTTTTGATAGCTTCTAATGACTTTGCGGCCAGATGTTGTTTGACACTATTGGATTTAATAGCTTGTGCACGTAATTGTTGGTATTCAGGATCAATGGCATGGTTGTAACCCAAATTATGTTGTTTTATAAACATATCAGTTGCCATTGTGAATATTTCACAGACTGTGGCAGGTCTGGATACTTCTTTGGGAATTCATGACAATCAGTAAATAATCACAAATTATCGCCTATATCATATTTATATGAGCTTATAGAGCACTTAAAAAATGCTATTATAGTGATAAATATCAGTAATCCGTTGGGATAAGATTGCAAAAAGTGGAAATCTTCAAGTGTTGTGGTTCTGTGACACTCCGCAATATAATAACTTCAATTCAATTGCAGAAACAATTAATTGTATGTCACTTAAATTGATAAGCTTTCTATAAAAAATTACTGAAGTTTATTTATGTACTTGGACATAATACACATGTAACTTGTGATTTTGCATTCGATATTTTCCAATCTACCTGGCCTGAAAATGATTTTCATTTTTGCCCGCCACAATAGTAGCAGCAGAAAAGATCAAGAATATTATCTGGTACTAGATTTTCTTTTGCTTTTTGTTCTGATTGTCTCAATTTCATATCTGACTTGGAAGGGTAGAAGGGTTCCTCTATTTGACGATAAGCTTTTTCTTCTCGAGATATCTGTAATAAATCAGGTACACATTGCGTTGTTCGACTCTGAGTTGGAACAGCTTTTTTTTTGACATCCTTATCAATTCGAATCGCGATAACACTTTCTTTCACGAATTCCATCATGTAATGTAGATTACGGGAGTTGCATAATTCATGAAGAGCGCTTTCAAGATCGTTTAAGAAACCGTCAGAAGAAATGACTTGCTTTATTATTACCCTTATTGATGTATAGCCATTGTCGGCGGTTACTCTTATGTTCTCGATAAGCAGCGTAACAGCTGCTTTGGAATCTAGTCCACATAAGTTGACATCATAGTCTTCGGAATGGGTGTAGGTATAAGGGAAGACCTGTCTAGCAACTTTTGCATTCCAACATTTCAATAGTAGGGGTATTTTACTTAATTGAATACTCAAAAATTGTGCAATAGAAAAAATATTGTTCCAACAAGTACGTTGGAACTCTATTAGTGAAGTGGATTCATTATGTATTGTCTTTGTAAGTCCAACTTGTAGTTCCTCACATTTAGAATCAGTGTAGTTATTTTTTCTGGAATTGAACCCTTTTATGAAAAGATCGGCCGATACAACAAGTATAGCATAGTCTATCACAATCTTTATCAGTTTGCTTGGCAGTGACCATATGGTTGCAAGTACCAGCAAGAACCAATGGGTACCATATTTGTATAAATTCCACGGAGGGATTAGGTACCGGTGGTGTGCATCCGAAAGCAACTTGTATTATTCTTTAGAGCCTTATAATATGGGTGCCGTTATTCACGCTTGAAAAATATGAAAAATAAGAGTATTGTTGTTATGGTTCTTAACTTTTATCTATGATCTGCTCATCTCCTGCTTTACATCTAAAGCAGCTAGTGAAGCCAAGGTAAGTGATATTGTGTTCCAGTCTGTAATACTATTTGGGCAATACGGATTCGCAAGAGTTTTACATACCAAGATTTAATAAAGCGTTTTGAAGTTCTTATATCTTTTACTCAAAACATAAAGAAAGTATTTTTGTTTTCAGAACTTGATCCTCAATGGTTAGTATTCAAGCATTAGAGAGAATATCTTTGTTTTGCATAGTAGCCATTTTATTTCTTTTTCTTTTTACAATAGTTCCGTGCCTATATTCGCCAACCAAAAACATGTGTTGGCTTGCCATCCACAAGCCTACAATAGCCTACTTGCCATTGATGGCAACGCATGATCGAATCTAAGATTCTAAATTGGTAAGAACCGATCAGACGCATACAGCAGGGATGGCTTTCAGTTCTAAATCCGGTATCATTGTCTATAGAACGCGAAAACTAATCATAATATAGTTCACCTAGGCTGGCTCCTTAGTAGCTGTCCCAATTCGGATATTCAGGGTTCCACAAACAACCGCGATAGCTACTATCATCCGGAATGTTTGTTTGTTGTTTGTTTGTTATTGTTGGAAGCAATAGCAATTGTAAATTGGAGAAGTGATGCAATGAGATGCTGTGCGATGCTGTGCGATGCTCTGCGATGCTGTGCGTTGGGATAAGATGAGAGAGATCAAATCAGACCAGATGAGATGAGATGAGGTGTGAGGAATTGAAGGGTTCATCGCAGCAGTCACAACTATCAGGAAATTCAGTTAGATTTTCTGTGGAAGCTCCTTTGGTACTGACAGTAAGTAGTACACCCAAACACCATCAGAACTCTTTTGGAGAAGATTTTGGTTGACCAACTTCAGTATTTCCTAATTTGGAAATAATGTTACGTGCGTGAAAATTTTCCCAAAAATCTTTGAAACTTTTCCTTCACGCACTTGGTCAAGCGATTTCGGAAAAAATGTATATAAGCGATGGGTTTCCAAATGTATTAGATTTGTACAACAATATCTCACTTTCAAGAATAAAACCACAACAATACAAGAACCAACAATGGCTGCTGAGTATGTTACATTATTATTCCAATTGATATGATCAAAAAGTTACATCGTTAATTGAAAACATTCCATTTTTTTGTTAGTGTTAATGTCCAAAAACAGTGGTTTTATCTAACCTATTTTAAGAGCATCACTCTTATAGTATTAGTATTGATGTTATAGCAGTGATGTATTCAAAGAAAACAGAGTATTGAAGTTTTTCATGAAATGTTTTCAAAAGAGAGATACTTGTTTTTCTGAAAAGCAAACGAAAACATTGCTAGTTGATTTAATGCACTCTTGCCTTTTTAAAAAAAAGCACCAGGATAATATCTGTATTATCATGCATTAATCTCCAGTATGTCTCCGGTCTTCTCTCTATTCATCGAATGAAAAGTGGTGTTTTTCAGTTCGGTGTGACTTTTAATATCTTGAACTTGTCATTACGACAATAAACGCATAAAAGTGCAATTTTTGCTAACATTTTAAATTTTTCCTTTCCTCGACTATCTCTAACACTTGAAGTGACTTTCGACCTATTCACAACTATTTGAATGATGATGGGTATGAAGGTTGCTTAATGTGTATGGAATGATGTGCGACTTAGGAGGATTTCGTATCTGTATAGAAAGATCCTAAAACCAGAATCCCAATTGAAGAAGGCTAAGTACGACGAAAAGAAGTCCGAAGAATTCTTGAAGGCTAGAGCTGCTCGTAGAGTTGCTAACAAGCAAAAGAGAGCTGCCATCTTGGAAAGAAACGCTGCCCACCAAAAGGAATACGAGGCTGCTGAAAGAGCTGTCATCGATGCCAAGCGTGAGGCTAAGGCTTCTGGTTCTTACTACGTCGAAGCTCAACCAAAGTTGGTCTTCGTTGTCAGAATCAAGGGTATCAACAAGATCCCACCAAAGCCAAGAAAGGTTCTACAATTGTTGAGATTGACTCAAATCAACTCTGGTACTTTCGTCAAGGTCACCAAGGCTACTTCTGAATTGTTGAAGTTGATTGAACCATACGTTGCTTACGGTTACCCATCTTACTCCACTGTTAGACAATTGGTCTACAAGAGAGGTCACGGTAAGATCAACAAGCAAAGAATTGCTTTGTCTGACAACGCTATCGTCGAAGCCAACTTGGGTAAGTTCGGTATCTTGTCCATCGATGACTTGATCCACGAAATCGTCACCGTCGGTCCACACTTCAAGCAAGCTAACAACTTCTTGTGGCCATTCAAGTTGTCTAACCCATCTGGTGGTTGGGGTGTTCCAAGAAAGTTCAAGCACTTTATCCAAGGTGGTGCTTTCGGTAACCGTGAACAATTCATCAACAAGTTGGTTAAGGCCATGAACTAAGTTATGTAGTTGAAAAGCATTAATTATCTTTTTTACTAACAACCTTAATCATATTAAAAATTTTTTGTTCATTTTTTAAACAACTTCGCATCTTTTTTAATTATTACCCCCATTCAGTTCATTTTCCAAATCTCACCAATATTTAATATTATTTGTAATTATTATCGGGACTTATGTATATTATCTTTTAATTAAAGAATCTCATGAAAAACTTCTAACCTTGGCCAACAAACAAAAATAAAGAAGGAGTATAGATTCAACTGGAGTATTAACAGAGACATCATTTATGCTATTATTTTGAATGTAGTGCAGATGCGGTACAATATATATCTTGAGATTGCAAGTGCTTATTTCGCTTCCTCTATTATAATCACATACTACGGTTTTGTTTTGTGTGGGGGGAAATCAAAGTCCAATTGCCCTGCCCACTCTAAAACTGAGACAGAACAATGGGTAATAGTGCTAAATATCTGACACAACTGGTTGGACTGCTTTTAGATTAAATGCAAGACTGTTACTCCAGCTAAGACGTATCCAAATAATATATTGTACCAGTAGCGTACCTATATATACTGGTTAGCAGATAAAATTGAGCGGATACTGGACGCGCCCCTTTTGGTACTTTAGACGTTGACTTGCCACAGTTCTAATAATTGCAACTTATAGTGAACTTTTTAGTAAGCTAGGAAAAACGCAAACATATATACGTCATAAATATGTTTAATGTGAAAGGGGCCCTCAATAGGCTAAGAACTACGTGGAGCAATAGCGAAGAATCAGATCGAGATCCGCGGCATTTAAAGTCTAGCGATGATCTTAGCAATTACACAGGCTCTAGGATGTCTTATGAAGAAACACTTCCGCCTGTTACACTTCTAGGTTATTCTCCAAAGACTAAGAATAGACTCTTGCATCCTGAGATGTGTGATGAACTGCGGCCACTGATGCCTACTAGAATTCAACTCTACACTGAGTGGACATTATTATACAGTTTAGAACAACATGGTGCATCTCTACATTCACTCTATGATAAATTAAGGGAGGATGCAAGCACACCAAGGAGGGTTGGCTATGTCCTGGTGATCAAGGACCGGAAGGATGGTATCTTTGGTGCGTATTCGAATGAACCTTTCCATCCACATGAGCACATGCGATACAGTGGAAATGGGGAATGTTTCCTTTGGAAAATGGAAAGCGTACCAAATAAAATACTTCGCGCAAAAATACGAGAAGATAAAGATGAGGACTTGATCGATGTAAATGATGATGAAGATAAAATTAATAATTCAGGGACAGTTAACGAGTCCTGGAAGCTATGTGCTTACCCATATACTGGTGCCAATGACTTCATGATATATTGTACATCCAAATTTTTATCGCTAGGTGCTGGTGAAGGACATTACGGCCTTTGGTGTGATGATGGCTTAATGAAAGGTGTCACAAACCCAACTCAAACTTACGGTAATGATGTCCTCAGCCGGGAGGGCAGGAAGTTCACCATAATGGGATTGGAAGTCTGGAGAGTCGGCTAGCCCTTTGTACAATACAAAATATAAGGGCAGAACAGATGGCTGATGATATCCGATCCTTAATTTTAACTGCCTCACCAAATTATCAACTAAGTAACGACCATCATTTGTATATTCTTGCATCTAACGATCCTTCAAGTGAATCATTATTTATATATAATACAGCATTGATTGATTAAGATTATTAACAAAACAACAGGCAAAACCATAGTGTTCCAATATCTCACTGATAACAACGTATTATTTTATAGTGTATATATTTTTCTTAGTTTTTTATTTTGGTTATCAATTTGAAGGGACATCTAAGAAAAAAGAGCTTCAAAGGATAAGTGCAGATGCGAATCGAATTCCGATTAATAAGATTAAGATACACGCATTTCACAAGACTCTTTGGCAATACCAACTAATTACTTACATCTTTGCTAATAATAACGAAGAATTGGTATTTAATTTTCAATTAGAAGAGAAGGCCAATTAATTGTCTTTTGTGCAAAAGCAACAGGAGATAGAATAGCCAATGACGTCCTTATATGCACCTTCTAGCGAAGATGTTAAGCAAAGACTAAGGCCGTTTGGGTTCTTCTTTGAGAAGTCCTTGAAAGATCTCATTAAAGGTATTCGTAACAATAACGAAACACCTGAGAAGCTAGAGCAATATTTCACTGAGGTACTGAGTGAGTGTCGGAATGAGACTACTTCCCCTGATATGATACTCAAGACCAATGCTGTTTTGAAGCTAGCATATCTGGAGATGTACGGATTTGATATGTCCTGGGCAAATTTTCAGGTCTTGGAAGTCATGAGCAGTAATAAACTCCAACAGAAGAGAGTAGGTTACTTGGCAGCCTCACAATGTTTTCATGAGGATACTGATGTGCTGATGTTAGCAACTAACCTCTTAAGAAAGGACTTGAAATACTCTGGTACCAATGACACAGTGAAAGTTGGGATTGCACTAAGTGGCTTGTCTTCAATGATAACACCAGCTCTAGCTGCAGATATTGTGGATGATCTATTCACCATGCTATCCAGCTCGAAAGCATATATTAGAAAGAAGGCTGTAACAGCATTATTCAAAGTATTCTTGGAGTACCCGCAGGCATTACGTGACAATTTTGACAAATTTGCGAGGATGATCGAAGATGAGGATTTATCTGTTATTTCTGCAACAGTGAGTGTAATTTGTGAGCTGTCAAAGAAAAAGCCAGAACCATTTGTGATACTTTCACCGCTACTATATGATTTACTAACAACAATTGACAATAATTGGATAATAATACGATTACTAAAACTATTCAAGAATCTGTCCCAAGTAGAAGAAAAATTAAGACCTAAATTGCTTCCTAAAATTCTTGAATTAATGGATTCCACAAGCGCTACTTCAGTTCTATATGAATCAATAAACTGTATAGTTAGAGGAAACATGCTAGAAAATGATGATTATAGTACTGCAAGAGCATGTTTAGAACCATTGCATAGATTCTGTGAGTCTACAGATCCTAACTTAAGGTATATTAGTTGTACGCTATTCTATCGAATCGGAAAGATCAACCCGTATTTTTTAGTCGAGTATTCTGAGCTAATCATCAAATTACTAACAGATGTTGATATCTCGATTAGATCAAAAGCGTTGGAACTTCTAGAGGGTATTATAAATGAAGATAATATTAGGCTTATAACTACAATTTTGATGAGACAATTTGTTGATGAAGAAACGGTCAGTGTTAGTAGTGGAAGCTCATTACTTAACTCAATCATTGAGGTAAAAATAGTTATTCCAGAGGCATATAAGGTTAAGATAATTAAGACTATACTTAAGGCATGTGCGGCTGATAACTACAAAAATATACCTGACTTTGAGTGGTATAATGCAGTTCTGAAAGATTTGACCATTGTTTCACAAGATATGGCTAACAAAAAACTCGGAGAAACGATAGGAGAAAACCTGAGGGATATTCTTGTGAGGGTTCCTGATGTGCGCGATATTACAATTTCCAATATCATTGATATATTGTTCATTCCTGACATCGAGCAACAATTAGGTTCTGTTTTGAGAGAGTCTATTTGGTGTATAGGTGAATTTGCTTCTTATATTGAGAACAGTGATGACTTAATTCGTTTGCTTGTGCAGCGTGGAAAATTTTATAGTTCCGAACTGAAGCCCATTTTGATTCAGTCCGTGGTTAAAATATTTGCTTCTTGGGTAAAGAGCAATAATAGCACTACCATTTCGGAAGAAATTTTGACCGAGATACTTCATCTGTTAATAGCATTTTTGCAAGACTGTTGTAACTCTGGCGATTTTGATGTGCAAGAAAGGGCATTTGAATTTCTAGAACTTCTGAAGATTTGTGATGAATCTCGATCTTTAACGGAAGAGAAAATCACACCCTTGATGAGTCAAGTTTTGCCTGGGCTTTTCTCTGACTACGAACTTAACCCAATAGCTGTTGGTTCACAAAAACTAATTGAAATAGAACCAAGCATCGATCTGCAAACTCCATTCTTGAGTGATATGGACTGGACAATCTTAAAGCAACAATATTCTTTATCAGAATCTGAAAGTATAAATAGTGACAACACTTCCCTGCAAGAGAGTGATCATGAGGTCGATAATGAATCCGGTGAATATATTTCAGAAACAGATAGGCATCAAGTCCATGAGGGAAGCTTTTCAGAGGGCATTGTAGAAAATAATAACGAAGGAAATCCATTTTACCTCGGGAAAAGCGGTGACATTGGTATCAAAAGTAACACAGGAGCAGATGATCTTGATACCTCTTCTGGCCATATTCCAATAGCAGTTGGTATAACGATGGAGTCAGAAAGTAAAATGAAGAAAGCAAAGAAAAAGAAAAAGAAGGTTACTATATTGTCGGATGAAGTTGTCGGACAACCACAAAATGCAATACCTATAAAAGTAAAGCGTCCAATGAATATAGAGACCTCCAAAAGTAAAATCAACTTGAAAAAACAGACTAAGTTGGATTTATTTGATTTCGACAAAGGAACAGAAGAGTCCCATATGGAATTAAATCCAAATGAGTATGGTGATGATGAGGTTGGTCAAGAGGAATTGGAGAAACTGCGTGAAAAATTTGGCTCTCATTCGATAGAAAACTCTGCGGCTATTGGAAATGATGACGAAGTTGTTACTATAAAGAAGAAGAAGAAGAAGAAGAAGAAAACACGTCAAAAGGATGACAACTTGGATAAGAAGAAAGATAAGAAAGAGAGCAGCACACAAATAATAAGCGAGGATTCTGAGAACGTTCTCTGATTCAATAGTAGTGTCAATGCTGTTATGAAAATCATCTCCATGAAAAGTGCCAATTGTTCCCATATAGATGGTATTTAAGAGTTATTTCTCGGTAAATAAATATAGATTGTAAATCATTGCATGTATTTACTGGTATGTTATGATTGTAATTGAGCACAGATCAAATCTTTTTGATAATTACAGGCATTTTTCACTTAGATTAGAGGCTATTTTTGTTCAGTGGGCAAAGAAAAAAGGCGATGCGTGCAAAAAGAATATAAAGAAGTCCAATTCAAAATACTGTCCAAAACCAATGTATTTTGATATGAATAGCATTAGCAAAGGTGTATTCATATGTCTATAAGTTTGAAAGTTAAGGCATTTGATGTCTCAATACGCGATACTGAAAGGCAAACGCTGTGGTTTCGTGCCGTATACTATCTGTCAACCATTAGTGAAGAGATCTGTTTAACTATTTCTGACTCATTCATAATTGCCTCGGCTGTTAACAGTGCGTATACAAGCTCATGTAAGGTAACCTTTGAGAGAAAGTTTTTTGATAGTTTTGAATATAATCCACATGAAATTGTCTTTGGAGAATCAGGTTTACAGGTAGCTAAAGATGCCATCGGTGAGTCCAAGAAACTATACTCGTTGTTGATCAACGGAAAGCATTTGACGACTATATCCAAGGTCTCTTCAGACAGCGGACCGGTGAATGAATTTAAGATTGCAATTGATAATACTATATCATGTCCGGAAGCATTGGCAAACCGTCTTTTGGTTTCTATCGAAATGGAGTCATTGGTTCAGAAGGAATATAGTCCACAGTTTACGCCAACACAGTATAACCCGATTTTAGTTGATTTAAAATATAAAAGAAAATTTCTAGATGTATTCGGAACCACAGAGACGCGGTCTACATCTAATTCTCCCATTGATCCTAAGCTTCGGGAGATTTGTAGGAATATAGAACAAGAGTTATCAAAAGAGTTATTCACAGATGCTATAACAAGTGAAAATCGTGACCGTAATGCAATGATGGAAGAAATAAACTACATTTGTTGTAATCAATCTTTACTAAGAAATTTTGTTGATAATTGTAACACATCGCTAACTGATGAGATCCAACTTCAACTAGATACGCGAAGACTGATCCTAACGGCTTTCACAAAAGCCATATATGGGAAGGGCAATGATATACTGAAAAGTGCTATATCAATGAGTAATACTATTGCCCTCACTACACTTGAACATTGTTCAATATTTTGGGTTGAGGATAAGGAGATGTCAGGCAGAAAACCTATGGCCAAGACGATTGTATTCAAGTCTAAAGAGTTCAAGAATTTTGTTGCGATGAATACATCCTCAAGACAGCACGATTATTCGACAGGGTGTATCAATATATGGTTTTGTAATCCCGGCGATCCAATTCTGATGGAACATAAGAAAGGTAATGTTAAATTTGAACTGCTTCAGGTAACGGACTCGTATTCACAAGATAATTTACCTAAGGTCATTGCAGAAGGCATTAACACTAACAGTGAATCTCCAAACAAGTACTCGGTTTCACCCTTGCGAATGAGTGCCATAAAGTCAACTTCTAATATGAATATCAAGAAGGAACCACGAAACACTCCTTTAAGTAAAGTTTATAACATGTCTTCCGGTTATAAGGACATGTCTGATGGGAAGCCAAGTCCTACCAGGAGGTTATTTGTTGCTGATGATGATATGTCAGAAGGAGAGCTTCAATCAGAGAACCAATCTGTAATTGAAAGAAACAGCAAAGAAACAGCTTTCAATGTCATTCCAGTTCACGGTTTCTCAAACAGTCACCTTGATAAGGATGTTGGGATTGCGTTAAATGAGAGAACAGAAGCTACCAGAAATGCAACAATAATTGGATGGGGCTCGAATACAGACATGTCAGAGGTAACTACAAACAATGCTAATTCAGGGATAGATTTGTTTAAGAAGGAGAAACGTAAAATATATGAGCAAGAGGGTAGTCAAAGTAAAAAAGCTAAAGGAGAATCCCAATTTGGACCTACACAAACGGAACTACCTAAAGGTTTACTGGATTAATACTATTGTATTGTTATTTGGTACTGACTCTGGCGTATTATTTTTTTCAATGAAGGTTATAATGTTGAGTGGCCTTCCATGCACGACAGCCCTATTTATTTTTAGTCACTGTCTTTTTTCGTGGTGTTTCCAACTGGATCGTCTCATCTCATCGCAAATTTTAAGTTTTGAAAAAGTGAAAAAAGTCTACATTTAAAGTATGTGGTATGTGAGAATCAATGAAGTGTACAAGACTATCGGTCCGAAATAAATTAAAGACTATCTTAGTTTGTTCAAGTGTATCGATTATGAATTACGACGATGAAGATGATGATTCTTATGATCCATATAATGCTCTTCCCAAGCCAACCTTCAGTGGGGTGATTGGTGATGATACGGCTCATGTCAATAAGAAACCTAGAATACAGGAAAACTATGCACCTATTCAAAATATTTCCAACACATATGCATACAATACAGGAAATATGATGATGACTGGTTACCCATACCCTCCTGTCTATCAACAACCTCAAGGTGTTTATATGGCAACAAATAATCAATGGGATAACCGGTATCCCATGACATGGCAGCAATATATGCCAGCTCAGAGTAATAGCATATCTATGCATACACCAGATATTAATTACACCAATTACCACACACCACAACCCGTTGCTCCTTATATATCTGAAAATTCTAGAGGCTTTTTGGAAAGGCAGGACCCTGACAAAACTAGTACATCGAATTCGATTGTGAAGTCCGAGGACCTTGTAAGAGGTAAAAATACAAGTGAAATTCCTGATAAGCATAAACCAGTAAAACTTGCAAATAACAAGGATAGAGACAAGACAGGCAACAAGGATGATGATGATGATGAACTCAGTATCCCGAAGTCTGAAGAAGGAGCCAAGGTTCTTATTCCAGGTACATCAATATCTTTAGAAACAGAAGAGGATATTAAAAAATGGAAAGATGAAAGACGAAAGATGTGGTTACTTCGTATATCTAATAACAAGAAAGAGCATATGGAGAAGATGGGCTATAAAGACGAAGATCTTAAGAAAGAGACTAATGTATTGAAAGAATCCCGGAAGGATAAAAATTTTATTAAAAATATACAGTCTCAAATATCGAGAGCTAACCCTAACGTAAATTTGAATACAAGATTAGTTCAGAGAGGAATGGCGGAAGAGAATGCGAAGCTATTGGATTTCATTGTTGAACTTGGGGAATGTGGTTTTCTAGAATATGAGCTAACTGAAGAGGAGAAAGAAAAATTGTTTGGTGGATATTCTAATAATTTTAGCAATAATAGAAAGAACTATCATGGCCGTAGGAATAATAACAATTCAAATGAGAAGCGTGAATATAATGGTGCTAGCAGGTATAATAACGGTAAGAACAGTACAGTGGTTCAAGATGTTTCAGGTAAGCAAGAGAACAACTAGCTGATGTTTTCTGATATTATTTTGGAGATCATTGAAGTTATCGCTGCTCCTAGAAATGACCCAACTAGCATTCCTTCAAAATATCTAGATTTTTGCGGTCTGATTCTTTTATCAGTCTTATTCTTTTGGAATTTTTTCTTTGTGATACTCGGTAATAGAAATTTGACTTTGCGATTATTAGAGCCTGTCTGTTTTGAGATTCCCATTCGATTGTTCAAAATAGAATTTGCATTTGAAATGACTTTTATATTTTTACGATGCGGCACTTTACTTTTTCTCTTTCCGTAAGTTTTTGTTGGTTTCTCTGTCACTGCTTCATTTTGACCAGGCATTGACCTACTTCAGCTTTGAAATAAAAAATTGCATATGCCAACTAAATACAAAGCTATTCCAATACAGCATTATTTAATATATTTAAATAGAAAAATTAATGAAATAAGAAAATATCAATGAATATGAACTAGTATATGGGTAAGTACTACCTGTATTATTAATAAGAGTGAGTTTCATGATGAGACATATGCATTACAATTTACGAAGTTGGGCCATATTATAGACATTATATGCAATTTCCCTTTAGCTAACCACACAATCACTGGATTTTTTGTTAGATGCATTAGCATTCATGGAATTGTGCTTCTTGTTATTTTTTCTGGAATGATGGGAGTGCGTATGTTTATATGTTGCATTTGATGGTGTTTGATGGTGATTTGTGCCTCTTTTGTCCGTCTTTGTTTTAGGAATGGTTGATTTCTTGGGAAGTTGTTTTTTATCTGCTTCTTGTATAGCTTCATTTTCTTCTAGTTGTAATTGCTGGGCCAACTGCGCATCTTTATCAACTTGCTCCACTCTTTCTTTTCTCTCAGTAGCTTCCATTGTGGTGTACGCAGTATCATTCAATTCTGTCTCTTCAAAGATGCCATCAAAGAAAATGTCGTTAGAACCATCGATTGAACCCATGTACTCCCAAACAATATTATTACATGACCGAAATCCTAGGTCAGTTACCAGTGCGTATGTGTTTCCGTTATGTTTAGTGATAGTTGCAAAATGATCATTTCGGAACAGTACGGCATAATTGCCTTCTTTCATAGTAGTATTTATGTTGTTTAGACCATTTGGGGTTAATTGTGTAGACGAATCGTTTAGAAATTGTTCGATCAAGTTGGCTTCCGCCAGAATATTATCATCCTGTGGGTTGCCACTGCCTGGAGTCTCTCGGTCTCTGATGTCGACGGCCTGCGTCAGTAATTGTTGACTTTCCTCATAAGTATACTTTTGTACTTTGTCATCGCTGGATATCCAGCCATGGATGATATCAATATCGAATAGTTTGAATACAGAGAGCTCTTTCGTGTCTTCAAAAGTGCCATCGAACCTAGGGTTGATGTTCAAACCGGTGTGCAACTGGGGCAATAGGGACAGGAGCACAGAGAGTTCTTCATCCTTGGGGTTGGTAGCTATGGCGATGTCGGCCAGCACTGTTAGCAGCTGGTCGAGGTCTACTTTCTTCGGCTGGACGAGCTCAAGCAGCTCGCTATGTTCGTGGTGAGAAGAGAGCAAAAGGACGTTGGTCAACGCAACCAGGGCGCAGGGACCGTTCTCATTCTGCATGAGAATAGAACGGTCATTGCCATCCACGCGTATGCGCTTAGTAGCAAAGTTCATAGTATTATGGGGGAGCGATGATGTATTTAATTTATATGTATTCTGTTATCTAGGGCATCGCAATAGGCTACTCTCTTTTTTTTTTTTCAATCTGCTATATGCGATGAGCTTTGCTAGGAAAATTCAGAATTAAGAAACGTTAACATTTAGTTGTGTGTGTGTGTGTGTATAATACATATATAAGTCAATAGAAAATAAATACTTTGAGCATTAAGGTGTATAAATAGCTTTTGGTTCAATTAGAGGGGAAGTCTCATTATTTTTTGTAGTCCAAAAAAAAATCATAAAGGAATATATAATCGTAGTCTGTGGTGTAGTTTTTGTATGTGCATGTGTACATCAAACGACCTATTTGTGGATCTGGTCTATAATCTTTTGATCCACGTCTTTCTTCTTCTCGTCAGAGGGTGAGTCCAGGTCCAGCGTATGTGCTGGACAAGGCAGGAAAGAGCCGATAGCTACCGAGGAGAAAGCCACCAGAAATGTAGAGAAGTACAGGTTATTCATTAGTTTGTTCCGAGCAACCGCACGCATCTTTTGTTTGTTTGTTTGTTTTTTTCAGTGTATATATTGATAAAAGTGTAGGGTTGGTGAGGGTATAATGGTCAGCGCTACTTATTTGAACATCTTTACAAACTTGAAGTATCAAGGAACCAAGAATATATAATGGATTCCATCAGTGAAAAGTTTCTACTTGCCTCGAGGATTAGTAAAAGCAAAGAGCAGGGACCACGCCTTATTGGTTCAACGGCCATTGTGCGAGTGTTCCACTGGGGCTACGGGGAGTACCCGTCCAAGTGAAAATCGGTCAGAGAGGAGAGTACAGAAGGATGGTAAGTCACAACCAATTAGAGAGAAGCTGGTCGAAGAAAAAGTGGGATGAATCACTTCCCATTCAGGAGATTTCATTGGTACCCTTGCTTTGCTATTAAGAGGAGAAAATAGAGCACAGAAACATCCGCAGGGAGGAAGGGGGGAAGAAATGTGGGGGCGGGGCTACCGGAAAACAAAGCAGAGGGACAAAGTCAATAGTCACGTGCCAGGGAGTCATCAATTTTCAATCAGTTTTCACGTCGGTGTTATCGGTGAAGTTCTTTGTACTCTTTGTGAGTAGTTTCGTATCAAAAACCATAAGCATGTATCGTCAACTACGTGTTTGATATCGTGATTTGTGGCAATCACTAAAGACGGGCTGCTCGGTTGGCTATGTTACCAGAAACTTGCACTTATACTGTATATATCTCGAGCAGATTTCAAAGTTTAACTCTAACTTAACTCTGAAAATTGAGTTTGTGAGAGGCAAATCGCCTGGCATAGTTATCGCAAATATATAGAATATTATTAACCCACTGATGTCACAATGCGTATAGGTATGTATTACATAAACACATATATTTGCTCGTTTTCTGACTCGTAATCTTGAATCGCCCACATCTTACTTTATCTCTTACCACCTGCCCCCCCATAGGGTGACTCCGAATTACAAAGTGCTGGAGCTGAGAAATGAGCAAATTTAGAGAAGTAAGACAGACTTCCAAGTCAGCAGTATCACACAAGCAAATTCGTGCAAAACAATGGGATTCGTGGAGATAGGTGTTAGGCGATAGGAGAATGGCGGTGATAAACCGCTATAAAAAGAACGGAAAAACTTTATGGCGCGGCCGGTAACGAGCTGTTTTGGTGTTTTCAAAAAAAAAAAAAGAAATTATTTTTTCCGTTCAGCTAACTCCCCCAGAACTCTCTCAATGGCCAGGACTTTACGTTAGGATATAGTGGTTACGGCCGGTGTGGGAATATGCAGTCCGAATCTTGTAGAGGGGTGGTGGGGGGGTGAAAGCTAGTTGCCTAACACTAGTTGTGTAAATCAAGTGCTATAAGACAAAGGTCTGCCCGAACGGCTCTGTGCATTATTTGGTAATGTTCTCCAAAAACAAAATTGGACCCTTTCTAAGATGCATAATTGCATTGTAATTAGCAAATATTGCCAAATGGAAAAATTTGTTAAACCGTAAAACTGCAAAACCGTATCTGCAAATGCTAATCTAAACATATTTGCTCATCGCATCAATGGCATTAGGGTGTACCCGCGTGGTTATATCAATCTGTCTACCAGTATGCCACTATTTTTATACAAAAAAAAGAAGTAAAATAGTAAAAGTATAAAGTATAAATATACCTGTCGTCTGTTGCATATTACTTCACAACTAACCCTTTTCCTACAGAATATCAACAATCACAACTGATAACAACAAAAATGGTATCTGAAGCTGATACAGAGGCTCAATATAACGGTTCTGATCGTCTAAGGCCTGCGGCTTTCGAGGCGAGTGCATCCGATGCCCTCTCAAGGGTGATGACTGAGACTTACTCAATGGAAGTCCGTCAAGGGCAGGAAGAAGCTGAAAACCAAGCTGCAGCACATAACAGTGAGAAGCAGGAGGTTGTATTTTCGAGCAGGGACTCGAACTCTTCAAACTCTTCGTCACACCAAAAGGGCTCTTACTCGGACACACAGGGGAGTCATACTGCCGGGTTCTTCCACAAGTGTGTACACTTACTAAAGAATATACTTAACCCCAAATTAGAGTCACATAAGTCTGTACTCGCTTTCCAATTCTGCTTCACAAACGTCCTGCTAGCAACTGTATGTCTATCCATCATCTGTATCTATTGGGGTGCAGCCTATAGGACGGAACATTATTTGTTCAAAGTTAACATCCTGTCTGTGATCCAAGACCAGGACTATAACAACATTCAATCAATGGCAAGCACACTCCCTGCTCTGATAGATCAAACACCAGGGACATGGCATCTATATAACAGATCAAGTTTTGTGGAAAAATATGGCATTGAGAACACTTCAGAGGCCGTTGATAAAAAAATAACCGATCTAATTTTCGAGGAAAAGTATTGGATGTCTTTAAATGTTAAAACAGGTGCAACCGAAGCACTATACAACTCCTTGACTGATAACACAGCTCCAGCGTTCAATTCAAGCGCCTATTTTGAATGCATGTTTGAAAGTGGAAGGGACCCAACAAACTTGAAATCCGCTATATTACCAATTATGCAACAATTGCAAGCGGCATATGTCCAGTATTATACTTCAACTTACCTACCATCGATGTTGAGAAATGTAAGTGCAACTATAAACTCTATCGGTGACGTTAATCCATTGAGTCTGGCCAACTCAGGTAACTTTGAGTTCAATTACATCGACTATAGGCCCTTTTTTGACCGTGTTCTATTGGCACCATTACAAGTCGGGTTAATCTTCACATTAATTTTGACTGTTGTACAACTGTCACTATATGGTCCAATGCATGCCAAGATGGTAAGAGTTTTCAAGCCTAAGCACTTTTTGCTATACAGATATGGTCTATCGTGGTCAACATATTTTATTTTATCCCTATTTTTTTGCACTGTATCAGCAATTTACCAAATTGATTTTACACTAGCGTTCGGAAGGGGTGGTTTTGTCATTTATTGGATTACCACATTCTATGTCATGTTGGCCATCGGTGCTACTAATGAGAACGTCATTAGTTTGATCGTAGCATATTGTCCACAGTACATGCCAATCTGGTTGATCAGCTGGATTATATTAAATATTTCGCCTTCATTCTATCCAATGGTTCTTAATAACCAATTTTACCGCTACGGTTATGCCATGCCTTTGCACAACGCTGTTGACATCTACCGTGTAATCTTTTTGGATTTGAGCCGTAACAAGTTGGGTAGAAACTATGGTATTTTGACAGCTTGGGTTGCAGTAACCCATATTATATTCCCATTCGTCATGAAGATTGCTGGTACCAAGATGAAATCGAACGCAATGAAGCAGGCGCAGGCTACAATTGCTGCATATGAAGCCAAAAAAAATCAAAGTTAGTGGTGACTTTGAACTGCTAATTTTTCAATAACAGGCATGTCTCTCTTGAGCTTTTCACAACTGCTTTCATATTGAATCGTAATCTTTATAATTTACAAATCCAATGATTCAATCTGAAAAGGACTCTATAAATTCAATAATCTGCATTCTATTTTACTTTATTTCAAAATAGCTAATTAATTAAATCTCGGATAGAAATTTTAATATTAAACAAACATTTCACTTAAGTAGCTTCAACTCTATGGCTTCTTTCTGAAGGCTATATATATATATTCTCTTTATGAGTGAAGCTAACGATTATTGCTGTAAATTACCCGGCATCTATAAACACGACTTTCGGATCAGCACAATTTAGCTAACTCGCGTTATTGTGGATCACGCGATGAGCTGAACAGTGAGAATATAGTGTCAAAATGAAGAGTGGCTCACTACAATATAGTCCTGGGTGATACTTTCAGGATCTTAACCGGATCTCATCAATTTGCCCTATTTGTCTTTCACCTAACACATACGCACACTAACGATTGTTGAGAAACAAAAGAAAGGGAAGCACAGAGTTTATTGTTATAAACGCATCGGAATAATACTACTCCAAGAAATAGTTCTGATCAAGTAAACCAGGCCACTACTTGAAGTTGATAATAGTCGAGCGCCATGGATGAAAGCCAGGTTGAAAGGAAGAAATCTTATAGGTGGGTGAGTGCTTCTCAAGCTACGTATGATGGTGCTGGATGGGATAGTAGTAGTGAAAGTGAGACAGAAACAAGGTCACAACCGAAACTTGGAAAATTAGATGAAAGTCTGCCATCTCTACCTAAACTAAACTATGATAATACAGATGTAAGCCAATACAAAGAAGAAGATGATGAAGACACAGACAACCGCACTGAGAAGGCTGGCGAAATAGGAGCTGGCACACTACATTCCAATAGTGAGATCCAGAATGATGTAATAGTCGAAGATGACCCTGTAATAAAACAGACACCTGACATGATAGATAAAGATACCCTTTTAACTAGTCCAACGGCGCACAAGGAGTCCAGTCCATCCCCTAACGGGTCGAGACATACTTTCTCTAGGCGGCCCCTACCAAATAGAGCAGTAAATGAACATTTAGATGATTTGATGCTTGAGATTTCAAAAGAATTGACACCCAAACCTGAACAAGAGGCAGTATTTGGAAACCATTCTCCACGGAAAGATATTGATTCTGATTTACCTAACGGGAAGGAAGATCAGAAACTAAATGGTAGTAGGTTAGGTCTTTTAAATGAATCAATTGATAATGAATCAGATATGCCAAGTGTTGATGAGACGAGAAGTAAGGACGTTGATGAAAATGGAGAAAAAGATAGAGAAGATAGATTTGACTACTATGATGACGATAGTGAGTTTTCAATTGATAGTGAAATTAAGCAGGCTCAAAAGGCGTCATTAGAGGAACTGCAATCAGAATTTGACTCCGATCCACAGACCTCAAATATTGCCAAAAGTTTAGAGGGCATGAATTTGGAACATGACGCTGAAGAAGAATCGGTCAAAACTAACAGAGACTCCAACGTCTCTGATCTGCAAAAAGATCAAAGAGAAATTAATGAATCAAATATAGAAAACTCAGACAATGACTCTCTAGAACTACCATTGACAGAGAGTTCAAGTGATGAGTTAGAAAGCGCTGATCATGGAGATGCGTTGTCTTTTACAGAATCTATTCAATATGACCAATCAGATGGAGATTCAGAGCCTAATCAAGGTGATGACGCAAGTCTAGTTAGTAACAGAGTGCAGCAAAACAATGTGAATACTGATGCAGAAAGTGCGGACGATATTGCGAAAGATAAAATGGACGACCATGCTTCTGGAATGGATTTTGAAGAGGATGAAGTCCTAAATTCAACATTGACCGATGGTGATGTACATGTGCATAAGTCTGGATACTTCAAAAAACTTGTGGCTGAAGAGTTAGGAGACAAAAAATTAGATGATGGTAAATCTTTGAATAATGTAGCAAGCACTCAAACCGCATCCACTGAAGATAAGGTCGCTTCTGACACAGAAGATGTTCAAGAAAGTAAGGCCGACAATGATGATACTAAAAATGATGCACATGTTAGCTCAAATAGAAGTTCAGTGACATCTGAGGAATGGAGGCCTGACACAGATGCCTTAAGGGATGGGTTCATGCAGAAAACTGGGGATAACCCCCCACCAGGTTTTGTACGCGATGAAAAAGGTGAATTAGTAGATTTGACGCCTGCTAGCATGAAACCAAGAGTCGTGTCTACTTATTCTGAAATTGAGAGTACGTGGAATGCGTTTCCATCTGAAGACGCTGATGATTTGGAAACGATAAGAGATACCAAGACATTGTATGATAATAGTACGCTATATAATGTTCCTGGTATTATGACGAATAATGACGCTTTACCGCCACTTCCTGAAGATGCGTCTTTATATAGGGATAGCAATCAAAGTGATGCAGTTGGCAGCCAAGATAGGGCAAGAGCAGCATCTGTTACTAGGAAGGTATCCAAAGAAGGAGTTAACATTGCTCAACCAACTAGTCAAGAGATTAATAAACTATCTGAACAGAATACTATGCCTACTCGTGATCTAAACAAAATAATATCGAGTAATTCAACACATGCCATAAAGTTGGAAAATTTGAGGGACTACCGAAACACATTGGATAATTTCGATTCAGGATTGCAAACTTGGATTGCATATACATTAAAGTCCTCTTCAAAAACAGATCGTGATTTTATATTCCAGGAATACAAAAGCAACAGCCATGTCAGAGAGGCGTATGCAAATGCAGATGATTTGAGTAGAAAGAATACTGTCATAAATACTGTGACAAATGTTAATCAAAATGTCAACCATCTACGTAAGAAGGTGCTACAGCATTCTCTGAAACCAAAAACTCTTTTCTCCTCTATAAGTAAGAAGAAGTTATAGTACTTATGTAGAAGTTTATAGTTGAAAATCTCTTTGCATATATTCATCGCATCAGGACATTAACATTCTATCATACTATTTCACTTTTGATATAAATGGAAATCTGATTGGCTAACGTTATGTCAGTCAAAGTGTTGTCGTTATATATGTAATAGTTGTTAATTGAGTGTAAATAGTTAGTATATAATCTATTGTTTAGATGCATTAGCCACTCTTTTTTCTGCATGAGCCCGGATTTCCTGCTCCATAAGATCTCTGATTCTATGTGCACCAGCTATACCAATAGCTAAAACGTTTTCAATTCTATCCAGCGGTATTTTATCTTCTATTTGTAGCAAGGAAAGTTTCTCAGATTTACCAACCACACCCAGTGTGACTGCACTCATCGCATTTTCTTCCAGGGAATTGATATCCAATAATGGCGTGGTGTCGTACAAACCCACAGAAATGCCGCTTACATAGTCATACATTGCTATACCAGCATCAATTAAAGCCAATGATATACCGTTCAAAAGTGTACCCATTATTCCTCCGTCCTGTTGTAATACGTGTATTTCGATATCTATAAGAGTTCTTGGATACACATGTAGCATGACATTTTTCTCAAATGTTCGCACCAGAGCTGTTTGCATCTCGAGAACTCTTCTTTCATTTTTATGACTACTTTTACTTCTTTCAAACTTTGAAAACTTGGTTATATTCACTGTGACTTTCAATATCGCCTTTTGGATATCCATTTGAGATTTTAATGTGGGCTCCTTGGGACCCTTCACTAGCGTTATAACTTTGTTATTACCTTGTTCCAAATATGAAGAACCGTCTGCGGCATGTGGGTGCGTATTGATGGCACTCTCGAATCGACGCAATTCATTCCATCTTCTACCGTCTAAACGCAAGCCTTCTGGGGAATATATCTCAACTCTCGACATATTGAATAGCTAAATCTTTCTCTAAGCCCAGGTCACTGTACTGATGGCCTTCCACTTACCAAAAATTCTACGCAATAGCTGGGGTCAATCAGATTTGTTCTTATAACTTTTGTTTCCACGTCTTATTATTGTTAGTAGCTCATCGATTTTTCAGAATTTCAAATTTCAAATTTTTTTTCAGAAGCGATGGGCTAAACACTGCAAAGACCCCAAGGGAATGCAGAAGATAAGTTGAAATGCACTACTTCATTCATAAGTGCAATTATTTGGCATATTGGCCATTACAATTGGCTTAGTATAATAAGATCGCCAGATTCAGGTTTTATCTTAGAGTTACTTTTTGGGAGCAATGCAAGGCGAAGGTTATTACCTAGGGCTGGATTTATCTACGCAGCAATTGAAATGCCTTGCTATCGATGGTGATATGCAGATCAAGCACACCGAAGTTGTGGACTTTGACAGGGATCTTCCACATTACAACACGCATAAAGGTGTATATAGCCACGGTGATGTAGTTGAATGTCCCGTTGGAATGTGGTTAGAGGCCATCGACCTGGTGTTCGAGAAATATAAGGGTGCAGGTTTTGACCTGAGTCAGGTGAAGGCTATTAGTGGTTCTTGTCAACAGCATGGATCTGTGTATTGGAAAACCGGGGCTGGTGACTTATTAAAGCATCTTAATGATGCCAATGGAAACCTGGTGGACCAATTGTACCCGGATGGATTCTCTAGAAAGACTGCTCCAAACTGGCAGGACCACAGCACTGGTAAGCAATGTACGCAAATTGAGAAAAAAGCAGGTGGTCCTGAGAAACTTGCTGAAATAACCGGATCCAGAGCCCATTTTAGGTTTACTGGTCCTCAGATAATGAAAATTGCTGAGAATGAGGAGGATAATTACAAAAATACGGAAACCATCTCTTTGGTCTCAAGTTTTTTGACCTCTATATTATGCGCTAAACTTGTTCCTATAGAAGAAGCGGATGCATGTGGAATGAATATTTATGATATAAAAGCCAAAAGATACGATGATTCTTTGTTGGATGTGATTTCAGGCAAATTTGGTAAGGAAGACCTACTAAAGAAGCTAAGTGGTTCTGTTACAAAATGTAACTCTCCACAATTGATGGGAAACATTGCCAATTATTTTGTATCCAAATATGGATTCGATAGCGAATGTGCCATTTATCCATTTACTGGTGATAATTTGGCAACTATTTGTTCTCTACCGCTAGAGAAGAATGATATCTTGGTGTCTTTAGGGACAAGCACTACTATTCTAATGGTTACTGACCAGTATCATCCCTCTCCTAATTATCATCTATTTACCCACCCAGCAATTGCCAATTGTTACATGGCAATGATATGCTATTGCAATGGATCTCTTGCTAGAGAGAAAGTAAGAGATAGTTTAAATGAAAATCAAAGTACTAGCTGGACTAACTTTGATGAGGCTGTTCTTGATGAAAGTCTTGATACATCTGGTGAGTTGGCTGTGTATTTCCCATTGGGTGAGATTGTTCCTAGTGTTGATGCAATCACTAAGAGGGTGTTGTATGACCCAAAGAATTGTGAAATTGTCAAGTACGTAGATAAATTCGACAATAATCGCCACGATGCTAAGATTATAGTGGAATCACAGGCTTTGAGTGCTAGGGTTAGAGTTGCTCCACTTTTAAGTGGAACTGTTGATGAATCAAATGATGAAAAATCGGAGACCATGGTTCATTTCGATTACGATAGTATGAAATTCTCTGAGTACTCGTCTAAGCGACCAAACCGAGTGTATTTTGTTGGTGGTGCATCAAAGAATGATGCCATTGTTAAGAAGTTTTCTGAAGTTCTAGGGGCTAAAAATGGTAATTTCAGACTTGAGACACCAAATTCTTGTGCTTTGGGAGGTTGTTTCAAAGCGTTGTGGTCGGATCTATGGAAAAAAAAGAAGATAGATGAGAAGGTTACTTTTGATTCCTTTTTAAACCGCTATTTCCCCACTGATGAATTAGAAGAAATAAAGGTAGATGATATCACAAAGAAATGGGAAGCTTACAAAGACAAGATTATACCATTGAGCAAATTAGAAGAAGAGTTAAAGTAATTTCTAGAAGTCCCCTACTTTCATCTTTATTGAATCCTCCTGAAAGTACAAGGGTTTTAAAAGTAATTATTAAATGTAGGTTTTCTATAATGTAAATAGATGAAAATAGTTTTATTAGATATTCGAACTTAATTGCTCATGCAGCCCAAGACTTCACTAAACATTATCCCAATTCAATACATTCATTTGAACAGTTTCTGATATGGACTCTTATATCGTCTTGTAAGATGTGAGGGGTCCCCGTTGAAATCGCTGCCCCTCATCAAAAGGACATCGACTACTTTAGCAAGAATCGTTACAATGGTACTGATCAAACGGGACTTTTGCAAAGGTAAAATAGACGACCAAGTATTGGAATAGTCAGAGTTTCTTTAAACAGATACAAATACTTCTTGTCCCAGAGAAACTGAAAGGAATCTTTAGGTCACTAAGAGCACTTATCGGATAAGAAATAGGGCAATTGAAGACTGCTAATAGACAAGCAGATTAACTAGAGTTCAGTTCAATTGGTTTACTTTTTGGTTTAATTTTTGTTACAAGGATTTTGCTTCAGCATTGATTGTGTAAAATCTTTAACTTTGGTTTGAAGTTTTTTGTTTGGTCTGTGATAGTGGATAATGTTGAGTGCAAGGGTTTTATTGAACAGGTCTCAATTGCTGTGTAAGAGGCAATGCCTCACTGGCGTTAGTGTTGGTCTTTCGAGGTGCTTTTCTAGTACTAGGATGTCGCTCGATGTGTCTCCATTCCTGATGCCAGCTATGTCGCCAACCATGGAGAAAGGTGGTATTGTCTCGTGGAAGTTCAAGGAGAATGACAGTTTCAATGCAGGTGATGTTCTGCTGGAAGTTGAGACGGATAAAGCGCAGATCGATGTCGAGGCGCAAGATGATGGTAAATTGGCAAAGATCATTCGAGGGGACGGCAGCAAAGATGTGCTTGTGGGCGATGTGATAGCGTTCACCGCTGATCCAGAAGACGACCTCTCCACTTTAAAGATACCTGAGGTCACTGAGTCTATGAAGCAGGTGTCATCTGGGAGCGGCAAGGAGGACCAGAAGCCAGCTAAGTCTGAGGAGCCAGCTCCTCTTCAGAGGAAAGAGGGCAAAAACGTAAGTGAGTCAAAGACAGCCAAGTCTTCTGGTGACGTGCTCACGACAGCCGATGCGTCTCAGACTCTGTTACCCTCGGTAGTAATGGCACTAGCTGACAATGGTATCAGCAAAGAAGATGCGTTGGCGAACATCAAAGCATCTGGGGCCAACGGTCGCATCTTGAAAGGTGATGTGCTAGCGTATGCTGGCAAGATTCAGCAGGACTCTGTGGTTAAAGTTGCGGAGTACGTTAACCGGAACCAGAAACTAGACCTGTCTAACATTGAGCGTATAGTGCTTGAGGTCAATTCAGAAGAGGGAGGCGATGGACAAGCACAAGCACAAGCACAAGCACAAGCACAAGGTCAAGGTCAAGATTCAGGCAAGACTGGCAAGCTTGCCAAGCCAGCTCAAGTTGAGCCTATTCGGATACAGGAGGAGATACTGTTGGAAGTGAGGAGAGGTGTTGACTTCACTAGGTTTGAGAGGGCTGTCCGTGAGTATATCGATGATATTTACCAGTACACGCACGAGCAACCGTTGGAGAACACTATGTCTGAGCGGTATGACAGTCTATTTGAGGATCTCGTTACCGTTGACCCCAGGTCTGCGCGGTTTGATGTTGAATACAGTCTTTTAGAGACCACTGATGGCTCAGAGGATATCTTTGACTTGTTGGGACCCGGTGAGGTTAAGGAGGGCAAGCAAGTGTACAGCTTAGAAGTGAGTGTTACGGTGAATGACAAGTACGACGACGCTGTTGAGAAGGCCGATCGGTTCATGGAGTGTCTGAGACAGTTACAGTTTGATGTATAGTTAAATAGACCTGTATTTAAGAAAGAAATATATTCTTACAGATATCGATGTAGAGAATTTGCCCTGCTATAACAAGAGGTGCACCAGCGTTACAAACGAATATTATAGTGATGGTAGTAATTTATGTTTTGGTGTTGAAAGATGTGATTTTTTGCAGACATATATACCACACACTTTACGGGGACCAAGTGTTAAGAGAGCAATGGGGGGGGAGGGAATAAATTTGGGAAATTCTGGTACCTTCGTAGGAACGGTATAATCAGGTGATCATATCACTCACAATATCACTCACATATCTTCCAATATTACGTAGTAACTGTGCCACCAATAAATGTATGGGTGTTAAGTATGTATTCTCTGTGGGTCCCGAGAGAATGCCCCGTGTGCAGCACTGCAGCACGTAGAGATGTACGGGGGGGGGGAAAGGTTTTCGGGGTTCCACTTTTAGTGGAACCCCAGTGAAGAGAGAAGGACCAAAGAAGAGAAGAGAAGGGAAGGATGTTTACGTCATGCAGGGATTGTCCGTCTCCCGAGAACCGTCGTGGATCGGGGGGGGGGTGGGTGAGAGAGAGAGACCTACAAAGGACCAAACAGGAATCCCCTTTGTATCTGTGGACTCGAGAGACAATGGGAAGGGAAAGAAAGGGGAGCCCCACTGCAAGACGAGACAAAGCACCACGGCACGTCCTTTTCAAACAGAGTTCCCAGAAGTAGAGGGAAAAAGAGGAATCCACCACACCAACACCCGACCACCACACCAAGGACCAAAGGAAAGAAAAAGTAACGAGACCCATCCCCCCTAGAGCAATACCCAAACTTGTTCATACTACGCACAGTACTGCCATACCACACTACCACACTACAAAACTGCCACATTACCACACTACCACACTACACTATACTAAGCCCAATGTCTTGTGCATAGTGTGAGGACATTGCATAGTGTGAGACAAGTGTTGAAGTGTTTAAAGTGCTAAAGTGGTAAGTGCTAATGTGGTAAGTAGTAAATGGTAGTGGTGCTTTTGATGGTTCCAGTACAATAGAATATCGAAGAACAATTGGGAGACTACCTTCTTGGTGCTGAAATTTTTTTCTTGCTTCCCCCCCCGATTCCAAAAAAGATATATAAAGGGACAATTGTAATAGTTAATTGCAATCTGAATATTCATCTTTCATTTCTTCTCTTTTATCAATTCTCCTCTATATCATCAAGGAATTAAAACACCTACAAATCACAACAAACATAACATCAAAAATGGTTAGAATTGCTATTAACGGTTTCGGTAGAATCGGTAGATTGGTCTTGAGAGTCGCTTTGTCCAGATCCAACATTGAAGTTGTTGCTGTCAACGATCCTTTCATCACCACTGACTACGCTGCTTACATGTTCAAGTACGACTCTACCCACGGTAGATACGCTGGTGAAGTTACCCACGATGACAAGCACATCATCATCGATGGTAAGAAGATCGCTGTCCACCAAGAAAGAGACCCAGCTAACTTGCCATGGGGTTCTGAAAACATCGACATTGCTATCGACTCCACTGGTGTCTTCAAGGAATTGGACACTGCTCAAAAGCACATCGACGCTGGTGCCAAGAAGGTTGTCATCACTGCTCCATCTTCCACCGCCCCAATGTTCGTTGTTGGTGTTAACGAAGACAAGTACACTTCTGACTTGAAGATTGTCTCCAACGCTTCCTGTACCACTAACTGTTTGGCTCCATTGGCCAAGGTTATTGACGAAGCTTTCGGTATCGAAGAAGGTTTGATGACCACTGTCCACTCCTTGACCGCTACCCAAAAGACCGTCGACGGTCCATCCCACAAGGACTGGAGAGGTGGTAGAACCGCTTCCGGTAACATCATCCCATCCTCCACCGGTGCCGCTAAGGCTGTCGGTAAGGTCTTGCCTCAATTGCAAGGTAAGTTGACCGGTATGGCTTTCAGAGTCCCAACCGTCGATGTCTCCGTTGTCGACTTGACCGTCAAGTTGCAAAAGGAAACCACCTACGATGAAATCAAGAAGGTCATCAAGCAAGCTTCCGAAGGTAAGTTGAAGGGTGTCTTGGGTTACACTGAAGACGCTGTTGTCTCCTCTGACTTCTTGGGTGACTCCAGATCTTCCATCTTCGACGCTTCCGCCGGTATCCAATTGTCTCCAAAGTTCGTCAAGTTGGTCTCCTGGTACGACAACGAATACGGTTACTCCACCAGAGTTGTCGACTTGGTTGAACACGTTGCCAAGAACTAAAAATCTTAAAAGATATTTATTATAACTTATCTTTTATTTTTTTTATAACCAAATATTTTATGACATAAAATTTTATAAAGTTTTCAATGAAATAAATTTATATAAATTTATTAATGAATGACCCGATTTTTATTTTGATCATTTGGAAAAGTATCAACAGAGCATAGTATAGTATTGCGCAGAGTGTAGTGAAGCTGAACTCTCACGAGCATAAGTTCAAGCACAAGCAATTCTACATTACTCCTCATTACTACGCAGATTGTTATTTAGTATTTAAAATATCATTTTATAAGAAGAATCGAGGCTTTACATACAAGTACCATAACACAGCAACAAAACCCAATAACAAATAGATGAAGCGGTGGCTCAATGGTAGAGCTTTCGACTCCAGTTAAACTCTGGGATTTTCCTCGGAATTCACGATTGCAATCGAAGGGTTGCAGGTTCAATTCCTGTCCGTTTCATTTATATTTTTTTAATTTTTTTGCGTTTCTCTGAAACTAAAAGTGTGTTTCTATTTCTTTTTCTTGTAATAAAAAGACACTTCAAGTAAAAGAACACAAATCAATATGTAACTTGCATAATCATTAAAGCGAGCACTCCACCTCACTGTATGCACAATCCGCAGACAATGATATCTATATAGAGATGGCTGAGCTCATTCCCCCAATAAGCCCAGCCAACAACTTTTTTTTCGTTTCCAGGAACGCGAAAAGAAGTTGGGAAACAGAAACAAACAGGCTGTTTCGTGTCAAGGCCAAACACTACGCAATTTTGCACAAGAAAAACCCAGCCAAATGGTATAATACCTATGCTAACCAAATGAAGGCTGGTGTGTAGTTATGGAACCAGCCTTCTTTCGTGGGTTTTTTTCTTGCTTTTACTGCAAACTCGTGCAGTCCTACGTTATAGTATCTTGGAATGGCTGGTGTCTGCTCTCACTTGTACATTGCCCACATTAGGAAGTCTAAGTACGACAAACCTCCCCAATACTGCTGGCATTTCACATGCGCATAACACAAGCTCTGATATAATTGCCATTGCCTGAAGACTCTTAGTGTAGAAGTGGAAATTGGGCATACTGCTATACTCAGATCTTCAAGAGAAATTCTCCGCAGAAGCAGGGAACAAAAAGAAACGAAAATCATTTCTCGAAACCACGAAAAGTATGCTAATTATAGCAACCTCTCTTGAGAATAATAAGCATTACATTTCGAGTACAAATGAGCTGCCCCTCCCCATAGTGCGTGTAAATGACTTTGAGGAGACTCGATATTTCTATCCGATTACAATTACAAAGTAGTATTGCTGTTTCTATTCTTATCCGTAATGCACCGGTGGACTTCTTTCTTTGACACCGCAGTTTGACCTTGACCATAATTGGAAAAAGTGTCCAATTTAGCTGTAATCCATTTCTCGCCGCAACACTCCCCCGAGTGCTACCATATATAAGAAAACAAGTGCTTGAAAGTTCTAAATATTTCCTGCTGTATAGAAACTTTCACCCCGCACCATAGAGTTTCTTGCTAAAGCAGAATCACATAACAAAAAAAGGCTATTAAGTTGCTCACATTATAATGCTCTACAATTACAAGAGAAGCTTAGCGGTTGGTATCTTGGCGAGTGTTGTTGCTGCCGATTCATGCGATCCTCTGAAACAGACTAACTGTCCAGCCGACAAGGCTCTGGCTACCAGTTTCAGCGAGAACTTCACATCTGAGTCCAAATGGTTTACCGCAGAGGACAACCCCGGTAAGATTGAGTACACATCTGATGGTTTGGCCATGTCACTTACGAAGAGATTCGATAACCCAAGTCTGAAGTCTAATTTCTATATAATGTACGGTAAGACTGAGGTCATATTCAAAGCCGGTGACGGTAGAGGTATAGTGTCCTCTTTCTTTTTACAAAGTGATGATTTAGATGAAATCGATCTAGAGTGGATAGGTAGTGATGACACACAGTTTCAATCCAATTACTTCTCAAAGGGTAACACCGCTACATACGATAGAGGTGAATTCCACGGTGTTAACCAACCACAAAAGGAGTTCCACAACTACACCATTGACTGGACTATGGAACAGCTAACTTGGTATCTAGACGGCCAAGTCGTCAGAGTTCTGCCAAACACAACAAGCCAGGGTTATCCACAAACTCCAATGTACATCAAGATGGGTATTTGGGCTGGTGGTGATCCAAGCAATGCTCCAGGTACAATTGAATGGGCTGGCGGTGAAACTGATTATAGCTTGGCTCCATTCACTATGTACATCAAGAGCTTGGTTGTTACAGACTATTCCACTGGTAAGGAATACACCTATGGGGACCAATCTGGCTCTTGGCAATCCATCAAGGCTGTGGACGGTGAAATAAATGGAAGATACCAACAAGCACAAGAGGACTTCGCTAAATTAGTTGCTGGTCAAGCTATTGAGAGTAGTCAATCATCCTCTGTTTCACCTACTTCGTCATCAAGCTCTTCTGCCAGCTCATCTACCAGCTCATCTACCAGCTCATCTACTAGCTCATCTGCCAGTTCATCCGCCAGTTCATCTTCCAGCTCTTCCATCAGTTCATCTTCATCAGCATCTTCAAGTGCACAAAGTTCATCATCACCAATTGCTAGTTCTGTCTCTTCTATCAAGTCTGTGTCTTCCTCTGCAATTTCATCTTCCAAGAGCTCCCAAACAGCAGAAAGTAAATCCTCCACATCATCTAGTGTGAAGCCCACTACACAATCTTCCAAGACCGACACTATAATGGACAATGTGACACATAGCGCCTCAACAAGTAATGTTGCCAAGTCAACTGTTTCTACAGTGGCTAAATCAACTGAAAGCAGTACACATTCAGTTCAACAAAGCAACTTTGGCGTTAACACACAAGTCTCAGTAGTATCTGTCATTCTAGGTTTCATATTCAGCATCGTAATTTAAATAGGTTTAAGTATAAAATAAAATAAGGTTAAGCATTTGACACAATATCACAATATTACTAGCCAATTATATCATACATAATATCTAACAGCGTATCCTCTTTAGTACTACAGTTGAAAACAAGATCACAGTCAACGATAAAATGCATTCCAAATAAAAAAATATAAATAAGCCCTGTAGGGGGCTCGAACCCCTAACCTTATGATTAAGAGTCATACGCGCTACCGATTGCGCCAACAAGGCTTATTAATTGCGTTGAGAAATCACTTTTATTTCAATACCAGATAGATTAATAGGAGATCACCTGATGTTGAGATACAAAGTACGGTTTTGTGGTTTTGCACTATAAGTGGATAATGACACTATCATTTCAGCTATTATTTCTACAATTGCGGTTGTTGGAACGTTTTGAATAACATCTTCCTTTCCGGTACCATTTCTTGGATCTCCTGAAACTGAATGACCCCTCTTTTTCAACAAGTCTTGCTATTTCATAATCCATTTCATTAAGGATTGATCAGGGCAAGCCAATATTAGGCGATCGATTTGTCGGTCAATTCGAGGCGGTAAGTAGTGCTTGAGAGTAAACAGGGTATTTTCGAAATGGTCAACTTTACAGAGTTCTTTGAAGATATCACGAGAACGTTTTAACAAGCCAGAATCAGTGTTCTATGGCCGGTAAACATTTTTAACAACCTAAAACCTTCTATTGTACGTCTTAAATTGTGTTCATCAACGCTCTTTAAGAGCATCTCAACAGTAGCTTTAGCCGGCAGTTCATATATTATCTTATCAAAATCATCTCTGAGATCTTTATCTACCGCAAGTTTAATACTCTCGAATGAGGAATTCGTTAGGTAATGAGTTGAATTTTTTAATGCCATGACGAATTTTGCGAATCCAACCTTGAAGACCGTTACTATTTAAAGTTTTTTCGGTGAGAAGTTTAACTTTATCTCTGTAGTTAACAAAGTCAAATGGAGAGGGGTGACGTTTGTCTGACTCTGCATAATCGAACATCCTGCTCTGTAACATCCTGCTCTGAATAACAAGTACTTATCTTCAGAAGTAGACGCTACTGTGAATGAACAATGGTATGTATACTCGGAGCTATAATCGCGTAGATCAGGACAGATCACAAGTTAAAGTGAGTTAGTGACAGGTAAAATAATAAAAAGCACGGTTAAAAGTCCGACTTTCCTTGTGCACCACTAGAAGGTGGAAAACTATTGTAGCCTATATGACTTGAAATAATTCGTTCTTCTCAGTAAAGTATACCAATGTAGCCTAACACCTATAATCCTCTAATAAAAAAGCTGACTATTACTCTATACAGTATGAAACTCGTATCAGTTATCAAACTTTGTAATTAGCTATGAAACTAGCTAACAACTTTCTTAAAAGTAATATTTCAACTGAATGATTAAAGATAGTAGCAGTAAAGGTAGTTTTGAAGAAACTAACATTGAAATCCCATTTCAAAGAATTTTGGATGCCACTAATACTTCCAGGTTTTTGAATTTGACGGCCGTTTTAAGGTTCTTGTCATATTCCTTGGAGTTCTTATTTTTGAAATCAACTTGAATTGTAGTAATAGATCTAATTGAGCTCTTCAAATATTTCTGCATGACTAAATCTGACCTGAGTCATGCTGATTTGACTTTATCTCCGCTGGTAGGTTCAGTCGGTCCAATGAGTTAGCCTTACTATGGTATTACTATGGTGTCCATAATGTTTCACAAGATTCGTGAGGCTATATAATTAGCTTCGTCATGCCACATCCACTGCCACCAGAATCACATTTGAAACTTCTCCAAATGTATTACCTACTAAAGGGATTGGTTCCATTCGTAGAATTAGTTGGAGTCCAGTATCACAAAACCATGGATGCCTTACATTCCCTTTTGAGCGTTTATGCTTCTTCTAATGCTTCGAATCTATTTCTTAGACACATGAATTTGCATTAGTACCATGATTCTAACACACTGATTTATATTACACACAATTTAAAATATTATTACATTCAAATTCACTTCTGGAAATTATGTCTTCTAACAATGCTTTCATGAATCTCATTAATGTATTAAGTAAAAAGATAAATGCTTATATAAGCGGAAATAGATATACCTTACACTCATAATGAATTTAGTCCGAACAGGAAACCCAACTCACGAGTACCAAGTTTATTAATGTCTTTGATCTTTTTGGCATCCATGGCTGCATCCACCATATCTCTCTTCAGTTTTTGAAGTTCCAATATTCTATCTTCCACTGAATTTTTGATGAACAGACGATGAACTGTGACTTCCCTAGTTTGACTGATTCTGTAACAACGGTCCTGTGCTTGTTCTTCAACGTATGGGTTCCAAAATGGATCAACTATAACCACATGATTAGCACAGGTCAATGTCAAACCTGAATTACCGGCTTTCATAGATATTAACAACACTCTCTTATCCTCCTCACTATAAAACCTGCTGATAATCTCCGATCTAACTTTAGCATTCATGTCACCAGTATATTTCAAGCATGAAATCTTCAACCTAGTCGCAAGTATGTGTTCCAATAGATCTAAGAATGTAGTAAACTGAGAAAAAATGATAATCTTCTCTGAGTCAGATTTTTCAAATACCTTATTAATTACATCCATACATTGATTCATCTTTGTAGAAGGCTCCAATGTATTATAATCAGTAGTGTAGGCATTCTTTTTTCTATCCTTTTGCTTGTCCATTTCTAGGTTAAACTCCTCATATAATTTTTCTCTTGTAAATCCTTCTAGAATCACTTGGTTGAAAAGTTTCAGAGAAACAAAATCCTTATCGTTAGTTACCTTTTGACACTCCTTACAGGGTAGGTATGTACTTCCTTTTGGACCGCTTCTAGCATTCGAAGAACCCGCTGCATCCTCAGAGAATGGGTTAATGCAATCATTACAAATCAAATGGCCGCAACCACTTAACACAAAAGCTGACTCAGGCTCAATCTGTTCAAGACACCACAAACATGTCATTGAGTCACTTGCTGATTTGACAATTTCTACTGCCTCTGATTTCATTTTTTTAATCACATAGTATAATCTCAACCAGTCATTATTGAAATTTTTACCATTCACAACTGTTGCCGCTTCTGCCTTCTTTTCACCAAGGATTACCAATTCAGGATGACAGCAGGCTTGCCTCAACCTCAACAACAATGTCAGCACACTAGAATAGTTACCTTGAACTTTTGATTCCAGTAATTTTTTGGCAAGTTGCTTATTTTTATGTTCGAGCGCTTTGTAAAATTCAAGTTCGTCATCCTTAAAAGTAGTCTCCTGTGCATTAACATTTTTTGGAGGAAGTTCCAAAATAGGAACACCGTCAATCTTGTCAGTTTTTGACCTCCTCAACATTATTGCCCGCAATAAAACTCTAACTTTCTTAATTGCTTGCTTTCGACTTTCACTGTCATAGTTCTGTTTTAAGTTAGAAAATGGTCTACCGATATCTTGTTGAAATCTCTCATGTCTATTATATGGTGGAATTCTTAGAAAGCGGATCAAGGAATACAACTCTTCCATATTGTTTTGTATAGGTGTACCAGATAGAATCCATCTGTAAACACTATTAACAGTACAGCATGCTTTAGCGGCCTGTGTCTTCATGTTTTTAATATTTTGGCCTTCATCCAAAATAATCCTGTAGAAAGTGGAATCGTCCGAGTAAAACGGTGACCAATACTCATTTTTAGTTTTCAGAGAGTTCATAGCTTTTATATCAGGAACAGGCGGCAGTTGCTTGCTATCGGTCTTCAGTCTTTCAGGCCAATGCTTTTTGAGCTCATTTGCCAAAGTTTGATAAGATACCAATATGACATCAAAGTTTGAAAGCTTGTCCCATGAACGAAACTTAATACCGTTAACACCACCATAAATAGCTGAGTTAAAATCACTTGATTCCTTAATCTTGGTTTCTATCTCACCTTTCCAGACTCTCAAAACTGACACTGGTGCAACAATCAAATTTGTTTTTTTGCTCTCATTACTAGATCTATTTGCAAGCATTAATGCTATCGCCTGAACAGTTTTACCTAAACCCATATCATCTGCTAATAGACCACCTTTCCTTTTTGAGGTTTCGGCATTCAATAACCATTGCAAACCTAATCTTTGATGTCTTAATAAATTAACAGTCATCCCTTCGGGTGTGAGAGCTTCACCTTCAATTTCATCTTCTGTTTCCTTTAAATTTTCTAATAGAGCTCTAATCTGTTCCTGATCTTGACCTGAATGTATGTTTGATATTGATTGCATATTATTATAAGAGTTTTCATAAAGACTCCCATCTGTTCCCATATAGTTTTGCATTCCGTTTTCACCAATGGCATTCATATTCATTAATTCACTTTCTGTTATTGGAACACCATAAATCTTTAGATTTTCATACAGTTTCTCCATTTTCAGACCCTGTTGTTTTAACTGGATAACATTCCGACCAATATTCTCTTTATCAGATGTTGTAGGTGGCTTCCCTTCATCTATATCTATTCTGAACCGTTCTAACTGTTTTAACATTTCTAATAATCGCCATTTAACATCCATACTACGGTCAGATTTCTGAATCAAATCCATGGCTACTTCGATACTCTTAAAATACTGAACTCTCCTATCGGGGTTAATTATATTAGGCACTGTGTATTTTATACCGTAATCTTGAAGCCTTTCAAAAACTAGTGGCATTTTAACTCCGTTATGGAACAGAGCTTGTGTTGCGTCAGCACATGCTCTTCGCATCGGTCTATCACAATATTTGCCTGATTCAAAATTCTGTTTGTATATCAAAACGGTGTTTAAATACTGATTCAATTGGTTTTTTGTTATAACGGATCTGGTCGTATTTTTCAACAACAGTTCTCTAGCTGTATCAATAGACTTCTTGAAAAGGTCAGTTGGAACTGACTTTAGGTTACTATTAGAGGTGTCATTTGTATCATCGAATTGCTCAACGCTCAAGCTATTTATCTTTTGCTCCAGCTCTCGTAGTAGCTGAGTATGCATGTCCTTAGACAATGACCCCTTCTCAAACATCTCATTTAATATTTCCCTTTCAACATAGAATTTTTTCCTTTCTTCAATATATTTCTCATTACTCTTATCTCTGGTTTTCATCTGAATTTCTGTTTTTGCTTTTTCTAATTGCTCAACTCTATGCTTTTGTAGAGAACTCCATTTATTATTCGTATCATCCAATTTCTGAACAACATTGTCCAATTTCATTTGTGTTGAATCTCTATCTACCTTCAGCTTATTGACAACGTTGATCGCTTCATTAATTAACATCTGTTGTGCATTACTGGCTCCATCTTGTCTACTAGCTGATCGCAAAAGTAACTTCCATCTTTTCTCAGCATCGTTCAGCTTTTTTTGCCTTATTCCTAATTTTCTCTGCAATATTATCTGAGTGTTCTGTAGATTTCCGACTGTATTCTTGATCTCTGCCTCCTTTTTATGGTAGTGCCTTGCGAGCATCTTATAATTATGCTGGAGCTCTTCTAGAGATAATTCAGGTTTCGTATGATAACCTTCAATCACTTCTGTGTCACCGTTTTTGACCAAATCTAAAAGAGGAACAACATCACTATTCTGTTCTTGCTTTGTATCATGAGAATCATTCTCGTTCTTCATCTCCCTTCTATCATGTCCCTCATCATCATCATCATCAGAAAGTATAATTATATCCGCATCCTGATCAATTTTAATGTCATTCGTTTTCATGAGTTTGGTCCTTTTCCGATCCGAGCTATCCGAGTTATACATATGAGGTGAGTCACTAGAGTCAGAGGTAGTATCATTAATAGAGGTGGGTGTTGCAACACCAAAATTCGTTCGCTTTCGTAAATTCATATCGTCATTTAAGCCTTTTAGGCGCATCGTTCCAAGACTCCAATTTTCTATATGGGGTGGTGTTCGAGACCTTTCCTTAATTTGATCACTAACGCGATTTAGTGGTGAGCGCGGCGACTCTTTAATTACTTTATCATGTTCCCTGTTCGAAAAGAATCGTTTCATTCTTTCCTTTTTCATTGTTTCCCTATCTAGCTCAGGACTGCGACTGAATGACAACGGTTGATCTTCAAAGCTTTCCTCTGCCGTAGAATCGTTACCGGATGTAAATCTTGGAGGTTTGATAGTTTTTATTATTCTTGAGTTTCTATCGACGTCAGGATCATTATTATCTGAAGGATCATCATCAGAACTACTGTTGTGATTATTATTCTGAGTACTAGTCGTCAAATTGTCATTCGGCAGTTCTCCAAGGGCGTCATAATCTTCAACTTCTGAATCGTCTAAAGTCAAATCAATGGTTGTAACTTTTGGCATAACTTATTGGTCTATCAATGCTCAAGTTGTTTAAATCTTATGGCTGTGTTTTTTATAACAATCTCGAAAGTAGCTTCTTATCTTTTCTATATTTATTAGTTCTAGATGTAGGCAGGGTCCTATAGTGACAACCTTATAAAGCTGTCTCAATAGAATGTTTAAAGTAGCCAATTTGGCAAGTATTAGTAATATCTGAAGGGCGTTATGAAGTAAGGAAAAAGTCCGATGAGCTCTGTTGCCATCTGCGATGGGCTCCCATCTTTTTATTACAGTGCCACGCTATTTTTTGTGCTCATTACGCGATTCGTGGAAGAGTAACTTTTATAATTAGATAATACGTAGCGACTCAACTCTGTGACAAGACATGCCCTACTATTAGACAGAAATGGTCCAACAGATGAACTGAAATACCAAACATATTCAAGATGATGACTTTTAGAAATAAACCCTATTATACATTATATATGTTATCGAAGACATGTAGTCTATACTAGAAATTAAGAAAATGTAAAAAAAAAAAACCGAGAAGTCTAAAAATAATTAAGATAATGGTCGAAAGGAATGTACCAAATATGATTTGTGATCAGCCTACTATAATTTGGTGTAGGTAACATTTAATAACTAAAAAAGTAACAAAATAAAAACTAGCGATGGCGTCATTTTTCCCCATAAAAAATTCTATCTATCAATGGCCATAATGAGTTGTTCGTACATTCATTGGTTAATCGTATCAACAATCAAACAATCCAAATTACGAACCCATGAACTTAAAGTGCTGCAATCAATGTTGTCCAGCTTTATTGTTAAGTAGAGAAGATGAAAAAAAATAATGAAAGAAAAGAGAACATTTTCTTTGCTAAATAAATGACTTGTGATTAACTGAAGCCACATTGGTTTGGGTACCATCTGCTTTCCATTGGTTGAGGGAACAAACCGTACTCAATAAGTCTTGAAGCATCCCATTCAATACTAGTTTCAGTCTTGTAACACCAGAAGATCCAGCCACCTCTTAATTCAAAAGCATCCAATTGAGCTTCGATGTATCTTCTTGTGTTTTGTTTTCTATCCTCAGTCCAGCTGTTGATATCTTCGTTATTTGCACATGAACCTATGTAAGAAGAGCCCACGCCATTTTTCCAGAAGGATCCGTCGTATCTAGCGCCGATACCGACACCGTTTAGCCATTTGGTACAATCGGTTAAAGCGGCACTCCATTCACCAGCAACGGTCCAGTGGGCTTCGTTCAGAACACCAGAACCCCATCCACATGCGACACTGACATGGGCATTAATGTCACGTTGCAACTCACCGCCGGAGAAAACTTGGTAATGGTGGTGGTCAACGGTGACACCCCAAGCGCCTTGGTCCAAGGTCAAGAAGTCATCCCAGTAGTTGTATGGTTGGAATGCATCGTGCATGATAATATTTTGTGGCTTCTGCACAGTATCTCTCAAGTAGTCATAAGCTGGTTTGTAGTAGTTGAACTTCAATTTGTTCATGTCAATGGCTGGACCCAATGGTTCGTTGATCAATTCAACACCGATCACGGTCTCCAAGTATTCATCCTGGGAGTACTTGTTCAATAAGTAATTGATCACATCTGTGGTGACTTGGACGTTGTAGTCATCGTTTGGGAAGTTCAAAGCATCTCTTTGCCCAGAGTTGTCAAACCCATTTTGAGAACCAGCGGCACCGTGTAGATCAACCCAGACTTTCAATCCGTATTTGGAAGCCCATTCAATAGCGTTATCCAAGTATTGTTCCTGTACGCCAGTGACGTATGGGTCACCTTGCATAGTCTTGAAAGCCCAGTAGCCCACGGGGATTCTGACCAAGTTAAAACCTTTGTTGGCGATGTCCTGGAAGTCAGACTCCTGGTAGAAGTTAGACCAGTGGTTGATCAGCTGTTGTTGGGCGGCGTCGTAGCCCAATTGCTGACAGAAGTGGTACTCATCGACCGGTATACCGTCGTCGTTGTAAGGGTTGGTTCTGAACTGTTCAAACAGGGAAGGTGTGATGTATGGCTCCAACACTAACCAACCACCGATGTTGACACCACGAATGATATTTTCATCGTAATTGAACAACCTTTTCTGTAAAGGAGCGGCGAAAGCGAGCGTAATAAAGAAACAGATTATGCTGAGCATTTGGGTGGGGCAGTTTCTTTATGTATATTTATTAATATTAAAAGTTTACTAGTGTTAGTCTCCTTGGGTTCTTTAATTTAGAAATTTTCTCTCTGTCTATTTTATCTTTTTTTCAAATAAGTATATTTTTTATAAAATTACAAGCAATAGCTAACCAAGGACACAAAATCGTCAACATCACATCTATATATACCCATCACAAACTCAATTGGCAAAACTTATCAGCTCTTCTTTGTTGATGAAATCTCTTATCATGTTTCCTCGAGGGCTTGCTTTTGATCAGAGAATTATGAGATGGCGGGCAAAAGCCAGTGCTAACTGCCAGTGCTAACTGCCAGTTCATACAGAAAACAAGAGATAACCCAGCACAAACGTCATTTTTTCTCGACCGGAGAACCCATATATTAGTTGGAAACTGTTTCGCACTCGAAGTCATCGAATGAAATGCAGATGGCTAGTTTACCCACCGGCCTTTCCTGCGGCACGTCTTTCTGTAGACCACGATGTCCACATCCTTCCATTAAAAGAAACTTTCCAATTTCTAACAACGCACAGAGAAGAGAAATAGAAAAATTTTTGGACTTCTATTTTCTGATCCACAGTCACACCCGCAGAACAGAAGTCGAGGTCCTGTCTCAGGGTTGCTTCCAAGTTATCCTTTCAAATTGGTAAGAGAGAAGCCCTGTAGTCGTAATGGTGCGGATGATATACTTTTCTTCCGAACCACAGACAACCCGCACAACCTCTACGAAGAGTGTTTTTTAAAGTGGAAGGAATATCGAAAGGGAAGGTAGTGGAAGTGGGCAGGGTGTTCTAATTAAGAGACATAGATGACTACTTGCGGTTTTGTACAACCGTCTCTGTGCAAGGAGGAAAGCACAAAGAGACCCAAAAAACAAAAAAACAAAAAACAAAAAACAACGATTCGAAGATGGATATTTTCACAGTACTACCTGTAGGCAACTGCAACCGTTGGGTTTCGGCACAAATTTAGAATAGAATATCGAGCTTCCTCGTCCTCACCCACAACCACTAATTTGCCGTAGGAGTGGGGATGTAGCGCAAATGGGGAAAGAAAGATCTCGAATCTAAAGATAGAAGTTGAATCAAGGTACACTACATGGCACTTGCTCGTTCAGTAGTGCAGCCATTGAGAGAAAACCGTACATCACTGGATAGGAGAGAAGAGAAAGCCCATGATTGAGGCAGTTCCAGACAATCTTGCGTACAATGGTAGCAATTTCTTTGTTTTATATTATACAACCTAAGAATAGAAGTGTTGACTTGCGTCCCCCCCCCAGATATGAGATGCATGCAATGTGCCTTACCCGGACGCGCAGCATGATAGTAAGCGAACTAACCTGCACGAGGCTTGCCTAGTTACCCCCCCCCCATGCTGTCAATACAATCACACTACCTAAGCACATATTACAGATAAATGAGGAAAACATATATAAGGAGGAATTGATCTAGAACCACCTTTTCCCTATTCCAACTGCCCTCGAAGTGCAGATTGGAAAGACTCGAGGCAAATCTCACGCTGTGCCATTGGGTGTGGGGCTACTTTCCCCATCCTTGTTACAAACTAAAAACAATTGCCATTTTTTAGCTGGCAAGGACGGAAAAACAACTAAATAAAATGCTTCATTTATCACTTGTATCCTTTCTTTCATCCTTGACCTCTTTCTTTTGATCCTCCCGTACCCATCCCGACAGGTTGAGTGTGTACGAAGTGAAGGATTTCACAGGGATGCCTTGCTCAACTTCTACCCAGTGCTTTACTTTGCCATAATCCTTCTTGCCATTATGTGTTTCACCACCATCTTTGTCTGCAGTGTCTCGCGATTTCATTCTGTCATCAGCAGGAGGCGTGTCCGGTTCAATAGTTGATTCATTGCTCATGGTCGAATGTTTCTGAATTGAGATGTTGCTGCCTTTGTAATAATTGTTTCTATTAGTTTATTATACCAGTGACTTTATATATCTATTTCCCTGTATTAAAATTATAATGGGTAAAACATTGCAATTGTTGATTTTTTTGTCATTACGTGAAATGTACAATATTGTGACATTGTCAACTTGAGCAATAGGAAAAAAAATACTAGCGAATCACTAAAACGAAAATTTCATGTTTAGGCGAAGAAAACCGTACTATAACTGAAATGTAACTACTCGACTTAAATACTTTATATACCAAAGTTACCACTCCTGATATCATTATATAACTTCTTTTGCTCTCGTTTCTTATTCATATTCACACCATGTAGCTTGTTACCAGCACCCATACCATGTGCTACAGGAACACCCATAGCAGGCATATAGCCACCTGGGGGACCCATTTGCCCTGGCATAGCACTTGGGACAAAATTGCTTTGTCTTTTGTTCCCATAGTGGTGCTGAGGTGGAGGCATTCCGCCCATAGCTGCAGCCTTCCCATGTCCTCTCCCATACGGACTTTGCATGTGTTGTTGGGGAGACTGATGTGGTGAAAATTGCTGCTGCTGCTGTTGTGGTGGGGGCATGAATTGACCGTATTGGGATGGCGAATGTGCCATCATACCGCCATAGTTATATGCATCTGGCTGAGGCGGCATCATCTGACCATATCCGTCGTTGTATCCCATCTGTGGTGGATTGACTGGAGAAGGTACCGATACGGGCATCCTAACATTTTGTCTCTGTGGTGACATCAAGTGCTCATTATATTGTTGTGGGTATTCATTAGTTGGAGGAGGATTTTGAGGAATTGTATACTGTTGCTGTTGTGGAGGCTGATTATCATATACAGCCGGTCCTGAGTTATTTGGAATGGCTGGATATTGGTTTTGGCGATATTGTGGTTTATCTATAGGTAGATTTGAGTAAGACTTCGATTGCTTCATTGGTGAAGGACCGAGCGCTGGATTTGGTGCAGATCTTACATCAAGACTTGATCTGGATGGATTTCCCGAGCCAACACCTGGTTGTTGTGGTGCTACATATACTTTAGGCGCTCCATCTTGTCCTTGTGAAACTTTTTGCTGCTGCAAATTTACTACAGGCTTTTCGTAGTGAGTATTTTGACTGTAAGGATCCATACCATTTCCTGAACTTTGCTTGATCGGAGATGCTGAAAAACCACCGCTTTGATGTTGTGGTGACATCATCTTATTTCTATCATGCCTTTCTTGTGGAATACTGACTGGATCGATTCTGATGTTCTTATTGTATTCTGCATCTAAGCTAGGATTTGGTTTATTATTCGATATCTGCTTAGAAGGAAGATATGCATTAGCATTCTTTGGGCTCGAGTTAGCAGGGTTGTTGTATATTGGACTAGGAGAAGGACTTTTTCTTGTTTGAACTTGCTGCGGTGGTGGAAGAATTGTATTTCCATAGGTATGAACTTTTTCTCTACTAGAATTTTCTTGTAGCCTATTGTGATTCGCAGCTCTCTCTATTCCATTGGAACCCTGATACTTATCAATACCAGATCTATCTCCTGGTCCCCTTATCACTTCTTGTTCACTATAATGCCCCGTTAAATTCATTCTAGGATTCTGACTAGTCAAGTTATCATCGGTTGAGTTTTTACTTCTCGGAAGTTCAAGACTGTCTACCAAAGACTCCGAAGTCCCAGTGCTTATCTTTAAAGAATTCACTACTAGTGAATCAACACTTTGTAGATCATTTTTTTTATATTGTTCAAATTTGCTAACGTTTTTTAAAATATCATCTTGACTATCATGATTTTGGTTAGCATAATCAAGGACCATCATTTGTTCTACCATGCCACTTAGCTCCTCCATCGGTCCTTCAACTGGCAGATTTACAGGCTCTTTTACAAGTTGGGGCATTGAGGGCTTCTTTCTTACATTAAATTTAGATAAAGGAGGAGCAGGATAAGATTTGTCGTTGTGGTTTGTAGGTAAGGCTTCCAAATTTTCCACTTTAACATGATCGCTCTGATGACCATTTTCAGTACGTGTATTTATAGCTGTATCTGGTATTATATCCGGAAATTCGATGGAGAAGCCTTCATTATCCGGTTCAATGTCCGGAAGTTTATAGTCCAACGGGTCACTCAAGTCTGTCAATGGTGCACTGTCATAATTTTGATTATTCTTAACCTTCTTACGTTCTCCTTGTAGCTCCTTTGCCTCAGCATTTCCTCCACTTTTTTTCCTTAGATTATTAAGTGGATTCCATTTTTGAATTTTGTGCTTCATGTTGTTCTTATCCTTTCTAGCATCAAGATCAATAACAGTATGATAGCCATTGGACGGACCATTAGAGGGATTTACAGAATTATTAAGAACTTCTTTCTGGAATTTCTCATAAGGAGGTGTAATATTTCTGATATCTTGACTAACATGTTCATTATCTTTAGTATTATCACTCTGTGTGGTTTCTTGAGCTTTTTTATTTTTTATTGTTGACTTCTTTTTTTGTTCATTCAACATATGCTCTAACACTAAGTCTGATTCTTGGAAGACTACCCATTTCTTGAATCCGTCAAATTCAAATTCAAGAATTAACGAGCGGCCAAATATTTTCCTTTTGTCAGATGTTTCTTCATAAGATAGAGTAGACAACCAGGTCCAGATGAAGTAATCGTCAATATCAAGGCGATTTACGCTTATTTTGGATTTAAGTCCTAAATCATTAGCCAAAGCTTTACGAGGTGCCCAGCCCGCCTGAAATGTGGAATGCTTTGTGGAGAGTACTTTCATCAACCTCCTTGATTCCTGAGACATTTTCCTACTTATACCTTCAACATTATTCTTCTTTTTAAATAGGGACTTCAAAAGGGCATAGTCTTCCCTCGCTTCGAAAGCCTCATGATCAGAGAAATCTAACATCTCGTTGCATCTCTCCAGAAGCTGCCAAGGTTTCCTAGAAAATTCATCCGTATGTAAAGTTACTAGCGGAATTGTCAGAATAGTTTCCGAATTGAACGCTGTAGAGTCTTGAGGGGGGTATTCGTTAGTAAATAGTAAATTTTTTAGAGTTCTGGGTAATTTAGCGTTTTCCACATCTTTCGGTACAAAGCTTCTCAAAAATGCTAATAATAGATGAAACATGGCGTCTGACCCAGGTATCCATTGATCGAAACCATTTTGAATGGAGTTATTAACTGTTTGCGGTGATGAGGAGTCGAAATCATAATCTGTGCTTGAGCTCTTGTTATCATTGAATGCCCAGATGGCGCACATTTTCGATATCTTCCTTGCACTCATCTTGTTTTTCTTTGAGTTCGAAGATATGGTTACTATGAGATCAAAAAAATCGTATACTATTGATGCGTGGTTTGGTGAGGCTAAACATTGAGGCATAATCTCTAAAAATGACTTTCTTGGATAGTCTTTTTCCTTTTCACGAATTTTAAACTCTTTATACGCCTTCCAACCGACAACCTCTGAGTCCGGAAGTCTACACCAAATGTATTTTAGCGCTTGAAATAATGTCCATACATCTGTCTTATTGACTACTCGTATTTGTTTTTTCTCATTTACAGGCTGTCCATTTCCAAGTGGGAATATTTGGTTTAGAAAGCTCAGTAACTTTTCATTAGTTTGTTCTGGTCGTAACGGTATCATCAAATACTCTACATCTGTACCGCGTTCTTTCAACTCTGCCGTTATTAAATGTATGACACCGCGGACATTGCCTCTAGAAAACTTATGGAAGAACTCAAATTCTTCGTCATCGTCATCGTCCTGTCTCTTTATCGGCCTCTTCCTGCTCGGTATCTCTGTGCTTTTGTCTCTTTTAGGCTGCTCACTATCCATAACTGGAGGCACCTGCGGTAAAGGCTTCGAAACTTCATTCATATCCTAGATGTCCCTAATATATATGAATGTACCTTACCAACAAAAAGTAACAATAAGTTTAGAATATAACTGTTCCGCAATGTTTGTTTAAAATTCAAATAGCAACAAATAATCAAAAAAAAAAAATAGTAAAACCAATAAGAAAACAAACCCAAGTAGTTTATTCAAAATAATATCAATAAAAAAAAAGAAGAATGAAATGAATGAATGGGAGACCAGAACAATAATAATGGGATGTCTAACCTGCGTCTATTTGATATAAAGTTCCAACAGGTTGCGTTAACTTGTTAACGTTTCACTAGCTTTTACTTCTTCCGTATCAACTATTACCAATAGTTACTAACAGACACTATTGAATAAATAAAATAGTCACTTACGCCCTGGGATCATAGATGTAATGGGCTCAAACAATGTGTTTCCAGCGTTCCAAGTAAGCACTCGTTTTTTTATTTTCCTGTACCGTAGCTATTTTTTGATCCAAAAATAAAATTTACTGAATGCAATCCAGAAATGAAGAAAATCCCGTAGAACCACCCAATTTTTTTTTTTAGAAGAACAACTATAAAAGCATCAACAAAACCAACAAAAACAAAAGAAAATGAAAACAAAACAAAACCTCAGCACACACTAACTAAATTTTGACAAGAAACCAGAAAGGTCCTTAGGCCATCGGGCTTTGTTCTTAGAGAAGCTGCAAGTTCATGTCAAAGGTACGAAAATAAGAAGACGAACTCGTCCATGATCACTAAGAATCATCTGCATTCGTATAAGTAACGTGAGGTACACAGGATCTACTACTCGAGCTTGATTAAAAGCATTACAGTTGTTACAATGGTTATAAACAGAACTTTACTAATATTTTTTTGTGAATACTTAAAAAATTTATATATAAGACATTTCTTTGGGACCCCGCCAGTTCAGTACAGAATTGCAGGGAATTATACTAAAATTTTAAAACCCCAAAGAAGTGTTTAGCACTTCGTAATATTTACATGTCTTCAATTGGGAAAAAACATCGTAGTTGTTAGTAGTAGTCGCTTGAGCACAAGCGAAGATAAAAAAACACAAGAGAAACGGATCAACATTTAGGTAGAACGCGTTTACTCGATGATACGGGTAATCAAACCAGTACCAACGGTCTTACCACCTTCTCTGATGTTGAAACGTTGACCAACTTCCATTGGTGTTGGGTGGACTAGTTCACAGACCATTTCGACGTTGTCACCTGGCATAACTTGCATAGAGTGGTCTTCCACAGATTCTGGGAACTTCATCACAACAGTGACATCTGCGGTTCTGATAAACATCTGAGGTCTGTAGTTTTCACCGAAACCAGAATGTCTACCACCTTCTTCCTTAGACAAGATGTACAAAGAAGCCAAAATCTTGGTGTGAGCCTTGACGGTACCTGGCTTGGCCATGACCATACCTCTCTTCAATTGGTCTCTTCTGATACCTCTCAATAGGATACCGGCGTTGTCACCAGCCATAGCTTGGTCCAATTCCTTTCTGAACATTTCGATACCAGTAACGGTGGTCTTCAATGGGGTAGTGTTGTGACCAACAATTTCAACTTCTTCACCCTTCTTCAAGTTACCTCTTTCGACACGTCCAGTGACGACGGTACCTCTACCAGAGATGGAGAAGATGTCTTCAACAGGCATCAAGAATGGCTTGTTCAAGTCTCTTTCTGGGGTTGGAATGTATTCATCAACAGCGTCCAATAGTTTCATGATAGCTTGCTCACCAATTTCAGGTTGACGACCTTCTAGGGCACACAAAGCGGAACCCATAATGATAGGGGCATTGTCACCGTCAAAACCGTATTCGTTCAACAATTCTCTCATTTCCATTTCCACTAATTCCAACATTTCAGGGTCATCGATGGTGTCCACCTTGTTGACAAAGACAACGATACGTTGAACACCGACTTGTCTGGCCAACAGCAAATGCTCTCTAGTTTGTGGCATTTGACCATCGGTGGCGGCGACAACGATGATAGCACCGTCCATTTGGGCAGCACCAGTAATCATGTTCTTGATGTAGTCGGCGTGACCTGGACAGTCGACGTGGGAGTAATGTCTCTTGGCGGTCTCGTACTCGACATGGGCAGTAGAGATAGTGATACCACGGGCTCTCTCCTCTGGAGCTTTGTCAATGGAAGAGTAGTCCAAGAAATCAGCACCACCGTTCTTGGCCAATGTCTTGGTGATAGCAGCTGTCAATGTAGTCTTACCGTGATCGACGTGACCAATAGTACCGATATTAACGTGGGGCTTTGATCTGTCGAAAGCAGCAGCATTCAGACGCATAGAAGTAGCAAAAGTTCTGCTGGCTTGAGACCATAGCGGTCTCAACTTCATAGCAGTTGGCAACAACCTTGGCACCAATACAGTCATTTTATCTAACAAAAGATGATATATATCTTCAGTGTTCTCTATTTGTTCTTTCCGTTAAGGCTAGCAATAACCGTACACTAGCTCCAGACTAATATATAGCTTTCAAAAAACTATTGATATTGTGCAAAACCTCGAGGTGAACGTTTGGTTTCTTGTTTCGCTGTTTCGTTGTGATTGTAATAGTGAGTGCTAGTTTGACAACGCTGCCTGTTACCCGTGAGTTACTGAATGTGGGGGGGGGGGTGAAAAAGCTCTGCCAATGAAAAATTTCCAACTTTCTGCCAGGAACAGCTTGTAGAGGTTAAGGGGGGTCTAGTGAAGATGCGGTAGAAAGAACATTTGCTACGATTTACCCGGGCATGGACTTTACGGGGATTACTAGTCCAACGAGCATGTTCTTGGGAAGTCAGCTATATAATAGTATTAGTGGTGATTTGGTAAAGAGCCATGTTGTGTGGGAAATGCAGATATTATATAGATTGGAAATACGCTTACATAGTTGGTATATACATAATGAAAACAAAAAATTAATATATTATTTGTAAAAATGATAAATAGATAAAAAAGAAATAACATTGTAATGTAAGAAACAGGAAAAGTAAAATGAAATAAAGTAAAATAAATCAAACATATGAATGAGGTGGTAAAAGTTAACCGCCGTGGTAATTTGTTTTGGGTATGAGACTAGTGTACAGTTCCTTTTTCTTGCACTGCGGAGAGAAAAGAAAAGGATTGTAGAGGGAAAAAAAATAGAGAAAATTAGAAATTAGAGAATATTTTAGGAATGAAGGAAAATGCAATTATTATTCTCTTGACATAATTAAGTATGTCCTTTTTTTGTTTTTAAATTGTATGTGTTATTCGTTAAAGATAGTTGTGTGTAGTTGTGCTTTTTTCAATTCGATATGAAGAGGGTAGTTTGTATTAGGATGCCTGCATCAGTTCATATACTAGTTTTTCCTGTTCTATGAGCTCATCGTCATCGCTGCTGTCCAGATCGAGTGCCTCCAAGTCTTCGCAAGCTTTGTTTCTTACACTTTGGTCGCTGCTGCTTCTAGAGACTAATATGATGGTAATTGTAGCTAGTACCAAGGCGCACAACAGCCCGATTATGAACCATATGAGACCCACGAAGAACAGGTTATCTGGGCCGTCGTCCATGGGTGGTATTATAAGAGTTCCAAGGTCATCCTGCTGCTGCAACAACGTCTCCTCTACCAACGACTCATCCAGCAAGAAATTCAGGCCGTTCGACACTAGCTCTCTCAAAGAGTCAAATATACTTGTGTTATACTCGTGACGTTCCCCACAAAGCATGGTCTCTTGTATATGGTTTTTTGTCTGCTGTTGTGTTTAGTTATTGTTCCTTTTCGTAGTAATTCTTATCTTCTTTCACAAGTCCTTCCTGCAATAAAGATCGTTGCCAAGGATGGGGTATATAATAGTTCCCTTTTAACCGCTTTAGTTGGAAAATACGCAATTAATAGCTCTTTGGGAGGGGATAGCAAAGGATCGACAACGCTTTCGCAAGGTATTTCCTATATATATATACCCAATCATGGGCTTCCATGGGTCTAGGGCTCCCAGGTTTAGACTTTTTTCTTCCCAAGACCTCCCCCCCAGGGTATACGAGCTGTTGTTAGGAAAGATCGACCATCTCGGGTTAGGGAAGGACAAGTATAGTGTAATCACAGGGGTCGATGTCCCAGTTTAATAAATATAGAGAGATGTAAGCACAGAGGTGTAAGCACAGAGGTATAAGCACAGAGGTATAAGCACAGAGGTGTATGGGGGGGCAGAATTGGTAATAGCCCTAATTAGGGTGTTGTGCTAGTGTTGTGTGGGCCCGCATGCCTTGTCTTCTCTGCAGTATCCTTCCCTATCTTCTCTTACCCAGTTAGAGTAGACGGAAGTCGGATGCGTGTAATTGAGGAAGGTGTGCTGAAGATAAAGGGTCCCTGGCTGGAACAGTGGAACCGCAGGGGGGAAGTGCAAGACGGATTAGAATCGGGAGAGACGGGGGTGGAAGGGAGACAAGAAAGACTCAGTTCTGCAGTAAAAACTAGTGCAGCCGGTCGGGCAGCCGATTGGGCAGGATCTCTGGCTTCTGCGGCAATAACTTCTCTGCACAGGCTTGTGAAAATCCCGCATAGAGAAGGGTGCTCTGCACATCTCCATTGTGCCATACGTGTTCTCCCTTCTGTGCAGAAGCACTCTACAGGGCTTCTGTTTCTATACAGATTTCAAAGCACAATAGTGAAAATAGGGATGAGTGGATTCCCGCAGCCATATAAGAAACAGAACTTTTTATTGCTCCTCGTTTAACCCAGTGTAGCAATGCGTGGAGTCCCAGACTCTCTCATACACACGTACACTCAGACAAACCCGCACACCATCCACCATAACACCGTGCAATTGGTGCTCTTTGTAACACAGTCTTACGTAAATATTCAGTGATATGTCCCGGATATGGGAGACGGAAAAAAAATGTCTCTGCCCTGCATGAAAGGGGGGGGGTGAGAGGCAAGAGTCTCACTTACATACAGCCGTACGGATAGCACAGAAGCGGTATTTTTTCTTGATGTTCCAACAAGTGGAAGGTCTCCAAGAGAACCCTGGAGGGGAAGGACTGGGAGGTACCCAGATCTTCATGTTGCTCACAAAGTTCCGAATCCCGGATTTCCGGGGACTTTGTTCCGGCTAACCTCCCAGACAGAACCGGAGTCCTCGATCTCCGCACCACCACATCATTCCTGGAAGACGGTGAATAGGGGGGGCAAGCCATACTGACATATGTACCAAAACACCATCTCCGCCATAACCTCCGTCTCTGTATATCTGCGCTATACACACACACGCACATCTCATCTATACTTGGCGAGATATGGTATCCCACGGAGACACTACTAGAACCTGAACTGCACACAGTATCCACCCACTACGATGCCTTCCTCTCCCAGAAGATAAGCCTGAACGAATCGCTCTGAGACTTCAAGTCTCTTATTCGTACGAATGACCTTTGAAGTACCAGGCCTACCTGACGTATCATACTATATATAAATCCGGGTAACTATCTGCTTCAGTCCTGAGCATATATGAGAAAAAAGGCGGGTAAACTTGGATATGACGAGGGCAGCCCCCAGTTTTCTCGTCTCATTTGACAAAAGCGTTAGGTAGCTGAAGACGGAGAAAGTGAAAAAAAAATAGCTGATTTTTTTTTGCAGTGGTAGCACCAAAACAATCTTTCTTCTATTATAGAGGCATCGCATTAACAACTACATACTTGTGAATACTTGTGAATACTTGTGAATACTTGTGAATACTTGCATTGGTGTTCAATTGCAATTGTCAATTCTGTCCAAAGGGAAATAAGAGCACATACAACCTAATAAAAGACAGCAACGGATTTATAATTACAATTATCAGTATGTCTGCCACTGCTCTATCTGCACACCATGCTGCACAGGCCACCGACATCAACGTGACAGTGGACGCTTTCATAGCGAAGTTGAAGAGAAGACAGATCGAGGACTCTTATGAGATTGCCCTAGAGACACTGCAGATACTCATGCGTTTTCTGAGTGCGTCGAGGTGGAGCAATGTCAAGGAGATGATAGAACTTATAAGACAGCTGGGCAACAGGCTGGAGAAGGCACACCCTACTGCGTTCAGTTGCGGTAACGTCATAAGAAGAATACTGGCGGTTTTGCGTGACGAAATAGAAGAAGAATCCAAGGATACGGGGAATGACACTCAGAACATGAAAAACCAAGCGGCCGAACCATTGATCTCGTCTATGTTCAACCTTCTACAAAAGCCAAAGGAGGATGATAGCAGCGCAAAGAATCAACAGAATAACAAGAAACAACAGCGTAGCACCATCAAGACGGACTATCGTCAAGTGGCTATCCAAGGTATCAAAGACTTAATCGATGAAATTGTAAATATTGATGAAGGTATCCAACAGATCGCCATCGACCTAATCCACGACCACGAAATACTGCTAACACCTACTCCAGAATCCAAAACAGTTCTGAAATTCCTAATCAGAGCTAAAGAACGCGGTAACAGATCATTCACTGTCTTGGTCACGGAGGGGTTCCCAAACAACACACAGAAAGCACATTTATTTGCTAAAAAACTGGCTGAACACAATATAGAAACCATGGTTATCCCAGACTCAGCTGTATTCGCATTGATGTCAAGAGTTGGTAAAGTGATCATTGGAACTAAGGCGGTCTTCGTGAATGGTGGTACCATGTCTTCCACATCTGGTGTTTCTTCTGTGTGCGAGTGTGCACGTGAGTTCAAGACGCCAGTGTTCGCTGTTGCAGGTTTATTCAAATTGTCCCCGTTATACCCATTTGACGTTGAGAAATTTGTTGAATTTGGTGGCTCCCAGAAAGTTTTACCAAGGATGGATCCTAACAATAGACTAGATACCATCAACCCTATGACAGATTACGTTCCACCAGAGAATATCGACATTTATATTACTAATATCGGTGGTTTTGCTCCAAGTTTTATCTACCGTATTGTGTGGGATAACTACAAGCAAATAGACGTGCACTTAGATACCAAATCCGAAAAATAACGTGCACCAATGAGTTAAAAGACATATTATAAAAGCAAATCCTCATGTTATACAATCCATCTGTTTTCAATTCTCATATTTTTGACTTGAACCTTTGACGTCCAACTCTTTAATCTAATTCCTAATCGGTTAATTATTCCTGCATTATAGACTAACATTTATTGAATTCAAATTTATTATTGTTTATTCCCATTATTTTTTCTCAAGCTAATATTCATTCCTCTTTTGTTTTAATTGATTCATCTTCATCAACTAGTCGTGTAGTTGTAATTGTCCCGCCCTGTGCCTCGCTCGATCTTTTATTACTATTAGGAGATCTTGAGCTGGATCATTTTCAAAATCATCTAACAACATTCTTTGAATTCATTGATAGATGGTCAAATTTTGAATCTTGAATGGGCCATAATAACATAAAATCATTCTTGATTTTTTTATGACATCTTTTTGAGTACGAGATTATCGCCATATTATAACGATTAATTTTGTAATTAGATTGTCAGACATCTTCCCATAAAGACATATTTGTAAGAGTAGTATTTGCAAAACTCTATCATGCATTAAATTAAATCTTGAAGTATTGGCAACCTTCGTAGTACCAATGAAATTACATAAGTCGTACTATGGAAACTATTTATTCTCCTCAGCGAACTTCTTGACGAACTTGACTAGTAACTCAACTGACTCAAGAGTCAACGCGTTATAAAGGGATGCTCTAAAGCCACCAACGGAACGGTGACCCTTCAAACCTGTCAACTTATCTTGAGCAGCTTCTTTCAAGAATTTTTCATCAAGATTATCTTTCTTTAATGTAAAGACCACATTCATTCTTGATCTCGACTTTGGGGCGACTGGCAAGTTGTAGAAGTCTGGGTACGACTCAAGTGCATTGTACAAGATCTCTGCTTTCTTGATATTCTCTTCTTCTTGTGCTTTAACACCACCTTTAGTTATCAAATGCTTGAAAACAAGATCCATAATATGCAACGTGAAAATTGGGATAGTGTTATAAGCTGAGTTGTTCTTTGCTACAGTTGGGTAATCAAATGCAATTGGTGTAATTGGGATATGCATTTCGGCTAATTTATCAGTATCCATACTTTCAATATTTTTTAGAATCTCTTTCTTGATGATATATAGAGTCAAACCAGCAAGACCGATATTCTTTTGTGCACCAGCCATAATGACACCATATTTGCTGACATCTATCTTACGGGATAAGATATCACTAGACAAATCGGCAACAATCTCGATGTTAGGATCTTCAGTGAGACATTTTGGAAGGGATTGCCATTCGACACCATGAACAGTTTCATTTTCACATAGATAGACATAGGCATATTTGTTGCCTTTTACTCTATCACTCCATTGAGACTCTTCTGGGATGTCCCCGAATTTCTTGTTATCATTAAAGTCCTTGCTGTTGAAGATTACTTGGGCTGGCACATGCAATCTCTTTGCCTCTTCGTAAGCCTTTTGGGACCAAGAACCTGTAACCAGATAACCACCTGGAGCCACTTCGCCAGTCTTTGCAATGTAAGCAGCTTCCAAGTTAGTAGCCAAACTTGAGAACCCAGTGGTACCACCACCCTGTAGGAAGAAAACTTCGTGAGTGTCTGGGATATCCATCAACTCAATCAAATGCTTCTTAGCGTCATCAATAACCTTAGTAGCATCCTTTGATCTATGGGAAATTTCACCAATACCTAGACCAATACCGTTGTAGTTAATCAAGTCCTTTGCTGCTTGTTGCAGGACTGGTGTAGGCAATTGTGCCGGCCCAGCGCCGAAATGATGTGGTTCTTCTCTATCCAACATTATTGGTATTGTTAGTTACGCTATAAAAAATCAATCTAGTAACGGATAAGATATCTTTGAAATCAATTTAGTATACCATTTTATATATGACTGTTAATTTATTTTTCTTAATCAGAGTCAAAGTTCGGGAGAGACAATGGGTCATCACAAATTAAAGGTTTTGAAGGTTTTCAAGGTGTGTGAATTAGAGTGTGAATGATGATGACTTATTGATGTACTCTCTACGAAAAAGACGTTCCTTACAGTGCAGTTTGCCCTGTATTACTATTATAGCAGAGCTGACACTAGGCGGACAAGCAGATATACCGAGTAGTAAGGCAGTCAGTAATTGACTGACAGAGCCTACATATAATGAGAATGATAACACGACCACAGTTATACTTTCCTATTAGGTTGCTACCAAAATGTAGTTATGAATAATCATGTGACAGCAGTTTTCTATCATTTTTTTTCAATTTCCGGTTTGTGACAGCTAAAGGGTGTAGTGTATTCGTGTATGATGCATCACCGGATCAAATTGTGATTTTACTTCGTTTTCGAGGATATTGCCACCATCAGTAAAACTGTGACTGCTATAATGGAAGGGTATGGGTGTTCTAACACCCATACCCTTCTACAGGCATACTCATTTTTCTTGATTCCCTTTTTTTTTCTTTGTAGTTTTGTTGTGGTCGTACTGGACCCAAACATCGCAATCATGGTTTAGTCGTGCCACAGTTGTTTGTCTGTAGAGGGAGAGTATCGACAACGGATCATTGGTTCTGGGAAGGGTGGAGAGAAAGGTGGCCTGGTGGAAGGGGTCTTTGAGCAGGGCCGAGAGATTCCTGTACTGCTACAACATGGTAAGGTATAGGACGTAAGACGTAGGACGTAGGAGGGGGGAGATCTGCCTAAAGTGCTTCCCTCTAACCCCCTGCCTAAACTTCCTTTCCATTAGAATCCAACTCTCACTCTGCCTATTCCAAGAGCCCTCTAGGAATCACCGGGTTAGCCTGCCTCTTGGGAAAATGGGCAAAGTGCCTAAGGCAGATGTGATGGTGCTGGGCAGAGGTAAGCAGGGAACCCGTCCCAGGGGGAGAGGGGGAATCTTGTTCGTCGTAGCTAACTGGCTGCATCTATGATGAGTGTGTCTGGAAAAAAAGTTGGGAGCTAGTGTGGCAAACGATAATATATCAAACTTATATATTAAATATTCACTGTTATTTTGACATTCACAGCAGTATACTTAGAAAACACCAAAAAACTTTATACACAAAATGGTACGTTATTAAAGCGCCTATTACTGGTGATTATTATGAAGGGAAGTCAGGATCGGATTAAGATGAATATGGATCTGAAAACTAAATGATAAATTATTATAGGACGGATAGTGGCTAATATGGAGCTTGAATAAGAAAACATTATGAACCAACAATGTGGGAAACAGAAGAGTGTTAAAAAATAGAGTTTATGCGACATTTTTGAAAAGTAATTAATAAATTTAGATGAAATGTACATGAAATGAAACATCCCCCCTCGATGGAATTATCTGCTAGATCTATTCGCATTGCATTATTTACATCCCATTATAACATGATCATGGCTCAAGAAAAGATTATCCGAAAGATGTCACCTAATTAGGGACTCCCACCTGATATTCATATCCGACCGGACTGCAATTTTACCTGTCACCTCAAACACTACAATTTGAAAGATCCTTTTTTACTAACAATTCAATTTTTTTCTAATTACTCTGAAATTGTCCTGCTATAAGTGCATGCTCTATCTGATAGATTGCTAAGAGGCTCTAATTATATGTTTTAGCAGGCCAAACTAAACAGTGATGGAAAATTATTAAATCTCAATAGGCTAAAGTTCACGGTTCTCTAGCTCGTGCTGGTAAGGTTAAGTCCCAAACTCCAAAGGTCGAAAAGTCCGAAAAGCCAAAGAAGCCAAAGGGTAGAGCTTACAAGAGACTTTTGTACACCAGAAGATTCGTTAACGTCACTTTGACCAACGGTAAGAGAAGAATGAACCCAGGTCCATCCTCTCAATAAATATAGTATATTATGGCTTTTTAATTTACATCCATTTATTCTATTAAAATAATAAATCATACAACTCAAAATCATAAACAGTTTTTTTTTTCTCACTGGATATTATGTATGTCTTATCTTCTGTATATATCGATAATACCCTTGTTAAATAAAGACGTGTGCAATTGTTTCCATAACTAATGAGTAAGGTTTTGTTACTCGATGCATTTTAACATCACTACCTATGAAATGCAACTGAATAGACCAAGCTTTAATAATAATCTGAAGGTGAAAGGGATATATCCCTATAGTCATTAATATTTATCCGTAGTTACATAATTATACAATAACCGTCCTTTTATTACCAATCGTCACCATTATCATAATCGTCACCAGCTCCAACCTTGTTCTTACGTTGATTCAAAGCCGCTGCCAATGCATCAGCAAGAGAACCTCCAGGACCACCCGGAGGTGCGCCTGCTCCACCTGTTGGTTGACTTGTTTGAACAGGTTCACCACGGGCTTCTTGTAATAGAACTGAAGGTTTGTCTAATTGAGATTTATCGACTTTTCTCAAGGCACCTATACCTCCAGCTCCCCTAATTGAAGCTAATAGTGCATCTCTGCCTGGATCACCAGTTGCTTCATTTATTTGACCACCTGGAGCAGGCGGCTGAGATTGACCTGGAGTACCAGAGAGGAATGCAGGTGGAGGAGGTGGAGCCGCTGGAGCACCATTAGATGGAGATACAGATGAAGTATTTTGTACAGGTAGCGGTGGAGGAGGAGGTGGAGCTTGTGCCTGTTGACCTTGTTGAAAAGCTGGTTGAGAACTCACTGGAGGTGGAGGCGGAGGCTGCTGCTGCTGATACGCTTGTTGATTTGTAGGTAGCGGTGGTGGTGGTGGTTGGTATGCTTGCTGTTGAGAAACCTGCTGCGCATTGAATTGAGGTTGTTGTGGTTGTTGATAAACAGGTGTTGGCTGTTGAGATTGAGTCGCTGGTACACTACCAAAGTTATTAGACTGTGGAGGAGGAGGAATAGGACGCGCACCCCTTGGAGGAGGTGGCGGCACTGGTCCTCTCCTTGTACTATGTTGTACAGCACCTGTTTGCATACTTTGTTGACCAGATGGGGCACTAAAATTCCTATGTGGTGGTGGAGGAGGAGCTGGACCTCTTCTTGACGGTGGAGGAGGAGGCCTAGATCCAGTGGACGGAACTGGTCTGTTTCCTGGTGGCAGCTGTGGAACTGGTCTTTGAGCATTTGGAGGTGGGGGAGGAACTGCTCTATTTTGCTGACCGAATGCTGGTTGACCTGGTTGATAAGGTTGGTTAAATTGAGAAGGCGATGAGAAGTTCCTAGCTGGCTCTTGTGGAACTGGGAATGGGAAATTACCTGCTTGTGCACTTGTAGATTGCGGAGGTTGTGGCACCGGAATTGGGAATGGATTGTTAGATTGAGGCTGTGGTTGGCCTGGCGCTTGTGGGAATGAAGGTGGAGCAGGTGGAGGAGCACCTGAGGGTTGTCCTTGCATAAAATCTGGAAGTGGAGGGACTTTGTGTTTTTGATGCTGTTGTGGACTAGTTTGGGTTTCAGTATTTTCTGCGGGTTGAGGCGTCTCCGTTTGAGGGGCAGGAGAAGGAGAGTTGAAAGTAGTAGTTGTTTCAGATTGCGTTAGGTCAGGAGTAGATTCTGGAGCTGGCTCAGCACTAGGTGGTGGTGGTGGGGGTGCTTTTTTCCTAGTATTTGGCAATTGTTCAACTTTATCCATTGTGTATCTTTGTCGCTGATTATCTATGAGCGCTTCACCTCTTGGTCCATGTGTCACCTTTGATGCATTTTCTTTTGTAACTTTAACGGCCATGGCCACAGCATTTTTGTTGTTTAGAGTCTTTTTTGAAGCATATTTTTGACGCTTTTCTACTCTCTTATGGAAATGAGCTGCTTCACTTAAGTCCACAAAGAGCAATCCTGCGTAACATGATTCCATTTCGAATGTATGGAAGAAAGTACGATCTTGGTTGTACTCAAAGTTCACATATAGCTCCTGATCCCACAACACCCCTCTATGACCATTAATATCAACTAGTTTCAAAAAGAAAGTGTTACCTACAAGGTCGTCAACCAGTGCAATTGCTCCTGACAGCCCCGTGTATTGCCACTCATTGGGGTCAGGATATGCAATGTATAACCGAGCCACAGTCACATCTATAATTTTATTCGAAGATTTAGGCAAAGCTCTCTTAATGATCTCCTTGTCGGCGGATGATAGTAGACCCATATTATGTTTATTTATATTTTCAAACTTTTAAGGTTGATCTTCCTGGCATAAATTTGGACAAAAGATTAAAAGAAAAAAGGATAATATAACTGAAATAGTAATGCAATTGATTACTTATCTGGTAAGTTAATTCTATGATGGGAGTATTTCAGGTCTATGGCTTCCTTCTTTGGTAGTACTGGTATTAAGGGGACAAATTTGAATACACCAGTGGGAAAAAGCGAAGTAAATGCCCAGTGATTGTACTTTTCTAATTTCACAAAGTGTACAAGTAGAGCGATCAAAAAATTAACGCTAGAGGCCCTGTGTGGTCTATAAATAATACCTTTCTATTTTCCAAATAACCTTTCCTTTTTTATTTCTCGCTCAGTTCGGAACGGGGGGTGGTCAATTCTCAAAGTATGCCAAAAGGATGTCTATCCTAGCGGATGTGGAAATAAGCTGTTGTAGTATTTCTTTCAGTGGTATATCCAATTAAATTTCTAAGCCTTTAAGGAACCCCGCGGTTAAAGAGGAAGGGCAACAGCTATCCCATAAAGCAAAACCTGCCCTCCCGATCACATCCTGGCAGGCTTGTGGGCAGGATTACCCAAGAGGAAAGGGTAAAAAGACCAGTAAATCATTATATACGTGCATGTCACAGGATATGCTAAATTCTGCGTAGCTTATGACAAATTAACCTGTGTGTAGTGTGGGCGGCTTCAGCAAAGTTTTGTCAGTTTTGTTAATGCACGGAACAGCTGGACGAGGGGAGGATGTCTGCTGTGCGATAAAACAAAAATACATGCCTGGGATTATCATACCGGGCCACCGACACTCTATGAAGCGTGTCTCTCGGGCGTCTTATAACTCAGTGTGGAGATATGTGACGTATTACTGATCATGCAAGGACGCAGAAACACGGTCTTGTTAACACAATGAAAAGAATTGCAGGAAAGAGAAATTCGCAAGGGTAGAAGCTAAGAAACACCATTTTCAAGACTAATGCTACGGTGAGCATCTGACAGGGCTGGCAACATCAAGTGAGCACCCGCTTTCTTATGTTCCGCTTTCCCTCCTCCTCTCCCCCGACTTTCACAGTTGTAAGTTCGTGCAGATTTCTTTTGTTGTACAACGGGACATAGGAAATGGGTTTAATCTCAATAAGGAGACGCAGTTTGACTAGGGAAGCTCATTCCTCAACCCCCGCGCCACATTCTGTGGAATCTACTGAAATGCAGTTTTGGGTTTTTCTTTAATTAAGAATTACAGTTTTCTGATTACCTGAGATCTCTGCTACAGAAAGCGTAGTACAAACAACTTCTAGAAGGGCAACAAGAGAATTAAGACCGAGTTGGAAGATATATACAAGATGCTAAGAAAGACGCGTACAGAAAAATGATGAAAGGGAAAAAACAAAATTGGCTGCAAACTTTTCTTTTTTCCTAATTGTAGAAAAGTGGCAACACTGCCGCTCTGCCAGGCACTGCATGCAGCCAGTGAGTGGCTCCATAAGTACTTTCGTGACCCTTCAACAAGACTCTTGGCCAAACAACACTGCTCAGGAAGGTAGTCGAGCAGAATATGTGTTGAAGGCCTAATAAGATAGATACCAGCTTTTTTGTCAAACACACATATACAAATGATTGCTCTCAAGCAGGAATGGCTGTTCCGGTCGTCCCCACCTGATCCATCCAGTTGCCCATGGCCGTGAGAATTCTGTCCTTCCTGTAAGTAACTACACAAAGACACTCTACAATGACAAAACACACAGAGCCATAACAACTCCTACAGGACGTGGATTGTATGAGTGGGAGAAAGGTAAAAGACAAAAAGAGCAGCACTCACACACTACTTTACTTCTGCCCTCCCCACCGAGAACAATCGAAGAGGCAGTTGCCTTCCTTCTTTCTTTTTTTTTTTTGAAAAACTCTCTTTCACTGATGAGCTACGCAAATGAGGGCAGACAATGCGGGAAAGAAGTCACCACACAGAAACACGGGTACAACACTATCTTGTTAAGCTTGCAAATTTTTTTTGTCTTCTTCCATTCATTTAAACAGTAATTTCAATTAATGTTTTTACTTGCCAAAAAGCAAGACAAGTAACTGGTAAATTGCTAAACAAGAAACAAAATGCAATAAATATTAATGAACTTGCAACGGGGTTTATTGGCTAACGCAGTTTGGAGAGACGAGAATCTTCCCTTTGAAAGAGTCCCCCGCCATAGCATTCAGAATTGTTATCATTTCGTAATTAACGGTTTTTTTTTGCTTTTTCTTTTTCTGATTTTTTTTTTTATTAATTGTTCTCGATCAATTGTTTTCCTATATTTTGACATCCGATTATATATAATACTTGATATACCCATTTTGAATTCTTCCCTTTGACCTGCTAGTATTCTCCGGTTTTGTCATTTACTGTATTTTATGCTTTCCAATTTTTACAAAACGTAACACAACCGATTACATTATCATTATCAGGAAACAGGAAGACAATCATCATCAATAAAGTCAGAACAGAGCAAAACTAGTGCATTTTCCTACCGGACAGGAAAAGACAAATCAGACAACACAAGAATTTTAACATACATAGTCATCCAAGACAATATAGAGATTAATGCACTCCTGAGATAGGACACACAAGAATTACTATCTGACCCCACATTTCATTGCAAGGACTAAGAAGCTAAACCTGTACAAACACAATATAGAAACGATACAATAATTGTTTTTCTTAATCTTTATTTTAATCTTTTTTTTTTCTTTGAATATATTCCATTTTGAAAACAGTAATAAAATTTTTTGGTTACCTTGATTAATTAATAATACTATAGCCACAAAATAAGCCATGGGAAGACCTAAAAAAGCAGTAAGTGAAGAAAACATAGAGAGGTTTCAGAGAGAGTTGGAACTCGCGGGAGATAAATTGGATGTTCTTCTGAAAGACAAGAAAGGTAGATCGAGATCATGCCTTCTTTGCAGAAGACGTAAACAGAGGTGTGATCACAAGCTTCCCAGTTGTACAGCTTGTCTCAAAGCTGCTGTCAAGTGTGTTCAACCAGCTCGATACTTCACTTCTAGCAATAACTCATCGGCTAGCAGCCCAAATACACCGCAATCAAAACCCGACAAAATTGCAAAACCGAAAGCAAAATCAACAAAGAAAGCTAAAAATTCTACTGTTAAGGGTTCAGAACAATCACAACATCCACACGAATACGCATCTAAGTTACAAAACGTTATAGATTCCCAAAACTTCCCAGTACCTAACTCCCATGTTGCGAATTCCATGTATAGAAGAAATATGCCAATGCAGAATAATTCTCATATGATGAATATGCCTTATAATGGAGCTAACGATTCTATACACATGCATCTACAACAAAGTCCGATCGTGCACCAGATACATTCGCCTTACATTAATAAAGAACATCATACAGATTCCAATAACTCGATGACATATGCATCTAATCCAAACTCTCCCTTACCAAACACATCTACCACGTTACAGCATTTCCAGCATGTATATTCAAATGGTAATGGCTCAATGAATAACATTCATACCTCTAATAATATGCTCCCCAAGCAGACAAGCTTACCACCTTTATCAACACCTTTGATGAAGCAGGAATACAACAACTTTTCAATGCAAAGGAGCCCTTCAAATGAACAATATGTAGCATCGTGCCCAGAATCCGAATCCTCAAGGATAAATTTACCAGTTTCTCTAACAAAGGTAGCTAAGAAAAATGAGTCGAAGAAAAAGAAGAATAAAAATGAAACGAATCAAGACAAGGATGAATATACATTATTCTTGGAAAAGAAACTTAAATATCTGGAGAAAATTATAGACACACAACCAAACTCTCCTGCCTACTTGAAAAAAATCAAGCAATATAAGAAGATTTCCCATCTTCTTGGGGATATAGGAAACTTAGAAGACATTGAAAAGAAACTTAAGAAAGAAAATAATGCTGCAGGTTCACCACAAGCTGGTAACAATTCATTGGGGCAACCATCTTCAGCTATTTCTACTCCAACAGCATCCATAGCTACACCAAATTCTGGTATTCTACCTCTGCCACCTGTGCAAGGGAACCATTCTAATGTTTATCCAATTAGATCACCATACACTTCTAATGGAACCCCGGTAGATTCTACAAACAAGGATACAATACCGGCATTGTCTTCGGACTCCTTAGATTCAGTCGATTTTTCGAAGTGCATATTCGGAAAGTATAACCTTAAAGAGTTCTTATCATATGACCCTGCGTTTGAGTTTGACGAGCAACTATCGAGATCATTCTTAGACACCTTTTTCACCAGATTGCAATTCAAATATCCACTTTTAGATGAAGATGAAATCTACACATTTCATGAGAACTATTTGAAAAACCAAATTTATTCATATTCAGAGACAAACTTCCATTTTGCATGTGGCCGTATGTGGATGGTTTTCACAATTAGTGCATGTCTACCTATGACAACTGGTAAATATAAGGGACAACCTCCAGTACGGTATTTTTCAACTGCTATTAGACATATAACTAGATGTGGAAATAAACTTACTCCTGTCCAGGAACTAGAATTATCAACTCTGCTTGTATTATACATAGTTCGTACTGATAGCGACTCCATGCTTTTGTATGAAATTATCAAGGACGTTATGAACATATGCAAAAACAAACTGCAATTGCATAAGTGGCACGCAAATGACCAATTTGCAAGTAAGAAACTAAGATTATTCTGGTGTGTTTACTTATTAGAAAGGATGATTTGTGTTGCTGTTGGTAAACCATACACAATTCATGAAAATGAAATAGAAGTACCATTTTTTGACGAAAATTCATTCTTCACACATAGCACTTTTAATACTTCGTCTCCAAGAAGAAGCGGAGTCCATTTTATCAATCAATCTTTGAAGCTAAGAAGAATCGAGTCACACTTTGTTGAGGTTTTAAAAATTCTACCGGCAACTGAAAGAAGGACTAACAATAAATCTGAGATTGAAAAACAACTCCCTGTTGTGAAACGAGCATTTCATGAACTAGAGCTTTGGAGAGCTGGTTGTTTGAGCAACGAGTTGAGAAATTTTGAGAATGAAACCCTAAAACTGTATTATTATAGATCTGTGAGATTATTAATCCAACCTTTCTTAGAGGTCCTCAGACCAGAGGATAGGCTTTTCAGGGAATGTCAAGCCTCTGCTGGACAAATTTGTCAACTTTACAAAATCTTTCATCAGAAAACGGTAACTGGTCATTCCACGCCTGCTGTACATACAGTATTTGTTGCTGGAGTTACGTTAATTTACTGTATGTGGTTAGCTAGGAATTACGATGACGAAAAGAGAAGGAAATTAGGTGATATTTCAAAACACACCAGGCCTCTTGTCAGTGCTAGTCTGTTCTCGACAATGGACGACCTGAGAGCGTGTTCAGTTTGTCTATATGTGATGACCGAAAGATCCCACTTCGCTAAAATTTTCCGTGATACTTTCGATCAATTGATGAATGCCACTGTTGGCAACCTTATCGAGCGTTGTGGTCCTGACTCAGCTGAATTAATCTATATGAAACAAAACAAGAAGAAAGGAAATACAGGGAAAGGCAATCAAATCACAGATGTATGCGGAAACTCAGATGAACCTAGGAATAAATCTAATATGTCAAAGGAAGATTCCAAAAATCAAACAAAAAGTAAAGCGGATCTTGATGATGAAATTTCCTCTACTTCATCTGATATGATGATAAGCAAAAATGGTATGCCACCTGCTGTTGATAGAACTTTTGGTAAAAGACAAGCTAGTGAGCATGTTGGTTTTGTAGAAAACTCTCAAGTTGATCTTGATAATGCCGAGAAGGAAAAACTCAAAATGCAAAAAGGTGTGCTGGAAAAAACAACTGTTCCCAAGGGTTTGTCACATCTACTTATAGAAGAAAATGAAATGTTAATGGAAGAAAACAACAAATGCAACGAGGAAAAGAGTCAATCCCTTTTATCAAAAAACAGTCCTGAACCTACTCACTTGATAAGAAATACAGAAAGTGTGAAAAGTATGGATAGCAGTGGTACAAGCTCACCTGTCATAAATGAATATATTGTTCAGAAGCCTATTAATGCTACTTCGTTTGATTGGAACTTATTTAAACAACAAGCGTTCCTACAGCAACACCTGGCACAGCAAAATCTTCAAGCATATTTATCATCATTGAAATATGAAAATGATGGCCTAGAATCTAATTCTGCTAGTGAACAGGCTGGACATTCTACTAGTTTTACAGGTCAACTTGGATTTAACCCATCCACTGATAACAGATTCAATATGAATAATGGTGCTAGAAACCAAAATGGATTCCCAACTTTGATTAATAGCCCATCTGCATCATTAGGTGCCAATTCACCTCCTTTAACGACAGAGACGTATCCACCTCATGCCAATGTGTCTTCTTCCAAAAAAGAGGAACGCGACCCTAACCTGCATTATAGCAGTTCTGTTAATAACCAGTCACCTTTGCATTCGGTAACTAGTGCCCATACTCCGAATAACCAAACTTCTCAACCAGGAAATCCTACTTCATATTCCTCGGCTAATCCTAACAATAATATCTTGAATGTATCCTCCAATACTGCAAACAATAAAACAAATGGAATGATTCTGTTTAGTAATGGTACCCATGATATGATTAATAATATTTCAACCTGGACAAATGACTCAGTTGTCGAATTCATGAATACAGAAGATGACGGCTTGAATTCCAAAAGCACGGGTGAAATGTCACAAACCAAAACGACTAGCGTTCAGAAACCAAATGAATTTACCTCTGGTAATGCGAATACTGGAGGGCAAAATACCATAAGCAGAAGCGGTACTCCAGCTTGGAGTATGGCAAATGGATACATGTCTGGTATTACTTTTAGTAGTGGAACTGATGCAAGGAATGATACTAGTAATGGCTCCAACCCAACCAGTAACAATAATGGCAACAATAGTAATATCGATGGATACAACATGAATATATTTTCCAGCATGGGCTCTTTACTACACAATGGGGCACCATCAGTAGATGCTGATGGAAACAATGACGGTACAGAAATATACTCAGAGATGCTATTTTAGATTCAATCTTAGAACATCTCCTACGGAATGACTTTAATATCACCTTATCAGACAGTAACTACTCCATAATTACGGTATGACATCTTAACATGACCGCTTCATGGATAAGCGACAACATCCCCTCCTCTTATTTTACTTTAAAATATAGCATCGTAATAATACATTTAAACTAATAACAAAATTTATAGTAAAAGTTCTTCTAAGTATTATACAGTTATAATTCGGTCTTAGGCTTTAGCTTAACGTCACTATCATATCAAACGAATTTATATGTCCCTATGTTTTTATGTTGGAAATCGAGTTGCCAAGAATGACATCCAAGTGATTATCTTTACATTTGGTCAGTATAGATGCTAGTTGATAGCACCATAGGATTAATTGATTACACACACTACACAGCAAGGCTGCGCGAAAGACTATAAACAAGAAGTAAATTAATATCTCAAATTTCAAGTTGCAACCGGTGATATATCTATTGTTCGATCCTCCATAACTTTTCACATTTGCATTTGGTTATCACACATTTGTACATTTCAGTAGATCTAGATATTTTTTTACTTGAATTGTGATCCTTATTCTAAAGACTGTACTAGTGGCATTTCTATTTCTACCATTGATATAATCCTTCTGGTTTCTTTTGATCTCATTGCCAAAAGAGTTTTGAACCTTCGAGACAACAAATTGTTGTTATTAGCCATTTAAAGACAAATTTCCAATAAAAGAATGAGCAAGCAAAATACTTTGATTCTACGAATTACAGAGAAAGGTGTGAATATAGACACACTTATACATGATGTTGTAAAGCCAAGATTAATGGAAATCTTTGAAAGCCGAAACACATCCGATTTAAAAGACTCCCTTCTCTATAAAAGAACCATAGAAATGGATGAAGATGACAATAGAATTCTATATATCGGAAATGAAGTAATAATTGACTACAGAGAATACCAGTCATCCACACATAGCTACTTACTCAAGCTTAAATGGTTACAAGAAATTCAACCATCAAATACTCCCAATAGATTAGACCTTTTTATAATCGAGTGCATAGTTAGCATTATAATCGCTAATTGTGACTCTAGTAGTATCTCTCAGGACACAAATGTTGTAAAAGATGAAAACGAAAGACTGAGAGTCATCCAAGAATTAATGGAGGAACAATTTGGAGCTGACGGCTACAAAGAGCAAGAAAGGACAAAAGCCATAGTAAAAGTTGGCGACAAGACTGGGCACGTCGATCTAGTCAATTTAAAGGTTATCGAATGCGACTCCTCATTACTCAAAGGTAGACTCGAGGGTGTTTTACGAGTGGCAGAACAGCTTTCAAGGCCTTTAATCGGAAGTTAGTATATACCTAAATAACAAACTCCTTGTAACAAAAAAGAATAGCTCCATTTGCTATATTGTGTTATCAAAATATTAGTTTCCATACTCCGTAACACACTCAATTGTGTATATTAAACTACAAAAAAACCGTAGCGCTTCCTTTCTTGAGCTCTTATTGTTGCCAAGGAAGCGCACTGTAACAAAAGAGCTTCTTAAAAAAACATTCAGTAATGTAAAATTGCAGATATCGGTTAGATGTGCTGTAAAATAGACTTTAAGAGCTGTATTGATGAAGAAACACACCTATTAGCATTAGAATGGCTTCTATAAATCATATCGAGGCTTTCTTTTAGAACTAGCTTCTTTTTGAAGGTAGTATATACTTACCCCACCCTCCTTATACATTAATTACTAATAAACTAAGACAAATAAGTACTTACAGTCCCATTAAGCAGTTTTTTTACTTAATAAACCTTTTGAAGAATACGACATTGCTTCCATTCACCTATGATTTTCAGGCCTGCATAACACTAAAAATACTGCTCTAGATGAGAGTAGGTACAGGAACTTATATAATTTTGCCACTATAGCTAGATCAATAAGCCGAAACAATAGTTCACATAGCAACAAACACTGTCCTATTATCCGCTTTAAAGCGAATTTATCTCAATTTGGAGTTAGAAACAACGAACATGTAGGAAGACATCTTATTATCTTTCATAATTGCGGGAGCATGTGATTTTTACAATTATGACGCGTCACATAGAAAAACGCGTCAAGAGGTGATGACCATGAAAATTTCCGAAGTTTTCGAAGTTTTTTGCAATAGTCTCAATGTGTTCACATGCCATTAGACTAAACTACTACCACAACTTGTCTACATGGACCATCAGTTCCTGATTGTCTTTAGGTGAGCTTGTTTTACCTCGTTTCTAACATGCGAGTTAACTATGCTTTCGAGTTACCGTCACCTATTATTATCGTTTTAGACCATATGCTTGTCTTCACGTTATTCTGTGAATAGTACATAAATTCATTTATAAGATATCAGATAGACGTTATCAATTAAAGCAATCTGACATCAGAAAAGAGATTTCGAAGTTTATAATAACTAACACTGCATTTCAATCCGAGTGCTTTGAAAATCACTGAGTTCTACCACAGATTGTCTATGAAAACATAGAGATATACATTGATATCATAACTCTGGCATACCATTAGTTAATAGACAATTGAGCAAAAACTTCATATATAATCTAAACACATTTAACTCTGTCAAACATGTTTACATCAGGCAAAGTGCTGCCGACAAAGATCCAACCGCCATTGTTGAGACCAATGGCCTACAGAGTATTATCGAAGAAATATGGACTGAGTATAAAATCTGATGGACTGGCTGCACTGAGTGATTTTATTGGATCGACTTTTGGAATGGATTGGAAGAGAAATCCAGACACGATCAAATTTCTTGAAGTATTTGCAACTGTTTGGAAGCAACAAGAGAGAGGCCTCTTTGTCGACAGTACTGGAGTCAAAGATGTCATAAATGAACTGAAAGAAAGAGAAAAGGCAACTTTGCAAGAATCACAAAATATGGCTTCAATTCCACCGAAGACGAAAACTTATAACAATGGAGGTGGTAAAACCACTACAATCGACCGATTTTTAACTAAACGTCCGTCACCATCGGACAATGACGAAGGTCCATTAGATCAATCCATCGATGATATACCTGTATCACAAGCGACACAGATTGATGAAGAAGAACTGCCGATGGCCCAGGAAATATCAGATCAAATCAGCAGCCCAGCAAGAGATCAAACACCAGAGGAAGAATTCGATAACAGAATCTTAAACTGGAGAGACTATTTTAGAATCATCAATACAACAGACCAAAAGAAGTTTAGCTATAACCCAGTTAAGAGACAAATATTTTATCAACCACCAAAAGATCAACTAAAATCAGTGCTAAAAATCCCAAATGCACAAGCAAAAACTGATCTATTCAGAACTAGGTACTTTCTAACCAGAGATAGATTACTTCGAAATGAAAGTTTCCAAAGCAGTCACGACACATTCAATCCCTTATCCTCAATGATTCAATTGAAGAATAACATAAATAACAATAATCAAGATGACACTCCTACGGGCTTATCCATAACCCAGATAAAGAACTTGCTAGGTAGGGACGGACAGAATTTTTTGATTCTTGGAGTTTTGAAAATGAATCCCAAAGGCCAATGGTCTCTAGAAGATGCATCTGGATCTATAGACATTGATATTTCCCAGACACTACCATCTCCGGGGCTGTTCTACATCCCAGGAGCAATTGTACTAGCAGAAGGTATATATTACACGGTAGGCCACACATTTGCGGTTACCTCGATGACATTCCCACCTGGTGAGAGAAGAGATAAGACTTTGGATCATATTGGTAATTTGGATTTATTAGGAATTCATGGCACCGAAAAATCTTCCTATATACCAAGATTAGACAACGAGATTAAAATTAGACTACATCTTCTTGAGCAAGATTTGACACATCAAAAGTTTGTTTTACTCGGTGGTGACTTATTCTTGGACGATCAACACGTAATGGATGGGCTGAAAAAGGTATTTACCAAGCTTGATCAAGAAGCACCAACTGTTATCGTACTTTTCGGGTCTTTTTCATCATTTCCTGTTCATGCTGCAATGTCAAGTAAAAACATTAGTTCAACTACAGAATACAAGAATAATTTCGACTCTTTGGCAGAAATGCTTTCTCAATTCGAGAATATTATAAACCATACTCATGTTGTTCTGATACCAGGGCCACACGACCCTTGGGTATCACTTTGTTCTCTAGGTGCTAATGGCTCGTTACCTCAAAGTTCAATACCGACACATTTTAGTAAAAGAATGAACAAAATTTGCAAGAATATAACCTGGGCGTCTAATCCAACAAGGATAGCTTATCTTTCACAAGAAATTGTTTTATTCAGAGATAATTTCCTAGAACTCTGCAAAAGACATCAAATTTTATTTCCAGTTGTTGAGAGCAAGCGGGCAGAAGACCTAGCCGAATTAGAAGAGCAAATGGCAAATAATTCTATTGATGATACAACTATACTTGTCGACCGTATAATATCTGAAAAACAACAACTTCCGGCCAAAGTTTTGGAGTCACGAAAGGTAGTAAAAACCCTCCTCGATCAAGGCCATTTATCTCCATTTGTTGATTCAATTAGACCAATATCATGGGATATGGATCATACATTAACGTTATACCCAATTCCTTCGACATTGATTTTGGCTGATATGTCGTCTGCTGCATATGATTTAACCTACAATGGTTGCAAAACTATCAATCCAGGTAAGTTTATACACAAAAGACAGGCTCGTTATATTCAATTCCAACCATATTTGAAATCTGTTTCTCAAGAGGAAGTCTTTTTTTAATGCTTATTTTAGCACCGTAATTTAAGACTAGTATCATATACAGGGATTAATATTATATATATATATATAATGATAACAAGAATGCATGAAATTGAGCAACACTAAATGCGGTCTATCTGTAATTTTTTATTTTGTTCACTACAGTTTGTGGCATGCAATACACCGGGTTTATCTCGATGAGTGAATCAAATCCCATTAAACTTAATCCAGCCAGTCCAAAAAGAGTATGATAAACATCCACTTCATTATCCGGTCTATCACTAATACCACCCTTTATTTGATCTTGACTATCTAATATAAATTCGCGTAGCTTATCATAATCTATCCAGTCAAGCTTTCCTATTATTGCTAATGAAGATAAAACCCACCAACTATAGCAGACATCAGGGAGTTTACTAGGCCTACCATTTAAACCACCTTCTGGAATTTGACGCTCACAAAGCCACCAGCCTATTTCTTCAATTTGACTGTCAGTAAAGACATTTAACCTACCAACAATAGCAAGGGCACCCAAGCAACAAAAAGCTTGTGCAGCATGCGATTCTGCACCTGGAGACATGCAAAATCCACCATCAAAGTTATAACACCTTACAATAAATTGTACTGCTGGCTCCACGATTTCCTCACTAAGTCTTCCTAAGATCGATAATGAACTCAAAGCAGTATACACAAATCTAGAATCGACTTCTCCAAATCGGTCTCCTTGAAAGGATCCGTCTGGCAACTGATTGCTTACTATGAATTCATAACATTTATCCTTTTGTTCTGACGTCAAAATGTCTAATGAATCATAAGTAACTAAAATTTGTAATCCTGACAGGGTGGTTAATAGATGCGCATCATGCCTCGGAAACGGAGCAAATCCACCGGTTCTCGCATCCCAACAACTCAAAACAAACTTGACAACCTCATCTTTATCAAAAGACTTCTTTGAGTCCAAGATACACAAAGCTGTAAGCCCCCAATATACTCCATTTAGCCTGAGGTGTTCGGACAGCCAGTATTCGTAGTCTTCTTTACGTTTATCCAATGATTCAATGTACTCAATATGCTTCTGTTTTAAGAGTTCTACCATATTTGATTATAAACTGGCCTTTGAGTTCCTAATCAGATTTTTCATTTAGATATTGATACAGGTGAAGGCAACATGTTTTTATTTCCTTATTTTTTGATGCTTTTATGTTTCTCGATGAGCTTTAAAAAATGCGATGAGCTGCAACACAAGTAGTGATATTTGTGGTAGCAATTACTATTCACAATTAAACTTAAATAGTCATAAAACAAAGGACATAGAGACTTGGTATATAAAATTAGATATGAGTAATATCCGCGACATAAAGGTCGACCTCGAATTTAAAGACCCCAATACTGGCGAGTCTGCTGCCACCATTTTACAAAAGTACCAATTTCAAAGAAATGAGCTAGTCAATGTGATACCTACAGCACCTGATGATGTGATTGACGCTCTAGAATATATTGGAGAGTCTGGCACGATTGATAAAGAAGATGATTATGGGAGGAGGCTTCGATTAGCTGAGTTATTAATGGAAGATGAGTTGAAACGTCAGTTGTTCCAACAATGGCGAGATAAGCGTTATAAGAAGGAGATTACACAATTTACTGAGGATGAAGATGATGAAGAATTTTATACTCCTGCGAGCAAAGACCTGATATCTGCAAGGCAATATATACTGAAAAATTCGATAGCTAGAGCTAACAAAAGAATAGCAGCCCAAAAGACTATTTCTCAAACCTATAGCATACAAAATGTGTTAAATAAACGGCGAGCTGCAAATAAATATTGGTGTTCATTCGATCTACTGGCTACACAAGTTGTTTCCACTAGACCCATTTCGACTGTAACATTCTGTAATAACGGGAACTATGTGGCCAGCGGAAGCTGGAATGGGGAAGTCAGTATAATTGATTCAAATACTTTAGAAGTTACTCAAACTCTACAGAACCATGATGGCAAAGTTGGTGGCATAGCTTGGACTTCCAACGACTCTGTTCTTATCACTGGTGGAGAGGATCATTTAATTACTGTTAGCAATAGGTCTGATGGAGAGTTCATTACATCAAACAGTATTGGTGGCCATGAAGGGAGAATTACCGATTTGCAAGTACACCCATCAGGAAAATTCATTGGTACTAGTTCATTCGATTCAACTTGGAGACTTTGGGATATAGAGAAACAAAAGCAATTACTACTGCAGGAAGGCCACTCAAAAGAGTTGTATTGCTTAGCTTTTCAGGCTGACGGCGCATTGGTGAGTACCGCAGGAACAGATAAAACTGCAATAATATGGGATTTAAGATCTGGAAAAGCAGTATCCCAGTTACAAGGTCATGCAAAAACTATCTATTGCATGGATTGGTCGATTGATGGACATACGTTGGCCACTGGTGGAGGAGATGGTGTTATAACAATTTGGGACCTCAGAAAATCAGATAAACTGACAAAAATAACTGAACATAAAAGTATAGTCACATCCTTAAAATTTGATAAGGCTAATGACCACAATCTTATATCATCTGGATATGACAGATCTATATTCGTTTACTCGAAAGATAATTATCTCAAGGTATCATCACTAATAGGTCATGCGGACAAAGTACTGACATTTGATATAGACAAGAATAATAAAAACTTGATAAGTGGAGGATGGGACAGGTCAGTCAAACATTGGTCTACCGTAAGTACCGATTAATCATACTTTATTAAATACACCACTAGCTAAAGGGAACCTAATACCACTTAACTACAAATATTATCTTATCTAAAGTTGATAAAGAAAAACGTACATAATTCTGTGGCTCTTGGATTATGATTTCTTAGATCTCTTATTACCATTGACTACGGTGGAAGTTCGTACCCTGGAGGGTGGCATGTTGTGTAGAGATTTCAATACTTGCTCTAAGCGACCTTCCAATTTATGTAGGACGCCCGCTTCTTCAACAATGCTTTGTTTTATATCATTAATTCTTATATTTATTTTTTGCTCTTCCGGTTCGGTGTTCGAATAATCAGTCCTAAATTGATGCTTTTTATTTTTAAGTTCATCTGTAATTTTAATTGTCTCCTTTTCGTTTTCGTCGTACGCATTATTAGCCCTTTCGAGTTCCTGCTCCATGTATTGTCTTTCTGTATTATATGACTCAATGTTTTTTTCCTCATATCTTACATTTTCCATCAGCTCTTTATGTGTGTTTAATAGAACTAAAATCTCAGCCTTCTTTCCACCTTCAGAGTTTATTTTTTTACTGATGGAATCAATTTCTGCGTTCAACTTCTCCAGTTTTTCATAAAGTTCTTTTTGAATATGATCTTGATCATTGACTTGACTCAAATTCATCTGAATTTTACTTTTGGACGTGTCGTACATATCTTTAACCTTGATTAGCTCTTCGTCAAAAAACTTAATACGATTCTTATGCAATTCAGAGTGATCTGAATAGTACCCGAGTTCTTCTTTTTGTTCATCTATATCAATGTATATTTGATCGATAGACTGTATCAATTTATGGGTCAGAATACCACTAGATAAATGGTAGTTTGAATTTGAAGTTTCATCAGCTGTAGTTATACCTGTCAACTGGGTCATGCCTTGCTTTAGTGGATTGGTGGAATAATCGTTTTTCACTCTTTTTAATTGATAAAAGCTCTGCTTCCTTCCATTATCGTCGTTATTCTTATCACTTTTAGACCTACCCCTTTTCTTTGAATTCGCAAATGCGTTTTCAAGCGCTGTATCTATTTGATTAAAGTGAACCTCTGTTAGCAATGACCTCTCGACATCCATCGAGTTATACCTCTTTATCGGATAGACATCAGGTAAGGGCCATATGATGCTAGGGTTTTCTAACCAGTCCAGGAGGTACACTAATTTTTGAGAATATACTGGCCTCAAATCTGGTGGCAACGTACCAACTCTATCTCTTAACACAACAACAGCAGCCGTTAGAGCTTCGAGGTAATCATTGCTGTTTTTATCATATAACTTACCAAAATATAGCATTCCATGCTCTACAGAATTTATAGTAATCAACTTTACAATTGGCGCTTGCTTTTCCAATGTTCTTTGATCTCTTTCATGTCTTAGTATGGACTTCATCTCTTCTGTTGTAGTATCCACAGATATGTCAACGGCTAGTAGCATGTCAAATTGATTCCCAGTTTTAAGAGGAAATTTACTTTTATCCCAACCTGCTGAAGGAAATATATGACATGTACAGGAGTGGTTTCTTGACTTTTTGTTTTGTTTTATACTTTGACCATCATAACGCCTTATATTAACTTTATGGCCATATAATAGTGCTTCAACAAGATCCATAGTACGACCTGGTCGACAGACTATAGCAGTATTAGTTTCATACTCTTGTATTAAATTTATAAGGTCCCTTATAACCTGAAACTTCCCACTATTCTCCGCTAAATGTCCTGGAATATCACGAGTCCCCAGAGATTTTGGCATCATATGATCGATAAGCAGAAAAGGATGTGTTGCAACAAGCTCACTGTTGTGGCATAATGTTTTCATAGACTCCAATATAACATCCTCTTTGTAATCTGTCGTTTCAAAATAACGTAATATATCAGAGTAATGCAATGATACTATTTGATCTGTTAGTTCCTTTTGGTAGAGACTCATTGTAGTAGGTAGCCAATAATTTCCAGATGTATTACCACTCACACCAAGCGTCCTTGCATCAACAATAGATGGAACTGGTTTGGTATCCAAAATCTTTAACAAATCCATTTCTATTCAAGCGCCTCTGTATTAAACTTTAAGTTAAAACACTTTAGATTCAACGTAGCACTAAATTCAAAATATACACCTATTCACTAATATTAGCAGGCAAACAGTTTTAAGTGTCTTCAGCAATCAAAAAAAATTCAAACAGTAACTTGATAGAAACCAAAATGATATTAAATAACACACCAAAATAGATAAGGCTTAGTCTCAATCTTGGAACATTAATTTAAGAAGCTGTATTATTTTTTATATTCAGCTATTTGCATTCTTAAGTTTTCCTCGAGAAGCTCATCATTAAAGGTTCCCGTTCTGAGCTGAAAAAAAAAATGAAAGATCTAGGAAAACATACAAGAATATTAGTAGATACGCAGTAATGATTAGGTCAACGGAACAACGAAAAGTATAGTTCTATCCTTAATAATAGAATTTGGGAAATTGTACCCATATATTGTTTATCTGTACCTTTGGGATATTTTTATTCTGGGATACCAAATCATATAGCATCGCAACAAGATGGAGAAATTAAGCGAGGATGAAATTGCATTATATGACAGACAGATTAGACTTTGGGGTTTGGCCGCTCAGACTAATATGCGTATTGCCAAAGTATTGCTAGTAAATATTGGATCAATTGGTACAGAAGTAGCTAAGAACATAGTTCTCAGCGGTATTGGGCACTTGACTGTATTGGATAGCCACATAGTGAATGAAACGGATCTTGGATCCCAATTTTTTCTGACTGCAAATGATGTAGGTAAGAAAAGAGTAGAAGCTGTATCAGATAGATTACAGGATATGAACCCTAGGGTTAATTTAGTTTTTGATTCTGCTGATTTAAAATCAAAGACCGATGACTTTTACAAACAATTTAATATAATTATTGGAACTGAACTTGATTTTTTTCAAAGAGAATCCTTGAACAGTAAGTGCAGGGCACTAAATATCCCACTATACTTGACTGGCTCAAATGGGATGTTTGCATACATATTTGTGGATCTTATTTCATTTGACGCTGTCGATGAGAAAATCCATGGGAACACCTCTGGCGTTAAACTAGGTTCTATAAGCGAGCGTAGAGAAATTATTAAAATTGATGAACGTGAAGATGATGATAGGGTAATGGATATAATTACGACGAGAAATACATATTTGCCGTTATCCAGCATTCTGAAATCTGCAACATTAAATGGTTTACTAACAAATAAACAAAAAAAACGTGCAACTAATATATTACCATTAACATTCACACAACTAAAGCTTACAAATCCAACCAATACTGAACAGTTTAAGGAAGAACTGCTAAAAACATGCAAACAATTGGGCCTAGAATTCACAACTATTAAGGACGATTATTTGGAGCAGTTCATTAAACAGCAAGGGGTAGAATTCACACCTGTGGCTTCTGTTATAGGAGGTGCTGTTGCCCAGGATGTTATAAACATTCTTGGGAAAAGACAATCTCCGCTGAACAATTTTATAGTATTTGATGGTATCACTCTTGATATGCCCATATTTGAGTTCTAATTCCTATCAAGTCGTTGTAATTAACGCCTACCTTCTTTCACTGTTATCTCGCATAAAACTATGAGATAGTTTAATCTCATTTAATCACTTATTTCATAGATTATATACTTCTAAAAAGTCGTTATTTAGAGTCCTTATTGTCAAATCATTTCTGGGTATTTACAACAGATTGCTGTAAATGCAACATAAAGTTTTGTAAAGATATATCGTCAGTCAAAACAATAGTAGCACCAGCTGAGTTCATATTTTGATAACTGTCTGATGGATTCAACTTCGACAATAAAAATCTTGCTTGAGAACCACCAGCTTCTGTATCAATGAATCTTGGCAATGGAAATCTATCAACCAGAAGCTCTGCTGCTTCAAGCTTAGGCTCTTCCAAAAGCTCTTTGAAATCAGCATACTGAGGGTCATCTTGATAGCCTGCTTTTCTCCACTGAGCAATTGTTTCACCATGGTATATTAAAATGTAAAAGAAGGTATCCAAAAGTAATATAGTGTCTGCTTTAACAGATAGCGAATCTAACAACACAGGCTCCGGTTCTGATTCCATTGAGAAGCTTGTCAACGTTGGCTGAATCATGATTAATGAATTGGTCGTATCCTCTCTTGTGAAAATGTGTCTATAAAATGCTGTCTCATCAGGAGAATTATTGAACACACTCAAAAATTGAGATCTCCTCAGGTAGTACATAAATTGAGGGAAAAGCGAAAAATTACCTGCTAGCCTGAAGGAGCTAGGGTCATTTTTATTATAGTCAGCATACTTTTGACATAATTTGATTAAAGTACGATCAATCCATTTGATCACATCAGGTCCCTCCTCAGTTTCTGCTTTATGAACGGCTATTCTGGATATCAAGACTGCAGCTGCTTCTTGATCGAACGAAGCTGCAATTAATGGCGAGCCAAATGATTGTAATTGATTTGCAACAGTTGTAACTCTGGTCCTTATTGTTCCTGAAGAGTGTTGGTAGTTTGTAATAAATTGAATATAAGCCAGTTGCTGATTATCGCCAGTCACTGGTGTTGGCCCATTGCTAGCTATATCAAAAAATACTGCATATGTGTGTTGAGGTAATAGAGATCCCATTGTCCATGTAGAAGTTCCTCCGATACCGATGGTTGTATCACTAATATTGGTGGCACTTGTTTTCTTGACAGCTGAGGCGTGGCCAATCAGACCTTGTACTTTCAGTTCTTTACTGGACTTAACCTGGAACTTTGCACTGAAACTCATTTTCATGTAATCATCTTCATCCTTTGCAAATAGTCTTAAATATGACTGCTTAAAAATTGCTGTTGAAAATGAGTCAGTCAATAACAAAACACCACCGGTACGATCAGTTAGTTTTCTCATCTCAGACATACCAATTTGATCATAACAACCTGAGAACAAGTCAACAGTATGGCCATTTTCACTAATTCTATCAGCTAAGGTATTATAGTATTTCATTGCCTTCTTATAGTGTACTGCATTACCTGAATCGATATCGTGATGTGATCTGATAGGATTCTTTAGCTCTAAATCGACAATCAACCCCGGGTTGATGGTATCAGGCCCAGAAGAGAATACGATTATTCTTGCTGCATTATTCTTATAGCAACCTTGTAGAAGCAAAGATGCGATGTTTAATGCCGAACCGGTTGCTCTTAATGGTCTTTCACCCGGCTTAACTGACCACTCATCCTGACTTAGACTTTCAAGAACCTGAATGAATCTAAACTCAATCTGTTCCAAAGGTAGAAAGAATCTGTTTAGTGAAAATGGAGTTACTTGAGTGTTTGGTATCGACCCAGTCATCTTTTGACCTGTCAACATTTCAACTAACGGTTCTAACTGGTAATCCTTGTCACCTTTGAAAACATTACATCTAGCAATGGTATCGTTCGAGAAATCATGAAGTTGTACTACTTTACCATAAGTAATTAAACCAATTAATGCATTTGCTGGTAATAAAGATAACGAAGCGGTGATCGATTCCTTTAGGGCCTGCAAGTTATCGGGCTCAGTAGTAATATCAACAACAAAAAGGAAAATAGGTGGTACTTGAACAGGCTTTGTAGTCAAGTATTCAACTGTTGTTTGTTGTAACTCAATTGGGATGTTTTCTTGACTCAAGTTATGGTATTGTGTAGGCAAATGATTTCTTGATTTACATATCGAACATGTCCAAGAGTTGCTTCTCGGATCAATCATACAGTAAGGGTTCAAAATAGCTTTACAGTGTGGGCCAGCACAAACCACAGGGTTATAATCAACAACATTCAGACCCTCAATCTCTTTCAATGGTGTGTACATACAACCCAATGGTACGACATTTTGCATGGCATCAGTTTTGGATGATGGGAACACGTTCCAAGCAAAACGAACACCGTTAAGGTCCTCATTGGTGTCAAAATCCATGATGTTCGAGATGTAATAATCAAAAACTATACCGTTTCAATTAGGACAAATTAGTTTAATATGGATATTGGAATCAAATAAAATAGAAACTTCCAGGAGATGCAAAGTGGGCAGTGAAGAAATAAAACAAACAGGAGAGTTTCTGAAGAGTCAGCAGATTCTAGAGATAAGACGTTAAGTATATATTCTCAATGATCAATGGTAATGGATGACTGTTTCTTGATATCAGATCGATCATCTGTATTTCTTGACAAGTATTTCCAATATTTTCAACTTTCGACTTTAATGATTTGCGTGCGACAAATTCAGATTTTTGCAAAAAAAAATTAAGACGAGCCTGCAAGATTGAAATTTCTGCTGAGAGTTAGACGATCTTGATGCGTACAATAATGAGGTATAGAGATATTTATAGTTAGTAGGATCACATTCGATAACAGGCTCTGTTGAAACGGTTACATTATTGATAAGCCATTCAAGAATTAATTACACTCTCGTTGCACTGGAGAACTAATTGTGACAGACGCTAAGGCAGTTTCACTTATTTAGGGAAATTAAAATAAACACAACTGTTACAGCAATATGAGTGATTTTACACCAATCAACCCCAAACCATTTCTGAAAGATTTGGTGGATAAGCCTATTGTAGTAACGTTAAAATTTAACAAGACCCAATATCGTGGTGTGCTTGTTTCTACAGACAATTATTTCAATTTACAGCTTCGAGATGCCCAGGAGTATGTGGCTGGTGAACTCAAAGGCACATTAGGTGAATTGTTCATTCGTTGTAATAACGTACTATACATAGGTGAAGATCTGTCAAAGGAAGATACCAATGCATGAACAAGATAAGACAAGAATGATGGAAAATTGACGTAAGTGATGTTCAAGACATAGTTGCTCTGAACAATGGACTTTGAGCATGTCAGGGCCCACCGCATAATGACCGGTCCATGAATGTAAGGTTTGTTCTGTACAGAAGTCGCTCCAGATTTAGCTGTATTTATCGAGCTTGCGACACAGAGAATTTGTCGATGGTACAGTCCAAAAATACTTAGTACACATATGGCTGGTGGTGACGACAAAGTTTCAAAACTAATAACTCTTTAAAATTGTATATTGAAATGTTTCAAGCACACCGCAGACATGCACACTGTTTTTACTACAGATATAAATGTATTATATATTAGATGACGATATTGTACTGAAAATAGATTTTGCTATTGCAATGGAATGTAACAATGCGAAATGGAAGAGATTTGCATCGAGAGACCCTTGAGTGACAAAGTGGAAATGCTGACAAGAAAGAAAAAAATTTCGAAATATTGTGTTCGATGATCGAAGCAACAACACGTTAGAATAGTTACTGGGATGACTGACGCGATGATTCTTGCTGTATGTTGAATTAAACTAATTTGGCTTGCGATTGGCATAAATTCAACATTTTTTTTTCTTTTATACTTTATACAATTGCTTATTATATAAATCCCCACACTCAACCCATTACTACTTCACTTCCTTACTCACATTAAAAGAAAAAAGAAGATGTCTATTGAAAACTCTGTTATTGTTCCAGCATACCATGAGAAGCTAAACATCAAGCCATTGACCACCAGACTATTTGCTGCTTTAGGCAACGAGGGCTCTAAGATCACTGAGTTGATCTTTGTCGATGACAACTCTCAGGACGGTTCCGTTGAAGAAGTTGAAGCTCTACATAAGCAAGGTTACAATGTCAGAATCATTGTCAGAACTGATGAACGTGGTCTATCCAGTGCTGTGCTAAAGGGGTTCCACGAAGCTAAGGGTGAGTACTTGATTTGTATGGATGCTGATTTGCAACATCCACCAGAGAGTGTCCCAAGCTTGTTCGACTCCTTGAGAAAGCACCCATTCGTGCTAGGTACCAGATACGCTCCAGGTGTCGGCATTGACAAGGACTGGCCATTGCACCGTCGTGTTATCTCCTCCACCGCTAGAATGATGGCCAGACCATTGACTACCGCTTCTGACCCAATGAGTGGTTTCTTCGGCCTGCAAAAGAAGTACTTGACTAAGGCCAACCCCCAGGATATCAACTCCCAAGGTTTCAAGATTGCCCTAGAGCTATTGGCCAAGCTGCCTCTTCCAGCCAACGAGCCAATTGGCGAGATCCCATTCTCCTTCGGTGTCAGAGTCGAAGGTGAGTCCAAACTGAGCGGCAAAGTTATCATCCAGTACCTCGAACAATTGAAAGAATTGTACGTTTTCAAGTACGGTGCCAACACTTTGATCGCAGTCTTCGCCATCGCAGTGCTACTGGCTCTTTACATCCTACTGAAACTACGCTCCTTACTATTCTAAGTAGAAAGGTTAGTATAGCGTTCCTAACTTTCTTCCCTCCTTCACTGGTTTTTTAAATTTGTATATACACATACACAAACACACATAGTTACATGAATCAATATGTATCCTGGCTATTTACTATACGTTACTCTATGGTATTCAAATAGTAATATCACACAATACGCATAGCGTGACCTATACGTACAAAACATTATAATATAGGGGTGGAAAGCCAGGAAGGCCCAGGCCCTCTACCCCCCTTTCCACACCCCTGCACATTCCTCCCTCGGTTGTCGACTTCCCACAGGACCACTAAGACACCAGTAGAACACATTTAAAAAAGGGGATTTCTAATACACTTTAGATCGGCTTCCCGCTAATCTCCCTCCTCCTCCCTCCCCGTTTCCTAGGCTCTTTACCGGGGACAAAACCCATTTCCCTTTCATCTAACCCAGTAACATGTGCAGTTCGCAAGTCTCTCCTTTGGCTCTTCTCTGTGAAGGAAGGTCCTTTTGCTGTTGTGCTTGTGGTTTTGTCAACAGATCCGCTTGCATCTGAATCACACTTTTGGTGTTTTGTACTGGCTTTTCTGTGTCAACTATTGCTATCCATGCGCTATTCCCTCCCTCCGCTCCCTCCCGCTCCTTGTCTGCGTAACTTGCATCTCATCTCTTCCTTTCGCTACCACTCCCACTCCTCCCCCCCCCTTCTTCTTCTGACAAGCCGCGAGTATAAATACCCTCGAGGCTTTCGACGTCTTTTTCCTTTCTCTTCCAGATCCTCTTTTTTTCCCTGGTTAGCCGCCGAAATTTTTAGTCTGTTAATATTACTGAATAATAACTTTTTCAATTGAGTTATTTCTTTCTTTATTTACAGTGAAAAGAAGCAAGAGAAAATGAGCGCACACAGGACTTTACTGTTGCGGTTGTCTGATAGCGGTGAGCCAGTCACCAGTTGTTCTTACGGACAAGGTGTGTTGACGCTGCCATCGCTGCCACTGCCACAAGGTAAGAAGCTCGGTGATATGCCGGTGTACACCGTGAAACTGGCTATTCCAGCGGGCTCGCCAGTGACCCGTGACGGTCTTATCTGGACCAATTGTCCACCGGACTTCTCGACCCAGTTCGATAGAGAGAAGTTCTACAAGAAGATCATCAAGACCAGCTTCCACGAGGACGACCATATCGACCTCGACATCTACGTGCCTGGTACTTACTGCTTTTACTTGTCCTTCAAGAACGACAAAGACGAGCTGGAAACCACAAGGAAGTTCTACTTCGTAGTGCTCCCAATCTTGTCCGTGAACGATAAATTCATCCCATTGAACTCAATTGCAATGCAGAGTGTCGTCTCCAAATGGATGGGACCTACTATAAAGGACTGGGAAAAAGTATTCGCAAGAGTCGCAAGCAAGAAATACAACATGATACATTTTACCCCATTGCAACATAGAGGTGAGTCAAACTCACCATATTCCATATACGACCAATTAGAATTCGACCCCACAGTATTCAAAAGCGAAAAAGAAGTTGCCGATATGGTGGAACGTCTGAGAACTGAACACAACATTCTGTCGTTGACTGATATAGTCTTCAACCATACCGCGAACAACTCTCAGTGGCTTCTAGATCACCCAGAAGCTGGTTACAACCACAAGACTTCACCTCATCTAATCAGCGCTATCGAACTAGACAAGAAATTGCTAGATTTTAGCGAACAAATGGAGGCCTTAGGCTATCCAGTTGATCTGAAGACTGTTGACGACTTAATAAAAGTAATGGATGGTATCAAAGAACATGTGATTGGAGAATTGAAATTGTGGGAATTCTATGTAGTCGACGTGAAACAAACTGTTTCTGAACTCCGTGAAAAATGGGGCAATTCGAAGTCATGGTCTGATGACAATATTCCTAGCAAGGATGATTCCACAAACTTAGCTCAATTCGTAAGAGATAACGCTACTGAGCCAGGTTTTGGATCGCTGGGTGAAAGAGGTTCAAACAAAATTAACATAGATAAATTTGCAGCTATTTTAAAAAAGTTACACTCTGAAGATTACAATAATGGTATCGAAGAGTTGGCCACTAAGATCCTTAATGACATCAATTTGCCATTTTACAAAGAGTACGACGACGATATAAATGAAGTGTTGGAACAATTATTCAACAGAATCAAGTATTTGAGAATTGATGACCATGGCCCAAAACAAGGCCCAATTACGAAAAAGTTGCCATTATCAGAACCATATTTCACTAGATTCAAAGCTAAAGATGGTGAAGAATATGCCTTAGCAAACAACGGTTGGATATGGGATGGTAACCCGCTAGTTGACTTTGCCTCGTCTCAATCAAAGGCTTACTTAAGAAGAGAAGTTATTGTGTGGGGTGATTGTGTAAAGTTAAGATATGGTAAAGGTCCATCTGATTCTCCATATCTATGGGAAAGAATGAGTAAGTATGTTGAAATGAACGCAAGAATTTTTAATGGTTTCAGAATCGATAATTGTCACTCCACACCTTTACATGTTGGACAGTATTTCCTAGATGTTGCTAGAAGGGTAAACCCTAACTTATACGTGGTTGCAGAGTTATTCTCCGGCTCCGAGGCAATGGATTGCTTGTTTGTCGAACGTTTAGGTATTTCATCGCTAATCAGAGAAGCAATGCAAGCTTGGTCAGAAGAAGAATTATCTCGTCTAGTACACAGGCATGGTGGTAGACCAATTGGATCTTACAAATTTGTTCCATTAGATGATTTCCCATATCCAGCTGATGTGAAAATAGACGAAGAGTATTGTGCCTACAACCCGGATGATCACTCTGTTAAATGTGTGTCAGAAATTATGATACCAAAGACTCTAACGGCAACTCCACCTCACGCGCTCTTTATGGATTGCACTCATGACAATGAAACACCAAATCAAAAAAGGACCGTGGAGGACACACTTCCAAATGCTGCCTTGGTTGCATTCTGTTCTTCTGCCATTGGCTCTGTATATGGATACGATGAAGTGTTCCCACAGTTGCTAGATTTGGTTCAGGAAAAGAGAACATATTCTTGCGCTGAAAACACTGGTATTAGTAAAGTTAAAACTTTGTTGAACAATATGAGGGAAGAGATTGCATCAGAGGCCGTAGATATCGAAGACTCGGAAATGCATGTTCATCACGATGGTCAATACATTACATTCCATCGTACTAATGCCAAAAATGGTAAGGGTTGGTATTTAGTGGCTAGAACCAAATTCCATTCGTCTGGAGACCAAATGTTGCCAAGAATCAAGTTAAGTCAAACTAAGGCTACTTTCAAAGCTGCATTTTCACTGGAAAGAACAGGGGATGCACCAATATCAGACGAAATAATTGAGGGTATTCCAACCAAGTTAAGGGAATTGACTGGATTTGACATTGGTTTCGATGAGAACACCAAAGAAACCAGTATTCTATTGCCCCAAGATTTCCCCCAGGGCTCAATTGTCATATTTGAAACCCAGCAACTTGGTATTGATGACTCCTTAGACCACTTTATCAGATCTGGGGCTATCAAGGCTACGGAAAAGCTTTCCTTGGAATCCATCAATTACGTTTTGTATCGTGCTGAACAAGAGGAATATGACTACAGTGAAGGAAGGTCTGGTGCTTATGACATTCCTGATTATGGTAAACCTGTTTATTGTGGTTTACAAGGTTGGGTAAGCATATTACGTAAAATTATCTTTTACAATGATCTAGCTCATCCTTTGAGTAACAACTTGCGTAACGGCCATTGGGCTGTAGATTACGTCGTCAACAGATTGGATTTATACAAAGACAAGGAAGGTGTTGCTGAAGTTCAAGAATGGTTGAGAAGTAGAATGGAAAGGATCAAGCAATTGCCAAGCTATCTTGTTCCAAGTTTCTTCGCTCTAGTTGTTGGTATTATGTATGGATGTTGCAGGTTACGTGCTATGCAGTTAATGTCAGATAATGTTGGCAAATCTACTGTCTTTGTTCAAAGTTTAGCCATGACTTCGATACAAATGGTATCTGCTATGAAGTCTACTTCAATTCTCCCTGATCAGAATATAGCCGCTATGGCTGCAGGTCTTCCACATTTCAGTACCAATTACATGAGATGCTGGGGTAGAGATGTGTTCATTTCTTTGAGAGGACTTTTATTAACTACAGGTCGATATGAAGAAGCGAAGGAGCACATTTTAGCATTTGCTAAGACTTTGAAGCATGGTTTGATTCCTAATCTTCTTGATGCTGGCAGAAATCCTAGATATAATGCACGTGATGCAGCATGGTTCTTTGTTCAGGCTATCCAAGATTATGTTACTATAGTCCCAGGAGGGGTATCACTTCTTCAAGAAAAAGTCACTAGAAGATTCCCACTTGATGATGAATATATACCATATGATGATCCAAAAGCATTTAGTTATTCGAGTACAATCGAAGAAATAATCTATGAAATATTGAATAGACATGCTGGCGGCATTAAATACAGAGAAGCCAATGCCGGTCCTAATTTGGATAGGGTTATGAAAGATGAAGGCTTCAATGTCGAAGTTAATGTAGATTGGGAAACTGGGCTAATTCATGGTGGTTCCCAATTTAACTGTGGTACTTGGATGGACAAAATGGGTGAAAGTGAAAAGGCTAACTCGGTCGGGGTTCCAGGTACACCAAGAGATGGAGCTGCCGTTGAAATTAATGGATTGTTGAAGAGTTGTTTGAGATTTGTTTTGCAATTAAGCAAAGATGGCAAATTCAAGTATACTGAGGTTACTAAACCTGATGGTTCTAAAATATCACTTTCTTCTTGGAATGATTTACTGCAGGAGAACTTTGAAAGATGTTTCTATGTTCCTAAGAATAAGGAGGACGATAATAAGTTTGAAATTGATGCAACTATTATAAACAGAAGAGGTATATATAAGGATTTGTACCGCTCTGGAAAACCATATGAAGATTACCAATTCAGACCAAACTTTACAATCGCTATGGTTGTCGCACCTGAATTATTTACTCCTGACTATGCAGCTGGTGCTATTGAGCTTGCAGATCAAGTTTTGAGAGGCCCAGTTGGTATGCGTACTTTGGACCCAAGTGATTACAACTACAGACCATATTATAATAATGGTGAAGATAGTGATGACTTTGCTACTTCTAAGGGTAGAAATTACCACCAAGGTCCTGAATGGGTTTGGTGTTATGGGTACTTCATCAGAGCATATCATTATTTCAACTTTTTGACTAATCCCAAATGCCAGGTAGAAGGCAGTGCTAAAAAGCTAAAGCCTTCATCATACCTGTACAGAAAATTGTACTCGCGTCTGCTGAAGCATAGAGAATGGATTGAAAACAGCCCTTGGGCTGGTCTTGCTGAGTTAACAAACAAAGACGGTGAAGTTTGTAATGACTCAAGTCCAACACAAGCGTGGAGTACGGGCTGTCTACTGGATCTATTTTATGACCTCTGGATTTCCTATGAGGAATGAATGGCATTAATGAAAATGTGTATTTGTATTAGATTTGTTATTTAGTCTCCTGGTTTCTAACCATAGTACAAGAGGAGAAGCAAAGACTTCAAAACGTAGACTATAAATATTGGAAAAACTAAAAAATAAAAAATAAAAAAAGAACAATTATAATAATCTACATACCTTTGATATTTTTATAAGCTGTCTTCTTAATGTATTTCTAAAAAAACATTATTTACTTTTAGTTATATAATGCATAGATATAACTTCGAACATAAATAATACTACAAAATTGCCCGAAGAACGTCAACATCGGTATATCGTAGTGCATATCGTTTTACGATCTCAGGCGCGTGTAAGAATAAGGGCGAAAATATCGAAATCTTTAATCTGTAACTTTAGTAATGTAAAACCGAAAAGGACTAGCCAGATCTCTCATGACAATAAATAGTAAAAGGCTAATTGCATGCCATATAAGATATAATTCTCAAGCACCTTGGGTTTACAATAGCTAGTTTTTTGAAACATTCTTCAAATCCATAGGGAAGTTAAGGGTAACATCAATTGATACTCCTGCGGTCATCGGTGAATCTTATCTTCACTGGTACATACTTTTAATTGAAACATAGCATAACGATCAAAGATAGCTGTTGAAATTCAATCTGTCAAGCAGCCTTCATCAATAATTTGTGATCTGGTTATTACTTCAGCTGAATTACATAGTACATCAATCTAAACATTGTGGTACTGCCTCCCTAACATTAGATAACCAAGCAGCATAGTATCATTAACAATAGAAGCCTCTAATCCTATTAAATTTGGTGTTATTCTAACATATTACTGTTAACTTGCTCTTAACTACAATTTTGGTTATAGGACAGCTTTGGTTAAGGGTCATTAATCAATAAACAATAACTATTGTTGAAGATAATTCATTGATAACTACTATAAGTATGTCAAATGGGAATGACAATCAGGTTATTGAACTGATCCAGAATTTCTTCCTGAAATCAGCGGGTCTGGTCACAACAGTGGAAAGCAATCGATACTCTCTTGATGACACATCCATAGAATTCGATGACGAATGGTTTGATATGAATATTGATGTCTTACATGATTTACCACCAATAATAGATAAATGGACGAACTTCGATGGTACCCAGGAATTACCACCATTAGTGATAGAAACATTTTTAGATTTACATTTACTACCATCAAGTTATACAGTGCGTTTACGTGATGATGAGAGCCACTTATGGGCTGTATCAAAAGGAAACAAGAAATCAGAGATTGTACTAGAAAGATGGCTGATAGAACTGGATAAGGAATCTACTTCATTCAAAAATCACGTTCAGAGTGGTTCAGGTGTTTCTCCTGAGAAATTAGATCAACAGCTTAGATTACTCTTCCGATATTTATTTACGTTACTGCAACTCCTTCCTTCCAATGACTTAATGATGGCTTTAAATAATCAGTCAGAATCTCATAACACACCAATACCTGTAGATATCAAAACAAGAATACTAGATGGCTCTCAGCCTATATTATCGAAAGGAAGGATTGGATTGAGTAGACCAATTATTAGCTCCTACTCTAATATAATCAACAATAGCAATATCCCTGCACATTTAGAACAAAAAAAAATAACGCCAGTGTGGACTAAGTATGGACTTCTTAGGATTTCAGTGTCATACAGAAGGGATTGCCAATTTATATTTCAAGACCTAAATGAAGATAACTCACCAAATACGCAAATCACAAATCAACCAGCAAAAACTAATGAAATATCAATATCTTTATCTCCCAGATCTAAAAATGATCTTAACCAAATATCACATCCTTCCTGGCAAAAGAAATTTATATCATCCTCTAAGCAATTTCAGCCTTTTATTGTTGGTTCTGTTGGAAGTGCGAATACCCCAAATCAAAACTCAAGTCGTAACCCTTCAAACTCTTCTGTAGTAGGTCCTCATTATCATCCTCAACACAGATTAAGTATTGGATCATCTACTAGTGTTTCTACGCAACCCAATTATGAAGGTACTAGCGTCGGAAGTACATCAAAATTTGCCTCTTCCTTCAATAACTTGCGCCGCCACTCTAGTGTAAGATACCATGAAAGCACCGAAAAGTTGGCCAAGACAGACAAGAATAATTATGAGGATACAGACGATTTAATGGAATTTGTCCGACTCATAGAAGCAAAACCAGAACTGCAACCTAAAAAAGGGTTATCAGGTCTACAAGATAAGAATTTGTCTGGATCGATTTTAAGATATCAAAAACTAAGACCAAGTAATGATATGTTATCGGAGGATCTAGCTTTAAGTGTTTCCATTGATCCCATTCATGGATCACAAAGAAGAAATTCAAATTCACACTCACATTCTCCTGTTGCATCCTTTTCCCCGTCTGGCCATTTTTCTTCGATTAATTCTAAATTGTCTCAACCACATTTGGCTGTCAGAGGAAGTAGTAGTACTGTCAATAGTAGAAGAAATTCGGTAGATAAAGTTCTCGCTAGTGCACTATCTCCAATCTATGGTGGGGATATTCCAGAATATCATACGAAGTCTCATAACCCTGTTTTTAATGAAGTTGACGATGAAGAGGAAGGAAACGATGATTTGTTGGTCAACAAAATACCAATCAATATCAATAAGCATAAAATGTCAACTTCACCACGTTCAATTGACAGTATCTCAAATTCGCTAACACGAAACAGAACTCCATTCAGACAACCATATCAATATTCACAACCTACTACTATTGCAACGCAGGCATATGCAAAAATGCACAGACCGACCGTTCGATCTTCTGATGCAATATCAGAGATCAATTCAAGAAAAGGCGATAATTTCCATCAACTGATTAATGATAACGACGAAGATGATTTAGTATTTTTTATGAGTGATATGAATTTACCGAGGGAATAACTGGTTTAGGGTTCTGCATATTCTTATTTAGGTTGCAAATACAATCAGTAATGCCTATCATTGATATTGCTTTTCTGTTTCTATCTGTTTACTCTGACTTCACAATTTCAATTTGATGTTTCTTTTATGTTACTTGCATTTTTTTAAAATGTTATTTGCATTTGGCCATACACTATTTATGATACATCTCACCTAGGTATGTATGTTAAACATTGAAAACAATTAGGACATGAAAGAATGATAGTATCTGAATATTCATGCATCTTCAAAGTTGGCTAATTCTATTTAAAAAAAAATATTTCTCTATAATTGTCATTATTAATAAATAATCTATTTTTGACCAGCATAAAATAGTTATTCTTCTTTTTCTAATGCAGTAGATTGGCGGTCAGGCTCAATATCAGCCATCTGAAGCTGCCCGCTCGTTTCCAGTTCTTTTAATTTTTGCTCATGTATCCGGTGTTTTTCAATATGAATATTGTACTTTTCTTCTGTTTTGAATGATCGATAACATTTTGAATAAGGGCAACGAAACTTTCTACCTACTGTATTTAATAGCAAAGTCATTGCATCTTTGCCGCCATCAAAAAATCTGTTTAAGTTAGTTTCAGTTCGAATTGCGAGCATATCTGTTGCCTTCACATATTTTTTCGTAGGTGATTTTTCACATTCTGTCTTACCGGTTACATTAGTTTCAACATAAGGCACTACCTTCTGTTCTAATAGATAGGCCGGGATTTCTTCACTATGACTGTTGCTGTAATGATCCAATAGTTCTAATTTCTTAGCAAATGACTGATCATTACATATATGACACTTCCAATTTCTTGAAACAAGGTTTTCATCGTGGATTTTCATGTGCATATTTAAACCGTCTTCCCCAACACAGGGTTTACTGCATATAGGGCATTTTAACTTCGGATGATCATTTTTAACATGTAATCTTAACGCAGACCATGTTTTGAAACTCTTAGAACAAACACTGAAGGTACATTGATAAGCATTGACAACATCTGGATTATGGTGTTTGGCTATGTGATTTTTGAGTCTGTAAGGTCTTTGAAAACTTTTGTTGCATTCGTGACATTTTAGACTTTGTAAATGAACTGCTAAAATATGAGCCCTTAATTGAGGGTGCTTGTAGAAACTCTCATTACAACCTTCATATTCACAATTGAACGATTTGGTGTGAGTTACCTCATGTCGTTTCAGTTGTTGCCTAGTAATTAGCCCCTTCCCACAAAATGAACAATAAAACGGTCTTTCATCTGTGTGTGTGTATAAGTGTCTCTCTAAGTGGATCTTTTTAGTAAATGAACTTTCACATTGATTACATTTCCAAGGTTTCCTCCCAAGATGCACTGTATTCTGGTGTTCTGTGAGCAAGGACGGCCTTGTAAAGGCCTTGTCACAATTATCGTATTCACAAAGATATGTCTTCGACCTTACACTGGATCCAGATGCCACACTTGACATACTACCAACCGAGGAACTTCGACTCAGTGGTACCTGGCTATCAAAAACGTCATTCGCTTCCATTGCTGTCTGTATACCAAATGGAAAGACTTTTAAATTTAGTTGCTTAACCTGGAACCAAACAAATATTTTCTATTTTAGACGCTACCTGCCAAAAAAAATATGAATATTGCGAAACCTATGAATGGCTTAATCATACCATGACTGTATTTAAACTTATAATCTTGCGATGAGCTTATTATTTAGAAAAATTATATATCATTATTGACGTTGAAAATTTAGCTAGTTTTTGAAAAACTTTTACTTCGCAACATAAATGCGATGAGCAGTGACAATATATTGGTTATAGAAGTTATATTGATCACATTTAGCGTTTATTTTATGGTATAGTTTCTCTGAGAATAAATATCAATAACTACTTACAAAAGATGTCCGACTACGAGGAAGCGTATGTATTAGTTTTTTCTTTTTTTTCTTGCTCGATTTGATATTTTGATCCTGTACTTACAATTTATCACCTGGCTCAATAAATTAATTGCAGGTCATTAGTATCGAGTAAACAATTAAACAATTGCCTGAGACTAACAATTTATATTTCATTCGTTACAAATTCGAAAAGAAGGATACTCTGATATTGCCAAGTCAATGTTGTGGGGTTAGAGGTAATTGGATTTGAATGATATAATCAATTGTAAAGATTTAACGACGGTGCCGAAAACTTTGAAGATTTTGATGTTGAACATTTCTCTGATGAGGATCAATATGAAGACAATGTGAAAACCGAAGCAAATGGTGGTGAGCAAATGAAGGATGAAGAAGGGAGAACAATTGTCACCGGTGGTATGGGTCCTGAGGATTATAAAAATGTTGAAACACATAGAAGGAAAACTTTGAAAGAGAAAGCTATTCCAAAGGAAGACAGAACCACCACACCTTACATGACAAAGTATGAAAGAGCTAGAATTCTTGGTACAAGAGCTTTACAAATCTCAATGAATGCACCAGTGTTTGTTGATTTGGAAGGTGAAACTGATCCATTGAGAATTGCCATGAAGGAACTGGCTGAGAAAAAAATTCCTTTGGTTATTAGAAGATATCTACCGGATGGTTCCTTTGAAGATTGGAGTGTGGAAGAATTGGTTGTTGATCTGCAATGAGTCTGAGCGTATTTTATTCTTGATTTGTATTGAATTTTATCAAATGATAATGGTAGCGCTACAAAATTTATTGAAATGAAAAATATAGAGTATTAATCTGCATGTCACTAACGCGGTCTTCATTGCCAATAAGAGACCATTATTTTATCAACGACTTAAAAAAACATTAAGGAAGGTGCAATGTTATGAAGTTTAGTAAAGGTGTTCTGTCCTGATATGATCTTGGATTTTTTGAGCTAACATTAAATTTGCAACAGCATCAACTCTTGTATTACGGGCCCTCTATTATATATAATGTGTACCGCTCCACCTGTATATTAGCCTTTATCATAAAAACATAAGAAAGTGGTAAAAATTGTAACTCGAAATATAGTCACCCTCTTTGATTTTGTGCATAAACAAAAGTAAGATATCCAGCGTTATTCATATTTGAAGGCAAAGCTGAGGGATCATAGATATCAATTAGTCATTTAGTGAGTCAATAAATTGATTCGATTTGAAGTTACGTGAACCATCAAGCTGTTGATTCGCGGAAAAAGTAGCTAATATTCTTTTAAATTCTTCTTCGGGATTTTTAAATCCAGCTTCCTCTAATAGCTTTATCAATTTATCAGTCGGTAGATCTAGATCTTTGTTTTGTGAAATGATTCCGAAACACTCTTTCAACTCATCTTCTTGTGGGAATTCACATATGCTTTCGCTCATAAGGGCAAGAAATTCGGGAAAGGAAATATATGCGTCATTTTCATCTCTTAATTCCTTGAACATTTTACCAACGTCATCAGTGGTCACCTTCTGACCCAAACTTGCCAACATCTTTACCATATCACTACGGCCAATATTGCCATCCCCATCCTCATCAATCAATTGAAAGGCATCCTTCAATTTATTTATTTGTCTTTGCGTAAGCCGATCAAAATGTAATGAGTTGCTATTCTCCATTATAGATAATAAAAAGAAATCAAAGTTACAACTGAGGGGATAGTTTTATTAGTTGCAACGATATTGTATATCCAACGTTGAGAAACTACTTTAGTAAATTGATGTAAAACAGCTGTATCTATATATCTGAGGTAACGTTTTTGGGCATCGCTACTTTCAGCTGGTCACTTTTTACCGTTAATGCATGAAATTTCACATCGAATAAGAATATGAACATTACAAACAATAGCTAAAGACATAAGACACTCTAACTTTTTACTTTTTATGTAATAAAATAAGTATTGAAGGCTATAGGATCTAGTTTTATTTATCTTATAGTTAATTATAGAACTCTTTTTAATTGAGGTTTGAAGACTGCTTCAAGTTTAGAAAGGTCATATCAAAAGCAAGATCCTTACAAAAAGACAATAGCAAAGCACAATTCTATTAGATTTATGCTCAAGCAATAATGAGTAATGTAAAACAGTTGTTGAAAGAGGCCAAAGTGGAATTGGGCCGAGGTGATTTTGAAGAAGCCCGGAATTTGTCATTGAAGGTTTTAAAGTTAGACCCTGATAATTACTTTGCGCATGTCTTTTTAGGTAAATGTTTTTCCATGATTCCCAATTCTTTGTATGATTCGGTGGAGCATTATAAGAAAGCAATTGATATCAACAGCCAGAGTTTATTAGCTTGGAAAGGTTTATTTCTATTATTTAAAGATGTGACCGGTATTTTCCCCAATGTGGTATCCTATGATGAATATTTTACACTTTGTGCTAAATATGCCGATGTTCTTGCTGAACAAGGGGAATCACAAATTGAATTAATCGATGATATAAAGAAAATGAGAAGAGATTATCAGGAATCTGAGGAACAATATCTGAGACACCTAGTACCAGGAAAGGATCTTTCTGAAAAACTGGGGCGCTATCTTTTAAGTTCTTCCTACGCCCTTGATAAATTGATAAAGTTATTGAATAAGAAGGAGCAGGACCGGATTGCTCAGATCGTAAGTAAGGAAAGACTCAAATTTAGCACGTCAGATCCTTCATTTCAAATAAAAATTAATAGTCTGGCTTGGGAGGTGTATGCCGATTCCGAAGTTGATCAGATGTATAATCAACTGGTTAATATTGTAGATGATGATGAAAAACGAGCAAAATTAGAAGAAGAATGGTTAAAATACAGATTACGAGTACTACGTTCAATGCCAGCATCTATGAAACCTTTATATTTTGAGAAAGTCAAAACTACTATTGAAGATATGGTTCTAGTGAATCACGATTCTTTAGATGCTTGGAAGCTTTATTTTGAATGGCAAGATTATAGTGAATTGGATAAAATAGAACTAAAGTATATTCTTCAATTCTTCAAGAAATTCCCAAATGAGCCATTAGCTGTGATATTGTACTCATGGGCCTCTTCTAAGTATTCTCAGTATGATAAAGTGCAAATTCAAAAAGTGATGACTGATGAAACACAGGCTGATGCTAAAAGTGAAATTGGTTCAGCTACTGAGTCATCGTCTGCTGAGGAATCTGATGAAGAAGGATTGAAACAGGAAGATGTGAAGGCTCTAATGGATACACCAGAGGAGTATGTAGGACTAGTGGAAGAGGATATACTGTTGGCAATGACTGAAAATATTAAGAAAGCTAAAACTAGTATTCTGGCGCATAGAATTATAGTGTATTACCATTTATTATCAAGGGAATATGAAACTGCCCTTCCAACTGTTAAAGCTGGAATTTCATTGATAGCGTATAATGTTAAGGATCTTGGGTATCCCTTCTTTAATTCAAAGAGAGAATTCACGATTGCGCTTGGTACTGTCTACACATATGTGGATACGCCCAAAAATCATGAAGCTGCTTTGTCGTTATTTGATAAGGTTCTGTTGGAGCAACCATCTAATACCGAAGCCAAACTAGGAAAAGGATTTATCTACATGGAAAGAGAAAACTGGACCGAGGCCTATGAATTGCTTCTTGCTGTCTCATCAAAATATGCAGATCGATGGGACGTTCTTTCAGAGATTGGCTGGTGTAGGGTAATGCTTGGGCAATGTGAGCAAGCAATCCTAGACTTTAAAGAGGTTTTGAAAAATATTCATGGTATGGATTTGAGAACACAAGAATTTAGGGCATTGAATTACTGGAGGTTGGCCGAGACTTACCTAAATATTCAAGAAAGTGAGCATGTTAGTGAGGGCTTTGAGAATGTCAAGCTCGCCTATAAAATTCTCATCCAATCCATTAAGGCTTTAGATGGTTATGCTCCAAGCTACTGTTCATTAGGTAAGATATATTCAAATTATTATGGTGATTTTAGCAGAGCCTTTAGGTGCCATTATCGGGCTTTTGAACTAGATGCCGGTGATATTATATCTGCAGAGTATTTGGCAAGAACCTATGCTGATGCCACCAACTGGACGCTTGCTCTAGAGGTTTCAGAGCGTCTTGTAAAATCGGAAAAGTCTAAAAAGGCTCTGAGAAAGGTATCCTGGCCATATCGTATACTGGGTGTCGCCTATTTGGAGAAACAACAAGACGCGGAATCAATACAGTGGTTTCAACTTGCCTTAAGAATCGATCCAACAGACGTTGAATCATGGATTGGACTTGGACAGTCTTACTTAAATTGTGGTAGAGTCGAGGCCTCTTTAAAGGTTTTTGAAAGGGCTTTAGATCTTGATGAACATCACAGTTATGCTTTATATTATAAAGCAGTGTGCCATTCACAATTAGGCGAATATGAAGAAAGCCTGAAACTAATGTATAACTTAGTTGGAGAAAATCCAAAGACCATTCCATTCAAGGTAAGCTGCGCTACACTAATTTCAGAATACTCCAAAGACTTGTATAGCCAGGGATATTTGTTAAAAAGTATATCTGAAAGTCAGAAAGCTATTCTTTTAATTGATGATATCAACAATAATGGAGGTCTACAAAGTCAAGAAGTTTGGATTGCTCTGTTTACTTGTATTAATAATTATCTTCTGGTTCAGTCCGAGATTGATGAGATGCCAATTGAATTACTATTGAACATTTTTCAAAATGTTAACATCAAAAAGGTAGCATCTGTAGATGCGATTGACAGATTATCTTTGAATGATATTATCGACAATACATCGTCCAGCAGCATTGAGATAGCAAGTAAATTGTTGATACTATGTGCTAAATACGCATTATATTTAACTGGTGAGGATATTTCACAAGCAACTGTGGGCAGCTCACTTTGGGGAAATTTAGGGTTAGCTGAACTAAATGCGTATTCTCTTTTTGATGAAACTGAGTATAGAGAGAGTGCAATCATGTGCTTTAAAAAATCAATCCAATTTCAATCAAACTATGTTGAATCTTGGTTTGGATTGGCGGTTTCAACAATGGATTTTAATTATCGAGTTTCACAACACTGTTTTATAAAGGCAATGTCACTTTCTCCAAGAGATCCTACCATTATATTTGCCTATGCTATGCTTTCCTTGAGATGTAACGATATTGATTTAGCAACACAATTGATTAATAAAGCTCAAACAATATCACCAGCAGAATCATCACCTTGGTTAGGTCTGGCTCTTTTAAACGAAAAAAAGAATGGGTCTAGTAATAGCGTATCCCTCTTCTCCCATGCATTTGTTCTCTCAAATGGTAGATCTCCCTCAATACAGTTGCTATTTGCAAAAAGTGTACTAAACTCGCAAATCGGATCCGGTATCATGGATGGCGATTTAAGCTCTATTGAGCAACTTACATCGGTTGCAAGTGCCTTGGAACAATATTTCAAAAAAGTGCCAAACAATCCGTTTGCTCTTCAGTGTGCTTTGTTATGTTTTGAAAGGTTACATGATTTCAATGGGACTGATGAAATTTGTAAAAAGCTTCTTAACATATTGGAAGAGAGGTACGAAAAGACTGAAGATGAGAATGAACTACTACATTTTGCGTTGTTCAAGTCCCATGTTGCCAGAATTGAACTTGAAAGTGGTAAGTATCAATCCTGTCTGGAAAATGCTGATATCTCACAAGATCTATTAAATGAGTATAGTTATGCTTATCTGACTAAAGCAAAGCTTTCAAATTATCTATGTTTGGGTTTAGGCAATTTCTTCCTAAACAATCTAGATAAAACATTTGAATACTTTCAAACATTATTAGGAGAATCAAAAGAAAGTGGTACGATAATATGCTTAGTGTCTAAGATTCTTTATGAAATTGGTATGGAAGATAGTAAAGAGATTGCTCTCCAGGAGTTGAACGAATACCTAGATGAAAATGCAGGTGAATTGAAAATATTACTCATATTAACAGCAATGGCCCTAATAGATGACCAAGAATGTGAATTAAAGTCTTTGCTGAAATCATTATCAGGCCTCCCAAATTCTAAGTGGCTTTTGGATAAAGAGAGATCTATTCCCTGGCTGGTCAATGTAATTGAAAAAAGAATAGCACAAGCTGAAAAATCTACTATGGATAAAAGGTCTGTATTTTATTTCCCTAACGACAATAGGGTATGGGGTTCTTTATCAAAAAGAATACAACACAGAATTGTATGTGCTGGGCAAAACAAAGTTAGTACCAAGCAATTCAGCAACCTAACTGCTGAGATTAGGAGTGTTTCATACTTACAAAGAAGTATTTTTTTGTCACCATCGAATTGCAAGGCCATAAAGACTCTAGAGTCATGCTTTGTTAATATGTAGCGTGGTATGTCGAGTATACACAATATTTATAATTAACTTTCTATAATGGACTTTTTTTATGATGTTATTCATCTTATTATGCTTATGATATGCAATAAATGACTAAAAAAATTCAAAAACTTCCCACAGTGACATTAGCCTGAAACTTCTAGTGAAAATGTTGAGTTCCCGTTCATTGACCATTTTTAGCTGATTCAGTTCACTGGGTAAAAGAAGTTCTCTTTCCTTTCCTTTAACATCATCCCTATTTGCTTTCATCAGCAAAGTTTTATTCTCATCCTCAATTTTCTCTTTTTTGTAGAGTAGATTTGCTAGATTCCATGCTAAGTTTTGTTTCATAAAATTATATGAGTGGGACTCATTGCAACGAAATAGAAAGACTGCTCTCGATGCAGATCTATCCACAGTTCTAGGTACTTCCTGAATTTCAACAGCATTATATTTGATTAGAGATCCGATTGTGGTACGAATGTCCTTTTCTTTCATTAATGCAGTACCGTTAATTACCTTTTCTGAAACTAGTTTGTTTTCTTTAATGCATCTTCTAATTCTTAATGATGGAGGGCCAAGAGTTGACACGATTATATGATCGTAGATAGATGATTTCAACTCCGGTATTAAGTTTGAGTAGGGAATATAGTATACATTAGGTTGAGTCTCTTTCAAAAACGGAACAGGAGATGATGCTAATATTTTTAAGTGGCTATTAATTATTGAAACAGAATCAGCATCCATTTCATCTCCCTCATTAATCCCATCCTCTACTTCAGCATCGTCTATTTCTTTTTCATTGCTATGATTATTATCAGTTGGTAATGATGGAATCACAAAACCATCCTCTGTTTTTAATCTTTTAGTGTTGGCAGATTTCTCTTGGTTTTGACTTCTTTTACCAGATTTTTTCTCATACACTAAACTGTTTTCTATCTTATAATTTTTAGGTACTATTTTCAAGATATCATTCGCTGTAAATGTAACTCCAGGTGATTTTTCTTCTAGAAGTTCCATCTCATCACTCATTGCCGTTAACTCATCTAAGTCTTGTAATAAACCAGTTTCTGAAAGTATATCGTTAAAATAAGGAGCTTTATTTTCCGTTAGTTTTAATGCTAGTTTGTACAATTGAGCAGAAACTGGTCCTACTCTTGATCTAGCGTAATTTGTTAGCTGTAAGGATCTCCTTGATTTCAGAAATCTTTTGATATTGATAGTTAATGTCGCAGTTGGAATTACAGTTCTCAGAGAGGTCGAAGGATCTAGTTTAATCAATTTCGATAAATCGGTTGAAGCCTCCATTAAATTGTGGAACTCGGTTTTTGCCTTGTTTTTCGCTTCTGTTCGTTTTTTTAGGTCAGATTGAGTACTGTTTCTGGGCAACTGGTTATATTCCTTTTCATACAATAGGTTCCATAGGTCTTTTATTGGCGTATAGTCAAATTTTGTTAGTCGCACCAAAAAACCCATTTCACATAATTCCACAAATAAACCAGACATCTCATGTTTGGGGATATTGTAGGTGACATTTTCCAAATAGTCATTTAGCGAAAGGGATCCCAAGGACAATATGTTCTGTATGATCTCTGCCACAATTGGCCTCTTTTGTTCTGAAAATCGAGAGGAGATGTCATTGATGATCAATCCTGAATACAGCAACAGGTATACACCGTCTTTATTGTAATAATAATAAGTATTGTATTTCGCAGAACCTCGTTTAGGTTCTTCCAAGTATCTAACACATCTAAGTTGAGTAAGGGACACTAGGGTTCTTCTTATTGAGTCAATGGACATGGTAAAATTCAATTTTTCATATATCTCTCTGACTGTTAATCGACCTAAAGAGATTAACAAAGAGATCACAGTGGAAGCTCTCTCACCCAGATATGACTTAATCACTTCTGTGTACAAAAATTTCTCAGCGTGTAAAGTTCTTTGTTCCAACGAGCTTACACTCATTAGTTCCTCAGTAGAAGCTGCTGTCTGTTGGTGTATCTCATTAGAAACGCTTACATCAACGTTTCCATTCTCACTTTTAATGGCAGCTGGGTTTTGCTGTGGTGCTGGGGCACCTTTAACTGATGCTTTTATATCAGAAAGAATATCCATTCTCAATAGCAGTTTAACTGAGATGTAAATTGAATGTGAGTGCAGGAACCAGCGACTGATATATGTAAGGTCAATGCACTATAAGATCCTATGCAATGTTATCGCAATAATTTTTTTTTCTTTATATCTGATATTCACTAATCCAGTCTAATAATCAGGTGGTTTATTTTTTAGAGGTACATATAGTAGAAAACTTCCTTTTTGTATTTTTTTTGATCCCAATGGTCCTTGTTGATATAAATACTGAAAAATAAAAAAAAACGAACCAAATCTAATAAAAAGAGAGTTTCTAGTTATAAGCAAGTAATGTACACAGTCTTTGAAAATAGAATGGTATCTTCTAAGATAGAGATCAGAAGTGTCGTAATTGAAAAGAGTTGCTATCTCATCAAGATCATCGGCATCTCATCGCACAAGCTTCAAAGCGGTCTGAAAAAAAAAAAAAAACTAAAAAAAAAAAAAGATGAAAAATGGTCAACTTTCGTTTTTTTTTTCGTAATTTCCGGATCAAAATTTAGTAAAAATTAACGAGTAGTCATCTGACAGATTTGTTGTATCCCACCAATTTTCACATGACATTCTTTCTTCAGAAATACGTAAGTAATGACTATCTCATTTGGGTCGTTGATTATGACGTGTAAGGTCGTATTCCTTGCTGTTTGTAGTATTTTTCAATATTTTTAATTGTTACCCGGCTGCAGATGGAGAATTGGTGTATGTACAGCTATTTCTTTCTTTTCTACGTATATATAATCAACCAATAGGAATGGAGAGTTAAATTTGTCCGTAGGTTTCTGGGAGTACGAGTCTAAGAAAAAAACATGAAAGGGATTTTACTATGCTGAAAGAAAGAACTACATTGTACATATCCATATGCGGGAAGCTGTTGAGTGTGTCTATGTCTTGTCTGTCCCTCTATTCATCTGAGTAACTTCCTCTGCTAGTCTTTAGTGAGTTATTCTTCCAACACCACCAACATAAAGAAGAGAAGCAAGAATTACACCAATTAGAGGGCAAAAGACCAGTAAAGGCCAATATAGCTGAGTAAAGTCTGCTAACTGCTCAGTAGTGTTTTCATTCAATCCAATCATCTTCAAACATAGTTAATTGCAAGGCTTTCATCCTCTTAAACGTTTCTTTAAGCTGTGTAGTAAGAGTTCCTCTAGCTCTTTTCATTTTCCCATTTCTATTCAGTTCACTTCTTTGCTTCCAATAAACTGGTAATGTCTGTCATCCTTTTTTCTCCTGCAAAATGCGAAATCACCGAGCACACTGTTCGAGGAGAGCTTCTGTACTACTCTGTATTGATTCTCTGATGTTTAGCCAAGTAGTAGAAGGGGTGATTGATTGGTTCATTCACAGTTTCTTGACGATTGCAGTAGTCTCTTCTTTTCAGCAAGGTCGAAAAGGCTCTTTCTAAATATTGGAATTTTGCAGTTATATATATATTTTTTTTTATTTTATAAAATAAGAATACTTTATTCAGTAGAAGAGGCAACAAAACATAACCTACAGTTTTGAAATTTTGGGTATTGTGCTATTGAACTACTACAAACAGTTTTAACTTCTTGTTTTTGATTTGATATTTTTTTTTGAAGCTTTTAATCAGTTAATTCAGCTACATTACCTAGAGGAACAACTGGAAACATTCAACTGGTTAATTATCATAACTTTGAAACAAACAAAAGCCTAATTTAGCTATAAGCAAACCCTCTTTTTATCAAAAAAATTGCAATACAATATAAATAGCGCAATGTTGTCTAGAGGCCAATTGTTGAGATCATCTGCCAGACATTACAGTATTGTTACTAAGGACCTTCCAGGAAATCTATCTGTACTAAGAGTTAAGGTACATGCTGGTTCTCGTTATGCGAACAAAGATGGTATCGCTCATCTGTTGTCTAGATTTAACTTCCAAAATACCAATACTAAGAGTGCTTTGAGATTGGTGAGGGAATCTGAGTTGTTGGGTGGCTGCACTAAGTCTACTGTTGACAGGGAATATATTACTCTGGAGGCCCGCTTCTTGAAAGAAAACCTGCCATACTATGTTAATGCGCTATCTAATGTTCTCTACAAGACCTCCTTCAGACCCCATGAATTACCAGAATCTGTTATTCCAGCTGCCAAGTACGACCTTGCTGTTGCTGATTCTAACCCAATCTTCCAAGCCGAAGACTTACTATACAACATCTCATTCAGAAATGGATTAGGAAACCCTGTCTTGTATGACTCTGTCGAAAAAGTTAGCATTGATGACTTGAAAGAATTCTCTTCCAAGGTCTACACAAAGGAAAATATCGAAATCGAAGGTGTTGGTATTAATGAAGCAGACTTAAAGAAGTTTGTCACTGAATCTCTATTTAACTCTTTACCACAAGGATCTAACCTGGCTTCATCCGCCAAGAGTGAAATTTTCACCGGTAAGGAAAGCAGATTAAGAAGAATCGGGGAGTCTGTTGCTTCAGTAGGTATTCCAGTTGCTTCAAAGGATTTCGGAAAGTTCCAAGCCCTTGAAGCTTATTTGAGCTCTGAATTGTTCCCTCTAACTGACCTTCTATCGGAAGTTAAATTCACCAAATATCCAGATGTTGGTTTCTTGACCTTCAGTGTGAAGAACGGTGATGCTACTGTTGTATCTGAAAACATCAAGAAGGTGGTTGGCGAGTTGAAGAAATCCCAAGATATTTCCAAGGCGACTGAACTCGCTAAATTGAAATTGGGAACTGAGACCTCTTCTCCTGTAGATATTAAATTTGATGGTGTCAAGGACTTCAAACTAGATGACAAGTTCAACTTTGCAGCTGTTGGTGATGTTTCTAAGTTGCCTTTCCGTGATCAATTGTAAATAATTGGGCTTGGGGAGTAATCTCGACTTATTTGGTGACGAAAATTACTTAAAATGGGACTCTCATCAAAAAAAATTTAATCAAAAGATGCTCTTTGTGTAAAAAGAAGAATGAAAGGCTGCTAATAACTGTTTCATGGAACAACATAAAACTAGTAGATTAGAAGCTTTGTCATTCAGAAACTGGTAAGCCTGAACTATTCGTTTTTTTTATTGTTATTTATTTATATTCCATCACTGACAAATACAATTAACCCCACATTGATTTCAATCTTTTTTTTTCAGTTTGACTTGAAGAAAACATCGAAGAATAAAATACGTTTTACTGGGAATTGTCAACTATCCTCTGTAATTTGTTGAACGTCCGCACTATCTAAGTAAATGTTCTAACGGTGCACAAAGAAGGAAGTGAGTGGCCATGGATAGTTTTCTAAAACACATGGCTCTGAAACATCAGCTCCAAATCTACATGTGTTAATATGGTGAACATTTTTCTTGTTGTACCCTTGCAGTGTTGACTTACAAATGCAACGAGTAATTTTCAACAAAAAACCATATACTTTGTATATATATATATATATATATAATATGATATTTATTCTTGATCATTATTTGTCTTTAACATCAGTAGCGATACTTCTGGGTTAAAAATAGGAAACATTAAAGCATTAATATCTATTTGCAAAAACTGTGAAATCTGATCAATTAAATAAGCTTAAAGGAAAACTATAGAGATGTAAAAGCTGGATAGAGTATATTCTACAATACGAAACTAGAATGTACTTCCATCTGACTTTCAACCAATGATATCTCTTGAATTTAAACACTGCATCTCCCCTACGAACAGAAAATCCCAATGGACAAAGAGTGAAGGAAGCTCCTTGTCATTTTTTCGTTTCGGAAGTATCGCAAGAACTTCTCTTTTCGTCCCATGTCAGGTCTAGGAAGACTCTTAAAGTGGTGGGAATGTGAAGACTGAGCCAATAGAACGAATGATTTGACAATCAAACAGAGAGGTTCTAAGGATTCTCAGTTTTTATTTGTAGGAGTGTTATGCTTCGTACTGAACTTTATAGTCTTCGCTTTGCGCAACACCTTCTGAGAAATATTGTCCACTCATTGAGCAGAATCTTCATTTAAAAAGGTATCACCGAAATAATATCTTCTGTGTGCAATCAGCTCTCTCGAATTTTTTATAATCTTTATTATTGGTCTCTAATATTGAGAGTCGATAATTTAAATATAATACAAGAACTTGTAATTCGAGGTCGAAACTACTTCAGAAGTCTTCGTTGTCTGTATTTCTGCTACTACACTCCAGAATTGTCAAGGTAATACAATAAGCGAAGAGCAACTAAGAAAAATACAACTTTATATCTGATAGCAATGCCACAATCATTCACATCCATTGCCAAGATTGGTGACTTTATCTTGAAGACACCTCTATTGTCTAAAATTTGTGTGCCAGTCTCAAAGCAGTATATTAAGTACTCTGGTTACCGCAAGCTAGGTCTAAGGTTTGACGATTTGATCGCAGAGGAAAACCCTATTATGCAAACAGCATTGAAGAGATTACCAGAAGGAGAGTCATATGCCAGAAACTATAGAATAATTAGAGCTCATCAAAGTGAGTTGACTAAGCACCTACTACCAAGAAATGAATGGGTTAAGGCCCAAGATGATGTTCCATATTTACTGCCTTATATCTTGGAAGCCGAAGCTGCTGCAAAGGAAAAGGAAGACCTTGATAACCTTGAATTGAGCAAGAAATAATTCAAACTAGTGGTTAAGGTGCCTTTTTATTTTGTTTTCCTCCTACTTGATATTTTCTTTCCTTTACATTTATCTAGCACTTTCAAAAACCGCAATATCATAACAAATGGTATATCTGAGAATTTTATTTACTCTCTATCACCATTGTTCTGTGTCTAGCTTCTATAGCACTCCATTTGGATGCAATTAGAAATTCTGCATTTACTTATCTTTATGGTTTGTTAAAAGCTGAATATCACAATATTGGAGGTTATATTTGTTACATTTATTTTTATTAACGGTACATTCAACATAACAATATTCCTCGAGGATTTTTATTTATTACCACAGTCTGTTTTTCAGTACTATTAGAGATTGGTCATATGAAATATACATAACCATGCTTGTATTATTTCTGGTGATCACTCCTCTCATATTATTTTATTTGTCTATTTGTCAATAGTCTAGTTTCTCTAGTATATATAAATATTCTCTACTTACAAAGATTCAAGATTCATTTCATTTTATTCTAAACAATAATCTCTTTCGACAGTTTTTCAGATTGTTAACGTTCAGAACACTGAATTACCTACACGGGAAATGCCTCTGTTCTGTATTGATAAAGCCTTCGTTACCGCTTCATGTAAAAAAAAACAATTATTGTTATTTAACAACTTTTAGATGGTATTTATGTGATACTGAACCGTTTCATGCATCTACAAGTATATACGTCTCTTAAATTAGTCAATTATTTTTTTTAGTTCCGATTTAACATAATTTTTCCGGGGCTTGTTTAAATTTTTTAACCAAAACATAAAAGTTTTATGCTTAGTTCTCTTGCACAAAAAGATAATACTTCCCTAAATAGTTGATTTTCTTGTCCCAAACATTGAGACTTATATGATAGAACTGAAATAAAGCAATGTGATAAAAAGATAAAGACAATGCAAGACACCTTTGGTACTCAGTTCTATTAACACGCGTATGAGGTATATAACCAGCAGCTTTGTGATCAGTAAGAGGTATGTATGAAAACTAAACATCTGCTATTTAATCTTTTTGAGTTAACTAGGACTTTTGATCATAATGCAAGCTCAGGTATATCTAAAGCGATATATATTAGACAGATGTTTAACCATTTACAGCTTTCTGTAACCAAACTTGCAGGATTCTACCATATAGATTATTGTGTGTGATCTTAGTGAGATATAACTTGGTTAATCTCAAGTGAAAGAAAAGTAAAATCTAATTTTTTGCTGTATTCCTTCACATGCAACACTGGTAAAGGTTTGTAAAATAGAGATACTTGAGTTTTTTTAAACGTAAAAATAATGTACTTGATCAATCATACCATACTCTTATTCTTTCATGTATTATATACATCGAGAAATAAATCTACAAATCCATGAACCTGTTATATAGTTTATAATTTCCCTATTAAAGATTAGAGCTCCTCTTAAATGTTGGCCAAAACGTTGATAAACAGGATATTTGTTTTTCTGTGCCTACGTTTTTTAAGAAAACTAAAGGATAGCTTTGAATTTGTATTTTTTTTATCAATATATAGTAACAATGTTGACACTGACCATTGACTGTAGAAAAGGCATATCTTTATATATGACTTTACAGATGAGTTGGGTACTGTTTCATTTATCTGAGAGGTTAAGATGAACAACAGAAACCATTGTTAGCAAATTACCTAGATATGCTAATTGCCATAATGTATGATCAGAATGATATGATTAATTTTACTAAGCATCACAGCTCTTAATATATTATTGGAAGACTAAGCAATTCTTTGATAGCATTATTTATATGTTAGGTGACGAAACGATCAAGAGTGTACTACTCATGAACAAATCAATGGTTAGCACTTGCTAAGTTTTAGATTCAGTATGATCTGATTGAGAACTACATAATAAGAATCATTCATGCAAAGCCGTTTAATTGTCAATACTATCTATGCAAGAAAACGGATTAGCGAGCTTGTATCAAGTCGTTTATGCATTGTTGGTTCGAAGTTTCATATTTGCAAACGTCACATTTCAATTTGCTTCAGGAAAATAACTCAAGACAATGTGCCATTTTGACTGAAGCTATTCAGTATTAAGGAACATGCTGAGGTATGTTTCCCTTAGAGCTATGGTTATATAATCTTTACAGACATACCTAACAATAATATAATAACCTTCAGATATCCAGCTCATGACGCATGTAGATTGGATGCAACCTTGCATCATACTGGCTTCCGATTGTGCGATCGGAACCAATGTATACCACTGTATTTCAGGATAAAAAATTAATACACTTGACAATCAAATATGACCCAAAACTCTAGAAGCGTGGGCACCCCACCCACTCGTATTTCATTTGATAACAAATCGTTCAAGTGCTGATGAGCTTCATCCTGCTGTACTTAAACGGTTAGTTCTAAAAACAAGAATAAGGTATATACGCTACAATATTATCACTGCAGTTCAGCCTAAAATATCTTTGTCTGATTTGAGTAGCCCTTGTTCCATAGGCATTCAATCGCAATGTTTGTTTTACTCTTTGTGTAATGATGTATCCCATACCTTGGTTAGTACTGATTAGGCCGCATGACCGAGATTTCATTACTTTCTACATCTCGCTAGGATTGGATTTGCACTTTTCGCATTTCCTGTAGAGATGTGACAATATCGAAAGCGAGATCTGAACAGAGAAAGATGAGATCAAAATACGACGGCTACGAGAAATCAGTACTTGAAAACGCGAGTTGGACACTGAGGCAGTTGGTCACTTAAAATATCGAACATCATGCTTTGTGTATTCTTTCTTTTTTTTTCAGGCCATTTTTCATGTACATATTTATACGCTACTTCTCTGCAGGACGGTGGGGGTTTTCAGATTTTAATTGCATTTGAACGAAACAATGGGAAAGGAAATTCTTAGCTCTTTTAAGTTACTCTTTGATCGCTGTCTCTCTTACGAACCTGCAGTGTTCACTGCCTTATCAATCTGATCAATGCTTAACAAAACCAACAACAAACGCTAAAATCGTTTCTTTACATACCAATGTGGACCTTTTACAAAGTATTTACTCATCTCGTATCTGAGAATTCAGACAATATATGAAAGGTTAAGAATCTTAGTAAGAGAACAGTATTTAATATTACGTTTAAATGTGTCTTTTATTCGACCAATGTTTGATAGTAGTACTTAATTGACGTCAACTTGTATCTTTTGGCTAGTTACCACTATTGATGTATAGATGTATGCAAACGAAATACGTGGACATTGAACGGCATCTATTTACATAATACTATGAAACAGATAATCTCACATTCATGTTAACGACTCTTTTTTGCTTTTGTTGATTTGAAACTTCAGTAGCATTTAGTATACCCATGTTAGAGCATGCCTAAAAGTTTATCTTTTGGGACATGAAATGCTAAGTTATCGAGATAACGAGTAAAATTGGTTAATGTTTATACGAATAAAGAGGTAGCTAAGCTGCTTTGTACACGTTCTTAAGGTAATCTAAATGAAGACATGTAAAGCAATAAATAACAAATGAGGCAGTAAAATTTTTATTTAAAAAATCATTCTAATTCAGCACTTTATGAGATTATATAAGAATGAGACTGCTTGTCTATCACAGATTATTTTTTGTAGTCTAGTATACATTATTGACTTGATAATAGAAAGTCAATATCAAACCGAAAAAAAATAATCAACTATGAAGCTATCCAACGCATTGGCTGCGGTAGCACTTGCTGTTTCTGGCGTTAATGCCATCGAACCAACAACCACGCTAGCCCCAACGGACTTCAGAGTTAACATGATCGAATTACAAGCTTACTTGGCTGATATCAAAGGCCACATGATGCAATATCTGAGTTTCCAAGGTGCTAACCCAAATCAGCCTTACCCAAGTCAAATGCTTGGTGCTGTGATGTTTGGAAATACTGGCCCACTTTCAGAGATTGCACCTGAAACAATCACAATGATGATTACAGGTGTCCCTTGGTATAGTGAAAGACTTGTTGGTGCTATTGCCGCAAGATTGGCTGACGCAGGTATTGTTACTGCCTGGCCATCTCCATCTCCATCTCCAAGTCCATCACCATCACCATCACCATCACCATCACCATCACCATCACCATCACCATCACCATCACCATCATCACCATCACCATCACCATCACCATCACCATCACCATCACCATCTCCATCACCAAGTCCATCACCATCTCCATCACCAAGTCCATCACCAAGTCCATCACCATCTCCATCACCAAGTCCATCACCAAGTCCATCACCAAAATCCCCATCACCATCTCCAAGCAGCTCCTCCTCATCCTCTTCTATGCCAAGCAGCTCCTCATCCTCCTCTTCTATGCCAAGCAGTTCCTCATCCTCCTCTTCTATGCCAAGCAGCTCCTCATCCTCCTCTTCTATGCCAAGCAGTTCCTCATCCTCCTCTTCTATGCCAAGCAGCTCTTCCTCTATGACACCATCTCAAAAGGCTTCCATAATCCCATCTTCTGCAGCTCCAAGCTCATCGTCTTCAATAGTCACAACTTCTTCTATATCATCTGCCGACGCATCGCCTGTTCTCCCATCATCGGTTGTTTCCTCATCCTCTACAGAGCCATCATCGGCTAATCCAAGATCAATTAGTTCTGTCTCTAACTCTACGACTATTATATCGATGTCTTCTCAAACAGGTTCTCTGAATAACATATCAAGCACTGTATTTGGCAACACCACAGTCTCAATGCCTTCTCCAACTACGGTAGTTGTAACCAACACTGTCGGGGAGGTCATTACTGAGGTCATCACTTATTGCCCAGAAACCGATCACCATGGTAACGTGGGAACCAGTACTTCCAGCTATATAATCGGTACTTCAAGGGTAAGTCAGGACACCATGACAACCAAGATAGTAGAAGATAATATCACAAAAACTGCCATTGTTTATTGTGAAACCACTACCGATTCCAAAGGACAAGCTTCCACAAAGACAGTCACTGTCTGTCCTGAATGCACTTCCATTAATTCCAAAAGTGGCTCCAAGAGTACGGAAACAGTTACAGCAACCACCAAGCCTGTCGTTAATGTTTCTAATGGAGTAACTTCGACCACCTTCATCACTGAATATGTTACTGTCAAATCAGGTATTCCTACAACATCCTCCACTCCAGGTGGTAAATCCGATGTTCAACAAGCAAAGATTGCTACCACAACTACAACTTTAACTAGTAAGCAACAACAGGATTCATCTATAAAGATTCAATCTCAATCTGGAACCGTGAAACCTCAGGTAGAACAACAAGTGTCTGCTTCTGCTGCTAAGCAACAACATTCAAGTGTTGTGGTATCACAATATGCAGGTTCAGCTGCATCTTTGAATGGTCTAGGCTCAATTGGAACCCTAGTAACATTATTAGTGTTAATGTTAATCAACTAACGATATCGTACATTGAAAAAAACCTTTATACCCATTTGTACCTACGGCGCATATTTTGACATATTGTTTTGTTCATAGTTAATAGATTCAATATTATGCCACATTTTATAGAATATAAAGATCTTTAAAATAACATTTCTTCTTGAAAGTAAATTTTTGTGAAGCATTTATAATGGAACCCCTCTATATTTTTTGTCCAAAATCCTATCGATCAACAGTTAAAGATGTTGCACGAACAACGTCACTCAAGAAGACGAAGAAATCGCAGGAAATTATATGAGGTTCAGATCGAAATCAAGATATTAGGCCAATTTTACTACTAGGGACTCAATAAGTAATTAATTCTGTTGCTCGAGAGTTCTTTAACACAAAATCTTTCTAGAAAAAAATCTTGGGAATACTAGCTTATCTACTAAAACTTACTTGAAAATTCCTAAGTGGCAAGCTAATATTAATTAATACTATTTGCAACTACCGAAAAGTTCTCTAAAATTGTTCTCTAATATTGTTCCCCACAAAGTCAAAGTTTATGGCCTGATAAGATACTGAACATGTAGACATAAGTACCTCTTTGCTAAGATTATCACTGCATGACCATTACAAGTTTATAATTACATTTGGTTATAAAAAAACCAACTGGAGATGTAGTAACAAGTCTGTATATTGTCCTATTTTATAAAGCTTAGAGTAGTTGTATGCACGTTATTCAGGCACTTTCGCAAAATCATGAGATTCGACGCTACGCGTACAGATGAAAAACAACTAAAGATCCTAACATTTAAAACTAGCAGACGACCTTAATTTACGAATATTACAGCTTCTTTTGGGATCTATTGTAATAGTTCCCACAATCTGAGTTCAGCTCCTTTTTTTTGCTTATCAATCTACCCCCTCGCCTGAATATTCTTATCGAAGGTTCTACGATGAAAATAATTTGACAGGTAGACTTCCTTGAGTTGGATGCAAAAGCAGCACATTAAAATAGTTTAAAGTTTCTATGAAAGCCTTGAAAACTTAAGCAGTTCTATTGTAATTTCCCATGTCGATAATTATAGAATCCCAACAAATCTATTATTAATTAATTCCTTGATATTGATGTACCATTTTGAAGAATACTAAGCATCCTAATGAGCATCATATCAGTAGTAATACATTTGACCTCGTTAACCGAAATTACAAAACAATTAAGCCATTAACTGCTTCGACAGAGTTGCAATTGTTGTGCAGATCTATTTTGAGCTTTAACATGGATTGGTATATAATGCCACTTATAATCAAGCGACATTCTCATTGCTCGCCTTTACTCGAATGCATTGTACAGTTACCTCTCATCAGTAATAAAAGTCACACTCATTCCATCACCTAATCTCAAATAACTAGATGATTTATGGAGGAGAAAATGTAGACAATACAACAGTTATCATATGGACTAACAAAATCCTCTATGACCAAATCATTTATCAGAATTAGAAGAATGTTTAATTTTTACTTGGTTTTATTAAATATTAAGCATAAGGACATATTATAGTTAAAATGAATAGAGCAAGAGTAACACTGACTAAAACCTCATTCTATCTTTAGTGAACAAAAAATAAACAAAACTAAGCTGGTAAATTTACCCAACTAAAGGCAGGGTAATTGGAAAAGTTGGAGTGGAGACTGAATATTAATTTACCCGGCTGTCATTTTGTCTAGTCATATAATTTTTTACCGTTGATATGGTTAATCAGGTGACCAAAATCTTAAATTGATAACTGTACTATTTGGCGACCTTTGGCTACATTATCATAAAACGTATCTTATTCTTAGATAAAGTATCTGATATAAGTTTTCAAGATTTTATTACTTTTTGTATTTGTCTAGACAGACAACAGAGCTGTCAATACAAGATTTACGATATATATTGGAGATCATCCACTACTCTCACTTTTAACCTTAAGATCTCTAATATGAGCGAATCGAACGGTTACAGAGTTTTGTGAAGTTTCTTCTCATTGTGATCCATACAGATAACATGCTAGTCATTCAAAAAGATCTTTGGTGTAAAAACTTAACAAGGAAAGTAAATCGTTCATCAGGAACCTTATCAATGAAGTGCCTGACCGAAGCATGTGGTAAATATAAAATGTATGCTCTCTTTCTTGAGGAAATCGATTGCGAATAGCTATATAATGAAAGTTTTTAAAAGTTGCTATTAATGGAAATCTTAAAAATCTAGGCTTTGCACTAGGCGTCCCTAAAATGCCGTACTTGTCATGAATGGGTTGGAATAACCTGAACTGTACATTGACAAGATATTGTTCAAGAATTGAATAGTTCTCTAAATTTGGAACAGAAATATACACAAATAATTACAGTTTCGACAAGATAAATTAGTAATCATTCAGTAAAGACTCCATATATAAGCAAACATGAATGAATTATAGCAGTGGGCTTACTCTCTGGTTCTTATACTAAAAAAATACTGCTGAGTAAGTATCTGTATTTGCTTCTTAAGCAAAATAAAGCCTCACTAATATTCCGACAGTTGTTAACAAATCACAAGATATAGTATTGTTTAAACTGAAATTCAATAAAAACTAAAATATGCTTGCATCTGTATAACCTTTCTTTCTATCAGTATTCATATTTAGACACACACAAATTAATAAACAAAACAGCTATATTTCTTATCCTATTTATAGAATCGACAGAGTTTGAAATATAATACTACACTCCTCAGGAGTTTAGGAAAGTTTTAGGTCTTTATTGTGATACAGAACTACAGTAACTATTATAATTAAACTTTATCAGATTCTACTTTGCAGTAGTATGCTAAGTTGTCAAAAATTGAACCTTTTTATAGGACAAGTAATGTTTATTGCTGAAAAGTTTTATCAACTGGAAGCGATAGCCTAACTCATTTTTAATTATTCAGATGTTCCTATATGCTTATTTCACAACTTATTAACTGGGGACTCTTGCTTTACATGACAAAGGTGTTCTTAAACTGGAATGTTGAACAAAATTTCAGCTTCGTGATATTAACCTGGAATGAAACAATAATAGACGAAATCCTGCATAAAACTAGCAAATCATATAGGGTACATATTTATCAAGAGATGACATAAAAATATGCAATATATCACTTCAGTCCAGTATATGGAGTAATGAATTCATACTTGGCTGTCCATGATATTCTTTCTGAGTATAATCTGTAAGATAACACTTTACACTTCATAGTATACAATAGTGACTAGAATAGTCTAAAACATCAATCTATCAGCACATTACCACTAAATTTAATATCCTTTAGGTTGGATCCATCAACCATATACTAAGCAATGATAAGGGACCATTATCACCAGTATGCTCATATTTGGGATCATCATTAGTAAATATATGTATGTTATTGTCATTTGAGACACCTGTATCAGCGGAAAGAGTATGGCTTAACAAAAAGTCCAGCGAAGGAGGAATAATAATTAAATTACGAATAACTTAAAATTGTTAATCTTGAATACAAATAGTGCTTCATGAAAGTCTACTAATTAGATTGTAATCAGGTGATCTATATTCTAAAATAATCTCTGTTGGCATAAAGTTAATTAATAATAAAATCCTCCAAAAATAAGATATTTATTACTTTGAGTGGCGGATCAATACGCTTTCTAGTTTGATATTGAAATCACAAAAAATCATTAAAGCACCATAGTATGAATGCTTTGTTTATAAATTTGATGTTCTTAAACGTGACTTTCATAAATACATGTCAAATACAACATAGATGATAAGAAAGCTTTTTAACCAAATTAAATTACGTTACTAATAAGCTTAAAATGTGATTAACTCTTTAGGTTGTTTATACTTTATGTATTTATGGATATTTTAACGTAGGTTCAATCATTAGGAAAACCAAATAAAGAAAAACACTCAGAAATGAATAAAATACACAACTTTTAGTTGAAATCATTATACCAAGCCCTTCTTTATACCAAAATACCAGGTAAAGGAACGAGTACTACGTATTATCAATGATTAAGATTAACAAATGCTGCAAATTAATATAATTTTGTGGCTTAATCTAGTTGAACTTGTAATTTCATTCTATTTTCTTTTAGTTATGTCATTCATTTCATAATAATTTTCAATTTAAGGTGGTATTAAATTACCATTTTTTGATGCAATTTCAATATACGACATGGGTTTATGAAATTATTTGGAGTTCTATGAAACCCATCAGAAATATACTGCTTATCAATACATTATTAATCTTACTAAACTGTTCTATCGTGGTAACTCGAACATCTATTGAAATACATATGCGAAAACAATGAGCTTCAAAGAGGCCTTCAAGTCTTTGTGTGTACCAGACAAAAAAGATAGTAATTCATAATGATAGACAAACGAATATGATTACAATCGGAAGTCCCAATTTTAATAGGTATTTTCTTAATTAATGAAATGTATGAAACTTTTTCTGGTGGGATGGCTGTAATTACTATCTTTTTGCAATTAAAGACTAGACCAAAAACTGGTCTGAATTTTTAATGATAGATTATAAACAGTAACAAATGATAGAGCATTAGATTTGTTTAGGTAGATTTTGTAGGCAAAAAAAAGAATATTGAACATGTTACTTTGATATACCTACCAAAATAGTGTCATACGCATGTTATTAACTTGCTTATTGTTTCACATTCAATTGTTTTATTATCTTTTAAATTTCTTTTTGTCCCCTTTTCTTTTGTTTCAGTGGTAAAATCATCTCTAATTTTACTGATATTTCCCTAACATATAATCTACTAAATATAACTTACTTAAATTACAAAATTTCTACATCTAGCTATCTGTTACCGTTTCTATCACATATACCATGCATATTGTTTTGGCCATTGCTTAATTTCGATGCTTTTGCAATAACAATAACTATTGGGTAGAAAAGGCACTAAAAATCTTTCAAAGGTTTTTACAAAGCTCATTACTTGAAATTCAATATCAATACTAAAATTGATATATTTTTTAATTTGCTGATATATTAATTTGTTGCTCTAAAGGCTGTAACACTTGCTAGACCGATACCTTTACTGTTGCATGTACTTATAAGCAATGGTAGAAAACTTATTCACAATATAACTATATCGTGTATAAACTCGTAATCTAGCAGTGTATATATTTACAATATAAAAAAAAGCAATAAACTTACTTGAACCCAGAAATTCATCACAGTGAAGATAAAAATACAATGAGTGCATCTGGTCAGTAAGTCATACTCCAATAAAACTTCTACTTCAAAACCTAACATCTTGAAAGTCTCTTCTACATTAGTTTTCATAAACAGTATTCTTTTTTGTCTAGCAAAAAAGTTATAACTCGATTTCAAATTGCTTTTTTTGTTTCGTTTCAAATATTTCGTTTCTAATTTTAAACACATATCAATGTTATAGAGCACTTGTTGTGACTGAATAATAGGGCAAATGATGATGGATTATACAAGGATCTTTACACTGTTTAGTTTACTGATATTTACAGTCATATTGGAATATTTCAATAAAATTTTCAGATTTTTATATCTCTTTTCGAGGCTTGGTATCAAAAAGAATCAATAACCACACATTGAGTAGAATTGGAATAAAATTGAGATTAAATACACCTAAGTCATTTAGTTGACCATTAAACAAACAATAATTTATACAGTGACTTCAATGTTTCTGACAGTCATAATAGTACCTTTTTTTTTCCAAGCAAAAATTATTTCTTGTACACTTTTGAGTATTTTGGTAACTTTAAAGTCAATGACCACTACAGTTATATGTAAATCACTCCTCTAAGGATTGATTTAGTTCATGAGACGATTGGGAGCTTTCTCCATTTTGATTTTCATCTTCCAAAAATTAAACCTATCACAATCTAAAGTATTATTTATATTACTTAAGTCAAACTTGAAACTGTATGAGTTCGTTTTTTATTAGTATTTGAGAACACTCAAAAACGAATCTTAATCTAATTATATTAATAATAATAATTTAAAAATCTCGCTATTTCTCATCAACATTCCTTAAATGGCTCTGTTAATGTTTTTCTCCAGACATAACATTTAAAGACTCTTCCTAATACTGATTGAAGTGCTCATAATATAACTCGCCACAAATTTATTGTTCAATAAATGGGCTTTATTTTTTATCTCCAATATTCAAATAGATTGCTGTTAAAAGTGCATTATCAAATTTTACTTATCAAGCTGGCATATAATATTTTGGTTCTTAATTAAAGAAATGCTATTTCATTGTCTGCTCAATAAGAATACACCTGGCTAATTTCCCCCAAATTACGACCATAATGTGCAATATGGGACATTTGAATATCAATATCAAACATCCAAAATGAAAAACATGTTGTATTACCTCTACAGCTATTATCGGTAATAAATATTCAATCATATTACTAATATCTAGAGCGCATTTTTCAGAGTTTAACGTATGAATAAATTATACTAATATAACAAGAATCTTAGTCCTTTTATCAACATTTATCTCAACATTAATAAGAAGATACGAATATATAATTAAAAATCTAAGAATACTAGGTGTAGCATTTTTATCTATTGTTACAAGCTAACCTATTGATAATTAAGGGCATTTCAAATATATCATATGACTGTTAATATTCCAAATTAAAAGTTGTTTTTAATTACTCAAGAAACTTAGATTATAGTGACCTAATTCACATAAAGGAATGAAAGTACAGGCTGAGATTTTGTTTACATTAGAATTGCTCACTAATAATTAAACATAGTATTATTGCTAACCGTGTGAACAATCATCAAAAGGGGTATTAATCGAGTTTACAATGTCAAAAGTGTTTTATAATAACCGTTTGTGAATATAATGACAAAAAAAAAGGATAAAAAGCAATTTTGAACTTGTGACGGGACCCACTGATTTTCTGTTTTGAAACCTTTAAAAAAACTGTCCCTAAATTCAAAGATAGTAAATCTTGTCATGAAGAAAATTAGTTTCAACAAAATTTGGTTTTAATAGTCTGTTTAACTTATATGTAGTTATATAAACGGGTAGTTCGCAATTTACTCTAATACTTTATATCTCATCAATTCTATCAGTTACAATAAAAGACAAAAAAAAGAAGTTATAATTCTTTGCAATACCTTAACACTCACGGTGCTTTTGAAGTATATAGATGTAATTCCATTCAAATTAGAAAAAAATAACTTTGATATTTGCTGTTCCAATACTTCAAGTTTATAGAAACAAAACTTATACTTTTTATCTTATAATTTGTAGTTTTTACCAACTAGACAAGATGATCTCAAAAATGCAGCAACAACAACGAAAACAACCAATACACATAATGTAGGTGTTGCTTAATTATATTCATGAAAGATCATATAAAAAAAAGACTTGACAAAACCATAGGAATAAAAATATTTATATTTTGTATGATACATTAACAAAAGCTTTTGAATGCTTTCACTTCACGAGAAAGAGTATAATCTTAAACATTTCATTAAAAAGTTCTCCTATTCATAAAATACTGAAATTACTTCATCCAACATTGGCTATTATACACTCCAAATGTTCTAGATTCAAAACAGATTTCAATTAGTTAGTGAGATATTAGATGTTAGTACAAAGATAAGGACTTCTGGAGATGTTAATATTACGAATCTTTTAATGTGTTTTGTTTGATGATTTAATGTTGTCAATACTACTCACACTGGAAAAAACGAGAAGAATCTATACATCATTACATATTTTGTATTTTTGACCATAAATTATTTGGCAATTTAGCTTTATTAATCATATATCGATGAAATGCCCCTTCCACTGATATGCCATTTTCATGAACAAAAAAGAAACATCTGATAGAGCTCGATTTTTTTGCTGTATAACTAAACGAAAACCATAACTGAATTCGCAGTAGAAATTGGCGAATGATATAAGAACTATGCAACCTAAAAAAAAAACTTTTTCCCTATACGATACACATTTATTATCTTATTTTTCTTTGTTCTATTTGTGATTATAGCTGTTTTTTACATTAACATATTTCACGGATGTAAGCAGATATGAAAAAATTTATGAAGTCACTCCATGGAAAAAAACCAGACATTCTAACTAAATAAACGAAAAGAAATGTTGTCTCAGTATTTCACTCAATTATTGATGGGAATTGACACTTCTAGAGTTTAAGCCATTTTTATCTACCATAGATGTTGCAACCTCTTTACATATTTGCCAAATTGGGAAAATTTTTGATTTTTTTTCAAAACTTTGCCAACCCAAATAGTCGCAATTGTGAAATGTTTTTTCTTTTTCTCTGATTTCATTACTCCTACAAATCATTCTATGGGAGCTGGTGCGTATTTGAAACAATTCTGGAAAAGAAATTAAACAAAATAGGGGTCAAGAAGAGGCTGCAGGTGACTTCCAATATGAAGATCGATCAATAGGGGTATGCACCCAGTGAGGACCAAGTAAAGGATTCATTCCACGTAGGTACAGAGACATCTATAATTATTATTAAAAATCACCTTTGAATTATTATGGTCTCGATAAAGATTCCAACTTTCAATCAGGTAAAATCTCTGATGTTAGTACCATATGCGTTACTTATTATAATAACCAAATTTTGATACTTAAATGTATTAATTAATTACTTGATGAATTTTCTTCAAGAATATTGAATGAAAAGAAATGAAAAAGAAATGACCAATCTTTATGTTTCAGGGGTTTATCATTTGTTTTATAAGATTTTATTGGTTGAAGGTCTCACAATAACGGAAAAACACCTTTACCAACTCAATCGTGACATAGTAATGGATCATGATATTTCCGTCAGTAGCTCAAATTGTGTTTCTGAAGTCCAATTTGGAAGTGTACTCGCCTAATACATGGAAGATGAAGAAATACTTTGCTATGTAATGCCATCAGCAATACTGAGATAGAAAAGAAAATAGTCTCTAAGATAGTGTTTCACATCATTTTAATGGCAATAAACTAATCCTTTGTACCAGTTATAACCCATATTAAATCGTTTTTTGAGTTAAAGAATAAACAAAAGAAAGGTCCTCTGATTAATTACTTACCTTTTGATTACTGAAAACTTAGTAAAGATTATGGGAAACAATGATACTACGAGTAAAATACAAATAATCAGGGAAAAATTTAATTTATCAGAACTGAATCAAAATTGAGCTAATGTAGAATTTTGTTATACTTAAGATGTTTAGGGGCTGTTGTCATCATCATATAGGTTTATTTTTTTAAGGCAATGCATGCTAGAATATGTTGTAATAACTTCGATATGTAGTATGTCAATACGCTATCCACTTCTTATATACTTGCAGCGACTCATGCCTAGGATTTACTGCTATAATAATTATTGTGAAATGGAATAACCGATAGAAAACTTTTGTGAATCACTATAACTTTTTCACACATATAAAGACAGCACTTTGTTTGTAATGAGATGACTGAGATTTTGATTACTTAAAATTTCCTTTCTCAATCAACAAAAATATCCATTAACTGAAAAAGAATACCATAATCAATGAAAGGGATATTTATTTGCCTGTGGATATTGCTACTAAGGCATACACTTTCCGCTGATACAGGTATCTCAAATGACAATAACATACATATATTTACTAATGATGATCCCAAATATGAGCATACTGGTGATATTGGTTCCCCTACCATTGCCTGGTATATGGTTGATGGACCCAACCTAAAGGAAATAACTTATAACGGTAATGTCCAATTAGACTCTTACTTTTTACTTAAAGCAACTGAGGGTAATACGGGGTACCAGTTCAACTATCATGGTGGTTCATTTGAAGTTGGTGGGGGACAGGGTATTTTCAACGAGTTAGCAAGTGGTCCAACTATTGTGAATATGCAGGGCGATTCCTTTAATGGTAAAGGTACATCAAATTATACTGCCGGTGTTCGTGAAGGGAGCACTATATACATGGACTTTACAAATTATTACACCCAGGACAGCTATATCGAGAACTTTCAATCAGTGACATATTCAGCTACTACCAATGCAACAATAGATAAGTACATCCTAATCAACACCGACGTTTATATACTAGGCCCTGTTCTTCTCTCCCCTACTTACTATGACTCCCCTGTTTTACACAAGTCAAACATATGGCTAGACTCACCGGATATTGCTGACATTTCTGGATCCAATTTCCAATTCGGTGGGGAGGGAAATAGCGGGTTATACATTAAAGATAGTGCTGCAACCAAAGACAAAGAAATAAAACTGTCAGACAGCTTTTTAGACTCAAACAATACGATTGCTTTTGATACCCCAATACAATCTCTAAACTGGTTACATACCGGTCTTTTTCCTGGAAGGTCCGGAATTCTAGTAGTTCATACTACAAAGAATACGTATAATATCTCATTTCGCGCACTAGGACACCATTATTGTCTAACTGATAAAAATTTTAAGATCACAAAGACAGATGTAAATCATAATGGAACATCCATCGAAATGTTCCAGGTAACTTACGATCCCACATCTAATGTCCAATGCCCTCCACCATATACCGTAACGCAAGAATACAATATAATACCAACTAATTGCTTTGTAGAAGATATCTGGGTAATATCCTTTATTGGAACAACGAGTATTTCATACATCGAAGAAACGATGATAACAATATGCAAAAAAGAAGATTACACCACGACGATCGACAAGGGCAACGGCGACTTCGAGACAGACCTCGTCTCCCACATCACCACCAAGGACTCCAACGGCAACCCTACCACCATCGTCACCACCATCCCATTGACCAAGCCCAGCGGCGAGGCCGACTACACCACGACGATCGACAAGGGCAACGGCGACTTCGAGACAGACCTCGTCTCCCACATCACCACCAAGGACTCCAACGGCAACCCTACCACCATCGTCACCACCATCCCATTGACCAAGCCCAGCGGCGAGGCCGACTACACCACGACGATCGACAAGGGCAACGGCGACTTCGAGACAGACCTCGTCTCCCACATCACCACCAAGGACTCCAACGGCAACCCTACCACCATCGTCACCACCATCCCATTGACCAAGCCCAGCGGCGAGGCCGACTACACCACGACGATCGACAAGGGCAACGGCGACTTCGAGACAGACCTCGTCTCCCACATCACCACCAAGGACTCCAACGGCAACCCTACCACCATCGTCACCACCATCCCATTGACCAAGCCCAGCGGCGAGGCCGACTACACCACGACGATCGACAAGGGCAACGGCGACTTCGAGACAGACCTCGTCTCCCACATCACCACCAAGGACTCCAACGGCAAGCCTACCACGATTATAACAACTGTGACTCTAGTAGAAGAACCAGTTTACACAGCTGTGTTTGTTTCTGATGGTCACACGATCACAGCTGTTGTTTCTCATGTTACAACTACCAATGATATCGGTCAGACGGTCACCACTACTGTGACCGTTATTTCATATGATCAAGTAGGTGAAGGTGTATACACTTCTGCTCCTGCTTACTCTCAGCCCCCAGTAACTACGACAACTGTGAGTGCAGACACTACTACCGCCACTGTTGTAATTTCGTACTTCCCATCTATTGGCGTCGATGGAGTCACCAGGACAGGTACAACAACCGTCTCCACGGTATCTGTCGGAGGTGAAGCCGACTACACTACAACAGTCGACAGGGGCAATGGCAGTATCGAAACTGATGTCATTTCGCATATCACCACTACCGACTCCAATGGTAATCCTACAACAATAACCACCACGATCACCAATGCACCTGCACCTTCGATTTCTAAAGCAAATATTGGGTCTGACTACACCACCACCGTGGTTTCGAACGGTCACACGTTCACCGAGGTTGTATCCCATAGCACAGGTACTGATGAGCACGGTCACACAATTGTTTCTACAGTAACGCAAACCGTAGGTGTCCAGAGTCATGGCAGCACTGTCTCAAGTGCAGCACCTGCCTCAACAGTATCCGGTGCAGAGTCTAATGCTCCTGGAACAGCAGGTGTAGGTGGTATTGTCAACTCTCAGAAACCTCAGTCACAAAATGTGGCTGGTCAAGGGTCTGGCAACGAAAAGCCAACACAAGCTGCTGGCACAGCCGGTGGTAGTCGCTCTGGATCTGGATCTGGCTCTGGCTCTGGGTCAGTGCACCAATCGGCAGGCAATATTGTACCATCTGGATCTCCATCTGTTCAGAGTGCAAAGGGTACTGCATCGCCAGTCAGTGGTATTCATGGTAGCCAAACACCACACTCTGTACCTTCACAAGCTCAACAACAAGGACAAGGACAAGGCCAAGGACAAGCACCATCGTCACGTCAACAGGCTGCCACGACTGTTCTATTATCATCTGGTTCCTCTGTTGACAACATCGGCAGTGGATTCAGCAGCACGCAAACAGCTTCTGTCCTACAGGGTAAGGGTGCTTCGATTAGAGTTGCTTCTTCCAGTATTGTATTCTCAATGATTGTAGTAATAGTTTTCGGTATGATCTAAAGTGTACTAGTTCTGTGACTGATCAACATGTACAATATTACAAACGTTCGTCCAGCCATGATTTTTAGATAGGCTGTTTCTTTCAATATGAACATTGATAAAAAAGACTGATTATAGTCCAACAAAACAAAAAAAAACTGAAAAAACACTAAAGTAAAAAAAAACTGAAGCTTCCCTATATATATTTATTGTTCGTAATTTGGGGCTATTATTTTTGTTTCAGGTACTGTTTTTTATATCTCATATTAATAATGTGAGCAGTATTATTCTCAAGAGTTTTTGTATATATTATTTATCAGTTACAATTTAAGCACTTTTCTCTTCTAAAAGTTTTATGTTATTTTATTTCTTTGTTATTGTATTGTGTGGGTCTTACTGTTGTCGCTGTTTCTTATAAAATCTTGGTCAACCATGGATTCGAGCCTGTGGGTTTAAGATTGAATTCAAATGCTGCGAAAAACGCGAGA